GTGGCATGTGTTGGGGATGCCTTTGTGCACGTCTTCGATCGCGCCTTCATATCCTCCTCTGTGCTGCAATTATGACGATGCTGCACGGTTATCTTCCTTCAAGCGTTGGCCTCTTTGCAGCCGAGAAGCTCTCCCTTTGCGCTGCCTCGCCTTGCGTTTTTCTGTATCTTTTTGTCTCTGCGCTACACCTGACACGGGCGTGCTCCGGAAATGACTTTGTGGGGACCCACATACAAGATTTTTCGAATTCTCATAGAAGCGCCCCCAGAGGCACAGTAGGCCCGAAATAGCACTATGCCCCTGGCCTTGTTGTGTTTGTGCTTAACAACAGCGCCAAGCGCCAGCGAAAGAGAGGCCGGCCTCATCAAAATCCGAGCGCTCTCGATTTCGCCGTGTTCTTGCCGAACTCATCGTCGACTTCTTGTCTGGAGCCGGAGGGATGAAACGTGTGGAGCGCTCACTCCAAGCTCTCGTTTGCAACGTATCTGCGTCCTGCTCCTCCCAGCACATGAGCTTTATTTCTCCGTTGGCGCTTCCTACGGGCGCATGACGAGGCTTAGGGTGGGTAAGGTGTTCCTGCTTATCTCTGCCCTATCTCCCCTTCCATAGCTGGAATGGCGAACAGCGCTCATACCTAACCTACATCCTAATTGGTCTTCAACCGAGCATTTACCCGCTGCAGGCATCTGCTTTAACGCACCACGCAAAGCGTGCATAGATTGTTGTCTGATCTCTCCAGGTCCTGGCATGTGAAACAATCCACCTAACATGGAGATGCATCTGGGGAACAGCGAATTACGTTGCTTCATGCTGCCCGTGATGTGGATACAAACTTGTCAATCCCTCTTCGATACGCGCGACTTGTCCAACGGAATGAAACCCTTTCGACGTTACTCCCGCTTTCGCAGTCATTGTCATCGAATTTACTGCCCGTGTTCCTTTCCAAATTAGACACGGGTGAAGTGGAGGAGTCGACCGACCTGCCTCCCTCATATCAGGCGGATAATTGCGTTCTACTATTTGATTGTTCCAGTCGTTCATACACTCACACAAAAGGCTGTTGCTTTCTCCCGATAAGAACATCCCCTCGTAATTCATCCATGCCTGGTTTCCAAGCCCGGGGTAGCGTGGGGGTGGGATATGCGACCTTTAACAGAACCTGGGGCATCAGGTGCATTCGTTAAACTCGGTCACTGAGGACCCTGCGATGGTCGATGTGTGCAAATGGCGATACAATCAGCTTGGCAAAACCAAAACGTAATCCCTTCTCTAATCGCTGGACCTGTGCGCAAGCGTCAATCACGCCATTATCTCCTCCCGCATCGCTAACTGCTCTCGCACGTACTTCGTAGAGCTCGTTTCCCTTCGCCCATCACGATCAACACAGCACACACCCCTCATCCAAAACTGACTTTCCATAGCATATCATAGATCCGGGGCAAATCGACCAGTTCTCCACGCCAAGGAAGCCATAATCTGGAGGTCGCAAGCCACATTTGCACATCCTCCACTTCTCTAACCATTGCCATGGGTCAATGCGGCATTGCCGTGGGTCGGCTATTGTGTGGTTCTGGCGGCGCTCAAGAACTTCCTCCTCCCCAGGGTTCTAGAAGATCACACAATTTCAGAGGCTTCAAACGTCTTGTTGCTATTACATGATGGCTTTATGGCTTTGAGTCGCTTGAAGTCGCTTTAAGCCGCTTCTATCAGTGCGGGTTTTCCTGCTCAAGAGTGGGGATGGGCCAGATTTACAGATCCACCACACGGTCGAGTCATGGCTGGTCTCTCGGTGTGATTGTGATCCCCACACACCTGTCCAAGTCCCCAATGCTAAGAGCACCTACTCTAACGGCAGTTGACTCGATTGCAGAGTCTCCATGGCGAATTCTATCTCGGCCCACATACGAGAAAAATTGTCATCGGGTTCGGTCGGGTCACTGCACGGCAGATGAGAGTGGTGCGAGGCTCCACACTGTGATATGAGATTATCAGTTGCAACGCCTAGATCCGCCTCTGCCATCGGGGGGAGCGGTTCAAGCGAGTTCCGCTCCTTGGGCGTTGGTTCATACTTTACCAACACACGTGGCCGTAAGCCCCAGAGCCAAACGCCAAAGGATTGATGCAGGTCCCAAACATGTTTGACCTACCTCTCCACAAACACACAGCGCCACCAACAAACAACAAGATTCCTCGAAGAGCATTTGTCTCTTGTGTGTTCTGATTTTAGTCAACAGCTTCGGTACCCATCTCAACGTTCGGAGGGTGCAAAGAAAAAGTCGTCTGTTATCTTCTTGGCAGTAGAATTTGCTCTCTCGCACCGAATTTAGAATGGCGTCCGAAACATTGCCGTACAACCATCCCCAACACATTTGAACGAGAGTGAAGCGTTCAAGGAAAAATCTTCTCTGCATTTTCTTTTCGCGGCGGATTCACGGCGTCACGCCATGGTTTCGTCGTCGTCGTCATCTCGCTGGGATTCTCGCAAGAGGTTTTAGATCCCCGGTTCCCCATCGAAATGTTCACTATTCAGTGACGTGGGAGCCTATTTTTGAGACGCTCGCTCGGTGAATTGAGCACAGTAAGTCTTGGCTCAACATGGACAGCCCTATGTCCGGAGTTTTCTCTGTAACACTCGCTCGTAGCACAATCACCGGCCCGACTTTGAGTGAGATACAGGTCTGAACTCAGGCTCCAAGATCCCACCAATATGTTAGGCAATCTCAGACGAGGTTCGCTTCGAGTTGGGCTCAACAAAGCATCGTTCCACATTTCCGCCGATGAGAGGCCAAAGGTGTTTGTGTGATGATGAATATGCAAGCAGACTGCCATATGATATATCATGGATCATTCATTTCACTCTTGTTCCTGCAGCTCGTTACGTCGATGTTGTGGGGAGACCCGACCCCACGACGAGCATTGCCATGTGTTTCCAAGACCAACACCAAGCCTCACCCACACGTGCAAAGCCACCACAACTTGACAGGGCGGCGGTTTGTGGATGCGAAAGAAAGAAGCCATTCAACCATTCTGTAATGGCCTGCGTTTGGCATTGCAAGCCGTGTTGATTTCTGGGCCCACGTCCAGCTGCGCACTGATAAGTACAAGTGGCACCATCTTGCTTGTGTTTGCTCGCAAGCCCAAGAGGCTGACGCTCTGTTTTCATGTGATTATCGCACTGTGCTCAATCAAGATAGGAATGCCGACAGGTTTCGCCGAGATACATCGCAACAGTTTGAACTCCTGCCCAACGATTTCTCACAGCCTCTTCACGATTCGTGGTCTTGCAGCTCAAATACTGTTGGGAAATCTATGCTGATGCCTTGATTTTTTTGTCCCTCTAAGCACGATTGCGTGATTCAGACTATCCACGATAGCTTCTTGTAGTGAAAGCACCATGAATCACATGAACACGCCATAAAATGCATCGATTGGCGACAGTTACGGAACAACCCCACACAAGGACGTGGCCTGGGAGGTTGCGGGAAGCAATTTGGAGAAAAGGAGGTTTGCTGGAGAACTCATCCTCCACTTGACATCTTTTTCCCACCATCCTCGGTTACTGCGGACCAAGGTAGGTATCCGGCATCTCACAGAAGAATTGCCGCTTCCGTAAGTCGGCATCTCGGCTTGGATAACATCAGTGGTACACTCGCCAAATACTCAAGCCGATGAGGAAATATGCTGCTCATGGCGTTTCCCAATGCCCCCACTCGGGAGCTGAGTGTCGTTCCTTACAGGCCGATAACAGAATATATGGGGATTCATGCGGATCAGACGACCAGCAGACATGCAATATGTTCCCTTCTTATCCGACCCTGTGGAGCTTGAAAGAAGCACTAACTTGCATTCACGGCGGTGATAATCTCAAACAGAACCCGAATTTGTAGTAGAACGCCACATCTCATTACGGTATCGCCGGCTCTAGCAAATCGCTATCACTCTAGCAGCACGTGCTTCGGGAGAATTGCTGAATAGCACATCACCGCTGGGCACAGCCTGCTAAGAAAGAACGCAACGTATCAAACAGGGACGAGAGTTACCGTGGTGGAGATGACAGCTACCAGTTCATCCCGACGAAAGAGGAAGTTGCGCATTATCTCGCCAGCTGAACCTGTGATCCGTACACTCAGCCCACGGGCCCACGACTCACGAGCAACCTTCTATTGTATCTTAGGCAGTTGTCTCCACTGACCTTTGGCAGGATCGTCTTCCAGTCTCTTGTCACATGTGTCGTGCTGGATTTCTACATGTCTGGATTCGATGAATTCGCTTATCATCGCTGCTCAACACAGCCATGACCATGCCCTGACTGGACCCTCTCTCCTGACTTACAGCTCCACAGATAAGAAAGAGGTTCGGCGCAACCCGCTTTCTTCGTTCGCAAGGTGCATGCACATGAGTCGTGTCGCTCATAGCAGGGTCTCGCAGTTCTGCTCTCGCCAGAGCTTGAAGATCTCATCGACATGTTTCTTGAACTTGTACGTTGCTCGTATTCCAAGATGCACCGAGGATTCTTCCTAAATGTAGCAGAATCTCTAGCACAGCGTAGTTGCGATGGAGCAGTTTCGTCCAGGTAGGTCGCTAGTGAACCATGGTATACGTCAACACTGTCTACAGTAATCACACGACACGGGCTCTCCTAATCTGCTAAAGTCTTCATGATTATTTCGACTTCCCACTTTGACAGGCAAAAGGATTAAGAGCGCTGAAATGCATGATATCACTCAAGCACAGAGCATATTCCATTCGGATTCATCACGCTATCGGCTGGCTTGATTGGCGCACATCATACTGAGAGGATATACCTCTGGAATATGGAGTCGTAAGTAAAAACTCAATACACAAGCAAGCAATCACACCGAGCATAATTCTCTCATAATATCTCTCATACCAACCCTCACCACAACCATCTTACATTTTCCTTCTCTGCGGCTCTATGGATCTCCTACGTCTTTTCTCCTTGAGTTACACTCGGCTATCCACAATCCAAGCTCGACAAGATGGCATCAACACCACCGCCCAAGTCCATGTTTACCGATGACCCTGAGGAGACAACAACCGCCAACGAGGAGGGACACGAACACGAACGCCTCCTTCAAAAATACATCTCACGCGCACTCGAACCAACAGACAAAAGAAAACACCGACGTGACATGCAGAGCAGGCTACGAACCGATCAAGTCTTACGCCGCAAAATCATCGTCGGTGCTTGTGTGGGTAGCTTGGTTTTCCTGGCGCTACTTGGCTTCGGCGTCAGTATATTGGCAGCATAGAGGATGGTGCTCAGTCAGTCTGGCAAGGTGTTTTGGTTCTTGATATTGGTACTCGGTGATCAGTTGGCGGGTGGTCAAATTCGCAACTGTACCACAATTGTGCCAGGGTCGCAGGTACAACAACCATTTATGGAAGCAGATACGACCTCTGGTGCCATAAAAGACACTTGATGGCCTTTTATCGGTGGTTTGAAGTCAGAAACTATTATACAATTCCATCGATACACTTTGAGTCCCCAAAGACACGGGAAGTTGCATGATTTTGCATGTTGATCTTGGATTAAAGCTTTTGTCACGAATCCCGATTGGAAGGAGCACTTGACATACCCTACCTTCATATCATCAGCATAAAATTTCACTATGTGTGATCCGCCTGATTTCCATTAATAAACGACCTGAACTTACTGCAGACTCTCGAATAAAGGTTGATCGTCCGAAAGGTCGTCCACGAAACGAAGATGCACCGTGAAATATGCAACCTTGATAGCGTCTAAAGCAGCACTCCTGCTTCACACCATGGAATTCCTCAGTTCGATCCCTACTCGGGTCAGACGCAGCCTCAGTACGGCTATCAAAGCAGTGCTCCTGTCGCACACACTGGCTTCCCTCAGCTTGATCCCTACTTGAGTCACATGCAGCCTCAGCAAGAGAAGGAACACAAAAGAGGTCTCACTACTGGTCTACGCCAACGGTCTTCGACAGATGAGTCTCAGCCAAGCCGAGAGCCCAAACGACAGAGAGTGGATGGGGCCATGCATTCGGTTCCAAACATGCCAAGAGCAGGCTCAGCCAGGGACCTACAATCATCGACCTGGACCTCAGACTACACTGCCCCCGGCGCTCATTGGTGTTGATGGAGCATGGTGGAACAGCAGTACACGCCCTGTCGACTCTCGAACTACTCCGCCCCAGTTCTCAATATTCTGTCAGCAACCGAGCAGGGTCGGGACACTTCAGCTTTCTCTCGCCAGAGCCTCGTCAGACCTGATATCATGGTGCGTGGGCAGCCAATGCCGACATCCAACTGGACGCCGACCTCAAAGTCACAGGAAAGTAAGAGTACTCATCGTTCCACAAGACAAGCGTCAGAGGATGCCGGGGATGGCTTCCTGTCTGCAGTACAAGGAAACGATCAGGCCGCAACCTCGCAAAATCGGATCATCCACCCACCACGATTGGCTGTGCTAACTAGTGCAGTTGCACACCAGTTTGTGCACGTCGACAGTGTCGATAAACTGCGAGTGCGGTGGAAGTGCCCGATGCCATCGTGTCCCGAGGTATTTAGACCCATGACGACTCGTGGTAAAATTATCAGGCACACGTCGTCACACACTCTCGACTTTATGAGAATGGGCTTAAACGTATGTCAGTTTGGATGTGGGCAGGGTTTTGTGGATGCACTTGCACGCTGGACCGAGCACTACCAGGGCACCAAAGCTTGATCCAAGGCTTCACAAAAGTTATATCTTGTCCATCGTGAACATGATGAAGGGTTTTGCATTTGTCGACGAAGACTTTCGACTACAGAAGACACCACAGAATGGTATAAAGCCACTCGACCAATGTTCTGTGTCTGCTGAACTGAACTTACTCCTGGACGAATCTCTTTCTTGGGTCCCAAGGCAATATCTTCCCAGCCTGACGGAGACCATTTGATATTCATCTTTCGAGCAAGCGGTTATGTTCGCCCGCACGATGATACCGTTGAGCTTTTTCGGGCAGATCTCACACAGACAGCAAAGTACATACATCTCTCTAGTCTTGCACAGGTTAAGTCCTACGGGCTTGTGGGTAGCAAACAAGTCAGAGGATCCATGCTACCATCCTTTGTTGACGACATTGAGATGGAGACGGCCTTAGCTAGCGGCACGCAATCCAGCATCTAAGACTTGCCGACCAAGGTTAAACGTACATTTGCAACAACAGTACGTGTGAAGTAACAGATTACGTACGCCCACCTCAAAGGTCGCCGCCCTGTTATTGTGAGTATGGGTATCAATGCTGTGAGTCACAACTGGGCAAGGCTACATCAGTTTACCTTGGAATGCAACTCGCATTACGGACCAATCGATCTTTGGATCTCGATGCCTGCCAAGCCAGCATTAGAGGAGGACAAAAACGACGACTTTGGTATGTGTCCAACTTAGGTGGCCTACAGGTTCTTTGGCTTCTACAGTACCAATGCCATGACTGAATATGAGAGCGGGAGCAGGAATTAAAAAGAGATGGCAAAGCTGAAGCATCGCATGGATGACCTTAGGGTAAACTACCAGGCCTTGGGGGACCTAAGGGCAGAGCATGGAGGCGGTCGCTTAACAGGAATCCGTGAAATAGTTTCGGGGAGTGGTCTTGATAGTACTTCATTGATGTTGCATACTACACAAGCCTTTCCTTCAGCCACAACACCAGCTGGCCGTAATAAGATAACAGAAAGGTCACACAAGTTCAAGTAGAGCTTACTCCATAACGTGCCATTCGTCCATCAACCATCTGGGACAGCCAAGCCTTCGCTCTGTGCATGCCACGAACTGGAACCGAGAAACTCTGGAGGACAGCCAATAGACCTCACACATCAGAGTCCAAAGATATGGTTGTTTTGCTTGGAGGTATGATAGAAGTATTCAGGACCGGAAATTGTAGCGTGCAGGGTCGTCTCCCGTTCTGATATCTTCGGTTCCGTTGTTGATGATAGTGATATCGTTATTTGGATGAAATACACTGAGAGTGGACGGATGAAGAAGAGCGCTAAAAATGTCGTTAGCAAGGCTCTCAATCTAGAGCGTATTATGCATATCACCTTGACTCTCGACCAGAGGGAGAATCCTGTCGATATGACGTCTGTCTTTCCAGTTCGTTTATCATCGAGATTGACGCAAGATTTGCCGCTGGTGTTTCCGTAAGGTGTAGAATCGTGCTCCACGGTTAGGTCAATAGGATGTTCCTCGCTACCAGCACTGAGCTGAGCCGTTGCTGTAAGTGCAGATGCTGAGGCATCCTCGACAGAGTTATTTTCTCCCTCAACGGCAGTCCTTTCTCCTGTTTCTTTTCCCTTGTATGCTTCTCTGATGGCTCGGAGCTCGACTTGTAGCTCAGCCTGCATCTTTGCGTGTAGCTCAGGTGGGATTCTGGAGTGGGTTTCTGCGTAAGCCTCCTCGGCCTCACGAAGGTCATCCCGAGCACACACAAGCAAGGCGAGTGCCAGGTGAGCGCGGATTCGGTAAGATCGTGACAATTCGCTGTCCTTGACGAGACGTCTTGCGATGGAGCGAGACAGCTTCTTCTCTACCTTGCGATCAGACTTTGCGAGCTTCTCCATCTGATCCCAATGTTCCTCGAACTTTGCTTCCTGGCCGGTGAGTGACGTCGTAGATAAGCCGAATTGTTGCTGTGGTAATGGTGTAGGACTGAAGAGGTGATGGTGTAGAACTGGAGAGGTGATGGCGTAGAACTGAACAGGTGATGGTAGGGCAAAAGCGTAAAGGGATATGTAGTTAGGAGGTGTATGCAAAGAAAGTATGGTGAGTAAAATGAAACACTTCTCTTATCACTTCACTCACGATGTCCGTCACTTTCTTGCAACTAACAAGCACTCTCACTTCCAAAAGTGCAGCTTCGGTTAAGCCAGTACTTGCATGCTCACTGAATGCCAAAGACGATTACAATGTAGTTGTAGGAATGCATGATAATCTTGGAATAGGAAGTGGTTCCCTCGGAGTGAACGTTTGCCTCGAGCCATTTTCATGACTCCTTCTGAAAAGTGTCTACGCATTTCCATGGTTTCTGTCATCATGATGCCTCAGCGTGGGAAGAGGACCACCAGTGTAATGATAGACAACCATGGGCACACCGGGATGCTGTCGACAAGATTTCGAATTTTTGCATATCGCGATCGATGTCTAATCCAGAGGTAGAAGGGTGTTGGATGATTCGCAACAGTGAAAATGGCTGGCTCAATGATCGCGACGTGTCGCAAACAAAGCCGCCGTATAGAAGCACTTCGACTGGCAAAAGTTCCAATATCTATGGAAGTATGGATCGGTGGAGCTCGGAAGTCCCTGGGTCCCTACAACAGCCGACACCACGTAAGACCTGTACATAGGACAGGACAAGTATCTTGATTCCATGCGGGGGTTGGTTGGCAGATCCATCACGATCGTATTCTCAGACGGGTTGTATGGTAAGATGCCCTGGATGATTTGTGTTGATGCCCGACGCAGAGAAACATGGTGTGTTGTCCAGAGCACATCCAGGGGTCTTGCTTTATGACTCCAGAGAAGCAACGCCTTTCTGTAGGCTCAAACTCGTGCTTCCGCTTATCCCAACAAGCAAATAACTCTAGAATGCATGCTCGAAACACTATAACTCACCAAAAAAAGAAAAGTGTCCGCGGAAGGGTGTTTCCAGAGTAGATCATAGTAAAACAAACATGTTTTAGAGAGATTCTGCCGTGTGATCCACCAATAGTTACCTAGACGTCAGCTCCTGCTGTTGCATCGCTTGTAAAAGGTACTTTCATCAGCCTTTAGCCAGAACTGCTGATTTCCTGTTCATGAACCAGGCGGAGAGCTCAGGTCAGACACAGTCGTGGAGAAATCAAGCTACATCAGAATCTCCCTGTTGCCGAGAGGCATCAATCAGCAGGTACCACAACGAGCCTCTCGGGGCGCCAAGTCTGCCGTGTTACCGCTCACTGACATGTGTCCATAGCATCGTTCAACTGAAACCGTACAACTTTGCTAGGTTAGAGGTGCGTCTGCAGACAGGTATCTAGAAACAGTCCTTTGTTGGTTGCTGTCCTTCTCCTGAAAATAATGTGCATCTTGACAACTGCATATGTGACAACGTTCTGCACATAGGAAGGACAGAGAGCTTCATCGAACACCCAGCTCGAAGTTTGAGCTTGGCCTGCGATCGTGCTCTGCATCGGACAGACTCGCTATAGCCTCTAACCAACCTGACCAGTCCGCCCGGAAATGATCGATTGGCTTGCAAAATTGTACTATGAGGATCGGCCCTGCTCCAGAATATCGGATTGGTGCTGGATTCAGTAGCACATGCATATGCGTACCCCTCAAGAATGTTGTCGGAGCCGACGACACAAAACATATGGTCTTCGGAATACATGGCGCAAGTTACTATTGAATGTGTTCTGAAAACGGTGCATACTTTACCGAGCATCAGAGTCGAACTGCCAGTTCCCAGAGCAATCGCGAGAAAGGTGCATGTGAGTCGATAAGGGTAGTGTGGAGACGACGGGGAAGTATCCATAGCCGTTGAGTACCCTGCATGGTTCCAAACATGATGTTGCCCACTGATCTGTTGTGTGCAACAATGATGATGCCTCGACAGCTTGAAGATACATGGAAGATGAGACGATATCCTTCAATCGCGACACAGAGTTTGAGCTGGCACATGAACCAGTTTGAAGATGCTTGCAACGTGCATTCCGCTGTGTAGGGCGTGACAGAGGCACATGACGCGCTTCCAGCATCAAGAAATGCAGCAGTCGCGGAAGATGGCGCGACGGCAACGCGCCATTTCAATCCAAAGCGACGGCTTCTCGTGGCCGCAGAAACTTCGACGCCATTCAGCAAGCCTCATGAACCGGAGCGTGCGGAGGCAGAAAGCGCAGCTGCAGGAATCCAGTTAGTGGCGGTGTGGAGGGAGGGTGATAGGTTGTGGTGAGCCCGACAGGTCGAGACGAGGTTGGGCGCAGCGGTCAAGGTGTGATCGATGCGTGATGGGCTCGATGAATCGTGTCACCACAGGAGCCCATGTGCTTAGAAGAGCGACCGTCCTTTCTCGTCTCGCTGGGTCGACACCTATTTCGTGCCTGCTGATTTGATTGTCGTTAAGATGGTCGCGATTGCCATTCGCTCGATAGATACTTGCTGTTGCCATCGGCCCAGCATCACCTAGTCCTTGCCGTCCCCACTGCCACCACGTTACCTAGCATCCCTTCCCGTGATAATAAAGGTTACCTGCTCCTTCCCTGCAGTGCTTCCTCTCCCTAATCTACCACACCGCCTTCCTTGTACCATGCATCGCCACCACGCCGACTTTGAGAGCATGACGAGTCGCAACTCCAGCTTTTCGAACAGTGATTTTGGAAGCAGCAACCATTCTCGTCAGTCTCACAGTACACAAGGCACCCAGTATACCGGACCTTCGTCAAGGCCTCCGTTTGGGCACTACGAAACATGCGAGGGAAGGCTCGAAGGTGCCCGGCTCGAATACTATCGCCAAGTAGAGGATCCCAGATCGTCTGCAGAAACATATGCCTCGACTGTGCCTTCGGAGGTCGATGATGACGACGATGAGCAGTCTTTATCTGACGGACCTCGTCCCTTGCCTCGACCCGATGTATATCAAAGCAGGGCAATCCCGTCAACTCCATCAGATTTTGCCGAATTGTTTCCATCAGAACGCCTTTTGTCGATTAGACATGATGACTCTACACCTGATGGCAACATGAATCTACGGATTGACACAGTATATGAGAACCCTCGTTACAGCCCCATCGATGTCACTTTGTTTCACCTTCGCATGCACGACTTGAAATCTAGGCAATTCTCGTTGAGGAGATATTGCAGAGAATCTGGCCGCGAAGTCTGCCACTCTATGCGTAAATGTCAAAAGAGTGCTGGCGAACGAAGAATGGACATCCAGAGATCTCTCAGCAACGCATTTGCATCTCTTCGTACAATAGCAGAACACAAAGCTTCTGGTCCATCTGCAGGACTCAAGAGAACGGATTCTGGATACGAGTCACTTCAGTCGCACAAAAGCATCGAGCTCAATCAGCAAGCCGTTACACCAGTCGGTTCCTCGAGCAGGGGACATGTACCTATCCCCACCAAGACCATCAAACTCGAATTCTCGAACTACGCCCAAGTTGAGGTGAAACGTCGTGGTGCTAAGAGTAGTAAAAGGTATGAATTTGAGTATTGGGGGATCCGTTATGTCTGGAAACGTATCACAGATCGGATTGGATCATCGAAGGAAGTATCCTTTTGCTTGTTTCGCAACGATGAGGACCGTCCTCTTGCTCGGATCCAGCCCACTCTCTTGAGCGGTGTGCAACAGCGCGAAGAGCTTTCGAAAGGAGGCTGGATTCCACCTTGCACTATGGGTATAACCGATGCAGAAATTATTGAAAACCACAACGAGATCTCAGAGTAGGTTCTGCTTCTGGTGACTTCATACTCACTGCCTTACTAACTATCTTCAGTGNTTGTGGTCGCCGCTGGTCTGATAGCATTGGTAGATGATTGCATCAAGCGTCGTTTCCACACCAGACCAGTCCGTGGGATTGCCATTCCTGTCCCAAAGTTTCGATTAGACATGGAGTACAAGGGTGCAGGCGCCAAACGTTCAGGCGATGCTGCAAGCCGCTGGCCCACACCGCTTCGCAAAGGAAGTTGCGACGTATAACAACGCTTCGATGGGATGACCGCAGAAGTGTTGCGCATCGGACAGTGATCGTCTTTTGCATCTCGAGCTTGTCCAATGCCTTTTTTTCTAGTTCAAGTCAAAGCACGGACACTGAAATATGTCGGTTTCGCGACGCGCTTGCAGACCACTTTAGTCTGCATCACACAAAGAATTTCGGATATTTTCAGAATGTTTGCATCGCCTTGACACATGTCATGTCTACGGTCTACCTGGTTGCTATCCCCAAGGGATGGATACCTGACTTATCATACGCTCGGATCATATAATGCCCTCCCATAAGGATAAACATGAATATATACAGAAAAATCGTTGAACGATCACTACTCTGCTGTTATGAATGGTTGTACAAATCTGTGCTCTTCACCGCTCAATCTTGTTTGAAGACTAGAGTAATCGGGGATACGACGCTGCCTGAAAGCCCCTGTATCTGATCACGCAGGTACCCGAGGACACTCGGTATCCTTGACGAGCAATGATGTTGTCAAAATGAGTGTTTTCTCTCTCAAGGATCTCGAGCTGAGTTTCAAATTTGCGGACAGGCAGTGGTCCTCTGGTCTTGCGTCCTGATCAAGGAATGACGTGGCTCAATGATGGAGACAGCTTCCACATCACTCTTACCAATTTTGCCAGCATGCATTGTTACAGTTACCGCACACTGTGCAATATCAGCTCTGACGGATCGCTGCCCAACCAGCTGGACTTGATTCACCGCGGCAATGATGCCGAACGCAAGCCAATTCGAACCCTGTTATAAATGATTGATCTATTGTGGAGTCTGTATGAATGCTAGTCCATCGGGCCTTCTGCTCCAACAAAGCGGCTCGGCAGCCGGTATCATTATTATCCATCATCTTGCCGTTGGAAGTAGATCATACGCAAACAAATCTGGGAATTACACCCGGGCGGGACGGCCCTGCGAAGAGCCTAGCCGAGAGACAGAGTTGTTTCGAAGACCCATTTTGATATCTCTGCTGCTACTTGCCTTGTTTGACAGCACACAGTACACACTGCACCTATCGATCCATCAGGGTTTTCCAAGTAGGACACGAAGCAACTGTCCGGTTTGCTATCCAGGATGTTGGGGATGGTAAAGTGACATGTCAAAGGTCAAGATTGGAGCTGAAGGACGGGAGCACGATATAAGAACTCACACATCGAAGCTGTAGTTTGTCAAGTCACCCTCCAATCTACTCTGCAAGTCATTACCGCCAAGGCCTACCCAAATCTATCTCATCTTCGCCGATCCAATTCTCACCTAAATCAAGATGGCTTCCATGACTGCTTCGAGAGTACACACCGCCATGACCCCAGTGCACTCCACTGTCTGGCAGAACAAGCTCATAAGTAAGTTGATCCGATCATGTGATGGTCATGAGCAGCATGCTGACTGGACATGCANNGATGAATGCAGAAGCCGTGGCCTTCGCGCTCCCAACTTCCAAGAATGTTCCGACAGACGCGGTATGTTCTCAAGCTGAACATATCTAGACGAACAGAAACTGACATCGTCCANNGGTGGCCGCACTGCTTGGTCCAGTGTGGTTGAGGTCAACGGATGCAAGCACCAGGCCCGCTACTGGTACGACGGAGACTGGGTCAACAACGCTCGCGAGGACGCTGCAGAAGTCGCTCTCCAGCGCATGGGTGTGGTTCCTGTACCTCGCGGCCCTCATGCCCGTCTCCTTGGCTCCATCAGCGTGTAGAAGAGTCAAGACTCACTACAGCAGACGTGGCGTATCTCGCCGTCTCTCATCGTCTCTTTTCGTTTGATCATCACACCTGGGTATTGCTTTGGGGCGTCAGGAAGAGGTATATCATGGATCAGTGTTTCTTGCTATCGGGTCATGTTTTCATAAAAGGCGCGCATCGGGGTCCGGACCAAAAGACAGCTCAGCTACATCAGCAGCATGGCGAAAAGGCGTTGTCTCTTGTAAAGGAAAAACACCTAGATAGACACACTTGGGATTTCCTTTGTCGATTTGCATACTACACCGAGTATTTGTATTCATATGTGCCACTTTTGAGCCTGAAATCCGATCGGAAACCAACCTCTCAGGATTACTTTGTCCACACCGTTCCAATCTGCCGAAGTGTGCAACGCGTATAGCTGTGAAAATGCACAACGTTAACAGGAGCAGGACAGTACCCACTGAGAAGCAACAACTTATCGACTCTCTGTGGACACGCCTCTGCTTCCAGAAACGCTTGTGCCTTTTTATAGTGTACGACTCGCTTTTAGTCTGAGTACGATGCAAGTTGCAGGTCTTAGCACTCGGGGAGGACAGACGCTGTGAACGACATGTGTCCAAGGTGTCAAGTGCCGGCAGGGTCGGCCGAAGGCGGAGAGAAGCAAGTTGGAGGCGGAGGTGGAGACGCGTTGTGATTTTGCCCTTCGCAGAATCCTTTTCTTATCAGTGCCCCGAACCTCTAACGAAATCACATCGAGCAACAGGATGCGTTTGGTATCTTTTGGAAGGAAGCGTTGTCTCGCACGGCTCCGGCCTTTCTAATAGCCATTGACAGCCTATCTTCTAGTGACTATGCTGGCGACACAGCATGTTTTGCGACTCTGCCCGCGCCAATCAATGGAGTAATTGATTGACGTAAATGGTCATCGCCGACGACCGAACGGTTGGATCTGCTCTCCATGTACATCCACACGGTACAGTGAAATCTTCTCTTGACCTCAGTCACATACCTTATCTTTTGTCGATCGCATATATCTATTCAATACTCCCGACTTCTGTAAACCCATCTTAAGTATAATCCAGAGCGAAAGAAGTTGCATTTTCATCCCTCCTGTTCCTTCATATAATTTTCTGCTTGTACCTTATGAGATTCTATTATAACATCGCGCACGACTGGAGATTCGACCAACATAAGTGTTAACTACGCTCTAAGTCCTTCATCTCTCAGAAATTGCCGTTATCAACCAAGCTTGCGAAAACAACATCATCAACACGATGACCAACAACTTCAAGGACGATAGTCCAGATACAATTGGTCCTGAGACCACACCAAAGAGGTCCTTTTCCGAAAAAGGCCGTCGTTTGGTCAAAGCCTTTACTACCAAAGAAGGACTTGTAGGCGACTACGACTATGGCTTCCTCTTCAAGCCTCAGCTTCCCTTCATGAAGAGAGCACGAAGGGCAGGCCCTTTCTTCGGCCTCAACGATAGGATGCCTGTGTTCCTTGCCTTACTATTGGGTTTCCAACATGCCCTAGCTATGCTTGCAGGCATCATCACACCTCCCATCATCCTCTCCGGCAGTACCAATCTCATCCTGGCAGATCAGCAGTATCTGGTATCGGCATGTCTCATCATGAGCGGTATCTTGAGCATGATTCAGATTTCGCGATTTCACATCTGGAAGTCTCCTTACTATGTCGGCACTGGATTGATCTCGGTCGTAGGGACGTCTTTTGCGACCATCCCCGTTGCTACGGGCGCCTTCTCGCAAATGTATGCCACCGGTTTCTGCCCATCAGATGCTGATGGTAACCCTCTCCCTGCCCTGATGGGTATGGAGCACTGATCGCCACTTCGTGTGTTTGCGCCCTTCTGGAAATCCTGATGAGCTTCACCCCACCAAAGATCCTGAAGAAGATATTCCCGCCCATCGTCACCGGACCCACTGTCATGCTGATTGGTATATCTCTGATAAGCTCTGCTTTCCAAGACTGGGCTGGAGGCAGCGGTAGCTGCTCATCCCGCCCTGAATCTGGCATCTACAGGTTGTGCCCCACCATCGATGCACCTCACGCCCTTCCTTGGGGAAGTGCAGAGTTTATCGGACTTGGATTCCTTGTTTTTGTCAGCATCATCTTGACCGAGCGCTTTGGCAGCCCGATCATGAAGTCTTGTGCTGTTGTTATCGGTCTGCTCGTCGGATGTATTGTGGCTGCTGCATGTGGATACTTCGACCGTAGCGGAATTGATGCTGCACCTGTCGCCAACTTCATCTGGGTTCGCACTTTCAAGCTGCAGGTCTATGGTCCACTGGTCTTGCCGTTACTGACTGTATACATTGTCTTGGCGATGGAGGCTATCGGCGACATCACTGCATCTTGTGATGTATCTCGCCTTCAAGTCGACGGAGCCACATTCAACAGTCGCATTCAGGGTGGTGTCCTTGCTGACGGTTTGAATGGACTTATTGCAGGTCTATGCACATTAACGTAAGTGATCACTTTCTGCAAATTCTCTGTTATCCCTCATCCCCAAAAGAAGTCTGTCATGCGCACTTGACTATAACTATGCACAATACTTTTCGAGTCAGTATGTTAGCCCGGAGAGAGTGACTTATTGATGCACTCTCACTGGACCGTACTCTGATTCGAGAACTATCCTGCATTTCTATAGTCATGTATACGCCGTGTCACTTATCAGGAGGGCTTGCTTTACCCCTTCGTTCACTTTTCACCTGGGCGCGAAGCGCCGAATTTCCGTCAGCTCTCCATCCATTTGATGTTGATCAGAGTGAATTACCGATCGCGCCTGTTGTTCTGCGCGATGGGTTGGCGATACTCTGTCTTGTGTTAAATCTCCATCACCAGCTTCAAAATTTTCCCCTTCCAGACCCTCACCTCCCAACCCAGCTCCCTTCTCATGAGTCTATACTAATTATATCAACAGACCTATGTCAGTATTCGCGCAGAACAACGGCGTGATCGGTAATTCACTCTGATCAACATCAAATGGATGGAGAGCTGACGGAAAAATAGCCTTGACTCGATGCGCCAACCGAAAAGCCGGATATGCAGCTTGTTTCTGGCTACTTATCATGGGAATCTTCAGCAAGTTCGCAGCTGCACTAGTAGCTATTCCTTCTGCTGTACTCGGCGGTATGACAACATTCCTGTTCGCCTCTGTCGCGACTAGCGGTCTGCGTATCATTTCAACGATCCCATTCTCCCGCCGCAATCGCTTCATCCTAGCTGCAGCATTCGCCCCTGGATTTGGTGCTACTCTTGTTCCTACGTGAGTACAATCTTCTTGCCTTTTGTCTTTGCATATGACTCATGAAGCCTGTAGTTGGTTCAGCCATGTCTTTACATACTCCGGCAGCAACCAAGCTCTTGAAGGTTTCTTCAACGCCATTGTACTAGTCATGGAGCAAGGCTTCGCTGTTGCTGCCTTCGTCGCTCTGATTCTCAACTTGATCTTGCCCGAAGAGATGGAGGACGAAGAGATTCCTGAGTTGACTGCCAACACTATCGATGCACCAGCAGACGAGGAAGAATGGCGACACATCAGAAGGGAAGGTGAGAGTGAGAAGATCTCGCCTATCAGAACTAAGCTGAATGGCCCAGAGGCCATTCAGCTCTAGTGTCACGAGATGATGATTGTGGTATACAGTACGATATTAGGTAGACAGTTCGAGTTCATGTAGTAAAAGCTTGATTTTTAAGAGTTCTAGAACGCATTCCATGAGAAGCTTACTAGCAATAGTAATGCATCCACCATCACAAAGAGTTGACTTCAGCTTCAGGAAGATGAATTTGTGACAAGTCACGATGCAACCCTGGTCGTCGGAACTTGCCGTTAATCTCTAGCCCTAAGAACATGGCGGAAGGACCGTGCGCAGCCGTGTGTTCCTGCATACACAACGCCGTAGGTTTAACTCCTTACACGCTGCAGATCCAGTGCACTATATCGCCAACTCATTAACATCAGCATGAAATCGGACACACGATCTGATACCCAAAATGGCATCTAACCACGGCGAGGCTTCGTCCACGAAGCAGGCTGCCAACACTGAAGATCTAATTGCACTTGCCAAGTCAGCGCTTGCGGAGACGGAGCAGAAGCAACTCGCCGCCCTAGATGGTGGTGCGCAACTACCGTTTGGCTATGGCACGCAGCCCGGCGACACTCTTGATCTGAGTGATAAGGGCGTGCGCACATTGCCTGTTGAATTGATCAATCTGATAAAAGATCGGGTGGAAAGGTATCGTTTAGACCCCTCTCGTTTAAGTGAGATTGCCATGCTAACTTTATGCAGGCTTTCGCTCGGACACAATCGACTCACTGAGATACCTGCCGATCTCATCTTTTGTTCGAACCTGCTGTNNATCTTAACCTTCGTCACAACAAACTCAATGCTTTTCCAGAGCCGGTACGAGAAACCTTACACCGATACCATTTTGCATCAGTCTAACAATGCCTAGGTCTTCCATCTCAGGAAACTTCAGATCCTGGATCTCAGTCACAACAACATCACTTCGGTCCCGGAAGATGTCGGCCTTATGTATTCGCTCATGTTCTTGGCCATTGAGTCGAACCAGATCAAACGTTTGCCCCTTTGTATGGGCGAAATGTCGCGCCTGCAGAAGCTGAAAGTCGGATCGAAATCAATGGAGTTTCCACCACCGGAAGTCTTTGTTCCCAACCCTCTCGGCGCTTCTCCAGGCGGTCCTCCAGTGGAAGAGGCACGTCAGGTTTGCTCGCAGGTCAAGTTGTTTCTCCGTGAATATAAACAACGCGAGATTCTGGGAAGAGAGACCCCGGATCTTAGGTAATGGGTTCCTACGTTACAGGCTTCGGGCGATCAAACTGACAAGTGGTATAGTGAGACCAGTCTAGAAACGCCACGTCCTCCAAAGAGGTCAATATCAGGCAGGTTTCCTGTTAGACCGAGCATGAGTGGCATTGAAGGGCTTGACAACCTCAGATCAGGCGATGGACTAGGCCTCAAGCCGCCACCACCAATCCCGCAGAGGTCCCGTGCCAGAGACTCTCTGGTGAATCCTCCGATAGGTCGTCGCTTCGATCGTCCGGGCATTGGAGTGCTCGCTGGTGAAGGTGAAAATGGCAGAACTCGAAGCGAAACTGTCACCTCTACTGGTGCCCGAAACAAACGACTTGGCTATGTCCCTCGCAAGATCTCTGGAAGCTCTCATACGTCAGTGACCGATACTGGCACACTCAAAGCACACCACTATAGAGGAGCTTCGAGCTTGAGTCTCGCTGCCCACAGTGGTAACGAGTCTTCTTCTGGGGCAGTCAGTCCTATGGAGCCTTCCAACCGTATGCCAGTAGCTCGCCGTCGATTGTCCAGTCTACCGGAAGACCGTCGAGTATCAAGACCAACCAGCATGACTGTCAAACTTGCAAGTAGAATTGTATTTGCCCTGTTTCAGCTGAACGGTCCCATTGGCGATGCCGTGCGAATAATGAAGAGTGGTACGCCCAGAAAGACGACAATAGAGAGAATCTTCTTTGAATCGAGCGCAAGTCTTGAAGAACTTGACAGACGACTGAGCCAGATCTCCACTGGCACTGGGGAGAGCAGAGCATCAGAAAATGACCCCTGGATTCAAGCCATTCGCAGAAAGTGTGCGCATGTTCTCCAAAGTTATGCCGCTCTTGCTGCAGAGCTCCGTCTTCATGCTCGCAAGATTGCACTCCGTGGTGAAGGCATGTATGTTAGAAGCCTCATGCTCCATATCTACGGCGCTCTGACCGAGATTCGCAACACTTTGACGTTCCAGGCTACAGAAGTCAAAGCACCATCGAGAAGTGCTCGTGGATCGTTGGCGACTATCAGTCGGGCTAGCACACCCACCCAACCAAAACCAATTGCACCGAAGAAGAGATTACGCGGTGCTACCATATTACAACCTTCACGACTGACAACTCCCGGAACTGCTCCTCCTCCAGTTCCTCTCAGCACGAGCCGAAGCAACACCATGACAAGCATGAGTGCCGTGACACCACGTTCTGGCGAGTCGTTCTCATCAGCCTCTGGTATCCCGCGGTCAGTTGTACTGCAGCAGCCGCCCGAGGAAAGCGAAGAGCAACGTCAGTTCGAGTCGATCTTCTTGAAACTTCAGCATGCATGCGAACTTGCTGCGCAGACTCTCCCAAGTTGCAGGGTCGACTTTTACAGCCGGAACGAGTCAGCCAAACGATCAATGCAGGGATCAATGTCACGTCTCTGGTCGATGGCTCTCCAAAAATGTGATGTTGCAATCAATGCTTTGGAGTCGATGAGAAATCGCCTGTCTAAGGTTAAACTCAAGGACCCTAATCTGCGTACTCAGCGAGACTTCTGGCTGTTGTGCGACAAGTTCGTGCGGGTAAGTTGTTCTAACTAGTCTTATGACTTGATGGCTGCAGTGACTGACAAAAAAAAACAGACATGGTTGGATCTCGCTCTTGAGATTAGAAACATTGGAAACCAAGGCTACGATACGGATTCTGTCAAGGTAGTCATGCGACCAGTGCAAAAGGCAGTCAAGGAGGTCAGTATCGCTGTCAACGGATCGCAGCTATACCAGGCAGCACTTCGATCGAATTCGGTGTCCGGATACGTGACACCGGTGCCTGCGACCCCTTTGAGCGCAGCACTTGGACCAGCAGCACTTGCGACAGTCCCTTCGACGCCAAGCTCTGTGGTCGTCCCATCAGAGTATATTGCTTCGGGTCTGCAGAGTGCAGCTGAGAGGCAGTCAGATGCTCCTAGTCTGCGCAGCTATCCTCGAGGACGAGGAGTATAACGATTCAGCAAGGAAATGTACATGAAAGCGCAAAAGATGCAGCAAATGGGCGAATGATACCATGGAAGAACGGAATAGAGGTGCATATCAAGGCGAATATGGCGAAGGCGGGCATACACTCTTTTAACTTTGTTGTTTGAGATATACTGGAAGAGGAGCATTGCATGGTTGAGATCAAGGGGAGGTAAAAGGCGGGATCTCGAGACATGCGCATTCAGAGCTCTTTGCACCCAGACAAGTAGAGCAAGACAGACAGACGAACAGATACATGACTTTCACGGTAAACCAGATCACTTGTTTGCGCAAACATTGCACCCATGACTTCGTGGAGATTTTTTGCTTGAGCCGGTCCATTTTTGAATGGCGAACCTTCGGACTATAGAAAAGGCGAGCAGAAAAAAGCCGCGCGGGCGAACCGACGAGAAGCAGCAGAGAAGTGCATATTCCTCCGGAGCCGTAAACTGTTCCCAATAGCCTGAGCGATTCCACCACGCTTGAAGATACACCAGAACTGGAGAGGATTTTTTGGAAGGTGAGCGAATAGAGGGGACGAGACGCTTAGTCGAAGAGACCGAAGCCCATGTCGTCGTCGGACTCCTCCTTCTCCTCAGCCTTCTCCTCGGCGGGGGCGGCCTCGTCGGCGGCACCACCGGCGGCAGCACCACCAGCAGCGGGGGCGGCGGCGGCACCAGAGCCAGAGCCGACGTTCAGGAGGAGCTCCTTAACATCCTTGCCCTCAAGAGCCNNTGTAGACACGCGACTTGTCAGACAAAAGTTCTTTTTTGCGTTGTTGCGGGTTGCTTCTTCAGCGCAATGTGGGCGCTTGATTGCAAGATTTCGAGGGCAGTGGGATCGTACCTTGGCGAAGAGCTGAGTCCAGATGGGCTCAACCTCGATCTTGGCGGCAGAGATGAGGGTCTGGAGCTTGTCGGCCNNTGTATACCAATGTCAGCACAGAGTCGCGAAATTGTCGGTGTTCTTGTGGGAGCGGTCGCATACGGTGATCTCAATACCGTCATCGGCCAGGATGAGGGCAGCGTAGGAGGAAGCGAGCTCGGCGGTGGACATTTTGTTGATAGGTAAAGAGATGCCTTTCTGTTTTCTAAAAGGGTAACAGACGGACTTCTTCTCGTTGCGGTTGACGGGTTCAGACAAGGTCGGCCACGGCGGGAGAAAAGTGTGCGATGGAATTTGGCGAGTGGGCGCACGGGCCACTGGCACTCTTGGCGGTGTCTTCTTGGAGTGCTGTCAGGTGACCTTGACTTCTTGCACAAAGCGGATACCGCTTACACATCTTTGTGCCAACGGAATCGGAGCTCTCGCTGCCCGCTACCAATACGTCAGCGCAGTCACCAAAGCGTCTACCGCCTCGCATTCGACATTACCAGATCCACACACTCGCATACCACGTATTGACGCCGTATCCTCCCCGACACACCGTCAACTCAGATTCAGAATACAGCATGACCGACTCGCCATTTGTGCGCTCTCCGCTCGACCCTAAGGAACAACCCATCCTCGACCGCCTGCTTGGCCTGCGTGACCAGCTCTCGGTGCTTAAGAGCGACCGCTCATCATACATTCGCACTCAGGATGTCCTGGACCTGTACAAGAGGTTAATCGGAGAGGTCGAGAAGCTCAACACTCTGCGTACGGACAAGCGTAGTGAACAAAACAGAGTCGACACGGTGCTCGACGACTGCTTCCAGCTGGTCTCCCTATTCTTCCTTACTATCGGTCGCAACCAGGAAGCTCCCGCCGTCTATTCTGCTGTTTCTACGGTCAAAGTGAGTGACCCCATGTCTGGATCCGGACCTTTCCTGTACTTACCTTGTTTGCACAGCNGCCTCCTAGACCACCTCAAAGAAGCCGGTTTCTACCTACCCCAAGACCTCGAATCCATCGAACACAACCTCCGAAAATGGCGCTCATCTGTTGAGCGCGGCAAGGATGTCCACAGTGACTCTTTGATGACACTACTCGAAGCACGCATCGACGTATGCTACCAGACCCTCAAAGAGCTACAGGCTTCGCTATCTCGACTCGAGCCCGAACTCATGGGCTACTACGAAAAGCTCGTCTCAATCTTGCGATCGCTCTCGGCCTGTAACACACGATCAAAATTCCCGGTAAAGGAGGTTCAGGAACTAGAGGACCAGCTCAAGCAGATCCAGGCAGAGTTGAAGGACGCTGGTGTCTCACACGAGGGCAGGACGGCCGAAGAAGCATACGCCGAACGCTTGCAACAAGTTCACATTGATGAGAACCATATCGAGGAAGGCAGCAAGGTCGTCTCCTTCCTGCTGGGCCGTTGTCTACTCTGGGTTGAGATCATCCAGCAGAAGTAAGCCCAATCAAGATACTCGACAAATCGAATGTTTCACTAACATTAGCACAGACAAGGCAAGATCGACGAACGCTTCCGCGATACCTACGACAAACTCGTAAAGCTGCGCAACACTCTCGACAACATGAACCTTACCCAGGCCTGGTCCTTGCGCGAGACAGACTTGTACAGCTACCAACGACAGCTCGACCGCATCGACGAGTCGCGCGTTGATGGCAACTTCCTCGACGCCGAAGGCAAGCCTGCCGACCTACATTCGCAAAGGGTAACATCATCTTCCTTCATCGTTGTTATCCCTTGACTGACACTGATTCTTCAGACACTGCTCTACCTCCTTCGCAAGAGCTACTCATACATCTACCACTACATCATCTCGTCAGAGCCTGTCTCAGAAGCCCTGTTGCCCATCTACAACCAACTTCTTACCCTCAAACGCTGTCTGCTTGAAGTCAAGCGCTCAGGTGGTGTCGACTCTCCTCGCGAGCTGTACCCATACAGCATGAAGGTTTGTTTATCACACCATTGTATCTTGTTACATATCCATGCTTACCACGATGCAGNNCTTAATTCAATCGACAACATGAAAAAAGACGGCAAATTCATGGTCGGCGACGACATCCCCGAAGGTCAAGGAAGTGTTACATCGTTACTCGCCGAATGTTTTGACATCGCCTACGACCTCAGGAACGAGGCTGAAGAGCGTCAAGACGAGGCCGAGCTGGCCGACAGCACCGAAACCAAGGAGTAAAAATTTGTGCGACCGTCTTCTTCGTGTACAACATCAATTGTGGGTGGTAGTGGAGGCCGATGCAGAGATGCATCGTCTCGCACTGTTTGTTTTCTTGCAAGGCGTCAGGGGCTTGGGAGTCTGGGTCTTTGTCACTTTACTTGGGAGAACCATAACTCTAGGTGGACGGAAAGGATGAAATGATGGAATGATAGGAGGCATATCTTCGAAACACGAATACGAGAGAATCTTACAGCTTCGAAAACATGTTTCACGTTTTGCAACAAGTACTGACTGCGCCAAAGTCACCTTGAGATTGGACGAAGGTTGACTCAGAAAGAAGATGTTTTTTTTTACAGGGCATTATCTCGTGTCAGTCTTCAACAACGACACCACCGATGACGACCGTGTCTTCTCCAACGTTGAGACCATCATCCACCACCAAATCGCTTCCTCCGCGTACGTTCACTTCGCCGATTTCGACATTCCCGATCTGGAAGAAGACGTTTCGATGGCTGCTCTCGAGGAGCTATCGTTTGTCGAGGTCAGTCTACTGGTTTCTACTAACCTCGTTCCCATTCACATGCGCTGACTAGTAGTGTTGACACTGGACACGGCAACATTTTGATCTGTGTCTTCGAGGAAGGAAAGGCGAAGGAGAGGGGGAAAACGAGAACCCTCACCAATAGCTGGATCGTGCCTGAGATATAATTCAGCACTGTGTATATCATCAGTGTGTTATGTATTCAACCCGACGGGAGATTGATGAGTCATCTTCGACACTGCGAGGTTGCTGCCTAAAACACAGCAACAAAGTCTCCTTAACATCCTATCCCCCAATACATACCCAAGAAAACGATAACACTTGTGCTGTACATCACGCATCTAGCATTCAAATGGCGCAGCTACACCGGACTATCCGTGGCCACGCTGTAGCGGCTCCACCCTATCGTGGATCAGATACCCTTCCCCTAGCCCCTATACGCATAGGTGCCGGCCACTGCGGCAGTGTATGGACAACCACAGACGCAACCTGGGTTTTCAAAAAAGCAGATGGCTCTCCACACCGCTACCTCTGGAAAGAATACTACCTCCAAAATCGCATCCTGAATCACTGCACAAAACTGCCTAGAGCTTTGATACCACACTCTTTCTGGTATACATTGTCAGAAGGATGTTGGGTCATGTGCTCAGAGCGTATACCGCCCCTTTCTGCCGAATTCAGGGATATGCTGGTGGATAGGTTTTGTCCTGAAGAAGCCAGACAAGGGGTTAAGGAGAAAGATACTGTCTGTATTGCTATGTTGTATCTAGNNGGGAGGCGACGAGGTTCAGGAAACCCGTCCAGGTTCTTTTCGCTTAACAACTATGTTCTCCTCTTGGATTCGATGGAGCAACTTGGACTACCAATCTACGAATACGCAGAAGCTATCGCGGACACACTTGCAACATTACACTGGGATGCAGAAGTCGATGCGAATGATGTCGAGTTTGTACTTGGTTCACGCCGGCAATTGGAAATCTCATCCATGCGACAAATGTCCTCATCTGATATTGCGTTTATGCTATACAACTATCCAACGCGTCGTACAGACGATGCAGCAAGACTGGAACCTAGCACGAAACTTCATGCATCCGCACCTCAAGACCTACAAGTCTGGGTGCTCGATTTTGATTGCTGCGATGCCATTACGATGGATATTGAGGGTGTTGAAAAGGCAGCACTGTCGGCGCATATAAACGACCCATATCACCCAAAGCCTTGCACAGCTGGTTCCAAGGACTTTGAGCTATGGGAAACCTTCAGAAAGAGGTACGTCGCTACCGGTGTCGACATCATCAATAGGAAGGGGCTAGACGAGAAGTTACCTGAACTATTCATCGAGAGGTTAGTCGGTTTACAAGAGGAGCCACGGTCTGAACATCGACAATTCGAGAGGGGTCCTTACTGCGCTCGCCATAGTAACGAGACTTGTTGATGGCTTCTCCGACATCAAGATATGGTCTCCCCGCTTGTGGCAGTCTTTCGTAATGTAGCTGTAGAAATGCACGATAGGTTACAGCATGGAGTTCTGTCCACGGAGAGACGATAATCACAGGGGGTTTCGATGGCTCTTTCCCCAACTAGAATAACACTGTGCGTTTGAATAGTATATTATATCGGTTGCATTGCTACGGGAGAGGGTGTTTACGCTTCCGTGTACATGCACATAAAGTCGCTCGGTGGTGCCTTTCATTCTAAGACTACCTGTTCTTGCCTTTACTCGATCAGTCGAGCCATCTATCATCCCATCGCTCCTTCTCTCTCGGAGACAAACCATACTTCAACCCTCTCTCCCTTTCCCCTCTACACCTCAATCCCGCCCAAAACCCCCGTCCCATCTCCCTCATCCTCCTCTTCCCCCACATCCGCATCTTTGAACCACAACCTACTGCCATAAGAAATACACAACTCTTCTCCTTGTTCTACATCTCTTAATGTCTTGTACACAATAACCTTTTGTCGNATATCCCTTTCCCAACCCACGTTTTGGTGTAGAGAGGAGTGGTTGAACATGCTGCCCAAGCCGAGGATCACGGCTTGGGTGGTTAGTGGTTTTTGAGTTGTGGGGTCTGTGATGGGCCAGTTGNNCTGTAAAAATATTAGTTGATCGTGATGTTGTTGCAAGGGATGGGGAGGGGAATAATGGAGGACGGCAAAGGGGAGATAGGAAAGTGCTTACTATGTGTAGTGAAACAATTCTGTCTTCTCAATGTGCTCTTTGTTTTCTGTTGGATCGAGGACTAGTACTGGACAGGTTTCTAGTACGGTGTGTGCTGGTATGTGTGCTGCTGCGAAGACGCCTCTGCCTGATTGTGATCACAAGTCAGTTTCATGGTTATGCATATTAGGATAGAGCAGAAGAAAGCGTATGAAATATGGTAGCTGAGAATGTGTGAATAGACGAAACCAATGTCAAGCCAACTGAAGGTTTGAACATACAAAGAGCGAGAAGTAAGATATCAAAACATGCATACAAACAACCAGTCGATTGAGGCTCAAACAACCCGGATAGAGCTCCGCCATATAGACTTTTATACAGCGTGCAGTCACAAAAGCATCTCCTGCTCTTTCATGTCTTCTGAAATATAATGGAAAAGAACATAGCAGAGAAAGATTAAATCAAAACATACCTTTCGGCGTATCCAACACCAACTTGATATCACAATGCCGCGTCAACGGAACTGCCTCCTTGGGCAGCCTTTCAAATTTCTCCAAGCCCATGGCCACAAGTCTCTTTTGGGTACTGTAAATAAGTCAAGAAGATTGTGTAAGTGTTGTTGTACGTCAGAAGTGTATTTACAATAAGAAGATCTCAAAGGGAAAGCGGGCGCTTTCCTCAGCCCAAGACAAAAAATGAGAAAAATTATGATGTGAATTTTGTGTCTGCACGGGCCAGGGTCGCCTGTATAGCCATGGGTTCAAACTACATTCTGTCGCTCAATTTTCATGGCTGCTGTTTGTGTACTATTCAACATGATCAATAAATCATTCGAGAGGGAGAAATGACCTTCTTGATGACTGGACATCCCTATCGAAGTTGGAGTGGTAGATGCAAGCCTTGGTCTTAAGCTGATACTGACCCGATGACTATTCTTTGAAGAAAGCAACTGCTCGAGGTCATCAAACATTATGTAGTCCTACGAAAGTGAAACTATACACAGTAGTGATGCACACAAAAGAATCATTAGATCAGTTTTGGAGTAGAGATTGATCGTTCATATACTTTTTGTTACAACAAGAGTCAAGAAGGTACCACATACCTAGATGACCTCTCTTTCGTGAACATCCTCACTGGAGGAAGAGATGCAAAGAAGAATGATGATGTGATAAGAAAAAACAAGAAGGCGCTCAAATAAACAGAATCTAAAAGTACAAACATGACATAAGGCCGTAACGAAAGCCTCGAGACATCCCACCACGTCAAACTCCAAGTTTTTGATGAATCCCACGTGCCTTCCCTTTTCTCGAGAGCAATTTTACACAAAAGTACAGCGATGATAAGACAAGGCGCGAGACTCGTCCGGAGAAGAGACGTCGCGAAGAGAACTAGTCGTGTAGATGGCGGACCAGGTGGGTGAGAGAGGAAATATGTATACAGAGAAGTCGGGGGTATCAGTAGGTCGAAGCAACTACTTCGGATCCAAGGTTGCGTGAAGAGAGGAAAGAGAGACCAAAAACCTCAGATTTAAGGCTTCTGCTCACCCTCACCACCCTGCTTCTGCTCACCCTCGCCAGACTCCTGCTTCTGCTCGGAGCGGGCGCGGTGCATCTTGTCGAAGAGAGTAAGGGAAGCGGACTGGAGCTCGTCGGTCTTGGCCTTGAGGTCCTCAGCAGTGGCGGTACCCTCACCGGTCTGGTTCTGGGCAACGAACTCGCGGAGGCTGGCGATCTTCTCCTTGATCTGGTCAGCCTCGGCCTTGTCGAGGCGGTCCTCGAACTCCTTGAGGGCCTTCTCAGTGTCGTTAAGAACACTGTCGGCCTTGTTGGCGGCCTCAATGGCAGCCTTGCGCTCCTTGTCGGCGGCACCGTACTTCTCGGCGTCGTTGACCATAGACTCGATCTCAGAGTCGCTCAAACCAGAGCCGGAAGCAATGGTGATGGACTGGTCCTTGCCGGTAGACTTGTCGGAAGCGTGAACGTGGACAATCGAATCGGCGTCAATGTCGAAGGTGACCTCGATCTGGGGAACACCACGGTGGGCAGGAGGGATACCAACAAGCTGGAAGTTTCCGAGGAGCTTGTTGTCACGGACGAGCTCACGCTCACCCTGGTAGACCTTGATCTCGACGGCGGACTGGAAGTCGGCAGCGGTGGAGAAGACCTGAGACTTCTTGGTGGGGATGGTGGTGTTGCGGTTGATCAGACGGGTGAAGACACCACCAAGGGTCTCAATACCGAGGGAAAGAGGAGTGACATCGAGAAGGAGGACGTCAGTAACCTCACCAGAGAGGACGGCACCCTGGATGGCGGCACCAATGGCGACAGCCTCATCGGGGTTGACAGACTTGGCGGGGTCACGGCCGAAGATGCTCTTGACCGAGGTGGTAACCTTGGGCATACGGGTCATACCACCGACGAGAATGACCTCCTGGATGTCCTTGGCCTGCATGTTGGCGTCCTTAAGAGCCTTGCGGACGGGCTCAACAGTGCGGTCAATCAGGGGACCGACAAGCTTCTCAAGCTCGGCACGAGTCATCTTGCTGTTAATGTGCTTGGGGCCAGAGGCATCGGCAGTGATGAAGGGAAGGTTGATGTCGGTCTGGGGAGCAGACGAAAGCTCGATCTTGGCCTTCTCGGCGGCCTCACGGATACGCTGGATGGCCATGCGGTCGCTGGAAAGGTCGATGCCCTGCTCGTTCTTGAACTGCTGGACAAGGTGGCGGACGAGGGTGATATCGAAGTCCTCACCACCAAGGTGGGTGTCACCGTTGGTCGACTTGACCTCGAAGACACCGCTCTGGATCTCGAGGATGGAGACATCGAAAGTACCACCACCAAGATCGTAGACAGCGATAACACGGTCGCTCTCCTTCTCAAGACCGTAGGCGAGGGCAGCAGCAGTAGGCTCGTTGACGACACGGAGGACGTTAAGACCAGAGATCTGACCGGCATCCTTGGTGGCCTGTCTCTGCTGGTCGTTGAAGTAAGCGGGGACGGTAACGACGGCGTTCTTGCAGGTCTTGCCAAGGAAAGACTCAGCAGTCTCCTTCATCTTTCCGAGGACGAAACCACCAATTTGCGAGGGCGAGTACTTCTGGCCCTGGGCCTCGAGCCAGGCATCGCCGTTGGTGTGCTGGACAATCTTGTAGGGGACCTGGTTCAAGTCACGCTGGACCTCAGCATCCTTGAACTTGCGACCGATCAAACGCTTGGTGGCGAAGAGAGTGTTCTCGGGGTTGACGACGGCCTGACGCTTGGCGGCGATACCGACAAGGCGCTCACCCTCCTTGGTGAAACCAACAACTGAAGGAGTGGTTCTGGCACCCTCGCTGTTCTCAATGATTCTGGGAGCGGCGCCCTCCATGACGGCGACGGCCGAGTTGGTGGTACCAAGATCGATACCAATGACCTGGCCCTTAACCTTCTCCTCACCACCATCGGCGTATCCCCTTCTGAATGAAGAGGCGATGGGGGATCTGAAGGCCGACGAGCGGACTGAAGGGGTGGCGCGAAGCTGCAGAGACATCAGTAAAGAGCTCTGTGGGCTGTAAGAGCTGTCGCATGTGCACTTACGCCTCTGGCAAGTCTTTGTGACAGCATTGTTGTGTGTGATTAGAGCAGAAAACCAGAACGCGACAAGAGAAAATGGGGTATCCTGAGCAACAAACGAAACTTGCTACAGGTGGGTATGGAGATGGGAATGGCGAGGTTAATAACTGATGGAGCAGCAAGAGGAAGTCATGGCGTCGTTGCTCGAGGAATTTTGTCCTTAGCGTCGAATCCCCGGTCCCGGCACTCTCCGCCACGCCCATCGAACATGCTGGAATCCTGTCCGACATCGTGCGCCACGACCGACTCCCCAGTGATTCACTGTGACTGTGCTTGCTCCGACACATGCCCGTTCGCCTCTGCCAGTGCTTCTCGCTCGCCTCGCGCTCGAGTCATATCGCGAGCCTCCCTTCACTGGTCTGAGACCCTGACTGCACCTGTCGCCTCGAGTGAGCTTCCAACAGACAGCTTGCTTTGCCTCGGCTCTGGACGTTTCAGTAGGTCCTTGCTCAGGTCGACCGGATAAATCTCAAATAACTACCATCTGGCACTGTCACATGCACATTGCAGAGAACTGAAATCCTCTGGATGTTCATTATGTACACGAAATTGATAGTAGAAAAGGTAAGAGAGAAAGCATGCCATCAAATGTAGCATCCCATACGCCAGCAATGCCAGGTATTCCCCAATGCTATCCACGCTCCGTTGCGCCATGTGCCTGTTCCATTCTTGATGCGCCGTAAATTCACAACCTGTTCATGTCTTTTCGTTATTTCATTTCCACTGCTGGGAACATCATTCTCAGCTTGACCTGCAAGTCGATCTCGAAGATGCCCTCCTCACATGCCGCCCACAACTTGCGTCCATCATGGCTGATAGCTAGGCCTGCTGTTCTGACTCCTATGGTAGCTTCGCGTCCAGCTCTGCGCATCAGCATCTCATAACCATCATGGAACGCCGTAGGTCGTGCTGATGTGTAGCCTCGTAGAGAGGTAAGCGTATCGTACAAGCTCTGCGCTGTATCTGTTCCACGCTCAAACTCCTGTCGCAGTCCACGAAGCCGCTCACGCTGAGCAGTCATTCGGCGAAGCTGCTCCGTACGCACCATAGCCTCCCGTTCACGAGACTGTCGCGTACTAGCGTCTATTGATCGAGGTGATTCGAAGAGAGGTCCCCGTGCCAAAGTCATTGCGTTAGATATCGTGCGCCATGGGTTGTCTTCCTCTGTTTCAGCCCTGGTGGTCGTCGTTGCCCGTGTTGCATGTGGTGGTATGGTCGTGGCAGTGCTCGTTAGTGTAGGGATTCCTCCTGCTCCAGAACGTCGGATGCCAGTGTCACGATTCGTGTTCGATGCCGATAAAGCTTCACGCTCCCTATCGCGAAGCAGCAAATACTCTTGTATCGAGTGGAGAGGTGGCAGTGTGTTGTCACTTGTATTCCGTTCTCTTTCACGAGACTCTGTCGCATCTCGTTGCGATGTCCGAGATAATTCCGGAAAAGCTGCGTAAGGGTCATTATGGTTGACCAAGACGTCGCTGAATGGGCGAGGNGTCTCGGTGGATCGCGCAGTCACCGAGGCGCGACTATTGGTATGGCCGCTGAAGAGACCAGCGCTGGTATAATTGATCGAACGAGGAGTACTTCCCTGAGTACGCGCTTCTTCGCGCTGTCTAGTTGTGCGAAGTGCTTCAAGAATTTGTTGTTCGTGTGCTGTCAGACCTCGGGGATCGTCTCCTGATGCAGATGCTGTGTCGCGTAAAGTTGGGAACATAGCACGGGCGCGTTCAATATTGTGATGGCGTTCACGCTCTCGAGCTTGTAGGAATTCTGTAGCGAAGGTGCCCTGCTCGGCAGGATCTTGAGTTTCCCGATAGCGGTCCAGAATCTCTTGCTGTAAGTCATCCAGACGATCCCCTTCAGCCAAATACTCTGCTGCAATGTCTTCGAGTTCGATTTTCTTCAGGCCTTCTTCATCCGGTTTCAGTTCTATCACCTGTTTGGTCTTGAGTCCAGTGCGCAGATCGCCGATGCATATGCGACCTTGGTCCTCAGCCCAAATCAATAAATCCCAGGGTTCAGGAGAAAAGAGCATGGTCCTGATAGCGCCAGGATGCAGAGCGGCGACGATGTTGGGTCTAGTTGATGGAACAGTGGCAACAATGGCGTCTTCTGCCTCGTCGGAAGCACATTGTGCAAAGGCGGCCATATCAAACAGAGTGATGTAACCACCTTCGGAACCCAGAGCTGCCAAGCTGCCGTTCGGGGACCAGGCAGTGGTAAAGTAGCCCGGTTGTGCAGTAGGATCACCAGCACGAAGGTGGACAATGTTTGCTAGATCCCAGGTGACATTGCTTGTGTTCAGGCGATTGTGAGGCTTTGGGATCTGTGGNGGAGGCTGAGATAGCGTGCGTGTGTAGAAGAAGGCTTGGTTGGAATCGCCGACAGCAACAAGAGTGGTGCCATCAGGAGATATGGATGCGTGGTTCATGGGGAAGGGCAGATCCAGACACGCAGTTTCCAGGGCTTGGGTAAGCGAGTAGACGCGGACAGTCTTGTCATTGTTGGTCAAGACGGCGACGACATCGTAAAGGTGGTTTTCTTCATCGTGGATTTGGTGGATGGAGATGGAGTTGACAATCTCTTCGCCTATATGTTCGAGCTTGACGTTGGCGGCTCTCGGAGTGCCCCCTTGCGATTGCCAGTAGTCTAGCGGCAGTGGAGCGTCTACGTCTGCAGGGCGAACTGGCGACGAGCCCTCTAGCTTGATTGCGGCAAAGTACCCATCCTCTTCACCTCCGACACAGATCCAGCCAAAGCCAGAGGCGGTACACCGGGCGACAAATGGTAGTGTGGCGAGGTATTTGCGTTTCCGCGAATGCGTGTCGAGATAGTAGACTTCGTTGACGCTGGCGTAGTAGATGGCGGCGTCCTTGTCGGGTGATGAGATGTAGTGTCGCAATTGCCAGTGTCTAGCGCATCGACATCAGTCCAGCTCTTGTATGTCTGTCTCTCTGAACTCACGAGACGGGGATCTTGACTGGGTAAAAGGTCTTGTCGGGATATGCCAAGCGATCGGTATCAGGATATCTACATTCTGGTTAGCACGGAGCAGCTTGAGTAGTTTAACGTCAATGTTTGGGCATGGTGGCGTGGCACTCACGGTATGCTGTCGATGGCCATGCTGTTGCTATGTCGGCTTCAGGGAGAGAGGCGAATTTTTAGGAATCAAAGGTAGAGCAGGCACCATGCGACTTGATCTGTTCCGGGCCCTGCGGTCATGACAATGGAAAGACGACTCTCACTCTTGCGGGGGAAATGACGCACCCTCGCTTGTCTTTGACAACACCAGCACCCAGAACTCACACTTTCACTTCCGCATGACCCGTCTGCCACTGCACAAGACGTGTTCAAAGAACACCTTAGTACCTACGTTGAAACGGACTTTGTGATGCGCTCTGTACTTGCTAACCCAGTCACCTCAGACCACATCTCAGTCACAAACAACCTCCCAAGTTTGAACATGCAACCATCAATCAGAAAACACGACAGTTCTGCGTCGTCAATCGAGAGAGGCAGGTTTAATCTTCATCTTCAGTCACTCCACAGGTAAGAAGGCCAATTCGTCTTGATAAAAAGTACGCTCAACTGTTTCCAGGAGCTGTGTCAATTTCGTGAATCCATGCTACCTGCTACTAACGCCCGTTGCCTAATATCGGGTAACATGCTAAACCAGTGCTAATCCTCCCATGTCCCAAATCCTGAACACCAATGCCAAATTTCAATGCTGCGTGTCTCGTGGTTGTCGTCGCATCACCCCATGTCTGGGTCCCAACGATCAAAGCCGTTGCAGTCCCCTACGACTACGGGTGGCCCGCTGCTCAGGTAGTCAAGCTTGTACCTTCTTGACGACTTCCTCAACTGCTGAGAAGAGAGAATGTTCGCGCTCAAGACCAGTGATCTTCTCAGTAGCATCACTTGAAGAGTTCTCCTTGAGGATCTTGGCCAACTCGAATGACTCATCGTCACCCTCGACGTTCTGGAAGCGAAGACACATTTCAATGCCACCGAGAAGAGCATCGTACTTGGCTCCCATATCAGCAAGATGGGCAGCAGGTCCAATGAAACGCTCGTTGCGTGACAGCTTGCGGAGAGGAGCACGACCAACACGCTCGACATTGTCCTTGAGGACGGGGTTTGAGATGCGCTTGATGATCTTCTCGACGTACTCGTTCTGGTCCTCCTCGGTAATCTCGTGCTTGTTGACAATCAGGTGAGCAGTCTCCTTGAGGGTGTTTCGTACGATTTCGTGCAGCTCCTTGTCTTGCAGGACATCGTGGATGCATTCCTTGCCGCGGTTGTAGCCGTAGTAAGCAGCAGTGGCGTGGCCAGTGTTGACAGTGAAGAGCTTACGCTCAATGAAGGGGGTGAGGTCCTCAACGAAGTGGACACCCTCGATCTTAGGTGGTTGAGAGGGAAGGAAAGGCTTGCTCTCGACACACCACTCGTAAAACTTCTCAATCTTGACGTTCAAGCCAGCGTTCTCGTCCTGCATCGGGACAATGCGGTCAATGGCGCTGTTGGCAAAGCGAGCCTTGTCCTGAATGTTGGACTTGGTCGAGTCTGAAAGCTTCTCCTCGATGAACTTGCGAAGGGTGTCTGTGGCTCCAATGGCATTCTCGCAGGCAATGACAGCGACAGGTGAGTCCTTCTTGCGGTTCTCGATACCCTTGGCGATGACGGGAGCAATGAACTTGAGAATGTTGGGACCGACGGCACAAGTGACAATGTCGGCAGTGGCAATCTCCTCGACGACCTTGTCCTCATCGGTCTTGCTGTTGATCGCACGGTAGTTGTCGATTGTCTTTGACTTGGTGTCTGATGTGCCGACTTCTGTTACAGTGTATGACTTGTTTTGTTGCAGGGAGTTGATAATGGCGTCCATAACATCGACGAAGACGACTTCATATCCGGATTTGTGCAGGAACTCGGCAACGAAGCCTNNATCGAAGACATCAGCGCTGGTTTGTCAACCGAGACTCGAGCTTTACTTACCACGACCGATATTACCACCACCAAAGTGAATTGCCTTCATGTCGGACATTTTGTTTGCTGATATCGGAGAAAAGAGGAAGCTAGAGCTGAATGTTAGCTGTGTTCGTGATTCTGATGTCTATTTTCTAGGGGCTCGAGGACAAAGGATCGAAATAAAGCCATGACACAGCTCATGATGACGATAACAATGACCCTCGAGCGCATCAGAGACAGATGTTATCTACTGACCTTTGTATATAGTCCGGTAGCTGATGATATGCTTTTGTCCTACAGCAGATGGTCAGCAATGAGGTGGGGTATAGCGGAGCGAGGGGGCAGATAGCACGAACCTAACCAATGGTTGGCTCAAGGCGATGAACAGTAGTACTAAAGGGGAGAACGAGAAAGTTCTTGGAGTATAGAAGAAGGTATGAGATGAGAATGACAAAACAAGAGGTCGAGGGATACCAAGTCTATTTAACACGCTCGGGGTTGGTTGCAACTGGTTAATGCCTCGTTGACTCCCCTAACACACACAGCGCGCCAACTCGCACCATCCCAAACCTACTCTCCCCGCACCCATATGACGACGTTTCGCTGCCCGCACGTCACTCCTCCCTGTTTGGCTGGCTGACGTTTTTGAGGCTTTGAGGCTGGCAAGCACGGCCCCGAGGGCGCTTGTCACTTTGTTTGCAACGTGTAACCATCGAGTCTCTATCGACGTTAAGATTCTCGGAGCCAGCCAGCGGGCGCTCGCGGGAAATCAGATGCTAACCAGATCGAGCGCTTGTCACGCCTATGGGCTTGCTGTGCCGATCGTGAGTGACCACCGCATCTTGTGCGGCATGTGGTTGCGGTAAGATCTGGTACTTCTATCTTACACTTGCACGGCATACGATAATGGAGACATGCAAAAAAACGAATGTGTGTTCTGTTATTACGTATTATTACTTTACTACTGCAAGAAAAGAAAGCGATTGAGCCGTGTTATCAAGGGCTTCCGTGGCTTGGGTATCGTCGTTGTGTCGTTGTCCATCCTCCGATTCCCGATTGTCTGTCCCTATTATCCGTAGACCCGAGGCCCGCCCTGACACCTGAGCCCTGAATCTGACGCAACAATACGCGAATCGACAGGGGAGCGGCCTCTTTCCCCAACAAGAATAAACGGCATGTCTGTAACCTGTAGTGAGAAAAAATATCCCGCGGCCGAAACTGCTAGAACTAGCGAATGATTGCGATCATCTGCTTAAGCATGAATGGCCTGCTGAACTTGAGGATATGTGGACACCAGCTTGGCGTACAGGTCCGGGTGTTCTGTGATCATTACTTGCGGGTCGAAAGCTGCAGCAACGAATATAGTGTCGATACCACTGCTTAGCGGGGTGGTGAAGATGTTGGCGATTTGCAGACCAATCAAGAACGCGAAAGCAACAACGACGGGTGTGTACTCGCCGTTGCTGTTGTACGCAGGCGAGGTGAAGATCAGGTAAAGGTAGGCCAAAAGAGCACACAGGTAAGCGATGGCCGTAGCGCCCTGGGTCAAGACGGGGCCAATCAGGCATTCGTTGACTAACGCATCGATACCTCTGTCTTTGATTAAANNCTAGTTGTTGTTCTTGTCAGCCGAGCCTCTTCGTTCGTATAGATGAGGTACTTACGTCCAAGTGTCCTTGGCGGCAGGAATATAGCCTTTGCCGTAGAGCGCGATATAGCTGAAAGCGTATCTCNNTGTCCTTTCGTGAGCGGTTTGGAAATTTCGAAATATTGCGTCTCGGTTGATTTTTCCACTTACGTTGATGAACTGGACAGCCCAGTCCAAGATTCCAATAAGACACTGAAGAACGCAAAGTGCGATGTCGGCAGCGATGTTTCCAGAATTTGCTTCCTGCTGTCTTGCGATGCTGCATGCTTGTCTGAGCATGTTGATGATTGCAACAACCAAGCTTCCGAGACTGATACTTCCGAAACTGTAGGTCAAAGAGCGGCGAGCGGCTCCTCGGGTAATGTTCTTGGGAGGGTTGTGCGAACAGAAGTACCATGAGCCGTAAACTCCAGAGATGATAACATGAATCATGTTCTTGAGGAATTCGGAGATCCAATACATCGCAAACGTGATGAAGACAAGCAGACCAATGACTTTGGCGCTTGAACAGCCACCAGCGCCGGTTGAACAGGCTGGATTTGCGCCTGGTTCGTATTTTACATACACGGCGACGAAAGTGACCGAGAACCAAGCACCGAGTGCAGTTGCGAGAATACCGCCAACAAGCGAAACGATATAGACATGCCCAAACTTCTTGGAAACGTCAATGCTANNACAGATCGTTAGTATCTCAAACGCGCCCTCGATGCTATCAAGAGAAAAAACATACCTTGTTTGTAGCATGACTACACTGAAAGGAATTCTCGGGATCCATGAAATGAAACAGACCACGGTGAAGATACTGAAGATCAANAAGACGATTCCGCCTGACCAATATCTTCTTGACAGCATGTAGATGGCGGTTGCAAAACCAGCAATGATGTGAATGATACCAGTAATCCAGATGAATTGCNNTGCTACATGTCAGTATGCAGGCTCAACCACCATGGTGAGTTTTCAAGGTTGTACCTTTGTAAATGCGCGTGCCAACCAGACATAGACATAACTAAGTACCATAGCCATGGCAAGACAGAAGGCGAAGAGGACGATAGTGTTGGTGTCAAGGCCGAAGTCATTGTTGCTGCCGTAGATACCACCGCCATTGAATCCCTTGGTTGCAGCTNNACAAGTAAATTATCAGTGCTGGGTTCATGGAAGTTTTGACAGCTGATCCAGAGTCCAGGATCTGCATGCGCGAAAAATTCACATACCATAGCCCTGAAGAGCGATACCAGAGACAGCGACATATCCAGCAAAGACAGCGAGGAAAAGAAGACCAGCCCACCAGTCATTCCACTTGGGCTTGTCAATCTTGAAGGCCTGCTCAAAGGTAGGCTTGTTGTCGTAGCCATTCATGTCAGGGCGAGGGTTGAAGTTCTGGCCGTAATTAGGAGGAGGCTGTGAGTAGCCCTGGCCATTCTGGTAGGGCTGTTGATAGTTTTGTTGCTGATATTGGCCATTCTGATTGTAAGCCTGCTGGGGTTGCATAGGATAGTCCTTTTGGCGATCGCCATCCTGCATCTGGTAGTAGCTGTTTGCTTCACCGCCGACCATGGTGATAGCAGGATTGTCTGAGTCGCGACAGAGGAATACGTCTGCGCAAAGCAAGGAATGCGACCGATGATGTTTTTGCGACGGTGAATGTTTTTGTATTCTTGCTAGCCTCCTTCACGGGTCAAAGCTTGGTTTAGTGACGTTCGTTGCAGCCACAAGAACACCAAAATCTCAACACGGCGGCAGGGATCGTCGCAGCAAGGAACGGCTCACAACTGCTGACTACTCAGTTGGCATGTATGATCGTACACACAGCTAAGAAAGCCGACGCCTCTGACTTGCCCTCGAACCCCGTTTGTCTATTGGCCTTGCTTAACTTTGCGACCTGATTTTTGGGCTTGAGTCTGGAAGCTCAGAGGCGCACCCCATCATATAAGAATAAGATTAGAGATTAGCTTATATTGGCGAGGGAGATCTTCATCACGCGAACCAACAACCCAACTCCTCTCGAATGGCGCACGAGCACGCCGAACTATAGGAGACAACATGCACGTATCGTAGAATTAGCCAATATATGTACAATAACAATTTGCTGCCTTTAGCCTTGCAGACAGGATATGTGGTTATGAGGATTAACCTTTCTGTCCCGCTATAGGCGGGAAAGCATGTTGACGTCTAGAGTATGGTTCTTGATTCACGTTAAAGCGCCATGAAGATAGCACGCGATAGTTGCGCAGACGGCATTATGTATTCCGCAGGTTAGGATGGCATTCTTGAAGCATATAGACATCTAAGCCCGGTTGAGGATGTACACATAGCCTTGATATCGTCAGAAGAAATAATGTACAGGGTCACACACTCAGCGAGATGACTTGAGGAGCGAGTCCATCTACCCTCCCCGTGTGCTAAAGGACGTAACTTCCACCGTACTCTTACTACAGCGGTGTGCAAGGTACACGCTATGAAAATGCACAATACTACTTAGAAACGAAGATTGGCCAAGGAGAGCCGCTAAGAGATCGCTTCTTAGTGGACACTATCCTATTGTCTAATAGTATTGTGCATTTTTATAGCCACATGCGTTACATACTTTTGCACAAGGAGAGGGCGTCAGTGCTCTAACTTATACCTACCAGACTACGAATTATGTGAACGAGGGGCGGTATGCTGGTAAGAGCGACGGTGATTGTTCCTAGAAGCCCCATGCTAAGACTCGAGAAAGCAGCTGCTCGGGGATCGGTAGTCAGCAGGAGTGCAGTCGCTACAGCAGACGAATTGGCACCCAAGGTGATACCACGCGTGATATAATCATCTACAAGCAAAGTCAGTCAGCCGCAGATACGGAACTAGGCAGATTAAGCCAGGAAAAGAGTACCTTTCGGAATTCTCAGCAGGTCCAGACCAATTGGGCCCACGATGACGCCCGCAATGCCACTGAAGATGCACAAAGGCGCAATGGTGAATGGGTCACCACCCAGGTTTTTGGTAGCTGGTGTCGCCAAAGCAAGTGTCAAGCTTCGAGATGCAAATGCAAGGCCACGTGGCGCAGAGATGCCAATGTGATAACAGAATGTCGGATATGCAAACAGCGATCCGATAGAGACTATCACGTTAGGAACAACGATGGTCATGAAACGAGCCTTGAGCTCGTTCCGGTATCGGTACATAGGTAGGCTCAAGGCTACGATACTGACATCGAGGACGCTGCCAAACATGTCTCCCNNTGCTCCCGGAGGCTTCAGTCCTTGGTCGTTGTCCCAGAGCTGCGTGTACTTCGTGTTCGTCGTGTACGCAAGCAACCCGTCTCTGAGGCTGTTATGTCGTATCAGCGCAAGGACCCAGATGCCGAGGATAGTAAAAGCCGAAGAGACTAAGACGGGGTGCAAATATGTCCTATACTTAGGTGGCAGGCGTAGAGCAGCGAAGTAGAAGACAACATTGAGAGAAAGCTGTACTGGCATGGCGTAGCCACTGCCGTAGTAGATTGGTACTCCCACGAAAAGGAACAAGGCTCCGTAGGTCAGCATATCGAAGTTTACACTGACAAAGGCAGCCCAGCGTTGAGGGCGGGTCAAGGGTGCAGCATCGTGACGAACAGAAGCGGCAGTAACTGAGGAGATCGTAGCGTTCGTGGCTACAGGTGGTCCACCAGTACCGATAACAGAGTCAGGATTCATGGCTTTGGAAGGAGCTTGGATATCAGCGACTTCATTCGGAGGAGAGGGTGTAGACGACTCGCTCAAGCCAGGCTGAGTCAATAATGATGGCACAGTAGGAACCTCGCTGACGGTCGAATCCTGTCTTAACTGTGTAAGTGGAATGTTGTCATCTTGTCGTCCGAGTTCTTCAGCTCTCTCTGTCATTGCACGCTTGGACGTGCCGAGAACTAGCTGGAGACCTCGGACCATATATGCTGTAAAAGCAAAGACTGCAACATAGCCGATGACTGTGGAAAGTTAGGTAAGCTCGTTGAACGAAGCTGAAGAGCACTGACTGAAGACAGCTATAATCTTCGCAACTTCGACGCCGCTAATAGAAGGACTTAGAGGCAAGGTCACGAACGCTGGACAGAAGAAGATGTTGATATATCGTAGAGCAAAACCACANCTAGGAACAATAAGTATTACGCATAGAATGTGTACTAAAAACAATAAACATACCGGAATCTCGATCAAATTGACGATCCGCTTGGTCTGGCGATCACCAAGTATACCTTGGAGCAAGACCAGTATGATGAATAGCCCAATCATGCATGCCACAGAAGCTGGAAACGATACAGAGCTCAGCGAGATCAGGGTGTGGACACCGAAGCAGACTGCAAGGATACATGTCACGCCCAAAGGTACATAGAGCCATGCGGTCACAGCGCGTTCCCAAGACGACTTCGCTACCTCGAATAATAGTCAGTAATCGAGAGACGTCAATTGCTGTGGTACAGCAGCTCACAAGNNCGCAGCAGCCTGCCCAGCATCATTGACAAATGCAGCAAGTTGATTTGTATTCATAGCTCAATACTGTCAAACTACAGACATGTGCAAGTGGACATGACGGAAAGTAGAAGAGATAGGACGTTGATGACTCTAAGGACGGATTTTGCGGCTACGACGGAGAACATCACCGGCCGATTTTGAAGGTCAAGGACTGCAAGACATTCTTGTGATATAGCTGATGAAACTTATCGCAGACTACAGCCTGATAGGAGAGAATATGGATCAGATGGACACTTAGTGATGCAGAGGCCACGAGTAGAAGAATAGGTAGATCAAACATGTAGAGTAGGCGAGCTGGCCAGATTTGGCGGTCAATTCAGCGTTGGGCTGTTGGACCCTTTCGCAGGGGCCCAGGACTCCAAGCGTATTGCTGTCTTTAGCACTCGCCCTCGCACAACGCAGCCCCTTGTCTGATTGTCCAAGAATTTGCACGCCAACATGTCGCTCGCTACAAAGACTCAGTCGCAGAAGATCTTTGAGAAGTTGAAGCAGAAGCAGGCCAACAAGGTAGGCGACCTGTCATTCCAAGACTCGACGTGTGCCACAATATTGATGCCATCAGNNATCTGCTTCGACTGCGGCGCCAAAAACCCCACCTGGTCCTCGGTTCCCTTTGGCATTTATCTCTGTCTGGATTGCTCTGCTCATCACAGAAACCTCGGTGTCCACATCTCCTTCGTCCGCTCCACCAACCTCGACAGTGCGTAATCCGACTCTCCACATACCCCACCCCACTTATACTGACACCACATGTCCANNGTCTGGCAATGGGAGCAGCTCCGTACCTTCAAGGTCGGCGGTAATGAGTCGGCAACCAAGTATTTCCAGAGCCATGGTGGCTCTGCCGNNCTCGCTAGCAAGGACCCCAAGACAAAATACACTTCCAACGCCGCCAACAAATACAAGGAGGAGCTGACACGGAGGTGTCAGGCTGATGCTAAACTGTAAGACTGCCATATACTGCAGTCTGAGATAGAGATTGACCGGATCTNNAGATACCCCGAGGAAGTTGTAATCACTGACCTCGCCGATGAGGCCGGCGCAAGTGGCACAAGCACCCCTGCAGGCGACGACGACGACTTCTTCTCTTCCTGGGACAAGCCAACCATCAAACGTCCTAGCAACCCTCCCTCTCGTACCGGAACACCAGGTATCAACCGCGCCAACTCACCCTTCCTTAACACCCCAGCCAATGGCGCTGCACGACCAAAGTCACCCTTGACCGCCGATGCGACCGCCCCTGCACCTACTACCGCTCGTGCCATTCCCGCTTCAGCTGCTCGTAAGNACCGCTGTAGGTGGCGCTGCCCCCGCAAGACCAACATTCTAGGCGCAAAGAAAAAGCTTGGTGCAAAGAAGGTGGACCCAGCCGCCCTTGACTTTGATGCAGCTGAGCGTAAGGCTCGTGAGGAGGCAGAGAGGATTGCAAAGTTGGGATACGACCCTGAGGCCGAAGCAACTCCTGCAGAAGCCCAAATCAGCTCAGCACAACCAGATTCCACCTCAAGCATTGTGAGCCCACAACCCGTCAGCCCTAGACCGGGCGTTGGATTTGGCGCAACTGGAAAGTCAAAGGAAAAGGATCAAGGTGACGTGGAGAGACTGGGCATGAGTGTCCGCAAGCTTGGATTTGGTCAAGTCGGTGGCGGTGCTCCCGCTGCCGCAGCACCCAAGAAGATGGGCTTCGGTTCTACCGCCAGAGCGACAGAAGGTAAAAATCCACATGGTCAGATGTGCTCGACGAAGCTTACATTGAAATCCACAGATGATTCAGAAAAATACGCTCGCCAGAAGTTTGGCACCCAAAAGGGTATTTCATCGGACGAGTTCTTTGGAAGAGGCACATTCGACTCGAACGCTCAACAAGAAGCCAAGTCTCGTCTGCAAGGCTTCGAGGGTGCACAATCTATTTCCTCCAACGCATACTTCGGAAGACCCGAGGATGAGATGCCCGAGGGCGAGTATGGAGACATCGAGACGGCAGCCAAGGACTTTGTACGCAAGCTTGGTATTACCGCAGGAGACGATCTTGAGAACCTCACCAGTCTACTGGGAGAGGGCACCAACAAATTGCAAGGTAAGCCAGATACGATTGATGAACTGCTTGAGTAGCGGCTAACAGAAGCGCCAGGTGCTATCAGAAACTACCTCAATGGATAAGTTGGATGCAACATGGAAACATGGATAAGAGTAGTACATGTGCGACCAGCCACCAGATAGCACTGGCTAGTCAAAGAAGATTGAAATCAAAGACCTTGAAGATTTAATTGTTTTGTCTTGTTGCACATAAATGTTCGGTCGAGTGAGAGCCGAGGTGGGATGGAGAAGGGTCCATGCACGAAGCACGCGGCCCCAGTTGCGTCACTGGCAGTGCTGCACTGGCAAAAGTGCAGTGATCTGTTCTGGTCTTCGCGGCGCAACCACTGAGTGGATATGGTGATCACGACCGACCAGCCATGCACCTGACCTCGCCGACGACGTCTACACATTTTTCTACTCGCTGAACAACGACCTACATCATGCCTCCCAAAGGATCGCGCGTCGTCCACCACGACAATGACTCGAGATCCGACGGCTCGAGTTCGAAGACCAACCACAACACGGCGAAGAACAAGCGCCCAAACGGCACAAGCAACCTCCGTGATGCGAAGAGCGTGAACGACCCGACTGCGGCACAGAATGCCTCATCTAGCAATGGAGTGAGTATCTGCCTTAGCCCTCCAGGTACTGTGTCGCAAAACTAAGGCTGACTTCCAGGCACAGNNTTCACATGGGCTCAAGAAGACCTGTCTCTCTTACAACAATACCGCGCCGCACATCGCATGGAAACACCTTCAGCATTCAACTCGATACGCAACCAGTTCCTACTCAGCAACCCAGGCATCGGTAGACAGTCACCGACCATGGCAAGGCGCAAAGCAAAGAGGAAGGTGCCCAAGGAACAACTCGCCATGGCAGTAAGGGNNAAGAATTTCAACGACGCAGCCGTCAACGAGATTGACGTTATGGTTGATCTGCTGTACAAAGTGCGCAACCAGGGTATGCCGTCCTGCAACGAGGTGCTCCCTCATGTTTCCAGGTGCTGACGCGAATTCTCAGACAAAGCGTTCCGGCTCCGATCGGCGCCTAACAGAAGTAACAAGTGAACGAGGACCCTCACAGGTCAGACAGCATATGGGAGAATTTTTGGCGTCCTTTGGGTATACCATCATGACAGGTCGAACGAACATGGCCAGGCGGCCTCGTCATCATCACCATCCGGAGTTTTGGCGTTTTCTTTGTTGATGGTCAAGGAACAGGCGGAGGACAAGATAGACGAAGAACAGTAGGCATTGGTTGCATTCCTCCGGGTTCTACTGGTAGCATGAATACCCAATCATTGAATTTCAGATTTATACATGTTTGCAAAAGAAAACACAGGCCATCAGGGTTTCTTGGTGCCGGTCATAGCGGTGAATTTTGTCAAACATCTCGAAGATTCGGTGGCATCGGTCGGCATCGATCGCTGGCCGCATGCCAAGCCATCTTGACATGTTTCCCGCCGGCAATGCCAAAAGTTTCCCTGTCCCCCAGCATCTCGATAGAAGACCAGCAAGACTGCTGTTGCTGTCGAAACCTCGCATCGCTGTCAAATTCTTCGCTTCTCTGTCGCAGCATCGACGCTTTTAAACGACCCAAGCCAGCGCAATCGCCATGAGTTTGGCCGCTCCCGGCTTGCTCCCAAAGGCGGCCACTCCGCTCCGCATCCTCGCCGCATCGAGGCCGACCTGCCAAACCTATTCCGAACGTCCTCAATCGACCCTCCAGTCGAGACATCTATACACTGCTCCATCGACCAGATCTGCCCGTCATGTGCCCCGTCAACCTGCTCAAGTTAGGGTGAGTGACATTCTGTAACTATGCTGCTGACCTTTCTTGTTGCTAACTTGCTTCGACCTGTAGACATTCCACGCTACCGCTCCGACATTGGCTAAGGACCCATATGCCACCCTCGGCGTAAACAAATCTGCTTCTTCTGGCGAAATAAAGAAAGCATACTACGGACTGGCCAAGAAATACCACCCCGACACCAACAAGGATGCCGGTGCTAAGGAGAAGTTCGCGGAAGCCCAGGCTGCATACGAGACACTTTCAGACCCTAAGAAGAAGGAAGCATACGACACCTATGGCTCCGCCGCTTTCGACCAGAATGGAGGCTTCAACCCCGGTGCCGGCGCCGGAGGCAATCCCTTCGCTGGTGGCGGTTTCGGTGGATTCGGAGGTTTCGGTGGTGGTGGCGCTGGTGGTGCTCAGGGCTTTGGCGACATCAACTTCGAAGACCTGTTCAGCGCGTTTGGTGGAGGAAGCGCACGAAGAGGCCGCGGAAGAGCTTCGCCATTCCAGGAAGAGATCTTGGTTGGAGAGAATATTGAGGTTCAGACCAACATCTCCTTCCTGGATGCAGCCAAGGGCATCACCAAGGACATTCACATCAACCCATTGGTCAAGTGCAAGACTTGCGAAGGAAACGGCTTGAAANAGGGCCAATCAAGATCCACGTGTAAGAGTTGTGATGGCTCTGGTACCAGGGTACACTTCATGCAGGGTGGCTTCCAAATGGCAAGCACTTGTGGCGCATGCGGAGGTCAAGGCCAGACAATCCCGAAGAACGGTGCTTGTGGAACATGTAAGGGAGAGGGTGCAGTTCGCGAGAAGAGAACTGTATCAGTTGATATCCCTGGTGGTATCGAGGATGGCATGAGAATGCGCGTGTCACAAGAAGGAGACTTCCCACCCACAGGTCAGGCCGCCAACCCCAAGGCACGAACAGCGAACGGCGATCTATACGTCTTTGTACGAGTTGCACCCGATCCTAAGTTCAGTCGCAATGGATCAGACGTGCTCTACACAGCATCGATACCGCTTACGACAGCCATTCTCGGAGGAGAAATCCCTATTCCCACACTGGACGGCGAAGTCAAGGTCAAGGTCGCGACAGGAACAGCAACCGGCGACCGCATCACACTATCTGGAATGGGTATGAGAAAACTCAACAGTAGACGCGGCAACAATGGAGATTTGCGCGTCGAGTACAAGGTGCAGATGCCCAAGTACCTCAGCGTCAATCAGAGGACAATTGTCGAGATGCTCGCAGATGAGATGGGAGACAAGACAGCAAAGCGAGTAATGAACCTTGGAAAGATGGCAGAAGAGGCCAAGAAGGACGCAACGACAAGCGAAGAAGACTCGCACAAGAACGAAGGATTCCTCAAGTCTGCATGGCATAGACTCACACATCAGCACGATCACCTGAAAGAGAAGGAGGAGGCCAGCAAGCAAGAAGAGGAGGATAAGAAGAAGTCAGGATCGAGCTAAAAAGAACGAGGGGATGACGTGTAAGAGGATTGTACATTCATGTATATTATAGCGATTGTGATTGAGCATTTGGGCAGCAGGAAGTAGACTCCAAATCGCCGGTACATTGGATTTGGATCGAGCCATGTAACAACAGGAGAAAACAATGATAGACTCTCTTCTCGATACCATGTATGCGTGATACGGAATGAACGATTAGAGAGCTGCTTTATGGAATCTAGTGGCTTTTGCCGGGTGTGTCAGATTGATGTTTCAAGCCCGAGGCCGCAATGCGGGACAATGACGATTGGGCATCGGAGGTGATTGACATGGTGGCCGTGATTGATTAGCCTAGCATCTAGCTGCATCTCTTGCACACACTTGAGTACCCGAACGATTGCGCACTCTGACCTCTCGACTTTACACTCAAGACTCAAGGCTCGGGAACAAGAACGAACAACAACCAGCAGCATTAGCATCAGCGGCAGCAAGCGCGAACGACCCCACCCGCGTGGCCATGCTATAGCGGCTACCTAAAGCTACTTCGATTCCCAACCACCACGACAAGATGATGCAGACACCCATGCTGTCGTGCCCGCTCAAGGCAACAAATGAGATAGACTGGATCGCTCCGCTTAAGGCATATATTCGCAACACGTACGGCGACGACCCGGAACGCTACGCCGATGAATGCGCCGCCCTCAACCGCCTACGCCAGGACATGCGAGGCGCTGGCAAGGACTCGGCCGCTGGAAGAGACCTGCTTTACCGCTACTACGGCCAGCTGGAGCTCCTAGATTTGCGCTTCCCTGTCGATGAGAACCACATCAAGATCTCCTTCACCTGGTCCGTTTCGCTACCACTCTGCCAACGTCTCCACCCCCACTGACCCCTTGACTGAAACAGGTTCGATGCCTTTACCCACAAGCCCACCTCGCAGTACTCGCTAGCCTACGAGAAGGCTTCCATCATCTTCAACATCTCGGCCGTCCTTTCCTGCCATGCCGCCCATCAAGACCGCAACCAGGAGACAATGCTCAAGGTTGCCTACCATTCGTTCCAGGCTTCCGCCGGCATGTTCACCTATATCAACGAGAATTTTCTACACGCTCCCTCGACAGACTTAAGCAGAGACACAGTCAAGACCCTCATTGCTATCATGTTGGCCCAGGGACAGGAAGTCTTTCTCGAGAAGCAAATAGCCGATGGCAAGAAGGTCGGCCTCATGGCCAAACTCGCCAGTCAGGCTGCGTACTTGTACACCCAGGCACTCGAGGGTGTACAAGATAACGTTGCCAAGGCCATCTTTGAGCGTGTCTGGCTGCTCCTTGTTCAGTTCAAGACACATTACATGACCTCTCTGGCCCACTACTACCAAGCTCTTGCCGATGATGACGCTAACTCTCACGGTATTGCCATTTCTCGCCTGGAAATCGCCATGACGCTTGCTCGAGAAGCCACGAAAGTCGCAAACTCGTTCCCTTCTTCCATTCCCGTTACTTCGAACTTGGCTGGAGATACTGCTTCTATTCTTGCAAACATGGCAAAGACTCATCTGGCTGCCTGTGATGAGAAGCTGCAGCAATTTAACAAAGACAACGACTTCATCTACCATCAGCCCACTCCCCCTGAAGCCTCCCTTCCTGCCATTCCGAAGCTTCCTGCCGCCAAACCTATTCCTGTAAGCGAGTTGTACCAAGGTCAGGATATACACCGCATAGTTGGACCCGATATCTTCCAAAAGATCGTTCCAATGGCTGTTACAGAGTCTGCCAGCATGTATGACGAGGAGAAAGCCAAGCTCATACGTGCAGAGAGCGAGCGTGTAGAGATTGCCAACGACGAGATGGCTGCTTCACTTGATTATCTGAAGTTGCCGAATAGTCTCAATATTCTCAAAGGAGGGCTAGACCAAGATATGACCGTTGATTCTGACTTCCGCAAATGGTGCGAAGACTTTGTCGGCCATGCTCCATTCGCTCAAGACTTCGAGCAGCTCAACTCTAGCAAATCTAGCATTCATGGTATCCTCGATCAGTGCCAGAAGAGCTTGGATATGGAAGAGAGTGTTTGTGAGAAGATGAGAAACAAGTATGGCGCCGAATGGACCCAACAACCTAGCTCACGCCTTACTTCGACACTCCGCAGCGACATTCGGAACTACCGCGGCGCTGTTGAGGAGGCGAGCATGAGCGACGTGCAGCTTTATAGTACTTTCAGACAGCATGAATCCGACATGGAGGAAATGCGCTCTGCAGGTGAGACCGATGAGGCTGATGTACTTTACCAGCGAGCCATGATCAAGGTTGGTGCCGCGAGGAAGACAGGCGCGAAGAGCCCATCAGCAGAAGGTAGCTTGATCGATGACATTGACGATGAAGACAAAGCGAGTGTGTCTGAACAGATTGCCGCTGTCGAGGATTTGTTAAAGAAGTTGACCCTGATCAAGAGAGAGCGTGAGAAGGTGCTCAAGGATTTGAAAGAANAAGGTCTGTCTAACCGGAGACTCCCCGTCCTGAGTTTGTGCTAACTTCTGATACAGGTCCACAATGATGATATCTCGAGTGTCCTGATCTTGAACAAGAAGGCCATGTCACAGGAGAACCAACTTTTCAAGACCGAGCTCGAAAAGTTCAGACCGCATCAACAACGATTACTACAAGCGCAACATAAGCAGCATAGCTTGATGAAGGAGCTCACTCGTACTTACAGCGATCTTCTGTCGGACAAGCGTGTTCGTCAAGAGCAAAACAAGTACGAAGCCTTCTCCCGTCAACGTAGCACCGTAATGTCCAAGTACAAGAAAGTGCATCAAGCACTTATGGACTTGCAAGCAGGCCTTGAGCGCGCCAAGAACTTCTATTCTGAGATGAAAGATACTGTCGACAGTTTGTACAAGAACGTTGAAGGGTTTGTCGGCAACCGCAAAGCAGAGGGCAGTCAGCTTCTCAATCAGATTGAAAGCGGAAAGTCGTCTTCAGGCGCTAGTGGTGCAGACCGGGAGCAGCAGCGTCTCAAGGAGATGATGGACCGTATGTCCATGAACCCTTCGTCTTCGCCACATCAGCAACCGCAACCACCTCCAAGACCCTCGCAATTGCAACAACAGCACTCTTACAACAACTACAACCCTGCAGCCTCACCACCTGTCACACCGGGTTATGGCATGCAACCCACACCATCTCCCTACATGCATCAACAGAACTACACTCAACAACCACAACACCAACAACCTCAACAGCCAAACTACCAACAGCACCAGCAACCTCAACAGCCAAACTACCAACAGCACCAGCAACCTCAACAACCTCAAGGTTACAGCTACAATCCCAACTCGTACGGCATGCCCACCTCCCCACCCGCCGCCCAGAACCAGTACTTTTCTCCACCGCCAAACCAGAACCAAGGCCAAAGTCAATATGGTCAGATGGGCCAACAGCAGCAGAACATGCTGCCTCATGGTTATGTGCCACCGCCTCCGCCTCCCGGTCCTCCGCCACACCAGCAACACCAACAGCAGGGATATGGGCAACAACCTCAACAGGGCTATGGTCAGCAGCAGCATGCACAACAGCAACAGGGCCAATCTGATCCATGGGCTGGACTTGGTGCTTGGAAGTAGAAGAGTCTGCAGCACCTGAAAGTAGGACATTGGTCACCTTGTGTTCGAGAACGAGATAGAATGGCAGAGCTGGGTATGCTGGAAGCGCTCGAGTTTTGTACATTATGAAAAGTGGCCGATGATCAAAAGAATACTTTCTGTCCAAGAATACTTTCTGTCCAAGGGACCACTGTGGTTTGGTTCTCAGCACCAACTTGAAGTTTCTATTGCACTATATGATAGGTGATGATGTACAAAGTGTAGTTGTTTGAGCAACAATGTACAGCATTGTTCAAGCCGATATGCTCGTTCTCTGTGTCAATGGTGACGCGGTGTTAAAATAATTCAGATATGCGAGTTAGGGAGGAATGAATGGATGAATGAATGAATGGGATCCCTCCCGTTCTGCAAGCGCGAATCCTCCAAGCAGGATTTCATGAGATGCATCCACTTCTTGGATCGAGAAGATGTACAAGGAATGAATGACTTGTGCAAGAAGATGATTGCCCGTCATGTCCATGTAATTAAAGCTGTCCACACAAGAAGGCCATATATTGATTCTACCTACGTACTCCCTGTGACGTTTCCTTTTTATATGGCTCATAATTGATTTCCTACATCCCAGAAGCGACAAAATCATCATCGTATTCTCGCTCACACGAGTTCAAACATCATCTCCATTTGCCGCAGCATTGGTTTCGGCATGGTCTTGCGATAGTTGTTGAGTTCGCCATCCATCATGCCATGGACATAGCACTCGCCCAACATACGATACAACTTTGCATCACCTCTATCTTTTGCGTGGTGGCTGTGCAATACAACAGGGACATTACAGCCATACAGCAATGCGATCGCGTCTCCTGGCTGTGTGTTCTTGGGCACCAGACACAACGTCACCACTCCTGTATGTTTTAGAGTAATCCGTGCTAGTCGTCTGTTCCACACCACTTCTTGAACCCTGTGTAAAAACTCTCGGACTGAAGAGGCAGGGTTGCCGCTCAGCACCAACGAGGTCTCTAAGTCATCGTCTTTGGGGGCTTCTTGGAAGGCTTCAGAACATGCTCTTCGCCAATACAAAGGAGGTTTTCTGCCATGTGTATTTCTGTTTGCGACCAAGGTGCGCCAGAAAGAATCGGGCGGGGGATTTTGCTCAGGCGGAAGGGTTTCGAGCCATTGAGCTGCTTCGCGCCAGTCTGCGGGTATGGTTCCTGAAGTGGCGTTTGATTTTATTTCGTAAGGTTGGATGGTATGCAAGACCAAACCATTGACGAGCAAACTCCTTTCGCGCAGGGGGNNGTCGCCGCGAGGAAAAGTAGGTCTCATGAAGACGGTAAGGTTGTGTGAGGCTCTATATGGCGGACCGCTAAAGTCGAATTTTCCCAGCAAGGGGTTTGCATTGACGCGTTGGTATTTTCCTCTGCGGTTTGGTTTGAAAGCGATTCTGTTGCTCAATCTTGGTATCCAAGAGGGAAATGCTTCATCATTCGGGTCATCTGGCGCCCAAGGTCGACATAAGATATCCAGAGTTGCTTCAGGCCTAGACATAACGAATTCGAGCACCTCGCGGCAGACTTCGAAGATGGATTTGCTGTAGTCGAGGTAGATTCTGCGTTGTTGGAATCCGTTTGAGAGGCGGGCGACTATGATCTGCTCTTTNTCTCCTTGACTCCTGGCGTCTGAGAGGGTTCTGCTGCGGCCGAGACGCCTGATGACGGACAATGGGCTGATGGGCTGCAATGTATTGCCATTATTTCCATCCTGGTGCAACAATGGAGACGGAGCGGGCTGCACTGGTACAAAGTGTTGAGAGTGGTCTTGCACCATATGTTCAGATGGTAAGTCTGAGAGGTTAGGAAAGGGCGATGTGGCCGAGGTTGTGTCAGCTGGCGGCGAAGAACAATAAGCGGCATCCGCGATGATTGTCATTGTTTGTGCATTGTTGTCTTGCAGAAGGTACTGCTGTTTTGCATCTTCTGCTTTTGCAGCGACGCCGCTTATCTGAATTAAGGGAATGTCCTCACCCCTTCTTCTTTTGGAGATGTTATCACCATTGACGCCATTTTGATTGATGTCTGTCAGTGACCTCTTGAGCTGGGCGTCTATCGATGGCTGATCTGATGTGTCAGGAGGCATCGCAGGCGAAGGAGGCGAACTCTGATCGCGTCGAAATGCCACACCAAAAGCATCATTCGACAGCCACAAAATAGCATAAACTATATCATGAGCAACCGAAGCTTCAAAAGCAGACATTGTCGACATCAAAGCCTCAAGCGAGAAATTTTTGTCACGGATCTTGTTGTCTTCCGTCTTGTGGAATAGGTCGTCTGTCAATTCGACCAAACGAATAGCTCCCAGTTCAGAAATATCGCCCAGGTAATCAGCGTGATTGTTGAACTCTGGCGACTTCTTGAACAGTGCTTTCATCTCAAACAATCTGGCCGATAATTGTGAGATGACATCGGCAAACTCATGCCATTGCAGGACCTGATTGCCGCAATGAAGCGTTGCCGTCCGGGCGACAGCAATCTCTTGTACAATCCATCGTCGGCTGAACCAAGGCCGTTTCATGAGCGAAACTAAAGCTTTGATATCCTTGGATACGTGTGGATCGCGCATAGCCCCGTCAAACACATCGCTAGCCAGACATTTGCGTACAAACTCAAAGGCGAGCTCGGAGTCGCTGTCATTAGGTCCCAACCACACGCGAACCGCGGTTGCCGAGTTGAAAATGATGGACATGTGAGAGATCTGCAAGCTCTTCTCCTCTTGATTTTTCTGATCAATACACAATGCATCAATCCATAGTCTTCGTTTCTTTGATCTCGGATGTCGCAATGCTCGTAATGCGGAGGCTAAGTTGTTCGTGATGCTGACCGTTGCGTCGTGTACGTTGACCACGGGATCGTTGTCTGTGACCGGCCCCCAGTTGTAAGATAGAGCCTCGTACTCGCCTGGGTCAGCGGCATCGATGACCACAGTACTGTTGTTTGCTTTTCTTAAACGACATGTCACAATGTCGCCTTCAAGTTCGCTGTTCAATGAGCCTGGGTGAAGAACGAACAGCCGGAAGGCGCGTTCTCTGTAAGGTTCTTGCGAGAGATTGTCGAAGCGATATGCTGTATCCGGAACACGAATAAGAGCCATCGTGAGCGAGTACGAACGATTGTTTTAGTATGTCGAGTACAACAATGACATTTTGTTGTAGCATCCTGAGGACTTCGTGGTCTTTATCAAGGCAGGGACAGAGTTTGTCTAATAGCTCGAACCAGGCGTCCTGATCCTTTCATCATTGTCTCGTTCGGGCAAAGTTGTTGATAAAATGTACAAGGGCGGAGTGTCAGCCAATATCAATGGAGAAGGCTGAGCGATATGCCGCAGGATCGCAATGGCCCCCACACGCTACAAGGCGTCTTGACACGGATACCAAAGACTAGAGTGCTTCTCCATAGGAAAAATTGCTCTGCAGGAAGTGATCACCTCAAAAGCTCTGTTGGGCATGTCTCGACCCGTGAAAGAGTATGTACACTTCGGTAACATTCTGTGAGGAGCGATTCTTGAGGGACCTCTATCTTTATCTCGGTGGTCAATGGCTTGCGCTGATTGGCTGTTGCATGCTGATATTATATTACATGCATATAAGGCGGAGGCCTCGCCCCGCCCCGCCAATAAATGCACATATTCGTGCATCCAGGCAGACGGAGTGCCCGAAGCGCTCGTATATGTATCCAAGCCATGTCTTCCTCAGGCGGGCAGTCTGATTGTGACTGCGCCCATCTGTCAGTCGCTCTCCGCCACCACCTAAGTAAGGGCTGTGTAGAATGTTTCGAGAGCTCATAAGCAAGATGTATATTCCACAAAAGGTCGGTTCAACTGATCTCCAAATTCGAATTTAATCATTAAAACCTTCTCTCAGCGGGAGATCTCGATCATCACAGAGCATTGGAATATGCCTCATGTCACTCTTGACGCCGCTGGGCTTGTCGCGCTTGCTGATCTGGACATTATTGCTCGACGTACTGCCCTCTCCGGAACCTCTCGATTTGCCGACGTTTTCGTGCTCTGTCCAGGCCTGCACAAACAACAATCAGCTAGCGAGCTGAATCGTGGGGAGTTTCCAGCCTGCGCGGCGATGACCACTGGTTATGCCTTCCGAATTGAGAACCCAGCAACTGTGGCCTTCCTGCAAAGCGTCGCAAGAACGGCACATTTGACCAATGTCCAAGTCACATACGCCAAAAGCCATTGCGAAGAATGGACGACCACCAAGCTCTTTTGCAGAACGGCTCCGTATGCTTTCTGCTGCGTTCTCACAATATCTGCCCTCATCATATTCGCTTTGATCAGAGACTGGTGGGCCGTCACATCCGTCAGCATCTTGATGTTTGCACGACTATGCAACGTCTTTGTGGTCAAGAAACGGGTCGAAAGAGCTGGCGAATGGAAAGGTGCGAGCGAGCCAGGTGTCCAAGGTGATCTACTCGTGCTTTTGGCTCAGGATCGTTGGATCAGAATCCAGGGCGCTGTCGATGATCTCAAAGCAGTGACATCTGGACAATGGCTGGCCGAGATGACCCCTCTGGAAAATGCAGTATCTGCTTTAGCGACGATGATGGTGTATCTGGATGCCGCACTGACTAGCAATGCGTCTCAGCTAGGAAAGATCTTGCTTCTGGTTCTTTTAATAGGCTCTGCTGGCTTCTTGGCCATAGCTAACGAGCAGACTGAAGCTCTACACATGCATGGTCGCGTGCTGCAAGTTCAGAAAGAGCGCAAGGCTTACGACCGAAGGCTGTCCATGGCANAAGAGCTCATACATGCTTCAGGTAGATCTGACTGGGCCTTGAAGCTTGGTTTAGTGAATGAAAAGGACTGCGACGAGAAGTGCGCCAGCACGACCTCCTCTGTCATAATGTAGAGACGAAAAACCATATTCGACCATGTTCCTAGAACAGTATGACAGATCTCATAAATGGAAGTTCCAGCAGATGACCCTTCACATGAAGAATTGCCTGAGAATATCAGTTCGAAGGATGATGTCGGAGCCCAAGAACCCTGCTTCGAGATCAGCATCTGGCGCCCATGACCAATGCAGAAGCTGTGTGGTTCGTTGGATGGTACCAGGGCCCGATCTAGGGGCACACGATACAATGGCATTAGTGAATGCTGTTTGATCAGCAGGTGTTACTGCACCTGTACCAAGCAAGAATATCGGCCAAAGTAAAAGCGCAGATGCACCTTTCAGAAGATCCATCTGTTGGAAGACCTTATGACTTTGGCGGGATATGGCAAGAAGATCCGGATCGAAAGGACCATTCGAAGGGTTTAGTAGCTTATGTGAAAGAAAGAGGCAGCCATAGTACCACGCCTTGGCTGAAAGCAGATTCTTCATCATGAAAGTATCCGCCGTACCTGAGTCGACGTCGAACAGATCTTCTGGAGCCTCCACGGGTGCTCGCCAATTCATGATCCTGGTCGACAAAGAAATCGCGTCAATCAAGTCTTTTCCTTGAAGGGGCAGCCTGTCTCTCAGCCAACACAGCTTGAAGGCCATGTCGAACAGAGGAGCGCACATGCCCACCCAGGGGCACTTTCTCCATTGTACGATCATATCTTGTCGAGGACTTCCAGGAAGACACATCGTCTCGTACAAGCGCTCGATATAATCGTAAGGTAATGAAGGAAAGGGCTGAAACAACCGATTGTGCACCGTACGAAACGAATAAGCCTCAAGCAGTAGAAGCTGGTGCATGGATGATGGTGCTTTATTCATCATGCTTGTTCGAACCAAGTTGTGAGCACCGCTAAGATGCGCTACCCGCATACTAGCACGTTCATCAGTCCTTGGGCTCATCGACTGGTTGAACATAAGTCAGCGCAAAGAAGCAATATTTTGGAAGAAAGTTCTTGCCTCGAAAGTATGCAACAGAAGTGTCGCTGCAACCTTCCACTCCGGGGCATTTAGACCAGTCTGGGTCAGAGCGGTAGCCAAGCCCTTGACGGCTTGCTGATAATGCACGAGAGCCTTCTGAGTGCCTCCCGGTTCTGCCTTTGTTACGAAAGCAGTGCCGCATGATAGCCAAGCATGCATAAGAGATGAGTTTTGCAGACACAATGGCAGGCAAAGCTGTGATGCTGGTTGCTCGAGACTGGCATTGTCTGGTGAAATGATGGCCTTGTCGAATGTAGTCGTGATCTGAATCAATTGACTGGATGTTAATTTNCCTAATGCTGTAAGTCACGCGCTTTATCGACAGTTAAGTGATACATACGGTGATACCGTCTTAACCCCAGCGGGAAGCTCAAGAGTTATGCAATTCTCTATGCTGTTCTGTGGTGAGGGTGTCTCCCATACACGTCTCGTGGTGTCCGGAGTGATCGTGCCGTGGTCATTTGTTCGTGCCTTGTCACGAAGTACCATAGTAGTCTGAGAGGGGGATCCAGGATTTATCGATATCTGGATAGGATCTCGTCCAGCATCAAGATCCAGACGTGGTTGATATCTGCCGCCATCCTCGGAGGCCAGCGACGCTGCGTGGGCAGGCCATTCGCAGACAACTGATCCAATGCTCTTCCGGCAGCGCAGGCAGACAGGCTTCGCCAGGTCACACTTCTTCTTCTTTCGCCGACCTGATATGAACCCTGTCAATCCAAGAGATCTTTGCCGACACGTCTATACGAAAGCCCCGCAATCTAGAAACTTATCCGGACAGGCCCGTAGATTGTGTAATGAGAAAGAGGAGCACATACATGGTAGACAGCCCAGATCTGTACGCGTTCGCTTGGGTTTGACATCCGCGGCGACCAACCCGCCGGTAGACAGTTCGAAATTAGCAAACATGACACGCGCTTTAAGCAGTTCAGAGCGGGCGCATCGCGGAGTGAGGTTTGCCCTGCCAAAGCTTTGGGGGCGGCTCGCTCGAATTGGCAACTGCCAAGACTCTTATACATACTTATGAAAAGGGACGCCGACCGAAGATATTGGTTGTCATAACTGATCGCTTAAAACTTTTTGCTACAAACGATCGAGGTATGACAAAAGCATTTCGAGATGTGACAGACAAATAGATCCTTGGTTCGAAATCTTGAATACGAAGAGCAAGGTTAAGTTATAAATGTATAATCGCGACGAAGGTTAAATGTTCCGACGACCGTGCTTAACTGAATATAAGAAATCTAGTAAGTCGACTGCCGGCCGTGACCTGCATCTGACTTGTCCCATTCTCGCTGCTTAGAGTCGTCTGCTATGTCTTTTGCACTCATGTCCAGCAGGGATGGAATATGGAAAGAGAAGGAGTCTTATCTTGCCAGCATAATGCTGCACGTTATGAAAGCGCAATATGCTTCAAGGCTGGGAGTAGTGTTTGTCGAGCAAATTCTGAAAAGGAGCAGAGGTTCTTGGTTCATATAATATTTTACAAAAGATCATCGATACCACGCTCCGAGTCTTTCTTGATAAGATCAATCATGCCNCTAGAGTCAAATTAGCATCTCATCAGGGCAACATAATAGCACATAACACGTACATCTGGGAAGATAGGCTTGCCATTCTTGTCAAGCACATAGCGGAAAGGCATCTCGGTACTCTCATGCTCGTCAACCTTGATTTCCGGGTGATCAACGTATTTGATGTTCTCCAGCTCGATGCGGTCCTGAACCACGATTCTAGTAGTACGCACTGCTGTGTCGGTGGTCATCTGGACGGGTCCAAGACGGCGTCCTTGGTAGCCCTTCTTACGCAGCTCCGAAGTACGATCTNNGCCAATAGATTAGACAAAAATCGAGGCGAACACCAGACGACATGGCATACCTCTAGGTGGGTCGTCTCCGAGGATACCACCGAAGAGAAAGATGTCGAAGTTGTCACCGTCGGCAGGGCTGAGTTCTTGCTTGGCTGCAGGATCAAGCAGGCAGACGCGGTCTTTCTTGTCTGCGTAGATTTCCTCGATACCACGGTGCTCAACGTTCAATTCAGAGACACTCTTGAGAGATTCGGGCAATTGAAGCTCATGGGGAACAGATGTGAGGTAGAAGGAGGATCCTGAGGCTGCGGTCTCTCTAGCAATGCACTTGTATTCAAGAGCTGACCACTGCTCGAGCTCAGGGTCGAGATGCTCGACAATGAAGGTTTTACCAGCCATGCTCTGTGACTTATTAGAACGACCATTGATATCGATCTTTCCGTACTGGATTTATCACAGACTTACGATTTGGTGATCCAACTTTTGGTTCTAAGATCTATTTCAGATGATCGTTATCAAGCGCCACGATCTGTTTGAGCACAGAAAAGAGAGATTCTGGCTGTTGTGATGAAGAATGGGTATGGTGGTTGCTTTCGCGATTTTTCCAAAACTTTTGACTGGAAGCCGAGACTGACGTGAGTTTCGCGGAGAAGAACAAGCATCGTGGGGAAGTAGAGAAATAACACCAGGGGTCTGCTATCCGACACAGCATATGGACATGCTCCAATCAGATGAATGATCGACTAGATATACATCAAACAGTATATGTCTTGTGCCCGATAACAAGTGCTTAGCGTGTCAACATGCAGCTACAATAAGTTACAGATATGATCTGAAGGAGCGGAGAGACAACTGGGAAAGCACAGCAGCAGCAAGTTCTTCTAGCAAAGACATGTTCATTGACCTCATTCTCACAAAGTGATGGGCAGATGATGAAAGAAGTTGTAGAACTAAGCCTAGGATCAACGCTGCGTGACCTCCAACGAAGACGGCAACGATCAGAGCTGGAGGCTAAAACCTCAGTGAAAGCTAGGCAAACGTTGTAGAAAGGGACAGAAGACGGTGCCACAAGCTTGGAAGCTCTTCGTACGTACCGAGACCCCTCTTTCAACCTCACTGCTTCCATTTGAGATACAAATCCTCGTGCTTTCATTCTCTGAACTTCCAACAAAGCGACAAGTCAGTTGCGTGCCAAGAACGAGCTACAAGCTTCCAGCGCAGTCAACGCGAAACGCGCGCAAGCAAGGGAAACAGCATCAGAAGGTGCGTCAGAGTGCTTCGTCATACGTTTCACACGACCGCCTTTTGACCGACAGCAATTGATATTGGGCAGCAGCAAGCGTCCGAGACTTTACGACAACTGCGAACAGCGATAGCAGACTTCGCTCGTATCAGATCTCTTTGTTCCTAGACCCGCTTAGGTACCCCAGCTTTCGTAAGAGCCGGCCGGCTGAGTCAAGCGACGACATCACCCTGGTGAACAAAGCCCAAAGCTATCCATCCACCCACGCCCTGCCCGAAAGTGTCGATTGCTTTTGCTCGCACGCCCACAGCACCTTTTCCTTGCAACTACAGCTTGCGCACAACAAGAGACACGACCTCAATTCTTCCTGGCGAAGATTCGCGCCGCTCTTCTTTTATCCACTACCGTACAGCAAAAAGGTCGACATTGCGACAAGCCCGCCGCCATGAACCCCCACCAGAAGAACAAGGTCGACATCAACGTGAGATCTCCGTCCGCTACTATATGCACCTCTCGACTCATCATATCCGAACAGGCCATGTCACCCGACGAGCAGCGTCTGTTCCGCATGTACGGCAAGCTGCCCGACAAGAAGAACCTGCTGCAGAACAAGCTCAAGGTACACATCTTTACACCCTCGACTTCCTCTTCTGCACCTTTCTGATCACTTGTGCGCACTTTCACAGNNGGCCAAGAGCGCAAATACTTCGACAGCGGTGACTACGCTCTCAGCAAGGCCGGCAAGGCAGGCGATGTTGGCGTCACCAGCATCGGCGTTGAGCACCCTTCACCAGACACTATCCCTCACCTCTCCTCTTCACCGAGCACGCAAACTCCTGGCAACCCCAACGGCAACCCCGGCCTCAACCTACAGCCCACCCAGAGCCACCAATCATACGTTTCAGGCAGCCCAGTCAAGGAGAGCAGTATCCTGCAAAGAGGCATGAGCGTCGACGACCAGGATGGCGAGATCAAGAGTGCAATGGAGAAGCGTGCTCAAGTTGCTTCATCTGGCCTCTCTCCTTCGTCTGAGAGCGACGCCGTGCCAATTCGTCAATAGGAGATGTCCGCTTGTGCTTTTGAACCAGGCATTTTTGATGGATCAAGGCCTCTGCTAACTACGGAACTTGGCGAACGGACATGGATTGGCAAGGCAGCACAGCCAGTTCAAGGTGGAAGGTCAAGGTCAGGAACAGGCGTTGGACCCGGCAGGGAGTGCAGGAGTTGATATTTGATCGTTGTGTTTTTGCACCCCCTTTTGATTGTCTTGTTTGACCGCGAGCAACTGGACACTTGAGGAGGTGCTCAATCCTATCCCACACACAACACGTTTTTGTTTTTTTTTGTCTGTACGTTTATGCCATAGTTGCTTTTCTTTTCTGTTTGTTCACTCGTTCCTCTTGTTGCACAACTCATCCTCTTCAGTGTAGCTATTTTTTGAACATGGACACTGGACTGTCTTTCTTCCAGACAAAGACTCAAGATCTCTATCTTCTCCAAGAACCGTTTTGAAAAATTGATGATACACATTTGATGTCTCCTAGACATTGGAGAAAATGATATAACTACATGAAACCCCCTTTCCGTTTTTGAACAGTCGAAAAAATCTTACACTTGCTTATGCGTGGACAAAGGCACCGCCTTGAGCGTTCTGGCCTCTCTTGCTACCAGGCACACTGGGTTCCACTTCGTCCAAAGCAGACAAGACATCCTGGTCAGCCTCAGGATCCAGAGGAGCATCCTGATCACGGGCATTGCCTGAGGAGCCCGAGAGCTGCTTGATGGCGGTGATTTCCTTGGCCGCCCACTCGCGCCATTCCTCGTACTTCTGGTCTTCGAGCTGCATACCGATGTCCAGAGGTGAGGGACCGAACTCGGCGCCAGTCCAGAGAGCCTCTTCGCGGGCGACGCGGCGCTCAATGTCCTGTGTGTGGCGGACGTCGTAGAATTCTTTGCGGGCCTTGTCGTAGGCGCCGGCCTTTGTGTAGGCTTGGTATGTGTCTGGCTCTGCGGTGGGGAGTGTAGGGCTGAGGATGTCTGTGGTCTTGATGTTGAGGNNGGTGGTTGCGAGGTGGTTGAGCAGCGCAGACACGTTTGCGGAAGCGTTGCGGTAGTATGAGAGAGAGATTGGGAGGACATTGAAGGGGTCTTCGGCGAAGGGCTTGATGGTTGATTCGGGCTCGAGGGTCATGGTGATGTTGTATTGCTTGCTGATGGCTGCGAGATCCATGCTTCCTAGCGTTTGGGCGACAGAATCGGAGTGTAGCAAGGCGACGCTGAAGGAACGCTTGTTGATTGAGGAAGTGTTGATACCCTGTTCGGCNAGGATTTGGTTCAGGCGCTTGAGAGCATCCTTGAACTGGTGAGGGTATTTGGGGTGGTATGTCAAGTAGAGGTTGACAGGGACGCTAGCATCGGCGTCGGTGTATTCAGTTCTTGACGGCAGTTGACTGGATTGTAAGTCGACGGCGTATTCTTCTTTGAACAAGGGCAGCAGCTCCTCCTGGAAAGCTTCGGACCGTAGGTAGTCTAGCAATTGTGGAGAGGCAGAGAAGTCGAGTTCATGTCGGAGAAGGCCCATAAGCCATGCTTGTCTTTGGACAACACTGNNCAGAGAGTCAGCGAGTGCGTAGCTACACGCCTAGACCAGGTATACACACCTTTCTCCGTCGACCTGCTTGGTGGGCTGGTCCAGCTGGCTCCAATCGAACTTCTGGTAGTCCTTGCCGTCATCCTCGAGAACCTGTCTAGGTCTTGCCAACTCCCATGGGTGGTCGCCGAAGAAGTCGAGTCTGAGTTGGTCCTCGGGATATTGGAGTTTGACGGGCTGGAAGAGCTTGCTGGCCTTTCTGCCCTTGCGCTGGGCAGATTGCAATGGCGGACGCACGAGACGTTCTGATGGCGGTAGATTGCCGATGATTGTGTACCAGGGTGGTGCAACTGAAGATGATTGTGGGCCTTTGAGGTCGCGAACCTGGAGGAGGCGCGTAGCGGCCTGGTGTACGCGCTGAGGCGCAAAGTTGTATCGACCCATGGCGGCGGTCTTGTCTGGCTGGTCGATCAAGATTCGCTCTGGTCGTGCTCGTCAATAATTCGAGATTCCAGCAGCGGAGCGGGAGACGGCTTGCTTGGCGTCGGCGGAGAAGGTGCGGCAGCCAATCAGCGGGCGTTGGAACCGATGGGTAATGCTGAAAGTCGCGGACTTTTTGGAGCGGCAGCAAGACAAGACCGACAGCAGCCACGACAAGGCGTAATGTTCTGAGTGATATGCCCAGGGAATGTCGAATGCTCGTCTGACACAATGCTCGCCGCTTCATGTCCCTCCTTGGCTCCTTCTCCCGCAACCAGAGCGGCTCCTCTCTGCACAAGAAGCCCACGACTGCCTCGATCATGACCGCCCTGTGTCCTCGCCGCAACCACTTCAATTCCTTCGACCACGACTACCCACGCCACCGCCGCGATCTCCACATCCTCTCTAGGCGGCCCATACCCTCTTCTCGCTCTCTGACCCCCGAGTCTGCCGAATCTCTCTTCCTCGAAGCTCTCGCACGTGCGAGCTTGTGTCGGAAACATGCCCGCCAATCATCCACCATCACACGACCTTCTCGTCCGACCACCTCAGCATCTGCTCGCTCTGCTCGTTTCACCACAACCTCTACCGCGAACAAGCCACCTCTCTCTTCTGCCGTCGAGCTCTCAACTGACGAATCTGCCCATCCCGCACCCATCCCTATCTCACGTCAAGAGCTGCGTTCCATAGTCGATCAGTACGACTATGCAGGCTACCAGGATGATCCTTCTCCAGACAGGGATTCCAATCACGAGGCCCCCTCGAGTACTCATGTTTACTCCTCTAATCAGATACCCGACAGGAAACCCCGGGCTGCCAAAACACTTCTCGACCAGCAAGCCATTGATTACTTCCNNAATCTCCTCATACAAGACAAGGCCACACCGAACCTCCCGCTTTACACAGCATACAAGGCAATACCACAACCGCGACCGAAATATCTCGAGAATCAACCTGTTCGCGAACTGCTGCACCGCCTGAGTGTTGTCGAATACAAAGATGAGCAGACAATGCAGCGCTATCTCAGCGTTGTCGATGACATGTTGTCTGCAGACATACCCATGACGAGGTCAGAATGGAACAGTGCCATGAGTTTCGCTGGTCGCTATCTTCGCAAAATTGGTGACGTTCAGGTCGAAACTGCCACTCAGATTTGGTTGCGCATGGAGAGAGAAGCTGGTCTATCGAGCAGCGCCACCACTTTCAGCATTCTGTTTGATGTCGCCACCAAAGCTGGCAAATTTGCCCTCGCCGACATCGTGGTCAAGGAGATGATGCAGCGAGGCATGGAACCTACTCGCCATTTCCGCACAAACATAATTTACTGCCATGGCTTAAAGCGCGATGGTGCTGCTGTCCGAAAAGCCTACCAGGACTTCGTTGACGCCGGCGAGATCATCGACACCCTGGTTCTGAACTGCGTGATCGCGAGTTTGATTAATGCTGGCGAGCCATCCGCTGCCGAGTACATTTTTGAGAAGATGAAGACTCTCGGCACAGAGAACACTACTGCCGTCAAGATCAAGGGATGGAAAGCCCAGCGCCAACTCGGAAGAGTTCTGGACTCAGCAGGAAGAAAACTTCGCAAGGAGGCAGAGAGACGAGTTGTCGTGCAGAACGTCACTCCAATCACACCAAACCTACACACCTATCGCTTGCTGATCAAATACCATGCTCACGAGTCTGGTAATATAGACCGCATCAGCGAATTGCTCGACGAGATGCAACAATATGGCATCCATATTCACGGATCCATCTTCTATCAGATTATACGTGGATTCAGTATTCACGGAGGCATCCGCTATTCCTCATGGAACAAAAAGAGACTTGACAGCTTTTGGGAGATCTTCTGTCAGTTTGTTGAGCGAGACAAAGAGACGGAACAAAAACATGGCGATTGGATATCTGAAGAAGATAGAGGTTGCTATCTTAGCGTTTCCATGGTCAAAATTGTTCTCAATGCGTACATCAAGGTCACGGGCCCAGAGAACACCAGGAAGATGTGGCAAGAGATCAAGGAAGTCTGGAAACCGAACGTGCAAGACGAAGAAGCTGTGAATACAGGGCTCGAATATGCACTTGGCTAAAGGGAGGCCTCCTGGGAATGAATGTAACATCAAATGTACCTCTTCATGTACAAACGAATTTTTTTTTAAGAATCAAAAAGTTTACAAGACACGATTGACTGACTTGGACATATCCATCGTCTGGCACAAAAGAAACATACTTCCTTCTCTTTCAGCTTTTGCATCGATGCCATCGACCTATCCTTGTGACCTTCATGTGAAGTTTGTGTATGGAAGACCGTCCGTGCGCAAACGCGAATTGCAGGTTGCTCTTGCCTGTCTTCTCAATTCTACTGATCTTGCTTCTACTCTTACTTCCTCAGAATTCAATGTCCCAGAAAGCCCTGTGACGCGTCAAAATCACGTATTGCCGGTTTGGTGAGGATGTTGCGACCACCAGTCAACAGTTCAGTGTTGCCTGTTTTACCATCTGGTTGAAGCCTTGAGGAAACCATCAATCGCCTCTCGCAATCATTTCCTTGTACCACAATCGACTCCAACCATCAAAGATGCCTGTACAAAGGCAGCGGAGTAAACCTGATCTCGAGTTCACTCTTCGTCAGGTCTTCGGAAAGCCATCGTTCAGGCAAGTCGTCATTTCACTTCTACCACTCGAAAGCGCAGCTGACCATATTCTGATGCNNAGACCCATTCAACGCGAAGTCATCGAAGCCGCTTTAGAGGGCAACGATGTTTTCCTGCAAGCCGCCACTTCATTCGGCAAAAGTTTATGCTTCCAATTACCAGCATGTATTGACATCGGAAGTGAGTAATTGCAGATTTGACTGATTTCATGTGATACTGACATATCTCAGNTCACCATTGTCGTTTCACCTCTCCTTGCGCTCATGGTAGGTCCCATGGTCGATGGTTATAAAGTACCGTCACTGACTATTCAACAGAACAATCAAGTTGCTGCTCTGCGTGCTGCTAGTATTCAGGTCGCTACTATCAACAGCACTGTCTCAAAGCATGTCCGCGACGCCATCATGGCCGACCTCAAGACTGGTCATCCTCTAACCCGACTTCTTTATGTCACTCCCGAGTTCTGCGCCATGGACCATTTCCGCCGCGTTCTACGCGTAGTCCACGCACAGAGAGAACTTTCCCGGATTGCCATTGACGAAGCACACTGTATCTCCGAATGGGGTCACGACTTCCGTCCGAGTTTCAAAGAGCTCAGTTTCTTCAAGAAGGAGTTTCCAGATGTGCCAATGATCTGCTGCACTGCTACAGCAACACAGCGAGTGCGAGACGATATCATTGCGACTCTGCATCTCGACAAACGTAACCTCAAACACTTCACCATGACAACCAGCCGGCCAAACTTGCACTACGAAGTCCGGTACAAGTCAGATGAGCAAGATCACTACGATGATTTCCTTGCATGGATCAAAGCAGCTCATGCTCGACGCCAAATACCGGAGCGGGCAGCAGAATTGGCAGCCCGAAACGAACGACCGACGAATGTGCCAGGCATCATCTACACTTTGTATCGCCGAGATTGCGAGATCCTAGCTGAGCGCTTGACTATCGATGGCATTGGAGCAAAGCCTTATCATGCCGGTCTGACCAACGAGCAGAAAGACGACCATCTATCGGGCTGGGTAGCCAATCGAGAGGGCTACGATGTCATCGTCGCAACCACAGCATTCGGTATGGGCATTGATAAGGAGAACGTTCGTTTTGTTGTCCACTGGCAGATCGCAAAATCTTTTGAAGGATACTATCAAGAAGCAGGGCGTGCAGGCAGAGACGGCAAAGCTTCAGTCTGCATTGTCTATTACTCCCGTGAAGACCGCGACCGCGGTGCGAACATGCTCGCCAGGGCTCAAGAACAGAAGATGCGACAAGAAATGACCAGAGGACGAAGCAACCATGAATACGACTACATGAATACGCACCCTGACAGCAATGGTCGTGCCAACTCCTTGTTGTACTTGACGAAATACTGCGAGGCCACAAGTGTATGCCGACACAAGATGATAGCGGAGTACTTTGGAGATAAGACCGCGGTGCCGTGCAACTATGCTTGCGATCACTGCAAGGATCAGAAGGGGCTAGAAATGAGAAAAAACAACGGACTGGCGAGCGAGGAGTGGTGCTTGACACAGAGACAGTCTTATTCTTACGACGAGTACGACTAGGAGCGTGCTGTGTAATAGGAGGTAGATCAGGTTCAAACAGACTAGTTTGACTGAACTATTGTCAAAAGAAATTTGAAGACGAACTCTTCGATTGTCTATATCGATCATATCACAGTGGTTGTGACGGAAGTCGCTCCGGCTCCCAAGAATTTTGCAAGCGAAAGCAAGCGATGCCCATCAAAGTGAGCAGCCGCGGTCCAGACAAAATATTTATCGCAGCAACCACCAAATAATATCAACCTTCCCACCGACTCGTCACAATCATGCCCAAGCCCAGACGCAACCTGCAGGCCACGGCCGAGGAAACCATGACACCTCCTCAATCCCTCACCGAGACACAATCCGTCGCACGCGTCCAACAAGCCGCTGGAAACAACCTCTACCGTGTCGAACTGCCAGACACCAAGGTGCTCTTGGTCGAGCTTCCTGCTCGTTTTCGCTCAACCATCTGGATCAAGAGAGNNGGTGGATTTGTGCTTGTCGACACGGGCGCTATGAACGAGCGCGAGAACAAGCTGGACGGCGAGATCATCAACGTTGTTAGAAACGAGAAGGAATGGCGCAAGGAGAAATACTGGTACATTGTTGGGTATTGAGGTCACGCAATGCGACCGCTAACGATTTTACAGGNNCCCAAGGAGTTTGTGCAGAGAATCTCGTACGCCGATGAAGACGATTCGGACGAGGAAGAGTCCAACGTTGGCAAGATGCCTCCTTCTGACTCCGAGGACGAGTGATTTACACCATCTATCTTTATCCGAAACTACTCTACATGCTGGTGCTTCTCCGACACAGTGTCAACGGCCTCCTTTCTTGTTCCATACCACACACCTGCTACAGTCGCCGCAAGAACCTGCACCACAACCATCGAGCTGAAGTTAGTGCTGGGGAAGACGTTCCAAGCGTATTCTTGCGCTCCCCACAATGCATACTGGAGGATTGGGTGGTAACCCGCACGCCAGAGAAGAGCAGGAGTCGCCCACACAATCCAAGAATAAAACTGGTAGTGCAGCGATCTTGCACACAGCATGCCGATCGCATTGGCTGAGAGAATGGTCGTCAGGATAAATCTTGGTGTCACTCTCGCCGAGATCTGTGCTTGCTGCGCTTTTGATGGAGGGTTGAAGATCGAGCTGACAATTTCTGTGAGAGATTGCCTTGAAGGCTTCAGCCAGCGGGTCGTAGAAAACAGGACGAGTAGAGAAACATGAACAGCCAGCAAGGTCAATGCAAATCGCTTTGAGAGGAATGTTTCCTCGCCTACGAAGCGCCAGTTGACTGTCCACTTGAAGAAGAACTGTCTTGTGAACTCGAATGCTCGTGAGAGGTAGCCCTGTGGATTGTGCAGCGTGAATGGTAACGAAATTAGAACCTGTGTCTCGTCAGTATACGGCCCTGCGTTACCATGTTCAGTACACACCTGTATCAAGACAATCAGTGAAGCATGGCCGATTGCATCACTCGCACCAATTGCTTGCAGAAGCACAATCCCGACAGAAGGCAATGCAAGCAATAAACTCATCTTAACTCCCAGACCGATCGAGTAGATCACTGACCCACCGATCCACCATCGCTTCTGGTAGCAGTAGATGGCCAAGAAGAAAAAGAAGACAGCAAAGCAATCATTGAACAAACGCAGCGTGAAAATTGAGTGCGTGCGCTTGGACAAGATGAGCATTGGAAACACATAGGGTGGTATCTGTCAGCAGCATCAGTAATCATGTCCAAACCTTGACGACAAGTCTGACGGACCTTTNGCATTGCGGTAGCATGCCATAACCACAGCAAGCGTCATGAGGTAGAGGACGCCAAAAATGATCTGTGCAAACAGGATATTGGTTCCTTGATCGGTGAACCGATATAGCATCTCGTAGATGTAGACATGGGCCGCGGGGTAGACCAAAGGCCCCGTACCTCCCTGGATCTTGGTATAGTCGCGCTCTCCAGCAAGATATTGTGTAACCTGTTCCACATATGCCGTCCAATCGATTTCGGTATCTAGGATTTCAAGCACATTAGGATTTGAGTTTTGCAGGTGTGTTTGCTTGCTGCGAAGAGTTGCGTACATNGGTACTTTCCACACGATCAAGGCAGTCAGGCCTGCATCGGCTAGCAGGAGCAGTGGACATATCCAACTGGTATGCCACGGGTCCTTGGCGATAGCCAAACACTTCTGGAAGACATCCATGACTAGCGACGATTTTGTGTTTGTCGCGACAGCACCCCACCGTTAATGTTAGCTCTAGGATGTTCAGCTGGAGGATTGTATTGGAAGTCTCAGCTGGAAGGAAGGTACGTATCAACAGCACCACGTGCTGTATGTCGTGCTGGTCCAAAGAAAGGAGATGTTTGATGCGAATAGAGTTGCGGCAAGGGCCCGTGGGGCTGATCACCTCCGCCTTTTCTCTTCCACGCAAACTCTCGCACACCCACGCAGCTTTCATGCGTGCTTCTTCAATTATGTCTGTTGCCAGCGACACGTCTCTTGTGGTGGCGGCCAACCGGCTTTTGCCCATTCTGAGCAGCCACCACACCCTCTTCACAACGTAAGGGATGATGTTATAAAGCAATACAGTAGATCAAAATATGATACATGGGCTGTCCCAGCTACCAGGTCACTCTAACTTGTTGCAGAGTGGCTGGCTGACAAGCAAACAAGATCGAACAATCTGTACTGCCCTGTCGATCGCCAAGATGCGCCATCATGTACAGCTCGCCGTACACTTGTATGCACCTATACCCTAAACAGTCTGTGGTCTACACCAACTGTCATCAGCCCTACGCATGTTCTGGGTTCTGGCCTAACTAAAATCGACGACGGTTTGCGAACAGAAGCATGGGAGTGCAAACACAGACACAGCCTTCGGTATCATGGCTGTATAGTGGTCCTGTCTTGGAGGCCGTCATGCAGCTATAGTAGGTTGTGGCTGGTAAGCAGTTAGCTAACTTGTTATGAAGTTGTTTGTTGTAACCACTATTCGAATGCAACGTGGGCGTAAAGGTCTCTTTACTTATGCTAACCATTGTCTCATTCTGGACCTCATCTCCCGATTGTCTTTTGAGATCCTTATAGACTCGAAGACGCTCGTGCTGCATTCTGCGTCGGAGTTCGTTCCAGGATATCTAACTCAGAGACAGTCAAAATCAAAAACATGTTCTACAACTCTGATATTTGAGCTCTTTTCTGTGGCAAGAGTCATCTACAACAAGAGTCATCGTCGAGTTCCTTCTGCGGCCTGTCTTATATTCGAGCGTTCTTCTCTCTCAGATCCTTCTTCTTCACAATTACAGAAGGTATCAAGATGGTCTCAGACAACGCACAACAAACGTTCAACATGGATACACCTAATATCGCCGTACCATCCACACCGCCTTCGTCTCCAAGCCCTTCTCCAAGCCCGGCTCCGAGACAGTCACCGATTAACAAATCTCCTCCCACATGGCGCTTCTCAAGTCTGGAAAGCATGCTCGAGTACAAAGAGAAGGGAACTTCGGTGACAACATCAGAGATAAACTCGTCAGAATATGCTGCTAGCATAACGAATGACCGTGTATTCCGATCGACTGCTGCCGAGGTGGCATTTTGTTTTAGCATGGGCTTGACCCAGCTCCTAGCAGTAATTATCTTCTCTACCTAAGAATCTTGGCCAGCGCTGACATGAAGCAGGNAATACATGATCTCAGGATTTGCGGTAGTTCTTCCGGAACTACTTTCACGCTTTACAGACGGCGTGACATCAGATTTCTGGCCAGCTACGGTTCTGTCGCTGGTGCTGTGCTCTACTCTGTGCTNNTTTACAGCACGTCTATCTGACATGTATGGAGGTTACCCAGTCTTCATGATTGCCGTGCTCTGGTTGTGCATATGGTCGGTCATCGCTGGATTCAGTAATAACTTGATCGTCATGGACGTCTGTCGTGCTATGCAGGGCTTGGCCATCGCCGCTTACACACCAAGCAGCTTTGCTTTATTCGGTGCCATCTATCCAGTTGGTCCTCGGAAANATCTCGTCCTGGGTATTTATGCAGCTTCCTCGCCTCTCGGGTTCTTTATCGGCATCTTGGTCGCTGCCGGGCTCCCAGCTGATAAGTGGAACTGGTGGTTCTGGATTGCGGCAATCATGGCTTTTGTCGCATTGGTCTCTGCTTACGTTTCTGTACCATCAGATCGTGCCGACAGACAGGAACTGAACCTTACTATGGATTGGAGTGGCGCCGTAACTATTACTTCTGGTCTGATCCTTGTCGCATATGCGCTGGCTGCTAGCTCTGGCTCACTCAACGCTTGGAAAACTCCAGGCATCCTGGTTCCCTTTATTACCGGCCTTGTATGTCTAGGACTTGCACTCTACGTTGAGGTCTGGTGGGCGAGTTGTCCGTTGCTGCCGAAGAAGTTCTTCAAGCCAACATGCTTTACACCATTAATCATCGCATGTGTTTTCTTCTACGGCAGCTTTGGTGCATGGCTCTTCACAACTACCAGTCATCTCACACTGGCATACGGTGTTACTGGTCTCAAAATGGCATTGTGGTGCGCACCCTTGGCCATCGGTGGCATCCTCTGCGGCCTTGTCAGCGGCCGCTTGATACACCATGGCTCGCCAACATGGACTCTGCTCATCTCAGCCGTGGCTTGGGTAGCAGCTCCACTCTTGCTAGCTCTCGGCAGCACCTCTATGGGCTACTGGCCCTTCGTCTTCCCAGCCATGATCTGCGCCACAGTAGGCGTCGACATAACCTACAACATCGCCAATCTCGTCTTATCCAGCCTGTCTCCACTAAAATGGCAGGGTCTTGCTGGAGCTGTCAACAGCACAACTGTCAATCTTGGCATTGCTTTCTCTCTTGCCATCACACAGGTTATTCAGACAGCAACAGAGGGCCAAAATCCCAGTGTTGATGACAGACTTCGTGGACACCGTAACTGTTATCTGTTTGCTGCTGCTAGTGCTGCAGTCGGACTTGCGATTACAGCTGTTTGTGTCAAGATTCCGAGAGAGTGTGTCCGGCCAAAGAAGGACGATGATGCACAGATGTCCAAAGATGGTGCTGACCAGGTATAAGACAAAGAAGCTAGATAGAAGTTCTTTAAAATTGTATTGTATAGTGTAAAAGTATGATAACAACTCAAATGATACATTCTCTGATTCATAATGTCTGTCCATTGATGACTGTCACACGTCATAGTACAAGCATTGGTTGTCGAGCTTTCTAAGTAGGAGCAGCCAACAAAGTGCGCCTGCCTGCTTGCAGAGTCATACCACCTGCTCTTTCCTTCCTTGTACACACCCATCCCATTGAGAAGAACTCCGAGAATCGCCACCTGTGATAGACAGAAAACAAGCAATCATAATATTGATTGTCAAATCGAAACTTCCATAATACGTGAAACTAAGATATGGTAGTGCACCCTCATGTACCTCTCAATCAGCTCAAAGAGAAGATCTGAAAATGACAGAGATTCACTAGTTCTCCTTGATCAGATGATGTCTCCGTCGTACCTGCTGTGTATCTGCGTAAGATGAGTTGGGCCGAGTTATTCAACAGAAATGTGACTGTCAGGGGCAAATACCCCTTCGAGGAATAGGTCTGGCCGAGGATCTCGTAGGAGGTGTGCCAGGGCTTCCTTCCAAGAAACTCCTATAGTATACAAGACTGCCCGCAGTTACTGGTGACTCCCCACTCTGAATATACTCAAGCTACTATAAAGGGGTGAATGAACTGTCTTCCTCATAGAGCTTAAAGACCTCAGTAGTCTGCTAGCCCCGCACGCGTCGCCAATAGGTGCACGTAGCGATTTGAAGTACGAGATGTTGTCTGGTCGCTTGCCACTGATGAATGGTGGAAGGGAAGTTGGGTTTGTAAATCGATTGTGATTGTGGCATACTTCGCAGAGTTCATAAGGTTTGTCTAGAGCCATATGCCAGGTAGCCACCCCCTCCGTGCAGACTGCCCTCGTCTTCAGGTTGATAGAAACAATCGGCCAGAATCGGATGTCATGCATCAAGACAAAAGCAAACAATAAGTAGTAAACCAGCGCTGGAGCATCAGCGATTTCTGTTCTGGTTGTGCTCAGGCTGTTGTAGACTTACTTGTCCAGAGGAAGTCAGTTGTTTTCCTTGTGGACCGTGGAGACCTCAGTGGTGGCATGGGGTGTTTCACGATAATGCTCGGGATCGAAATCAGCAGGCTGATCGAAGAAGTGTTCGCAGCGATCGGTAATGGTCTGGGTTTCTGGAGTTCATCATGGTAGTGGTCGTAGCATTTATCGCAAATACCATGGAGCTTATCCAAGTTGTTCTTGATTTGGATAGCGAAACTATACAGCAGGTGCTCGAGTCTTTCTGGCTGGTGATAGAGAGACCTCATCTGCTGGTTGCAAGATTGGACTGCTGGTTTTGCCCCCTCGCAAGTCTTTCTCGACACGAACTTGCGATGTCGTTATCAGAGTCAGTGGATATCCCTGATTAAGGAACACGATAATAAGATCACAACGTACAATAGTTACGAGCCCTAGATAGTCGTGAACACAGAGTTCTTCGAATGGAACGAGGACTTTATATAGAAGCAAGGAAGAAAGAGTTAACGTCAAGATTTGCTATAGATGTGATAAAAAGACGAATTGCAAGACCAATGTGAAGAGCACTTATCTCTGAGACCAATTTTGAAACTCCTGGGCATTGTTCAGAAAGAAGGACTAGAATTGATAAAAGAGCGTCGGTCCTTCTTTGTCAAGTGGCGTCTCTGTCGTGTCTGTTTTGTATACGAGCGAGTGAGAAAATGCCAGGGAGAAGATACCAGAGAGAAGAGACCAGAGAGAAGAGACCAGAGAGAAGAGACCAGAGAGAAGAGACCAGGGAGAAGAGACCAGGGAGAAGAGGCCAAGGAGAAGAGGCCAAGGAGAAGAGGTTAGTCGTGTTACAAAACAGACCGCGCAGCTGAAGAGGATAACTCGACCGTGGTCACCATCGGGTTGCTATGCTGACTGAATGTTGTAGGGCTGTTGTAACCTTGCTTGCCGACGGGAGAGCCGAGTGTTCCATGTGGGTCGTGCAGACCTCATTACTGACCAGAACCTACTATCCCTCCTGATAGCGGTGTGGATCAAAATCGCTGGGCTGATTGAAGAAGTGTTCGCAGTTATCAGCAATGTTATGGGTTTCTCCATCGTGGTCGTGGTCTTGGTCGTGGTCGAGGCATGCATCACAGATACCGTAAGGTTTGTCCAGATAATTTTGAACTCGAACAGCGAATCCATAAGGCAGATACTCGAGCCCTTCCGGCTTGTGATACAGTACTCTGGCGACTGCTGTAGCCAATAGAGCGTGAATAGGCAAGGACTTCGGGATGTTCTCCATCATAAACACGATGAGGAGAGTATCCGGGACCTCGAAGTCGAATTTGAAACAATGATATGAAGTGAGGTTGTCAATGATAGCGCCACGGAAAGTTGGGATATCCAATCTGTCGGCCATGACATACAGCTCCAACATGATATCCAGAGGCTGCTGCTCAAGTTGGCCAGTTGTGACCCATTTCGCGAAAATGCGGAAGTTTTCTACGGCCACATCGCTGATGTCGATGACTTTCGTTCTGGACTCCAGGAAGTAGCCCTGGAACGCCTTCTGGAAGAAGGGAGATACCGAACAGATCACATCCTTGAGGAACTGGAATGTATAGAGCTTGGTGTCTTCGTGGATCTCGATGAGCACATAATCTTCGCGGTGTTGACTGTAGTAAAAATCGTTAGTCAACGTTATGCTGAGGTTCGGAGGGACTTACCTAGCCATAGCAAATGTGGTTGACGCTATATAGCGTGGAGAGAATTGAGAAATTGATGACAGGTGTACAAGCTGCGTAAGCAAGCAACTAGCTGGTTGCAGAGCTGCAGCGACAGATGACAGTCAATCAGAACCAGAGATGGCCAGCATCTATGTTGGATGGACCGAGTAGGATAATGGTATAGAGTTGACGCGGAGAATGATATGGTTATAGGAGATGACCAGACAGAGACCAGCTCTGTTGGTGGAATGAGGTGAGGTGATTGGATTTATACGGTGGTTGAAGAAGTACAAGAAGAGGTGGTGGAAGAAATGTAGGAAGAGGTGGTAGAAGAATGTAGGAGGAGGTGGAATCCTAGCTGGGTATAAGTAGGCAATATGTCAATAGCTTTTAGACAATAAGACCGTCAATGCAAAGAGAGGTCGTTTTGGTTCATTGTGACAATAACAAGACAGCTCTGGAACCTACTGGCATCAGAGCGACAATACAAGTACTGGACAATAGCTAAGGGTTCGGAGCTGCTTCGACGTGCCTTGGAGATCTGCGAGCCAGCAGGCGCTGAGGCTTTCTAGCGCTTTGCCTTTGACATGCTCAAAGAAGAAACATAGCAAGCAAGTGCGTATTTGTTTTTCGTCACGAGCACATTTTCACAGTTTTGCCAGCTCTCGATGATGGCTGATGCGAGAACTAAAAGGAGTGTCCAAGAGCATCTCAAGGTCGGACAGCGTTTCTTTTGTATCGTAAGACGTAGCTTTAATCCAACGGGCTTTTTCTTCTGGCGATCGATCAAACGAAAGGGACAACAGGACATATCATAAAGGAGGTAGTCGAACGAAGTTTGCCAGCGTCCAGGTTCTGCGATGCTCGTCATGGCAATTCCAGAGCAAGAGAAGGTCAGTCTTGCCACTAGGCACCTAGTCACGTCTAGAAAATTACAGGCACTCTCCTACACGCCAGTTAATCAGATCATTGCAATACGAGCGAAAAGATAGAGGAGCAAAGAACAAAACGTACAGCAGCAGGGATTCCCACGTGGTCACCCACCGTAGTACTAATCTGCCGTTCAACTGCTTATGTATGGCAGAGCGGACGGGATGCCCAGTTTTCAGCTGACTGTGGCCGTACGTGCAAGATCTGCTTCTTTTGACAATATGAATCCTCACAAAACTCTTGACCGATGCTCGCATTCATTGTCGCGTCATTGTCGCGTTTGTCGTGCTAGAGGACTATGGTTTCGTTTCTAGAACAACTCGCAATCTGTGCAAGACATTGGTGCTTTGAGCAGCGCCAAATATCGTACTGAAGGAAGCCATGTTATCCAGTTGGAAGATGGCATTCGTAATCTGCTGCATGTCGCAACTCCGAAGACAGTAGCTGTGTTGCTAACCCTTGCGAAACTCGGGTCGTCAGAGGTGGCTGAGGTGCCTTCCCACGTTAGGCTCATGAAGTGCAAAGATTTCAGTTTCGGGCAGCGACGTGCGTAAATCCTACTGCACAGGTTCAGGTCATCGATGGACGAAGTTCATCTTGAGAAGAGTCCTGCACCACAAAGCCTTGCTGCCGGGCGGTGAGTTGAAAATTCATTCCAAAGGCTACAGGATGCGACGCATACTGTCATACCCAACTCTGATGAACTGACATGCCGACTGCTTGTAGTCCTGTTTATGTCAAACCAGACCAGCATTGTGTTGCAGATATCAAGTTACAATAATGGCTGGAAATTTGTTGCAATCTGCTACTGAAGTCTGTGCTGGGTCAATAAACCCGGACCGAAGAAGCCTCCACTCTACAACAACGTGCGCCGACACTTACGCAACCTGCGTTGATCCTCAAACTTAAGCCTCCTCGAACCCTGCCATGGTTCGCTCTTCTCGATGAACTCAACCTCTTCCATCCAAGTATACATCTATAGGATCTAAGGTCCCTCTTCTGAATTTCCAAGCCGACGTTACCCTAAACTTCGGCTTCTCACCTCGACGCCATGCAGTGTGGTTTCTGCGGCCTTTCTTTTCAAACATAATTCGCCTCAGTCAGATGCATACAGTCTTTCGGGCCCTGTGGGCGGTATCAATTTCGCTGCTCGCCTTGCTGTGTGTAACATCGGCATGTGTGAACTCGCCAATCGGTCTACACGACGAACTTGGCGAATACGATGAAGTGTCACGTCACGATACGAGAAATGTTGGTGCTTGCAAAGACTCGGTGGCCGGCATCGACCACGAACGAGCCCTAACAACTGATACGAATACCGCGCTCGAGGATGCGACAACTACCCAGTCCACGATCAACCACCTCTACCACAGGCATGGGACCGGTCCGGAGATGCTGAGGGCCCGAGGCGTCACAACGAATAGCTCCATGGCTACGACTTCCAATCCAGCGGCTCTGTCTTGTTATACCGCGTATTCTAAATGGCGAGCTGGGTCAATGAGCTGGGCCCTGACCGCTATCGGCAACCAGACATGGCCCACGACAATTTCTACCAGCACCATCACACAAACAATTGATACAGTGGCGACGATCTACCCTTCTGGGAGCCTATCGACATACAAGCTCTGCGACGGCTCTCCGCGCGTGGATTATGAGCCATTAACTCTAACTTCACAGGTCACCTCTGTCTCTGAGTTTGATGTCTATGTCACCGTAGGGCTTCCTACCTATTCCTCGGTCAATCCACGCAAGGCGTCCTCCGAAGAGTGCGAATATCTTTATTACCACAGCGGTCTTTCTTGGGATGATATCACATTGATGGCACTCTGCGGATCTCCTGCGCATCTTGGTTTGGTAAGAACATAATCTTCATCACAATTGTTCTGCTGTCCGCTAACCACTCTTCAGCCATGCTTGATTATGGGTGGACCTGTCCAGCTCGCCTACTTTCCAGTCACCACAGTCGGAAGTGACAAATGTCACAACAACGGATCTACTATCACAAATACTGGAGGCCCTACATCTATCGAGGCATTGGGCACCACACTTACTTCTGGTTCGGTCTACCTCTCTTTCAAGAGTCTGTATGCATTCCAAGAAGGTTTTGGTGAAAGAATCGGTCCCGCATTCACTGATTTCGTCCTACCATTACCGTCAAGTGCCATCTCAACGCAGTGTGGTGGATGGTTCTCTGCCCAAGGCCCAGGGACGCCCTTGAATTACGCCGACCTGAATTTCCCTTGGCCAGCAAGTGCATACAACTGTATGAACCGATGTCGTACTGATCTATCCTTCACCATAAGCAACGGCACTGGAGTCCGATGGACGCCTCCTCCACAGTGCTCTACTATTTGGTCGGACATGAATCCTATACTCGCAATGCCGACAGAAGTACGCAACCTGGTCCCAGCATGGTCTACGTGCAGCATGTGGGATGCAGCGCTGCCCAACTTTGTATTTGACCCGCCTCGTGCGCTGGTCGCAGGCACAGCGGTCGCCACTCCAACACCTGCCTGGATGCACCAGGATTCTACTACCCCTGCATCTCCAGCAGCTACTTCGTACACTGCGCTGCCGGAAACTATAGCTTCTACATCAACAACTTCTACCACTACTACACCTTCTGCCGATCCATCCAGCACGGCGTCTAGCTCAATTGCTCATGTTGTAGCCACACCAACCAGGGGTATCGGTGCCACAGGTATAAGCATAGAATTTGATGTCGACGGTCATACATTCACGGCATCAGCAGGCGACAATGCCTTTTCCATCTCGGGCCAGACTATCTCAGTTGGTGGACCTGCTCAAGTGGTGGAAGGCGAGACTATCAGTCTGGCTCTGTCAGGCTTTGTAGTCAATGCGACCACGACCATACCGTTCACTTCCACACGTCCATCGACAGCCAGCAGTGACACGGAGACCTCATTACAGCAGTCGCACACCGCTGGTAAAGGCACTACTTCATCTGGTGGTACTACTTCGTCCGGAGGCTCATCAATCGCGATTTCCTGGGCAGGTATCTCCTTGATGCCCCTGCTCGCTATGCTGCTATCATAAACTACGGCATCTTCGTTCTTCAATACTTGTCGATGTTTGAGCAGTTTGGTATTTTAGCCGAAGGCGTTCTAAGGATTTGCTTATGATACAATTTGGAGATATTTCTTCTTAGAGTTCTTTAGATCTTTTGTAATATCACAGAAATCTTCCTGCTGGCTTGAAAGCTACAATCTCATGATCTTGCGATGTATACCTGTCTTGGTATATGGCAATTTCGTACATTGTCACCGGACATGTGCCAGCAGATTTGGAAACACATCACTGACGAGATTTATGATGCAAACTTCAGCTTGTGATTCAATTTCACTCTGAATTGCGTGTCTGAATTCACGAGCAGAATAAAATCATACGAGTAAGTTGTAGATTGCAGATTGGTGGAAGAGCATGTGACGCCTCGTGGGGATAAATTAATCTCCAGAAGCGATGCGGACGCCTGGCCTGTGCACCCCTCCACAGATGCAGCGTCATTGATATTGGCATCCACCTGAATCTCGAGTCCATTGCGGTTTCCTTCTTCATCAAACCTATACCACACTTTGACTTCTTTCTTCGAGTTTCTTGAACCCAATTCTCTCCCAAACACCACTCAGAACTAATTGTCGATCGCTCTGTCTCTCAACCATTCTACGGCCTGCTTTTCTTGCCACTGCGATACTCTGTCACAACTGGCGATTGAGTCCATCTGTGCTCGCCCATTTACGAAAGCCTACCAGAGTCTTTCTAGTCATGGCCCCCAGAAGAACGCGCGCAAGTGCTGCCGCCGAACTGCAGATCGAAAGCAGCGAACAAGTTTCGAGTCCTCCACCTGAGCCTGCTACCAAACGTCAGACTCGCAAGAAAGCTCCTGCCAAATCTGTCCAGGCCAAGGATGAAGCTAGTGCTGAGTTTCCAGAGAAAAAGCTGCCTTCGCGTAAACGTAAAGCACCTGCTCCCAAAGAAGAATCTCCAGTCTTTGGTGATGAGTTACCGCACAACCTTGGCTCTCTGCCAACCCCCGATACTGATGATGTCGATGAAAACAAAGAGACATCGGTTGCTCCCAAAAAGAAGGCCAAGCGTGTAGCAAAGGCCAAGCAGGTTAAGGCTGATCCGGAAGAGGTCGACCAACTCGCCAAGAAAGCAGCTGAAATTGCCTCACCCCAGGCAGACGTCAAGTCTGAGGTCAAGACTGAAGCCATTTCCCCAGATGTCAAGGCTGATGGTAAAACGAAGAAGAAGGCTACCAAGGCCAAGAGTCACAAACTCACTCCTGGCGAAACCCCTTATCCCGATTACGCTCATCCTACCTCAGAGGAGTGTCATGAAGTTGAACGTATCCTCGCTAAGAAGCACGGCAAAGTCACGGCGCCCAAGTCAATCCCATTGCCCTCACTGGAAGTTACTGGCTGCGGTGAGGTTCCTTCGGTTCTAGACGCCTTGATCAGGACCAGACTGTCTGCTGCGACGACTGGCAAGAATTCGTCAAATGCTTTCAAAGGTCTCGTCAAGACCTTCGGTATTCTCAAAGAGGGTGTGGGCAAAGGTAGCGTTGACTGGAACAAGGTACGCCTTGCATCTCAACCAGAAGTCTATGAAGCCATTAAGAGTGGAGGTCTTGCCAACGCCAAGAGTAAAGACATCAAAGAAATCCTGGACATGGTGTACGAGGAAAACCAAGCTCGATGCGCCGCCCTGAAGAAGGAGAGAGAGGCCAGAGCTGAAGGCCCTGCCGGCTCGGACAACGAACCTGTCCAAGAGAAGAACACTGAGATTCAACGCGCTGAGTCTGGTGTGCTCTCTCTCGATCATCTGCACCTGCTCTCTAACGAAGACGCGTTCGCTCGACTCGTCAAGTTCCCTGGCATTGGCCCCAAGACAGCCTCATGTGTTCTGCTCTTCTGTCTGCAACGTCCTTCGTTTGCTGTCGACACTCACGTCTTCCGCCTCTGCCAGTACCTCGCCTGGGTTCCAAAAGAGGTCCAGAAGGGTCAGCCTCCCGTCAACCGCGAGACCACTTTCGCTCACTGTGAAGCACGTGTTCCCGATGATCTCAAATACCCACTGCATCAGCTTCTCATCAAGCACGGCAAAGAATGCCCTAGGTGCCGCGCTGCCACCAGCACAAACAGTGAACGTTGGGAGGAGGGCTGTCCAATTGAGCATCTGGTTTCCANNAGACATGGCGCCAAGAAGGGAGAAGTGTCGCCTGCAGGCATGGCAGCTCCGAAGACCAAGAGAGCCGCCGCTACTAAGAAGGGCAAGGGCAAGAAGAAGATCGACAGTGACAGCGAGGAGGCTGAGAGCAGTGGTCTCAGCGAGTTCGAGAGCGATGATGACTACGACGAGTAAGGATGAGGACTAAAACATGCTCGGATGGAGTAACAAACAGTTGCGATGCTTTATTGTTACCTGGACGATTTCCTCTTGCATGAAAAGTCATGCAATGGTTCGAGGAGGAATGCGTGTGGATTTTGCTATCTTGATCGATATGGGGATGTGGCGTTTCTTGCTATCTACCCGAGCTCACGAACATTGCTTGGACGAGTTTTGACTGATGAAAGCACAGTAATTAGCTATCATGATTTTACGAGGGTATGCTGCTTAGCTTGTAACATATGTATCGAGATGTTATTGCTTTTCTCAGTTGCTCCCACGTCTACGGTGAGGTGCAAAATGTGAGTGATCGACTGAAGGAGGAATATTGGCTTTTATCCTTGTCAAGTTGGACCTCCAAGGGTTAGGCTCTTTCACTCACTCTAGACAGATATAAAAGTTCCGACTTTGTCCACTACAACACAACGATCAGTTCCCACCATTCTCACTGTCAGGTATGACTCCAGACTGCCATGATATATGTATGTTCTGACGTAATGACAAGCATGGAACAAACTTTCAGCGAAGCCATCAATAAGGCAGTCACCACAGCCATTGACAAAGTCGTTCAAGAACAAGTGAAGGCCATCGAGCAAGAAATGGAGAACAAGATAAACGAGGCTTCCAAGAGAGCACACCTCAAGGCCAAGATCGAAGCCGTACGCTTGTATCCATTGTGTATTTGAGACACATACTGATACACAAGGTTCCATGCAGGCACAAGCTATGATTGCAGAGCGACAAGAGTTGATCTTAGATGGTGCTAGCCGTCCTTGGACGTTCTGGCTTGAGGACAAGAACAAGAACGACAATGACAAAATCGCAGACTGGCAGATGGACCTCCTGATGATGGACCAAAACTGAACAGTTACCTGAGGCCTTGTGAACTGAAAACCAATCCTGGAAATATGGCTTTCCTACACTGAGCATTTATTTTTACTATATCAAAACCTAATGCAGTGGCATTCAGACTTCATATTCTGATTATTGCTGGTCTGTCGATACAAAAATACTAGCCAATGATGATTTCAAAGAACAAAGTTACAGTATAGCAAGAGGTAGGCTTAGATCTCAAAGGTGAGTAGTGGCTTCCAAATTCGTCTCATCAAGCAAAAACTGCGTGTCTCAGGAAGTCACTCTCTTTCACTCCTTCCTGAGACTTGCTGATCCAAAACATCCCCACCCTGTGTCTCCTTCACCACAATCTGACAAACATTTGTGTCATCCTCGCCTTCACGTAAGACTGTAGACCACAACCAGATTCGCGGCAGCTAATTAATCAACAGCATGGAGAAAGCCCTTGGCGAGGCAATCGAAAGGGTTGTCACCATCGCTATCAACAAAGCTATTCCCACCGCCATCAACCATAACTTCGATGCATCTGTTGACCAAGCCGTCAATAAGAAAGTGAAGGAGGTCGAATCAGCTATGGAGAAGAAATTCAGAAGAGCCACCAGAAAAGCAGAACTCGAAGCCAACCTTGACGCAGTAGGTTTTGTCACTTCCACGTCTGATTTTTGAAATCTTGCACTAACTCACGAGACCCATAGGCAAAGACTATGCGTTTGGAACGCTCTCGCTTGATTCAGGACCTGTGTGATTACCTATACCAGCCCAAGTCCGACCTTGCTTGTGTGCTTCGCCACAGGAACCAGCAGGAGTCTATGAGAATCAGATATTTCGAGGAAGAACTTCTTGCAATGAAGATTGAGGATGAAGAGGAAAAGAAGAAGGCAAACGAGGAGCAAGTCTAGAGCCGCTGTCCTGCAGCATAAGAAGTGGCCGAACACGGTTGAAAAGATGTGAAGTATCGTTCGAAGGAAAGAAAAAACAGATGTTTCGCTAGTCTATGGCTGTCTAAACCCAAGGACACTGGCTCTCTCATGGATCAAAACTATTTGTACTGTATCAAACTCAATGCTTTTCTGCTTCCATCTCTTGATTTCCATGCCATGTTTCGCTAACACAGACGGGTGTCAAAACCCAACGACGATGACAAAGAGAGAGGATCTCGAAACAGTTGCAAGGAAGAAAATCAAAGAGAGGCTTGACTCCAAAAGAGGGGAAGGACCGACCAACTGACAAATAGAATCTCAGCAAATGAGAAAGGAAAGAGCGGAGAGTGTTTCAGAACCAAAAGCAGAAGAAGCAACTAAAAACAAAAAGAAGGGCAAAAGAGAAAGCAATCCAAGCAGGCAAAAACAGAACCAAAAAAGTATGAGGAGAGCGGATGTCAGGGTTGATCCAAAACCCCCAGCCACTTCTTCTCAGTGTGATTCAGCGTGGCGATCATTTGAATGGGAATGTCAGAGAGGCAAGCAAGAGCAAGACTCGCTCCACCTCACTCCTCCTTCAAAGCCAACACGCTGCGGTTAACGAAGCGATACCATCCAGCCTCTCTGAGACGGAACTTGCGCACATCACACTCGGCGCAGAACAGATCCTCTTTGACAGCCTCCTTGATCTTTGCCACAAGCTCAACAACACATTTGGGTGTCTTGGCGTCGATATCAGGGATGTTGAGAGCATGCATGGCATTCTCGACCGAGATGTCCAAAGGAGGGTAAGTCTCGTCCAGTACGAAGAGAAGTTGTTTCTGCAGAGACATACGAGCAGAGTTGAGTTTGCCGTTGACATCGGGGCANAAGGCTTTGTTTGCGTTCATGAGGTGATTGAAGGATGGGCTCTCAGGAACGGGGCTGGTGGGTGAATTGGGCGAGCCAGGGATGGGCACAGAGTCATCACTATCGGTACTCTGGCTGCTGCTGTCGGTAGCATTGGTCGACAAGGACGAAGTCGAAGAGGTGCTGTCGTTGCGAGAGGGAGGGTGCAGAGCCGTGGCGATAACGGCCACTTCGGCTGCGGTGAGGGCGTCTCCTCCTTTTAACGCTTTGATGCGTTTCTTCGCCTTCTTACGCTCTCGCTTCTTGAGCTTTGGAGTAGTCTCGGGGTCGGAGTCGGCGGACCAGGAGTTGGAAGCTCTTTTGCTGGTAGGCGAGAAAGGGGGAGCTAGGGAANNGCCGCTGGGCTCAATGCCTTGTTCTTGCTGAAGTTGGACCAGTTGGCGGAGGAGCAAGGCAAGCTGTCTGTGGCGCTCATTGTGGGCACTGTTGTTGCGGCGACAGGTATCGCAGTTGTGTGCCTGGCCTNNGTATTTACCAGTATTAGTTTCGCGATCTTTCAATGCTCTGGTTCTTCGAAAATCGCAAACCAGGGAAAACAAACAAAAACGCCGAATGAGATCGCGGGTAGAGCAGGTCGACTTACCGATCATGAAGAAGTGCTGGTGAAACAGTGGGCATATCTCCACATGCTTGAGGTAGCAGGTGTTTTTGGCTCTTGGGTTGTTCAAGGGAGTCTGGCACTTGGGACAGTGGTGCTCTGCGAAAGGTCAGCGGTTGCAGTATACAAAGATGGTAACAAGAGCTCAACTCACCAAGNNACCAGGGCTGTCTTCCCAGCGGAGCAGTTCTTTGGTCATCTTTCCAAGTCTAAAGGGTATGCTGTGTCAGTTGTGAGAACGAGAATATTTGTTGACGATCTCGCTGTGCGCACTGAGCGAAGTCGGGTCTCAAGGAGCAACAACCTTTTATCCAAAAAGCGGACAATAGCCAAAAAAAAAAAAAATCAGGAGCGATGGTTGAGAGTAGAATGCTCTGGCAGACGACTACCCTTGAAGCAAGACTGATATGGAAGCTGGATGTAGTGTCCAGACAGCTCAGGATACGAAGCGGTCAAACGAACACCAAAGGGCTGGTAAGAAATGACGGAATGTCTCTTCGAAACCGGAGTTTCCGTCACAAACTCAGTGAAGCGGTCGTTGGTCAAGTGGGTTGTGCTGTTGATCCGTCGGGAGAGAGCAAACGCATGAAACAAACAGGGAGTGGAGAAAAATCCGGATACCAACATTGAAGTTGATGATTTAGGCAGCAAGATGATGCACATTGTTCATACGGTTATTCGATGATAGAAACTTTCTCATAGACATAAGAGAATACCTACTGCACCTACAGGAATCCCAGAAGAGGCAGCGTCCCGCTCACGCATCCTTCACCATGCGGGCACCCGCCCAGACGAAGGGGTAGTTCCTCTGGTACCAGTTGACANNCTGCAAATCGTCAGTAAAAATATCAGGCTTGAGACCGGGCGAATCAACTTACAAACTCTTACGTCCTGCAATGCGCGGGTGTGTTGCCCAGGATCCACCAAGAACGACGTTGTGCTTGCCATCGAAGAAATCAGCNTGCGGGACACGTCAGAACGGATTTAGCATGGATATATCAAGACCCTCACCTGTGTAACCTGGATAGAGGGGCATCGCTTCGAAGCCCTCGTGTTTGTCCAGCACCGTACTGGTCCATTCCCAAACACCACCCATCTCCGATTGACCGGCAAGCTTGTTTCCGTGCTGTGAAACGGGCATGGGGTGCCAGTGTCGGAATCCAACGTTAGCTCCTAGCAGGTTCACGAACAGATCGTTCGGGTTGGGACCTGCGGAGCTGGAAGATGAGGCGTTGGATGGTGGTGACTCTTCAACACCGTCATTGACAAGATGCNNCTGTACCCGGATTAGTCAAGTTTCAGTTGTATGCTGTGGTTGTACTGACGCGTTAACAGCGGGGATTTTAGCTCCAAGCGACTCATGTGCTTTGGCCTTTGCTTCGTCAACATAACGATAGATGCTTCGGGCTTCCTCCATGGTCGGAATGCGGCCACCCATCCAGCGAGCGCAGCCTGCGATTTCATCGTATGATGCGCAGACAGGCCAATCCAGTGCTAACTTTAAAGATACAGGCCCATATACAGTACGTACTGCTTTGCCATCGAGGAAAGCCGACGATGAACCACTCGCAGCCTCTGCACCGTTGGCACGAGAAAGCGTCTGCCAAGATGCAGGGAGAGTGTCGATGTGGTTCTCCTCAAGGTATTTGGCGTATTCTCCGTTGGTAATAGGTCTTCCTTGAGCCTTGAATGCTGGCACCTGGACGGTACGCTTAGGCTTCTCGTTGTCCCATCCGAAGAAGTGCTCGGGGCCTGAGTTGTCGTCAGGGTCCTCGAGACCAATCTCCACCTTTTGAGCTGGAATATCGAACCATTGGTTTTCAACAGCGCCTTGTCTTGCTTGGACGGCCAGAGCCTCGAAGTCGGGCATTACTGTTGTAGGTGGAGCCATTGTCTTCTCACTCTGTACAAGCATGTATAAAAGTGTCTCGAGATGCATGATCTCGTGCTCGTATGACAGCCACAAGGCTCTTGAGACGGCGCGGTCTTTGGTCGCCTGTCCAGAAGCATACAACTTCTTGACTCTGATACGTACTTTCGATTGGAAGTCAAGAATCTCGGTCGCTGGTGGCCACGAATCCGGAATCTCGCTGTGAGCATGACATTGCTCGGGGTCATCCACATCGGGATCAATTCCTCGCTCAAAGATACTGGGATAGGAGCTTGGTTCCGTGGGCTTGCCGTGAGTTGCGCGTGTGAGATGGATGTCCATGAACGTAGGAATGTGGCCAAGGTAGAAGATGCAAGCATTGCGAAGCTTGATAGGTTTCTCCAATAGCTCCTCCTCTGGAATCATCTCCAAGGTGACAGCATCCCAAGCAGCCCAGAGTTGGTTCCACTCCTCGAGTGAAGGAACGGGTTGGGCGGCGTATTTCTCAGCGACCAGAGGGTATTGCACCTTGGGCTTGTTGAGCAAGTGTAAGGCTATAATCTGTCAGTCCAAAGCCCTGATCAAAGACACGTTGGAGAAGCACCTACCATAGTCGCCATCAGAGTTGGCCCACTTGGCACCTTCCGTCAGGCCAGCATCAGACCAGAGTCTCTCACTCTGAGCTGAGTTATACTTGTAGCTCTCTTCGATCCTGACCTGCTCCCCGGCACGGATCAGAGCACCCTCTATCGTTACATCCTCTTTTGGGGAGACAAAGGCTTCATGGCGATCAGTCTCCTTGTTGTATTGACCAATGACCTCCCATTTTCTGATGTCGAAGGCTTCGTAGCCAAGTAGTCTGTTTGCTTGTTTCAGACCACAAAGAATGAACTCATGTGTCAGACCTTCGCGATCGTTATAAGCGTGGTACACCTTATCTGCATCTGTGCAAGCGTCGACACCCAGTAACAGGGTGTCATTGGGATCCAATGTCTCGGAAAATTGGGAGAGGAACTTTGCGGCCTCGTCTCTAGAGAAGTTTCCAATACTTGAGCCTAAAGACAGAACTGTTTTTGATCGATGAGCGTTCTCGGGCTTCTTTAACCATTCGAGGCCTTCATCATATGTTCCAAGCAGTCCATGGCATTGTACGTGCTTGAAAGAGCCTTGTGGTACCTCGGCCAGAGTGCGTTCCAGTTCTACCTCGGAGACATCCAAAGCATAGTATGACACGTTCTTGCCTTTGCGATCAAGGGCATCGAGGAGGATACGGACTTTTCGGAGATTGCTACTAGGCTGTCAGCAACCTGTTGCCAATTACGTACGGCATGGTGGCTGTACATACCCACTACCTAATTCTACTAGCATAGAGTCGGACTCGAGAGCAATGCGATCGGCAATGCGATCAGCGTATGCTTCAAGGACTTGTATCTCCTGTCCTGTAGGATAATACTCGTCTAAGTATGTGATCTTCTCAAAAGCTTCAAGCCATCCCTCGCTGTATAGCAATAGTGTTGGCAGCTTCTTCTCTTGTCCTTCTCTTGCATTGAGGCCCTCTCGGATCTGAGGTACTAGCGGGGTGAGACCTCCGCCGTCTTGGCGGATGTCTATGATCTTTGGAGCAGTGTTGGTAGCCATCTGTTGTGTAGTAGCGTTGCTATAGTTGAATGGCGCGATTTCGCGTGCTCAGAGGGAGGGGTAGACCGAGGGTATATAAGCAGCTGGACAAGTCTCACCTTCCCCCTCGTTCCTGGTAAACATTTGACCCCACATCCATGTCCAAGTGTGTCATCGTTGGTCAGAGGCTCACTCATCCTATTCGAAACGGTTTCCGTGCCGTAGACAAGCCAATCAGCTGATGTCAGGCCCAAGTCGATCGAGGAACAATCGTCTTTGTACCTGGATTTTGCGGGGCAATAGGCTGAGTTTCCTCAGCATCCGTCTGCTTGTAAACACTGATGCGGCATTTCTGCTAGGCACTGCCTGCACGACGACCTCGTGTATTGTCTGTGACCGTCTGAGTGGTGGCTGGGACGTCAATATTCCAGTTTCTCCGATCGATCTTGGGGCCTTGGACGCAACATTTCCGCGTGACGTAAACATCGGGCTTGATTCGGAAGGTCCGAAGCTTCGGCAGTCATGAGCAGTCAAGCTGCTTGTTGCTACAACCATCACCCTGGTCACTTCCTCCTCCTTGCACCTTGCAAGCTCATTCATCCAGTCCTTCAATCAGAACTGTCACATTGTAACTTAAGCACAATTTCTTCAGAAACAGTGCTCTATTCATCAAAAGTCAACTACTCAGCAAAACTGTCATCAATCGGGGCTTCACGTTAAGGCGAACACCATCCCTTGAGTGCGATTCAAGGCACTGCCAGAAAGCAGAAAGAAGTGCAAAACAAGACAGCAACATCAACAGCTCTGTTCCTTCTCTTCCCTGCTTCGGTAAGCCCTGCCCTCAGCAACACTCCTGACTTTTCCCGTCAGCTTGTTGAGTCTTTCCCTCAGTCCTTCGTTCTCGCCTTGCAGCACCGCAACATCTTGTGTAAGGCTGTTGTTCTTGGTCTCGAGTTTGCTCACGAGGACGCGGCGCTCGCGTCTCTCCTTCTCCAACATAGATTCTAGTCGTTTGATCCCGTCCTCTAGGCTACTGACATCCGGGCCGCCTTTTTCTCGTTCGAGTTTGACGATGCGTGAGTCAAGCGCTCTCATGGTCGCAGCCCAGGGTTCCTGCTGCGCATTCTGTTTTGAAGTTGCCACAGTTGCTTCTAAGGCCACCAGTCTGGACTGCATCTCTTGCCAGTGACCTTGTGGTAATCCTCGTTGGTCAGTCTTGTAACTTTGTTCTGGAACGAAGCGTTCCCTGACGTTCGTGGTCTGCTGGCCTCTGGAACCGCTTTTTCTCGAGCCGGCAAGGTGTGCAGAACCACCTGCAACTGCCTGTGGCTCTTGGCTCAACGTTTGCTCGCCCTCAGTTTGTCTTGGATCTGGACGAACCCTGTAGCTGTCCTCACTGCCCTGATCGCTGGAGTCCAGTGTGGGGGTTGGTTCTGTCCTGGACTCCATAGGTGTGTGATACTCGTCGTCCTCGCCCNNTGGCCATCCCCCCTGGGCATCGTCGTGAAAGGACAACTGGAGGAACTCGAACGACTTCCCATTCAAGGACGCCCTGGTACGCTTTGCAGGAGGCTCTGTTCCTTCCCTGCCTTTGACAAACGCGCGTTTGTGTGCGTGACCACTTGGTCGGAACTGNGCATCTTGTTAGTACTGCTCCATCGAGGACAGTAAAGAATGGTGTGTGAACTGTGAAAAGGCGCAATTGTTCGGGAATCAGGGATGTGACCAAGGAGAGTCGGCTAGATAAGAGGGAAATTCTTTACATACTGGAGGATCCTTATTCTTCCGGACACCGGTAGCGCCTTTCTGAACACCGTTGGCTTGCGAGCACTGGAAGTGCCTGCGCATGCAAAAAGCACANCCAGTGGTCTCGTACTTCTTGCCGAGAAGGGACATGCAAGCCCTGTCCTCTCTTTCGCACAAATCGCAGCGCGGGTTGCGCTCCTTGCCGTAATGAAGACCCAGGCGTAGTCTCTCATCCTCAGCGTTGTTACGATCAAGGCCTTCCCAGTAGTAGGCCCCTTTCAGCTTGCGGTTGTCGTAGTCTCCAGCACACAGGGGGNNAGGGTGCGGGCGGATGACCTCAGCGTCACGAGGGATCGCTCCCTTGCCAGGACGATAGAGTCGGACGGGGGGAAGGGAATGCTCTCCCAGCTCAGGAGAAGGGTCCATAGTTGTATGAGAAGAGGTTGTTCAACAAGGTAAGAAGGCAGACAGGGTATTGGACAGCAGAAGAGGGCACAGGGGTGGCGGGTTGAAAGGGAAAAAAAAGAGCTCGGGGTCATCAAGCGTTTTTATACCAGGAAGGGGATTTCGAGAGTCATATTGACATTTGATGGGCCCGCATAACAGCGCAGGCATGCGCCCATTTACAGACCTGTGGACGGGAAGGGCCCATTCCCTTCTGAATCTCCTCTTCCTGGCCTATTGATTACAAGCTCAGGTGAGCAAATTTGCGGGACCGTAGACGAGAACTCTCACATGATGAGTTAAATTCATGACTAACCATATGCCACTGAAGCTTGGACGTAATCGGGACTCGCTCCTCTTGAGAAGGGTCGAAGAGGAGCCCCGAGCGGGCTATGGGCCCATGAACTCGATTTCACACAGCATACTAATGTCACGTAAAGAGGATAGCACAAGATCTAAAAGATCTATACACAAGCAACTGGATCTGAAAGCATTGCATTGTTATTATCTCGTCTCTAGCAATCTCGCCTGGCATCTAGCACTACTGAAACCTCCGAACATCTACAACATCTTCTCGCAACTCGTTCAACTTCCAACTTCAGCTTTCTTCAACTGCTGCATCATGAGCTCGTTAATAGCATAGTTCATTTTCTTACGAAGTTCGCGGACTTCTTCTTTGAGCTTGTGGTCCTGCTGTTCTCTGAGTGAAGAGATCTGTTCTTCGAGCTTGCGAACTCTCTCCTGGTTCTGACGCTTTTCTGATTGGTTCTCGGCTTCCAAGGCACGAAGGCGCTCTTGGATTACACCTGTGCCCTTGGAGTAATCGTTCAGTTGGACGTCTACTTTAGTAGAGCGTACTTGATCGAGCTCTGTGGGCTCGGGCGTGCAGAAGAGAGGAGATGGCGGTGGCGAGTCCGGTATCTCGATTACTGTTCGCCGGCGAATCTTTTCGTGTGTACCAGCAGCTTTAGTGGTGTCCTGAAGATGGACATTTCCTGATCGTGGCTTGGTGGCAGGCCCAGCATGAGTCCTGCGACGGTTGAGGAATCTCTTAATCGGCATCTCATCATCCGAGTCCTCTTGGACAATCCGCCTGGATTCCGAGTTGGAGCTTTTATGGCGCTTTGCCGGTGGCTGATTGTCTGGTCGCTCTGTGGCTGCACCGCTTCTGCCGTGGATTGCAGAACTTCTGTGGTGTATCGCAGGTGGTTGATGGTTTGAGCCTTCCGCGTCTTCATTATCCTTGTTACGCGATGGTTCTTTGGTCGTAACCTGATCGTGACTTAGTATAACCTTGGCTGAAGCTCCTGCTGATTTCTGACATACCGCGGCACTCGAGGTTCTCTTACCACCATTAGCAAAGCAACAGCCCGCCTTTGGACCTAATCGGCATCTCGCACATGTTGTGATGGCAAGAGTATCGTCGACAACCTTTGTGCAGCTACGATCCGATTTCTCACAGCGATTGCAATGGGGNTTGTTTTCGATACCATACCATATGCCCTCGAGTGCCCGTTTTGATTGAGTGACATAACCCGGGTTGTTACCCTTGAATCTTTCGTTTTGCCAGACATATAGTCCTGTCGACTCGTTGTAATCGCCCCATCTTAGGATGGGGTGCTCTCTCTTCACGGCAGAAGTCATGCCATCAGGAAATGATGGCTTCCAGTAAGTCTTCGAGAGGTCGGGTGCAGGCGGCTTCGAGTTCATGCGTGGTCTGCGCATCTTGATAGTTGAGAAGAGGAAGAAGATATCCTGTCGGGAAGAGGAAGGAAAGGGAAGAATAAGTTTGAACGGAGGAAGTGAAGAGGGAGGAAAGGGTTTGAACTAAGTGGATTTTTATATGCGGCCAAATGAACGCAATGAGTCGATTCAGAAGGCAGTCGCGCGAGGTATGAGACATAACCCGACCGGACTTTCCTCTTCCCTGGCCCCCTGCCTCGTGACTACTATTCTTGCATCGTTCTTTTGAGTTATTATCCTGCCCTTCCATTCGCCGGGACTGGAACAAGGCAAGATTCATTGAGCAAGAAAGAGAACCCGTCTTTTACAGATGGAGAGGGATCGATTTCCAGCACCTTAGCATATCGAACGAAGACTCTTTGTCACATTCTATGAGTGAGTTTTGGCATCTCCACTCTATCGAAAGATATTTGCGGCCGTGAAAATGTGTGATTGAATCAAGATTCAGTTTAGCGATAGTCTAGTGACTAAGCTTAATGCCCTCTTTCCTTCCTAATCGCCTGATCCCATCCCTGCCTACTGTCCTCCCTCGACTCGGCTCACTCTAGCCTTTAGACGTGTGATTTCATCTTCCAACCATCGCCTGTTGGACCTTTCTGTCTCGATTTGCATTTCCAACCTCTCGATCTGGGTTTCGTCAACTGCTTCCCCGTTTGGGTCCCTCCTCGTATAGTCAGCACGAAGAGCCAACAGGTCGGCAGCTTGTTTCTTGATCATTGTTCTCAGATTTTCAAGCTCGGTCTTGTATCGCTTGTCGATGATTGCGTAAAGTCCCTTCTCGACATCACTGAAGCCAGGCATTGTGTTGTCCTGTGGTTGTCGGCGAGGTATACTCGCATGGCTTTCCTGGTCATGTGTCTCTTGCAGATGACGTATATCTGCGCCCAACGTAGTGCTTGAGAGACGGCCATCTCTATGTTCAGCAGTAGTCGAGCGATCAGCCAAGGTATCGACTTGAGTCTCATCGTCGAGGGTCGTGCGAGAGCCCACCCAGCTTGGACCACTACGCAAAGGCGTCTCAAAGCGGGTTTGGGGCGTCGATTCAAGTTTTCCAGCGTATTGATTATCCTGAGATCTCACAAAGATCACTTCCGGTTGGTCATCAGTTGACTCTCTGGTAGGGTATGCCCGCCAGGATGAGCGGGTACGCTTGACGGCCCCGTTTGTGTCGTTCGCATCAGATTCAGCTGCTTTGCGTTTTTGGGAAGAGGTGCTCTGTTGGTTGGAATCCGCGCGAGCCTCAATACTTGGCCGAGAGTCATCAACGTCGGTTTCCATGTTTCTGCTCCTGCTAGGCTTGCATGTAGCATGCACACGACGACACTTGACACAACTCTTGTGAGACTGGCCTTCTTCTCCAAGAAACCACATGCAAGCGCGGTTTTGCTTTTCGCATACATTGCATCGGGGCTTGCGTTCTTCACCGTAATACATGGCGAGAAGGATTCTCTTCTCTTCAGCATCTTTGACGTCTAGTTTCTCCCACCAGTACATATCTTTAGAGAGGTTGTTGTTAAAATCTCCAGCGTAGAGTGGAGGATGTTCTCGGTCCATAACAGCGTTTCGAGGTATTGCCGGTCGCTTGAATCGTGTTGCAAGGCCAGGACTGGGAAGGGGCGAGTTTTGTGGTGACATCTCGCTTGGGATGTAGTCAGGCGAGTTGCAAGCCATGGGGTACTCCGATAGACCAGAAATAGTGGTAATTCTTGAAGAGCGGGTCTGGATCACAGGAGAGAAGAATGCAGGACCGGGGCCAGAAGAATACGAGCCTATGTTGATGCCAGACGAATATGAATCTATGTTGATATGCTGAAGAGGCGACTTTTGTGGAAAGAACAAGTTCAGGTTGACTCATATCCTGACGAATCTGAGAATGTCCTGATAAATCTGAGATAATTTGCGCAGTCACGTACAAGCTCGCTCGGCAAGCGAAAGGCAGTCCCTTCCTTGGGAAGAAGCACGTGGCCGCTCAGACTCTTTCAACCTACCCTCTATCGACAGAGCCCGATCCCTGCTAGAAGACGTGACGATAGACATGAGTAGACGAGACCAATATGAAGGATCACAACAAAGGAAGCAGACTCTAGAAACCTGGTCATCGTAAAAGGGTATCATTCGTATGTACGTACAATCGCAAATGGTGAGTCTTAACTCAAGAAACGAAGTCTATGTTGGTTGCAAATAAGAACAAGTGTTGCCCTCCGCTAGAGATCGCTGATGCTAGATCTGAAGAGCTTTTGAGAAACTGATGTGCAAGTGTGAAGAGGCATCCAAACGAAACAACCCAAGCTTTGTAGTCCGCTATGCAAGAAAAAGAATCAACAAGGAGAAACTAAAAACATTAATGTCCAGAAGGTTCGCAGCAAGAGAGGAGAAGATCAGAACATCTCGTCTTCGCTGAATCGGTAAGCACCTCTTTCTTCGGCAGGCGTGCGGTACAGTTCATACGGAGTTGGTGGCTCTACACGGCCGTACTCGTAGTTCGGGGGCGTCTGGCGTACCGAGCTGCGAGGAATACTCCTACGACCACTGTCAACGCCAGCGCTACGGTGGCGAGAACCGTATTCGCTGTCCTCTCCAGAGTCACCAGAAAAGCGGCTCTGGATTCGAGCGTCAGGTCTGTCGAAAGCACGCAGAAAGGAAGCTGGCGGTACAACAGTGGCGGGCGAGGAAAGGGCATTGTATGCCTCCAGACGCGAGGCGCTGCGGCCACCATCTGACTCTGCAGGGGTACGTGGTCGTTGACCTTGCGGAAGAGACTGTGCTGTGTAGCTACCCCAGCTACCGCGCGAAAGTTGCAGGCGAGTAACCTCGTGCTGGAGGTTACGAACTTGATTCTCGAGGATGCGGCGGGCAGAACGCTCTTCGGATAACATGTTGTAAAGGGCAGTAAAGGTGCCATTGGATGTGACAGCAGTACTGCGTAGAGTTGGAGGTGCGAGGTTAGGACGATCGCCATTTGTGCTACCATGACTGCTTGGGCCCCACTCGCGCTCCATAATATCGCCAGCATCTTCATAACCTCGAGTGGGCGCTTGCATTGACTCAACAAAGATGCTGGGCGTTTGCTGGCGATGTGATGAGCCGGGTGGCTCGGTTGGAGCTACGGCTGAAGGGCTAGACAGGGCGAGGTTAGACAACGACCGCTGGAAGTCAACGAGGTGAGCCTCAAGTTTGGCAACACGAGACTCCAGATCAGCAGGAGTCTCCATCGCAGGTGCAGTGAGCGGGCGACTAAAGGAGCGCACAGTCAATTGAGGAGATGGATCTTTTGCAGGCACTGGTTGTCCACGCGTGGAGGGAAGCGAGACAGCATCAGAGCGTGGCAGAGGAGGATGTGCTGACAGAGGTGTCGGAACCGAGACAAAGTCCGGCTCCCTGGTGTAGTGTTCAGGCACTTCGGGTACTTCAGGCACATCAGGCACGTCAGGTACATCCGCTGCATCGACCTCGTCATCGGCGGGTGGATATTCGTAGACGGGAGCTTTCCCGGTCGGGCTGAGGAGGACGCTGGCATAGCTCCGGCGCCAGTACTCAATCTCACCAGTACGATCCCGAAAAGATTCAGCGGCTACCATTGCTTGCTTGAGATCATTTGCACTACGCGACCTCCTCTTGTCCATCCTCGACCTGGCGTCGGCTGTCAAGGCCGACCGAGTGAGGTTCTGCCCTGTACCTGCCGTCCGCTGCCCAGTATCGGATTCTACGTCCACAGCTCTTGTGTCTTGACCCGGTTGTAGTGTGTTCGAGATATCGGCCGCTTCGTTAGCAGTCATGATTAGACTGGGCAGGGTGGCTCTCCGCTTTGGACCATGATCGCGGGTATAGAATGGATTGGCCAGGTCTAGAGGCTTTAGGCGGGCACTCTTAGGAAATTCAACGGCATAGCTAGGTGACGCGCGAGCCGGTGTGGTGTTGTAGTCATGAGGGTGTTGCGACTGGAAAGGAGCGGACAGCGGGCCCGCGAGGTGAGTCGAGAGGGGTGCAGAGATGATGCGTTGGTGAATGGCGTCAGATGGGTGCGTATGAATTGTTTGTGGCCGCTTGAAGTGACCGGGGTCCNNTGTATTGCCGTTAGTACTGGTATGTGGTCAGGTTGTCGTACGCGGTCCACTGACGCTTTTGTGGTAGCCATGTCGCGACGCTTCTACCCGTGGTATGGCGGGCACTTCTGGAACATCGCCCTTGGACTTCCTGCCAAATAAGCGCCGCACCGCGTTGCGTATTGAGCCTTTTCTCTCTGCGCCTTCGACGCCTGTGCCATTGCCATTGCCAACCGAATATCGCGCTGATTTGCGTTTGCGGGGCTTTGGGGTCGTGTCGGTGCTGCGTCTTCCGTCGTCGGCCTGGCCTTGCTGTGCTGTCGCCGTCACAGACGCGAAGTATTCGGCTGAAGGGCGGCCGTATGAGACATTGTCAACTCCTATCTCTGGTCGCGCTGGCCGAATCGGCGGCGAGCGAGTTCGTTGTGTCGTTACTGATCCGTCCATGGATCCATACAGCAGTAACTTGAAATGGTCCGGTCCTCTAGTGGGCTGGTGCCGTGTCTCCCAGCAGGTTAGAAGCAGTCAAAGAGGTCAAGGATGACAAGGTAGAGACAGGCGTGGCTGGATGTAACGAGCGACAGAGGATACTGAAAGAATGGACAGGTAGAATAGCCACGAGGTCAGCTCCTGGAGATAGACACCCAGGTTAGTTCTCTCCGTAGAGCAGGCGCACGCTGGTTAAGAGATGCAGATGCAAATGGTTGCAACAGTACGACAAACAAAGACAGAAGCCACGGCCACTCAGGGAAGGGGCGAAGGAAGTGCTGCGTCCAACAGAGGAACAGCAAGCAGCTCGCATACCAGGGACGGACTCCTCGCTCGCAGAACGGGCATGCGCCAGAGGATATAGCCGGGAAGAGTCCGTACCTTCAACCGTCAGCAGCGACTTATCTGGCAGGAACCCGTCTTCCGATCACTATCATTCGTTGCGGGGATCGTGCAGACGTGGCGTTTGCTTGCTCTTAGCCCAATAGCATTTGCATTAGTCGTCGTTGTAGTACTGTTTCAGCATCTTCCACATGGCAACGTTTTGCTGCTTAGGTTGGCGGTTGTCCAACTTTGATTCGCTGCCCTTCCTTCACTCGACCACCACGCCGTACTTCTGGTGGCTGCCTGTATCTTCCTGTTCTCTCTTACTCATCCCAGGTCATCCTCGAAGTATCAATGACCAGCTCATCCCATGATCAAACTTGCATTACTTCATCGGCAAGGATGAATGCTTCATGTCTATGACTACGCTAGCCGAAAGCCTATTCATAAAGCGATGGCTGGTGAAAGCCCTCGGATCTCTACAAGGCCTTTGGTCAATGTCAATGATGGCGCAACTCCTTTCCATCATCGTCGCTTCCATGATAAAATCAAATTCTATCTGCCCGTTCAGCTTGACCGTTGCGCCCTCGGGGGTCGTTGGCACCGAAGAATCAATTGCTATAACAGGGTGCAGTCTTTCTCTTTCGGCACTGTTAATCTCCCGTCGCGCCTTTTTGCTGCCAAGTCCATTGTTACTGCGACCATTCGGGTAGATCTTACCTCCGATTCTGCTGGTTTGGAGCAGTGGAGCACCAGCTCACGGTCCATGTCCTCGCATCTTCTTGCCCTGCTTGCAATCCTCGACTGCATCAGCAGACTACAAAAATACTTCCATCTTGTACCATGCACCTGTGTGTAGACTGTGTCAAGTACAATCACCCCATCTCCATCGCCTTCTGAAACCAGCACCGCCATCAGCTAGATCCTTGCGGTCCAGCGTGACACTGTCTGTCAGAAAAGACATGCCGGACTTCCTTGCCGGACCAAACTATCTATCTGTCACACGTTTACTCGTCGCGAAGCACGTCGTCTAGATCCGGATAGCGCAGGTCTGCGTTCTCTTCGAGGAACTCCATCCAGCTCTTGAGAAATTTGCTGCCACTGTGAATCCCGAAGAAGCGGTAACCAGTCAGCCCAAACATTCGCGGTCTTTGGAATTTGTGGATGCACGCATGCACAGTACATGCAGGTACAGCCTTCTGCAGGGGCGGGATAACTTACCGGCCTACCGTCTCGGAATCGCCAACTATACAGAGATGTCGCTTCGGTCGAGTCATGGCCACTNNGTGAGAAGATTTTGGTTAGCAAAGCTTGACGAGAAGCACATTCCATCGCTTACCGTTGAGTCTTCGCTTTTCGGCGAGGAAGCCGACCTCGTGCTCTGCATTGCTGCGCACAAGGCTGACTACCACAGCTTCCTTCTCTCTGCCTTGGAATCCATCGATACTTCCGAGCTCGATGCCAACAAACCTCTCTTTAAGCAATTGTGACAAGACAGCAAGCTGGCCATTGTACGGTGTGACGACAGCGATGTCTTCTGCTTTAACGCCAGCATCGACCAAGCTCTGTACATGCTTCTTGACGATAGCTGCTTCGAGTTCGTTGCTCTTACTCTCTCCTAGTAGACTGCTCTTCGACTTCGGTTCGTCGTCGTCATCAGTCTTCTCATGAAACTCGCCTCCCTGTGTATCCCAGAAGACTACAGGCTCGATTGTATCCTCAGTCTCCTCAACATCGTAGGGTAGGTCTTTCAACAATCTTGCCTTGACACTTTCCGCCGCCATGAGCTTTGATTCATATAGTGCTGCTGACGGGAAAGCGTTAATCTTTTCATGCATGCGATACTGGATGGTCAGCATGCGCTTGACATCGTCTCCGTAGAGGTCAAGCATGCGATCGAAGAGCGTGGTCTCTAAACTGACATCGCCCTGCCCTGTTTTCGGGTTCTTNTTGGTTGACTTCGAATTCGAGCTTTTTATGGTAGGTGGTAATTGGAGATGATCTCCAGCGAGGATCAACTTGCTTGCACCACTGCTCAGCAGAGGCACCCAGCACTGTGCCTCCAAAGCCTGACTGGCCTCATCGACAATGACAATGTCGAACTCTTGATTNTTCAAGTGAAATCCACCAGCACCGTGCAGTGTCGCAAGGACGACTTTACTCTCTCGGACCAGACTGTTTACACAAGAAGCTTCACGCTGTCGATAATCTTTGCGTAGCTCTTTGATTTCTCCATAAATGGCCTTGCGTTCTCTGCCGTTTCTTGTTTTGCGTATACTTGCTTGTTTGGCGTCCATCTCGTTGCGAATATCCTTGACCAGGGCGGCGGCATCGCTCGTACGCGTCAAGATATCGAGACTGTGGTTCAACACTCCTGGCAACAAGCGAGCTGGATGGCCGAGTCTGACCATAGGCACTTTATGTGGTGATAACCTCTCGACAATGTTGTCGACCGAGATGTTGCTGGGTCCGCAGACCAAGAGTCGAAGACCTTTCTTGAGACACTGGCGTATCAACTCGATCAACGTGTGAGTCTTTCCTGTTCCTGGAGGTCCGTGAATCAAGGCAACTTCAGGCGAAGCTAGAGCGAACTTGATGGCTTCCNNCTTCTGCGAGTCGTTCAGAGAAGGATCCAACCAGTCTAGCTCCTCTGCCATGTCTCTAGGCTGGACTGATACTGCGGAGGACTGACCGAACAGAACGCGCATGAGTGTGGAGTGTTCACTCTCGGGCATCTCCAGCAATTTTGTCATGGTCTGATTCATNCCTGGCCATGGGTTAGTCTTGAAAGTCAAGGTTGTAGAAAGCACTATTATACCTCTTGTATGTAACGTCGTTTGCAAGTTTAACACTACGGAGACACACCACCTATCAGCCAACAGCATTCTTCTCCAAAACATGATTGTAGAATTGACGAACAGCCAAAGTTTCCCGCCAGGAATGTCAATCTCGTCCTTGTCCAGAGCAACAACAATAATCTCTCTCAAGACTTTGACAACAACGCCTTGTATCTGTTTCTTCTCCATGTCCTGACGCTCTTTCTTCTTCTCTGCACCCTTTGGCTGCTCTGAAACACCAACGATATCGCCCACGCGTAATCCATGTTCGGGAAGCTGAGTTTCGGTACCGGCAATGGCGGGGTCCAGACAAAGCTCAATTAGAGATTTACCACCCAGACCTGTGCGCTGAGCGCTGACAGAGAGGTTCAAGACAGCCAGGCCGGCGCGTGCGAGAGTGGACGGAGCATGGGTGGCGGTGAGCAGAGCAGTCTCTTCGAGCTCTGCATTCAACTCTGCAGCTAAAAGCTTTAGCTGCTTGTCAGCAAAGCTGGGAATGTCGATGGGAGCCATTGCTGTGTGTTTTGATAGTGCAGACAAGAGTGCAACAGTCTTGAAGATGGACGCTTTCACATGAAGAGGTGACGTCGGTCTTGGCGGCCGATAAGATAAGGAAAGTTGCTCTCCACACTGGCACTCACGATGGTCAGCATGTCATCGTCATACACATCAGAACACCATGCGGACGTCGAGAGTATCTCGAGATACTGCTCAAGTAGCAAATGCTCTGTCGTCGCGAGGATCAAATGGCAACGCTCCCAGGCGCTCTCTACGCAACTTTGCACATAACGCAGATGTGAACTATGCCCAAGATGAAGCGAGCTCGGATCTGTCTTCGCTGCCCTCGAGTGCCTCTCCGTCGAGTGCATCACCATCACCTCCTCCTTCAGGTCGCAAACGCAAGCGTACAGTCAAGACCGAAGCCCTTTCTCCGAATCCTTCAGCCGCAAATCGCAACACCAATCTGCCAAAGAAGACGAAGCGACAGCCAGCTAAGCGCATCAAGGGCGAAAATGGCCGTGTCGAGCCTCCCTCANATTGGGAACAAGTGTATAACATGACGGCTGAGATGCGCAAGAAAGTCCTCGCTCCAGTTGATACAATGGGCTGCGAGTCGCTGGCCGAGCGTGACCGCTCCCCAATCGACCGACGATTGCAAACACTGATTGCGCTGATGCTAAGCTCGCAAACAAAAGATACCGTCACTGCTGTCGCTATGAAGACGTTACAAGAGAATCTCGAAGGAGGTTTTAATCTTGCTGCATTGCTCACAGTCGAGCCAGCACGCCTGAACGAATTGATCGCAAAGGTCGGCTTTCACAACAACAAGACCAAGTACATCAAGGCGACTGCTGAGATTCTTCGGGATCGCTTCAATGGCGACATTCCAGATACGATAGAAGGGTTGGTTTCGTTACCTGGAGTTGGTCCCAAGATGGCCTATCTTACCATGTCTGCTGCATGGGGCCGCGACGAGGGCATTGGCGTTGATGTGCACGTCCATCGCATCACCAATCTCTGGGGCTGGCATGAAACCCGTAACCCCGAAGAAACTCGGGCAGAGCTTGAGAGCTGGCTTCCGAAAGATAAATGGCACGATATCAACCATCTTCTTGTAGGGTTCGGTCAGACTATTTGCTTGCCTGTTGGTCGCAAGTGCAACGACTGCACTCTAGCAACAGAAGGCCTATGTCCGAGTGCTGTCATCAAGAAAGAGATTGCAAAGAAAGTGAAAAAGGTCGAGGACGAGGACAATGTCAAGACTGAAACCGGACCAGTCGTCAAGGAAGAGAAGGCTGACGAAGATGCTCCACCGCTAGACGTTCCGCTTTCTGGTACTGGCACTGTGCCAGATATCGAGGGCATGGGTGCAGGTATCAAGAACGAGGAAATGTGATACCAGGATCAGCTTCTTACTTGCTAATGCCACCTCCCCGTGTGCTAGAGGATGTGACTTCCACGCTATAAAAATGCACAATACTACTCGGAAACGAAGATTGGCCAAGGAGAGCCGCTAAGAGATCGCTTCTCAGTGGACACTATCTAATTGTCAAATACTATTGTGCATTTTTGTAGCCACACGCGTTACATACTTTTACACACGGAGAGGCAATAAATGTATGCATAATGTATAAGTCGATCTCCGACAACGTTGCTGTCACTATCTCACTATCGAAGACGTTACTTCAACGAACCGGTGCACCGTCGCCTCATCATATGATATGAGCAGTCTTGCATGCGTTTCTTGACTTTGAAAGCAAAAGCAAACATACGTCCTGTTCACCTAGAAGCGAACAAGACCGAGGATAGAAACAAAATGCAAAAGAGACGATCCTGGCAATGGGCGGAATCGAACCGCCGTCGGGTCGGCGTTGCTGGACTTTAACCTCCACAACGACACATGCTACCACTACACCACATCACCTTAGCTTGTAAGGGTTGAATCCGGTTGGCCAGATTCAGGATCTTGGAAGCACAACCAGTAGTACCAAATATATAGCTCGATAACTACCGTGCGCTATGGAGCAACGATGCGGCAATCTTTCGCTACAGGCATCGCTGTCTAATATTTCTGATGCAAATTATTCGCCAGGGAGATCTCAGATCTAGCTGATACTGTCTCGCACAAACATCCTTACGAGCAGTGAATCGTATCAAGGCTTAACAGGAAGTACATGGGCAACCACGTAGATATCGATAGGTCAATCCGGAAAACAATGCCCTAAATCTATAAGCACCCAACTACATTGATCGCACTCAACTGTCGACAGTTCTTGCGACAGAAGAGTCTAAGGCAGACGTCCCACACCACCAGAATAGTACATATACTCAATGGAGCATGGGATAGATGGTGCTTGATCGTAGACATGGCCAACGCCAGGGTGATACCCTTGACAAAAGTTGATGGGACATATCTGATCGTCAATGTTGACTGAACAAAAACATCAGAGTCATCTAGAGCTTGATTGGTATTGCCAACAAGAAGTTTATTTCCATGACCGACTATATCGTGCGAGAGGGAGGAATTTTCAATCGTGAGGCTTGAGTGGCTTGTAAGGAACTACATGTATGGTCTATCTTACGAGCTCCTGCTCTAGTCCTGTAGTAACCAAAACACCGTTTCTATAGTTTCTGACCCAATGCTGTTTCATGCAATATCGTGAATTCGTAAGCGCGTGAGGTGCCGATCTTGCTCAAAGAGGAGCATATGGACTTCTGTAAACATCCAGAGCAGAGGCATTCATGGCCATGACGTGAGGATCAGGATCTGCATAGAGATCGTGATAGACGGCAACGCTGTGGTAAGGAGGAGCAAGGGAAGGATCGAGGACGTGCATGTGGTGTGGCTGCAACTGTGGATGGTGATGCGGGTGCTGCGATGTAGGTATGGTCAAGTCCTGCCATGGGTCAAGGAGGTGGGCATCGGTAGGGAGATCGTTGAGATGGTCGATCGGAACATGCTGAGAGATATGAAGAGCAAGAGGAGGAGGCTGCTGCTGTGTTAAAGGTTGAGGTTGAGCGGGTGCTTCTTTCTGGGCGATGGCCTTGTTGGCAGCACGGCGACGACCGGCGGTAGAGGTAGATGCAGTTGTGCGCGTACGGACAGGTCTCTGTCCTGTGGCAATGCCGGCGCGGGCAATGGCGCGTGAGATGGTCGACATGGACACAGTCAGTTGCAGTTCTTTCTGCAAATGGCGGCGCATCTCGTCGAGCTCCATGTCTGGTTTGGCGGCGAGCAGGCCCTGCAAGAACTTGTCGACTCCTTCGCTCATGGCTCGCGGCCTGCCCAGCGTCTTTGTCTGCACTCGGCCGACGGTGCCGTGCTTCTTGAACTTTGCAATCTTGAGATAGACATTGGTGCGCGACACGTTAGGCACGGCGGCGCGGATGGCCATGGCCGACTTGCCCTCGCTCACCATGCGCTCTATCGTCGCATTGTCCTCGTCCGTCACCATCGTCTACATGGTTATTGTCAGTTACACGCAGAGCACAGTCATGCAAGCTGGCCATGTGCATGGCGCAAGAAGATGAGCTTACCGACGTCGGTTGTTTGTCAAATAATAATTATGGGAATCTGGCCGTGTGTCCCATCATTTTTGCTTGACGCATGCCCGCTTCGTCCTGCAATGAGGACCGAGTGCGAGCATTGAAGCTTCGAGTTGCCAACACTCCCAAGCTTTTCACCACGATTCCAAAGAAAAATCACTTCTTCAACTGTGCTTCGTTTCTATTATGTGATACTGCATTTGTATTTCATGCTGTAACATGTACACTTGTCTCTCCTCTGCGCTGTCCCTGTCTCTCCTCCGCTGCTCGCGATCCTGCGTCTGGTGTCTCGTCTCCTGTCACCTAGCCAGAATTCCAGTTTCAACAATCTAGGGCGCCCATCTCTCCCTTCTCAGACATTCTCACTGAGCTCTGTGTGGGCCCTCGTATCTACTGCGAGTGAAAACAGTCTGGATACTGGGCCCTCGCAGCATTACGCCGTCTCCTTCGCACCATGTACTCCTTCAATATGAATGCACAGCCGGTGCACTCGGCCAACGGTTTCAGGGACGTCGCCTTCCTTACCGTACTGCGGGACGACGGCTGATTGCCTGATTACGGTTTCGCAATCAGTGCAAGGTGCTCTCCTTGCCCCCTCAGACGTCATATGCGAAGGTGCATGGGCGTGAAGGAGAATAACAAGACTCCGCCAAGGCAGCATGGCTTGATGCTCGGTCGCTGCGCCCTCGGCTCCTGTCCAAGACATGCTCTTCGTCTAGAGGCTCAAAGCCCTCGCTGTACATGCAAGCCAGTACTCGGATGTCTTACTAATGGCAAGACAGAGACAGGATGCCATGAAACCTCTTCTCCTTAATACACGTCAGAGGTGTCGAGGTCGACAAATTCCAGGTTCTAGCTGACATTCCCATGCTAGCGAATGCAGAGTTTCACAAACGTTTTGCCAATACATACATCCCTCAAGACCCGCAGTCATGAAGCCGACGGCCTAACGAAAACAATAGAGGTCACGAAAGATCTGCCTCAGTCGTCGCAACCATCCTGGCTGGCGGATCTGTCGTGGGCTTGCGAGCCAACAAGGGTGGATATAAAGATCATCGCTTATTGTTTGGCGACAGATACATCCAAAGTAGGTGCGCATCTCGCTCACGGACGCTTTTCTAGAAGCAAAACCGAAGAAAAGGGAGCCAGCTTGGCGGGGTTTCTCCTTCCGAAATTGGGTGCGGCCGTTGAACCTTGCGACCACATCCACACAACCCAGCCCTCCCAATTTTAACGTATGCGTGACAGTTCGATAATCGAGAACGATGTACACGATAGCAGGTATCTTTGCGGTTGACGGATGATGACCTGTCCATGAGACAGCAGATGCAAACGTCTCGTGCCACGCCGAAAGCGTGCATCCATGATGAAAAGTAATGCGCCCAATCCTTTTCCAGAGTCTGAGCATCCCGCAATCGAACATGCACGGTTGGCGTTCATCGATGGTCCCGGCTTTTGGGTTAATTATTGCCATGCTCCTCATGACTCCTGGGCACGTTGTGTCTGTGTCAGATCAAAGGGTATTTTGCATCTAGTTGCTAGGCTCTATTTCCTGCATAGACGTTTCGTCCCTCGTCTCTTTAATCGAAGGGGCCGCAAACATTAACATTCCACTCCCCCTCTTGCCTTGCTTGATCGCTTTTCCTTATACCACCCATCCCACCTTCCTCATCCCTCGACCACCCCGCGTGTAGGCTAAGTTGCTTTCGACTCTCCTTTTGCTCGACCCAGCCGTCCGGTTCCGACATCGTCTTTGTAGTCGCACTCCATCACCACCACCACAACAACATCGTCCGCTCGCAGCATCTGCAACAATTACAATACTACTACTGGCGCTCTGTCTCTTCTGTTGAACAACTCAGACATACGCATAAATAATATCAGAACTTTTGGCTGGTCCCGAACGCTGCAATAATACGTCAACAACAATAACCGGCAGAAACAGGTCAGCGCCTTCAAAGTGAGTCTATACCACAATTCCGTCCTTCCAATTGGACGCCAACCTTAAAACGGTTAAGCGTAATTCTTTGCGACAGCCAGAAGCTGATTTCACTCTTCCAAAAGATCTTCTACATTCACCGCGGCTGCGTCTGGTCTCTTCACAAAGTCGCAACGACTCTTTCCTTACAACTTCTTTTCTTAAACCTCTTCTCTTCCAAAGATCTTTACTTCCTCTACTTGCATTCCTTTTTACCAACACCACACACTTGCAGCAATGGAAGGCAACGGAGGCAGAGGCAGAAGAAACGACTCCATCAGCAGTGTCATGTCTCTGGGCGCTGATAACACCTTACCCTCCTGGACGGATGACAACAACAACAACGCACCTGCTGATCAGAGATCTTCACGTGCAGAGCAGAAGCTTGACCATGAGGCATCTGTCCACATGCTATCACAATATGCTTCTGAAGACCCTTCATATATGGACGCCTCCCCCAGCTCTGACACTGACCAATCCGACATGATGAGCCCTCTTGAGATCCGCCACGCTATCTTCGAGTTGCTTGAGGAACTCCCCGAGACCGCCTCAGTCGACCTTACCACCCCTTACCAAAGAGCCGCCATGCTTCCTCCTGTCACCCAAGACTCACTCTGCGAGTTGGACGTTGGCCGCATCATCAACAACCCCAAGCTGCGCCACGATGTCAACTTCGACCGTGAACTCCACTTTAGACCCAACCTCGACGGAACAAGAGGCAAGCAGAAGCTCAAGTCAGCCGACGAGTACTGGAAGGCCTTGCTGGCCGAGCTGGAGATCTACAGGGCAGTCGGCTTCCGTCTCATGACCAGCAGAAGTGCAGAAGAATTGGAGTACTGGACCTGCATGATCAAAGCCAACCAGATCAGACTTCCTGGTGTCTTCAGCACTATCCACGAAATCCTCAAGACTCTTGTGCCCGAGCGCGACCAAGCCATTGTCGCAGAAAGACTCGATGTCGACATGATCATGCAGCAGATTTGTAAGGGTGTCTTCGATCTTCTCGATCTCGCCCAGTGGTTGGCTACAATCTTGAAGGCACACTGCGCCCCCATGAGAGATGAGTGGATCGACCAGATGGTTGAGCAGACCACCAAGGGTGTTCAAGAGGGTGACCAGAAGGCTGTTGTCGTCGGACTCAGACAAACTCTGGCCATCCTCGAGGCTATGAAGCTGGACGTCGCCAACCACCAAATCAGACACCTTCGCAGTCTGCTGATCGATGATACTGTCAACTTCCAGCAGAAATACCACATCCATAAGATCGCTGCAAACCGCTTCAAGCTCGATGGTGCACGCAACTGGTTCAAGGAGGAGCAGACTCTCCTCAACGGCTGTAACCTCGCCCCAACCCCTCTGGAGACCTTCTCCTCGGCCGTCCTTCGATCCCTGCTCGCTCAGAGCACTATCCCCCACTTCCCCGACACATTCCACCTCGACTACGAACGTCTTCGCCAACTTCGCAGCGACGTTCACAACATGATCCAGATGAGCATGTGCTGCAACGCCTTTGATATCCTCATCAAGGACAAGGCTGATGAGCAGGCTCGTGCTGCTGCCAAGAAGTCTCTCCAAGCTAACATCGGAGCCATCGTCGGCGACGCACGCCTTNACCTCGAGAACCTCGAGAACATCTCTGCTGAGATTGTTCGCATCGTCCTTCAGCTAGAAGGTGCCGATGCTACCTTCGACTCCGACATGATGAGCATTGTCGAGCACTACCTTCGTGCTGAATTGCCTCTTTCTTCTTCTGCTTTTGGCATTCAGCTTCAGATGATTCTCGACACTCAGCTTCCTAGACTGTGCAATGCCGTGAACTCCAGCTCAAGACTTCACATTCTGGCTCTTCACGATCTCATGCTGCCTCCTATCCAGCCTGCTGGCAAACGTGCTCCTGTCAAGACCGTCGCCGAACCACCCCTCGACGAGATCCTGAAGCGCATTACCCACCTGACTGTGATTCACTGGCATGTCTGGTCGCCCGTCGTCTACGACGTTCAGATCGAAGCTGACGTGGCCCCTCTCGGCTCACCTGGCAACAACCCAGACGCCTCTCACATGAACACTACCACCGCCTCGCCTAGCTCGGGCCCTTCGACCCCCGAGATGCAGAGCCAGAACGGTGGCTTTACTCAGCTCCCTGGCCCTTCTGTCACCAACGGACGTTCTCCCAAGTAAATTAGCCACCACTCTTCCAATTCTTCGATGGTCTTCGACTTGTACAACCACACCCAATTAATTCTCGGTTCATTGTTGTTTCCAGCCACCACTCAAGCTACCTCGGCGGCGCAGCGACCTTCTAGCCTTACTATTGAAGGCAGTATAACTCGCAGCTCCTTGGACATGCGCGAAGTGCGTGGCTTTCTGCAGATACCCCTTGTGTTTTCGGTTTCTTTTTTCTTATGTTGTCTTTACATTATCATCAAGCAGTTCAGCAAGGCGCTGGCGGAGTTATCAAGTCATTCGTTTATTTCTGGAACGGCGGAATTGTGTTTTTAGCAAAGCAGTCACTCATTGTACATAACTTATCCAAGTTTCAGCATCTTATCTCAAAACGTTTCCAACTCCGTGCTTGTTTGTACACTGGATTAACGGACCTCAAGAATGACTTGAACGTCCAACCATGATGAAGCATCGACCTTTTGAAGGTCAATGTCATGCTCTATTATTGGTTGTTCTCAGAGCTTAGCCTTAGGCGAGGAGGTGTCAAATATATTAACCCCACGGTCGGAAGAAGCTTGGTTTTGCTCTAGCCCGTCACGGTCAAGTCTTGATTTATCGGAGCGACAAACCGACGGCGGGCCGAGCGTGGGGGCAGAGAAGAATGATATCACTTTTCGAATGCCTCATCGTTACGTAGGGGCGGCAGTTGTGATACTGATCATGATGCTGAGTGCAATATGGTGGGCGGCAGGAGATTGAATCAGAAACATGCAGAGTGCCGCAGCTTCCGCTGAGTTAAATCAAGCTTATATCTTGCTGTGAAGTCCAACGTCTCTCTCTATTTGCTATCAAACTTACCACATTGTACAAAATTTAATCATGGATGTCAAGAACCCCAACAAGGAGCACAGAACCACTCCCGAGTACGCAGAGTACCAGAGAGACAATTTCTGGGCTGACAACGAGGGAAAGGTGCCTCCTTTCAACACTCGTAAGCAGTGCAATACAAATGAACCAGTAGATGGAAGAAATATTGAGAAGTAGCACAGATNNCCTGACAAGCTCGAGGAGAGAGCAAAGGAGAAGCTCTCAGAGGGTGGCTGGTACTATGCCTCCTCCAATGCCGGCTACTCAACAACACATCTGGCCAACCGTCAGGCCTTCTACCGCCATCGCATCATCCCCCGCATGCTAGTCGACACCAACAAGCGCGACACTGCTTGGGAGATTTGGGGCCACAAGACCAGTGCACCTATCGGATTCTCTCCCATTGGTATCAACAAGATCTACAACCCTCTCGGAGAGCTCCCTGTTGCAAAGGTTGCCAAAGAACTTAACCTGCCGTATTGTCTGAGTACTGCTGGCTCGCAGCCCATCGAGGATGTCGGTGCTGCTAATGGAGAGGGTCCTCGTTTCTTCCAGCTGTACATGCCACATGACGATGAGTTGACGGTATCGCTTTTGCGCAGAGCCATCGATTCAGGCTTCACAGCCTGTATTCTGACTGTCGAGTATGTAACTTTCTCAATCTTCTTATCCAAAGCAGCGATTGACAAACCTTCACAGCNNACATGGCAACTTGGATGGAGACATGACGACGTCGCACACAGCAACTACGCTTTCTACCACGGCATTGGTGCTGACCTGGGTCTGTCCGACCCAGTCTTCCAGAAGAGACTCGCTGAAGACGGCATCGACCCTCAAAAGGAACCTAACAAAGCAGGTGCCAAGTGGATTGACAATGTCTGGCACGGCAGAGCCCACAGCTGGGAGAAGATGCCTTGGCTCATCAAGACATGGAAGGAGATGAGCGGCGGCAAGCCTTTCGCCATCAAGGGCATTCAGAGTGTAGCTGACGCCAGAAAATGCGTGGAGATTGGCTGTGATGGTATTGTCGTCAGCAACCATGCTGGAAGACAAGTCGACGGCGCTGTTGCAAGTCTTGACGCTTTGGAACAGATTGTCGATGGTAAGTCTACACTGCAAGTCACTAGTAAAACAACTGCTAACCATTGACCGCTCTAGNCCGTTGGCGACAAGATCTACATCATGTTCGACTCTGGAGTGCGTGGTGCCTCGGACGTCTTCAAGGCTCTTGCACTGGGAGCCAAGTTTGTGTTCGTCGGCAGACTGTGGGTCTGGGGCTTGAGCATCATGGGCGAACACGGTGTGAGGCACGTCATGAAGTCGCTTCTGGCTGACTTTGATATCCTCCNNCTGAACGTTGCTGGCTTCCAGAATGTTGAGCAGATCGTGGGCAACCGCGAAGCACTGGAGTCTCTACCCAAGGCATACACACTCATCCAGGAGAGGGCAAAGCTTTGAAGAGCTACGAGGGGGATGTAATGATGGCTACGAGGCAGAATAAACCTGTTGATCAGGAGCTGAAAATACTTATGACTATAATGGAACTCGAAATTGATTTTTAGAACGCATGGCTGAATTTATGATCTTTGCAAGTATTTTGATGGAAAAAGAGGTTCTCTCGAAGTGATCATTTGTTTGGTAGATTGTTGTTGAGTCCGTGCGCACAGGCTTGATGTTCAGCTCCATCCATGCAGCGAGCATCTATTATTCTCATCAACCAATCAACATATCTTCAAGACAGCCGGAAAGCAAAATGGAAGAAACACACAACTACGAGACAATCACATACAAAACATTCTCAGAGCTACTTGACTCATACAAGGAGCTTGTTCCAAGCAAGCTGGACGAACTAGAGGAGCAACGACTCGAAATCATTCCTAAATCACTATCGGAAAGGACCGACGACGCACACTTGAAGAAGGCCGAAGTGCAAAAACTGGTAGATTGGAAGCTGTAAGTTCAAAGCGTTGAGTTGTCATCACGCAATACCAAACTAACCTCTCCATCCAATTCCCAGCNNGGACACGGCACTTTCAGACCCTCTTTGCGCAAGCTCGTCGAATCAAATGCAGACGAAGCGGTGGAGCAACGCACGCGAGAAGCGTTCGAGGCTTACGACAGGGACAACGAGCAGTGGGACAAGGCAGTGGGGATGCTGGCCAAGGGGCTTCGTGGCGTAGGGCCTGCGACAGCCTCGCTCCTACTCAACACTTACGACAGCGAGAAAGTGCCATTCTTCTCGGATGAATTGTATCGTTGGGTCATGTTCTCCGATGGTAAAGGTAACGGATGGGACCGGAAGATCAAGTATTCGGCGAAGGAATACCAAGAGTTGTACAGGAGAGTGGAGATGTTACGAGAAAGATTGAGCAAAGAGAGCGACAAGACGATCACGTCAGTTCGGGTTGAAATGGTAGCGTACGTGCTAGGACGAAGACAGATCGGGGGAGCGAAGAGGAAGGAGATTGATGAAGAAGATAGAGAGGGAGCCGATCAAAAGGCAGGAGAAGACACAACCAATAAACGGAAGCGAAGAAGGGCATAGATACTCTTGTACCATTGGTATAAACACCTACCTAGCATTAGATGCTTACAGCTTTTCGATCATATCCCAAGAGTTCTCGGTTCGAGATGAGCTGTTGATGCATAACAGAGTGCCATAGGGCTGAGCACGCCATACAGACATTATTGCAGAAATTCTGGCTGCTTCAACTTACGGTCCTGACCGACACAAGCACCCCGGATGAAACATGTTAAAAGCTCAAGAAACAAAAGCAGATCTAAATGCACCTACAATTGATTTGTTGGAGATGTAGTTAGTCCAGGTTACTCAGAGTAGTGGTGGCCTTGGCAGAGGTTCATGTGCAAAGGACGGGGAAAAGATTGCCCGCTTGGTCAAAAATATTATTAAGCACGATCGTCTGCTTTCAAAGCAAAAATAAGCCGAGGAAAGGCGGGGGTTCACAACAGGTTCCCGTAACCTAATCTGGACTAGAGAGGAGAGACAGGAGTGGAGGAGAACAATACGAAGTGCACAAGTGAGATGAGAAACAGAGTAACAAAGCAGCAAGAACAATAGCGTCGTCTAGAAACAAGCGATAGAGAGCAGCAGAAGCAGTGCAAGTGGACTGATCACAAGCGGGACAAGGTGGAAGGACAAAGGGATTGACACAACGATGATGAGTCCAAATGCACAAAGCGGACAAAAGCGGAGGAACGGCAGAGAGCGAATCGAGGGCTGTCTCGACGCACGTGCCCAGTGGGCTCGAGAGTGGAAAGCGCTCCCAACGATTGCAACTTCAGGACGTCGCACTCGAATTCGGCTGACTGTTTCCCTCCTGCCTCCTCCTTCGACAAAAGCACGCAATCACCCCACGACCTTCTATTACGCCCAGCGACCCTTTCATACCACCTATACACCGTCAACCCCGCCGCCTCTGATTTTAACAACAAAACCCAGCGCCGCTGCGCGCCTGCCGCCCGTTTCCGCTCGTCATGTCGACCTACAGCGCCCGTCGCGCTCCCAATGTGTCGCAATATATCGCCAACCTGAACACGGTGCCTTCTGCCGCCGACTTGGCCGCCCAGCAGGAACTCGGTGCCTTTGACGATGACCTGGCTATGTTCACCAACACTCAATTCTTCGACTTCGACGGTGACATGACCGCCTTCCCCGATATGCCTCAGCAGCAGTCCCCCGCCAACATGCAGCCCGACATGCACAAGCCCCTCGACTTCGGAAACGGTACGCATCCTCTACCACGTCACTGTACCTTCACAATTAACATATTATAGNCCAACAACTTCTCATTCCCCGACTTCTCCTTCCAGCAGTCGCGACCTCACACCCTGCCAACCTCGCCGCCCAATGGTCTCGCTATTGCTCCTTCACCATCGACCCGTCTGGATTTCCCTGCCCAGCATGCACCTCGCATGCCTCAGCCCCAGCCCCAGGCCGCTTTCTCGCAACCCTCCCNNCCTCAAGTAGGAGAGAAGCGCAAGTCGACCGTGGCCGCCATTTCGTCGCCTGCTGATCTGGAGGACGAATCCCGTATGGCTGCTGAAGAGGACAAACGCCGCCGCAACACTGCCGCCAGTGCTCGTTTCCGTGTCAAGAAGAAGCAGCGTGAACAGGCTCTCGAGAAGACTGCCAAGGAGATGTCCGATAAGGTCCAGATCCTCGAGGCTCGCGTCAACCAGCTCGAGATGGAGAACAAGTGGCTCAAGGGTCTCATCACCGAGAAGAACCTCAAGGGTCCTACCGACAACTCAGAAACCACAGATGTCAAGGAGCCCGAGACAATAATCGACTCGTCCAAGAAGGGTGTCGGGACTGACAAGGAGGCGGACAAGGCTGTCGAAGCTTGATTGAGATCATAACGACATGCCTCCGCCGGCCCCAAACTAAAATGCCTTTTGCTTTCCTGGTCTTTCATGATGTCTGACTTTTGAACTCTATCATAGTTGAGTGGATTATTTTGGTTGGATTATGTACATGCCAAGTGCTGAATGCATCTACTCATTGACTTCTACAAGCGTGCCGACCGCTTTGGTCTCCTCGTTGGACTCCATTTAGCATAAGGGTGATCCGCTGCGGTAGGCACTAGATGGTCGACGTCCAAGCTGTTGATCAGACCAGGATGCACCTCTGAGAGGTTGTTGATGCCGACCAACTTCATGCTTGTCTCAAGCTCGTCTTTTAGGACTNNATTGATACGTCAGCGTTGCCTTTCCACAGGCATGTCTGTTTTGGACTTACTGTCAACCATGTGGTCCACTCCTTCGGCTCCGTAATTTACTGAGTACAAGAAAGGTCGTCCTAGACCAACTGCCTTTGCACCCAGACAAAGACACTTCAGGATATCAGCACCTCGGCGGATTCCACCATCGACATAAACCTCAAGACGTTCGAAAATCTCTGGACAACGGCGCTGGCACTCGAGCAGGATCATGATGGAAGGTGGCGAAGTGTCCAAGCTCCTGCCGCCATGGTTGCTCAGCACAATACCGTCGACACCAGCATCAGCAGCCATCTTAGCATCATCTGCGCTCATGATACCCTTGAGAACGATCTTGCCGTCCCAGCAACGACGCAGCCATTGCATGTCGTCCCAGCTCAAACTGCTGTCGATGTAGCTGCCCATGATTCTGCCCAGACCACCGCCTTTCTTGTCGTTGACGGCTTGAGCACCCGAATTGGGTGCGCTTGTGCTGGGATCTGCAGATACCCTCTCGTCGGCTTCGCGCTTGCCTGGTACGGGTGCGTCGACTGTGACGAAGACGGCCGTGCAGCCGGCAGCGCGCACTTTCTTGAGAAGCTCTTCTGACTGCTTGCGGTCCTTGTTTACGTAGAGTTGGAAGAAGAAGGGTTGGCCCTTTGGTACGGAAGAAACGACCTCGTTGATGGGGTATGATGCATTGCTGGATACCNNTGTATCTTGTAATTAGTACATCTTGGTAGTTTGTCACGTATACATCAGACTTACGCAGTATGGCACGTTTTCCTTGCTCAAACCTCTCGCAATACCTTTCTCACCATCCGGATGCACCAACTTGACCAAAGCGGCCGGGTGCACCATAAACGGCACACCGACATCATGACCAAGAATGGTCGTTGTGGTATTGATTTTGCTGACGTTCCTCAGAATACGGGGCCTGAACCAGATACGGCTGAAGAAACTACGGTTTCTCTCGTATGTATAACAATCCGTTGCTGCCGAACTGTAGAAAGCCCATGTCTTTTTTNNAGCCAAAGTGTTCTTTGCCACTTCTTCAAAGTCGTCGCAGTTGATGATTGCACTCAACGGAGGCTTTTCGTAGGATGAGAATGCGGAAGGTGGGGGTTTCTCGAAGGTGTCGCCTCTGTTGACGCCGCCCTTGACAGTTGCATTGGTTTTTGCAGACATGATGCTTGAACAAGAATATTATTGCTGAAAATGAGAACAAGTACAAAGAACTGCAGAGGCCAACGACTACGTTTATATCCAACCATGTCGTTTTGAAGAGCATTGCCGATCTCGTCGGGTATTGATCTTGTCGCAGAGAACGCCGACAGCCCCTCCTATGCTCCTTGACGTTCTCGGGTCAAATCCTCCGAGAATATCAGAGGTCATCGGCGCATACTTCCGAGTTGTGATGTTGATGGAGAATCTTTGATTTGTGCCATTGATCTAGTGACAGGTATATATAAGGTCTATTTCTCACCAAGGCCGAACATCTTGATCGAGTTGTTCCATGCGGCTTCGCAGACCTCTTCGACCGTGATGCCCTTGATGTTGGCAATAGCATAAGCCACATTGGGGATGGTACAAGGCTCGTTTCTGCCCTTGACCATATTCTCAGTAGTCCATTTCTCCTTCTTGACAGCCTTTGGCAATTGAGGTGCGTCCTTGAGATACTTTGCTGAAGCATGCGAAGGTCGCATCTCACACCAAGGACCGTCAGTCTCGATCTGTAGTCGTTCCAGAGGAACTTCCTTGACCACCTGGACGTTCTCTTCTGTCTTCAGACTGCATCCGTTGATGCCGACGTCAAAGCCCATGTCTACGATGTTCTTCATCTCTTCCAGCGTTCCTGTGAAACTGTGTACGCATCCTCTTTCNGGCAGCTCGTCGAGCCTCTCTCTTAGAATTGCTTCAAAGTCTTCTGCTGCTGCACGCGAGTGCAGGAACAAGGGCAGCTGTACTTCGACAGCTATATCGAGTTGCTTGCGGAAGTACTTGATCTGAGTATCCTTGTCGGCGTAGTGTAGTCGATCGTAGTCTAGACCAAATTCGCCGTAGGCTGCTGCGGTGCCAGCAGCTTTTGTCTTGAGAGCAAGGTCGCGGAGAGCAGACAGTAATGCGTCAGGGCCTTGTTCGTACTTGTCGAAAGTCATGGCGGAACACGGGTGGACTCCTACGGTAGCGTAACAGAGACCAGCTGTCAATGGGTAAGCATTTGTCTACTAGCATCGAGCGTTGGTATTGACACACGGNTATTGCTCAGCTAACTCAATGGCCTTCTGGGACTCTTCAAGATCAGAGCCCGTAACCATGAGCTTCCTACAGCCAGCTCCGAGAGCACGCTGCACGATTTGTGGTAGGTCATCGTCGTGAGCCTTCTTGCCGTGGTAGACGCCTCGGAAAATGGGATCACTCAGGTTGATGCCAATNCTGCAGCCACTCAGCATCGGTCGGACAAAGTCGAATGCTTGCGCCTGCGAACCAACATCGGCAAATCTCAAAGACGCTTTGCTCTCGTCTTGGTGTTGTACGGGCACGGCACTGAGGCCTGCTGTGAGCGGATCGTTTCCAGTTGTTGTCGACATGGCGGCCAGTCTGTATTTGTGGAGTTTTGGAACAACACGAGCTCTGGTTATGTTTATGGGGATCCCGGTCGTTTTCAAACACTGCATGCGAGCGAGTTGTCCTGGTTGATGAATCGCCTGGAATAAAAATGTCAATAGCCGACGAGTGATGACGTCGGCTAAACTCACCATCTGGCAATCACTCTTCGGAGGGTTTGACCATTGTCAGCAACACAGATTGAGATAGGTAGGCCAGGTTGCAGACTAAGTACGAACATCAGACTAAGTACCGATGATGGCCTCAAAATCTTTTGTTAAGCAGTGCATATTCGATTCCTGCACGCGATGTGAAGCCAGTTGCAACTTCGTGTCCACATGGCCGAGACGCCAACCTGCAACTCTTCCTTGAATTCAAAACAACCAAAAGTTGATATTTCTTGATATGCTTTGAAATTGGTACTCGCAGTCTCGTTAGAACGAGACAAGTCGACGAACTATTTTCACAATATTCTGTGCGGGAGGTGATCATATTGCTGCTTCCCCTTTCTCCAAACCTCGAGGTATATCAACACAAGAATGCCACCAATTCGGAAGCAACAACCGGATTCAAGCTGGTCAGGAGTCAATGTTCTGTATTTCCTGATCGCTTTCCGTGTCTGCAATGTTCTTCTCACTCGCACCTTCTTTCAACCAGACGAATACTTCCAATCTCTAGAGCCCGCCTGGGACATAGCTTTTGGGCCATCTAGTGGCGCGTGGATAACTTGGGCAAGACATACCCAACATCAAAATTGCGAAAACAACTAACAAATTCATTCAGNNGAATGGCGAGAGCGGCTCAGGTCATCACTACACCCTTTTCTCTTTGCAGCCGTATATCGCGTGACAGCATTGATCGCTGATGCTCTACATCTGGAAGCAGCGACTCAAGCGGAGCTACTGCTGGCAGCTCCCAAACTTCTTCAAGCGGGGTTTGCAGCGACTACCGACTATTTCATCTGGAAGCTGGCGACAAAAGCTTACGGCAAAGGCTCAAAGGCTTCTTCTGCTGCCGTATGTCTTGATTTTTCTTGCAAGATGATCGAAAACTAAACAGCTGTTGATTTAGNNCTCTTCTTGACTGTCTTCAGTCCATGGCAATGGTTTTGCTCGACAAGGACACTTTCGAACTCTCTGGAGACCACACTGACTACTGTTGCTTTGTGGCTTTGGCCTCTGCGTAATGATCCCAAGCAACCTGGTTCCAATGCTACGAGGTAAGACTCTCGAGGTCCATGTGCGATTCTGTTGACTGAAGCAATANCTAGTCTACGAATGGCTCTGGCATTGGCTGCTATAGCCACAGTATTGAGGCCAACGAACGCGATCATCTGGATCGTCATGGCTGTATATACGGCAGCACCAGGCAAGGACATCAATACAACAAGAGCGCTTTGGACTTTGGCTGTAGAGTGCCGTGAGGCGGTCATCTCAGGGTTCGTCTACATATATCTCTTCGATTTGCCGTGTTAACTAAAGACCACAGTGNTCTCGATAGTCGCCATCTCACTCGCCTCAGATCATCTATATTATGGCGATTGGACCTTCCCCCCACTCCGCTTCATCCATTTCAACGTCGTGCAATCTCTTGCTGTCTTCTATGGCAGAAACCGACCCGATTACTACTTGACCGAAGGACTTCCCTTGCTCCTGACGATGACACTGCCATTTGCCATGTGGGGCTGCTGGTCTGCTTTCTCCAACAACAAAAGATACAGCACTGATTGTCAANAAGTCACGCGACCTTTGGCAATCTCTGCCTTTGTTTTTGTGACCATCATGAGCTTGATTGCTCACAAAGAAGTCAGGTTCATCTACCCACTATTGCCAGGACTTCTGGTATTGGCAGCAGGCNCCTTTTCACAGTTCTTCTCGCCGCTGCTGTTGCCCAGGCTCGCCGTGAAGAAGATTCTTTTGCTTGTGTTTGTTGCTGTCAACGTGGCCCTAGCTTTTTACATCACTCAGGTTCACCAGCGAGGTGTCATTGACGTGCTACACCATCTCCGACACGAACACGAGCTTAAAACGTCTTCAAACACTACCGTCATGTTCATGATGCCCTGCCACAGTACACCATGGAGAAGCCATCTGGTCTACCCTGCAATCGATGCACGGGCACTGACATGCGAACCACCACTTGATGTTCCTCTTGAGGCGAGATCTTCGTATATGGACGAAGCAGATCAGTTCTACGAGGACCCGGTTGCCTGGATGCGTGAGCACATGGAAGATCCGGGAACACTAGAGAAGAGGCAGACAACCGCTGCAATCAATATCCATCAAGACAGGGCACAGTGGCCGGAATATCTGGTCTTTTTTGAGCAGTTGGAGCCGACGATGGCAGAGTACCTGGCCAAGACCGCATACAGACAGTGTTGGCGAGGCTTCAATACGCACTGGCACGACGACTGGAGACGTCAAGGAGATGTGGTGGTGTGGCGGTTGGGTGAATGTGTATAGAGAAAATTACCATAGATACCTTTCACAGGGAATAAAAGTTGACCAAATATGATGGGAATGCTTTTGATTGTTCATGTCGTCTTAAACTAAGCATTAATCTCACGAGAGGTTAATGTCATCTACACGATAATGGTCCGCAACGATTCTGTAAAGATAGCTGGGTGCGTGACCTCCNACTGCAGAGTAGGTCAGTAATCAAGACTCTCACAAAAACATCACAAGGTGTACTTACAGGTTGGTGATGTACAAGTCCACAAGGTCGGCACTAACGTAATCGTAGATGGGGTTGTTGACATCAACATTCTCAACCAGATCACCTTGTTGGAAATCAATGACCTTGCCCGGGTCACCGTGCTCGACCAGCTCCTCCATGTCAAAGGGATACACAGGACTAAGCTTGTACACACCACTGACCACGACAACAGGGGTTTGATGCACCTTTGCTGCTTGCGCGATGGTAAGAGCTCCAGTAGCTGCAATCAAACCGCCATTGGCAAGGACAGTATGCGGAGCGAGGATGACCTTGTTGACGCGCGACATAAGCGCAAACACAGCAGAGTCTGGGATCATGATGACTTGGATGCCCATGGAGATGAGCGGCTTCCATCGCTCATCTGCTTCTTCGTCGTCATCGTTGCCTTTCTTGCCGCCAGTCAAGACAGTAGCGTGTGTGTCGACGTGATCGTTAGGGTAAGCTTCAGCGTGAATGACAGTAAACTTTCGCTTGCGAGCTGCAGCGATGAGGAACTTTTGGACGGTCTGCGAGGAAGTGTGGGTGAGGATGATTTCGTTGGCGTGGATGTGCTCGAGTGCCGAGGCGGCAATCTGGTCGTCGACGATTTCCAGTTCATCGACGAGCTCCTTAATCCCGTCGATGACTTCGGCCTTGACGTCCATTTTGGCCTGCGCTGTCTCGGCAATGCTTCCTAGGCGGAGACCTGTCTTTGAGACTGGAGATTGAGCACCTGCTGGTGGAGTCGCTATCGGAGAAGGCTCATCTGGATGTGAAAGAAGTCCGAACAGCGAAGTAACCTGAGGACCCGTAGCGTAAGAAGTGTGCGAAGTAAGAAGAGGAGGTCTGTGAGCTCCCGTAGTATCCTGGAATTCGGCCGAAGCAGGGCTCCCCTGCCTCAAATCCACGTTGGTAGGACCAGCAGCGCTGTGATGTAGTGGGCTAAAGTCGGAGATGTGTGAGTTCATGACTGGTCGATGCAGTGAGTTGTTGTGAGATTGCTGGGGTTCATCGCTGTGTTCGGCCTCGCTGATAGCAGCATCCAGTCCAGTCTCCTCGACCTCTCTGATCAGACCAAGAACGCGGCGCACAATGTTACCGACTGCCATCTCGCGGGGCTGGGCAGCAATCAAGCGCTGACCAACCTTGCGCACACGCTCGATCAGGGAACCAGCATCTCTGGTCTTTNNGGAAGCAGCGACAATACGAAGCAGTAGTTGAGTGGTTGCAATAGCACAAGGTCTAGAGTTTCTGATCTGACGTCTCTTCAAAAGCNNCTTTTGTATAATTAATGGCATGTTCTTTGTGATATCAGTGACGAATGAGAAAACATACGAGATGAAATGTTCAATCGAAGTCTCGACATCAGCGTGCTTGAGTGATTTCAAAAANGACGACAAGCCAGGAGTAGCGGCCACGGCGGTTGCCATGATGATTGTTCACCAGGTCGTCGTCGCGAGAGAATTTGCTTGGTGAAATTGAGTCGATGACTCAGATATATGGCAAATCTCTCAGGCTCGAGTTGAGGGGCGGTACACTTGGTATATAGCTTGAAGCAAATGTGTTTTGTCGTAGTGACGATCGATAGTCCGAGGGCTTTCCAAAGTTTGATATTCAGTCTGAATCATAAAAAGCGTCGAGTGTGAGATGGCAGAGAATGCCAAGAGGTGTAATTGAAGACGCTCGGACCATTGCGATCAAGAACGCGACAAACGCGTCGGAACACGGACGTCTGGTGGGGATGTTGATAAATGTTTGGAGGGGTAAGAGGAGTGGTATACATGCACATGCATTGGACATGGCGTTACCGCTGAAGCCAGGTCTGACGCCGGCCGAGGTGGCCTTTCTGTGCGAGATGGAGATGGTGACGGTCATACCACGCCAGCGCCTCGACTCGCTCGAGCTGCTCGGGGTAAATAGTCGTCTGCCACAAGACATCAGACATGTGGACTAACTCTCGAGATAGGGCCCTACCAAAGCCCTGACACCTCCCTTTCCTACGCCACTGCCTCTATGGCTCGCTCTGCTACTCAAGCGCCAGCGTCGCGCAAACATCCTACCTCCTCCCTGGCTCAACCCGGAAGCTCTTTCCGCAATCCTTGATATCGAGGTCGACAATGAAGACCTCTTCTCTCCACCGCCTCCCCTTCCTGCAGCCAAGACTCTGCCATCCGACCAATATCTCGATCAAACTGCCTTAGAAGTGTCCGCTCCTTTCTTGCCTTCAAGCACCTCGAACGCCGAACCAGATGCTTTGCCCTACCACTGGCTGGAACTGAGCCACATGATCCTGTCACATGCATCTGACGATTTCCAAGAACCTGATACTGTCAGACGCTTACTGCGCGACCTCAAGGAAGTGCGTATGGCCAAGCTTAGGAAAGGTATAAAAGTTCTGGATGCCGGTGCCGGAGTTCAAATGAACGGCGTGGGTGCTCTAGAGATTGCCGAATCGAGGTCCTTCATTTCTGGTGTCGTTGATGGCCTAAGGTATTCACTCTCGTGTGACAACATCTCCACAAGCCTGCTAACAACCATCNTCAGGAGAATTGGTGCCTCAAGGGAACAGACGCGCAAGGAAAGAGACGCAGAAGATGCCGAGCATGGCTATGCTGCGAGCTCAATCGATGATCAAGACGACGACATGTTATGATAAGATACCACATATTGCACTTTTCTTTTCCCTCTTCATCTTTCCTCGTCTGTGATTCTGGCTCTTTCGAGCTTGCATATTGCCTGATCTATGGTTGCTCTATCTGTTCACTGAAATCATGTCAGAGCATTGGCGGCCAGAAACTCAACTTCTGGGCCCGCTTCTCTTTTGTTGTGCCGCCCTTCACTGCTGCCTGTGGCTCTAGCCGCCAGGTGCATGACTATATACCATCATGACGAAAGATTCCCTCATCCAATGCCACCGCCGTTGTAAACATGAAATTGCCAATCGCAAGGTCCAGCCCTCAATTCGAAAAAAAAAAACTCCTCTATCGACGCCATCGCTTGCAAAGGAAACTAATAATATCAAAGCCTCTCGTTTCGAAAACCAAAACCAAATCTAATATCACAACAAAGCTTACTCGCTCTCATCATGACTGCGTATCTTCTTCATAGTATTGTTGCTGCCACTTCTCGATGATTTCTTGGAGAATGCTGAAGATCCAGTGCCTCGTCGTGGAGGGCGTGAGAAATGTGACGTGCTGCTGACTCCGAGTCCCCGGCCGCCACTAGGTGTCAGTGGTGCAGAACGTCGCCGTACCATTTGCAGGCCACCATCATCATCAGACGAATCCTCGTAATCGGAGTCACCGCTCTCGATGGCATTGTCACCTGAGTACCCGTCATCCTCAAGCACAGGAACACACGGCGTGAAAGGCGTCTCATCACAGCCAAGAGGTTCGCCCTGCTCATCTGCTGCCTTTTCTTGCGGGACCTCCGAGTCGATGGTTGTCAGAGAGGGAATCGAAGGGTTCGAGCATGACATTGGTGTGTTTGGAGGAAAGCGATCTTCTGAAGAGCTCGGCGTCATGAGTGGTCGCGCGCCCGAAACATGGCTCGTCGGACTAGTAGGGAGGGACTCTTGCATGTATGCAGTNGCGTCGACGTGGATCAGATCGAGACCCACCAATCACCAATTCATCGTCGTCGTCTTCGTCATCGTCATCATCATCTTCACCATCATTGTCTCTGGTGTAGCCGAGTTCCAACTCATCATCGGGGCTAGGAGGACATGCCTGGGGACCCCAGTCGTGGCTCGACTGGAGTGCGTACTTGTTTCATCTTTTGAATCTCGTGTACTGCGCCGAAGCCATTCATCTTCGGCTCTGCGGAAGTTGTCTCCTGTTGATTCGTTGGGAAGTCGATCAGGATCGCTAGGGTCCCATGTCGAATCAAGCTCCAGACGCCGCCGTGCCTCGAAAGATGAGGTAGACACTTGCCGGGAAAGTGTTGTGCTTGGGCGAATCGCCGTGTCTCGGCGTTCCGGAGCCGCTCTTGATTGTGATCTTGAGACTATTGGACTCGAAGCACTGCTCACGATATTCTTAAGCACGTCCGGAAGATCCAAGTGCCCTGACGCCTGAGTTGTACTGACAGCGACGCTTGGGTCAGCGTGAGCGTCACTCGACTCGGATGGTGCTCTGCTAGTTGATCTTTCCAATCCGTCTGTGCTCCGTCCTGCGGTACTACGATCTCGCACGCTCTTCAAGATGCGTCGACCGGCTCCGCTCAGAAGACCACCAATGTTGGTGACAGTAGTGTCGAAGGACGAAGAAGTTAGTCCGGGAGACGAAGGCGGCGATTCTGGAGTGATCTGTGGGTGGAGTGTATCTGTGGGCTTGATCGTCCGCACAGAGGTGGTTGTGGACATAATAGATCTTGATCTATCGCCATGGCTAGGATAGTCGGTCGCCCCAGTCGGCGTGCTGAGACTGGAAAAGTAGGCATCCCGGTTTGGACCTTGCTCTGGGCTGACAGTAACACTCTGCGCCAAAGGGTGTTCGGTTTCACGAGAAGCTTTTAAGGCGGAGAAGATGCTCTCATCTCCCCGTAAACTGTTTCTTCGCCCTTCTTGGCTGATGGCACTGCTCGAGGAACTTGCCGATAGGGGNTGGGATCCCGACATCGAAGGTGTTCTCGTCCGAGTTGAACTTGCGCGACCTAAACCGCTCATCAAACCCCCTATAGTCTTCTTCACACCTGATCGAATCCTCTCAACCAATTTGACAGGAACGACAGCGTCTTGCAGTTCCTCCTTAGAGACCTGAATTTTCTTGCCATGTGCCTGTCTCGAAGGGTCAGTCTCATCAAGCCAAAGAGGCTTGTTTGAGATGTCTTGAACCACCCAAGGGTGGTGTCGAACTTCTTCTAGGGTGATGCGCTTTGCAGGATCTTTCTGCAGTAGCCTACGAAACAAGTCGAGGAGCAAGTCATCTAGTTCTTCGTATGCCAGCTCGTATTCTGATCTTTTNCCTGAGGCGGCGGGTGGGAAGTACCGACCATGAGAAGAAGGGCGAGACTTAGGGCGTGGGTCAACTGGTCGTAAACGCCTCTTGGGCACGTAGATCTCTTCATCAGCGATGCGGCGCATGACGACAAATTCGTTGTCGACAAATGGCGTGCGGCCAAATAGCATACAAAACAGAGTGATGCCGAGAGCCCAAACATCAATAGCAGGTCCCACTGGAGGAGAGTCGCCAGACCCATCAGTGTAGCACAACTCAGGAGCATAGAAAGCTGCAGTGCCGACAGTCTTCGCCAACTCTTTGGCCTCGTCAAAGTCCTGCATATCAGATTCGGATAGGTTCTCCGGGACTTGATCATCGTTGATCGGACGACCAAGATATGAAACGCCGAAATCTGAGATCTTTGTGCGGTGGTCAGCTGTTTGCAAGAGATTGGGAGGTTTGATGTCCCTGTGAATGATGCCTTGGTAATGCAGGTACTGTAAGCCCAAGACAGTGTCTCTGAAGGCTACTCGAGCAGCATTCACAGACATGCAAGGGACGAATTGAAGATCAGGATGGAGGTCTGCGTCAAGAATCGCTCCTCCTGAAGCATCCCAGAACTTGCGTTCCTCTGGATGACGAAGGTCCTGAGCAGCAAAAGAACGCACGCTACTGGCCAAGCTTGGCGCACGGGTCTCTTCTTCGTTGGCCTCTTCGTCTTCGTAAGAACCATACATAGTCCCTTCTAGAAGTTTGACTGGACTAGGTTCCTGCCAGAACGTTTGGGGATTGACGGGATTGACAGGTGTACCGGGATCAGCTGCTTCACTTTCCCCGACGGAGAACTGCGCTAGTACAGCTGACAGTTGACGACTATCAACTCCAACTTGATCCACGCTCTTCTCGGTCGTCGATGTCGAGATCCTTGATGCTTGGTCTGCATCTGAATCATCTTCATCGGTATCACCACCAAACTCGAAACTCCATGCTCCTGGTCCAGTACCCCCAGCCATTCTTTGCCGACGCATTCTTCTCAAAGTTCGCCTCTGCTGTTTGAGACGCCGTGTCTTGGCCTCGTCAAGGATGGCACGATCCTCAGCCTCGGCCTCGTCGTCGTCGAAGACACCACGCGACTCTCTGTTATAGCGACGGCACTCGACCAAAGCAATCTCCTTAGGAGCGCCTGCACGCCATACGATCTCGCCAAGGTCGACACGTTCTAGCACAATATAGACCTTTTTGCGAGCGGGATCGTCGATGACCTCTAGTAGGGCGACGATGTTTGGATGCCGAGCCTTCTTCAGAATGGCGACCTCCTTCTTGACTTTGTCTTCGGCGTTGCCTAGTTTGCCGAGTCGACGCTTCTTGGAGTAACGCTCAACAATCTTGATCGCAACATACTCGTTTGTGGCAAGATTGCGACCAAGCTTAACCTTGCCGTGTGTGCCCCTACCGAGTTCGTCAATGATTTCGTAATTGTTGATGAGTTTCCTTCCAGATATGGGGTCAATATCAACATCAGCAATGTGGGTCTCTTTGGGTGCTTGGCGATGGGTAAAGTGGAGAAACGGACTCGCATAGAATCCGTGTTCATCAGGACCGAGATTTGACTGCTCTGGAGGGACACTAGGAGTGAACAAGCCAGGTGTGACGGCTGGAGTATTGTCGGCAGTTCTAGCGCCAGTTTTGTGCAAGGCATTTATCGCTTGACGAAAGTCTCCAGGCTGGGCGGGATGATGAGTTTTGGTGCGCAGAGTTGGAGGTAGATGCGGTGGTGGGTATCGTTGTGTCTGCAGAGCAGAGAAGGCTTGATTAGGGTATCTGGGTCGAGTATAGAGAGGAGACGTCGCCGTGCTGGACGATTCGTGGCCCGAGTCGGAAGCCTTGACAGTGACGGTGCTCAAGTTACTCTCGACGCTAGCAACCGAGGCATTGGAAAGGTCTCTCTGAACAACAGGCCTATGGGGCGTATCGGGATAGGTGGTTGTGCGGCGGAGGCTGGGTGGGGTAGCGGCGACAGCATCTGCAGGGGACAGAAGCGAGTTTCGTTTCGAGGCAGGCTTCAGAGCAAAGTAGTCGTCCTCAGAGGTGTGCTTGAATTCGTCACGAGCAGGCGTAGGAGTGACGGCGAGCGAGGGGAGTTCAGATCGGGGAGTATTGTCCGAGTCATCTTGATTGTTCGGGCTCGGAGTGTTCTGGTCCATGACCTTGTATCGCACGCGCTTGGCCAGCGACTGGAGGTCTACAGCCGGCGTGGCAGACAGAGTGCGACGAGCGAGCCAATATTGCGCGCGTGCTGGGCCTACGTTGTCGGATGAGTCGCTGAAGAGTGGGAATGCTACCACTGGCGAGGGCGGATCATGTCGAAGTCAGTCGTGAGAGCCAGGAAGGTGCTCGAGCGAGCTTTTGCTGCGGAGAAGCATATAGCGATGCCGTGTTCGCGCGGACTCGTCGACGGGACAGAAGCTCTCAAGTGATCGCGTGCGTGCGAGATNNCAGGCCATGGTAACAAAAGTTCGCAGAATTCAAGNNAAGGCATGCGGGAGGGCAGTTAGTGGTGGGCGCGCCTGCCCAAAATGACGATTGAACTGGTCCGAACGCCCGTCGNCTTTTGGCCGTTGAGCTCCGGCCTCCTCTAACACCAGCCCAATAATCCAATCGCCAACTCACCTTCGACAAGCCCCAGAGAGCCCATGCGCCCCAATCTGATCACCGTTTCACCCACCAGACATCTACTCTGGTGCTCGTTCTCNNACTCTTGGGACATTTCGGGAACAGCCATCGTATCCTCGTCTCAGATACCCTTCCTTCCTCGCGATCCTCAATCCTGTTTAGCACCCAACTACCCTCTCTTCTNTGCTCTTGCCAAGCAAGCACGCGCTTGATCTTTCCTAATCTGCAGGGTTCCTTCTTGCCTTCGTGTTGCTCTTCAAAGTACACAATCTCGCATTGCATTTGGGGCTCGGTACCGTCGACAAGGTACCGTTGAATTTCATGCCGTGTGTCGCTTCAAGCCTGCCATCTGATCCTCGGCTCAAGGTTGTGCTTTGTGATGCTGTTCTCAACTCTCAGAGGGGAAACCTGAAAAGGATCTCTCAATCATCATGTTTGGCTTTGACGGCAGCCCAACACTTACACGACCTCTCACTTTCATTGGCTTCCCGCTTGTGGCTGTGAACCAGAGGGCCGACCCTTAAATGCGGATCAATGCAACAACGTCGTAAGGTACCGCTGCTGCATGTTGAAAGCTGCGGTTGAACTTTTGGTTGGCCTTTTCTCTTCCCACTCTCTCTCCCATTTGTCGATCCTTACTGCCTCTACATCAACCTTACCCTGGCAAGTGGTAGAAGCCTTATGTGAAAAACATGTCGTTGGGAAATTGCGAGCTGATGGCTTGCAGAAAGCCTTGATGCATTGCTTGCTGACAGTAAGTCTATCATCCTTGAGAGCATGTGGCTTCTCAAAGTCTACCCTGCCAAGTCAGTGTACCTTGACATTCGATCATCTTGCAATCGCGTGTGGATGCGAACAGACTGTATACGAGACGAGAGCCTCTCTGCATTGGCGAGGTTAGTCCCACCCGTGACCATAGACAAATGTTCACCATACCACTCCACATTAGCCCCACCCTCTCCAGTCGCTTCTGCTTAACAAATGCAGCGATCTGAGATGCCCCCTCGCTTTCTCCAGACCGATCATTTCCGCACATACAGGATGGTGGGCAGCCCAACCATCCTCAAAGAGCGCACGGACTCTATAATAGTACTTGGTGGCGGCTGGAGATGCAGGAAAATGCAATATATTAACCCACCCTCGATTCCCACACAAGCGCGGGGTATCTCGATACAAGTGCGGAGAAATTGTTTAGCAGCTACCTCACCTTGTGCTAGAGACCGTCACATAGTGATAGGACTACCTAGACGTATTTACAGTGGCACTTTAGCTTGGCTGGCGAAGCGTTTTCTGTATGTCATCTTGGGAAAATCAGCATGCATCTGACAAAGAAACTCAAAGCTGCCTTGTCGGATGAATAATATCAATCTGCCTCGTCAGATCAGAGTCTTCCAGCGACTCAAACCAATAAACTATCCTATTCTGACACATGATGGATTTTGACTCTTGACCATCCCAGGATCTCTTGACGTCCTCGACAAAGCAGGTATTCTTCGAGTTTCTGCCTAACTTCAGATGCTGCAACAAGCATGTTGAGGACCAGCTTGATGGTCTGGCACTCGATCCTCAAACCGAAAGATCTGGCAAGAACAATGTTCAGCTGCCTTATATGCCAAAGGTTTGCTGCTGCTTATTAACTTTGCACTCAACCTCTTTGTGGCGAGATGACCATATGATATGCTGCAAGACCGCAAAAATGTGCTTAGAAGACATGAGACCAAAGACAGCCCAATCAAGTCCCGACTCTGGACGTATGCGCAAACACAGTAACCATCCAAAAGCGAAAAGAACCAATTCGAGAAGAAGTTCTCTTATGAAGGGAGACAGAAAAAAAGGAGATCTATTTATTTCCATTGCCAGCACATTCATCATTTGCCATTCCACACATTCATCATCTCTGTCCATCCATCGTTTCCTTCATCTAAAAGCAACTCCCCCTTCTACCTACCGACTTCCAAAGCTCAATTCCTCATCACTGCCCTCATCACTGCTGTCAGTACTACTCTCCACCGGACTCATGAATGGGTCCGAAATGGTCCTGTTCATGGGAGGTCTGGTTTGCTCTTCATCCTCTCCATCGTCCAGAGGAACCCTTTTCTTGGCTTCTGTGGTACTGGGCCGGCGTTTGACACCGACAGTGACTTCTGAATCTTTGCCGTCTCCTGTTTCTTGTGTTCGGTCGGCGAGATCTTCGTCATCGTCATCGGATCCAGAGTCCAAGCCTGAAGATGACGAAGACGACGAAGATGAGTACGCAGAAACAACTCTGTCACTCGAGCTGCCACCAGTGTTGCCAATCAGTTCGTTGATTTGGCGCGTGGTGACGGCAGAAAGATCGAGATCGGGCAAGTCTGTTAGCGGTTGCATGGGCATCTCGAAGGCTTGTTGGACCGCTGCTGCGTCTGCTGTGTCTGGATCTGTGCCTTGGAGCGTAGAGCTCTCTTCGGCTTCTTTCTTTGCACGCGCGGCGAGACGCTCTGCGAGCTTGTTGCGCGCGCGGCTGGGTGCTACATTCAGTGGTGCGGGTGGGTTTACGGAGCCAGGAGATGGAGGGTTCTAGATAGCAATGTGTTAGTAAAGTTGCAACTCTGTGGAGCGGGAGAAGATGTGTGCTTGTTGTGCTAAAGTGTGCGTACCTGACAATGAATGTGTGGTTTGGGTCTGTGGATTGGTAGAAAAATGCCTGTTTCAACAAGGACACAAAAGAATTGGATGTATGTGCTCGAATGGGAAGAAGATGAACAGTGAAAAAAAAAATCTTGTATAGTACAGATGAGATTGTCAACTCGGAAGCAGTGGATGAAAGAGAAGCTCTCGTCCCTGCCTCTCGAGATCAAAATCCCTTCGTCAAATCGTTATAGCCAAAATCTCATTACAGAAGCCGAAGGACGCCGATCAGAGATGTTTGGAGCTGGATTTTCCACCTCTTTCTCTCCCATGCAATACACAGCAGAAGATGCAAAGACAAGGTAAAGTGACAGGGCGGGGGAAGAAACCTGCTTGCATAAAATACATGCAGATATCTTAATGTGCAAAAAAAAGGTGTGTGTAGTGCGCGTGCAAAATAGCATTTATCGGAAGTGGTTGATGTCGACATCGTCAAACGAGAGTTCACCGACCTGCTCATCATCATCGACCGCCTTTTCCCTCTTCTCTCCAGTTATCGACTCCTCAAGATCGTCATCATCGTCGTCGCCGTTACCAAAGCCACTGAGCAGGCCTGCGGATCCTGTGTCGTAGCTGCTTGCATCTCCTGCCTCTTGCAACGCCATACTGTCAGCTGGCACCAGGCCTGCGTTGGACAGAGCGCTCGAGTTGTTGCCGCCAGAAAAGTTACCCTGTCCGAGCATGCTGTTGGCACCCATGCCCACCTGTCGAGCACCAAATCCTTGGTCAGGTTTCACACCGCCCAGGACAGCATTGTCGCGATCTCTAGTCTCGGAGAGCGTCGTCTCGAGATATTGAATCCATTCATCACGGGTGATGCGCTCCATAATCTGCTCACCTAGGATCTCTGGGGGTTGACGATCTTGCAGCTTCAGAACCTCTTCGGCAATCAAGGTCAAGTGACCCATGTAACCGAGACGCATGCCCTTCTCCTTCTGCGCGTTATCGGAGGCGGCTTGTCCGTCGAGGATGCGTTGAGTGACATCGGCCTGAGAAGCCAAGTCGGTGCAACTAGAGTGACAGAAGAGGTCGATAGCGAGTGTGCGATTGTAACCGCGCTCGAAACTGCCATTGAAGACTTGCTGTACAACATCGTATACCACGTTGTGGAGGAAGTTGTTCCAAGGGAAGCGGAAGAAGAAGTCNCTGCAACATAAGTATAACAAACAAGATCCAAAGCAAAAAAAGAGACTTACCAGAATTGTGGGGACGACTTGGTGTTCGACAAACATGATCTTGAGCAAATCTCCAACAACCGGCGAGCCGTCCACATCAGCCTCCCAAAGTCCGTTGTCACCTTCAGTGTTGTGAGGATCGGGTTGTAGCGTAGCCGTACTATGGCTAGGGTCTTCTTCGTTGGAGCTCGTCGCGGATTGACTGTTCTTACTAGGACTAGCGAACAAAGGTGCTGGCTTGTCCTCGGGATGTGAGAGCATGTCCGCGTCTTCTTGGGCGGTTCCGGGCTGATCTGATGAAAAGTTGAGCTCAGATTCTTGAATATGTTGTTGAAGCTGCTGGGTCAACAGTGAGACGCGGCGCTTACCCTCAAGTTGAGGACCATCACCCTCTTGCTCAGGGCTGTCAATGTGTAATTGGCTGATCTCTTCTGTAAGAACGGTTGTGCCGTCTTGAGATGTTTCTTTCGGAACGTGGTGGATGCTTGACGGGTCGTCCTGCTTAGTTAGAGGTGGTAGACTTGTATCAGCTGCAATCTCATTGAACTCGTCGGCATCTGAGACAGCCACTTTCTCAAACCCATCCTCCTCGGACGCATTCTGCACTTCGAGTCTCTTAATCTCTTCTGGGGATCCGCTGAGGTCGTCTCCGGGTCTTTGTGCATGATGGAATCCATGGCTGTCGACACTACTTGCGAAAGGCTCGTGCTCGCCGTACGAAGAACCTTCGATTGGTTGTCCTGTAAGGCGTCCTTCCAGCTTCAGCTTTTCTCTTTCCTCGTCCCTGTGCTTTATTTGGGCATCACTTCCGCGTTCGTTCAAAAGGGCCATGTTGCTACAGTGCAAAAGTTCGGCCATGAGCTCGCAAGTCTTGAATCTGTCAAAACCCAGAGGTTGAATCTCCTTGCCAAAAGCGGTTTTGAGGCCAGGCTTCTGAGCACCAGAGCTTCTAATCAGATGCATGAAATCGGGAACGTGTTTCGCAAATTGACGAAGAAGGCTTCCAAGATAGATAGGATCGGTTGTTCTAGGCTCGGGGCCGACCTGATTGTCGAGGTCGTAATCCGAATTGTTCTTACGGATGACTTCGATGATGATTCCGACTCCAACTGTCAGCGAATTGCCTCCCGAGAGCATGTTCTTGATTAAGAGGGATGTGCATTCATCAGAAACGAGTTGTCTGGTCAATTCGTTGGGGCCAATGACAGTTTGATCCTGAGTGGTAGCGTTCGCAGAAATGGTAATGATTGCTTTTAAGAAGTCGCCAGCGGCTGTCTGAGTGGATGCGCTGTTATCAGGACCAAGGTATGACAAGAGGACGGGAATGAGGTCCTGTGTTTGTAACCACNNTTTTGAAAAATTGTCAGCAATTCTCGCTTCAACGGAAGGAACGACACAACTCACATCAACAATTCCTTGGCCTCCCGGAGCTTTCTCCAGACTGATGATTTTCAACAGCAAATCCATAATCATTGGGCAGTCGACATGTTGCAGCATGTCAGGAACAATGTGGTCCAGAGACTTGAANAAGGCCAGCATCTCATCCGTCTTCTTGTCCAACAAAGATTCGTTGACTTTTGTGAAGTAGCCAGCCTGCAGAGGGTCAAGTGGGGCAGGGCGACTGACATAGTGCCAAAAGTCGCGAAGGTAATTCTGATATTCGAGCACGGCCTCAGTTATGGACCAGACATCGGAAGAAAGGACCTCGCATGCGACATATGCGTATTTCTTGCGCAAGGCTTCGCCCTTATCTTCGTCGTCGCCTTCAGCATCACCACCAGCGTCGGACTTGTTAATCGACTTTGAGCGCGAGCGCGAGGCCGACTTNTTGAAGAAGCTGATAGGAGATGACCTGTCGGGTTCGTCGTCCTTGGTAGTGGATGAAGCCTTGTCGGAGTGCGGGGGCTTGTCGGCGACGACATATTCCAATAAGGTCTGCAGAGTGGATTCTTCTCTCAGAAACTCGATGAGTTTGGAGTTGTTCTGCTTGAGCTCCTGGATCAGGTCGCTCTCATCGAGCAGCTCGTCGAGGGAGACATTGGGTTTCTCGAGGATGGAGTCGATTGAGGAGATGTTGGCATAGCCACCGAAACGCCAGAACATGGTGGATTAAGTAATGCCTGACTCCAGGGCGGAGCGAGGGCTTTGGTCGAGGAGGGGTTTGCGAGCTTCGAGACAGAGATTGACGTCGTGGACTGGCGTGGGCATGCCAGGGTGCCGGGAGTTGTTGGCAGGGTGGAGCAGTGCTGGGGTATGGGTAGGGCGGACTGGACAGAGGGTCGAAGTTGGGCGAGGCTCGTGGACGGTGGACCTTGGTCGTCGCTTGCCAAGAGTAGATTTGTGTTTGTATGGGCAGGGCGATGTCGGGCCTTTTCTGCGTGTTTGCCGCGTGTGTTACTGTCGACTTGACGCAAATATCTTAGCAAGATAACAAACCGAGTGCTGCGACAGGCAGATGTATCACTTTGGGCACAAGGCGGCGGGCTCGTGTGAGAAGACACGGTCACAACGGACATGTCCCAGATAGGCCTCGTGCCCTGTGCGCTGCGCCTGAGGGCTTTGGCTGGCCTGACGGGCCTCCGAGCGCGAGCGCCGATCTGCCGGTCGAAGCTCAAGCGTGGGGGAACCTTGGCCAATGCAATCGCAATTGTGCATACCACCACACCAGCAACAACAACAACAACAACAACAACCAATACTACCTGTCAGCTCCCACACCGACCAGCGCACACTACCGTCCTGTCACCATGAATCGCCTCTTCGGCGGGAGAAACACGGGCCCGAAGCCCACCCTCAACGATGCCATCGGCAATGTCGGTGCCTGCCACTCCCCCTCCCGAGTGCTCGTCATACTGACCAGTCTACAGATGCAAACCCGTCTCGATACCATCGACGTCAACATTGCAAAGATCAACGGCGAGTTGACCACCTACCAGCAAAAACTCTCCCGTATGCGTGATGGCCCCGGCAAGAACGCCATCCGCCAGCGCGCAAAGGCCTGCCTCGAACGCCGCCGCATGTACGAGAGCCAAAAGGACCAACTCATGAGCCAGCAATGGAACATGGAGCAAGCAACAATGATGCAAGACAACCTGCGCAACACAATGACCACCGTCGACGCCATGAAGACCACCACAAAAGAACTCAAGAAGCAGTACGGCAAGATCGACATCGACAAGATCGACAAACTACAGGATGAGATGGCTGATCTGATGGACATTGGCAACGAGATCCAAGAGAGCATCAGTCGCAGTTACGATGTACCAGAGGACGTCGACGAAGCCGAGTTGGATGCTGAGCTAGAGGCTCTGGGCGAGGAGGTCGATCTTGGAGAGGCTTCATACGAGGGTGCCGACTCGATGCCTGCTTTCATGATGGACCAGAGCGCTCCTCCGCAATTCATCGACGAACCTCCGGAGACCAACAAGGTCAAGGNNGAAGCCGCTGGTTAAGCTCCCGTCTTTCTAACCAAAAGCCCGCCATATCTCTGTCTTCATGAATCACGACGCTCCGCTTGATACCCATTACCGCTCTCGATCAACTAACTCTTGTACACATCCTTACTTCTTGCCCGTAACACAAAACGCATTCAACAGCTCGCCTGTGAAAGCGCTTGATTGTCACCTTTTGCTTAAGTCTCGTCAGAGCCAAACTGCCGCACCTCTCTCGAAGTTTGATGTTATCCAAGTTTTGTGGATGCGTCTTTCTCTATCTTGACTTTCCAAGTTGTCTTTATTAGTCTTTTGCGGTCCCTGCCATGTGCGTTTCCTGCAGCTTGTTGAAGCCTTACACGAGTGTAGTCTGCCTCATGTTAGATTGCCTCGCTTGGCTCTTAGCGAGGCATTCTAACCATCAAGACACCGACAAAACCATATCGTCTCTAAACTCCGAGGATGTGCAGTCCATCACTTGGACAATTTCTTAGGGTTGAACAGCGATAGCGAATCAGACTGGGGAAACAGCCAACGCTGCCCCTCGTGCTGATGATTGATCTACCACCTGCAGCCTTGGCAATCAACCACCACTCGAGCTTTTTGTATATCAACATGCAGGTCCACGGAGCTGACCGCTTCTTGGCTTGTGTTGTGCCTCCTCTGTACAGCACTCGAATGGGAAGGTCGCATGGTGTTTCATCGTAGGTAGGCACACGTGGTGATAACGGTTGGGTATCTTTACTATGCTCCTGCACGAGACCACTTCTACATAGGCGACTGCCGAGTATCAGGAACGGGTTTCGTCGGCAGATTTGACCCATGAACTAGAACAGGCTTCGTGACCAGCATATAAATTCACAGCTGGCCTCTTCGAAGAGTCCTCACATCCAGTCCATCTCACACTCCCACAGAACCATACCACCTACAGCTAAACCCAGCAACTATGATCTCCCAGTCCATTCTCCTCCTCGCTGCCACCGCTGGTCTCGCAGTGGCAGCTCCCATCGAAATCCCCCTCTCACGCCGTGGCAACCTCCCCGAACCCGTGTCAGCAGCAACAGCAATCCAGTACCTCTCTTCGATCAAAGTGGCCGCCGAATCCAATAGCCCCGCCTACGACCGCGACCTCTTCAAGCACTGGATTACCATCTCCGGCGCCTGCAACACCCGCGAAACAGTGCTCAAACGCGATGGTACTGATGTAACCACTTCCTCTGCTTGTGCTGCTACGTCCGGAGCTTGGTACTCTGATTACGATGGCAAGACGTGGACGGCAGCTTCAGATCTGGATATCGATCACTTGGTTCCGTTGAAGGAAGCCTGGGTTTCTGGGGCCAAGGACTGGACAAATGAGAGAAGAGAGCAGTTTGCTAACGAGTAAGTTCTTTTCTTTTGTTTGCCCCTGTTGGATGCAATTACTGACTATATATTCTTCGAACAGTNNCTTACTCGCCCTCAACTATTGGCTGTCACCGATAGCCTTAACCAGGCCAAAGGCGACCAGGACCTTGCAGAGTGGCTGCCTCCGAGAGTTGCCTATCAATGTGAATACGTTCGTGCTTGGGTGCAGGTCAAGTACTACTACGGCTTGACCATGGATAGTGCAGAGAAGGCTGCCGCAAGCAATGTGCTCACCAGCTGTTAGACAAAAGTAAAATCCAGATTTCGTGTTCGGAATGAACTGCTTGGCCAAATACCGAATCTGCCTTGTTGGCTTGACGCTCACATGTGAGATAACAGCGTCCTTTTGTAACAGGGTCTGTTATCCATGGTAGTCGTTTTGGGCTTTTTCTTGGGCTGACGGGCGAGGAACTGCTGTCTCCCGATTGTGTTGAAAGTCAGTAGTCACTTATATCTATGAGAATGCACAATATTTTTGAGAAGGAGAGCAACAACCATGGAGAGACGTGTTCTTGATGACTCCCGTTGGGCATGATCTCTATCGCCAACGTGATCGTGCATCTTGATAGTATACTTATTTGCTTTGTACCAACATCAGGAAGCATTTGAGGCTGACCCCAACTGAAGCTCGATAGCTCTCTGTGGAGACATGTCTGTTCCGATCCATACTGTGCAATTCCATAGGTTGAAAAACTTGCTCAATCTGTCGTGGAGATATGACTGGTCCCGATATTTTGGAAGTGTGACTCTACTGAGTGAGTATATCGATGACTCTTCCAGCATTCAGTCAACTATTTGTACAACTATCGACCGGAGCTCATTCAGACCACTTTCAACATCTTCTTATCAAACCAAGACCATGGCAGAACAACTTGGTGTTTTTGAGCCTGATACATTGGATCCGAGCTACCTCGACCTCTGCAAGAGATCTACCTGTGGCGAGTACGTCAGTGAGATATTCTACAACCATCAAGCATCTTCGGATATCGTCCTCAGCTTCCATCCAGATCTCCAGATCCATGCTCACAAGGCAGTAATCGAGAGAGCTTCGAGTGTGTTTCGTGCTGCTTTTAGTGGCAACCGGTCGAATCCGACCACCAATCAATATACCATCAAAGGTTTCGATGCCGATGTCGTGGTTACCATGATCAAACACATCTATGGCTTCGAGCTGTGTGGGGTCGAAGGCCATACTGCGGATGAGAAAACCAAGTTTCTCCTGGACGTCTACATGATCGGCGAGGAGTATCGGATCACATCTTTGCAGATGAAAGTTATCGGAAAGATCAAAGCACTACTAAAGGAACTGTATGACTTGAAGGACGACGACGAACCGCTTAGACGATCGATCGAAGCAATCATCACACTCCACGAGACCTATAAGCTGCGAGACTGGCGACCAAAGCGCGACTGGGAGAGCCGCACACTACTCGAAACTACCGCACGCTTCTGCACAAAGTGGCAGCCTCGTTGCGTAGAGGACATATGCACTCCGCCAGAAGACAACACCAAGAAGCCTCTGAGACGGTACAGAAAGTTTATGGCAGAGCTGAAGAAGGCATATGAAGGCTTTTCGTAACGATTGTGTTCGCATGACACCAGGATGTCTCGTATGCGAACTCAATCTGAACGACTACTGCCATAAGCCCGAGTGCTATTGCGAGCGGCTTGCTGGAGAGTGGAGTGAAGAATTCGTAGACATGGTCGAAAGCTTTCGTCCGAGGTCAGACGAAGATGGAGACCCAGACTACGAGACCGAAGACGAAGACGAAGACGAAGACGACTAGAATCGATGAGTAAAGTACAGATATCTCAGGGGATCAAACTGAATCTACATCAAGACGCTGTATTACAGCAGGACTCGATCAACAGTCCTTGCTGACAGGGAGGATCGAGTGTCTCGGGCCCTAGATGTTCCAAACGTAGTGCTAGTGAATAGGTGGTCGACAAGTATGAATTAGAAAAATATGTTCTTGATTGCGGAAGTTACGATGCTCTTGCTGCTTCCTTATGAGCCATACTTCATGTGCTACTTAGAGCAACGTCTCTTTGGAGGTCCTGTTGATCGCGATTTCCCTATTGTTTGGATGACCGTAATATGGCTGCTGCATCGACCCTGGGATTTGTTTTTCGTATCTCAATCGCTCTTGCACTCTTATGTGGCATCCGTCGCCGAAGCGTTCTCGTGTGACTGCTTTCTCGAGTGACTCCTTTGGTGACGCCTGATTGATGCCGGCCAGAATGCTTGTTGTGAAGCTTGAGCTCAAACAATGCGGAGTCGTGAACCATCTTGTGTCTACTGCCCTTGTAGTGTACATGGGCGCGCGATGTGTTGAATTATGGCTATTGTGTATATGCATCCTTGTTGCTTCAACCATCAACAGTGATGGCTGTCTTCGGCCTGTTCTTGTTTAAGCCCTCGAGCAGCATACAAGCCTTGCAGATTGCCTGCGACGACATGTATCCACAACGTTCGCACTTTCCGAGTGTCTGCTTCGCATTTGCTGGTGGAGTCGGTCCCTTGGTCTTCTTCGGTCGCAGCGGTACTGTTGTCTGCTGTGTCTTTGTTGGCAACTTGATCTCGGTCTCTGTTCCCTCCTCTTCTGCTCTCTCATTCTCTTGTAGTTTTTTCTCCATATCTCCCATCTCGCCTCCGGTTCCTCTTCCGTTGCCACTGCCACAACCGCCGTTACCGTCATCTTCCTCGTCTGGCCGCATGCTGCTTGCTCCTGGCTGTGCTTGTGCCTGGCTGGAGCCACATCCACCCTTGCAACGTCCATCTGCGTCTGGTACGAGTGTAGCCATGTCGATACCGCTTCGTACAACATCGAGAATGCTTTCCGGGCGGATACGTTCGAGGTTCTTGATGAGTGTGCGTGCACTTCCGCGGAAGGCTTCGGGCGAGTAAAGGCATTCGGTCGAGAAGTAGTCAAGTTTGTTGTGGTGGGCGTAGAGTACGATTTCCTTCTCATAGGCGTACATGAGGGGTTTGGAACGCTTGACGTTCGTGATTTCGACTTCTCCATTTTCGGTCGTGGCTGCTGATCCTGTGTTGTCACCAGCCTTGTTGTCTGTGACGATGCTAGTGGCTCTGCTCAGTCGTGGCAAGTCACCACGCAGCAGGTTCATGAGCACTGTCTCTGCCACGTCGTCGGCGTTGTGTCCAGTAACAACATGCTTGACTCCCAGCTGCGCAGCTCCTCTGTCAAGTGCCTGCCTTCGGAAGACGCCACAATATGTGCAGTTTCCCTTCTTTCCGATCTGAGCGACGACCTGATCCATGCTCCAACCGTAGAGCTCCTCATAGCTGACAATTTTCAGTGGCAGCTGGAGGAAGTCTGCGTTTCGCCTGACAGCATCTAAACTGTGGTCGCGGTATCCCTTGATTCCCTCATCCACGGACAGCAAAATCAGGTCCAGACCCCAGTTGCGTCGCTCATTCAGCGTCTTGAGCACGGCAGCCAACACACACGAGTCTTTGCCTCCACTGGCACCGATGGCCACGCGCTCTCCAGGGTAGAAAAGGTTTGTTGATTCGACGGCTTCGGCGACTTCTTGTTCAAAAACAGCGGTAAAACAGGTGGCGCATAGTCGGTGGTGGTTCTTGGGTCGTAGGATCTGTGCTCGCTTCTCGTTGCACGCTGAGCACAGTCGTGAAGCCATGGTCGCTGTGGAATGTGGTCGGAAAGGACAAGGTCGTAAATCCGAGAATTATTTGTTCTAAGGTGAGCACGGTCTCTTTAGAGACACTTGGGTGATTGTTTGTGTTGGGGCCACGCTGTATGTTCTCTCAAACGACAAACTCAAGAAGCATTCATCATTCCAGGAGATGGTAGTATGCGTAAGTCTCGGCTAGAGTGCTATGTTCTTCGGGCGGGCAAATTTGTCGTGGCGAGAAAACATTGCTCACCTTGGTCCCGCTCAAAAGCAATCCTTCTAGAAGGGCTTGCCAAGCAAGCCTCGAGCTTTCTCAGTCTTGCGGCCTTCCATGTTTGTCGCAGCTCATGATAGAATCTAGACGTCTTACCAAAGAAATGGCTGCAGCAACCTGTGGAATGTAGTTCTTGCAAGCCTCCACTCTCAGCTCTGGTTTCTATCTATCGTTCTGTCACACAAAGTCTCAACGTCGCAATCGATTGTTACGCGGGCAGCCCGGAGACGGCGAGCCCGCAACATCGTTGGCGAGGAAATCCTCGCTCCTGCGTGTCTCTGTGTGCACATCTCCGTTGATCAGCTAAACAGCCAAACAAGAGATCAACAGGTACTATTTGTCCAGGATACGGACCTGCAGAAGCTGTTCGAGTCGAGCCAGCAACGACCACGCTCGGCCGAATTGACCCTCTTCTTCAACAATGCAAAAACGCTTATAGTCACTCCACCAATATATCATGTTAACTCTGTCGCCAGCTTTTCGCTTGTGAATCAGGAGGATGTTTGCATTGTTAACCCTGTCTCGGTACATATACCTGTTTTGATTCGTATATTGTGACAATTTCCCAGTCGTGGCAGTTGCGTGAATACACTTTGTAGCGAACCGGTCTATAAAACCGTTTGCCCTGTTCCCCTGGAGGGATCCAGCCAGCCACCTAGGCGAAACTATCAACCAACCCCCTGCATCTATCTGTACCTGATGATCAATTGTAAGAGATGAGAGATGGACGAGATTGTTGTTTGTAGAATGCGAGCTCTATTGCGAGTCGATTAATTAGTTGTGTGCTACCTAAGTACTATCTATTGTATGCACCAATGTCGTAGGTCGTGCCGAACAGCTTCTCTCGCTGTTCAATGATGCTTTGCTTTGATGCTGCTTCACTGCTCCCAAAAAATGCACTGCTGTCTTCCCAGAGACGCCTTCGCAATGCGATGTTGAATGGTATCCTGCACAAGAAATGGAAATTGAAAAGAATTGACAATGCCTCGAACCTGCAAAGCTTGTCATGAAATCCCCCGCTATCGAACCAACAAGTCTCTAATGAGCAGTAGAGAGGAACCTTGAGAAGATGTTGTTGGATCTGATCTTCTTAGCCGAAGGTTGCTCGTAGTGGTCAAGAGAAAGCTTGGGTTGTTGGATCTCGACCATCGAAGGGCAGTCGCTGTTGTATCTCTGGATTCTGACAGGCACGTCTTCATATGTTGCGTCCATCGATGAGACAATGGAGCTGGGAGAGGCGACAGAAGAGGCAGCAGAGACGACAGAGTGAGCGCGGCTAGGAGGCGAGAGAGATGGCATGCGGGAGGATCTGCGAGAGCTTGCAAGGCTCATGGGTGTGTCGCAGAGGTTTTGACGGAGGTCGGTGCGAGAGGTTCTACGCATTTGCTCGGCAGTGATCGAGAGGTGGCGTTGCTGTTGCATCATCTCCTCACGGAGCTGAGCACGCTTGGCCTTCTCGGCTTGACGAGCCTGCCATAGTCTGATAGGAGCAAGGAAAGGCTCGAGGTGGAAGTAAAGGTCGTCCTCACGGACAATAAGGTCCCAGTTGAGAAGGTTGAGAAGTTGCTTCTCCATCAGGTTAACCTCAACGAGGTTGAAGCCAAAGCCTTCGTATCCCTTGACAGCAGTGTAACGAGCCCAGTGCTTGTTCTTGGGAGATGAGTCGTTGAGAGACTTGGCAGCCAGGATGAGAGCGGCGAGGAAGATGCGGTGAGTTGTGCAGCGCATACCCTTGGCGACAGGAGGAAGACGTTGTTGCAGACGACCGAGGTAAACGAGGGTGGTCATGAGAGTGGGAACCTGGACAGAGGATCTGTCGACGAGCGATTGGATGAATTGCTCGACAGAAGGAAGGGCAGGCTCTTGAGAAAGGTTGAAGCCTTGCTCAGTAGGGGTAATTGGTGGTGTAGGAGGAAGATCCTTGTTGTGGATGGGAGTGTTGTCACAACGAATGACCTGAGAAGCCTTGAGTGCCAAGTAAGATACCATGTCCTTGGACACAGGCAGGTAGATGAAGTGGTTGAGAGCTTCGGCATTCTGCTCAGGAGTTGCCATGTTGTGAGACATGATGATGGTTCTTGAGTATGCAAAAGATTCGAGGAAAATGACAGAAATCAAACAAGAGAGTGTTGGAGTCGATGATATTCGCAAATATCAATCCTGTGACAATAGATTGGACCAGAATGGGTTGGACAATGCTGAGGTTGACAATAGCAGAATAGCAAAAATGACAATTCGAGTGATGAAAGCTTATTCGAGTTGCTGCCGGAGAATGGTCGAATAAGTGATCGGTATTGTTGGATGAAACTCAAAGAATAGAGTATTATTAGATTGAAGATGCAGAAAGATGGTATGAGAAAGAAATCGAAGTCGTAGGACGGGCGTTTTTCTTTATGTATAGCTTCCAGGAGCAGGGAATTAAGACTTTCCGGCCAGCGGACAAGTCGAATTGAGGCAGGACCGTTAGTGAAAACGGGGCAAGTAGGAGTTGAACGTTGTAAGTTAGTCGAGCCGCTTTGTTGCTGGTTCGATCGAGAAGCACCAAGAAAAGTAAGACAGCGTGTAGACGTTGGATTCAAACGTGCGTGACGAAGGGGAAAGAGAAGTGAGTGTTAAGGGCTGGCTAGCACGCCGTTGGTTGTATTGGGCGACTGAAATGAGAAGATAGGCCATCGTGACCACCGGCAGCGAGGCAGATACTTATTTCCTCCTGAAAATGTACGTGGCAACGCAAGGCAAGCATGGCCGTGGACACGAGGCCGTTTTTGGCAGCAGGTTTGAGAATGCAGGCGGTTGGATGTGAGGTGGGCGTGTACGAACGCGCTCTGGCATGTAAAAGAAAAGTCCCACTGCAACAGGCATCGCGACGTGTTGGCTCCTACTTCTACCCATACTGCAAGTTTCCAGGCCCATACAGCCATACGCTGTCTCAGACAATCTACAAGAAACACCAAAGTTGCATTTCCGTTTCAAGATGCTGGCTCGTAACGTCTGCCGCCCGAAGGCCCTGTTGGTAAAGAGAAGAGAGAAGAGAATCCAATAGGGTAGGCGCCGTAGTGGGGCACTTTCCCCTTGCAGCCGCCCGGCAGACTGCCGAGCCCTACAGAACTGGGCCTCTTCACAAGTCGCTATGCAGTAGAGGGCGAGGCCACATTCGTCCTGGCTTTGCAAAGACATCATTGACACCCACAATTGGCTTCAATTACTGTTTTCGGGGTAGAGGGTATCGTGGCTGGAAACCCGGCCACCTATCTCGTTTATCTCAACGTGCGATATGATATTCTTGGCAGTCAGAATGCCCAACTGGTGAGTCGTGACGCTTTCGAGCTGTTCATTCACGCTGGCAACTCGTGGAATGTTCAATCCAGCTGAGCCACGGTGGATCGAAACGGCATTCTCCAGCAGGCGCCTTCTCCTGCACCTACGATGTTCTGTGGGGAGCATGGCCGAGAGTCTACTCCTATAATTGTCTGCGAAGGGGGCTCGCAACTCACACACAGGAGGTGATTTGGGAGCGTCCTCGGCCGCTAGATCTCAGGAGAGCGGCAAGCGAAGACATGTTCACCCTGAAAATACCCGCTCCATCTATGAATGATCGATCTCAGCTGACTGAAGCTTACTCGCACAGGATGTTGGTAAGTTAAACAGGACGCTTATGTCGATACACTGCATTCTGCATGATTTTCTGGAGGAGCAGCGTCTCAGCAGGCGCTGGGGATGGTGTTACAACAAGAATAGCCTTCTTGTGCAGCAAAGGTATCAGACCTCTGTCGCATGTGACAGAATGGTCTTGCTGTATGATCACAACCAATGGACAAACTTGTGTTACTGGTTACAAAAGATTTGTCCAGAAATCCCTTCGATCTTGGTTCGAGACGTCGAATGGAAAAAGTGCTTGCGCAAGCAGCCAAGAACAATAAATTGACCACCATCTTTTCCTCCCTTCTTCCAAGGACAAACGGCAGCTCTAAATCATGAAATGAGTCGACCCCTCACGAGGGTCGCAATGATGACGAACCGTTTTGCTGTCTTTAGGGCAAATTTTCGATCATGAGTACAACAGACCAAGGCGTGGACTCGGAATCTCACGGGTAGACGACACGACAATTCTAGATCGTGATGTCTAGGAGTCAGAGTCGATGTAATGTCCCTGCCAATTTTGGTTTTTTTGGTTATTCCCACGCGACCCTGCTATATCCCCAGACTGAGCCGTGCTTCTTAGCAAATTGTCTAGGAAAGCCGCGCTACTCCGGCTCCTTCCGTGTGACTTCACGATTTCCCTACCATGATGGCCGAGGTCGAGAGAGTTAGAACACGACGACCTTTGACTCTTTATGTCGCAAGAGTCATAAGTAGCTTCTCGTATCTTTTCAACCTGCTCACCACAATTATCAGGGCTGCTACTCTTGCGCTTCGAAGTACATATAGAAGAATTCCCGTTTTGGATCAAGGACACGCGACACTAGGACAAGCACAATGAATCGACCATCACACGAAGACGACGGCTGGGACCACCCGGAATGGAATCAAAATCCGCCTGCGCTGGCCGGAGACTTGACCACGAGGAACGACTTGAATGGTGTTGTCAATTCTCGACGAAACCGTGATCGGAGGATAGATGACGACGACTTGAATCGCATCCATCCAGAGCCTTACGAACTCACTGAGGTCAATGGAAAAGGCAAGAACTTGCCTCGGGTCACGGAAGGCCCGTACCCTGGCCCTAGTGGCCACCAACTGGAGCGCTCGTCGTCGCCGTCGTCGACGTTGCGTTCCACCGAGATGCCTGTGTCTGGTGGCAGGCGTCTCGGCAACCGCATCATGTACGTCCTGGCCAAATACGCAAAGTTCGTCGGTCCAGGCGTCATGATATCAGTCGCCTATATCGATCCTGGAAACTATTCTACTGCTGTTGCAGCTGGTTCTACTTTTCGATTCAGGCTTCTTTTCATAGTCTTCTTGTCCAACCTCTTTGCAGTCTACCTGCAATGCTTGTGCGTCAAGCTAGGCTCAGTCACTGGTATGAATCTGGCTGAGATGATCAGAGCTCATTGTCCTAAATGGCTCAACTGGGTTCTATACCTTTTCGGAGAGGCAGCAATTATCTGCACCGATATTGCAGAAGTGATTGGTACTGCTATTGCTCTTAATCTTCTTTTCCATATCCCTTTGGTAGCTGGCTGTGCCATATCCATTGTGGACGTCCTTGTAATTTTACTATTCTACAAACCGAGTGGCACTGTACGAGGCGTCAGAATATTTGAAGGCTTCGTCGCTTTATTGGTCCTTGGTGTTGTGGTATGCTTTTGCTACCAGCTTTCCTTGATCACCAATACGTCAGTTGGTGATGTCTTCCGTGGCTACCTCCCATCCTCAGCTATTGTCCAGTCTCAGGGGTATGTATATGATTAAGTCCCGTCAGGTGCACTCCTGCTAATGCTGTCTAGCCTTTACCAGTCATGTGGCATTCTGGGTGCGACTGTCATGCCCCACTCGCTCTATCTTGGCTCAGGTATCGTGCAGCCACGTCTCAAAGAATACGATATGCAACACGACAACATCCCGGCCGCCTCCGATGACGATGACAGTGGCCCGTCTAAGTACCGTCCCAGCCTGGCTGCTGTTCGATCCTGTATGAAGTACTCTATCGTCGAGCTGTCAACATCTCTTTTCATCTTCGCGTTGTTCGTCAACAGCGCTATTTTGATCGTCGCAGGAGCTTCCCTTTACAACACCTCTGCTTCCACTGCCGATCTATTTGGCATCCACAAGCTGCTGGCTCATCAGCTTGCTCCCGTTGCAGGAACGATCTTTGCTCTTGCTTTACTTCTCTCTGGTATTTCAGCTGGTATCGTGTGTACGATTGCTGGTCAGATGATCTGTGAAGGCCAGTTGACATGGTCAGTCAAGCCTTGGGTGCGCCGCTTGATAACACGATCTATTTCCATTACACCTTCCATCATCATCGCCGGCGCTGTTGGTGCAGAGNGGCTCTCTGCCGCGCTTGACGGCTCGCAGGTTGCTCTGAGTGTTATCCTGCCTTTTGTCAGCGCGCCTTTGATCTACTTTACCTGTCGTGACAGATACATGACCATGTCTGCGAGCAACGGCGACCTGATCAGTATGCGTAACCACTGGTTTACGGCCATCATTGCGGTTGTCATCTGGCTCATCATCGTGGTTATGAATGTCGCGCTCCTGGTGCTCTTGGGCTTGGGTCAGGGTTAGATTACGCGGTCGTGTCTCTGCATTTTGAATACATAATGTCTATAAGGGAAAGGTGTTTTGTTATAAGGACATTGATACACATTTTTCGATTTAGACACACTTTGTCGGCTCCCTTTATACTCCTACACAAAGCAACGAACATGGATGTGGCCAATACATAGATATCGTATCTCTACAACTTAGCCTTAGCAGCCTCCCAATCCTTGACTCTCTGTTTAGCCTTCTCTCCCAACTCCTCATCCTGTCTCTTGACACTTTCCTTGTACTCAGCCTCCTCATCAGGCGCATCCAAGAACGCCACAGTCTCCCTCCACATCTCCCTCTTCAACAATCCATATATCCCTTTGTCCGTCTTGCTCACCAAGTTCAATTCCTCCACAAACGCAACAACCTCATCCAAACCACCTACACCATCGATAATACCCGCTTCTAGGGCTTCCAAAGCTTTGAAACGTTTGCCTTCAAGTACCAAAGTGCGGTAAGTCTGGGGAGAGCACTTNTGGCGGAAGATGGAGGACATGGCTGCTTTGAGCGGAACACCCAATTCGACTTCGTTGAGGCAGATGTAGCCGCGATGGGGGTTCATGATTCGGTAATCGTGCATCATGGCTGTCATTAGGGCGCCTGCGAAGCCATGGCCGTTGATAAGGGCGATGGTGGGCATTGGGTAGCTGTTTGTATATGTTGTTAGTATTTGGAGACGACCAGGGTGACACCATTTGCAAAGCAGAAAATGGCAAGAACGACCATAACTGCAGGACCAACGCCTCGCGTGCNNCTTCTGAAGCTGGCATGGTCATTCTTTTGGTACCTTTTGCAAGGGTAGTCGAGCAGTAGCGTATGCCTTGGCCGTGTCGTCGTAAATCATTCATCTTTCCAAAATATCTCTCAAATCCCAGAGAGCAGCCTGAAACCCGTAAGAAAGAACAACCAAAACTTACGTCAACAATCTTTTCCAAAGCGCAAAGAGCGAGTCCTTGGTAAATGTCGGGTTTGAATTTGCATGCTCAAGATCCAGTCCATTGCTATAGAACTTGCTGATGCCAGACGTGGTAATGACCACGCCATGAGGATACTTGAGTGCCAGGATGTCCAACGCAGTGTGCACAGCATTGCAGAAAGACTGTGCGCATCATCAGTCATCTATCTAATGTGAGATAGAGGGTGTCGGAGAAGATGAACATACAGTAGTGAGTCGATTGTCCGGTGCAGAGTTCCACATGATCATGTAGACTCTCTCCGCCAGCCTGGTGACGACGACTCTGCCATTACTGTCAATCGGAACTTCGAACAGCTTTCCACTCTTATATCCCATTGTTTCAATGAATAACTTTTGTCAAAGATATGTGGAAGAAATACAAAAATGATTGTTGCTGGGCAATGGATTGAGGGAGGCTTCACATGCATCGTCATCCATCGTACCTCGGCTCAGAGAGTCAGGCGTTCGGGATCAATGACACCTGCTGCGGATGACAAAGAGCCAAGGAGCCATCGACAGACATACTTTTGGATGGTCTCGAAATTGTCGTTGTGAAAGAGATGGTATACCATTCGTATAGAAATCAGAGGAAACAAATGCAATGCGCAGCTAGATCTGCGACTGTACGGCCCGGTATAACCATGATACGATGGAAATAAAAGCAACGAAGAAAACAGAGACTAAAAGGTAGATAACAGCAAAGATATAAAGAACAACACGCCATTGCTATATCATCTCTGGCCCATGCTAACCTTCAAATATAAGAAAAAGAGAGGAAAATGAAGTCATCCCGGTCATAAAGCCATCATAGTCTCGCATCCATCAGCCCCTCCCTGGTTGCGGGATGAGATTGAGGAGCGGAGAAAGAAAAACAGCAAAGGTATAGAAAGTAGATGCGAGAAATAATGAGCCTGAGCAGTGCACCGAACTCCTTGGTACACCTAAAGGCAAAGAACGCCGATGTGCCCTCGTAACACCAGCAATGCGGCGTTGCTTGTTTGATGAGATGATAAATGATAAATTATTGGCAGAAGAGCTCGATCTCTCCCATGCCACCGACAGTCTCGCCTCGCTGTTCGCGCCAGGTCTCGAAGGCTGACTGCACATCCTCATCGCTCTGAATGCTGACGTAGTCATCCTCGTCAAGGTACTTCAGCTTGACTTGGTTCGGCGTGCGATCGCTTAGGCTAATGTTTGTACTGCGAGACAGCTTGGCGTCGATGCGATCTCTAAGAGAATGGTATGAGATGTTCAAAGGCACAACAAGGGTCAAGACAGTACTTGAGGCGTGTACTTTGATCTTCAGCTGTGACAGTCCAAAGTCGGAGCTGGAGGACAGGGGAGGGGATATAGGAGAATCATAGCCACTGGAAGGTCCTGGGGCAGGTGTATTGGTACGAGATGATCCAACGTAAGCCAATCCTGGGTTGACCCTCAAAGCGGGCGGACCATCATGAGCATACGGTGCGTCGGCATTTGATCGAGTTGACGACCGTTCACGCTGATGTGGCGATTGTACCGGAGCATGAACCAGACTGGGCGAATTGCTCTGGCTTCTGGGCACCGCTCCGCTCACAGAATATTGAGCGGGGAAGGGCGGAACAGGCACATCGGGCACTGGCGGTCTTGATCCGTTTGCAGCTCTGCGCTGGACATGGTTGATATCCGGGCTGCTCGCAGATCTGTTTCTTGAGGGTGGAATCTGTTGAGAACTGTGCATGCCGACCAACCCAGGCCTAGGTCCAGAAGTACGTTGAGTGGCAGCATAACTTGCGGAAGCGACGCTGTTCTCGCGTGAAGCGGTACGGCTCATAGCTGGAGCAGTATAGCGTGTTTGATTGTCGTGGAATTGGTTTGGGAAGTAAGACATGCCCGATGAACCACTGGTTCTCTGAGAGGGCAGTGGCGTTTCGACGGGTGAGAAGTACGAGTCCTTCTCCATCGAAGGTGATTGTGCGTAGGGCAACTGCTGAGTTCTCAGACTCAACGAAGGATGACCACCAGCTGCGTTAGCAGGGAGTCGTGGTGGAGGCATGCGTCCTCCTAGGCTCAACGGAGGACCACTCTCGCCGGTCGTAGATCTCGAGCGAAGACTTGTTGTTGAGGCATTTCTGCTGCTCATAGTAGAAGACTCGAACGAAGAGTGGGGAGCATATGGAGGGAATGGGGATGGTGGGACGACGGTGCCCTCTTCGTCCTCGTCATCAGCCTCTTTATAAGGGTTCACAAGATCTTCTTGGTTTTGCTGAATGTAGGTGAAGTCAGTGGCCGAAGTACCAACAGAAGGTCTGTGAGAAGCAGTGGTACTGTCGCTACGTCTTGCAAGATTGGTGCAAACAGATTTTTGCTCTAGCAACTTGGCATACCATTTGCTCATGGTATCTTCGGTGGGGAAGCGGACGACAAAGTTTTCGATGCCCGGATCGCCCTTCCAGAAGATCTGACAGGTGTATGAGCCAGGTTTTGATGCCTTGACCACGTCTGTAACATTCTGCATGAAGATACGGCCTTTGAGCTGCATCTTCGGTCTGCCTTTCTTGTCGACCAACGAACGGGTTGACATTTTGTTCTTCGGCTTGTTGCGGTCAATGTCCTTGCAACAAAGCAGGATCGATTCGAAGAAGTAAACGTGGTACTCGCGTTCCTGGTCCTTTCCTGGCGCACTGTCGCTCTTTATGACCGTGTAACTGCCGAAGAGAAGAAGACCACCGAAGCCTGTGACGCGGTGACCTTTCCAATCTTCAACACGACTTTTGAGATCTTCTAAAGCCTCCAGTTTGTCCTCGTTCTCAATGGCAGTATTCGTACGGGTCAGAACGGTTGTCGCGCACTCCTTGCCCTTGAACAGATCGGCCTTGATATCCTCGCTGTAATCACCCTTGTGGTACAAAGAGTCCAGCAACAGTGGGTACTTGGACAATCTTTGGAAAGGTTTCATCAGGAAGCCGTATAGAGTTGGAGGAGATTCGACGAGCTGGCGCATGTCGATAGTACCGCCGGCCTCCTTGAGCTTAGCAAACTCTCTCATGACAACCTCTTCACAGAGCTTCTGATTGGCGATATAAGGCTCGTACACCATAAAGCCTTCGTTTGCTTGGACAAAGATCTTGCCCCAGTTTTGTTCATCTTCTGGTATAGCATTCGTTTGCTCAACCTTGATAAGGAACCGGCGTTGGAAGTTGAGTAGTGCGTCGAGATTGTGGAAGATCTGATGGCTCACATCACCAGAAACGACTCCCTTGCTTTCACATAGTTGCTTGAAAGCTTGCAGGAGTTCAAGGTGTTGTACGTAAGTTCTTTCGGTAGTAACCAATTCTTCGACGATATGTTGTCGCTGGCTGCGTTTGCCAGAATGGGCGGCGATCTGATCCGGACGAAGATCTTCGATGATGTTCTGTTGCACCATAATGTCGAGCAGTCTTGAAACCATTCTTACGACCTGCAAGAGTTAGGAAACGCAATGTGACTAGAAAGAGAGATGTGTTACCTTGACAAAGCCACCAATATCGTCCTGGTAGAGATCGTAGAGAATAAAACAATCCTCTACAGAAAAGTTTAGACCGTTGATACAGCCACGCAAGAAACTGGAAGTGAGGGCCTTGCCCTGTTTGGCAGCGCTGATTTTTGACACGTCGACCTCAACAGGCTGATCGGGCCGCAGGATGTTGTATAAGGAGACTAACGGGTGACCAAGCTGGAAGGTCTTCCAGATCAGCTGGACGACATCGAGATCTTCGTGTTGTCGTTCCGTCTCCAAGAAGTACTCATCGAAGCCAGGAACAGCTAATAGACGTTGACGCAAAGTGATACACATCTGGAACAACGAGGCATCCTTGTCGGCGACTTTGTTCATGACATTGCCGGTTGGCTCGACATTTCCTTGGATTGTAGACGGTGCAGGCGAGAGCGAAGGCGTAGGTGGGACGGGAAACAGTGTGGATGTAGATGTGCCTTGGGTTGTGTCCGAGTTTCTTGAGAGGACCGAGTGGATGGAATGCGAAGAGTTGGTGTGGTTCTGGGACTGGACCAGAGGGGAGGTTGCGGAAGGCATTTTGGTGTAGAGGGGCGCGGTATGTGTTCGGGTCATGGAAGCATGAGAGGCAACCTGCATGGCTGGAGTCGGATGCCGAAGGTGCGCGCAGCCGTGGTATATAACGGCAAGCACACGTGGGCGTATGTGTCGAGGGTAGATTCAGGATCGAGGCCGATGCCAGCAGAGAGGTCGTTAGAGGTGACGAGCGCGTGCCGTGCGCGGTCGGAAGGTACGAAGGCGCGATGCAGATGCAAAGATCTACTGAAGCATGTGTGAAGGAGGTCGTCTCTTCCTCAGGTGACAGTCCTTCCTTCGCTGGACGAAAGTTGGACAAGGAGAGTGAGTGGTTGCGGCGGTGGGGCCCGTGTGGAAGCCACTTTCTGGCCGTGGCTTTGTATATGTCTTCTTGATAAGTGAAGGAGCGACTACGACTCTAGCGGCAGCGGGGTCACGACTCTTTCCCGGTGGTTTGGGCTGGGAACTCTTGACAACTACGGCGGCGACGTCGACTTGGAACTGGAAAGTGAACAATGAAAGACAGACGGACACAGGCTCACACAAGGAACAGCGACCGCGGCGGGCGGCCCTTCTCAAAGGACCCTGCTCTTTCTGAAGCCCCGGCTCTTTCCTTTGTGAAACACGCTTGGGCTCCTTCCACATTTTACCCTGCGAGCAAGCACATGCCCGCTCCCGCCTCTGTTACAAGGACTCGCCAAATGCATCGCGATTCTTCCGGTTCTGCCTCGACAATATTTGACTTGTTCAGCCTCCTTCTACGTGACTCTGTGCCTCCGTGACTGTATTCGTTCTTGACCGCCCTGAAAGATAGCAGCCGCATGGTCAAAGAGCCCTGGAGGCTTCTGTGACGATCACGCGAGGGCCACCTTGTTCTCCTCGCTTTTGTCGCCAAAGAGTGCAGATTGACGATCGTCCGTCCCGCCCGCCCAGACAACTGACTCTTGTCAGCAGCCAAAGTCCTTGTTGAAGCAAACTTTGTTGATTGGCCCACGGGGTCTGACCTCGATGCCAACTCTCTGACACACAAAGTGAAGCGCCGCTCGAGAGTCCGATCGCGACTTCCGTCCCGACATTTAGCCCGTTCTTGTTTACCAAGCCTGTCTTGCCTTGTCCATCAAAACACTCGTGCGAGCAGACGCCTGATATGGCCCAAGAAGAGATGAAGGTCGACGAGGGCTATTCAGGAGGCTCCGAGGAGACGAGGAGTCTGTCTGACAGCGATTCTACTATGCACATCGATCCCGTCGACGGTCATGTTTCAAAGTCATCCACACCCACGCCCGAGTCGATGCTTTCGGGCGTACTGAGCCTGCCTCCGGCCCAGAGATCTGCCTTCATAACCTCTCTGTTGCGATTAATACCAGAGTCGGAGCGATATGGTATTTGCATAACTTTCTAGTTCTATCTACACACCATGTATCTGACATCAACTANNGATACCGCATATGCAGCCCTTCGCTCGCTGCGCACTTCGTCCATCGCGTCAATAGTAGATCGCCTCAACCCACTCCTTCATCTCGACCCGGTAGTCTTCCTGCCACCCGAAATTACGTCCCAAATCTTCCTTCACCTCTCGCCCTCCGATCTCCTTCGATGCTCAACCGCTTCCCGGCTCTGGCGTGAACGTGTCTTGGATAGCACTCTATGGAGGACCTTTNTTGTCCGCGAAGGATGGATGCCAGATATTGCAGAAGTGAGAAGTGGTGAAGCTACAGAAGCCAGACGTCGTTTGAATCTCTCACGCAACACCACCCAGAAGCCTCCTAGAAGGGNNAAGCCCGATGGCGAACTCGAGCGAAGTGGTAGTATANAAAGAGCAAAGGAATCTGTCGATGGTTGGAACGAACAACACAGCACCTTGGAGGCTGATGAGGACGCTGTCCTGCAGGAATCAGAAGATGGTGCCGCTTCTCTGTCTGCCATGAGCCTTGCTTCGGAAGCAGACTACCTTGACATTGCTCCAGGAACCGACCCGTCCTCGAGTTCGCTTCCCCAACTATCTAAGTCGCTCTACCACACATACAATGCCTCACCGCGTGTCAACTGGCTATACTTGTACAAACAGCGACGTCGATTAGAGGACAATTGGAACAAAGGACGCTATACGACATTCCAGCTACCACATCCAGATCATCCCGAGGAAGCCCATGATGAGTGTGTCTACACAATACAGCACTCGCGGGACTGGCTAGTCAGTGGAAGTCGTGACAAGACGATCGCAATCTGGGATCTGGAGACTCAAAGACGTGTGAGGACACTTTCTGGGGCTCATATTGCTTCTGTGCTATGCTTGCAATTTGATGAGCGCCCAGAGCAAGACATCGTCGTCTCAGGCGGAAGTGACNTCTTTGTAGTCATCTGGCGCTTCTCGACTGGTCAGATCATTCGCAAGATGGACGACGCACATACAGAATCCGTGCTCAATCTACGTTTCGATGACGACCTGCTCATAACGTGCTCCAAAGATAAGACTATCAAAATCTGGAATCGCAGAGAAGTCTTTNTGAACAGCGATATTATTCCGGCAGTCGCGAAACGCCAGCTCGAAATCGGCCACCCTATAAATCCCATCAAGGAGTATTCGCTGTTACTTACTCTTCTAGGCCATGGCGCAGCAGTGAATGCAATCCAAATGCATCAAGGTCAGATTGTTTCTGCATCAGGAGATCGAACCATCAAAGCATGGGACATCAACACCGGTACATGCACAAGGACTTTTACAGGCCATACGAAAGGTATTGCCTGTGTGCAGTACGATGGGCGCCGTATTGTAAGTGGCAGCAGCGACAACACTGTCCGCATCTTTGACGCAGCTACGTCTGCAGAGGTTGCTTGTCTTCCTGGCCACAGCAATTTGGTTCGTACTGTACAAGCCCGCTTTGGTGATATGAGTGTGTCGTCTGAACAGCTCGAGGCCGATGCACGCGCTGTCGATGAAAGATTCCATGATGCTCGCATGAATGGCTTGAATCCTGACCAGAACAGAGCTCGCGGTCAGCGCAATGCTGGCTCGAGCAATCCTAATGAAGTATGTGCGGTCGGCGCGAAGATTCCACCAGGTGGAGGTGGCAACGCCTGGAGCCGCATTGTGTCAGGCTCTTATGATGAGACAGTCATCATCTGGAAANAGGACTCTGATGGTAAGTGGGTCCCAAGCAGGAGGCTGCGGCAAGACGAGATTCTTCAGGGCAGACGAAGACCTCGCATTCAGCCCGCAGCAGCGCCTCAGCAGGTAACGCCACAACCACCACAACATAGTCCAGACCAACAGGACACAGCTGCGCAATCAACAATGGCGGCTCCTCCCCCAGGCATAGACCCAGAGGTATGGTTTGCACCCGCTGTGTCCGCTTCTGCTCCCCAAATCCAGCAACAGGTGCAACAACAGACACAAAATCACGCCGGCCCGGCTGGTCCACCTGCTAATCATCACCACCATCACGGCCACCATGGAGCTGCTGGACACCATGGCCGTCATCGTATCAGAGAAGACAGCAACCGTGTCTTCAAGCTCCAATTCGACAGCCGGCGCATAGTTTGTTGTTCGCAGAACAGAGTCATCGTAGGATGGGACTTTGCTGCTGGTGATTCCGACCTTGAACAGGCGAGCCGCTTCTTTGGCGAAACCGACTAGGTCATGGCAGTGTTTTGGTCTAACTATTCTTGGGCCTTATTTTCCTATCTCTCAACTCATGCATGCCTTGTTGGCCTTGATTGGTTCTTGGGCATTTTTCCTGTGAACGCTGTAGTTTAGGATTGCGAAGCTCATTCTGAGCAAACTATATCTTGACATGACCGTATCGATGTAAAACCACCTGGTCTTGCGTCTGACAAAGCAATCTGCTCCATATGTAGTGACCCTAACCCGCCCGATACTCGTGAGAAAGTCGGCGTTCATGAAATGCAAACATCACCTGATGTTTTTCGGGCAGAGATTTGGTTGATTGTTTACGTACGCGCGAAACAGGAAATCAAAGGGTGCAAGTATAAAAGGCCTGCAGAAGTCACAGCCCAAATGCTCTCCAGCTTCACCCACTTTTTGAGAGCGACCCCACCATCCCCACGCTACCACGCAGGTGTCGTGGTCACGGCGGTTAGGCGGGCTGCAATGCACAGCGTGCGTTGTTACCGGGGCTTCGGTTAAGCAGTCAATGCTATGCATTGAAATGTAGATCGGATTTGCTCGTCTTCAAGATGACAACTGCAGCTTCTGAGAAAGCCATGGTCAGCACCCAGGTCGGACGAGCGGCCAAAGAGGCACAGGCGCTGCGTTGAGCTGCAAGGCGGTCTGCAGCTCGATATGCTTGCAGCGGGTCTTGTACGCGAAAGAGTCGAGCATCGAGCAAGGCGTTATCCGAGACATTATCTCTTGGTCTTGACGAATCGTCATTTGGCAAAGTTTGGCCAGCGAAGCGCCGGTAACGGTATTCGTCGGTGCGTTCGGGGAAGACGATGGGTCACTGCAGCTTCCCAACAGCTCGCAAGCCGAGAGGAGAGCCAGAGCTCCCAGTATTTGATAAATCCCCCAGCACACCTGTTATCGACAAACGGCCATTCCTCGTCGCCAGCTCTTAATCAATAGTCAAACGAAGCACGGCACTGTTCGCCCTTTCTTCCGAGGAAAAAACACCCACTTTCGACACCATGTCAGAGCAGCAGACCGGACCCAAGGGTACGTGAGTCAAAAGAGCCATCTTTGCTTTCTCTCCAACCGCTCAACTTCTTGCCTTCCTTCCATCACACCCAACACCATGCGGCCTCTTGTTCAACTTGCTGTGCGAGCTTCCCGCTCAGCCAGACCTCTGCGTGCATTCAAGCCTACTCCCAATCGCTTGTTCCACTCATCACCACGCTCGCTCTGTCAAGACTCACAGAACGACGATGACTACCGTACCATTGCCCACACGACTCTAGCATGTCAGCGAGCCACAATGCTGACCATCTCTCCCAACAGGCGGCTTCGCCCACACCCTCGCCTCGCGCGTTGAGGAATGGAGCTCCAGCATGGAGCAGTCCGACCCCGACTTCTTCCCCAAGTCGGCAAAGGGCCAGTCTCCCAAGATTCTCTGGATCGGTTGTGCCGACTCTCGCATCCCCGAGTCGACCATTCTGGGCCTGAAGCCTGGTGAGGTCTTTGTCCACCGCAACATTGCCAACATCATCCAACCCACCGACATCAACTCGCTGTCCGTCATTGAATTCGCCGTTGCACACCTCAAGGTCGAACACATCCTCGTCTGTGGCCACACCAGCTGTGGTGGTGTTAACGCTGCTCTTGCAAACAACAGACTTGGTCTGCTTGACGTTTGGCTCCAGCCCATGCGCCAGTTGAGAATGGACCACACAGACGAGCTGGAGAAGATGGACAACCAGAGTGAGAAGACCCACAGACTCAGCCAGTACAACATTCTGCGCGGTCTGGAGGTTCTTAGAATGAACCCCACCGTCATCGATGCTATGACCGAGCGCAACCTGCAGCTGCACGGTGTCATTTACCACGTCGAGAACGGCAAGCTCGAGGTTGTCGAGTCTACCGAGGACGAGCACAGACTGAAGAAGCGTCTGGCTGCTTTCACCACAAAGCAGGCCGCATAAGCGCAATTTGTACATTTTGATGGGCCATTGGGTCTGTGGAGTAATTCGGAGTAGGCATTGGAAAGCCCAGTACGGAATATCACGATAAAGTACGGTACTGGATGGAGGACTTTTGGAAGACGCTATACAGGTTGGACTCGACTCAGGCGAGACAACACATAATCAACGACGAAACATCATCAATCGACTTGTTAAACGGACAATTCTTCCAAATTTCGTGATGAGTCAGTTGTATCCACTCTTCGGAGCATGTTGCCGGGTGCTCGGACATAACATCATAGTTCCATGGTCAACATAAAACATTGTCTCTGGCACTTTATACTTTTGACGTCCTTTTGCTTCTAAACAACTACCCGACAAGATGCACGAATTAGCAGCATATGCCAAACCTCAGGAGTCCAAGATGAAGTATNCACTAGTAAGTAATACTCCTTCTGCGAACAAAAAGCCAACCATATACTTACATCGAAATTTATCTAGCTTGGGACAATCAGGACTCAAGGTCTCCCAGATCATTCTTGGAGCTATGTCCTATGGCTCTTCTCAATGGCAAGATTGGGTCTTGGACGAGGAACAAGCACTGTGAGACCCTACCATATCACATCTCCTACATGGAAAAAGTAATCCTGACTTCTTCTCAGGCNCTCTACTCAAGCATGCCTATGACCGTGGCATCAACACCTGGGACACAGCCGATACTTACAGCAACGGCCGCAGTGAAGAAATCATCGGTGCCGCAATCACCAAATACAACATCCCTCGCTCCCGTCTGGTTTTGTTGTCGAAGTGCTACTTTGGCGTCACCGACGACGATAACTCCGTCCACCAGCCCAAGATCCCAGAAATGATGAACAATGATGGAGATTTGGTGAACAGAGTCGGACTTTCCAGAAAGCATATTTTCGATGCTGTGGAGGCTAGTGTTAAGAGATTGGGTACTCATATCGATGTGTACGTTTTGGTTTTCTTCGGTGGTTGTGGCAGAGGAAGAAAGATTGCTGACAGTAAGCAACAGANNTTGCAGATCCACAGATTGGATAGAGGAGCCCCGAAGAAGGAGATTATGCGGGCATTGAACGATGTTGTTGAGAAAGGCTGGGTCCGCTACATCGGCGCCTCCTCAATGGCAGCATGGGAGTTCCAAGAACTGCAGGTAAGTCCGCACCAACCTCCTCTTGCTTCACAGCAAAGAGAAAGAAGAATCGCTCTCGCTGACATAGCAACCTGAAACANNCAGAACATTGCAGAAACCCACAACTGGCACAAATTCATCAGCATGCAAAACTACCACAACCTGCTTTATCGCGAGGAAGAGCGCGAAATGATCCCTTACTGCAAACACACAGGTGTAGGTTTGATCCCTTGGTCACCCATGGCACGCGGTGTGCTCGCCCGCCCCTGGTCCTCTCGTACCTCCATCCGCGAATCCTCCGACAACACCTTGAAAGCCCTAATCCGCAGCAAAGAATCCGAAAACGACGAAAAAATCGTAAACAGAGTTGAGGAGGTTGCCAAGAGAAAGGGAATCTCTATGGCTGCTGTGGCGGTGGGGTGGAGTGTTGCCAAAGGCGATATTCCGATTTTGGGATTGAGTAGTAAGGAGAGGATTGATGAGGCGGTGGAGAATTGTAAGACTGTTTTGACGGAGCAGGAGATTGCTGAGTTGGAAGAGCTGTATATGCCAAAGGCTGTTAGTGGATACTAAGCTCTGAAGCACGGAAAAGAGGTAATGGACGATAAGATATAGAGATAGACATAGAGTATTTTGATTTGACTCAGAAGAGCATGTCCAAACATCATTATAATATTTTCGTGCTTCTACTGTTCGGGTGTCTAGTATGTTCCAGCCTTGCCAGCACAACCCATGTTGTCGATCCAGTACTCGCATTGCTTCTTGATCAAGTCTGTGCCTGTCTCGAGTTGCTCGGTCAACGGCACCTTGCCAGTCTTCTCGGCTGTGTAGGCAAAGTAGTCAGACAAGACCATCTTGTTGACGTTGACACGAGTGACACCCCTCTCGATACACTTGTTCAAGATCTCAGGGATGAACTCGTTTGTACCGTGCAGCACAATCTGCACTCTGTCATCGACCTTCTTCTGGATAGCCTCAAGACTGTCACAGCATGATTAGCAAGACTGTAGATATAGATGAGAAGATCAAACTTACCGCTCATAGTCCAGATGAATATTTTCCACACCATGATAATCACCATGCACGTTTCCAAACGCCGGAGCCAAGAAATCAATCCCCGTAGCGATGAAATCATCAACCTCTTCAGCAGTAGTCATCATACCTTCCAACTCTGCCGTATCCTTGACGCCGTCCTCGCCACCTTCGATTCTGCCAGGCTCGGCTTCGGTAGCAATACCCTTGGAATGGCACAACTTGACCAGCTCTGTCGTCTTGGCTAGGTTCTCTTCTTTNTCGTAGTGTGACATGTCCACCATGATGGAGTCGAACATGGGTGTGCCGTCGTGCTTCTTGAGCTCTGCGGCCCGCTTGATGACCTCGGGGTCTTGGGCGTGGTCCATGTGCAAGGTTACGGGGACTGAGGCGGCGGCACAGGCTTCGGCGGCGGCAGACACAAAGGATGGTGAGTAGTGGAGTGCCCAAGGGAAGAGGAGGATCTGGAGAGGTGCCTTCTTCGACTCGGCTGCGCGAATGGCGCCGATGATGGTCTCGAGGTTGTAAGATACTACACCGAGGACACCGTATTTGCCTTTGGCTGCTGCATTCAGCATGCGTACGGCGGGGTTGTTGTTGAGTTTTTGGAGTGCCATTGTCGTGACTGCAGCTAGGTGGTTGTTATGATGTTGGGTTTTTACTGGGTTCGGAAAGTAGAGCAGATCAGAGCAAAAGGTCAAGAGATGTTACAAAACCACAGAATTGTTGTTTTGCTGATGTTCAAGGACATATAAACGAGGTCATTGCCCCGCTATATACCCCACCGGTCTTCTTCCCGACCGTCCCGCATTGCCCACCTTGGGACTTCCGCATCATTCTGCCGAGAGATGGTTGTGGATGCTCCTTGGTATCGGTTATTTTGCCGGAGAGGCTGTTCGGTATGAAGGCCGATTCCGGGAAGTTGTGTGTAATGTGAGAATAGTGAAGTTTTATATATTCTATGAAGATATGACCTAGTGCCTCGGATCTGAATCAGGAGGTCGTCACGCTTTGACGAAGAGACAATAGACAGAGAAGTCTAGGTGAGAAGAAAAGAAGATAGATAGAGTCCAAAAGAATGCTTTTCCACACATGGCTCCGTTCAGTATTTGAAAGCAAGACATTAATCATTACCAGTCGAGCAGTAAGCCAAGTCCCTTCCAAAAGTGTGTTTCAAAGCATGTGTGCCAAATCGTGTTGGCAGATTGGTATGCGTGAATACTGACCTTGAGGTCTGACCTGGACCACAAGCTGATGTACAGCCCCGGTTGGTGCTAGTTGTATGTCTCATGAGATGTATCCGTCCGGGAGGGCATACTGTCGCACATGCCTGTCTTGAACCGCTTCGGTGTTCGTTCTGCATGCTGCATGATAGTCCGATGGTGCTCAGAGAATCCACGCAACCATAAGAGGCTTGGATTTCGAGGGTCGTGGCAATGCCTTGTCCTAGTTGGCATGTCCATTGGCAGAGGCTTTCTCCTCAACTTCGACATACTTTGCACATGCGAAGTAGCCTTTGTTCTCGACCACGCCTCGGTTCTTTACGACTGCAGTGTATTTGATGACCCATTGAGGAATGACCTGGCCTTCCATCTTTTGACCATTCTCTTGTCTCTTCCTCTTCTCACCAATCTTCTCCGAGGCTTGAGACAAGACACCAGCACCTTCGTAGTCGAGGAGTCCCCTAATGGTACCACGAGGCATAATGTTGACCGAGTCATTGTTGACGAGCAATTCAACATTCTTGCTCTTTGCCAAGCTAGACAGAGGCTGAGGCACACTGCAGCAGTCGCGCAGGCTGATTTGGTTGACCGAAGGCTGGACACTTGCCTTCTCGAGGAAGGGTTGCAGACGGTTCGCGCCAAACTCGGACACTCCAAGTCTTCGTACCAGTCCGTCTTTGTGCAGCTTCTCTACCAGTTTCCAGGTCTCCAATTGGTTGTCCACAGGCTCAGGAGAAGATTCCTTGGTTCCTCTGCTCTTGATCTTGTCTGGACAGCACTCGCTCTCCTCGTCGAAGTAGACTCCAGGGAAAGAAACGATCAAGAGATCGACATTGGGCATGTGCAACTCCTTCTGGACTAGATCGACAGCTTGACGAAGATGCTCCTCTCTTGCAGAAGTGTCCTCGTCGGAAAGGAAGAAGACCTTTGCAGTTATATCGTATTGATCACGCTCCTCGTGTAGGGAGCTGTTGGTGAAGTCGAGGCGTGGGATGTACATGGTCTTGCCGTCGTCCGAGTATGAAGTCCAATCGACATGTTTAGCCTTCTCTTGAGACAGCTCCTTGGCCTCGTGCCTTGCGCCTTCGAAGTTGTCGCGTAGACTCCATGTGAGTTCGGTATGGGAATTGTCGGCGGCACCCACACCTTGTTGAAGCATGGTATTGCTAAGAGAAATAAGCACAAGGTGTCATGAGGCGACATAGCGAGCAATACCCGGTGGATAGAATAATGGTTTCGGCCGTCATGATTGTTGAGGTGGATTTCTAAGCGAGGAAAAGTAGGAAAGGATCAGGACGCTCAAGAAATGCAGGAAATGTACAAAAAGCAAAAAACAGTAGGTTGCAATGAAAGTGCGATTGTCGGGAAATCAGAGAGCAAAGAGATATGGCGTGAGTGGGTGTAGGTACATGGGAAGGAAAAGATGAGGGTGGGATTTGATGTATGATTCGAGCATGATGTTATCGCCGAGGTTGCCCGAAAACCCAAAAGGCAGGCAGTTGCGGAGGACAAAGTCTGGAGCTGGTGGGTGCTGCCAGGCTGAGGCTGTTATTACGGATACTCAGGAGCGACATTGTCATCGGAACAAGCTACCGTCCACCTTCAACCACACACATGGCCATCAAGTAGGTAGCACCTTGTAGCTGACAATGTTAGCCCGTGCTAATGCGCTCGCCAGATATTTGATTCTCCTGTCAAGGCAGGGCAAAGTGGTGAGTGCACCAGCTGGCGTGCTTGGGAGAAGCAGGAGCTAACGCAACCAACTCAGCNGCCTTGCAAAGTGGTTCACAACTTTGTCTCCCAAGGACAAGGCAAAGATCATCAAGGATGTATCGCAACTAGTCCTCGCTCGTCGCACGCGCATGTGCAACTTCCTCGAGTACAAAGGTCGGTCGCATCATGTCCCCCACCCACGCACCAATCCACAAGCTGACGGATTATGTCAAGATTCAAAAGTTGTCTACCGCCGCTACGCTTCCCTCTTCTTCATCGCCGGTTGCGCTTCCGACGACAATGAGCTCATCACTCTAGAAATTGTCCATCGCTATGTCGAGCAGATGGACAAGTACTACGGCAATGTCTGCGAGCTCGACATTATCTTCAACTTCCAANAAGCATATTTCATCCTCGACGAGCTACTGCTAGCTGGAGAGATGCAAGAGAGCAGCAAGAAGAACGTACTCAGGTGTATCGGTCAACAAGACAGCCTGGAGGACATGGAGGTACGCACATCTTTCACCGCACACTGCTGCTGTCGCTTCAAACATCCTGCACCACTTTCGTCCATCTGGCATCTGCCAACACACACTCACACTTGTCACAGGTCGAAGACGAAGCCGTCACGCGCATCATGTAGAGGCAGTCTTTCAACAATACCGCCCTTGCACCAATATCACAGCACTCGCAGCATTTTATGGCGTTACATCGGATTACAGGAGTTACTGGTGGTTTTGTGATTTACGTTTGGACAACGATACCACAACTTGTGCAATACTAGCAATTCAGATGAGTGTCCCTCGCCTTAGGCAGGGCTTCCGGGTCTTAGACCTGCTGCTCAATTATAATGACCATCCAACGATGCCCATTTTGGTTCAGGCTCTTGGTGTGACTCTGCTGCTCTTGCTCTTGCTCTTGCGACTGTCTCTCTTTTCTTTCTGTTCTCATGGTCTGTTGTTGTCATGTCTGACATGACGATGATTGTCTTGGTTGTTGACACGTCCTCATGATACATTGACTCTGTCTCTCTCTAGGTTCTGTCACGACTCATGGCCTCCTTTCTTCCAGCAACAGAAACACTCAAAACAACAACAAAGCGAAATTCGACCAGGGCGCACGTTCTCGACATGTTGGCCGATGCATCAACTGCGACAGTTGCGTTGCCAGTCAGATGTTTGCGGTCCGGGCGTTGATTGGCTCGAAGCCAACCGCATCACGTCACCACGAGGTCCCCCAAACCGCCGAGGAGAGGGCAGCCGCAACCGGCGTAGAGCGACTCTCGCGATCCAACGTCCGCTCGTAGCACCGCTCAGCTATCACGACCCATTCTTGCTCCCTTCCATCCACCAGCGACTTATTATTCGACCCATTACTATTCTCAACATTCGCGACAGAGTGCGACACTGATCTGCTCGGTTGACTGCTTATCGCCAACTACTCGACCCCCTCCTTGCGCACTATCGCCAACCGTTGCATCCCGTCGCGCGTCTGATTGACTCACCTCACAAACATCCTTCACTCGTCCAGCAAACTTCTGGCCACTTTCAACCACTGCGTACATTCTCCTATCCTTATCACTTCGCCTTCCATCTGCCCAGCAACGGCGCATCCACCCGCAAGATGAAGGTAAGCTCATGACAGACGCGACACGCTCACCACCTTTGCGACGACTGCCGACTCGCAATTCTGGCGAGCGTCAATTGCTTGAAAGGTGCAAGTGACTCCAAGCAAACATGAGCCAGCCCCACATTGGATCTTTGCTGCCTTCCCGAGTGCGGATGTTGTAACGCGCGTGGCTGTAAAAATGCACAATACTATTAGAAAATGGGATAGTGTCCACTGAGAAGCGACCTCTCATTAGCTCTCTTTGGCCATGTCCTTATTTCTGGATAGAATTGTGCATTTCTACAGCCGCACGCGTTACAAACATTCACACACGGGGAGGCGGTGAATGGCTCATGTTTCCCTGGACCAACCCTTGGTGCTCGATGAGCTGTGTTTGTACAATGCTAACCATTCTCTAGTACGTTCCTCTACGCGACTTCCAGGTCGTTACAGATGCCTTGAACTTCTCGACCACCGATCTGCATGTAATTGGCGGCTGCGATCTCTACACAACCAAAGCTGCCGGCAGCGACAAGAAACTGTATAAGAACATTGAGAATTCACTCGAGAAAGAGCATGGAAACCTGTTGCGCTTGGCTGCATCACTATCACCTCCATCGCTCCCAATCGACAGCAGAAAGAAAGAGCGCAAGCCATCAGTCCACATGCCAGAGATCGATCTCTCCCGCGATAGCCCTTTCGGCTCCTTCAACCAGATCAGCGCAAGAAGAACATTTGCCTATCTAATCGCAACTCTAAATGCCTCACACCCCGACTACGACTTCTCACACATCCTCCGGCCTACCGACTTCCGCAAAACGAATGGCACATCAATCAGGAAATTTGTGGATAGTACCCTCATAAATATGCGTCCTCGCCGCATGTCTACTCTTCTGTCACCTCACGCCAAGTCATCATTGAGTGCCGGTTCACCACAAGGTATCACGTCACCGAATGCCGAGTTTGTGTGGGGCGAGTACATGTGGAAGTTGATCGACAAGGAGATGGATCTCAAGTCCTGTGAGAAGTACACATGGGACCCCGAGGACGATCCTTTCGAGGCCGAGAGCGCGTTGTGGAGTCAACACTATTTCTTCTTCAACAAGGAGAAGAAGAGAGTTTGTTATCTCAACTTCCGTGCGTTCAGTGTCTTGTCACACTCGCCCGCCAACGGCATGCATACACGCACCGTGCCCATCAACAACCCTGGTGTTGGAGATGGTGCTGGAAAGAGAGCCCAATACTGGCTCGGTCACAGTGTCGATGACAATGATGTCGACAACTGGAGAGAAGACGACGATCTCGAATACGAAGACTCGATGAGTATCGACAACGACAGCAACGAAGGCGAGTACAGAAACGATCTCGACGATGTGCGCGACAAGCTCGAGGACGGTTACCACGCCTGGGCTGAGGGCACTGTTGACTCAAATGATGCTTACGAAGCTTCTGGTTGGGATCCTCGTCGCATGCATCGTGGTTCTAGTGAGGGCCCGGCTGATGCGATGGAGATCTAATCTGCTATGCAAAAACCGATGGTTACCATGACCATCAACATTCACGAACGCTGGACGTCAATTTCTTGTTCATACTAAGTTCTAATTCGGGAATCGGAGTGGGTCCTGACAGTCGGGCGAGGGCGTTTGGATGGGTTCTTTTCTTCTGTTTTTATGACTATGCCAGGCGCTGGTACTTGGAATGGGAGATAATCAAGTGATCCTGCCCTGGATGGTTGTGTTCATAGCGTCTACCTTCACTTGTTTTTTACGTTTGAGAATCGAAATGCTTTCTCTGGAATTGTATCTCTCATCTTGCCATGATAGAAAACAACCTTGATGTTTAGCACAATGACAGCATAACTTTGCATGTGGAACCGAAGCAATATCGAGGCCGCGCCACCCGAGCACGATTAGACAGCAATCACAGATTGCACAAGAGATGCTGCAGTGATATGGCTACGTCTGAATTGACGTGAGGGAAATTCATGAATATGGTGCGATAAAATTAGATTGGATTGGAGCGAGAAAGGGTACTCCACCGAAGTCCTGCATCATTTCGTCTTCAGGCTTCATCATCTCATCTTTCTCCACACAAACAGAAAGTGCTTTGTTGCACCAAAATAAACATGGATAACCTGGACGACGGTCAACAGTCAGTCTACACCGTACTGGTTACAGGCGCAAACAGGTAAACCACACATCAATTGATCTTGCAAGAAGAAGCGGTCGGGCTGACATGTGAATCTGNNAACAGCGGACTAGGCTTCTCAACCTGCTGCCGCCTCATCGATGAATTCCTGCACTCGCGACCGCAAACCCAAACACTGCACCTGATTATCACAACACGATCGTCCTCGAAGAACAAAGGCACGCAAACACGATTGGACACACACCTCCAAAAGACGCTGCAGAAGGCCGACAAATCGACACCGGGCATTAGCAAAGTTCTCGCAACGCGTGTTAGGATCTCTGGCGAGCAGGTCGATCTGTGTAAGCTGCGCAGTGTCAAAGAGCTTGGAGAGATATTGGTTCACAGGGGCCACCGTATCGATGTGCTGGTCTGTAATGCAGGGATTGGTGGGTGGAAGGGTTTGAACTGGCCTAGTGCCGTTTGGTCCATGATGACGGATTGGAAACATTCTTGCACGTATCCGACCTACAAGCTGGGCTTTGTAGGCTCTGTCGCAATTCAAGGCAACGAAGAGAAGGAACAGCAACTGGGAGAAGTGTTTACGGCAAATGTGTTTGGGCATTACTTGCTTGCTCACGCGCTTGCACCTTTGATGAAGGGAACCGAGACTCAGGAGCCCGGTCGCATTATCTGGATATCGAGTATTGAGGCTTATGCCCATGCCTTTAATCCAGAAGACCTGCAAGCCTTGACCTCAGACGCGGCATATGAGTCTTCAAAACGCCTTACCGATCTTCTGGTGCTGACTTCGGAATTGCCATCTACTGCACCCTCAACATCATCCTTCCTTCAGGAAAAGGGCGATGACAAGCACAAGAAACCAATCATGTACCTCGCTCACCCAGGTGTTTGCGCAACCAGCATCGCAGACTTGCCGCTGTTGTTGTGGTACGCCATGTTATTTGCGCAATACGTCGCTCGCTGGTTGGGTTCGCCCTGGCACCCTGTATCTTCGTATCTCGGTGCCGTATCCAGCGTTTGGCTCTCCCTGGCACCTTTTTCATCTCTCGCGCACCAAGAATCTACTGAAGGAAAAGCCAAATGGGCAAGTTCGACAGATGTGTTTGGCAACGAACGCGTCGTGCGTACGGAAGTCGCTGGATGGGGATGGGGAGGCAAGGTAGGCGAAAAGGCAGATGGAAAGATGAGGTTGAGTGCGAATAGATGGAGAGGGCAGAAGGATGTGACCAAAGAGTCGAGAGAGGAGTTTGAGGCGCTTGGACAAAAGGTCTGGAGGGAGATGGAGGAGTTGAGAGAGACGTGGGAGAAGAGGTTGTGAGGCTGATATCGTGCATACTTCCCACTCTCATCCCTCACAATGTCCATATTACAGACCATACTCGATTACAAGCAAGCTATCAAACATCGCACGAGACTTCTACACTCTTCACCATCTCCTTACCTTCCAACCAACGAAAACAAAAAGCAAAATAGTGATGACTCCAAGAGTCGAACACGGGTCCCCTTCTCTTTTAGCTGTCCCCATCCCAAAAGGAACTTTCCTCTAATCGACAAAACAAAAAGAAGGCTTGACGAAATCAAACGTTCGAGTGTGTTCCAAAGATTTGAGTAGGCACTGTCTTTGCTCTCCATCCCTGTTTGAATTGGTAAAAGGCAAATTCGAAGTCAGAAATAATGGAAGAGCAGTGCTAACTAGAGCGGATTTTGGATGCAATATATACCTGTAACCAAAAGCTTGGCGTGGAGAAGTGGGAGAGGGGTGACCCTGCTCTCCATGACATCTCTCATCTGTCGCAAGTTTAGTATGTTATTGATGATTCAGCTCCTATAAGTGGTTGTTGTTGTTGTTCTGTTTTGCTCTTCGAGAGGTGATCTTGGTTGTTTGTGGAGCCTCTGGGTTTTGGTCAGAGTCATCCATAACTACCAACCTGAATTTAGCAAACAAGCTTTGAAATGACAAACATGCACACTATCAGAGTTTTGATACTGTTTGGAAGAGAGGACACTAGTACCGGAAGCCGTGACTGGTTGATTGGAGAACATTTTTCAAGTAGGAGCAAGTTTTTAATCACCGCAGCTCGTAGGAGTAGGAACCATATGTTCATTGTAGGGTAAATCTAAGATCGGCTCTCCAGACAAGAAGCCATCATGAGCCTCTGGTGTGAATCAAAATAAACTCGTATCATCCTCTGCTTGTCCAGACTCAATACGACTAGTACGAACTCCTCCTTAGACAGCCTCTGCGAGTTGCGTCTTTGGTTTGAACTGCTCGAAGGTAAGACGTCTGGAGCTTTCTTCGACCGAAACGAAGGAGGTATCAACGCTGTAGCTCCGCCTAGAATATAAAAGAGCTCTATGCTCTTGTTGATGGTGTTCGTTTCATCGTGAGCTGTGGCAAGATTTCCTGCTATGGCTAATCGCAGGATGTTGATGATGCCAATAGTTCTGCCGAGACCAGGCGGTACAGCTCTTGCGAACCTTAGCTCTAGCAGCATTTCACTTAGCCTTCCGTACTCCCAATCCGGCTTTCGTAGTCTGCGTGTGATCCAGACTTCTTTTGTGTTGATTTCGAGCAGCAGCATCTAGCCGTTCTTCCAGGCTCTCTCCTTGTCGACTCTGGCCTCGACCACTCTTTCCACAAAGGTCTGTAAGCTTGGCTTTCCCTCCTCCATAGCATCTTCCGACAGCTGCTCTTTACAGCATTCCTCCTTTGCTTTGTCATGTGCTTTCTCCCAAGTATCCATGTCAAACTCTCCTTCACTCAGATCCAAGATGAGGTTCCCAGTTGACGAAAAGGCGAATACGTGTGCAGAGGAAGTGGATAGCAAGACCTTAGGAGCAGGATTGATGGATAAGTCGCCAGAGGATGAAACGGCCAGGAGGGTTGATGTGAAAGTGCTGCTCATGGGGATACTTGCGCTAAGCAGGGAAAGCATAGAGGCGTTAAGGAGAGCTGGGAGAGGTGAAAGGGCCTATGTTTTGCGTCAGTCTTGTTGCAGCTTACAACGACTGCATGTATGGCTGGGACGTACGAAAGAGGCAGGAAGAGTGTTCTCTTGCTCAGGAGTGTTGACGATTTGCAAAGTCAACTGGATCAAGGTACGAGGGTGCATGTGGGTCAAGACAATGTCGCGTAGTGTCGAATGGATGAGCGATTCGAGATGACGTTCTTTGGGNACCTGCAAATGCCATGTTAGATCTGATATATCGTGAGTTTGAACAGACTGATACTCACTGCCCACACCAACAGCCGGACGCACGTTGACTTCCAGAGCAGCATGCTGGGGCAGTTCATCACGGCGTGTTACTTCGATAGGACCATTGACGGCCGCCACCACTGTGTATCCCGCCGCCGAGTATCTTGCAGAGCCATCTGCTCTGTGAAGAATCGAGACGTCTGCTGAAGGAACCGTCATTGTACCGATTGTGATACTGAAGTAAAACAGAATGCGACAGGACGAAGAAATTCCCATCTAGCGGACAAATGTTATGCCAAGCATAATCGACGTCAACCTCGTCCCCGCATCTTCCACCTTCACCAAACGACCGAAGTGTCTTTATATCATCACAACAAAGTCATCAGATGGCTTCGAAACAGGTGACCAAGAGGCTATTACATGAGCTGAGATCGTATGAGAAAGATCCAAGTGATGCTCTACTCCATCTTGGTCCTGCCAACGACGAAGAGCTGACCCACTGGACTGCTGTACTCAAGGGCGTCTCCGGCACCGCATACCAAAGTAACCTACCAACCACCACAATCTGAATCTTATCCACATTCTGACCAGATCCACAGNATGGCCTCTGGAAACTCAACATCGTGATACCAGACACATATCCCAACAAACCACCCACCATCACATTTATCACCCCCATCTGTCATCCGAATGTGCATTTCAAAACTGGAGAGATATGTCTGGATCTGCTCAAATCTAGTTGGAGTCCTGTCTATTCCGTCAAACAGACTCTAGAAGCCGTGCAACAGCTTCTCACTTCTGCCGAGCCCGACAGTCCCTTGAACATTGACGCAGCTCAGTTGTTACGCCAGGGTGATCAGCTAGGCTATGAAGCCTTGGTGCGTTTCTATACCGAAACGCTACGGTGGAACGGAGAATAGTTTCTTGTGTTTCGGTTTGACATGTTTCATTAGCGATGGCGTTTCAGTAGAGTGGCATGTTTGAAGCAAAGAGAAGCGCTGGTCGTGCGTGCGTAGATATGTATACAAGAAGATAAGAGAAGAGGTAGTAGTTTTGCTCATGCCCATGCCTGCCATGCCGCATCAAACGCCGTGGTAATAACAAGCCCAAGGTATAATAGATTTTACACTTTCGTCTTTTTACGATCTCAGACCGAGCAAGAAGTTGCCGCCCTGACCACCGTTTTGACCATTGCCGTTGCCGCCACCAGGCAAGTAAGTGACGTTGGGGTTGTTGGCCATCATCTGAGCAATTTCCTTCTGTGTCTCGATTCTTCTGATCTGGACGAGGCCGTCACCAGCCTTCGCCACAGCCTTGGAAATGACATCGGCTGACTCGGCTTCACCCTCTGCGCGGATAACGTTGGCCTGGCGCTCTTGCTCGGCCTTCTCGACGATGAAGCGTGCGCGCTCGGCTTCCTGCTGTGCGATCTGCTTCTCCTCGACGGCCTTGGTGAACTCCTTGCCGAAAGTCATGTGGGTGATGGAGACGTCCTCCAGAGCAATGTTGAACTCGGATGCACGGCGGAGGAGGTCGGTACGGATGCGGTTTGAGACGGCTTCACGCTGGGTAATAAGTTCGGCAGCATCAAACTGGGCGACGATGGCCTTGAGGACTTCGTTTCCGATCGAGGGGAGAACACGCTCATCGTAATCTTGACCGAGGTTCTAGACATGTATTGTGAGCTCATGCGACGTACAGGCAGTGGAGGGGCGAACGAACCTGGTAGATCTTGGGAGAGCCTTGACTTCGGGACGGTGCAGGACTCTGAGAGTCAAGCTAACCATCTGCAAATCCTTGGAGCCAGTGGTTGTAGAGATATTGCGAGGCTTTGTGCGGACGTCGTAGATGATGCTCTTNTGCAGCCAGGGAATCAGGAAGTGAGTTCCCTCGCTCATAACGCCTTCCTTGACACCAGACAGACGGTCGAAAATGACGGCGCGAGTACCGCCCTTGACGTCGTACATGGAGGCATTTGCGAGTGACAGACCGAGGGCAGCGGGCACAGCCCACTTGTAGATAGCACCGAGAGCGTTGGCGGCCATGGTTGTAGTGGTGTATTGTGCAGTGGCGCGTAGCTGTAGAGACTCGGAGCTTCAGATGGTGACGCTTTGCACGTCGGGCCAGTCGATGCCTCTTCCGACTCTTGGCGGCTGCAGGGCCCGAGCGGCGTTGCTGACCACGGCGGCCATGGCGAACTTCGATCCTGCCTCCATCAAGACGACAGCAAGCCGGATACTGTTCCACACGACTCTCGTCCCTCTTCCCCTTTCAATCTACACATAGTCTATCACAATGGGTGGTGGCGGAGAAAAGAAGCCTGGCCAGTGAGTCGCTCACGACCCCCGAGCGTCCTTGAGCGCCCACAACCTCCGGCGCATCAACGACCCTCAACACCATATTGCGCATCGCTAACACTCTTCTCAGGTACATGGGATGGTGGGGTAGCCTCGGTATGCCTTTTCCTGACTTCTGTTTCCAATACATACGCAGCCCGATCGATTCACGACCTGCAATCGCCATTGACGCTTTCGCCCTTCACCCTCAACCGCTGCCATGTTCTCGCCTCGCACATCGAACGAACACTAACCAATCTTCTTCCGCTCAGGCTCCCCGCCGCAGCGTGGTATCATTACCTACGCCATGGCCCAGAACCGTCAGCGTGCTCTCGCTGGTACCGCACACGCCGCTGTCTTCAACACCTACCGCAGAACCAAGGGCCAAATCCTTTACTGGGCCGTCCCCATGCTCATCGGATACGAGCTCATGAACTGGGCTACCGAGAAGTAAGCAGTCCCCGGCTATATCTTTCCACGTCAGAAGATACGATAGCAAGAGACGGATGTGGGAAGCTGAATGCGGTCGAGATACGTCCACTCTATGACCATCAAACTTAGCTCTCCCTAGTCTGCTCTCCCGGCTGCTGATCCAGCCAGCACATCTTCTGCACCGCTCAACATCGGATCTCGAGGCTAACATATTTCTCNNAGCAACGAGTACCTCAACTCCAAGCAGGGTCGCCTGGAGCACGCCGACGACGAGGAGTAAACGCATAGATTACACCGAGGGGGTCCTTTCTTTTTGCGAATATCGAAGCTCGACTAGCATCAATTGTAAAACAGTCACTTCGTTTTGTCGCTCTGAACAAAATGTAAATTTATCGTCCTGTGTTCATGCCATCGCTCTCTTGCTCGTCACGTTGATCATCAAGAGTCGTCTCTTCGCCTAATGCACAACTAGTGACAATGACGGAAGAATCAAGATCGACGCTTAATTGAGGAGAAGCCCAAACCTCATGTGTTGGCAGGGCATGTCGACGTGTAGTACAACGGACTCGAATACTCCAATAGGACAACTGAGATAGGAGACACCTCTAGCTTGGCTCTCCTCTACTTGCCTCGCCTATTCGTTTATACAGTTCCTATCCCAATTCGTGTTCATGCATAGCAGACTTACCATCGTGCATGGCTCCTGTCAGTACTTCGACCAACCGTTTACCATCATGGTATCACATGCCAGAGTCCCTCCTTCACAAATCAGGTGCAGGTTGATCAAAGGACCTGTCCTAAGATAAAGTATTCTCGTACTCTCGTACCCTCGACCACCTTCATTCGTGTCCTCGAGTGCCAAGTACAACACGAAAGGAACGGTTTCATTGTGACCAGTTATGGGTGAAATTACTTTCGTCCTTGAGAGATTTGACAAGTAAAGGGTTGTTGTGCGATCTGCACGAGTTGCAAGCAAACCAAGGTCGTCAAAGTCGTTGCCTACAAAACACTCCACATTGACTTTTATGTAACCTTCTGTTCGTCTACGCATGCCCTTTACCGAAGGAACCGCGGAACAGAGATGATATGCAAAGCAGACCCAAGTTCGTAAATCTCGTAAGCAAACCATCAAATCGCCGATGGAGCTTTCGAGACGGGGAAAACATAGCGAAGCACAAGCCGGAGCAACCACCATGGCACGACAGCAAAGAAAGAGGGAGACACAAGGTGCACGCACAGCATAAAATTCTACAGAAAGATTGTTTTGTGGTGGGACGACAAGACAAGAGATACGGTTTTTGAGACGTGGTTGCTACGCATCGACTTACCTTCGATCTCTACCTCTTGTCGTGTCTACTTGCCTCTTGTCCGCGATATCGCAGAAGACAGAGAAGCCGATGAGAGAGATAGATAGCAACATGATCATCGTTTCTGTGCTCCACTGCGTTTTTGATCCCACACGAAGGAAACGTGTCTCTCAGCAGTGAATAATCGCGCGCGCGTTTTTCCATCATGCATACTAGCTTGCCAAACCTTCTCTTCCTTTCTTGTCTGGTTAAGCGACCTCGAAAAGGCGGACGACTGCGGGATGCGAACACAGTAAGAGATCAACATAGGGAGCTATCTATTGTACAAATAGCGCCATGGGTTTCCGTAGCAAGTAGAAGGATCTCTTGGCCAGAGAAAGGAAAAAACCAGAGTGTTCCTTTCCCGTGACTTTGCCGCGACTTCACGTTTGCTATCCATGACAGCTTGATAAACAACGCACGTGTTAGAAGAGCCAAAGAAGAGAACTGTTGCGCACATCACGTGCAGCAAGACAAGAAGTTCTCAAGAGACGGCAGAGGGAGGGCAAAAGGAAGGAAAAGCGAAAAGAACAGCCACGACCGCCACGGGACGCAGGTCCGGCAGCGCGAGGGGTTTCCTTGGCCTCTCCACTTCGTTTTCTTCCCTCGCGTTCCGAACATCTCTTGGTTGGGTGATGTGACAAAGGCAATTGGCACAGGACTTGGCTTGACAAACCGCTGCAGGTGTGCTTCCGCAATCTCAGCCACTCGGAGATTGAGGACAGTCAGATCAAGAGTCATGCGTAGAGTTAGGAGAGGACGAAGATATGACGCTGTTATCTCGACAGGGATTGGGATCAAGTGCCGATAACCGTCATGCTTGACGTGCAAGCAGAACCGGCTCCAAAGGCAAGTTTGGTGACAGCGTGCAGAGAGGCTGGAACAGTGGACATCAGAAGCGAGGGACTGTAAAGACGACGCTGCAAAGTGCAGCATGTCACCAGTGACTTGCTTGAAGATGGTCGGAACAAATTACCAGCTAATCCGGGAATATCTCCTATGAGCAATCACAAGATTGCCATGGCCCTTCATCTTTTTCTTCTAAGTCCAATTTGACACGACGTTGCACGTGGAACCAAACGGCGATGTCGTGTGTGGACTTTTAGCTTCAGCTTGAGCCTCTGGAGTGCTTAGGATGCGAATAGGAAGACAAGGGTTTGGAAAGGTTTGATTCACACAAAGCTGCGACACGGTGACAAGGCTCCCAAGAAGAAGAGTGTTTGGATCGTTTGAAACCTTGACATGGCGTGCTTTGACTAGGAGTCACTGGTCAAGACTAGCCGTGCGAGGGCACGAGTACCTGTTGACGGCCTGAGCGTACGTGCTTGATGCATGACGCAGACCGGTGCTGGGTGAGGGGAAGTCTTGGTCGGTGGTTCAGGCCCTCATTTTGGATCGCGTATCGAGCAGTTACGGGCGTCGACGACAGGTCGATATAATAATGCCATGGCAGGACCCACTGTCGGAAACCTGAGCCCGTGTTTTGGGAGTCTGTATCATAAAAAAGGCGTCTCACTTTCGATTAAGCACCAAGCCCCCTCTCCATCTCCTCCGCAATCGAATTTATTAAAGGAAGAAGCCAACCCTGAAGGAAACCGGGCCATACTCGCTCTTTCTGAAAATCAACGTTTGCTCGTGCTTGCCTCGAACCACCCTCGACGCACAGTTCGCTTGCCTGAAGAATCTTTGGCATCCGACTGACTTGATCTGGATCCGACAAAACGGACCTTCGCCTGCCAAATTTGCTCGGTCCCCAAATGATGCTCCAACATCCCCAGCACCCTGCCCCTCTATCTGTCAACCAAGACGCCTGCTGCCTGCCCACTATGCCTTCTCCTCGCGGCTCGCCTGCTCTGAGACCTTCGTCACCCATGTCGCCCCGTTTTGAGACCACGCCACGCTACGAATTGCAACCTCCATCACCTCGCGGTCTCCATCCTCGCTCTGCTGCTACGAGCTCTCAGATGCGCCACCGAAATGCCGCCACTGCAAACACACTCAAGTTGCCTGGACTGCCCCGATTCCACCCAGCAAACTTCCCTTCGTCACAATCATCATCCATTGCAAACACCCCCGGTACCGGTCCGACCTCGCCATCCAATCCTCCAGTCAGCCCAAAGGCCCAGCAAAGGCTCTACTCCGAGGCTCAGAAACAACTCTATCTCTACCAACGCGAGATCCTGGCTGCTCAGGCTGCCGTCACCGCCGCTGCAAATGCCGGTTCTGCAAGACCGCAATCAGCTCGCTTTGAGAAGCCGTTGAGCCCTCGCCTTGCTCCACTAGGCAGCCCTGGTCCTGTGACGCCGCTCGAGTTGGAAGGTCAGGAGGGCTATCTGCTGGCAGGTGCCCACGCATCATCTGCTGCTGCTCATGCTGCCGCTGCACAAGAAGCTGCCGCACAACTCTCAGCACAGCACTCTGATCTCGTCGACAAGCTCATCGAGCAAGAGGTCCGTCGCAGCACGGATCTTGACCGCGCTATGAGCAACATCACTCGATGAGTTCTTTCTATCGACCACTATGCCGACCAAAAAAAGCATCAACGATTTCTTTTGTTCAAATCTTGCACAGCGTCAGGCGTCTCAGCATATATTCTGGTTCTGTTTTCTTTTCTTCACTCTTGCATAAAACATTTTCTGAGATACCATATTTCGATCCGCCTTCTCCAAAACGAGTTCGAGGGAAGTTGCGTAGATTTCAAACATTCTTGTCCTTTTGTTTCTTGTTTTGTCACATACCCTAGAGAGTTTCTGGGTCGATTGGGTGCGATTCGAATGGTCTCGATCGCATAAACATCATACACTCGCTAGCATTTTTCGGTTTTTACCATGTTTGCATATATCAGTATCTGAAGAGAGATCAAGCAAGAACGATCCTCTCAAACACAAACACACATTTCTCTGTACATCTGCTCGCGTTTCCATTCGTCCTTCCAGTGTGACTCTGACATAGATATCACCTCTTAGTCGCTTCTTCCCAATAGATAGTAGATAGTCACCTTTATCTCCTGCGCATCATGCTCGAGCAAACTTGTCCTGTTACTCGAAGCAATCTACGACACTCCATTCCTCTCTTCTTCACCATGTGATCGCTTCTGCGTCTCCTTCTCCTGCTGATCATGATCAACAGTCTTGTCACCAGATATCAACGGTCTGTGTTTTTGTGCCTCCTGTCCGTCTTTCATGTGATGCCCAGACTGACCCCTGACTCAGGAAGCATTTCTCCATGCCCAAGGATGATCAGGGAGATATTGTAGCCAGTGCTCAGACCCTTGAGCTGTTCAGAGCTTGACCGCTTCTTTGGCGGTCTACAAGCTCTGGGAGCTCATACTCTAGGCCCAAGTCTGTCGGTCAAGAGGAAAGCTACTGAATGCAGATCAAGTGAGAGAAAAACCAGCAATCCAAAGAACAAATCCAATGCAGTTGCAAACAGCGAGTGCTCACAAGCAGGTAGTAATTTTGCATTCTCCCAGGTATACAAAACATGCATCTACCCACAAGACAGAAAAACAATGGCCACTCCAATGCAAATCATGGAAAATTCATCCCTTTGTCATTTATACCTCCTCAAATCCTCTTGAAACCTTCTTTGGTATCTTCTTTGCTCCAGTCGATCGTTACACCCTTCTCGTCCTCTTTGTACAGTACATTGCAACACTTCTGCAACCTATCGAGAACATTGTCGTAGCGTCGCTCACATTCCTTGCATACCATAGAAACCATTTGTCGTGACAATTGTTCTTCGTCTGCATCGCCAAAGTGCTTTTCGATACGTTTGCGCAACGTGTCGATGCCGCTGCGTATGCTCTTGCCGTCGTTTGAAGCAAGCAATTTCTTAGTGTTGTGGCGGGAGTAGAGTGGACGAGCAGCGATACTCGGGCCAGACATGTTCTGGTTCAACAAGCTTTCTGCACCTTCGATAAAGTCCNNTGAAAGGCGATTGTTAGTATGTTTGCTGTGTTTTGATTTTAGCTTGAAGGGGAAACTTACGATGATCTTGCCCAGCGGCCTTCGGACCACACGGCCGACATATTCTTCCATGTGTTCGGCGCGGTCCATCAAGGCCTTTGCTCTCCACTCGGCGAGCACCGAGCCTTCCTTGCCACCATCATCCACTTCTTCGATGTAGTGGTTCATGTTCTCGATTAGAAGAATGTGGTAGTTTAGAATCTCCTTATCCTCGTATTCGAGGCCATGTGCCGTCGGAGCAGAAGCGGCAGCACCGGCAGCAGTTGGCGATTCTCTAGCAATGACCTTGAGAGAATCCCACATAGCTCTGTTAATGCGTATGTATGCGTCATCGATCAGTTGACGGGCACCGAGCACCGCTGCATGGCCATCATACTCTCTGGCAGCCGATAAATAGGTACTTTCGACAGCATTCGAGAACAAGGGGAAGATCTTCATGAAAGCAATAACACCCTTGCGCTTCTTGATTTTGACCTTTGTGTCTTCAATGGCGTGGATCTGTTCATCGACGAACTTCTGGAAGAGCGTCTGCAAGCGTGAGGACACCTCATTGAGATTGTGAAGCAAAAACTCCTGTGATGTTTCTTGCAAGCGGTATGAGTGCAAGGCCAGAACAGTGAGAACTCCGACACCCTGGATGGGATCGCCAGCGTTCGCCCATTCCATCAGAGTTCTCAATTCGTCTTTCCAGAAGCCGAAGGTTTCTTCCATGACATCAGATACACGCCTTGCCATGGCTCGGTCAGGCTCCATCAAACGTCTGCCAGTGAGATCAGGACCCATGCGTGCTTCGGGGACGTTAGCCACTACTGCATCCGCAAAGTCAATATTCTCGAGACTGGTGGCATGGAAGAGGTCAACAATGAAGTTTTGCTCCATGGAGATTAGTGGAACCTGTTCTTCAAGCACACCATTGAAAACCTCAAATGGTGCCATGCGTCCATGTTGTGCTCTGTCAACAGTCGTAGACTTATCACCGCCAGCACCGGCTGATCGGAAGGATTTAGCCAATGTTTGGGATCGCTTCACAGTTAGTTTACGGGCTGTACTGGTAAGACCTTCGGAAGTCTCTTTCTCGACTGAGGTGAAGAGCAGCTCAGTCGCTTCGCCACTAGCCGTGCGAGCACCTCTCTTCCAGTTATTGGTGTTGTCTCGGAAGACATCACTATACAGAGGACGGGCCTTGGTGTGATACATGCGAAGAGTGCTTTGCCACGCAGGCATATTGGTCTCCTTCGTAAAGAGAAGCAAGGGGCTGAACTGCCAAAGATTGGCACGAGCCAAATTGAAACCTGAGCCGTTAAGTTTCATCGTGGCATTGCCAATACCACCAGGATGTTGCATGAGTGCAGGCTTGGCAGCACCGAGTGCTGAGGCGAACGTGTTATCCAAGTAGTGCATCAGGCGTTGGCAGAATTCAGCACTTTCTCGCATGTATGCGTTACGCTTCTCCTGTAGAGCATTCATGGTACCAACGTCGCTAGCATCGAGACCGGTTGCAGGTCTCAAAGCATTTGTTGAACGCACAGAAGGATCGATGGTAGCCATGGCTTTGTAAAGAAGAAGCAGTGATGACTCCACTGACATAAGAGCTTCTGGGTTGTTGAAATCTCCGTGTCTGAGCGGCTCCAGCTGGCGTGGTGAGATGGAGATCGTGTCAACCAGCTTCTGAAGCTCAGTGTGCAGAATCTTTTGGTTGGCAGTTTGTACTTGCAGACCCTGTGACTGTGCCTCAATGAAAGCAATGTCGTCGTTGAGAGTGCTCAGTTCCGCGGAGTAGATGGTTAGTAGTCCGTCAAGCTCGTCACACTCTGCAATAGCTCGATCAAGCATTTGATCAACAACATCAACTCGGTCGTCTTTTTGTTCAAGATGACCCAACCAGCTGCCTGCCTCCACACGGCCTAGTTCGCGCTTCAGATCAGCCTCCAGATCTTCCAATTGCCTCCCTTTCAACAGACCAGATCCCCACCCAAAATCAGAGAGAATGGACTCGAACTGAATGCCTCTGCCATCAAGCAGCCTTGGGTCGATGTTGAGTGAGCGAAGATGGTTCTCTTGCTGTGCGGATCTACGTTTTGGTCGTCTGGGCTCTGGAGCAACCACTGGCACTTCAGGTTGTTTTGACTGTTGTTCTGGTTCTGGTTGAGGGAAGTAGCCTTCTACGTTCGCTCCATCAACAGGCTTGTGAGCTTGTTCTGTCTCGTGGGCAACCTTCGGTAGGGTTTCTGTCTCTATACCTCGAGCCTCTGGTTCAGGCTCAGCTTCAGCCACAGACGGAGGAAATTCGGGCTTCACAGGGGACACTGGCAGTTCTGATTTATCGGTATCCACGCTCATTTTTCGCAGAGGAGCTGGAACAACACCAGTGATACCGTCAGGTCCTTGTCCCTTTGTGGCAGCCTCTGCCATAGCTCTCATTCGCTCAGCCGCACCACCAGCACGAGGTTTGAATGCACCCTGAGCGGCTGCAGCCTTTCTGAGAGCGTCTGCGAGTTTGGGACCGGTTTTCTTNTTGATCATGGGTCCAAGCCCAGGGCGATGCTCTTCCTCGTCTGATAAAACATCTCTGGACTCAGGCACTGAAGGTGGTATCTCCTCTGGCTGTACAGATGGCAGAGTTGGAGCCTGTGCAGGTTCTGGCTCTCTAGTCTCGGGCTGTGGTGGCAGAGCTTGGGATGACACGTCGGCGCTTGAAGCCGTTGGTGTATCGTAGAAAGTACCAGGTAAGTTATCAGAAGTGGATTGTGGGGGCAAGAACTTTTCGATGCCTAGACCACGGGGACTTGAAGGCCGACCAACTGTAGCGACGGTGCTGATATTTGTGCTGGCACCGGAAACATTTCTGCTAGTCGAAAGTGGAGGCGGGCGCAATGCCTCTGAATCTGGATCGTTCTCGCTTGGTCCTGCGCTATAAGTTCGACCTCCTGCCATGAACGGCCGCTTGCGTTCAGGTAGGATTTGTATCCCATTAGAAGACTGGTCAGGTGGAGTGACTGAAGGTTCTATCTCCCGTTGGCTTGTAGCACCTGGCTGTCGCTGNGTTCTTCAGAGTTTCAAATACTGAGGGCCGAGGCTCGGTCGGATCTACAGTGGCAGGGTGAGGCTTCCTGGGGAAGGTTGTCTCATGGGTGAGACTTCGCGCGAAGGAGGCTTCCATTGATTGAGCGTCGATGTGAACATACTAACTTCAGTGGGAGCTCCTTCAGTAGACTCATGACTACGCTGACTTTGTATACTTCGCTCACTCCGCACACTCTGGTAACTCTGCTGACGTCCTTCAGCACGAGCAGGAGCCAATTTTCCAGATTGTTCATTCGGCTGATTGAAGTGCGCTGGAGGTTGATCGGAGACAATATGGTTGGATCTAATTGATGATGCAAACGAGGCATTGGGCGAATCTGACATAGTGGGTTGTTGCAACTCGGCCCTCGAAGATTTGGGAGTCAGACGAGGTCGAGCACCAGGGGGAGGGCCATTGTTCAGTGGTGGAGGAGCGGCACCCCGTTGCATGGGCTCACGACTTGGAGCACGACCAGGCTCACGGCTTGGGGCACGCATAGGCTCGCGACTCGGAGCACGCATGGGTTCACGACTCGGCTTTTGCATACGTTCTCGGCTAGGTACTTGTCGCAGACCTCTCTCCGGTGGAGGCCGAGATTGGGGTTGCAGACCTCCAGGCGGAAGAGGCTCGCCATTTTCAGGCGTTGGTCGAAAGCGTTGACGAGAGTCTTGGGATGAGGGGCGATGCTGTTCAGCAAAAGGCGGACGAGGAGGAGGGTTGTTCTGGGGAGGTTGGCGATCTTGGACAGCAGGCGAACTACGTGGTGCTTGTTGCTGACCAGGGGCCAAACCTAGCATCTGTTCTACATCTCGAGGATCGAAACCACGAAGATCTGGGACCTGACCCTTTGTGTATTTTCGGTAGATCTTGACCAAGCTAGCAACGAAGAAATCCTTCTCTTTGGACGTGGCAGCCTGCCAGTAGTAGGGTTTGGAGATGGTGACAACGAAGCCGACATTACTGGCCCATTGGTAGTGGTTCTGTTTAGGTGGAGGAGCATTAGGATCAGGGTGAGCGAATGACTCAATGGCAGACAGATCCTCGAGGTTCCAGGTTTTGCCAATGGAGAAGGAGCCGTTGTTGTTCTCACGAGCCTTGTGCATGCGAACACGGCCAGTGCTACGGACAGCGACGACGATGATGCGAGGCTTCTTGTTGTCAGGGGCTGAGGTCGGCGGAGGAGGGGTCGAGGGATGGGCGGCATCTTCAGTTATGCGAATATGCGTAATGTACGACTCGGCCACTNNGTTTGAAGGTATTGGTGTTAGCGGGGCACGGGCAGCTGGGTGCAGGTCGAGGCAGCGATGCGACTCACGCTGTCCGTTCTGGTCGAGCTTGGAGAAGCAGCTCTCGACCATGCGTCGTTTCTCATCCTCGAAGCGCTCGGCACGGGTCATTGTGTTGTTGGCAGGAGGTTGGCCTTGAGGCAGCGAGGGCTTCCTGCCTCGGGCGTCATGCATGGCCGAGTCGGACGGGTTGCGCGACTGCGAGCCATTCATGCTGTCGACGTGCCTACTGGATTCTGCGACTGCACTGCATCTGGAGGTCGGCCAGATTCACCGAAGCTGACGGACAGCAGAAAGGCCAAGCAGGAATTGTGGCTGGGACTTTGTCGACGCGTAGGAAAGATGACGGATAGATTGCTGGCCAGCCGTTCAACTTCCGACGCAGCAAGCACCCTTGGCCTCACTAACCAACCTACCTTCGAGCCTCAGAGCTGCCCTCCGCGCTCCTTCCAGTCCTGCCGGGCTCAAGTCTTGGCATTTCCGTGTCTTATCGCGACCCTGCCCTGATCGCCGTCGGCAGCGCGGACCGAGCAGGTGCGTCTACCGAACCTTCGACTTTTTTTCCTGTATGCGACTGCCTTTTCGCGACGCCTTCTTTCCCAGTCATTCCCTACACAAAATTCTTATACCATGTCCTCAGCAGCTCCTGCCCCCGAGCTCCTCGCTCTCGTCAATGACTTCCTTGCCAGCAATGGTTTCGACAAGGCCGCTAAGGCTCTCACAAAGCAAGCCAAGGACCAGAACATCGCCCTGATTCACGACGGCAAGACTACTTTGACCGCACTCTTCGACGCTCGCCCCAAGGAAACCGCCGTTGCTACCGCCGATGATTCCTCCGATGCCAGTGATAGCAGCGACAGTGAATCTTCTGATTCTGACTCCGACTCCGACTCTGAAAGTGAAGCTGAGAAGAAGCCCGTGAAGAAGGACGCAAAGAAGACAAAGACCGTAAAGAAGGCCGAATCTTCTGACTCTTCCTCCGCTTCATCTTCGTCCGAAAGTGAAGACAGCAGCGACTCCTCGGATTCGAGCGACAGCGATTCTTCCGATTCAGACTCAGACTCTGATTCCGACTCTTCCTCGTCCTCATCATCGTCCTCCGGCTCCGATTCCGATAGCTCCAGTGACTCCGACAGCTCTTCCTCGTCCGACAGTGATTCATCAGACAGCGACTCAGAGTCCGAGAGCGAAAAGGAGAAGAAGACCAAGAAGACTGCAAAGGCCGTCAAGGTCGAGAAACCTGCAAAGAAGGAGAAGAAGTCCGAGAAGAAGGCCGAGCCCTCATCCGATTCTGCTGCTTCAAGCGTTACTCTCGCCGATGCTCCTGCTCAAGTCGACACCATCATGGTTCCCGCAAGCTCGGCTCTTGGTCAAGCTGAGGGTACCGCTGCCCCAACTAACGACGCCGACGAGCACATGCACCCTAGCCGCAAGCGCAAGCTCGGAGGCGCCTTCGGTGAGGCTGAACAGCAGGTTGCTGTTCCTGCCACAGAAGCAAACATCAAGCGTGCAAAGAAGGAGAACGTGCCTTTCAGCCGCATTCCTAAGGACCAGGTTGTCGACCCTCGCCTTCAGAGCAACGCCTTCGTGCCCTACGACTACGCTCAGAAGGCCCATGAGGCTTTGATCGTTACCAAGGGCAAGGCCTTCACCAAGGCCAAGAACAAGGGCAAGCGTGGCAGTTACAGAGGTGGAATAATTGACCAGACACCTAAGGGTATCAAGTTCGATGATTAAAAATCTCAAACAGGCAAGGAGTTCGAGAATAGGCTACACAAAAGTCAAAGCGTGGAGTTTTTGTTGCGCAAAACAGGTTCGGGATTCTTTATATCAGGCGTTTTCTTGTTGGATAGAGTCACATATTTTCGGCCCAGACATGGCTCGCTTTCTATAACTAGAGCCAAAATTCTACAATCATTTCAACCAAGGGAATCGTCTCCTACACTGGCTGTTTATTTCCCTTGCTGTCACAATGAACGAAGATCTGCTGGCTTATACTGGATGTTCTGACATAGCTCATGTTGTCCAAAGCATCAAAGACGATTTCTAGCCGCACCCCTGGAGCCTGCCATCTGCTCATATATTCCATCCCAAAGTGTTATATCGATCGTAAGCAACAAAAACCAGGCTAGCTGTAACAGCTAGCCTGGAAAACTTCTACCTGCTGCAAAGTATTCTACCTTTGCAAGAGAGAAAGAACATAATGTTCCGCTACATCCAAGGATCGAACCGAGGACTTCTAGGAGTTTTATTACATTGGCTTTACGAGTGGTCTTACCACGTGGGCCAACCCTACCAATCGCTATGAGGATAACAGGTTGATTGGAGTTTAAGGGGTCGTCTTTGTGATGGGGACAGTGAGCAAGACGTCTGCAATGTATGGTTGAGATGATGAGATCACAACTGCATGTAAGGCAGTGTCTAGAGGGATAGCACAAGAGAAAGAGATCCGAACGACTGCGATTGACAGTCGGAGCGACGAGGAAAGACCCAGCAGCCCGCGAGCTTGTCAGTCCATGACAAACAAGACCTTTCGAATGAATAGCAAAATCCGCCATCAAAGATCATTCATCTTCTGCACTTCCAATCAGACTGATAGCGTGCACATATCAATGGTTGAAATCCATCGGAGCAACTATAGCCTTGAGCAAGTTTAAGGTTTTTCGCTCACACTAACTCAAAGACCCGCATCAAGAGACCTGTAACCAACTCGACTTGATCAAGCATATGGCATTACCTAGAAGGCAACGTGGGAAGATTCATGACTATTGCTCACCCCATCAGAGCAGATATAAGAACGGATGACTCTCTGTTCCTCTCCATCCTTCCTTCCGACCACTTTTCTGTCAACAAGTTTACCTCACCACTACCCAAGAAGGAAAGAACCCTATCTGCAGGATGAAGTTTACAGCTACTCTCCTCACCTTCCTTGGTGCCACTTCTCTGGTCGCCGCCGCCCCTCTCGACATCTCGTCATCCATGCCCGGACCCGAAGGCCTTGCCAAAAGACAAGCAGCCTTCTGTAGTGAATGGGAAAAGTGGAAGTGCATCTGGGATGCCCAGTAAGTATCCTCGGCACAACGATCTTTCTGTCATTATGCTAATGTTTCTAAAGCCTCTATCCAGATGAAGATGGAANTGACTGATGCTGCCTACAAAAAGTGCATGGACNAAAAGGGCTGTTGGGTCCCTCCCGGTCCCATAGAGCCCCCAGCAGTCGAGACCATCGAAAAANGGGATTCGCAAGATCACTGTGGACTCAGAAACCATCAGTGTCAAAGTCAGGCTGAGTAAGTACTTTTTGTCTTCGTCCAGCACGGAAGAAATCTGCTCTGTCGGATTTTGGCTAACGCGGTTACAGGCNTCGCCGGACCAAGCGCCAATGTCACTGAAATCTACCACGACTGCATGGACGAGCATCGCTGCAAGCTCCCTACCTCACTCAAAACCCTCACCACCGAGACTCTTCTCACCAAGAGATGGCATCCTCACTGCGGCGCGTGGCAAGCGACTAAATGCCAGATCAAGGCCGAGTAAGTGTTTGGTCTGAGCAGAAGAGGACTGCCCCTCGTGTTGAGCATGGCTAACGTGGCTTCANGGAGACCTAGTAGATGGGGAGACCCAAAAGCCGACGTCAAAGAAGAGTGGCGCGCCTGCATGATTGACCACAACTGTGCATGTGCCATCGACTACCCCTACCATTGCGACGAGGACAACTCTTAAGGGGTCCGAGAAGAAAAGAAATGCGAGGACAGAAATGGGATGGACTGTGTGCCGGATAAGATTGGAAACGTTCTGTGTGATTTGATACAAAGTTCTGTTACAAGAAGGAAGTCTTTATCTGATCAGAAAAGAGACGCAAAGATGCGAGTTGGATGTATCGTGTGCCGGAATGACGGAAAGGTTCTGCGTGGTTTGGATCAAAGACCTGATGCAAGAAGGAGGTCTTTGTAACCTCTTTAAGGTGTTCTTTTTCTGTAGAGAAATGGCTTTTTTCTGATATGCTTGATCCACTTGCATGCTTGCCCATATGTGTTGGCTACTCTTCTATGTGGAAGCGGTCATTGATCGATACAAAGTCTGGAATGGCTTGCGGCACTTTTGACCTGATATTTCGTTGCACCTCGCTGTGTGCCAAAGACTGTCACAAACGTAGCTACAGAAATGCACAATACTGTCAAATAACGTGGTTTACACATGGAGACTGTATCAAAGACTATCTCCATGGCTGGAATCACATCTGAATTACATCTGTGCCTTTCGATAGCGTATAACAACCCTTGTGCCCGGGATGGAGAAGGCGTTGATCCCAAGATTGTGACAGTCTCTGGCACACGGAAAGATGGATTGAGTGTGGTGCAGAGTGTCCAGAGGTGAATACTCTTCCAAATCTGGTTTGCAAGTCTCTGAACGTCCCGACTGTATGCGATATTGTCAATGACAGACAAACACCCTGGCAGCTGCTGAATCCCGAGTCACAAGCCAGGTACTCGCTTCAAGTGTTCTTCGAGTCAGACAGGTGCGCCTGAACCTACTGCCCTCGTCGTTTTGTGTTGTCAGACCATCAAGCTCGTCAAGTACGGCAGTGTTTTGGGAGGAAGATGTTCCAGGAACTCCGGCACTTGTGAACGTGAAACAACCTTGTTAAGCCTAAGGCCATGGTGAAGGGTTCGGGGTAAGAAACATGGGGTTGAGAAATCCATGTCAGACCAAAGTTCGCCTAGAAGCATGTCACGTTTCAAATTCGTCGGAAGCGGGATATGGAAGTCAGGTCGAGAGAGAAAGAGCCTAAGGCAAGCCAGTTGACCCGTGTATAGGGGTCAGACGTTAATCACTGGTAATCGCCTATGAGCAAGGCTGAGGCGTCGTATGCAATGCTACGACGTTTCGCGTGCAGCTGGGAAAGAAGAATTCCTTGGTGGCGTAAGCAGCAAAAACGGTCTATGCTATCTTCAGGGCTGACTTGAGGTCAATCGTACCGAGTACCAGGTTGGTCTCGANNGATATGCTCGACCGTTGTTGGTGGCTGGCGTATCATCGGAAGATCAATGTGCTTTGACATCTGCAGGAGCGAGAGTCACCTCATCGAACAGCGAACAATCCGAGTTTTCCGAGAACAAGAATTTGTAAAGGCAGGAACGTGTTAATGATATAGGAGATAAAAGGGGTATCTAGATGAGCTTTGTAACGAAAGAAGGAAGGGAAAAGATAACTGCTGGCAAGAAGACCACACCGTATAAGAAAGAGAAAACGAAAGACACACTGGGGTTTTAGTACATGTAAGACAGCAACGAAGAGAAGAAAATCCGAGATAATGCGCCATATTTTGGGTTGCCCCATTTNNCCTCCTGTTCGCCAGTGTAAGANNGTTGTACAAAGCCTGTAGTCCTTCTCTCCAAGCACACGAATGCTGTAAGAACGTTCTATCCGCATTGCATGATGCAGTGAACACGCGAAGGAAGAAGGATAANGGAGATAACGCCAGTCGACCGATGAGAAAAAGAAAGACAAATAACGCCAGTTCGAATTGTTCCCTTGTCACGCCGAGAGCGAGCTGGAACGAAGGAAGTCGCGATTCTTTTTTTGGATCGAGTTTTTGATTTGATNNGTTGGTCGCTCTCCAGAAGCGGAAGTTGTTCCTCGGAATGTGGAGAAAGAGATGGAAGGGCCAAGAAATGTGTAAGATTGATCATGAAACAAAAGCCGTTGATGCCGAGATGAAACCGTCAGATGGGGTATATTATGCGAAAGAACTCCAGAAACCAGGTAGCGAAATGTGGTGAAGCGAAAGAATCAGGTGTGTGTGCGAAGCAGAAACGACAGACTGCTCTGCACTCTGCAAGAGCAGCAAAGTCTTGAGCGATGGTTGTGTTCGAGAAATGAGAGAGGAAGGACAAGGGCTGGGAAGTGCGGGTTAGCGTAGGTTCACTTCAAACAGTCCGCCCGTCCCGCGCCGGACCAGAGCTTAAGGCAGACTAACCCTTGCGGAAGCAAGTATAGAACAACGCCAGCGCCTGATTCCTTTGATTGCTGTGTCTTTTCCCTTCCTCTTCCGGCCGCAAGGGAAGTGAGAGGGACGGAATGACAGCTCATGATCCTCTCGTATGAGTCGGGACCACAAGTTTATCGAGGCTTTGGTGGCGGAGGTTGGCCAGGCTTCAAAGTGCCTGTTGTGTCGTACGCTCCTCGGCCCATGTTGATTGTGACGGCGTTGCTGTTCCTTCTAATCATATGGAAGTGGGCTGCTCCTGGGTGGAAGTACCGAGTGGTGCAGTGCAGACTATAGAAGATCTCAATGTCAGTATACCATTTTATCTTGTCGCATTTGTCATGCCCGGGTGATACAGTCGGGCAAGGAGGGCAAGGCTTACGATGAGTAACGGTAATCAAGTCGAATGTCCTCGTGAAGAAAACCACGAGAACCAAAGATTCCGTTTGACGGAAGGCNGGCTGTTGTAGCGAGGGCGAATCGAGTCTTTTTNNGATACAGGTGGACTCTTTCCAAGAGAATGTGTGTGGAATGCTGGTCTCACCAAGAAACCGAAACCAAGAATTATAAAANATGTATACGCCTTGCGCAGGGAGTGGAAGGTATGCGAGGATGAACAAGAGAAAATAAAGGAACAAAAAGGTGGCATACCCATGGNNGCGAAGGCGATACGGGTTATATCTATCTTGACTCTATCTACAANNACCCGCGGCGTCACCACGCATGCTTTCTTTGGGTGCAACCCCCTTTCCCTTGGGTGTCTCGCTTGGTAGACCCCAGGGAGATGANAATTGACGTGCACCCATTACTTTTTTTTTGTCGTGCGCAGACTGACGCAGACGGAGCAGCCGTGCGCCTGAGCTTTTNCTGTTTGGCTGTTTCAAGTCCGATTTGATGCGCGCAGCAAGGGCGGCCGATCTTGCAGCTTTGATTGATTGACATGCCCGGCAACGGTACCAACAGTCAGCCCCCGGCAGCGGCGCGGCGACTTGAAGAGCAGGNGGTTGATTTGACCAGAGGATGAAGCGCCAACAGCAGCAGTCNGAGGAGATCAGTTTCCAAGCCATTCTCTCCGTCCCGCCGGGTGCGAGGCTAAACCCTGTCAATCAATTGCCATCTAATGCAGGCACTCCCGTCCCAAAGTATCCGCGCATCTTCTTACAGTTTACAACCGCTGCATGCGCCTCCGTTGGTCTCGTGTTTCTGACGGACGTCAAAGACACTAGGTAGGAAACCTGATCCAGTCTTTGACTGACTAGTCTTCTCATTCTTGGCTTTCATACGTATATCATAGAAGTGGGAGCGCTACATGCATGTTCCGCTGCTGTTCCAACACGATCGACTAATCTCCCACTTCTTGCTTCAAACAGGCGCTACTGAGGCATCAGATGATGGTCCCGGATTCCGATATAAACTACGAGCAAACCGACATGACATAAAACACGAGGCGCCTTCGCGGGAGGTATCAAACTAGAAAGCCGCTAGAACCAGCGCCTCATCTCCGGGGCCTTCGGAACAGCGGTTTGACCGTGAGCTTAGCAGTGTTATAAACTTTTCTTCTTCAATCTGTTCCTGCGTGCGATTGAATGAAGAGCTGAGTCTATCAGCGCCTCGATGACTCGTCGTCGTCCTTGGCTACTCGTCCGAGATTGTCCAACCGTATGGGTCCTGCTGCCTGCAGGTGCCGTTCTTTCGGAACTCGCGGCGAAACGGATGCAAGCTTGTACATCCCGCTGCATGCTGTCAGATCAATCCTGTGCCTCGAACCTTGATACGTCAAATGTGTTGACTTGACTTCCATTCTGCGTGTTCAAACGGGAACGCTCTACCCCTTTCTGTCGCTTTCTTTGTTGATGCCTCGAGCTGCCCAGACCAGCCTTTTTTCCTTCTTTCCGAGGGGGACAATGCTTCTCGTGAGCAAAGACGAGAATTGACCCTGATCTTCCGTGGCATCGTCATTGAAATTGTCATCGCTGTCCGAAGCCATGGGCGAAGCAAATTAAGATTGTGACAGCAGGCGTCCTTGCATCCTTCGTCGCACTGTTCTGGAAGAATCGGGTGCTCGGCTTATTGAACTGCCACTATGCCCTACTCACACAACCTTGCTTCAACCTACCTTGGTGTAAGCGTATAATATCATCTGACTTTTGACACTCTAGACAGGAGCATCGACCGGCAAACAACTTTCCATGTGTCTTTACCATGTTTGGTGGTGAAGGGAGACGGAACGTGAATCTTTTGAACCGGCGCGGGAAGAGCTGGCAAACAAACTCTCGCCAACCCTAGCAAGCCACCAAACAACCAGAAGACAAAGAACAGCTGCCAGAGGCGGCAAATGTACAATTCCCTGTGCATATCAATCAGAGGTTGATTGTCTTACAATCCTGCGCATCATCTTTCTTCATGCAACAAGCCGGTGAAAGGCGGTGCGACGTCAAGCCGGGATCCGATGCAGCAGTTCGCAGACGATTGTCTTCTGGTGTAACTCTGCAGCAAACCCGGTTGAAATGGTTGCTCCAACGGAAGATCTGCCTCTAGGAGACAAGCCGTGTTTAGAGGACTGGGATCAAGGAGCTTGTGATGGACAAACAGAGACACAATCAGCCCTTGCATGGTGATTCCTGCACCGATTGACAGTCTTGCGAGTTTGCTGTGGGTTCATGTCTGCAAAAAGATCGAGTGTTCCTGAAGTGGCCCACCAAGGTAACCTTGACGTTGATGTTGAGACCTGCTGTTTAGGAGGTATTTGTCAATGCAAAGTCATGTTCCTTGTAGGCAACAACAGGGATCGATCAAGGCTCGGATTCGGACGATTACTACCAAGGACCAGGAACAGGCCAAGTGTCAAGGATATTGGGCTTCAATATTCCGTCAGTGTTCCACGCAGAAACTTTTCCCGCTTCTGCTATATTAACTCGTATGACGTGCGGTTCAAGAAGTTCAGCAGCCCAAATTTGCTAGTGGTAAGCCGTGTCCACGTATCGACACAAGCGATTCGTGAAGTATCAGAAACATGATTGACAACCGAGTCTGTTTATGAACTCAGGTAGATGGCTTGATGTGGAGACAAGGATAAAGAGATGGCCAGACCAGGAACTCGGCAAGGGTGGAACGGGTTTGAGTTTTTCCCTTGGGCGACAAGCATTACGGTCAACCGAGATGAGATTCAGGGCAGGGCTGGCCGTGAGAACACCTGGGGCAGACGGGTCGCTGGGAAGGAGGCTCAATGCAGCAAGGAGTGAGTGAACTGCTGAAGACGGCGCCTGCTGCAAGCCGGTGATCTGGCAGGACGATCAGGCACCTGCCGTCTGTCTTGACGGGACTAAGGATCAGTAAGTCTCTGTTCATAAATGTGCATGTTGTTATGTGCAAGACGAGGGATATTTCATGGCTGCCGGTTCGAGGTTGTCAACGTCGTTGTGCGTTGCCAACAGACTTGGCCCTAAGCAGGGTTTCCGTCATGGCCGGTAGCTGGGAACATGTCGTCGTCGCTGTCGCCTTTGGTCATTGTCAAGTGAAATCTACTTTCAACATCGTCGCAATCATCCCACATCCATACAGTAACTCTGTCAGATCTTTAGTCCACATTCCGCAATGAGTGACGCATCAACACCGAAACCCAGCAGCAGCGTCAAGCTGGTCCTGCTGGGAGAGGCTGCAGTAGGAAAGGTACACACATCCAAACCACCACCCACTAGTCACACTCACTGATCCCGCCCACAGTCATCGCTAGTCTTGCGCTTCGTGAACAACGACTTCCAGCCCAACAAAGAACCCACCATCGGCGCCGCCTTCCTCACAAAGAAGATCTCGCTACCCGCCCGCACCATCAAGTTCGAGATCTGGGATACCGCAGGCCAGGAGCGCTTCGCCTCGCTCGCCCCCATGTACTACCGCAACGCACAAGCCGCTCTCGTCGTCTACGATCTGACCAAACCGTCTTCATTGGTCAAGGCTCGTCACTGGGTTGCCGAGCTGCAACGTCAGGCCTCACCAGGCATTGTCATCGCTTTGGTCGGAAACAAGTTCGATCTGTGTGGTGAGGAAGGAGAAGACGCCGAGGAGGATACCGCCGCCGAGGCTACCACTGGCGAGGACGAAGACGGTGCAGATGCGAGGAAAGTGAGCACACGCGAGGCCAAGTCATATGCCGACGAGGAGAACTTGCTGTTCTTCGAGACTTCCGCGAAGAACGGCACCAACGTCACCGAGGTCTTTACTGCCATCGCCAACGCCATTCCCGAGACGAGTCTGAAGGGTCCTAGAGGAGGTGCTGCTGCTGCCAGAGCTGGTGCCGGCGATGCCGCTACCCAAGGCCAGGAGTCAAGAGTCAACTTGAACAGCATCAGGGAAGCTGGCGCAAAGGAGGGTTGCGCGTGCTAGTTGCCCTTTACTATTTTCGATACATGGTTCTTTGTGTTGGGCAGATCTCGAACGCTGGTAAGCCACTGTTGTCTTTGGTTTTAGACATGGGGGACCAACGGTCGACAGAGCTATTGGGCCATGCCTCAAATCTCTTGATGTTTTCCTTACTGGCGTTTTCTCCGACTATCACGGCACCGGGTCGTTCTTCTTTTGCTTCGTCTTGTTGATATCCACATCGAGTCTTATCAAGGGGTCTTCTAACCCCTATTTACCCAGTTATGCCTCTTCAAATCCATTCATTCTTCAAAACTGGTTCCACATCACACGTATTGGTCATCGCTCATTGTCTCTAGCAGAAGGTCCAACTATTGCCATTAAAGTGCTCGAATGCATAGGCCCCGATCATCAAGCCCAGGCTTGGAATCGTAGTTACACCTTCCTGTTTCCATCCCTTCATGTCCCGAGAACCGTCATTGTTCTCTTCCAGAGCCACATTCGGCGATTGCACAAGGCAACGATCAGATTATGGAGGGAAACCCACTCGTTCGCAGACCCAGAGTCAGCGAACCATACATCTTGTCGAATCAGGCAACAGCTCTTGCGTCATGCTTTCCTTCTCAGTCGACATTGATCGCCACAAATCGTGGTTCATGAGAACCTGCGTCGTACCTTCCCGTACTGACAGATATGTATCTTTGCGGCCTCATCTAATATCAGACTTCAATGTCATACTCTTTCCCTCCGAGGCGCATCTTCAGCCTAAGAGTGACTGTTTTTACTGATCACAGCATCACAGCAGCAAAACGATAACCAGGTTTTCGGCTATCGTCTTATACCTCTTCCTCTTTCCAAACTCTCGTGACTGCAAGCCCAGGGTTGCATAGAAGGAGGACGAGGTTTTCGCAAAACCCTTATGGAAAAGAGGACCATGATCAGAAGCAAGAAGGCACTGGGCCCACAGAACCATTCGTATATTCAGCTTGGGACTCTTAGGAAGTTAGAAACGCATAGGTATACTACGAACGACCCCATCCCTTGAGTTCTCTTCGCAACAGATGTCTTCTTGACATCTAACATCATCTTCAATGAAGGTTGTATAATGATGACTTGCACGCGGCTTGAAGAAGCATGCAAAATATCTCGTGTAAGCTATGTCCTTTTCCATACTTCTATTCCAGAAGAAGATCTCGTCCTTTAATCAACCCCCTTAGTTCGCACTTCACACTTTCAATTGCTAGCTTACAGAATCCAACCTTCAGTCTTGCATTGCAAAGAGCCGTACACTGGCCTTTCAATACAATTTCTCTCCGAGAGATCGCAATGAGGTTATCTAGCGTTTTGTCCAATTTAATCGCACATTCTCTTCCTTCTTCTGAGAGCAAAAAGCTAACGGACATGTTGGTCGGGTTCAGCAATTTGTCTGAGTATGCCATCGAGTCTGATTCAAACTCTTTACGCTCTTTGACCGGTTCCTCTAGTCTTTCGGCGAGGTTTTGACTGTTGGGATCTTGTTCAATTTCTGATAGTCGTTGTTTGAGAAGCTGGAGTTCGAGTTCTTTTGCGGCGAGTCGGGCTTGCAAATCGTCTCGTCGTCTTGCGTGTTGCTCGTCTCGTCTGGCCTGGAGTAACTTGAGATCTTCTTGGTCTAGACAAGTCAACAGTTGATGTGCTTTCTCTGAAGATTAGTAGCAATGATGCATACCTTGGATTTGAACCATGTTTAGTGGTGGGTATCAACTCAACGATTGTATCCAAGATGTACGTCAGACGAAAGAACAAAGCAGAAGTACGAACAGGTAGGGAGACATAGTAATATATCTGACTAGGCTCTGACTTTGCTGCATTCCGCGCCTGGCCTTGCATATAATGGTGATAGAACATGTAAGGGCTTGTACGACGTGAGATGAATCTGCATGATCAAAACTGTATAGCGTCGCACAATGCATATATCTGTAGATTATACAGATATTACACTATGCGGAAGACTCATGAATCTTTTGCCTCCGAGTCTAACTTGCATTGTGGACTTTGACAAAGTTGTGGTGACTGCCCGTTTCATCAATCTCTCCATCATTGCTTTCCTCAAGCTCTGACCTTGCTTCCATTTCCTCTTTACCCTTCTCCATCGGAGGTATGCCCAATACAGTTGCAGTGCAAATGGCAATAATTCCAAGCTCAGGCAGATAAGCCATGGTAAGATAAGCCGTCGGATCTCCTTTGCTAGAATTGAAAATCCTGTCTCCAGTAGCTTCAAAAATAAGCGAATATACCAGTCTAACAACCATCAAAGGAATGCAATATGCGACACAACGAATAGCTCTTCGTTCAGGAATTGCATATGTCGAGACATCCTTGAAACGCCAGAAGATCCATAGTAGCCAGAGAGTATAGACATAAATGACAGCAACAATCGCTCTGCTGGCTTGATCATATGGCGTAGGGTCCAGTTGGTTGTCATCTTTATTCTTGACGACAATATACCCAACAATAGAGATAACAATATCAATCCAAGTAAGCAGCTTTGGAGCATAAAAGTAGCGACTGTGCACTACACCCACAACCTTATTCNNCTATTCCTAAATCAGCAAAACGTCCTTTTTTTAAGCAAGTAAAGAATAAACATACACTCGATGTAGAAACTCCAGAAATAAAAACATGATGAGCATGATACCTAGCGACTCGCAAACAAACACAGTAGCCCAAAGACTGTCTGAATCGTTGTTCATGATTGCTAGGTAGCAGCTTGCACTGACCAGGCGGATGAGTGAGAAGACTCCGATACAGAACCAACCGATTCGTTGTGTATAGTAGAATGAAACGGCGAGGATGAAGGAGATGGAGAAGGTGATGATTTGGGCGACGCAGATGCCATCGCGGTATCTGAATATGCCATCTCCATACATGTTTCCAGTAAGATACAGATCTGATATGCAGTTGGTTGGAAGTGGTTCAAAGCAAGTATTAGTGGTAGTGGACAGGAGGTAGAAAAGAGTAGATTGAGATGTTCAACAACAGTGAGATATGCCAGGTTTATAAACAACAGACATTGCATGGCTGTGCCCACCAAGTCGTGCCTATCCCTCATCTTTACGTATCTTGACATCTCAGAGGTGGTGCATGTCGCTGTAAGATAGGTCGTGCTTTGGGACCAGAAGTCGGCCTTACGAAATCTCATTGGCCGGCTCGGACTTTTCGAAGGATTGTGTAGGACAATCCTCCCTTGGCACTTGGAAAATTGATGACTTCCACATGTCGAGCGACGATTGTTGGGTAAGAGATATATGTTAAGGTGTCACGATCTGAGGCGTAGGTGGACGAATAGAGGAAGTAGCGCTCTGAAGTTTTGTGCTTGGAAACTGCTCCGTGGCTGAACATGTCAAAGTCCAGGATTTGGTAATTCATGCTTGTGATTCTCATCAACCTCTTCCTCTTTCCAAGATACTGTACATTGAATTGTTTGATTGATCTGAGTGTGATGAATCGTCTGTCATAACATGTAGTCTCATCCCAGAGAGTCGTCTGATTGCTTCAGACACGAAAACATGTCATGGATCGTGGTGTATGCAGCATATGATTATCGAAACAGAGTGATAGGAGACTTCTCTTTGCATAATATTAACTCAATGGGCCAGAACGTGGAAGAGAAATGTATCCGTCGTTCACGTACTGTGCTGTGGCTCTCCAACTTCTATACGCCAGGCATTCCCAAAATGCCTCTGACAGCAGGCACACCTCTGGGGACGAAGTAGACAGCATAGATGACGCTGAAAGCAACAAGGAAGCCAGTAAACTTTTCCAGCCAAGTGTGGAAGTATGCAGCTGTCATGAGCAACATCCACCAGCTCAGGCCTGCAATGCATAGAGCAACTCTAACGCCCAATCCCAAGTCGGTTGGGACCTGGACATTGCCCTTGTTGTCAGATGTCTCAACGGCAGCGGTCTTGACGGCGCCGTCATGCATACGGATACGACGATCCTCGCGCAAGCCTCCATTTCTGAGAACGGCAGGGAGGATCTCGAGCCAGAGCATAGCAGAACCAAGAATGAGAATGAAGACATGGCCACTGATATCGTGGCCGCCTCTCCAAGAGCCACCAGCGATCTTGCAAGCGGCATGAGTCAAGATTTCTCTAGTGTCGCTCATTTGGTTCTGCTTGTAGTTGTTGATAGGGTCATCCTTGTAGATGATCTCGCATTGGCCGCCGGTCAATCTAAAACCGCGGTCGATGATGGGTGGGCCGAAGAACCATTGGGTGACTGCACACCAGACGGCAGTCACAGCAGTGTAGCGGATGATGGCGCGGATACGGCGGTTTGTGAGAGTGGGCTGGAAGCGAGGACCAAGAGAGCTGTGGGTGAAGCAGAAGAGGAAGAAGGCGCCTGTTATCCAGACCCAGCCGATCTTGACAAAGTAGACGTTGAAGACGTTGGACTTGAGGGCGAAGTATGAGGGAGCGATGGATGGAGGGTGGGACTGGAGGTCGCCGCTGTAGGGTGTGTTGCGCGTGGTACTGTTCAAGACGCTGAACAGGGAACCGAGTACCAGAGTGAAGGGGTAGATGGCCAGTAAGATGGCCTCAAGGAAGGTGGGATACCATGGTGACGATGGCGCTTTCTGTAGGCTGTTCATGTTGCCGTTCGGAGACGAGGTAGAAGAGGACGACGAGGACTTGGGCAGAGAAGATATCGGCACCTCTGCCTGGAAGCGATTCCGGGTCGACATGATGCGTATTGTTTGTATGGAAGAAGAGGATGTAGGTTTGATGGTTGTTGTCGCAGGAGACTTTGGTCCACGTTTTGCGCGCGCCAATATGACGTATATCTATTTACCTGCCAACATTTGTCTCTTGCTCGACAACACCTGTCTCTTCACTATGCTGCCTGAATTGTGTTGCAAGAAGCTCGAGTATGTCGCTACGTAGGACCAAAAACAGCTTAGAGTTCGAGATATATCGTGTTGTATTGATTTTGTTCATGATATCATGTTTGTACGGTCGTTGCTATGCTACTCTATTCTACGCAGTGCAGCCTCTCTCACACATTAACTTCCAACTCAAGCACCGCCCGGTTATACGCCACACGTCAAATACTGTACTGCTGCTACACAGATTACCAACATATATAACTGCTCAGGACAGCTAAGTATATGTACTGGTTGGCGGTGTTTCTCGATGCAGATCGTCAAAGGTGGTTGCCGGGAGCACCCTGCCTGCACATTTGCATCAGCTCTAGAGAAATTAGGAAATTTGACGGAGCAGTGTTGGGAGGGACATCTGCCAACCACAGCGATACAATGTTACTGATCAAGTCTTGTAGAAAAGTTACCGAGCTGCACAAAACATACTGAAGGCCATTCCATCTGATAGTGATTTCACTTGATCACGCGATCTGAAAGTACTACAGCATCTGGCATAGGAACTCAAGGGAGCGAAATTACTGCAAGAAAGCCACTTGTGGTCAACGATACCTTTCGATCCACTGTCCCTTCTTGTGAAACCAGAAGATGAGAACCCATGGCTCAACGTTCCAATCTTCTACCAGTCGCAAGGACATGTATGAACGTAGACTAGAATCATTCTCCGAGCTTCAAAATTCCGCGGCTCTCGGAAGCAGATCACTGAGATCAGCTGTGGCTCAGTCACGCAGTTCAGAGCTTTTGACTTCGCTCCCTTGGCAAGATTCAAACTAGGGTATTTGGGTTGACAATAGGTGGACGATCGAGTTCGCATATGCAGGGAGGATTACGAACTGCCAATCGTGGACGTTTGTGTAGGATCAGCTCCTGACGATCAACAAACATATTGTTCTGTGGAGGGATTTTCGAATAGGACCAGAAATTTCTCAAGAAACAGAAAAATGTCGCAACCTACCTTGCTGATTGTGAATATCGAGCTAAAGGCCCACTCGTGGTGCCCTGTTGATATTTATCTCAAGTCAACGTGCAAGCTGGGGATAGTAGGGCCAAGCACACCGGTGGACGTCTCTAGAACCATTGCCCCCTGGTTCCTGGCTGCTGGACGAGACAATCCAACGTCTGCGACCATGAACAGAGCATACTCGGAGTAAGGTCGGGACCGTCTAGCGTTGTGTTGTTAGTCTCTGCGGTATGCGATGTCCTCATGCAAGGCAAGCTGAGCATTGATTTGAGAAAGAGGATGATGCTGTGAAAGACCTAATGCGATCTGGCCTTTGGAACTTTGTACAACAGTCGTTGGTTTCCGCCGGCTTCGCCGTGGAATCCTGAGGCCTCAGTCGCCAAAGTTTAACCCCGCTCGTCAGAACCCACCATGAGTGGTAACGTAAGCTGGACTTAACCGGGAACCGAACGAGTCTTTGATAGTCGCGGAGTGCTGCCCCGAGTTCGCGAGGAGCAGACATGAAAGATGCCATAAGTCGCAAAAGACAGCGATCACGGATCCGCAGCGTCAGCTCAGAGTGACGTGAGTGGCCGGTGCACCGTGCCATGTTATCTTTATGGGGAGCGTTTTGATGGATGAATTGTCGGCGGAGAGCTCGGGGCAAGTGTTTACAAAGAATCTCTCGATCGCGATGGCTGCCGCAGGACTGCGATATCGCACCCTGTGCGCCCATCCCCCCAAATCCTTTGTACACTGTCACCAAGGTCGAGAACAGCTCTAGCAGATAGTGGTAGCAAACAAGAACGTGTGCTCCATGAGGCTGCGATTTGGCAATAGATATCGAGAGATCGGCTCGGGATAAGAATGACGCTCTCGGGAGTGGGGTTCTCGGGGAGCGGATGTGGTGATTTAACACAAACTAGGCTTGATGCGGAAAGGATAAGACAATCGGAGACATGTGCTGTGCCTGATTTCGCGATGGCGACTCACGAGGCTTCGCCGTTCAGCGGCCACGGGGAACAAGTGGGAAAGCAGCAGTTCAATTTGAGTGTGAGAACAGCTGTCTAGATGAAGGGACTCGGTGGCTGAGGGACGGGAGCCATGTTGGGAAGTACTGTCGTACTATCGGGTTATCATGAGACTGGCGTGTCTGGACTCGAGTAGGGATTAGGGAGGGAGGGCATGCGCCCTTAGATTTGCTAGGCGGAGCGGGAATCAATGAACGAGGCGTTTCCTAGCCGCAGGTCCCACACGGCCACAGAGGGCACGCATTACGTGCCTCGAATCCCTGCGTGCATGTTTTCTGTCTGTGAAGCGTTGAAAGAGACAGGAGCCGAGCAGGACAATGAGCAAGTGGTTAGCATAAGACAAAGGCAGAAGAAAAGGGAAGGCACAGGGGAAAACAGGCACAAAAGGAGGAAATTCGTGGTGAGATAAGATCAGGAAAGCACGTTTCGGAGGCTTTGTCTGGGTAGGAGCAGCTGTGATTGGGCTGGCCGGTCGCTCCACCCTTCAAGCGGGGGATCCGCTAGCACCTTCGGTCTCTTGACCAAGTTGCTACCACTTGTTTCTCTGCTACTTTCCTCCACCTGACTCTGACTCTTGACAACACCTTCTCTCACACCGCCGACCTCATCCCATTGAAGCTCTGACACCAAACACACCAACACACCAACCTCCGACCTCTACCGCTCTCGCAATCACACCACCCGACTCCCCATTCCTGCCGCCTTGCCGATCCATCGTCCGTCTTTGTTGTTGAGGCTGTGCAACTGACAATCTCCAAAAAAAAGTCTCGGGAGAGCAACCACCACCTACCTCAAGCAGTATACCAGAGTATACAGCAACCTACTTTCACAATGACCGTCGCAAGGGTATGTCTGCTGCCCGCTAGCGCCGAGATGCCTCCAGCTGATAAGCAATCCAACAGGACACACCGCACCGTGCCTCGGTCTCAGGCAGTCTGCCATCACGTAACTCCTACTCTCGTTCCCACAACACTCCTTCAATGCTCGGCTCTTCCTATAACCCCACTCACCGTGTCACCCGTCGCAAGAGCACTACTCTGAGCGCTGCCACCAGTGCTCAAGCGATCTCCCAAGCCATCAACATCGATCAGTCCAACGCTGCCCGAAGATCCGTCTCTTCACGCAATGCACTGGGTTCCGTAAGCCAGGCTAGCTATCCTTCTCCACCGAGCAGCCTGCCTCAAGGCGACAAGCCTGCCGATGACAAGAAGATCAAGGCTCGTCGCGGTAGCGATGGCTCCGTCTTGACAAAGAAGAAGTCGGCTGCTGGAGAACTCAAGTGCGAAACCTGCGGAAAGGGTTACAAGCACAGCAGTTGTTTGACGAAACATCTGTGAGTTCAGCTGCTCCACCCACCTAGAATTCGTCCTCCATACTAATCGATCCTGTAGTNNTGGGAACACACTCCAGAATGGCAGTACACATCCAAACTCCTCATCTCCAAGCACCAGCAAGTGCAGTTGTTAGAAGCTGCCTCGGTCCTTGTTGCCATGAACGGAGATGCCACTCCGGGAGACAGCAAACTCAGCGACAGCGACAACTCGTCTGCCTCGCCTGCTGCCTCTGGTTCTGACTCCAGAGAAGACGACATCAGCTCCGCCGAAACGACGCCTCCTCCTCATGGCGAGCAATCTTTCGGACACAACAAGCGCTACAGCAATGCCAGCAGCCTTGTTTCGCGCTCATACCAGTCCGAATTCTCTGCTCCTCCTGGATCATCCCACGCCCGTCATTGGAGCACTTCAAGCAGCAGGCCTATTACTGCTGCCACTTCTCTGNCCCAGAGCTATCCCGATGAGGACCAAGCGGATCTCGCTGCTGCAGTCGGCTTGCTCAGCTGCAGCTATGGCACCNCCACTTACGGTCCCACCAGCTTAGGCAAAGATGTGCCTCCGGTTCCTCNNCCCCTTCCTGCAAGATACCAGAACTCTTACCAGCCAAGCTCCTTGGCAAATGCTCACCAGTTCCACGAAGATGTCGATATGGAAGAGGAGTCGTACTCGGATGACGACGACGAAACCAGCAGAGCAGATGAAGCCGACGATGGTGTCTTTGGCACAATGGAAGAGTGATCCCAACACTCTTGTTTGCTTTTGTTTTTCTGGAAAGTCTCATGCCATTGGTCGGATTTTGGACCCTCCAGTCTTCAGGAAAACATACGATTCATTTTGCTGTCACCTTTAGCGTTTCCTTTTCACCGCAGCTGAATCTCCGCAAGGCTGCTCGTTTGGCACCGATGAGTGGGAGTGAGACGTCCCACGAGGTTGAAGTCATTCGAGCCCAAGAGTCCTTTGCGTTCGAGACGGCTAGCCAGTTTCAGTCTCAGTCACCCATCACACTCGCTTCAACCTGGAAACCCTCCTATCAACTTCTCTTGCTAATGCCGTTCATGTCCCTTGTATTTTTCTTTTCTTTCTTATCACTTCTTCTCGACCGATTGAGGGAGAGGTTGCAGAACCTTTCTTATGTCACCATGAGCATCTTTGTTTCTTCTCTTTTACTTTGTCATCTCTTTTCCTCGANAACGATATGAATATGGCATGAAAAGAATTGAGAAANGAGCTTCCATCGTCGCAGCAAGCATTGGTGGGCATTGTNTGTGCGAGAGGCAGATANTGATGATATTCAAGAAATCCAGAATCCGTTCTGAAACCAGTACTCTTTTGTTCAATTATGTGACAGGTCCAATGGAAAGAAATGGTCCGCACGATAGTGTTGGAAGTAGGCTTAAAACTGAGGGAGGAAGGAGGTTCAAGGCGAGAGGAACAGAGGTCCTCTTTAGCTATGCTTTCGGAGCTCCTGCAACCGATGAGCCTCACCGATCAGATCCCAAAAAGCAAAGAGCTATCAGCGCAACTCTGCTGTCGCGAAACATGACCGTGATGAAGACGATCGTCATGGGTCCAGCACGGACCGTTTGGGAGTTTACTCCTCTCTCTCCACACGTCAAGCTGTCAAGCATTTGGGGCTTCCCGCAAAAAAGAAACATCAAATTGCAGAGCCTCAACCGATCACAGATCATCTTTCAGTGGGTCAATCTAAGCGATCAGCGTTTTCTTCTGGACTTCTTGTTGCGGATGTTGAAAGCTGTTTTATTTTCTACTTTGTCTGCTTGTACTCGGGTTATCTGATCGTTTGGTTGGCATTGTTTGCCTCGATATACTTGGACGAGGAGAAGGACAAAAGTCCATTTCGAATTAACGATAAAGTATATTGCCAGTCTTTTCCTCTGGATAGAAGCAATAATGCCTCCTTCAAGACGTGTGCATGCTAGTGCACCTGTGGACAAATATCTTCCTAGCAACAGTTTAGTGATAGGTACGAATATCTTTCTCTCCTGCTTCTCTCTTCTCATCTCCAGCTTTCGCTGTATCTTTCTCAACATTTATTCTATCACATATGAAGAATCAGAAAACACCAACAACCAGCAAGATCATCATCTGACACAAGAGACAAACAACANNGGTGCAGGAGTAACAATATTCCACCTCGCCACCAACCGCATCGTCATCTGCAGAGACACACGCTCAAACGTCTACTTTCTTCCCAAAGGCCGCAAAGACGCAAGCGAAGAAGTCACTACCACAGCAATCAGAGAAGGCTTTGAAGAGTCTGGATATAGATGCAGATTACTGCCTTTACCTATTGATCACTTGCAACCATCTCCTGCCGGTGATACTCAAGAGCAATGGGTGATAGAGCCTATAGCGACGAGACTGATGCCTGTAGCGAGAGATTACCAGTATATGCTTTTTTGGTATGCGGCAGAGACGATACCGGAACAGCTTGAAGGTTCGTTGAATGCGGTGTCGACGGATGGGTGGATGATGCCTGAGGCATTTCCTGATAATATGACGTTAAAGGAGAGGGAAAAGCTAGACGTAAAGGAAGATGGAATATATGAGCCAAAACGACATGAGGGAACTGGTGTTGATGAAGACGAGGCTNTTTACGTTGGTCAGTTGGTGGAAGTGGAAGAGGCAATAAGATTGTTGGGTGGTACTAGTGCTGATGTTGTCAGACGAGCTTGGGAAGCCATTTGCTTGCGGAGGAAGCTAGAAGGAGAAGCGAATGTATGATGGAGATGGGATATGAAAGTGCTCAAATTATAGATCCTGTTGAATAGGAGCCATGATGCATTTATAGTGTGATAGGCTGGCACCAAACATTGAACCATAGAACCATTTTGACAGGCTGTTGTGCTTTAAAATCCGCGTCGATCAACTGAGTAGAGGCATTATCTACTGTGGAAGGCAAGAACATTCCATGGAGATACTTACCCTTACACAGTAAACCTCAGGCTTTCAGAAAACAAACACATCAGGAAGGACCGAATTGCAATCAGTAAGAGCAGGTAAGCAGACCTTTTTCTGATGGGAGCCCCTCAAAAAGCTCTCATCAGATATTGACAGATCACAAGACACATACATGAATCTTCACAGAGCTCTCAAAACAGAACTGGAACACCTGAAGTGGTGGATATGAACCCTTTTATGATGTTTTCTTTATGTAATCTACTCCAACAACTAACAAAAAATCAAATCAAAACTTCGAATGACTGCGGGAAATTAAAGAAAGAGAATCAAAGACAGACGAGTGTGAGTGGCACATCTAGCGCCAGATAGGTTCTCCGAATTCATCGAAGTCGTCGGGGGCTTTGTAGTCGTTGCCTCTGTACAAATCATCGAAGCGACCGTCCCGGTTTGCTGGCATTGAATGACGCAAGAAGCTTATCTCTGCATCCGAGCCTGCTACAAAATCGCTGAAGTATATCGGTGAGTCGGTTTCATCCATGGTGTCAGGGCTTCTGTAGTTATGGCGTCTGTACAATTCATCATGGAGTCCAGTTCCATTGTCGGGCATGCTTCTCAGATAGGCGTGCTCTTCTCTCGAGCCCACGACCAAGTTACTGGGCGCAACACCGGCCATATTTGTGTCTTCGTTTCCATCATTGGCGCGTGCCTGCGCAGCGTTTGCCGAATCATCACCTTGGTACACACCATCAAAATTGCCAAGCGCATCACGAGCGATTTCTTGTTTTATTCGCTGGGCTTCTTTCTTTCTTTCCTCGTGCTCACGTTGCTGGCGGCGTTCAAGGTCTTCGGTTTCTTTCTTGGCTTCCTCGTGATGAAGGCGTGCAAGGTCTTCCGCTTCTTTCTTCCTGTGCTCGTGCTGGAGTTGCCGGCGGGATTCAGCGTCCTTTGCACGAGCTTCTGCACGCTCCTGATCACGCGGCGTCACAGGGGTATTCGCAGCACCTGGAATGGCTGGAGGAGCAATGCCACCTAGAGCAGGATCAAGAGGGGTTCCTGGAGCAGCAGGATTCTGTGAGTGCCCAGAGGTAATGGCCGAGGAGTTAGGGTTAGGTGGCAACACCGGAGCATTGTTGAGTGCACCATTCGCAGTATTGAAGACGTTCGGTGTAGGAGGACGAGATGATCTCATGTCGAACATGTTGCGCAGAGGCGAATTCGGACTACGGGGTGTCGTTGTAGTGACACCTTAGCGGTCANNGTCACACCAGTCTATGATGTCTTGGGCAGGATCTTCGGACTCACCAGTGGGATCCTTNTTAGGAGACTTAGATCTAGTTCGAGGAATAAGGATCTTGCGACCACCAGGCGAATGCACAGGAGAGACGAGCGGAGACGCTGCGACAGACCTAGGCGGAGGAAAATTGGGAGGGTTGGAGAAGGGGGTCGGCTGGGTGGTTGGATTTGCGTCTCCCATCGGCTCATCCTTAGACGGGGANGGGAGGAGCATCGGTGTCCTCCATCTTATCATCTGTAGGCGAAGGTGTAGCGTTGGCGTCATTCATCTGCTTATCCTGAGGAGATTGAGCTTCATTCTGCAGAATCGAGATCTGTTGTCGTGCTTGGGAATTCTCGTCTTCTAGCTTGCTGATCTTGTCTTGCAGGTTTCTGACACTGTTGCGCAGGCCTTCAGTGTTTTGCTTCTCATGATGAAGTCTCTTTTGGGCCTGTTCTTCCAGAGCTAGCTTCTTGGCCGCACATCTCTGAGCCTGTTCTTCCAGAGCTAGCTTCTTGGCCGCACATCTCTGAGCCTGTTCTTCCAGAGCTAGCTTCTCGGCCGCACATCTCTGGGCCTGTTCGTCGTAGGCCTGTTTCAGAGAGTCATGAGCCTTTTGTAGTGCATCACCCTCTTTCTTGTAATCTTGGTTGAGTTTTTGAGAGGCGTCAAGAGCTGTTTGCAGATTTTGAGAGGCGTTAAGAGCTGTTTGCAGCTTTTGACCCTCCTGAAGCAGCAGTCTGTTCCCGTGCTGGACCTGTTTAAGCTCNNATTCTGCAGCTTCTCGGTATTCTTGTTGGCGTCTTGAAGAGCGCTCGTAAGGTCCTGCATCCGAGCCGAATCATCATCCCTCTGCTGTCGGTGTTGCATCACGTCAGCCTCGTGGGCGCTTCTAGCCTGCACGAGATCCTGTTGGAGACCGCTTATACGGCTGGTCAACTGCGCGGCGGACTCTCTCAAGCTCTGTGTTGTGGCAGCATCCTCCTGCTGCTGTCTGGCAGCTGCAGCGTTGACATCCCTAGCCTGCTGCAATTCATTCTCGCGGGCATCTAGTGCCTCTTTTGTATCTTTGAAGCGCTGTGTCAAGCCAACAATATCTTGCTGTAGTCCGGCAGCTGCTTCATTGCCAGCTCCAGCGAGCGAGAGTGAGTGTTGGAGGGAGTCAACCTGGCCCTGCAATGCCTCAGCCTTTGTGTTGGCCTTCTCCTCGGCCTGCTTGGCTGCGTTCTTCTGCTCGACCAGTGCCTCATTCTGCTGGGTAAGCCCAGCGTTCGTGCTCTTAAGAGCCTCGACTCTGTTGTTGCATTCTTTGAGAGCCAGTTGCTGGTCGTTCTGCACCTCAAGAGAGACTTTCTCGTGCTCTTTAGCAGCAGCAACCTCCTCGTCTTTCTGTTTGCTCAGAGCCTCCTGGAGTGCCGCAACCTCCTTTTCGAGTGCGGTGACCCGTGGTGAAGGAGGGGCAAACAGGTCGCCTCGAGAACCCCTCGACTGCCTCTGCAAGCCTGCAACGGTCTCTTCGGATCGTTCGAGCCTTTCCTTGGTTGTTTTCAATTTCCCCAAGCTTCAGCACATGCTCGTGCAACAGCCTCGTTAATCTCCAGTGCATGATCTGTCTGTTGTTGCCTAATGGTTNGATTGGAGAGACTCAACTTCCTCCTGCAATCCTCTGATCTGGCGTTCGGATTCTTGTCTCTCTTCAGGACTGTTGGCATTCTCAGCCGTGCCTGAGATGATCTCGTTCTGCTGGCTAGGAGCATTGTTGTGTTCAGCCGTGAGCTCCTTGATCTGTGCCTCGTGTGCCTCCTTGAGGCGCTCAATCTCAGCAATTCTAGCCTCGAGGTCTGAGGCAGTGGTATCATTTTGCGCCTGGAGTCTGTTGATCTCACTCCTGTGGCTTTGTTTGTCGGCATTGCGCTCACGATCAGAAACGCGGATCCTGGCTTCGAGCTCTGTGATGCGAGAAGCGTGTTCACGCAAGGATTTTCCGTGCGCCTTGTTGCGTGCTGAGGTAGTCTGCTGTTGAAGTGCGAGGGCTTCATCGCGAGCTGCAATGATTGCGCGGGCTTCTGTAAGCTTGTCTAGACAACTTTGCTCTCCTGCTGTGACAGGACCTGTGTTATGAGCTCCAGTCGATTCAGTGTTGCCAGGTGTAGTCTGGGCTTCGGTTGACGATGGACTCTTGGGTGGCTTGGGGCTATCTGAAGGAGAATCATCGTCATGTCCATCAGGACGTCCGCCAGAGGGAGGCGGGGGTGGAGGGGTGGAGGGGATGAACCGGAATCATTAGAAGGAGGTGGATTGTTGNCCACGACGGCGGAAGAACTTGGAGAACCATCTTGCCAGGGGGNNGTCCCAGAAATACGCAAATTGGAGTGCATAGAGGAACAGTGCAACTGCCAAAGTGTTCAGATCTTGCTTGCCTCCGGGTATGATCGACCAAAGATAGAGGAGGAAGCTGATGAGGGAGGCGATCGCTTGGTACATAGCTTTGGTGACGGGGTGGTTGCCGAACCAGCTGAGGGTGTGCGTGAGAGCCTGACCGTAAGAGCTCCGGAAGAAGGGAACAAAGTAGGGGATGGCGCCCTGAACGAACGAGCTGTTTGCATAGGGGTTGTGAGAAGACAACCCGCGGTGAATATAAGGCACAGGAGTTGGGTCATTGTCTCTGGTGACTGTGATGTACTCCGTGGTGGTGAAGGTTGGAACATCGAAGATGGATGGAATGGAAGTCGATTGCTGGACAGGTTCGACAGAGGGGACCACAGGGGCGTTGAGAGGGTAAGCGATCAAGGACTCGGTTGACCCCTTGTGGTCATCACTGCCTGCGAATTCGTAGCGGGCAAGGTCACGGGCACCAATATAGATAGCGCTAGAAATCCATGCTACATGGAACAGCGCCATTCTGCCGTTGCGCAGAGCCATGATGTCGGAAGGTGTTGGAAGGCCTTGACAGGAAACAGTGCGATGAAAGAGTTCAGTAGAAGAACACGGGTGTGCTTAGAAGTTGGGTTGGCAAGAAGAAGTCAAGCAATGTGATGTTATGCATTGAGAAACAATGACAATGATGTGTGCGATGAAGACAAAGAACACAGTGGGAGAAAAAAGGACGGTCGGCCAATCAACACAAAAGCGACGGAAAAAGTGCGCGAGAAGTAAACATGCGCGCAAGAATTTCTGCGGGTTTCAATGGAGACGCACCGGATGCGTCGAAGATTTGTGCTTTGAGATAGTGTTTCAAAGAAGGCGCGGCCGGTTCGGGAAACAAGACGATCTTAGTCACCAACAGTGCATCGAGGTTCTTTGTTCTATAGCCACAGAACAGTCACAGACTAATGTGCAGTTCTTGGATACACACCGGGGGTAATATCAAACCTGACAACTCCATATGATGCCCGTGTTCTGACAGCATCAGAACTCTCTTCCAGAAATTTTATCGTCGAACGCAAATCTGGTACTGCGAGGCTATGATCTAGGAATGCAGACTTGTGAATTGTTGGTTAACCTACCTACCTGTTTGATATGATCAAACTTGACAATTAGGGGTAGTCTCCGATGTCGGCCGAACATAATATCCTCATATCGATTGGGTCCATGTAATGAGCTCAACGGAACCGAGTCAAGACAATCAGATGACAACAATAGAATGAAGACTTCGTATTCATCTTCGTGATTGCATTCGTGGACAGAGGATGTTTTCTCTGTAAAAATGATCGAGCAGGATCAGGTCCTGAAACAGTCCGGTGGCAATGCATCAGCATAGACTACTTGCTCGGGTTTTGTGCAGCAGTATCCTGTTATAGTATTAGACACTGTATGTATACACGGTGAAGAGATGGGAGGGACTTGCCAAGNTATACTTGGTAGAAATCCATCATGACTGCACCGTCTTGTTTCACTAAGTGGGCTCTAGCAGCCCAATCGACTGTGGCTTCTCGACCATCTTTCAGACCGTACTCGACAGTACCAAAGAGCATAACCTCATTTGAGTTGGGTCCGAACGGGAATACCTTTAGTGCTGCATGCTTTCTTCGATTTACCTTTTCCCACATTCCTTTACGCAGAGACAGGATTTCTGGTTACGTTAGAGGATAGGATCTTGTTCCTGTTGACTTCATGTGTGAACCTTCTCGGCCTCGTACTTGTTTTGAAGCCATGATCAACGTTGCATCTTGCGTAAACTGCTTGGAGTATTCTTCATGAGCAGTAGGAGTATCAGATGTCTCGTAGAACTTCTCAAAGAAGGCTTTGTACTCTGGGTCAAACTTGTCGCCGGCAGGATATTCCGATGCGTAGGAGGACATAATCTCGAATCAATCAAGGATAATAGATAATAAACAGCAATGTATGATGGAGCAGAGGGAGAAGAGTAAAAGATGCAAAGAGTGAGGTTGGACGTCATCTAGGCTTCTTCCGAAAACTCGCCCGAGGGTCGGAAGCGACACGGGTGTTTTCATGTGGGGGCCTGGATAGCATCAGGTAGCCTTCCGTCAGCATCTCACATGAGGGTAGATAAGCAAGAGTGGCATAGTAGATTGTGGTAAGAGTGTATATAGAGTTTTACTGGGCTCGTCTTTGAGATCCGTTTGATGTTTTACCCCATTTGTGTCTCGCCAACAAAGCAATTCTAGAGTCTCTCGCCCAAGACAAAGCCATACCAAATGGCGCACCCGAATGCGGTCAGATTGATGATTGTCGACACACCGTGCAACATGCCGAAAGTCTTGTTCAGTTGCTCCATTGCTTTAGAATGCGGGCCTGGATCAGAGTATTTCTTGCCATCGCGGGTTTCNTGAAAGGCAATCGTCAGTTTTGGCAAGATTATCACAGTCGTCCGTGACATACCTTGATGGTGACGCTCTTTCATAGTCTTGGTTGTGGCAGGACCGATGATCAGAGAGTTAAGGACACTGGTCACGAAAATGGTTGCAAGAGGCACAAAAACAGGCCATCTATTGCTGTCCACTAAGAGGCCGCTCCAGCCGACATTTTCCCTGATGTATTGACCTCCAACACCAAGCAACTTCTCACCGGGATAAGTGACCATCAGAGCCAGACCAAGGACTGACTGAAGGGCGAAGAAAATAGGGAAGGTAGCTTTNTGGAGGGTCGAGAACTGTGCTCGTGGAAGCACTTTGAACGCGACAACGCCACCGATAAAGGATTGGAAGAGCGTGGCTCCGAGGAAAGAGCCATAGCTCAGGATGTGATACGCTTTGTAGTCCGTTACAGAAGGCATGTTTGCGGTAGAATGGTTGGAAGATGGCAAGGATAAGAGTCGAGTTTTGTCAAATGTATATCACGCCAGATCGCTTAAGTGGTGACGTAGGCGAAATTGTTGGTATGCCTCGGCCTTGACTTCAACAAACACATTTGTCTTGACGCTTTCTTCTTGTTTGTACTATAGGTAGCTTGCTGAAATAACTGAATCATATGAGACAAGTCTTCTCGCAGCAACATCATGTGAGTCTGAGGAAGGGTCGACACGCTCGTTGCTGCCTGCAAGCACGAAGTCGACACGTTCTCCGCGTCGGAAAGTGCTTCCACTGTTTTGTCCTAAACACAACACATCGACAATTTTCAGACCATTGCATCTCGACTACATACTGTGTCTTCAACATGGCGCAGAAAGAGGCAACTGTCTACATTGTAGACCTGGGCGCGTCCATGGGTGAAAAGCACAACGGACGAGAAATCAGCGATCTAGACTGGGCTTTAACTTATGCCTGGGACAAGATCACCACAACAGTAGGTCTAGGAGAACATAACATATCTTAAGGGTGTGAAATTGACTTTTCAGNNATATCCAATGAGCGTAAAACAGCTACGCTAGCAGTTGTCGGCCTGCGAACTGATGGTGAGAAAACAGCCACGCCGGGACCGCTATCGATAAGGGTCTTTGGTATGAACAGCCAATTGATCTCTACCATAGGTACTCTGAACGCACTGGATAATCCTGATGAAGATGCATACCAAAACATCACCGTCTTCAAGGAGCTTGGGCAGTAAGCAATGGTTTTCATACTTTACAAAGCTTTCCTAATCACATCGTGCAGAGCGTTAATGCCGGATGTGCGCCGACTCAAACAACAACTTGTGCCCAGCAGCACTGATGTTGGTGATGGTACGTCGAATATGCTGGGTACCGGCTTCATAATGCTAACTTGAGAAGCGATCTCTGCCCTCGTTGTAGCCATTCACATGATCGAGACTGTCACCAAGAAGCTGGCATACACACGCAAGATTATCCTGGTCACCAACGGCAACGGTAGTGTAGATGCCGATGGTCTTGACGCAATTACTCAGAAATGCAAGGAAGATGGAATTGAGTTGGTCATTCTGTAAGTTCAATTTCTCCTCAATGTGGTTTGATGATGTTGACAAGCTATCAGCGGAGTCGACTTTGATGACCCGGAATACGGTATCAAAGAAGAGAACAAGGACGCTACCAAGGTATGTCACAGCTCTCTGTAGATCTGTCTATCTACTAACATGATCAGGNCCCACAATGAGAAGGTCTTCAAGAACTTGGTCGAGGAGTGCAACGGCTTGTACGGCACACTCGGATTCGCGATTGACGAAATGGTGATCCCGCGAATGAAGACGGTACGACCTGTGCACTCTTTCAGAGGCTATCTGACTCTAGGTGATCCGGAAACCTACGACACGGCTATGGCCATCGATGTTGAGCGATACCCTCGGGTCATGGTTGCCAAAGCCCCATCGGCAAGTCAGTTTGTTGTCAAAACGAACATGGCACCAGGAGAGACACAATCACAATTCGCGCCGCCAGACGAGGAGTCTAAACCGAGCGACCTGGCCGCCGTCAGGAATGCTCGCACTTACCAAGTTCCTGATGAAGAGGCACCAGGTGGTAAACGCGAGGTCGAACAAGAAGACTTGGCAAGAGGCTTCAGCTATGGAAGCACAGTGGTGCCGATCGAGGAGGCTGACAAGAACGTGACCGACTTTGAGAGCAAGCAGGGCATGGACATCATCGGCTTCGTCGCCAAAGATCAGGTAAGCTATAGTGCTACTCTGGTGTGAGCCTGTGGCTAATCATAAAGCNAGTACGAGAGATACCTGGACATGTCGAAGACTCATGTCATCATTGCCCAAAGGACGAACGAGAAAGCTATTATGGCCTTATCATCGTTCATTCGTGCTCTTTACGAGCTCGACACATATGCTGTGGCACGATTGGTACCCAAGGATGGCAAGAGTCCTACCATGGTCCTGTTGGCGCCGTCCGTCGACGCTGATGCCGAGTGTCTCTTCGAGGTCGAACTGCCCTTCGCTGAAGACCTACGCTCTTACAGATTTCCTGCTTTGGACAAGATTGTCACTGTGTCTGGCAAAGAACTCAAACAGCACAGATTCCTTCCCAATGATGACTTGATGGATGCCATGAGCGATTACGTGGACGCCATGGATCTGTCTACTCTCGGCGCAGATGAAGAAGGGTCTGTAGCCTCTGCCTCCTTCTCCAATCCCACCAACTGACATTCAATAGTANATCCTGCCGAGTACGCGCCTATCGAAGATACATTCTCGCCAGCTCTGCACCGTATCAGCCAGGCAATCAGAAGCCGAGCAGTATATCCAGATGAAAACCTGCCTCCGATGCCCGAAATCCTGATTAAGTACTCCAACCCACCTAAGGAGCTAGTCGATGGCGCAAAGACTTCTTTGAAGGCAATCGCAGCAGCCGCAGACGTTAAGANNAAGGTAAGCGTTATCAACAGCTCGCCACTTTCAAACTTGTGTTGATTTTCTACAGTACCACCGAAGTCAAAGTCAAAGAAGGGACGCCGCGATGTCCCCAAGCCCCTTNCCGGACTCGATGTTACAGCTCTGCTCTCAGCTCAAGGCGGCACCCTCAAAATTTCACCCCAAAACGCCGTTCCAGAGTTCAGACAGATCCTAGACAGAGGCGACCACGGAGAAGTAGAGTCAGCCTTCCAACAACTCGGCAAGATCATCCGCGAATACATCAGAAACTCCGTCGGTGAATCTGGCTACGCTCGTGCGCTCGAGGCTACCAGAGTGATGCGTGAAGAAGCTACTGATCTCGAGGTTCCGGCCTTGTACAACGAGTGGATGAAGAAACTCAAGACTGATATCTTGAAGGAGGAGCTCATTGGCGATAGAAGGGATATGTGGTTTATGATCAGAGCGAACCGTATGGGCTTGATCCAGAGCAAGGAGAGTGGAGCCAGTGGAGTTGGAGAAGATGAAGCAAAGGAGTTCTTGTCCGTGAGACTCGGAGTGTAGTGGCATGACTCGATAGCTATTAACGAACCAAAGGGAAAACGCGAAAAGCGAGATTGCTAGTTTGTTATGAAAATGCCATGAGCCTCTCACAGCCATCGCACTGTTCTAAATGTCACATTGAAGCAGATGGTGAAAATGAAAACACTTTTGAATCCTTTGTATAACCAGTAATCCCTAATTTTATAATACAACTTCCTCAACTTCAATGGTTCATTGCTTCCGTGTTATCTCCTTTACTTTCCATCAATCCTCAATAAACAACAACCATGAATGAAAAAACGATGAGACTCTCCCTCTCTTCAGGTTTCTCCTCTTTCTATCTAAGCAACAATGGCACGGTAATAAGCCCTGCTGAGATCAACACCCTGAGTAGCGTACTTAGCACCAGCAACAGGAAGTCTGTTGACGAGACTTCTATCCACGCCCTTGTCTTCCCTACCCATCTTCTCCACTTCGGCCTTGACCAAGCCAGCCATCTCGCCAATGGCAACGCGCTCTTCGAGGTCGACTCTGCCGGCGCGGCCTTCAAGGACGCCAGGCAAAGAGACGGTCAAGCGGTCCAGCAGTTCCTTCTTAGTGGCACGGCTGGCATCGTCGTCGCGGTGAACGAGGTCGAGCAGGCGTGTGTAGTCTGAGTAAACCTGACCGCCTGTGCGCCAAGACTCAAGTGTCTCTGTAGAAATTGTGTTGTGGAAGAGATCGAGAAGCTGGCGAAGACTGTCGTAGTCGCGCTGAATAATGGCTGCGGGGCCGACAGTGCGGCAGAGCACGGTGTGAGCTTGAGCTGAATCACCAGCGCGAAGAAGGTAGCTGACTTCGGCGTTGTGGTCCTCGAGCATGGAGCGTGCGTACAGAGCACGAGCATGCCAGAGCCACTGTTCGGGCAGACCAAAGTCTTGAGTCAAGACGGTGGGGAGTGCATCGGGGTTGCCGGCATCGTAAAGTGCGGATGCGCGGCGGTAGAGAAGATCCCGAATGTGCTTCTCGCGAGATGACTCGTTGGTCAGGTGCAGCAGTACGTTGGTAGCAAAGACAAGTTCATTGGCCGCCTCGAGTTGGCTGGAGAGTGTCAAAGACAGCTGATCCAGCGCGGCGTCGCTCAACTCAGCAGTACTGAGAATGCCCTTCTTCTGGAGGAGAGTGGCCAGCTGCCACGAGAGACGAGCGTTGAGTGGACTGCCAGAGACAGATGCTGGCGAGAGAAGGTTGGTGACCAGGGAACGAACGTCGCCAACATTCGAAGATGGCTGTCTCGAGTAGAGCTTTAGCAGACCGAGCAAAGTGTCCTCATTGCCTTGCGCATCAGTATCGTTCCAGGAAGGAGCGAGTGACTGCTCAGTAAAGTAAGGTACAGGGCGAACAGTCTCATTGCCTGCAGCGAGCTCGTCAATGTATAGCTGCACAGCATCTGCGAGCGACTCGTTAGCGCCAGAGAACCAGAGACGCAGTCCAAAGGAGCGACGCCAATCAAGGCCAAAGCGCGATGAAATGCTGAAAGCCGAAGCCTTATCTTCAGCTGGGCCGCTCTTTCCTTCACTAGTGCAGGTGTTGCCAGCGACGAGCTCATACAAGGCGCGCACCGGTTCAGTCATCTCAGAAATCATGTTTTGTGATCTCCAGCTCTCGATCTGCTTGGCCATCATTCCCTTCGACTTGGAGTTACTGGGAAGTTGAGCCACAATGGTTGCAAGACGGAAGTCACGACCCTCGAGAAGCGCCGAACAGGCATCTTCGATGCTGTCGCCACTCAGGAACGCAATAGCCTTCTCCTCTGCTGTACCTGCATCCTTGGCATGCTGTGCAGCCTCTGCGTGAACAAGTTGAGCCCAGAAGTTCGATAGAGCGTCACGGCGGATGCGCGATTCCAACGTCACAACTTGAGAGGCTGGAATGTTCTTGATCAGGTCGGCACATCCAATCTCGACAGGATCAAATAGGATAGAAGCCAATCGCCAAACGGAATGCTCGTGTTGAGCTTCGGGTGTTTCAGGGTGCGCAATGCTGTCTGCAATGGCAGCGAAAGAGGTCTCAGCGGAAGTGATGGGCGATTTCTGTAGCTGTAGCTGCAGTGATGTGGTGACTGTGTCTTGCGGCGAGTTGAACCTGGCGAAGCGGACGTCCCTGTGTTCTGACACAAGGGGCTTCATGGAGCCGACCATATTGCCAGAGAGTGAAGGGGCAGCGTTGGTAGTGCCGTAGACAAGAGTGCCATCTGCAGCCCAGCGAGGCTTGAAAGATGTGTGGAAACCGCGTTCGGGTTCGTCCATGTTGGCAAAGGCATTTTCAGTTCTTGACTGCTTCTGGTAGGGCCACTAAAGAGAAGAAATATCTTAGCATTCGTTCATTGTTACATATGAAAAGTATCGACATGAGCAATAAACAAGTCGCCGTGGCCAAACACGAATCATAGTAGATACAAGCAGGCATTGTCGAAGCAGAATCAACAAAGGGAACGGGGAGTCAAACCTCAAAACCTTTTCCACCAACAGTGCTTGTTTGCAACCCATGACCTGCGACAGAAGCCGAAGGTGCCCAAAGAGAGTTCATAATATCCATAGTTGTAGAGAAAGCCTTGCCAGCAATAGACGCGGCCAATGGTGGTGCGGTATCAATAGGGGCTGCACCTATGACACTCTGACGCTCGCGAAGAGCCTGACGATCTTGCTTCTTGGGGCTAGCAGTTCTCTGAAGTTGTTCTGCCCAGTCTCCTGCAAGCGCCAGATCCTTCTTCGGTGTGCCACTCAACATAGTCGATGCTTTGAGAATTGATTTAGGCATAAGAGATCCACTGAAAGAAATACCATAGTCGTTGTACGGAGCTTGAGCAGCAGGTGCAGGGAATGATCCTGCCATGTCCTGTCCGTCCATCTCCTCATAGTCCATCCCCTCCTCCATTTCCTCATCGACAGCTTCAGCGGGAGGTACGTTGCTGCTGCCGGAAGACCTGAACTGGTCTTCATGCGAGTGCGGGTCTTGCTGTTCAAGATAGGAGGAATCCTCTTCCTGATCCTGAGCGTCGTTGTCGTCAGCCATTTCGTCATCGTTATGAATTGGCTGAGCACCGAAGCTGCCAGGCAGGATTTTAGACGGACCTTTCTTGAAGTCAAAGGTGTCATCAGGGTTGGATTCATCGTCTTCATCGCTGATGACGGAACCCTCCTCGGATGAGGCCTGAGACATTTCTTGAACAGCAGTGTTGTTACCCTTGGGAGTAGCATCTTGGCTAGTGCTCATCATGTCACTGCCGTAGTCGGCTTCATCGTCCGACTCATCATCATCGTCGAGTCCATATGTGGTGAAGTGCGGAACGCGGAAGACCCAAAAGCCGGTTGCAGGGTCGTAGCTGATGAACTCGGTATCCTGAACACGTTGCAGACGTTCGATGTGTTTCTCGTATCGCTGGCCCTTACGCTCGTGGACAGGAAGGCGTCCAGCCTGAGCACGAGGCCATGAGTTCTCAAGAGTGATGGTGGAAGGCACGTTGAGACCCTGACCCATGGGAGGAGTGTTGACACCGGTGGTGTAGACAGTCACCTGGCGCACATTAAGCTTGACGATATCGTCGATGATCTCGTCCAGAGGGACTTGAGTAAGGTCCACAGGATCGAACTCGACCTTGCCGACACCTCGGCGGCCCACAGTAAAGCCTTCAACTCTCTTGAGTTGTTGACGAGACATGTTACGGAGATCTTCCATGGAGGGGCTCATCCAGTAATCTCCGGGTTGAGGGTCAGCCTGCGAGCGTGGCAAGTCCTTTGCAGAAACAGACTTGGAGGAAGAGGCGGGAGCAGGTCCATCTTCAGGCACAATTGCAAGTTCGGAAGTGCCATTCACCGATGCACCGTTGGTTGCAGGGCGCTCGGCGCGAGAATAGCCAAGGTCTTCAGAAGATGGTTCAGCTCCGTCAGTCTCGGTACGGACAAGAGCACTGTTGGCAGGAGTCTCAACATATCCGTTTGTCGCAGCCTTACCCTTGTCACCCTCATCGAAGCTGACGCGCTTAGTAGGAGGCTCGACAGGGGTGTTGTCGCCGAACAAATCAGTTCTCAGATTACGGTCAATCTTCAGTCTACGAATGCTGCCGCCTGTGTATGATCTGTTGTTGGGTGTGAAAGCTCCGGGAGCGAGGACACTATCACCACTGCCAACACTCTTGTTGAGGTTGCTAGTGGAGAAGCTCTTGCCCAAAGAGCGACTCAGACCGCCTGATTGCAACAAGCTACTTCCAAGGCCGTTAGATGTGAAGCTCTGTGCGCTGCCAGGCGTACCGTAAGTAGCGTACGAGAATCCATAGCCGTTTGAGCGCTTCTGAGGAGTGATGAGACGCAAGCTCGCGCTGGGATTGATCTTGAACTGTGGAAGTGCAGCAGGGCGCTTAGCCGGCTTCTGCGCTCCAGAAAGAGGTGTAGCGAGAGGTCCCACAGCAGGAGCAGGGTTTCCGAGATTGCTGAAGAGCTGGTCGTTACCGTATGGGTTGGTCAACAGAGTAGCAGCGAAGCTAGACTGTTGCTGGTTGCTCTGGCCAAATAATCCATTAGACTGGCCAGATTGTTGAGTGCTTCCCCCAAACAAGCTGCCACCTGTGTTCTGTTGCTGGTTCTGGTTAGACCCAAATAGTGAGCCACCTGCAGGCTTAGCCCCAAACATGCCAGTTTGAGCTTGGTTGTTGTTGCCTGCTTGATTGAAGAGACCTCCAGAGTTGTTGGTCTGCTGGGTCTGTGCATTTCCAAATAGCCCGGTCGAGGTGCCAGTCTGGTTGGCTTGACCTCCTCCGAAGAGATTCGCGGGCTTAGCCCCGAAGAGCGAGCCGGACTGAGCTTGGTTATTGTTGTTGTTATTTGCTTGATTGAAGAGGCCGCCAGAGTTGTTGGTCTGCTGCGTTTGAGCACCTCCAAAAGATTGTTCGTTGTTCCAGTAGCTGCTCCACCGAATGGACTAGGCTTTTGCTGATTGTTTTGACCAAAGCCGCCGCCGAAGAGATTGTTGGTCGTGCCAGCCTGGTTCTGTTGCTGTTGATTCTGCTGGCCAAATGCATTGCCTCCACCAAAAAGATTGCTCGAGTTTGAAGCAGGGGCGTTTTGCTGGGCCCCGCCGAATGGACTAGCAGTGTTGTTGGCGGCCTGCCCGAACATACCTGTGCCGCCTGTGGCGTTTGTGTTTGCAGGCTGGCCGAATCCTCCTGTCGAGGAACCTCCGAATGGAGTTGAAGAAGCTGCAGGAGTGCTTCCGAATGCCGGAGCAGTAGAAGTCGTCGTATTAGGATTTCCAAATATGCCGCCCGTTGCCGGTTTACTCTGCTGGCCAAATAAGCCTGTAGAGTTTGTGTTGTTCTGCTGCTGCCCGAAGGCTCCGAACGTGTTGGATGTTGATGCGCCGAAGGGAGTGCTTGTTGCTGCGTTGGTGGTCGAAGCAGGAGTACTTCCAAATAGACCAGAAGATGCTGGTTTATTCTGCTGGGCACCAAAGAGGCCACCACCCGATCCGAATGCTGAAGTCGTGTTTGTGTTGGCAGCTGGAGCCCCAAATGTGTTTGCAGAGGGAGTGCTTGCTTGAGCGCCAAAAGACCACCGCCCGTGTTGTTGGACTGTTGAGCGCCGAACCCTGAAGTTGCACCTCCTGCATTATTTCCAAAACCGCTACCAAACCCAGTGCTCTGACCGAATGCCCCAGCCTGACCATTGGCATTGCCAGACTTGCGACCAGCTGCGTAATCGACCAATCTTAGTTCCTCGAAGGAGAAGGCCTGGTAAGGCTGCATGAAGGTGATAGACTGGTAGTGGCTGTTGGTGTTTGATGCGTTGTCCTTCTCGATGAAGGCAGAGAAAGGTGTAGAGCCTGTGCCATTGTTTGTGGGCTGGGCGGCCGATCCGAAAGTCGAGGTAGATGCGCCGAAGGAGTTGGCTGGTTGTTGTGCACCAGTATTTCCGAACCCCCCTCCAAAGCTCGTGGTTGCAGGTTTAGCTGCCCCGAACAAGTTGCTGCCTCCTGTATTACCTGACCCGAACCCAGTGTTGGAACTTGCGCCCCCGAAAGGCGACGATGTAGCCGCATTGTTACCGAAGGTTCCTGACGACGCACCGCCACCGAACATACCTCCTCCTGTCGCAGGAGCAGGTGCACCAAAAGCTGGCTTGCTGGCGGCACCGAAGGGTGTTGAGGTGGCAGTTGCGTTATTGGATGCACCAAACCCTAGGAAGCACAATAGTCAGTAAGGGTGTAGAGAAAAGACGAGAGCGATGTGATGCAATCGCAAAAAGCGAGCGAGTAGCTGCAGTCAAGGGAGACAAGTGTATTCAACATACCACCACCAAACCCGCCAGTAGTTGTAGATGCTCCAAACAAATTTGAGCCACCAGCAGCAGGCTGCTGCCCGAACCCAGTGCCAGTGGATTGTCCAAAGCCTGAAGTAAGAGAGACGATGGTCAGCGCTGGCCGTGAAGTCATGCGCGAGTGCTTGCCCGGCTGGAGGACGAGGATTGCGCCAGGCCGCGTGGGCAGACTGACGGGGGAAGGAGAACAGGGATAACTCTTGACTCACCAGTGTTTGTAGTACTTGCGCCGAATGCTGAAGAGCCGAAACCCGAGTTGGTGTTCTGGTTGGTCGACCCAAAGCCGCCGAACCCGCCGCCGAAGGACATTATGATATGTGGACGGGATGAAGGATGTGATTGATGACTGCCTCAGCTGTAGTGAGGTCTGGAGATGATAGGGCGTGAGAGATAGGTGTAGATTGGATCAATGGCGCTGTCGACGCGAAAACGACTCGAGATGAGAGACAAGTCGTAGGGCGCGAAAAGTCGCTGGGCGATGTGCAACTACGCGACAAACATGCGCAGGTTGACGACGAGCAGCTCGGGGTGCGACGACTAATCGTGTGCGCGTGGACGGCGCAGAGAAGAGGGTGGTGATGGAAAATTGGACAGAGGGGGAAACGATGATGTTGCAAGCTCTCGCTCGCACTTTCACTCCAACCACGCAAAAGACGACGTTGGTCAAGGCGCTCGGACCATGCCACACCCGCTGGAGCTTGCTTGCTTGCTCGCCCCCTTCTCCTCATTTACTGACAACTTTACGGAACAAACCTCTCCAACAGCAATACAGAGGGAAATTATAAGCTGCCACATTGTATAGCCAGTTTTTGGAATCAAGGCGTCGTCTGTCAAGAGCCGTATATACTTGTGCTTCTCTTTCTCTTGTTTGTGCTCAAGTCTGTTACGCCCAGCCTTCTTCCATGGTCTTGCACAGCCAGGCTGTAGGTTACAATAAAACACGCAGTCGGCGGTTGGAAGCGGAGAGACATTTTCAGAGATAGCATTCGAGATGACACGTTTGCACGTTTCTATGATAATATATTTTACATGCACACCAAGGGGATATAGAAGATCATCGGCTTCTTCTGTGATTCCCTTTCACAATCTCATCTCTGCAGACGGGTATCAGCTTGACTGCAAGAATGCACAAAGTCGTCTAGAATTTCGATGAACCCAAGGAGAGGTATGTATTAGCTGCATTCCGACAGTCAAGAGCAAGAAGACCAAGCAGAGGTCAACATTTGGGACTACTTCTACGACGCATCATCTTGTACGGGCTTGAATAGTGTTTTTGGTCTTTTCTAGCTACCATGAGACTTGCGACCATCTCCTTGCCGCTGGTGCGTATTGACAGAAGTAACAAGCTTCTCATGCCATAAAGAATTGGCGAACTTTCAGCAATCACAGAGTCCACGCAACTCAAATCCGTTTCCAAGAGAGGCATTACTTCGATACCGAATGAGCATCTTAGATGGAGCGGGCAATAGCCATAAGGCGACGGGCTTCCTCTTCCGCACCAGGAACGCATGAAGGTGGACTGGCCATAATTGCGCGACGTCTGACCGACACTCTCGTACTGAAGATTCGGTTCTGAGACCTGGCAAAGTTCAACCAAGCCCCAGCTGTACTAGGGTTCTTCCTAGCCATTTCACGAGCCCGCTCTGCATCCTTGTTGACGCGTTGATCATATTTGTCGAGCTCCACATCGACCTGAGGGAGTGTGAAATCAAATTTGCGTGACAGGCGGGCGAGATCAGGTCCAGACATGTCGCCAAGAATGCGAAACTTCGAGATGGGAACGTCCAGAGCACAGAGGACTTTGGCGATGGTGTTACTGTGAAGGTAAAGCTGCTTCATCTCTGCGTGTTCGATTATGTGGTTCTTGTCGGTACGTGGGTCGACAACCCAGATGACACGGGCTTGTGGATGAGCAGCCAGGCCATCAGCATCGATGCGAAGGTCTTCGATCTCGCCATTAAAGCACGAGTGGTAACGAACAGTCAAGGAGTCGAGAGCAGTGCCAGTGCGGTTAAGAGCAATGACAAGGGTGAGCAGCTGACGCTTGATGGTGTTGACGCTTGCTTGGAAACCGTTCTCGCCAGGATGGTATTTGATGGTGGTGATGTCAATGTATAGGTTCTTGGCCTTTGTGAAGTGAGCGACGTAGTTGCGGAATGCCTGAGGAGATGTATCGCAAACATGATCGTCTTGGAGCAGAGCTAGGAAGGTATTCTTTGACAAGTGGGTCTCCTTAAGCTCTTGAGAGATTTGCTTGTTGGCAAGCAACAGCCCATGGGCAAGGACGAGAGGCTTGAAACCCCAAATGGGAGTGTTACGGATGACGGTGAGCGTGAACTCAGGTGAAACCATGATACGACGCTCAAAGACATCAAGGTAGTCTCTACGATTGTTACGGAGATCAGGCTGGCCTTGATGAGCGGCAGCCTCGTTATATTTGGCCTGATCAGAAGGAGAGAGCTTGTTGACGATAACCTCCTCGTAGATNCTGTAACACTCAGTTCGTGTAGGGAGTCACGGCATCAGGAAGATAATATTTACCTTGTCGCGCAGTTCACGAGGCAGTCCCATAAAGTCGAACACGCCAGGTCTTAATGGGGACAAGGCGTCTGGTCCATCACAGGTGAGCTTGTGCCTCTCCCAGTTCGCCTTCTGGCAACCTGTGCTGCAGTAGTAAGTTGTCTTGCAACTACCACAACGAAGAGTGCCGATTCTGCGACAGGAGCCCGAAGCACAACGACTGGCCGACATCGTGAATAGGAAGGAGGATTGAGTTGTTTGACAGCCTGGTATGGGCCAAGAATTCACAACATAGAAGAGCAATGGTGGGTGAGGTGGAGAAAGAGAAAGAGAAAGAGAAAGAGAAAGAGAAAGAGAAAGAGAAAGAGAAAGAGAAAGAGAAAGAGAAAGAGAAAGAGAAAGAGAAAGAGAAAGAGAAAGAGAAAGAGAAAGAGAAAGAGAAAGAGAAAGAGAAAGAGAAAGAGAAAGAGAAAGAGAAAGAGAAAGGTTCAATCGTGTTGGAGGAGAACAAAGTGTCTGTTTGCGTGCAAACGAGCAGACTTCCTTGGGCAAGGTGCTCGTCCCAGCGGCACCTTGCATGAGAACAATGCAACTTCCCGTTTCTCCATCGACGTATCACTCGTTTTCACAAGCAACGAACACCAACGCCTCGAGAGAGAGGACCATAGAGGTACATGCCTGAGCTTGAGACCAAGGGTATGCTCAGAAGAGGTAGATCACCGATATGTTAAATCTGACTGACGACCAACCTGATCTCGAAGTGGGTAATGGTGCTCTGAGCCATAACGATTGAACATGTTTCAGTCAGAAGCTACCTGATTCCTTATCAAGGTCCCTATCACTGCTACCGACATTCTGCGTACCTTGTTTTTCAAGCACTGTAATACTACTTCTTGGCATGTGGATAGGGAAAGAGCTGTCAACAACGATGACACACATGGTTTCCCTGACCGGCATGTTCCCCGACCGAATGAACAATGAATCTCTCCGATCCTTGTTCTTAACAAACATCACCTAGTGCAACTATCTCACCATGTTTGACTATTTTTGATTCATCCTGCTTGCGACATCTGCCCCTCTCCTAATCAACATTGCCTTTCGCCATCCGTATTCCTGGCCTCATGTCATGCTCCTTGCCTTGTGTTTCGCCATCTTTTCCAGCTTCTACGCCATTACGGGTGCGATTTTCATCCAACCCTTCTTCTTTAGCAGTCTTCACAACCTTCCCACTGCCACCCAAAAGCCAATTTGGGCAAGATTATTAAAAGAACCCACTGGCCGTGATCTTGCAAGATTTCACGAACAGGCTTCCACCAGTCAGCTCATCCGATACTTTGGCGTCCTGAACTCCGAGCGAGTGCTTCTCATGGACCCGAAAGACATCAAACAAGTCATGGATGCAGAGGCTTACGAGTTCGGTCGTTCATACCTCATTCGCCGCCTCTTATCTCCAGCCCTAGGCAAAACAAGTTTGGTGGTGACCGATGGGCCAGACCACATGCGTTGCAGAAAGATTGTGGACGCAGACTTCTATACTCAACATGTCGCTGAATTGGGTCCCATGTTCTAGGAGAACGCTCGCTTACTTGTGGAGGATGTTACAACCAGCAGTACTGACCGCGATGGGCAACCGTTGGGCCCAGACAATGCTATCGAGGTTCTCAAGTGGCTCGAGAGAGCTACTTTTCGGATCGTCTTCATTACCTTCTTTGGATCAACTGCGGTTGACGACCACTCTTTGCNNTTCCAAGACCTACTACAAGAATTCCGAGATGCGTTCGCAATAACATCAGGATTATCTGCACAAGCAGAGATGGCCTGGGAAACAATCCTTCCAGCGCATCTGTTCTTCGCGCTGATTCCCGTTGGCGATATATGGAAGACTAAAAGGTCTATGCAAGGCATCAAGGACTTTTGTCAAAGACAGATCGCGCAGAGAAAAGCTCAGGTACGTACCACATGCGGTCAGCATGACCTAACGCAACTCTACACCATTAGGTGTCATTACCTGGGTTAGAGGCTGACATTACATGCGACTCAAGNNTATACACCTGCGTCACGCGCTCTGCCTGACAAGAACATTCTTGATACTGCGATTAAGTCGGAGGACCTCAGTGATGAAGAGATCTTGGATTTGTGTACGACCTTCCTGGCCACAGGTTACAGAACAGTCTCTGTCGCACTTGCGTGGGCCATCTACCATCTCTCGACTAGACCTGGTGTGCAAGCCTTGTTACGTACAGAAGTCCGCGCCAACTTCCCTGCGCCAGATCAAAGTGGTGCACTACCGTTGGCATCCGACCTGTTGCAGAAGATGCCGGTTCTAGCAGCTGTCTGTGATGAAACTCTGCGGTTCTCTCCTTTGGCTGCACTCACATACAGAGAAGTGCGGACCGACACGCTACTTTCTGGATCTAATCAGATCATTCCAGAAGGCACAATACTTGCAATCTCGCCTTGGGCCATCCACAGATCACCAATCTACTGGCGAAGTGGAGATCCAACAAGCGAACCCTCGACTGCTTCTCGCACAGCAATACCCAGTCCCTCTACTTGGGACATGACGCGTTGGTTATCAGACAAGAAAGGAGGAGCGAGGATGCAGTGTTCGTTTATGCCCTTCGGACGAGGACCACGATGCTGTATCGCGGAGGCCTTTGCTCGAGATGAGATGATGATTCTGCTTGCCGCGCTCGTAGGCATATTCGATTTATCCTTTCACTCCAGCGGTCGCGACCATGACCCAAGACCTGAAGAGCTGAGAGTTTCGTTCGGTGTGGTAACCGAGCCTGTGATGCTGATAGTACGGGCGCAGCCAGTGTTCGGATGGTGATGGACTCGAGTTTGATCAATTGATTGCAGTAGCTTTGCTGGATCCGAGTATTCCTAATCGACTGTTATAAATCCTACAGTCCGTCATGTGCAAGATTTGAAGTCTCTCATCCTTCTAGAAAAGGAAAAATGCTATCTTTGGACTGTGTCAAGACAAGGAAGCTTTGAAAACAGAGGTGTGACCATGGAGATATGGAGATCAGTCAACGGTCAGTGAACCCCGTGTTATTTCCGGATCCTATTCAGATCTCTCCCTCCTTGACAAGTATGGAAAAGCCGCTATATTATGATAAGGAACATGAGCTAAAGTCTCTGCAGCTTGCCTTTCATCCTCGTGATCGAAACCTCGTCGTCGTCGGTATCTACTATCGCTCTTGATGAGACAGGGTGTTCCTGCCATCATTGAACGCCAAGATCAGAGAATCATGACGTCTGGCTACATTCCCAACACGTCCCCAACGTCGGCAAAGTTAACCTTGAAAGTTTGAAGATCAGACAAGCCTCCGACCCAAGCCTCCACGAAGCCAGACGGAACATTCGACGGACGCGAAGGATGCAATGGAAGCGATCAACGTCGAGACTTGCCATACCAGTTCTGAATGCGAGACATAATGACCTCGGCTGCGCCTCTGGATAGGATTCAGGAACAGTCAGATGACAGTTGCAAGCCACCACGAGTGTTGATCATAGTTGTATATAAAGGCAGTGGTAGAATGCTGTCTTCTACTTGTCATAACAAGTCAATTCACACAAGACCACGCACCAATTGAACCAACATCGATCAACACATCACTACATCCACACAACAGACCTCAAACCAAAACCACGACCAACCAAACATAAACACAAGAAACAACAACAATGGCACACCGAGGCAACGACATCTCAGCCTGGGACCCTACACCCTTCACACACGCCCCCAATGCAAACGTCTCCAATGCCCAAACAATGACATCCCCTGAAGCCGTAGCCGCGAGAGAAAAAGCCGCAGCCGTGATGGCAGCACTGAAANAGGGAGAGCAAGGTGATGCAGACAGATTGATGGGAAAACAGGAAAAGTATGATAGTTTGGTGCCTGGTAAGTAACGATTATATTGCAGAGTTGGTATGATGTTCATGAAGCTGACAATTGATGTTTAGGAATTGNCTAAACTCAAGAACAAGTTTNTGGGAGGCAACAAGAAAGAAGGGAACAAGGTCTAAGGAGGGTCAATTTCATACAATGCTCGGTAGAGAGCAGCCCATAGGCCCAAAGAATTGTGTCATATAATTAAAGTTGTTAATACCCGGTGTAGATACAATTCATCGCTTTTCATCACGTTTTTCGTGGGTCACATGTCAATGTTCATGAACTGCCTTTTTCGTTCTTGCTTCGTCCATGATCCAATTTGACATGTTTGGGTAGTGCATAACTACTCTCGTCACCTCCACCGTGCAGTAGCTCCCATGCTTTCTCTTGCCGCTGCACCAGCAAGATCGAGTTTTCCACTCACAGAGCGTGGTAGACCGCTGTTGGATGTTGATGAGCCACTGACACCGAGGCTGCCATACGAGCCAATCTGATGTTGGTACTGCTGTGCTAGCAATGCACCATTGCTGGCTCGTTTGCTACCAGCCATGGCTTGGCTGATAGAGATTTGAGGCGGTGGTGCGCTGACGGTCTGCTGCAAACCAGGTGCCAAGCTCTGCCGCCTGCCTACGCTTGCAGATTTGACTGCTTGATTCATGGTATTGTTGACATTAGAGGCTGCTGCGCTTCCATTACGCGCAGCCGTGTTTGGGGTATCTGGTAAGGGACGCGCACGAGGGGTTGCCGCAGTTGCTTGTGATGACATTGTCGGGATGGTCGGATTTGCTGGATGCACACGCTTGACCGGAGACTGTGATGCCGTGGTCGTATTTGACGACGCAGCTGAGGTTGCAGTCCTTGTGCGTGAACTGACAGGCCCAGCTTTTCTGAAAGGCTCATTAGTGATGAAGGGGTGAGATACGGCCTGGTCAGGACGCAGACGCTTCTCGGGGTCCCATCGAAGACACTGAGAGAGGAAGTCCAAGAAAGCCTCATCTTCGCACTTGATGGCACCACTAAGGGTCTTGCTACTGGGCCGCCTCCTCCTGCCTTTACTCGACACTGTAACACGAGGCTTGAGTGACGAATCGAAGAAGAGTTTCCTTCGTGAGGCTTTCTCGATGATGTCGCGAGCGGGCGGGCCGAAAATCTCCATGATACACGCAAGTTGCTCTTGCTCATTTTCTCCAGGGAAGATAGGGTACCCGGTGAAAAGCTCGGCAAGAATACATCCGAAACTCCACATGTCGATTCCAAGACCATAGTCACTTCCGAGAATGACCTCAGGTGAACGGTAGAAACGAGACTGGATGTACGTATACACCTTCTCATCTGCTTTGCAAGAACTGCCAAAATCGATGACTCGAACGTCAGCTCGGCGAGGATCGCAGAGAAGTATATTTTCTGGTTTGAGATCGCAGTGAATAATTCTCTTGGACTGTAAGAGGCATAAACAGGCGAGTATCTGGCGTGCGAAGCGGCGAATGAGTTGGATCGAAAATCCAGTGAAGTTGTGGGCTCTGATGAATTCGTAGAGGTTGATGCTGAGAGAGGGGGACGTGATGCAAAGATGGTTTCGGAAGTAGAAAGACGATGTGATTGTTAGTGTTGCATTAGCCTCATCAGGATCCNNTAGTCTTAGGTCAGCACGATGGCATCGAACATGAGTTGTTGGTAAACTTACCCATTCCTTGAGCTTTTGTAAGATGTTGACCTCAACCAAAGCTTGCTGATGGAATCGCTTCTTATTGCGAATGATCTTGACGGCACAGAGAGTGCCGAGCTTGTGGTCGATGCACCTCACCACCTGTCCGAAACTTCCTTTACCAAGCACATCAATCACCTCGTAACGGTACCCTAGGTGATCACCCATGACAAGGTTGTAGTCGCCTCTTTCATCATCATAACCGAAGTTTGTCGTTCCAGCAGCAGAGATATCTCCAACATGCTTCTTTGCCTGTTTGGAGCCACAGAACCAGACGCCATCCTTGTAGTCGATGATCTCTCCCTTTTCGTAAATGTTCAGAAGTCCAGCTGACAATTGAATGGCTTGAGCAGGAGTCATCCTGTCCTTTTGAGTTGCACGTTTGCGCAACTCTTCAGTCTCACGGGCAGCCACATCAATATCGCGCCTCTTTGTTGACAACTTTCTCATCTCATCGTTCGCAGCGATATCGTCTTTATCTAGAAGTAAGGCGTTGATTGTACGAGGTTTGGGTTGGGCAGGTGCGGTTCTTGAGCCTAGTGTGCGGTTCATGCTACCAAGGATAGACCACGACGTGGAGCGTTGATTTTGTGGTGCTGCAGTCGATGCCGAAGTCGTGCTCGTCTGAGGTTGGCGTACTGCAATGTTGCTTGGAAGTGGTGGTTTGACAGCTGGAGCTGACTCAAGATAGGGTACCTTGTTAGTGGAAGAAACAGAGGGCTTGCTCCTGTGACTTTCGAGCTTGGTGCTTTCGAACGAGGGACGACCGCTGCTAGAAGTGGAGATTGGACTATCCGTACTCCAAGTCGCAGACGCCGGGATTTTGGGCGGAGGCATATCATCGTACCTGGTAGTCTGAAGTTTCAAAGGTTCCGCGTTTGAGGCGCTTGTTGCTTTAGGCGGCGTTTTACGCCATCCTAAGCTCAATTTGCGACGCAGACCTGAGGCAGCAGAAGGCGGCGGCTGTTCAGCGTCTTCCGTAGATGACACTGTATTGATAGACGCTGTTTCTTTGACTGATTTAGACACAGCCCGTGGTCTCGGGCCCATCGGCTTGGAAGAGAGTGGTTCAGCATCGTGGTTGCCCAAAGTGAACTCATCCGGTAGTCTTGGAGGTTTGCTAAACTTGGAGCTAGGCTTAGGCAAGGAGCCTGAGGTGAATGGAGTAATAGCTTGACGCTTGGCTGAGGACGAGGGTGGTAGAAGCACACCGTTGCTTGGCTCTTCGTAACGGAGAGCACGAGCGCCTGGCTGCGTACTGTTACTCCGAGCGTTGATCGGCATTGCAGGCTCGTCATCCTGGCGCCTATAAAAGGTTGCTTTCGAAGCTGTCATAGGAGTGCTGGGTGTTTTGGCTGCATTGCGCTTGAACGGAGGCGTGGTACCTCGTTCATCAGCTTCTTGAGATGGAGCAGGGTAAGAATTGATTCTAGCCGCAGTAGGAGTCGAGAGTGGTAGAAGATTAAGAGGGGGAAGACGTAATGGTTGAAGAGGTTTCTTATTGGCTGCAGGCATCGCTGGTGGAGTTTCAGAGTTAGTGCCATTGCCCACCGTGAGGCCTCTGCGGTGTTGAGTTGGTTTCGGGTCGGGGGTGGTAGAAGTGTCTCCACGTCGGGTGGGTATTGGTAGGGCAGAGCCCTCGTTGTCGACGTTGCCTGACAGAGGAGTTTTGAGACCGGAGAAGAAGGGTATATCGATGACATCTTTCGGTGACTCGTAAGCTTTGGGTATGGCGGGCACAGGTGGGACCATTTCCTCGTCATCACGTCTTTCTGCAGCACTATAAAGATTCCGACTTTTGGGAGTGGGTAGCTTGGAAGTCGAAGAACTCTGACCAATTCTACCTTGACCTGCACTAGGAGCACGGAGAGATTGATAGCTCGGTGTCCTTGACAGATTGAGTGCTGGAGGGGTGCCATTCGGTTTGACGTCTCGGGGGTCGCTCTGTTCGATGAAGACGAAGGTGTCAATGCTGGTCTCCGAGGAGTGGCCGAGGGCGAACGGTTGTGCGTGGACTCTTTTGACGGCGAAGGAGGAAGCTGCTTGGTAGACATCCTACGAAGCCTACGAGCATCGGTAGGACTGATTGTCCTGGCTCCGAGGCCACTCATTCTTCCTGACTTCCTCTTGTCTGATGGTGTGTCGCTCCTTGGAGTCTTGGCCCTGTTTGTGACTTTGACGGCGACGGAGCGGCGTTGCTCAGGCTGTGGAAGATCGGTCAAGGTGGCAGATCGAGGTAGAGGCTGTAATGACTTGGCCTTAGATGAGCGAGTTGGAGCGGCGAAAGAGGTATCCGACGAAGGAGGCTGCGGCGTTGCGCCTTGTGTTTTGCGAGCATTGGTCGTTGTAATCGAAGGGGTGCGAGAGAGGTCAGGTTGTGGTTTCTTGTCCAATTGTGGCGCCATAGGTTTGCGTGTGACTCGAGCGGTAATTCCAGAAGCAGTTATGGCAGGAGCACCAGGGCCTGTCTGACTTCCCCCTCCTCGCACGCACTGGAAGAACCGATGTCGAAGCCGAAGTCTGCAATTGATTTGGAGTAGCTGCTCCAAGTTGGTTGAAGTTGGGGACTGAAGACTCTCGCTGGGTAATGGTCATGGGTTGAGGCTTCGAATTTATTGAAGCCTTGATGCTCTGTGGGACACTCTTCGTGCTGGGCCTGGGTGAGTCGTACGAGGCAATGCTTGTCTGGAAGTCGTCGAAGTTGATAGGCGGGAGGAAGTCGAACGAGGGCGGCGTAGGCGAGTTTGCATCTTTAGGCTCTCCAAAGCTGAAGCGACTGTCCTTGGAACGGAGCTCCTGTGTCTGTGTCTGCTGGGCGGGCGAGGCCTGTGTCTGGAATTGCAAATGTGAGGTCGGTTGGGCCTGAGGCGGAAGTCGAGGCTTGTCGAAGTTGGGATCGCTCGAACTGCTTGGGAGGAAGGTACGACGGGCAGCTTCCCTAGCCGCGTTGCTGTCGCTAACAATCCTGCTTTGTTTCAGTGCCAATCCTTCCATCATTGGCCGAACATCGAACCTCTTGCTCTTGTTCGGCGATTCGAACGGGCGCGGTCCCAGCAGGGGCACTCTGTTCTCCTTCAGCGTCGATTTGCGTTGATGCTGCTGTTGCTGTGGGCGACTGGCCGAAGCAGGGGCGGTGGGTTTGCGGAATGAAAGCGAGTCATTGTCGGCAGCGAGCGAGGTGCGCTGGTATTTGGTCCTGGCACGGCTCTCGGCTGGGAGGCAGAGGGTCAGTAGGGTGCATGCAGCCGCATCTTGTTGTTGTCAAGGCTCACTCTCAGCGCCCGACTCCTCGGAATCCTTGTGACGGCCATCCATGCCGTATCCCTCTCGAGTCTGCATGTCGACCAATTACTTGAGCAATACTTCAAGCATNNTTCTGGCCTGTAGGGATGCTTCGGTTTCTGGGCCTCCTGANNATGTTGACGGGATCAAAAAATCATGGCCGCTCTATCGTGTGTCTTGTCGTCAACGATGTTACAGGAGAGACAGACTTCANNGGCTGTCAATCTGACGGGCTTGCGGCGTNNGCGTGGTCGAAGGGGCTACAAACTCTGGCTAGCAATGTCCGACATACAACTTGGTCTTTAGATTGTTGTTGCTCCTCTCTCGCCCAAAGCAGAATAGTCTTCTTTCTTCACCTAGCCTCAGGTAGCGGTCATTGCGCTGCTTTGCTACCGGTGCCCCTCTGTTATTGGTCAAAGCGGCCCTACAAGCACAATAAGAGATTGTGAGAAACAATTCAATTTATTATATCACATGTCTGGAGATATTTAACTTGTTCGTTACCGAGTCTGTCAAGATATGTCTGTAACCAAGAAGGATGATATAATACCTCTTGTACCACATCTGATCAACGGACAACAGATGCATGGCCGGGTGTCCCTGAACACCTTTCCAGATCGTCCGAACGGGAAGGCTCGTGCATGCAGCAGGACGCGCGATCTTCGAAGAGCCACATCCACTCTGAACCACAACTTTCGTGCCCACTGACGACATTGTGCCTCGTCAAACCCTTCTGGAACAAGTCGCTTGTCGAGAATATCCAGCTTGACACAGCTTTCTGCCAGTTCTGTAGACCAAAATGCCTCGCGACCCGCTCATTGCACTTGTCGGCAAGCCGTCATCTGGCAAGAGTACCACCTTGAACAGCTTGACGGATGCCACATCCAAAGTAGGTGCGCCATCGACATTTTTCTTTCTTATCCTCTCCTGTCCTCTTGTGCAATCCGTGTTGACTTGGTGCCTCANNGGCAACTTCCCGTATGCCCTCCTCCTGCCTCTTCTCCGTCCGTCGCATTCCTGATCCCGCTTCAGATTTACTACCATCGACCCCAACCGAGCCGTAGGATATCTTCAGATTCCCTGCGCGTGCTCAAGACCAGGAGTTCCCAACGTCGGCGACAAGCCTCTTGTTGAAAGATGTAAACCAAACTATGGCGTGTGTAATAATGGAACTCGCTCTGTACCCATTGAGCTGCTCGACGTAGCCGGCCTGGTGCCTGGTGCACACATGGGCAAGGGTCTGGGAAACCGCTTCTTGGATGATTTGAGACATGCAGATGCTCTCATTCATGTCGTCGATGTCAGCGGAACAACCGATGCAGAAGGCAAAGCTACAAGAGGTTATGACCCCAGTGTCGACATTGAGTGGCTGCGCTCCGAAATTGTTCGCTGGATTCAAGGCAACCTCATGGAGAAATGGTGTGTCTAGGCACAGCGAGTCGCAAGCCAAGTAAAGGCTAATCCGAAAACACAGGNNGGATCTGTCAGGAGAAGACATATGGCAATCAAAGGAAATGCAGTCGACACGCTACAAGGCCAATTCTCGGGTTACGGGGCCACAAAACAGATCATCAACCGCACCCTCGACAAGCTACAATTGAAAGAGCCTCTAGAAGATTGGAGTGATGAGACAGTGGAANAAGTGGTCAACGCCTTTGTGGACGAAAAGTTCCCGACAGTCATCGCACTGAACAAGATCGACCATCCCGATGCCGACAAGAACGTCGCAAAGATTGCAAAACTCAACGACCCCAACACACTTGTCCTTTGCTCTGCCATCAGCGAAGTGTTCTTGCGTCGCTTGGCCAAACAAGGTTTTGTCAAGTATCAAGAAGGCAGTGAGTTCGTCGACACAAAAGAAGATCTTATTGAGGCTGGTGAGCCTGACGGCGGTGGCTTGAAAGAGTTGGACGAGAAACTGCAGAAGTGAGTAGAGGTGGTCTCGCATGATCAGCATTGGCTAACGACAATTGGCAGCCGTATTGAGAACTTGCGCGATCTGGTGCTCTATCGATTTGGCAGCACTGGTGTGAATCAAGTCCTTACGCGTGCAGCAGAGCTGCTAGGCCTCACACCTGTCTTCCCAGTCAGGAACATTTCGACATTCTCGTCTGGCGATGGACGTGAAGGCGGTGTGTTCAGAGATTGCGTTTTGGTCAAGAAGTACGTTTGCTATTCTAAACTATGCTAGGATCATAAACTAATGCATGCTGCAGAANACTCGACAGTTGGAGATGTGTATCGCAAGATTATGGGCGATGCGCCTCTAGCTTACGTTGAAACAGTAGGAGGACAAAGAGTTGCTGAAGACGACCCTGTATCGGTGGGCAAGAATGACATCTTGTCATTCAAGGTCGGAAGAGGTTGAAGCATCATGCAGCAACTAAGTAGACAAGATGTGGCAGTTGTCATGCGATTGAACCACGAATTTTGCCAAGGATTTGCATGTGAAAGGCTCAAGGCCGAGTGACGTCTGACCAACCACAACGCGGGTCAGGCCTAACAACTTCTTGTCGTGTGCACTCTTCCAAGATGCGAACAAACCAGACATGATACTCATGACATTATAACGATAAACGAATGAACAAGACACACCATGGACGAGCATACAGGCGCCTCAATAGCCAACCGCGACGAGCCCATCCCCGTCATCCAGATCCCATTTAATACCGATGATACAGCGCCGCCCGAGACGGAACAGCAAAAACTAGGAAGGAGAGCGAGGATCAAGCAGGAGGCAGAAAGATTGAAGGGTAAACTGCATGATGTCTCGACACAGTACAAGACTACACAGGGTAGCGTGCAGGAGAGACTGTTCAACACGCTGCTGGAACAAGTCTTCCCTCAAGAAGCCGACGAAGATGGCACTCCCAAGAAGGACCGCCGCTCAAGGGAATACGTCGACAAACCTCAGTTCAGTCTGCCTGTCATGTCGGCCAACTTTCGTCGCTTCAACGCAAGGTTCGTCTTTTCCTATCATATGCCTTGGTATAGCTGCTGATGTAGTACTTTAATCAGAATCGGAATCGTATTTGTCTTTCAGAATCAAATGATACGCTTGTTCACCTGGCGTGTACCCACACATACCATGTCTTTTCTGGCTGTCTATACTCTCGTGTGTCTACAGCCTGCATTGGCTCCTGTCGTCCCCTTAGCAGCTCTGTTGTTCTTTGTCATGATACCCTCCTTTCTCACGCGCCATCCTCCACCTCCCGTGGCGAACCCATCCTCCTCGGTTGATGCAGCCGCCGCCGAGCAATACGCAGCTTACGGCTACTCAGGTCCGGCAGTAGCCCCTCCTCAGCGCGTCAAGCCTGCTCCGGAAATGAGTAAGGATTTCTTCCGGAATATGCGCGATCTTCAAAACTGCATGGAAGACTTTAGCCGCGTCCACGATGGTGCCATCGCCATCATCACTCCTTATACTGATTTCAGCAACGAGCGCTTGTCCTCTGCTGTTTTCCTTGGTCTGACTGCCCTCGTGAGCATCGCTTTCCTGGCTGCACACCTCGTACCCTGGCGTGCAATTTTGCTAGTAGCCGGCTGGTCCGCTACAGCAGCAGGCCACCCACGCGCCCAAGAAATCCTCATCAACACAGCTTCTCTAGCTCAACTCCAACTCATCTACGACCGCATCTGTGTCGCCGGCGCGGAATGGGTAGAATCAGACATTGTCCTCGACGAACCCGCTCAAGTCCGCGAAGTCGAGATTTTCGAATTGCAAAGACTGCAGAAACATACTTTGGGTGGTGAGGCAGGCGCTGTGCTGGAGGGAGAATGGGAACCTTGGTTGTTTACCCCTCAACCCTATGCACCTACTTCTCCATCCAGGATTGCTGGGGCTCGTCCTGTAGGCACACAGTTTTTCGAAGACGTACAACCACCAGCTGGCTGGCTCTGGCGCGACANNAAATGGACACTGGACTTGGGGTCCAGGGAATGGGTGGAAGAACGTTGCGTCTCTGCTGTGGAGATAGAAACAGAAGGCGAACGCTGGGTCTACGATCTCGACGTCCCAGATTCAAAAACCAAACCTTCCACTCTTTCCCCACCAAAGAGTTGGGAAGAAGGACCTACGGTATCGACAAAGGGCGAATGGAGACGCAGACGTTGGGTTCGTCTTGTAGAGCGCAAGATCGTAAAGGTCAGTCCTGAAGATTGAAAAGGTATATTCTTGTCAATCTCTTGTTGCCATTTTGGTGTAAGCTAAAATGAAGTCGTACAGATGGTTGACAAGCCTCCCAAACCTACAGTCTTGAATGCGCTTGACCCTGGTATGCTCAATCCCGGGGCTGTCAACGCTGCTTCTGTATTTTGAGGTCTCTGGCTTGTTCTTGTAACATCTAAAGGACACATTTCTTTGAAGAGATACCCTGACGAAATTCTCACGATACACGAAACAGACAAGGCATGTTGATGTCTGGTTGCTGCTTCTGACACAGACGCATTCAAGACATACAAGCTATCCGAAGTATCACTATGTCAGGATGATGATAGACATACCTTCCTTCTCCTCGGTACAGGCTCATGACTTAATGAGGTAGTAATGAAGCAAGAAACTTGATCATGATATATAAATTTACATTCGTCAAAGGCCATGCGTATGAACGTTAAAGACATTAAGACGCTGCAAACCTTGAAGGGGGAAAGAACACCATTAAACCCCTCCATCCAATAAACGTCCCAGAGTATCCCTGATTCCCACAATTCTATGCCATGCCATGTTTCCTCCGGGTCTTCTACCAAGCTCTTGCTGGGAGACACATCTTAAAAAACGCCTAAACAACCAAAAATGTCCCAAAACTTATCTACACTCTGGCAGCGGATTCCTTTTCGCCGTCCTCAAGGCTGCCATACCCGCTGTCTTTCTCCTCTTCATCTTTCCAGCCGCCGACGCGCTTGCTGACGCCAAGACAAGACTCGACAACTGTAGCCTTCTGCTCTCTGGTCAGACCTGCAGTCTTGGCTGCACGAGTACCAATCCAGACTCTCAGATTGCCAGCCAAGTCATCAAGGCCGAGCTTGCCACTGTTGAAAAGCAGAGCGTCGGATGAGAAGGCTGAGAGAACCTTGTAGGCGGCAACGGCAGTGAGCAGTGTGATCCTGTTAGGCATAAGGTGCATTGAAGATAGCACAGCAGCGGCGTGCACACGTGCGGAAGTAGGGTTGGTTGGCGAAACGATGGATAGAATCTTTGCAAGGGTCAGAGCGCTGTGCGTATCTGGCGAGATTGGTGTATGAGTAATCATGTTCGAGGGCATATCCAAGCCGTCGTTAGATGTGACCATGGGTAGAGTATCCAGAGCAGCGATGATGTGTGCTGCACGGTCATCGTCAAGAAGGACAGCCTTTGCCACATGAGCGCGAGTCTGAGTTGCTGAAGCAGGAGGTGCAGTTTTGTTTGCCAAATCGATGAGATAATGTACATCAGTCGCAGTCTTGGAATTTGCGTCCAAGGCACGAGTAAGTGCAGCATCAACAGTCATGTTAGCGAACCAAGCAGCGACAGCGTCAAGAGGTGATCGGATGGCGTGGTCTTCAACCACACTGTTCATGGTCTGGTTGGGGATAGTTTTCTCGGCGCTTGGTCTGTTCCATGCTAGGTTGTAAGCACGTTGAATCATCTCGTCAGTCAAAACATCATCACAATCGAGCTCAATCAGCTCGGCAAGATATCCAGGTAGTCTCTCAATCTTGTCATCAGCAATCTGCTTCTCAGTGTACTCGCCAGCAGCAAGGGCGTGTTGTTGCTTGCGAGCAGAGTCCCAGTAAATTCTGCCCACCTTGGCAGTGAAGTCTCGGAACATGAACATATTGCCATAGCCAGCATTGGCGACTTCCCAGAAGAAGATACGGAAGTGAACAGCCTTCTGCATGAGACGAATGGGCGAGTCTGGCAAAGTACCGGAAGCCATCAAGGTAAGAAGCAGACGGTAGTAGCTGACCTCAGCATCACCACCAGCGAGTTGAGCATCGATAGCAATGTCCCAAGCTTTGATACGAGCAGCTTCATCGTCAGGAGTCTTGCCAGAGACGCGAGAGTAGAACTCGGAGCCAACAAGACGACGCAGACTAAGCATGATCATCTTGCATGTCACAGAAACAACTTCAAGCAAGAAGTGGCGTGGCATCCAAACACTTTGCACGGCAGTAAGCCAAGCCTTGCGGCGGACCTCGACCGGCGAGGCAAGAGAAGGGGCGGCAGTAAGAGAGATACGGATCGATGGCTTCTGCTTCGGTTGTGGCTTGAAGCGAAGTAGGGGAAGGAGGATGTAAACAAAGGCACCGAAGACCAGGAAGGTCTTAAGCAGAGGAAGCGCAGCTTGGGCTGACGAGCCGTAAGCAGCATGTGAAGGAGATCTGAGGAATTGACCACGCTTGATCAAGTGCATGGGGGCAGCGAACAGACCTCTTCCTGATGTGGAGTGAGAGTCTTGTTCTTGTTCGTGGAAGCCTTCCATAACCATGAGGGCGGCCAGTGAGCCGACCATGAGTTTGCCGACGAAACCATTGCCTGCACCTTGAACATTGACAAGATTGTTCTGTCCAGGTTCGGCAACATGTTCTTGAGGTTCGTAGGTGGGTTGTGCATGTTGTTGCATGTACTGGTCTTGCTGAATACGTCTTGGTGCTTGAGAGGCAATCGAACCCTGCCTTGAGCGGGCAATGGCGGGTGTGAGGATGCCGGCATGTTGATTGGCAGTTGCCGACCTCGCCATAGCCTTCTCCATGTTTGCCATGCGAGTCTTGAGTTGAGTCAGCTCGTCTGCCTGTGTCTTTGCTCTCTTCTCCAGATGTTTGATGTATTCAGTAGCCTTGGCCAGCACGGTGGCCTTGTTCAACTTGTGCGCCGGTGTCAAGCCCTCGAGATCTTCGGAATCGTCGTTGCCATTGGGTCGCGACATGGCCCTGAGACTGGGGACACTATCGCGAAGTTCGGCAATCTTGTCGTTGAGGTTGTTGCGGTATCGCTTCTCAATGACATTGTGCGACGTCTTCTTGATCGGAGGGCCACCATCTTCTGGACTCTGTTGTTCCTCATCGCTGTTCGACACCTTTCGTTTCCTTCCACCCCTTCTTCTTGGCAGGNNTTGTTCCGCTTGCTCTGGTGCAGGTGATATCGAGGATACGCTCGTGCGGGCATGTGATGTGGAGGCAGGACTACTGCGATGTTGACTGGTGCTTNNGGAAACAGATGCTGGTCCTGAGGCTGAGGTAGAGTAGTCGTTGCTACCGAGGATGATAGGTGCAAGCAGGTCACTCTGCTGTGTTGCATCGATGTTCTGTCCGATTGGTGGCCATAAAGATGAGNNGGACGAGGATGTGGCCTCTTTCGGTCCAGTATGCAAGTGATCGACGATAGGTTGTAGGTTACTGGACTCGGCGCCGAAGAGGAAAGGTAGGTCGTCGGTCTTCCCATCTGGCTGGGCTTGGCCAAAGTCGAAAGCGGCGTCGTTGAAGGAAAAGTCACCAAAGTTGGCGTCGTCGCCGACAATTAGTGGCGGCGCAAGCGTTTCGTCGACATTAAGAGGAGGGAATTGGTCGGCATTGAAGCTGAGATCCTGCATGGGAGAGTTGTTGCTCGTCTTTGTCGAACTATTGGGAGAAATGGGATCGTCTGCGAAGTCCATGCGCAACCAATCCTCCCACTCATCGGGATTGTCGGGCACGGCGGGTGCAAAGTCCCAGCTGGCGGTGGTTTGGTCCATTTGGTTTGTCGTGTTTCCTCTAGACCATGGGCGAAACTATGTGTTGAACAGTCGCGAAGGGGAAAGTGGGCAATTCGAGAGTTGAGGGAAAGAGCGATAGGCGGACCCTGGCGCGATGATACGGATGGGCTCTACAAAGTCAGGCCATTTCGAAGACGGCGCAAACGTTCCAAGCCACAAGGAGTCAAGCCCCCCACTGCACTGGCGCCATGGGATCAGACGCGAAACTGAAACGAGAAAGAAGCCCATGCTCATTTCCCGCGCCGCGCCTGCCATTCGAAAGCCGCGCCATCCGTGCTCTCTTCGTGTCACGTGCGGCCAAACAATTCATCAATTTTATGAGGCCATCTTCATCCGTCATTCCTTCAGTCTTGACTCCGCCTCAAGCGTGCAACGTCAATGTACATAATCGAACCATTTTGAAGGTCCGCCCAGGCAGCAGCACCCTTATCCAGGACACAGAGTCGCAACAGTCCCCAGAATGGGTCGAGCACTGTGGGTCAGAGAGCAGACCGCGCCGAAGCCGCTCCTTTGTCACTGCAAATTCTTTCTTTTGCTTGACAGCTGCCGGTGGACGATCCTGCATGGAAACAACACACATGGTTCAATGTGGTTGAACCCTCTGGCGAGCATTCTTCCACCTTACCACCCCGACCAGAGTGTATGGTACCTGAATGGGATCATGCAGGCCTGTTTGCCATGCTGTCTCTTCTCTCCCTTTGAATCTTACCTGGTCGTGGTTGGTCTGAGGGTGCTGCTGAACAACACTGGATAATCAAAGCAAGACCCTCTCGTATTTCTAATAACCTTCTGGACCTTGTACCATGGCCTTTGGGTTACTGAGCGAGAGGAGAACGATGTAAAATGCGTAGTCCATACCAAAGAGTCTGGTATCTTGTGGCCTGACTCTATGAGGACTGTACGTACAATTACAAGGTAGTTAATCTGTTTTCATATATCATAGCAAGTGTTTCCAATCCATCTGCCAAGACTATCACTCCACCTGTGAACTCTCTCCTAGGGCAAGCTATCACAATGCACAGTTGTTTTATGACATTAGATGTGGCCACGGAGACAGTCTAGAGTAAGGTGCTCTCCTTGTGCCACTCGCTTCCTTAATCTACTGTATTTTCGCACAGCTACGCGCTGACAATTTTTAGCACACAGGGAGTTCTTCATCTTCACGGCCATTGTCCATCCAAAACACCTCTGAAGAGCCTGCCTCCCCCCTTCTCGTGTCGAGATCTCATTGATGCAGTACGCTATGCAAATGCACAGTTGTCTTGAGGTTGAGGTTGAGTCCAGAGAGAGCCGGCAAATTGACGACTCTCAGTGGACACTGCTCTGATCTCCAAAACACTGTGCATTTCTACAGTTACATCAAAGCCATGCAGCATTGCTGGGATACTAGACCCCGACGAGTCCAAGGTCCCAGAGTCAAGAACAAACACCCTCAGAGTGTTTTCCTTGGCTTTCAGAGTTGTTTTCTTCACTTGTCAAAGTCCGGAATACTTGACCAGCCAATCTTTCTCTTCACTTTCGTTCTGTCGCGAGAAGTACCCTTCACTTCATTGCTAGCAGCAAACATCTACCTCACCGACTGCAGCGGCGCGTCACTTCCACAATCTTCCATCTCACGCGCTTCCTGTTGCAGACTCTGTGTCGTGCGAAGATCAGCTGCGCTTGTCCCAGCAACTTCTGGTAAGTAGCTTATGCTCACAAAGAAACACTCTTCGTGCGCTGTCATATCAGGCGCAGATCACGTCTCATCAGGTCTAACCTCTCGCCAACCACTTTCCGTCTTTGACAAGCTCTGCCAACACCTCTTGTCACATCCATCAGAGCAACATGTCATCCAGAGAACCACCTGACATGTCGACCACGACATCGCCTCCTACTACCTCACCACGCGACATGCCATCTGCCAACCCAACCCACCGAGTGGCCCCGCACAGAAGATATGCAAAGAAGTTCTTGACTCTACCCGATGAACTCCTTACCAAGATCTCCGACAATGTCGCACCAGAAGACTTGCCAAACTTCCGCCTCACCTGCAAGATTCTGGCCAATATATCTGCAAAGCACTTTGGTGAANAGAGACTAGCCCACCGCCGCTTCATCTTCACCGAGTACAGCATGCAGGGGCTGGTTGAAATGACTGCTCATCCAGTGTTTGGGCCTTGTGTCAAGAGCATTCTCTTCGGTACTGATCATCTTACCGATTCGCTAAGAGTTCTTATGGATGCTCTGAAGTCAAACAACATCACGGACCCCACTGAAGCGATGCATGTGCTTCAGAAGTATCGCGATGGCTATGCTAAACGGTCCATGTTCTGGGATTCCCGCGGCTTGCACAACATGCTGCTGAGCGTCATGTCCAATCTCTCCTCGCTAGGAACCAATGTTACCCTTGGTATCTACAATGATGTACGTAGAGGCCCTCGCGGAGAGATTGTGTTGCATGGATATGGCTCAGTTCACGAGCTCGGCGATCTGCCATTTTTGGAATTCATGACGCTTGATGAGGCCACACTTCGAGTCATACTAAGAGTTTGTAGAGCCGCCAACTTCCGCCCAGAGCTTCTCGAATTTGACCTCAGCTGTCAACAAGATGGCACTGCAATGGAGAAAGTGTTGCCAGAATTGCTGCTTACCAATGGACAACTCCAGTCAAATTTCGACGTCTGCATCAGAGAAGGAAGTGTGGATATCCGCATTCTGACAAGTCAACATCGCCTTGAGTTCAAACAGAGACCTGTGAACGGCCATATGCTGCATCAACCGGATATCGTCTGCTTCTATTCGGATTTGGGACAATCCATGGAACAGGCTCTGTCGGCTGTGCCTTTCACCCACTTTTGTATGGAGTCTTGTTCTATGTGGTTCGACAGATTCGTCGAGATCCTTCAAGGTCTCGCTGGGACTTTGCAGGTGGTGGAGTTAATCGATGTTGCCTTCTGGGGTCATGATTATGGTTCACAAGCTACTATGAACCCGGTGCTGTCCTGTCTCAGAGATGACTTGCGCCTGCACACTTTAGTTTTCGACAATGTGCGAACCATGCACAAAAACTTTACCGAAGGCTCAGGAATACTCATTGTCAAGAGAAGGGTTTGGCACGGTCAACAGCAGATTCGCGGAGGATTGGACGTCTTCGCCGGCTTCAATGGTTACGCGTGAGTCGACGACGACCTTCACGATGAGTTTGAGGATGATATTCGACACAGCGAAGCAGATCTTCAGAACATGGATTACTCGCACTTCGCGTCGCACATGGATCATGAAGGATACCTAGCGAACAAGGCTCAGAGAGAAGAAGAGCTGGAGGGCCTCAGAAAAGAGTACGCCCGGTACAAAGTAAGCAGAGCAGGGGCCAAGGAGGCGATGGCTAGAGTTGAAGCGGAAGAGTTCGGCTCTTGATTTGCTGGCATCCCAACAGAAGCAGATGATAAGGCAGCTTGCTTACGGTGGTTGCTCAAGGGTCACAATCTCTTAGAGCTCACAGCTTCTTTTGGGTGGAACCTTGCACACCGAAACAAAAGGCGACCATGGGATAGTTCTGGAATAAAATGTCTTTGTGGAGTTCACTTTGTGCTGAAGATTGACTAGAGTTTCGAAGACTCACCCCTCAAATGCAGACCAGTCAGCCTCTCGAGCTCTTCAACAGCTTTATCTGCCCTTCCTAATTCTACTTTGACAGTCCTCATGCCAACTTTTCTGCCTGTCCTCAGATTTGTCCCAATATCATCGAAGAACACAATGTCTCCAGCTGTAACTCCATCGTTGTCACCTCTTTCCCTTGCAAGTTTGTCCAATGCATCAATCGTGTAATGATAAATCTCCTCATCTGGCTTTCTCATTCCCACGTGTGCTGAACTAACAAACAAGTCAAAGAGGCCCCGAAGCTCAGCGTGGAAGATCCCGTCCGGTGTATCAGGCGAGTTGAACTCGTGGCCTTCAGGAAAGATCGAGGTATTACTCAAGGCAGCAACAATATATCCTTTCTGTTTTGCGTGCTTACGCAGCTTTTGTAAAGCTGGCCACATATGGGAATCAGGCTTCCTGGATACCGTCATCATCTGCCAATACAGCTTCTCTCCATCAATGTTCGGCGGCGCAGGGACTTGAAATACCACTTCTTCTGCTGCCTGTGCTCCCGTCTCTTTCCTAGTCTTCTCAAGATGTTTGATGTAGAAGTTCCGCCATAGCTTTTCGTCGGAGAGGTCAGAAGTAAAGCCGGAGAAGAAAGAAGAGTCGAGAGGTATTTGTCCGCGTTCGAGTTTCGCCCATGCGCCGGTCTTGCCGGAAGCAGATATCGCAGTGTTTATCCAGCCTATCGGAATGGAGTTTTGCTTTTCGTAGGCGAGAATGGCGGCGAAGGGGGAGACGACCTGTAGTGGACGATTAGAATGGCTGCTGGAGGGCGATATGAGAGAGATACCTACGCAGACTCCGCCAATGTCGAAAAGCAGCACTTTGGGTGGCGGAGAAGGCATGATTCAAGATCAGTAGACAATGTCTTCTCGCAATAATGGTGGTGCTACATGCTGGCGAGATAGTTGTCAGGCTGAACAAAGCCCGAGGTGTGTCTGAAGTCACCTCCGCAACCTTGGTGGACTTGCCGAGGCTCCATTTCCAACCACCACAACCACTCCTACTTGTATGTGTCACCATTTTGCGAAGAATGTATGTGTATGGGAGACTCAGATAAAGACGTACATCACGATGTTGGTCCACTGTGGGTCCTGGCTACCTGTATACTCTTATGTGCTCAGTATGGAACGTTGCATAACTATGCAACAAGAATAAAGCAACATAACTTGGTGTGCATGGAAGCTTTGGCAACAGCTTCAACACGAGCAACAACGAGTCCTTTCTCATCCAGATTCCCAACTCAGCCTCATCCTGCCATTTTCTGTCCTCGATGCCGTACATATGTGGTTGGATCTCTTGCCTCTTTGTCTCCAGACCTGTGGCAGTTTGAGAACATGCATTTGGCATGATGTGATCGGCGAACCCTTGAAATCACGACATCGCGAGCCTCGAAGATGCAAGAGCTGCCAACCGCGCACGCAATGGATTTACCCAATCAGGCCCACGCTCATTGGCCCATCTTGTCAATAACATCCAAGATGTGTTTGATCTGGAGTGCACTTCTCCACGTGTGCGGTGAGATGATGGGCATTGTGGCTTGGAAGACGTCAGAAGATATACTTTTCCGCATGCAATACAAGCACGCAAGCCCGCTCTGAAGACCCCAGGACGATTGAGGTAGGTGGAAGGCAGGTGGGTAGGGCTGGTACATATCAGTGCCGGATCCTCATTTCTTTTGTGTCTCTGCACTCTCCTATCGTCTTCTTGTCTTGAGTTGTCCTTTCCGCATCAAGTCAGTTCTTGAGCAGCAACAATGGTAGACATCGAGAAGCACGTCGACGAATCGCCCAAGTCGGCCTCTTCCGTCTCCTCTGCCGACTACACTCACATCAACGAGAAGTCTCTGCTACGTAAACTCGATTGGAAACTGCTTCCTGGTGTCTCCCTACTGTACCTCGTTTCCTTCCTGGATCGCAGCAACGTTGCCAATGCCCGTTTGGATGGTCTGGTCGCTGATCTACATATGACCGGCAATGAATACCTCACTGGCCTCACCGTGTTCTTCGTCGGTTATATCTCACTGGAGGTCGTGTGGAATCTGATACTCAAGAAAATCGGACCTAGGATATGGCTACCTGCTGTGACTGTCGTGTGGGGCATTGTCACGGCTCTGCAAGGCATTCTGGTGAATAAAGTAGGATTCTTTGTCATCAGAACTGCGCTCGGTGTTGCTGAAGGCGCTCTGTTTCCTGGTGTAAGTAATACTAAGTAGTGGTTCTCATAAGATAAAAGTGCTGATATGCTCCTGTGTTCAGNNGTGGTATTCTACCTATCAATGTGGTACAAGAGAGAAGAGAGAACATACCGAGTGGCTCTTTTCTTTTCAGCGGCCAGTTTAGCCGGTGCTTTTGGTGGTATCCTGGCATATGTGAGTTCCACATACGCAACAAGCTTGTTGCAGGTTCGCTGACATATCAGGNGTATTGGCTTCATGAGAGGTATTGCAGGTCTCAATGGCTGGGCCTGGATCTTCATCATCGTAAGCTCGCCCCCTCCCGTGTGCAAATGTCTGCCACATATGTGACCGTTGGATTGCACGATATCTTTGAGAATGGAGATCCATCTATGGAGATGGACAGCAGCGGCAGACTTCACGATGATACTCTACTTCGTCAGATAGTTTATACTGACTATTCTTCCAGNNGAAGGCATAGCTACTGTTCTCATAGGGATAGCAGCGTACTGGTTCATTGTCGACTGGCCTCAGAAGAGCACCTTCCTCGCTCCAGATGAGAAAGCCTTTGTGACTGCACGCCTCAAGGCTGACAGCGATGCTTCCAACAGCGAAGAATTCGAATGGTCAGAAGTCTGGAAAGCTTTCAAGGACCCCAAGGTCTGGTTGTACTGTGCACACTTCCACACCCTGAGTTTACCACTATATACCCTCTCTCTTTTCCTGGTAAGTTGCATGTCCGTGACAAGCCAAAATTGACCGCATAGACTAACAAGACACCAACAGCCCTCGATCATCAAGAGTCTAGGCTATACAGCTTCCTCCGCCCAGCTCCTCACCATCCNNCCCCCTTACGCTGTGGCGACCACTCTGACTGTCGTCTACGCCATCACAGCTGAGAGGTTCCGCCGGAGAAACGTCTTCATCATAACCTCGTCCCTTACCGGTATAATCGGCTATATAATCCTGCTTGCCAACGAACATCCCACTCGACATCCTGGCGTAAGCTACGTCGGTACTTTCTTCGCCGCAGCAGGTATCTACCCTTCTACAGCTCTGGCTCTGTCGCTTCCAGCCATCAACGTATCTGGTCAGACGAAGCGAGCTACAGCGACAGCTATGCAAATCACAATTGGAAACCTGGGCGCGATATTGGGCACTCAGTTGTACAGGACTGAGACGGCTCCGAGATATGTCTTGGGTCATTCATTTGCACTCGCATACCTGTATTTAAATGTTTGTGTTGCTATGCTGACGTGGTGGACTCTGAACAAAGAAAACAAGAGAAGGGATGTATTAGAAGAGCAAGGGGTCCAATCGCAAGAGCTGGAACAAGGTGTGCAAGGTGATAATGATATTAGATGGAGGTTCACTGTATAGATCAATTTGGCGTCCGTCCTCCTCGCCTGCTAAAAGATGTAGCTTCTATTGTACTCTGGGTATAGCTGAGAGTAAAGTGCACATTATGAAAAATGCACAATCTTGTTTAGATATGGTCGAAGAGAGTTTGTATGGAAATGCCTTCCAGTGAACACTATCCTATTTTCTGATAGCACTGTGCATTTTTATGGCTAGACGCGTTAAATACTTTTTGCACACGAGGAGTTGTGTGTTAGAAAGGCGAGAGCCCGCCTTGTTTCTCTCCGCACAGATTTATATAGAACCTCCCCATGTACTAAATCTATAGCTAACAGCCAAACGTAAACAACCAAAAGGCATGGTTGTTTCCATCCGTGTCCCAGCGTGCGTGTCGATGATTGATGCTTTCGTAATAAGGGCGACACATGTATGCGTTATGTTCTCCACACTACTTTCCAGAGACATCCCAGGCATTTGCCCTCTACACCGACGTCGCATTCCAGGACTCTCCCTCGTGGTCCTCGCCACTGACTCTACGATATGAAGTTCCTTCAAGGCGACGTGACAGCTGTGGTCGGTGACGACAGTCGCGTATCTCTTGGACGTCTTGCTCGTTCATGGTACGAGCCTCCAGGAAGTGGCTTTTCTGGAGAAGCGAAAGAATTCGCTGTCTTCTGGCATCTGCCTTGGCCTTTTATTTGGCCGGTCTCCACTCGTTTCTTAGATGAACCTTGCGAGTATGTAGAGACGGGCTGGAGTCTGGAAGAGAAGGGGGAGATGGAACACATGCCCAGCGATAGATGTTCCGGGCAGGAGACGGTATCGGAGATGGTCGACGAGGTGGTGATGATAGGTGAGCGTGACCAGGCATGATGGCGTGCATACGATCAGCGAATCAACACCGGGAATGTGCTTGCCAGACGAACTCAGAGGCAGGCGGCATGGTGCAGATGTACTTTGCAATTTATGAGTCTAACCTTCTTGTTGAGGGCTCTTTCCTCCAGCATGGCTCTAGAGATGAGATGTCAGCAGTGTGAGATCGTAAGCTTGATGAACGGACAAGCCTTCCCATGTGCTAGAGGCAGTCACAGTGTAGTTGAAATACCCAATATTTTCGCCTAAAATATGATCTCTACGGAGGGAACCCTGATAAAGGCTATCCCAATGGCCAGAGTCATATCTGAACCGTAACTGTGTATTTCGATAACTTATAACAACCCTTATAGCTAGGAATGGAGAAGGGGTTAGTTGCAAGAATGACTGTTTTAAGAACATGGGGACGAAGAAACTTTGATAATTTTCTTTCCAGAAAATCTAGCTTCTCTAAGTACCCTTTCTATAATGCGTGGAGACAAAACAACTTTTGTGATAATCGACAAGGCTTACTTTGCCCAGACAAGAACACCGGGCTTGGTCTCGTGATCGACAACATATTGATGTTGGGTCCAAGCCTTCCAGAGGGCCTTGAGGAATGAAGTGTTATCACGGATGTACTTCTTGCCAAGCATAGGCTGAATGGCACCAGTAGCCTCCTCGGCATGGTAGAATGGAATACGANNCTGTTCAGAATGTCAGCTTGCTTGTTTCAGATCCAAGATCTGGTACTTTTGAACTTACGGGAAGAGGTGGTGGACAACGTGGAACTCGATGATACCATGGAACAGCTCACGTCCAACGAAGCCAAAGTCTCTGTCGACAGTGGCCAAGGCACCCTTCTCGAAAGTCCAAGTGCCCTGCTCAAAGTGCTCAGCATCACCGTGGTTGTGGTGAAGGTAAGTGATGGCGACTAGGNNCTTTGTCAGTAACAAATTTCACAGAGACCATTGTTGGAACAATTGCTTACCAAGCCAGTGGTTGACCCAAAGGTAAGGAAGACCGTAAAGCAGTGCAACTTGAGTCAATCCCATAACCTGAACAGCGTAGTAAAGCCCGTAGCAGAGAGCAATAAGACCGAGATCGGAAATCAGGATAGCCAAACGCTGGGAGGGAAGGTAGATCGGGGAGAAGGGAGAGTAGTGACTGAGGTTGGAAGTGGTACGGGGATCCTTGAAGTTTGCAAGACTCTTGTAGCCTGACGAGGCGTAGAAGAGCATGTACGCTTGCCAGCCGATAAGTTGGTGTCCAACAAGGAAGATCAAGCTGACGATAGGTGCATCTTCGGTCATGTGGAAAATTGCCTTGATCTTTTCCTGGACCTTAGTCATAAGATGCAGGCCGTCGTCCTTCTTTGCGGGAACAAAAGCAGTGTCCTTCTCCATGTGGTTGGTGAATCTGTGATGTCTAGCATGGCTGTATTTNCTTTAAGTCAGTTAGCAAGATTGTCCAAAATATGTCAAGAAATGAAAAACCATGTCTTCATCCTAGGACAAGTTTCGTCCCAAAACATGCCAAAACGGCATCAATGGCAAACTAGCACGACCCAGCAAATCGAAATTGTGATTTTAAGATTAACGTACCCAAGAGAAGTAAGGAACACCCAAGAAACTGTGCATGATAAGACCGAATGTGTCGTTGGCGGCACCATTGTCGAACATGGCCTGGTGACCACATTCATGAGCAAGAATCCAGATACCGACAAAGACGAATCCTTGGAAAACGCTGTAAAGAGCCCACAGGGCGCATCTGAGAGCGAATGACGGTGCGTATTGGATCTGAGTACCCATGTAGAACACGGTGCAGACAAGGACGATGTCTCGCACAATGTAGCTCATAGAAGTTGTCGTTGACTTCTGCCAGCAGTGCTTGGGAATTGCAGCTCTCAGCGAGTCAATTGACGTGCTGCTGGGCTTGGCCTCGGTAACTGCTTGAGCACCCATATTTGCTGACTCTGAAATGGTATAAATGAGTGACTGGTCAAGCAATATGGTCAATTGCAATCTGAAGATGCAAGAAAGTTCGCGCAGAAAAGAACTTCGAGATGAACCCTTTTTCTTCGATAGTTGACAGATCCCCTTTATCCACTCTTGTTGAGCGTCGAGAACATGGCCCACAATAAAGCATTGATGAGAATCTCGGTAGGAGCGCCGATTGGTACAAGCTCGATGTCAGGGTGGTCAGGGTCTGAACCTTCCCTGATCGACGGTTTTTGGTGCACGACTCAGCCCTTGAAAATTCACTTCATCCCGTGTTTCTGCAGCGCGCATAACTTCTCACACTCGTTTGAGCTTTGCACGGCTGTTTTCTCCTTGTTTTCCAAGGGCTTGGTATCGATGCCAAAGCCGTCGTGGCGGAGCTGTGACCTTTTCTCTCACCCTTTCGTTCGATTCCAGGAGATGTCGTGTCCCTCCAATCTCTGCTTTCTTTGCTTTTATTCCTTTCTGGAACAACGTCTCCAATAGCACTTTATCCAACACAACGTGCCCGCAGTTATGCGACCACAATTGGCAATCGTTAGGAAAGATCGCCATGGCTCCTACCGTTGCTTCGCCAAGAGAAGGAATTCGACTCCCCGGTATTCCCCGTGTGTACATTTTCACTCTCGCAAAACTTCACCAAAGACGGCTCCTAGTGTGGGATTCTGCATCGGTTGTGCTTGTGGTGAGTCATGAACTTGCACAAGATCTGGCATCCAGGCAATCAGGTATATTTTTCTTTGAAGCCCATACATGTGTCGAGAGATCTTTGCACTATGGCACTCCTGTTGTGTGCAATGCACAAACATATGTCGTGCAAAATCAGCATTTCATACTTTTATGTTGCAAAAATTCCGACCACGTCGACCATCGATGAGCAGATAGCGTGCATCATCTCTGATGTGGGTTGCATCTCTAATGTGCGTTGATTGCAAATATAGCCTGTGCGAATGGAATGGCAGGAGCCCCATCGTGAATTCTTCGAATGTGGTATCTGCTGGAAGATCGGGCTCGTGGGCTAATGAAGTATCGGCTAAGTTCGTCTGCGCAAGGAGGTCAGTCTCTCGTCGATTCGGGATGAGTGCTCATAGATTGAGGCCGTTCAGTGTATCTCTAGACCTGCTTGCACTTCACTCTGTCGTCTCCTGCAACGTCGACTGCCTGCCTGGAGGTGATATGCCAGTCCAACAGCTCAAGCCGATGTTAACTACCAGGCGTTGGTGTGCACCCAGTAGATCAGCGAATGAATATGATGTTGGCGTTCAAACTTCAGTGTCGGATCAGGTGGTCTGGTGCTCCTAAGGTAATGACGAGCGACTGGTCTGCCGAAGACGAGCAAGGGAATGGAGTATACCTGATTATGCTGGAATAGGGTTGCATGAGAACTTTTAAGCAGCTAGCTGTACTATCGGTAAGCACTTCTTGATTCGTATCATGCTGTTCCCAGAGACAGTGGTCCTTCAAGCCTCTTTCCGGATGGGTTCCTAGTCTAGTTCTTACTGTGCATGTTCATGGTCATGTTGTTACTGCGCCGCCATTGTGAGAGCGTAATCATGAAATCCTGCGGTTCTGCTCTCCACGAGGTGTGAAGGCACAATGGCAGTTGTTTTCCGATCCATGTATATAGTCTTCTACAAGCCTAGATCTAGACATCTCGGTTCCTCTGACGACGCAAAGCCATCCCGAGTGAGTGATGGCGATGGAAGGTCGAATGACTGAGCTGCGAGTGTCCACAGCCTTGGGGACGGTCCCGAGAGATGAGCAGGTTGTTGTACTTTCTTTGCTGCAACAAAGAGAAGCGATTGCCGTGCTTGAAATGCACGCCATGGCCCATGGGGAAGTGGTCACGATCGAAACGGTGGACTGGTGAATCGTTGTTAAGCTTCTGGGTGCCAACATGACATCACTTAAATCAAGCTGGGCGTCTCCTGAAACAACACGCCTATCCAATCGCATATGTACATGTATTTTCGTGTCATAATCATCCGCATCCGAGGATCTGATGTGACACAACCAAGCGGATGCCATGGAAACACCTAACTACTGCTGGAAAGGCAACGCAAAGGAAAATACTCGTATCATGGCTTGAAAACTCAAAAAGCGTGCCATGCCTAATTTCCGCACGATGTCACCACTTAGCTGCGCCAAGCATACCTAATACAAGCTTGAAAGGAGCGGAGTGCTTGTTTATCACAAGCTGTTCGGACAAGCAAGATGTCGAGATCCAGTCAACGAGATTCTCTTTGTAGTCCGATCTCATCCTTTGGCGTAACTCTCCAGCCTGCTTTGGCACATAAGACTGATGAATTGATGATTGCTGTCCGCGGGTAGTTTGGCTTCGGAGAGTCCAGATTGACACAGCCACAAGCCTTGGCTGATCGTGCATTTGCCAGCGAATTACTATTCCCTGCAGGGGAGCACTGCTGATTTAAGGTAAGCACTCAGAAACAAGGAAAGCGCGTTGAAGACGTGCGAGGCGCTCTCCCTGAGCTAAAGTGACGACCTGCTCCATGATCTGACAATCAACAACATCTCCGTTTCTCGCGGCCATCGATTCGCAATTTACTACGCAGTCTACGAGTATCCTGCCGTGCTACAAGCCGTGGACATCGGAAGAGACCAGCGCCAGAAAGTACCACCATTGCGAAGCGTCATGACAACCAGACCCAAACCCCGCCGCGGAAGCCGTCAATCGACAAGTCCATACACACACGAACCAAAACCTCAGCAAGAACGCGAAGATGGCAACCTGCCTCAATACAACTCCAATGGCCATGCTGTTACTCGAGGCATTCAACCTAACGGCGAAAGTGGCAGACGTGGCTTTCATCCCGTCCACTTCTTCACAGTGTGTTGGGCTAGTTCGTGTACCGCTTCCAAGTATGTAAATGTTTTGTGGCCATTCGTTCCTGCCGCTATCGCTCTGGTACGTGATCCCTCTTCGAAAGCTCGTCGGCTCCATCTGATTGACGTTGTTGTGCTAGNNCACTTTGCCAGGCCCGAGGAACGTCTCTGGATCTTTATCCTGTCTTATGTTGCCATGGTCCCCTCAGCAAACTTGATAGGCTTCGCGGGACAAGAACTGGCCAGGAAGCTTCCAACTGTTCTCGGTGTTGTCCTCGAAACCACATTAGGATCACTAGTTGAGATGATTCTCTTCATTGTGCTTCTGGTAAACCAAGGAGCGAATGGCGTTCCCGTCGTTCAAGCTGCTATTCTTGGTAGTATTTTAGCAAACTTGCTGCTCTGCATGGGACTCTGCTTCTTCTTCGGAGGCTTGCGCCGCCATGAACAGAACTTTCACGACGTCGTTAGCGACACCGGAAGCAATCTGATGCTGGTTGCTGGCATGGCCCTTGTCATCCCGGTCACTTACTCCAACGCTCTTAGGGGTCGCGAGAACCTCACCACTGAGCAGCTCGAGATGGAGGTCGTCAAGATTTCCCGCGCCACTGCTATCGTGCTCGTTCTGGCATTCATGGTTTATACCTTCTTCCAGATGAAGTCGCATCACGGGTTCTTCGATGAGATACTTGAACAAGACGAACAGAATGACGCTGACCGTCACCGTGATCTGGCCAAGCCGAAGTTGACTCTTATCGAGTCCATCATCGCTCTTGCTATCGCCATCACTTTCGTCTCAATGATGGCTGTTTTCCTCGTTCAGAATATCGAATACATGAAGAACAACCGTGGCCTATCAGACGCCTTCCTCGGCCTCATTTTGGTTCCTCTGGTCGAAAAGGCCGCCGAACACATTACTGCGATTGATGAAGCATGGGACAACCAGATGAATTTTGCTCTGTCACATATCCTGGGTGCATCTATTCAGACTGCTTTGCTCAACACTCCCCTTGCCGTGATCGTAGGCTGGGGACTGGTACGTCATTGCATCACTAGACCGCAAATCAAACCCTGTTTACTAATTGTTTCGTAGGGAATTCATATGTCTATGAATTTTGAGATGTTCGACGCGGTCGTCCTCATCCTAGCTATCCTGGTAGTTGGCCAATTCTTGCGGGACGGCAAGTCCAACTATCTCGAAGGAGCACTGTGCTTCTTCGTGTATGTGCTTATCGCCGTTGCTGCCTTCTATTACCCCAACCCAGTCGAGGGTCATGAGACTGCTGGCAGTAGTGCGTCTGAATGAAGTGCTATTGCCAAGTTCAGATGACCAGGAAAACGAAAGCCCTCTACGGACAGAGCTCTGATCCCAAAACAGTTGTGAATTACCAATAGCTTACAATACCACTATACGTTGCTATGAGAGAGATGGAATGTGGCACTTTGACCCTCGTGTCTCCATACGATAGACTGTGACACGTACAGCTCTACAAATTCACAATAGTTTTTGGAGAACAGGGCTTCCTCCACTGAGAGTCGTTGTTCCATTGGACCTCTTCGACTGCTCATGTAGTATCGAAGACGATTGTGTATTCTGCAAGCATGCTGCCATTCTGTACTGTCTTTGAACGCGTTTGTTTTCAAGCGCAAATACAGCAGATGAGCATCTCACTTAGAACCCATTTCATCACAATTCAGATTGCCCTAGGGCTTGATGCACGGAATGTGATATAGGGCTTGCCGGTGGCAGTAGCTCCGTCGTTCTCGGCCTGGGTTGATTACATTCCTCGGGTATATGAAAGAATCGGCACGCTCAGTAAACACGTCGGGCCGAAGGACAGCACTTTTATCTGCAGCACATGGTCCACAAAACTGTTTGATCATCGATGGCTGCGTTTTGCTGTTTTATACTTGTCTTTGTAAGGTCCTCGCCATGACATACACTCACTTGATTTACAGATCTCACTTGAAGGCAGCTCTTATCTGCATTGTCTCTCTTTTACCATATTTCTCAGAAGCACAAAATGCTTGCAACATATACCGTCCCGCCAGCCAAGGTGTTGTATATCAGCAGGCGGTGTCAGTTAACACTTTCGTTCAATCGAACATTACGTTCTTTCCTCATCCTGAGGGGCAAGCGATCACTGTCACAAACGCACCGACTTCGTTCGATCTTATCACCACACTCTCGTGGACCAAAACTCTCCCCTATACAGCCTCTGTGTCTACTGTTGCCAGCGCCGCGATCTCAACGACAACAGATTCGACATTCATCCTGTTCATCAGATCTGACACGAGGCTGCATCAAAAGCGCCAGAGCGGCTTTTATGTGAACGCGAACGGCACAACCAGCAACGATTGTTCAAGTGCACCTATATATTCAATCACGAATGGCGTTTTGACAGCGACGATTAACAACATCGTCTACTACTACTCGACCAATCCGGATGTAGCATATGCTCCATTCGTTCCTTCCCAGACTCCAGGATCGATCACGACATCATTCTCGGCCACGAGTAATGGTCAGCTTTCGTGGTTCAACTCACAGTTCTACAATGGGCAGGCACAGTTTTGCTCCCTAAACAACGGTACTGTGTATGCAGTTTTTCAAGAAGATGCGGCGCCATCCGGATGCACGTTCATTCAACTTTCTCTGTATTCGGTGTCTTCGTGTGCCAGCTTGGCCATGAGTTCTGGTCCAAGGTATGTCTTCATATCATAATATCTGTGTGCACAAGCTCATCAATTTATAGCGGTCCATCAGGTGAGTCAACGCAGCCGGCTTGAATCGCAATTTGAGCCTTGTCATTGAAACTCACCAGCTTTCACAACTCGAGCAACGCTTCGCTTGTCCCTGTTGCATCGCAACTACAGAGCATATTCCAGCTAACCACTTTGTGTAGGTCCAAGTGTAAGAATAACCTCAGTCTGAATGTTCATGCCCATATTCTGACCTCCAATAGGGAGCAAACGGACAGCCAGGTGCTACGGTAAGATTGTTCCAGCGTGGTGTTCGAAGTCTACCTATGCTGACTCGGTCAACGTCTAGGGAAGCCAGGGACCGACCGGTTAGTCGTTCTTTCCTCCTCATTCACTAAAGTCTGCACTCCATTCCTTCCTCGACTGTTGCATAGAACAGATTGTGCATTGCAAGAAGGCATAGTCCCCGTCCATAAACAGATATGGGGCCAGAGAGAGCCCACGGTATACTCAATGGATAGTGGTCACCATCCTGTTGTCCGGTCACCAACTGCATACATTACATGATTGAGCACATCAGAAAGTCTCTACATGAATTTGTTGTAGTGATTCTTGAGTCATACTGCAAAAACTTCGATGATGTGATATTTGCTAACTATTGATTTCGTGGAATAGGACCCCAAGTACGTTCTTCGCTCAATACTTAATACTGGATATAGGATTGATCGATGATCGATTAGGGTATCCAAGGTGTTCAAGGTTCACAAGGTGTCAGTGGCCAAACTGGAGCAACAGTATGTCGATTGGTTTCTTTTGTCGACACAATGAATATCCTCCTGACCATTTTTTCTAGGGACCCGCAGGTAAATGCATTAATGTATTCATTTTGGATAGCACACACTAAATGACCTTCGATAAACGTAGGTTCACAGGTATACTCATATCAATCCCTTGAATAAATATCCTTATGTTAATAAGGAGCAGGGATTGCCAGGCAGCACCGGCCCTGCAGGTCCTACAGGTCCTACGGGTCCAACAGGTTCAGTCGGCCCAACTGGTCCCACGGGTGCCACTGGAGTGACAGGTGCCTCAGGTGCTATAGGACCAACAGGGTCGATTGGTCCCAGTGGTCCTACAGGGCCTACGGGTCCCACGGGGTCTATCGGACCTAGCGGTCCTTCAGGTCCTGTAGGATCTACAGGTATACAGGTGAGTATAATAATCCGATGATTAAACATTCGAATAAGTCTGTTTCAAAATCACAAATCCACCACAACCAAATAATCCTGATTGAAACAACACTAACAACAAACAGGGACCATCAGGGTAACAGTCTCCCCACCACCTCGCCGGCATCAACTAACATTGTACTTCAGACCACCCGGGCCAACGGCAACAGGAATCCTCTACGGCTACCTCGGCTGATATGTCCAAACTGGTTCAAGCACCGTGACCACCGGCCGCGCTCTCTCAGCCTACCAAGCCACCTACANNACAGCCAGAGTAAACAGCCGCTGCAGCAGCACCTGCCTCTCCCAAAACTACGTCTATTTCGGAACGGTGAATCAAGGAACTGCATCCGCGGATTGTTGGTGTGGAAATTCAATTGCATATGTTACTATCCAGAGTGGCTTGCTGAGTGGAACGACTGGCGAAGCTGGGGAGGTAAGTAATGGCGTCTTGTTTGCGATTCAATGAGGGATTGCTAATGTTGATGATGGTATAGNNAACAATTGCTATTTGTGCAATGGAGGCAGTGTATCGGGAGGAGTACCTGGTGCTTGCGGCAATTCGTCAGTTAGCACGATTGCCATATTCGCTCGCTCCTTCTGAGGACGTTGCGAAGGGACGAAAGAGATGGTAGTGGCGTCTCATTGTGAAAGGTGCAGTTCGGGCAGACGTTCTTGCCATATCAATCTGGCGCTTTTAGTCCTTTTCGTATGTCACACTTCCATGTTCAGGTGTCGACGACTGTCCGTATTGTTGTCTAATTCTCCCTGTCATAGCACTGAGGGGTCGTGATGATAACCTGAGTATAATCATGATCATCATTCGTCGAACTTATGGTTTTGTTTCGAATATTTGATTGTTGATGTCGACTCCCTTTCGTGTTTACAGGTCAATAGCTCAGCCCTAGATTAGTCGGTGAACATTAGGATCCTTCCTGATCACTCTCGCTTAATTCAACACCCAATACAATCATATTTGTATGTAGGTGAGCGTGTTTGCATCTCAGCTTGCCGATTTGGATAGTCGAGGGATTAGCAGAGTCAATAGCCACGGAAGGAGCGACCTAGGTGTGTGCCTCTCTCGTCTTCGGTGACAACAACGATATGAAAAGGAAAGTGCGTGATGCTATAAGATGAAGAAGAAGAATAAGAATTCATTCAGACAGACAGTGTATGTCCATCAGATCTTATTATACATGGCATTACAACAAATTAATCATGACTCTCGTATCCCAATCTCGATCGACAAACTTGTCTGTCGACTCTTGGACCTCTCATCAGAAGCTTCGATACAAGCTTATGCCGAGTATCTCTCCTTCTCCTCCTTGGCCTTTTTTNNTCTGTCGCTGGCACCCTTGATGAAAGTGCTGAGGTCGCCAACGGGTATCTGGAAGGGGAAGTCAAGAGCAGCGAGCATGATGGCGAAGAAAATCCACCAGCCACACATGTCGGTCACGAAAGTGAGTGCTCCAGCAGCGACAAGACATCTAGTGGCGGTTGCAGCGTGGGCAGCTTGCGTTGCCGAATTTGCGGCAGCACCGTAAGCAAGAGCAAGGTTCCAGTAAGCGCCAGTCAGGCAGCCAAAGGCGAGAACCAAGGTGAAGAAGATCATGGCGAAGACAACGTTGGTGCGGAGTGAGCAGATGAAGTAGATCAAGCACAACATGCCCATGAATACAAGGAAGAATCCTGTCGTGATACGTTAGTGAGTTGACGAGGAGATGTAACAGTATGATGTTACTGACCAAAANCTGGCATTGAATGCAACAGTCTTTAATCCGTCACCAGGGTTGGCGAGGTCGGCTGAGAAGGCACCGTACGCATTGTAGAATGGCTGAAGGGTAGCAGCAAAGGTCAACCAGAAGGCACCGAATGAACCGAAGACGACGAAGGGGAATGTGTTGCCGATCAACCACNNTGATACAACATTAGCAACTTGCAAGGAGAGTCGACCAGATACGACATCAACACTCACCTCGCCGATGGAACCAAGAATCATTAGAAGACCACCAAAGAAGAAGTAAGCACCAATGTCAGAAGCGCCAGTGTTCGAAGCACCTCTCCATCCCATCAACATGCAACTCAGGGGTGTCAAGCTGAGAAGGAAACCACACAGGGCNGCTAGACGTGTTGTTAGTAGGGATCCTCGAGTAACGATGACCTCCGGAGAAACTTACAGTGGTGTAGGATTACCAAAGGTCTTTCTCAACTCGCCAGCGACCTTGTTCTGAGGAGATAGATACATCTTCTCGAACAGCTCAGGTGAGATCGAAATGCTGCCAGCTGTACGAATTCTCTGGAGAGCCGTCTCACTGTCAACATCGCCTCCTATATGGTTGTTGTAGTCNTAGAATGTTGTCAGCTCGAGCGCGCTGCATCTGTTCAATATACACTCACCATTGTTGAAGTCCTTCTCGATTGGCGGACTAGGCTCGAGGTGGTTTTGGGCATTGTAATTGGCTTCGTTTGCCATATTGGCGGTGTGTAAGAATGCTATGGTAGAAGAATAGATATGTGTATGAAGCAGGAAGGGATGATTGCTACCACAACAGAGGATACCTGCATATATACCTTCCACAATGTGGCTTCGAACGCACGGCTGCACTACTTCCAAAGACCCCGTCTCGGATAGCACAACCACCACTGAACCAGAGAAGATCAGAGCAGGGAGGAGCCATACCCCGCTGGACAAGTCACGAACGGCTCATGATCTCCTGACTTTGTGCACAAGTACAGATTTGGACTGATCGACCAGGCGGACGCCGCTGAAAGCTACCCCAGACGCCTTCATTCGGTTGAGCGGTTGGCTTGATCGTTCGAAAACTCATGCCTGGCAACCAGAGACACGTTCTTACCCTGCAGAGCTCGGACGGATGGCCATGCGAGATGGCTGACACGGCAACCAACATGTACAGTACTGATCAATGTTTCCAGTACTCAACAGATCAGATGTGTGTGTGATACAGACAACCAAGCCAATGGTAATTCGTAGCACCCCAGGATCAATCCGGGCATGCGGATATTCAAGTAGCCATAAGAATGTATAAGGTTAGCGCGGCGAGAGGAGAGCTTCCCCGCAAATCAGTCCGGGGCATCTGGGGAGTCGATCTGGGGCGGGTCTTCGACTCGCGTGGCGACGTCAACTGGGATCGATCAGTAGTTAGGCACTGTTATGAGCTGCTCGCTGTAGGCAGGACGTGTCGTATGATTCACCCTTTAATCTGCCCGTGTCTTGTACACCAGATTAATCCCAGGTCTCATCTTACCTGTTCCTCTAGTCACAGAGCTACTGGCGAGCTTTGAGCAACCTGTCTCTTTCGGCATCATGGACTCGTGGGACCAGACCAGAGCTGTTTTGTACCAAGATCATCGATACTTGAGGTGGTACAATCCCAAGAGGCTTTCGGCCATAGGCAAGGCACCGTCGTGCGATTGGACGTGTTCTTGGTAAACGACCCCGCGCGGATGACGGAGGGGAAAACGACCGCATACCAAGACTCCAAGGCCATCGGGCATGCGGCTGGCTGGTGATGATCTCTTCAAGGAGCTGGCGAGAGAGTTTTGGTCTTTTGTTGCCGACGGTCACGAGACGCGTAGAAGAAATCCTCTTTAGCACAGAAGAGGGTGTGAAGTCGCAAAGCAGCAACTCTTGAGGAGAGAGCGGAAATTTGCAGGTGACATCATCCACAATGTGTCTAGATAAATGGCAAGTGCAAGTCCGCCCACTTAATTGCAATCTTTGTAAAGGTCGACGCGTCAAACCTCGGCTGCCAGCATCCTCGTACCACCTGGATCGACTGGCTTTTTCGTTGATCGATTATGACCGTCTTGTGTCGCGGCTTGCAGGCTCTGGTCCAGCCAATGGAAGCATCAGTACTATTTCACAAAGTCAAGCTTACATCGACGACGAGAACAAGGGCATTCAGCGTAGAAGCTCAACCTAGGAGAAAAAATTGCGAAGTAAACCAAGAAAAATTGTACTCAAGTACAGAGGTCATTATGATACATGCGTTACAACGTAAAAGGCCACCAACTCGTCATTCACCGAGAATTGAAACCAAAACTTCTAACGCCCATTTATCGTTCATCTATCCCAGGAATTGGAATAAAAGCAATTCATTCAAATCATTTGTGGAAGAGTCTTTTGACTCCCACGGTCGCGTTTCCAGCTTTGTCGCTGATCCAAGTACCACTCCCGTTCAGGAAGCTGAAGGATGGGATCTTGCTGCGCCAGCCGTATCGTCTTCTTGAGGCAGTCTTACTACCTGAAGAACTGCGATCACTGAACTTCAGCTTGCCCTCCATGATCGAATGAACAGCATTGATGAGCAGGAAAGTTGAAGAGCCGATAGCACGGAACAAGGCCAGAACAGCAACAGCCCACAGGATGAACTTGAGATAGACGTTGTTGGCAATGCCGGTCTCACCATATGCTCCACTGACGGCCATGGCAAGGATGGCGTTGGTTGACATCCAGATTGTCACCATGTAAGTTCTGACTCCACGGTAGTAATCCTCTTGCTGCTGTGCTGCGCTAGGTGGTGGCTCAACGACCTCGACGCGATCACGAAGGTTGCGAAGAGCGGTATCGTAGCCACTGTCGATATCAAGCTGCTCGCTCGGCATCTCAAGTTCAACAGTGCCACCTTTTGAGGCCTTAGCAGCTCCCAAGTCCGTACTGACAGTGTTGTCTCCTTTTGTGCCCCAAGAGATATCATGTGCGTTACAGAAAGCGAAAATCTGGAGTGTACAGATATAGCTGGGCAGCATGCCAAAGTACTGAGCGGAACTAGTGAACATATGCCAAGGATCCAGGTAAAGGAAAGACATCAAGAAATAGAGTCCAATCGTGCTGAGAGTGCTGACAATAAAGTTGGTGAATAGGTTGTTGCCNAGGTGCATCTTGCCTCCCCCAAACTCCTTCACTACAATCCAGATGGAAGCAAATGTGGTGTAGGCCATGACTATGCCGTAGATAACCATAGAGCCGAAGAACATCTTCTTTGAGCCTTGTGGTCGATTTCCCATGCTCAATATGAAGTTCATAGCAATTGTCAAGATGCAAGCATATCGCAGAATGGTAAAGATGTACTTGCAGAGATTGACTTTTCCTCCAGTGGGGTCAATCTTCGGATCCGAAAGGGAACCAGCAACGAAGTAGAACGTCAGATAGAAGTTGCCAAGCGAGAACCAGGTAAATGTGAGCTGGATGAACTGATATATGAATTCGACATGCAGGAGTGCTTTGCGAATTGGAGAATGCGACGTAGTCCAGATCTGTTTAAAATGCAGAAGAGAGTAAACTGCAGCGAAGAATGCACCATTCAGCCATCTGCGACGCTGAGAGATGAACTCTGGAACGGCATCTGGNACGAGTCAGCAGAATTCGAAAGTTTGGTTCTTGGATGCTTGCTTACCGGGTACGTCAGTTTCACCAGTGGCTTGTCTGACATACTTCAACACCCATGATTCGTTACGTTTGGCGACCAGCTCCCAACAGAGGATACGATCTTCTGCAAGATACATGTTGGCGGTGAATACATCTGCATCTTGACCATGTAGCGTCTCGCCCTTGAAGTACTGGCTGAGAGGCCCGTGTCCGGTCTCATCGTTCTGCAGAGCATGGAATCGGTAGGCACTCAAAGCGCCAGGCAAGACAGTAATGTAACCAAAGACAGATTCGAGTGGCTTGTCCAGAATGTTAGACATCTTGTACTCGAAGTTCTGAGACGCCACGAGTGGATTGAATAGCCCGAGCCAATTCTTTCCCTTGCCAGCCTTGATCTCTCCGGCGGCACCTGCAACGTTCGAATCGTTATCAAATGCCTTCCAAAGGTGATACAAAGAAGTGTCTCCAGGTCTTGTACCGACATCCAGCAAAATGCAGACATTGGGCTTCAAGGCTTGGCCGAACGCATTGAAAAACCAGCGATGACTGTTGAGCTTCTTTGCATTCTTCTCTTTCATACAGAAGATCATTTGGCAAGGCACAATGCCCTTNTCGGCGCCCTTGAATTTGAGATCGGGATCGAGAGATACTTGTGTGGTATACTCATAAACGTGGCCAGTAACTTCACGTTGGTTCACAGAGTTCTTTGCAATGCCATCTTGGTACACTCCCATGGCAGCAAGAGCATCCAGAGTTCGAGGATGAACCTTCTTGCGTCCATCAGCAATGATGCAGATGACGATTTTCTTCCAACCGTCCTTTCCCCATGTTCTGGACTTTTGTCTGCTGCAAAAGTGGGCGACATTGCGCATGACACCGTGCATGGTGCGGGTAAAGTCGAGTTCGTTTTCGTTGTACATGGTGATACAGATAAGCAGCTCGGTCTCGCGGGTTGTGTTTCCAATCTGCTGACGGAGCTTGTAACCACGCTCGACAAACTCGTTGGGATCGCATGTGACAGCCGTGTATCGCATATGCGTAAATTCAATGTCATCGCGACGGGGCAAGAAAGAGTACAGAATGGTGGGAATTTTGCACTCTAAAATCAGTTCTCCGTTGATAAGTTTGACCTCTTTCTTGGACATGACAGCCGGTCTTGCGCCACGGCGCTCTTGCTTTCCATCTGGAGCAGGCTCATAGTTGCCTTTCTCATTGTAATCGTCGTCGTCGTCATTGTAGCTCGAATCGGACACAAATGAGTCGGTCTTGAGTAGGTCCGGTCGGTCGTCGTCGGCGAACGGATCATCATCGCCGTCAATGGGAATGGCTGTCATGTCTGAAAGGTCCTTGTCGCCGTCAGATGAATTGGGGCGCACACCAGCAAACAGCGGGGCTGGTGGGAGAGGTCGTTTGGAGCTGCCACCATATTTACTAGAAGGTGAGCCTGGTCGCGGGCTGCCATTGATGTCGGCAGGCTCGTAGGGAGCATTGTACGTCGGTGGAACGGTATAATCGAGGGAAGTACGGGTGGGAGACCACGAGTGCGAGGGGNNGGAGTGGGAAGTACGGGACGAAGGTCGGTCGTAGTAGAAGGGCGGCGCGTCTGAGGGTGGCGGAAGGTTGGGGGCTCCGTCGACGATGGAGACGGCTCGAGAGGGCGGGCGCGAAGGGTGGTATGGTATGAAGGTAGCGGGCATGGGTGGGATCTCCTCGGCGGCTTCTCTAGACGATTTTGTTAAGTGGTGGTTCTTGTCTTTTTGCTTGTCGACAGCGACGTCTGAGCCTCTTCAAGGAGGTCTTCAATGGCATTGCGCTCTTTGGGGTGCTTTCTAGGCACACTGAACCTCGAGCGGGTGTTGTGATCTGGCTTGTCGTCGACTGGGACCGACTTCTGGGGCTGAGAAGATTGCTGGACATACTCTTCGAAGGGACTTTCATCAATGTGCGTAAGCAGCCTCATGGTCGACGCATTGTGCGAGCCAGAGGCACCCTCGTTGTCGCCGTAAACAGACGAATCGCCATAGCGAGAGCCCATGTTGGCGGCGGGTATAATGAGTGACGGCGCAACAAGCGAGGAATGTAAAGCTGTATCTGCTTCCAATCACGCCATGTGCACACTGGAGAAAGACGCTTGTGAGTTTAGTGGGTCAACAGATCAAAACGGCGTTCAAACAGAGCTCAGATAATGACGAGGCGAAAAATGGTGGATTAAGATTAACACTTGGTTAGGCGCACCGTCTTTCTTGATGGTGGTGGGTGCCTGGAGAGATGGACCATGTTGTTTGTTGCACGCGGAGAAGTCGAGTTGGCGTGGAAACAGTCGCTCGGAACTTGCGACGCCGATCCCTCCGGGCAAACAATCAATTGTCCAACATTTTATTTATTGTCCAACATTTTATTTTCCCTTGCCTTCGGCCTTTGCATAATCAGGCCCGAACTCATTGTACCATCTNGGGAATGGTTAGTATCGCCTCCTAAGGTCTCCAAGGCACCAGATCTGAACTCACCTGTCTACCACTGTTTGGCTCATGCCAGCTCCGATGCAATCGCGGTCTTCTTGCCATCCCTTCTTGACCTCGTCCATAAACTCTTCCACAGACAGGGCACTGGCATTCTTGTGTTTCTTGTTGTCGTCCGGATCCTCTCTTTCTCTGTGCAAGTCGGTACCCACAGATGGCGGTGCAATTTCAATCACCTTGATGGACGACCCGGCTTGCTCCAGCTGAGATCTCAGATTCATCGTGTTGAAGTGCATGAAAGCCTTGGTGCCGTTGTATACTGGGTTGATGATACTGAAGGGGATGAAGCCGAGGACGGACGAGACGTTCATGATAACGGCCGACTTCTTGGACTTGAAGTGAGGCAGGAAGCCAACTGCCAGATGCATGGGTCCGCGAACGTTGATGTTGATTTCGTTGTCTCCTTTCTCGAGGAACTCTTCGACTGACATATCGTTCACGTTAAGAGGTCTCTGAACGCCGGCATTGTTGACGAGGCAGTCCAGCTCTGGGTGCTCCTTTGTGATCTTCTGAATGAAACTTGGGATGGCCTTGATATCTCCAGTGTCCAAGACATAATAGTCGGCGCCGATCTCCTTGCTCGTAGACTGTAGCTTGGACTCGGTACGGCCTACAATGATGACCTTCTTTCCTTGAGAGATGAAGTATTCAGCAATGGCTCTTCCAATACCTCCAGCACCACCGGTAATGAGGGCTGTAGTGAATTGCATCGATTTGGGCGACATGTTTCTCTGAAATCTGGATTATCTGAATATGAGTTGTTGAGTGTGTGCAGTTATAAAATTGTTCGTCCTCAAAAGAATGATAGTCACTCAAGAGTAATCATGACGTATCTTCACACTTGACTCCGACACTTCCGAGCTGCACCGAGCTCCTCCGAGTTATCCCACCGCGACCTGCACCTGCATACCATCAGCACTACCATTCATATTTCTTCAAATCCATCTCCATCGCTATCAATATGAGCCGCCGCGACGCGCCTATTTGCGATTGCGTTGGTTACCACGCTCTGCGCCAACATCTCACGCAACCAGATCTGAATGCTCGCACTCGTGCAATTGAGCAAACTCGCAACATGCTACTCAATCCATCAATGTTCCGCATCTAGGAGATGTTATGCCGACCTACAACGCTTCCACCAATCGCAAATGAGCTACAAGCCGGCGATCGGATATTGACCAAGATCATTGCTATGATGACCTGTAGTCCTGCACTTTGCAACTCTGACAGTCTGTCCCAGTCGATGCCTGGATCCTTCTTTCTACCAGCCCATCCATGCAGGAAGATATCTCTGAATCTATTCGTGACCGCCTCTCGCACCTAACACTGCACGATCTGCTGGTCTGTGTCGTACGGGCGCCTAAACCGGATTGGCTACCAGACAACAACAAGATCGAATACCTTGCTTATGTCAAGCTGGCCTCACACGAATTCAAATTACTGATTGCGGGTGAACCTGCTGACGACAGATCCTCGGCATTGGACATGCTTTTATGGAGCATCAAAGCGAGAATCGCCCTCAAGTTCTACGTACCGGAAAGATTCACAACCAGCTTGTTTTGGTATGCCACCAGTATTTCCTATAGTTCGCCGATGACCCGATAGAGCTGGGTCATTCCTGCGCTGCGTCGAGCTGTTGGGCATGATGTGGCAACTCCTGCGTTTCAGCTCCTTTGGCGCGCCGGGTTTCCTTTCCAGAGAGATGTGCTCAGAGTATGCGTAAAATCTCGAACATGCCCTGAGTGCTGTTATTGCACCCGTTGCAGAAGGTCAAGCCTTCGTTCATCGAACCATTGAACGCTCGTTCTATCTACTCGAGATAGTATCACTCATTCAGTTTGCTTTCCATCTACTACTAGTCTCGTAAGAGTGCCGTATAAGTTCACCACCCAGGATGCTCAAGTCAGCTACTCTTGAACCCTCGAAGGCTGTATATCTTATCCTTTTCCGAGTGCTCAAAACTGCCACATTGTAGCTATGGAAACTGACGATACTTTTTCCAACGAAGCACCGCGCACAAAAGACATCATCTCAGGATGTTTCTGCGGTCGCGCTTCGAGATTGCAAGACAGCTGTGTGTTTTGACAGATGTGTTCCCCCATGGAAGATATCTTAGTTTGTATCGTGATGCCTCCGGCGATGGAGGTCATACATAGCGCGAGGCACAGTGGTGCATGCAAAAACCGCATGGGGAAAGCGCGGGCCGTCGTTGATCACCAGAAAAAGTAACGACGATCTCACGCACATCAGATCTACATTCACCAAACGTCATGGCAGATCGACCTTGTCAGTCAGAGCGATGGTTGACTTATCAAGTACAAGTGTAGCCAACAAGCAAAAGCGAGTCTTTCTGTTTTCCATCGAGAAAAGCTTTATCACAGCTATGAGTAACCAGGCTTTGCAGTCTCGAAGCTCCTATGAGCATGCAAAGACTAAGATCTTATCGCTAGGACCAAACGACAATCCCAGGAATTGGCCAACATGGAAGAAATGGCTCGTCGTCATTTCGATAATTCTTGTTGACTTGACAGTATCATGGGGAGCCTCAGGATTCAGTCCGGCATCCACCAAGTTCGCAAAAGACTTTGGGGTCTCTGACGAGATCGGTACCCTAGGCTTGAGCATCTAGTAAGTAAACCGAAGGTACAGATACTGCGACTAGTACTGGTATTGTCTCAGCCTGCACAAGCAGTCTCTGGAATATGTGTTTCAACGAAACGCCATCCGGGACGGCATCTTGTAGAGCTGAGTGCATTTGGTCAGCTAAGTTGTGGTATTCTCACAATCGACGTTTGAGATCTTGCTAATTGGACCTTCGCTTTAAGTGTTGCAGGGCTTGCTTTGGGGCCTATGTCGCTCGCACCGCTGTCAGAGGTCTGGAGTATCATGTCTATGTCGCTTTGTTCGACACGACTAACGCTAAACAGTNACTTTGGACGGACGCCACTATACATCATTCCATATGGATGCTTCCTTCTTTTCTTGCTTGGTTCAGCTCTTGTGCAGAACCTGGGTGGTTTCCTTGTCCTCCGGTTCTTGTCAGGTCTTTTCTCGTCAGTCACCATTGCGAATTTCGGAGGTACCATTGCGGATTTGTGGGATGTCAGACACACTGGAATCGCCATGTCTCTCTTCCTATGGGCGGCAACATGTGGATCACCATCCGGCTATTTTCTGATGTCCTGGGTGGCACAATATCGTGGCTGGCGAGATGTCTTCTGGGCCTTGCTAGGCATTTGTGGAGGTGCCTGGCTCATCATGACTGTCATACTGCTCTCGTGTGGTGAGACAAGACACAGTGTTCTCCTCCTTCGCTACGCCAAAACTGAGAACAAGAGGACTGGCCGCGACGACTTCGATATTCCAGAAGAGTCAAAGCGTCGAGGTATTCGTCAATTGTTCAAGATCTCCTTGACTAGACCTTTCCGATTCTTGTTTTCTGAAGCTATCGTTATCTTCGCAGCTTTGTACAATGGCTACCTCCATGGGCTGAGCTTCTTGTTCAACGGGGCATTCGGTCTAATCTTCGGTAGCAAGGGATTTGACACCCACCAAGTTGGACTCGCATTCCTCGGTATCGTTGTCGGCATCTCTCTTGGACCATTGACCAACCTCTGGCAAGAGAACTACTACCAGAAAAGAACCGGCCGTGCTGGTGGAAAAAACATCCCAGAAGCGCGAGTTCAGATGGGTCAGATTGCAGCAATCACCTTCCCTATCAGCTTGTTCATTTTCGCATTTACTTCATACGCATATGTGAGCTGGGTCGGGCCTGTGATTGCTAGTGGATTATGGGGATGGAGCTTTTACGTTCTCATTCTGATGACTTACACATACGTTGAAGACAGCTATGGCGAGTACAGTGCCTCTGCTCTCGCAGCAATTGGTCTGGTCAGGAATGCGGCAGGCGCAGNNGGTTTCCCCCTCTTTGGACGACAGTACGTATCGTCCCGACAACTTTTATCATTCGTACTAATATCGCCTTAGGNNATGTTCGTGAATGAAGGCTACCAGTACGCAGGCCTGATTTTGGCCTGTCTATCGCTTGTATTGATGCCCATTCCATTCGTCTTGGCCAGATATGGCCTGAGATTGCGGCAGGAGAGCCCCTGGGCTAGGGAGATGATGGCACATGGAGAACCAGAACCAAAGCCGTCCGATGAGGAGGTGATTCAGAATGAGGAGGTCATCGGTCATTGAGGCGAGTACCATTGCACAGCTCAGCCTGCAGTCAGGTCTATGGATGACAAATGTCTGCAGCAAAAAGAAGTGGTCGATAGTTGCGTCAGTTGTGTGCTAGTTTCTGATTAATGATAGCCTCGGATTGTCCTTTTCTTTGGGAAAAGTTGTTACAAAAGCAGATTGGAAGCATATGCGAACTTGTTCCTTTGGATATATACAATACACCGGCTCGACTTAAGCGATCGCTTTGTGGAGAGGCTGTGAAGAACAAGAATGCAGAAACATTGGGCACCAACGTTCATCGACCTGATTGAATCTGTGCCACTCAAACATCGCCCAAGCCAAGAGTGCCAACATCATTACAAGCCCCAGAATGATGGTTTCCTTCTTCCTGCCAGCCATGCCACCTCTTCTTTCCCTCGGCACCACAAAGTTGGCTTCTATGACAGTCTTTACAAGATCGGTCGCAGGCTTCTCCACAAAGTCCATAACCACAACTCCGAATCTTTGAGGTTCGTCCACATCATCTAGTCTCTGCTTGAGGAAGTTGCACAGTCGCAAATTTATCCCCTCTACCCATCTGAACACCGAGTACCCGCCTATGGCAATGTCTTTGGGCGGAATTTGATAGTAGATGTTGAACTCGAATGCCGAGCTGAAATTGATGTACCAATGCCAGGGCTCTGCATCGCGGGATGCACGCATGAGCATGGATGCTACATCACCGCCTTTCTTGGCTACTAGAGAAGATAGGTTCTCGGGTGTGGAGAAGGAGTAGTGGTCTTGAATCGTAAGGTGAACGCCCACGCGTGTGCGGACCGTAAAAGGTAAAGGTGGGTTATCTGGCCACCTGGTTACATCGATGCCCGTAGTGTATTGTTGGTGTTGGAAAGTGGAGAAGCGGCGGAGCAATTGAATGCGTCCACGTAGTTCGCCTAAAGTAGGTGTTGTGGTTTCTAAGCGCCAGTGCTTGGCGTGTTCGTGCATGAGATCCAGGACTAGTTGAGAGAAAGGTCGTGTTGATGCTTCGTCTTTGCGATCTTGCTTTAATTGTATGATGATGGCTTCTTTGGGGTGTTTCTTGAGGAAGGCATACATTGAGGCAAGGAGATCAGACAACTTGAGGCCAAGGACTGCTCTGCCATGTACCATCTGAACCTCATCTTTGATGATGCCACATCTCAGGTCAAAGTATCGAACACCAGCATCGAGTTGTTGCGCAGCGGTTAGTGTCTGAGTCGCGACGAAAGGCCAGGTGCTCATGAATGCAGCACTATCATGTGTTCCAGGAATTGAGAGCGCTGAAATTGGAATGTCGTCTGGCAGAAAGCACATCCAGTCGGCTAGATGTGGAAGTGCTCCAGCTTTTCGAGTCGGTGGTGTGTGATAGAGTTCGCCTTTCCCGGCGATACTGCCATAGTTTGTTGAGTTATCCATGGTTACGGACTGAGTGATTGCTGAGTAATGAGAGCACTCTCGAGGTTAACTCGTGTTCAAGGATGTGATGTGGCGATTATCGTGATCTCAAAAGTGCATACAGAGTCAACCGCAGTCAACAACGTATAGTACAAGTCTGTTCAGTTGCATGTGCGAAAGATCTGATGTCTTGCTTTCGGGGTATCTGGGTGATGTTGTCGTTATCTCGCGCATGATTCAGTGACACATGGCTGATCGTGTTGTAGCGTGCAATCGACAAGAATTCCCGGTAGTTTGTATGGAGAAACAAGCCCTGTCCTGATACTATGTTCGATCTCTCCAGTTGTATGAATGCTAAAGGAACACCTTGGAGTGGTGGTTGTACTTGCCGAGGTGATCATGACATATTGGCATACAGCCGATATCTCCGCGTGGCGGTGTAAAGCTCTTATGAAATGATTGTGCAAGCTTAGGTATGCATGCACAGAGTATTTGGCGTCGTCCAACATCTTGTCCGACGTCTTCTCGTCCTTCGACATGACGAGTACGATAATGCTGTCGAAGCTGTTACATATAGCACAGCAGTACAATCTCGATGGAGTACGAAAGCTCGACACATGTACCGAAGCAATCTGCTGGACTCGTACGATGTAGCGAATCCGCTCATAAGCGTCTGACGGGCCGGCTCACAGAATAATGAGCTATTGCTGGACGTGAGAGATGTACAAGGGTTTCCATGGGATATGGACACGACAGAACTGATATGTTTCGCTCGCGATAGCTCCTGAAAATGCTTCTCCACCTGCTTTTGAGTTTCCAGCAGTGGCATGAGAGAGTTAACCTTCTACTGACCTCAGCTCTTTCCCTCCGGGTTCTCTTCCTTCTTTCCATTGGAAACAATTCGCCAATGCTTGGAATATGCCGTCGTACCCATCAAGTCTTGCCTGCGAGGCACGATCACGATTTTATCGAATCAAGACAGCGCCACAATACAGGTTGTCCTTCACCGATGTTTACATGGTTATGGACATGCACCGACTGGGAGTTTCCTGCGACTCAATGCTTCAGGGCCTTTCATTGGAGACAGACTGGACCGCCGGCCCTCCACAGTATGGACTGTCAGCTGTGAACATTCCACAAATCACAAAATGCAGAGTCAAACTACGGATCACGAACGGCAGCCTGATGATACAGACGAAGCAGCACATGTTCATAAGTCGGACAACATATGGCTCGCCGGAAACCCGTGGCAGACGACTTACAATCGGCGAAACTGTTGGGAGCACAATGCTAGTCTGTCAGGATCGAGGCAGGTCTAGCTATATCGAGCGAATCGTGGATAAGGCTGTGGCCAAGCTGGCGAAAGGACATCACCAGCAATCTGCGGGCTACGGACTTGACGGCACAGTGAAATGTTCTTGCTGCCTTTGCGAATTCAAACTGGCAATATACAACCATCCCGACCAAGGCTTCGAGGTTGTGCTCACGACGTGGGTCAATTTGGGTTCGTGCGGTTGGTAAAACTCACTATGCTGGTACCTAGCGACCTCGGAAACCCTTGACAGTACCGTCTTTAATGCAAAGCTTCTTGACATATACATGGAACAGCAGGGTTATCCTAGTGAGCATGAAGCTTTAGTATCGGTATTCTCCCAAGAAGTCAAGGTCGCTATAAACAGATGTATCGCCCTTCTGTCCCATCCAAAGGAGTTGTTAGGATGGGCGTACATATCATTGATCTTCTCGGCGCTGGCATACTGTTCCACCATCGGAGCATTCAAAATAATGATCTCAATCTTGGCAAGTTCAATTTGTTTGAGCTGGGGCGCTCGGAGAAAAATGCAGCTTCCCAGAATTTTTCATCTGAGCATGAGTATTCTTCGCAACTCTAAAGACGATGGCCTTGTCTTTTCATGCACAACAAATCCATGCCAAAGCATATCGTCGAACCTGCCTTTGCCCACCCGACCCAGGGACACGCTAAAAACTATGCGTCCCGAGCCACGGTTGAGTTTCTAACTCGAGAACATGATGAACACATTCCAATCAGCGGTTGTCGAGATGATCCTCCAGCTTATGAAACGTTGCACCTTTTCGATTCAGCAACGGGTTAGAAACCACTCGTGTCTACCAAGTCGCTGAAGTCTTAATCAAATGGAGCAAAAAACCAGACTAGTTGTAACAGCTAGCCTGGGAAAACCCCTCCTGCTTGCAAAGTATTCTACCTTTGCAAGAGAGAAAGAACGTAAATGTTCCGCTACATCCAAGGATCGAACCGAGGACTTCCAGCGGTTTTATTGTAATGGTTTTACGAGTGGGTCTTACCAATTGTGCCAACTCTACCATTGTACTGAGAGAATATCGGTTTGGCTGGTATATAGGGGTCGAGTGATTGGCATGTGAGTGGTTGCTTTCTGCAAGTGAAGGTAAAACAATGGATCACTGTTTGGGAAAGCACGTCTGTAAAAGTTATCTCAGGTAGAACTTTATAATGACCGATACAACTTGCTCTTTCTTTGCAAGCTGATGTGTACGGCTTGAGCACTCACAGTGGTTCCGGATTGAGCCAGAGGTCTATCTGGAACCGATCAATTTCAAGAGCGCAACTTGCCGTTCAAAACACAGTTTCTAGAACTAAAAGCCCCTCTTGCAGATATCACAGAGCTGTAATTGAGCCATGAACATTCACAATCGGCTTTGATCCCAAGTTGAGTCCAGAGAGAGAGTTGACAGAAGTATCACGTGAAGGTGAGTTAGTTTGAGGCTCAAGAACATCTGAAGGCCTATGATTTGGATAAGTGCTGCCTAGGAAGAGATAAACGATCGAAAGTGCTCATGTAAGCTATGAGCAATCTGTGCTGTGACTGTTGGATGTGTTGAAAAACATAACTGTCTCGGACCTTTTGTTCGTTCTCAACTTCGCACACCTTTCCCTGCAAGAAGTCACATTATTGACACGAAGCGGTCAAATCTCCAGCCTAGGGCTTCCTCCATCAAACATGGCAAGTTTTGGATCCCTGCCCCTCGAGCTGAGGAACATGATCTACGACTACGCGCTGGACGACGACCACGACATCTTCGCCAATGGCTTACCATCACTGTTGAAGGTCTGTCCAGAAATCACGAGAGAGATCTACTCCTATCGAGACATCGTGACAACGGTTGTCATCACCGATGAGACCNCCCAGGCATATGAAGAGTCAGCAAAACCCATGTTGTCTAGATTCATCGACACAACCATAAGATTCGGCCAGAAAAGGGACACCAGAGAGCTCGTGGTCAAGTTCAAGCCCCAGGCACGTTCGATCACAGCGGAGTCTGGTACTCACAGGGAAGCAGTTCGAGTTCGCGCCCTTATGAATAATTTTAGGGTCGAGAACAGAGCGAATTTCTACTGGATGAGACTTAATCTAGCCTGTGCATCTGGAAAGGTGTCTCATGAGGAGATGAAGCTATCGATTGGTGAGAAGATGAAACCATTTATTGAAAATGGATCTGAGATAGCATCACAGTCTGGGAGTGGAGTCAAGCAACCTTGAAGATGGAAGGGTCAGATGATGTAAAATATAGTGTTATTGCTATAGGGTTAAAGTGGAAAAGTTGTGGGGGGGGGGGGGGGGGGCATCAAGTTGTAAAGGTCAATCTCAAACGCCGATGATATGCAAGAGAGACTTGTGGAAAAAGGAAAAGAGAACAGAGAAAAGAAGAGCACTCTAGTTTCTATCCAACCTGCGTCTCAAGTTTCTCGTGCGCTTCATCAGCTTCTTGTACTTGTGCTTCTTCATCTTCAACTTGCGCTGTCTCTTGACCGAGATGGCGTGCATCTCTCCCTTGCTGTTCTCTCCTTCCAAGATGGAGATGTCGCTTCTATGTTGTTCGAGCTCTTTCTCCATGTAGTTCAGCTCACGGACTCGCAAGCGATCCTTGAAGGGGGTGGTCGAGGTGGATGACGGGGCTTCCTTGATGGCAGCGGGCTCGGGAGGGGTGGCCGAGGCAGTGTAGAAGGTGACGCCGTCGGAACGCTTGTTCTCTGTGACGGTGATGGTGGTCTTGAAGTGCTTCTGGCTGATGGTAGGAGCAGGAGCGGCACGGGCTTTGCGCTGTTGTTGGTCAATGTTGACGGGAGAGGGTGGTGGAGGGGCGGTAAANGGCTTCAGCTGTGCAACCAAATCCTCGAGCGATCTTGAGCGAGGTACACCATCGAGGTGCTTGACTTCCGAGGTAGATGACGACTCTTGAATGATCTCCCAACCCAGGTCCGAGTCTCTTTGTTGGCTCTCGATGTTGTCGATGGCGTTGGAGAGGGTGAAAATGACATCGCCGTTTGTCTTTTGCTGCTTCGACTTGGGCTCAAAGATGGTGTTGAATGCTGTCATGTCGGCAGCGGGCGGAATGGCAGAGCCCAGGCTGAGAGGGCGGTGGAGACTGAAGAAAGATGAAAGGGTGATATCTNNGGAAGCAAAGTCAGGACTTCTTCTTGTCTTTTCAGCGGTTTAATACACACCCTGAGGGAGGATGTGCTCGGTCGAAGGCACACTGGGCAAGTTGGCGAAAGTCTCATCTTTNGCGGCCTTGAGGTTGCGACTGGCCGAGTTTGACTTGTGATTGTTGTTTGAGCGCGACTTTGCCGGGCGCGAGGAGGGTAGGTCAGGCTTGGTTGCGGCAGCAGGTTGGCGAGAGCGGTTCGAGTCACCGTTCGGCGGGCATGAAGCCTTGCTTGACGAGAGTCGGCGTTGGCGCGAAAGAAGAGTCGGGCAGGCGGCTGACGATACGCGGTTGGCGACTGCGCAAGTTGATGTAGAGATGCTGGCTGACTGGGAGCCGACACGAGCGGCGCGACCCAGCTGCGACGAGAACATGGTTGCACGTTTGTGAATAACCGGTATACGGCAGCAGCGAGCTCGAGTGTGATAAGACCCTTCGGATGCATTCTGTCACATGAGCAAACAAAGCAAACACTGCCAAATCCGTCCATATCTTGACCGCTCCTCCTCCGACTCCGCACCTCATGAACACCTGACGTGCTTCTGTATCAGCCGCGTCTCACTTGGTTCGAGTCTTATCTGGCATCATATCGTAACATTGCATTAATCATCAATAGTCATATCTCTACACAGCCTTCTCAGTGTGCGACGCTACTGCTTTCTCGTCTCCGTCATGAAATGAATCATCAAAGCTCTCCATCGACACCTTTGCTGATCCACACTTGTACCAAGGTCTGTGGAACAGCTCATCCATGCGCTCCATCGGAATACCCTTGGTTTCAGGCGCCCATAAGCCAAGAATAACAAGTCCGCTAGCGCAGATGCAAGCCCAGAATGTGTATGCCCCNCACTTGTCAAGAGATGTCAACATGAGTGGGGTGACACGCACCACTGCGAATTGGAAGAACCAATGTGCCGCCATTACTACCGCATAACATAGCGAACGAACTCTTGTGGGGAACAACTCAGTGCCGTAGATGTACGGAATCGTGCAGAGCCCGACCGACCACCCGATGGCGTAGATGAACACACTTGCTACTGCTGCATTAGACGCCGACTGGTTGTTGTCTGGGATGGCTCCAAAGTAGATGGCCATGTAAATGTGCGTGGCACATTGCAGAGACAAGCCTGTCATGAAGCATCGTCTACGACCAAGCAGATCGATAAGACCCCATGCGAAGATCATGGTGAACAATAACTTGACGAGACCATAAGCTCCTGATGTGATCAGCGACGTGTTCGATCCTGAGATTCCTGCGTATTGGAAGATATCCGAAATGTAGTAGGTGATTCCATTACCGCCAGTCCACTGCGCGATCGTCTGCATTGCCAAAGCAAGCAGAAAGCGGCTGCGAAGTGTTGGACTGCTGGAAACTTCAAAGGCAATAGACTTCAGAGAAGCGTTCTTTAATTCCGCAATTGTGGCGCTATCCATCTCGATACCAGCGTGCTCTGCCAGTAGCTCTGGGTTGTTGACATCCATGCCTCTCAGACGTGCGAGAGCTGCTACAGATTCTTCGTGTCTTCCCTTCGAGGCGAGCCAACGCGGGCTGTCAGGCATGAAGAATGAGCCAATGAAGGCAAGACCGACCGGAATCAGAGGAATTGATTGAACGACACGGTACTGCATTCTGGTAGCGGCCAAGTGAATGTTGGCACCGTAGTTGACGAAGAAGCCTATCAATCGGAGTCAGTCGTGCATTCTTTGCAAGAGCTTTGACAACATACCGAGGGAAAGGAACGACAACAGCATAACCATGTAGATACTGACGGTCATGCCTCGCGTTTTTGCTGGTGCAATCTCAGACAGGAAGAGTGGTGAGACGACAGTCAAGGCACCGGCTCCCAATCCACTGAATATCCTTGAGAATAGAAGGAAGCCAAAGATACCAGAGGAAAACACTTGCATGAGCAACCCGGCTGCCCATACTAGGATCGAACATCGGAAAGACCACAGTCTTCCGAGCTTGTCGTTGCCGAAGAAGGCGATCAAGGCTCCAAAAGCAGCACCAAGCACTCCGAACGATGTGATGTTTGCAGTTCGGTTGGCAAGGCCAGTCGGATCATGCTTCCAGTGCGCCTTGACGAGATTGTAATCCTGCTTGAAGGAAGGCAGGGTGACGCTAGCGCTGAAGCCTCCCTCATCGTAACCTTCAAGTTGTGTCAATTACAGTCGTTGCAGACGTTCTGACTATTGAATTACCTTTGGGNNTATGCCGCCAGCAGCGAGCACCAGAATGGCGAAGACGTAGAATGGCTGTATTTTCGTAGTCATGACTTAGCCCTCTCAGCCGTGCTTTACTAGTCCAAGCCCAAGGTCTGGGGAACTATGGGGAAGTCTTATATAACTCAAGAGGTCAACTCGTGCCTCCATGGAGTCTACCAACTCCGTCAAAGCCAATTATGTGGTTCATGGGGTCTTGTGCCGTGGAGGTTCTTGGTGGCGTACAAAGCACGATCCACCCCTCGGTCAACTTCCGTGAGGGGGAATCCTCTTCGGACGTTGCCCGAAGCTCAACCTCCCTCGTTCCTTCCAAGACAATTCTCATACCTCATCCTGGCATGCCTTGACTTGCGTCTTGCGCCAGTGTTGCCTTTGTAAGATCCACGCCTGATGGCTTCTCCACATATCTGCCTAAGCCGCTCTTATGCCTTTCTTATAAGAAATGAATGCCGTTACTTCCGGAGGATGAGTATTATTTCTGTACATTGTCCCCCACTAAGTCCGCTACGATCGTAAACTCATTTGTCTCAACGGACTACTCTCATTCTAGCAACATGTTTATGCCTCTTCTCCGCTTTGCTCAGGCCTATCTAGCACCGCAACCAAAAGTCGCTTCCACCATTCAAATCGACGTTGAGCCTGCCAAAGAACATGCACGAAGTCAATCGAGGCCGACGCTCACAATCGCCCAGCGTATGCCAACCGAATCCTGGGATTCGCACATGCATGTCACGGATCCAAACTACCCATTAGCAGTAGGGGCAGCGTACGTTCCAAAACTGCACAACTTGACCGATGTTCGAAATTTCGAAGGGACAATTGGCATTCGCAATACAGTCTTTGTCCAACCTTCGATTTATGGCGCCGACAACTCATGTCTGCTAGATGCTCTGCGATTGGTTGGCCCTTCACATGGTCGTGGTGTGGTCGGCATAAATCCTGACATGCTGAACATTGCTGAACTTCAAGAATGGCATAAGCTCGGCGTTCGTGGTGTCCGTCTCAATCTCAAATCCAACAATGCAACATACACTGAGGATTCTCTTACAACGATGCTTCAGAAGTACGCAGATGCTATCCGAGGTTTCGGGTGGGTGCTTGAACTCTATATCGGCATGGAAGCAATGCCCACTCTGGAGAAGATTGTACCAAGCCTCGGTGTCAAAATATCAATCGCTCACTTTGGCGCACCTACGCTGCCTAGTCCAGAGACTGCGAACTACCCGCTCAACCCATACGATATTCCTGGCTTCTCTTCGTTAGTGAACTTAGTCCGAGCTGGAAAGACGTGGGTCAAGCTTTCTGCGCCATATCGCTTTGACAAGGACACACAATTCCGAGGTGTCGAAAGCATTGCGCGCGAGTTGCTTAAGGTTGCTGGTGATCGATGCATCTTCGCTTCTGACTGGCCACACACGAGGTATGATGGCCTTGACATCAAGCCTTTTGTTGAAGCGGTATTGGATTGGACAGACGAGGCCAACTTGACAAAGGAGGTTTTCAGTCTCAATGCANAAGAGCTCTGGGATATTGATCAAAGGCGTGATAGCCAAGATCCCCTGAAATGTGATTGAGATGAAAAGTTGCATAGATGAGGTATAACAAAAGCATATAGAGCATTAGATCCCTACCATATATTGTAAAATCTGATACTACAAGCATCTGTCCACTACGCTTTGTGAATCAAGCCAGCACTCTCCGGAGCATCTCGTTCCCCCCTACTCATACTGGAAAACACACCAGTCCTCCTAGGTAGAGCAGAGATTGTTATCAACTTGGCTCGGACAACTTCCGTGCTATGCCATGAACGCCAATGTTTCAACAAAAAGTGGATACAACAACGCAGTCCCCCACAACCCCGTACCCGTCCCCACACTGGAGTCCGTGAAGTCGCAGCTGATGATATACCGGCTTGCTCGGTCAACTTCCGAAGAGTGGTTGGCGGTCAGATCTTACCCCAACAGTTGTAACACTGGGGGGATGAGAGGCATATATACATCAAGGTGGTTCCGGTTCACCGAAGCAACACCTCGGCCTTCTTGCAAAGAGATCCTCGGAACAATGGATAAGAAACAATCTACCTCTACTTTGACTAGTATCCTTGCTGGAGGGTTAGCAGGAGCGAGTGAGACTGTAGTTACCGTAAGCAATATCCTCCACAAAACATTTGGACAATGTTGACATTCTTTCCAACAGTACCCAGCTGAGTTTGTCAAAACCCGCCGTCAACTCGAAGTCTCTCGATTAGGTCTAAAAACACCATCGTCCCTATCAATCCTTCGCTCTACAATCTCAAATCATGGAGTCAGCAACATCTATGCAGGTTGCCAAACCCTAGCTGCCTCCAATGCAATAAAATCCGGTGTCCGTTTCTTCTCCTTCGAAACCTCAAAACGATACTTGACTCGCATATCTGGAGGCAAGAACAACACAATGGTCAATGTAGTCTCCGGTCTTAGCGCAGGAGTAACAGAAAGTATACTAGTCGTAACACCAGGAGAGAGTCTCAAAACACGAGTGATCCACGATGCTTCTTCTGGAGGTAATCTAGGCAAACAATCATTACCAAGGATTATCTCAGAAGTTGTGAGAAGAGAGGGAGTGTTGAGTTTGTGGAAGGGATTGACGCCTGTGTTGTGCAAACAAGCTACCAATTCGGCTGTGAGGTTTGCGACATTCAACGCTATCAGGGATAGATTGAGGTCTGCTTGGCCGGAGAAGATGGGAGGTACCACGGCGACATTGATGGCAGGAGCTGGAAGTGGAGTTTTGACTGTGTGAGTACATCAGCAACTCTGTACAAGTAAACAATACTGACTTAGGACAATACAGANNTATGCGAGCATGCCTTTCGACAACATCAAGACGAGGATGCAAAGTATAGGCAACAAGTACACTCGCATGACGAGTTGTGCTATTCACATGGCAAAAACGGAAGGCGTGAGGGTGTTTTGGAAAGCCACGACTCCTCGATTGGTCAGACTTACACTGTCGAGCAGTATTACCTTTATGGTGTACGACTTTGCTGTGGGCATCATGAACAACTTGACAGACAGGAACGAGTTGCGGGTTTCGAGCTCAAAGATCAAGCTTTGAGAGCCTTTTTACGACACTCAGTACTCACGATTTCATTCTCACCCAGCCTCGCTCCCCCTTGTCCCTTCCTTACTCAATGATACGACGTTGTTCTGTGAGCCTATAACAGCAGTGGTGTAGCAAGGTATGACTCAGACTCAGCAGTTGCGAAAACAGATAGAATGAAAAGCATCGAGCCTGTATTCTCCATAAAGTGTTTTGTATTTATGTCTATCAATCATATATGCAGCAACGTCGAATGTGCACCATCAAGCTTACAGGAAGTCCATATCTCTCACAACTTTGCAATCTGCGCAGCTCCTGGCATCTGTATCCCCTTTCCACTCAACCCTGTCTTGACCCGCACAGGTACAGGACTTGAAGTCCACACATCAGGATGGTTCTTCCTCGCGTCTTCCACCACAGCAACGTATGCATCTCTCAATCTCTCAACGTCTGCAAAATCAACCTCTCTGCCTGCTCTGGCATCCCAGTACAGCTCTTCGGTTTCAAACACCACTCTTCTCAACGCATCACGCTCCATGCGAAGGCGGTTTGGTAGACCTTGGCCTTTCATCAATGCCAGCATTCCTGCCACGACGGTGGCGATGGCGCCTAGCGAAGCGACAGCCACATGATGACGATCGAGATTAGGCAGCGAGCCGAGTACGACAAACACAGCCGAGATACAGAGTTGGACAATCATAAGAAAGCAGATCGCAACATCGTAAAGGCGATAGTGACGTGATGCACGACGCTCGGTCTTTAGTAGCTGGGCATAGAAGCCGTGTGCAGATTCGAGATGGCGCGGTGATGTGTTGTTTGCCGTGGGAGCAGCCATACCGAGCAGAGTATAGACATCTTGTTGAGAAAGAGGCTCGCTGTCCGCCTCTGTTTCATTGTTGTTTGGCGTTGGTTGAGGAGCGATGGGAAGAGGGCTCGGTTTCTGAGTATCATTGTCGAAGCGACGTCGAGATGCAGCTGGATGCTTTGACAGCAGAGGGTCAGTTTCGGATGCTGCTTCTTCGTCCATAGCTTTTGGGGGGACCGAGATTCTTGAGGAAAGCAATTTGATGGACGGAGAACAAGAAGTGGCGAAGAAAGGAGGAAACATACCAATATAAGAGACGAGAAGGTCTGTCGCAGCCTGTTCAAAGAGTCATTCGGTATCGGAGTCGAACGATATGGTTGTGCCTGATCAGAGTCATCGCCTCGTGATAGGCGGACACTGCCTCTCCAGGAGTGCAGGCTGGTTTGCAATTCTGTAGGCAGCTCATGCATGATGTTGTTTCTCCTTGGTCAGCTGTCAAAATAGCACCCCTGATCTCGATTCTAGGCAGCTAGTCCTCGCAAGCCTTGACTCATTCACCGACACAAGCTCAACTTAGAACCAGGCAAGAAAGTAGCTTTACACATAGTGCAGAGAAGAATGGGAAGAAGCTTTTGTAGGCGAAGTCAAAAGGTCTTACGGACCTACGCTTACATTCATGAGGCTACTTGAGGCTGACGTTCAGCTCTTCCTTCGTCTTTGTTGCTTCTTGATTAATCGGTCAGGTGTCGTGATGAGGTCGCAAGCTGTGATTGGTCATGTGCACTCGAGCAGGCGCATTTTCATGCAGCGTGTGATCATCGCTGGAGCCACAGTGCACTCCGCCGTTTCGGAAAGGCATACAAACAGATTTAGATGTATAGTAGGAGGTTGGTGTTCTTGAGTGAGTGTGTTGTAGCGGGAGGTTGGGTCCTCGGCAAGATAAGGTAGTAGATAAGGTTGTGTCGCGCTAGAGACGCGTCCCGTCACGTCACCCAGACCGAGCTCTGGCTCGTTTCTACCAACATTTATTTTCTTATCATAAGATCCTCAGGTCGAAATCAAGATGAATGGTCAAGTGACGCAGAGTGGACTCAAATTTTGACGCTCCGATCCCCACCGCCAACATGACCATGCAACCACCCCCATCTCTCGCTGGAGCATCACACACTTCAGATTTTCATGTAGTATTCGAGCTTTTAGCAGAAATAAAAAATGAGAGAACCCTACAGATGACAGACAGCGAGACCGACCAGCAGTCCAGCCACGTCTGACGCACACACCCAGCAAAGGCAAAGTCAAACCCACTTGAACACCTTCACGCCAACGCTCATGTAAACCATATAATGCAAAGCCATGTCACCCACCATAACTTGGGATCAGAAGGTCTCCGAGGACGATGAGCCAACTCTTGGATGATAAGCACGAAAAACATTCTATAGCCTTTCATTACGAGTGGGCTGTTCCGCATCACGTAGCCTGCGAGCAAGGAATGTCTCAGTCCGTCTTGCAGCTGGGTTGGAGAGCAACCTCGAGCCACTAGGCGAGGTCGAACGTGAAATAAGAGGCGTCTCTACTCTACGTAAATGTCCGATCTGGTGGCCAGCGCTAGATCCGTCGTATGTGTTGCCAAAGTAACGCATTGTTGAAGCGGCGACCTGGCGAGAGCGTTCACGAATATCCGAGTCGAATTGGGAGGGACGTTGGCGAGGTGCTTCGTCCCCGTTATCGTCTTCGTTGTCTCCATTCTCTTGACTGGCACTGCTGTGGTGACGCATCCAACGCGCATCTTCAGGCGACATGCGGCGGAGCAGCTGGATCTGAGCTCGACCCTCGGCAGTCTGCATGGCGAAATCGTACAAAAGAGCTTCGACAGCACGACGATCGTAACTATGAGACTCATTGACTGTAGAGCTAGAGTCTTCCGCCAACGCATCAGCTAGAGCGTCGGCCTGAGCATCCGTGCGGGTGAACGAAGTCGAAGCCCCATTCGAAGCGAAGCTAGAATCGGCGGAGGGTAGCGAGTCGTCGGGAGTGATGGTCGAGCCGATTACATGCCAGGCATCAACAATGGGAGAAGGACTGCGATTGCGGTCACCTAGGCCATCTTCGGGAGAGACAGGACGATGGGCGAAGCTCAGGGGATGTGGTGATGACTGTGACGTGCGCAGAAGGACGATACGAGACGAAGCGAGAGGCTCTGAAGCGTCGAGAGGAGGAGATGGAAGGCTCGAAGAAACGCCGTTGCGTGATTGTGGACGGTCTCGTTCGAGAGGTGGAGGCAGGAAGCTGTTCGGTCGCGAACGTCGTCGACCTGAGTCTGATTGTTGCTGTGACGAGCTGTCATCGTCGAGGTAGTATGCCAAATCAAAGTGACGGTCGCTGGAGAGGACACGGCGAGGAGCTTCGGGCACAGGTGGTGGTTGGCCTACGCGGTGAAAGCTAGTTGGACGAGATGCACGAAGGCGGCGAATGGGCGAGCGAGATGTGGCGGTGCTGTCGTTCTTAACTCGAGAGATGGCCGCTGGACTGCCGGTGCTGCTGCGTGTTTCCTCGGGATCGCGCCATACTCTAGTGAATCTCGTCAGCAATCTGCTTGGTAGATGGCCGCTCAAGTCTTATGATGAAGAAGCCCGCTTCTTTTGTGCCTGACAGGCAATTGTGGAGACCATTGCAACACGCAAGCTATTCTAGACGACAAGCTCAACTGAGAAAGCTCAAGTACGGAAGCGTCTCAGTAGCATGCAGATATCTAGCTTCGGCTTGCTGCAGTACAGTAACCGACAGAATGCTTGTTGTCCGAAGACGCGGATTGGGAGCTCGTAAAGAGGCACGAGCGAGCTTCAGAATGGGAAGCGCGTCTCAGCGCGTCGCTTTGATTGAAGCCTCGAGGAACATCTTCTAGCAGCACACTTACGGAAGACCCATGATGACTTGTAACTTGGTCGCAAACTTTGCGCGATTCAGAAGATATAATTTGATTCAATAAAAGATAGTGTGGCGTGTATTGCGATGGATAGGACAATATGTTTGCGAGTAAGCTCCATCTCACTCTCCGCGTTCTGCTCGAGGGGTTCGTGGCTGCGGCGCTAACTGCTTTCTCCACTTTCCTTGGCGTCACAGCTGACGTTCGCTAACTTGTTTCAAAGGTTTAAATGTTCTTGAAAGCAGACATGCCCACGGTCGCCTTACCGTTGCCATCCACCAATAGGTTGTCCTCGCAGCTCGATCCTAAACCTGCATTGCCCAAGAAAGCCGGCTCCCAGTAGTAAAGACCAGCTCCGCCCTTGACACCAGCCACGATCTTTCCAACAGCCTCGATCCATTCCTCCTGTCCAGCCGACGAGAAGGGGATATAGGTAGCATCAGAAGGGAACTTATACGCCGGCTTGCTGCACTTTGCAGGCCAGTTGGTCTCAGCAATAACCAGTTGCTTGCCATATGTAGATGCAAGTTGCTGCAGCGAGTACTTCAAGCTACCCAGGTATGCCTTCTCATTGTAGAAAGGATAGTAGCTAACACCGATCATGTCAAAGTCGGTCGACTTCAGAGGCCCCTGACCGAGAATGTTCTTGTACCACCAGAGTTGAGTACCAGAATCCCAGCCGTTGTCGAGATGGATCATGATCTTAGGCTTCCTGGAGAGCTTGGAGTCCTTGATGGCAGAGGAGGCAGAGTGGAGCAAGTCGGCAATGTTGTAGTAAGAGCTTGTGCCTCCCAAAGGCCACAACAGACCAGCTCGGATCTCGTTGCCGATCGACACGATGGCTGGGTTGATGCCTTCGGCTGCATAGCGGTTGCATACTGCCAACGTGTAGTTGTATACTGTCCATTTGAGTTGACCGATGGTGCTGTCGTCCCACTTGGCAGGAGTCGTCTGATGCGACGGATCTGCCCAGGTGTCCGAGTAATGGAAATCGAGGTACACGCTCATGCCTTGGTTGACAACACGCTTGGACAACTTGACATTATAGTCGAGGTTGTAGTTGCCGTCAGCAGGGTTGACCCAAACTCTTTGACGGACCGAGTTTGCTCCTGACTGCTTGAGAATAGCNTAACGAACTTGGATTAGCTCTAGAACCATCACAGTATGATGTAACATCGACATACATTCAAGAGGTTGAGTGACTCCGGCACTCGTCTTGAAAGTCTTTCCTTGATTCTCTAGCATTATCAGGGAGCTGATATCGGCTCCCTTGTAGGTGAGTGCGCCATAAGCGACATTTGACAAGACTGCCGCAACAGCTAGAAGAGTCGATCGCAACATGATGTATGAAGGGAGAAGACAGCGAAGGTGGAAGAGTATTGGAACAGAAGAAAAGTGCACCACCTTATGCCTTCTTACTGCACGCTAGAAGTCATGCTTCGCAACTGCGTGATGTCCTTAATATAAGAGAAGTGACGCTTGCTTGCTTGAGACAGTCGGCTAAATCATCGCCTATACAAGTATTTAGCCCTAGACCGGCGCCCTCAAAGTCTATCCCCCACTGTCAGGCGATTTTCAAGTTGAAGCATTCTTGTGGTAATCATCTTGGGTCTGCTTTGAACACCTACCCCACCGAACAACATTGACAAGCTATGGATTGGACCGAAGCTGCGGTATTTTTTCTAGAAGACATGATAGTCGAAGCAGAAAAATAGCTCAGTATAGCATTTGGTTCTGCTTATTGGTGGAAGTCCATGGGTGTGGCTCTGTCGATCCGGGGCACAACGTTTCAGGAGTCGACTTCGCTTGCAGCACCTTCCCTGCGTCTCATATAAACAACCCATTGTAAGAGACTGACCTATATCGAGAGTTTTCGGTGCGTTCAATCTCTTGGTTGAGTAGCGCTAAGAACACACAGCAATAACGACAGGCAGGTAAGTTCTATGGTTCAAGACTTGTTCATCAATTCATTCGAAAAAGTGGTATATGTACAACAAAAAAACAGACAATTCTCATCCTCTCATCTCAAAGGCGATGGCATTTACTCGATCTTGATGCCGACCTTGCCGAAGTGCTTCTGGTCCCACTGGAATTGGTAGGCTTCCTTAAGCTGCTCGAGAGTGAAGACCTTCTCGTCGATAACAGGCTTGATGTTGTTGGCCTCGATAGCGGCGTTCATCTCCTCGAACTGCTGTCTGCTGCCGACGTAGATACCACGGACGGTGCAGATGTTGACAAGAGCATCAAGAAGAGAGGGTTGCTTCTCGTTGGTACCACCGATGAAGCCAATGATGGAGATGACACCCTCGAGGCAGACAGCCTTGAGAGACTGCTCAAGAGTGTTGGGGCCACCGACTTCGATGATGTGGTTAACACCGACACCACCAGTGATCTTCTTTGCGGTCTCGCCCCAGTTGGGGTCCTCCTTGTAATTGATAACGTGGTCGGCACCAAGAGCCTTGAGCTTGTCGCCCTTCTCCTTGGAAGAAGTGGTGGCGATGACACGAGCACCGGCAGCCTTAGCGAACTGGACGGCAAAGATGGAGACACCACCAGTACCCTGGGTGAGGACCCAGTTACCGGGGGTCAGTCTCTTGCCCTCAAGACCGTAGAGACCGTTCCAGGCAGTGAGACCAGCGCAGGTCAAAGAAGCACCCTCAATGAAGTTGAGGTTGCTGGGGAGAGGGACAAGACCTTGCTCATCGTAGACACCGTACTGCTGGAGAGATCCATCGATAACACCACCAGTGCCAGTGGCGATAGACTTGTTGTCAAGAGGACCAGCAAGGTGACCTTGGTTGAATTGGGTAATGACCTTGTCGCCGACCTTGAAGCGTTGCACGTGCTTGCCGACGGACTCGACGACACCAGCACCGTCAGATCCGGGGACAACGTTGTCCTCTTGGGGGAATGGGTAACCACCAGCGGCAATAATCAAATCACGGTAGTTGAGCGAAGCACCGTGGACNTGTTTAACCAATTAGTGCTGTACGACAAGTGCTTCACCGTGACAAGACTTACACTTGACAAGAACATCCTTGTCACCAACCTCAGGAATAGGAGCTTCCTTGTTGAACTTCAGGTTGTCGAAAGATCCAGTACCCTGGACTCTCCACTGCTTTTGGGAAGAAGGTGCCATTGTGAAGTTTGTATAATATTGGATGAGATTGTGATTAGGATGTCAGAATAAGGATTGAATGTGGAAAGTCAAAGTCAATTGACGATTGCGGTCCTTTATATATCAATTGACGTGATTAATGAGGAAAAACATAGAACACCATGACGTTCATAGCTTGCGTGGGGTGGAAGCATCAAAGCTTCTAGAACCGAGACTGGTTTGTAATCGCCGCTCCAAGTTCGGAGGACTTGAGGGAAGGAGGCCTTGATTACGAGTGCAAGATAGAGCATCTTGAATCTGCCGAAAATTGTTCAACAAGCACCTTGATGTTCTGTCACGCTTTCAACAAAGGCACATGTGCAGTGGTGCAGTGCAGTGCAGTCGGGTGTAATGATAGTGACATGACCCAGGAGCAGATGTCAAAAAGCTGACAGCAACTTTACCCGAGAAGCCTTCTCTCCAGTGGGCCGCGCTTGTTGACCACCTCTACGAGTGGATAACGGTTGCTAGAATAAAGCAACTGTCACAGTACGCCTCGCTGAGACAACAGTCTTCTAGAAATGGTCTTCGATTTCTAAGCATTGCTAGCAACTTCTCGATAACTGCCGATACAAGCAAGGATACTAATGATCGGGCCTAGCAAATTTCCTCCAGATTGGTCATAGCTCTCAGCGCCTCAAATCGCCAGCAACAACATTTCGTTTCCAGCCACCATCGATGGCCATGCTCACCTTCGTCAGAATCTTCTCTCCACCAAACAAGGTGCCAAACATTCTCAGCCTTCCAGTTTCGTTCATCATGACAAATGCGGGCAGACCGTAATATTGCCCAGTCGAAGGGGTGGGCAATGGCTCGGGTGCCTTGAGTTTGATCAAAACTGCTTGAGCCGCAAATGCGTCCATACCTGCTTTTCTGAGAAACAATTCCCATGAGGTCTCATCTTGGAGCAGATGCACCTCCGGATCATCGAGGCCAAAGCGGACCATACTTGCAACGATCCAAGTTGCTAATGCAGGCTCATCTCCAGGAATATACATGACCTGGATGTCATGACTTTGTGCTGCGCAAAAGTTGATGAGAGACACAAGTTCGCCAGATTCGCGGCTGTCCAGAGGACGTTGATGGTCCCTACCACGATCTTCATGCACCATGACTATGAGTCGCTCATATCGACGCGCAAGCTGTATAACGCGTTCGCGTATAACATTACGAACGACTTGGCCTGGCAAGCTCTTCTGCATGATTAACTGCAGAGTGGTCAACATGACACCGTGACTAGGTGCAATGATGATATCCGCTTCGTCGGCTTCAGAAGTGCGGGATGCACGGGCTGATGTAAAGTCGCGCTCAATGTATTCAGCCCTGCCTATTAGCCGTTCGATCTCTCTGATCAGAGTTCGCCTTTCAAACATAGTTGATGACAAGCAGAAAGTTCGTGGTGGCACGGGTTCCGGCAAGGAGGGGAGATGAACTGGAACGCTGCTTGTAATTTCCCCNCTAGGGGGGGGGTTGCTGGTATGCCTGTCGACGTTCTTGGGTGGGGCCTGGGTTTGTTGTAGCCCCGGTTTCTTGCCAGTATAGACCTGCACGAAGCGATCCAGAGACTGATTTGATATCGAATTCTCATGAAGTTTTGCAGAGTTCATTTGAATTTCATTCATCTTCGCTGGAGAGAAAGGCATTTGGGGCTGCCAAGGGGCTGCAATTGTTTCGAGCTCCTCATCGTCATCTTCACGGGGATCCAAGATCCTCAGACCGTCCAGTTTCCATCCAGATGTTGTGTCCTGTGGCCTCTCAGGATCAAAATTGCTCAGGTAATCACATTCGATTTCTTCTTCGGGCAGATCATTGAGGCGCGTGTCGGAAGGCCGCCAATACGACATAGTATCATCGATTCTGCCAACGTCAGGCCAATGTTCACGTGGTCTAATGGTCTCCCGCTTCAGCATGGATACCAATTGCTGTTGAGCCTGCAGTTCTGTTTGACAGCCCAGTTGTTTGCGAGCAAAGATTTTCCATGGTGGTAGAGGGCCTTCCTGGTCGATGATGGGCACTTCTACCCTCAGCATTGAATTAACCTGCGATAGCTGTTCCCCATCGATAGCAAGCAGTGCAGACTTTGCACCAGGCTCGATGACCTGCTCGAAGAAGTTTCGCGTTTCGTCTGTGTCATTCGAATCCTCTGACGGGAACGGTCTAACGTATTCAGGTATGGTCGTTGATAGCTCGTCTGAGAAGGTGACAATCTTCGGTTTCTTCATCGGCGACGACTGTAGAGCTGGCGACAGTGGGACTTCGACCTTGTAATCCTCAGGCCGTCTACGTTTCAATGGGGTGGTTGAGTACGTCTCGCTCGGAGCCCCTATGTCGAATGCCGATATGTCTGAGAGCCTGTCCAGGGAAAACTCATCGTCGATGTCCATGGCATCCTCAATTCTCATGAGCTCAGCTGGGACAGGATCAATAGGACTGGTTGCTAAAGGCATCCGGCTGATAGGCGAGTCTGGTACGCTGAACTGAAATGGAGATGAACACGGTAAGAGCGGTGATTCATGTCTCGCATCCTCATACTCTTTCCATGCCTACTTTTGTCAGATTCAATTTCATTTCTATCGGAACAACACAATATTCACCTTNTTGTGTGGAGGTGTGTCGAGCTCTTGCGTATCAGGCTTGTCACCAAGTGAAATGCATTGCTGCAAGAAGAGTATATCGTTCTTGCCAAGTTGTAGTTTCTCTTGTTTGATTTGCTCGGTCAGTGTTTCTGGCAATTTGGGGTCTGGCCAGTACAACGCTGCTCCTCTGTCGTCTTCCCAGAGAGTCCCAGGTGGTAGTTTCGGTGAGTCTTTGGATTGCCTCGAGTGTCGTGCCCGCATGAACCGTCGCTGCTCGAGGTCAGGGTCTGTCGGCAACAGTGGAGGCTCGACTTTGAATTCGGTAGATTTCTTCTTTCGCCGTGTAAGTTCAGGATGAGGCACGGGTTCCATCGACGTGATCCGCCGAAGGAACAAGGCACTTTGGTGGTCAATGGTCCATTTCTCGTCAAGATCGAGCTCTTTTGGAAGCTCGAATTCAGGAAGGTGAGCGGGTTCGGGATACTCCCATGTTGGAATTGCGTGAAGGATGCAAGGTGATAAGGGATTGAAAGATGTGTAATCCTTGCTCAGACCGTGGTATCTTGCGTAGTCGATCACAGAGATCTCGCCGTCGGCGGCATCAGACATGGTTTCACTGGTGTCGTCCGTCATATTAGTGCAGTCAGACTCGACGATAGTGGACGAAGAGTCCATTGAACAGAATGAAGAATAGAAATTGATGCGTCAGGATGTTTTTGATTGAGGAGACGTGCCTAGAATCTGGCCGAAGTGCGGCACTGAAAATGTCAAAAGGAGAGAGGAAGGTGCGATTGCCAAATTGGATGATGAAACTGCAGGCAATTGTAGGCGTCACATGTCAGACGCGTGCAGGTCGTTCTTGCCAGGGAAGGTGTAAAGGGAAGGAGCAACTAGGCAGCCTCTGGGCGTGTGCGTGCCTGATACTTGCACCTCTGATCTCCTCTCTCATCCATCAACAACGGTATTGCACATACAAGAGCATCAAGCATCTCGATCATCTTCTACTTCCATAAATCGATACTCCTGCTTCAATCCCAATCCTCCAACCACTTGTACTGTGCACGCTTTCGTCCAGTATAGTATTGACTCAGACCGTAGAACATTGGCCAGAACCAGAAACCAAAGCAAAGTCGAGGGTAAGGTCGAGTTAGCAACACCTCACCTGCGAGGGTCCTTTCTCTTTGCTGTTACATGTTCCTGTGAAGACTCTCAACTCAGCGCAAAGCTTGTTCAGTACCTATCGAAAGTCATAGACTACTCTGAGAAGAGAGCATGTCTACTGAGAAGCGAGTGATCGGAGCCATCTCAATGGATTTGACGAATACATTAATACCATCGTGCATTTTTATAGCACTATTTGCAACCCTAGATGGGTCTGAAAGCTCTTGATATCCAAGCAAAGTCCGTTTTATATATGCTCCAAACTGCAAGACAGTAGGAAGGTGTTGCATAGTATGGGCCAGGGTCACACAGGCAACAGAGAATTTGGTGAGATTATCGACACAATGGTCAATTGAATTGACAAGTACTAAAATTGACATCGATCAGCGCTCGAATTGACTTGTACGACAAACAGACATGCTCTACAGAAGTTAAGCAGAAAAAAGCTACACAAAGGGGTATGACTAAGAAGCGGCCTCGAAACCAAGACAAACGCTAACAGAAAACATGGTGGCTGCTTCACAGAGCAACGTCGTCAAACTCGCTCGGTGCTTTAGTCGGTGGCTCCTCATCATGAGGTATACCGATAGCTTTGAGATTGTTGACAGCAGCGGGTTCTGTGACGGCTTGATCGGTTTCTGCAGTGGCTTCTGGAGTGGGAGAGGGTTCTTCAGCCGGTACAGAAGTTACTGGCTCCTTGGATGCTGAATCTGCAGGTTGCTCTTCTATGCTGCTTGGAAGGTTGCGGAAGGGAAGATCGGAGATGGGTGCAGGCTTTTGTTGGACAGCATTAGACTGAGCATTNGGACTGTTCAGGCTCGGGCACGGAATCTTCCTTTGGTGGTGTGGGAGGTGCGGTGTCGGCAGAGCTATCCTTTGGTGGAGGTGCAGGAACCGAATCAGGCTGNNAGAAGCAGGAATCTCTGGATTCTGAGTTTGCTCGGGGGTAGGTGGCGTGTGTTCGATACGAGGACTTGCGAGTGGTGGATGAACTCGGAGTTGTTGTTGCTGAAGTTGGAGGTGTTGTTGCGAGGGCTGCGGTTGGCTGCTCGTTTGTGATTGCGTCGAAGGGCGTCGTGAGTCTTGGTTCACCTGAGGGGACGGTAAGGGTTGGCTAGTGGGACCAATGTTCCGTAGCTTGGGGTCAGCATCGAGGTAGTAGGCGCGGACACCAACTATGCGTCCTTCGCGCTCGCAACCCTTCAGCCAGTCGGGAACGACGACAGGCACGTTCATATCGCCAGCCTTTTCCCATGCCTGACCACGGCCTTCTGTACAGACGAAGTGGGTAGTGTCGATGCGCAAGGTATCAATCATCTTCGCGCCAATGCGATCAACGGTGGCTTGCAGGTCGTCGCGCAATTGCTGGGGCATGATGCCAGGAGTGATGGTGATACCGGTCAGATCGGTCATCTTGTGGGTACGGACAGTCAGGCGATCGCTGGTGTATGTGCCGGCCGAAGTGCGCAGGACAAGGTGGAAGGTGTATTCGGTGTCGACAGCCAGGCCAGAGATCTTTGTGCTCAGCTTGTCGCGGGGGATGTTGCCGGCCTTGCTGCCATTGCGGTACAGGCTCAGACTACGCAGCTCTGCTGTTGCCAGCTGGACAGGATCCCACTCGAGCACGACTGAAGTTTGTGTGGCATTGCGACAACGCAGGACGGGAGCAGAGGGTGAGTGGATACCGAAGGTCGAGTAGATGTCTTCTTGGAGGGCGTCGAACTTCTGAACGGCCTTCTCTTCGGCTGTCTCGTTGCGTGCTACATTGATGTCGACGATTGAGCCTGATGTGATGTCGGCGGGCAGCAAGATAGATGGGAACTCAATCTGCATGTACATTAGTTCTTGGTCCATGTCTCCTTTTTGGCCAGGACTATGGGGCCATACCAATCGCTTGTCTTCGGTGAGCAGGACGGCCACACCGGCGTCGACTTTGCCCACAGTCAGTGACACGAGCATTTTCGGGTTACGTTGATCGTGGTCGACGGCCTGCTATACCCGCGTGTTGATGTCTCGCTGGCATTGAGCTGGAGAGAAGGGTCCAAGCGCGTTCCCCAGCGCGTCGTCATCAGCTGCGCTGCATCTACAAGGAAGTCACGACCACCAACTTCACTTTCCATAACTCGTCGCTCTCTGCAACCTGTATTGCTTTCTTTCTATGCCATCTCATTACGAGCTACTCTTGCCTTCTATTCTCTAGAACCGACCTCATACACGGCAGATCTTCATGATGGCATCGAGCTGGCCTGGAAAGCACCAACACAATCTGGTGGATCATTAGACCACATGAAAAGTGCACATCGCACAAAGGCCTCGCCTCGCCAAGGCCTCGTATGCTCGATCATGCCAGGTGCATATTCTTTATTGACTTCCAGGGCAGTGTGAGAATGTTCCACTGCATGTTGATGCCGAGGTGCTGAAGCTCCATCAAGACATTGACACGCAATCGCCTCGGTCCCAGACATCAAGACCTCCTTTGCGACCAATTCAATCTCTCTGCCAGATGTCTGCCCACGTGCAGTTCATTCTGTTTTGACTATCTGAATGCCTTGACTCGTACCAGCTTGGCGTTGTCATCAGCAAACCGACCCTCTAACATGGATCATGGAATGAGTCACGTTGCAAGTTTATGTTCAACCATCTGGACTTTTAGATGTTTACGTTGCTAAAGCTTCGAAGGGTTGAGATCGTTCCTTCGGCACTACCGCGAAAAATCGTCCACCGTTCATGGTTAGGACAGATTTTGGCATCAGCGGAGCTGCTCGAAAGCACACCACTCATCGTCTAGAGCACCATCAGCCTCGATGCATCAGAACAAGGATCATAGTTGTCGCAAAGAACGCCTTGGACATCAATGCTTCATGCCCCAAAATCTTGAACCAGCTGTACGCGCAATCCTCGAGCATCTGAAGCAACATCCATGACCGCTTTGGACGAGATACACGAGTGACCATGAAGGTATCAGAACCAGCATCTAGCCCTAGGACTAGTCCTAAGCCTCAAATCCTCAGTCTCCTTCGACTCCCCTGTCATTGTTGACCGAGGCATGCAGTCGACCGAGGCAACTTCCTTGCTCATACCTATACAGCCCACTTTTGCGGTGCAAGATCGAGAATGACCTCAGGGCACCACTATCTACAAGATCTCGTTCACAGAATGTCACATGCTCTGACATGCAAGGCTTTCCGAAAGACAGGTTTTTGCAGTCGTCGATCAGGATTGATCTTCCTAGTGACCTCGAGTTGCGAAACATGATCCTGGTGTACCGTTCTTGACGGCCATCGTTCGGTGTGGGGTGAAGCATCAACAGGCCTCCAAACAACCAGGCTCCACCTCGAAACAGCGAGCATGAACATTGGCAGCCCAGACTTCGTCTTTTCTTCGATATTTACTGAAGTTCTCCACAAATTCGGCTCATCAACATCCCGCTACATGGAACAATAGCGTGAGATAGTCTGGGGATGGGATGAGTACTTTTCGAAAAGCCCTAACTCGGTCTCTAACTGGAATGGTTTTCTACTACTTGTAAGAGTGCGATCGACCGGCAAGCGGTAGCTTGTGATCAAGTTGGAAATAGGTCGGAAGGCGCCGCGGCTGTTTGAAGTTGCTAGGTGAAACGTGCCAAGCCGAAGCTTGCTCCAACTTCACTCCAGATTCAGCTGTGACAACAACCAAATCCGTTCGTCGCTCCTGCCCAATGCTGCTCGACGGTCTTTTCGAAAAACATGGTGACAATGACTCAATCGAGACCTCGGCTCATTTCTCCTCAATAGGAGATGATTGGCAGACGAACAAATCACCGGAGCAAATTCTGGTGGCTTGTGAAAACATCCCCCTGAAACTTACGATCTTGCTGCGAAGATGATCAATCGTCCTGACCGACCGAGAATGGAAGTCCTCAAAATAGACCCTTCCTTACGGCCGCTCACATACTGACTTGGAGTCAACATCGACTGACTGAAATTAATTGATCTACACTAACAGAGTGAGGTTCTGTTCAAGAGCCGTGCGAATGGCGTTATCGCGTCCAGGAGCATGTAACCCCAGACTAAGTCAAGGTCGTCTTCCAGTTTCAGCCATCTACTGCTCCCCACTCGTAACACCATCTAGCATGGCGGCGCTGCTAAGTGTCGTTACTGTTTGAAGTCCCCAACCAAGCCTCGGTAGCTCAACCTTGTCACCTCAATGCTAGACTCACAGACCTCGATGGAGAGTCAGTCTCTGAGATGCACTCAACCACGAAATGCTATAAGTATCTGCTGGTTCTTCGACAAGAGCCAACTCATCCAGCATCACAGTTTCTTCTTTCCTTCCCTGGTTCAACTGCTCAAGCCGGTCTCGACAGTTCACTACTCGTTCCTTCTTGCTTTACTTTTTGACTCATCAATCTTCAATCTTTTAAACTACACATCTCTTTGACAATATGAGATACTCACTCACAACTGCAGCTCTGGCTTTCGCCATCTGCTCTATTGCTGCCCCTATCGCCAACGGTGGCGACTACGGTTCTCTGTCTGGTACAGGAGCTGCTGGCGCTTCCGGCAACACTGAAGTTTCTCCCTCTGGCTCAGCCGGAGTTGGAGCAAACGTTGGAGGATTTGGCTCAGGATCCGCAGGTGTAGGTGCATCGGGCTCGGCAGGCCTGGGAGCAAACGCAGGTGCAGGTGGCTCAGCAGGCGCAGGCCTTGGAGCCGGCGCTGGCGGTGACCACTCTGGCCACGCCGGTCTCGGTGCATCTCTGGGCGGTGGTGCAGGTGGTCTCCTCGGAGGATTGGCCGGACTTGGTCTTGGTCACGAGGGAGGTCTGTCTGCTGGTCTTGGAGGTCACGGACACGGCGGTCTAGGCGCTGGTATTGGAGGCAGCGCTTCTCCTTCTATTGGAGCCAGCATTGGTGCATCGCCATCAGTTGGTGCCAGCGTTGGAGGAGGAGCCCTGCCATCTGTTGGAGCTAGCATTGGAGCTGGTGGTTCAGCAGCACCCTCGGTTGGAGCCAGTATTGGAGGAGCAGCCTCCCCGTCAATTGGCGTTGGTATTGGCGGATCCGCTGCTCCCTCAGGCTCAGCATCGTTGGGTGGTGGCCTTGGTGGTCTCGCATCGGGTGGCCTAGGTGCAGGACTTGGAGGCGCCGGTGGTCTTCTCGGAGGCTTGGGCGGCAGCGGAAGCGGCCTTGGTGGTCTTGGAGCTGGGTTGGGCTTGGGAGGAAGCGGTTCAGCTGGTGCCAGTGGCTCAGGCGCTCCCGCCTACGGCAGTGGCAGCCCTTCGTCCCCCAACGAGAACTCTTCCCCTGACAGCGGCGCACCTTCAGACACCGAGACTGACGCTGCATCTGGTTCTCCTTCCGATTCGTCTGCTCCCAGCTACGGCTCGGACAGCTCCTCTCCTTCTGACAGCTCGTCTGCCCCCACTGACAGCTCGTCCCCTCCCGCCGACAGCTCTTCTCCTCCCGCCGACAGCTCTTCTCCTCCCGCTGACAGCTCGTCTCCAGCCGACAGCTCGTCCTCCCCCTCAGGCACAGAGACAGACGCCGCATCGGCCTCCCCTAGCGATGCAGCCTCTGCCCCTACTTACGGCGAAAGTGGCTCTGTCGCAGACGCCAGCGGCTCCGCTGCAGCACCCATGTACGGCTCTGACAGCTCAGCTCCTGCTCCAAGCGAGTCTGCAGTAGATGCTGCCTCTGCCACTCCCACTGAGGCACCTTCCGCTCCTGAATCCTCTGCTCCTACCCTTCCTCTCGCCACTGGCGCATCTGGCAGCACTTACAAGTCATACATTAAGCGTCAGTCCTACGACTCAGGTTCGTCATCTGGCGGCCTTGGTGCTCTGACCGGTGGCAGCTCTGGTGGCCTCGGTGCTCTTACCAGCGGACTCGGCGGCCTTACCGGTGGAAGCGGCCTCGGCGGCGGTCTTCCCAGCTTGGGCGGTGGCAGCTCCGGTGGCCTCGGTGCTCTGACTGGTGGAAGTGGACTCGGTGGTCTGACCAGCGGACTTGGCGGTCTCACTGGTGGAAGTGGCCTTGGTGGACTTGCAGGACTTGGTGGATCGGGTACCGGCTCGGCCGGCGCTGCTACAACTGGTTCTGCTTCCAGCTCGGGCGGTCTTGGTGCTCTTGGAAACCTTATGGGTGGTGGTTCTGGTGGTGCTTCTTCAGGTAGCCAATATTCCAAGTAGAAACTTCAATACACATCGCTGATGGGCGGTACAGGTTCTGCTGGAAGCTCTGATTCCTCTTCGACTGGCACCGCCACCAGTGGCTTTGGCTCTCTCGGTTCTCTGGGTTCGCTCACAGGTGCTGCTGGCGCTGTTGCTAGCAATGATGTTACTGGAAACACTGGATGCAAGAAGGTCACCTTCATCTTCGCTCGCGGGTATGTGAAAACAAGGGGAGGCACGCGATGTTCAAGATCACTGACATTCTAATCTACAGTANCAACCGAAATGGGCACTCTCGGCTCCGTCGTTGGTCCCGGCCTTGCCTCAGCCCTCGTCAAAGACACCGGCTCCTGTGCAGTCCAAGGCGTCGACTACCCAGCCGATGCCGCCGGCAACGCCAACATGGNNGGAGCCTCTGGTGGCCCCAAGATGGCCGCTCTAGCCACCCAAGCCCTCAAGCAATGCCCCGACACCAAGATCATCCTCGGCGGCTACTCTCAAGGCGCCATGGTGGTCCACAATGCGCTCGGCTCCATCGATGGCTCCAAGATTGCTGCTGTAACTGCTTTCGGCGACCCCATGAACGGCCAGAGCTTCAAGGGTGTTGATGACAGCAAGGTTGTTCGTTACTGCGGGTCTTCAGACTTTGTGTGTGACTTTAGCGGTAAGACTCAGGGAACTGGAAGCCATGTTTCTTATGGATCCAACCTTGCTGAGGCTGCTTCTCGCCTCAGCCAGATTGTTGGTGTCAAGGCCTAAGCAGGAGTTGACTTTTGTTCTTCTTTCTGGCTCGTTGTTTTCCTCTTCAGGCTTCTTCTCTTTTCTCTCCTCCTTGTTTTTCGCAGTGGTCAGCCACTTCCTTGAATCTTTTTCTTTTTTGTTTTGTTTTTGTGTTTTCCAGGTACGCAGGCCGTACGAACTAAGCAACACAGAGTTATACGCGAACAGGTTATCCAAAAGTATTTTACGTTAGTAGTATTTATCTACCAATCCAACTTTCGTTCCTTCCAGGCTTGTGTTTTCTATTCTGCTATCAAGTATCTATGGTGAATTGCAATCGGTGCGTAGGATAGAGGAAGCAGTGCCCAAGAAACAGTAAATGTCAGAGGGGACAGAGGAAAGACAAACGAGGAAGTGACTACGCGGCTGGCAGTGCAACGAGAAGGAACCAAAACATATATCATAATGCAATACAATCGTGTTCATAACCGATTACTACCCAACACCAACGCCAGTCATCCAAGGGGTATATCAAGCAAAGAAAAGAAACAAGAAAGAAAAGAAAAGCCGAAGTGAGAAGAGAGAGGGCCCAACCAAGCCGAATCTCAGACCAAGATCTAGTCCATCCCCAAGCTCTGGTCCATCTCGGTCATGTAGAGCTCGATGTGCGACTTCATCATTAGGAATTCCTCCTTCGCACTCTGCACTTCTATCTCGGTGTTCTCCTTCAGATCTGCCATCTTCTTTTGCGTTTGCTCAATTCTGATGCGTCTTCTCTCAACCTCTTCATCACGCTTGCGTCTCTCTTCGGTCAGCTCCGAGTATGTTCGCTTCAGCGATTCCATGCGTCTTTTGGCTTCCTCATCCTTAGCGCCCGCACCTTGTCGTAGATTGTTTGTGCGTTCTTGGATGTTGGCGAGCTGTTTGCTGAGCATGCGTTCTTGACGCTCGATCTCTTGCACATTGTTAGAGCGCTCCGAGAGGGCGTCACGGTGTTTGGTTGCTCGTAAGAGTTCTTCGTCCTCCTTTTTTAGATCGGCTTGCAGGTCTTCGAGTAGACGGCTGAGACTTGCCACGTCGCCGTGTAGCAGAGTGAATGTGTCGGTGCTTGTCTGTAGAGCGCGAGTGCGACGGTCGAGCCGGTCAATCTCGGCCTTGTCTGCCGTGAGGTTTGCATTAAGGTCGCGAAGGGCTGTCTCGAGAGCTGCTGGGCTTTGCTGTGTGTATGGACGCAACTTGTCGGCTTCTTTGCGGGCATTGATGACTTGAGTCTGCTTGTCCTCGAGGGCTTGCTTGCGTCTGCTCTGCTCTGATTTGACGCGTTCATGCTTCTCGGTGACCTTTTCCTGGCTTTTCTTGAGCTCGAGCAGACGGGCCTTGAGCTCGCTGTTCTTCTTTTCCTTGTCGCGCATGGCTTGCTCGACGTTTTTTCTATTGCGCTGCATCTCCTGCAGCTTTTCTTCCTTCTCTTGGTTTGAGTTATACAGCTCTTCGATCTGAGCCTTTGTACGCTCGGTGCTGTTGAAGTGTTCATCGATGACCGAGGTTTGCGACTCGCGGAAGCGANNAATGAAGTTGATGACATAAGAGAAGATCTTGACTAGACGCGGGTGTGTTGGTTTGTACAGATCCTGGAAGGTGAAGTCCTTGATGCCACACTCGAGCAGCAGGCGACGCAGAGTGACGAAGAAGCCCATGAGGTCGCGAGTGTCGGCTGTAAAGATTCTGTCGGGGTCGTCGCCGCACAAGTCATCGGCAGCGGCCTTCATGGCAGGCGCGACGACTTCGCGCGTCGTGTTCATCAACAGCTCGGCCAGCCATTCGAAGACTTTTTGGATTTGCTGTGGGTTGGGTTTGTGCAAGTCCTGGATGTCGAAAGGAATGCCAATGTCGGTGATACATCCTGCGATCTCTTTGTCGGGCNNTGTGAAGTCATCAGCAGTCTTCGCAGACTGTTGGGCAGAACAGGCAGGACTCACCAATGTCATGAAGGCATCCTCGTTGTCTTCTTTGCGAGCACGAGGCTGACTTGAAGGTTGTTGAGAGCCTCGCGGCGCCATGCTCATGCGTCCGCCGTATGCCATTGTTATTGTCTTGCTTGTCTTGTTGTGTCCTTGTTGTCGCAAAACTGGACTCTGAAAGTCTTCGGTCTTTCTTTGCGGGGAAGTAAACAAACCCGTCGCACAGGCCAACTGATAAGCTTACGTCAGGGTCATACCTAGTCAACATGCACTTTTCACACACCTCTACAGTCATGTGATTCACGGGTCAATAAGATACACTTCAGGAGTAAATTGCATTAAAGTTTTTAAGCAGAAAGACCATATATCATTCTGTGTGAGATACTGGCTATAAAGAAACGAAAGAAAGGTAACATGCTATCGACCACATCATCATCTACTTCTTCTCCGCAGAAACAGTAGTAGTCTCGTTGGGAGTCATTGTTCCTTCAAGAGTCTGGGGAACACCGTGTGTGAAGCTGGTAGGACCTGACTGCATGACATCGATGCCAGCAGGGCTGAGGTCCCAGTGGTCCATCTCTTCGTCAAAGAACTGGTCGAGATCGAGACCTCTAATCTCAGCCTCCTTGTCAACACGCAGGTGCATGCCGGGGATGTACTTGATGATCATGAGCAGGATGTAGCTGACGATGAACGAGTAGGCAGAGATGCCTGCAATCTCTGCAAGTTGCTTGGCAACCTGAATGCCATTGCCGTTGTAAGCACCAGGATAGAGAGAAACACCGTCGAGAGCAGAGATGGACTGGTTGGCGAAGAGACCAGTCATGAAGGATCCCATGATACCACCGATACCGTGAAGCTTGAAGACGTAAAGTCCATCGTCAATTCGAAGCCACTCGTTGATGTCTTGCAGGAGGGCACAGACAACAGCAGTAACGAATCCGATGACAGCTCCGAGCCAAGGGTTGACGAAACCAGCAGCAGGTGTAATGCCGACGAGACCAGCAATCGCACCCTCGCAAGCACCGACAACAGAGAAGCGTCCCTTGTGGCGAATGGCATCGACCATGACCCAACCGATGACACCAGTAGAGGCGGCAACCTGGGTGTTGAAAGCAGCCATCATACCACGGACTGAGGCATTGAGTGCACTACCACCGTTGAACCCGAACCAACCAAAGATAATGAGAACCGTACCGACAAAGACCAAGGTCGAGTTGTGAGGCTTGTGCTTTGCGTGGTGGTCCTTCGATGTACGCTTACCAAGTACCATAGCGTAAGCCAGAGCTGCCCAACCACTCGAGATGTGTACTGGACCACCGCCAGCATAATCAAGGGAAGGAAGCTTGGCAAGCCAGCCATTGGGGTTCCATGTCCAGCAGGCAATGGGGCAGTAGACAATAGTGCACCACCAGAAAGCGAAGATGAGTGATGGGAGGATGCGACCACGCTCGAATGCACCACCGACGACGATCTGCACCGTGCAAGCGGCGAACATAAGCTCGTAAAGGCAGAAGACGATTTCGGGCAGCACAGCACTGCCAGGTGATGGTGCGGCAACGACATTCTTCAATCCAAAGTTGGCCATGTTACCGATGAAGGGGCCGGCCGTGCGAGAGAAGGCAAGCGAGTAGCCCCAAAACATCCATTGGAAGGTAACGATGGCACAAACCATCATACTCTGGAAGAGCAATGACAGACCGCTCTTCTTGTGTGCCAGACCGCCATAAAGCAGACCGATGCCAGGAATGATCAAGTATACGAGGAAACCGCAGATGGCGAGGTAGACATAGCTNAGTATATGGGTTAGTGATAGTTAACGCTAGTCAGAGATGACTTGCGCTTACTTGAACTCGAGACCTGCATATTGTGCGTTGACATTGACCTCCAGAGGGTTGCCTCCAGCAGGCTGGGATGCGTTGAATACAGGCTGCAATGGATGAACTATCAGTACATGATTCAAAGCAGTGGCTGTGGACTGTGGACATACTGCTTCCGACATTATCTTGTAACGAAGCGACTACTGCTACTCCACAAGCAAGTAGTTCAGAGAGGTATGAAAATGAGAAAGATAAGAACTTGGGAAGGTGATATGCATGAGCGGACCTGCAGGGTATTTCTACCTCCATGCAACACCCCGTTACCGGTCAACATTTCATCTATCGCACCACAATGTGATTCATGGGATATCTTTATCTCTGCGATTCCTCCCGTGTTCCAAAGACTATTGCCCCATCGCCTGGCATCCTTCTCTTCTCATTCGAATAGAGACGCCAAGAGATAAGGAAACCAGACACAAGGCATACATTTCTAGGAGAGCGTTTCGGCTCTCTGAGTCTTTCTTTGTAACGCCCCGGGAACGTCGAAAGATCAGGCTTAGTGCACACACTGGCGGCTCGAGGCTACCGAATTTCTACGGCCTGTTGTTGCAGGCACATGTCGATGTTGGGGTGTACAGGTGAGGTCCCAGAGATAAGGATTCTTCCACGAGGCGCTCCCGGGGCGCGCTAGCGAGGGATATAAGAAGCCGTTTTCAGGGCCGGCCGGTGATACTTGGTTGACTAATTTAATTTCGTACTCATTTCGGTTCGGACTGAAGATGCACCATGTGTCGGTGACCAAAGTTAGACAGGATTGTGTTGGTCTCCTTGTTGTCTTGTCAGCAGAGATGAGAGGTTTCGTCGAAGCGCAGCGTGGGATTCGCTGACCTGACATGGCTGCATTTGCCCAGCTTTGATCGACAAACTCCTCGGGGAATCTGAGCCAATCTCGAACTTCGAACTCTATACCAATCGTGCCACGAACTGTCCGATATACCCCGAAGACATGTACTAGACATGAGATGGTGATCTGCTAGACATGGCATCGAAGGAATTGAGTAAAGAAATTCCACAAATAAGCATGCGACGTTCTACATGCGACTGTCAAGGCATAAGCTGCTCCGCCTCTCATGCAGTGCGACTATATCTGCGCAACTTCATCCTTCAGGCATCACACCTCAAGCAGTCCTTTCTGTGATGAAACCTTGTGATGGCTCAACTGCATGTTGCAAGAACGTCGCCGATTCCAAATTCGATTCGTAACGAACCTAAATGAATGACCACCATGTAGCGAGCAATCTGGGCCTCGCTCGACCACATCTGCAGTGGTTTGATGCGAATTAAAGGCCTCTGAGAGTTTTGATGTAGTTTCATACGTCAACCGACATGCAATTCATCCTAGAGAAAGATATGCTTCGATCATAGCTCATCCATCTTACCTAAGATGTCCATGTGTTTGTTTTCCTTTTGAACGCCCAAAACTCGAGAATGCAGAATCTTGTCCATTTATGATTTATTGTAGTAGTGTGCCATTTCGAGGCCGGCGCGCTTGAAGCCACACTTGACATAGAAGCCCTCGTTGGCCTCTGAGCAGTCGAGAATGGTNCTGCAGGTTGTTGGTCAGCATTATTTTACACCGGCCACACTGTCTCAGGCGTAAGAACCAACCTTGTAGCACCCAACCTTCTCGGCAACATGGTCTAGTGCTTGGATGATCCGAAGACCAAGCTTCTTGCCCTGCTGGTCCTTTGCAACAGCAATATCCTCAATGTGACCGACTTGTCCCAAGCTATGAATANNCTGAGATTGATATCGTCAGTGTCAGAGTTCCCCAGTATTCCTTTGTTTACTCTTTCTATTCAAGACTCACAATTTCTTCTCGACGATCAAGGCGCCAGTGCCAACAATCTTGTTCTCGCCATTGAGAATGACTAGTATGTGGTAGCCACCTGCACCTCTTCCCAGTGTGCCGGATGCCTTCATCTCTTCGAAGCGTTGGTTGAAGTCCTCTTCCGGAACGTTGCCGACAGTTGTGAGGNNGACGGCAAGCACGTCTAGGAAGCCAGCGTGGTAGTCATTCTTNTGCAAGGGACGGATTGTGTAGCCCTCTGGTAGGGCAGCGGCGACTTCAGACGAGATGAGATCAGGCGAGAAGAGAGACTCGGAAGACATGGTGTACGGGGGTGATGGCAATCGAGGGGAGCTGTGTTGTACAAAGAGTCGAAGAGAGGTGACTTTGACCGGTCGTGATACAAGCGTTCTTTCAGGATCTAGAGGTCGTGTTCAAGTTGGTACTCGAGATTGATCCCCAATTCAAATAAGAGGCAGTGGTGTTAGGAATGCTGTGTCTGAACAGATCTTGGGCGAGACACAACAGCAACCCTTGGACAAGCTTCCCCAGAAAAACAGCTTGAGCCTCAATGCGCCCAACGAGTCTGTTCCTGCAGCAAAGCCAAATTTAGAACACAATGGCTTGGTGACTTCAGCTCTGCAGAGCAAACACTCACAGAGTCGAGAGACTCAGTGTGCTTTGATTTAAGGCGTTGGGTAGCTGCTGTTCTGTAACAACAACTCAGATTATGACATCGACGACTTTGTCAGAAATGTCATTCATTCTGATGAAGATAGCCGAACCATCAAGGTGGTATCCTTGAAAGACGAAAGATTGTTATGTAGAGAAATGCCTTGCGTTATTGTTGCACCACATCGCCAATCTTGGTTTCATAGTCTCGAGTTACTTTGCACCCTGCTTCTCAATTGCTGTCTGGTCTGACATCTTGCTACAAATACTCATCGTACAACGATCGTAGCTCAGAGATTGTTCTGTCCGGGGCCTCTTGGGTTAGCCGTTGCCGGCATACGAATGCCCATAGCGCTAGGATCAACAACCCGCTTCTTCGCCTCATCTATTCTGCCTTTTGACAAACTGATGGCCGGCACTATCCACTCTCCACAACTGCATCGCATGCCCTGCCATGCATATTTGCCCACGTTGGCTTTGCATTTGGCATTTGGGCACTCCAACCTTCCTTCCACTTCTCCCTTCTCCAGTTCCGGTCGCATCCACGATAGAGGATCAAGGAAATAGTGAGTACAAGAATCAGTCGGACCCCGTTGAGCCTGGTGGGGGATCAAGAATTGTGACGTTGCGAGGGTGCGTCTGATGATATTGTCAGTACTCCAGCTCGAGGATACCGACGAATGTGTGACTTACCTGCACTTTCGGCATCGCATGTCAAACCCACCTTCATCTTTTGCTGCGACATGCTCATCCTCGAAGCGAATCTTCTCTGCCTCTGGTGCTTGACCGCATGCGCGACTCATCTCGACTTCACGCTGGTAGACCCAACGTTGATATGTCGGTGTGTCTTCCACGTTCTCGGGTGTCTGCATCTCATGGTAGAGCTCGAGCTGCTTCATGAAACCTTCGTTGGGCTCGCAAAGCGGCCTGCTCTGTCGTATTTGTTCCAAAGCCTCGGAAGGTGATATGTGGTATTTCTGCATCAGGTACGCAATGACGCATGTTGCGGACCGCGACTTTCCCATCGCACTGNNTTGGTCATTTGTTAGTCTTGCTGTCTCTACCAAACGATGCGAGAATTTTGTAAGACAACGAAAGACATTGCACCCTGCTCTTTCCGCCAACCTTGAATATTGGAAAACCGAAATGCAGCTAGCTGAACATATGCAAATGACTTACCAGTGTACAAGAACTGCGCCTCCAGAGGCAAGACCATCCTCGATGAATCGGGTAGCCGCTGGGAAGTGCTCGAGCAGATTCTCATCTTCGACATCGTCGACTTCGACCACCATATGCTTGTATCCTTCGAAAAGCTTCTCCTCTAGCGGAAGCCTCAACACAGATAGTACATGTGTAATGCCAGCCTCGGCAAGCTGATCTTTGCGACGTAATGTGAAGATGCTGGAGAAATGTTAGATCACTTTCTGCGTTCTCTTCGATTCTCGACTTTCGTCAAATCAAGAAGATTCAAGACAGTAAACTGTTCTTCTCTTGTTGCCATGAAAAGATTTATCAAGAAGCAACAGATTTTACTCACCCNNTCCGATGTAGAGCTTTAGATCGCCGGGAACTTTGTCGAGCAAAGACATGCTGGAAGTTCAGTAGTGATTACAATATCAGTTGATTCCAAGAGGGCGACAAATTAGTCAAGTTGTTTTCTTCTTGATGGACCACAAAGCAGGTCGCCGCCACAAGACGAATCGTCTAAAGTTGGATTGTGTATAACTTTGCTTGGCACGAGCATAAATTTTATGAGCTATAGGTCAGCCGATATCGCCACTAGAGATGCATGTTTGTCTATCAAGCACTTTTGTAAGCGGAGAACTCCTTGCTCGACCATCCTTCCTTCGCAACCCCTTGGTCACTGCTTCTCAGGGGTGCCGGCTTTTCCCACCCTCAAGCAGTGGCACAGTAGGTCTGGCCCAGCCAGAAATCCACAGCAAAATCCACCACTCGATGCAAGCCATGGCTCATCGGACAAGCTTGTTAGTTAGCACGCTTGTACAAACAAGGTCTGTGTAGGCGGTCAGACATCTTTCAGCATCGTTCGTGAAAGCATGAAGAACTCTGTCGTTCTTTTGTGTTTTGCCGGATAAATTAAGTGGCTTGAATGTCGAGTCCGTAGGGCATAAGGCGGCTTGGGCACCAGAGTAGAAACATGGCTCTGGGTCGAGGTTACATGGCAATGTCACAAAGAGTCCCACAGAATTCCAAGATTGATGGCAAGCAACAAAAGATCCAAGGAGAGTCGTTCCAACTACAAATCGACTAACGAATCGGTTACATGCCGTCTGTCTGTAACTAGTCCTGAGCGGCCTCTTTACGTGCACCCGCACTTAAGCAAATACAGGGGATTTTTATATGCATCAACTGTGCCTCATTTTGTGAGAACTCACAGCCAAAACGTGGGGCATGGCAAAGGTCAAGTGAAAACATGCACATGCACATGTAACGGCGAAGTTGCATAGAAACGGGGCTCTAGCAGGCACCTGTTCGCTTGGTGTACGTACCAGTGGAAAGCATAGTGCCAAGGAGTAAGTTTGGAGGAGATTCGGGCCTCTTTTGCTCGCGCTTGGACTTTGCTGACTAGGACGGCTNNGGAACAGTGAAGATCGAAGCCATGTTGAGTAGTTGTATGTGTATACGGGCGTAAGACGGGCAAGCTGGCGATGGTATGGGAGATGGAACGGGCGAGCGGTGCGTGACACACGGCAGAACACGAACGTATAACGAGATGGAATTTCCAGAAGGGCATCACGGAAAGGTTACGGTCTTGTGCAGAGACCCTGACAGGCAGAGTGGGGAGCAGGCGCGTTCCAGACTGACGAGCCTCGCAGCTAGGCACAGCAGTGTGAGCGATCGACAAGAAGCGATGCCTGATTTCTGCTGGCGTGCCTGAAGAGGTGTGAGGGAGGGACAAGGATGCGGCGGAGAGCAGCGCCTGGAGGAGTGTTTTTGCATAGGGCTGATAGGATGAGAGCGACGTGAATCAAGCACACGCCCAAGCAGGAGTCCGCATCGTCTATCCGCAGTGGGTGGATGCGTCGACTCCTTTCTTCATGTAGCATCAGCTTACCCTTGGGACTTAAGACTGAGTCCGTGTTTTGGCTCAGGTTGTCTCTGTCCGCCGTGCCTGCCCTGCTCTGCTCTAAACTGCCCTCGGCCCCCTCTCCTTCTCTTCCAGCGGCAGTTGTCAACGCTACAGCACCGGCTTTGCCAAGTTGCCCGCGGTGAAACGCTCTTTCCAGTTGTGCGCGTCCGTCCACCATGGATGGAACTCCTACCATTCGCATCAACTCGCACTCTCACGACCACCGCCACTGTAGTCCGCCGCCTCCCTCCCGACATTCGCCGCAGCATTCACTGCATGCGCCGGCGTCGCCGATGTCCATCCCGCATGCCGCACAAGACTCTACTCCGGTGCCACCGCCCTTGCCGCCGCCTGCCAACCTGTACGAGGACCTGACGCCCCAAGCGCAGCAGAAAGAATGGATTTTCTTCAACAAGGAATATGTCGATCAGCACTGGACTGATTTTGGCAAGGCCGCCACAGTCAGGCCCGGCTCGAGCTTGCTGGGCGGCTCCAAGTCGCATACTGTCGATCAAGGCGATGGGCACGCGCAACATCATGAAGCGGATGCCTCCCGGAGAGGCAGCTCCATGTCTACCATCGCGGCGCCGCATCGTAATTCTGAAGCAATGATCGATCCTTGCGACAACGAAGACTCGAAACTCTCTGGCTACAGGTGTGTTGTTCTGCCATTCTTTTCGTGTCATGTCGGTCGCATAAAAGCTGCGGTTCAGTTGGGTTTTCACGCATCAATCACACGGTTGGATTGTCCGTCATTGTGACTGCCAATGTGCACCTAGTTTGTTGATTGTTGATGTGTTTTCGGCTTTGCTCGCTCGAAGCTCGAAGCCCGACCCGCCAGACGCCTCGGCTTCTTGAGACAAAGACCATCCACCGTTGTGTCCAATTGCGAAGACTGACACAGAATCCCACNNAGACTACAGAGTGAGCGACAGCTGGAACAAAGGTCACTCAGCACTTCGTCGCAAGCTTACGATAGGAACCTGCTCTCAAAAATCGGCGGACCGAATACTCCAAATAGACTTTCGCTTTCCGGCGGCCCAGAAACCTCAGGCGCCGTGTCCCCCGGAGCAGAGTCCAGCGCAGAAACCACGGCCAGGCATCTTTCGACCTCGTCGTCCTCTCACCNNTCCGAGAGACGCCATCCTTCGGTCGATAGTTCTACCTTCAGGTGGTCTGTCTCCAGTGCTGTCTCGCCCGGACCATTCCGCAATCCCAACTTCAATCCGGAGAACAGCCGACCGACAGCATTGCGCCATTCGAGTTTTCAGTTCGACGACAGCTCGTCGCATCGTGGTAGTTATGACCAGTCCATGTTCTTGAATGAGGAGTTTTCTACAGAGGAGGGCCAGATGAAGGACCTGAACCTCAACGACCGCGACGAGTTCCAGCTTAGCGCAAAGCCAGGCATGAAGAGACGCGCTTCGTCGCCGCATAGAGATTCATTGCGCGAAGACCGCTCTTCCATTAGTAGCGCCCCTGATGGCGGCGACTTATACACACGTCGCTCCTTACAACAATACCCTAATCGTAATCCGTCCATATCGGCGTCGAGGTATGCGCCGAGTCATCATGGCTCAATATCTTCTGCCTCCTCATACAATCCCCGCAACGGCTCATTGGCTTCATCATACACACTATCTGTCTCTAGCAGTGCGACGAGCTATGCTTCTGGACGTGTCTCGCCTGGCATGATGTCGCCTGCCATAATCGATCCGGAACTTGGAGCCATGGGCTACATGAATGCTAAACCCCTGAACCATCAAAGTCCTGCGCCTCAGCAAATAATGCCGCCTTATACTCGCACTCTATCCGACACTCCTATACACAATGTTCTCCAAACTCCTGTCGATAGCGCACCACCATCACGTCACAACAGCTTGCCTGGTGTACAAGGTATCTTCATTTGTGACTGTTGTCCCAAGAAGCCAAAGAAGTTCACTAGTGAAGATGATTTGAGGTCGGTCTTCAACACTTGTCAATTGTTATCTAGCACATACTGACAGCGTGCAAACAGAGCCCATCATATGGAGAAGCAATACTCCTGTCTCTACTGTCCGAACCGCTTCAAAAACAAGAACGAAGCGGAGCGGCATCAAAACTCACTACATCTGCGTCGTCATTCGTGGTCCTGTGCGGCTCTCAACACGATCGAGACAGCCTTTCACACATCACCTAGCACGAACGGTGCAATGGATACCTGCGGCTACTGTGGTGATGAATTCCCCAACCCACCAGACTGGAATCAGCGACGCGACCATGTCCTTACAACACACAAATTCGGCGAGTGCAACCAAGCAAAGAAGTTCTACCGCGCCGATCACTTCCGTCAACACCTTAAACACAGCCACGCCGGGACAAGCGGTAAATGGACAAACATGCTTGAGACGACGTGCATGCGGGATGAACCACTACCACAACCAATGTCAATGGCAGGGAATGTGCACAGTAGTGGTACGTCAACGATGCCCATGATGGGTATGGCGAACACAGCGGGGCCGCCTATGTGCAGCAAACCAGAGGTGATTGCAGAAATGCCGCATGAAGCATGACATTGCATGTAGAGTGCAAGAGGAGAAGATGTGCAGCACAACTGGTGTAACAACAAAAGTAGAGCTGACGGTGGGGCCCACAAGACGGATGGTGGCTCTGAGCTGTAAGCATTGCTATGACATGACCCCCATGACAAGCCGGAGATAGATGCGAGGAAACCTATCATCGTGCATGCAAACCATCATAGAGAGGGCACACGCATAGAGGTCAGCAATGACCGCGACGGAGGGAAGCCGATCATACGGGATGTGGCTCTGCATGGCAAAAGCAACAAGGAATCCTGTTATTCCTTTTTTTAATCACGACCAAAAATAATTCTTTCATGACTTCAGAGGGGAGGAAATGATACAAGCAGCTACTAGACGATCAGTAGAATATTCCATCTTTCCTGACCCAACAAAAGGCGCTATACGGGATAAAAATTCAACTGATGGGATTTGCAAGCGTCGGCCACTTTTGGCTGAGAGGGTTGTTTCGTTCTTTCAATCGTTCATGTCTCTATTGGGCTCCTTTTCCTTCATGTCCTTGGGTGATAACCTTCGGAGACCCAGTGGAGTAAGAAAGTCCGGCTATATCAGCAAGGAGGGAGCAATAACAGGAATCCTTCATGGTCCGAGACGAGGATATCCGTGGTGGCGTCGAGAAACCAGATCTTCAATCTCATTGACAGGACGAATAGGCTTGCTTGTCGTTCGTGTTCGATCTCGTCCAAGGATGATTCGGCTTGGCACAAAAGGGATATCCCCCCTCTTTCAGTGTCTAGAATAGAGATGTGGAGATCACAAGTAGTGAACAGGACATAAGCAAGAGGTGACATGTGACAAACATGTACGAGCACTTGGAGAGACGTGTGTGACACGAGGTCCAATGACCAGCAAATACGAGACACAAGCCTTGGACAAGAGTCGAGTGCCGTGGATCTGTATGGCTATGTAGCGTTGAAGGATGGATAGGCTTATTTGGTGTGCCACAGTGTCGGTATTGTGCTGGCAGTAGTGATTATCAGACGCTGACAAGAGGCTGATATGGGGCTGGCGGACACATGCTGTGTCTGCCTCAGCCCTAGTGCTGACATGGTCTTGGCACATGGTGGTGGCTGTGTGAAGGATAGGGCATCGATGTTCCAGAGCAATGACGGGCTGAAGATTCAGCAACTAAAAGGATATAGTCGTCATGGTGAGCAGGTTACAGATGTGGGTTACCGGTCATGCAGCACTAGGTGGTATTGACTTGGCGGTCAGGTTTGTCGAGATCGGCAGGCGCGGCTGCTTCTCTCAGGGATTGCCAGTGGGGACCGAGGGGAACAGAGAGGGATTGCGTAGGCGCTCACGATTGCGCTTTGCAGCTTCGGCATTGCGCATCTTCTCCAGTCGCATGTTGTAAAAGTGCTTCTGCAGCTGAAAGACACGGGGCCCGTCGTCGGCGCCTGGCTTGGACGTCGACGAGGCATCGGCCTTGTCTGTCAGAGCCTTAATCTTGTCATCCCTCTCCTTCTCGTCCTGGTCTTTATCTTTGTCTTTGTCTTTGGCATTCTTCTCCTTCTCCTTGTCCTTTGACTTGTCCTTCTTCTGTTGCTTCTTCTTCATCTTCTCGTCGTACTCCTTCTTGACAGCTTCAATCTCGCGATCCAAGTCTTCTTTCTTCTTCCTGTCGGCGATAGCCTTTGCTTCATCGTCGGTGGGCAGGGCGAAGTTGCGGTCCTTGAGGTGCGAGGGGCAGATGTAGAAGAAGTCCTTGCTGTCCGGGGTGATGAGGACGCTGGCCGAGGGCTTGTAGCAGATCATGCAGCCCTTTGCAGCTGTATCGGCGACCTTACGATGGTACCAGATATTCTCCATGGCTGCGAGCGATGTTATTGTGCCAATGGCGTAGTTGTGCAGAAAGATGGAGATGCAAAGGTGGAGACTCCGGACGAGGGAGCTGCCGCTGCCGCTGCCGTCTCCAGGGAAGCCGCGAAATCGGACCGCCGATAAGCGCGATAAGGAAGGAGCGATTATGACTGTATGCAGGAGCTCCACCATCTTTTTTCTCTAATATCTGATACTACAATCTTATCTGCTTTGTGCTCCTTCAATCTACTTCCCAAGTTACTCATACATATCACCACAAACATGGCAGGTGCTCCGAGCAGCGAAAAGCTTTGGNGAGGTCGCTTTACTGGTAAGTCGATAGCTATACAAATCGACAAAGGACAAGGCAATTGACATACCACAGGCGGCCAGGACCCTCTCATGACTGCCTACAACGAGTCCATCTACTACGATCGTGCCTTCTACTCACAAGATATTCGTGGCTCCATCGCCTGGGCCCGTGCCAACAAGAACAAGGGCATCCTAAACGACCAAGAGTTCTCTGAGATCGAGCGAGGTCTCAAAGAGGTGGAAGAGGAATGGAAGTCTGGCAAGTTCAGCATCAAGCCCGGCGTTGACGAGGACATTCACACTGCCAACGAGCGTCGTCTGGGCGAGATCATCGGCAAGAACATTGCTGGCAAGCTTCACACTGGCCGTAGCAGAAACGAGCAAGTCGCTGTTGACATGCGCATGTGGCTGCGTGAACAGCTCGAGAACATCGAGTCTTTCCTCGTTGATTTCCTCAAGGTCATTGCTAGCCGCTCAGAGCAAGAGATTGAGCACGTCATGCCTGGCTACACCCATCTTCAGCGCGCACAGCCCATCAGATGGTCACATTGGATGCTCTCTTACGGTCTAGCTTTCGCCAACGACCTTGAGAGACTTCGTGAAGTCAAGCAGCGTGTGAACCGCAGTCCCCTTGGCTGTGGTGCTTTGGCCGGAAACCCTTTTGGCATTGACCGTGATGCCATGGCCAAGGAATTGGGCTTTGAAACTCTCATCTACAACTCGATGGCTGGTGTCGCCGACCGTGACTTTGTTGTCGAGACCATGCAGTGGGGAAGCATGCTCATGCTGCATCTCAGTCGCTGGGCCGAGGACCTGATCATCTATTCGAGCGCCGAGTTCAACTTTGTCAGACTCGCAGACGCCTACTCAACCGGCAGTTCGCTCATGCCCCAGAAGAAGAACCCCGACTCGCTCGAGCTCATCCGCGGCAAGGCTGGCAGAGCATACGGCCAAATGGCAGGTCTGATGATGACAATTAAGGGTATCCCTTCAACCTACAACAAGGATCTGCAGGAGAGCGTTGAGCCTCTGCTTGACCACGTCAAGACCGTTGGAGACAGTATTCAGATCGCAACTGGTGTCCTGTCTACCCTCAACATCCAACCCAAGAGCATGCTGGCTAGTTTGTCACCCGACATGCTGGCTACTGACCTTGCCGACTACCTCGTCCGTAAGGGCGTGCCGTTCCGCGAGACCCACCACATCTCTGGCAGAGTGGTGGCTCTTGCCGAAGAGAAGAGCACACCTATGGATAAGCTCTCGTTCGAACAATTGAAGGGCGTCGACTCGCGATTCGAGGAGGACATCCTCGAGGTCTTTGACTACCAGAAGAGTGTCGAGATGAGAAGCGCTTCGGGCGGTACCAGCAAGAGCTCGGTCATGGAGCAAATCAAGGTCATCAAGCAGACCATCGAGAAGAAGTAATACAAAAGCATGTAGAAGTGTAAAATTAGCCTGTTGTAATTTTGTTCATGTATTGTCAAGTCGAATCCTCGTCGATGTCTAGCTTCAACGCGACCCTGTCAATAACCGACTCCGCTTCGTGCCCCTGTACTGTACCTCCACTACCACTTGGCCTTTTGTTTACTCGACTATCCGCTACAAGCCAATATCGCACAATAATGTCGAAGCCAACACTTGTGCTCACTGAAACAGACGAGGCAGGAAATGTCGTTGCGACATACCATCAGACGAGCGCTGCCGAACGCAATTCTACGAGGATAGACAGAATTGTAANNACACTTCCGAGCAAACCAGTTCAACCCACGCATTTACACCCACCACAGGTACCCGAGAACTCTCAAAAATCGCTCAAGACTCTCCTTGATGTCTTCCTACCATCCGGATATCCTCAGAGCGTGAATGAAGACTATCTGCCGTATGACGCATAACTTACCAGGGTCATAGGTACAACGTTAACTTGGAGCAACACAGATATCAAATCTACGTACGCACTCAAATACCTTACGACCGTAACAATGTAGCCCTGATCTAATGGAATAACAGNNGACTCGCTACAGGCATTTGCTAGCTCGATAGCTGGCCTTCTCGCTTCCAGAGCAGTGCTCGAAGGTCAGTCGGCAGTTTGTCCCTTTCCGGATACTCGCTCCGTCGGGNTTCCTGAGTCCCCACGAACGTCATTTTCGCTACACCCGCTTCCGAGAATGAGAGCCTAACAGAAAATAAACGGTATAGGTGTTGGCGTGGGTGATGCCTCGGCGTCCGCTACCAATGCGCTCTTACTTTCTATCTTGCAAGAATCTATGGGAAGAGTTGCGACGATANCTTTTGCGCATCGATTTGGCACATCCCTTGAGCCCGAATGCAAACTTTACCGGTTGTTGGTATGTTAATACAATTTTACGAGGGCTCAATGTTCTGAGACCTTCTCACGTGGCTCTCTACCACTCTTCAAGACAAACTATACTTACCCCTTGCATGACTAATTCGCGCTTTCGTGCGTAGNNGCTGATATTTTCAATGATGCTGCTATGGTTCTGGATTGCCTATCTCCAGTGTTTCCAAAACCGTTGCGAGTCGTGATACTGGCGACGGGCAGTGTCTTGAGGTCGCTATGCGGCGTTGCTGCCGGAAGTTCCAAAGCAAGTCTCAGTGCGCATTTTGCTCGATGGGGAAATCTGGGAGAGCTCAATGCTGTAAGTTTCATCAGGACTCGGAAAAGAATATCAATTCTTGAAACGAACAAGAACCTAATCTCCCCCTTTGGCCGCAAAAAATCACCAAATCTTGGTACTGATGCGCCTTTCTTCTAGAAAGATTCGAGTCAAGAAACTGTAATTTCGCTGCTTGGAATGCTGGTCGGTTGTTTGGTCGTCAAGACTGTCAACACGCCGTTTGCAACTTGGACGACATTGCTGCTGTTGCTGACGTTGCATCTTGCGACGAACTACATGGCGGTGAGATCGGTCTGCATGCGCACTCTCAACCGTCAGCGCGCCAACATCGTCTTTGCATATTTGCTCAAGCACGATCGCGTCTTGAGCCCTAAACAAGTATCGGCGAAGGAGCGAATCTTCGAGCAAGATGGAATATTGCGTGATGCGGATGACAAGTGCTTGGGCTACTGCAAAATAGGAGTCCCCGCTTCTGAATTGTTGGAGCGTTTGGGAAGGACCGACAGGCTGACTAGAGCAACTAACATTCCGGATGGCCGACTACTGCAGCTTGTGGAGCTGTTCGAGGAAGAAAGCTACCTCGTCTATCTGGAACACCCGTCAGACATGACCTGCATTTTGTTGAAGAAGGGCAGTGATACTACGGCTCAGTTGAAGGCCTGGTACCATGCCCTGCTTCTCGCACGGCAGATCAAGCAGGGGTCAAAAGGTGGGAGGGATTCCATGGATGCGCTCCAAAGCACACTTGTGGCTGTAAGGAAGGATTGGCAGAAGGTCCAAGCAAGGCTTGGTGAAGCAGGTTGGGATTTGGAGACGGCAGCGCTGGAGACAACCTCAGGCTCGAGGGTGAGCATTCAGAAGTGAGACACAGGCACGCATACGAGCAGGGATTCTTGGGAGCTGTTCCCTGACTTCCACAGCTTATCGACGAGTAGTCATCATCGGCGATCGCAAGAATACTCAGATACGAGAAGCTTGTCTGTGTGTCAAGAAGCACGTTTTCATGAATGCAGAAGAAGACCACGGATCAGTTGTTGTCTTGAGGCTTTTGCATATCGGGTGACGAGTCAGTGCAGAGACGTATGCCGAACCAATCACGCCAACAGATCGTCGTCAAATGGCACGAGAGCATGCGCGCACAGAGGGAACGGATCCCGGATGGGCAAAACTTCCTTTGGGAGTCATGCTCCGGCGAAGTTGCGAGCCAGAAAGTTAAGCTTAGAGGCAGGCGTTTGATGTCCTTGCGATGGAAGCTCTGCAACTTTCGGAGCCGCCCACCCCTTGATCCATAACTCCATGTACCAAGGTAGACAGCTTCTAAGTTTGCTCCGGCGCCTGTCAAAACATACTGTATCGCACCGGTTTCACCAAAAACTAGGAGCAGATTAATTGCATGAGAATAAGGGAGAATGACAAGACCAACGGCGCAGCACGAGCGACGCAGCGCCGCTACTGCCCGCCATCCCCCGGGCCCCGGGTGAGGTGAAGAGACGAGTAGGTAAGAGATCAGCAACCCATGGACGTAATGACCAGCGGCAGTGATGTAGAGGTTTCTAAATTCTCGCAAAGAGGAAAAGGATACATAGATAAGAAGTTAGACATCGAGTGAGACAGGTTGTCGCCATCTTCCGCAGCCGTTGGTTGTAATAATACTGTTTGTACAACTGGTCGCCACGCTGAGGCCCAATCAGCCGGGTTCCGTAGAGGCAAGGTTTTCTCTTGCAGCTGTGCAGGCATGCAAACAAGTTCAACAGCAAACAGTGGTTCCTACGTTGACCGAAAAGTCAATATCAACAATAAAAATAATTGATTGCTGGTGAGCGATAGAAGTAAAAAATCCCAAACTGCTGGGGGCCGATAGAAGGGCCGTGTCGGGACTGATGACGGAGATGGCTACCCGTGTGGCACGTAAACCTGAGCTTCGGCTCTTTGTGCCCTTCTAGAAGACTGCTTCGAAACTTGGTCGTGTTTCGAGCAGCTCGACCAATGGCACGCGGCCTTGCAGCCAAAAAAGCCACTCCCAAACACGAAGGCATGAACACGATCGACTGGGAACAGCAAAGGAGCAACAAGCCAACGCTGTGGACTGGCAGGGACGTGGAACGATCGACATGATACATGCCCCCTTCTCTTGTTCAGCACAACGGTAAAGGGTCTTTAAAGTGCTCGAGCTTTGCGGCGTGCCAACCGTCGACACACTCGAGGGACGGGATGTGTATGCTGTTACGGGCGTACAGAGCGTCTGCGAGGAGGCTCAGCCCTACTCTAAAAGAACGGGTACCGGAGAAGAAGGAAATTGACGTAGAGAACGACAACAGAGTTCAAACAACTCGCAGATTGACAGTCATGGGATAGAAGTTTGTTTTGCGACTGCCGTTGGCGGTGAGAGGGCCCGCATGGCAAGCGATCGGTGATTTGGCGAGCGCATGTCTCATTCTTTGGGCATGTCCAAACAAACACAAGATTAAGACGGCGTTCGGGGATCAAAGAAGACAGGCCATGAGTGCAGTGAAGTGCAGTGGGGTGCAGCATGGCGGACAAAGGAATGGATCACTGCGCCAACCCACACAAAAGAAGCGCCAGGCAAGACGAAATCAGCAGCCAATGCCTGTGCATGAGGGCGCAGCTTAGTGGGTCGCGCCATGCCACATCGGGCGTAGTCTGTTCTTACCAGTTTCTANGCGTGGAAGGTGCTGAATCCGTTAGCGCTNGCCAAAGAGGGAGTACCTTCCTCCCGCGCCCTCGTTCTGCAAGAGCGCACCACATCACCTCACACACCCAGCCGGTCTCGTCTCGTCCTCCCTTCTTTNTCGATTTCACTCTTGTCCACTCGCTGCAAAACCCCGCCCGTGGCTCGTCGATCACACACCGAACGACTANNCGACTCCAATTCACTCGGACGCTGGTTACTCACTCTTTCGATTCTCTGAACAAAGACCACGATACAAGGCCCGTCGCTCGCTCTTTCCCCGGACTCAATCTCGAAATCCTCAGCTCTCTTCTTACGGCCGGCCTACTGGTTTTACTGAAAATTCACGCCATACTTTATCAACTGTCTCTGTTGTCGCCGCCTCNNCTGTTCCCTGCGCTTCGATATACTCCTGCAGCTGCCCGTCACCAAGAAAATTCCCCTGTCAGCTAGCTGTGCGACACGCCGTGCATAAGCGTAACCACGACAGNNCCGACGTCAGACACGACAAGCATTAGAAACCACGACAACAACACCTTGCTTCTGGTTCATGTTTCGCTTCTGACCCACCGCAGCACAAGACAAGCCAGAGACTCGTGGGAGATTGACTCTTCCACTCCAACTCCCAAGCTGGCGCCTATATTTGAGCACCAGCGTGCCTCTGTTGGCACCCTGACCACAGACTCAACCCACAGCAACTCTGCTGCTGGAACCCGTCGTAAGAGCAGCAACGGCTTCTGGGGCAGCGTGATGAGCTCGCGCAAACCCTCACATTTTCAAACCGATTCTGCCCACTCTGCAAAGATTGCCATTTACTCATCTACCACCGACTGCGACGCCGACGACGAAGCCACAATGTCTGCCGAGGAGGCACCACAACAACAACGTCCTGCCAGCGTTCACATGGCTGTATCTGCTCCCTCTTCAGCAACATCAGAAACACGGCCAATGTCCTCGGAAACTGCACCTTTCTGCCCAAGGCGACCAAACCTTCGCGAAATCCTTGCAAACACAGCACCTGCACCCTGGACTCTCGCTGCCTTCATGGCTTACCTCTCTAACAACCACTGCCTAGAAACACTGGAATTTACCATGGACGCAGGTAGATACAAGAAGCATTTCCACAGAATGATGAATAAGGCTCCTATTCCTGGTCAACCAACGGAACACGATGCAAACTATGTCAAGGAACTATGGGTTCGTTTGATGGAAGCTTACATTCAGCCCAATGGCTCGCGTGAAGTAAACCTACCATCGCAAGTCCGTGATCCCATCTTGGGTCATGTGCCTGCAAACACACTGCCACCGGAGCCTTCAGTACTGGAGCCAGCCGTCTCCAAGACTTACGAGTTGATGGAGGAGTCAGTCCTGGTACCATTCCTCAACAGTGTTTATCCTCAATCACCTACACCCGTCAGCCCTTACTACTCCAACAACTCAAACGAGAGCATGACAACGACCTCTGAAGAAAAGTCGTCCCGTTTTGGTCGCCGCAGCCGTCATTCGTCGAGGGGTAGCCCTCCTCCTCTTAGCGCGAGCTCTGTTGAATTCTCCGCTTCCTCCTATTCTCCTCCTTCCCTGAACAACCGCAAATCTGCACCTTCGGCTCTCACTACTGCTCTCTCTCGTCACCGTTTCTCCACCAAGCTCAGCCCTACCAGCTCAGCGCCATCTCACTCTATTTCCGCTGCTCTCAGCACAACAAGTAGTGCATCTGAAGCCCTCTGTACAGGGCCTGGACTTACCGACGACTCTGGTAGCAGCGGGTCGCCGATAAACGAATGCCCAATGACTCCACCAGTCACACCGCCAATGAGCGATATCAGCGGAAGCCCCAGAACGCACAGAGATAGCGGCACCTGGAGGAAGCTGGGCCGCTTGAGTGGCTGGAAGCCATCACGGAAAAGAAGCCAGCCAGGTTTCGACCTCCACACCACATGAGGTCTTTTAGGGGGACTTCTTTTATGAACCAGAGTCCATTCCGATGACCGTCATGTTTCACGTCACGCAGCGAATGCATCAAAATTTTCACAATCATGGTTAGGCGCTGGGGAGTTTTCAGAGACTACAGGAGCATGTATACTCCTATGATGGGACTTTTGGCATTTTTCTTAGCAAAATAGGTTTTGTGATTCTTATCAACGAATCAATGAGCGGATGGACATGGAGAGCTGGCTTCTAGGCCGGCGGTGGGTCTTGTACGAAGACAGCGGCCGATGGCTGGTTTTGACTTTGTTTACTTGCGACACGCGAGCTCGACCTTACGAGGCAGCCACAGAATTGTAACAATATTTTCATCTCCTTCAAACAAACACACAAAGCCTCAATTTACAGTAGTGCAGCACCAGTGATGTCTAGAATGCCATAGATGCTGCCAGGTGCTCGAAGCGGCTAGCTGGGTGACGCAAGTACCGCACCCAAAGACGCCATGTGTCGCGGCACACCAAGCTGTACAAAGTAACACAGCAGGATGCAGCCCAAGCAGATGCACTAAACCGTTTGTACATTTGGTATGCGTTCCCGAGGTAAGGTGACCAGTGAACAAGCACCAGAGATCGATGTGCGGCTCGGCCTACTCCTGCTGGCCGGGCATGTGGTGATGCACCAGATCTAATGACATCACTTTCGGACATGGGTTCGAGATGGTGTATCCATGTGAGAGAGCACAGCAAGCCCTGCTGATGGAATTGCACAAGGACGTCAGGAAGAAGAAAAGCTGCTGCCAACAATCCTACACGACTATGTCAAACGCTGACACCGCCTGCTCTAATCCGTAATGTCGCAGAGTAGTCAAGTCTACGAATTACCGGGCGACCTCCCGCCAGTGGCCGAGTTGCCTGATGACTCTTTACCAGCAGAATTACCTGGGAACGAGTTGTCCAAAGAGGATGATGATACTGACTCAACACGGCCACCTGCTGGTCTGATGCCAGCGCAACACTCGAACGATCTGCTACCAACGCCTTTCTCGGCATTCTCTACCATCTCATCCAATCCGTCGCTGAAGCCTTCCCCTCTCAACTTTTCACGGCCGAACTTCTCGCGACCACGTCCAGTAGAGGCCACCTCGTACAACTTTGGCAGCAGGGCTGGTCCTATTCCCGAGTACGACCCAAACAATCGACCGACGCTCTCTGAACCTGTTCAGGCGCATCGTGATGAACATGCCGAAGAGAAGACTGAGGATGAAGAAGAGAACGATGATGGTGTTGAAACACCTGGACCGTCGTTCGGGACATATACAAAGAGTGTTCCACAGCACAGTGTAGACGATGGAGCAAGTATAGGAGGAGCCAGTATCGACGAGGCTATTCCGCCTCCGATCAGGACATATGCAGACCTGAGAGATATGCCATTGGCAAGGGACAGCATCGATGAGGCCACACCCCCAGCGATACAAGGCTCCAGGGGCTCAAGAGGCTTCAACCACGATTTCAGTACATTGAACATTTCAAGAGGTGACAGCATATACGAAGAATTTCCCACACCTCCTGGTACCAAATCTCCAAAGGAACAATTTCGGAAAGACTCGCAGGCCTTACCGCAGTATCTACGAGAGAGCGCCAACGATGCTACACAGAATCCTCATCCACTTGCACGCATGAACACAACCAGCTCGATGGCGAGTAGCTTTGACGAGGCTGCACCACCTCCTGTAAGCATACGGAGACGTGACCTATTGCATATGGATACCGAGAGTTCGAGAGGAACAAAGTCTTCAAACCAGACAAAAGGCTCCAGGGTGGACAGCGTTGTAGATCCATCTCCCAGCGTCCCACCTAAAAGCGTTGCACGGAAAGAAGCCTTAGCAGAGCCCTCTGCACCAAATGTGCTCATCTACAAACCATACCTGGACTACGCCTCTAGTAAAGGATCGGATTCAATTCGGTCCACCAGCACTCGCGATGAGAGCAATTCGAATTCCGGAATTGATAGCGATCGGCGGTACAGTTCTGCAGGCAGTGAGACCAGCTCAGTGGCCGACTTTGCTTTCGATGGTCAACTAGGCTGGAACCCACGCAACAACGTAGCCCCTGCAAAGGAAGCCAATCGTCAGCAACGCTGGTCAGCCCCTCTCACAAAACCTTTGAAATTGGTCACCTCTCGATCTAAGGGCAAAGAGAAACAACAGACACCAATGCCTACGATGCAGGAACAGCCATCACGACAAGGCTCGAATGCAAGTTCACAAAACACTCTTTCACCAGCGTCGAGCAGGGCATCTACAGGCACAGGTAGCAGTGCTTCCAGCAGAGCACCCACCATCCCTGAACGAATCCCTCGCATCATCAAACGCACGTCTATTGATCAAATGTCCGAGCATGTCAATCCCTGGCAAGGCGAAACCATGAGCGACCGTGGAAGCGTGTCTAGCAACGAGTGGACGAGCAGCGAAGTTGATACATCAGGTCTGAGCGTAGAGAAGATACACAAGCTTAAGAAGAAAGGCATCAACCCCGCGCTCTACGTCGAGATGCAGAATGCACGCAAAGGCAAGAACAAATGGGTTAGTCCTTTGCAAGGCAACTCTTTCATATGATTCTTGTTCGTTGTGTGCGCATTATTCGACAACACTATGCTCTGGAGAGAGCACACAAGCTATGCATCAAGCTCACTATGCTGTCGGCGCCATCCGAAAGGCATACTCCAAACCAATGCTGCCTCTTCACGGAGTCTGAGAGTCTCGACCTGTAAAGCGTTCTTCACAACATGGGAGTCTCGCTACACCACAACAGCTGGTGACGAGGTGGCAGAAGCCACCAAAGCGGAAGATCTGGCTAAATATTGACTCGCGACTCTCCCATGACTCCTCCTCATCGTCCCAAAACCCGTTCGTATTTGCGCTCGCTGCGCTTTCGCATTCGACACAAAATCTGCTCGAGCAGCAAGCAAGATAAGGTTTTTGGCTTGGTATGGGAGACCGTTGCAATGATGAAAGAACGAGAGCGACAATTCTCGTTGTAACGGCTGTTTATCCGAATGTCTCGCGAGTCGAAGCCGTTGAAAAAATCGCTTGTTATGAATTAATCTGGACTTGCGACTGCGAACCATGACAAAGAAACAATTGTTTAGAAAGCAAGAATGGAAGATTGTAATGTAATATGCTGCCCAGGGGCCAGGGATACGTGGTGGCGCGAAGAAGAAGCGAGGATGTACCAAGATATTGATGAACCCTTGATCTGGTCCTTCGATCGTTGGTACAGCACGTTTGATTCACGTTTTATAGAAGGATTCTCTGTACCTATTTTCGCTTATACATGTTTCCAATAACATGGGATTTGTCTGACGGTACGGTGCTTTCTTTGTTTGGGTAGGATCAAATAGATTGGCGAATATCGTCCATATATGGTTTACGATGACACCTCTTTCCCGAAACCACAACCCTATGTTTGGAATATGGTCCCTCGCTCTATTGCTTGTCTTTGTAGATCCCCGTTGAATGGGATTCGAAGTAGGGCGAAACAGTATTCATGCAGTGACCAAAGATAGCCAGAGCAAAAATACATGGCATTCTCCGTTCACACACAAAGGTCATCTGCTCTACAAGCAAGACATCTCATGGGTATCACTCGCTACCACAAAACTTGGTTGTTGTGGCTATAGGTCAGCTGCTCCAAGGTCAACTTGGAGATGGTCTGGAAACACGGCCTGGAAGGAGGACGATATGGAAGTAACGATCAATGATTGAACAACGTACAGCAATACTTAGCGACATGATTGAACAACAACGTATAGCAATGCTTAGCAACAGGATGGAAGGTTTCTGTTGTCAGCGATAGATTGCTATGATTTAGTGGCAAAGATGTCCCCTTCGGGCGCCTGATATGATGTCCTCTAAGCCAAGTGCTTGTATTATGATTTCGATGATGGCCTTTTGTTGCTGAACACCTCGTTTTCGGAAGTGTCGTCCTTGATCCTTCGGTGTAGAGCATTAGACGATAGATTGCATACGACTTTTCTGAATTCAAAGACTCATCACTTGCTCATACTGGTTCAATATGATATGTCTAATGATGCTATCTAGTCACATTAGAGCTTGTTAAAGACAAGGCTGGAACTACGATTTCCTGTTCCAAAGGGAATCACGGCCTAGAAGGAAGACGATACGGAAGTAACGATCAAAGATTGAACAACGTACAGTAATGCTTAGCGACAGTATGGAGAGTTTTCGTTGTCAGCGATAGATTGCTATGATTTGGTGGCAAAGATGTGTTCTCCGGTCTCCAGATCTGTTGTTCTCTGGGAAGAAGTCAAGTGCTTGCATGGTGTTTCTAAGCTCAATTGACGATGCCACCTCGTCTGGAAGCTTCGTCCTTGATTTTTCGTGTAAGCTTTAGACGATGGACTGCATACGACTCTACTATATCTCCGTCAACAGATTTTCTGGCTTCAAAGGCTCATTACTCATCCTTACAAGCTTCATATGATATGTCTGCTGCCTGCTATCCAGTCACATTAGGGCTTGTCAAAGACAAGGCTAAAACTACGATTTCGTCTCTGACTTCCTGTCTTCCTGCATACTCTTCGGCAATCTCGAGCTTTCCAATACTGTTCATACTGTCTCCGAGTGGAGCACCGAAAGTCCTGACTATCGGCATCGCTTTGTCGTCCAGACAGGAAAGTTTGAATCCTTTTGTTTGGCTGGCACTGACTTTGAAAGTTACAGTGGCACCCTGAAGGGAGGGCAAGGCACATGTGTAGCTAGAACTCAACATAGACTTTCGTTTGATTTCGATGGCTTTATCTTGGACAACGACGTTGATCCGGCTGGTCAAGGTATGGAAAGTCGTGTTTCCAATTTCTGCTTCAGTTGCCGATTTGACAACAACATGAGGACTGGACCAGTGATTGTCGACAGTGTAGAAGATGGTTTCTGGAAAATTGGCGTCGACGACCAATATGGTTTTACACTTCCAGTCCTGATATCGTACTAGCATTGACATCGCCATTGTCGAGTCACTAGGAGAATCTTCAAAACAGGCCGAGAGAGTGCGAACAATTTGAGGTTGCAACGAAGACAGTTGTGGATCTGAAGGTTATGGCAGTTCGCAAGTCTTTCTAGGTTGGTTGGATGATCGAGACATATGTAGATGGAAAATTAAGAGGCGGATGCGGGATATATCTTAACATCTGGCGGCACTTAAGAAACCCTTTATTAGGATATCGTAGTAGCATGGCACAGGGTAGGCAAGACTGGTGGTCGAGTCGTACAGCACAGACTCTGGTCTGAAATAGGTCATAAGCTGCGATCTTGCGATGCTGCGCCCTCCTTCAGCCTCTTGGCTTCCGTTTCTTCGCAAGGATAGACCTAAATCATGAACTAAGAAGAGCCTCATTGACATTCACATCAGAGTGCCGGAAATTCCGTTAGGAAGTAGCTGTGCAGGCTGCCGGAAGCAGTACACAAGACCGTTCATGTGGTTGAGGCCGAGGACATGACAGAAGCCGAATCAATAAAAGTCGGACTCGAGGACGCAAAACTCCTCGAGACAACTAGCACTCACTACAGTCAGTAAGAGCTCCACTATCTGCTGGAGTGGACAAAACAGATACAAAACATACAGCAGCAGGGATTCCCACGTGGTCACCCACCGTAGTACTAATCTGCCGTTCAACTGCTTATGTATGGCAGAGCGGACGGGATGCCCAGTTTTCAGCTGACTGTGGCCGTATGTACTTGAATCAAGATTTTATCGAAATATATATAGATCATCGATGTCGAGTGCCCAAGTCATGCACGGATTGATGAAGCAGAGACGTCTTCAATCAAACACTTGGAGCACATATGGATATGCGTGTTCGTAGTACAAAAAGCAAACGCGTATGATTATCTCATCTCTATGTATATACATTATGTCGTGAAAAGAATCCAAATAACACCAAATGGATGATTATGTACAACGGGAAGCCAACAGAAGCCAACATCTGCTGTCGCCGAAAAGTCTACTTTCTATGTTTCTTGTGCTTTCAATGCGTCGGTTTTGCATCATACACCTTGTTGCCCATGAACGCTAGCATAGCGATCCATAAGGTCAAAGACCATGTTGTTGTCGACGCGACAGTCGTTGCCGCCAGCACGGCAGCCCAGCGCTGACTCGACCTCGTCGCCTGCTTCGGAGTGCAAAGCGCGGATGGCGCCTGCCGCTGTGAAGCACGATGAGGTGTTGTCTTGACGCTTGTATCCAGCAGTGGCCGAATGAGTGGGTGATGCGTATGCTGCTGAGACTGGGAAGTTGGGCGGGGGTGATGTGAACTGGGTTCCAGGCGGGTAGCTTCCGGGTTGTGGCATGGAGTCGGCGGCGGCCATGTCCCAGTCCAGCAATTGGGATTGGGGTACTGGATAGCCGAAGGGTTGTGGTGCATATATAGGGTATTCCTGAGAGAAGGCTCCAGGAGAGGTATGTACGTTCTGATGAGGTGCAAGAGGTGCAGAGGCGTGGGACGCAGGCGACATGAAGAACTGCTGCTGAGGTTGCAGCTGTCGATGCTGAGGATGACCTTGGAATTGCATATGCTGCTGACCCTGTTGGAAGTGTTGTTGTTGATGCTGAGGCAACTGTTGATTGTGCACAGCAGGGCCGTGGGACTGGGGCCTGGAGACCGGAGTAGATGCAGCAGAGGCAGGAGCAGGGGCAAGAGCGATGGGCCGGAGCTGTTTCTGCTGTTGCGGTTTTGCAGCAGCTGATGCTGGAGCAGCAGGGGCTGAGATAATGCTCTGTCGTCTCGAGTCGGCGTCATCGTCCTCGTCCTCGGTCTTGCACACCCGACTGTCGCCACAGCCTGAGCCCGACGATGGTCTACACGGCTTTCTGGTCACCAGCATGACCTCTAGCATCTCAGCAGCCGAGGGCGACGAGGCGAACTCATCGTGCTCGGGGCCATCAATGTCGGCGTCGCTGAAGCCCTGGTTCCGTAGCAGGCGGCGCAGACGCTTGTTTTCGTCGAGGACTTTTCGGGCGGCACTCTGTATTTCCTGTGAAGCCTCTGCTCCTACGGCCTCGCACGACCTGTACTTGGTCTCGAGTTCTTGCAGATATTCCTTGCGACGGGCGCGCGATCTTCGCTGGTTGTCANNCTACGGGCATGCAAAATTAGCCTTTGCTAGCATCTGTGCTCATTCGGTTGTTTTGTACCGGATGCGCGCCAGGTTGGCCTTNTGCTGTGGCGTGGGTTCGCTCATGGTTGAATGTCACTGGTCGTCAAGCCGTGTTATTCGTTTGATGCAGAGACACGACGATGGGTGGGCAGGCGCATCTTGTTGATAAAGTAGAACGAAGGTTAAGAGGGTCCTGGACTTGTGAAGATCCAGCCTCTGCAAAAGCAAAGGCCCTCTCTTCCCCGAACCATACGGGGAACCATCCAAACCTTCCTTCGTCCATGTCTCGGTCGCATACCTCCTGCTACATGAATATTTCTCGACACTGGACGAGGCAGTCTCTTCCAAGTATAGGGCTTCGTCTTAAATACAGGCAATATATGTAGGCCAATCTAACCACATTCTGCGTGCCACCAACCCAGATAAGAGACCATCAAGATAAGAAATGCTAAGTGCCTACCTTTTGACTATTACCATTACCTCGGGTCTTATTGGATGACGTCCAGAACGTACGTTGTGCATTGGGTTTTCTTAAGTCCGTTGGAGAGAGCACACGTTTAGAGTACGCGTCTGCTTGATCAAGGTTCGCACCAGGTCACATTCACGTTCGCATTCGCATTCGTTCTCGAGGGCGAAACAGGCAGCTTGCAGGCGCATAAAAGACGCAGATGACTGCTGATGCGAAGCACCCGGGATTCGACATCTGATGCACAGCCACTCTCCGCACGTGACACGACTCAAGGTCATCTGGGCAATGCAAGCCTCGGTCTTGTTCAACATCTCCTCCTCCTTGGCTCTACCAAAGCCCTCGACCAACGTACCACACCCCGCCGTAATCATAATCGTCTCTTCTTCCAATGTAGTCAAAATGGACACCTTGGCTGTCGCCGACCATATCGACAATCTGAAGACACGGCTCATTGATCGACCCGTTTGTGAATCTTCTTGTTCTCCTGGAGATCGTTGAGCAAAACTGCTAAAGTCATGACGACCGTTCGGCGAGAAAACCGTAAAATCAAGTCGCTTATACCAGAACTTAAGGTTCCGAGAAATCGGCCGCAGCGTGTATCATAGCAAAGACCTCACGACAAGATCCGATCTGGGCAAACGACAACTTGTCGGCTTCCAATCTGCCATGTCGACGCCTTTTCAATACTCAAGGTACCCTCCAAGGGGCCAAGTCCTTGGTTCGTTTGTTTTGCCATTGCCTGGCTTCCCCTTTCATCGTAAGTTTCAATCTTCCAACGACCTCTTGTCTTGACCACCATGGATTTCGACTTGGTATCGCCTACGCCTACCTTGACCTCTCTTTGCCATCAACTTGGCTGGCTTGGTTCTTCTTGACATCGGGATCATACGGACGATCTTGCAACATCCCCCGCATCTGTGGAGCAATAGTATGGGGAGTGAACAGCATGGGGTAGTCTGGGGCTGGCGGCCAGATCAGTGGTAAGATCCTGGGCAAGGACTGTGCTTCTACTGAGGTCCTCGAAATATATAAATTCTGTCCTGGAGGCCGTCCTCTCGTCAGATCAGTGCGAGCTCAATTCGATTTCTTCTTATCTTCCTCAAGCCATTTTCCAATCATGCAGAAAGACATCAGCGAGAAGCCATCAGTCATGATGGTTGAAGACATCGGCAACGATGATGATCTTCAGAAGCCTCAAGTCAAGAAAGACTATTCAGGAGTGGCAGAAAAAACAGATCCTGCTGAGATAGCCCTTGTGAAGAAGCTTGACAGATGGATCATGCCCATGCTGTGGTCAATGTATTGGCTCAATTACCTTGACCGCAATGCTATTGCGTTGGCCAGACTCAACGACCTAGAGGAGGATCTCAATTTGACAGGCACCCGTATGCCACACCTTCATCTATCAACGGTTGACACAGTACTGATCACAAGCANNGAATACCTTACTTGCGTTTCCATTCTCTTCGTCGGCTACCTCCTTGGACAGAGTAAGAGCTGCGGTTCGCTCATAGCTACGAACAAAGTCGACTTACACGAAATTANNGTCCCATCCAACATGTTCCTCACAAGAACAAGACCCAGCTATTACATGGGGTGCTGCATGGCTTTGTGGGCTGTAGTATCAGCTCTGACCGCCGTCTGCAACAACTTTGTCGGTCTTCTGCTGGTTCGCTTGTAAGAGACGTCATCTCTGTCTTGATCTGGGTCTATGGCTGACAAAGAACACAGCTTCCTTGGTGTGACAGAAGCACCTTACTATCCTGGCGCTGTCTACCTCCTCAGTATCTTCTACAACCGCAAGGAGATTGCCACACGTATCGCTATCCTCTACACTGGTAACATTCTCGCCACTGCCTTTGCAGGTCTCATTGCCGCTGGTGTGTTCCACGGTATGGACGGCTCTGCAGGTTTGACCGGATGGCAATGGTTGTTCATCCTCCAGGGTGCAGTCACATTCGTCATTGCCGTAATCGGCTTCTTCTGTCTCCCAGACACCCCACTGACAACAAAATGGTTGACCCCTGAGGAAAGACAACTCGCCCACGCTCGCATCGCGGCCGACACTGTTGAGAAGAAGGGAGATACTAGTGTCTGGAACGGTCTCAGACAGGCTGGTTCTGACCCAGTCGTATGGCTCTTTGCTCTGATGGCTCACCTCCACTTGGCTGCCAACGGATTCAAGAACTTTGTAAGTCTCTACACTTGGTTGGATTCTAAACACAAACTGATGAGCTCTCCCAGTNTCCCTACCGTAGTCAAGACTCTTGGTTTCAACACCACAATTACCCTTGTACTGACTTGCCCACCTTACCTTATTGCCGGCGCTTCGACACTCCTGGTTTCATGGTCTTCTGGCAAGCTGAACGAAAGAACATGGCACATCACTGCTTCCAAATCAGTCGCAATCGTGGGCTTCATCGTCGGTGCCGTGGTGATGAACACTGGTGTCAAGTACTTTGCCATGGTCGTTTTCACAATCGGTACTTATGCTGTCAACTCCCTCATTCTTGGCTGGGTCGGATCTACCTGTGGTCAGAGTACTGAGAAGAAGGCAGCAGCCATCTCGATCGTTACTACAGTGATGAACGCTTCCTTCATTTGGACACCCTATCTCTGGGATCCTAAGGATGCGCCTCAGTATCAGCCTGCCATGTTCTCGAGCGCTGCCTTCTCTGCTGGTACCGCTCTCGTTGCGTGGATCGTCAAGATTATTATGAAGCGTCGTAACCAGAAGCTTAGACAGTCTGAAGATGAAGTCCAGACTTTCTATGTCTACTAGATAGACCTGGTTTGATGGTAACGAAGTCTTTTACAAGAGTGTTAAATACAAGTGGGAGATGCATATTTTGAATTAGCACTAGTTCATGGCAAGCTTCCGGCTTAGAACGTACGAGTTTGAATACACAACAGAACCTTTGTTTCCCTTTTCATGACAACTGTTCAAGTTTGGATGGGGTCTGCCAATATGCAACCCTCAATCTTTCTGTGGTAGCAAGCTGGTCGCAATTACCTCGCACGCATATGTCAACTTGTTCTTCTTGTGTTATACCCCATGAACGCTATGAGGACAGCCCTATCTCACTGGCAGATAACGTTTGCTGATGTTAATTAAGAATATTGCCATAACCATGGTAGACATATATTTGAGGTAAGAGACAACCCTTCACATGCAAGTCGGAGGCTCAAAAGAGCAGGTGTGAGCACAGACCAAGTGGATCGCCGCTCTCTCCAGGACTCGTCCGACAGGCAGGAGCGTTGCCTAGAACTTGTCGCATACAACTTTCTTCCTTCTCTACACCACAACAACGTCAACCACAGCCACCGCTCATCGCAGACCATCTCTGCCACTCCTCTAAACCACAACAACACCAAGCACAACAACCGCAACCATGTCGGAACGCAAAGTGCTCCAGAAGTACTTCCCGCCAGACTTCGATCCGTCGAAGATGGTCAGGCAAAGAGGACCCAAGAAAACAGGACCACTTCTCCAGACTGTCAGACTCATGGCCCCGTATTCAATGAAGTGTAACGCTTGTGGAGAGTTCATCTACAAAGGAAGAAAGTTCAACGCGCGCAAAGAGACGACAGACGAAAAGTACTATGCCATCACTATCTACCGCTTTTACATCAAGTGCACCCGTTGCTCTCAGGAGATCACATTCAAAACAGATCCGAAGAATATGGACTACGAGGCTGAAAAGGGTGCCAAGCGCAACTTCGAGCCCTGGAGAGAGGCTAAACTTGCAGAAGAGACGGAAGAAGAGAGACTGGACAGATTGGAGCGCGAAGAAGCTGAGCGTGACGCCATGAAAGAACTAGAGACAAAGACTTTGGACGCGAAGACCGAAATGCAGATTGCAGATGCTTTGGACGAGATCCGTACACGCAACGCCAGGAACGAACGCGCTGCCAAGGACGGAGCAGAGGTCACAGTTGTGGACAAGGTTGACGACGAAAGAGAAAGACAGGAGGCAGAGGATGCTGAAGCAGCAAGGTTGGCTTTCCTGGCAGGCACAGGCGAGAAGGTCAGAAGACTGGTGGAAGATCCTGAAAATGAAGGGACTGGTACCGTTTCTACATCGACAACTGCTACAACTACAAATACGTCCATGGGTCCTCCACCCGTTCCGACTTTCGCCCGCAAACCAAAAAAGAAGACCGATTTCAGCGCAAAACTGGGTATCAAAAAGAAATCGCTCGTCTGATCCATTAACGCCTGTGGTGTCGCCTGCGCCTCGATCCTGAGCCAGACCCAACCGATCCATCACCCTGCTCACTCATCTGGCTCTGGTATTCCTCCGCCGCCCTTGTGTCTTCTAGCATCTTGCGCTGCGTCATTTCCGGATCATCATTGCCTCTTACACGCCTGATTATACGATAACTCTTACGACCCTCTGACGAATTTGACTTTTTATCTTCATCATCAGTGTCGTAGTCTCTCCTTCCGACCACTGCATTGTCATTCGTGTAGTTGTATCTCTGACTCGCGCTGCGTCCTGATGTAGTGTTGCTGTGCGTCTCGGACAAGGTGTCTGTCTTCGGTGCCTCAATTGGAGATATGTTGCTTGATCCTCCGTAGGTCGAATCGTTGAACTTGGTGCTGGAATCGAAGCGCAGGCGACTCAGACCAGGCGTGGGGCGAGGATGTCTGCTGCTTGTAACAGACGAATCGCCGCCGGGAATGGTCAAGAGTGGCAGGTCCTGCACTGCTCTGTGCGCATCCCTGCTTCTGGTTGACGATGTCCTGCTCGGTGTGCCCGAAGACGATGGAATGGTATCTCTGGTGGTGTATGCTACCGCAGCAGCACCTGGACCCTGAGGAGGTGTGGGACGATTGGGTGAGGTCACGAGTGCTGGCATTGCAGACGGAGGCGGTGATCTCCTGTTTGATTGATGTATGAACGTAGGCGGAGGCGGCATAGGGGCTTCGGGCATCACTTCACCTGACGCCCTCCTGCTCTCACCATGACCACGTCTCCTGCGAGATCCAATCCCTTCATTGTCCAGCCTGCGGATACTGAACTCAGGGAACCAGCCGCGAAGCCTCACACCGATTTCACTAGCGTAATGACGCTCTTCTCGAGGTTCTTGCCGACGACGAGGTGGGTCTTGGTGCAGCACGAGTTGATCATGTCTCGAGGATGAGGGATGACGAACAAGTTGTGAGGAACTTCCAGGCACGCGTTCTTCGCTCGTCTCTGTCCTGAGGTCGTTGCAGGGATGTTTGTTGACAGAGTTGTGGCAGGTATGCAGGACTTTCTTGATCTCCGAATAACCATCGGCGTACTTGACTGTTTCTTCCGTGATCAGACACATGGTTGTGGGGGGGGGGGGTCCTAGTTAAGGTGTTGCCTGGAGCGGCAGCAAGGGTATATGGGAAGCCCAGTAAAGGTCCTTTGGAGTGGTATATCCTCCTTGAAAGGGGCGATGATATCCAAGAAATGCCTGGTGTGTTTGTACTGGTATCCAAGATCCGTATCCTTTGGTCAAGAAGTGCCTTTGGGAGTATCAAGAACAAAGATGGAAGGTTTCTAGTATCAGAGGTTCCAAGTCAAGTGCAAAGGTCTCGTGTTGTATGTATCGAGATGTCTCAGAGTGCAGTGTGCCCCACGCGGATCAGGCACAAGTGCAGAGATGTTTCAGTCTGTGGAGCAAAGGATGAAAGGGAAACCAAAAGAGCCAAGAAGGATATCCAAGTCACAAAGAAAGAGACACACAAACGGGCAAGGCAGCAAAGAGAAGCTCGGATCCCAGCTGTATTTATTCTAATGCAATGATCCGCCGTGCAGTGCTGCTCTTTTGCTACATCATAGGTTGCCATTTGCTCGCAAAAAGGCAACTATTTCTGGTTTGGCTCACGATCGCTGGGCGTAAGGCTGCAGGGCCACCACGGCAAAGGCAGCCATGCGCCTCCACCAACACCATCGTTCTGGCTTGCAAAGCCACAAGACACCGACTGCGCTTTTGGGGTTGAATCCTTTACACTCCGGTGTCGACCTCCACGAACTTTTTTGGTTACGTTGATTTCGGATTTGCTCGCCGTGAGCAATTGCAAAAGGCTGGAAGTATTCAAAAGGAAGTGTTTAGTGGAAACGTGACTGCGTAGAAAGTCTGGTACATGGTGCAGAAGGTGTTGGTTGTTGCCTGGCCCATGACTGTCGTCTGCCTTTTCGCAGCGCCCGTTGCCCATCCATCTGCAGCAACTAGAATGTCCGAAAGATCAAATGATTGGCATGGGTCCAGTCATCTACACTTGGCACTTCCCGACACATTATTCTTTGCTAGGGAAACCATTCATTCGCTCATGGTTTGCGAAAGCCTCTACAGATCTGGCTTTGAAAGGATCCCGAGAGCATGGTACACACGCGCACCGGCCGCCCGATGCGAAGAAGAGACGCGGAGCACGCATGTGCGGATGCCAGAAATCATCACCACCACTTGCTGTTTTCATCGTCTGCACTTTTGTTTCAAAACACCCTGGTCGTCCGACACCACAGCTGCACCATGGAAAGGTACAACATCTCACTACCACTTCCACAACGAAAAGCCAAAATTCGGTCATTTGACAATCGGTCGCGGGCTTAGCTGTGCGTGTGTGGTGTAGGAATGATGACAGGAACCAAAGATGTATACGAGTACACCCAAGGTTTGTGTCAACAAGTGGACAGCCGCCGCCGCCGACGCGTGGGGGCATGATCGCCAGAGGCAGCGGCAGCGGTCCGTTTCGTGATGCTTCCTCGTTTTCTCTCATCCAACCATTTTGCTTCAGAGTTCTTGCTGCTCTGGAAGATCTTTTTGTTGTTTGGTCGTTTCTTGCTGCACTGGCCAACCAAATCGACTCCAATAAAGCTATACATTCAGAAAGTGCAGCAAAGATGCCAAACAGCGAGCAGCGCTGCGCAGCGCAACAGAGGATCGTATTCCGCTCCAGCTGGCAGCCTGAGGCTGTGCTGGGCTTTTCTTCCTGAAGAACAAGGATAGCAAGGTAGCTGTACATTCTGATATGAAGACACAGCCCCAACGTTTCAGCTGAACTGTCTACGCAATGGACACGCGATGACAGACGTTGGTGTTTCGGCCTTTTGGCCCCCATGAAAGATGACAGGAGGCTGACCGTCCGAACTTGTTTTGCTGCAAGCGATGCAAGCGAGGTATCCGGGCTTCCTGCATGCTTGCAGGTGCTTACTCCTGTGGCTGAACGTGACATTTCAGTCGTGTTGTATGAGCCACTTGTGGCTGCTGACCAAAATCATAATAGTCAATGAGAACAAGTGGAAGAAAGAAAGCAATCTGTATATTGTTGGTCTTTTCGATGTTTCAACCGCGCGAAAAGATACCCAGACTCTGGTATAGACCAAGTTGAGAAGAGAAGAGAAAAACACATCTGCGAATCAGATGTGCGAGTGGCTGCCTGCCCAGCCAATATATACACCTCGTGCCAGACAGTAGGCAGCCCCAAATTAAAAACAGTGTTCCGGCCACAACCAACGCCAAACGCTCTGTTTGATCCATGTCTTCTTTCAGTCGTAACAATGGCATAACTCATTCCTAAGAAAATTCGTAATCATGCTCCGATAGCAGCTTCGGGTAACAATCTAGACGGTAGTCGCATGATGAAGCCTTCACTCAGGCGTCGCCTGATGGATAGACCTTGACGAGCGGTACTTTGTAACAACCACATCGAACGCTGTAGGTCCTCTGGCCTTAGGAAAAGGTCAAAGTTGAGCAGGTAGCAGAAACTGATTTCTAGCTTCTTAAGCTCATTTGTGCTTATACCGCCCAAGCGGGCAATTCGCTCTTGCGTCCATTTGTTGTCTTCAAGGGATTTACTGGCTATTCGAATGGCGGCCAGTGCTAAGCGGTGTACTGTGCGAGGGGTGGCTGGTACCATGGTCTCAACAACACAAAGGCGATGTATGTAGGATGCTGCAGCCAAGTACACGCCAGGCGAGTGTGGGCTGAATTTGTGTATACGAAGGAGATAATCGGTGATAGAGAATGGCGGAGCAGCCTTGAGGAAGAATCGTCGCGAAACAGCTGCAAGCTGCAGGGCGTTGGCCTCGGCCACGTCTGGCTCGTAGTCGGCTGGCGGGGCGATGAGTTCGTCACGTTTGGCCTCGGGCGCGCCGATGTGGTGGACGGGAACGCAATGGTGCGGAGCGAGTGTTGGTGAGCCTTCCAACTCTGGCGTATGGGCAGGCGGTGTTATCGAGTCAGGCGATGGCGGATTCGAGCCTTCGTGGATTGTTGCCGGGGCTTTGAACATTTGTCTCTGGTATACGGGGGTGGTGCACGCGACATCTCCGGTGATGTTGGCTAGTGACTGCAGTGCTTGTGCCAGCATCTGTACAGCGGCGACACCTGACACCGAGTAGAGGTCCCAATTCTCGTCCTTGAGCATCAGCGGCTCGTTGGTCTGCTCCATGTCGACGTGGTAATCGTGTGGAAGGCGTCCGCTGTCTTGATGTGGATTTGGTTTGGGTGGTGCCTGTATACTGGTGGAGTCCATGTTTGCAGATTCGACAGAAAACACAGAAGGGGCGATCCGGGAGGTGTTTTGAGATAAGCAAAGGAAAATTGCAATAAAGCGTAGTACTGCCGACGGGATGCTCGGAGATTTGTTTGGCCTGTCCAACTTTCAAGAACGGCACGGCACTTCTATGGTCTTGTTGGACTCGGCGTGATTATCTGTCTGACTATTTGGTGGAAACAGACGGCAGTGTGTACAGGTTTGTGAGAGCATATAAAGGGTGAGTCAAAAAGAAGCCGCTGGGCTACGGGCAGTAATAACAAGATTGAGGGGAGATGGCGGGGCACCCATGGCGTGTTTTGCGAACGTGGACGCTGCCCGCATCATGCGCCCGTTGCTCCCAAAAAGCACCCTGATTTGCGCCTAATATTCATGTTTCACTTTTGGCTGCCACTTTGACAACCGTTTCAGCCTGACTTCCTTTTGCTCCGCTGCTTTTCCATCAAAAAACATCATATCGCTCTGCTCTTAACAGCGACAACATCAATTCCGTCATTCATACCATCACCTCGTCGTGCAAGACTCTGGAAACCTGCAACTCTCTTGCCGTTCCGTTCCTGCAGCCATCGTGTAGCTCTTCCGCTTACCGCCTTTGATTGGCCTCGGACCGGTTTAACCGTGCAGCTCTGCCTCTAGTCAATTCAGGCAGCATCACATGTGAATACAAACAGTTGTTCGTGTCCACGACAGGTGCCGACTGGCTGCCCAACGCCTTCATTCAATCAATCTCGCTCCTCCACAACCCGACATGAATCTTATTAGTAGATGTAGGGGAACAGCTTGTATGGCACCTCCTTCTTGACCTCTTTCCAGTGCTCCCCATACNNTGTTCATATATCAGCTCGCGTCTCCTGAAATGGTAAGTAAAAACGCACCTTCTTTGCCAGATATGTCTCCAACAATGGTATGGCTCTCTGAGAAAAGTCGCCAGCGAGGAACATAAACATTCCTAGGCCCGCGGGAAGGCCGGCGCAGACAATGCTGTAACCTGCTCTCCATAGAGTATAACCTCCATAGTTGATATTCCGTGCCAGCCCGAAAAGTCCCTCGGTACAGAGTTTGCCTTTGTTGGCTGGGTTCTGCTTGAACCGCTTGCGTTGCACTTCACACCACCACTCAGTAAACAAGCCGAGTCCGTAAAGTCCAGCACCAAGCGCGAGACTCGGCTGCGTCGTGAACATCGTAGACCAAGAGTCACCGACTGCAGGGCGATTGGAGGTGACAGCCCAGAGTGTCAGCAGAGTATTGACGGTATTCAGGACGGTGTTGTATGCGGCAACCATGGTGGAAAAGCCAGGGTCGAACTTGTTGTCTGCAACTCCGAGGCACCAGTAAATCTGCTTAGCAGCACTGCCAATAGCGAGTCCAAACACAAGGGAGTGATATGGCGAGAGGCCGATTGCCGTAGCTGGCAACGTGACAACACCAGGGATAGTCCTACCGCCTAACTTTTCCACGAGTTTCAATCCAACGCCAGATGACAGTAGCCAGTACTGTAGAGGCAGGTCGGCGAGCCTTAGGAATGTAAAGAGTGCATTTCCTGCGACACTCACTCCCTTCTTGCGTGTCTCGGCGAACCATGCAGGAAGGTCCTGTTGAGTACTGTCCTTGGCCATTGTATCTTGGGCAGACGCGTCAATGGCAGAAGTTCTTGAACGGTCGCGTGCGACGATCGGATGGTCTAGTGCTGTATACCAGAAACAAGTGACCAAGAGAGTTCGTCCTTGACTGATGAACCAAGATCTCGACTCTCGTGTCACTTGTGAGTCCTGACGTAGGCCATCCGGCGTGCCCCACTCTCAACCACGAGTAGCGCTTCTCTGCCAACTCTTGCTGCTTGCACATCCTTCTCGAGACAACACTCATCGCTGCACTGTCTTGTTGTCTGGACAGGCATTTTCCTCAGGCAAGCAGAACCGTTGAAGGCTCCACCAGTAGACACCAAGTTACGGACTCGAGGACCAAACATAATTACAGAACAAGCCTGAAAGCACCGACACTGCAAATGCGCTTGCGTTTGTGCGACACGATGTTACTGTCAAGATAATGGAACGAAGTAAATTAGTAGCGCTGCGGCGTGCTTTGCTTACATGTATGCGCGTCGGGACACAAAAAAGCCATTTTCAAGAAGGTAGCTGCGTACCTCATCGCATCTTTCGTAAGAGCTCTCTCATCGAAGCAGCCATCAAAAAAATCTCATATCAACGCGGTCCCTACTGGACGCTATAATCCGATGGCTTCTCATGAATATTGTCTTCGTTGGACCCATCTGCTAGATCTCACGGCTCGCGTGTAGTCTCATGTGATTATGGGAAGCAGAAAGTGGCAGTATCCCAAGATAGGATCCCATCACGGTCGCTGACCCTCGACAGTGTATCATTCAAATATGCAACATGCTCAATGGTCGGAGGCAGGCTAGAGGGGAACTTGAGGCAGATTGCCGCATTGATTACTATTTGAAAATATAACATGAAAGCTACAGGCTCGATCGCCTTTCTGGACCGCATGTACGTCTGCCGTATACAACACTCAAAGACTGACAACAATCTTCTTTGCACTCACACCCTCTTTGGCAACTTCGAACGCTTCCTCGATTCCCTCAAGACCTCTGCCTGCCACCTGAGGCTCCGGAGCTGGCAAGAACGATCTCTCCGCAAGTGCAATCGGCAGGAACTTCTCATACATCTCGGAGCCGAGCTTGTTCGCCATCACTTCTGTTGACCAGACAAACTTGTATCCAACACCACTCATAAAGCCCTTGAGCTTCCACCCAACAAAACTGGATCCCATCTTCCACATGATTGCGAGCATGCTTGTTGGGAACTCCTTCATTGGGATATCGTGACTGGCTTGAGCAACAAACTTCTTGCCCTTGGTCTTGCTGAGGATGTCGATGCAGGCGGCCAGAGATCCGACGCCGATTGCGTATGCGCCGGCAGAGATTCTGTGTTTGTTGTTCATGGTGGCTACGATGTCTTGTACTACTGTTGGGCTGTTGTAGTCGTATACTTCGGTGGCACCCAAACGCTTCAAGTACTCGTGGTTGTGGGGTGAAGCGGTTGATATGACTTCGTAGCCGGCCGCGACTGCTAGCTGGATGGTATTGCANCCTGTTTGCTTGTCAACGCGGTCAACTGTTTCGCTGTCCAAGGAGCTTGCATACCCAACACTCGTACTCCCTCCCCAGATGATCACGGTTTCTCCAGTAGGCTTCTGCGGTTTAGGAGCAGTAGGCAGCTGAAGACCAAGAAAGTCTTCGAGGAACAATCCACACGCTGCAGTCGCCAAACCCAACGGTATGACCGATGCAGACTCAAAGGACATCCAATCCGGAATCTTGCTTGTAAGGTTTGTTCTCAGAACAGTATACTCCTGGAAAGCACCTTCGCTAGCCTTGTTGGAGCGCTTGTCGAAACTGACTGCTAACCCGAGTACACGATCCCCGACTTTGAGAGTATCGACTCCTTCTCCGACTTCGACGACTGTACCCGCGCAATCATCGCCAAAGACGAATGGGAGTTTGACTTGAGGAGTGAACATGCTGACGACGCTTGGAAGTAGCCAGTCCACTGGGTTGATAGCTACAGCAGCATTCTTTACTACGACTTCATTTGGTCCAGGTTGAGTGTAAAGTGCTTCTTTGACTTCGAGAGGTTTCCCCTGGGTCACGACCCAAGCAGCTCGGTTTGAAGGCATTGTGTAAGTTTTCTGAAGGTGAATTCCCGTGGTGCGCGGGAGTTAGATCAAGCCAGGGGATTCTCACAGCTACTTATCTACCTCTCGAGGCATGCTACTTGCCTAGAATGTATCACAATTGCACCGACCCGGTAACCATAAATCGTTGCATGTGCGAGCTTGTCAGCAAGTCATGGAGTCATGACGATAGGTAATTGATCCTGCTACCATACTAATTGGTTGGATGCTTGACGGAATGTGAGACGGTGATATGCGGAGATAGGCGGAGTTCGAAACTCGGGACAATTCCAACCCCGACTCGCATCACAGGCTTGATTCTCTTTCTTGCCAGCAAGATGAGCATCAAGACATATAACTAAGCTTTGTTTGGCAACTCTTATCCCGACAGCTAAAATCCGGTCTATCATTCCCTCGAAGCATCTCCTTCTCCAATGGTCATACGCAGTGATCTTTTAGCTCAACCCTTGGTATTCACAGTTGCTTTCTACACAGAACTCTGATCTGGGGAACAGTCGAACATGCCGTTCCTTTCACAATAACACGCCCTTTTCGAGTATTGGTGTATCTCTACAGCTGCAGTATGATAGTCTTTCGCTGCCAAAGAGGACGTTGTTGGGGCAATTGAACCTCTTCACTTGCACCTTCCTACACGGTAGGTGACTGTCACTTTACAGACACTATGGGTTGTTTCCTTCACTCTCGAGGGTCTCGTCTTCTCTGTCCTTGGTAGTCGCTTCCAACATGTGAACCGATGCTCCTGTTGATGGTTCTTTCCTCATTACATCTCATTCCCTATTCGAGTGATCTGTGAGGGCGTCGAGCAACTTCCTTGTCCACCGCTCTTGTTCACCTTCTCTTGACACTCCCGCTTGCCTTCACATTCTCGGTCTAAAGAGATATAAAACTCTCTCCTCAAATCTCCTTTCTCTCCTCTCTTCCTCAACAGCCATCACTACACCTTCGCACAGAGTACGTACCACTATGATTGATGTCTTTTTGACGCTTGACATTGACAATCACAGAAGAAATGACTTCCACCAAGCCCAGCTCCTCCGAGGATGCAAAGGAGCTGAAGAAGCTGCAAGGAGACATCAAATTCATGAACCGCAGACTCCGACTGAAGGTCAACAAAGCCTACATGCACAAATATGGTGAACAAACTTCATGCATACGCTTGACCAGGAGCTTGAAGTCACACCAGGCGCTAACACAATCCTTAGATTACCGCAGTAACTCTTGCTTTGGTCTCGAAGACAAGATCCAGGGGCTGGTTGCTGAAAGAGATGAGCTCAAGAAAGAGAAGCTGAAGCTCAAAGGCAAGGAACTGGAGCTCATGAAAAGAATGACGAACTCGAAAGACAGAAGCAAAGACAGAAGCAAAAACTCAAGGCCAAGATTCTGAAGATCAAGACTGCATATCATAATCTGAGGCACTCTGGCAGGGACGAGGATGATGAGTCGTACTCCTGCTCTTACTACTGTTGCGAATCTTCTGAGGACAGCTTCGACGAGGACAGTTCGGATTAGAGCAGCTCTGAAGAGGAATGATGGACTCGTGAAGGCGACACTGGCACGACGAAAGGATACATCAAGAGAAATGGATCAAGGAAAGGAGACCAATTGGTTTCATGGGCAAACACCAGATCCCGCTTCGCTAGAATCACGCAAACAGAGCCATGAACCATTTACGAAGCGAGCTTCTGAGACGAAATCAAAGATTGCCACCAAGGCCAATGACTCTAACACCAATCAATCCACTCTACTCCACAGTCACCCTCGGAACGTCATTTGTTAGATTGATGTGATGATCGAGTGAAAACAATGCCAGCAGAGAAGGAAGCGCTCAAAAACATGGTTAGCTGGTACCTGCAAGTATGTATTGAGACAAGGACATATCTTGGATAGGTAGTGAGACTACCTCAAGTGATGTGGATCACTATTAGATGTGAGTGGACTGCTGTTGACTATCAAGAACAACCACAGAAGTGATGCTTCCATCGTGATCATTCACTTGCTCGCTCTCACCTCATGTCTCTTGCGTACATCTCTTCTACCACCATTTCAATCTCAGTCACAAGACAGTGCGTTCCGTTCCTCGGCTCTATACTTTTCCTCTCATCTCCATCAACAAACATCCTCTTCGACACCACCTTCCGCAATCGAGATGAGGCACAACGACAGAGGCTCCGACAACGAGCTTAAAGGGTTGAAAGAGCTGCGCGAGAACATTTGCATGCTTAATGATAAGATTTGCCTGCTCAACGACCGCATCGAGACCAAGCTCAAGAACTATGAACGCCGAGGATGTATGCATGCTGTTTCACCCGTGTAACGACCCCCATTAACATTCTCTAGCATGGCGTCGAATGAAAAGTAACAGATCCAAGCCAGCAATCAAGGTCCTCGAAGACATGATCAACACCTTGCTAAAGGGAAGAGATGCCTCCAGACTGTCTGATCTAGCTGCTCAGCAGCGAGAGTTGAAGCTCCGGCTAAAGCTCGAAGATCTCAAGAACGAAAACGCAGGATATCGAGAGCTATTGCCCAAGCACAAAATCATCGTGTCCGATGGTCCTGATGATGAGTGGGTCAATTCTGACTCAGAGTATGACTGAGTGCTTGGAACAAACAAAGGAAGCAAGAAGAACAGTACAAGAATACTGCGAAGAGGAGAAAAAGCAGTATTTTTTCAGGAATAAACACCAGATAACGCCTCGCTAGTTCCAGAAAGCAGATTCATGGGACTCTAATGAGAAAAGCTTTTGGAGGAAAGATCAAAGATTGCCTCCCAGACCGATGACTCTGACACCACCCAGATCACCAGCATATGCCAGCCAGTATCTGAGTGGGTGCCATGCGAGAACGTTGACGATGTGAGAGGTCTCGAAGGTATGCACAGTCTCGCCAGTCTGGGCGCAAGCGACGTGAATGCCCTTGTCGCCGTCTTTGTCCATACCATGAGCGCCGCAAATGTATGTGCCGTCGAAGCTGAAGGACAGGCAGTGAACTCCGCCAGTCATGTTTGATAGAGTGTGTTTGCAGACCCAGTCGGTAGTGTCCCATAGGGTGACGAGAGAGTCGCCGCCGCCGACGGCGACAAAGTCACCGTTAGGACTATGTTGAACACTATATGCAGCGCTGGTGTGTGCGTTGATTGTGTGGAGTAGTGTCNNTAATATTGCTTATCAGTGGTGTGTTATGTCGACGTGTAATAGCTGGCTTACCATGCTTGGCCAGTCCAAGACTTTCACAGTGCCCTCGCCGGTCGTAGCAAAGACCTCGTTGCCAGAGTTGGAGAAGGCCATCTGATTCGTCTGGGCACTACCCAGCTTGCGACCCTCCTGCATGATCAGGTCCTCGGTATTGGCCATGGCTCCCATGCGCACATCGATGGGCACAATGACATCGTCCCTACGTCCAGCTACGAGGTGTTGACCAGTCGGACTCCAAGCCAAAAATAGCCCACCGTCTCCCAGAGCAATCTCTTTCACAGGCACAGCCTTGTTGTGGGCACCGGGGCCTACGCGCACATCCCAGAGCTTGACGGTACCATCGCTTCCTGTCGTGGCAACCTCGCCCTCGCGCACAGGGTTCCAGACAATCTTCTCTACACTTCCGACATGACCCACCAATTCCTGACTGCTCTTAACATTGGGACGATCGGGGTTCCAGATGCGGATTTTGGAGCCAGAGGTTGTGGCTAGGGCGGCGCCGGTCGACGACCAGGCGAGATGGCGGATGTGTGGAGGGATGCTGCTGGGTCGCGCATTTTCGCTGAAGAGAACGGGCTTTTGGCCTTTGAAGGTTTGCGAGAAGAAGTCCTTCTTGAGCGGGCGACTGCGCGCGGGCGCCGGCATTGTCGACGACTTGGAGGTGCGTGGTGCGCGTCGAGGCGCTTGCAAACAGAGAGGTAGAGCTGCAGTCGGCTTCGGTCGTTTGTGGTCTGACTGCGTATCGAATGAGATGGGCGCGTCAGATTTCGAGCAGATGGCGAGAAAATGTCAGAAGAATGGTCGAGGTGACTTTTGGAGCTTGACTTGGTCTTCAGTCGTTCTTTCACTATTAAGCTTCGTCCTCGCTGCACCTTTGACTCTATACAATTACAAGCTAAATACACTATTTACACTATTTATCAAGATAGATCGACTACAATCTTGCGACAAATCCACTCTTGTCAATCTTGACGAGATACTCCTTGGTAATCTCTTCGACCTTTGTGACACCAGCAAGACCCATGGCCAGCCTGATCTCGTCTGAGAGCAAGCGCAAGCACAGCTCAACTCCTGCTTGGCCCTTGTATGCCAATCCCCACAGCACTGGTCTACCAATCCATACAAAGTCTGCTCCTAAGGCCAATGCCTTGAACACATCGGTTCCGTGTCGGATGCCGCCGTCAACGTGTACTGGGATCTTGCCCTGCACTGCTGCCACCACCTCGGGAAGCGCGTCCAGTGTTGCCAATGCGCCGTCTGTCGATACTCGTTAGCATTTTGTCTCTTCGTGGATATACCGCTTGCTCTTACTCAGCTGACGTCCTCCGTGGTTGGATACAACAATGCCATCAACGCCGTGGTGAACAGCCAACAAGGCATCCTCAGCAGTAGCGATACCCTTGACCCAAACCTGCATCTCATCACCACACTCCTTCTTCAGCCACTCAATATCCCGCTCCCAGTTTAGTGTTGGGTTGGCTGCATGCGAATGGAAGGTAATGGGTCCCTTTGGCACCACTCTGTTGCCTTCGCTGTCTGTGTATCCGGCCTCGCTACCTCTTCTAGCCGTGCTCTGGCCACCTCTCTGCTCCGCCTCGGCCTCTGGTTGATTGTCGCCTTGGCCCTCGAAGTTTGGGATCTTGAAGTGTGCGGGTAGTTTGAATTGGTTCCTGATTTCGAGATTGCGGCGACCGAGAATGGGTGTGTCGACAGTGAGGAAGACGGCTTTGTAGCCTGCCTCCTTTGCTCTCTTCAGCAGCTTGACGCTGTGGTCGCGCTCTTCGAAGAGATACAGTTGAAGCACGTGTGGGTTGTCGCCACTTGCCTCGGCCACGTCTTCCAACGTTGTGGTAGCAAAGGAAGACAGACCCATTGCAATACCCATCTTCTTGCAGGCTCTGGCGGTTGCTAATTCTCCATCTGAATGAGCAAGCCTTTGCATTGCTGTCGGTGCCACTCCCAGAGGAATACTGTTCTTGTGTCCGAAGATGTTCACGCTAGTATCAATTTTCGATACATCTCGCAAAACTCTGGGTCGAATACGGTATTTGGTATAGGCGTCCAAGTTCTCCTGGAGTGTGCTGCCAGAGTCGGCGCCCTGCCATCGAATGAGTTTTCTTGTGTCCACGAAGTATTTTCAATGCTAACCTACCTCGTTGTAATAGTCACGAGTTTGCTTGTCCATCATAACCGCAGCATGCTTCTGCAGCTCCGAGATGGTCAAGCAGTTCAAATCGTGAGGCAATCTTTCCGACATGTTTAACGATAATAGATGATACAACAAAGATTGGTAGAGGAAATAGAGAAACTTCTTCTAACTACAGCGGCAACAGCGATATAAGAAAACAAAATCACCTACGTCAACTGCCGATACTGTATCCAGAGGTAAGACCTCGGCATGACGATCCGTCTGCGAAGCCGGAGATCCCCAGGTTTTGGTGCTTTTCGTGGGGTCGGAGATAGCTCGCTGGTTTGACTTCCGCAGATCCGAGACGTCGAACATGATATTTGAGATAAAAACACTTTCTTGAGCGAGCAACAAGGACGAGGAGATTCATAATATGAGGCAGTGTTATGTGTCTTACCTGAACGCTCGTTGTCGAGTAATCTGCGTCACCTGCACAAACATCATCTCAACGCACATTGATGGATGACTCTGTGTGTAGAGTTTCATTGCTGTGCTGCCCCTCGGGTGGATACGTAGACGAACCCTGACCATTAGCACCCAACACCAAATATATGGTCATGAAAACATACAAGTCAAGGATACCAGTCTCTGAGTTGCAACTGAATATGACAATAATTCATGTGCCAAGGGAATATGGCAGACGAGGACCATTGAGAGATAGAATCAGGGTGCTACAGACAGCATCAAGCAGTAGTATCAAATGTGGGGCGCGTCATCTCACTGACTCTCTGTCTTTTCTACTTCATCACCACCATTCATATACAACCTGTACGTTCTGATATTTGAGTGAATTTCATCTGTCCCAGCATGGTACATGCAAGTATACAATATGGCATCATCAAGTAGCAACAAGCGCCAACGATTGGAACCCCCTGCCGGTCACCAGGACAATGTGTTGCATGACACACACAACCTACCGCACTACAAGGATCTTGCAGACCAGCCTCTCATGATGTACGAAGGAACCCCAACCGAAGCTCAATTCGTCGAGATTGTCGAAAAACTAGATCAGTCCGACGTACGGAAGCTCTTGCACCAAGCTGTCGATTATCTGGACCAGTCGGATGTACGCAAACTTCTGGTAAATGCTGCAGTCTCGAATGAGCTCGTCGAAACCAAGGTCGTGGGCGAATTGACACGTATTCGAAGGCTCTGTGAGAATGAGCAGGTGAGGAGGTATCAGGAGTTATTTACTCCACCATTGCAACCAGCGCGACCAGTCCCACAGCCCGAGCGTCCAGTCGTGCTTGAGACCGAGACCGAGACCGAAGCACTTGGGCTCGAGAAAAATATCCAACAGGTCGACGACATTATCAACAAGAGATATGCCAAGTTGCGCGGTCCAAAACAACTCGAGAAAGCAGGGGAAGCTGCAGATCTGGTCAAGCAGGAGATCGCAAAGATTGCACAATCTACCACCTGGAGAAGTCAATATGAGACAAAGATGAATGCCATACTCGCCCTACTAGACATTGGCAACATCATCATTGACGGTACAAACAGCATCAGTGCCGAAGTGCGCAAACAGGTCGGCTACAATGAGAGCTTCGCAAAAACAGTGATGGACATTGTGGCTCTCATGTTACCCAGTGAGGTACAGGCCTTCGCCGAGGATGATATTCAAACCCTTGAGGAATTTAGCATCAAGAGGAGGGCCTGTGATATTTTTGATGGCTTCGAAGAGGTCGTCAACCATTTCGGATGTACTCTCCTGGCATCTTCGGGACTTGGATACAATCCGTACGGTGACGATGACTATGGCGATATCGACGAGTAGGGCTTGCTAAACAAATCGGATGCCATCGAAGGCTCGGCTTCTCAGCCCATCACCATCTGAGAGGTATATCATATCACATCTGTTCTGGAGAGGTCGTTCTCACTAGCGACAATATATACGGCTCAAAGCAGCTCACTCGCTTACAAAAAGAAACATCAGCTGCAGCGAGTAGGAATCGAACCCACACCTCCTCAAACCCATCCAAAGACCTTATGCCACTGGATGAAGAATGGTCTTACTACCGAAGTCCAAATGCTTGTGTTTGCAAGCATGGAGTCTTCGCCTCCTTTCAATTGCTCGGAAAGCGACCTACTGCCGTGACAGCAAGCATAGGAGAAAGGTCTTTGTCGACAATGCTTGTGTTTGCAAGGTCATTTGATGGTGAGGCGCCCTACCGTTGGGCCATCGCTACTTGAGGATGGAACAAATGCAGATCTAGGTGGCTATAGAGGTAGGAAGTACTTTTCTAAGGTGTGTGTTCGATCCTCGTAAGCATCATATCGATTTTGCAAATTTCGTGCTCTCTCCCGAACATTTACTGACCGGGGATATTGTATCCTCACCTAGCCACATCTCCTTGTTCTTCTTTTCAGGTCTATTCTATATACATACAATCTACGCATTAGAAAGAAAAGTCAGATACAAAACATGCAAGTCATCAAAGTCAACTCTTCTGCTGACACACGCAATCATACGTGAATCAAGTACGAAACAGCCATCACTACTTCCACATAAAGTGAAGTGATCACCACAACACAGAACCCATATAAAACCAGCACCGCAGACTGCTTAGTCCAAGACCATGCGGACACCGCTCAGTCAGACACTACATCGAAGCCAAGGGATTCCAGGTCCCTTAGGACTCTAGACATAGAAGAACCCAAACCACGGTCGCTGCCTGCCTGCCTCCAAGCCAACTGCCGAGCTCATCGAGTTCGAAAACCGGGTCGCTGTCGCAGTAGCTTCCTTCGACACGCTGGATGCTATCGATACAACTTCTGAGGTTACGGAAAAATTGCACGAAAGGATGTTTACAGTAGTAGGGAGTTTATGCTAGGTCAATGACTTGCTTTGTTCATTGAGTTCGAAAACCGGGCTACCGTCGCAGTTGCTTCTTCGACACGCTCGACCCTGCCGACAAGAGTTTCTAGGTTACAGAGAGATTGCACGAGGTGTTAATGACAATGGAAGGGTGCGTACGATGGGCGAAAGCCCAAACTCCATTGCGTGCTTTTGTTAGATTTCTTGTGAATCTGTTTATACTATATGGTACTGCTGAAAGACACGACAGTCTGTTGCGTCAAACGTGAACAACAAAAGTATCGGTGTCTACTAGGCACCTTGTGAATTTATCTTGCAGCAATGAACTCGGGCGAACAAACAGATCTACTAGAGTCTTTCTCCCAACATGTGACAGCTGCTACAAGCCTACCCACAAAAATGCATAATACCTTGGAAAGAAAAGGAATGTTCGCTGATAGCTGTCATCTTGAGTAAATCTCTTTGGATATTTTCCTCATTTCTAAGTGACTATGCATGTTTACAGCTCTCCTCCTTTCAATCCCTCTTCTTCCCGATCCTAGGAAGTGAGATCCAAAACAGCCAGATGACAACCAGCAGTGCCAGGATTATTGGCTGAAGAACCTGCACACCTTTTGATTGTGCAATGACACCGGTGACGAAGGGGAATATCGCAGCGCCAGAGCCACCAAACGCAGCGGCAAAACCGATACCACTGACATGCAAGTGTTTAGGCAACAGCTTGGTTGTTGCAACAACAGCAGCTGGAAATAGCGGACCTAGGAAGAAGCCTTGTAGTGCTACTGCAACAGCCGAAACATAGAATTGTGGAACAAGCCAGAAGAGGAGTTCGAGACCGGTCGCGATCGGAAGGTAGATGGCAATGGAAAGCTTCTCTCCAATGCGTGGTGTTACAAAACCAAGTACCAGTCTACCGATTGTGATTCCGAGCCAGAAGCCAGTAGCAGTCATGCCAGAGGCGAACCGGCTGCCGTGACGTTCCCGAAGCATGAATGTGGTGATCCAGCCACCAAGAGCTACTTCGATGCCGACGTATCCCAATAAGAACAAAGCACACAACCATGTAACTCGGGCACTAGGCATAGTGAGCAACGCCTCCTTCATCCGGTTGCCTGATTGGTCGGTGGTTCTGGGGTGAGCAAGACGAAAGACCTCTCCTGTCTGACCCCAGAAGGCCCAAAGGCTGGTAACGAGTTCGACGGCCGCAAACGCAATNCTAGAATTCTTGTTAGTACAGTATGCGTGTTAAGTTCGACTTTCGAACTCTACCATGAAGTAATACCACGTCCACCAAGGTTTGTCAGCTTTTGTGATGAGCGAGGTGGCAATCAGGGGAGCAATAGTAGCGCCCAAGCCGTAGATACCGTGAAGGAAGCCCAATACTTCGTTGGCGTTTGACATTGCGCCCATCCAGGCATTCCAAGCTGCGTCTTCCAGCCCGTTTCCAAAACCAGCAATGGCAAACACTACAACTAGGACCGGATATGGAGGGTGCACCGCGATGACGATGTATGCCAGTAGGTGACAAAGCGGTCCGATGAAGGCTACACCTCTCTGTCCGAACCGAAGGTGTATAGTGTTGTTGAGCAAGGCTGAGAGGTTGTAGCCGACGAGAGGACTGAGGAAAATAAGTGACACGATAGTATAGGAGAGCTTGTAATGTGTTTCCAACTAGTGTAAGTCAGTACTGATCACATTTCTTAAGCAAGCAGGGCCAGGCCTTACATATGGAATGATGGCACCGTAAGTGGCATCGTTCATACCCATGATAGCGAATCCTATGAAGGCCGCCAATGTTCGATAGAGGTTTGATCTTGGAGCACTCCATTTCTCCAGTGCATCATGAGAAGCAACAGTAGGAGATGGCAAAGTCTCGTTTTGATCACGGCGTTCGCGATCACCATCGAGATCATTCTGACCGAGTCTTCTGCCCGACTCCACAGCATACTGTTTCTCAGGTGCCCGTAGCGGAGAGTGAATGGGCTCAAGTTCCATGACAGTCGTGGCAGAGCCTTGATGGCCAACTCGTCTCGAAGATGCCATTATTCAGTGCCTTCGATGTAATCCAGAATACAAGGCGTTGTCCAGCTTGAGGGAGGACGATATTGCACTGATGGTTCAATGCATCAGAACATCAAGCTCTTTTGAATGAAGGTGCCAAGTGTACGTGGACGGAGTTTGGTAAGCAAGCATCATTCCTGATAACGTAAAAGCGGCATGAATGAGGAAGGATCCTTGTCTCTTCAAGAGAAGCAGTCACAAGCCCTAGGTACGTCGGTCCGACAACCCGGAGACTCAGCTCCCCAAACAGAAGGTGCGTGTGGAGAAACGTGGGGGTTGCATCTCGGCAAGGCGGACCGTATTTCCTTGGGTATACCAAGCATTCAGGATCGTAAAGCATGAACCAATACGATGTGTGGCTGACGCCGTGAAGTGGTCTGCCAGCTGTCCTCTATACAGAGCCCATAAGTAGAGTGACTCCGAAGACCGTTTTGTATATAGGTGTCTTGTACACTTACATATCGTTGTGTCCATTATCAGTCTCAGTCTACTCACCACAAAACAACCACCATGACCGATTATCAGTCATCTCACTATGGCCATCCCGTCCCAGACGTGAGCAAGCCCTTTCAACTGAGATGTCCCGATAACACAGACCTCTGGCGTATTCCTCCATCGACAGATCGCGGCAACACACCTCACATCTACCGTACCGTGGCCGCCTCAGATTTCAAGTCAGCAAAAGTCACCGTCTCCGGACCCTGGACTAAGCTCTATGATCAAGGCGGACTTTGCATGATCATCGAAATACCGGGCGCGAAGCAGAACAAATGGATCAAGACAGGAATCGAGATGCTGAATGGCAAGCCTCGTGTTAGTGTTGTTGGTACCGATACCTGGTCAGATTGGAGTTTGCACCCGGTCGTTGCGGCCGACAAGGTATCTGCCACCATTGAAATGGTTGTCGAGCATGATCATTTGTGGGTTTATTTGCTCGGTGATGATGGCGAGCGTCACCCGATGAGAGAAATCACGTGGTGGAATGCCTTGCCAAAGGACGCAGAGTGCAAGGTCGGTGTCTCGGCAGCGAGACCAGCCAGCGAAGGAGGTGAATTAATTGTGCATTATAAGGATTTTATCATCAGCGCATAGACGGACGTGTGCGCCTGAGTTGAGTTTCGAGTGGTATTTACGTACACTTCTCCAAGCGTGGTTATTACAATGATATTTAGCCCAAACAAAGAATACTCCCGGACCGCTCCAGAAACTCCACAGGTGAATTGGTGACAGATACATACAGGTCGTAGGATTCACAATCATGAGATGAAGGTGGCCTCGGTGAAGAGGGAGCCTTCTTCGGTCTTCTCCTCGCCGCCAATCTTGATCTTGATAGGAAGCTTGGGACCGTACTGNAGTCAAATATTAGCAACTATTCTGGATGTGCATCAAGCTAGACAACTTACCTGGTAGATGTAAGGCTTAGTACCGGCGGCACCGGCAACAATTTGCTTGACGAATTTGGGAACTTCGGCCATGACATCGACACGGTCAAGTCTCTCACCGAGCGAACCCTCGACAAGAGCTTCAACAGGCTGACCGCTGGCATCAGTGCCATTCCATGAGAAGGCGACGGCACCTGGTTCGGGCCAGTTGTTTTCAGGGTCGCCCTTGATTTCGCTGTGCTTTGCGCTATTTGAGGAGCCTGCGCAGAGGATCTTACCATCGGTAGCAATGCCACCGACGTTGACGACGGTTGAGCCGTACGAAGGAGGAGTGGTGTACTCCATCATAACGGCAGAGTAGGTGGGAGATTGGTAGTTAACGAAGTTCCACTTGGCGGCTGCANNAGATTTGGTCAGCATAAGGCAAAGCCTGAACATCCTAGCTAACTTACCAGCGTGGTGGGGCTTCATGCCCTGGAGAGCGTGGACAAAGAAACCTCTGCCCTTGACGTCGAGAGGGCCTGAAGGGGTGATGATGTTACCCTCGACCTGGCAACGGGGCCAGAAGGCGTGTCTCATTGAGCCCCATGGCTTCTTGGGGTCGGTGCCGAAGTTGGAGGTACCATTGTTGCCAACAACGAAACCGGGAGCAGTCTGGGTGAACTTGAGATCGACAATGCTCTGCTTGTTCGTGTTTGACTTGATGTGGTAGCTGTTGCCCTCTTCGTTGAGCTCGGTGGAGCATCCCTTTGCGCGGAAGTTGAACTTGCCCTCGTCGAAGCTGTAGTTTTCGAGAGCGTCTGAGGACCATAGGTTGGGAGTCTTGCCGTCTTGGTAGAAGATCTTTGTGTTGAACTGGGTGGTGATTTTGATGCCNACTGGGACTTGTCAGAATGATGCAGAAGCTAGACCGACGGCGAAAACATACGCAACGTTGCTGTAGATGACCTGAACCATGCAGATGTGACCACTGTCAGTCATGAAGTACCAGGTCTGGGTCTCGACACAGGTCGAGTCGATTGTGATCCATTTCATGTCATTCTTGGTCAGCTCGGTGTAGGGCTTGGTCTTTGCCTGCTCGCTGACGGCCTGGATGGCCGAAGGTCCGTAGATGGGCTCTTGGGTGCCGGCGACGTTGGCCAGCCTGAGTTACAATCAGTGGCGGGCGTGCAGTCTTTGGTTCGGCGCAGCTTACTGTTGTTTCGCCCAGTTCATCATCTTGGCGGTAGGTGTACGGGGATGGTCGCGGTTGACAAAGAGGCTATGTGTATGCGGATTGTGCTGATACTATGCGATTGAATGCTGGTCGAAAAGTTTCAGGATGTTGAGAGAATAACGATCGAAGAGCTCTCTGCCCCTCGGGCGTCTAATCACAAGATTACAGTCTTTGCGGACTGCGCTACAGCCCAATTTGCAGAATGACGTCGTGAGAAATTACATGGCGAGACTTTTCTACTCAGTATTTCGGCTGTTTCTTCTACCGTCGGTTCATCTTATATATGTCTACAGCCACTGCGATGGATTGGTGTTGTCCTGCATATCTGTTCCGGGAGAGCTCGAAGCATGGCTCGACGAGCTGCGCGTGTTTCCAACGTGCATCATCAAGCCCATCGAGGTGCTTCGAGCTTGACCCTTAACCCTAGCTCAACAGCTCCCGAACACTTTTGTGCCCATTCGACAGTCTTGTATCTCAATCCCTGCCATGTCGCGACTGTTACCTTCTGACCCTATCGCAGAGCCCTACAGATCACGGCAGCGTATAGCTAAGAGTGGAGCAGTGCCTATATCACATGTCCCTACTTTTGATGTTGCGCGTGCATGCTAGTTCTGGCCTACCAGACCGCTCCTTAGCAAACGTTAGTGAGCTCTAAAGTCTAGCTAGCTGCCAGCACCCATACTTGTTCTGCTGTCAGCTGTTGTCCTCGACTGGGATATGCGCAGGGTCCTGATCAAAATGCAAGGCGTGCAAGCCACGATGAAAAAGAGCCGCACTGAATCACAAACAAGACCAGCGAGCGGAAGGCGCACATGTGGCCGGGTCTTGTTTTCGTGGATGCCTCGGCCAAGCCTTGTAGAGGATGCGATCAAGGCTCCGTTCACGATCTGGCTGCGGAAATGAGGGCAGACACGTCGCTGCGCTTTGCAGGCTCCCACCTTGACTAACGAGATTGTTGTGTGGCAGAAATTTTCTTCAGATGCTTGTTTGATACATTGTTGGCGTTCGCACCAAAGATTGAGTCCCGTATCCTGCCGAACGCTCCTCTTGCCTGCCAGAGGTTGAAGAAGAAACTGCTAAAATTTTGCCTTGGCCGTTGGCTGCCGCATATGGTACTGAGTCAAAATATGACGTGAACAACCTGATGGAAGCTTTCGTCGTGCTTGTTTCCATCGTCCTTCTCCTCCTCACAAACTATTGCACTGGTCACCAGGCGATTGATCAAGACATTGTTACTGCAAACCGCAACCATCCAATATCTATATACCGTTGCTCAGGCCTGCCGTGAGCGTGTATCCATCGACTAGAGCGACCCCGTGTGGACCCGTTGCGTCTCGTTTAAGTAAACGCAGCAGCCAACAGTAGCAGCACGCCTTCCCTCATTGGATCCCTCATACTCGCATCAGCTGTCCGGTTTGGTCTTCAGAGGCCATCTCGACAATCGCGACTCCAACTATTACTATTCTTTAATTCAATCAACCATTGTCACCAGCTTCAGAGGATTCTACTCGGAGTACCTCCCTGCGTCTGAAACGTCACCGCTTCGCTGAGCCAGCACCGCGTCACGACTTCCACAAGAATGGCCTCTCAGCGCGGAACAGACTCGCCTTCTCAGGGTGACCATTCCGTTCGCTTTAGTACACAGAACCAGGAGATTGAGCCCGAACCCAACTTGTCGCCTGTCCGCTCTCTTACTGGCCATGATGCACAGAGGGAGAATCTGTCACCCGAGGCAGAAGAGGAGCTGAGACAGCTCAAGACGACGCTCCAGAATGGCTTGCAGTCCAAGCGCATGGAGCACTACTCATTCGAGCCTGTGTCATTGCCAGGCTCGCAGCCAGTTTCCAGGGTATGTCTCGACTGAACGTGCCTCGTACAACTTCACTACTGACGCGCTACGAACAGGNTGCCTTCGGGTCAGTCTAACAAAAGACCCGTGATGCCAGCAGGTTCCGCACATCCCTCTCCTCGCCCTTCACCCCCTGCTTCTACCTTCCACTCTCCGCCTCTAACTCCATCGGCATCCCGCTCTCGCGAAGGAAAGCCCGCCGCCAGCACAGCTGCTTCCGTGTCTCAGCTGGCAAAAGCAAGAGCCGGCGGAGACATCATGACTCCTCAAATGTCGGCATCTCAGCCTGGTTCACGGGTCCCATCGACCGATGAGACTGGTGTATCCGCGCACCCTAGACAACAACCTCGCTTCTCCCTCGGTCCTGCTGGTGACTCTGTACCACCCTCGCGCGACCATAGTCCCGTTGCTTCAGGAGCCAGCACCCCAACTGGTTCAGGAACAGTAACGCCTTCTGCTACGTACACAAAGCCATGGCCACAAGGCGACAAAGACGACCCATACGCCCGAAGCAAANGAGCTCCTCCCACCCGCAACGTAGATTCCATTGACGCCCGCTTCCGCTTTGGCAACAGAGACCCTCGCAAAGGACACAGCAATTCTGGTACTTCGCTAGTTTCCCTCCCTGCAGCTACGACTAGCNTCGAGTTCAGCAAGCCTCAAGCCGTCGGATGCCGACAAAGGACAAGTTTCTTTGGCGGCAAGAAGCATGACCATGGCCATGATGATACCGTCAAGGATAAGGACAAGTCTGCTTCTAAAGTCAGCTTGAAGCGCTTCTTCAAGATTGGTGACAAGAAAGATAAAAGTCGTGCAAATTCGCCTGTCAGGAGCGGAACTTCTACACCATCTGGTCAGTCCCAGAGCCTACCATTTGCCGACGATCATGGTTTGGCTTCCAAGTACGGCAAGTTTGGCAGAGTACTCGGCTCAGGAGCTGGTGGATCGGTCAGGCTCATGAAGAGAACTGCGGACGGCAAAACCTTTGCGGTCAAACAATTCCGTGCCCGCCACACGTACGAAAGCGAGAGGGAGTATAACAAGAAGGTCACAGCTGAATTCTGTATCGGTTCGACACTCCACCATGGCAACATCATTGAAACGATCGACATTATTCATGAAAAGGGCAACTGGTTCGAGGTTATGGAATATGCCCCTTTCGATCTCTTCGCTATCGTCATGACCGGCAAGATGTCTCGCGACGAGATCACCTGCTGCACCTTACAGATCCTCAGTGGTGTCCTGTACTTACACAGCATGGGACTTGCGCATCGAGATCTGAAGCTCGACAACGTCGTGGTTAACGAACACGGCATTATGAAGATCATCGATTTCGGTAGTGCCGTAGTCTTCAGATATCCCTTCGAGAACGATATTGTGTTGTCTACAGGTATGTCACTTGCTAGACCTCAATCAAGAAAGCAAGCTAACAATTTTTAGNGTGTCGTCGGTTCAGATCCATATCTTGCTCCCGAGGTTTACGACAACTCGCGATACGACCCGCAACCCGCGGATATCTGGTCAATAGCAATCATCTTCTGTTGCATGTGTTTGCGTCGATTCCCTTGGAAGGCGCCAAGGATCTCAGACAATTCATACAGACTTTTCGTGTCACCTCCGGATCCTGGTCAGGATCAGCTTCTTGCCCAATCTCGACAATCTATCAGCAACGGTTCTGGAAAGACAGAGAATGGTGCTTCGACTTCGGGTGACCAACCCGCCCAACAGATCAAGGGCCCACTACGTTTGCTTCGCCTACTGCCACGTGATACTAGGCACATCATTGGCCGTATGCTCGACCTCGACCCGCGCCGCCGTGCTACTATGGATGAAATCCTCGCCGATCCTTGGGTACAGAACGCCTATGTGTGTAGACAAGAAGAAGGAGGAGAGTGCTATCACGCCCCTGGTCATACCCACGTCTTGGAGCCCGGCGGTGCGGCTCAAGCACCACCGAAGAAGTAAAAGTCTCCTAGCCTTTGACCTTGCGAAATGTGGTACTGGACATTGTCTCGAGCCACGCTAGTTACTCGCAATGGTTAGACAAAGCTCTGGAGTAGAGTTGAGTGTGGTGATTACATGAGGCGTTTGGGTTTCCGTTAGTAGATGCAAGATGTTCGGGCGCAAGCGACAGAGAATCAATGATGATGGACGAATTGGATGAGACACACTCGAATAATACTTTGCATACCATTGCCTTCAGGCTGTTATCATGTTTCTCGTGCAATGTATTGTATATCCAAGAATGTGTGACCAGCCCTATCTCGCGAGCCGACATCAATCGTAGTACGTGGTCAACGTCGGCCACTGAGGTCTCAGCCTCTTATCTTTGGCATGTTGTTGTACGTGCATCTCTGCTTGGAATTCTCGTCACTGCATATTCGACGACAAGTAGTTTGGAAGGAAAGCAGTCCGTCTGACAGGTCATTCCGTGAAGATCCATGGCAACCAATCAGACAATAACAGATTTGAAGATAGCGAGAGGATGTTTGGGTGGAGTGGTGAATAGGATTACGCTAACAAAGATACCGGGCACTATCTCTGCTCTCGAACGTCTTGGCAGTGACCTTGGGCCAGTCATAAGAACAGCTCCTCGCACGTTGTTAAGTGAATGAGGGTTTCTCTCATGAAAAGACAGACAGCCAAAGGCCCGTGAGAAGGCCGTATAGGAACTAATTATTTGAGTAAAAGCCCACGTGCTCCGGCAGAAGACCAATGAAAAATGGTGCCTCGCCTGAGGCAGCGCGTTTGTCTGGAAACTTTAAGAAGAGAGCTCCAGCTCGTCGACGTTTCTGCTGCACCCTCTCCGTCGCCCTCGCTCGCTATCAAGGACTCTTGGAAGGGAACTTTTCGAGTCGAAATAGACGACAACTGCGATTTTGCAACTACTGATTCTCAGGTTGTTAGTGTAGGAGACAAGATTCCAGGCTTCAGGACTTCTGCTGGTATGCATAAAGCTCATCAATCTGCCGAGGCTGTTGTCATCTGCAACGTTTCGTGCGTTTTCCAATTGTCCTTAGATCTGATGTTTTGTGCTTGATAGNCATTCTTTACATCTCTTCGAACCAATCTTCATCTGGGCGCATCGCCTCCACCTTCGCCAATGTCGACACCACCGAGCATGAGAGCGAGTGCCTCTTCAATTGGCCCACCTTCTCCGTTACAGAACGCAGTCGATAATGGTTCCGACGTACCTGAGGGACCTCTTTCAGGAATCCCAGATCTCAAAACATATGTCGCAGAAACAGAAGAGGACAAAACCGCTGCCTTGAAGCTGGTCGCAGACAGTATTGCACAGATGCGCCAAACAGCCAATCGCATTCTGATGTTCAACCCCTTCAACTTGGCTGCTTTCATTGCCTTTTTGGCATTCATCAGCCAGTTTCTCGTCAAGAGCCGTGCAGATATTGCTATCATGTTCACCACCTCGGCCGGAATCATGATGGCTGCCATGGTCACAGTTCGTCGCTTCACCAATCCGTACATCGCCCTCGCCGAAGAAGTTCACATTAGCATGCTGGAAGATGCCGATTGTTTGGTCACAAAATATGGCGATGAGGTGATTGGAACAGTCATCCTGGGCTGGGTTGATGCAGAGACAAAGGGCAAGAGACGCAAGTGGAGGGCTGAGATCAAGGGCTGGGCAGTGCGACTACGATACCGCGGCAAGGGCGAGGGCATGGCCCTGCTTCAAGAAGCCGTCAATCTGGCCAAANAGAAGGACGCCGATGGCATTTCGTTCGCGCCCGACCACGCAAGTAAGTACTTGGTGATTCTCCCAGAATCCGAATTCGTACTAACAACAANNGCAGATTCCAAACGCGTTCTCTGGGACTTTTACAATGGACCATTTGACAAGNAAGAGAAGAGAGCAGCAGCCAAGCTGCAAGCTCTGTGGGACAACAACGCCAAGAGCAGCACGAAATCGAAGAGAAGATAGGTTTCTCACTACACTGTTTATATCAATGATACCCACTTCCATTTCTCAAAATCACCCTTCAGAGGAGCGGATCACAATCGACGACTCTGTAGTTCAACCGACTCGAAGTGCTGAGACGCCTCGCTGGAGAATCAAATGCTGCCGAACTTCGACACCCAAAGAAGCGAGAGCAGCAATTATATGGGGATAGGCTGTGCTCTGAGCACTTCCACCGTTGTCGTCTTCCTCGAATGTGAACAGAACATGTTTCGGTCTAGATGGTGTGGTCGAGATTCTTGGCGAGATGCAATGATAACCGTCGCAAGTTTCGCAACCCCAGACCTTTGAACAATCGTCTCTCTAAGGTATGCATAAGTCAGATGTTTATCATGAATGATCTCAGGTCACTTGAAGTCTGACAGTTTGACTGTCAATGCTTGCACGTCTGCGCGACCACTTACGTCGCCCAATAAAGCCACAAACATGTCGCTTTCTCGTTGAGGTCCCTGAGTCTTGTCAGCTCGACCACAACAAACATCCTCCAAGAAATACGAACCCTCTACCTTGTATGCAAGGGTCATGAATTTTGCGAATGTGTCCTTAAGCAGCCTCGAATGCCCAAACAGCGATGCCACGCGAAGCCGCCGGCGCACCGTTGGTTCAACCAACGCCTCTATCAGCATAACGGTTCTACTGATAGGAAGCCTCGCCGTCACGAAATATTCTTTTTCTCGCCAGAATGGAGCGGAGTCGTCTCTGTTCTCTCGAGTCTGGCCAGAACCGCGTTCGAGACAACCCACACCAAGTACCGACTACCGAATGGGAGCCGTGAACGGTACAGTCGTTTGTCCTGTCTATCGATGTGGCAACGGTGCAAGTCGCCCTACGATCTAGCATCTATGTAGACCCTGACGGTGGAGTGCTCTCGAGGGAAAGATATAACTTCGATATCCAGCTTGTCTTTTGCATTTCCAGCAGCAGCTCAGTACAACTCTTCTCTCGCAGATCTGTGGGTGTCATCGCCTCGACTTGTTCCATTCGCTTGACCATACTATATTCTCATATACTTCAATCGTTTCTATCCTCTAATACCGTCAATCATGCGTTTCGACACTCCCATCGGCCAGGTGGCTCTGGTTTCCCTGCTCGCCACCGCAGCAGTTGCAGTCCCTCGCCATGTTCCTGCTCAGGCAGTAGAGGCTGACCTCGTCGAGCGTGCTCCGGCCGGATCCCTTTTGGTGGCCCCTACCACTCGCGTTGGTGGACAACTCATTGTTCTGCCTGAGTTTTTGGCCACATCCATGCATTCGAAGTCTTCAAGCAAGACAAGTGCAAAGACAACTTCGTCCAGCAAGAAGAGCTCTACTAAGTCGTCCTCGGCGTCAAGCTCGGCCAAGAAGACTTCTTCGTCCTCATCGTCTAAGACTACTTCATCTGCAAAGAAGTCCTCCAGCAGCAGCAGCAGCGTCAAGAAGGCTAGCAGCTCGGCTAAGAAGACATCGTCATCTTCAGTTTCGTCGAAGGCTAGCTCTTCTTCAAAGGTTGTGCCTGCTACAACCAAGATTCCTGCCAAGGTTTCCAGCATCCAGTCGAAGGTCTCTTCCAAGGTCTCGAGTGTTGAGTCCAAGGTCTCCTCTAAAGTTTCGAGTGTTGAGTCCAAGGTCTCTTCTAAGTTGGCCTCAATCGCGTCTCAAGTCACTGTCCACAAGCCTTCATCATCATCGAAGGCCAGCTCTAGCGTCTCTTCTTCATCGACGGCATCTCGTGCTACTTCTTCCTCTGCTGTATCATCCAGCTCTTCAAGCTCCTCCAGCTCATCGGTTGCCAAATCTTCTTCCAGCTCTTCGGCTGTCTCTTCTTCGAGCAGCTCGACCTCCTCTCAATCTTCTTCCAGCTCATCTTCGAGCATTGCCAGCTCTTCTTCTTCAGTCCAGAGCAGCTCTGCTTCATCAAGCTCCTCTGCAACACCCACCAGCTCCTTTGTCTCCAGCTCCAGCTCTTCAGCAACTTCCTCATCTTCTTCTTCGTCAAGCTCGTTGACCGAGTCTTCATCTTCCTCCTCAACCTCGTTGACCGAGTCTTCCTCTTCTTCCTCAGCCTCTCCTTCTCCTACACCATCCTTCGCCAACACCAACGGCACCATCCCCGCCAACGACAAATTCGTCTCTTCCATCATTTCCTCCGTCGAGTCTCGCTTTTCTTCCGCTCTGGCAGCAAAGTCCATCTCCATGCCTTCCTTTTCTTCCTTTTCCACTCCCACGGGCTTTGGCACTAGCGTCCAGCCCAGTGCTACCAGTGCGTTTGTTAGCAAGGTGCAGAGTGTGATTAGCAGTTATCTGTCTGAGAAGAGTATTTCGGTGTCGTTGCCTACTGCTACTGCTTCGGCTACTGCATAGAGGCTTGGAAGTCTTTTGTTCTTTCTTTCTTTTTTCTCGTCGGGTCACGTGTAATGTGGATGATATAGGGGGATGAACCATGGGTCTTGATGATCATGGTGGTGGCTAAATACTTGTACATACAACAATAGAAGCAACTCTGTTCATATCATATTCCTTCTTATGCTTCAGACCGTCGAAAATATACATAGCTATAGAAATTGCACAATATTTTCCCAAACGAATGTGGATCTCCACAAGGAGAACTTTTCGATGGCTATCTCTATGCGTCAGACCCCTGTCCAAATCCCAACTGTGCATTTCGACAGCTGATGAGAGGATCATAAACGAGGAAGAGGTCGATATCAAGAACGTGACGGACTTTGCCACACACGCGGAGGAAAAAGATGGAGAAAGTAAACCTTGCGTTTCGATAACGATGATTGCAGCACTTGGGTGTGCAAGATGAGAGATCCTCGCTACACAAAAGTCTATCCAGTATGCATTCCTAAGAAAGGCATCGTCCTCGGAGCCCCTGATATAAGTCGCGAACAATCTTCGCGTTCATCGTCCTCAACAGAGTGCAAGGTACAAGCTGTCTTGTTCTTACTTCTGGATGTGTCATCTTCTGTTCAAGTCTTTTGTCTGCCAGTGAGATCGGGCTTCATCTCTCCAACAAGATGTTGAGCTTGATTGATTGACATGTACCACCACCCGTTTTCTCCTGCCCTTGACAAACAAAGCTGACATTTGGAGTTCGAGATGTTAACTTGATCGTGCATTAATCGTGGCTCTATGTTGCTCAAAGAACACATTGTGAAGGACGTTGAATGTTTCATATTTGTTGACACAGTGATATCCAAGTGGACAGCACAATGCTCTTTGTACAACTCCTCTCAAGCGGCACGCTTACGTTTGTGCGATCTGGGAGGCAGATTGTTCAGATCGGCGATAGTGGGAGCAGGGTCCTTGGCTACGAACAACATGACCTCGTCATGGGTCGGCGTAACGACAGGTTGACCACCATCCTCCNNCTCATCCACGTAAGGCGACTCAGCTTGCGACATTTGAGAAAGCTCTTCTCTCAGTTGTCGGGAAGGAGAATCCAACTCGGCATCATCCTCAGGCTCAGAGTCAGGCTTGGGTAGCACCATCAAGCCAAACCAGTCATCTCTTTCCTCGAGGAATGATGTGTCTTGAGGTAGCTTCTCCAACTCTCTGGCTGCGCGTTGGATGCCTTCGCTGTACCATTTGATTCGCTTTAGTGGTAGTTGAGCTCCTTCTCGATGGATGGTTTGAGGTGGTAGTTCGTAGTCGGAATCTTCGTCCGTGTCTGATTCGCTGAAAGAACCACCAGCCTCAAGAACCTCATGGAGTTCGTCTGCAAGGTTTGGAAAGCAGTAGTAGTTGAGGATTCGGCGCTCTGTGATTGGGTTGATTTGAGTACGAGCTCGTAGTCGTGTGCGGTGGTCTTTGTTTGGCATGATGGGTCTAGGAGAGCGTGGTCGCATCATTGAGTCTGTTTCTGGTGTGGGAATCATCTTTGGAGGTTCTGGTTGAGACATTGTTGACTGCGCTTCAGATATTCCATGAGATGTTGCTGGTAAGTTTTTGATAGGGGTCATGGTCCGAGTTGTCATAGCATTGCTATAGTGATGTGTTATTGTCGTGTTGTCTGTTTAATCCAAGAATGCACCGGAACACGAATAATGTTCAATTCTACGAGCGAGAAGAATGGTCCGGATACATTCAAAGTCGGTGTCAAGATCAAACAGAAGTGTCATGTTTGATGTGAAACAAGACCCTAAACACGGCCACAGTTCTTCTCCACAAACGCCACACCACGCGAAAGCCGCACGTACCAACCATGGATGGCTTTGGTGGCTTGATGGACCCAGATGCCCTTAAAGAACTTCAAGCAGAGATAGCTAGGAAGGTCGCTAACGAGGAAGAGATACTCGTTCCTCTTCACCATCTATACTGGAGCGATGGCAAAGAAGACAAAGTCCCCGGACCTAAATCCAAAATGACACAACAAGACCCAGCCGAATACCTCGAGGTACTAAGCAAGAAATACTGTTTGTAAATCTAAATACCAATGTAGTGACAATAGACTAATGACACCACATAGNCCAAAGACTACGACGTGAACCTTGTCTTCACCAGTCTTCCTCCCAACTACACTGTCTGGAAACAGGACCCTCCTCGCAGCGACATCTACCTTTATGGTCACCCTCGCGGCAGATTCCCTTCGGCTGATCAGTTTACCTATCATGTCTGGAGCCTGCTGAACAACAAAGTCGCGGAGTGCGACTGCAGACTGTGTGAAGGCAATGTCAGAGGTCAGGGCAAGGACAAGGCCTGAACACTAAGCCGCCAGACCATGATCATGTAACAACAATGTCCTACCTTTGTTCGTCTCAATCACCATGATCGAGTCCGGAAAGTGGTGTTATTACCTCGACACCACATCACCCCTTCCGTTACGAACAAAAGAAGAAGCAAAAAACCATTTTTAAGCTACGACAGCTAGTATGGGAAAACCCCTCCTGCTTGCAAAGTATTCTACCTTTACAAGAGAGAAAGAACATCAGAGTTCCGCTACATCCGAGGATCGAACCAAGGACTTCCAGGGGTTTTATTACATTGGCTTTACGAGTGGTCTTACCAATTGGGCCAACTCTACCAATTACTGAGGAAACTTTAGTCTCGCTTCAATAACAAGTTCTAGGAGGTGAATGAATCAGTTGTGGAACTCGAGTCTTCACTCGGAACTAAGCGAGTGATGCCGTCATGAGATATTGTCTGTTCAAGTTTTAGCTCCTGTTGTCTTGGCCTGGTGGCAATCAAGAGCGTGGCTCGTGTCTTCTCATAGGCATTGGCTCTGTAAGGTTCAAAGCGAGCGCTGAGTGGAGCTAGGATTCTTGATACAACTTCAACCATCCCTTGAGATGAGTTTACCCGATCTGCATGTCGTTCAACCCTCTAGCGATAACTTTGCTATCAATTGTTGATGTCCCTAAACGCGATAAAAGTCGAGAGCTGTGCCACTCATTGCTGATCACCTCTTGCCATTCCGCAGTGGCCAATGAGCTACTGACCGTCTCTCTGATCGAAGTAATGCTGCCGTCACCGAACCCAAACATCTCAAGCTCCCTGCCTAGCCCAGGCTGTGTGATGTCTGATTCGCCCCTGAGAGCAGGATCTGTCAAGAATCTGTACGCTGACTCAACTTCACGCCAGCAATCGGCAATATCTGCTTTGCCAATTTGGGTCGGGTCGTCCAGGATTGTATCGTCCGGGTCAGGTGCCAACTTGACGTAAAGTTTTCGAACATTCGACGAGTTGCCTTTGTAGGTAATTCGGTCCAGTGGCGAGCCAATATGGTTACCAAAGGGGAATACAGCTTTGTATGCTACCGACCACATTTCCATTTCAAGCCGGAACGCTCTACCTACCGATGCCAAAATACCAGGGGGGNNATTCTTGTGAAAGTACTCGTATGTTGAGTATGCTTCAAGGAAGGACCCTTCGTTAACAGCCAGATGAGTCCAAGGCCTGATGTAGATCAAGCTGGAAAGAGCTGGTCTACCGTACTCATTGGGTTCCATGACCAGCTCCACTGGCTGCATCATATCATAGTAGTTCTCAGAGAGTGAGTGACTTTGATCTGCGACTTCCACAGGCCTAGGCTCTCTCCAAACCGAGACCAGCTGCATAGCCATACCCGGAAATGCCCAAGCGTCTAGCATGTTCATACTGCAACCAAGGAGGCAAGCGAGCGTACTTGGTGGTGCCAGCACCGAGACTCTTGCAGGGTCAAGCTTCTCGAATAGCAGGTTCCAAAAGGCCGTTGTAGCGATCAAACAGTGTACTTCATCACGGATATAGTCGAGATCGTTATTGCTGAGCTCATCATGGGCGATGATGGTTAGAGACTGTACACCACAACTAGCGCTGCCATTGTTTGGTGATTCGAGAAACGTGAACAGGCTGGACAAGATGTCATTTAGTGTAGCTGTCCATACGGCAGCTTTGTCCGTTCTTGCATCTTGCCAAACATGTCTATAGGGGAGACGTATGTCGCGTGGATAGCCCGGATCGTTGAACAGCCATTCTTTGAAGTTGGCCGATATAGTCTTGAGCTTTGGTGCAAGCAATGACGGTTCAGCCTGCACTATAGGAGTTTGAAGCCGGAGTTGCAGATGCGTGTACAGCAGGGGCGAGATCAATCGATACCAGATCTTAGATACAAGGATTAAGGATTTCAAGGGTTTACTTCTCAAGTCGGATGAGTGGGTCAGACTGATGTCAAGCGTATTCTTCTGCCAATTCCAAGATGGTGGAGGAAGCATGAGATAGGTCAGGATATGGGACCTGATTTCGTCAGGCAGTGACTCCAATCCTGTATTTGAGGTCTCGGACATGACGTTGAACGCGGTTTGTTACAATGATGATGAGATATGTTGTGGACAGAAGTACAAGTCTCACATAGTTCTTTCAGTGCCTCGAGCTCAAGTGCTCGGGTTATCTGTCTTATCGCCGAAGCCGGGGAAAGCAGTGATGGTTAGCGCTGTCATCATTCATGTATGCCAAGGATGTGGGGAAGGCGCGAGGAGACGCGACTTCTGTGTCGCGAAGCGAACACGAAAATGCATCTGGCGGCAGGAAGGCATTGCTGCAGAGTGTGACAGTAGGTAGTCGTCGATAAACAAACCGAGTTGTCTGCACGTATCTGTCTACCTCATGTCGTCTTCAAGACAGAAGTCGTTCTTTGAGCAAGATCATGGTTCCAAGGTAAGAAGAATTTGCCATGTCGAGACGCGTCGCTTCGAGTCTGATGCACCGCAGTCAAAAGCACCATGGCAGGGCAATCGCAGTTTCGACAAGAAGCCATCCGCCAACGAGGCCACCAACAAACCTCTTCCCTCGACAAAGCCTCCAATCCAGCCTTCGACCGAAACGAAATCTAAATTAAAAGCCTTCGAGTTCACCCGCCACCCCGACAAGGAGAATCCCTCGACTATCACCACTGCTCCACTGTCACCCGTCAAGCACGCTCAGCCCCCGTCATCTCCCATCAAGACTGTACAAGACAGGCCTTTACCTTCAACCCCGGCCATGCGCCTACCCCTTGCTGATCTCATTGGAAATGCCGAGGACGCTTTACGAAGACCCACACCACAAGAAGAATCGCCTGTTGAAGAGATTGGTTGGATAGCAAATAGCTCACACCCAGACCTGACTCCACGTCAGAGGAGGAGACGTCCCCAGAGTTCATCACCTGTTACTTCTTCCCAGAACGATGCATCTGACCTTCTGGATTCGAACCTCCCACAATCTGCTTTTAAGACTCCGAGAGCCGACCCAGCTGCCGAACTGTGGACGCGATACGCTACTGCTAGAAATCCCGACGAGACACCCATCGAGAAACGGATTCCTTCGTTAGCACATCTCATGAATGACTCTTCGCCTCGGTCAGCTCCTCGAACACCTGGAGGCAGCGTTGGTGGTTTGAGGAGATGGGCAAGCTGTGGTCTAGAATTTCCTTCTTCTCGAGTCAAACGACGTCGCGTTAATGGCATCTTTCGGGACAACACCAACCCTCAGGACCCATCTGTCGCAAAGCCTTTGTCACGAGTAGGCATGTTAGTCGAAAAGGTCCAAGAATCTCTCGCCCACAAAGATATTCCTTCAAGTTCTTCACCCTTGCCTGATAAGGGCGAGTTTCCCAGGATACACAAGCTCACTTCAGACCATCAAAGATCACAACCGCCTTCGGCACGTTCTTCGCAACAATATTCTTATCAGAATGAAGACGCCGAGTTTGACGATACAGACATCACATTGGATGACATGGCCGAGATGCAACCAAACTACACGACTCAGGACAACTCTATGACTAATACAACCATAATGAACACTATTGACGAGGATGATGACGAATTCGGCGACGACTTTGGTGATGATCTCGACGCTGAAGAGATAGAGAATGCTGTTTCATTCTTCGAAAGCAGACCTGGCACCTCAAATGGCCAGTTTATCTCACAACAAAACACCTGTGCAATCGCCCAGCCCGATCAACCATTACCACCCTCTGCACCACCGCCTCTCCAGGATCAACAGCAGAGGCCACAAACTNTCGACCTGACAGGATTTTCCGACGACGACGATGACGACGAATTTGGTGGTTCTGACCTCGATGAAGAACAACTTGTCCAGGCTGAAATAGATGCTACTCAAGCGTTGGAAGCAAGTACAAGTGCTAGCTCTGTACGTATTTCGAATCTTCCCAGGGTGTAGATAGCTAAGTGTCATCAAGACTACTCAAAAGTCTCGCGCCATCCAACGTTATTTGGTGAAGCAAGTCATAGACGGCCAGTATACCGACCATCGTGGTCGTCAACAAGCTGAAAAGGTAAGCCACGTGTTGTGCCATCGCCCCTTCCTCATGAAATCTTCGGTGAGTTGACAATCACGTGCAGGTCTTGTCCGTTGAGGATGAGGTACAAAAGCGGAACAAATCCATCACTTTGAGACAATCATGGCTTGAAACTCACTGCGCCCCTGGCTCCTATGTGCATGTTGTTGGCCGTTTTGACAAGACTGGTCAAATCACTATTGATGACGCCGAGAACTTGATCATCGTTCATCCTGACCACCTGATTTCAGCCACAGTCGTCGCTGATTCCTTCGAGTGCATCCGCCGAGCCGTTCTCCAAGACAGAGTCAAAGCGACTAGCCGTTCCAGCGAGCCTTCTGTCTATGGATCCATGCTCCATGAGATCTTCCAAGAAGCAATGAAGGCCAATATATGGGAACCAGAGTCATTGGACGCACTCGTTGCGAAGACAGTGGGCAAGTACTTGGAGAGCTTGTTCGAGATCGGACACAAAGACACGAACAAGGCCTACGAGCACCTCAAGAGCAAGATGCCTGAGATGAGCTCTTGGGCCAAGGTTTTGTCAAAGCCAAACCTGGCCCCGACGCTCTTGCGGAAGATAGAGGTGGCAAGAAAATTCGTGTCAGTATTACTAAACTACTCGATGTTGAGGAGCATGTATGGTCGCCAACCTATGGACTGAAAGGCAACATCGACGCTACCGTTCAAGTCCTCATGGAGGATGAGCAAGGTAAGCGAGCACTGACTGTACCTTTCGAAGTCAAGACCGGACGCAACACCACGAATACCTCGCATCGCGCGCAAACAGCATTGTACACGCTTTTACTATCAGATCGATACGATTTGGATGTCATCTACGGCTTGCTGTACTACATGGAGAACTCTAGTATCACGCGAATCCCAGCAATACGACACGAACTTCGCCACATGATCATGCAGCGAAACGAGCTTGCCTGCTATGTCCGCGAGCGTCTTCAGCTTCCACCCATGATACAGGACGAGCGCAAGTGTGGAAGATGTTATGCCAAGACAGAGTGCTTCCTCTACCACAAACTTTCAGAAGACGGTACAACCGAGAGTGCTGGCGTCAAGGAAAAATTCAACGAGCTTGTCGGCAAGCTGCAGCCTGTTCATCAAGACTTCTTCAAAAGTGGGACAACCTTCTCACTAAGGAGGAGTCTGAGTTGATGAAGTTCCGACGCGAGCTCTGGACCATGCTCAGTACCGAGCGTGAGAAGCTTGGTCGCTGCTTCTCGGAAGTTGTCATTGAGAAAGGTTCCATGAGAGAGCTTGAAGACATGACCAAGATCAACCGATACCGCTATACTCTAGTGAAGAAGGAGCCACCACCAGGATTCTCTTTCACCGAATCTCAAATCACGATCGGAGAGCCGATTGTCATATCGAGTGAAAAGGGTCACTTCGCACTCGCCAATGGTTATGTGACCAAGGTATCAAGAGGGCGTATCACAGTTGCTGTTGACAGAAGACTCCACAACGCACGTCAGAAGCAAGCCGATTTCGACACCAACACAAACCAAACCTTCTCGGGTATAATGGAAGTTGGAAAGGAAGACGAGCCTAGCCAAAATGCCGAAGGCGTTGAGGAAGCCCCTATTGTCTATCGTCTCGACAAGGACGAGTTCAGCAATGGCATGGCTACTGTTCGCAACAATCTTCTAGCATTGATGGACGATAACATCTATCGCTCCGCTGACTTGCGGAAACTCATCGTCGAAGACACTGCCCCAGTGTTCAAGCCTGAACCTGCGGCCTACGCGTTGTCTGGTCCAGCCAGCCAGCTTCAGATTAACAGAGATCAACGTGCTGCGATTGACAAAGTCATGTCCGCCAAAGACTATGCACTTGTACTCGGTATGCCAGGCACGGGCAAGACGACCACTATTGCTCATATCATCAGAGCCTTGGTGGCTCGTGGCAAGAGTGTGCTTCTGACTTCGTACACACATACCGCTGTTGACAACATTCTTTTGAAACTGCGAGATTCAGATGCGTCTGTCCTGCGACTAGGTACTTTAGCAAAGATCCATCCGGAGGTTCAGGATTTTGCTCATCTTGCTGCAACACCCAAACAAAGCATGGAAGAATTGGAAGATACGTACTTGAAGCCACAAGTTGTTGCAACGACTTGTTTAGGTGTCAACCATCAGCTTTTCCAGCAGAGAGTCTTCGACTACTGTATTGTGGATGAAGCATCACAGATCACCCTCCCAGTTTGTCTCGGACCTATTCGCATGGCAAAAACGTTCGTTCTCGTTGGAGACCACTACCAGCTTCCTCCTCTGGTTCAGAATCGCGAGGCTCAAGAAGGCGGTCTCGACATCAGTCTCTTCAAGCTCCTATCTGACCGACAACCAGAGAGTGTGGTCAATCTGGAGCACCAATATCGCATGTGCGAAGAAGTGCAGTTACTGTCCAAGACCTTGATCTACTCCGGCCGTCTGAAATGCGGCAACGACGCCGTTGCCTCCCGAACTCTCAAAGTTCCCACCCCTGATGGCATCATGAGATATCACTCCGAGCCCCAAGGCTCATGGTCCCTGGATCGAAACCTCTGTTTGGGTCCAGCTCAAGGAAGCTGTTGGCTTTCTGAAATTCTCTCACCAGCCAGAAAAGTAGTCTTCGCCAACACAGACACACTTTGCCCTGTGCCAAAAGAAACGGCGGTTGGCTCCCGTATTGTCAATGCGACTGAAGCCCAACTGCTTACGCAACTCGTTCTCTCCCTTATCTCTCAAGGCGTTCCCCCTAACGAGATCGGAGTCATAGCCTTCTACCGCTCGCAACTCGCCCTACTGCGTCAGTTGCTGAAATCACACCCGGAAGCTTCGGGAGTAGAAATGCACACGGCAGACAAGTTCCAAGGTCGTGATAAGGAAGTTGTGTTCATCTCTTGCGTGCGCAGCAACGATACAGGGAATGTCGGCGACCTGCTTCGGGATTGGAGACGTCTCAATGTCGCTTTCACACGCGCCAGAAGCAAGATGATCGTGTTGGGCAGTAAGGAAACATTGACGTCGAACGAATTACTCGAGAAATTTCTCAAACTTGTCGAAAGCAAAGGATGGATATACAACCTTCCAAAGTTGGCGGAACGCGGTCACAACTTCCAGGACGTTCTGGGTGTGAGTCTGGCTACGCAGAAGACGCCTGCCAAATCACCTTGCAAGAGAGACATGGCTGGTAGCCTCGAGGACAGCGAAGATCGCAAGAAGCGCAAGCGGAATCCTCATGCTCAACGTAAAGGCATCGAAGACTACCTTTCGGGTTCTCCAGCAGCCAGAAGTGTATATCAGAGGGAAAATTCGAAGATCAACAAGCCCTTCAAAGTGCCTGAGAAGGTTGGCAAAGTGGGAACTAAGGCGTTGTTTGGAAAAGAGCATTCGAGCAGCAAAAGACCCGTTCTTATGGACATTGTCAATGACGCTCTTGTTGGCCTTGAGTAGATGAGGAAAGACTTACTTGGATAGAATAGGGAAGGCGGATTGGGTGGGATAAATGCAAGAGCAGATTGAATTTCATGATGTGCCAAATGAGGATGGAATTGCAGTCATGCTAATGATTCTTAGCTCAAAGTTTACCATTACATGCTTAGCTAGATATGTATCAACGAATGACAGGAGCGGGCTCCTAGTTATCCTCTCAACACATCAAGACCTTCCAGAGATCTCTAGCCGCAAGAGCCATGTACTCACGTGTTGAGAGAGCGATGTTAGACCAAGGTGGCTGTGCACGGTTTCCTGTGTGACAAACTTTTGGTCTAAAATCAAGCTTTGCCAACCCGCTTCTCTCCGAGCCCTCCACCTTCAACCCACGTTCTCCACACGCTAACAACCATCTAACATTCGACGATCCATTGGGTAGGGTTTTGGTAAACCGCCAATTCTACCTGGTATAGGTCTCTCGAACCCGAGTTATGTGAGGCAGCATGCCTGCTCAAAGTCGCCACCCTAAGAAGAGTGCCTTTTCCTGCGAGCCCTGCCGAAGGCGAAAGGTATACAGTGCCAAAGGAGGGAGTACATTACAAGCATTTGTTGACTGTCCATGTTTTCAGGTCAAATGCGATGGTGTACAACCGATCTGCAATCGATGCAAGAATCGTGCTGAGACATGCGAATATCATCTGTGAGTATGACAATCACCCCAGAATTATGACTCGCTCGAGAGTTTGGACTGCCTGAAAGTTGAATGGACTAACTCCTCAAGTGCTCCTACCTTATCATACACACAACGTCTGGAGAAGCGAGTTGCGGAGCTTGAATCGTTGCTCGCGACTTCCCAACCCGAAGCCTCCACTTCGACACTAACTCAGACTGTTTCTCCTCAACAAAGCACCAATGCTACTGCAGCATTCACTCCTATGTCTGCCGAGTCTGGGCACAACAGAGACGATGATGTTGCCTTCCATGGCTCTACGAGTCTTTTCCAACTGCCTGGAAGTGTAAGAACACGGGTAACAGACAAAGACGCCGAGCAACAGGAAGATATTTCGAAACGAGAAAGCTTGCTCAACAATGCGTGGCGTGAACGAGCGTTCGAAAAGCTTGCAACTACGCCGGTGAGTTGATGCTTACTTCTCAAGCACGGCTGGTAAAGCTGACCTCAGCAATAGGAGCCTTATCGGTATCTGCTTGATTCGCACTGGTCATGGATCCAACCTCTGTTCAATTTCGTCTACAGACCGGCCTTTACACGTACGAAAATTCGAACGTCCTACAGAAATATTGGCTAACAGTTGTTAGGTGATATGATGACTGGCGGTCAATACTACTCGGCAGCATTGTTCAACGCCATGCTTTCTCACTCAGTACGCTGGTGCAAGACAGAACCTGGCATGCAAGAACTGCTTGCCCCATTCGACGAGGGAACTGCCTTCTTCCAGACCGCTGTCACAAACTTGTTTGATGATCTCAGGAACGGGCAGAGTAAGGTGCCCACAGTCCAGAGTCTGCTACTACTCAGTGCTCAAGAGTGTGGTCGTGGAAACAGAACACAAGCTTGGCTGTACAGTGGCATGGCTTTCCGCCTGATCGACGACATGGGAATGTGTATCGATGGTCAACGTTACGCTGACTCGACCCAGTTCTCTGCCGAAGATATTGAAATAAGGAATCGCCTCTTTTGGAGCTGCTATTTCTGGGACAAGCTCATTGCGCTATACTTTGGACGATCACCTATGTTGCAGAACTCACACGTCAGTCCACCGCGTGTCATCAGTAAGTGCCTTTGCTGTTTATTTTATATGATCTAGAGGGTCCCACTGACCGCGACACAGNTGGATGACACTGCCGAGATTGAGATATGGATGCCACATGGCCTCACAACCGCCAACTATCCGCCCAGACAAGCACACTCGATTTCATGTTTCATACACATGTGTGGGCTTGCCGAGATACTGAATCAAGTTCTCATTCACTTCTACAGCCCGACCTGCGACTTATCATCCTCAAGCGCTTTAGCAAGCGCCCTCGAACAAAGTTCCAAGATGAGAGCTTGGTGGAGAGATCTACCCGAGCATCTAAAGATCAATGTTGGAGCCCTACCGCAACTGGCGCCACCTTCACATATCGTCACGCTAAAGTGGGTTACTCGCACACTCTGATGTATCCAAGCTGACAACGAATACAGTTGCCTCTATCATACCGTCAACATCCTTCTCCATCGCAGCTTGCTCAGACTCAGCAGCTCCAACCATCCCTCAACGGCTACAAGCATCGATCAAAACCCTCTTATACAATGCATATCATCCTCCACCTCCATCATAGCACTCTTCGATTTATTCGTCAGGACTTTTGGCGATGGTCATGTGGTCCTGAGTTTGGCTTACAGCTTGTACACTGCAACGTCTATCCTGCTACTCGAACTGCAGGCGAGCCCAACCAACCCACAAAGATATACGATGGAAAGATTGTCCTACTGCCTCTCTGCTCTCGAAAGAGTAAAAAATACCAACCCAGGTAAACGCCCAATTCTCCACACAAATCCGCTTTCACACACAAAGAGTAGAGTAATTCACTAACCTTCGGAAAATAAAAAAACAGTCATCGCAACAGCCTCAAAACTCATCCGCAAAGAATTGATGGTGCTTGGTCTGGATATCCACGCTCACACCGCATCCCCCAGCGACGCCACAGGAGACACATCAACACCACGACCCTTCCACCCTCCAAGATTTGTCCCACTGTCCACAGCATCACACCAATCTTCACATCAAAACATGCCGCATGTGGTAGCCAATCTCCACAACGAACAGCAAACTGTTGTTGGCGGCAACGGGGAACAAGAGCAGGATATGGTCTTTATGGATGCTTCGTATCTGGATAATAACGGCCAGGTGTCTGGAGGTCTGGAGTATGATTTGTTGGATATGAGTCCGAGTACTTTTGAGGCGTTTACGCAGGTTGAGCCTTTGAGCACGACTATGAATCCTGGATTTGATTTCTTCTGAGAGCAGACATCACCTAGTGGGACACGGAAGGACATCAGACACAATAAGTTGGAATGGACAGAAGCATCATCTAGAGTAATCGATTGAGGAATATGTTATGTACTAAAGGGGTATCTGCTCTAGAGTGTATCTCAATACGAGCGCCGCCCATGTAGGGGAATATATATGCAAAATAGGGTAACCAAGGAATGATATCGGTCCTTTCCCTCCTATCAGTATAAACACGAACTTTTCCACTCTCGCCCGTCTCACTTCCTCTGGCCCAACATCTCAACACCCAAGCCATCTTTGCCTTCGTTGACAGTCATTTGCTCAACAGCCTTGACGAGATCAAAGGTGATGCCTTCGCCAACCACGCTGTCCTTGTTGTACTCCTTGTGCTCGGCAACAAAGTGTCTGATCCATTTCGCAGCCGTCCAGAGCTCGCCTGTCGCACGCTGACGGATGAGCTTCAAGTATCTGGCCATCTCGCAGCGGATCTCGACATCGACATTGATGCTGGACAGATAACGTTCGACCAGAGGAATCAAACCGGGGAAACCGTCGGCCTTGCCGTTCATGATTTCATCGACGGTCATGAGTTCGTATTCGTCTTCCACGCGAGCAGCCGGACTAGGGGGACGCGAGAATTGTGTCGGTGTCGAGGTGCCCGATCTCGGTTGTCTGGTCGCTGGGAAGGGGTTCTTGCGGAACCAGAATTTCTGCTCCGTGACTGCGTTACGCAGGTGTGCCGTCTCCATATTCTCAGTCGTCTTTTGGATGGGAATGTAGAAGTTGAGGTCGAAACTGAGGATTGCACGGGTGATGAGGACGACAAAGACGGAGAAAGCGGCGTTTTCAAAGTCGGTGATCTGGATCTCCATGGGTCTGACTTCGACACGCCAGCCAATGTCGTTGCCTGGCGGCGGTGGCTTGAAGCGCATGTGTTGCCAGTTCGTGGATTGCAAATTCTCAAAGTGGTCGACCTTGTTCAGATCTAGCTCCTTCAGGTCTTCGTTGAAGACAACAATCGGATCGCGAATGAAGAGATGAGCAAAGTGAGTGGCTAACAGATCATCCATACCACCATCTACGAGCTTCTGCTTCATGTCAGGGTCAACTACAAGGTTAGGATCGAAATATTCCTTGCGTAGGCGAGGATCTTGAGCGATATATGTCGAGTTGGAAGCGTACCGAGACTTGGGAATCTGCCATCTCGAATCTTTCAACGGCTGCAAACTGTCAGTCTGGTTCTATACACGGAAAAGCAGGCGACAAACCTTCTCGCCAAGCTCTTCTGGGGTTCTGTCGTCGACTGATCTGCTAATCTGGTTCCATCTGACATCGGTATCGGCCAGAAAGCCCTTGTAGATAGGTGTGGCGGCAGTCAAAGCAAGCAGAATAGGACCAATAGGGCTGAGTTGGTCGTACATCTTGCGACCCTCGTCAATGTTCTTTGCCTGGAAAGTGATCTGGAGACAACAGCTTCCCATGCCGAAGGCCATTGCATCCATGTAGATGTGGTTCTCTTTTGCAGCTCCATTGCGGACATCGTCGTCCTCGGGCCAAGTGTGGAGATCGTAGTCCACAGTGGGATCGTTGAAGGGCCATGTGGTCTTCTCGTCCTTGTACACGGGCACGTTGATCTCGACCTTGCGGCCTCTGCGAGCGCGAATGTTGGCGGCCAGAGTTGGGAAACGAATATGAGGGTTCGCGATCTCGTCAGGGAGGAACTGAGATCTTAGCTTGTCGCCGTTCAGGGGGNNGTACTCGGGAGTAATGGATCGTTCTTTGGCACCCAATCGTGGGAAGGTGGTCAGAGTAATGGGAAACTCGCTCGGTTCCATGTGCTCCTTTGCGATTTTGCGCCTANNGAGAGCTGGTTAAACGGCATTGCTCTCGGCATTGAGATTTTGGGGGCAGACTTACCTCCACTTCATGTCTGATTCGACGTCAAGCAGATCTTTGAGGTCAATTCCCCATGGCCGTCCAGGAGTCGTCTCGAGCATGAAACGACCGAACTCGGGGTGGAACACGGGAGCCGTCTTGCCAGACCTGACACGNCATGAGTAAGGTTATGCCCTGTAGAGTACGAAGCAAACAAGACGGTACCTGACTGAGCCACGCTGGATCTCGTCTACACCACCACCCTGGGCGAGGAGCTTCTCGTCGCTAGCCAAAGCCTCGAGAATATCTGCCTGGCGTAGCGAGAGTCGGACCTGACGCTTATCGTCATCGTATGTCACGACAAGGTACTCGATTTCGTCTCCCCAGAGAAGGGCATCGCGCTCCTTGCCCTTTGCTCGTCTCCAAGTCGCCAATAGTTGCNNTAACCAGTATTCTCAGCTCTTGTGCTTCTGTGTATGGATCCGAGTGGGTACACGTACCTCAATGCCCCATTCTCGGACCTGTCCGGCGACCTTTTTCGCTTCGGGCCAGGCAAGCGGCGTTCCCAGGGCTCTGTACGTAGAAGCGGTTAGTGGGTGTTTGTGGCGCGAATTGAGGACGGTCGTGTCTCATACAATAGTCCCATGTCTTGTGGTTTGTGCTACGTGGTACGGGGTCTTCAATTGGCTTCCAAGATGAGTGGTGCTGAAACGAGGGCCGCTGCAAGCGAGCTACAAGATTTGTGTCGGATGGTAGAGATGATAATGGGCCGCGATAGGCAGTGGTTCGGGCGGTTACCACATAGTGCGGTGCAGAGGTGCTGGTAGGTCGGCGAGAAATTGATAGCGGGTAGGGACAGGAAAGAAAACAATGGCTATCTGAGTTATGGCAGTGGATGCGAAATGCGCATTACAAATGCTCCACGCCCAGGTGACGGCAGTCCAAAGCACGCCATTGGCAAGAACCTCACGGCCGCTCCCGATCGCGGGGCATCTTGCCTAAACAGTTCATCTTATACACGACCACTCGACTTTTTACTCAGCATCTTGCTAAGCTGCTACTACTGCCCTCCCGGGCGACTTCCGTTCAGAGGTAACTCCAAAGCTTAGAGCAGGCACGATCGCACCAACTCTTTACACCTGTCAGACGCAGCCATCCGCCTCGCTCCTGCACCAAAAGCCACTTCTTCCATGCACCTTCCTACACATGTCCGACACGCATAGCACCCCTCCTGGTCATTTGTTCCTCTACTCTCCACCTTAATGTATCTGCCTAACTTGTCTTCTTTTCGCAATTGCTCACGTGCCATTGGCCTTGACGCCTGGCCTGTCTGCAACCAGGCAACCAACACCGAACTACCAAGAAATCACCTTAACATGCAACAAGTCTGTACAAACACATGATTGATATTCATGTACCACACGCCAACTTAAATACCATCCACTCGCCTAATCCAAATATCTAACAATTCGAAACGAAATAAACAATTCTTTCCCATTACCAACTGCGCAAATCCGACAGTCTGGTAGCCAAACACCCGAGAGCCTAATAGCTCTTTGCTCTTGGAGCCGCTGACATGGCCGATTGAGCCATGCCGCAAAACAAAATGCCCAGCAAAAACAGCAATTCCTAACCCAACACGCACATCCTACAAAACTCCGTGGTCCCAATGCTAGTGTCGTGAGGGATGGCCTAAAAGCCATCGTATGCGTGTCCCGTGATCCGTCGTATACGAAATATGCAGCCGAGAGGTCTAAAAACCTCTTGCAAAAACTTCTTGATGCACTATCCGGCCAGGAGTTTATACCGGAGATGGCCTCTAATAAGGCCCCACGCATGTGACGCCCGCAAATTTTTCGCTATTTTGGTGTGAAGAATAACAATCGAACAGTAAACAGACCGAAAGCAAAAGCGATATTGTTGATCAGTCGATACACTCGCGTTAGCCAACACATGCAACACATGTGTCGAGAGGGTGGCTCGGAAGCCGCCATCGGGTGTTGCCAGGTGCAGCTTTCAGTTTTGCGTATCCTCAGAGGCTTTGGGACGAAGATTGGAACTGGAGATGGCGGCCGCGTTCTTTCCAGCTTTCCTTGTCAGCTTGGCATAATGAAGTCCGCATGCATTGCACAAAGTGCGAGCACCATCCGGACCTCTGCGCCATTCTGGAGTCTCGGCTCTGTTACAGCTGTGACATCTGCCAGGAGGAGCAGCGCGCNNTGAACAATGAATTAGTTGTGTTTCTGACACACGAGGAAAACAATATAAACTTACACCTCTGCGTTTTTTAGCCTCGGCACCGGCAAATCCACCAATTTTTGCCTCTTCGCTCTGATGGACAGAATCACGCTTGATGCCCTCTTGTGCCCTTGACTGTTGTTCTTGAGCTTGTTGGAAATAAGCTGTCTGCTGTGCAACAATGAACTCTCTCATCTTAGCATAACAGTCAAGTTGACGGCGGGACTTCTCCATGAGATGGTCAATCTCTTGTAATTGAGGCAGATTGCCCGGAGCAGGGTCCGATCTCTGAGATTGATGCAAGCGAGCACCACATTGTCTACTGAAGTCCAGCATATAGCTACTAGACTCGGCAATCNNTGGCAATTTGGTCAGTGACGCGTAGATACAACTTTTGCGGGGCAAACAAACCTCGTTCAGGGCTTCGCCGAAATCCCACATGTCCAGATGACGTTTCACAGAATCGCCGAAAGGAGCTCTTCCGGGTTCAACATGTTGAGGTGGAGCAGGCTGAGTGATGGATGGCTGATAAACAGACGAAGTAGGTGCTGCAGAGTGCGGCGCCGATGAGTGGTAGGCGTAATGAGATGCATAAGGTGCTGGAGCTGGAACCGGAACAGGGGCAGGAGCAGGAGCGTAACCGTAAGGCAGAGCATGCTGAGGTGCTGACGGAGGAGGAGCAACAGGAGGCATGCTGAGAGGATGGGAAGCAGTCCTTTCATGAGAAGCAGTGACAGGATATGAACGCGGATATTGTGATTGGTGGGCCAAGGGAGACTGGCCAGCGTGCGATGCATTTGGGTGGGGTGCATATACCGATCGTTGACGATCTTGGTGCTCGGGAATATGGCGAGGACTGATCTCCTGGTGAGATTGAGCATAAGGGCTACGAGGTCCATGGGTGAAGACGACAGGTTGCGGCGGTGGTGGAGGCTCCATTGCGGCGAAAGACCTTCTAGCAGGGACAGGCGAAGCAGGCGAAGGCGCTGTGACAGGAGCGTGATATACAGGTTGGGGAGCGGACGAATAAGGCCTCTGGCTGGTGGGAGGGTAGGAAGCGGGTTGCTCTACGCCGAGAGCCTCATGAATTGATGGCAGCGATTGCTTGTTGGCCTGGTTCGAGGGATCTTCGTTCGAGGAACGACGGGTTTCTGTGGGAAGACGAGCATCGGAGTACGAAGGACGACTGTAAGGTGGCGGGGGACCAGAGGGATAGGCGATGGTCGGGCTGTTTGTAGCAGAAGGCGCCATTGACATGTTTGTGCCACGAGCCTGGTACTCGGCCTCCTCCCGCTTTATTTTCTCGATGTCGAGCATTTTGATGGGCGGCAGCGCAGGTCTGAATTGCTCGTTAGCCAGACGCTTGACGGGACTCGGTTGCCGGAGAGCCCAGTCTTGCCTTTGTCTGTCGCCGGAGTCCATGGTATTTTGCGATGGCGAGTGGTTTTGCAAGCCGGTCGGTAAAATGTCGATGAATGCTTCAGATGGCAATTTTCATTCCTTTGGTCGTGGTGGAGCGAGTCTATTCGGGGATCGATGACGACGGGGCCAATTCCATGCGTGCAGCAAGAATTGCGTGGGGCGAGAGCAGATTTGGCAGTGGCTACCAAGTCAGGGCGGAAGAGATGGATGACAGGTGCGGTGCGGTGCGGCAAGAGCGAAGAGGTTGTGTCGAGGGCGCGGAAAGAGGTCGTGGAGTGGAGGTAGAGTTTTGCGGCAGGAGTCTACGTTGTGGGCAAGGGAAGGAGCCTGAGCAGAAAAGAGCCTTAAGAGACGTGCCTGACCCTCATGCGAGCGAGCGAGCATCGAGTTGAGTTGAGTTAGCACCACTTGACGGGCGTGCACGGTCTGCGACGATCACATAGGCGTAAAGTGACAGGGATGGCCGCCACCACCACCAACTTACTGGCACATCCGCTCTCGTGTCTTCCTGCTTGTCAGGGTTTTGCCGCCGCTGGTGGGCCTGCTGTTCCATTGGAATAACGCATAACCTTCGACCGTCAGAGCGAGACATCCGGATGGCCATGACATGGCAATAGTGGTCCATGCCGTTGAGCTCGCGGTTGCAGACGCTGCGCTGCGTGCTTCCGTTCGCTTCCTGCCACACAACATGCACATCACGTTCCTCTAACGAACAGATCTCAAACCCTATCGTCCTTGGTTGCAATCTCAGATGCGTGATCTGGTGTGCCGCCTGCATCGTCAGACTCGGCTTGCGATACAGTACTCCGTACCTTCTCTCACCCACCGACATGGCACAGCGGACGGCGACAAGCACAAGCCTCGCTGCCAGTTGGCTGCCTCTGCTGAGCAAGACAGCCAATGCCCGGACTCGCTGCGTGCGTGCGTCCAGCGGCTGCAGGCCCTAAACTTTAGCTGTCCTAGATNNCGTGATGCTCTCACGCCCGCTTCGGCTAGCGGCCGTGACTCGGACCATGTCGCGACANAGTCCCGTGGGCCGTGGAGTAGATCGAATCTCTGGTTTGGAATCGAGTTCCAATCTCAGTCTGCATNNCTGCTGCCAGATCTCCCTCCATCACGACNNTCGGCGAATCACAGCCTCCATGCCGCCGTACTCGCCTTTGTACCTGTGCAGCGCGCCCCGGCTCGCAAGCCAAGCCCACCATTTCGACGAAGCCTCACCTTGTTGTCCGCCCATGCAGCACGCTAGCACCACAAGGGCTGATGATATATTACATGCACACAGCGTCCCGACCGTCGGTGCGGCCAACGTCACCACAGCCCAAGGGAGACCAGTCACCGAATCCCACAGAACTTCATCTGTCTCAGATACGCTCCGTGCTCTGAGCCCAGCTGCGCGTCGCTGCAGCTCCCTATCCTACTAGTCCCTTTAGGTCTGCTTACCAGACCATAAGCTCGGATGGCTCACTCAAGCGGACGCCGCGACCGTCGCAAAGACAATCTAACAACTGGCAAGGCGGGGATAGCAGGTAGATCCTCGGCTTCGAGATGGCATGTCAAACTGTTTTGAGAGGAGGCGCCGCACGTGTCAGGAGCTTCGGTCGCTTACTTTCGCCTCGCTCTGCCTATTGTGGCTTGCCCGACTCGCTGCCTGCATCAGTGCGTGGACCCTGGCTCAGCGCCATCTTGAGCGGCTGTAAACCTTCAAGTTCAGGCCATTGAATCCCATTCCCTGGGTTTGTCCAGTGCTAGATTACGATTTACGATTGATGGAAATAGACAACAAAGCAATCTCAAAAAGCCACGCCAGCTTGAGATGTTGCTGCGTGTGCCTTGTCATTAGCCTACGATGTCCGAGTTTCGATAGCATCAAGACTGAAAAATATCACGATGCATCGGTGATTCACTCTCCCAAGTCTCCGTCTGAATACACACTAGGAAGGGATCTTCTTGACTCAATCTCCCAAGCCCACGTGCAGATTCGCCTTCCGATTCACAATGCTACTCAACTCGTGCCTGAGATCCTATCTCCTCTTCGCTCCGATCGCACGCTATCTCGGGATTGAATTCAGATATACGAGCTGTGGTGCTTTGGCCAGGAAACATCGCAACTTTGCGATATGTGAGGTTACTCTCGCTTTGCTTCAGCAAGCGAGCGTGGATAGTGAGTCACGACAGTTGGCTGTTAGCGAATGTAACTGTCTCACTGGGTCGTCGCGGTATTTTCCCTCTGTATGCTTGTCGTTACTCATGACGTCTGCGAAGGGTCTGCCCTGTCAAGTTTTGGATGACCAGAGACAAGATAGCGAGTACGGTTTCTGATCAAGATCGTCGTTACGATATGCCGAAGCAGTCCTAGCCCGCCTGCTTCTTTCAGCCTCCAGCCAGTCGGAAATTTTTGTCTCTGTCAGATCTGGTTAGCATAACGACGGTCTCATGTTCGGGCGCGATCTTTGAACAGATCATACGCTTCTCAAGATCGAGAACCGTTCCACGCACAGCGGAAGCGGCTTCACCCGGGACGTTGTGTCTTGGTCCGAACTGCGTGCGTGCGGGCGCCACTTTAGCTTCCGAGACCAGCACCATTATTATTGTTTGAGAACAGCCGGTGGCATCTCGTGAACAGCTTTCCAAAATACTCAGCTCGTGTTCCTGTGTTTGGATCAACGCCGCGAACACCAGCAATCAAAGAAAGCTGATCTTGCTTTTTCGGCACTCGAGAAACGTAAGATTGCCTCGCAGACAAAATGGGAAGGGGTCCTGGGCGTGCGGGGAGCCGCTCAGGGAGAACCCCTTGATGGAACGTCAATCTCATGGAAGGGAACGTTGTCCGGTGACACAAATTCTAGGTATGCGCTAGATCTTGGATCTCCGTTGATACGTGGCACATAACCAAGCCACCATCGGTGTAGCTCGAGTGCCTGCATATGCTGACAGGCTGATGGTTGATTTGAACGTCGACAACGCACTTCTGTAACTCTTCCACAACGCCTGCAAATTTCGCGTTCCAGCTGGAGCGTGGAGCGATACATGATGGTATTGCTCTGGCTATGGTCATGTGTTAGGCGTGCCGTCCGGCGGCAACACCATCAAGTTATCGTTTTCTTAAGTGGTTGACTCGTCACCGGTCACTGTCGAAAGAGCTCTTTCCGCGGCGGTGAGGTTTGATGACATTGCGAACTTCCTCGAGCAAAGGTAATCTGTGCGCTCCTGCATATTGGTGTACTCTATCCGGTCCCTGGTCCCTGGCTATCACTGTGTTTTCTGACACGAATAACGCGATACAGCTTGGAACGATAATAGTACGCTTGTCTGTGCGGGATGAGATCAAAGATATATTGCACATCTTGATCAATCTTAGATCCATTCGTGCTTTGACACTGGCGCACTGGACCTGGTCATGTTAAGACATGATCAGAGCTTCGCCGACAGATGTCCAAAATCAGCCGGGTCTGAATCATGAACCATGATAGCCAACTGGTCAAACGACAGAAGATTGAGACAGCCGCTCGACACATGTTGCCGATCAACTCAGCCGAGTCAACAACCAGCCTCATTCGACGCGGATTGACTATCGTTTCAAATGGACCACATGCTTTATATGCAGATTACGACTCGCGAACGACTTTCCAAGGGCATCCGCAAACGCCACGAGCCCACAATGCTTCGCAACAATCACGACCATCGCAATACTATGCACCTGTCGTCCAAATGCAGGGTTGCTGGCAAGTTAGATTCATACGCGCTACCCATGACACTGCAATGAGTTGCAGTCGTTGAGAAAAGAGCCGTCTGCAGTATCCGGCCACTGTTGTTCTGACGACCCTGTCCTCTTAGTCGCCATGGGAGTAAGTGGCCATCCACTCTCCAGATTTGCATAGCATGAACCAGGTTACTCTCTTATCAGTCTGGTATGCTACACGTGCTTGGTCCAAGATGACTGCAAGTGAGGGGCATGCTGTCCGGTGTCTCTGAATGTAGCAAGCTGTCAAGCCTCAAATCTAGGCTGTTCTTCGCCAGCACATCTGAGGACCCTCTATGCACAAAGGACTAACTCAGAAACCTCACAGTCAAGTAAATTATTTGTCAGGGTGAGTGTTCCCCCAATACTTCACACAAAGGTTAAGTATCGCTACAACGGTCTGCGTTTGCGATTACACAAGCAAACAGACCTTGCCGCTGTCAACAAAGCCAGACTCTTCCTTCATTTTCACTATCCCATCCCATCACATACACTATTTCAACAGGTATCACCCATTCTCCTGTTCTCCACTCAGTTATCAAACCATCGATATGCTTCCTTCACAACTGAGCGACGCCCAGATCGAGAAGAAAAAGAAACGCCGCGGCGGCAAGAAAGAACAGCTCAAAAGACAGCGCCGGCAGGAGCGTGAGACACTGGGGGACAACATGGATCACGATGATACTGAAGCTGTCGATGAACCTGCCTTCGAAACTCGCAATGCCGGAGCCAAAGGTCTCGGCCTATTCGCAACACGTAGCATCGAACCAGGAGAACGGCTCATCGAAGAGTCCCCACTGTTCATCCTTCCCAAACAAGACACCATGAATGCAGCCATCGTCGAGAGTTTCATGCGTCTACGGTCGGAGCAGCGCGCGGCCTACTTGGGCTTGAGCTCGTATACCACGTGCGCTGCAAAGACACAAGCTGAGGCCGTCGAAACGTCGGCGGCTGAGGATGGTGCAACAAGTTTGCCAGACGTCGGAGATTCTGGTCCTCCAATTGGATACCCGGCTGAGCAAGTTGATCGTCGCATTTGTGCCTCTGACGTGCAGCCTCTGCCCAGCAGTTTCGATATTGAAAGCAGCTGCAAGTCACCCAATGTGGCCAGTGGCAGCGGCGATCCAATTCTCAAGGAGTCGGACAAGCTCGAGCTGTCAAAGTCTGAATCCACGACAACCGTCTTACCAGCTCCACAGGCTAGAGTTGATATCCCAATCTGGAACGTCGACGATCTAAAAGAAGCTCTACAAGCAACAACCAATGACTCGGGTACGAGAAGCGGTGTGGACCGTGTGGGTGACACGGCTGATGATGGTGATCAACAAGACCGCGATTCAGATATGTGCGAGATAACAGAGTCACTCGCTGCCCGTGTCGTCAACATCTGGCGTACCAACTCATACATGCTCGACGATGGTATCACTCTCGACTCCGCTGGCGTCGGACTAAGTGCATCCCGTCTCAACCACTCATGCGTTCCGAATGTCTACACTGCCTACAACAGTACCTCCGGATGCATGACTGTGCAGGCTCTCAAGCCAATTGCCGCTGGAGATGAGCTTTGCACTGCCTACATCAACGGTGCAGCCAAGTTGCGTTCCGAACGACATGCCCAGCTGAGCATGTGGGGATTTACCTGCACATGCATTGCTTGCGCCGACGGCCGTGACGAATCTCGCCGCCGGAATATCAAGACGTTGATGGCCAAGGTTGAGGGGGTAAAACAACAGATGTTGGAAGGTCATGCAGACCTGCCCGTCGCCCAGATCGAACAGACGGTTGGAGATCTGCTCGACCAGGCTGCTCTCATGAGTGACGAAGGCTTGCTAGGTCCAGACCTAGCTGATGTGTAAGTCAGACATGGAGTATCACCCTCTATTGCGTGTTACTTGTGTTACCTCTGCTGTTTCTGTCTTGGCCGCACAGTCGATCTTTTCCGTTCACCTTGTCCCAAACCTTCCTCTCACACCCTCACGGACGCAGTCTCGACCAACCCATCAGATTTGTCACGAGCTAACATATCCCTAGCTNGTTTTGGAGCAGCAAGATGCTGCATGCTCATCGGTCGTCGCGAAGAAGCTGGCGCACTTCAATCATCCGGCTTTGGGATCCTGCTACGCAGCTACGGTATTGACAACCCAATCTGCATCGCTGCCCTTCAGGCCGGCGACTTGGACGAAGCTTGAAAGCGGGGCGCCTTAAAGCCATGACACTGGAAATTCGTCAGAAACGATCAGAAACGACTTCATGAATTGCGATCTCGAAAAGCCATGACATTGGGAATGACTTGATGAATTACGATCCGCGATATCTGGGCACTGAACTTGGTCATTCTTCATCAGGCAGGTTGGTTGCAAGGCTGGGGATATGGTTTTGAGCACATACGGAAAAATTTCTCTGATGTTCCAATTTAGGGAGCATTTCAGAACATCTCATGGGTATCTTACCAGTTAGCCACATATTGTAACTTTTCAAAAAATCAGATGAATCATTTTGGAGGTCAAATTGATCGTATTCACTCATCTGATGCTTCTGACCAGATCGCGAAGCTCACCACCCTCGACCCAGCTTTCGCCGGAAGCACCGGCACCTACACCCCATCCCTCGCCAACCTCACCGACAATTTTGCCGGGCTTACCGCCNAACAATACTACCCACCGGAACCACCATGTTGGGAGGTACCACAGTATTCGGCAGAATTTTGCAGTTGTCCTTGATGATGCAAAAGGACTGAGTACTGCATTGGCGCCAATGTAGACATGCGAACTGATCGCAATGGCTGAGATGTGGCAGTTGGGGCCNTTGATTGTGTCAATGTGTGCTTTTCGCGATGATGGAGCAGGACTGTTCTTACCGATAAAGACATTGTCGCCTATGCGCATGGGATAGTATGCCATCTGGCCGCGACTGATTCTTGACGGTGGTTTCAGAGTACAGCCCGTAGCAACTACCGTGTACCTNGTTTGTTCTGTCAGTGGATTCATGGTCTAAGCGAAGGATTACAGGGACGCAAATTACCTTCCAATGCTGATGGCTGTGGTAGGCTGTGCTGCTCCACCATCACCAGAGCTCGAGAAGCGATGCAAGTCACCTCGCATGTAGACATCTGCCATGATGACGGTCCTGCCGCCCAGCATGATGTTCGGCTTGCCTTCAATTTTNGCCTTGCGAGAGATTTTGTTGCCGGTATCCNNTGAATGCTGAGTTTAGCAAAATTCTTACCATAGATTGCTCATCTAAAGCTCTCCTGGAGGAGAGCGCATTCGCCTACAGATGTTGTTGGTAGGAAAGCAGCTCGCACTTACCGTCTCGATGTATTCCGACTTTGTCGACTTGCGCGCCACTGGCGCTGGTCGAGTCGACATGTTCGCTTGTCAGTTGTTACTCCTGCTTCTGCTCGCAGCTCGCGTGTCCCCTGCGCTACATGTCAATTCGCTCCACGCGACGACCAGATTCTTGCTCGGCTTCGTCGCAGGATGTTGTTGTTGTTGGCCATGAAGTCAGCTTCAGGCTAGCCGCTTCTAGCGCCGGCTCACCATCCCCGAAGTCAAAAATCCAAAAACTGCCTGGGCAGCCCACGAGCTGCAAGCTTGTTCGCATGCAAGTGATCCTTTTGACAGCACAACAAAGCGTAGCTAAACGGCCACCTTGCGCATAGTGACAATTTTGCTACCAGTTTGCTTGGATTCGCTGCGAGCCTGCGACCTGTCAAACCATGTCCCTGCAGTAGTCTGAATAATTCTCCGGCGGCTTTGACGTCCGCAACTCTTCCAAGACTCACCACACTCACTTTGAATTCCTCATCGGCTTACGCGCCTCTCCCTCCTCAACATCAACATGATTGGGAATCGCAGAACCCGATGGACAGGTAGCTATCATAGGTGCATGCGTTACTAGTCATTTTGACCGAGATGATGAGAACATGGTGAATCTACGGATGCTTGGCCAGGACAAGATCTCAACATTCGCCCAAACCATCTAGTTACTTCTTACGTGTACAGTGTCGCCTGTGAAAGACATTATGGCTCTTAAATCTTAAGAGGGCGCCACATATGACAACGCGTCTTCGTACACAGTCAAATCTTCGATCTGAAGCTTTGCTCGCCTTTCGCGGTGACCACTAGCTCCTCGGAGAGCCTTGCCGTGAGAGGCTGAGGGAAGCCCACCTTCATTTCGGTACCGTTCACGTGGCAGTGGGACAACAAGTCTGTACTACCCTTCTTTGGGAGGTATATCGCGAGCACAATAGAGGCTCCACTGCTAGCCAAGGTGTTGAAGGATGGCAGAGCTTCAAACCTGGTGTGCACCGCCTTGCTGCAGGACCAACAGACGACCACGCCAACGCGAAGGAATGAAACTTTGAGAGAGTTATGACCACGCGAGAGTGCTACAGGCGCATCAATGTCTCGGGACCCACGTTGTGTAGTTCAGAGTTTCCTGAGATTGTCAAGCAACAAAGATGCCTGACTTGGCTCGATTCATTGGTAGCCATTCAAGAAGGTGAAGTTGTCAAACGTCTAATCACACATCGTCGTTTCCCCTAGGAAGACCGTATTGATTGGTGCATTCTCAGTATCGGGCAATCGTTCTAACAGACAATGGGGACACCTTGTGTCAAGTTGATACAATTAGCGAAGCTGTGACGGAATCGGAATATCCATCTTTGAACCTCGTGCCGGGTCAGCGAGATCATGAGATGCAACATTCCCATCTGCCGTCCAGAAGCCGAACCACTCTTCTACCAGACGCTTTGTTGGCCTAGAACGCCGCCTTTGAAGATCATCCGGTCAACATGTTTTCCCTTTGTGGGTTCAATGGATGCTGCAAACAGGCACTAGAGCAAGTTACCCCTCGCATGCATCGCTCTGACATCCGTGACAGCGGGCCAACGCCGACATGCTATCAGAGCAAAAAAGCATGTCATTGACTCGTGAAGGTTGGAAACAATAGACAATTTATAGTTCTGAGCGAATTAGGAAACGAAGGAAAAGAGACACAAGATCTAGAATTGTTGTTCCGCGCGAAGGCACGGGAGTCAGAGCTGTCCTGTTGCTGTCCGACCGTTGGATACGGCTGTCACTGGCGTTCACAGTTTGTCCTTATCTCATAAATCAGACGTTATACAAATTCGGCCGAGTTATGATAGATTTATGAAATTGAGGTCTCTCTTTGTATAACGTCTAAGATCTCAATGAACCTTCTTTGCGTATAACTGCCATAATGACCCTAAAGTTCATGTCTTTCTAACCTCAATTTTTAGTATACCATATGCAATTCTTTATTAGGGAGTAAGTTTTAACTATTAGTAGAAACTACCGATTATACTCTATCATCTAGTCTACTTAGTTTTTCCTATACCTTGGAGCGAAATTCAGAAAACGCTATGCTCTAAAATAACTACTAAGATAATAGATATCTAGCTAGATTTAGCCTATTCTACTAGTATATAGTAACAACAACACTTATTATAAATTAAAGTCGATAGGGAGCTAGCTATTAGTATTACAAATAAGCCTATAAGGTTAGTTTAGCTATATATGTTGTTGTTGAATTGTTATTAATTAATAGCTAGTTAGTAGTATGTGTATTATTAGATTGCGCCTAGTAGTATAACATCTAAATATGTTTTCTTAATTTTTTCGACTTTTTTTCGATAGATAGAAAGAATAGGTATATAACTTACTAAAAACACTTACCTATAGCTAATTAGCTATATGGTTGAATTGTTATTAATTAATAGCTAGAAGTTAAACGTCAAATCGCGACCGGCCATATGGGCGTGATCTAACGACGTAACGAATCTTCGTCGAAAACTATTAACGAATTGATTATAACGAATACTACATGGAATTAGCTAATTTTCGTATCAAGTTGTAGCGTACAGATAGGCGTACAATCTACCGCGTCAAATTAGAAATATTTGATCGCGCTAAATTATGGTTGATTTTCGACGTCGAAAAGATGTGGACATGGCCGTAAGAAAAGTTGGACGTTCGTACATCCCCACCAAACTTCGTTCATTGAGCCCTTAGACGCTAGAACGACAAGTCGTCCCAGCTCGCTGATTGGTCAGTTGAAATTCATAACTTTATACGAAGTACACGCAGTCAGTTCGAGCGTCTGATTAATGAGATAAGTTTGTCCCTTCTTTTCTCGAAGACGTCCACTTTCGGCCCAGTACGGGTCAGTTTCTTCAACCATGTTGACAACAGCGCTTTTCCACAACAGTGGATGACTCTTCAATGCCAAGGTATGACCATGGGTCAGTTTTGGGATGCTTCCTTCATCCGTGCTGAAATTGGGTGTCGCGGAAGACGACTTTGGGTCACGACCACGTAGATGTGAAGTTGGATTTTGAAAATGGCTGGGAATGGGAAGAGAGATCGTCGGCAGAAGCAACAAACCGCTCTTCCCAGCACCACGGTATGGCAGAATCTAGGAAAGATTGTTGAAACATGATCGCGATGGACCAAAATGCCTGCTTTTTCACATTGGGCAGTCACATTTCGGAAGAACACCGAGAAGCTGCGGTCGACAAATCTCGATGTTTCCTTATCAGGAGTCGGAAGCGAACATGCATATGGCAATCATATCACAAAACCAGCGTCAGAGCAACCAGGCAGTGTTTGACTCGTGAACAAGCCAACGACCACACTCCCATGGGCATATGCTTCATCAATGACAATGACCATTCGTAGATGTTCGGGACTTTCAAAGATGCTATTGCACTCTTTCTATGTCGAAATCTGTCACCATTATTACTTTATCTTCCATCCAGCAATGTACGAGGTATCTATGAGCACAATCGTAATTAGTGAGGTCAACAAATTGATTGCCATTTGGTGAGTATCCTCTGCTCATGTAGGAGTTGTGCATCGTGGCAAGAAAGTGTGACAAGCACTTGCACCTCACTTCACTCTGCCATCCTCTCTCAAGTTCTGGCTTCTCTGAACAGCGCCACGACCTCGTCATATCCTTCGAAACAAACATCTCGTTCCTTGACCAATAGTTCAAGACTGTTCGAACAGTTCTGGTAAATCTCTTCTGCCTCTGTCCGGGTCATGATGTCGTAGACAGCTTGCATGGAATCGACCAATCCGGAGGTGTATGACATATGGTTCTGGATTTCAGATCCTAAGTAGCCATTTGCCTTGACCACCATCATACCGATCTTGCAAAGCTGATATATAGCATTGCGTTTTGTTTCATACGGGCTGCGAGGTACGACCTGGCCAGAAATGTTTTGCATTTGGTCCTCGATCTTGGTCGCAGCTTCGAGGGTGATGTATGACTGTTGAGAGTCTCGAAGTCCCGCGTAACGAGTGTTCAGAACATAATGGACTGGACTCAAGTTGTCAGTGAAAGTCAAGATGTCAGCAGTCTCGTGATCGTTCTCCTCCACCTCGTCCTGAACATCGCTTTCTTCGTACTCGTCTTCAGAGAATACTTCCTGAGGGGGTTGGGTGACATGTGTCGCTGGAGCTGCTGCTCTCATTGCATTCTCCTCGCGAAGAGCACTCTCGAAATCAAGACGATCCTGAGCTATGAGATGTTGAAACAGCTTAGAACGATTGTTGAGCTCGCTCATCGCTTCTCCGACAAGACTTCTTCGAATTTCCTGGTAGACGTCGTCGTGACGCATTGCAGCAGTCGCTAGGATCTCAAGCACCTTTGCATTGTCCATTTTTGCTACTGCATGTGATATATACGTCAAGACATCGGTATCGCGTAGGCGTGCATACGCAGGAGCAGATCGATCAGGTGGAGGCTCGGGATATGGTGCTAGTTCAGGAGGTGGACCTTTCTGATGAGCAAGGTCATTGCTCTGCATAATGTTTTGGTATATGGGTCTCTGGGTGTTATTCGCACTGCTAGCGCGAGAGGTATGTGTATACGAGGAATCCCCAGCATGTAGACCAGGCTGGCGAGGACTACTGGTCGAAACAGTTTGCAAACCTCGAACTTCCGGAGAACGCTGGAGTAAAGGACCTCTTCCAGTCGGCTCGGCAGTCGTGTCCAACCTTGCGGCCTTATTTGCGATTTGAGGACTCTCATCTTCAAGACTGCGTTTGGCGCTTTCACTCGGGATGCCGTTTGGCTTTCTAGGCCAAGTGGGTGGCTGCATATCCATTCTTCTGACCACACGAGTATTCCCCAAGAAGAACGACAATGGCAGAGAATCAGATGGTTCAACAAAGCGAAGCCTGAAGACGCGTCATTGACATGACGTGTTTCGACGCGTCGTAAATCAATGCATAGGGAAAATGATTTATTTGTTCAGCAAGAAGAAAGCATCCTTTGTGGGTTACTAAAGAGGCGAACACAAACTAGGTATATTGAATCAGGACTAGACATCACGACTATGTTAAAAACTCGAATCTTATCACAATACATCAACTCTGCCATTACAAACTCCAACACTCCACCCATTTTTTCTACATCGTCATCTCTTGCTGCATGACTTTGTCAAACATCTCTACGATCCTTTCGAGACCCTTGAAATAGTGCTCTCGATCTTTGTTGAGTTCTAGCAGAGCTCCGTGAAGACGAGACCCATCGCCCAAGAGCTCCGCCTCACTCATCTTCGCATAGACAACTTCCATTGCTCCTACGAGTTGAGAGTCAATGGCCATCTGTGCCCTGATAGCGTTGGGAAGCAGTCCTGTGCCGTGTACTATCGCTTTGCCTATCCAGACGAGGGTGAGGAAAGCATTGAACTTGGTTCTCCAATGGCTTCCTGGTCGTACGTGAGGAGGGATGGCCATGATTGTTTGAGTGATTGTACTGACAGCTCGATGGACTATCTGCTGTCTCATGGAGTTTGGAAAGTCGTCGTACTCCTCGCAGAGAATCTTNTGCACTGTTATGTGTTCCTTGGCGAAGGACAAGACGCTGGCATCTTCGTTCCACTGATCTTGTGTTTCTTTTACTATTTTTTCGTACTCTCCAGCCACCATATCGTGGATGTCTTTGTGACGTACTACGGCAATGGCGAGGTGGTTACGGACGGTGGCTTCATCAATGTAAGATATGTAGCGTGGTAGAAGCGCGAGAGGCACGTTTGCGGGAGGATTTGCATACACATAGTTGGTAGACTGATGCCCAAGCATTGCGTAAGGCGAAAAATAGCCCTGCAGAGGTTGGTTGGAATCAGGCTGAACGAAGGCCCATTGTCGATAGGGGGGAGCGTGCGAGGCACATGAAGCAGAAGCCTGGGGCATAACAGGAAAGTCCTCTGATGGTTCCGGTGGAGAAGCGAGTCCAGATGACTGAGCACCCGTGGATTGACGAAAAGGAGAGCGGTAAGACGATATGCGAGTTCTATCACGCGCAGACGTACCAGTATGATACTGATGTTGCCCATACTCCGCGGATGTATGGTAGCCATGATGACCCGGCTGACAACGTGAAGGACTTCTCGAAGCTAGTCGAGCGTCTTGTGCCTGATTGTGTATCCCGGGGGAAACATATCGTTCAGGCGTGCACGATGACAGATCTCGCGGTGGAATGTTCTCCTGTACTTTCAGCGCTTTTTGTAAGCTCTGAGGTTCGTGGGCCAGGAGATTGTGCTTAGTACTTGACATACCTGGGAACATTTCAGGGTCGCTCGATTCTGGTGACGTTGCCATGTAATATGACTCATAACCGCAGCAGGTCTTCAAGGTAAGGAGTAGATAGTTGATAGAACGATATAAACAAAGTGTTCGCTTTCTGTGAAACAAGAGAAGAAGAACACGAAGGTCGAGTGTCTGCTTTTGTACAGCAAGTACAGCACGTGAGACGTGGTCGGGCTTCGGGTTGACTGGACAAAATCCGCGCGTTTTTGGTGAGAATTTGAGGCAATTTTCAACATGGTACGGGCCGGGTCCGTGTCTCGACAACAGTCTCCAGAGCGAAATATCCAATGGAGTGTATAAGTCTCGTAGTGCTGCTATGCAGTTGTGAGAATGAACATCTTTGTTGATGGCGCTGAGAGGATTTCCATCGCCCATCCACGTCACCTCCAGTCTGATCGGTCTCGGCGATTTCCATACTTGTCAAGACTGTAGTAATCTTCGTCGTAATCGTCTTCCGAGTCTTCAAGATCGCCAGCGGCTCGCTTGAAGCACGATACAATCTTTTCAGATCCTTCGAAGATACAAGCGCTCTGACTATCGCTGTCAAAGCGCTCCACAGTCCTCATGAGGTCTTCGCGTTGGCCCAAGTATAGCTTGTCAGAGTCGTTCATGTATCCGACGAGCTTCCAGAGGTCACCCATGAATCCAGATTCTTGCCCCATACTCTTTCTGATTTCTTCGCCAATGACACCTTCTCCATTCGCTACGATAGATCCGATACGACACAATGCCAGTACAGCTTTGACTTTGTTCTGTTGTGTGCTTTCCGGACGAACCTGTCCGCAGATCTTGTTAATGTCGTGTTGCACATAGCCTTCAGCCTCTCCTGCCAGTGCATATTGTTTGGAAGCGCGTAAGCCCGTAAACCTGTGGTTGATTGTACGTTCGGCTCCTTGGACTTGTTTCGAGAGATCGAGAACTTTGATTTGCTCTTCTCTCATCACACGACTTTTTGCATCTTGTTCGGCCAGTTCTACTAGACGTTTCTCTGTCCAGACTGATGTGTACATGTCCGAATACAAGATGGCAGCCTCTTTCAGAAGCCTTCGAACCGTAGATCCGTCTAGCTTTGCTACCCATTCGTCAAGTCTCTCACAGTCTCTTTCCGTTTGTGGTAGAAAGCCAACTGGCGTTTGTTGTGGTGAACTGATCGAGAAGCTATCCCGTGGAAGTGATTTCTGTACCGGTACGAAGGCGGACTGATTCTCAATTGGCGAGTCAACACGCCTCCGTTCGTTGCCTGGCAAGACTGTCATTGAGTTTGGTGAAAGCTGATGCATGTCAGGTATGTATAATATCCAGATGACAAAAGTTGTGAATGGACTCGAGTGTAAACTCTGATGTTCGAGATGGCCATGTTGTATAATTATTATTTGACTAGTTGCCCAGTGCAACTGGATCGCGACGCGCTGTGCACTGACCGTGCATAAGAGCGCGTTGATTGGTTTCTGGAGAGCAGCAGAAGGAAAGAGATCAACCAACCTTCTGAGTTGCTCAGAATCTAACTGTGTCAGGCATCGAGTAGCTTTGTTGGAATTTGAGAAGATCTCGGCGCTCGGGTGTGTATGGCTATTGGGCAACGGCTCGACATGGTGGTGGACCACGCTGAAATATGGAGTGAATCATGGTAGACGGTGAAAGTTGAAGGGCCCAACAGCTTTCATATAATCTGGTGACCGACCACATAGTTTGAACCCTTTGTTGAAGGACCAATGAGGTGCGATTCGCCAGACCTTGTAGAGATCAAAGCACCCATCAGGCTCGAGAGATGACCATTACTTCCAGATTCATCCACGAAGAAACAAACCGTTAGCATCCAGGATCCTGTTTTGTGTATACCAAGCTGTCTTTTCTGACCTTGCAGATGGTTGAAATGTTTGGACTTGAAGACATGAGGTGAACGTTGTTGTACGAAGTGCGGAGCGGTACTTCCCTTGTTCGTCGGTAGAAACATGTACCGAAGCCTGATGCCTTCGCGATAGCATTGCGGGGTCAGCAACGATCCGCAGCGATCACCCACCTTCACTCCTGCATCCACCTCCGCTCCTGGATGATTTGGGCAATACCAAGCGCATTGCCATGACCGGTGTATATTAGGCCAAGCAGCATGACATGAAGATCTTGAAGCAATGACGAGCTCCAACAGGATCTGCCCTAGAATGAACCCAGCATCAGACGGACAGCAAGAGGGGTTGCTCGAGTACATAAGGTAGGTTCCAGTGCACTTCGAACTGCTCAATGTAAACAGCTGCAACAACGATGAACCTTATCAATCTTACTGTCGCATGTCTACTTTGTCTGTGTGTCCGATCCGCTCCCCTGGACTCGAACACATCCAACACCAGCACCTCTATCTCATACCCTCGGATCTTTGTCGCTACGGATATCTCCAACGAACCCGATGATCAAATGTCGTTAGTTCGATTGCTGTTGCATTCAGATATTTTGTCTATCCAAGGGATCACGACAACAACTTCATATTGGCTCAACGACACCACCTACCCTGAACACATTCTGGATGTCATCGACGCCTATGAGAATGTCACTCCCAACCTCAACGCTCATACCGAAAGCACCTTCCCAAGTGCCGATAGCTTGCGATCTGTGGTGAAGGCGGGTCACTCTGTGTATGGCCTTGCAGCACTCGAGAATGGGACTCTGTCTTCTGGTGCCGAGCTTCTGATATCTGCTGCTGGCAACTCGAACGAAACCTTGCATGTTCTGCTTTGGNGAGGTGCGAATGTCCTCGCCGAAGCATTGAACCACGTCAATCATACCAGCTCACAGAGCGAACTCGACGCCTTCGTCAGCAAACTCCATGTATACTCGATCTCCGATCAGGACGATGCTGGGCCGTGGATCCGCAAGAACTTTCCGCAAATCCCGTATATCGCGTCAGTTCATGGCTTCAATATGTACAACAACGCTGCTTGGACCGGTATCAGTGGTGATGTACTGTACGCTTTCGATGCAGGCGGCCCGGATTCAACACTTGTTGATGACACTTATATCCGCAACCATTTCCAACTCGGTCCTTTGGGTGCAAAGTACCCAGATAGAGCATACATCATGGAAGGTGACAGTCCCTCATTACTGTCGGTCATCCCCAATGGCCTCAATGTACCCTCTCATCCCGAGTTCGGCGGCTGGGGCGGTAGATACATATTGTCCGACATTTCTGGTGCCTCGAACCATTATGCGGATACCATTGATCGCGTGGTGGGTGTTAGCGGAAACACTCTAGTGTCCAACCGTGCCACTATCTGGAGATGGCGTAGCGCGTACCAAAATGAGATGAGTGCTCGAGTGCAATGGTCGCTTTCTTCAAACTACAGTGCAGCCGTGCATCCTCCCAAGATCGTCTTGAACGGAACGACTGGCACCGAGCCATATCCTTTGACAGTCCGCCCTGAACAAAGTGTTGTCCTTGATGCTTCGGCCACGCTTGATCCAGACAGCAACTCGAGTTCTACGTTGACGTTTGAGTGGATGCACTACAAAGACATCACAGCCACCAACCAATACAACGCCAATGCACAAATTCCTCAACTCAACTTCACTTGCTTGAACCAGGCGTGCTCGACCATGCAGACAAAGATGCCGAGTGAGAGCCTTGCTTGCCCGCAGACTGGCTGTCAAACTTACCATGTTATATTGTGTGTTAAGGGACAGAGTGCTACGCCCATCACAAGGTATAGGAGGATTATCTTTGAGATGCAAGAAGCTTCGGGGTAGACAGCAAGTTATCAGTCTCTCCACATGCAAAATTGAATGACACCAACAGCCCTTTAAGTCCACAAAGAAAACTTCCACACCGCAATCAATGCAACATCTCCCACGAAGCAGCAAAACAAATCCCCGCTACTGAGGCTGCAGTCGTAGAACAGCCCATTCGCGGGGAGAAAGCCACCAGACACACTGGTTTCATTTTCGAATCGAGGAGCCTCAAAGCGCTCCGAAAGTGTTCATAGTCCGATTACGAGAATCGAACCAGTGACCTTGCCAGCGGGGGTTGCCAACAAAGTTGTTGGCGGGAGACCGCTGGGCCAAATCCACCGCTTGTCGGTAAAGCGATGGTGGCAGGTGGAAAGGGGAAGATGGTGCTGGTATATAAGGGGTGTGGGTGAGTGAGTGAGTGAGTGTGGTTGGCTTAGCTATTGATAAGATGCTGGTTTTTTATTGTCACTTGTAAGTTGACGCAATGTTTAGTATGTCTTTCATGGTCTGAGATGCCAGTGTCTTGTGTATAGGAATAGCATGGTAATTCTTTCAGGAGAAAGCCAATAGACTGCTTTCTATTGCAAGCAGTTATCTGACCCGCAGGTATACATGTATCTTTTTCAATCACTTGAGTAAGACTTTTTTGTTCGTCACTTTTGCCTGGGAGACCACTTGTTTCCGAGGGGTGGTCTGCTCTCCTCTTACTAAAAACACCCTGTCGTAGCTGCTCTTAACAGATGGATGGGCATGTGACTCTTTCGGTTTTTGAATTGTCTTTTTCTCATTTTTGGTATGTGATATATGTACAACATGGCCGGTTGAACCGTGCAATAGGCCAGGTATAGTGTTACAGTGCGTTTGATGTCGAGTATTTCTCGAATCGGACATGTTGTATCCAGGTGTTGATGAAGGACGATAGTGTGTGGCATTCTCGGGACATCCAAGAAGGTTCAAAGATGGGTTTCCTCAGAAGTTGCAGATGGCCGCTCTACGCCTCGGCAGCGATAACCTTGGCTTCCATAGGCGTAGCGACAAAAGGATCGGTATCAGTGTTCTTCAGCAGATCCACCACAGTGCCATCCTCCAGCTCTAGACTCCACTCTGTAGTCTCAAACTTGTATCTCTTTGTCAGCGTTTTCATTCCTCAGCAATTTCCCTTTCTCAAAAAACTCACAATGCCCATCCTCGTCTTCCTGAAACTCTTGAATCTCATCTTGGCCTGTTGCCTCGTTCCCTTGACCCAATACACGACATCAATCTTTCCGTGCAGTTGATTAATCTCTCCACCGATATAAGGAATCTTGCTTGCAAAGTAAACCTCGTCGCCCAGGATTTCTCTGGCTACGGGATTCGTTCGCAACGAGTACATTGTGCTGGTCACGACGGACGAGTTTTGCTTTTGGTAGTTGAAGATGGCGAGGGTGGAGGCGGCCATGGCGGTAAGGAACAGCGGTAGTGTGATCATCCACGATTTGCTGGGTGTCATGTCGGGAAGGGCGCGGTCGGCGCGGCGCTCCATCAGAGGACCCGAGTTTGGTTTTGGCGCGGCGATGAGGGTGCGGCGGCATGTGAGGGTGGTGGTGGCATTGTTGCGCTTGAAGAAAGCCTCTAGGGGCTTGCGGAGTGGTAATCTTGGTGGCATGTTTTGAAGGTGTTGTTTCTGTGTGTATAGCGCAAAAGTGTCTGATGATTGCTGCAGATGGCATCGGTATACTGACGGCTTTTCTCCGGGAAAAGAGTTGCTACACGTCATGTTCGCAGCTTGCCCAATTTGCGGCGCGTCTTCCGTGTTTTTGGAGGGGCAGCTGCAAAGAAAGCCAAACAAGTTACCTATTTACAGCTGAACAAAGGACCACAATCATGGCCACCCGTCTACGCAAAACATTCCACTACCCAACCGAAGACGCAGACAGCGAAGGCAGCGACCGCGAAGAACTGGACGAGCAAGAGCAGGAAATACTCATCGAGGATTTGGCAAAGCGCGATCTGGACAATACAATCTTCTACCGCCGTGCTTTTGTCACTCTGCCTGTCGTAGCAGCCCTGACCTATCTACCTGTTCTGTTCTCTGCGGAGACCTTCAGACATGTCTTGCTAGCTTTGCTGTCCTTGACGACTCTGGGAGGCAGCATCTATATCTTGTTTTATGTTCCGCCCGCGCCTGTCGCTGTGGATAGCTCAAGCTTGTCCACCGCTATGATTGACAGCAGAGGTCCGTTGGATGTTGCTTTGCCTTGGCTGAACGCTGCCCTCTCTGCTGTGCTTGCACTATCTGGTGTGCTGGCTTGGAAGAGAGACCTGGTCGATGAAGCCTGGCGAGCTTTCCTGCCTGGTGGTNCCGTCCTGTTGNCGCATTCGTCTATCTCATCACTCGCTAATTTGTCATGTGCAGCCATCTTCCTCGTCACCATGTACGCTCGCTCTCAGCTAGTCCCGCTCGATGTCGCCAGCTTGAAACGTCTCAGGTACAATTACAAAGGTGCTTGATTCTTTTCTTCGCTCATTGCAAGAATATGATTATTCGTCATCAATCATCGTGCAACCTCCCAGTGATAGCCTCCCATTTTTGCTGCAGAACAAAAAACCACCGCCTCTATACGTCAGTCCTTGCGCCTTGCCTTGTCCCATATCTATAGCCTGTCTTTACATATCGATGCTTTCGTGGAATCGCAAAACTGCGTTGTTGTCGAGGTAGCCGTCCACCTCGTCTGGCAGCGCGTCAAAGGATGCTCGTGCAACCTGCTCTTGTGTAGTCGAGTTGGTCACGTCGGCGATCAACACTAGTCCAGCCGTCTTGACCGACTCAATCAGTGCCGGTACAAGTTCCNNTGTTGCTCATGTCAGCCTGTGCTTGCTTCACTCGCCTCGCCCGCCACCACTTACCAGCAACCTGGAGCTACACATCAGTCCCATGAAGTTATTGCTTTGTGCGATTCTGACGGCTTCCTTGACAGACGTCGTGGTGCGTCCGCTGCTGAACAATGGCCACTCTGCCTCTTCCGACATTGCTTGTTCAATGCCGAGGTCATTGCACAACAGCACAGGGTCTGCAAACGGGATCAGTTTCTGTCATGTAGAAAATGTGGTAATAGTCACTTACAGNTTTGGCTGCTTCCAATTGAGTGCTGTACAGATGTTGGCGTTGTAAGAAGAGAACACAATCGATCTGATGAAGCCTTCGTCGGCTCCACGTAGTCGGCTTGCATGGTCAAACACTTCCTTCAACGAAGCATCCACAAACTCATTGATGTTGCCCGTCGGGCCAAGTCGCAGTAGCTCCTCTTCTGCCTTCGTAGGGAAGAGCATATGCACATCGAGATGCATCTGCGGAGGTAGAATCTCAAGCACGTCACGGAGGGAGCACCAACATTTTGCGAGACCCTGCGCCAGTAGTGCAGGCGACGAATCAAGCAGCGCTCTCAAGCTTTCAGGTCCTTTGCCATTTGCTTTGCCGATTGCGCAGAACTGCTCGTAAGTCAGACGGCTGATCAAGTCATTTCTGACACCGTATGCTGCAAGTGCCGATGGCATAGCCCACGAGGGGTACAGGACTGGCACACCATCCTTGGTTGCCTGTACGAAGATACGCATGTAATCTCCGCTCAGACTCGAACCAGTGATGAGTGCGTTGGGCTGAGAGCTGATCTGGCTCGTTGCCTTCCAATACGTAGCAAATTGTGTAATCTCCATGGGAATGCCATGGAAAGGCGTGACCACTTGATATTTGAAGCTGATACGTCCAATAGCTCGGAGCCTGGGGTCGAAGAGTTCCAGATGCCAGTTTCCAGAACTACTGTATCTGCGTGAGAACACCAGTGACGATGCTGCACCTCTGGCAATGATCTTGGAACCGAATGTAGGGAAGATATCGAAATCGATCGAAAAGGTGTCGAGGTTGTCAATCTGGAAAGAGATGACCTTGAATTCGTCCTGTATCGGCAATGGGATGTTGCGAGGGATGAGATCTGAAGACTTGGACGATATCGTCAGTCTTGCAGCGGGGTATTTGTTGTCGCCGTAGAACTCGATCGCTTCGGAATCTTGAGAATCGAAGCTAATGACGATGAATGTTTTTGTTGTGTCGAGGAAGTTGTGACCATAGCGTCTGAGAGGAATGATGGGAGGGGGCAAAGAAAGGTCAGGAATTGCTTCCATATCTGCACTTGCGGGAATAGGTGCACTTGAGCTGAGGATGGATTGGAAAGTGGCAGGAGCTGGAGTTGGTTCTTCACGCGCAATTCCCCTGCCGTGGCCTGCCTTTTCCAGCAGACGTAAACAATCCAGGTGGCCCTCCCATGCAGCGTAGTACATGGCGGAGAGGTCCTTCTCGTCCAATGCATCGACGTCTACGCCCAACTCGAGCAGAGCCTGCAGGCATGACAAGTGTCCTTCACTCGCAGCGTGGAAGAGGGGAGTCCACTGATACAGTTTGTCCGGTTGATCCAGGTTGGCTCCATAGTTCTTCAACATCTGCAGTATCTGCGGACTACGGCCTGATCTAGGAACTAGATGTTGTGGATAGAGACCTTCTGCATCAGGCAAGATTTGTGGGCGGTATTGAAGAAGCAGATCCACAATCGAGACCGATCCGTATTGACAGGCCAGGTTAATAGGAATGTGGTCGGCTTCGCTAGTCGGGTCTACGCGAGCTCCCAGCTCCAAGACTGCCTGCACGGCGGCGAAGCGAGCATGCACAATACCATGAATGAGAGGTGTGAAGTTGTCCAAGTCCTTGTAGTCGACACTTTCAGCGACGGGCGCGGCATCTGGAGAAGTGCTCTCTATGCCCTGCATTGCGTTCGCCGAGTCGTGTTTGACAAGTTCCTTGACCACTTCAACGTGGCCGCGCATACAAGCGTAGTGCAGCGGAATGCGGCCATAGATATCGGTTGCTATGGGATTTGCTCCACGCTCGAGTACCATTGTCAGAGTGAGTAGTCTTCCTGAGATCGAGAGCTCATGCAAGCAAGTACGTTCGTTGATCTCATCCACGTAATTCAGGTTGACCAGATCTGTCTCCAGTAAGGTTTTTTGCATCTCCAAGGGTGCATCGTTGATTGTGCTGAGGAAGATGCGGTTGATGCGTTCTCTTGCCTCATCTGTGGATCCCAGTCTTGAGATCCACTCCTTGATCAGTGCTTCATTACCAGTGTTGACTGCCTGTTGCATTTGCATTTCAATATCATTGTCCTCTTGCGCACCTGCTTGAGGCTTTTGCTGTTGATCGCCGCTGGGAACATATTCGATCTTCTCGCCTTCTGCCCATGCGCCAAGCTCGAGCAAGCTTGACGTGGCTTGGTCGGAGAGGTCTCTGATAACATCTCTGTTGAAGCAAGGTTGTATCTCTACTGCTCGTGAGAGATACAGCTCTTTCGTACGCGACTTTGAAGTTTTGTCCCACNNTGTGGTCTCAATTAGCAATCCAGAATCAAGGTTTCTCGAACAACGAGATCCCACCTTCTTCAGAATCTTCGAGAAAGCTGTCTGATTAATCTCGATGAATTGNCTACGCTAGTTAGAACTTCCTCCGTTGATTTTTTGGTCAAGACAACACACCTGTAGCTTGTCGAGATCACTGTTGAACAACCGAAAACCTTCATCCAATGTGACAAAGACCGTAGACAGCTTTGAAGCAGACAGTCCACGAGCTTGTAATGACTTCTTCCTGTCCGCCAGAGTCTTCAACCGTAACTTGAGNCTGGTGGCAGTGTTAGACAAAGCACCGAAGATCCAATGGTCAAAACATACCTCGGCCTCTTTCTGTAGGTAAAAGATGTTGACCTTCTCAAGCTCACGTTCCTACAACATTGTCAGAATGTTACTTTCAATAAAGAGACCATGACCCACTAGTCGGAAGAAGAATGTAGCTTTGTTTGCTTGCAATGAGGCTTGGGAGTCTGCGAGACCGCTTCCGGAATTTGTGAGGTCTTGGGCGTGTATGACTGGGGTCGCGCTGAGCTTCTTGATCAACTGTGAACAGTTAATATGGAGAACATATGTATGCAAAAGTGGCAAGCGGTGGTATGGTGAAATAGTTACCTTCTTGAGAGCCTTGTAGTCAACGAAGCTGGCAGCATATTCCGGGATATCCAGCTGCCTCTTCTGAATGTGTTTGCCGAACTTCCTGATGGCGAGACAGTCAGATCATGAGGACACACTTGATGTGAAAAACAGGGACTTGTGATAATAACGCACATGTTGCCTTGGAGGGGTGTTTTGTTGGTGTTCTAAAATTATGGCGTGGAGGGCTGACGAACAGCTCTGCTGTCGAGAGCAATGGAACGTGATTGGCAAACAAGCGACTCAAAGTTAGTGATGGGCGGCGGGCTTGACTCTTATTTGGACTGCAATGCTTATGACATATGGGTCCTGGCGAGATTGTTCGTGTTTGCGGTCGAAAAGGGCGGCGTCAGACGATTCTCGCGTACACGTAGCAGCTTGCCGACGGCTGTTGAGAGGGGTCCTCAATGAGCATTGGCAAATGCCGCCAACCTAATAACCACGAAGTGGATCGTTCTCTGGTTCTGTCTGGCCTCACCACGTTCAGAGGTTGGAGAAAGCACACCTGCTGGAGAACGCGCACCGACCAATCAGAAGCCAGCAGGTGCACACGCGGTGCTCCTTCCCCTTCGTCGGAACTTCGTCCCTTCCCAAATAGGCCGCTCCCGCGACCTCAACCGAGTCATCGTCGCTTTCCGCAAATACACGATCTCAAGAGCAGTATTTCTCAACGCCTGTTACTGCCATAATTGATATGAGAAGCATCTTGTTAGTCAAAAGCTGCCAGTGCAGACGCCACGTAGCCCGTATTCCTGTCTGTCGGTATCGCGACAAAAGGCCAGGCCTCTTTTCGCGCCCTTTGCTGTATATCTATATCGACTAATCATCTAGCTCGAGCTGCTGTCGCGTGCTCACCAAAGGCCCAGCCGGTTTCATTTGCATGTCACCGCCCCACTAACTCACTGTTCTCTTCATCTCCGTTCCCCTGCTCTCCATGACCTTCATAACCTCCGCGTTCCCTGAATCATTGTTCGTGCCGGTCGTCGGTTTGTACTTGCCTAACATGGGCTCAGCGAAGTCGACGGTCCTTGTGATGTGCATGGGGTTGTCCTGATACAACGTCTACTGTACCAGGATTCAGTTCGTTCGTCCGTAAACCTCCGAACAGGTTCAAGATTGGTCAATCCGAGCATATACATCATAACATGAGACAGCCACGGCTCTACCCACGTGTGTCAGTTATTGTTGATGACCATGGAGCCGTTTCTTACCGCTCTCGAGGATGTTCGAGGCTGTCAATGTATAGAAGGCCTTGAATTGGGTTTGAACTCCGTCGCAGTTCAGTCGGACCTTCCTGGAAGCTAAGGCTACCAACTGCAAGATGTCAGCCATCGCCCTTTACCTGAACGCAGCACAACACGTGCAAGCCAGACATGACTCTTGGTCTCAACCAACGTTTCCATCTTCCTGAGATTATACCTGCCAGGCGCCCCGCATCAATTTCACGGCTCTTGTTCTCCTACCCACCTATTGTTACTCTGCTTGGTCTACTGCACCCTTACACCGTTCGTTATGCTCCTAGAAATTTACCAACCGCCGCCTTCGAAGCTCGACACTTACTATATTCTTGGAGAGATTGCTTAGAAAGCCACCGCCTTGGCCGATGTTCATCCCACCATCGATTTGGATCTGCTTCGTCAGCTTGCCGAAAGTGTTCGTGATGATCGGATTGAATCCGAGGAAGCGATCCGTGCTCTGTGTCAGGTTTTCGAAGACACTTTCACTTTCGAAGTGCTACACGGTCAACTCAATGCCGATTTGAAGGAAAAAGTCTCGGCATTTCTCAGTGGCACTCCGGTAGAGACCATTGCAGCTCAAGGCTTTGATCCTACCCACGCGCCTCTGAGCTTTCGCAGGCATCCACTCGGCGGCCGTGTACCTGATGCACACAAAAAGCATCACCTTTCCGGCGGCCGTGCCTATGCCAAGGTCGAACAAACGATAGATGCAGTGGAGCATCGTCCGGTTGTGTTTGAAGACAGCCAGAAGACCAAAATCATGGAGGTTCGAACGGACTTCAGGCAGTACAACTTGACTGATTACTGACATCCCGTTTAGGTCTATAGCGACGTTCCCTTTATCAACTGGCAACAGAATGTACACACCAGACCAGCCCTGACCTTCGTCCCATCTACTATCCTCGGCTTGCAGAACCTGATCAAGGCATATCCTCAAAAGCGCATTCGATGTAGTGGCTACCGCCACACCAGGTCCGACTTCTTCGCAGAAGATGGAGACATTCTGGTCTCCTTCGTCAGCCTGCACCGCGTCGCAAGCGTGTTACCGGAGATGATCAACATCTTCAACAGTCGTATCAATGAAGCCGAGGTGTCGGGAGAGTTGAGGAGCATTCAGACTTTCCCTCCTAGAGCAGGTCAAGCAGATACTCAACGAGTTCGAGTTGGTGTGGCAGTCACTCCGGAGGAGCTTCGAGAATAGGCCATCGAAGACGGCTGGTCGCTGCCTGTAGACGTCACAGCAGATGAGNTAGGGCAGACGAGATGTCGTGTTATTGTTAACATGTAGCTGACTCTTTGCAGAATAACCACTGGTGGAATCGTTGGGTCGATGTGCCATGGCTCTGGCTTGACACAAAAGTCCATCAATGACTATGTCAGATCGCTCGAGTACGTCGATGTCAATGGCACTCCTCAAACAATCACAGATCCCTTCGAACTACACGCTGCTTTGGGGTGCTTCGGCCTGATGGGAATCATCGCACACGTCACCTATGAAGTCAAGAAAATGACTTACGCTGTCATGCGACCGCGTAAGGTGAAGACGATGCTTGCCATTCCACCTCCTGATACAAGCCAGGTTCCCGAAGCATTGCATGTTGAGACCAGTCCTGAAGAAATCCAGGGAGCGATCACTGAATTTGAACGACGAGCTGAGCAAGACCACTATGCTGAGTGGTCATGGTTTTCCTATCAATCGGATGTTCTCGTCAATACATGGTCGACAGTCTCTGATGGCGAAGAGCAACAGGACTACACAACTCCTACCCAAACATTTCTACAATGGATAGCGGCATAGATCACTGCTGTCATTGTCGGTACCGACTTTTATGCTGACATACCAGCAAGATGGCAATCTCAGTTGCTCGCAACAGGAAATATGGCCGTACTGTCACCATTGACCACCGATCCAGATGATCTTGAGATCAAGACTAAACTGCCAAATGCACTCCACTTTCGGCGCGGTCGACACTATGCTCGCTCCAGAAACATGGAGCTCGAGTTACCAATACCGCCCTCATCAACAGACAAGAACAAACCTGACTGGACGACGGTAAGGAAAGCATGGTGGAGTGTGATTGACTTGGTATACCGCTCAGCAAACTCACCAATGCATTTAGCAATGGACATGAGAATTACAGGCGAAAGTGAGATCATTATGGCTCCTCAACGTGGAAACAATCATGGCACCGTAGCTATTGAGATTGGATCGGTCACTGACTCGGTTACTGAGNAAGAGTGGCAAACTTTCTGTCAGGACTTTGTGGATGCATTGACAAAACTTGCTCCTGAAGGTAGGCTTCGACCCCATTGGGGAAAAGAGTGGGTGAAGATGCGATTTGGTGGTCTTCCAGCTCGCGAATACATCAGGTCGGTGGCTTATAAGAGCGAGATTCCAGAATGTCTGGCCGCTTTGGAAAAGATCGGCAAACGACAAGGGTGGACTTTGAAGGATTTGCGCAAGAGGTTCTCTAACAAGTTGTTGGATGATATATTCTTCTGCGATACTCAAGCTCATGCTTGACTGGTCAGCCTTGTCATACAAGTAGTAATGTAGACCCTATAGCACTTGTAACAAGCAACTGTCACAAAATGCCTTTTGTTCTAGAGTAACGTGCCAAGACGTGGCTGAGAGCAAGTCTGTGGCTGCATTGTGGCTTGACCTGTGCGCTGACCTCCATGGATCCACCTAGACATCCATTACATCTTCTATATCGCCATCGCATCGCATCGCATTGACTTACCACGGGATTTTTTTGTGTCGCCCAAACAACCTTTCACAGGAATAATAGCGCCATCAGCTCACTACCAGACGTTGCAACGCCAGAGTCGCAAAACTTTACAGTCAAGTTTTCACACGCACACATCGCCACCATGCCAGGCGCAAAGTTGTGGGCAAAGATGATCGGATCGTGAGCGCTTTCTCTCGCTTACATATTCGAAAGTATTCATACTAACATGCTGTTCTCTCAGGGGCGCTGTCCTGTGTATTGGCGGTCCTTACCTGATCTACTACGTCACGCCAACCGAGGAGGAATTGTTCATGGTAAGTGTTTTTTCTTCTTCATGCCACCAAACAATTTTGAGTCTCAATGCACGATGGACTCTCCCGTTTAGTTTGATCCTCTTTCATATGACCTATTTTGCAATTCTGGACGTGCGAGCTGATGTGAATTGCGACTATAGAGATACAACCCCGAGTTGCAGAGAAGATCGCTGGAGAACCGCAAGGAGAAGCAGGAGAACTTCAATGAGTGGGTCGCACAGCTTAAGAAGCACTCGAAGAGTGATTTGCCTCGTAAGTTGATTTCTACTATCGATCTCGTTTACTTTAGCTTCTCTGCTACCGATTATCTTTTCTTGCTCGTTTTTCTTTCCCTTTCTATTTGTCTTCAAAGTTGCGCTTGGAGCCTCTTTCACTCCCATTATTTTCTCACGAAAGGTGCAACTATACGTCAGCTCCTTCTTCTTCTCAACCCTGCGTCGCTACTCCTTTCCATTTTACGCAATCTCTACAATGCAAACATCAGCATCAGACACTGACACAATCTCTTTCACAGTCTGGACAGCCTGGGACAAGGAATCCGCCGCACACAAGGAAGCAGGCACAGCCCGCCTGATCGAAGAGCGCAGAATTGCCGAACAGGCCGCACAAGCCAGAAGAGACGAGATCAAGAACTCTGCCGCCTAGATCTTCTAAACCAGAATGTGACAAGGGTTGAAAAAAAAAAAAAACAGGCGAGAGAGTTTGGAGTCTCTTCTATAACGCTTTGTTTATATTTTTAGGATTTTTGCAAAGTCGATACGCTGCTCTTTTTCTTCTTCTGTGCTGAATTATGTTACTTTTGGGGCCTTCTCATAGTGGAGAAGGTTGATGTTCAATTGTGAAAATGCAGGATACCGTTTATAAATCGGTGATGTCCATTGAAGAGCTGTCATCCCAGGCGCTTTCTGTGGACATATCTCTCGGTCTAATTATTACTGTGCATTTTGATAGCTACATGTGATAGGGTCATCCCACAGGGAGGATGTAGCTTCCCGTGGCAGAATACAGTCAATCAATACCCAAGCTATAAAAATCAGATCTCTGCACACCGAAACCATCACTATCTTGCATACTCGCCGTGCAGCATGCTCGTGCTCTGACCTGCATGATCAATGAGATGGTCATCCTTGACAAGACACTCACAGAAAAGATGGTTCTCAGGTTCACGAAGTTCTTACCTGAGTCGATGCTTCAGCTGGCGACACATAATATCGTGCATCGTTACAATATGTTTTGAGAGAAAGGATATGTTGGTTGGTGCTATTGTGATGTTTGGTTCCTGGTTAACAACCCGACTTTCCTGATTGTAACCTAATCGTCCTGGCATTATGGCTGGGAGACCCATCGCAATTACCATCTCAGGGGTCAAATCAACCTCATCAGCGAGGTCGACAACGCTCTCCTAAACCAAAACCTTCTCCTCCGATAAAGCCATCTTTTTNGGTACCATTCTGACTTCAGGCTTTGGCTTTCCTCTCACGCCACACACTTTTGCAGCAATCTCTCTCTTTGTAGTCTCCCATTTCTCAGCAGCCTCCTCGGGGCTCAATGAAGTCTTCTCAATCTCCTTAACCTCCTGGAACAGACAAGATACATGCTTGCCTTCGTGGATTCTTTGGACATCAACCTCCTGAGCGGCTGCCTCGAGCATTTCCTCCCTTTTNTGGTGGTCCATCTCCAAGATGTATTGATCTGATTGTTTGACTAGGGATATTGCACGTCTTCTGGCAGTTTTGTCGTGCTCCACGCACTGCTTGTAGGTGGATCATTTATTGCTGGGAGTGCGGGCTTTAGGTTGTGGTGGCTCGAATGTAGGGGATGTAGGAGGGGAGTTGGTGGTAGTCTTGCGAGCAGGGCTCGAGCGAGAGGGAGTAGTGGGTGTCTCAGATTTGATCATAACTTCTTATCTCTGCGAAGACCGGTTCTGATCCTAGTTGAGATAAGAAGGTGTCAGTATCAATAATATCGACCAACGAACCAAGATCAAGCATACTAACTTTTGGCTGGTCGAAGATCTTTGTTGCTTTGGTCAACGATGTTGATGTTCTTATATAGTCTTGATAGGATGGTAGACTTCCTATTCTTGATGCAGTGATTCTTTACTAGGTGAATAAGGGCCGGAGCGAAGTCATGTGCGTTTGTTGTCGGTGCCTGGCTATTGCCATGACGATGGCACGAGGCTTGCTATAGTGAGAGCACCAGGCACGAGCACTGGGAGCTGAATAGACTGCATGTGACAACGACAGTTTGTGAGTATTTCTGTGACGAGGATACGGGGGTTGTAGCATGATATTAGGCATGAGCACTGAGCCCTGTTGGTAGTGGTGATTCAAGACTGCAGAGTCAGGCAACGATGGCAGTATCTAAAGTCGAACATCGATGCCGCTTTTGAACGAAGTGAAAGACTAGGCACTAGCAGGCTCCAATATTATCACATACAAAGAGAGACAGACGTCGACTCGAAGTATTGTAAATTCGGATGTGTGTTGTGAATGTCAACGAACTGGTGCTGCAGAGCGGACGAGTTTGTCGACGGAGATGGGTACAACCATATGTAAACTGAGCAGGAGTTCTGCCGCGGACGGAAGTTCCTGCACAGCGGGTCTCTTGAGCTGCAGTGGCAGCCGCGAGAAGCTGTCGTCGGCAATTGCGAAGGAAGTCGTCACCTGCCCTATGCGCAACGGAACTACTATCCGGGGCGTACTTGCGATAAGCTGGCTCCTGATGGCTGATGGCTGAATACTCACACGAGCATAATGACTGGTCGTCTTAGCGTGTTGGTAGAACACTTTTCTTGATACGACGAGAACCTCTCGTAACGAGTTTGTTTCGTTGAGCCTCGACTAGGATGAGACAGCGACAGGAAAGTTTCAGTGTATAGAAGGCAGGTAGAAATGAGACAAGTTGATCGTTGCTATTAAGTTGTTCTGCAATGATGATACTGCCTGCATTGGCGCTGGCGAAACCCCTTACTCGTCAAAGACACTACGATTGAAGAAACGGTAGATCTGTCTACCAGCCTCCTTTCCGATCAGCGCTGCTAATTCATCCTCTTCTGCATTAGCAACTTCCAACACATTCTCGTATTTGAGGATCAAGTTTGTCAAGTTCTTTGGAGTGACACCTGGTACGGCTCGAAGCATGTCTTGTGGTAGTTGGTTGAACGTTCTTTCTTGACCGTCCATGTCGCTTTCTTCCAGACCAATGTTGACAGCTTTGATCGGATCAGGCTCTTCTTGTTGCTTCTTGAGCTCTTCGAAAATCTCAGCAGTCTGGTATGGTGATGATGACCAGATGATGCGTAAACGTGGGAAGGCAAGAGTCAGCAGCACAAGCTTGGACTGCAAGTCTGATGCTTGCAAAGATCCAGAACCTACGCCAGACGACAGATCGGCGAAGGGCTCTAGCGTGAAAGACTTTTGCGCATCAAACTCAATCAAGAGCATCGGACTTTTGTAGTGTTGTTGCATTGTTTCGGCTTGGTGGTAGAGACGACCATTCTGGAAAGACTGGATAAGATCCTTGATCGATTTTCGCTCAATGCAGATCTCAGGCGTCAAAACATAATCGCCCACTGTCAGGGTACACGGAACAATAACCATGTTTCTGCCGTGGAGAAGTGACGGCAAAGACGACCGGAACTCTCGAACATCGATGACTACCCTTGGTGGTTCTGCGGTTGCGACAAGTCGACCACCGCCAGCGATGCGAGTATTGACCGTTCGTAAGAATGACTCCTGTGGATCCAGCCCTGCAGGGTCATGTGTCAAGGTCACCGCCATTGAACCTCTTTCACGGATCAGCTTGGTGAAGGCGTCCTTCTCCTTGCGCACAGCGCTGAGATATCGTTGCTCTTCCACGCTTCCTCCATAATACATAAAGTAGACTCTCACGTTCCTGTTCGAGTGGCTACTTCGATACACCNNCTCAATACGCCTGATGAAAGCCGCGTCAGGCTCGTACATGATGACGTATCTTGGCTTGGTCTCTTCAAGAATGTGTTCGTCCATATCGCCATCGTAGGGATGTACCATTATTAAGTCTTTCATGTCGTAAAGCTCGTAAAAGTCGTCCATATCGTCCAGAGGGTCGGCGCCGATCTCTGCTTTCTGTTGAGCTTCGGCTTCTGTAGGCTCGAGCTCGGCCAGGAGACTTTGTACGTGAGATTCTTTGTCTCCTGCCACATGCACACTACCGTTTGCTGTGCGTGTAGGAGCAGATGCGGCGGACGAACCACCTCTCATGCGGCGTCGCTTGTTAGACCCACCGCCTCTGCCTCCTCGGCCAGCCTGACCCTGACGCTGGTCGGTTGTACCATTGATGTTTTTCTGATTTTCAGCAAANAGCGAGTTGCTCACTCGGTTGAAGTCTCGCTTCCAAAGGAAATAGTTTCTGAGTTTACGACGCATCATAGCAGCACCAGATGGTCCCCGAGCATCATCATCAGGATCGTCGGGTACCGATGTCGTATCTGGAAGGACATTCATGCTCTGCAGATATTCGCGAATCTGCCGACACGTTCCTTGGTCGCCACACATAATGAGAATGCTACCGTTTGACTCATCCTGGAATGAGGGGTTGAAGTACATGTCACGCTCGATCTCTTCCAGAATCTCGGCCAGAAGATTCCATTTGGGCATTTCTTCCAGAACAGGACGCAGAGAGTCTGGAACACCAGTTCTAGCATTCACGCTTTGGCCATCCTTAATGGTGCCAGTGTATACACGACGCTTAGCGTTGTCAAAGATGACATGAGCGGCATCCAAGAATAGCCACGGAGATTGATTTTGACGAGTTGAACCAGGAGGTGGAGATGAAGCAGCTAAGACTGTATCGAGATATCGAAGGAAGCTTACGGCGTCGAATGTGAGGAGATAATGTAGCATGTTGCGCAAGAGTGCCAGATCACGAACGATCTGACGGGTTCTGAAGTTGGTGCGATGCCAGACAGGATCCAGTTGTCGACGGACGATGGCGTCGAAGTTGCGATGCAAAGCACTGTCAAGATTCCAGTCTTCCATGTCCAGACCAGTGTTTCCTTTTTTCAACTCGGTGATGCTGACCTCAACACACTCCATGATTGCGTTCTGGATGTCGCGCATACCATCAGTCATGGGCACCTCTAATTCGATGACTTCGGCTTTGCGACGACCCTCCAAGGATTTTGCGACGGTAACGTGGAAGCGAGGATACAGCGAGGGTCGTCTAAGGAAGAGGTTGCGCATCATGGTTGCCAGAGGAGCGAAACCTGACGCGAAGGGTTCGGGAGCATCTGAAAAGGCCTTGAGAAAGCCCTGCTTGTTCTTTTGGCGATAGACACGCACAATGAAAGCTTCCAGCGATGTTGCAGCGATGCGTTCGGAGTGCAGCACAACGAGGCCAGTGATTTTGGCAGGGTCGAGGTTCTCGGTCAAGAGATCGACGACCAGGATACGCGACGTGACGGAGAAGATGCCTCCTTGCTTGTACATTTTTTCTCTCTGTCCAACGTCTGTCAAGTCGGTGTTGACCAGGCTCAATCCACGGCATTTGGGCGAGTTGCTGATGGCGGCGTGTTCTGCCAGAGCCTCTCCAATCCAGCCATTTTCGCGGTCGTCTGCTCCGACTACGACAATCAGATTGTTTCCGGCAGCATCGTATGAGTGTAGGAGGTTGGTGACGATGCGCAGAAGGCCGAGGCCACGCGCCATGATGACGAACTCATCTTCTTCGCAGAGCTCTTTGAATATGTCCTGCTGGAACTCNCTACACTCATGTCAGCGCTGTAACATCTGCATTTTCACATGACCAAAACATACCAGCGGTAATGACAGCTTCACCGGCGCCTCATTATTGTCCGACATGGAGTCTTTTGGAGTGATGGTTGATGTCTGCGTTCAAAACAACATCACCTCAGAACGCTCGGACCTTCTCCATGACATCACTGGTATAGCCAAAATTGAGAAGTCACGACAATAACTTCTACCGTACTCCGACTATAGCGAACAGCAAAATGTAGATCGTAAAAGGCACAAATTCCCAGGAAGTAGAGGTATGTCCACAGAGAGTCGTTTGCTGTTTTTGCTTCGATGCCATCAAGGCTCGGGCGACAATCAGGTAGGCGTTCCGGTATCATTGTCGTCGTCGTCTTCGGACTCTTCCTCGTCGAACGGCATGCGGTTGCGGTCTTTTTACTTGCTGTTGAGCAGCAGGTGCCTTGCTTGCCGTCAGGGGCTGATGGCGAGCACCCTTGGTCTTCGACTTCTTGGTGATGCCCATTGGCTCGCTTCCGTTGTAGACCGTATCAGGCTTCTTGCCTGTACGTACCGACCTCTCAACATCCTTGAGCGCCGATGCGAGAACGTACGCCCATGAATCGATGGGTCCTTCTTGCGGCAGAGGATGCTTTTCCCCAGTCTCGAAGGATGCGACAGGGGGAGTTCAGCGCTCTCTGCCACTGGACGATTGGTATCATCCATTGCTGCATTCTGGGATCCAGAAGAAGGGGCAGGAGCAGCAGCAGGAGAAGGAGAAGAAGGGGCGAGGGGGGAGGCGAGGGCAGGGGCGGAAAGAGGGGCGGCGGAAGGTGTTGAAACCTTGATAGACTCTCCAGCAAAGACCTGCTTGCTGTTGGCCTTGAAGACGTACATGTTCAAGTCATGGGAAGGTGACTTGGCGAAAGAGGGAGGAGGTGGGCTCGCTGTTACTGGCGAGCACCACAAAGTCGAAAGAGAAAGAGTTGTTCTTGCGGCGGAAGAACAGACTCTTCATGCTTGTCTCCGAGGCCAACAGAGAGGCCCTTGTCTCGTACTCAGGGGTAGCGACAAGGGTGTTGAACCACTTGCGCAGGTGCTTCTTCGTCTCGAACTTGGTAGCTGCCAGCAGCTCCTTGTTCATGAAGACAGGCTCAGTCTTGGACCTCTTTCTGGATAGCTCGCCCATGCTCTCGTAGAGCTGGTTGAGCTTGTGCTTGGTGCCTTGCGGCATGGTGATAGAGTCGATCTCCATGGGATCGAAGGAGAGGGCGGTGGTTGACAGCACATGGCTGAAAGAAGAGAGGGGAGTGGCAGACAGCGGCGAGGGCGCGTGTGACCACATGGTGGGAGCAGGGCTGCAAAGCGATGCGAAAGTGCTGAAAATCATGATGATAGTCAGGTATCAATATGAGGGACAGTTGTGAGCTGTATGATAAAGATGAAAGAAGGAAAGGAGGAAGAGAGCACGGATTGCGCTATACAATACTCTCGCAGTGCGAGCCAAGATCGGACGACAAGTGAAGGCGGCGTGAAAGTGAATTGAGCGGCTGGAGAATGTTCACTCGGGCTCTCCTTGGACGCATCACGATTTCGAAAGTCCCTCGTGCATTTTTACAGTAGAATTTCAAGCGTGGTTTGAGACTGAGATGCCAAACCATCGAAATCAAATTCAGGGGCAACTTCGAAATCATGTCCAGACACTTATATACTTATGAACCAACACCTGTTGCAATACCATTGGGTTGTTGTCATTCGCTCTTCTGTATTACGATGGTATTGAATAGAGATAGTGGTCGAGTGGAAGCATCAAACGTCAGAACTTCGAATTCAGGGGCCACGTCGAGGTCGTTTCCTCGACACTCGAACACCACTAAGTGCTCTCAGTCCTCAACGAAGTACCAATTGATCGCCAATAATGCTACATTCGTTGTATATGGCCCCTCTCAATCACATCTGTCCTTGAACGTTTTATTGCCATTGCATATATGGCTCTCGAAAGGCGAAGCATGATAAAAGTTAGCACATGGTGAGCATTAAAGATGATCTGATACCAAAAGCACTTCAAGAGCTGCAGTCACTATACATTAGAGACGGAGACTTTGAAAGAGTGTAGTTGATTGCTAATTCTACTTGTGTCTCTGTTTGACGTGCGTGCTTGTGAACAAAAGAAAATGATGAAAACCAAGAACTCCCAACTCCTAGAAAAGCAAAACCCAGTATTAGACGGCCAGTGCCGATTAGACAACCCAAAGAAAACAGAAAATCCAAGCAGTAAGGACCGAAAGAGAATCCAAAAGAGAGACAAGTGGCAGAACCAAGGAAGGAACCACAGGTAGAGGAATCCAGGAAGGCGCGACAGGAAGCCACCACACTCGATGAAGGATAGAGCGCAGATTCTTTCACAGGAACTCTCTGAAAGTGTTTGAGAGGTCGGCAATCTGCTTCTCATACTCGGCGTCGAATTCCTCCNNCTCTACGTAAGGAAGATGATAAGGTGTAGGTGCACGAGGAGGGTCAGCTTGATCAGCCTCGAATTGGCATTGTTGAGGAGACTTTGGTGTGACAAGTTGCTCCGCCTCCTCAAAAGTATAGCCCTTGTAGCGGTCGGGAGTACGAATGCGAGGAGGGCTGACAGAAACACGCAGAGACTCTTTAGCAATTGATTTTGGAGTTTTGGCTGGCGTGGGTTGCAGTGGCTTCTCTGGCGTAGATTCTTGGTTCTTGGGGAGCTGTTCCGCCAACTTCTTTTCAGCTCTGAGTTTGCGCAGGCGAGCCTTTTCAACCTTAGCATAGTCTGATTCCCTGGGTTGATGTTCGTTTGTCTTCCAAACACCGAGCTCGTCTGGCAGAAGCAATGTTTCCTGTGCCATTTCCTGGTGGTTGGCTTTGTCACGACGTGAGATGTGGCTGTCGATAGAAGGGGTGTTCACATAGAAACGAGGAACGATGGCCGTAGTGGCAGCATCAGCAGAGAGAGAAGTTGCATGGATGTCGGCAACGGAAGTATCATGGTCGCGAAGGACGTCGTGGCGGAGATCGTCTGGTTCGGCCATGGAATTGGGAATGGGACCATCGAAAGAGGCCTTCTTCTTGCCCCTTCTGGCTTCCTCTAGAGCAATGGCTCTCTGCTGCTCAGGTGTCTTTTGTGCGAAATCGTGGTGCACAACAGACTCATGCTCTTTGAAGAGGTCAAGAGGAGAGGAGGGCTCAGGGCTTTCATCTTCTTTCTAGCCTCCTCTTCCAGCTCCTTCTCGTAGTTCTTCTTGGCTTTGGCGAGCCTCTTCTTCTCGCGACGTTGTCTGAAANGAGTAGAAGGGGCCGCGGGCCTTCTTTAACTCCTTTTCCTTCTTCTTGCGCTCGCGGGCCCTCTTCTTGTGTCGTGCCTTTCTGGCGGCCTGTGCCTCCTTTAGTTGAGCCTTCCATTCGTCATCGAGATAGTCACGATGACCAAACAGAGGCTCATTCTTTTTGCTTCGGCTTCGGCTTCGGCCTCGGCCGCAGCCTTCTTTTCCCTCCCGATCATCGACACCAGGAATCTTGACAGTATAGGGGATGTGTGGCATGAGCAAATTGGCGCCATCACCTGGTCTACCGTAAAGACGGCGACTGAAAAGGTTTCTGATGCTGAACGGGCGCTTCGACGGGCGCAGAGAGTGTTTTGTGAAACGAGGTACATAGGATTTCTCGTAGAAGTAGACGTTGCCGGCCGGATCGTGTGCCTGGACGTTTTGAATTCGGAGGTCCTCTCTGACCCTCTGCAGGATAGTAGCAGCTGTGCCGACAAAGGGCTTGGGAGGGTCATCAGGAGCGGCCTCGGGAGCGGCCTTAGAAACCTCGTTCGATGGACCAGACTTGGGAGCGGAGAGGTCGTCCATCTCATACGCCTCATGGAGCTCACCGTTACTAGCACGGTGGACGTATCTGGTGGACTCTCTCTGAGCCGCGGAACGTCCACCGTAGTAGTTACGGCTGCTCTTTTCTTGGGCGATNTTAGGTGGTTTAGCATATGGATCGACCAAAAGCTGATCGGTAGTCAGTCTCTCATAAAGGTGGTAGGGATGGTTGCGCCAGCCTCCGCCGTAGGGACGCAGATAGGGGTTGTCTCCATCGAGTCCATTAGGGAATGTAACTTCCTCGTCGGGGTCGTAGGGGCGAGGGACGTAAGGCTTGTAACGAGTTTTGAAAGGGTAGTTTTTCCAATCAGGTTCAGCTCCAGGCGAAGATGGCTCGGGTGCAACAGTCGAAGGCTCGGTTTGGACTGCTTTTGAAGCCGGCACGCAGAAAGAAAGGCCAGGGTTGATGTCTGCGTCAGCGTAGACGTCGTTCTTGGATTTGAAAAACGAATGAAGAGAGGGCGAAGGAGCGGCTTGAAGGGGCGTAAAGGTATGGGGAGAGATGGGAGTTGCTAGGTCGTCGACAATGATGGGCTTAAAGTTGTGTGGAGTCTTGGGAGACTGCGATTTGGCGATAGTGACAGGCTTGAAATTGTGTGAAGACTTTGGGGGTGGCGACTTGTTGATAATGACAGGTTTGAAGTTGTGCTGAGAATTGGGTGATCGCGACTTGTTGTCGATCACGGGTTTGAAGTTGTGAGTGGGCTTCGAAGTAGACGAAGCAACGGGTTTGACCGGTTTGAAGAGATGCGAGGATCCGGTCGGAGTCGAGGGGTCGATGACAGGTTTGAAGACATGAGGAGATTGAAGAGAGGGTGGAGGGGGTGTAATAGGATCGTGATTGTGAGATGACTGAGGTGAGGACGAAATTTTTGATACATTCATTGCGTGTAGACGCGATGCCGCAGGACTGCCGTTGGCATCGGTAGTGGAGCGGCCAGGACGGTGTGGTGAAATCCAATGGCCGCTTGTAACACGCGTGCGGCGGGACTTGTTGCCGCTTAGTTCTTCTTGCTCTTGAGGAACNGCTGAATGACATGTTAGAATCCTGTGGTGGGATGGAGTTTGAGGGAGTAGCTTACAAGTGGACGCGCGGAGATTGCGGCGAGCCTTGGTCCATTTTGATGGTGACTCGATTGGCAAAGCCTCGGAGCTCTGAAGAAGAAATGCGCTTTCGGAGTAAGAAGTAGGCAAAGTCGATCTGTTGAATGGTTGGTGGAGTCCTGCTGGACGAGGTGGGAGAGTGGTGGTGCTGCTTGAAGGAGATGGCAAGGGTGACACAAGACCTGGGAGGTTGAAAGTGCTCTTGGACCTGGCGAGCTTGAAATCCTTGATCTTTTCCTTAGTGGCAGAAGAGAGCTCTGCAAGACTCGTGGTACTCTGGTTGAAGAAACGAGCCAGTCCTTTGTAGAACTTGGTGCGTGTCTTGACCTTATCTCCAGGAAGGCTGGGTGGATTGGTTGTCTTATTCTGTCAGTCAGTTTGAAATGTTAGATGGTCAGGGATGACATACAGGGACGAAATAGTCTTGGATAGGATCAGGGAGCGTGATGCTTTGCGAACGAGCGATAGGAGCCCGCTCGCAGTAGCCGGTCACAGCGGAGTATTGGCTGATGCTGATGGACTCGCTGATGGACTGACCAGTTAGTCGCTTGTTTGCGCAAAATCGTAGTAACACTTACAGGAAGACGGTGGAGATAGTGCCTCCTGGGAGGTCTTTGGGGGCGCAGAGCCTGTGCGCGTATAATATCAGACAGTGGAGTGGTCTCGCCGACGATGCGAAGGTAGCGTCTCTCTTCCTCTGTGAAGGGGTACTCAGGGAGGTCAGACTCGCTGGTGATTGACTCTGTAGAGGAACGCTCAGGGAGGTCACTGTCAGTTGACTCTGTAGAGTGATGTCCAGGGAGGTCGCTGTCAGTCGACTCTGTCAAGAGAGGCTCGGCGAGTCTAGAGTCGCTGTCACTTAAACTCATGTTCGGAGCTCGAGCAATTGTGCGCTAGCGGCGCGCTAGTCTCTGTGGTGACGATAAAGGCTAGCGAGAGCACGTGAGATAGTCCTGAAGACGAGGTAATAAACAGTGAATTTTTCTGATATGGGCAGACTCGAATTTGATGAAAAGAAATTACAAACCATCAACTAAATCATTGACGCCTCTGCGTGCTCGGCATCGACACTAGCTGTCGAGCTCTAACCTCGTTCGGCCGACACGGGGGTACGCCTGTATCCTCAGATAACCACAAACACATCCGACATCCTGGCCTTTGGGTATCGATGGAAGAATGAAAATGAAAGGAAAAAGAAAACGAAACTAGGTGTGGACCAACATGACCATGAGCCACTTGACCACATTACATGACAGTACAACAGTTCTTCTTGAGGAAACGAATAACCTTGGGAAGGTTCTTCTTGATCTCCTCTTCGTAGTCCATCTGCTGGGTTCCTTGTTGTTGCTGTTGGTTGTTCTGCTGGTAACCTTGTTGCTGAGAAGGATATCCTTGCTGTTGTTGGTAGCCCTGTTGGTTTCCAAGAGGGTAGGCAGTCTGGTATTGGGGTTTTCCATGATGAGACTGGTCGTACTGTTGGGGTTGGCCATATCCAGCAGGAGGTACGGCTGCTCCACCAGTGAGGTTGATGTAGATTCTGCCTTCATTGTGCTCAGTGTGGTATTGAAGGCCTTGCTCCTGGCAGATCTGCTCGACGCGAGGCTTGATCTTTTGGACGTGGTTGACAGAGTGGTTGCCCTTGCCGACAATNGCTGCACCTAACGTCAGAGACATCAAACAGCAGCAGACTCGGCGATCTACTTACACATGCAGATGGTTCTGGCCAGTACTCTTTGCATACTTGATTCTTTGTTCCAGGATTTCTTCAGCCTCTTCCACAAATTGACCGTGAAGGTCAATGGTGTCGCTGTCAACTCTTCCTACGGCATTGTTCTCGCGGAAGATGTACTCGGAAGCCTGTCTGTTGTAGTCGTCTGCCTTCTGTCCATGGCTCTTAGCTTCCTGCGACAAGTCGTGGGCAGCACCTCCGTCTCCACGCGCGTAGGCCTTCTGTGACTCGGCAGAACAGTGCTGACGTTTTCCGTGTTCTTGTCGCGCAAGGTCTCTCAGTCTATCGTATTCGGCTTCGGCATCGCCAGACTGCTGGTGGTTAAAGGCTGAGNNGCTTCATGTCAGTACCCAGTATATTTGCGACACGCTGAGGTATGGATACTCACCACTGCCGCCAATACGCGTCGCGGAAGGGAACGACATGTTATTACACTACGGATTATGGATATGGGTACGAATGTCAAGCAGAAAGAAAGAACAAAGACGGAAATGAAAGGCAGCACACCCAAAGGCGGTGCCAGAGTCCAGATCAGCCACCATCGAAAGTTACCTGCTGCTTGACCAGTTGTTGGTCAAACTGTTTGCTTGGCAAAGAAACAAGAAACACAATCCGGGGTGCATCGACAAGAGTCAGATCTTGCTTTCGAGGGTCCTCCACACGAACCACACTTCCGGGCGACCAATCATGGCAGTGGCATCAACAAACTCGAATGGTTCATACAATTTTCTGATATTCTGTTGTCCGGACATTTGAGGTCGCGATTCGATCATCGGCTGACGGACAGCGACAAAATGGGTCAGCTGGACTCGTTGCCTCGAGAACTTCTATACTTGGTTCTCGAACATTGCAGCTTTGACGACTGCAAAAATCTACGCGCGACGTGCAGATATATCAGCGGCCTGTCCAATCCGCGAGTATTCCAAACGTATTATATCGCCTTCTTCCAATCGCATCTGGAAAGATTTGTGGAGCTATCGTCAAGACCAGACATTGCAAGATGCATAAAACGCCTGGTCTTCGTAGGAGATGTGTTACCACAGATGGATTGGATTGGCACCTACGAAGGTCTCATCGATATGCGCGCTCCTTGGTCATCTTTCTCGAAGAAGTACATTGAGGTAAAGTCCAGCGAACACCCTTCTCGTGTGCTAAGACTGTCACAATATTAGTTATCGAAATGCACAGTGGCTTTCTGAATATAAGTCTGGCCATAGAGATAGCTGTCAATGAGATTCTCTCTGTGGCAAACCGTATTCTCTGCAAAACTATCGTGCAATTTTATGGCTACTCTGTGATAGTCTCTAGCAGATGGGAGAACAGAAGAAAGTTACTGATGATCCTTCCAGGAAAGGACTACAGTGGATCCAGCACGTATGGACAGCCGTCTATCTTCAGATGACGAGTACGATTGCCGTATGCGAATATTGACTGAAAGACAAGATCTTCGTCATGCGGCATATAAAGAATATGACAACATGCCCAAGCACACCCTCAGTCCTGAACAAGTGCAATATCACTTCGAACAGTACGCAGCATATCGCCAGCAACAACTAGAATGGGGTCCGGACGATCTGTTCCTCGACGCACTATCACGCCTGCCAAATCTAACATCCGTCGAGAACGCAAAGCATGGCTTCGCTGACAATCATCTCCATTTTCCCTGGAACAGGATCGAGAAAGACATTATCCTCAACCCCAACAACTGGATGCAGCTTCACGCTGTCGAAGTTGACGACGAAGAGGAAGTACATGTCGTAGACGTGTTGAAATATCCCATCCACATGAAGCATGCGGATTCTCTTCTAGCTGCAATCGGACATCGTGCGACTTCCACATACGCATCGCCTATCCGAACTCTACGCCTTGTCAATGTTGGTGGACAACCATTTCTCGACTTGGACGAGCATTACCGTCCTCCAGAATATCATACGGAGCTTTCAGTTGTGAATCGCACTAGGGATGAACTGCCTCAGGAGTTGGTCTCTGCCAAAATACAGGGGCTGTCCCATTTGGAAAGACTAGAGCTGGATGTGAGTTATTGCGCACCTGCCTCGCATAATCCGGAGCTCGGCAATGCGACGCAGACGTGGCAGACCAAGCAACTCTTCCAAGAGATCCATGCTATCTTATCGCAAGCAGCACACTCCCTAAAGACCTTGAAACTTCAGTGTCGTGACGACGAAAGCAGCTGGGCTGTCGAGGAGCGGCCTATGGACCCTGAGGACGACACCATAGGCCATCTGTATATCCCTACATTACCACAACTAGAACTCTTACGGCTGAGTTGTAACGCAACCGAGAGAAGTTTGATCGAGCTCCTACGCGCACAGTCAAAGACACTACGCTGTCTCGAAATTGTAGACTGCAACCTAAATGAAGGCACCTGGAACTCTGTGCTCCGTCAAGTGCCAGAAATCTTCGAGTCCGGCCTCCAACGCATCTACCTCGAAGGTCTACACGACGAAGACTACCCACAGGATACAGGCGACGAAGCTTTATTCGAAGATGGCTTGGATGTAGGAGAGNGAGCACATCCCCACGATCGCGCGATTCTCAAGTATCTGCTGCATGGTGGGGAGATGCCCGAATTGGATTTCAATAGTTGGTATGAGCGTAACCGCGAGCTTGCTGACAGGGGCATTACTGAGTGGGAGGATGAGCTACTCGAGTCAGAGGTGCCGTAAGATTCGCATCGCGAAACACGACAGTCATCTGGACTCGCCTTTCTCCACAGAAGCGATGATCTGTCACCTTTCTAATGTTTCGAGATGCGACCTCTCCACTTGTTCATAGTTGATCTCGGAGGAGGTGTGTAGTCCAGAGCAAGTGGCTCCAAGCAAACATGAACCAGCCCCATACTGTATTTTTGCTGCCTCTCCGACTATTAAAGGACAGTGGAATACACGCTATAGAAATACACAATACTATCATAAAACAGGACAGTGTCCGTTAAGAAGAGATCTCTTATTAGCTCTCTTTGGCCATATCTTTATTTCTGGATAATATTGTGCATTTTTATAGCGTGTACGTTACATAAGTTCGCACACGGGATGTAGTGAATGGCTCATGTTTCCTTGGACCCCCTTGGAGTGGGCAGAGTGAACAACGACTTCCCAGTGGACACCTGCTTCCGAAAGGGACTGTGCATTCTCAATAGCGATTTTACTAGACCTTTTCTTCTAGGCGGAAGAGATAAGGGCGGGGTCTATTGAATTGTGACAGCACTTAGCATACGCCACGGGTGCGAGTCAGGACAAGACCACGCAATACTCTTGATACAAGACGGCGTATGCAAGAAGAAAGGATGAGAATGTGTTCATAAGGTTGCCTGGGCGTAGGCATGACAGACTGGTTTTTGGTGCTTGGAAAATGACCAAATCCAGTATCTTGCATTTTTAGCACGTAGTGCTGCTGTGATAGGAAGTCATCCCCAAAGACAAGATAGATTGTGGCTCCGTCGATTTCGGCTTGAGGATCGTCCGTCATGTATCATGTGCATGATTCGTTTTGACCGCTCGGACGTAGTATTCACGACTCTTTGAAGTTGGGACACCGAGCAGAAGGTAATATCTGGCGGTATGACTCAAGCATTCAGCAACTTGGATCGTTGGTGTTACAGGAAAACGTTGAAGTCAAACTATTGTTTGGTTAAACGTGGACGGTGAATCCTGGAGGCTTGATGGCGTCGGTAATAGGTATTCGGGCCCGCACATGGAAGTGGGTACCTCGTATGTGGAATGGTACATAAAGGAGAAGGAAGCCGCAAAGAACATTCTTTGAGACCACTCGGCCCAGTACGGGCGAAATTCCGTCTTACTCCAACTCCAGCAAAGAGCAAATTGTGCCCTATAAAAAGGTACAGTTGTTTTCGGAAGTAGGAATGTGTCCACAGAAAGCAGAATAGCTGTCGCTTCTCAGTGGACACTGACCTGTTTCCCTGATAGTATTGTGCATTGTTATAGCTACACGCGTGACAAAGTTCAACCACCGGGAGGAAGTGGTCTGGTACAAAGAGCGAGCGGCCCGCAGCGGGTCAACACATCAACGACTCGCCAGGATCAGGGACCGAAATACAAACACCGGACTGAACAAAAAGCACACTGCTGTTTTAGACCAAGCGAATCGAAAACAGAGTCAGAAAACGAGAGTCGCCGGCAAATGTCAAAGGCATTTGACAAGCTAGACACTGCGAGGTCGTCGTGCTGTGGCTGGGCTTGGCATGCTGCAGTGTAGCTCATGCATGGAACCCTTGCTTCTCTGCATGCCTGAGGTGTGGATGCATCATGAAGGCCATGAGGAACACATGGCTGCAGCTTGAGTTTGCAGAAAATTTGTTAGGCGAGTGCCAGACTGGCTGTCAATATAGGGTTTGATGAGCGTCAATATAGAGAGCTGGACTATGCGCGAGTCAAGGCAGAAAACGTCCGGGGATCGCATACCTAGGTAGGTCTTTTGACGTAGGACAATGAAGGGTGATGTAGACGATTCTCGCGTGAGACGGGAAAGGATAGAAGCCCTCGCACATGTGGAAGGCATGCGATGAGCGTGTGTAAGACGGGAGGGCAACGATGGGTGTGCAGTGTTTCCTTAAGGGAGGTGCGACGCTGCACACGGCAGTAATTAGCGTAAGTAGACTCAATTTCTCCGATGTGCAAAACCAAGTCGGGTTCATGTGGTGCAAATCACAGCGATACGGATGGCATGGAGGTCCATAGCCTTTGTATCAAGCCTGATTCAAACACAGGCGGTCACAATGGAGCTGTCCAATACTCGATGTCACGGAGCAGATGGAGAGTCGGCTCACGACCGAGGGTTTCCTTTGGAAGTGTAGCACGTTTCAGGTGGACGTTGGATGGAAAGCAACGGCCCTGGGCCGCCGAGCACAGATGCATGGCCAACTAGGACCAAACTGAGTTAAAGCAAAGACCCCACTGTTTGATATGCAGCCTGCTCAAGAACGAACAAATACCACCCTCTCATATCTTGGACCGCTGCCCTTGCCGATTCCACGTTTCTCTGCCTTTTGTCCCGCCTCGTCACACCTGCCATCTCACGTCGCCTCGCTATTATCCCTCCCGGTGCTCCTATCCATTCGTCGATAATCACCGACTCATCATAAATTAGCCCTATACGATTGCTGTCTCGGCGAAGGATCATAGCTCTCAGACACAGACCCCGACTCTTCTTTCTGTCGCAATAACCACTCGTCCTCCTGGCCTTCTGTCAAATTGTCACCCCGGACAGCACGCTCCCTCTCTGATCATCCAAATCTCGACCTGAACAAGTCCATTGGCGCGCGCCCCAGACTACAACCACTCCATCCTCAAATCGCAATACAGACCGAATGGGCTTCATGTGTTTCGGAAGTTCCAAGCAGGACGACCCACGGGCGAGGAAGAATGCCGACATTGAGAAACAGTTGAGGGCGGACCAGAAGAAGCAGGCANAAGAGGTCAAGATTCTGCTCNTTGGGTGCGTCAACACGTCCGGACACAACAAAACAGGCAGAAATGCTGACATACAACCCCCAGGTGCCGGAGAGAGCGGCAAGTCGACGGTGCTGAAGCAGATGCGCCTGATTCACACCAAGGGCTTCTCATCGAGCGAACGTAGACAATGGAAAGTCACCATTTTCAACAACTTGATTCATGCCTTCCAATGTATCCAAGGTGCCATGGAAGAGCATGAGGTCGCCTTCGAGAACCCTCAAAACATAAAAGCCATGGAAGTCGTCTGCTCGGAACCAGAAATTGGAACCGATGATCCTATGCCACTGGATTGCATGCACGCTTTCAAGAACTTGTGGGACGATGATGGTGTGCAGGGTGCCATTGCAAAGGGTCACGAGTATGCTCTACACGACAATCTCGAATAGTACGTTCCTTCACGTCCTCTGCACTGAATTCGAGACTGACACATCCACAGCTACATGAGTGATCTCGGCAGACTGTTCGAAAAGAACTATGTTCCTGGAGACCAGGACATCCTGCGTGCACGCCTTAGGACGACAGGTATTAGTGAGACTGTCTTCGATACCGGAAACCTGACCTTCAAGATGTTCGACGTCGGCGGTCAACGCTCTGAGAGAAAGAAGTGGATCCACGTTTTCGATAATGTACAAGTCGTCTTGTTCCTTGTGGCCATCAGCGGTTTCGATCACGTCCTGGTCGAAGACAAGAATGGAGTAAGATTTTATCATGCGCCCGTCAGTAGGCTAATTCAATGCTAACAGTGCAACTAGAACCAAATGCATGAAGCTCTGATGCTCTTCGAATCCATTGCCAACAGTCGCTACTTCGAAAAGTCTGGCCTGGTGCTTTTCCTCAACAAACTCGATCTCTTTACCGAAAAGGTTTCAACAGGCCGAGGACGCATTCGCGATCACTTCCCAGATTTCCAAGGCAGCAACACAGATGTGGTAGCCGGACAAAAGTTCTTCGCCGACAAGTTCCGCAACCTGGTACGGGACCCTACAAAGGAGGTTTATGTGCACGGCACGACGGCCACAGACACCAACCTACTGGAGAAGACGATGAAGAGCGTGCAGGACATGATTGTCCAACGCAATCTGCACTCGCTGATGTTGTGAGTGGACGTCCCTTCGGCTATTGCGCTTCGAACAAAACACACAAAAAGAAAAAAGAAGACTACCACTTTCCGGATCTTGTCTATTGGACCAACCGGTTGGATCCTTCTTTCATGATTATTCACTTCGCGCACACTGCTTTTTGTTCTGGTTCTTTGTTACACGCACACACAAAAGAGAACATATTCTGATTTGGACAGCACCTGAACCGAAAGAGGAGAAGATTACACCATAAGAAGAGCAAAGTTGCGAAGACGCTCGATCGGAGGTCTTGGTTTAGAGATGGCTGTCTTTTTTGCGTTTATGATTCACCCGCTGCATGTTGAGCGACTGGTTCGTTTGGAGTACTTTGAGAGGGAGTTTGGTGCTTTTGGGCGGATATCCTTGAGGTTTGTGGGTCATTTGAGCCTTTCTCTTTCTTTCGATTCCGCAATTTTCTGGCCGGCAAGCAAGATCAAGCGGTATCTGAGCGCTGGCTACGGCTAGACCAATTGAACAAGATTTTGTTTTCTTCTTGAACATTCTTACCTCCCCGTGTGCTGAAGACAGTCACAATTTACACTGACCTCTTCTCCATCCGAGCTACAAGGGTTGTTATAAGCTATCGAAATGCACAGTATTGACTCGATTACAAGTCTGGCCATTGAGATAACCTTTATTGAGGTTCTCTCAGTGGAAACCATAGTCTTCGCGAAAGTATTATGCATTTCGACAGCTACACTGTGACTGTCTTTAGCACATGGGAAGGTAGTATTATGGTCGGTAGTGACAGATGGATGCAGAAGGAAGCTGCTTACAAAAGTCATGGAGATTGGGAGTTCGCACCAAATTAGGAGACAATATTGACCAATCAATAGCCGGCAGGACAAGCGGGCGTTATCGGCGACGAGGGGTCCGAGGCGGGCATCGGCCATTTCGGCTCCAGAAGCATCGATTGAGTAATGACCCTGAATGATGACAGCGTGAGACTTTTGATTCTCTCAACTCAACACTGTTCTTGTTTCCGTTCTCCTTCCTGTATACCTTCCAGCGACCATGTCGTATCCAGCACACGCATCGCCGGCACTACCGCCGCTCAATTCGCCGCGCCCGCAAAATACCCAGCGTACCATGTCCCACATGTCGACAATGTCCGATTACGACCTCGAGCACAATAAGAATGCCGAAACCTCGTCGTCGACCTCCGTCAAGCCTGCTCCAGAGCCTGTATCTGCCGCGCCGCCATTGGTCTCACCTTCATTGACTCCCGAGCCTGCCAATTCCTCGTCCGACCCCGCTACTCAAGATGCCGAAATCCATGAAGCCGAACCCGCTGCCCCTCCAGCCTTGTTAGAAGAGCTCCCCGAGGTCACTTGCGAAGTACGCGCCCGCATTCCTACTACCACTGGTCAGGAGATGTTCTTGCACCTATACCACAATAGCGCGGACAACAAGGAGCATCTGGCCATTGTCTTCGGTCCCCATATTCGCAGTCGCAGTCTTGATGCTCCGAGGGAGGGCGAGACAGAAAAAGACCGTATGATTAGAGGCGCATATGTCGGAAAACTATACCCGGGCCGTACGTCTAGTCGCTTGGACCAGATCAAGCAGGATGCAGGCGTATCAGCCGCACAACTATCACGAAGTCCCACACCCGAAGCGGTTACAACAGAAGAGAGACAGGACAAAGCCATCAAAGTCGCCGAAGCACAAAACATGCCTCAGCCATTGGCGCCGCTGGTGCGTATACACAGTGAATGCTACACTGGCGAGACAGTATGGAGTGCACGTTGCGACTGCGGCGAACAGCTTGACGAAGCAGCTCGTTTGATGTCTCTACCCTTCGACCCCACCGATGCATCTATTCCCTCGCTCGGTGGTGTGATCATCTACCTGCGTCAAGAAGGCCGTGGTATAGGTCTGCTTTCCAAACTCAAGGCCTACAATTTGCAAGATCTGGGTCACGATACTATGCAAGCGAATCTTTTGCTCAGGCATCCTGCAGATGCCAGAAGTTACGGCCTGGCAACAGCTATGCTGATGGATTTGGGTCTTGGTGGTGAAAGAGGTATTAGACTGTTGACAAATAACCCGGAGAAAGTGCGCGCAGTCGAGGGACCTGGAAGAGAAGTCGTGGTCAAGGAGCGAGTACCTATGATTCCATTGGCATGGTCATCTGGCGGCAAGGNNGAAGGTGTTCAAGGGCCTGAATTGGAGAAATACATTGGAACGAAGGTAAGCAACAATTCCATCAATTGTTTGAGATATTCATTTGCTGACTTGTGTGTTCTTGCAGNNATTGAGAAATTCAAGCATATGTTCAGCCCTTCTTGATTTCATTCTCGAAAAGCAACGAAGATACTTGGCGTTCTACAGCAAAAGGAGAATTTGGTGTTCATACAGTACAACATATACCCCACAACCTTGTCATTCATCATCATCTTCAATTTACGTATGGCACGAAACCTGGTTCACTTTACTAAGTATATTGCCTCACTGCGCTGTCTTGTGGTAACGACAGTGGCTTGATCTCTTGTCCGTTTTTCACTTCCTGCTGTCACCTCGATCACCTCAACTCTTCCCTTATTTCTTCTTTTAAAAGCTTCAAATTTGCTTGTGCATTTCCTGGTCTGCACACACCCGGGGAGAAGCTTGAAGTGTTACAGCAGCAACCCAATTTCACACCTACATTGGCGGGCGATGGATGGTTGTGTGTTGTTCAGTTACAGGACCAGATCTGACAGCATGAGAAGTGGCCCGCCGGTTGGAGAGATGCACAGTTTCAGTCTGGCTGGAGCCGGATGCGAAGAGAGGTGTTGGATGGATGGCTCTCGACGAGTTACTCCGTCGTTCAGGGGTATTGTCTATACTCAGAGTTCCTAACATGGATAACTCTATGTAGAGAGATCTAAGCTAGCTTATCTTGATCATTGACCCTGTCTACTCATATGTGTGGGTCCATCACTCTTAGCCTCTCTTCAGCCGTGATGGAGAACGCTATCCAAAGCTGTCAAAATGCACAATATATTACAGATCACAGGAACCACCAGAGAGATCTGACCATTTGGACTCTCTCATCACTTCTTGCAGCAGTGTCGTTTTACCAAACGCAGATGATGAAGCTGTTGCAGCAGATCATCTGGCTAGGATTACAGATCGAAAGGACAGAACACAATACATCCAAAGTTGCAGAGCATATTTAATCGAACAAGAGCAGATCTTACCGACTGGAGACAAATATGTTCTATCAGCAGCAGACAGGGTTCAGGAGTGGAGATAAGCACCTGAGAGCAAATGTATTTATTATGCAAGCCCAACGAATTCATGGTGGAGCAGATGAATTTGTGTAGAAGCGGATGTTATTGGAATACAGCAGATACAATCAAGCAGGAGCATATGCAACTGGCTTACAGCATCCAAGATCTGATCGATGCACACACACGATGGATCGGAATCAAATGCATCAATGATTGCATCGAAGCAGTAGATCCGTCGCCAGCAGATGCTTTTCTTTGGCAGCAACTCCATTCAAGTGGTAGATCATATGGACTCACGGAAGCAGACGTATACTCAGTGGCTTGTACGCTTCATAACTTGGAGAAGGCTATCAATTCGTCATTAAGCTGTGGTTCTATATAGTCTCTTTCATGAGTCGTAAGCTGAAGAGGGGAGGATACTGTTGTGACAATATTATACAAGGAAGGGCAACTGATATCAAACAATCTCTTTCTCGGATGTCTCAGGCACCGCAGCAGCTGTCTGAGCCGCCTGAGCCTTCTTGATGCTATGCATACCCATGCCTAAGCAAGCGATCGTAGCTGCTGCAGCTGCACCAGCTCCAAGGTAGAAAACGTGGTTGACGGCCACGCTGTAGGCCTGCAGCACTTGTGGTAGTGCAGCTTTAGAAACGGCATTTTTCACTCCTGTGGCACCAGCAGCAAGGACGGTCTCAGCCGCCACTTCAGGTGCGTACTTTTGGAGCGCTGAGGAGAGTCCAGTGTTGAAAACTGTTTGTGCCAGAGCAAGGAAGAGGGCACCGCCAAAGGTCTGAGAAAATATGAGCAGCGACATGGCGACCGATGCCTGGGACTTTGGTAGCAGATTTTGTATGGCGATGATGGGCATCTGGATACCGCAGCCACGGCCAACGCCACCTAGAATCTGGTAGCCAATCCATTTTGCCATGGAGGTGTGAGGACCAAGCATGCTCAAAAGACCACATGAGATGGCAGTAAGAACGCCGCAAGCGATTGAGAAAGGCAGGAAGTAGCCAACTTTTCTGACCAGGACACCAGAGACGATAGCAAAAATCATCTGACTGATTATGCTGGGCAACAGATCGACACCACTCATTGTTGGCGAGGCACCGCGTACTGCTTGAAAGTACTCAGGTAAAAAGAAATTGACGATCAGCATTGAGGCGAACGTAAAGAAGACGGTCAAGCAGCTTGACCAGAAAATACGTCTGCGAACCATGGAGAAAGGGATCATAGCATCATCACCTTTGAAGTACTCCCAGGCCGAAAACACAAGAGCGGTTGCTGCACCGCCACAGAAGAGACCAATGACTGTTGAAGAGTTCCAGGGNTATGTAGCGCCGCCCCATTGGAGCGCGAGAAGAAGTTGAATGATGGCAGGTGCGAACAATGCGAAGCCGACAAGGTCCAGACCGCGGAGGAATGCGCCGGCGTTGAAATTCTTGCCTTCGATCTTTTCAGGTCCAGCTGGGACCGGAGCGAAGCAGAGGCCGACCGCGACAACACCACCAACAGGGAGGTTGATGTAGAAGCACCATCTCCAAGTTGCATACTCGGTAAGAGCACCACCGATCAATGGTCCAAATAGAATGCCAAGCTGACTAAAAGCCATCATGAAGCCCATGTAGAGCGGTCTTTTCTCGAGAGGTACAGAGGCTGCGATGATGGAGAGCGCACCGTTCACCAGACCGGCACCTCCTAGGCCAGCTACTGCTCTACCAATGATGAACATCTTCGAAGAAGTAGCGACAGCACACAGCAAGGATCCGAGTTCAAAGACACCGAAGAAGCAAAGGAAGGTCCATTTGTAGCTGAACTCTTTGTAGATCTTGCCAGCAAGGGGCTGCAGAGCGCAGTTGGCGAGCAAGTATGCAGATCCGTACNNCTGAACCAGACAACATGGTTAGCATGTATGTGCCATGGAGCATTTTCAATATACATACCAGCCGACATCCTCAAGAGAGTGGAATCGAGTTGTGATTCTTGGAATTGCAGTGGCCACGATGGAGGTATCGAGCATCAACAGAAAGACGACGAGAACTATTGACACCAGCACACTGTATAGTGTGAGGCCAGTGAGATATGCTTCCTCTTCATCTTTAGGTGGTGATGAGTCGGTCTTTGGCTCCTTGTCCATACTTGTCGTGCTTGCGGCAGACATGTCGACCTATTGTATGCTGCAAATTGTGTTGTACTTGTTTTGTGACCAATGCCAGAGAAGCAGGTGAAAGTAGCTGAACTGAAAGTTGCTTGGGAATACAAGATACGAAACTACACAACCCTCGTGGACTCAGGTTATTCATATACACAGGTTGCAAAACAACGATTTGTTTGGCAGACCAATGAAAGCGGGCATCGGTGACTCAAACAAAATCCATCCGGGCAACCAGGCAGCTGTATTTTGGAATGCGCGGGCGTTAGCAAAGCACGCTCGGGACCGAGCATAACAGACGGGACCGGACTGTCCATAGGACTCATTCTTCTGAAGGGCATGGCGTCTCTAATATCACCGGGCCCGACTCAGACGGCTTTTAGCCCATCGTCTTTCCCCCTGAGCTTTTACCTTACTGGTTGAGAAGACGGAATGTTCGTGACTTTCAGCGACAGACGCCGGTCGGGGCTGACTTCTTCGTCGCTGGTGTCAGCCACGTCGGTGGTTAGGAGTCGCCGGTGCCGACTACAACTCGCTCCTTCAGGAGCTCTATGCTGAAAACAAAGCATGATTGCGCCAACCTTGAATACGATTTGCTATTGGCAATTGAGCACCAGTCGTGACTTAATGACTTGAATGGATGATGTTGGAGAAGATCACGCCCACGATTAAATTCAAGAGGGGGAGTTGACTGAGGGTCACACGCTGACTACCTAGATACTGTACGAGTTTGATGTGGACGAAATATGTCTCTAGCTACTCCCGTGACAAGCTTTGCTAAGGGTGGGTCGAAGCTTTCGAGATCCCCATGGATCCTCCATGGATGAGCATTTTACAGATCTGGAGTATTCAGCCTGAATTAATGCTGTACGTTCCGAAACTCGTATGGGTACAGCAGCACAGTCTGGAGAATTAGAAATGCTATAATTCGTCAAGTGGTCTGCGTCTTCTCTCTCTCGTCATGGAGGCGCCGATTGCAGCATGTTCAAACAAGCTTTAGAAACTCCCTCTGTTATCCCATATGCTACTGCTGCATGTGATACTTCTTCCCTTTTTCTTCCCACCTAAATGTCCTGCATTACTGCCATTTTCTGAACGTCTGATGACTTGTGGGATCGTAATTTGATGTGTTGCTGCAGTCGATGTCACAAACATTCCTCGAGCTCATAGGTTAGTGTTCGAATTCTAAGCAAAGAACATAACTAGCGTTACAATTTTCCACCCTTGGCGTATCGCCACAGTCATGAGACCGCACCAATATATGGCGGTTGGTACAGTCTATGCTCTGCAAATAGGAATTCAAAGGAGACCGAGCTCTGGTTGTGATATCCAGAAAGGTTTATTGCTCATGGAGACAGGGTTGCCCGCTCGACAATGTTTCGAGAACCATTTTTGGTGTACCACTAAAACCGCTGCTTAGAGATGGACTGGATCAATCTGAGCATACTCTACAACAGAGTGAAGAGGGCACATGGTGGATAGTAGAAAGCAGAAGTGTTTTGATGATGAAACGGAAGTCAAGCATGGAGACGGAACATCACGTGTGCCAAGCGTGGCTGTCTCCGACGGCCAACGCCTCGAGACAACCTCCAATCGTCACCGAATACCTGCTGCAAGCGCGCTCCCTTGGCTATTACATCCGTTGTACTCTCTGCTCCATCGCCTCCGCATCTACAACCTCTCAAACCCGAGCAGATCCATCACACATTTCGCCAAGATGCCTTCCGATCTCTGGTACGTCGTCCCCTGGAGCTTGTTGAGCAGGACGGTCTGCGCCAAAGGTTATCGTCAACTTGCCTTCATGGGCTATTGGATACCCGCAGACCTCCTGGGCAGCGCTCTCGAGTTTACAAAAGCCTCTCAAAATGCTGACTGACTTGTGTATAGCCCCGTCTACGCCGTAAGTCTCGCGCGCTACCATTCATGTCCATATCAACACCGAAATATGTCATAATCCGCCTCCGCCCCCTGCTCCCCGATCTTTATATCGGCCTCTATCGTGTTGCGCTATCCTCACAACACCATCGTCATGCGTCACTTCGATCTACAATGAACATAAGCTCACGTATCTATAGCCCTTCTTCGGTGCCATGGGCTGCACCGCCGCCATTGTCTTCACCTGCTTTGGTGCTGCCTACGGTACCGCCAAGGCTGGTGTTGGTATCTCGGCCATGGGTGTCCTCCGCCCTGACCTGATCGTCAAGAGTCAGTTCTTCGATGGTGTCAAATCTCGGTATACATGCTAAACTCGCCACANNGACATCATTCCCGTCATTATGGCTGGTATCATTGCCATTTACGGTCTGGTTGTTGCTGTCCTGATCTCCAACGATCTTACCCAGGGCATGGCTCTCTACACTAGTTTCATCCAGCTTGGTGCTGGTCTCGCTGTCGGTCTTGCCGGTCTCGCTGCCGGTTTCGCTATCGGTATCGTTGGTGATGCTGGTGTCCGTGGTACCGCACAACAACCCAGACTCTTCGTCGGAATGATTCTTATTCTCATTTTCGCTGAAGTTTTGGGTAAGTCCCCTTGTTGTTCTTGATCCGAGTTGCAAAGCTGACATTATGTCNTAGGTCTTTACGGTTTGATCGTTGCTCTTCTCATGAACTCGAGAGCTCTGCCCGCCGAGTGCTAAATGCACTATCGACCTTGACATGCGCGATCCATCGACAAGCTTATACGCGCATGTTGTATTCGACACAGAGAAATACCCTGCCATGACCGACTGCCAGCAGTAATTGGGGGGAACGATAGGACAAAAGAATGAATGCTAGAAGATGGAGTCGTGGGGGTATCATGGTGGCAGAGGGTCACCGCAATTTTCCTTTGCCTTGTAACATTGTCTTGTGTTTTGAGGAGCATTTTCTGTACCGTTGAGCGGGACGGTTGGCTCGCTGTACCTATCTAGAAGTAATGAGCCAGTACATGCAATTCATCATCTTGCTGTTATGTGCTTGCCATTGAAGCTCATGTTGCCTCGATAGGTTGTATGGTGCTATCAGAAGATCCGGTCTTGGGCTCTGGCATGAGCGCATTCATGCATTTGTGAAACTCGACACGGTTGTCGTGACTCGTTGATATACACTTGCAGCCGACCGTGGTTCAATGTCATAGCAGCGACATCGAAGCAATACCCTCAATCATAGCCGCGTCACGTCCGCAAGTAGTCCCTTATGCTCTTCCTCTGAATGGGGGAAAAGCTGCGAGCTGTTTGATCGCTCATGTTGGACCTTCCCAGCATGTAGCACATCCGCAGACTGCAGCAGCTAGAACTCTGCCCAGACACAACCAGATCAATTTGGTAATAAGAGCGCGCGAGGGCTAGTCATAGAGTTCTGGCTGGCCGTTCCGACCCCTCTTGATATGGTTATCCAGTGCCGGAAGGATGTGCGGTGCGGAACATGTTGCCTGTTTGGGGAAATGACTTATAAAACAGCTTGGAACTGCCTCCCAGCTTCCTCAAAAGCTGCAGCGGTGCTTTCTCCCTCTTCAATGTTCAAAACTATCGCTGTCCCCTTCTCTTCCTCCTCTCTTCATCTCTCTTCCTTCCTCACACCTTCCTCATCATCCTTACGCACCCTTGCTCCTTCCGCCATCTTCCAAAGTGCAAGCAACTGCCGAAGAACTAAGTCCGAGCTATCTCCAGCGATCGGGACGAGTGTGACAGGCNCCTCCAACAAGCTACCCCGCGTGCATAATAAATCGACATCATCGGCCGCCCGTATCTTTCCCGCCCAATTTCTTCCTTCTCCTTCTCAACTCATTTCTCAGACATCTAAACACTCATACGCCACAATGTCTGCCGATACTGTTGGAAAGACCATTACTTGCAAGGCTGCCGTTGCCTGGGAGGCTGGCAAGGACCTCTCCATCGAGGACATTGAGGTTGCTCCTCCCAAGGCCAACGAGGTCAGAATTCAGATCTACTACACTGGTGTCTGCCACACCGATGCCTACACTCTTTCGGGCAAGGACCCCGAGGGTGCTTTCCCCATTGTTCTTGGACACGAGGGTGCCGGTATCGTCGAGTCCGTCGGCGAGGGTGTCACCAACGTGAAGCCTGGTGACAACGTTGTTGCTCTCNTAGTAAGCTTGAATGCACTTGTTTGATGTGAGGCCTAGAAGACTGACTTTCAATTCAGCACACCCGAGTGCAAGGAGTGCAAGTTCTGCAAGTCTGGCAAGACCAACCTCTGTGGCAAGATCAGAGCCACCCAGGGCAAGGGTGTCATGCCTGACGGAACCTCGCGCTTCAAGTGCAAGGGCAAGGACCTCCTCCACTTCATGGGCACTTCTACTTTCTCGCAGTACACTGTCGTTGCCGACATCTCGGTCGTCAAGATCACCGAAAAGGCCCCTATGGACCGCACTTGCTTGCTCGGCTGTGGTATCACTACCGGTTACGGTGCTGCTGTCATTACTGCCGGCAAGGGAGGTGTCGAGAAGGGCTCCAACGTTGCCGTCTTCGGTGCTGGCTGTGTTGGTCTTTCGGTCATCCAAGGTTGCGTCAAGAACGGTTCTTCCAAGATCATCGTCGTCGATGTCAACAACAGCAAGAAGGAGTGGGCCGAGAAGTTCGGTGCTACTGACTTCGTCAACCCTATGGAGCTCAAGGACCAGACCATCCAGGAGAAGCTCATTGAGATGACTGACGGTGGTTGCGACTACACTTTCGACTGCACTGGTAACGTTCACGTCATGAGATCTGCTCTCGAGGCTTGCCACAAGGGTTGGGGTGAGAGCATCATCATTGGTGTTGCCGCCGCTGGACAGGAGATCTCCACAAGACGTAAGTTCTCTTAACAAGACTGTTGCTAGTATTGGACTAACACAATCATCANNGCTTTCCAACTCGTCACTGGTCGTGTCTGGAAGGGATGTGCCTTCGGTGGTGTCAAGGGTCGCACCCAGCTTCCCGACCTCGTTGACGACTACATGAACGGCAAGCTCAAGGTCGACGAGTTCATCACCCACAGACAACCCCTTGACAAGATCAACGCTGCCTTCCAGGACATGAAGGCTGGTGACTGCATCCGTTGCGTCGTCAACATGCAAGAGTAATCGAAAGGACAAGAGCAAGAACGAAACCCATCCAACGATATAACGATAATGCTTGGAGCTGAAACTGCTTGGTTCAGATGAAAAGAGCGGGATTGATTTGACGGCAATTGTCTGTACATGCAACACTTGTAGATACCTTTATTCGCTATACGGCTCTTGTTCAAGAGGCCAAGACAAGAACAAAACACCTTTTGGAATTGATCTTCATCTCCTGATACCCTCTTCTTCAATGTGATGTCTTGTCATGTCAAACATCTTGTGAAGTTGTGATTGTCCACCTGCTCTCGCTTCAAATCTACCGAGCTGGACTACGGGCTTATCTCCGACAAAGACCGACGAATGTTTGAAGATAGGTCCACGAATAGAGCTGGACTTATCAGCACGCCGCTCCTTGTCAGACAAGACCGCACCTTCCAACCTTCGCGACACGATCTTGACCGTTTCTCGCGAAATCGACAGCACAACAACACGCGCAAGGCATATCCAGGCTCAACAAGGTGATGGCAGAGCGTTTGTCAGCATTTGTTGACGGGCTCCACTCCACACTTTGCCGAGAGTGCCCCGGGTCTTCTCGAAGGTTATCGAAGGCGAATGACGTGCACGGTCAATCAATTCTTCGAAACTCGTTGATGGACCAACTGGTTGCCATTGGCACCGAGGCAACCCAGGCAAAAGAGCTTTTGTAAGCATCGAGAAAGCATTGATAATACGATGTGACGTTTCGACTAGTCAAGAATGCCATAAGTATTGGAAATTTCCCATTCCCTCTTTTCTTGACTCTCTATCTGTTTTGCATTTTGATACTCGTCTTTTCACAACACATACACAAGTCACAAACATGGCACCTCCTCGCTACGAATCCGAAGATGCTTCGGCTGCTCCTTTGGCCCAGCCTCTGGAGTTTGCTTTCGCCAACCGTTCGGCACCTAACAGATTCCTCAAGGGAGCCATGACTGAGCGTTTGTCATCATGGGACCCCGAGAACCTGCCTGCTCGTGGTGTGCCTTCTGAGCAACTCATCAATGCCTACAGAAGATGGGGTGAGGGTGAGATTGGTTTGATCTTGTCTGGAAACATTATGTTCGAATACGACCACCTCGAGGCTGCTGGCAACCCCATCATCCCTGTGGATGCTCCTTACGAGGGCGAGCGCTTTGAGAACTTCAAGCGCATGGCTACCGAGGGAAAGAAGAATGGTATGCTCATGGTCGGCCAGGTCTCGCATCCCGGGTGAGTTATTGTTTTCCCCTTTCTGCACGATAGTTCATGCTAACAGTTTATTCAAGTCNGCCAAGTCGAGAGCCGTATTCAGAAGAACCCCATTTCCGCCAGCGATGTTCAGCTCAAGGGCGACGTTATGGGTATGACCTTCGAGAAGCCCCGCGCTGCCACCGAGCAAGACATCGCCCGCATCGTTGAGGGCTTTGCCCACGCTTGCGAGTACCTTGAGAAGGGTGGCTGGGACGGTGCTGAGCTTCACGGTGCCCACGGTTACCTCCTCGCCCAGTTCCTCTCCCCCACCACCAACCAGCGTACCGACAAGTACGGTGGCAGCCTCGAGAACCGCGCCCGCCTGATCATCGAGATCGCCAACGAAGTCCGCAAGCGCACGTCGCCCAACTTCATCCTCGGTATCAAGTTGAACAGTGTCGAGTTCCAGGACAAGGGCTTCAACCCTGAGGAGGCCAAGGAGCTGTGCAAGATGCTCGAGGACAACAAGTTCGACTTTGTCGAGTTGAGCGGTGGTACTTACGAGCACCTCGCTTTCGGCCACAAGCGCGAGAGCACAAAGAAGCGTGAGGGTTTCTTCATGGAGTTCTCGGACTTGATTGCTCCCGCCTTGACAAAGACCAAGGTCTACGTTACTGGTGGTTTCAAGAGTGTTGGTGCCATGGCCAACTCGCTCAAGTCGATTGACGGTGTCGGTCTTGCCCGTCCTTTGTGCCAGGAGCCTCGCCTCTGCAAGGACATCATCGCCGGTAAGGTCAAGGGTGCCATCAAGCAGCGTCCTGACGACAACAACTTCGGCATCACCAACGTTGTTGCCGGTACCCAGATCCGCCAGATTGCCAAGGACCAAGAGCCTATTGACATGAGTGATGAGAAGAACGAGCAGGACTTCATGAAGGACATGGGCGAGTGGGCACAGAAGATGGCACAGGACAGCAAGATGGCCAACTATGGTTACATCGACCTCACATCTGCTACCGCTCTTCCTTATGGTGGTGCCTCTGTTTAAGAGAAGAATGACGATTTCATAAAAGTTTAGACATACACGATACCCTTTAGACATGAAAATACAATTGACGACTTTCTACTGTAAACCAAGTTCTCCAGCATGATTACTGTGACTGTGACAGTCAGAGTTTTGAAACATTGGCAAGCATACGATCTGACGGAAGCGGTTCCGCTAGCGTTGCTGAAGTCGGAAGTGGGCATCGGAGGTGAGGGGAAAGTGTAAGGTAAGGCGATTGGGTGAAACTCAACTGCTTACGGAGAATAAAACCACCATGATGTCGCTGTTGAGGAAGAATATCCTCTCTCTATCTTTTCAGTCAAGTCTACCTTTCCGTCGCAGCATCCTCATTCCAACCACTCGAATTCGCAATATGGCTTCAGAAGCTTCAAAGCAAGTGCACCGCACCACCTTATTTATGATCCCGGACTCGAACGATGTTCAAGCCGTTCTGGACAAATATGCCACAATGGCTGAAGATGCAAAGAAGGTGTCTCTCGGATCTCGTCATTCAATGCATAATCACTTTTGCTGATACAATTGGTGGAATAGGNACGGCAAACCATACATCCTTCGATGCGTAGCGGGACCGGCAGTCGACGATGCGAGAAGCCAAGGATACACTCTGGCAGCGCAAACAACATTCTCAAGCCTTGACGACATGAAGTACTATGACAATGAATGCGAGGCACACGCAGCGCTGAAGGCTGTGGCTAAGAGCAAGGTGGAAGGACCGCCGTTGATGGTGTGCTTCGACAATGCCGTTGGCGCATCTTCTTAAAGCTTCAAACGAGAAACAGAGGGGTCTTGAAGATGAGAGAAAGAGGGTGCAGGTCTCATGATTGGCAAGAGTGATGGACGGGTATACATAGACGGGGTTTAGTCGGAGATAGCGAGTATGCATATGGCCAAAGCTCAGCGCGCATGTGCAGCAGGACGTCACAAAATCAAAAGATCAATCGACCATCAACACACATTACTGCATCTGGAGCGAGCGTGACAGCATTTTTGTTGTATCTTTACTGTTCTTTTACTGTGCCAGCGTATCGTCCTTCGCAACATCGATTACCCCATACGCAGCCAGACGCTTCCATCACTTCCTTCGCCGGCGTCACATGCCTCGACAACAATACTAAGCCTACCATAAAGAAGTCAGTTCTACCACAACCACATGCCCTTCAGGCGCAACATCCGCTTCCCTACTCGCGACACAAACATCAGTCCAACCACCATGTCTTCGGCCACACAAGACCCACAAGCCACCACGGCACCCTCAGATCGTCTGGCTGAAATGCTAGACTCGTCTGCCCGCATCGAAGAACTATCCTCGGCCCAGGAAGAAGAAATCCAAGAAGCAGACGACGACTCCGAATACGAGACTTCTTCCGACAGCGACGATGGCCAAAACGTACATGCCTGGATGGGCTCAAAGCTCAAGCCCAACCTACCCTTCTACTTTGCATCTCCTGGCCCGCTACAAGACAGTCTGGAGACGTCAACTTCGGTCGCTCAAGAAAAGACAATGAGAGAGGTTATAGACCTGATGACGGGCAAAGAACAAACCATCATGGATGTCAATGTATATGGTCTGCCACATCTTCTAAAGACCAAGCATGCTGCCTTTCTTCGCACGATCTTGGGAAAATACCCTCCACCTTTCCAAGTCATGGATGCTAGTCGACCTTGGCTGTTGTACTGGGCGCTCAACGGTCTGAGAACGCTGGGAGTCGATGTTAGTGAATACAAGCAAAGGTGTATTGACACTTTTACACCGCTACAGAATCCTGAAGGCGGCTTTGGTGGTGGTTACGGTCATCTTTCTCATGCTGCGGCGAGTTATGCTGCTACGTTGAGTTTGGCCCTGGTTGGTGGTTTGGACATGATTGATCGGAGAGCCATGTAAGCATATCCTCTCGCATCTTCCAGGGACAATTGCTGATATGAAATACAGGNNTGGCACTGGCTCGGCCAAGTCAAGAACCCCTCTGGCGGCTTCAACATGGCCGTCAACGGCGAGCAAGACGTCCGCGGTGCCTACTGCTGCATGACCATCCACACCCTCCTCCACCTACCTCTCACCCTTCCACCATCCTCGCCCGCCCGCGCAGCCGGCCTCGAATCCTTCACCTCCAACCTCGGCTCCTGGATCAGTACTTGCCAAACCTTCGAAGGCGGACTCGGCGGCGCACCAGACAACGAAGCCCACGGCGCCTATGCATTCTGCGTTCTCGCCTGCCTCTGCATCCTCGACTCTCCCACCAAAGCCATCCCCACATACCTCGACACCAAATCCTTGACCCACTGGTTGGTATCTCGTCAAGCCTCCCCCGAAGGCGGATTCAGCGGCCGCACAAACAAACTAGTAGATGCATGCTACAGCCACTGGGTAGGCGGCTGCTGGTCCCTTCTCGAATCCGCCCTTTCCATTCCCGCTGAGAAATCACTCTGGCACAGAGAAGGCCTAGTCCGCTACACTTTAACCTGCTCACAAGCCAAGAAAGGCGGGTTGAGGGATAAACCATCCACACGCCCTGATGGCTATCACACAAACTACTCGCTAGCGGGATTGAGCGCTGCGCAATACATCTACACGTACAAGCCAGATGCAAATGAGACACAAACAGCAGAGGAAGCTTTGACTGCGGCCTTCAAGTGGTCGTTTGAGCGTCCTACTCAGCAACAGATGAAGGAATGGTGCTTTGATGTTAGAGATATGGTTGAGCCCGTGCATCCTGTCTTCGTCTTGCCGTTTGATGTTGTGGAAGACACCAGGGCAAAGTTTGCTGCTAAAGTTGGTTTTTAGAGGAGAGAAGACCTTCAGATTCAATACAAGAGATAGATCCCAGGAGTAAAGTCTGTTTCATAGCATTTTGCGTTGTGTAGCGACTCTGCTTTGTTTTTTTCTCTGCGGCTTTTAGATACCATAATGATTACTCGAGCACGTTGGTGTTCCATTTGCATATCTCTTGTTTTGCGTGTCTGGTATTGCAAGACTGTCTTCGCGGTCCTCGGCTGCGTCTTTTCAAGACGACTTTGACGAAAGGTGCATGTTGAGTCAAGAAAAGATGTTCATCGAATGAATGATCTGCATTGTCACAGTCCGGATAGACTGCATCACAGGGGGCAGAGGATAAATACAGCTTCTAGCTATGCTCCCACGCTAAACCCACGAATGCAATGACCCTCAGATGCACACCCACAGCAAGAAAACACCCTGTACACCTTTGCCTTGATGTTTGTCTACGTTTTCTTCTTGCGTCCGCCTTTCTTGACCGACTTTGGTTCTGCCTTCGTCGCCTTCGATTCTTTCTCTACCGGTGGAAGTTCCAACGACTCGTCAAGTACCAATTCTCCTTGAACAATGCTGGCGCCGAGTATGTCCTTCTTGTATACCGTTTCTCCTTGCTCTTGCAGTTTTGCAGCGACGTCATCGTCCTTGTCAGCACCGAGGTACAGTGTGATACTGCTTGTGTCGAGTTTCGAGAGTGGTCCGGTCAATGGATTTGTGCCGCCAGCTTGTTTGATAATGGCCACAACATCGTCCCAGCCCTTCTGGTAGGCCTGACGCTGCGCTGCAGTAACGTAAATGACTTGATCGGTAAAGATGTTCGTGCGATCCAAGTGTTTGGTTGCCTTAAGCTCCTCGGGCAGGAACTCGATCGTATCTAACAAGAATTCAGACGCAACCGACTGTGATACCCAGACGTCGGTGACAATTGTTTTGCCTGATGTTAAGCTGTGGAGCAACTTTGGTGTCTTGAGAAGCTGCCCGGGACCCACGCACAGGAAGTTTGCGCTCTTGATATCCTCAGTCATGCTGGCACCATGTTTCTCGAGAGTTTTGATGATNTGCCGTTTTTCTGTGATCTTGGTGTTGGAATAGAGAATGACAGGAGCGTCACCACTATAGGGTCGACTCGTCTTGGATGGCGATCCAGAAGTAGCGCTCTCACTATCAATGCTTTTGCGTCTAGTGGAAACACGTCTAGAGATGGTGCTCGGGGTGGCTCCTCGTCTAAGCTCTTCCTTCGTGAAGAACTTNCTAGTCGGTGCAGATCCCGACGGCGTTTCCAAGCCTTTGCCACGGCCTGAACTCCTCTTGGAAGCAGTGCTAAGTGGCGTGGTGCCAGTAATACCAGCGTCACCTTCAATCAATTTTGCTCGCTTGGTCGATGAAGCGACTGAATCACTGTCTAAGACCTTCTTTCTCTTTTTGCTTGTACTGGCTACCGACGGATTTGGTTCCATATCGGCGGCATCGCCATCGTTTAAAACTGTTGTTCCGTCTCGGTCGTTTATAATTCCATCATTGATGATATCCACTGGTGAAGCAACATCTTCGAGTGTAGTAGCAACTGGCTCTATAGCTGGAGACTCGGCTTTCTGCCCTGTCAATTCTATTGGTTCTGGCGATATCGTTGGTTCTACCGAATCCGTGGTTGATGGATCATTTGATGACTGGCCAGCGATGACATCTGTGCGGGGCGTCTTCTTCGGGGAGAATGTTGATTGCGGTACTTGCGATGGGGGATTGTCCTCATTCAAATTCGAGATGAGCTTGCCCACTTCAGAGGTGCTGAAACTTTGGTGTGAGGGCGAAGGAGTGTGCTGGGTCGGCACACGGAAACGAAGAGCTTCGGTAGGTGAGGTGTCAGGTAGCTCGCCAGTGTTAACATCAGGCAAGGCGCTCACTATGCCATTGTCGTTGTCATTGTCATTGTCGGTAGGCTGCGATTGCTCCGGATTTGTGTCTTCCATGGGCAAGCTCTCTGGGATGGTTGACTCATGTTGAGACCTGATACGGCGGCGGTTGGGAGTATCCTTGACCACCTGTGACTCTCGTGTGGGACGTGGCGTCGGACTAAGATGCTCACGGCTCGTAGAATACAAGTGTTGAGACTCTTCAGCTGAAGTTCCACGGCGGACATCCATGGTAGGTTGGGTAGCCTGGTCGTCGGTTTCATCATCGTTGTCTGGTTCGTCCTTGATTTCGTGCTTGATCTTGTGACTAAAGGCTCCAGGTCCTGAAGACTCGACTTGTACATGAGGATCTGCCGAATCTGGATCGAATACAACTTCGACGCGAGCACGTGTGACCTCAAACTCTACCGTATCTCCATGGCGCAATAGAACCCAGAACTGTTGTCCACCTGCAGTGGGAGGTAGATGAACGCGAGAAACGAGTCCCTGAACGGGTGGCGGGGTCAGAACGTAAGTGTCCACAATCTTAGAGCTGAACTGAAAAACGCCTCCCACAAAGGCNTAAGGATCAGATCAATTAGCATCGCGAACATGATGATGTGCGAGAGGAAGTGTGCATGTGACAGGTCAGATGGCTGTGAACTTACTGAATTGAGAGATCCAGTCGCGTCTAGCCTGTGTCTCGTCACTGTAATCAACGAACCTCCAGGTGTCGTCGTTTGCAGTGTCTCCGTCTATGAAGATTGTTGCATGGGAGTTCGAATTGATATACTGTGTGAGACAATCCAGCTGCTTGCCACTATGGCTAAGCAAATTGAGATGCCATGAAGGCATTGTGGTCCATACCAGCACCAGAAAGAGGAAGGAGTGTTTGAAAGATCACAAAGACGCGAAAAGATTGTGATGAGTCGCGTAGGGAAGTTTGACTATTAGTGAAAGACGCGATGGAATTAAAATGGTGACGAGAAGGGAAGGCAGCTTTCGCGACGAGTTGCCTCTGACGCGCGTGTGAAGGAGCTACCCCACATTTTGAATTGCGCAGAGGCTCGAGGTCACCCTATCCATGCCTGTCTAGCTTTTGTCTTGATAGCACGCTTCCATAATATTATTTCATCACTGTTGGAATTCATGGGTGGTTGTATCAATACCTTACTGAGATCTTTATGTTGATTGTCTACTGATCTTGACTCGCGCGATCATCGCCTGGTATAGGCTCACCACGACCTGGTAGAAGTGGCATGAGGGAGTGGTCAAACTCAACATCGACGCCTTTCATGGGCATGACACGTCTGATCTTCACCCCTGCCCTCCCTTCTTCTTTCCGCCAAGAGAGTATCCCCTTTTTCGATTGCTGTCTCCACTCTTTCCTGGTGAGTAGTTTAGGTGGAGGTCTCGGAGTCGCGCTAGCGCACGCCGTGTAGACTCTAAAAGGCATCCTGGCTCCGTATACTGTCTCTTCCCAGACTGTGTTCTCCGCGTGTCGACTCAACTCGCTTTCAGATCCAACGAAGCAGTTGTCTGACTTGTCGTATAGGCCAGACATACCACTAATGATGTACCGTAGGGGCATAGGATAAGTCTGATCCTCAATGCAGTCTCGTATTAGTATCGTGTTTCCATAAAGTTCCGCTCGTTGTTGTTCTTGTTCGGTCATTCCAAGTCGATCTTCCTCGAATTCTTCCATGTCTGATGAGAACGACCACTGCTCTTGGACAGCCTCGAGCTTCAGGGCAGCTGGAAAACACCCTCTCTTGTATGCGGAGACCAAGTTGGAAGTTAATGGAAGGGGCTTGGTGTCGAAACCGCCGCCTCCACCCACTAGCCAAGGCTGTACTCCACGGTCTAGACTGGCTTGGAGTTCTGGACATGAAATAAATCCACACCCGGCATTCATACGAGGCAGGATACAAATGCTGAGAGTGGAAAGACGATCTGCTTGTACTAGACTCCCGGCATCCGTTGGTCGAAGTTCCTCCAGACTTGCAGGATGTTCAGAAGTCCTCAGAAGTATTCGGCTGCACAGGCTGTGAACCCTCAGCTTTACGTGGCGGAGGCTAGATAGCGTATATCAGATGTCTGGACATAGATGATGAGCCTCACGCTTCGGCGACCAATCTGTGCCACTAGTGTCGAGCTCTAAACTAGTGCACGACGCAGGGAGACTTCTCAACAAGCGACCCAAGACTTCTGTTTCCAGCCAGAAACCATCGTCATCAGAATTGACTCTGTGACCTCCTTCAGTAGTCGGAGGTTCGTCGACAAAAAGCGAAAAAGACTCCAGAGACGTGAGCTTTGGTGAGATCAGACAGCTGAATCTTTCAATATTTTGGTGGAGCGTTTGCGTCTTTGGGGAGCTATGCGATCTGTACATTTCGAGCGTCTCAGCGTCGTACTCAGGTCGAGGCAATATCAACGTAATGATCTGAATGTGTAGAGTCACACTCCTCACAGCCTTCAGTTTGTCAGTCACGCCATCGCTGTTCTTGATAAAACTTTCGATGGTGGTGTTGTTTAAAACGACATGCGTCCAGAGCACCGACTGAGCCACGTCTCGCCATGCCTTGCACACAGAAGACAAGCCCTTAAGCACGCAAAGACCTTGCTCCTCGCGGATCAAGGTAAATATCGTCCTTAGGACTTCTGGCAGGATATGTGCCATTGATAGTTGATGCAGACCAGTTTTCGATGGATAAGCCGAGGGTATGTCGAGTACACCAGCCTCATGCCCGATGCACAAATTTCAGCGAGGTAAAATTCAGGAAGCCGAGTACGTCAAGACAACCAGAGAGTGTGCTAGTTAGGATGCACGAAAAGATACCATCATGTTCGAGTCTAGAACGTGTGCTAGATGAGTGACGCTGAAGTCTGATGCTGTTGATGATCAGGTTGAAATCATCGAGAGAGTCGAAATCACCAGGAAAAGTCGGGAGAAACAGAGTTGCGTTAACAAGAAGGTTGTCGCGTGCATATAAAAGGAAGATGTTGACATTCGAGAGACGATGCAGGATCGAGACCTGATACGTGTGTGGTAGGCTCCGGACCCTGAAACGTTTCAGGTTTTGAACCATGATTCAGGGCAAAAATGTTGCAAAAAGACCGATCGTATTATGATATCGTAGCATTGTATGTAGACTCAAAAACATCTACGCATTTGTAAAGTCGAAGTGATTACAAGACGAATGTTCCCGAGGGTCATCATCGACAAAGATCAACCATAAATTGACTGCAGATACACACAGTCTTGGCGATCGGCTCTGGGAAACACTTGTGCCAACAGAACTTGTGGCAGTATCTAATCACCATGGCGGCTTGAAAGGACTTAGAAAGAGCTTGACGGCCATGTATGCTTGCGGCGGCCGCGGATTGTAGAGGCTTTGCCAAATCGATGTATGCAATGGTAGGGCAGACTCAAAATGAGTATGATGCCGAGGACCAATCCCAGAGGAAGTCGAGGGCTTAGTGCCGCACAACCTTGCATTTGAAAGCTACCTGTCTTATCCGGATGGTGTTTGCAGCCGCGCATAAAGATGTCTCCACTAAGGTTGCAGCACCACTACTGCAATAGGCGGAAGCTGTGTTGGCGACTGACCAAGTTTAAGATGAATGCATAATGAATGATGCGATCAGAGCTCGAATCCGCGCTCTTCCATGCATTCCATACGGCGTAAACAAAACAGCCGAGGACTTCGTACAAGATCTGATCGAGCTCTCCGAGCCCGACAGGCCACGTATTGCAAATTGCAATACTACAGTACTGCTGCTGGACGAACAGTCCAAAAAGATAATGTGACTCTCAAGAGCAAAAAACTGATACACAGAAAAAACATCCCCCAGTGCTTTCATACTACGTGTTTGGTTCGCGTATTACTAAGAGCGTAGCACGTGGCGAGGTAATTTATTTTTGGTGAGCTTCCCAACCACCAGACCAGAGGCGTCTCTTTGGTGGCCAAACAGTGTAGAGGTTGCCGCTGAAGGGGTCCCAAATCTAGTCGTATATAAAGATTGGCTGTACTTGCACACGCTTTGCACTATGGATCATACGCAAAAATGGTTAACAGTATCTCGCACTCAACCATTGTCCGATATGATTGTTTGTGTATTTTGACATGGTCGCAACCAGACCGAAATGGAGGTTGGCCAGTTAGGAACGGATATATCCTTGTACACATTCATATAGTGCGCTCGTCCGCGTAGGTCGACCACCCTGAATCGTATGTGGCCCCAAGCCATCTTTTGAACAACGTTCCAGTACCTGTGGGTAGCATAGTGCTGACTCAAAGATGATTTACTCCGGCTGGTCTTGCTTTTGTTGCTGCTTCTCGTCCTGTCTTTGGTATAGATGGATCTGGTAACGCATGTTCTCGAGGTCGATCGGGTACTTGAGATCCTCATCAGGCAACCTGAACCATCTGGACTCGTCAGACACCAGCTTTTTCCATTGGGCAGGTGAGCCCTTCTCTGCATTCTTTTTNGGCGACAACAATGTGTGGTCGAGTAGCCATTGCATAGGGTACTTTTGCGTGGCACCGTTGAGTGTGACGGTAGAGTAGCTTCCAGGACTGTCTACGACCAGCAACAATGTCCCAGGACGCATCGAAGCTGTCAATGAGTACAAAAGCCTCTGGGTTTTTGCTACAGAGGTGCTGTACAGCTCGTTCAATGTAAACATGATGGTAACGATGTCGCTGTTGGCGAGCAGATCAGCGACTCCAGCAGCGTCAGTGTCGAGGATATCTTGCTGCTTGAAGCGTACATTGAAGACTTCTGGAGGGAGCACGGCCATATTGGCGGCCTTTGCAGCAGCAGATGCATACTTGGACAGGAACGGAGGGGTGATGACACCTTGGTGCAGATCTTGCATGACCTTGTCCCATCGGGCAACATCGACACCAAAGATGTCGAGATTGGATATGTCAGCGTGAGGCTTGTCATCAAATGAAGGTGCGTTGTATCTGAGATGCTTGAGCCAGCCAGCAAGACCAACAACTTCAGCACCTGCTCCACCACCTAGACAGACGACGTTCAGAGGTTTTGACGAGTCTGCACTTCCTTCCAGGGTCAATTTGGCTTCGACTTGCTCTGATAGCTCTGATTCATCCTGAATTGGCGCCTTGAGGTCAGATGTCTTCTGATCAAGTAGCTCAGCAATTTCAGGAGTGAGGTCAGAGAAGATCTGAGCATAACCCAATGCTCTGCTCGGACTCCACCTTGCAGCATATGCCTCGAGATACTCGTCCTTTCCAAAGGCGGTGGCAAAGTCGCGATTGAAGAGGTGACCCTTTACCTCTTGCAGCAGATTTTCAAGCTCAGCAGGCGAGCCCTTGTTACACGCATCGCGAAAGACATTTAACAGAGACTGCTGGACAGCAGTCGAGATGGCATTGTCTTGTTGGTAGCCTTTCTCAGTCGGTAGAGGAATTGGGCCTTTGTTCTGTTTAGTAGCTCTTTGACGCTTCTGTGACGGTTGCCATGACGATTTATCTCTAGGCATTTTGGTAAGTCTTGATGAATTGGTATTGATTGATGTATTGATGGAGTAAAGATTTAGTGAGCAGAAGCTGCAAGAGAGCATGTTGGGCAAGTTGAGCCGAGGCGCGTCATGCCGAGCTGCACAGTTGCAACACGAAGCAACACCCCTTTAGCATTACTACTTCCTACTGTTGTTTCTACACATTATCCTCTGCTGAGAAATACACCATGGCTGACGTGGATGACAAGGAAAAGGCTGAGAAGCTTGCCGCAGCAAAGAAGCGTGTACGTAGCCTGCACTACCACAAAACAACCAGAAGTATCACAAGCTGAACCATGTGCACAGTTCGAAGAGTTAAAGAAGAAGCAAAAGGGAAAGAAGGGTGGGAAGAAGAAGGCAGACAAGGCCGATGCCACAGAAGAGAAGGATGATGCGACAGCAGAAGCGCCCGCAGATGGCGAAGCACAAGAGGCCGACGTCGATGGCCCTACCGAAGAGAAAGCCGCAGACAGCACACCATTAGACGCAGAGGCCGCAGACGATCCAAAGGAGGAAAAGACAGGAGAGGCATCAGAGGAAACCGCAGTACCAGAGGAGGTACCGGCCGACCGACCAACGAACGAGCGCAAACCTTCCCAGTCCGAGCAGTCACGACAACGATCAGCTTCGTTCAGACAAAACTCTGGCCTCACATCTCCTAGCCTGTCGAAGTCGTCCGCTCTTCCGTCCATCAGTGCCGAAGAAGAGGTTCAAGACATTTATCGCAAGCAAGCATCACGAATCGATGAGCTGGAGAAGGAGAACAAGAAACTCCAGGAAGCACAATCGAAGCTGCAGAAGGTTGAGGATGAGCTAGAGCAATTGAGAGAGAGCAGCGGCGATGTTGCTGAACTCAAGTCAAAGGCTGCTCTGGCTGACAAGCGACATGAAGAGATCGAGAAACTGGTATGGAACCTTGAACAGAACGCCATCTGCAGAGAGACTAATATAATACAGACGTTTGAATTAACATCGGTGCAGCGACAGCTATCTCAGGCTCAGCAACAGGTAGCCGACAAGCGACGCAAGTCCAACGCTAGTCCCTCGCGCGAGATTCAGGCACAATTGGCATCAAAGACATCGACGATTGAGTCGCTGGAGCTGGAGTTGTCCAATCTTCGAAACCAATACAATATGTCGCAGTCGTCCGTATCGGCTCACGAGGCTACCATCAAGGAGCTTGAACAGCGTGCAACCACAGCCGAGCAGGCCGCTGAAGCAGCGCAGAAAGAGATCGAGACACTGAAGGAGACAATCAACAAGCCAGTCGAGACAGAAAAGAACGATGCTGAAGACCCGGCTGCATTACAAGCAAAGATTACAACTCTAGAGTCCGATCTGCGCACCGCCCAATCGTCTGCCGACACAGCGACCACCCGCGCCAGCTCCCTGGAACAAAAGATCGAGACCTTGACAAAACTCCACAAGGATCAAACCAACACTCACGACTCCCAAATCAAGGACTTGACTTCTAAGCTCGCATCGCTGAAAACATCCCAAACGCCCGCTGCGAACGACACAGACTCTATCGCAGACGATGCTAACGACCTCGAGCGCGAACAATTGCACCAACGCATCCGCGACCTTGAAGCTGAAAACACCGATCTTCGCCGTGGTGTGTGGCGCGACCAAAGAGCTGCCATGCAACCTGATATCAATGACGCGTCACCAGGCTACGAAGACGTCGATCTCAGCAATCCCTACGCTGCCTCTTCATCCGCACAACGCCCACATGCCCGTACAGGCAGCAGCTTCCAGGATGTGCTGCAGAGTGGCATCAGTGCTTTCACCGGCGGCCAGAGGAAACAATCGTTGGGTCTGCTGAGCGAAGAAGACTTTGATGAAGACTCATTCCGTGTTGCTCAAGAAGAAGAGGGCAAGAAGAGAATCGAAAGAATCAGAGAAGTCAAGCGCGGATTGGAAGATTGGAGGGGTTGGCGCGTGGATCTTGTAGATCTCAGGGCAGGAGGTCTAGGCGGCGGTGCAGCCACCGGTCCCATGTTTGAAGTATAAGTCGACGTCTTCGCTGTCATCACGATTAGAATCTCACAACCGACTGATCACGACAAGTCTTCAACTTACCCCTTTGCTCAATCCCGACTATGTCTTCTTCTCTTTCGTTCCCTTGTCTCGTCTTTCTCTTTATCATTTTCCTCCTTATCGGCTTCNNATCTCCCAGATCCACATCCCCTAACTCTCTGGTCTTGCCATGACCTCTCTTGACACTGAACTTCACCTTTGGCCGTTTGCCCTCTCGAAACACCAATCCAAAGACCACCACCAGACTTGGATCTTCGGGGTCCCCACACACGATCTTGAGTTTCATAAGACTTGGATGATAGTCTTGTTTCCAGTGAACGTGTTTCTTGCGAGAAGGTTTTATGGTTGACGAGCCTGAGGACGAAGAGGAAGATGTAGGAGAGGTAGCAGCAGCAGAGGAAGAGAGATTCAGTGGCGAGGGTGGGTTATTAGGGTCAGGATCTGGTTGGGGATGTGGATATGGTTTCGCGGTTCGTGTCTGGATGGGTGCTGGTTTTTGTTTGGTAGTTTTTGGGTAAGGCAGGAAGTAGGGATGCATGATGAATATCTGCTTCCTTGCACAGGGCAACAGAACAAGAGGAAAGAGGGTAGAAGGAGAAGACATTATATTGATGTGAGGGGAGTTTTGTTGCCTTCTGCTCGAGTCATAGGGAGTGGGCTCTTGACCTTTATGGGATCGTCTCGTGCGGTGCGTGGTGGGTGTGTCATTGTCTGCTGATGAAGTGTCTTGGATGTGTAGGTACCTTGGTGGTCTCATCACGTGCCCTGGTGCCCGCGTGTATCTCTCCAGTAGACTAAGAATAGTGTGAAAGGAAGCGTAAGCATTTTTGTTTCTAGTGGTTGCAAACATGAGGATTCGTGAACATCAACCAGACCTAGTCTGCTTTAGGAAAATGGGACAATATCTTAAATCGTTGTGACTACTGTTATTTCGATCTAGAAGTATTTGGCGATCAAGTCTCCAATCTCACCCTCTGACAAACCCTTCACACCAAGTAGCTCATTATCATTCTTCTCATCCCACAAATTACCATATCCACCCTTGAAGATTGAAATCTTGATAAAGGTCAACATGGCAGCACCGATATCTCCATTCTCCTTGCTCAACTCTGCATAAGCATTCTTCTTCGCTTCTGTAAGATCGACTTGTTCGGTCTCAGCCTTAAAGTCAGGATTGGCTTTNTGCGCAATCTTCAAGGCTTGGTTTTGGCTGAGGGCAGCGGTCTGCACGTAAACTCCACGATTCCTGGTTTCTTCTGGGTGGTTGAGGATACTGGCGACGGTTTTGCCGATATCACTAAGAAGTGTGAAGCTGTGGACGCTGTCACCATTGTCGTTGATCTGTGTCTTGCCCTTCAAGTTGACGAGCCAGCCTAGTCCGATGCCCCAGTCTAGGAACAATCCATTTGTGACAATGGTATAGCTGATCTGATCCTGCTTCTCACGCAAATACTCTTGCGTCTTGACCTTACCGGCAAAGACAGGCAGAGCACGAACTTTCTCATTGCCGATGATGTTGCTGCCAAACTCTGATGGGATGAATCTTTGAACACCAGCAGCAATGGCGGCATCGATCAGAGCAGGCTGTTCTTCATGTTTAGGAATGGCCGAAACGAAAGCTTCCTGGCCCTTCAGAGCGGAGATCAGGGAATCTTGAGAGGAAAAATCGACTTTGGTGACTTTGATAGCTGACGGCAGACCAGAGGTGTTGCCAGAAGCTGTGAGGACGGTGACTTCGAAGCCTTGGTTGACCAGCTCGTTGACGATGGAAGGACCAAGGTTACCGGTGGCACCTGCGATTGCTACTTTTTGAATGCCATTGTTGATGCTCTTGATGAAGATGGTTGTGTAACAGTAGATTGGTAGTTTTGGTAGTGAATGGAAGATGGAATGATGAGATAGATCAACCTGAGAAACCTGCGAGACTTATATATTCATCTGATGATAAAAAAGCACACCATAGTATACCATTCCGCTTGATGTATCAACATCAGTAGAGATCTGATAAGCAAGTGCGAGCCCTGTCGTATCCTTTGTCATCAACACAACGCACATTTGGAGTGAGTCCTTGGCTGAGCGGAGCATTTCCGCTGCGTTTGGTCAGCTTCATCATGCAATTGCAGTCGTGAGATGGCGCGATTCTGCCAACTAGCATTCGCGATCCGAGTTCGTACGCTCTAGATTCCTCATCATTTTCATGCCAAGCAGTGAGTGGTGTTTCCATCTCTGACCAGCGCACGATTTAGACGAAAGTGTCTTTGAGAGTCGGTGCAAGGTTTGATTCATGGCTGATGAAGCCTTGTCATCAGCCACGAAAATGTTGGCTTCTGATCACATTACCAACACATGGTCCTGCCCTGCTCCGCCATGGTCATCTTCCGCAGAGTCCTTGTGGGATGCCCTCTCAAGATGGATGATGATCAGCTAGCTGATCTTCGCGACTCCTTGACTCTGCAAAGAGGGCTGGGTGTTGCGGTCGGATGCAACTTCCGAACCCTGAATCCAAAGTTGACTTCGCGCGAATGCTGAAACCGTTCTTGACTCGTCGTCTCTTTGTACCAAACCCATCTTTCAGAATCTCTCTGGACTCAGCCACTGCCCTCATCTCTGTTGATACGCTTGTTCGGTCTTGATCTTGTCCTGTCGTTTTCTGAATACGAGGTATAGATTAGCGACGAAAATGGCGAGCTACTTAGGCGATCCTCTTGGAGACCCCACTTAGAGATGGCTTCGACATCCTGAAACCGCCATGATCTTGGTGGACTAGAAGAACAAGCCTCGGTAGGTTTTATGGCGATTGTCCAAAAAGTCGTACATCCGCCTGTAGACTTTCTTTCCTGCGAACCCTCGCAACCTCCATCATGTCTTGGCTCAACCTCTTCAGCCGGCGCAACGAAGCCTCACCGACATACAACCCCGTATCTGAGGACGAGGACAAGCTGCTCGATGAACCTGTGCAGACAACTAAGATCGAGCTGGAAAGGCTCAAGCAAGCCAATGCGAACTTGAAGCGTGTGCTGGCCGTCTTCGCTACCTTCTTCCTGGCCTTCCTCGCTCTCATTGCATTCAAAAGTTGGGAGTCTCATGGAGACAGCCTGATGTTCCCGCGCATCCTCAAGTCGCCTGTACCGCNNCCAGTCAGCGAGTCCGCCTACCATGACTTCACCATCGCTGATAACCTCTTAGTGCCCATGAACATTCAGACTTTCGAGCGCAACTCTCTCTACGCATCCCGTCCATCCCCTGAATCCGATGCAGCCTGGAATGCACTCCTCCCCGAAGGCCGCGGTTTCGTCTACGTGCCTGAGTCCGAAAAACACTCTCTGCCACCAGGCGAAAAGACGTTCTATGGCGAGATCTACTCCGTGTCCTTGTTTCACCAACTGCACTGTCTGGGTCAGCTGCGCAAGTACTATTGGCTATTGATCGATGGAGTCACAAGCAACAGCACAAGTCTGAGACCCATGGTGGATGGCTTGCTAGGGCCTTCTGGTGAACATGTGTCGCATTGCTTTGACTACTTGCGACAAACGCTGCAATGCGCAGGTGACATGGCTTTAGAATGGCCGAGGAAAGAGGAGGATGGTAGCAGGTTTGCTGTGGATGGATGGGTGAGTTATACGTGCTCTCTCTTATTGGTTTCGCGCTGACCATCTGTACAGGGTATCCCTCACGAATGCAGGAGCTGGGACCATATCGTCGATTACATGAAGGGGTCATATTTCAACCTTTCCATGAACAGCGAAATCGCGCCCGATCATCCCATGCATCAAGATGGCACGGCGAAACTATGAACTTAGACGACCATCCATACTGAAGACTCAGATAAGACAAGTCACTTCTATGATACACCCAGATTTCAAAAAGGGTTTGCCAGTCGTTGCCAGATTGAGACATTTAAACACTCGATCTTTGCCTATAACAAGTGCCCTGAGTGGAAGACACTAAGGGTGTTGCTAAACTGAACATTTTTATGCACGAGCAGAAGATCTCACAACAGAATTTCAAGGTGGCATGTGAATGTATTGTTGTTGTAAGTCTGTAGATTCTGGAGCAGCTTTTTATCATGCCAGCTCACTCAAACGCTTTTAAGTTCTTATGTACATTTCCACCACTATCTTCCATGGTACTTGTTTGTATTGCAGATGTAGTTCTAATCAGATATAGATCTGCTGTAGTGAGAGGCCGAGTACGTAGCCGATGTTTTTCTGAGATCCCACCCCAGAGGTCTCTCATACTCAGACCCTGAGGACGCAGTCGAGATCTTTCTGACGACCCAGCCAGAGTGCTCACTGTGATATTCTGCATACCCTCTTTCGGTCTTTTGGCAGTCTGAAGGTTCGTCTGGGCTGACGCTCGTGCAGGGCGAGATGTTCTCGCTAGGAATCCATTCGCGACGTTCGAATGGTTGGTCCTGTGTGTACTCGACTGAGGAGTGTGCTCTTGAGCGCGGTGAGGGTGGTTGTGATGATGTTGATGCCCTCTTGAGTGCTCGTTTTAGTGATGCAGTTGATCGACCTGGAGACAGTTTCCAAATTTCTGGATTGAAGGACACAGGTGATGTGGGTGTGTTTGGGGGTTTGCGNGTGACAAGCTCGATAGAGCTCTTGTGTGACTGTTGAGCTTGTTTGTCCACAAGATTGCGGAACTTGATGGCGAGTTTGGATGTCGTGGACGCGAAACTTGGTCGCGAGATTGCTTTGGGACGAGGGGCGATGTTGTGTTGTGATGCGCCGCAGGACATGGAAATGCAAAAGCTTTTNGAGACTTTCTTTGCAGCCTTCTTGGATAGATCGCTTGCCCTAGAGCTGAGGCTGGTTTTGCCAGATGAATTTGTGCCCTTTTCGCTTGTGGAGTTGCCATGAGACCTCAACTTCTGTTGGATAATCTGGACTGTGGCGCTCAACTCCTTNTCCAGGCGCAGGAGTTCTTCGCTTGTCAGGTCGGTGTGATCGTTAACCAACTTCTGCCTGTATGCCTTCAACTTTTGAGAAAGTTGGTCTGTTGAGGGAGCAGTGCTTCCATAACTCGTGGTATTGAACCTGGTGAGCTTTGAAAACACCTTGGGCACTCGATGATGAATGTGGTGATGGCCTTTTGCCATGCGCTCCTTGTGGACACATATCGAGTCTCGAACGCGCGTTTCTGATGAGAAGGGAGTAGTATCTGACATGGAGATAGGTGTCACGTCCTGATGGACCGTTAGATACTTCTCGTTCTTCTTGAGGATGGACCACTTCTCAAGATCGGTCTTGCACACATCTGCAATGGAGATCGGATCCATGACTTGAAACCAAGGTTCCGATATCTGCGACTCCTTGATACTAAGATCTGTGACGACGTCCATATTTCTGATATGTGTGATAATGCTGGAACGGTCGAAAGAGTTTTGTAGCAGTAACCTGTGGTTGGGCTGTAGAAAAGCTGGAAGAGAGAAACCAGAGTTGAGAGGCCATAATATAACCCAGGCAGAGTAGGATAGAAATTCTCTCCGTTTACTGTAGTTAATGTGCTCATTGCTACTTGAGCTTGGCGTCGTGGTATAGGTAGAAATTGTCGAATTTCAAAGTGCGGCCGCGAACTTGCTCACGCGCTTTGAATCAAGTCAGAACCAATCAGTCATACCGTGAGATATATAACACGTATATTGTGTCCGTCATCTCTTGTCTCCATTCGTGTGATTCAACTGTCAAGATGAATTCTGACCATCTTACCAAATTGCCGATCGAGTTGATCCTCCACATTTGCCAATATCTGCCTCTTCGGAGTATTGTGTGCCTGGCTTTGACCAACAACCCTCTCTATCACTCTCAGGATCTGCAGAGATTATGGCGACCGCGACTGGACCAAAGTCAAGAAGTATTTTGCTGTCCTCGAGATTTCGTATCGCGCGATTTTGTCTCGGAATGGGGAGAACGGGGATCACTCTCTTCTCGAAAGGATATCCTCAACCACGAACTGCTATTGGTTTTTGAATTGCTAGAACGCGATTTGCCGAACCACTGGCGATGTGACATTTGCATGAAATTGCATCGGCGCGTGGAGTACACGGCGGGTGGCCGTGCATATCGTCCTTGTGTAGCAAGCCACACACAAGGCGTGTTCTATCAATTGCCGAACTGGAACTACACAATCCCTTACGAGGATGCGCAGCAGATCATCAAGAGGCACGCAATGGGAGCACCTCACGGAATCCCGCTTACGACGATTCTCAAAGACCGAGCGTGGGTAGTCGTCTGCGATTGGCCAATGGGACCGTTCGTCACCCCGGAGCAGCCACCTTTGGTCTGGTATAGACAACTGGAAGTCAGCCCTGAGGTCGTGGAGGACGAGAAAGGTCCAGTGCTGCATCTGTGGACAGAGCAACGCCTTNTTTTCCCCAGCGAGTACATGAAAGTCCTGAAAACGACGTCGCATGATTGGGTTAGGGATATTGGCCAAAGGGCACAGGCTCACTTGGCAGTCTGCTGTCATCAGCATCATATCGGCGAGCATGTTGCCCAGCTTTTGGAGAGTCAAATTGGGTTGTGCAGAGCCAGCTCGGAGTTCAGACAATGCGACATATGCTTGACTGCATATTCCTTCTTCATCCGTGAGGGCCACTGTGAAGGCAGTCTCCAAGTCATCCTGACAACATGGACCACGCTGGGATCCTGCAGGTACTCATTTTCACCTGCGTGGTTGACTAGCTCGTGGTTGTCAAGGAATCACCCTTGGATCAGAGATTCTACAATCCCAAGGCATCCAAGACCATTCCACAACGACTACAGCGATTTTTACACCGGCAGAGATTTGACACGGGCTGCGGCATTCAGACGATGTGATGTTTCTCGTCCTTCTAATATGCTCTGTCGTCTGCAGCCCTCACAATGCGAGGAACCTAGGAATGAACTTTCCCGTATCAATTCGGTGATCAGCGTCATCAACAGCGATCGAGGTCGAGACAGAGAGGTGACAGATGCACCTCAGAGGATCACTGGGCAAGTCGAAAGTCAAACAAAGCCCAGTCGAAGAAGATTCATGCTGCGGAACTGGTTCAAGCATATTTGGAGGCATATAAAGAACCGCAATGCAAGAAAAGAATAAAAAGGCCTGAGCTGACAACGGGAAGTTGTTCGGGAGGGCGAGTCGGACGAAGCCTAATTTATCGTGTTTTCGTATGCAAACTGTGTATCATCTCGTTCTTCGAGTCAGTCTCTGTCGCCGGATTTCTGCCATACGACATCTTTGCTGACGTTCATGTTCAGGATCATGGCTAGCTCCAGCTGGCTTTGCGTTGGATGCATGAAGATAGAATGGCCTGTGATTGGGCGTGCTTGTGCAGTGTTGTTGAGGTGCGATAACCTCTCGCAATGCAGCTCTCTGCGCTTCGATATCTTGAGCGTTGGGCTTTCTTATCAAAGAAAACATGGACACCCTGTTGCGCTGCATAGCTTGTTGCTCGAACTTGATCTTTCTTCTTCTCTGTGCTTGCTGAAGCTCGTTCAACATCTTGACACACTTGAGTCCCTTCTGACCAAGCAAATAGAGACGTCTGTCATCCTCAACCGTCCCTCTATTCTCAGCCTGCTTTCTTCGGATTTCAGCTCTCTGATGATGAATTTCTCTTTCGTTGTGCAAGATCTCATTGATCATATCCTCAAGCTCAACTTCGTCATCTGACTGTTCGGTCAGTGATCCTGGTCTGATTTCAGTCTGGAGTTCGTGTTCATGGATGATATAATTGTCGATCACAACCAAGAGATCGCCGAACATGAAGTGGACGTCTTTACATGAAGGAGGCCTGTGTTCGTCAAGTCGTATGGCCAATTCAAACGCCCGACGCTCGATCGACGAGACAAGTTTAGGAAACCCTTGTAACCCTCTTTTGAGCCAGGACGCAAACTGCGCATCCCACAGTACGAGGATGTCCCGATTTGTTTGAGTAAGCTTGATGATATCCCGTCTGTATCTAGCGAAAGCTTCAGGACTGATGGCTCCAAGTCTAGGTGGCTCGCTGTTGGCGAAGAATTGTAAGAGTCTCTTCTTGCGTTGAACTTCCTCTGGTTGTTGGTCAACCATTGCCTTGACGTATGCCAAAAGGTCAGAGTATTTGATCCCTCCGCAGCGACCGAGACGCGCTCTTTCGACCTCAATGCGCATGTCCCTTGGTACGCTGTCGCTGGAACAGAGCCAGGCTATGAATTGATTCATTGCGTGGCCCTCGAACTCCACAGGGCGTAAGCAATAGTTGTAGAAAATGTTGTAGATTTCCATCTCCCAGCGTCCGACTTCCATGGGCGTGAATGATCGAAGAACCGGGGGACGCCATTTCCATTCATGTGCGAAGAGGTTGAAAGCAACTTCCGAGTCTCTTGTGTAGCGCCTTAATACATCATCGAAGTCATTGATGACTAGGTTGAGTCCTACTACGCCGTTAAGTGGGAAGCCCTCACGCACGAGATCCGGTTGGTTGTCATCTGAGGCCCAGTCCATCATTATTTCTGCAACCTCAACCACACGGAGATCTCGATTCGACATTAAGCGATGGCCATAGATGGATAGACGTTGAGCTTTGATATCGGCACTGACATCTGGATTAAGAAGTGTTCCTCGGGGTGGATCTATAAATCGAGTCCTCCGTGCCGCTGCTGTGCTGGGTTTTGGATCAAGGTCTGTTCTAGGATTGTCCATGTTGTCGTATGAAGGTGCGTTCTCGTATATCATACTGGCAGCTTCGACAGCGCTGCCCTTTGCAATTGGTATTGACACCACAGCTAGTTTCGATTCTTGCCAGATTGGAATGTTGCTGGCGCCGTCTCATAACTATAGCGAGTGGAAACAAGGTAGGAGTTCTGCAGTATAGGTTGATGGGCTGATGTTGGTCTGCCACGCAAAAATTCGCATTGACCAGCCAACATTGGACCGCGGCTTCCTCCATATTAAATGAAAGAACCAACTTCAATGTTTTTACAGACCAGTTGAGTTAGGTATTCGAGATGAACATGAACACATCAAGGCCAATTGGCGCTCGATTGGTTGCAAATCAACAAGCCACAGAAGAGGTGATGGGGTGTGACAGATTCAGATCAGAGTTGGGGGTGTTTTTACCGCCGCGCGCGCGTCATTGTGGGGGTTTCTTTATCAGCTTTGCTATACCAAGTCCTATCTCAAACCTGCACATCTATGCACATCTATTCAGAGTAGAGACGAATTACGCATGTAAAGCTACAAGCACGTTGTGGTTGATGAGACAACATGTCTTCTGCCTGATGCTGCCTGCCACTTTCCCCGAATGAGGCAAGCATCAGGCAGAACTTCGACACTTCGGTGGTCTCATCTCGTGTAACCATAGCCAAGGCACTAATACCTAGACGATACGAGAAGCATATATTCAAGAGCCAGGTAGGTCGAATGTGAAAGTAGATTCACCACAACTCCCCACCTTTCACCATTACACCGTCTTATCTTCGCCATGTCCTCCTGCGAAGCTTCAATACCCGCAAGTCTCAGCCCATCGCAAAGACTACAAGCGATTGGATCATCTAGATACTCGCAATGTTCGACAACAGCTCCGACTTTGGCATGTTCCCTGCTCGGCCCAAAAAGAAAGCGCGATGACCTTCAAGCCGACGACCACAACATCGAGGAATTGACAAGCGATTCCGAGGTAACCTCGCCTGGCAGACGACTACGAAAGCGTACTCGAATCTCTTACGCAGGATTCCCCGAATCCGACGAGGAAAGCGACGCAGACTTGGGCTATGATTCCGATTCGTCTGTTGATTGGGGCTCTCGCTCGAAGCAGACCAAGTCGAAACGCGCACGCAAAGTAAAGCCCGTAAAGGCATTCCCTCTCTTCTCATTACCCAGCGAATTGCGCAACAAGATTTACTCACTAGTCTTGGAAGATCCTCATGGCATGGTTCTAAACGAAGGCTGGCGTGCGCATCGTCGCGTACCAAAGCGTTGCCAGTATCTCGACTGCCGGGACAAGGAACGCTATGCTGGTTTGGGCAACCTAGTATACTCAGAAAAGTGTTATTACCATCGGAATGGACATCTTTCATGCAATCTGGTACCCGCCCTACTTGCTGTGAGCAAGCAGGTCTATGCCGAAGCAGCAACTATACTTTACTCACAACCTCTACACTTCGTCAACACGACAGCCCTACACAGCTTCTTGGCGCCTCTGAGCAATCAAACCGGGTCTCTCATCCGCAACATAACTATTCACAACTACGATGTTGGTGGCCGTGGAGTACGAAAGTCAATGAACGTTTCGGCATTGACTCTTCTTCGCAGCTGCAGCAACCTTCAGACCTTGCGCATAGAAGGCTTCGGTCAATACGCCTGGGGCATCCACTACCGGGGCAGACCAAGTCCCGAAAAAGCCGGCAAAAGGGAGGGCACCAGTATAGCACAGCAGATATACCGTGACGCTGCTTTCTGGTTTGACACTATTGGTGCCAAAAGGNCTCTACAGGTGCTGGAGCTTGCTGGCCTTCAGCGTGAGACGGGGTCTGACGATGAGACCGAAGCGCTGCGAATTGCCAACGTCGTTCTGATCGAGGAATTGACTGCGTTAATGAATAGAAAGAGAGGCATGAAGAAAAGCAGAAAACGTAGAATCACTCCCGAGTAGTGGGCAGAAAAATTGTTTACCTCACGGTCGTCCCTCGCTTTCCAGACTCCAGCTCTTGTTCTCTAGAGGACAACACTGACCACCACACCTCCTATGCGAAGCACCCTCTAGCCACGACCCCTGTGATACATATCTACAGTACATACCTGACACAACCCACCCACCACACCCAAACCTACCCTACTCAAGCACACCGACCACACTACGCAAACATACTTCTTCCAAACCCCCACACCAACCCCAATCCCGACCACAAACCCATACTTTTAGCAACCACCTTATTGGTCGCCCTACCCCCTCTTCGCTGATCCCCAAGAAAACAAACCGGAAAGCTACTTTTGACAACACCAGTATTTGTGGCTGGCAAGAAAAAAAAGGTCAGAAGGGATACTTGTGTACATGTCAGGCACGAGCAAGACACGACGATCTCGTGAGCTTCCTTCTCCTCGGGTCTGGCTCCGTTGGTGTTTAGGTCTCCGGTCGTCCGAAAAGAGGGTGTGTGTTGTTGTGGCTTGTGAGCTGGAGAAAGAGAGTTGGGAGGAGCAACATGCTTAAACGTGTTGATTGGTTCGGAGTGGGTTACGAAGTCTTCGCTTTCGGATCTCGGTTTGGGTGAACAGAGAAGGGTGATGATGAGTCGGTAAAGCAGATTGAGATGCGAATAGCGTCGAATCTTGACAGGCCACGGAGTCGAGCACATACGCTAGAAAGGACATGAGGCGCGCAAAGTGTATGTGGACGAAAGAGTTATTAACAAGAATGAATAGATATTCAGAGCACCCGAGTGCGCCAACTATATACACAACTAGATATGAATACGCACAAAACTCCGATCAACGGAAATCATATAGACAAAGATCGTGGGGTATTAACAAGAATAGAAACCGCATTCCCAAGAACACCAATCGTTAAATCATTTCCTTACGAGGCTTGAAGAACAGCAGTGCTCTCGCCCCACATGCTCAACATGCTGTGCTCGTCAGGAGTCAGTTGTGGCATAATAATGCCTGCATGGTAGGCTTCGCTACCGTTGGTGCTGCTGGCACTGCCCCAATCATTGCCAAANAGTTCATCGCCAGTAGCAGTGCCGTCGTCGTCGGTGCCGATGCTAAAGACACTCTCGGGGTGCGCGACACTACCAGCCATACTGCAAGCCATGGCATTGATGTCGGAGTTTGTGACAGCCCAGACATCAGGGGGTGAGTGGTGCCACTGGGGAGCCGGGTTAGGTAAGCTTGAAGCCAAGGGCGTCATGTGCTTGACGTTTTGATGGTTGTGGGCGTCGAGAAACTCAACAGGTGGTCCGCCATAGATGTTGTCGAAAATATTGGTTTGTCCGTTGTCCAACGAACCGAGCAAGCGCTCCCAATCCGAGGGCTCCTGCTTGATGGATGTGTGAGCATCAGGTGAGTGCGTGCGGGTGGGAACGTTGCTGAAGGAGAGATAGTCCAGGTTGAGCTGCTGCTGAGGGAAGGATCGAACTGGTCTTAGGTTTGGTGGCGCTGAGGGTCGGGCGGACGCGGGTAGTGGTGCGGGGGAAGGATTGGCGGGGCTGTATGCGGGTTCAGAAGTCGCGACCTGGGGTATGTTGGGCTGGCTCTGGGTCTGAATTGCATTGGGGTGCAGGGAGATGTTTGGGAAGGTCGCCCGTCTTTGATCATGGCGATCGAAAGGATTCTTGGCCATGATTTTCTGGGCTGCTGCCTTGAATCGATTCTTTTCTGTCGGAGAAGAATTTCCATGACTCGACAAGTTCACAGGATGAACAGCACCATCGGAGTTGTGGCGGGACAAGCTCGGCTGTTGGTAGTGTTTTGTCGTGAGCTGCGCTGAAGTAACTGGCACTGAAGGTGTGAGTTTCTGGAATTCAGTTGCAGAAGGTGCCTTGGTCTGAGTCAGGATCTTGACAACAGTTGAAGTCATCTTCTGGTTGTCCTTGACAAGCTTGCTGCTCTCTCCGAGTTCCAGACTTTGGAAAAGAAGTCCCAGTCCAGATAGAACGAGGAGCTCATCCTTGTTAATACAGAATGAGAAACTTAGCCCTCTCTCACTCAGCAATTCGATGATCTGAATGCTGTGCTTAGAGGATCCTGCTACTGCAAGAAGAGACGACGAAGCTCGTGGGCCAAGAGAGGCGCACACAGCTGGGCGGTGGATGAGAGCACGGATGAAGTGGTAGGTTAATGANCTGAGATAATTAGCCGATGGTTGGATTGCGACGCTTGAGTGACATACCAGCAAAGGAGAACGGCTGCTCACAGTTCCGGCAGTCGGTTTGTCATTTGCGAATGGAAGGCGCAAGTGTGGCGCAAGAGCGTTGTGCCAGGCGTCGAGTTCTTCCGACAATGCCGAAAGCTGTTGCAGCGAGAGATCGTATGAGGAACGAGCAGGATAGATCTCCTCCAAGACACGAGAGAGGATTCGAGCAGCACGGAAAAGTGCGAGGGCACTGGACACTCTAGTGTACTCACCAGGGCAAGGCGCCTTGAACCCGGTCTCATCAACGTACTCTTCATCAGCGTCACGAGGCTCTTCACAGTGGACATCCTCATCCTTGAGTTGTTTGGGGAGACCCAGAGTGACGGCAGAAAANGCTGGTATGTGTTAATCTTAGGCGCCGACAAGATATTTGTGCTCATCAACGTACCAGTCAACGGTGTACAGAGACCAGAAGACCTTCTTCCTCATCTCGCTAGTGGAGGCACCAAGAGCAAAACGCTTTTGTGACTGATGCAGACCTAATCTAGAAGAAAGAGTAACGGCGAGTGCCTTGTATGTTAGAAGCCTGTCATAATCGCCACGTTGCATGCAGTATAGCTGTGCCAAAACAAGGCATTGCAGAGTAGGCATGCTGTGATCCGATAGTATCGTGTCGATAGCTGCTTGCCATTGTGTTTCGAAAGACTGAAGGCCGGCTGTGTCGCGTGACNNTGAAGAATATGTCAGTCGTGGTTTTCTACAGTCGGCAGAACTACTTACACCACTAGACAAAGCGGCAATTCCAAAGACGAGGTTGAGCTGAGCATGGCTGCAGTTATCCACGACATTCTCAGGAGCAGACATGTAAGACTGGTAGAGCTCAAGGAAGGTAGGGCGATGAAGAATGGGGAAGAGTGGTGCCCATTCCTGGAANAAGATACCGATCAATTGATCGGATTCGAGTCTGGCGGGTGCCTTCCAGACGATGGGATCTGAGAGGGGGTCGCGAGGGGCGATGTGCGTGCTTCCGGGTAGAAGATTCTGAACGTTGACTGCTGGTGACGCTCGACCGAGTTCCTGCACTCGTCTCGAGAAGGAGTCTGTATAAGGTTAGTGGTGAACTCGATCGCAATGGGGAATGACTGCACCATAGAAAGCCTTTCCGCTCGAGGTTCCGGCGAAGTGGGCGTTTGTGCCATTGCCGTCAAGTTGGAGGGTCTGTTGGACTTGAAAAACATCTTCGCTAACTGTGTTTGGTGAGGGAGCTGGTGGTGAGGCTGATGGCCGCCGCGCTGAGTTCTGAAAGGCCGATTGTGAAGAGGCCGAGTGCAGTTTTGACAACATGTCAATCTTCTCGTCCTTCTCGTCGAGCAACTCCTTCAACTCTCGGACCTCGGCTTCTAGACTTCGAACTCTTTCTTCAAGCGACTCTGTGTATCCTCTAGGGAAGGCGCGACGGCTCAGCTTGTCGCTAGTCTTGCACTCAAATCCAACGCTGGTACATTGCGAACAGCTAGGTCGAATTCCGTCACATCGGATCTTCTTGCTTCGACACCTNGCCAGGAGTATAAGCAGCCGCGGCAGAGCGCGAGTTCGACCAACATACCTATCGCAGGCCTGTGCGATACGAGATTGGGCGCTTGACCCAACCTTGATGACCTTCATGGGTAGGATGCCTGGCATGTTGCCGGTGTTTGAAAGTGGTAGAGTGTGTAGTCCAGTCGTATGGAGATGGTTTGGATATCGGTTGGGGTAATCGGTGTTTTAGGTGAGCACGAGATAAGCGGTGTTCGAGATGGGGATACCGAAGGAATGGTGCATGCGAGAGAAATCGGGTCCAAGAAGTAGGGTGCGTGGAAGGAGGCGTGATTTATGGTTATGTACGTACAATTCCAAGTGTGGAGATCTCGTCGTGACGAAGAGACAAGAGACAAATCGAACCAAGCGCGGGACTCGAAACGTAGTCCCAGTCTGGGGTGAGCACACACAACAGCGGCAACCCCCAGACGCCAAATCCCTCTCGAGCCTCTTGGAGAGACCAGACTAGGCCCGAAACGTAGACAAAAACCTCGGACCTGTGTCGGCGGTTCGTCCATCGTCCTTCTGATTGGTGTCCGCGGCAAGACTGACAACCCTGCCATGACCGGTACTCTTAGGAGTTGCGGGGGAGAGCTGGCAGCGTTGGCCGATCATAAAGTCTAACATTATTGATGGCGCCGAGTTTGAGGCGGCGCTGCTTCGTAGTTACTCCCGCGAATTTCCGACCGTCTTTGCTTTGCCCATGCAAGATATCGAGATGGTTGTGACTTCACATCAGTCCTGGTCAATGATCAGAAATCTCTTATCAGGATTGCTCATGGGCTGATCTGTGAAGCCGACGACCAGGGCGACGCAGCAAAGACGTTCGTCATCATTTGGAAGCGTTCGAGACCAGGCTTCAGGCCATCGCAGAAACCGGGGGAGACAGTTCCGAGTCGATTTTTAATCATCGCTGGTACATAAGCTCAGCATACGTGACTACGTATGACCAGATTTGTCAATTTTAGTGATGGGATCTGCGGCCGAACTCCCCAGGGCCAAGTGTTTGGGCATGTATATCAATCAGACATGAGCTTGATTCGATGCACCGTCATGTGGAAACAATCACCACGATACAGGAAAGCTTGGGCGCCGCCCAGTATCGGCAGTTAGGCATTCCAAAACCTGAGTCATAACTACCAAACTTGAGCGATGTCTTGAACCTGCAGCGCGGCCTTCTTGCTGCGCCGATTCGTATCATTGGTTCTCTCATTTCGAGGCTTGCGGTGTCTGCCATCGCTGTTGATGCAGATCTTTAGTAGAAGGCGGCCTATTCTGAGGATTACGGGCGTAGATGGTCACGGCTGTCAAGCTGCTCGGGCTCGTACCGCTCGGAAAGCTGTCATAAGGCCGTGCAAAGTTTGGGCGGCCGTGGAGCATCACAAAAGGGGTCATCAGATCTCCAATCAAACATGCTGCCTCGTGGAGGAGATAAGGTAGACGTGGGGTTCCGTGTACGTGCGTGATCAGTGGTCATCGAGCAATAATCTCTTCTTTCAGCTTGAAGCACTCTGCTGCGTTGGGATGGTATTTTGCTGTGTCCTCTATCTTCCCATGACTGACTGACTCGGAGCGACCAAGCTCACGAAAAATCTTCATCTTGCTCAACGTCTGGCCCGGACAAGTATCTCAACACAGTCTCACTTTGCATGAGTTGAACTTTCNNTAGAGAGCGATTCAGTTAGCATGTGGAGCAAACGTGGATGGTGCTCCGTGAGTCCTGCCGGAAGCCGTCCATATCAATGTGCAGATCATCGGAAATGGGTCTGTCTTGCCGACTTACCTGATCTTCGTAGTAGCTGTAAGCTTTCTCCAATAGCTCACTCTCTAGAACTCTGAGTCGTTTAGCAAGATGCCAAGCTCGCTCCCTGATGCCAGTTCCATCGCCGTGTTGCGTGGCATCAACTCGATCATCTGACCCATAGAGGTCCTGTAACTGACTCGCCACTCGTTCCTGTAATATGCTCACAGCTCGGAGATGATAGACATCCCACAAAGGGTCCTGTTCCAGCATAGATCGAAACCCTTCGAAGCCGTGCACCGGTTCGTCTTGCCATGTGGCTATCAGCTCTTGAGCACCGTCGACCGTCTGCTGGATCTGAAACGAGAGTCCGTCCTCTTCATTGACACAGATAATCCAAATGTATGCACCTTCGAAGATCACGCCATCCTCAGCGTCGACGATCTTAAAGCCTGGAGCGCATTTTGCAACTGCCGATTTGGCTCGTCGTAACGGGTCGTCTTCAGGGATCGAGAGGTCAAGAAATAGCTCACGGGCAGACTCCATCTCGTCCTCAATGAAGCCATAGGAAAAGAGCATTTCGCATGCGCCTTTTCCATCACCGTAGGTGATTGTAATCTCNCCGTTCTGTTCAATGTTCTTTCCATCGCGTAACAGCAACACTGCGTTACCTTGATTGTCAACCTCATAGATAGCAGCCGTGCCGGTACCGGAAGAGTGATTGGCCATGTCGATACAGGGTACCATGCAATCGCCTACTCCAGGATACTCGAGTGCTCTTGAGCGGTAGAAGGCGTCGACTTGTAGCCAGTCATCAAATTCAAGGATGCCGTCAACTTCGTCCCACCATTGTTCAGCACACCATGGTATGTTTGCTGTTGCGACCCGAAGTTGCTCGAACTCGCGATTGAGCGATTTGAGCTTTGCGCTCAAGGCAGGGGCCAGTGTGGTTCCAGTCAACAGGTCGCACTCGGCGGGAGACCAGAAAGTAGGGAGCATTTCCATCGGCAAGTACTTGATATACTCAGTGAATGGACCTGATACACCCTTCTTGTTCACAACAGAAGGACATGCAGTAAAGGATTGCATGAGCAGGAAAGACAATATGGCGCCTCTAGCAGTCTGACACAAGGTCAGCTGGTGTTGACAAGAGGTGGAACGAAATGTGGGGCAACACCTTGGGTGCAACTTTTGATATTGTAGCCTATATGAGTGTGGAAGGATAATATATCTCGAGGGCAATGCAGAAAGGATGTGTGTTGAATGGAGGATAGGTTTTATCGTGGAATGAAAGGACGGATGTGCTGAGTTACCTACCCTGCCAAACTCATCGAGGCCATCGAGGACAGCACGAAAGTCAGAATCAGATTTTGCATGCTGATGGATCCTCTCCAGAGAGAGTATGAGATCCCTAGGTATTGTCACAAGCGGAGGCTCGTGGCCACCCTTGAGATGGCGTCTTGCAATGACGGTCGAGCCACGGTCTTCTTTACCAGGCAAGGGCCCAATGCTAACGCCGTCGAATGAGACACCATTGAGAGTAGCCCACACAGGAAGGGTGTCGACAGGCAGAGACAGCCAACCTTGAAGTTTACCGTCTCGTATCATGGCTGCAGAAGACGTATGCAAGAGGCCGAAGGTGACGTACTCAGGAGATTGTTGTTGGTATGTAGCAAGCAAAGAGCACGAGTGGTCGCCAGGCTCGAGGGTTGCACCCAACAACCAGACAGAACGGTAATAGAGCCCGTGCACTACCCACACCCCCCATGATGCACGACCATCTGAGACGGGTCTTGAGAGCAGCGACTTGTCCAGTGCGCATGATCAGTGAGAGTGTCTGTCACAACATAGACCAAAATCAACAAGCAAGTGTGGCAACACATGACTGAGCAGAAGATGATTTGTACACACACATGTCTTGAACAAGAGACAGGGAGTGAAAGCAAGAGGCGTCCATAGCGGGGAGTGTCTCGAGCCGGGGCGGGCCAAAGCTTGCTTTTCCCTTGGCAATGCAGTTGTTGACATGCGGATAAACAACAACATTTCCAAGTCTTGGAGCTTCAAATGTGTTGATCCCAGGACCATCAAGCCAGACATCTTTACTCGACCACATCGACTCCCAGTTATTCTTTTCTTGATGCTGTCTGCGCCACAGTGACAACTTCTCCTTCTCACCTCGCCGCTCCAACCCGTCCTCGCCGCCCAACCCGCGGCGCACCGCTGTCTCGTTGTCGCATCCCTCGACCCTCGCCTTCGCACTCCGTCGCAGAACCACTCCCGTGTCATTTCTACCGCTCATCACAATGCCTCAATCCGACAGTCCTTCGGCCGCCACGAGCTATGGCCAGGTCATTGAGTACATTCAAGGTCCGTGTCGCATCCACCATAGCACGTAACGAATCTTGGTCTGACAGCAANTAGACCGCCTCTACTTGGCCTCATACACACACAAGCCCAACGCGCAAACGCCCTTCCCATACACAAACAAGTCTACCAGCAAATCGCCGTCCAAGCGCTCCGCCAGATCCCAGTCAACCACAACCACCGCTACCCCTTCGCTTCCTCCAGTATACTTCTCAGTCGACAAGCACTTGCTTTACAATGCTTTCCACGCAGACTTTGGCCCGCTACACATCGGTCACCTGTACCGCTTTGCTGTCATGCTGCACGAGGTGCTCGGAGACCCCGAAAACGAGGGCAGACCGGTTGTATTCTGGTGCAACGCTGACTCAAGGAGTATGCCTACGTCCAATCGAACCTCGGTAGCTTTTGTTACTAACTGATGGCTCAGGTNNCGCGCAAACGCCGCATGCATTCTTGCTTGTTACATGATTCTGATCCAGAACTGGCCGCCGCATCTTGCCCTGGCTCCCATCGCTCAGATGGATCCTCCATGCATGCCTTTCCGTGATGCTGGCTACAGTCAAGCTGACTACGGTCTCACTGTGCAAGACGTCGTCTACGGCGTGTGGAAGGCAAAGGAGGAAGGTCTTTGCGGCCTCAAAGACTTCAGCCTCGAGGAGTGAGTGCCAAACTTGGTTTCATCACCATAGGGCCATTACTAACATGCTTACAGATACGAAAAGTATGAAAGAGTCGACATGGGTGACTTTAACTGGATTTCTCCTTCTTTCCTGGCCTTTGCTTCTCCCCAACATCAACCCACTCGTGTTATCGCACCCACTGACCCCGAGTGGGCCAACCTCCCACGCTCTCTCTCTGCTCTCCACCGCTCGACTTCACTCCCCCAGCCATTCAAGAACGTTCTTTCTCACTTTGTTGAGCGCGGCATCGGTCTTGTGGTCCGTCTCAACTCCGAGCTTTACTCGCCTTCATATTTCCAAGCTCTAGGCATCAAGCACCTGGACATGATTTTCGATGATGGCACCTGCCCTCCTCTCAGTCTGGTTCGCAAGTTCGTTAACCTCGCACATGAGATGATCACGGTCAAGCGCAAGGGAATTGCTGTCCACTGCAAGGCTGGTCTCGGAAGAACTGGTTGCTTGATCGGCGCATATCTGATCTACAAGCATGGTTTCACTGCCAACGAGATTATTGCATACATGCGCTTCATGCGTCCGGGTATGGTCGTTGGCCCTCAACAACATTGGCTCCACCTCAACCAGGGCACTTTCCGCGAGTGGTGGTTTGAGGACACCATGAGAGAGAAGATCGCTGCCTCGATGGTTCCTGCAACTCCCACAAAGGCCACTTCTGGAAACAGCAGACGTCTTGCTAGCAACGGCCAGACTTTCACTCCTCCCAACGGCAGCACCAAGCGTGCAGCTCTTGGTGAGATCAGCCACATCAACGAGCAGGAGCCCGCATCTTTCGCCAGCAGCACCAACAAATACGCTGTCAACGATGAAAACTTGCCTGCACCTACACCCGGTCAGCCTCGTAAGACTAGCAAAGTTTACGGTCATGTCACTGGACGCAAGGTTACCAGAACTGAGAATGAGCCCTTTGAGATCAGACCCGATACTGAGATTGTCAGCATGCAACGAACAAGCATGGGCGAGAGCGAAAGTGAGGAAGAGCAAGCACTCCGTGCCCTCGCCTCATCACGAAAAGCATCGCAATCTCCAATCAGCCGTAGCGGCAAGCGTCGGGCGGTTAGCTGCACCACGACGACCACCACGACAACAAAGTGGGGCATGGACGAGAGCGATGTCGAGAATCGTCTCGCAGAGATTCATGAAGACTCAGCAAGCCCTCGCAAGCCTAAGACGCCTTCAACCAGATCTGGCAAGGGCGACATCAGCATCGGCAAGCGTAGTTCACCATCACGTCGTAGCACTGAAGGCAAGACCAGCGTTCGCAAGACAAGTGGTCGTGTCGGCAGTGTAGGCGCCAACGTCCCTCGCACTCGCGCTTCATGAATGAGCGGCATCTGATTCATGATGTTCTATCATCCCTTTCACCAACCACAGCGTGCTCTTTTCTTACTGCATAGCATCTGTCAGCAAGCGCCATACCAGCATCCAGCGTGCTTATCAATTTTGCATCCGCGACGACAAAACAACAGCGCATCTGCATAGCGGTCATGATCCTTATCAATATGGAAAGACCCACGGCTCTTCGTCTTAGGACAATTGGCAGTCAAGTCAATACCTTGATTTCTGGCTTGTCATTCAAGAGCTCGATTTCGTATCTCCTTGATCTTTCTTCTCTTGCTTCTTCTTGTTTGGATTGGCGTTTCATGATCTTTTTTTCTCTTCTCCTTGTTTTCGAGGCATGGTGGCATTCTGGAGTCTTCGGGACAGTAATGTGCAATCGGTCGCACTGTAGGCGTTTTTGTTTTTTCATGTTCACGGATGATCCTCAAATTCAAAGGGACAAAGGAACAAAAGGTGTGGGGAGGCCAAAGGGGATGTTGATGTTCACGTTGTTCTTCTCTCTCTCTCGTGGGAAATGGAGAGTGTCATGTTTGGGGGACTGTTTCAATTGATCTTGTGTTCGTGATGAAACTCTTCTGTCTCGTCGTTGTATGAGACATGATGCAATCAAAAGGCTTCCTATCCCTTGCCATTGTTCCAATCCGCGTGTCCAATTGTGCTTTTATGCCTGTGTTCTAAGGTGGGGTGATTGGGAGATGTGTCGTTCGAGGAGAACAAACATGTCGAAGGCATATCCGTGACGAGTGTTTTCCTGAAACATATCTACATTCTTGAACATTGAAGACAGACCCTGAAGGATACGTATCGACAATGTTGGAGAACTAAGATGGCTATCGTGATCACTGTCATCGTCTTCGATGTTCGAAAACATTGCTGTGATGATGACCCTGGTCAAATTTTGAATGAACTTCAACGGACACTCATCTTGATTGTCTAAGCATGAGGTTATTGAGCATGCAAGAAGGCCTTTTTCACATCTCATCTGCCGCTTTCCAGCTTCCATCTCTCTCCTGTGCTCATATCAATGCTTTGCCACATACTCTTTCCCTCCCAGCCCTCAAACCCCACCAAACATGCTACTCCTTGACATAATCCACCGGCAAATCCATACCCACCCTCCTAGCCGTCAACCTCACCCTCTCCTCCTCATTCATATTCATGCCTGGATTATACCTCTCCACCAGCGTAACATACATCCTCTGCGCCTTGAGGTATTGGGCTAGTTGGTCTGCCTCTTGCACTCTCTGCAGCATTGTCTTTGTTGCCCCCACAGCATCAAGGCCTGATGAGCTTGCCATGGTGGAGGATGTAGATTTGGCGTCGGAGAGACTGGCGCGTGTGATTGAGGATACGGGGGTTGTGGAGGGAGAAGAGGCGAAGGTGGTGCGCAGGTGGGAGGCTAGTGGGGANGGGCGTGGGCGAGGTGCGAGGGGCAGTTCGCGTAACAGGGAGCGGTAGAGGCTGCGCAGGGTTGTGGGTGTTGGTGTCGACATTGTTTGCGGGTTCTTGTGGTGGTGGTTGTGTCGAGGTTGATGGGGTTGCGTTCTTTTGTCGTCGCCGAGTAGTGGTGCGGACGGAGATTGAGATTGTGTGTCGAGTGTAGCCGACCGGAAGACAGAGGATGGATTTGGCTCCTTGGACTTGAGATGAGATTCGAGTCGTGCTTTTGTTCTGGTTGCGATGGTTGATAGAAGATGCAGCGTGAATGAATTGCGGCGAAAGTTGGATGCTTCGGTGGTGCTTGGGCCACTTTCCGATTGACATATATTTTGGATCACTTTTCTTTACGCCTACCAATGACCTGTCTACATATTCAAGATGAGCCAAAGACTTCACTAGAAAACATTTTGATTCTTGCGAATGCCTATAAACTGCCATTCTTAGCTTGGAAGCTTGGGATTCAGCATCAAATCCTAAGCTTCAAGGCTTCATGTCATTTCCATCCTCTCTTTGAACGCAAAACCCACCTTCTCTAGGCCTTGTTACCAAACAACGCATCGTAAGTGTTGTAAGTGTACTTTAAATCTAAGTGCCAGTAGTTTGGTGTGGTTGGGCATGTAATCAACCAGGCTTCGTCCAAGACCTTGACAACTTCCTCAGGAAGAGGTCCCTTCTCAACGTCCTTGAGGTTTCCCTCTAGCTGTTGCAGGCTACTGACACCAATGATGATACCATCGTTACCGCCATCGTTGATGTTGAGTCCGCTGTGATGGACCATCCAACGCAGTGCCGTCTCGATCAGAGTCAGGTTGTGCTTCTGAACAACAGGTTCGATGATACGCAGAGCATCAAATGTGGCATCTCTGAAGTAACGCTTGCGGTACATGCCACCCATCTTTCCGACTGAGTCACTGTAGCGGCCTTCAGTAGGCACCTCACTCGACTTGTACTTGCCAGAGAAGATGCCTCCAGCGACTGGGTTGTAGACAACGATGTCCAAACCATAACGGCGGCAGACAGGAATCAGCTCTCGCTCGATGCTGCGAGTAATGGCATTATACATGCCCTGGTAAATGGTAGGACGGACCCAGTTGTTGTACTTGCAGTGCATGACAATCTCAGCCACCTCAAAGGCTGTGTAGTTGGAGAGACCCAATTGAACGAATTTGCCCTGCTTGTGAGCTCTGTTGACAGCCTCCAAAGTCTCAGTGAAGGGAACAGAACGGTCTGGTGCGTGGAGGTAGAAGATGTCGACGCAATCAGTTCCTAGCTCGGCCAAACTCTTGTCAAGAGAGGCGAGGATGCTATCTGCCTTGTGCATACCAGGCTCGTGAGGATAGCACTTGGTAGCCAAAGTCAAACCACGGTCCTTCCAGCGAGCATCTTTGGTCCAGGCTTCCTGCTTTCCACCCACATAAGTGCGAGCAGTATCAATCTCATTGTAGCCTTGAGATTGCAGGTAATCCAGAGCCTTGTTGTAGTCGGCGAGATCGGTTTGACGAGCACCAGAGTCAGTATCGGGACCNCTGTGAGTGTTAGTAGTCACAAGCAAAGATACGGCGGTCAAGCTCACAAAGGTCATGGTCCCGAGGATGACTCGCGGCTTGCCGGTTCCTGTGAGCAACATTCTGGATGGATTTTGTTGGAGACGAAATGAGTTTCTAGTTGAGATTGATACGTTTCTCAGAGAACTGAATGAAGAAAGAAACGGCTTGAACATGGACAGAGAGTCATTTGGGAATGGGAATGGGACTGGGGACCCCTCATGAGCCGTGACGAAAGAGGCAGCTACTATGGAGATAAGCTACCTAAAGACCGTAAGGCTAATGTTGCCGACTTCCTGCGGCAGTCGCGCGCTGGCTTGTGACAATGGTAGCGGACTTTATCGAGGTCGAAGAATATATCAGCCTGCCATTCTGAATCAGATATATCCACGGAACAGACTCGTGGCCAAGTGTTTGAAAATCGAAAGCCCCAGCTGACGCAGACCCAAGACGAAACCCCCAACGCCCGGAGCGCTTTGTGGTGGAGTCAGTAAGGAGTTCATCAGCCTCCAAATCACGCAAGCAGTCACGTTGCACCCTTCTGCCACCCAACCCTTATCTCGCCAAATCAGGCACAGAAGCCAGTGCTACCGCGTGCATGCCTTCAAACAACAAGTCCCTGGTCCCGCCGCCAAATCTTTCTAGCCCCCACTCGTCGTCAGCTACCAGTCCTGTACATATTTCTAGGGACACATCGCCCTTTACCGACCTACCCCACCCCGATGCCTTAGAACTCGACGACTACAAGAAGCACGACGCGCAGGACGACGACGACGATTTTGCTTGGGACGACAACTACGACGAAGAAGACAGAGCCATGCCTTCTGATCTACGGCACTCAGACAGCAGATCGCATGCTGCTCCCTTGCTCTCACCAGAGAACAAGCATCGAGACTATGCCTCACCTCCAGGCAGTGCTGCTCTGCGGGAGCGTCGCTCACGCCTACGAGAACGCGACCCTGACNCTGACTGCCGCCAATGCCACCAAGCAAAATACACATATGCTGCCGCCTTTCTGGTCCTAAGCTTGATATCCTTCACAATACAAACAGAGACAGCCGTATATATCCAGCATTCATTGCATTGGAACAAGGCATATTGCATGCTATATTTCACCCATGGCAGCTGGATCCTGTTATGGCCTACACAACTAGCCATTCTGCGACTGCAGAAGCTGAACATGCCTTGGGAGTCCTTCTGGCGCAGACACAAGGCCATCTTGCGGAGTACCGCCCAGATGGTTGAGCATCAAAGATTGGACGTTCCACACCACATGCAGAAGCAGTCTCCTATTCCATACTTCATCAAGATGACCTCCTTTGTCACTTGCGCGCTTACTGTCGCTGGCGGCAGTTGGTACGTTGCTGTCGATTTGACCACTGCCTCTGACTTGACTGCTATTTACAACTGTTCCGCCTNNTTTTTCGCATACGCTTTCGCTATTCCTCTATTAGGAGAACACTTCAAGTGGAACAAGGTCTTTGCCGTAGGCGTTGCCATTGTTGGCGTGCTGGTTGTCGCATATGGCGACGTCAGCCCTAGCAAGCACGGAAGCAAGTCCGGCGGTGGCGCAGGTGGTCCTACCGCTCCAGAGCCCGAGGAAGCATCCAACCGTGCTCTTGGTAACCTCGTTATCGGTGTTGGAAGCGTGCTCTACGGCTTTTACGAAGTCTTGTACAAGAAACTCGCTTGCCCACCCGAGGGTTGCTCTCCTGTTCGCGGCATGATGTTTGCGAATACCTTCGGCTCTCTGATCGGTCTCTTCACCTTGACTGTCCTCTGGATCCCCATCCCCATTTTGCATTACACTGGCATCGAAACGTTCGAACTACCTACTGGAGAGGCAGCATGGATGCTTCTCATCTCCGTCATGGCAAATGCCACGTTTTCTGGATCTTTCCTTGTGCTTATTTCGCTCACGTCGCCCGTGTTGAGCTCTGTCGCTGCTCTGCTGACGATTTTCTTGGTTGCTGTTGTGGATCAATTGCTTCCTCCGCCGCTTAACCAGCCCTTGACTGGTGCTGCTGTTGCTGGCGGTTTACTCATCATTGTAGCGTTTTTGTTGTTGTCATGGGCCACGTACAGAGAAATGGCTGAAGAGAGGCGGAAAAAGGAGAGTGAGGCGGAAATCGAAAGCGATATCGAGAGCGTCATCTAGAAACATTTCCTTGTCAAGGATTTAGTCTGCTCGCTGTCTATAGATATGCGGTTTTTTTTTTGGTTTCTTGATCGGGCCGTATATTTGGTCTCTTGATAGGAGGAAGTCATGTAATAAGTGGCTCTTTTTTTTGTGCATAGAACTACACTACAAGGCATGCGTCGCATTGGATCGACGATTCTCCTCCCTCCACAACAACAACCAATCTCCTGTACTCAATATGGCTGATTGGTTCGAAATTCCAAGAGCTATCACATTCCTGGAGGTGGCGGCATCTGTGCAAAAGTTAGCTTGATGTTCTCGGACCGGTAGAGAATGCGAGTCTTACAGCGTTGTAACCACTGGGTGGTGGCGGAGGAGGAGCTTCATTGTCTGCTGGGGGTGGAGGAGCTTCAGAGGAAGGAGGAGGAGGTGCTGCGCCGTTGTCATAGGCAGGAGCCTGTTCTGCGCCTGGGACACCGCCCTGTTGTTGCTGGTAGTACTGCCAGTACATTCTTGTGTAGGCTTCGTATCCTCCGTACGCGGCGTATGGGTCCTGTCCGTTCTGTTGATAGTACTGGGCATAGGCTTGAGCGTAGTCGGGCGTGGCGGCAGCGCCTGGACTCATGGCTGAAGCTGCAGCTCCTGTATGAGCGGCTGCGGGCGAGGCGGCGCCTCCGTAACCACCTCCGTAACCTCCACCATAACCACCATCTCGACCACCGTCCCGTCCACCTCCATAGCTGCTGTTGCGATCACGGTCGCCATAGCCGCCACGGTGTCCACGATCGCCATAATCGTCGCCGCCGCCACCTCCACCTCTGCCGCCACGAGGGCCACGTTCCTTGAACTGCTCGTATTGAGTGCGAACATTGGCCAAGAGATCGAGACAGAGCTCTTTGGCACGTTGAACCTCGTTGGGGTCAGGGCCGCTGTGATGAATCAGTTCTCTGCGCCGACGGGGTTAGCTCAAGAGGACTTACGCAACATGCAGATACATAGATTCGTCACTCTCGTGTCCGGTATCATGCTCCATGAAACCAGATCCACGGCCCTTGATTTGGACACGGCATCGAGTCTCCTGCTGGATGTGCTTGACATAGGAACCGCCCTGGCCTACGACTTGGGCGCGGAGGTTGAAGCCAGGAATGGGTTCGAGATCTACAGGGATCTTCTCTTCGGGCCATTTGCGCNNTATAAATGGTGTTAAAGACAAGCAAGGAGTGTGTGTTGGGCTCAGAGAATGACTTACACGACCCATGGAATCTCTCTCGACCTGCTCCGGCTCTCTACGACGGAAACGCCTCTCGTCTACGAGATTGGGTAGGTCCTGCTTCATAAGCTCGTCAATCTCGGCCACAGCCTTCTCGAGGCCATCTCTAGTGGTGCTGGTAACGTGGAGGTAAAGAGGAGGGTTCNNTAGACTCGGTCAGCCAGACGAAGCAGATGTCATGGATTGCTAGAAACTTACGGCAGCGGTTGCCATGGCCTTGTCGGGGTAATAGCTTCCTCTAGTGGTAACATCTTTAGGACAAATAAGCCTTGTTCACAAATCGTCAACGTGTGGAAATGGTGCATACCGGCGCCAGTCTTTTCTTTGATCTAGATGTCACACACTCGAGGTCAGCATTTGCAAAACGGGGGTGCCGAGAGGCTGTTGGGCTAGAAGTGAGCAATCTGAAATATCAAATGGTCTTGACCAGGACGAGCGACGTTGAGAGGAGGGAAGAGAGGTGGGAACAGCTATAGCATCAGTGGGGCGCAACGGTGGAAATTTACCATTTTCTGAGTAGAGCCCTTGGTCAGGGTGTAGCGGTTGCGCAGATCGTTGACTTCGATGTCGCGAATGAAATCACCATCTTGGGTGTAGATGTCAGCGTTCAAGCCGCCGGCGGCAGGAGACTGTGTTCCAGTAGCGGAAGGGCTTNNTTCGGTCTGCGCATGACGGGTCAGCGCGGAAACGGGATAGATGTAGGACGAGTTGTTTTGGCGTACAGAACGGATCGGGGGAACGTCGACATGCTGGATGCCCTTGCGAGCTTGGATCTGGGCATTGATCTTTGCAGCAGCAGCGGCGGCAGCTGCAGCAGGATCCTTCGGTGCGGGACTGTTTGTGCCAGAGACGGGGCTGCGAGTGCGTTGACGAGGCTCTGAGGTTCTGTTTCTGGGCGAGCGCGAACGACGGTCGAAGCGAGAAGGGCGCGCATCAGACTCGGTCTGGTCGAAACGCGATCGTTTGCGAGGTTCTTCCGACATGGCGGGAGTGAGTGTATGAAGTGGTTTGCGACAAGGTAGACTTGTTTGGACGAGGCAGCGACAGTGACGGCTTTGCTTGGGCGCGCCAGCGAGTCTTGCGAATATAATCCTGATTAGATCGACGCTAGGCCGCGGATCTATCCGAGATATCATTCGTGGGCCTCCAAACACGTGAATCCTCCGGAGGATGCTCCGTACATGCGATATTGTTCACGGCCACGTCGGAGGATCAAGAACGTTCTCTTATTCTAAAGTACTACTACATACACTCGCTAGACATTGACTTGTGAGAACTACCATGTAAGAAAAGATATTGAGATGTGGCAAGCGCCCTGAGCAAAACATCTTCTTTCCGTGATGATGGTCAAAGATTATTCCAATACTTTACCCAATCCTCTTTCTTAACTCCTTTCCTTGCCTGATTCCTTGTTCCTATAGTACCAGATAGACGTGTTTCGGTAAAATTTGCAACCTATGTAGGGCATGTTCAATGCAAGAGGCTTGCTAAGGCTTCAGGCCTTTTCGTTTCTGTGGTGGAAGGTGCAACTCAGATTATTCAAGAAGGAGCGTACGAGCAGGTGCATACCTGCAAAACTGTAGATCCGAGATGTCGTCTCCTCACAACAACACACCATCATGGCGTACGAGGTTTTCGATTGATAAAGACGAGGGTGCATCAGGCTAACATACAGTAGATTTCGATACCCTCGGACGCTGTATTTCGGTCGTAAGTGTATATCTGACCAGAGCAGCTGCAATGCTGCTTTTGGTATACTGATCACACAATTCCCAATAGATACAAACACCCATGTTGGACGATCATCAACCTAGAATGCTGATCAGTCGATACATGTAGAACACGCATACCACATCGATGGCGGTGAGCCCCGGCGGGTGCTTGGGAGATTGAACCAACCGCACCACCACCAGACGACTTCGACAAATCCGAAGAGTCTCCCAACCCCGTCGGGGGTTCTGTAATAGATCCGTCCCTCCTGCCGCCTCCTCCGGCAACCGTGGTCGCTGCGCCATCATGGCAGATGTGCTGGGAGCCGGCCGTTGATAAGCCATGGGGTGCGAAGTACCAGCATAATAACGAGCTGGATAAGAAGAGGAGGAAGGAGAAGAAAGAGGAGGAAGAGAAGAAGAAAGAGGAGGAAGAGAAGAAGAAAGAGGAGGAGAAGAGGAAGGGAGACGAGGACGACGGAGGAAACTCTGTACCTCAATTCCGATCCCAGATCCAATGCTTCTCTTTGCTGACTCCTGTGGCACTAGGCTGAGCCGGAAAGGAAGAAGCTTAAGATAAAGCTGAAGTCCACGAAGCCTGTTGCAAAGTAAAAAAAAAAAAAAAAAAGGAGGATATACTTACAACATATAAATACCTCGGAGATGGTATCTATGGCTTCTCGAGCCATCGACTGGACGCGCAAATTCTCAAGCAGAGACAACACTACTATCAACTCATCCGCATGGCCTCTTATACGTTAGCTAAGAGTCCACCGCCTGCTGTTGTTGCTTGCCAGTCAAATACCTCGGAGAGGGTATCTACCGCCTGCTGTTGTTGCTCGCCAGTCAAATACCTCGGAGGGTGTAGCCACTGTCGACTAATGCCTTTCGCATTGTCATCTGGTACGTTGAGCAACGCAGTCCGATGTTCCATGATGGAAGTTGTGGGGAAGTCAGACAACAAGAATTTTACGTACGTGGTTGACTGTTCAAGTCTGTGACATCTGACTAACAGTATTCGACAGTGCGGATGCATGTTACGTTCACCCGAGCCTGCTTCTTTGACAAGCATGATGCTCTTAACCTTGCAAGACGACATAGAAAGTCGTCTCATGCTTGGAGATGCTCAGTCCAACTACTGTCGAAGCCAAGCATCGGGAAGTCTTTTGTTTGTTTTGTTTGTTCTACTTGAGGCTCTCATCTCATTGGCTATTGTACTGGTATCCGTGCCTCTCCGCCCGTCCCGGTCTGGGAACAGCACACTGTCGTGACGGAGGTTTCTCGTCTTCTGGATTATCTTGGTCTTTCGAAGAAGATCGGGATCGTTCTTATCTGGAGCTTACATCGCTGCTCAGACTATCGTGTGGTATTAACACGTGGTGTTCATCGGATGAGACTCCGCCTTACTGTACCGGCCATATTCCTTTGATCTTTTCTGCTCAAGGTGACCAGTCAACTATACGAACGCCTTTGACTGCCGACCCTCGAAATTCAAGACATGATGCAACAAACCCTCACGCCCTCTGATTTTCGGTCTTGAGTTCACAGTGTGGCTTGTCTATCAGCCTCATCCTCCACTTGATTGTCAATTTTCTGGGGAGTCATCGGTTGAAGCGCTATCAGCAAGACACCGAAGCAACCTCTTATTACTTTCCTGGTCTCGATCTTGGCAGGTATACCATCAACCTTTCAACGATCTAATCGACGAAATCTACACTCAGTTGAACCAGAACCAGCCTATGGATATGATATGACAGCCTAATTTTCTGTTATCAGACATCTAGTCAATCATGTCGTAGCATGCCTACTTCTTCCATCCTTCGTCTCCGCCTCGACTTGATTCTGTGCTAAAGTCGTATCTCAAATCGGCAATGGGTATCGACTCGTTTACGATGGACAGTTCCACTGGCTTGTTATAGCGGTAGCCACAAGCGAGATGTGACGTTGATCGCGCTGGAGCCCCTAGAGTTTAGTCCGAATCAACGGTACGGCTAGGGTCTGAATCGATTTTCTTCATGACTTTGAAGAGGACCAACAACTCGGCTGCGTGGAATATGCACCCGAGCCTGTGGGTTCTCCTGACGCTTTGAACAGGGACAAAGCACTCAATCTGGAGCAATCGCTCATCAACATTTGATCAACGACCCGTGCATGACTTCTCAAATCCTGGAACGAGGTTCGGCGTATATTCACATCAGCTAAATCACTATACACTCTTTCTTTGCATATATCGCCATTATATGTTACAGAAATCGTCCAACATGTCGGCTGCCATAAAAGTCTTGCGGTCGCGACATGCTCAACACCTCTTTATTGTCGATAACGGTCTCATCGGAGTGACTGCCGCCAGTGGTGTAGCACTTGTGCAACAAGGCGTAGATGTCTGGGAATGGAATCTTGCAACTGATTGCAATCAGCCTAACTGCACACATTGCCCTCCGATTTTCTCAGTCTACGATCTCAGGATGCCCTGCATAACCTCAGCACTCAGCCATCAACGGAAGATCAATATGTTGTACAGTTCATATCGTGGACTATTACCGGATCTACAGTTACTCCTGAAGCACTCTAGCTGTGACCCTCCCACCTTCATAAAAACTAAACAACTGCAGGGTCTCATCACGGCGGTGGTGATGCATAGGACGCTGGACCGACTCGTTGACGGCCAGTGATTCTATGTTCAACAGTGCTACTAAGAATGTTGAGTAGCACTGTTTAAGGATATTTTCGAGAGACATCACCTTGCTTTAGATGAAGAATGTTACAAACGTTGAGGCAAGGAGACATGGATCATCGTCAGCTATTGTCAGTAAGGATAGCATGGCAGAAAGCCGAGACGGCCTGAAAGAAAAACCTTTCCGTCCATCAGAATCCTGGGCGGCGGTCGCTAGATATAACACCACCCTATAGCATATATGCTTTGGCAGAATCACGTTAGATAATGATATAGTGTAGGTTCATTTGATTTCATTGAGTTCGATCTCTCCTAAGGGTCCTGTGTCTGAAGCAAGCTGCTGCACTCCCGATCCATCAAGCTGCTAAGCCACGAAGAAGATGTTATTTGCTTCTCCATTTAGTAAAGAAAACGATGTGCACGTTGCGCTAAGACAATTTGCTTGACCCTTCAGTGGTTGCTACGAACCATGCGAGGTTCAGGCAAGGTCAGCAAGGTGTCTGGCTTGCTGAGAAGTGCAGTAAGAGCGTTCTTCTCTGCCAGGCTTGGCGCCTGTCCGTCTCTAGGAGGCTTTATGCAGGGTGTGTTGAACATGCGACATAGGGAGCAAATGATAGTGCCATTGTTGTCCGCAGAATCACACTCGTCGACACCGGCGAGGCGTCTCTCGTCCATGTTGAGGAGTATGCATCTAAGGCATCGACCTTCTGGTTGACCACGGGACCAATACCAGAAGCCGAGTGCTTTTGAGTCATCTGATTGATGCGATCCGCCGGGAAAATTGCTGTAAGCTCTGCATTGTACTCGTTGACATCCTTGCGGAAAGCCTGAACGTCGAAGTCTGTGGCCGAACTGGCGAACTGCTCAGTCTCGATCCATGTCTGAGCCAGGTAATCGAAGCTGGGATCAAGAATCCTGGCGATGCCGAAGTCCATGAACCAGTCAGGCGCTTGTTGAATTGGTTTCTGTTCCAGATATCGAAGTAACGCGTGCATCTTGGCAAAGACGACAATGCGCCGATAGGATAGCTATCCTGCTTGTCTTTGAGAAACTTGAGCGGTTCGGAGTCTTGCAACCATCTACCCACACGCTGTCCTTGTTGGTTCAACCACTCGACGCGAATGCCAACCGAGTTTGCTTTCTTCCATTCCTTGAAAGGGCCAATAGTAGGTAGACGGGCAAATGGAACCTCGTGCTCACGATCGTTGTGCATGACCTGAAAAACAACATCGTAATCGGTGTCTGCATCAGGTATAGCATTGATCTCCGCTCCGTTGTGAATTAACTTCTTTGAAAGTTGGACGAATACAGTTCCGCCAATACGGACGTGCAATTGTATGGTGGCCCTGGTGGGTGCCTTGCCTTTGGCTTCATTTGACCTTGCGTATTTTCTTCTCACAGGGCGACGATATTCCGTGAACCGACCTGGGAAGGTGACCTTTGTAACAAGATTTGCCTCGATGTCTTCTTCAGCAGCGATAGGCGAGGTGTCATTTAGGCCAACGGCCCTGAAGGCGCTGTCGTCGCATCCACCACGGAAAGCTGGCGTGGCTGCCTTTGCCTTTTGAAGAGCTATATAACGGATGTCAGTAAGCTAGACAGAATGTTATGAGAAACCGGAGCAAGTACCTCATACAAAATTCTTCCGTTGACTTTTCTATCCGCGGATGAACCCAAGTCTGCCGGATCGCCTTCCTCAGCTCCGATCTCGTCGAAGCTGACAGCTGTACTCTTTGCTTCCTTGATGAAGAAAGCCTGAGTTTCCAACAGGACTATGGTGGATTGTTCAAAAGTGGACGAAAGTCAGACTCCTTGAATGTCGCTAGAAACCTGTCGTCGTGGTAGCGTGCTCCATATGCATATTTGTAGTGGTATTCGGTTCGGTTGGGGTCCTTCATGGCTCGGTCGTGGTATCCTTTGCGTGTGTCATTGCCCGTGACACCGGCATAATAGCCTGCAGACTTTTGCGATCATTGGCCCAGTTGGCGTAAGGACGAAGGTAGATACCCTGCTCGTTGGTACCTCTAACGCCTCTACATGCGTTGTTGATGTCAATATAGGTGTAAGGATTTCCTCCGTCGAGGAGCTCGATGACTCTGGGTGAACTTGCTTTGACGGAAGCGAAGTACTTTCTTGTCACACCGTCGGGACCAGCATTGGCTCTGATAGTGTTGACAACCTTCTCTGTGACGAAGGTCAATCTTCGTGCCTGGCACCCTCTCCACACAAACCACCAAAACTTGGACAGTACCTGACAGGTCGGACTGTCGTTGAACTCAGCATTTGCGGTAACTGCTGTGAGATTGGCGAGAGCGGTCAGATTCAAACCACGTCTGACGGTGTTTGTTTGACCCCAGTCGCGGTCGAGACCAACAATTACGATATTTCCGGGAACATAGCCAGCGTGCTGTGTGACGCGAGGTTGATCGTCGTTCAGGACAACCCATACGTAAGTCCAACTTTCAGTAAGCGCCTTGACTCTGCCTCTCGCTGCTTTGGGCACGGTGATAGTGCTCAGGCCTTTGATGTCATTGCGACCTGTGTAGTCTTCCAGAATGATGCATGGCTTGTTCAAAAGAGAGGGCTACTTTTCGCCAGGCTTGAGGAACGGAAAGGTGTCGGGTTTGCCGGGAATAAGCGTACGTGCGGTGGTTGGAGGTGTTGCCGTTGAAGGTGTTGCCATGTTGAGCCTTAGTCTTGAAGCAACTTGCCCCAAGTCAGAGCTGCGCTGAAGGACGACCGAAGTACAGCGTCGGTGAAGACGATGTGGAGTTTCGCCGACTCGCGACTTGGTGTGACTGTTGATGAGCATGGTGAGTAGCTGAGTGTGGATAAAAAAAAGGCGCAAGCATGAGAAGCGGAAGATCTTACCCAAGGTCCAAAGCCGGCTCGAAGAATTGGAAATATCAGAGAGTTGCGACTGAATCGAAGAGCCGCGAAACAAGATGTAGGATGAAATAATTAGACTTGGAACACCTAAGAGTCCCCTGGAAGGACAAGTTGTTGTAGTGTCAAGAAGGAGAAATGAGGGCATGAGATAGATGGTAGAGTGACAGGCAGCAATTGCACAGATGACACGGAAATTTAGTGAAAACAAACAAACCGTCGATTGCTTAGTGAGACAGACAAGACCAAATGTTGAGTGAAAGCAAACAGACAACACTCCGGATAGAATTCCATAGAATCTCTGCATGCAAGACCCGGAGGTTGAGAATAGCTACCTACTTGGCGGCGGAAACCCGCAGGAAAGCACTGTTGGCCGTACAGTTGGTACATGATCCGATCTGTATCTGGTCTTGCAACAAATACCAAAGTTCTTTGCGTTCTAGGAATTGGAACTCTCGGTGTAACGTGTACCAGGGTGCTTTGTTTGAGTCAAAGGGGGCTTTAAGTCGCCTACATAAAACTTTGGTGACAGAATTTCGCCAAGCTTTTGGCCACTGCAAATATGCTTAGGGTGTGCTCGGTTCCGTCTTCGTAATGGCTGCTAGACGGAGGATGTCTGTGTTCTAATGTAGTTAGTATTAACTATAAGCAATACTATAATAATGGAGTGTATGTTTAGGTAGTTAGCACTGTTTTACCTATTCCTAACAAGAGTGCGCACGGTCCAGCCGCCTGTTTGAAGGTGCGCGCCGAAGTCGCCGGCCAGCACGACGAGCTTCTTGATTTTATTGAGCCGTAACACCATCTGACATTCTTGACTCACTTTCTTGTATCACGCCTGTCAAGTCCGTCGCCCTCACAATGGCGTCCAAACGCGTCTGGACTGCCGTGTCGATCGACTCGCTGGCTCCCCGCTACCGTGCTCCCACCCAGCGCTGCTTCTCCCAGTCAACCTCCCGCAGCTCGACGTCGTCGACCTCGGCCATCGCATACAAGGCCCTGCACCGCCGTACATCGCCCCTGCCTCAGGCTCCTACTGCTGCCAACGTCTCGCCCGCTGCAGCCGTCTCCAGCATCCTCTACGAAACCCCGCTACCCTCCCAAGCTCCTCCCAAGCGTCATGTCCTCAACTGTCTCGTTCAGAACGAGCCTGGTGTGCTCTCGCGCGTTTCTGGTATTCTGGCCGCTCGCGGCTTCAACATTGACTCGCTGGTTGTCTGCAACACTGAGGTGCCTGACCTGTCACGCATGACCATCGTGCTCCAAGGCCAGGACGGTGTCATTGAGCAGGCCCGTCGTCAGCTCGAGGACTTGGTGCCCGTCTGGGCCGTCCTCGACTACACAACTGCTCCCCTCGTTCAGCGCGAACTCCTCCTGGCCAAGGTTAGCATCCTCGGTCCTGAGTACTTCGAGGAGCTCCTTGCCCACCACAGAGAGATGACAGATGCTGAGGCCCAGGCCCAGGCTGCTGGCCTCACTCCTGAAGAACTCGAGAACAATGCTCGCGCCCATCAGGAAGCTCTCAGACGAGACTTCCACCCTAGCCGTCTGGCTGCTAGTGAAGCCTTGAGACACAAGCACAAGCATCTCGAGACCATCACCTACCTTACCCACCAATTTGGCGGCAAGGTTCTCGACATCTCAACTAACAACTGCATTGTCGAAGTTTCGGCCAAGCCCCACAGAATTGATTCATTCATGAAGCTCATCGCGCCTTTCGGTATCCTCGAAAGTGCCAGAACAGGTAAATTGAATTCTATTTTCAGACTTGACACCATGCTCACAACCAGTCAGNGTCTCATGGCTCTGCCCAGATCGCCTCTCCACGGTCCCAGCGAAGAGATGGAGAAGGAGGCCGAAGACGTTGTCGATGCCAGCACCCTGCCCCCTGGATAAATGTACACATTTCTTACAGCTCGCGCAACCATCTTTGCTTTTGACCCATGTATGACTATACGAGATCTGCTTTCTATCAATCCTCCAGACTTGCTTCATTACAAGCCATCCTCATGTTTTACACAATCTTGCCCTTGTTCACTACAAAACTTTCCAATGCAGCNTGTTTGCAGTCAGTATTGTGTCAAAACTCCAGAAGTTGTTGTGACTCACAGATAGCGGCCCAGAGACGGTTCTCAGCTTCCTGGAAGACCAAGCTCTTGGGGCTGTAGAAAACTTCATCGCTGACCTCCTCTGGGTGTCGGGGCAGGCAGTGCATGAATTGCCAGCCCTCCTTAGCACCTCCGCGCTTGGCCAGTTCTGGTGTGATCTGGAAACCCTCAAAGGCCTTCAGACGAGCAATCTTCTCTGCTTCTTGTCCCATGGAGATCCAGGTGTCCGTAACAAGAATGTCTGCGTTCTTGACGGCCTCCTCCGGAACAGTCGTCTCGATGAGTGTGCCAGCTTTGGGGGAGGTCTTTGCAGCATCTTGGATGATTTGACGCATAGAAGCGGGAATTTCATATCCCTTGGGAGTAGCGACCGAAATGTCAACACCCAACTTCATAGCACCAATGGCCAGATCGAAAAGCACGTTATTTGCGTCACCAATCCATGCGATCTTCAAGCCCTCGAGACCCAACCCTTGCACATTGGCGGACTGAGATGAAGGGAAAGCTTCGTGAATGGTCAGGAAGTCGGCAATGGTCTGCAAAGGGTGATACAAGTCACTCAGAGCATTGATGACAGGAACGGATGAGTGCTTAGCCAAGTTGGCAACATCGTCGTGACCATTGACACGAGCGACAATGCAAGAAACCATGGATGAGATGACGACGGAGGTATCGTACAAAGACTCATTGACACCAAGTTGAATGTCTTCCTTGCCCAAGAACATGGGATGACCGCCCATAAGTGCAACTGCGCCTTCAGTAGATACACGAGTGCGAGTTGAACGCTTGCTGAAGGTCATGGCAACACACTTGCCGAACAGAGAGCCTTGGAGTGATGCGGGAATCTGGCCAGATTTGACAGCCGTCTTATGAGAGGCTGCATTGCGGACAAGAGTGCTCAATTCAGCCGAAGTCAGGTCGGAAATGGACATAAGATGGCGGGGAGCAAAAGGAGAGGTTGCAGGTTGAGCTGGCGAGGTAGCATAGCCGCGGACAGAGGTTGCCAGAGGCTTGCGCAGGCTACAGGCCCGGTGGGCAGCTCGTAGAACAGTCATTGTTGTTTATGATAACGATTTGGAGATTTTGGAGTCATCGCCGAACACGGCCAACAAGAAGTAGTGCGGGTAGCTATCGATAAGGAAGCTGCGACCACTTGTGGAGTCGGCGGATCGGCGCCTCGGCTCGCCCGCCTGCTTTGACGTTTCGATTCACTCCACGACTCTGGCCCTCTCCACTTCGTCCGCCTCTTGACTCTCTCTCTTCTGCCTGATTGTACACGAGGGCGATGCGCAACTAGTTAGACCATCCTATACACCGGCGCATAGCGCTGACTCAACAACAAACCATCGATCTTCACCTTTCCACATAGCCATGTCAGACACACGCTCCCAACCATCTTCCCGGCCGCAATCGGCCCACTCAGTCCATTCATCACGATCGCACCAATCCGCATCCCGCAATGCCAACGACGAAACTACTCCCCTACTAGCCACCAACAATGATCAGAATGTCGAAGCACAGGATCAAACCGAACCTTCAGCCGAGTCAACATCTCAGTCACGCTCGCCTGCCGTAACTCGCCTGCTGAACCTCTTTCAACCTCAGTCTAAGGGTCAACCAAGATGGTCCAGTCTGTTAGCTCTGCTACTGCTTTGCATTGTTGTAGTACTCATTATGGTCCTGGGATTTCTGGCTCCATCCAAGGTGCAAGAATATGCTGTTGAAGCCGCCATATTCGAGCCTACAAGCTTGTCCATACACTCCTTCACTACCACAGGCGTCACGGCTAGAATACAAGGTGACTTCTCTATGCGCGCCGAAAATGTCAAGGATAAGTCTGTTCGCCGCTTTGGTCGCTTCGGTACTTGGATTGCCAGAAAGGTCGAGACTGGCCAATCGTCTGTTCAGGTCACCCTACCAGACTATAAGGACGCTCTCCTGGGAACCGCTGAGATACCATCTATTGTAGCTGACATTCGCAATGGTCATACCACTCATATCGACTTTCTGACCGAGTTGTCTCCCGGGAACACCGATGCCATAAGACGTCTTGCCAAAGACTTCATCGATGGAAAGTTACAGGAGCTACGCGTATCTGCTGAGGCTTCGGTCCCTGTGAAGTCTGGGCTTATAAATCTGGGGAGACAAATTGTATCGCGAGCTATGGCTTTTGGGAACGATAAGATACCCACCTTGCCAGAGTATAAGATTCATAAGCTCAACTTCCGTGAAGTCGAACTTCCTGATCTTCAGCGTGCTATGGTAGCTGATGTCGCCGTTGAGCTCGGCAATGACTATCCATTGGATTTCACAATTCCCCCTCTTGGCTTCGCTATTCTTGTTGACAACTGCCGGCCCTCGCAACCTCTCATTCAGCTGGCCGATGCCACAACACCAAGTCTCTCTGTCAGACCGGAGGAGAATCTGAATGTCAGTGTCTCTGGTTTTGTAAGAAGACTACCTCAAGTTTTCACCCAAGCTTGCCCCGGTTCTCACGAATCACCCCTTGACAATCTGCTTGGCGGATATATCCATGGAAACGACACTACCGTATATGTCAGAGGCTCGGACTCTCCATCCCTGGACACACCTCGGTGGATCACAGACCTCATGTCGGATATAACGGTGCCAGTTCCTTTCCCTGGACACACCTTTGGGCACCTAATCAGGAACTTCACCATGGCCGATGTCCACTTCGGATTACCCGATCCGTTTGCGGAGCCTAACAGCCCAGAAGCACAACCCAGGATATCTGCAGTTATCAAGGCGCTGGTCGCTCTTCCAGAGGAGATGAACTTCAACATCAGTGTTGGTCGCGTCAGAGCGAATGCAGATGTGTTTTACCATGGCTCCAAGCTGGGATACCTTGATTTGAGTAAATGGCAANAGGCAAACTCAACCCGGATCGCTTCGGCCAAGGACCAAGGGCCTCTTCTGGCAGTACAGTCAGCGATCGAAAAGGCTCCTCTGACTGTGACGGATGATGATGTTTTCACCGATGTGTTGAACGCACTGCTCTTTGGTGGCAAGGGAGTTGAGTTGGGCATTAAAGCGGATGTTGATGTCGAGATGGAGACAGCGCTTGGTCAATTGGCTGTCAGGAAGATTCCTGCCGAAGGCTCTGTGCCTGTCAAACGTTCGTGATCGATTCCCGCATCGTTCGAGCNNAGTCAAGAGAATCATGTAGCTAATATGCGGCCCCTTGTAGCCATCAAACGAGGCGGTGTCGGCTCCTTCACGCCGAAGATCGGCAATCTACAAATACTGGATACGGGCAAGACTTCTCTGACCCTCACCGCATTGGTCAATTTCACAAATCCTACCGAATACAGCGCCACTGTTCCTTTCGTCGACATCAATATCTTGACAAACGGCACATTACTTGGACATGCGACAGCGAAAGATGTGACCGTTGTGCCTGGAAACAATACCAACATTCTCGTCACAGCCGTATGGGATCCTCGAACCCTGGGTGGCGAGGAAGGCCATCGGGTTGGTGTCGAGTTTTTGTCTCAATACATTTCCGGTTTGTGCATTATGCTGAAGCTGATTAGACCTCTGTTATCTAACATATCATAGNGCTTCAACACAACGCTGAGTCTGCGCACTCATGAGGGTACCATACCAGCACAACCATCCCTCGGTCGTGCCTTGTCTAAGTTTGGAGTTGACCTTCCAACTCCAAATCTGAGAGGCGGCGGCGGCGGTGGTGGTGATGGCGACAAGGATGAGAAGCATTTCATCCAGGATGCTACGGTCAGTATCAAGATTGTTGGTTTGGATCGAACATAGCTAACACGAACTCCAGNNATGCATCTCATCACAAGTACAGCAAACTTTGTACTTCTCTCGCCGCTAAAGACATCAACGCTCTATGTCACATATATCAATGCGACAGCCTTTTATCATGAGGATGCAGTTGGACACATCGTCTATGATTTGCCATTTGCCGTGCCTCCGGGTTCCTCGACATCGCCGCGTTTGCCAGTCGACTTTGGCTCCATTGGCTATGATGAGGTCAAAGGAGCGCTGGGTGGGTCGCTCAAAATGGCAGCGAAAGCGACGGTAGGGGTACGGTTAGGCAAGTGGGAAGAGCGGATATGGTACCAAGGAGAGGGTATAGGCGCCAAGATCAGATTGTAATTCCTCGGGACAGTAACAGTAGTTATGGTACAAATGTAATATGCGAGACCAGAAGTTGTTTGACGATCGACATGGTATCCCCAGATTTGACATGTGATTGCGGGGAAATGGGAGACTTCGCTCAGGGTGCTGGGTGCCCAGACTTGTTGTCGCAACTTCATGTGAAGTCAAAGGTTGCAAGAAAGTAGACTAGCAAGTTTGAACGTGTACCTCAACGTAGCATGGAGGTAGGTAGACCATGGTTGGACCAAGGCTGACCGTCTTCTGACATGGCTATACAGTCGCAGGCAGGCAATCGCAAGCGCACGTCGCGCCGGTCGCACACCAATCTCGCCAACCTCAGACTGGCTCCTCTTTCACGAGACATTAGCCCTGTAGATGATGGTATCTCGTCGTCGATATGGCCACACACATCCTACATTGAAGGCAAATCAGCGCCTACGACACCGAGCATCCTCGGTCGCAGCTCGAGTCGGCGACAGCTAGGCGGCGCCGGTCTGAGCCGCAAACTGTCTATCCACGATGCCGAGTACGATCCTGTCCTAATCACGTCTCACGGTGTTCCTCGAAGTGCTCTATGTCCAGATGCGGGAGACCACATCATGCCCAAGGCGAAGAGCGAGGCTGCCTTGAATCAGAGGCCTACTCGTGCTGGTCTGCCCAAGCTACGCACACCTCTGCTTCATCCGCTCTCTGCCTCTCTTGCCGTCAAACCACACGATAAACAACACGACAATGACTGGTTCACTCGTGCGGGCTTAGCCACTACATCCATGTTACGTGAATCCAAGGGACAATCGTGGCTGGCCTCACGCCATTCTTCGACATCATTACAACTCGTGCACTCCTCGGACGACGAAGAAGATGCTTTGGCTAGCAAGAGAGCTGTCTCGCTACAACGCCTCCATTTCGCAGACGATGAGTTCAGTCCCGAGACACCGCGTGCGACCAGCCGATGGGGCAGTAGGTTTGGGAGTCGCGCTGCTAGTGCTCGCAACAGTCGTCGTGGCAGCAGAGTTGGCTTGGACTCGCCGCAACTTGATCGCGATCCCTCCGATTACTTTGGCAGTGCTGCTACACAGCCTCAGATTTCTGTTAGACCTGACTTTGTCGACCCACGAGACAACTCTGATGATGAGGACCCTGAGCAAGAGGTTGCTAGACTGGCGAGAGAGGCTTCATTCGGTTTTGGCCCTTTCATTGATCGTCTTGTTGGTTGGACATTGTTCGATGTCACAGAAGATAGAGAGGCTACTGAAAACGAGACTGAGGACGAAACTCCTACTGCACACGAGAGAGCCGTGCATAAACCTGTACAACCACCGTCTCCCCCCAGACCCAGACAAGCAGTTGCTGGTGCAGACCGGCAGGGCGATGCTGAAGAAGGTGGATGGAGTGATGCAGCTTGGCTGCTGGGTGTTGCCTCAAAGGTCTTGCTATGAGTGTACTATCAAGGACATTGTAACTTTAATTCAACGACTGACGAAATATGTCAACCATGTCCGTTTCTGCCATACCGTCTATGGAGATTTACCCTAGACTTCCGCTCCTCCTTCGATGTCGACTCCTTCAATTCGGCCTTCGAGGAACTCTTTTGCGATGTCNGCAAAGGACATCCACTCCACGCCTTCATGCTTATTGATATAATTTATGATNGCTGGGAGTGTCAGTGCTTTCGCGTCACAATCAAGTCTTGGGAAATCATACCGTTCGTGCATCTTGATGACCTGTGGCTTGCCACTGACTTGCGGATGGATCGACATGGGAAAGATGAAGCTATCATAGGTCTCGTAGGCAAAGTCAAACTGCTCGAGCCACAATCTTTCCACTTCGTGAGTACTGACGAAACCGTTCNNTGCGATTTTTCTCTGTCAGTCTTGCTGCAATAGCAATTAGAGATCAAAGGAAGGGAAGCGAGTTTGACTTACTGTACCAGCTCTTCCCGGCATGGGTTGCAAAGGCGGCCCTTTGTAATCGCTGTCAGTCTGATACTTCCTACCACTCCANTCTATACATCCAGCAAGGAGAACCAAAGCAAAACACTCACAATCATCCACATGCCAATTCGCAGGAATCTCCACAATCTTGCTAGGCCTCAACTTAGTCATCGGCTTCATCCAAGTCTCGGCTTCCTTTTTGGTATCAGTTTCTACCCACTCGTGACTTCCATCCGGCGCAAAATAAGGTTGCAAGTCATGATGCATGAATGAATGGTCATACACGATGCCAAATTCTTCGAGCAAAGGAATGAGTTGTTTGCTAGTGTCCCAGGCAGGTGCTGTATAACCCAAAGGCTTTTTGCTGGTGAAGTTTGTGATTACCGAGATGGATTTGGCGAGGACGTCTCTCTGCTGAGAGACAGAGAGTTTGGAAATGTGTTCGTGGGTGTAGCCGTGCAAACCNACTGTGGAAAAAATCAGTTGCTGTTGCTCTTTCTTGATGCTTTTTGGGTTTGTTTTTACGTACATTTCATGTCCGGCTTGTTTGACTTTTGTCATTTGCTTGGGAAAAGACTCGATGGTGTGGGCTGGTGTANNCTGTGGCAGTTCCTTCAAGTCAACAAAGGCTACTTTCTTCAGCTAGACTACCCAGACGAACAAGAATGTTGCCTTTATATCGTGTTTGTCGAATAATTTGAGTAGTCTGTCCAGACCCACAGTTGCTCCGAATATGCCTCGAGAGACATTGGTGCTGTTCTGTGCACTGCCGTCTTGGGTGTTTATNCCTTGGTTGCTTGTAAGTAGTGAAGAGTATAGGCAAAGGACCAAGGTAACTTACCAGCCTGATACGGCATCCACATCGACTGATGATTGTTACTTGGTCAGGACTCGAACAAAAAACATAGTGGGGACACTCACCACCATAGCCAGCCAGAACTCGTTTCTTGCCCATGATATTGTTGCGAGGGTAGTTACAGGGATTATCTGTGTAAGGTTTGGCTGGACGATTGTATGTAAATCCACTCCGGTATGCGAATAGATCTATTATTATAAAGCAACTTTCTCGTGATGATAGAGCGTTTCAGATATCGACTCCTCAACTCTGAGATATCGAGGTGAGGGGCTCAGAGGATGCGAGTCTACCTATCGGAGGTTCAAGGCTTCCCAATTAGGAAGTCACGGCCAACCCCACTCTTGTCCTTGCCCGAGGCCTTGAAACTTCCAACCACCACAGAACACACTTGATCTATCTCCAATACTTGGAGAAAGAATCAGAAACGAATAGGAAAGAGATACACAATGCTAGAGATTACATGCAAAGGTTCGCCCTACGAGGTCAGTTTGCCTTATCTCCAACATCTACATACCAAAACGCAACAACTGACTATAAGAAACAACAGANTAGGCCACCAACACGGCACACTCGCAGCCTCTCAGATTCAAGGCAGCATATCCTTCTACAGCCACCTTTTCCAGCAAACCGCAAAACTCTCATGGGCCCAAGTACAGAAAACAGCTCTGGAATTCAAACAAGTGATACAACAAAACTGGCCAAACTATCTAGAAGAAATGCAAGGAATGGCAGATGGAGCGAACAAAACACTAGCTGATATTATCGCATTGAACGTACGCACAGAGATCAATTTCGGGCTGTTTAGTGATGGGTGTACTGCGTTGGCTTGGTTGCACGATGAGGAGAGTCTTTTGGCCCAGAATTGGGATGTAAGTGATGACAACAAAACCCATATCTTCTCCTAAGACCTCGAACCAAACTGACCCACAAAAACTCCAGNNTGGATGACCGAACAAAAAGCAAACCTTGTCCTCATGACTATCCACCAATCAACCAAACCCACCATAAAAATGGTCACCGAAGCAGGTCTGATCGGTAAGATCGGTTTGAACTCTGCGGGTGTAGGGGTGTGTCTCAATGCCATCAGAGCAAAAGGCATGGACAAGTCTCGAATGCCTTGTCATCTGGGCCTGCGTGCAGTGCTAGAAAGCACTTCTTGCAAAGAAGCAGTCGACACGCTTCAGAAATATGGTATAGCGTCTTCATGCCATATGTTGGTGGCAGATTCGAGTGGTAGCGTGGGATTGGAGTGGAGTTACAAGGACTTGCAGATCTTGGAGATGAACGACAGGAAACAGGTCTTCCACTCTAATCATTACCTTGTGCCGCATTCAGGAGTCTCGGATACGGTGTGGTTGGAGGACAGCAAATTCAGGATCAAGCGCATCCAGGAGATTTGTGATGAGCTGGGTCATTCGCCGACAATGACAGAGGTGCAAGCGTTGTTCAAGGATGAGAAAAATTACCCGTATGCCATATGTCGAGCTCAGGAGGATGGCAACCATTCTGGAACGCTATTTAACATTGTCATGGACTTGAAGACGAGAAAGGCTTCGGTGATTTTAGGAAGGCCGACCGCACCAGAAGGAAGTTATGAGATAGGCTTTTGATATGTAGAGCTACTTACAGAAGATGTATCAACGAAACAGATATAGAGCAACGGACACCGCCGACCATCTTATCACAGCTAGTCGAGAGATAGAAAGCAGAACAAGGGTAAGACGAACATGGACGTGTAGCCATAAAGCAGACAGAAGACAGCGATACTCACTCGTAGTTGAGCTCATCGTCCAACCACGCCCTCCACATGGTTTGGTACTCCTTGTGTTTGTTAACAGCATCCTTGGCTTCTTGGTCAAGTTCCTTGTGAGCCTTTTCGCTTTCTTTCTTGATCAGTTTACGAAGACTTTCAACCTCTGGGTTCTTGCGGGATGGTGGGTTGAAGCTATTGTCCAAGGCCTCCAGACCAAATTGAGTTGGGAACTTTGAGTCGTGAAGGATTTGTGCTCCGATCTCTGCAATCTTTTGGCGAACGTCTTCCCAAGCCTCCCAGAGGGATTCGAGTTTATCTCTCTGCTTACGGAGCACCCGTTCGAACTCTGTCACGGTCTCACCAATCATTTTTGTTCCATCGCGGACAGTGTTTCCGGCAGGATCATGGTACTTCACCCTGACAGACTGATCGGCAAATGGGGTGCACATTTCTTGGGCAGCTTCAATGGCGTGAGTGATCCGAGTGTTCAATGCATCGGGTCCGAGGGTAGTTTCTTCAAGCTTTTGAACGAGATCCTTGTAGGCATGAGCAGTCTTCTGCTCAGAGTCATTGACTACATGGCTCCTGTAACTGTTGAGAATCTCTGAAGATGTGTTAGTAAGCAGCGATGAGGAAGATAGGAATGTCAGACTGCCATANCCGTTTGATTCGTCGGCGAGAGTGTACTTTCTGGGTGGTGGAGAAGAAGAAGGTTCGCGACGAAGACGGCTCTTTCCTAGACCACTTCTCTTGCTTTTGGGTGATGATTCTGTGCGCTTGTGGACTCGATCGTGTTTGGCCTTGAAGATGGCATTGGTTGTGACGTATTTCTTTTCCTTCTTGCTCTTGTTGGCTTCGGAGGGTCGATCGTGCTTTTTGTGGACAGTAGAGGAAGTGTGACCGCGACGGTGCGTAGCAGCAGTCATGATTGCAAATGTTTTGATGGTTGTGAGGTGCGAGAAGAAGACAGATGTAGATTAGATGTGGGTCAGGCAGAAATCACATGTGGCAGTCGCTCCTTCCCACTCGGAACCATGACAAGTCACATGTCGCCAATACAGATGAGAAGATCAGGCAGTGAGCAATTTGCCGATTAGTGTACAAGCTGATGATACAAACCCTCGAAGAAGTAGACTTATTTACATTGCTTCAAGCACTCTACTCTGCTGGGACCAAAACGTCCTTCTCCTCGAGCAGCTTGGCCAATGATCCATCCTGGTGCATCGACATGAGAATATCAGTTCCTCCAATGAACTCCTTGTCAACGTAGAGCTGAGGAATGGTGGGCCACTCTGAGTACTCCTTGATTCCTNNGTATTTCGTGTATCAGCATGTGCCCAATACACAGCGGCTGCTTATCGACTGACCTGATCTGAGCTCCTCGTCCTCAAGAACGTTGAAAGCAGTGAACTTGGCTGGGTTGACGCCCTGCAGGCCGAGGATCTGAATGCTTGCTCTTGAGAAACCGCACTGGGGCATCTCGGGNGTACCCTTCATGAACAGGACAACGGGTGCCGACTCAACAGCCTTGTCGATGGCTTGTCTGGTCTCTTGCGACAGCAGGCGGGTCTGAAGGGAAGCAAAGCGTGACGAAAGCAGAGGGTTGTGGCGAGGGCGGAAGGCGGTGCGGAAGACCTGTAGGACTGCGCATGAGTACACGATCGAATACTGTGACCAGACGACATACCGCTGATGCTGCTGATTTGGCTGCCATTGTTTCTTGTGGTTGATGTGAAATGAATGATCAGTAAGATCAACTTCTTTGCGATAGACCTCACTTTGACGTCTGTCTTGCCCGCTCCGCCAATGACGCCGAACCATTTCAAAGCAACTCGTTCGCATGACTCGTGAAACACTTTCTGATCAGCGACCATCAACTTTAGACACCATCCATCTTTTCTCCATACTGATACAACATTAACATGTCAAAGACACAAACATTGCGTGCATCCGACCACCAGAATGATGGTCGTCCGCACGTCTTGCTAGCATGCACAGGATCCGTCGCGACCATCAAAATACCTCTGATCATTGAAGCCCTTTCGCATCATGACATTTCCATGCGCTTGATATTATCCTCATCAGCCAGCCAATTTCTCCGAGGACAATCTGCCGAACAACCTTCTATTTCATCTCTTCTCGAAATACCCAATCTCGAAGCTGTATACACAGACGAAGATGAATGGTCCCAGCCTTGGACTCGAGGTGCAGACATTCTACACATCGAGCTACGGCGCTGGGCCGACATAATGATAATAGCTCCTCTTTCCGCAAATTCCATGGCCAAAATGGTTGCTGGTATGGCTGACAGTCTGGTCATGTCTGTGGTACGCGCTTGGGACACGACTGCTTTGTTGGATGCGCAACGACCGAACCTACCTTCATCGATTCGTACATCGACAGGGAAGAAGCCATTGTTGGTTGCTCCTGCTATGAACACTGCCATGTGGATTCATCCTGTTACTCACAAGCAAGCTGCCGTTCTGGAACAAGAATGGGGGATTGACGCTGGAGGCTGGATCAGATTCATCAGGCCTGTTGAGAAGGAGTTGGCATGTGGTGACACTGGAGGAGGCGCCATGCGTGAATGGAAAGATGTCGTTACCATCATCCGCCAATATCTGGATGTCGAAGCTCCCAGTGCTACAGATAGACGGATACCGTAAAATCACATCACTAATTAGACCAAACCGCACACATGAAGTTTTAACTTTTTTGGATTGGATCATTTCTTCTAGCCTTCGCCTCTAGGGAATTCAATGCCGGTCTCGATGCCGCTGACCCTCACCATCACTGCCGTGACTCTGATTTCCAGTAAGAAGAAAAAGACAGCCATCATCATAACAACTCAACTCCAGCTTTTAGTAGATTGAGAGAGACCCCTTTGCGCTAGTATTGAACAAGAAAGAGTTAAAGTAAACATGAAAGGGTGCGGGGATTGAGAATAAACTAAGACGTCGTGGGTATAAACGTTTAGGCCTCGGTGGTGGTGGGACGGTTCTGCTGGCGGCGTTCCTGGTTGTTGCCGCGTTTTTGGTTCTGGTTGCCCTTCTGGCCGGACTCTTGAGTGGTGCTGGCCTCGGTGCCCATGGTAAGAGCAGCGGTTGCGAGGCGGTTTGACAGATCGATTTGGGTGCGGATGGTGTTGGCGAGGTAAGAGACGAGGAGAACATCTTGGATGTGGTTGTTGCTGTGAGAAGACAATTAGCAAAATACAGACAAGACACAAGCGAAAGTGCAACGTACAAGNTCGCGCTCAATGTCCTGAGGGTCGACCTTGGGAGCCAGAGACAGAGTGTTCATGAGGAATTGACCCAGAGCAGAGCTGGGCTCGGCCTCCTCGTCCAGAACGTTGCTCACGTAGTTGGAGACACGCTCAATCATCTCGAGAACCTGCTCAATGGCGCGCTCCAGCGACTCAATGTCGGTCTGCAGCATCTGCGAACGGTCCTCTCTGTCCTTTGCTCCCGAAACCAGCTCGAGACCGCTGCGCTCAGCCTCGCCATACTTGATCTCGTGGGGAACAGGGATGAACAGACAGCTGTCGGCGGCGCGCTCAGCGGTGACACCAACAGGGGCGGAGATGTATGTCTTGGCCTCAATGTCCTTTCCGGGCACGGTGGAGACGGTCAAGTGAATGGCGGGGTGGGGCCAGGTGCCGTCGCCTTGCTGGCCGTAGAAGTTCTGGATGAGAGCGGAGAAGGTGTTGAGGTCGGAAGAGGTGGCATACCAGCCGAGGAGGACCTCCTTGGGGTTTGCGCGGAGGTGTAGCTGGAGCATCTGCTTCTGGTAGTCCATGTCGACCTCGACCTGCTCCTGGGTCTCAGTGTGGGGAACGGCGTAGCAGTTGCGGATCTCGACTTCAGTTCCATCTTCAGAGCGAACACCGAGAAGAGTTCCGATAACGCGCTCCTGGTCCTGGGGTCTGCGAAGCGAGTGGTCGAGGATTGCGAAAATGGCCTGGGGCTGGATGCTGACGTTCAGAGGAGCGGTCGAAGGCTGGGTGCCGATTTGAACGGGGCCCAGAGGGCGGGCAAGGTGAAGGAACGAGTCTTGGGCCATGATTGCGTTGGCGATATGAGCTTGCCGTCGTCTAACTCGAGCACCCTGTCGTTGTGGGAAAAGGCAAAGCCTGAACTTTTCGGCCACGGATTCTGCCGCGCGACCGCTGCTTGCTCCAGACACGGGCGATCGGACTTAAGAAACGAGCCCTCGACTTTTTTTATTCTTCACCAAGTTGACGTCAATCACAACAACTCACAATGGCTCCTTTTGCAGGAAGAGGTGGCTCACGAGGTGGTTCACGAGGTGGCCCGCGAGGCGGTTCAAGAGGAGGAAATAGGGGTGGTGGTAACTTTGGTGGTCGTGGTGGCAGCAGTTTTGGTGGCCGTGGTGGATCTGGATCAAGAGGAAGAGGTGGTTTTGATCGCGGCAATAGTCGAGGCGGCAGTCGGGGAGGAAGGGGCAGAGGTGGAAGAGGTGGAAACAGATTTGGCAGGACCGAGTTCCGCACAAGCAGAGTCGACGAGCCAGAGGACCAACCTTTTATTGAGGATCAAAGCGAATCTGACGACGAATCTATGGACGACCAAGACGACAATCCAACAGAAGGAAGCGACGACGAAGACGCTCCTGCTTCAAAAGTTCGCGCATACAACGCCCTTCTCCAATCTTTCCAGCAAGAGTCAGACNGAACCCCGTCGCAAGCGCAGAAAGATTGAAGAGACACCAAGGACGACGAGAGCGACGAGGAAGAGGACGTTGCTTCGGATGTTGGTTCAGACGTTTCAGGAAGTCAAGATGGGACTCAAGACGACGAACAAGCAGATGAAGAAAGCGATGCCGGAATCGACCAGGACGAGGACGAGGCCGACGACGTCGATGAAGACGAGGACCCAACAGATCCCTTTGACCAACACTTCGCCAACCCGGAAGCTAACGACCTTACTAAACGTCTCAAATCAGTCACCGATAACCAATGGCGCTCGGAAAAGCTCAGGGTCTTGAAGGATGGCAGTTTGACCATTTCTCTCCCCGAATCTGCTCCTGCCTCGTCACGCAAACCCCTCAAGTCTGTCTCGCAACTCAAACTCAAACAACGCATTGCAGAGCCGGCGACGAAACATATTGGTACTTTGAGCGAGCTGGGACAAGCAATCGCACCTTCAATATATGCATACCAGGATGTGCTTTGCGGTGCCAGAACTGTCGAAAACGCTTCCGAGCTTAGACACATGGCTGCTCTGCATGCTCTCAACCACGTCTACAAGGGCCGCGATCGCGTACTAAAGAACAACTCTCGTCTAGCTACCGCAGAAGCAGATGCCGACCTCGAGCTACGAGACCAAGGCTTCACCCGACCCAAGGTTCTCGTATTGCTCGAGACTCGCAGTGCTGCGGCAAAATACGTTGACGCCTTGATCGCCCTCTGTGAACCCGAACAACAAGAGAACAAAAAGCGCTTCGAAGACGCCTTTGTACTGGACGAGTTGAAATTTGGTGGTGAAGGAGACTCACATCCTGCAGACTTTCTCGAGCTGTTTGAGGGCAACGACGACAATGACTTCCGTTTGGGCATCAAGTTCACCCGCAAGACTATGAAATTCTTCTCACAATTCTACGCTTCGGATATCATCCTTGCGTCGCCTCTTGGTCTTCGCCGTATCATCGAACACACTGATCCTAAGAAAGCCGACAGCGATTACCTATCCTCAATCGAAATCTGCATAGTGGACCAAGCAGATGCTATGCTGATGCAGAATTGGGACCACGTAGACTTCGTCTTCCAACACCTCAACCTCCAACCCAAAGATGCACACGGCTGCGATTTCAGCAGAGTGCGAAACTACTATCTCGACGGCCAAGCCAAGCACTTGCGCCAAACCATCGTTTTCTCTGCATATGTGGCTCCTGAGCTCAACCGCCTCTACAACGCACACATGCTCAATATTGCCGGCAAAGCAAAACTCACACCCTTCTATCCTGGCGTAATTGGCGAGATCGATCTGGAAGGCATGAAGCAGACCTTCTCTCGCTACGACTCAGTCTCACCTCCCACCGACCCAGATGCCCGCTTCAAATACTTCCNNAACACGGCCGTTCTACCCTCTCTTCTTCGTGTGCCAAAGCCTGCAGACGGTGGTGCCGGCATCCTCCTTTTCATCCCATCATATCTCGATTTCGTGCGAGTAAGAAACTACTTTGCCAATTCGAACGAGACACAACACATTTCCTTTGGCGCCATCAGCGAGTATACACCTGTACCCGATCAGCGACGTGCACGCAGTCATTTCCTCACTGGTCGCCATAGTGTCCTTCTCTACACTGGCCGTGCACACCATTTCCACAGACTGAGGCTGAAGGGTGTGCGAAGGGTTATCTTCTACGCTCTACCCGAAAACCCAATATTCTATGCAGAAATCGCAAGAGGATTTTTGGGTACCATGGTTGCAGAAGGCAAACTGGACCCCACTGAAGCTGGTGTGAGGTCGATCTTTTCCAAATGGGATGGTTTGAGGTTGGAGCGTATTGTAGGAACCAAACGTGTTGGTGCCATGTTGAGAGATAAAGGTGGCGATACTTTTGATTTCGTCTAATCGGGCTTTGATTAGGTTATAATACTATAAGCATCCAATTCGCAAGAACCACAGGTGCACTTGTTGCCTCTCACATCTGCGTTTTGTAGTTCTCTCCATCGTTCCGTCTCTGTGTTTGCATGTTTTATAAATTTGTCCTTTGGATTCAGCAGTGCTGCGTAGCAAAAACTGTCAAATACTCCCATAGTACGTAGTTAGGTTCAAAGATGTTCGAGATGAGGAAATTTGACGACAACCCCGGTTGCTCGAATATATGTGAGTGAGTGTTTGTGTGTCTCCTGTCCTTCTCAAGGAGCTCGCTGCAACCACTGTCTGGTGTCTTTAGTCTCTTTTGCCGGATTTGAGCAATCAACTTCTGTAGCTGTGGTATGCAGACTGAGGGGTTGTTGGTGGTTTGACTGCGCAGTCTATTATTGTTGATTTTCATATGAGGTGCTGAGTTGAAAGCATGAGTGACGAGGTCACAATGGCTGCATTAAAAGGTTAGTGGACAAAGGGACATTTGATGTGGCAAACATTGGGCTGTAGCAGGCAAACAGAGGGAAGCTTTTGGTTTTATATGTACAAAAGATCACTCTTTTACTTATTCTACAAGTATAATCATACACTCATTGCGTGTACGCCTTTAGTAAGCTCATTCATGCCGTCAGACCCAGTCTTATCCTTCTCGCTCTGTGGTTTGGACGTTTCTTCTGATGTCTGAGGTGTCTTCTGTTGTTGCGTTTCATCAACTCGCTCTTCTTGCAGACCTTTAGCAGCACTTTTCCAAATCTCACGATCCACAGCTCCAAGGTTGACTTTGCCAAGATGTCGTTTGGTCACCTCATCGGCCTCGAACTTTTCGTCGCGCATGCGGATAAACGTCCCCACTGCCTCATTGGCCTTGCCGAGTCTGGCGTATCCACCCAGCAGCGTATTCCAAGTGACCTCGTTGGGCGTCTGTTTGCGCTCGCGCATGTACGTGAGCACCTGTTCTGCAAGCTCCATCCTGCCGTGTTTGGCAAAGGCGTGCAAGAAGATGGACCACGAGCGAACGGTAGGTTTGCTCTGGGAACGGGTGTGCGAGAAGGGTGTTTGCATGTCACGGATGACTTCAGCGGCGTGAGCGAGTCCCGAGGGATCTTGGGCAAAGGCCAACAAGAATGCATTGGAGACGTAGTCTTTNTGAGCCAAGAAGACGAAAGGGCTTATGTTGTGCTCGGCGAGTTTGCGCCATCGTCGATATAGGTCGTGGATATGGCTCATGTTTCTGCTCTGTGATTGACTGGTGTGTCGAAGGTATGCTCCGATCATAATGCCCATAGCCGGCAGAGTGGGTTTCTTCCTGTTCGAGGACTTGTTCGCATATTTCTGGGCTAAGATTCCAAGACTTATCAAATCAGATGTGTCGAAAAGCTGACTGTAGGCCTCGGAAACTATGGAAAAGGCATTCTCAGGATCGATTTGAAAGTGATGTAGATAGAGACAATGTATAATCTCAGTGGCCACAACATAAAGGTTTCGTACTTCGACATCTGCGATGGCTTGACGGATAGTGGTGTTGAGAGTTTCTGAATCCTCGATTACCGTCTTGCAACCCTTGAGCAGAATAGCATGGGTATACTCGTCGGCTTTGAGGTCGTTGTCGACAAGAGAGTGGTAAATACTAAAAGCTGTCTTGAGGTCGCCGGCTTCGACAGCGTTAAGCATAACGATATTACACAGCTGGACATTGAGCTTGACACCGATGTCAGACAGATTCTGGACCAAGCGAAGACTAACACGAAGGCCATCAGGTTGATCAGCAGCCTTTCGGAGAATGGTAGCACAGCAACTCTCAAACTGCTTAGAGCTGACATCGGCTCCGTCTGACACTGCATCCAAAAGTGTATCTAGAGCCTGGTCAAATCGTCCATGATGAGCTAGATAACTGGTAAAGTGTAGACGGGTGTTCCAATGCAAGAGTGTTCCGCTAATGCTGATGTGTTCGAAGAGTTTCAAAATCTGTTCCTGGGAGCAGAACTGCAGAATTTTGCGGAAGGTGTTGCCACTGATTTGAAGTGGTGAGGTGCCCGGACGCTCCATGATGGTACAAGCAACATGGATCAGATGGTTGCGGGTTCCGTCAGAGAGGGAGTTTTTGTGATAATGACCAACAACATAACTCAGAGCATCGGCTACGTACGCAGCAGGCATGTACGGAGAGACATGAGTAATTTCCAGCAGGCGTAGAGTGTCATCGACAGAATTGGCCAAGGTCCAGAGCAAAGCATGCATCCATTTCCTCCGCCATTGATCACCTAGCAATCGTGCCAGCTCTTCCTGGTCCTTGAACTCGTTTGCGTTGAGTATTTGTGCAGCCCACTTCTGTGAGCGAAAGTTGAGGTTCGGCGTTGTCCTTGGAGTAAAGGTGTGGTTCAGGCGAGTATCGTGGCGGGCATTCAATTTGGCAAAATGATGATTCCAGTATAGGGAGTGGCCATCGGCAGAAAAGGCCAGCTCCTCTGTCTTATCATCTGCAGGTTTATCTCGAGCCTTCCGCCTCACGGGTCTGCCTAGAGGAACGTATTTCATCCTTGTGGTAGAGGGTCGCTTAGCGACAGTCCAGCGAGACTTGACAAGGGCCTGAGAAGTAGACCAGCGCTGGAAGAAAGCTTTCTGAACATCGGCACGCCTCAGTCTGCGCTTTCCTTGTACAATATCTGCTGGCGGCTTCTCATCCTTCTCTTCCTTCACGTGCTCCTGATGGTCATTGTCGGGATCTTCTTGCAGCGGAGCAATGGCACTTTCGTACCACTGCTGCACTAAGAGACTCCGAGCACTCTCATACTTCGGACGGGTCGCACGGGACTGCCTTGCATGCTTGCACGAGGTTGTGGAGAAAGACTTCTTTTGCGGGCGGGAGGTCGATGAGGACTGGGGCAGCGATCTGGGCCAGGGCTGAAAGACTCTCGGGGCGAGGNNGAAGGGCAGGACGAGTTGTTCAGCTTCGGCCACAAGCTTGACGTGTCGGGCGGCGCATCGTGGCATAGGCGGGCATCGACAGGGCGGAAGCGGGTGGTGGATACAAGAAAGTTGGACCGACAACTCCATGACTTTCTGGCACATCCCCAACTTTCTCATCGTGTTTGATCTGTTTGCTTCTCCACCACCGAGCAGCTACCAACTTTGCGACGAGTCCCTCTACTACATCACTACAATCCGCCTTCGTCTTTTCGACTCATAAAACGCTCTTCAGACCTACTCATCATGTCTGGAAATCTCTCAAGCGCTGCCGAAGACCGCAAAGCCCGTCTGGCCGCCCTCAAATCTCTCAAGCGCAAACAACCTTCAGAACCCACAGAAACAGACGACAACACCCACACTGAACAGAATCCTTTCCAAGATGAGCTCCAAGACGTTTCTTCCACAATACTCTCGGGCCGCAACTACGATGCCGCAACGCGCGCTCCAAAACTCGGTTTCGAGAATGATCCCTCAGCCCAAGAAAACACCCTGGAGAGAAAAGCACAGGAGCTGGCAGAAGCAACAAAGAAGCAAGCAGAGCAGGAAGATCAACAAGACGCACCTTTAGATCTGTTCAAGCTGCAGCCCAAAAAGCCAAATTGGGATCTGAAGCGCGACTTGGATCGCAAGTTGGATATCTTGAACGTGCGCACCGACAATGCCATTGCAAAATTGGTGAGGCAGAGGATAGCTGCTACCCAGGCCGAGAAGAGAAAAGCTACTGGTGCGACAAACAATGAGGGTGAAGCTGTTGGTATGGAAGGCGCAGAGCTGCTCGAAGCTACCAATTTGAGAGAAAAGGAGGATGAAGAAGAAGCCAGAAGGGAGGATGAAGCCCAGGCCGACCTTTTGGATGGCAGCTGAGCCCTTGCAAGTCACCTCCTACGACAATCTTGCACGCATCTGCCTTCTTCCATGGCCTTTGTCTGGCGCCAAAAACTGTCGCAACTACTACATCATCCTTCCTTCTGCAGCTGCGAAGACACACTTCATCGCGATGAGTCACTTGCGAAAAGACGCCCGGCTAGTGCACTGCTATTCAGTTTGGCAGTGGCCTATTCAATACACGGGTTGTTGATCAAATGAATAGAAACAGAGAACAATCGAGTCGTCCCTCCTTCATCATGCGCCTAGAATGTCCTAAGCCTAAAAGCAAAACTCCTGTGAAAGCGGTGGTGGTATCCTAAACGCTAAAGCAAAGAAAGCAATCCGCCCGTAGCAATGAAAAGAGAGCAATTTACAATGTGAGATAAGGAAATGGAGAAAGGAAAAAGAAAAATGGAAAGACCATCTGTGAGCAGGATGGTCGGGGCAGTGGAAAGCAGTGGTGCACACTTAACCAAAGGCCCAGACAAGTAGGAAACTTGCTGCTGCGACATCTACAATCATAATACCAATTACCAATGTAGCAATGGGCCAGCGAGGTTTCTGTCTGCCAAACACTGCACAAACGCCCGACACGGCGAAGGCCAGACTTGAAGCGACTGCCAACACGACACCAGCATCAACTTCAGACGCTAGCTTTCTCTTGCCAGTAGCCACTAGTATGTAGCCAATGCAGAGCAGNAGCATCGACGCGACCAAACAGGTCGCTGCTAGTTGTGCAACCCAGTCAGGTTGCTGGTGGTATGTTGCAGGATTGTATCCAGAAGCCTGGTTCGTCGGTTGGCTCAGTGTTCCATATGAGCGCTGTGAAGTACGCCTGGGAACGTGTGCTTCTTCGTCTGAGGAACTCACCGATTCCTCTGTCATGCCGTGATCGTTAGTGCCATCGTGACCAAGCAGAGACTCTTGGTCTGAAGGCTTTTTCTTGGACCAAAGGCTGCAGATGCGACGCCATGTCTTGGTGGCTGACGAGATTTCGTTCGGGTCAATGTACAAGACGTAAGCGCCCTCATCCTCTGAGCCAGAAGGATCATCATATTCACTCCAGTACATTTGCTTTGGTAGAGCACTGCCAGCCCTGTCATAAGCCGACTTTCTCTTCTTGCGGAAAGCACTGAGGGGAGGTGTCTCCAACTGGTCGGGGATCTTGACCCGAGGAGGCGATTGATCCTCCACTGCGGTCACATCACCAGTGTGATCGCCTACAGATCCAGTCGAGGTTGACATCTGAGGTGTAGTAGACTGAGAACCATAGCTGGAGTCGTTGTTGTACACCCTACGTCTGCTTGCCGCTGTTGGCACTTTGCGGACGTCCCGTTGCATCAGGGGTATCCAGAATGGAGGAACAACATTCTCAGGCTGACAGCAGTACCATACTGAGTGGTACTCGAGCGAAAATCCACGAACGCGTTCGACAAGATGACTCTGATCCAGGACCTTGACAAGGGTGCTATTGCGAAATCCTTCCTGTCTCACGCGAAGTACTGCAAAGGGGAACTCTGCACTCATAGATTGAGAGGATGTATCCTCGAGAGTGTTTGTCAAAGACTCTGCTTTCCGCATACGGATACCCTTATCCAGTGTGGCAAGAATGAACCCGCTCGAATCAGTAGCCGTCTCAGCAAAGCGCGACCGGTTGGAAGCGATGGTAGTCAGTGGTTTGATGGTTCTTTGCTGAGCTATCCAGGTACGCATGCTTTCAACGGCTTCAGGACTCATGTCTTGGGTGATGGAAGACTTGCGGAATGATGTGGTTGAAGAAGGCTCTATGACAGCAAGAACATTCTTGCGCTTGACCGACACCTTCTGGATGTCCCGCTCATCCAATTGAGCAGTAACAATGGCATCTTCAGATTTAGTCCATCTCGCATGAACAGCTGCCTCTTGGAGACGACTTCCTACAGTCTCCTCGCGCTGCTCGAATGTAGAAGAGCTCTGGCGTGCAATGAAACTTTCGAGATCGTCGGCAACGAGCACAGTGGTATCGGCTTCTATGGTACTACTGCCTCTTCTACCTGTCGAAGATGTGATACTGTTCTGACGGGATAGCATAGGCGAAACTGTTGCCGAGGGTAATGTACGGGTGGGAAATGATCGAGCGTGTTGCAAGAGTAGGATTTGAAGTTCGACGATGTTGTCCGGATGTACCCAGTAGACAGCGTTCTTGCCGCTACGACCAAGAGGCGATGTGGAGAAGTACGAGTCAAACTCGACAGATGAGCTCGACTCGATGATAGATCGGATTTGTGCAGAATTATCTTGAGTACCAGCGTCGACTGGAAGTCTGTCTGGTGCTCCGCTGATGCGCTCATGGTACAATGTCCTCAATGCCGAGAGCGTATCTTCATATTCAGTATACAAAGGGTCCATGTCAATCTTGGTGAAGCTGGAGGTCTCGCCCAGGACGTGTCTGTTGAATTCGGTCTCGAGGTCTGTTGAGCCGGTCCACTTCTTGTGTTTCTTTAGAAGCTTACGAAAGGCGGTCTGTTGGGTTTTCGAGAAGCGCGACAGACATTGTAGTTCATCACCAGCCCTGCCGTGTATGTCAGTACTGCTCGGGCCCGCAGATGCTTTTAGATAAGCTCACTTGAGGATGTCGGCCTCGAGGCGACCATACTTTTCAAGACGCCTGGCAGGTATGCGGCCATTGACGGCGGGTTTTGAAGCCAGTAATGTGGTCTGCTTGCGGAGGTGGTCTGCTNNATTGTCAATGGACGCTGTCGTGCTATGTGCCGATTGTGTTGAGGATGAGCACTCACCCAGCCGCCTCTCGATCTCGCCCGTCTTACTCTTCACAAACAAGGTGATTCTTTGATGCTGTTGTTGTAGGATGCCATGGAGATTGTCTTCAAGCTCTTTCCCTCTCACATCGCCGGCACCCGGGATAGAAATGCTGTTGCCGTTCCCCGCGGTTGTGTTCTCCTTGATGTAGTGCTTCACGTCATCGTAGTCAATGTTNGTCTGGCTGGTCAGTGTGGTTGAGGCGCGTGGAGACGGGAGATGCTCACGATGCGCCCATGCGGGTATGGAATTCTGGCGAAGAGTTGCGCCATACTTCATGGTGCTGATGATGGGATTATGGTGTTGATGCCGACGGGGTAAAAGTCCGGGAGATTGTCAATCTTTGATGGATGCGGAGTAGAAGCAGGCAGCGGAGGAACAAAGTACTTGAGTAATGCTGACTTCACAACTGAATACGAGAGGGCAACTGTTGGAGAGAAAGGCGCAACGGCGGGACAATGGATGGTTTTTGAGGACGGATGAATGCGAGCAAAGACTCGGAAGCTTGGATATGTTTGAGAGTGAGAGGGATTGCTTTTGGCAGGGTCTGGCAGCGATGATGCGAGCGACACCTCGCAACGAGACCATTGGCTCGCAAGCCGTCAAACCGCTGCACTCGAACCTTCAAGTTTCTTGATCCGCAGAACGGGCCGCCACATTGCTCCACAGCGTCCCTTAATGGTAACCAGGCACACGACCACTTGGTTGCCGGGCCTCCAATATTAACAGCCTAGCACCATCCTTCACCACCGTCGGTCAGAGATTTCGACTGCTGATGCTCCACTGTCCGCTGTCCATCTCGTACTTTGCAAAACAAGGCTCGTGCTTTGGGTTTAGGGCGTCGCCGAACCGACCGAGCTGTGTCTTTTGACGCATGTTCTAGCTAAGCCTGCTGCTCACAGCCAAAACGATCTTCAATACAATCCGAAATAATATCCAAGGTTCATCAGAGCCTACTTGGTCTTTTGTAGCATGCCAGGGATACGTACATTGCACTCCGGACCTTGTAGCAGGTTTTTCAGTTGGCTATGCCACGGCATATACTTATGGTACGGCTAGACGCATGATGCAGTACAGTTACTCGTACCTATGCATGGAAGGCTAACCGGATTTCTCCCTGTCCTTGCAAGTTGCCCAGCATTGTTTCTGCCAATATATTCCTAGTACATGCAAAGGTGACATTCTCGATATCGCACGTCGGCTTTTTGCGCTCAGAATGCTCAGAGTCAGACAAGTGAACGAACGGTTCAATCCCCTGACTATGTTAGGGTCAAGCTCAACCAAGTCAAGGTTTTCCATGCGACCCAAACCCTCGGGGCAGGTCTTGTCGATGTCTTTGGAGAACGTGGCTTGCCGCGCGCATGTGAAAGGTTGGCCAGGATCGGCGCAGCAGCATGGCTGCAGAAATTCTTTACCCGGTAACATACAACTTGCTACTTATCATGCAGAGTCATCCTTCATATCAAAAGAGGCGCAGACTGGGTGTTGCCAGCATACAAAAAGATCGTTGTATCCCCCATTCTCAAGGATCCCCGCATGGTTCAAACCTCCAAAACCACAGACCCTTGCTTGTCCTTGCTTATCGCCCTCGGTTCACTCGGCTAATCTGCTGTCGTGGAGCGAGTTGGGCACGCTCCGACACATCCCCCATACCATTCGGAGCAAAAGATGTGTCAGCTGAATTGATCGGTCGGAACTGGAGTTACTGGACACAACATGGCCAGCTTCTGATGCAACATTGTTCTACGATACTCGGCAGAAACGCCTACATCATACTGGCATCTCGATCAGACTTGAGATCGGTTCCAATTGCGAACAAGGAACAAGGAACAACGACACCGCATTGCAAGAGACTCCGTTCTCGCCCGTTCTCTTGAGCAGCGTGCAGATAGATACGCACTGCATCAATGACTTATGGCAGACTTCTATGACAGCTTACAGCTGCCTCGATCTCGGACCAGGATGCGGATGTATACTCGGCGCTGATTCCACAGACAAAGGATTGTCGGCAACCAAGCACAAGACGTTTTCGAAACACGTGCAAGCATCTAGGTATGTCGTGTGCTCACTTACCAAAAAATCAAGGGTCTCTTATCAGCGGCCCCACTGTAGGCCGTCGGCGGCCTCGTGTGCTTGTTTGATCTAGAAAGTAGGCGGGTAAATTGCGTAGTTCTTCATGCATCGATTTTCTCATTGGTCTCGTCGCAATTAATGTGCTATGTAGCCAGAGAGGTCACTGGCAAGGTCGCTAAACAATAAAGGGCCCCACCGGCTAGATCCTCCGAAGTGGAGGAGGACACTCTCACGATTCAGACGACGATGATACCAGCGAGACGTGATTCGACATGGCTTCGTATATGCGCTAGGGCGTGCGTGGGGAACAGATGCTGCTCGTGCATTACATCTCGAATCCTTGCCTTGCCTTGCGGGTCATTGCTTCTGCCAGCTGGGGTGGTTGTATGGCTAGATCAAGGACGTGCTGCTTCAGAGCAAGGCCTTCCAAATTTACCCTCCTCCGGAATGATAGCCTGGTCTTGCTGTTGCGCTCGGTTGCTGGATGAAGAGTGCTCTTCATCTATTCAAGGACTTTGTCAGGGCGAGTCTCTTGCTGAAAGGACTGAGAGACCTAGGGCGTTCTCCACTAGGCACATCCTTCATCTCACGGTCTTGATCTCGGTAAGTTTTGTAATCGGCCCGCTCCAGACCAGTATGCTGCCCCAACATCGCGTTGTCGTCGGCATCGTCGGTTCGTCGGTTGGGTGTAAGACCACGGGCATCCTTGAGAGTGTTTCTCTCGGCAACGGACCGCATCCGTCTTTCTGAATTTGCCGACCGGCCTCTTCTTCTTCCACGTTCAGAAGGACTTCTTGAATTTCTGCGCATGCGGGTATTGCGGCTGTGAGCTTCATACGATTGCATGTGATCTGGTGATGAAGTAGAGCTCGAAGGGCGCACACGCTTGTCTCCAGCACCTCCTGTGGCTGAGGCTTCTCTTTCTTGCTTTGTGTCATGTCTGTATCTTGGTCTTTCGGGAGAAGGAGAGCGAGTAGAGATGGTCGAGACGGAACCCGAAGAGAAGGATGCGGCAGAGCGTGAGCGCTTGCGTGACGATCTGTGGTCGTCCATGTCGTCTAGTGAGCGTTTGCGCGGCCTTTCTTGGATGGGTTTATGGACTGCGCTTGACTTNTCTACAACAAGTCAGATAGGCACAGTGGTATCAAGGCGAGGTCTGGCATACTCTTGCTCTGTCAAAGTAGGAGTTGGCGCAATGTTGGCGAGTTTCGGCTTCAGTTTTGGGTTGAGAAGTTGCTGGCTGCGACTGGGACGAGAGATGTATGGTCGTTCTTGAGCTTGAGCTTTACATTCGTAGCTGTAATGGCCTGCGCGTGTGTGAGACATGACAGTGATTGACATGCGCCGAACGGGAAGCATGCGCGTACCCTTCTGTAGACATTTCTGGCATGTCGTATGCGCAGATGCTCTGTTTGACGATGCGCCTCCGACAAAGCCTCCCTTGCTGTACCGATTCATACTCGGAAAATAGATGGATGTTTATCGATGCAATCGTAGCGGGGTACCAGAAGTGATGCGACAAACGCGAGAGACGTGGTGTTGATGGGGTATCAGTGAGGAAACAAACGCATTCACGATTTACTGAGCGCATCCAAGAAGCCAAGACAGGGTCGTCGTCAGGGTTGCGCTTGCCAATTTGGTCCAGAGTCTTCTACAGCCCTTGCCTGATTGTCCATCGAAAGACTTCTAGTGTCACTATTGCTTTGGTTTCAAGATAATACATGTAGGCAGCATAATCGAGAAGAACGAACAAACATTTACTATATGCAAACAATCTTGTGTCGATCAGCAGCTTTCTGACTGCACTGGCAGGAAGTGAGAGGGCTTGGCACAGGAAAACCAAACGGGGCTTTCGGCAGTCTTGGCTTGCGAGTGATTTGGTCTGTCGGGCTTGACGACAGTGCCAGCGCCCTTGCGAGCCCTCTTCACCGCACCACCTTCGCAACCGAGCGACGACATCTCGATACTGCGCTCGTCGGCGCTGCTTTCGGAACGCCGCACTCGCTGTGCTATTGTCTGCGCAATCTTGACCCTTCGCACCCAAAGTCAAGGCCTCCATCTCTGTCGTGTCCAGGAAAAAAGCCGTGTCAAACAACCTTCCAACTCCATGTCGACCTACCACCATGCCAACATCCTTGCCTATTCTCTTGACTATTTTCCTTGAGCCTCCGGTTTCCTGAGATTTACTGCACAGAACAACGCCTTCTTTTCCAATCTTCTTGTCCTCGGCACAAACGAAAGACAACCATCCACGACCACTTCGCGTCAGTCCAATACTTCGACACAGCTCGCACTATTTGGACAAACATGGCTTCTCTTTCGAGCGATCAACCCTCAGCCAGGAGAACCTTCGCCAATGCACACCTTCCTGCCCCAGGCCACGACCTCCTCTCTACTGACCATCAACAGCTGGCTGCAACTGCTAGCGCTCAACCTTCTGAACATGATCATCCTAGCAACCAGATCAGCCAGTCTACTCTTGATGGCGCCCTGTCTTCTGCCCAACCAAGGAAACTTATTCCCTCCCCCTCGAATGAGCCTCCTAAGGCACCTTCGATCGACGGCCTCGAAACGACGCCTGTATTGACTACACAAATATTGTCCGGTACATCTGACGAAAGCGCTACTCAGTTGTCATCATCAGACGGTTCGGTCAAACCCCCTAGCCTCGATGGAAAAAGCGTGGCTTCTATCACCACGTTCGCCATGGACGAGAAAGAGTCGCTGAGACCAGATGATAGTGCTAGCGTCTTAGCCATCGAGGACGATGACACTTACTCGCCGTCAGGATCCGCTGCCGTCGGTTCACGATTGGGCTCGGAGACGGGCGCTCGTGCTTTCCGCGATCAACTTTTGGAAATCACTTCCAGAGGACCCGCGCTGCGTCAATCTGGACCTACGTCGAGACCTGACTCAACAACTAATGCCCCCATTGGAACACTTTACGTCCCCCCGCCAATTGGCAGTTCCACAGCAATCCCTGGTTATGTACAACCACCTAGCAACGTTGGCAGACCCGAAGATGTCTTGCCTGATGCAAAGCTCTTGGAAGCTCTCAATAATCCGAGAGACAGGATATGGGTGCTCAAGTTGGAGCAGGACATCATTGACTTTGTGAAGGACTCTTCGTAAGATTTCCTGCTTTCTCAAGAAGTGCATTCGGCTAACCTCGCTATANGCGAACACTCTTTAGACTTGCCTCAATGCAATTCTTTTTACAGAATGTTGGCTCACAAACTAGCTGATTACTATATCCTGGGCCATGCTGTCGACGGCTCAATCTCAGCCGTTCGTCTGTACAAGACTCCAAACTGTCGAATCGCTCCACCCTTGACTGCCATTGCAACACCGCCGACAAGCACTAACACACCACCCCCTACTGCGCCTCAGATGAAGATCTTGCGTCGTGGCGGTGATGCACCGTTGAATGGCCTCTCCAAATCGAACTCCGATGGAGGAGACAGCGCTGACTCGGACAAGAACAAGCCCTTGACTCGTGAGCAACGCGAGCAGAGATATGAGTTGGCTAGACTGCGAATTCTGGGCTCTGCAAAGCCTACAGAGGATATACCCCTCGTTAAGGAGAAGGACGAATCCCGTTCCAGCTCTGCTGCTGGAAAGAAGAAGCCAAAGAAGCAGCGCAGCAACAGTGATGACGATTTCGAGGCGAGATCTGCTTACAGCACCTTTGTGACGCCACAGAATGGTGCCCCTGATGGTGGAAACATGGTCTACTACCCCGCATTCCCTGGAGGTGCCCAAGGTGTCCCTGGCATGTACAATGGTGCCCCCTCGGCTTCAGCTTCGCAAAACTCATATAATGCTGTCTACGGTCCCATGACGCCTTCGCAGGTTGCTCCTTACCCATGGCTGCAACAAGGCTATTCTGGTTACAACGAATCTAGTAATCAAGGACAGCACAACGTCAATGATCTGTCCGCCGATTTCCAAGCCATGTCGTTCCAGACACAGTCCGGACCTACCTCCCCACCTCCCCCAGCTGGACCATATGGTTATGGGAGTCCACAAAATCAGCAACAACAGCAGTATTCTTCATGGCAGCAAATGATGCCTAATCAGTCCGGCTACCAAGGCAGCCCAAACTACGGTGGCCAGTTTGCGAGCAGACCGCCATCCTCAGCGAGTCATGGATCCGCTACACATGGCTACCCGTATGGAGTACCGATGAACCAGATGCAAATGCCTGACGCTTACATGGGTTACCCAAACCAAGCCATGGCTGGTGCATACAACCGCGGGAACTTCAATCCCCAAAGTCAGGCATTCATCCCTGGTTATCAGCCTCATTATGGCGCACCAATGGTGCCTCCTAATAACAACATGGGTTTCAATTCGGCTTATCCTGGATCACATGCATTGCAGCGTCAGAACTCCAGCCAGTCGCAAGCATCGTCGTACGGCGGACAAAGTGGCGGCCAGAACAATAGCAGACCGCCTCACCCTCTGCCACAGCCTGTTTTCTCGCCCCATGTTCAAATGCCTTTCCAGAACTCGCAGAGACAAGCTGGCACACCGTCTCGCCCTGGCACCACATCAACAGTAGACAACAATAGCAGTGCACCAAGCTCGATCGCAAAATGGNGGACGCCAGCCTCTTTGCCTGCCAAGCCTCCTCCACCAGCAGCAACCAACTCGTTCGACTTGTCTAGGATGCCACATGGGCAGCAAAATGGCGCAACCTATTCTCCCGGGGCTCCAGGACGACTTCCCGGTGTTGGAGGACAGGGATTCCATGCTTTGCCATCTATGGTAGCCTTGCGTAACGGACAAACACCCCGAGGCGGGCAGTGATCCGATTTGGAGAAAGAGTGGTATGAAGAGCATGGTTCTTTTTTGAGTCTAGCTATTGGCCCAAAAAGAAGGGGGAGATGAAATGAGAATTTTGGCAGGCAAAAAGGGTCTCGGAAAAGGAGTTTCTTCGTTGTCAAGCATTACTAGGAGTTTGGCTTTGTTTTGATCTTCGGTGAAAGGTCTTGATTGTGAGGAGCTTTCTCGGTGCTTTGTCGTGATGACGACTGTGGTATAGGGTAGCAGGGAGAAGAGGGATATCGAGTCATTGCTTTCTTAGGTAGTGAGATCAGAAGATAGCGAAATGTTTCCTTGCACCATCAAACTACACTACATGGCTCAGACGTGTGTCTCGTTATGATGAGTGCTGCCACCACGACTCCGTGCCCTCCTGTGCTTAATAAGTATGACCACGTCAATGACCGTTCGTTGAAGAGAAGAGAAACATGACTGATCAAGATTGATCTCTTCTTCCTGGCACTCGGTCCCAGCATGGATCAGGTGGTGTAATGTCGTGTGTCGCATCTCTCGATAAAAGGGGTATCTATCCGTCTCTTCGCTGGCCTCGTTAGGCTCTAGCATATGTGGCTCTAATGGCCATAGTCATTATTACTCAAACTCCCATCTTCATTCCTCTCGGCTTTTGGATATTTGACTCTTCAAAAGTTCTCTCTTGCAGCATGGCATGGTTCAGGATGTCTTCTTCTCAGCCTCATCAACAGCACTGCCGAGACCTTTGCTGAAGACAGCAGAAACCTTGTCCTCGGCCTCCCTCCTCCATTGCTCGTAATCAAAGTGTTGGATCTTCCTTACAGCAGCTTCCAACTCGGTGTTCCAGCGATACTTGAGACGATCGGCGAGGCCAGGAACCAGATGACGGGCAGTTTGTGAAGGCTCCTTTGGTTGTGGATCTGTGATGTTGCGCAAGAGATTTGATTGTTGACGTAAAAGATGTGATTGGTATAGACGATTGCGCTCGTGCAGATTTAGAGAGATGTAGAAGAGGGACGATGTGAGAGCGATGCCGCCGATCTGAGTTGTTGTTAGATGTCAGGAGGTTTCGATAGGAAAGGAGAATGTGCTTACGAAGCCAGTTGTGAAGCCCATGTCTACTTCTAGAGCAGTGCAAAGACCGAGAGTGTTTGTGGGAAAGAGCGAGTGCTGAGTTGGGAGGTCGTGATTGTTGACTTCCAACAAGTTGCGGCCAAAGACGGAGGAGGATTCGAGATTCATGCGCCCTCTTGGCGCATTTCCATCCATCTTGAATCCCATACCACAACCACCTTGCGCAACAGGTCATTTGCGCATTGTTTCATACCGACTGTCGACTCTGACATCTTCTTCTTCGGCACCCATTACGTTCATTCGACAACGCACGCCCCTAACTTCACACAAGACCGCCACTTGGGCAGGAAACAACCGTAGAGAAAAAAATCATGGCCGGCGGACTCCAGAAATACAGACACTTGTCGCGCAGCAGCTCGCATCGTCAGGCTATGCTCAGAAACCTCGTCACATCGCTGTTCAAGAACGAAACGATATCCACAACATGGCCCAAGGCCCAGGAAGCCCAGCGTCTGGCCGAGAAGCTGATCACCTTGGGCAAGAAGAACACCGATGCCAGCAAGAGAAAGGCCCTCTCCATCTTCTATGTATGCTCTCTGACCATTGCCACTCCTCTGCACTCTGTGGGAAGAAAGTCTTGCTAACAGAACTCGCTCACAGNNGAACCCCACTCTCTCATTCCCAAACTCTTCGGCCCTCTTCGTGAACGCTTCTTGAACCGTCCTGGTGGTTACACCCGTGTCCTCCGTATCGAGCCCATCAAAGAAGACCAAGCACCCTCTGCCATCCTAGAACTTGTCGACGGCCCCAAGGACATGCGATTCGCCATGACTGCCCGCACCGTCTCCCGCCTACGTCGCGAGGGCAAGCCCATCAACGACATGACTGCCGGTAACATTGCAAAGGTCACCCGCTTCCGTCCCGACGGTGACAAGGACCTGGAAGACATGGTCGCCAAGTTCGACAAGCTCGAAGCCCAAGGTGAACACGGCTTTGAGAAGGTCTACAAGCAGAGAGTCTACCACACTCCCAAGGCCTCGAGATAGATGCTCTCATCTGTTGTCTTGCTACGGGCTTTTGTACATTACTTTCACTGGCATGGCGTTTATACTGGGATCTACGAATTGGGGTTTGCGAAAGAATTTTGTATACGCTGTATAAAACAAACACTATCTTCACACATTACCAGCCTCAGTGTGTTCCTCTTCTTGGCTTGCTTAGACCATTCCGGTGATCAAATCCCCTTCTTCGGAACCGAGCTCTGAAGGAGGAAGATAGAGTGGATGCTTTGTGATCTCGACCATGTGAGCCAGACCAGGGTCATACCTTCAACCGTCCCTGACTGGCCTCGATAAGGTGTTGGGCTCTACAACCAGTCTTGACGATGTGATTGTTCGTTACACTAGATATATAGCAGCAATGTCTGCATGTCTACATGATTCGTTCGCTGTCTGTCATTGTTAGCAACACCTAACACCACTTCCGAACTCCAACCACAGTAAAAGCTACAGCATTAATCCGTACGCACACGTTCCTAGTTTCTGACCTTGAAGCAATACCTTTCCTCCTTCATGACCCAGTCACCAAAGACCAGCACCGTCACAATGGAAGAAAAGAAAAAGAAAAAGAAAAGTTCGCATCAGCCCGAGGTAGTGCAAATACGAGCGACACAGTGTCTTTGGAAGTGAAGAACGCAAACCTTCCACTCCCCTTCAACCCACATTCCAAAAAGTAATCGTGCTTTACAAACCCAAAGGCGCAAACCCATGAGCCGGAAAAAAGTCTTGCCAACAAGCGGCCATTTGCTGGAAAAAGGAGATACACACCTTAGCACTGGTTGTGTGTATCGAAACAAGAGCTTTTTTCTTTGTTTGTGTGATTTGTGACTTGTTACGACTTTTAAGTGATACCAAAGAATCAAGCCAGATCCTTGCTTCCGATTGGGCCCGCGTTCGAAGGGGACTGGTTGCTTTGATTTTGGGAAGCCGCGTATGAGGGAAGGGAAAGACAAAGGGAAAGGGTGAGAGATGGAGGTTTATATATCTGATGGGTGGAGTGACTCATATGACTATTGCAGAACACGATATTAGATCTTGGATTATCATAGCATGAGTGTAGATGAGGTGGTTTGCTTATTTTAGCATATTGCACGTGGCAGCCACGACAATTCTTTCTTCATCGTGATGCTGGTTTCTAAAAACTGGGTCTTGAAGAAGAAACTTGCATTTCAGATCAGGATATGAGAAGAAGGTAGGATGAATAGTCGCTGGGGTCTACCTTGTTTACTCCTCAGGCTCATCTTTGATGATAACAATATCCTCTGCTTCTCCGTTTTCAGTCTTGATGATGACATCTCCAAATCTTTTGCCCCGTGCTGGCGCCACCTCATTCGCAAAGACAACAGTCTCGATACCTGCAGGTGTCTTCTCATCTTCAGGACCCCAGGGCAATGCATCAATATCGATCTCCCTGTTCAACAGCGATTTGAGAATGACTTCGGCGCCTGCTTTGCTCATGACCGAGTTTGCTTCTTTGCATTGCTCTGAGCAACAACATTCGAGACATCCTTCATCGCAGTGACAAGCACCTACCCGCTCACAAGCCTGCACGAGCAAGCGATCCACAAACTCAAAGGCCTTTGTGCTGATGCCAGAACCGGCAGCGCCGCCTTTCGCATCGTAGAATGTCAGGCGCGCAGGTCGTTTACGATTGGTTTCCTTTTGTTGAAATTCTTTGAGTGCGTTTTTGCATTCGGTCTTGACATCGCCGGGCATGCTGATGACAAAATTCGGCATGAGCGAGAGTAGAGCGTGTTCGGCTGCGTGGATGGCTCCTGCCATGTTCAAGCGCCTCGACTCGAGGATCTGCAGTGCGCTACGCGGCACATCGAGCCACATGCCTTTGCTAAAAATGGTAATGGGAGGATTGTCGACTTCGACTGCATCCAGAATGCGACGTTTTTGATCCACTTTGAAGAACCCAAACACCACTTGGGTGATTCTGATGGTGCCATAGTATGCCTGCGACAACGATTTGGAGATTTTGCGGATCGCTTCGGTCTCGATGGGGTCGATGTCGGTGAAGTCGCGCTGTTGAGTTGTCCAATCTACCCTCACAAACTCGACGCGAGCCATCATTCGATCCGTCGACATTTCTTTGACGAGGTACTTGTTACCTTGGTGCAAGTATATGCCTCCTTCGTAGATCGTGAAGAATGCACGCGAGGCCTCGAGCTCTTCAAGTACGACGTTACGTCCATGCGTAATATCAACAATGGCGAAGTGATCTTCCTCAGTATCGCGAATGGCCACGAAAGTCGAAGGTCGAGGAAGGAAGCGATCGGCGGTGTGGAAGAAGCCAAGTTCGTCCTTTCTCATCCTGTTCTCTGCAATGTCTGTCAAGAGTTTGCCAAAGTATAATTCATCCTCTTTGGGCCGAATGGGCATCTCGTTGGCCGCACATTGCACATGTCCTTCGAGTACGAGCATGTTCTCTAAATCGACCTGCAATTGACAATTGGGCTTCGTGAAGATCTCGTCTGGGTTTTGCATGTAGTGCTGATCTGTTGGGAAGGCATCTCCGACGAGTATAGACATCGAGTCCTTGTTTCTGCGACCAGCTCGACCGCTCTGCTGACGAAGGTTGGCGATTGTGTAGGGAAAGCCGCAAGTCATAACTGCATCGAGAGATCCGATATCAATGCCCAGCTCCAGTGCACTAGTTGCCACGATACCGACAAGCTTGCCCTCAAACATCTCCTTCTCGATTTTTCGTCGATCTTGAGGAGCGTAGCCACCTCGATAGGACATGACTCTTGCCATGACCTCCGCTTTGTCAAGGTATGCCAGCTCATTCTTGACAGCGCCAATCAACGCTTCGCACTGTTTTCGCACCCTACAGAATGCAATAACACGAACTCCTCGTAGAATGAGTTGACAGAAGAGCTTCGCAGCTTCCGCCAAAGCGTCACCTCTACCAGAAGTCGGATCTGCTGGATCTTTGAAAGGTGTATTCCAGCAGAGAAATTCTTTCCTGCCAGAGGGTGAGCCATCGAAATCTGTGAGTTTGACCTGCTCTACACCGAAAATGGTCTTCATGTGCTCTTCAGGATTTGCGACAGTGGCAGAACAAGAGATGAACTTGATGTGGCGGTTGCCAACAGCAGCACAGATCCTGCGCAAGCGTCTCATGATGAGAGCTACATGTGCTCCGAAAAGTCCATTGTAGACGTGCAACTCATCCACAACTACGAAGCGTAGATTCTGTAAAAAGGTTCTCCAGGCTTCTTCTTGTGGCAGGATCGTAATGTGCAACATATCAGGGTTGGTGAAAATGATGCTGCCTTCATCTCGGATCAAGTTTCGATCGCACATTTGCGTGTCTCCATCGAAAGTTTCGACAACGAGGTCTTGCAGCCCGTCCATGTACTGTAACAAGTCTTTCAGACTGCGCCGCTGGTCTTGAGCAAGAGCCTTGGTAGGGAAGATATACATGGCTCTGGCTTGATTGTTCTTCTCCAACTCATGTAGAACAGGTATCTGGTAGATCAAAGACTTTCCAGAACTCGTTGACGTCGATACGATGACGTTGTGACCGTCATACAGGTTGTTGATGGCTTCGGCTTGATGCGCGTACAGTTGAGTGATACCGCGAGTATTGTACAGCGCATTGACAAGAGTCTGCGATAACTCAAAATTTAGATCGCCATAGATGGCTGGCTGGGGATCGAAGACACGATGACCGTCCGGAACTATCTGACCAGTGTACCACTCTAGAGTCTTGATCTCGGACACGATTTCAGGGATAGTCTTGCGTTCGTCCGGAATAGATTTTGGCAGCAGCGCTCTTCGTTTTTCGGGAGTGGGCGTGTTGCCTCTGCTTTCCGACGGCGCGGGTATGTTCAAATTGTGCTCGATGTCCAGTTTCTCTACCGGGTCCACACCCTCTGCATCACACTCGTTCAGCCAGGCATTTACTGCAGAGGTGAACTTGTTGTTTCTCTTCTCGATCAGATTCATCATCTGCTTCTGACTGTAGACGGGCATCTTGAGGTCCTCGTCTTTCAGCTTCCGTGCAGCCTTTGTGGGCTCTCCAGTCTTGGTATGCTGTACTTGACGCTTCAGATCTCCATCGATGTATTCGAACAACAAAACCTCTTTGTTTCCTTTCTCTTGCTTGTCTTCTGTTGGTTCTGAAGCCATGTAACCTTCATACCTCTTGTTCTTGGAATTCTCCTGCTCGCCCATGAGATTCACCTGCAACAGATCTTCATCAATGTAGGCGAAGTTGATGGATCGCGGTATAAGGGCCTTGATCTTGGCGACATCTTGTATGGACAATCCGCGGCCAATGTGTGACTCGACGGTGGTCTTTATCGTCTCAAAAGTGGTAGCCAGATGCTTGCGCGTACAGCAGAAAGTGTAGACCAGATTTAGGGCTCGATGGACTTGAGACAGCTTCGTGAACTCGTCAGGCCAGGGTATGGTCGTCTCTACCATAGAAGATCCTTTTCTGGACAGACTCGGTGCTGCACCTTTGGCTTTGGGCGTCCGCCTTGGTTTCTTGCCTCCATCTTGTGTTTTGGTCGGGACTGTTGTGGTACTTGTAGTTGAATCCTGGGTACCCTCGGGGTCGGGTCCTACTTGATCTTGCTCATCCTGGCTCTTTCTCTTTCGTTTGCGCACCACTTTGTTAGATACTGTTGCAGCTTGCAACCTGACCATTGTTGTAGTTGCGACTTGACGCGAAAACCGATGACGTAGCCAAGGACCGCCAACGATGTCCTCAGGTCAGGATGTTAATTTGGATGATAGTGAGTATGGCTATCTGATTCAGCTGTTCTCAATCGAAGACATAGTGGTCAAGGGTAAAGGATTAAACTTTGAACAAATGTGTGTATTGTCGAGAGGTTGGATGCGAACGCAAGGGTAGAATTCACGACGCCTTTGCCACTGTTTTTCACAGCACAAAGGACAATACCTTTAAAGCAAAACAAGGTGCTATGCAAATGAATCAAAAGACACGAAACAACCACGGCACAAGGTGTGTTGCTATCAGAAATTCTTGTTTTGGTATTGTCACGAATTTTATCTTGTATGCTCAGGTCACAGCCATCCATGTAATCGCTGAAAACAGAGGACCGCCCATCCAACTTATGTGCCCATCCTGCTAACCTTCGCATCAAGGCTAAGAATGCGCCAGCCTCGACGCAGTGTCAAATCATTACTGTCGTTGTATATGATCCTCTACATCTGCTCCTGCAAACTTGTGATATGATCCCAGAGTTCTACGGCGAATTGTGGTCTCAACTATCGTTCGTGTCAGCATACCGTTTCTACAATGGAAGAAAGGAGTGTAATCGAACCTTTNAGTTGAAGAATCTCGAGCTGTGGTCTGCCATCCAGAGAGCCCATAAGGCTCACGAAGTGTCCACTGGGCTTGTTGCCATGCACGTCGCCATACTTCAGATCCTTCTGGATAGGAGTGTTGAGGATAACGCGGTGTGAGCCATCCGCACGCATGACAAGTCTGGCCTTGATTGTCGAGTTCTCGTCGCCAGACTTTGGTTCAGTAACATTCAATCGAATAACACCAATTCCGCGTTCTTTCCATTCCTTCTTGTCCACGAAATAGTACAGCTTGGCGCGACATGTGTACTCTGTGGTTTCGCCTTCCTCGCCAGTTTCGACNTATATCATCGTTAGTGATCATAAATTTCAGCTTTCATGGATAATGGAGTGCTTACTGTCCTGTTCGAAGAAGCGTGTGTCCTTCTTGTCCTCGTCGACGATAAGTTTCGGGCTCTTAGCTCCGGATTCATCCTCGCCGTCTTCTCCAGACTGTTCCTCCTCGTCCTCGGTTGGCGCACCGAATGCTGTGATGCCTGTTCTTGTGCTTGAACCAATGACACCAGGAGTACCGCTGCTTGCAAAGCTGGTCAACTTCGGAGCGCCGCCTAGACCTCCAAAACCTCCGCCGAAACCATTACCAAGTTTTCCAAAGCCAGAAGCGCCTGAGCCGAATGCAGAAGAGCCAGCACTTGCGAAGGGCGAGGCTGTAGATGCAAGACCGCCGCCAAAAGCACTTGGTGTGGGTGCTGCTTTAGCGCCATCCTCGCCAGGTGCAGGAGTGCTACCAGGACTTGCGAAACTAGAAAGAGTCTTATTCTGGCCGAGAGCGCCAAAGGCCGACGTGGAAGAGCCAGCAAGTGCACCGAAAGCAGACGAAGCAAAGGCACTAGAAGTAGATGAGGGTTGTTCAGTGGGAGATTTGGTGGCGGCCAGAGAAGCAAAGGGCGAGGATGCAGAAGTGTTTGCAAAACCACTTCCTGCAGGGATCTTGGTAGTAGGTTCGGCCTGTTGTGTCGGCTCTTCAGCAGTCTTTCCCTCAGGTTCGATGGTTGCCTTTGCATCTGATGTCGGCTGTGAGATTGTGTCGGCGCTGGTCGTGTCATGGACCTTGCTACGCTTCGTCTTCGGACTCTCGTCAGACTTGGTCAAGCCGTCTGCTTCGGTTGCAGTGGCAGTCGAGGTAGATGGCGCCGAAGGCTGGGGTGCCTCCACTGCTACTGGCTCATCATCTCTTTCGAGTTCGCTAGACTTGCGCTTGCTGGACTGTTCAACAACCTTGTCCTCGGGCGAGTTCTCCCTAGATCTCTTGTTCTTGCGAGCCTGTCTACTCTTATGCGCGGGCTCTTCTTCTGGATTCTCAACGTCTTCGTGACTTCGCTTTCGCTGCAATTTGGCGCGGGGCTTTTCGTGCTCAGGTTCGGGCTGTGAGGTCGCGGTCGTATCGGCAGGCTGGTGTACGCTCTTGATGGTGGCGTTTCTCAGTCTCTCCCTGAGAGGCCTCTCACCTCCCTCGGTGTCGGAAGCGTGCGATTCCTTTGGTGATGTGGGCATTTTGGTTGCGGTAATGCTAGCGGGGAAAGCTGCTGTATGATGATGAAGATTTTAAGTCGCGAGAAGCGACTGCGTAGCCAGAGGTCGAGAAGATGCTTGTTCGTCGGTGGTAGAATTGATGCTGTAAAAGGACAAAAGCAGAGCTGAGCAAGTTCAGAAAGTGGTCGAGGCGGCTCGTTCAGATGGAGCAGCTCAGTCGGTGTCGGTGGGTCTGGTGTCTTGTCCGAGCATCCAACTGAGCGAGCCTCAAAGACACGGCTATCCGTACTGAAAAGATGGCGGTGAAGACTGCAAATTCTATTCGAGACACAATGCCAATGTACAATAGCAGTTGAGAAATTACACAATGCTGCAGTAACCGCCGTGTGTCTTGATGCCGTCGGCGCTCGCTCTCGTAGACTAGGCCCAATTTGGCCATCATTGTCTTTGTCTCTTTATCTCGTCTCGAGCCTTCCGTTACTTGTTTGCGCCTTCAAGACAGCTTTCTAGCCTAGGCATATTCAAACTGCTACAATCTGCATAGTAAAGCTCGAGCCCAATCTAATAAGACTTGAGTCTCAAGAAAGGATGCCGTAACACAGTTTGAGAATTGGATACCGTTACTTTTGCTATCTCTTGGCTGACCAAATAACCTACTAACTAATGAAACACAGGCATCCCAAGCCAATGTAGAAGACGAGCAGAGGAAAGACTGCAATGCCGACCCGATTCTTGACAACGCCAGAGCCTCCCAAGATACTGACACCTGCAGCCAGTGACCATGCGACCAGCACAATGTACACAGGGATTCTCGCAATCATTGGTAGACCAATCGCACTGAGCAGTGATGCGATGACAAGTGGGAACAAAGTGTACCCTATAATACACACTGACTGGAAGAATGAACTGCCGATTTTGTTAGCAATTAAGCGACAATCATAGTCAAAGAGCTCAACGTACATGCTGCCGCCTAGAAGCTTGATTTGCAGTGTGACAACGGCCTCGCCGATCCAGACAGTAGCAAAGACTCCAGAGAAGACTATCGACTTCTGCTCATCCTGGGCGCCGCGCGAGAGAAGGAAACTAAGGAGTAAGCAGAAAACAAGAGGGCCCCTGAATGAGTGTTAGCCTTTTGACAGCATGACAGCTACTGGACGCGCATACCAAAGATCCCAATCCCTCAACCCCTCGCTCATGCCGCTCTGCAGAACTGCGTCTGCATCTGGCCATCTGCCAACCAGTCCGTTCAAGCCACCACCGCTAAGACTGTCTCCCTCAGCTCTTTCTGCACCACCCATGCCTCCACCACGCTGGNNAAGCAAACCACCTAGGAGATACTTGGGATAGAGCACTTGTCGCATCTTTTCCCAAATGGCGAGCAAGTCTCGTGACAGGGTATCCCAAACACTCTCGTCGATAGTGTTTTGAGGTGCTCTACGGTCTTCACCACCGATAGTGTTGTTAAGGTAGGACTGAGTATTTTGCGCGCGAGCGGATGGTTGCTGGATGTTGCCGGTCAGGGGTGCTCGGTCGGAGGATGATGCAAGAGGGTCTTCGAGATCCAAAGCAGCNTTCTCAAAATTAGCAACTGTTTAATCCAGGTCACTAGATAGTTGGATACCATCATCTGGGTCGATAAGGTCATCTTCAAGTGGATCCTGATCGTAGTGTTCGTATGGGTTCGCGGAAGCTGTTCCGCTAGGCATCATGGCAGCCATGTTGGTCGCAGTATTATGCAATCGCTAGATTTGGTATCTCGCGGTGGGCAGAATGAATAGCTTGGCTCAAAAACTTGATGCACAAATGTTCAGTCCCCTGGATTGAAAGCTGCCAGCTCAGCTCCATATCGACCCCAGGGAAGCTCAACACGAGACGCGTACAGCGGGATCTGCCGATGTTTAACCACCGTCATCAGTCTTCACCACGCATCCATATAACAAGGTAAAGTCAGCAGTTCTATACCTCTGCTCGTCTTCGTCCTTGAGAATCTCTATATACCTTTGAAAAGTTAAATCAGCACTGGTTCTCTGTGTTCGCATCTCTAATGGCATCCAATGGCTCGAATAGTTAACGGCGTTAACTCCGGACCGAAAGACTAATCCCAACTGTATACAATAGGCTGAATTCATCCAAGCCAGCACCCTTCCTTTGCTTCATAAGTACAGCTGCCCCAGCGCTGGTATCCCACTTCACCAATATGCTAGTCTTCTCTTCGGCTGCCCCGAGCTGTCCGCTATGGCTTCTAGCCAAAGCACGATGGCTGGAGCAAGATTGAGCCCCGCAACCATCGCTTTGCGGAGGATTTAGATGACGGAGTAGACGGATAAATACAGGTGGGCTGGCTCCAAGGCGTGGTTAGGGTTGTTCACGAGAGTGATCTCCAATACCAATTTTTCGTCGCTTCTCTCTTCTCCTTTGCTTCCCTCTCGTCCTACAACTTCACACAAAATTGTCTAGCGCACAATGCCTGACGCCATTCTGGACGACATCTCTCATCGACGCTTCAACCCACTGAGGGNNGGAAGCTGGATTCTGGTCTCCCNNCCTCACCGTACCAAGCGACCATGGCAGTAAGAGACAAGCTTATATCGCGAACGGTGGTCAGAATACTTATGCGATCTCAGAGGACAGCAGGAGGGTGCTTCGAAGACGACACTCCCTGATTATGACCCATCTGTACGCACCACCGCATTATTCACCAAGAAGTCCATCATTGAACAGAGCGATAGTNGCTACCTTTGTCCTGGCAACAAGCGCGCTGCCGGCGATTCCAACCCAAAATACGAGAGCACTTACGTCTTCGTCAACGATTACAGTGCTGTCAAGGAGGAGCAAGCCGAGTATGAGCGGCCAGCCACCGATGGCAGTAGGTTACAAACACCGCCATCATGAGCAACGGATATTGATTAGGACCAGGTCNTCGCCAACACCCTGTTACGCGCTGAGCCCGTGACTGGCAAATGCTATGTCATTACCTTCTCTCCTACACACAACTTGACCCTCGCAGACCTCCAGCCTTCTAAAATCCTCCCTGTCATCAACACCTGGACCCAGATTTACACGACTCATTTGTCTCCCAAGTCCATTCTCGCCGAAGTCGCACAACCTACTACGATTGCTCCCCATGGTCAGGACCTCGCGGCACCGAACGCTCAATACCGTTACATGCAAATCTTCGAGAACAAGGGTGCTGCAATGGGCTGTTCCAACCCTCACCCTCATGGTCAGGTCTGGTGCACGACTGGCACGCCAGAGGAGCCCTCCCTCGAGTTAGAAAGTCTGCAAAAATATCGCAAGGAGCACGGCGGATCACATATGCTGGTTGACTATGCCAACCTCGAATCTGAAAAGAAGGAAAGAATCGTATTTGAGAACGAATCTTTCCTCGCCGTATACCCCTGGTGGGCCACCTGGCCCTTCGAGGTCATGATCATCGCTCGCACCCACAAGCGTGCTTTGGTAGACTTCAACGACAAGGACAGACAGGACTTGGCCGAGGCTATCGCTGAAGTCACTAGACGCTACGACAACCTCTTCGAAACTCAATTCCCCTACAGTGAGTCGCGAAACAGATGGCCATTGACAAATGAAAACTAAACGTAGAGCAGGTNNATGGGTATTCACCAAGCACCACTTGAAGGAACTCCTGAGGAGATCAATGCTAGTCATTTCCATATTCATTTCTATCCTCCTCTTCTTCGCAGCGCTACTGTGCGCAAGTTCCTGGTTGGCTACGAGATGATGGCAGAACCTCAACGTGACATCACTCCTGAGCAAGCTGCTGCCAGACTCAGAAACTGCGGCGGAGAGCTTTACCGCAAGAAGCTGAACTGATCTTGACCTGGATAGCCATTGGAAGATATTGGACACTATAGAAAGCGAACCGCTATAATCACTATTATGCTCATTATGTATCATCTGCTGTGCCTTTTTCATGCTGAGAATTGGCGAGTGCTTATTTCTCCGCCGTCTCTTCTGACTTGTAGTTTTTTATGCCTTTACATAGTGGTCCCACTGGGTGTACATCCAGATCAGCGAGGTGGTAGCAACAATGGCAGGGCCAGCGAGACCCTTGCCCATTCTAGTGGAGCCGAAGACCAGCCATTCGGACATGAAGTGGGCGAAGGCAACAATATATGTCCAGAACGCCAGCTCATACATGGGCTTGCTGTTGATGTTGTAGGCTGCATAGAGACGGACGATGGCAGTAATTGCGGTCCAGGTGCCGAAGGTGCGAGCTGAAAGAGGTGTGACGGGTGATGTGCTGGGAACGGTGCTGGCAGGTACTCCTGCTGGGACGGTCTTCGAGCCACAGTAGACCTTTTGTGTCGGGCCAAGCGAGAGGTAGGCTTGTATGCTGTTACCGAGCGACACAATCGAGATCNNTGCTTACGGTCAGAAGAATGGCCAATGGTTGAAATGTCGCAGACGTACGAAGAAGATCCATTTAGGCAGAAGGCCCTCGGCTGGTGGCAGGTACTCGAACACTGAGTTCATCCTGTAAAGACTGGTTTAGATGCAGCTGAATGTTGCGAGTAGAAGGTAAACATCAGACGACTGCTTGGAGCATGAAATTGGACCCTCGGACCCTGACTCGCCGAGACCCCCGAACCGGCACCTCCTCGAGAGCGCCAACTGGATTTCTTGAAACAGACTGAACACCTTTTGATCTATCGACAATATCAGATCACCTCTGCCTCCAATATGACTGCACTCATTGAAGATCCCTGGAAAGAGCCGGTCACTGCCCTGTTTGCCGGCATTGGCATCCTCTACATCACCTTGAAAATCTTCAGCTTCTGGAGACTGATTGCTAGTCTGTTCATCCTGCCTGGTACTTCTGTAAGTGTACTTGTTTGCTCTTGTTCTAGCACAATTCTGACTGTCGAAAGCNTGTCTAAGTTTGGTCGTAAAGGAAGTTGGGCTGTCGTGACCGGTGCTTCTGATGGTATTGGCAAGGAGTATGCCCTGCAGCTTGCAGCAAAGGGCTTCAACATTGTTCTGGTCTCTCGTACCAAGTCGAAGCTCGAGACTCTCGCCTCTGAAATTCAGTCCAAGTACACTTCTGTTCAGACCAGGACTCTTGCCATGGATTTCTCGCAAAACTTGGACTCCGATTTCTCTGCTCTGAAGGCTCTGGTAGCCGACTTGGAGGTCTCCATTCTTATCAACAATGTTGGCCTGAGCCACGAAATGCCTGTTCCTTTCGTTCAAACTCCTGAGAAGGAGCTCAAGGACATCATCACCATCAACTGCATGGGCACCCTTCGCGTTACTCAAATCGTTGCACCTGGCATGGTACAGCGCCGTCGCGGTCTTATTCTCACTATGGCTTCCTTTGGCGGTATCCTTCCAACTCCTCTCCTGGCCACCTACTCCGGCAGCAAAGCTTTCCTTCAGCAATGGAGCAGTGCTCTGGGCTCCGAGTTGAAGCCTCATGGTGTTCACGTCCAGCTTGTCCAGTCCTACCTTGTCACTTCGGCCATGTCCAAGATTAAGCGCGCCAGCGCTACTATTCCTAACCCCAAGCAGTTTGTCAGAGCCGCTTTGGGCAAGATTGGCCGCTCTGGTGGTGCTCAGGGTATTGCATACACCAGCACTCCTTACTGGAGCCACGGCATCATGCACTGGGCACTGGGCACTCTCACAGGTACCATGAACTCGATTGTCTTGGATCAGAACAAGGGAATGCACGAAAGCATTCGCAAGCGTGCTCTGAGAAAGCTCGAGAGAGATGGCAAGAAGGGCCAGTAAGTGCATGGGCATGTCTGTATGCTCAAATGAACATCTGCACAGCCTCGACCAGAACCACAGAATTTTGATGCGTGCCAGCCTCACCAATGGCTATCTGACCGAAAGTTCTGCTGTGCAGATTACACTACACAGCTTACCAAGCTCGCAGCTCAAAAAGAAGCAGCCAATGAGGAGACGGTGGAAAAGCCAGACACGTCGCCAGCAGCAACTCACATATTGCAATATCGGCACGACTTTGTATTCAATTAGGACAGAAGCATAACAATGAAAAACATAATACGACTTCCCGCCATGCTGCGCTCCCCTGCATAAACCATGAAATACCTCAGGTACCGCAAGGCACAGAAGCGGCTCGCTCGAAGAAGATGCCGTTACTGCTGACAACCTGATGAAGCTTGACTTGAGAGCTTCTAAGATATGGAATGGGACTCGATTTCTGAAAACTTGGTGCTTAATGGCATGACACAGACAGTCTACTATTTGTTGTAGCAGGACTCACGAGTCAGCTCAAACTGACCGTTTCCTGTAATCAACGCTACCGGCTGCAGTTTCTCAGACTGGAAGCCTACGTCACTTGGGGGTCGATCTTTCCTGGCACCGTGCAGCAGCTTTCCCCACTCTCGCGTGGTGAGCAACGGGCAGCAGCCTCCTCACCTTCATTGTCCTGCTTTGCGTCCTCGTCCTGAGAAAACACCAGCAGAGGATCTGAGATTTTCATTGAGACCTTCGATACAACTTTTGCAACATGCCTGAGAACAACACGTCCGAGGGAGTCGCCCAGACTATCCAAACAGCCCACGAGCGCGTCCATTCGGGTTGGTCTTGACATTGCTTATCACACAGCAGCACACCCCTGACAGACACAGTGAACCCCTTCATGGACCGCGAATCTTACCCGACCGGAAGCCTCAGGAGCTACAAGATCCTGACGGCCGCTTCATGGCTCCTCCTCGTTGTCACGAGCATCTACTACACCTTCAATGCGCCTACCGAGGGCAAGCATCACAGAGGCACCATCTGGCACCAGAATTCGCACCGCCACACGCCCTTTGCACTCAACTCTATCATCACCTCCGTCTACATGATTGTGCTGTACATCCTCCAGATCGGCTACTGCTGGCACCTGTACTCAGAGAACCCTGTTTACGTCAAGGCGGCCGCTGACGTTGGTTCGCACTTCATCCTCAACAACCTTCTGTGGTTCGGTTTCATTCACCTCTGGTGCCGTAGCCACTTCTGGCTTGCCGAGATGCTGGTCATCATCAACTTCTTCAACCTCTCAGCCCTCTACTTCAAGCACTCGAGAACCCCGAGATTCATCCACATCCCCGTTGTCTCCGGTCCTCTGGCTCTGAACTACGTTCTCCTGTTCACCGTCGGTGCTGCTGCCATCAATGCACACTCTTTACCTGCCAGAATCTTGGCCAATGTCATGATCTGGTCCATCATGGGCTACGGCTTCTTCTTCCTCGTCGCGTACAAGGACTACACCATGGGCTTCAACCTGAGCGTTCTCTGTGCAGGTGAGTTAGATTCTAGTAATCACTGCGAATCTCGCTAACATCTTCTGTAGNCTCTCGGAGTCTCTCAATTCCTGACCCACGTCATTGCATTCCAGTGGATCTTCGCCTTTGTCATCATGGGCGTCCTGTTCATTCTCTCTGTCTTGGTCAGCTTCCCTGGTATCATCGGCCAAGATCCCTTCAAGCGTGGTGCTGTTGTCGACGAAGACAGAGAGAGACAGCCCCTGCTCCAGGAAGAATAAATTGCTTGTGCAAGAATCTGAAATACGTGCGTGTTGGGATCAAGGACGCAAGATGGCGACTGTTGCGCCATTGAAAAATGCTGCACTCAACCCTGCGGGCTTCTTTGTCTACAGAACAGCGCGCCATGTAGGCCCATGATCTTTCTTGAGAAATTCTAGCGGTCATGTGCGCTCCCCTTCTTCAAGACTCTCGATTTAGCACTATCCTCAATCACCGCCGCCCAGAGATTTTGAATGTAGTTCCATCTAGTGTAATTGTCTTCCAAACATCAAAAACGAACATTGAATTGATGCTAGATAACAAAGTGTCAAACACCATTGACCCCTTTCATCTTCAGTTGTCAACGCGTTGTATAATAGCATGAACACCTCTCACACCAATGGTGAACCACCCTATCGTCTTGAAGATCGTCTCGATTGAATTTCATTCTTGCCAGGCAATCTGAATGCCTTTTGCCCCAACCGGCAAAGTCACAGCCCCAATGCAACCACTCTTACCCTGTTCCTTGAGCATAATCTTTCTTCCAGTATCATCGTCCTCAGAAGTATCCAATCCTCGACGCAGGTCGATTTCGCACGATTGATGGCTACTCATATGAGTTTGTAGTTTGGATCGAAAGGCTTCAACGGACCCGATAGATTGCTCCGAGTCTTCAGGGTCTAGACATGTGCCCTTCCGCTCCAGCAATTTCAGACATCTAGAGCAGATGCTTGGAAGCAAGGGAACGGTTCTCTCATATCCTCTTTGGCAGGCTCCGTGTTCGTTTGGAAGGAGTCGCGAAGGGTTTCTGGGACAGAACTCGTGGATCGGCATGCTCGCGTGTCCGCATTTGTGGATTGATGTTTCGATGCGACACATGATTTTGGAGGTTTCCGTATGTTTCTGCTGTCCGTAAATCTTTTGTCAAAGTGAGAGGTGGACGAAGATAAAGAACGCGTTACTTTTTCTTTCTATTCTCTGACAGTCAGCTACCTCAGGCAGGGTTAAATATCTCCTTTACGAATACATCATCTTCACGGTTGCTCGGGCCGCAGCCAGCAGTATTGTGCTACAAAAGGTCACATGCATTAGGCACTATACCGATCTCCTCTCACATCGTCTCACAGCCTCTACTCCTCTGCCATTCGCCCGTGGGCAGTCGCATGGATTTGTGAGCATGTTTCGTAGTATTGACGAATAGGTTCCGGAGCGAGAATTGCCGATGGTTGGTTTGACATGTGGCACGTTACAAGGATGCTCTCCTCATATCAAGGCATCCATTAATGAGTATGGGCGGTTGTGTATGTACGTTGGGCTCCGTGATGACCATTCCAGACTTGTCATATGAAATGGAAGCCTCGATCTTGGAAGTAATAGGCTGGATCCTTGCTTCGACAGGAGTCACAGCTTACTGAACATCTTTTGAATTGGTACCGAGGTATGGACTACACTGTCTGATAAGTCGAATAGTAAGGAACAAGTGCCAGCAGGCTCGGAATTGCCTTTCTGAGGTATCCAGTATATGGATGTGAACACAGTCCCAGTCAGATATGTGCCGTGCTTGGGCGTCGTCGTCCAGCAACTCCGACGGGTCTTCCTTCTCAGCGAATGATATTTCCAAGGAGTCTATGCTGTTGCCTTGTTTCTGTGGGAAATTTGGCTGTTGTATTAGATCTACCCCGCTCATCTCGTTGGATCTCTCCAATGAACGGCGAGATAAGCTGGTGTTGTACAAAAGCCATGACCCATCAAGTAGCGCTGACCATCTCTGGACACACCAGCGACTTCGGATGACTCGATCGAGCGGAGTGATTCTGAAGTAGAGTCGGAATATTGTGCTGAGTGGACGGTGATATTAAAGACGTGGAACCATGATGCCGTCAAAGAAAGCTGACTATGGTACTCAGTGGTTGATGATATGGACACCCCTGATCTTATGGTAGTGAGGCCCCCTGCGCTGACAGATCACGGAATCGAAGTCTAAGGGTCGTCCTTGCCCACGAAGCTCTTTGTGCTTCTGCTCGACCACGACCTTGTTCGATCAACTGTGCTTGTTTTGTCGAGATGATTTCGGGCTCATCTCTTGTCTCTCTCCCTGGGACCCTCCACAATGAAATGAGTGGCAACATGGCGATAATCCTATATCATATTTGATGCGCCTTGTACGACCACAATGTGAGGTCTAGTGGCTAACGATCGCAAACATGTGCCGACATGTGCTGAAATGAGGATATACTCTGACACATGATATGCCCACAAGCAGTCAAAGTCAACACGCATCTGGAAATCATTCGCTCAGGCCATACATAGCTGAATGCAGCGTTTGTCAGCTGATTCACCGCCCTGAAATGTCGACAACGATAGCCGCCGTATGCAAACCTTCGAACCGTGTCAGATTTAGCCCCAAGATTCACTTCAAGAAGGCAATACTGAATTGCTGTCATCGTATGCCAACGCAGGAACATGTCCCGGTGTATCCCCTGGACATGATCGAGTCCATACCAATCTGGTACCAGTCTTGAAGAGACAGAGACCCGATTTGAGAGTCTGGATCAAGAATCTTATGCAAATCTTCTAGCTAGGGTTCTAGGATTGTACTGATATCTATTGCTGGCGAACCCGAAAGAGGAACCATGGCTGCCAAGGAAGGATCCAAGCCACATCTACTTGTGGCTGACAGCAATACCTAAGATACGTACCGAAGCTGTGGGAGGGCCAGACTACTTTTCGGAGTTGTCGAAACCTTAAGATGACATCGAACCCTTTATTCACCTGCATACCACAGCTGAGGTACTGCTTGGCCAGTCAGCAATGTGACAGGAACAGTCTCATTCGGGGGACTGAAGCGAACACGAGTTCGTTCCTCAGCAGACTGTCCGGATCTGCAAAGGACAATGTTCCGCATACCCTTGAAGCTGAACATAGCTATTACAGCACCAAGGAATCTAGAAGAGGTCATACATGCTCCAGATATGGATTCAATAGTGCCTGTGGCGAGTCCATGGCGCTTGCTTGTAAGCTACATCCTGTCGAGTATATAAAAATGGTTGCGAGTTCATCTCGCTACATGTATCAGGTATCATTTTATTCTCCTTGAAGCTTTCTTCACACTATTCAGCCATGCGATTCTCTCTGTCAACGATGCCTCTTGTGGCTTCCATCGTGCTCAATCTCATTCATGTCAAGGCATGGCCAGCAATGGCCCAACAACTTGCTGAGATCTCTCGCCGCGCGCCTCAAGCAGTAGCCCCAGACGTCCCCTTCGATGGCGACATCCAAAGGGTTGGTCTGGGAGATGTCAAANACGGTGGCACCACTCCCGTCGGTACAAGCGTCTACAACATCCTCATGGGAACGGAAGCTGGGGATTCAAGTGTGGCTGGTTACAAGCCGCCTGGCATAGTTGGAACCAAGGCATGCAAAGCTGACACCTGTTGTGTATGGTGGTGGATTTCACAAGCCATGACTGTTGCATTCACCGGACCGACGGGCAGATGTAATGGATTTGCTCGTGCAGCCATCCGGTTAGGCTTCCACGATGCGGGCTCATGGTCAAGCTCTCTTGCAGCTGCTGGTCAAGACTTTGGTGGCGCTGATGGAAGCATCATCCTATCAGGCACTGAGATCAATAGAGCAGGTTCGTCTCTCAAATTTTGACGCACTTCTTGCACAAAGGCTAATACCAGATCAACAGACAACAACGGCTTAGCAGCTATCGCCAATCAGGCTCTTCTCTGGTCCAAGCTGTTTAACGTCGGTGTTGCCGACATTATTCAATTCGCAGCTGCTCATGCAGTCGTTACCTGCCCACTAGGACCTCGCACCCGAGTCTTTGTTGGACGTAAGGACAGCACCAAAGCCGCTCCCGAAGGCTTGATGCCTTCTGTCACGATGACTGCAGACCAGATCATCAGTCTCTTCGAGGACAAGACTATCCAGCCTCATGACCTTGCTGCTCTTCTCGGTGCTCACAGTACAAGCCAACAGTTCAATGTTGACAAGACGAAAGCTGGCTTCAGTCAAGATTCTACAGTGAGTGATACAGGACTATAACAATGAGCTCAGAGCATAGCTAATAGTCGGACAGNNCCTGGCGTATGGGACGTCGCCTTCTATAATGAGACGTTGCAACCGAGAACAAACAGCAAGGTCTTCAAATTTCAAAGCGATCTTGTTACTGCAAATGATTCGAGGGTTAGCGACGAGTGGCAGAAGTTCATTGGGGATCAGAGCCACTGGAATGGGGTAAGTTCTTGGTCACAAACGACCCATTCTTATTGTGCAGATGCTGACAATGAGTGCAGGNACTATGCTTCCGCCTATGTCAGACTGAGCATGCTTGGTGTCAACAACATCAACAATCTGACAGAATGCACAAAAGTCTTGCCGGCTGCGAAACTCACATTCCCAGGGGCATCTACTCCTGGCCTTCTCGGTTGAAAACGACGTTCATGTCAGCGTTGTGTTGTTTGTTGTTATACACCCAAAGTTGCGAAATTTCATAATGTATATGAGCATATGAACGTACAATGTTCTTCGAAAACAGCGTGGCATCGATGGGAAGCAAATCATCGTAGGCCCGTTTTGATTGCATATCTATTCTGATAGCATTTGTATCGCATAATGGTCCAGAAGTCACTCTGTGCCCTTGCATTAGGATGAGGAACGGTATTGAGACTCTCTGACACTCTTGGTTCATTATTCTATACAGCTGCAATGAGCATCGTGAGATGCGATGTCCTCGTTCTCGGAACCACTCATCACCGTCGGTGGCGATTCTCGGTTGGCTTGCCCAAGATATTTCATTCAGCGATGAATGTCCAGCGCTCTATCGATAGGACAATTCTGGACTCGACCATCAAGCGAAGCAGATCCACTGCGGAAGTGGAATGCAGGTCAGAATCCAGATTAGGCCAATGAGCAGAATTGTAGTTGGCCACTCACGGAAGCTGGCTATGGTCAGCACATAGTACTTTCGTATTATACAAGTGACAGTACATCTCTAGCCAAGGCCTCAAACAGCTGGAATAGGTTGTTGCATAGACCATAGAAGGCAACAAGTTTGACATCCGAAAGTCAGAAGCCATCAGAGTTCACCCTCCCCGCACCAAAACGTGCACACCAACTTTCCGAGTCCGGCAACTTGAAAAGAGATATGCACGCCACCTTCCTTAGCGGAGAGAGTTCCCGGACATCGAATCTCGCGTAGCCCTAGGCGTCACAACACTTTCTCAAATTTCTAGTCCTGAGATCCATGTACATTCTTCAGCAGCCAGTCAGCCTACGGGCCATAGTCAGCACGCCTCTGCGAGGTACAAGGTCTTGATCTCAGGCCAGACTTCCTGATGCATGAGCGAGAAGCACTTTTGTGTCCAAGCTGATGGAGGCTTGACCAGGAATCAAGCTTGATCACTCTCATGGAGTCATATCGACAAGCGCTTCTCAAGCCTTTGGCTGAACCCCGAATGTGCTTTCACAGCACCTGTATCAAAGTTCGAGGGCATTGAGAAGGTTGAAAGTTCTATGACTCTGTCAGCATGTGGTCCAGAACGCTGCCTTTGATGGCTTCATGCTATCTCGGCTATACACATCTCCGTGCAAGAGGCATGGTCCTACTTGCCACTAGTTATGGACCACTCCACAGCTCGGTGTCTCCGCTGAGTGGCTTCACGGCTCAAGGCTCCCAGACAACGTGGTCAGCGATTGTCCTGCTCTCGGCATAACTCGAGAACGTACTCACAACATAACAATCTGTGTGTATATAAGGCTGCCTTTGAAGCACCTTTCGTTTATCATCAGCACCATCTCATTGGCCTCCAATACTCAGCTTCAGACTCTTCTCTTCTCCATCCAATACAGTCAACATGATTGCAAGTCTTGCTTCATTGCTGTTGCTCAGCACTTTCGGCATGACAGATGCATTCTCGATGCCAGAAGCAGCATCATCTTTCACCTCTCTACTGGCATCTTCCCTCAACAACGCTATACCCAACACACTTCTGGCTCGCAGTGGTGGCTCAGGCGGCTGCCCAGCAATTTGGACTACTATCTCTTCTGACCTTACCGCGTCTTTCTTGGGCTCCGATGGCCAATGTACCGACCTTGCGAGAGCCGCTATCCGGTTTGCGTTCCACGATGCTGGTTGGTGATATGATCGATTATACGCCGCCACAGAAACTGATATGTCATACANNGGACCATACTCGTCAAAGACAACATGGTACGCACCTGCTGCAGGCGGTGCAGATGGTTCTCTTCTCCTCAACCCAGACGAGATCAATCGTCCGGAGAACGGTGGCTTGGGTGACTACCAAACATGGTTGATGGGAAAATACACTCAGTACAACAGCAAGGCAACCGTCGGTGCCGCCGACTTGATCCAATTTGCTGGTGCTCACGCCGTCATCACATGTCCTGGTGGGCCAAAGATCAAAACTGTCGTTGGCAGAACCGACAGTTCTGTCATAGCTCCAGACGGCTTCCTCCCTGCTGGATTTGGTCCTAACTCGTCTCATGATGTCCTGTATCAGCTCTTCCTTGACAAGGGTTTTAGTGCTAGAGATTTGGCAGCACTCATCGGCGCGCACTCCACGAGCAAAGCATTCACTCAGCAAGCCAACGGTATTCCCAGCGGTGGCCAACAAGACTCAACTCCTGGCAAATGGGACATCTCTTACTACGCTCAGGTCAATAATCCTCCAGCGGGTGTGTATCGCTTCCAATCCGACATCAACCTCTCGAACGCGTCGACAACGGTCGGCAAACAGTTCCAGGGCTTCGTTGGCAACCAGGGCAAGTGGACAAGCTCCTTCGCGGATGCCATGGCTCGTCTGAGTGTACTGGGTATTCCAGCTTCGGCGCAGGTCAACTTCATTGATTGTACCAGTGCACTTCCAAGAGGCACATCCTCGATGAGAGAAATTCGTGCTGCTCCCATCAACAACCGCGCACGGTAGGAAAGAGAGTTTTACGTTGGTTCCCGTTGGGGTGTTGGTGCTTGTGGAATTTTCTTCCTTTGCTTGTTTATCTATACCACTCAAAATTATACAGATTTTGCTGAGAAGTTATTCGAGTGCCTGATCCTAGACGTTTTGAGACCCTGTTTGCATGATAATGCAAGAGTTATGCAACGTTATGTTCTAGTTGCACAATTCTACAACTCCACGTTGCGAGCTGTGGCTTCCTTCACTTCGTACTTGCATGCCAACTTGCAAATTACCTCGCTCCTGCTCTATATTTCGCATCATTTTTAGTCCGAAACATATAGCTGACTCAATCCCGTCTTGATACATCATACATCGACCACAACCGAGTACATCCTGGAAGCATCGAACAGATCACACCGTAAAAGCACAACATGTCGAATCTTAAATCAACAAAACCAAACGAGAATGATGGTTTCGGTCTCACAACTCAGCAAGACAGAATCTTAGCCTTGACGACCCTCATCTCCACAATATCCATCGCGACGCTGGATTTCAAAGCCGGCGGACAAATGCTAGGCAGCAGCAAGTCTGCACTCGCAGATGCCCTGCCTCCTCGCGTAGACGTCTCACTGCCCAAGACATCAGTTCTGGTTGAAAGCATCTCGCGTTCCTATATCAGAGGAGCTACGGCATGTGCATTCTTCTACCTCGCATACAAGGACTTCCGAACTACACAACTTCGCCAGGAGAGGTCGGAAGATGAAGATGCCTCGTCTTGGAGATGGAAAGCATGGGCTTCTTGCGGTGCAGCAGGTGTACTGGCGCAGAGTCTTGGTCCGTTGCCTGGTGGTGTGTGGGAAAAGCTTCATAAGCCTGATAGCAGTGTCAAGGGGCAAGCTCAGAGGTTGGGGATGTTGACTATGGCGAAAGGAGGGATTTTGATGGCTACAGTGCCGTTCTGTCTAAGTGCTTGGAGGTCTTTTGAGGTGAGCACTGAATACAGTGGTCAGATTGTGAGGCTGATTCCGCTCCAAGAAATTTAAGAAGCTGACAAATATAAGGACCGCAGGTTTTAAGATTTCACAATACTCCTGGTCTGAATGCTAGAGACTGTTACAGTGGAGCTGATGAGATACACAATAATTCTGCAAAACATGTGGTTTCCACAGAGATACCCAATTAAAGACTACCTCAATGGCCAGGCTCATATCCAGAATACAATCGTGTATTCTATCAGCTTAAAATGTTCTTTATTACCCGGGATGGAGGAGGAGCTCGATTGCGATATTGTGACGGCTTTTAGCACACAAGGGACGCTACTCCAATATTGACGACTTCATGGTAGACATCCATAAATGTTGGGTTGGAGAAATTTGCTCAAACAATCTTGACCACAGCCGCACTGTTTGAGCAATATGACTGGAACGCCGGAGATTCATCCTCATCGTCACAATACTCCTTTGTATCTTTCCCGCCATCTCTAATTTAACTATATTCCAACGCGGAACTCAGCCATGGATTGCAACATGCTGTCGACTGCCAACAAAGTGTCTTACTTGTCACAACACCGCGCCGAGTTCAGCGATCTACCTTTGGACATTATCCTCGCCATAGCTGAACACCTTCCGGCCTCCAGCGTCGCTTGTCTAGCCCTTACATGTAAACAGCTGTACTACAGCAAACCGCTCGATAACGTATACGCCAAAAACCTGGATCCATTTGCTTCTCCGGATAGATGCCCCAATCGAGGAGATGATTGTTATCCGGGCTTCGAGGAGCACAGTCATGACCATCTCGATTTCGTCAGAATGCTAAGAAAGGACTTGTCCGAACATCTGCTCTGCGAGTTTTGCCAGAAGTTCCATCCCAAGCCGATACCGAAAGGGTCAAAACTAAGAAGCGATTGGCTATACTGTCCTACAGTAGCTCAGACAGCAATGTGGCTCCGGTGGCCACAATTCCGAGTACATTTGCAGTTTGAGGATGTGCAGATGGTTATGAATCAATATCGATGGGGTGGTTCACATGGCGCACCTTTGTCCAGTATATCGATGGACCAGAACTGGGAAGTCCTGAGATGTGCTGTACCTCGCCTGTTCTTAGCCAAGTTCGGCCTGGAGCCAGAGATTATAGATGGGAATCTCTTGATACATACCACAGAACGCGTCTTCTTCGCAACGAAACAGCTCCAGGACAGTCTTTCCGAGATTAAACGATGCTCTTGGATAGACGTGTTTTCATCATGCAGACACAAACCGGCGATAAGAAATATGCGTAAGGGTGTTGATGATGTGCTTTCGTTCTGCACCGAACGTGCAACTACACGATTTGCATCTATAATCCTTCGAAGAACCTGGAAGAAATCCAATCTGAGTCAACGTCCGGATTGCGCTGCGTGTTCCTGTGTGGAAATCGCCTATCACAACGGCAGGTCTGAGCTGAGGCAATCTGGTGACAAGAAATACTGCGCACCAGTGCACGGTATTGAGCTGATTGTGCACTCGTGGATGCATCTGGGAGAATGTGAGCATACTTTCTCGCCGCCTTGGCTCAACCTCTGTTCCTCGACTGGACAATCATACCCTGAATACTTATACAAGGAGGCCAAGGATTTGGACGAGGCATTCAGGAATGAGAGGTTGCGGGAGGCCCGTACCCGCTACGATCGGATAACCTTGTGCTCGAGTACCCTCGAACGTCCTTCACTGCTTCCTTCAATCAAGTATGCAGTGGCAATGTACCCATTCAAAGCCAAGCAAGAGGAAATCCCGAAGATCTTATGGGGTTCGATATTTGTATCCTACGACATTTTACAGGTTTTGGTCGAAGACGAACTCGGCTATTCAGTACAAAGTGAAAATTGCCTCTTGCAAGCCGAGATCGAAGTCCTGAGTCGGGCAAGGAAGTTCATACGAGAGTATAGACGCAACACCGCACCAGAACCTCGATGGAGGTTATGGGCTTGGCTTTATTCAAACATTTTTAACAAGCTGACCTTTGAGTTACTCACTGGTACAAGCTCAGTCGATTCCGATGAAGTGTATCAGAAAGTGCACGTCTGGCCTTGGGATAAATCGAGATGATGGTTGTGTCCTTGAGTACATTGGCAGCTCCAGATATTGCTCTGTATCATCGTGGGAGAAAACCGGAAGTGACGGACTTCGGTACATGAACAACGCTGATCGAGAACAGACTGTGGAATAGTCAGCATGATGACGCGAGAGGGTATTGGGAGAGAGTAAGAAAGAGCCATTGCTTGGTTGGCCTGACTTTGGAAGGCGGTCGTACCTGCCATCTTGCCCACTCGAGACCCTGTTTTCAAATCTCGTGAAGACGGCCCGGCTACCCGGTCTTCATCACGATGAACAACTTTTGTGAGACAGCAGTTCGTCCTTTTGGGACTCGAGAATGATAGAGAAAAGTGATGAAAAATTTCAAAGTGTGCAAGGTATCCTAAGGAGAAAAATGAACCAAAAAGCAATGAAAAAGGTCGAGTAGGGGCGACAGGCGCGAACCAAGATTCCTGCTCTCGAAGCGCCTTGATGCTTTTTCCAACCCCAATCTCATACCTCGCATTATGTACAACTCCTCGTCGTCGTCTTATTCATCCCACTATGCTGGTGTGGGCGTCGTATCCTAATCGTAACATCTCTTGCTTTGTTTATTCATTTGTTGACGGGCGAGTCGGCCTCGATAGTGGGGTTCTGGCCGTGGGCGAACTTCGAGTCGGTTTCGAGGGGCTCTTGGGGCTTGTCTGTTTGGAGTGCGTTAGTTGGAGTTGCTGAAAGTAGTTGAGCGGAGACGAGCTTACCATGACGAGCGTAGAGGTTGTACTCCTCATCAGCGTACTTGCCGACCTTGCCAGCCTCGACATCAGAGCGGGTCAGGGAGAGCTTGCCCTTGGGCAAACCCATGCTGCCAAGGTAGTTGAGAGCATCCTTCCACTCCTTGTCCTGTCTTGACTTGCTCCACTTGTACTCCTCAGTCATCATGTCGATGACCTTGGGGAGAGCCTCGAGAGCGGCCTGAGCGTTCAAGAAAGCGAGACGGGTACGGCGGGCAATAACATCGACCGCGGTCTCGGCGTACTCGTGGCGCATGGCGTAGCGAATCTCGCCGTCAACGAAGGGGTAGAGCTTCGAGATACGCTTACCACGGACGGGGAAGCGGTGCTCGGTAGGCTCGCAGAGGGCAGCGACTTGCCATGCACGATCACCGTAGGACTCAGCCAAGTGCTTGGCAACTTCAGTCTCGATTCCGTAGTGCTGGATCAGGTTGATGAACAGAGTCTTGCTCCAACCGTGAGCGCCAACAAGTCTGACCTGGTGAGTTTGACAGCTACCGTCAAGAGTGGCGGCGTCATTGAATCTCTCGGAGCCAGAAACGCGAGGAGGGTTGGGAAGAGGACCGGTGGTAAGCTTGAATTCCTTGATGGCTTCGTCGACAGTCTCCTCGGCCATCTGGCGGTAAGTAGTCCACTTGCCACCAGAGCAGGTGATCAGACCGCTCTCGCTGGTGGTAACGAGATGGTTGCGGACAAGACCTTCAGACTTGGCCTTGTTGGGGTCGCGGACAAGAGGGCGGATACCAGACCAGGCAGCAAGGACATCGCCACGGCGGACAGTGATTTCAGGTTGGAGGTAGTTCTTGACTTCGGAGAGAATCCAGTTGATCTCCTCCTCGCCAGCGATAGGGTTCTGGTTGATGTCGCAAGGAGTGTCGGTGGTACCAGCAATGGTGTTGCCCTGCCAGGGAAGGAAGAAGATGACACGGCCGTCGGAGGTGTGAGGGTCAATCATACCCATGTTGGCGGGAGCGTAGTAACCGGGAAGAATAACGTGAACACCAGACGAGGGAGCGACAATCTCGGGGACCTTTTGGTCGTCCATCTTGCGGATCGAGTCGGTGAAGGGACCAGTAGCGTTGATGACACCCTTTGCGCGAATGTTGAACTCATCGGAGCTGCCGTTGGACTCAGCGACAAGATCCTTGACGCGAGCGCCGTTGAGTCTGCCGTTCTCGTCCTTGGTAAGAGAGGTGACTTCAATGTGGTTGACAACAGTTGCACCGTAGAGAGCAGCGGTCATTCCGAGAGAGACGTTCATGCGAGAGTCGTTGTGGGCACCATCTGAGTACTGTTAGAACATCTGGCCACACAGGAATTGGTACATCAGGAAAAACTCACCGTAGTAAACCAGAGCACCAACCAAGTTGTCCTTCTTAAGCATGGGGAATGCGTTAAGAGCCTTGGACTTGGTCATGAAGTAAGAAGTTTCGATGTTTTCAGAACCGGCGAGGAAATCGTAGAACTTGGTGCCTGCCCAGAAGTAGGGAGCTTGCCACCACTTGTTGATAGGAATCATAATAGGGAGCCATGACGAGAGATGAGGTGCCGTGTCGAGGAAGAAACGACGCTCACGGAGAGCCTCCTTGACGAGCTTGTATCTTTACAAATTATCAGCATTTGGAGCAATTGCAGAATTAAGGATAGATTGAACGCACTGGTTGTAGTCGAGTTCCCAGACAGCCTTTTCGAGATATCTAACACCACCATGGACGAGCTTGGTACTCTTGGAGCTAGTACCCGAGGCGAAATCGTCTCTCTCGACCATTGCGACCTTCAAGCCTCGAGTGGCAGCATCGAGGGCGATACCGGTGCCGGTTGCACCAGCGCCAATGACCAGGAGATCGTACTCCTCGCCCTTGTTACCTTGGTTGTCGGCTTGGACGTCGCCAGAAGAGCCGGCAACAGCCTTGGCAACCTTGTTTCCTGCATCCTTCAGGGCACCTGTCACGGCGCCGGCTGAAGCCTTCAGGTCGGCGATTTGAGCAGCGCGGGACTTGATCTCGGGAAAGCTGGGAGGGTTGAAAACACCACCCTCGCCATAAGTGGGCGGCGGCACAGCAGCGGCTTCTGAGCCAGGAATCTCGCGAGGTCTGTAGATGGCGTAAAGACCGCCTGCGCTGACAGCACCGGCGGCCGAGGCGTAGCCCAGAGCGCGGAAGAAACGATTCGATCGACTCGCCATCCTCTGGTGGTTGTGAATGAAGGAGGAAGAAGGATGAGCAGAGGGAGGACGGCGAGAGAAAAGGTTTCAAGGCAAGCACAAGGATTGCGGTCTTGGTGAGCAACCGGCTATGAATCCTATGATGCAACGGATGTCAAAGCTTGTGGGTATTCTCCACGCTGATGGAGGATTGAGTCCACAATCGTGGATGGAGCGGCCCTACCACGGTCGCTTGAGTCTGCGATTCTCCACGGGCAATTCACGCATGCTTTGAGGATTGAGGGGCCGCATCCTCCTGGAGGCTGAAATATTGGCCGAAAGAGGCCCAGTTCGAGATGCGCGCTCTTCCCTCCGCAGCTGTACGGCGGAATTCAGCGCCCGCAACGTCCTGGCATGTGAAAGAGCAGCTGCTCCTGCGACGGCCACCCACGGCTTTCCGCTGCATGTTTCCGCCAATCGGACACTTTGCAGCAGAAGCCCCTGTGGCTTGGACATGCAAAGTCAAGATTTGGCTGATCAGCTTTCCATCTCTGCTTGGCACTCGACGATCCTTTCTATCAACAGTTTGAAAGCACCGATCCAACACGACGCTCTGCACACCTTCTCCAGTCTTTTGCTCCAACAATTTGATGACTCTCCCGTCATACCCCGATCATTCTCGGCCTCTGCCACGTCTTCCTTGATTGTTTGCCAGCTCCCTCGGTTAACCCGGGCTGCATCTGAATTGATTCTTGAATCTTTACTTCATATCGCGTGGCTACCGACCTTGGATGAAACACGCACTGCTACATGCTCAACGTCCATTCTACAGCGCCTTTGTTCCTTCACGTCTAATCATGCTCCGTCTATCATTTGCGTCAATCATGCCTCTGCAGCCTTCAGCAAGCCCTTCAGATCGATACTCTTCGGTCTCTCGATTGGAAGACCCAGCGCGCGGTCCCAGATGAGTTGTGCGAGCGGTCCTAGAGCTCTGCTAACACCGAAGATGGCCGTGTAGTACAGTGTCTCCTGGAACCCGTAGTGGTGGAATAGTACCCCTGAACCAGAGTCGACGTTGGGGTATGGGTTCTTGGTCTGCCATGCTGTCAGCAATCTATGCCACCAAAAGAGTCGGATATAACATACCTTTCCGTGTTCGGTCAGCACACCAGGTGCAATCTGCGAGTTTGTCCTGACAAGCTGGAACAAGCTGTTGTTCTTGATGTCTTCGTGTGCATCACCGAATGCAAGCAGAGCATCGAACCTAGGATCGGGCTTGCGCAATACCGCATGTCCAAAGCCAGGGATTACTCTTCCGCTCTTGAGTGTGGTCCACAAGTAGTCTTTGACGTCTTTTTCCGTAAAGTCGTTTCCGATGTGGTCTCGCATTTGCAACATCCAACGAAGCACCTCCTGCGCTGCGAGACCGTGCAGGGGACCCGCGAGGCCTTGCAGACCAGCCGAGTACGACAAGAAAGCATCTGAAAGAGCAGAGCCAACCAAGTGAGTCGAGTGTGCCGAGACGTTGCCTCCTTCGTGGTCGCCGTGCAGCGCGCAGTAGAGTCTGAGCAGATCCTGGAAGCCCTCGTTACCCTCGCCGCCTTTGCCCAGCATTGCAGCATAGTTGTAACACCAATCTTGCTCGGGATCTACCTGAGCGGGTAGAGCACCACCGCCACGGTAAGAGTTTTGGTAGATCTTGGCTGCGATGGTAGGCAATTTTGCAATCAGGGATATCGAATCTTCGAAGGTCGGCTCCCAGTAATCAGCCTTGTTCATTCCCTTCTCGTATGCCTTCGCGAAGACACTAGTCTTGTTGAGAGCTGACACTGCGCATGCGAACTGTGTCATGGGGTGCATGTCTGCAGGGAAGTTGTCTAGCATTGTCTCGACATAGTCAGGCAAGGCAGCTTTCTCGGCCAGTTCGCGAGAGAACTGGCGCACCTGGTTGGTGGTCGGCACTTCACCTGTGAGCAACAGCCAGAACATTGCCTCGGGTAACATTTCCGATCCAGTCTTGCCCTTTGGGAGCTGTTCCTGGCAGTCTTTGATGGTGCGGCCGTGGAATCGGATTCCCTCGTTTGCATCGAGGACTGATCCTTCCCAGATCATGGCAGTGAGACCTCTGGTCGCGCTTAGCTTAACGGGACACCCAAATTCAAGCAGACAAGCCTACCTCATTCCACCCAAGGTGTTCTCAACTTTGACGCTACCAATGGTCTTGGATGCATGGCTCTTGACTTGCTTGAGGAGCTCGCGTTTGGCAGGGATGACTTTTGCGAGCGTGTCCTTGAGATTGGGTTCTGAGGCTGATGCGAAGCCTTGTTCTGGGCAATCTTATTAGGTTCTTTGACCAAAACGCGAAACTAGTAGTAGACATACGAGCTTGAGCAGGGCGGTAATTGGTGGCCTATTCACAGTCCATCAGCACATCGAGTCTACCAGAGAGACATTGTTGTTACTGACCTTGACATTTCTTAGAGCCCTCAGGGCAGTTCGGGAGTTGTAAGCCATGATGTGTCTTTGTCGAATACAAAGATCCAGGTACCGTTCGGACAATGGCAAGAAGCTACTTGAGGAAGGAGCACTCTACCTAGATATTGAGGCGCCTCCACAAGGTAGGGCGCTGCGGGGAAAGGTTGGCTGCAATCGTGGGGTGAGTGAACCTCGGTCGGCAGCTTCGGTTATGACGCGCCCGGAGTGATGGACCTTTGGCCGCAATACCCGCATCCCGACGGCAACAAGGAAACATATGCCTGGTGAACTTGCAAGTTGCATTGAGAGCTTCTTGTAGAGTTCTCGAATCCGCTATACCATCCACAATATGCGTCGAGCGACCATTCAGTGCCTGCAACGACGCCCATTGTCGAGGCTCCATCTCACAGCTCGCCCTGCTTCTCGCTTCATCTCATCAAGCTCGGTTCGCATGTCTGCGTCTATAAAAGCTGTCGATCCTCCTTTACCTTCAGCAGAACCAACCTCATCCCNNTTCCAGCTGTTGTCAACAGAACAGAAGGTTGGCGAGTATGAAGATGCTGTGTTCGATGACCAGGTAAAACAGGTTCAAGATTGGTGGGCTTCACCCAGATACAATGGCATCAAAAGGCCTTATTCTGCAGAAGATGTCGTTAGTAAGAGAGGTACTCTGCAGCAAATCTACCCTTCTTCACTGATGGCTCGAAAACTTTTCAACCTCCTGGAGGAACGAGCTGCTAAAGGAGAACCTGTGCACACAATGGGTGCCATCGATCCTGTACAAATGACCCAGCAGGCACCTCACCAGGAAATTCTTTACGTCTCTGGATGGGCCTGCTCTTCCGTCCTGACCAGTACAAATGAGGTCTCGCCTGATTTTGGTGACTACCCCTACAACACAGTCCCCAACCAAGTACAACGACTTTTCAAAGCACAGCAATTACACGACAGAAAACATTACGATGCACGAAGGAAGATGTCTGCCGAAGAGAGGAACAAGACGCCCTACATTGATTACCTTCGACCAATCGTCGCCGATGGTGATACTGGCCATGGTGGTCTTTCGGCAGTTTTGAAGCTGGCCAAACTTNTTGCCGAAAATGGTGCTGCAGCTGTTCATTTCGAGGATCAATTGCACGGAGGCAAGAAATGCGGTCACTTGGCAGGCAAGGTTTTGGTTCCTGTTGGTGAACACATCAATCGCCTCGTTGCCACACGCTTCCAATGGGACATGATGGGCTGTGAGAACTTGATCATCGCGCGCACGGATTCAGAGAGCGGCAAGTTGTTGAGTAGCGCCATTGACGCTCGCGACCATGAATACATTCTTGGCTCCACGGAGGATATAGAACCTTTGGCAGAGACGCTCCAAGTCATGGAGATGAACGGTGCGAGCGGTGCAGAGATTGATGCTTACGAGGCTAAATGGGTCAAGGAGCACAAGTTGGTTACTTTCGATGAAGGTCAGTTACGACGCACCCACGGACTAGGTATATGCTAACGCAGTGGAATAGCTGCTATTGCTCACATTAAGGCTAAAACATCTGACTCGGATAAGGTCGCTAGATACGAAAGTGAGATATCCGCGAACCGTAACAGACCTTTGAACAGCCGTCGCCAGCTTGCCGCATCTATCGCAGGCTCTCCTGTCCAGTTCAGTTGGGATGTCCCACGAACAAAGGAAGGTTTCTACCACTACCGCGCTGGACTTCCCGCAGCAACGAAGCGAGCTATCGAGTTTGCTCCGTTCGCTGATCTGCTGTGGTTGGAGACTGGAGATCCAAGCGTGCAAAAGGCTGCGGGCTTTGCTAAGGAGATCAGGGAGGTGCATCCTGGAAAGAAGCTCGTTTACAACCTCAGTCCTAGCTTCAACTGGATGGGACATGGTTTCACAGAGGATCAGTTAAAGAACTTCATCTGGGATCTGGGCAAAGAAGGGTGAGCAATTCGTACATCAATTGGTGATTTACAATTCAACTGACACACCTGCAGATTTGTTCTTCAGCTCATCTCCCTGGCCGGCTTGCACAGTACCGCCACGATCACTAATGAGCTCGCCAAGGGGTTCAAGACTGATGGCATGTTGGCGTATGTGAACTTGGTCCAGCGTCGTGAACGTGAACTTGGTTGCGACGTACTCACGCATCAGAAATGGAGCGGTGCAAGTTATCTCGACGGCATTTTGGGTAGTATTCAAAGTGGTAGCAGTAGCAGCAAGAGTATGGGTGAAGGCAACACAGAAGGAAGTTTCTAGGCAGATACGTCAACCCAGCTCGTGTCTGAGAGCCATAGAGCTTGATGTTGATACCATACGGGATACAAGAACGATGTTTTGCCGTCCCAAGAATATGAGGTTGTTTCCTATGTGTGCAACGTAATAATGGTCCTGGATGAAGATGCTGGTGGTATCACCCTGACCAACCTCTAGAGACATTGTAGAAGGGTGTATAACTTGATCAAGATAGAATCTCGTGTTGCTTTAGGTGAATTACATTATAATGCACTCGCCCAGTGCTCCTAGACGCGTTTTCACGGCGTTCTTGATGATGGGAGTGGTGTACGGATTTGCGACTCCAATTGAGTTAATAATGAGCACTCAAGAGTGAGATATTTCCCTCAGGCAGCAACTCGCGAGTGTTGCATCGCTTGGCCAAGTATAAAACAAAATCCCCCAGGCGCCAGCTCCTGTCTTTCTCGAAACACAACATTCTTGTCTTTGTCTCGAAAAACACAGTATTCAGAGCCACCACTGATATTGACTTCGAGACTCTTACCAAGACAACAAGATTTTGTATCAGACATAACTTCTTCAAGAGCACCAACACTCTTACCGTCGAAACACAAAAAAATCCGTTTCAAGGACAAGTAACTCGAAGGTTGAGTATTCTTGCCATATCACCATCGACAACCACCATCACAAATTCTCTCCCACCAACAACCTCCACCACCACAAACCTTCTGCCACTCTAAGCACCAACAACATCTACACTCTCCCAACACATCAAGCACATCAATCAAAATGTGCCACCACTTTACTAGTCCTAGATCCATCACCCGTAGCCGTTCTATCAAGAGGGTAGGCCAGCACTATTCGGAAGGTAGTGGAAACGTTTGTACCATCACCTACGTTAGAGCCATCAGAAAAGACGTCTACCAAGGTCTGTTGAGCGACGGGAAGCCATTCACGATGACTAGAGCGGCTATTCGTGCGTCGCCAAAGACGTACCAACTCCACAAACAGCCAGATCATCACAACTGTTACCGACTGGTGTGTAAGGCGGTCGAAAGGTATCGCGAGGTCAAAGACATTCGTGCAGCCTGCGGAGCCAAGCAGAGGGATATGCCAAACAGAGCCAAGACAGTCTACCATCTCTGTAATGGCGAGAAAGTCACAGATCTGGAGCTGAAAGAAGACGAGGACTGCCAGGAATACGATGTCGTCTCAATCAAAGACTCTGACGGTGAGACAACAAGGAAGTATCTCTCAGAGTTGCGTTGGGTACCATCCGACGATACCGCTCCTTCCGACCAAGACGAGGATCGAGACCTGTCTCAACCGCTGATGAGTACTACAGACTCTCTGACCGCAGATTCTCATATCCAAGAAGAGAGCGTCAGCCAACGTCAACCAAACATTCAGGAGAGAACATCGAGTATTCCATCAACATGCGACGATCTTGATCGGACCTGCAGCAAGTCAAGGTGTATGCCTATGTGTAATGGAGTTGACCATACATAGCTCGAATCGGAACAGTGATCGGGCACCGACACTGCATTATCGGAGGAAAGAAATTTGAAGGGCAAATATGAGTCTCGGCGCATAGCCATACCTTCTCTGCTACTCTTTTCCCACTGGGTTTTTAATAAGAGCAGAAGGCTATGATGGACATGATCGGATCATCTTATGGTCGTCGAATGGTCCGAGGATAACAAAGCAATGCATAGCAGGCTGCAGCAAGACCAAAGCTGTTTTGTTCTCCAGAACATTAACCACACCTCCGTGTACCTGGCACTGGACAGAGCTCCAGGATATCTGGTGATTCAGGCAGCGCTTCTACATGACCTCAGGTGATCAGAAGCATTCGACAAGACAAGGCGAAAGCGCCACATCTGATGCTCCCTGAGGAGAGTTGATAAAAGTAGCGCATATGCAAGGATATTAGAAATGTTAATCTTGTTCGACAAGTTCCATTTGTGATGTGCTTTAGGTGATAATGCAGCCAAGTAAATTTATGGCCTAGTCTTGCTTTGGTGCATGCCTCGAGAGGCATAATGTCTGTGAGTAGTGACAATCATGGGCAGGATAGCTTGTGATCACAGCTGCGTAATCATTTCCAGATCATCGTACTAATGTGCCCGAGTCAGGAGGTTCGTAAGGGTCCCTTGATGACAGGGTGCACTTATATTTGGGCTCGGGGTGTACATATGATCGACAATGAGCTCGTTTGTACCGAGGCATAATGTCTCAAGATCGATAGTGAGGGTGGTCGAGGCTACCGATAGTAGCCCGTTTTATGAGGAGTCCAGGACCGATGTTTCACGATTTCGAAGAACCATGCAACGACTTCTTGAAGCGGCCGTGCAACGCGAAAGAAGTGGACTGATTGCTCATCAGATAAGAGACAACGGTCTGCCAGACATGCATCGAGTCATGATGGCAGGTATGGAGGAAACTTGATGGCTCTAAAGAGGGGATGTGTCTGTTGGCAGTTTGGAAAGAGCGGCCAGACCATAATGCAGGTGTGTGTGGGCAATTTTGGGCAACTGGAGCGATGCAGCAAACAGAAGCTTCAACCAACGAGGGCAAAGACTCGGGAGCCGGATCACTGGCGCTCGAACCGACCGCCTGGATGCTTCCAAGCCATGGCGTCGAGTAGCTCATCGGAATTCGGAAGCATTTGACAGGCAAAAGACCCAGCGCCAGCGTTGCCCTCTCCAAAGCTCACACATTCCAGCCATGGGTCCGCGCATGCCGCGCTACCATCCAATGAAAGTGATGGCGGACCAATTCTCGGATAAGACCATCCTATTTGCGACCCTAGTCGAACAAGTAAAACCATTTAGAGCGATATAAAAAAAAAAGCGGAGTTTTGGATAATGAACTTGAGCGACGAGAAGCTTTGGCGCACTTTAGTTGCCGCCTCGTTCGTTTGTTCGGTACGCAGGCGCTCCAGATACATGCAGCTAATAAGAATTGGCTACCAATTACCAAGTATGAGTTGCATAGTCACATAAAGAGGAGAGGGCAGACTGTGCTGCCTTCTTGCGTCAACTTCTATGAAAAGACACGTCCCCCGACCCTTGCCACCGTAGGCCACTCTGCAGTTGCCAGTTACAGTATTAGCAAGGAATGACTCCGAAGACGTCGCTTGCGACGGCGGCGTCTACAACATCCGACACTTTGGCAAGCTATGTCACAGACTATCGTATGGAGAATGGTCGAAGATATCATGCTTACCAAGATGGCAGCTACTGGGTAAGTCCTATCCGATTAACATTGACCGTCCTAAGGATTAATACGTCCAGGNGTCCTAATGATGAACAATCCTGCGAGGGCGAAACTCTGTCGCATAACCTGTACACCCTGACTCTTGGTGGAGAGCTGCATCTAGCGCCTATTAAAGCTCCGCAAGAGATCCTGGATGTCGGGACTGGCACGGGCACTTGGGCAATCCAAATGGCCGACAAGTTTCCCGAGGCCCAGGTGACTGGTACGGACCTGTCACCCATACAGCCGGATCTTGTCCCAAGTAATTGTGTGTTTGAAATTGACGACGCTTCATTGGACTGGACGTGGGGGGAAAATCAACTGGACTACGTCCATGTCCGCGAGATGTTTGGCTCGATTACAGACTGGGATCTGTTCTGCAGCGAAGCCTTCCGATGCATTGCACCGGGCGGCTACATCGAGATCTTCGAACACTCCACTTGGCCAGTATGACTGTTCTCTACAATCGATAGCCCATCCATTGACTGACAATATGTCTTATAGGTGAGTGACGATGACTCGTTAGCTCCAGATCACTTCTACGACACCTGGGGTCGGACCATTCACGACCTTTCTGTAAAATGGGGCAAGTCCTTCGACGTCTGGAAAGAGAGTAAAGCTCTGTTGGAGAGGGCTGGATTTGTCGATATCGTCGAGAAGCGCTTCAAATGGCCAATGAATGGCTGGTCCAATGACTCAACACTCAAACAGCTTGGAGAGTTAAATCAGATTCGCTTGACTGAACATCTACAAGGTTACACCCTAAGACTCTTGACTGGTGTTGGAGAGGTTAGTACGTCCTGCAAAATCCTTCATCATCCAAGCTAATAAACTGTTCAGTGGGCATTACCACGTGAGTTGACTTAAATCACCACCACGACGAAAGCTAGCGCTGGGCCGGAGTTCGTTCTCTGCAAAATTGCCGAAAAGAATGGATCAGTACCAGAACTGAAGCTCAGATGTCAAGCCAAGTCGTGGTGATACCGTGGTCTCCTGTCATGCAACAACGCTAACGTGTCTTTGCTGTAGGTGCTCATGTTTTCCTGGCCGAGATGAGAAATGCTCTGAAAGACACCAATTGCCATGCATATCAGGATGTGTAAGTTACTCGATGCATGGACTTCACCTGACACAGGCTGACAGTGTCGCATATAGAAGCGTTGTATATGGTAGAAAACCATCATGAGCCGCTCCATCTGGCATTCTTCAGACCCCTAGTGAAGCCACTTACCATTTTCAAGGAGCGAAGAAGAATCACCTGGATTCTCGGTCCACGTACGACTGCTCTTGCTGATACACAACGATTGGTCTCGTTCAGATGTTCATCAGTTTTGAGCCACAAAGTCGAACGTGAGAACGTTCCGCCAGATATAAAGCGGCAGGAGTCAGAACCCGCTCATTGCACGATGTACGTGGGAACCCTGGCCAAATGGTATTGAGCCAAACAGTTGCGGCCGAGCTGCTTCCCTGACCCTGGCAATCGAACCTGGTTGGTTGTTTTGCTGCGGTATGGTTGTGCATTGAATAACAAACCCCAGGGGATCATGTAGGGATGATCTGAACATGGGATGACATGTCACTTGTCCACAAACCCAGGAGGCATAATGCTTCCAAGGCTATCACAGATTACGTTGATGACCACATTTGGTGGAACAAGTGCATGGTCATCATGCCAGCACAGCTCCCCTAGCCATTAGACGCCGCCTCGAATCGATAATGACCAATCTTTTAACCATCAAGGGGGTCTAAGGAAACATGAGCCATTCACCACTCCCCCCCTGTGCGAAAGCATGTAACGCGCGTAGCTATAAAGATGCACAATTCTAACTAGAAATAAGGATATGGCCAAAGAGAGCTGATGAGAAATTGCTTCTCAGCGGACACTATCCTATTTTCTAATAGTATTGTGCGTTTTCATAGCGTGTACTTTACTCTCTGCTATGGTCGGAGGACAGTGGAACCCAGTGTGAGGCTGGCTCATGTTTGCCTGGAGCCACTTGCATGTCCTCCAAAGATCGTGTACCTTTGTGCAGGTCTCTTGCTCAGATCACCTGCGCGAATCCGAATGTTGACAAGAAGGCCCACGGTCGTATGCTCAGCGGAGACGGCCTGTCGTTTTTGTGTATCGTTTTATGCTCCGTTGGATAATAGCCCGTGAGGCTGTGATTCTGCATATCATGCATGCCTGCAACCGAGCTGCAAAGTTGAAGAATGTCTCAATGTTCGTAAATATGTACGTATCTTCCGAGACATCCCCGTTGAAACCATGGATCTCTCTGCCTCGAATCCATGATCTATGAGATAGCTCGCCGACTCGTGTCACTCCCTAGAACGCGGTGAGCCTATGTATGGAAAAGACCAGGCTGCAGCTACGGCGTGTCCGGAGGTCCAGTTCAAACAAGAGCCTCAACATATTATCCACTTGAGGAATACTTCTCCGATACGTGCGTAGGCAAGAATAGGTGGAAAGTGCAAGAGTTTTGTTGGAGTTGGCTAGCGAGCAGCACGTACGTCTTCACGCGGCTACAACTGCCTTCGACCGCCATACGACTTTGAAAGCACAGATCAAGAAGCCCAAGATGGCTGCAGCAGCAGTGTCGTTTGGGAAAAACAAAAACGGCCAGACCACCGGTAAAAGGATGCTCGGGGTGGCACGACGGGGAGGAGGTTGGAGAAAAGACGTTTCGACGCTGTCCGCTGTACTTGCCTGGTGGCTGGTGGCTTGATGAGAATGTGCCGAAGGGGAAGGGGCAGCACGGCGATTCGGAGACGGACCAGCAATGGGAGAAGTTGCCTTAACTCTTCACTTGCTTGATCCGGGTTTCTGGGAATTGGTTGCAGTCTTACTGCATTACGATTGCAAAGCCTAGCCGCATCGAAAGGCAAAGACCAAATTGGACTGCCTATCCATCTCCCATATAAGTTAGCCCCTTTGGCTTCAGACGACTCGTACGATGCGTTGCATGTTGCAATTGCCAGCTGATGTTCACCAAGATCGCATGGGTATTAGCAGGAGAAGATCAAGTATCTGCTTGTTCGATGGTTGTTGTAACGTAGATTAATCTAAACATGCTTCGATATCTACGTTTGTTTCTGATTCACAGATCACAACTTGAGGTTGAAGTCAATGTCATTCAAACAAGGTCGGCCTGGAAGCCCGTTCGCTCCCAGTATTTTCACATTGAAGTTATGGAGATCTAGACCTACGGCTGCCATGGGGTCACAACCCAAATTGATGAGACACGCTCCTCACAGATGCACCCCAAAACCCCAGGTCCTTGGAAAGGGACCTAGCAACCGAAAGTCAATTGCTCAACACTCGACTGAGATAAAGGGTTGACGTCGTTGAAAGCGGAAGCTGACTCTTGAGCACGTAGTCGCATGTACCAAATCACCGAATATGAACGACCGATGGATATTGTTGGCCAAGGACGCTCGGCTACTTTTCCTTACAATGGTCAGGGATAAACCTCGGTCAAGCTGCAGCAAAATCACAGACATGCAACCAGTGCAGCACAAGGTATGCTCATGCGGGGTCAGGGATCGAAGAACCAGCTTGCTGCCCATTGCGTTCAGTTGTGGGAATCAATCCTCTTTATCAGATGTTCGATGTTGCCTTCATTGGACGTGTTTTCGATGGCTGTCGCAATATCACAGCTCTCTGACATCCAGCCGTCGCGAATTGATACCTGACATTTGCATACCTTAGGCAATTCCAAGCTAGCATGTTCGATAACGGATCCACTAAACACCGCGGCCGAGTACGGGTTTGCTCGTTGTTGGCCGAATGAAGAAAATGGTCGATACTATTCTGTCTTAAAGAAATCACATGGCCTGGTCGCTCGCTCGCTATATTATCTATCTAACAATGGTCACCGAATCGCGATATAGAAGCATAGCACCATTTGATTGTTAGCTTCCACCACCCAAAGACATTGGAAGAAGGTGTTGCTGATCCCCGTTGCGATCTGAAGCGCTTGATACAGGTGCCTGGAATCGTGCAATAGGCAGCAGAAGTTCGCGTGGCAGCCATGAACGTGGGGTATGAGATAAGCCACAGCGTGGAAGGTATGGAATCGAGAGAATCGCGGACCGACCAAGAGTTAGAGTTGACGCCAGCAAGATCACGCAGATGAAGTTGGTGCTGTTACGCACCAGGAAAAGTCAACAGAGTCATCGGGGCGTACCGAGGCACTACAGCGAACAAGCTTCGGGATATCACTGTTTGTTCTAATTTAGCCCTGGAGCGTTGGATGGAACACTTCGGCGTCGCCGACTTGCAACTGCAGTGGTGCCGAAAGCCAACAGGGTGCAGTACAGCAAAAAGCTCCGGTAGTCACATGTAGTGGCGTATGGGGAACTGCCAGAGGCGTGACTTTGGAGAAACGATTCAGGTGCAAGATTGCGCCTCACCCGAGCAGGCGGGATTGGGCGATCATACAGGTAGTGCTGTGATAGCCTGTAGGCGAACTCATTTATCGCTTGCCTGCAGCAGGATGCCGAAATTGGAGAGGAGTGTTAGCGAGATAAATCATATGCGTGACAAACCTAGTGAACCACAATTCCACATGGAAGTTGGAGTAGAAGAGATTTGAGTCGAGCCTAGACTCGGCAACTAAGTACTTGCCTAAGTGAACAAGATCAGGTTTCGCTTAGCCGATAGTTTTATTGGCTAGGGATTCTTTGTCTTAAACTGTCCATTTGACACTATTATCCAGCACACGACTCTCAAGTTCTTTGAAGAAGCGGGCTGGCAATTCAAAACTCAAGATACGATACGTGGTACGTCGTGGAAGGTGTAGTGACTTGTGTGGTCTGGTCGCCGTTGGTAAGAGACTGCGCGTGCGAGCAACGTAGAAACGAGAGCTGCCCCGAACTTGTGAGCGGCAGAATTCATAAAGGGTTCATGCACCGTGCACTTATTTAGCGTCGAACTCGGGAAGGATGCAGTCTCCAGACGCCATGCCGCTTATGTCAAGAGTCGCATCAAACTGTGATCATGATGATCATCCAGCCCCCACCTCATGGTGGCTTGAGGAAGCTTTGAATGCATAGGATTGACAACAGGGTGCTTTTGTTGCTCCCCGAAGCATGCGCGTCCCCTGCAAGAGTGACTGCTGCATCCTTGAACCCGACCGGCCGGGTTTCAGAGTTGAAGACGATGTTGGCTTCTCCTTGGTTACTGGCGAATGAAGTATCGGTTTCAGACTGCAAAAATTCGGTCGTGTGGTCGTCACCGCGTGAACCGTTATTGATCCATTATAGGTCGAGCTTCGCGTTATCAGGCAGGATTCAAGATGGACCAATCGTCCAGCGTCAGAATGTCGCGCGAACGGCCGGCAAGACTTGCTGCCAGCCGATTCAGTGTCGATTCAACCATCATGTATCGTATTGGCGGCCACGTGAGTGCGAGATCACACTTGGCTCTGCTTATCGAATCTTGCGAGGTCATCAAACACGACCGAGGGTTCGGTTCGTAAAGATCAATCAGAAGATTTTTGCACGACATGGGGCAAGCGTTGGTGCTGATCCGGGCGGAGAGACCGACAAGTGGCCCGCTAGGAATACTTCCCTGCAGCGTGAACTGAGCACATCATTTATGGACGACAACATTATTTTCCCAGGGTGTTGTGGAAAGAGATTGGCCTCGTAGAGACTGCGTCTCCTAAGTGTATTTCGGCTGAAAGCCGCTGTCAGAATGATGAATCAGGGCTCTGTGGACGAACAGAAAGCCGAAGCATGATTCTTTGCTGACCGAACGGTGCTCCCGCACGGCGCACATGGTCATTCACGATTTCCAAGATGCCGGTTGTTTACCACGCAAACGTCTGCATGCAGGCACAGCACATCTTCCAAAATGAGAGAGCCTCGTGTGCACTCGTGCTTGCGACATGACGAACAGCTCTCTGTAGCAGGCTTGAAGCGATGTTCAGGCAAGGCTCATCTTGGGGAAGGATGCGTTGCTTTGACCAAAGGTGGGAGAGATGGCCTGTTCTCTTTGTGCCGCCCGCAAGCTTGGATTGGATCTGCAGGTTGGCGCTTATCACACTGGCGGCCAAGCTAATGAAACGCGAGCGTGTGGTTGGTCGTGTTTCTGGTCGGAGGAGTTGGGCGCGCAAGCGATGGTGGTGTCTACCACAAGTTGCAAGCCCGTCCCGCAGCAACGGCCCCGAGGGTTCTACTCGGTCTAGTCCCTAGTTAGGGCGAGTCACCCTTTGGTTCACAGACCACAGCGTTGCTCTCACTTTCACTTTTTGCGAGAAACGCGCTTAGCGGCCGCTTCCAAATACCGTTTTCCGCGCAGAGAGCTGAAGACAGGAAGCAGGATGGGACGCTGCATGGTTTGATGAGGGTGTGAGATGGGCAGCGACGACGGGGGAATACGATGCAAAATAGGGCCTCGTGCAGACTGCGGCCAGACGCATCTTCCCTGGAGCGGCGTGGCATCGGCAGCTGAAGAGCGGAGGATCGAAGATGGAAGAAGAAAAGACGCTGGGCACGGAAGGATTATTGTCTACCTACCTGTCAGGTGCATCGGAGCGGTTAGTGCAGCAGCGCAGCGCAGCGCAGCGCAGCGCAGCAGCACGGCGAGGACTAGTGGGCGCGGGAGGAGGTGCGAGAGAGGGAGGCTCTGTCGCTGGCCCAGTGGCCCTCCCCCTCACAGAGAGTGCGTGCTCATGCTCATGCTCAGGCTCAGGCTCGCCGACCGAGTCTCTGCCCTAGCCTCGATCCAGACGCCTCGCGCTCGCGCATGGATCTCGTCTACCACTAGCGGCCTCTCAGACAGCGCACTAGTCGTTTAGATTGCCGGTGCATGTTCACCTCTCCGCTGGTGTCCAGCCCTCGAGGACCGCCATCCGTTCTCTAAAAGCGCCAGGGCACCTAAGCTTAACAAAGGATCGCCCTCCTCGCACGTCTTCAAAGACGTTCGTCTGTTTGCCCTGCGCGTGCGCGACTCGTTCCTCGACCTCAAAGCACTCACTCCCTCGAAGCAGACGCAGCAGCAGCATCAAAGGCTTTCTTTGTTTCTCTGCCCTCGCCTGTTCTGATCTCTGCCTCTCCCTTGCTCGACTGTCCGCTCGCTCTCATTCCATCCACAAGCCCCTGCAAGCCACCCTCTCCACCATTCAAGCAGCTCTCCCAAAACGTGCATTTTCTCTCTAGCTTGCGACTGCCCAGCACCAAAGCCACGTTTGTTGTTCATCTTCTGCGAATACCCAATACCGGTGCGACGCGTGCGTGTGACCCTGCCGTCTGCACAACCACATATCCGGGCTCCCAGATCTCTCTCCAGCCGCCGCTGGCTTGATCTCAATGTAAGCCTCTTTCCCCGATCGTGGCCTTGGGTAGCGCCTCCTGTTGCGCAACACCCGCTGAGACCCTTCTAGTGTCCATTTGGTTTGACTTGCAGCTTCTCGCATCACCCTCTGCCTCTCTCTTGACCATCGTTGCTCCATCTAGCGGCCATCAACGTCAGGCTTCGACCTCTTTCCGGGTTTCTGGAATCGTGCTGCTGCGAGGTGACCCGAGTACCCACACCTCTGGTATCTAGTCCGCCAATCTCATCACCACGGCAGTGCCAGCTTTCGTTGTTGCCTCAAATAACATCGCAAAGCCATCTCGCACGCCCACATCTCATCTAGTCCGCCAATCTCATCACCACGGCAGTGCCAGCTTTCGTTGTTGCCTCAAATAACATCGCAAAGCTATCTCGCACGCCCACATCTCATCTCCTCGGCTGTTCTTTTCCTCAACCGCCGCAGCCTGCATCACTGCCGAACCCATCCTCTGACCCTGCCGAATAAAGCCTGCGATCCGCCAACGTGGCTGCCAGTCTTGCTCTCACGTCACATATGATTCCTGGGTCCGATTCAATGGGTGCTCCCACGAGTTTCTCATCTCGTAGACCCAATGCTTCGAACCTTCCTAACTTCGAGCTGCCTCCTCCTCAGTTGACGTCGCTGCACCAAAAGTACCACTCATATGCTACCACATCCCAGCCGACTCCCTCTATTCCCTCGAGCCTAACCAGTGTCGGCAACCTGTTGACCCCTCCAAGCGGCATCTCGAGCGACGGTCTCAGCCCCAATTCAACTAACATGCCGACCGGCAGCTCACAGGCCAACCAGGCGGTACCTCCATTCACCCCCACTGGTTACATGTGGCCTCCTTCGCACACCGGCATTACTCCTTACGGATTCCAATCACACAACAGTCCAAACCAGCGTGGCCTGTTCTCTCCATCAATAAACTCTATTGTCAAGGGCAATAACTCACCTCACTCCTCCGAGAGTCTTCCTCCTCCGAACTTCCCTGAGAATCCTTTCCCTACCTCTATGTCAATGTCGGCTCCTGTCAACTTGCCGGCTCTGCCCTCTCAATCATCCAGCATTGGCTCAGCAATGATGGGAGGTCACACTCCTGTCACTCAGCCTTCGCCGGTGAACCAACACGATTCATATGCAAGACCTCCTCCTACACCCACCTACTTCAACGGATCTCAGCACAGCCACAATGGCCAGTCAGCATATGCCTACTCTTCTGGCCCTTCACCTGTCCAACAAAGTCCGATGAGTGCAGGCGGTCAAATCCCACGCATGTCTCCTGCAAACGGTCATGGATCTATCCCGCCACTTCAGCCACAGAATGCGCAAACGTACACGCACCAGCGTCCATCGTACCAATACCCTCTACCAGGTCCGGTCTTGTCCAATGTCGGAAACCCCAACAGCCAGCTTGCTTTGGTTGGCGGTATGCCTCCTTCGATGATGCCAGCATACAACAGCGGGCACGCTGCGCATATGCAGCACATGTACGGCCACCATCCTCAGGCTCAGCCCAATCCACAAAACGACAGGCCTTTCAAGTGCGATCAATGCCCTCAGAGCTTCAATCGTAATCACGATCTGAAGAGACACAAGCGCATTCATCTAGCAGTCANNAACCGTTCCCTTGCGGGCACTGTGATAAGAGCTTCTCCAGAAAGGATGCCTTGAAGGTACGTTTTCTTCACAAAATGCATCTTTAAACTGAAACTAACGCTCGAACAGAGACACATTCTTGTCAAAGGTTGCGGCAAAGCGCCCACCAATTCGGGAGACGGTGATAGAAAAGACGGTTCAATATCCCCGGCGATGAAGAGCGAAAACTCGAGTCCCACCGTCTCAGCTTCCGCATGAAATTTCCGAGCGACACGACCTCAACATCAACAAAACTCGAACAACAACGATAACCTCACGGTGATACCCTTTTGTTATTGTATTACTTATCGTATATACTTACGCTGTTACGGATTGGGAAGCATGCATGTGGTTTTTATGTTCTTTATTCTCTTCTTGTCGATTGCAAAGGCGCCACAGAGGGCCACGGAACTGTCTTTGGGACGACATCTTCACAGGGCGTTTGACGAGCTGGCATCTTATTAGGAATTGCGGCTTTGATGGAATTCAGCCCACACTTTTGCTTTATGTTTTTGGATACCTCTTTCGATACTGGTGGTTGGCTTCTGGAGGGGGATTGCTACGAATACACGGAACTGCAATTCCCGATCGTCTGTTTCCTACAGTTACGCTACACATTTTCTCTTCTTTGCATCTCATGTTCATCAGCTGTCTGTGAAACTCGTTGGATGCATGATATTGTCATTCGTGAATAGACATGAGTATTTACTACCGAGGTACTCATACCTAGGCATCTCGGCCAGTGCTGATGACGTTCACGTGGTTCGGCTGTCTTTGAACTTGGCATTTCCCCAGCTTGAATTTCTTCCCACCTCTGGTTCTTGTCTTCTGTCTGTGTCCATCGCAGCCAGGAGATTCATCCGAATGGCAGATCTATATCAGTCAGAGCAGGAGGCCATCCCCTGTGGCAGCAATTTATCTTTTGTGCGCAACGTCTCGATGCTTTCAATAGCTNNATCAGGGGTACGTGCAACGTTTTTGCATGTCAGGGGNGGAAGACGGTTGAAACTTGACATGGAGAAGGCANNAGATGACGATGGCACGCCTGGAGTACTGAGAATACGTCGCTGGCTGTGTTGATGTGCATACAACGTAAACAGTACAGACATCCGAACAAAGACACACTGCCAGTGGTGTCTTGGTGAAGAAGATATGTTCTGGTCAATGTTTCTCATAGTGTAAGTTGGAGTTGTTTGTCGAATTGCGGCGAGCAGGAGGTCAACGTCGTCGCGCACCGTTGCATTCCTAGCTTTGCGCATCAAAACATTTACAGTAATCATCATCTCGGCCAACAACAAACAGCGCTCCTGATTCTGTCATTCTGTTCCCCTCGTCTCGGCACAGTGTTTCTTGCCAACTTGTTAATCGCTGACAAAGGCCACCGTTGATGTCGATTGACGATTTCGCCGTCTCCTCGTGGTGGTTCCTTCCCTCTCTATCACCTTGTACCTTGTCCCTCTTTCTCGACCTACGTACGCCTTCCTTTTCTGTTGCGCCCGCGTAAACTCGCCCGCGCCCGACTATCCTTTATCGACTCTATAGATACATCCCTCATTTGTCTTTATCACGCCGTCAGCAGAAACACTTCGCTCTTTACCCGACCTGCATCTTAATACGCCAGCCAATGCATAATTAATCACGCTCGTTTTCTTTCGATTCGACTTTCAGAGCCAGCCTTGGGTAGTCTATGCCATCGTCCACGACTTTTTGGATTGCAAGACAGTATACAATCAGCACACACTTACTGAGGCACTTGACTAAGAGTCAAAACTACTCCATTAACCATAGCACAACTGCGCCGTCATGGCCGATTACCACCGCCGCCAGACGCGACCATCGACGAGACGAGAAGTGCTTGGACCTGGCGAATCTCGCGCCAACATCGATTCATCTGCACAGAGAAGCACACGATCGTCAAAAGCACCAGAAGTGTCCTCGCCTGCCTCTCTCCCCCGCAATCAGTCTCTTGTTGCCAATGACACTCTAGACGTACGCACAAGCAGCCCTGCTGCTTCATCAACACACCAGGTGCACCTCTCGTCTGCTGCTCCCGAATCCCAGCGGGCAAGCAAACGCTATTCCGAGATATCAAATTGTACCACCGCTTCCGGCTCGGGTCGCAAGAGCTTCGTAGGTCGATGGCAGCTTGGAAAGACAATCGGCCAAGGTGGCTGCTCTACTGTACGCCTGGTCAGACATAAGGATACCGGTCAGATTGGTGCCGCAAAGATCATCTCGAGAAAGATGGCAGAAACGGTTCGCGCCCAAAGTTTGGCCAACTTGGCAGAGATGCCCGACAAGTCACTACAGGACTTAGTTGCTGCTGGCAAGGCCATGCCACCCCCTCCTCCAGGTCTGCTACGTGAGATTGCTATTATGAAGCTACTCGACCATTCCAACATTGTCCGCTTGTATGACGTCTGGGAGAATCACAATGAGCTCTACCTCATCATGGAATACGTCGAGGGTGGAGAGCTCTTTCACTACATCGAAGAACGCCGCGGACTCGGAGAACCAGAGAGCGTCTACATATTCCGTCAAATCGTCGCTGCACTGCTTTACTGCCATCGCATGCACATTCATCACAGAGACCTCAAACCCGAAAACATCCTTCTGGACCGCGAAAACATCCAAGTCAAGCTGGTCGATTTCGGTATGGCCGCTTTGCAGCCAGAGGGTAAAAAATTGACAACAGCCTGTGGCAGTCCTCACTACGCTGCGCCTGAGGTCATCAAGAGCAGACCTTACGATGGTGCACGAGCTGACGTATGGAGCTGCGGTGTTATTCTGTATGTCATGCTCACTGGAATGACTCCCTTCAACTACGACCAAGACAGGAACCTCGGAGTTATGTACAGAGCTATTGCTGAGGCCGACTACTACATGCCTCCAGAGCTTAGTCGAGATGCTAAGGATCTGTTGCGTAAGATCTTCGTTCCGGACCCTCGTCGCCGTATCACCATGGAGCAGATCTGGGAACATCCTCTGCTTCACAAGTTCGACGAAGAGTGGGGATACACAGGACCCCTTGCGTCAAAGGAGGCTTGGGTTGGCCCGTCTCCCATTCTTGAAGATTGGACAGTGACTCGTGAAGACGAGGTCGACAAGGAAATACTTCGTAACATGCGTACTCTGTGGCACAGCGTGCCTCAATCTGTCCTTGTCAAAAAGCTTGTCAGCAACGAACCAAACCAAGAGAAGCTCTTCTACGCCGCTCTTCTGAAGCATCGCGAAGACAGTCTTGAGAATTACCTTGGTGGCGCGGACGCCATTAGCTACTCGGCAAGCGACTACCAACATAATACGAACGAGCTCAAGGATCAACCCCCTCTACCCAACCAGAAGCAGCACTCGCAATCTCAATACTCCATTATGAATGATGAACATCTTCGCACTCCACAAGCTGCTGATCAGAACTTGCCATCTGATGGTAGTTATGATCCTTACCGATCTTCCCGGTATCAAACCACACCCAACGGGACGCCATACACAAAGGTTACTGTTCACCGTAGAGNNGGGGAGAGCAATGGAAGCCGCAAGGCCTACGTGCAGCACACTCTACGCCACCCAAATGCACTTCGTGTCGAGATGCTTAAANAGAATGGTCTTTCGAATTCCAGTTCCAGTTTGGTCAAGCAGGAGTACAGGAAGTCAATGACACGCTCGGTATCGAAGGCTTCAACATCTCGCAACTCGGTTGTGAGCTCTGTCTGGCCTAGCAGCCCTCCCGTGATGCCGAGAACGGTCAGCTCGCACAAGCACAAAAGAAAAGTCAGCTTTACCCATCACCGCAAGAGTTCGCAAGCTGTGGTTAGCCCCAGCGCTCGCTTCACCCCAGAGCTCCAAGCAAAGGCTAGATTTTCTCAACTCATGCATGGAAGCCCCACTCCCGACGCAAACAGTCCCTCTTGTCGAGTAGACAATGCAATCCGGTCTAGGAAAGAGAAGTCGGTTACACCTGCTCCGCGTACGCGGCCTCGTAAGAACTCAACCGGCACAGCAAAGACAGACATCCGCAAGGCCAGTAGTGAGCTCGAACAGGCTTGCGAAGAGGCGTTCAATCGTTGTTCTTTCAGCTCAAGTGTTTTCACGACTGCATCTGCAACCGAGAAGGCTGGCTACGAGACTCCTCCATCGTCGGTGTCTAAGAGAGATTCTGGTAGCTCAACCAAGGAACATGCCGCACCTCGTCCTCTGCCTGCCCTTCCAACTGACACTCCTAACACCTTTATCACTCGCACGCTCGAGGAAACACGCCACAAACTTGCAGCACGAAGTGCATCCGAAGGAAATGATGGCTCTGCTAAGATCGAACAGGTTCTTGCAAACCTTGATAGAATCATGCCTGGCGATAAACGTGCCGTTTCGGCCCCTGACCACCATCTGATGGACAATAGAGCACCTCTGCCGATCATAAGCGAAGAAGGCAGATCTGAGGGCTCTCAGGGACGCTACAACACAGCCCACAGATACAGATCTGTCACAGCTCCAATGCCGGAAAGAACTGTCCGTATGGTTCAGCCTTCATCGCCCACCACACCGAATAGCCCGTACAACTGGCGTTCTGTTGAAGAGCCAGCCTCGGATGTCTCTCAGCACACTGTCATTGACAAGACTCGCCTCACCGTGCCCACCGCAGATCCTCGCATGGTTCGCAAGAAGAGTAGCGACAGTGATATACCTTTGAGCCAAATCTCTTCTCAAGGATCCCAGGAGGGTGCGGTCAAGAAAAAGACTTCGTGGTTCCGCAAGTGGAAGGAGCCATCTGCCGCCGTTGTTGATGACAGTCATCTTCGGCCGCGCTCACCTATGCAATGGAACGAGGCTGCTGGTCAACCCGGCAAGCCTAGCGTGCTTAACCGCGACAACCGTCCACCTCATTTGGATCTGACTAACGCACAGGTGCCTGCACCCAAGTCATCTTCGAGCAGTGAGTTCCCAATGCGCCGTGAAAGCAAGGGCTTCAGCAAGTGGTTCGGCAGAAAGAAGGATTCAGACAAATNNGTGAGTTCAAACTCCATCGAGAGACCATGATGTTTTCTGACTTGATTTATAGTGTCCCCTCCCTCTGCCGCCATGGCTACCGGTCCGCTCAGTCCCTTCTCTACAGGTCCACTATCGCCTCTACCTCCCACCACTCCTACCTCAGCTGGTGGTGATAACGCAACACGCTCATGGTTCTCCCGATTCCTTCGTCTTCGACCTGAAGTTCGTACTCTGGCATTCAATGTTCCCCGTACCCGAGCAAGAACAGAGTTAGTACGCATGTTGCGTGAGTGGCAACGACACGGTATCAAGGATTTGACCTACTTTCCCCAAGACAACGCCATTACCGCCAGCATTGATAAAGTCAACTCCCTGGGCATCAAGCCTGTCACCTTCAGGATCGAGTTGTTTGTTGTGCTCAAGAATGGCAGGAAAGCTGGCCTTTCGCTGGCGAGATGTTCGCAAATGCGTGGTGCAGCCAGTTCATTCCGCAAGGTCGTCGAAGTCTTGGAACAAGTCGGCAGAGACCGCGGTCTGCTCGTTGAAGACGAAAGCCAATGGAACGAGCTTTGTGGTATCTTGGCCTAGGAGAAGGTCGAATCTGCTCTCAGCGGACTTTGCAACATTCTTGCAAAAGTTCTTTTGACATGTGGAAGCTCTTTTGTTTTCACTGTTCTCTTCATTGTACTTTGGTTGTTGAAATGTCGATCACGACAAGGGACAGATACCCTTTATCGGAGTGGAGTTTTTGTTTTTGAGGAAGCATTTTCGGCGATCCAGCATCCAATCCGGAGTTTCTCATTTGTTCACAAGATGGTGTTTTAGGGAGCGAAGGCTTTGTTTTTTGAGAGATGGGTGCGGCTTTCTATTATGTTTCTTGTTTCTTATTTTTCGTTCGCCCTCCAGCTTCCTTGACAGTTGTAGCATATCGAAGGAAGACAAGAAAGCAGGAAACAACAAGAGTCTGTAGGAAAGGAAGAGAGATGGATCGAAACAGCGCACTACACTTAATGTTAATGAACACACATGTTATACCATCTAAAATGTGTACCCAAATCAACTATGGTCTCATTGTGCCTGCCTGGGCAGAAGCATATTGGCAGCACATTGAAGCTGATGCAGCATACTGGTTCAAGACATGGAGGACGAAAAAAAGATATATATATCTTTTATCAGTCTCTGGTACTCATAACCAAAGTCGCAGTGGTTTAGTGGTAAAATTCGTGCTTGCCATGCACGAGCCCCGTGTTCGATTCACGGCTGCGACATCGTTTTGCCTGGTCAGCGCGTGTACCGATCGTCATCTCACCTTTTGATCAGAACCGTGATGGGCTTGCCCGGCGACTCTAAAGCTCACACCTTCTGATTCTTTCTTTTGATTGCTCTTTATCACATCAACCAATCTTCTCAACCTGCACAACATCTCCAGCTCGATATATTGAATTTCTCATACTAGCGCAACTGGAAACACACAATCATCAGCACACAACCATGGCGCAAAACGTAGTGCTCGTGACGACGATGGGAGAGATCACAGTAGAGCTCTACACCGAGCATGCACCANAAGGTAAACACATCTTTCAATCATCGTATCCGAGCTTTGAAATGCTGACACTCTGATAACAGACCTGTCACAACTTCTCTACACTAGCAAGCAGAGGCTATTACAACGGCACACCTTTCCACCGCATAATCCCCTCGTTCATGATCCAAGGCGGCGACCCTACCGGCACCGGCCGCGGCGGTGCTTCCATCTACGGCGACAAGTTCGACGACGAGATACATCCTTCCCTGCGACACACCGGCGCTGGAGTCTTGAGTATGGCAAACGCAGGGCCGAATACGAATGGCAGTCAATTCTTCATTACGTTGGCGCCGACGCCGTGGTTGGATGGCAAGCATACCATCTTTGGAAGAGTCAAGAGTGGCATGAAGATTGTGCAGAGGATGGGCTTGGTCAAGGTCGATAAAGAGGATAGACCTGTTGAGCCTGTGAGAGTCTTGAGTACGAGGGTTGAGGATGCTGGTGCTTGAGTGATCAGGACATGGAAGAGCTTTGGAACTATACACGAGGCATCTCATCTTGGAGAACGGCGGACGGAAGGCTTCGCAGGATACTCCAGGAGGTGGAACAGGAGGGATGCATATGCGAAAGCTCGGTGATAGCGACTTACTAAGCGAGAAGGTTTATGCATGGGAAGGTGTCACACAGCTCTTCCTCGGGTTGGAGGATGAAGCGATCTTGAGATTCGCAAGCCAGATATGCCACTACGTCGCTGTCGCAACGCACACTGGCAGAGAGATGGCCCGTCGAGGTACTAGAGCTATCGTGCCATACCCGACATTCTCGTCCCGAACGAAGGCTTTGACTACATAAAAGATTGATTAGTGCGAATTACAGCTACCTTCTGATATTACAACAGGAAAAATATTACACCTTCACACCCCCAATATCCACAATCTAGCGACTTCACAGCTCTGCAAATCAGTATCCATGCTTGGCCAGCTCCTTCTCCGTCCACTCCCAGAGTTCCTCGACCTTCTTCGTATCCTGAGCCCAGCTAGTGCCTGAGTTGTTGTTACCAACAGGCTTGAAGTAATATCCTTGTCTAACCTCTTCCTTGTCTGCCGTGCAAGCCCAAAGCTGGTTCTTGGTTCCCTCAGGTATGGTTTGCATGAACAATCCACCAACAGCGGCCATTCCATATCTGATGAGCATGTTGTCGCGTTGAGTAGATGCAAACAAATCCGTCTGGATAACACCTGGGTGCACGGCGACAGCGGTAATGGAGGGGTAGCGAGTAGTCAGACCGCGAGAGTGTAGAATGTTGGCCAATTTTGCACTGCCATAGCGGGGCCAAGTGCCATAGGTTTCGGCAGCGACTTGGTCGTAGATGATGCCACAACTGCGAGGTGCCAGCCTGTGTCCTTCGCTCGACAAGGACACGACTCTGACATCGGCATTGGGATCCTCTGCTGTCTTGAGCAGTACAGGCATGAGTAACTTGGTCAGCAAAGCGTGACCCATATGGTTGGTCCCAAACTGGATCTCGTATCCTTGCTTGGTTGTGCTATAAGGCATCGCCATTACGCCAGCGTTGTTAAGCAGGATATCCAACCTCTGCTCCTTCTGCTTGAAGGAGTCAACAGCGGCTTTGACAGACTCGAAGTCCGTCAGATCCAGAGACAAGAATTCGACTTTGGCATCCGGGACTTGGCTTTTGATGTCTTCGATTGCGGATCTGGCTTTTGACTCCGTGCGTGCAGCCAGGTAGATCTGCGATGGATTGTGCTTTGCAAACTGCAAGACTGATTCTTTGCCCAGACCAGTGTTTCCTNNACAGATCATGAGTATCTTCTGTGTATTCATGCTCGGGGCCAGTGAAGGATGCGTACCTCCTGTCACGATAATGACCTTGCCGGAAAGATCGGGAATGTCCTTTTCAGGGTCGAAGGACTTGCCGCCGAAAAGACCAAACATGATGTCTACTCAAGTTGTTATTGGAGAACTCGGGTCCTGGAGCTCCTATGAGAGATTATGGTTTGCTATATCAGTCAAGATCGACCGGTGTTTCGAAGGGATAAATCGGTAGCTCAAGGTGTAATGGATGCTCGAACCTCTGTGGGGGACAAAGCTTAATATCAGTGTCCATATTTTCGGTCACGGCAGTGCGGGAGATGGATGAGTTGACATGATGACTCAACAAGCTTGTATATGACACATCTTGATGAGTTGACGTAGTGAAACAGATGGTACAACAGAGAAAGAAGCGAAGTGTCAAAACATGGTTGCTATTGAACGAGGTGCATGAAAACGCCTCTATCGTGATCAGAAAGGAATGCATCTTCCAGAAAAGCAAAAAGGCGCGAGAGCCCGGCCGTGGTATCTAATAATTCTCAAATCCTTCAACAAACGCCATGTTTCCGAGAAACGCCAACATCAAATTCAACTCATGATGTGGATCGTAATACATCTCTGGCGGCTCATGAAGAGTCGACTCATCGCTCCATGTCGCTCATCCATCCATTGTTAGCAAGACCCATGTTCATGTTCGGTGTCTGCTGTCCGTAGGATCCCATTTCGTTCTCGCTCAGGTCCCATTCGTTACCACTTCCAGCATCGAAACTACTTCTTCCACTGAAAACTTCCGATTCCTCTGGAATGGCAGGCGCAGTCACAGCTCCCCAGTCGAGGTTTGCCAAATCCGGGTACATTTGAAGTAAAGCAGCTGGCAGAATAGGATGGAGATGCGGCTGATTGGTCATGGGAGGTGGAGCTACAAAGCCTTGGTCGCTCTGCATCTGTCGCTGGGCATGCTCTTCTGCCCATTGTTTCTGTCGTTCGGCGGCCTCCTCATCCAGCAGAGGCTTGATGCACACTCGACCAGCTTCTGAGCGAAAGTGTCGACCAAGAGCGTCAGCACGCGCAAATCGACGACCGCATCCCCATTGTTCTCCATTACTGAGCTGGCCTTTGCAGACAAATTTCTTCTCGCCTGAGTGCAAGCTCTCGTGGCGCTTGCGATCGTGCTGACGAGCGAAGGCCTTGCCGCACACAGTGCAGACGAAGGGTCTCTCGTCCGTATGAGTACGAAGATGTGAGCGCAAATTGTACGCGCGGGTGAACTTCTTGGGACATAGTGTGCACTGGAAAGTGGCAGGATGTTTTTGAGTCCGCTTTGGGTCGTTACCTCCACTGGCGGCTCTTTCAGGATTTGCGAGGTCCAGAATGTAATCGCGCTGGGGCACAGATGAGGTGGAAGAGCGTCTAGATAGTCCACTCGTGGAAGAAATGGAGGATGGTGAGGGTGAGCGAGAGCCGCTATGCCGCACGTCGAAAGGTGATAGTGAGTTCGTCCCTGGTTGTAGCGAAGGAGATCTACCTCTTCCTGAAACCGAGGGGGTTACGGGCCGTGAGCCAACGAAAGTATCCGATTTGGCGCGCATTCGGTTGCGACTGCGATCTGATGAGGCAAAGTCAGTACACGGTTCAGACGGGGATGCAATTCACCTACTTCTCTCTGGGGGACTGAGCGCATCTTCTGGCCCAGCACCATCTGGCGGTCCAAAACTAGGTACCCTCGAAGGAGGAGCGAAGTCGATGTTGATCTCAGGTGGAGACATGGTATCAGCCATGCCTATCTCATTGGGGGTACCGCTATTGCTCAGTTGAGGGAAAGGCTCAGCTGCCGTGAGCGAGGCAGTCGGGTACATGTCGAAATTCTGTTGCGGTGCTTGATATGTCATATCGGGTTGCAAGGCGAAGCCATTGGCTGTGTTGAAGTCTGGAAGCGATTGCTGTGCTTGAGGTAACAAACGAGGCGACACGGCCGGACTAGGGCCTGGGCTGATATGGGGTGGGATCTGCGTATCGGACAAGGAGAATTGGCCGAGACCTAGGGCATCAGGAAACATGGAAACGTCGGCTTGGGGNTTCAGCATGGGCGAAGCGTCGAAGCTGTCGGCCGTAGGTAGATATGGCGAAGCCTGGTTAGAATGCGACGAGATTTCCGAGTAGGCGTCCGAAGGTGAGCGACGATGCGACTGGAAGGCCTGGCCAGCACTCCAGTCATTGCCATGATATCCTGGTGGTGGGTATGCAGCGCTTGCGGGATCAAGCGACTCGGATCTCTGTCGATTGACCTGGTTGAAGGAAGCCTGTTGATACGAGGGAGACGCGTGTGGACTGGGACTCTGTGATGCGCGGCGCAGCTGGGGCTGCAGCAGATGAGGAGGAGTCGGATTGTGGTGCGTCGCAGCCATGGGGTCCAATGATGGATTGGAGGTGCCGTAAAGTAAGTTTGGGTCCAGCTGGTGCTGATTGAAGTCAAAGCCCGGAAACGAGTTGGACTCTGTTTGAGACAGATTGTGAGGTGAGGGCCCGTTGAGCGACAGGTTGGTCGCGCTGAGGGATGTGGGAGACAGGTTGCCGCTCAGGTTGCTGCTACTACCGTTTGGGCTATAAAGACTGGGAGTACGAGCGCTGAAGAAGCTGGTGTTGTCGAAGGATGGAGATTGGAAGTCCAGCAAAGTAGCTTGGGGGTCGAGGAACTGCTGTTGGTTGAGATTGTTGGCCTGAAACTGCTGCTGGGTATCATAAGGATTGGAGAAGGGTTGGAACGAGTCGGCCGAAGCAGGAGGAGATAAATGCGACGACGAGGCCGAACGATCACGCTGGCCTTGGTTGGTCATGTTGACGAGGGTGATGGGGCGGGCTTCTTTAGATGTCTTCCAATATCATGGCCATATGCAGTCGCGACAAGGGCGTCGAGGCTGTGGGGAGGCTGTATAATGCAATGCGCAAATGCACGCCGGGTGTAGCGCAGGAACGAGAAGAATACCTTCTGCCTGAGGCGGTGCAAGAATGCTTCTTTGAGGTGGAGCAGGTTGATTCTGGTAGGAAGGAACAGAAAGCAAGTTTCAAAGGGCGCGCGTGTCAGAAACATAGAACGAGGCAGCTACCAACGACCCTACCCTACCCTACCTGTAATAAGCAACAGCCCAAGCCGACTTTTGGGGATGTCCTTCCGCCGATTGGATTGGGATGCACCGAACCGAACGAAGTCAAAGCGCCCTGACGGACAGCAGCCCAAAATGCTCCACCCGACTCATGCCGTTTCCTTTTGATTATCAGACCAGTCCCCGTCACCTGCTCTTCCTATACGCTTGAGCTATTCGCAATATCCTACCATCTGTTGCTTCGCACTGCAATCTCCTGTAGTCGGCGACCAGCGCAGCGCGACAAGAATGCCAGAAACCTGCGGAACGAATGAGTTCACCGGTCGAGGATCCGCCAATAGAAACGTGTGTCGCATGGCTCTAAGCCCCGCTCGAACGAACCTTGCTTGCTGACTCCCGACCTTTTCACGTGCGCTGCCCTTTGAATGCTTTGAACCATTTCCCGCTTCGAGGCTTGCATGATGCTCATCTTGATGTTCTCCATTCTCCGCGACACAACACTTCATGCCTGCGCCCCTGGCCCCAATTGCTCCTATATTGGATTTGTGACGCATACTGGAGCCAGGTAATCGAAGGTCTCTTTTGTTGAATAACCGCAAAGTGATGCAATGCAGGACTAGTGATGGTCTATTGCTTACACTGCCACCCCCATATTTTTTCGGCCTTGGTCATTTCGGCTGTCATAGTCATACACAGAAAATCCATTTTCTACTCTGATTCATGCATCTCTTGTGGGCCTTGGGCAATTGTTGGGAGCTTTGCTGGTTGAATATCTGGATACCTTGCTCACAGTCGGCCGTCAGCGTCCTTGCACACATCGTTGGGCACCCGTCTCTGACAACTCTTCGACTCGTCTCACATGCACTCGAGTCCATATAGATCCCGTCGGAATCGAGTTTGTCAGACAATCATGAATCACATTGTCCTTCAGACAACGACCAACTTCTTGAACAGCCTCGGAACGTGTCTCTTTGGACAACAGAGTGCTTGTCCTGATTCCGTATTGATTGAAGTCTGAGTCTTTACGAGGCTTCTCTAAGGTTGATCTACGACCGACGATTCATGAAGGAAGCCTGCTCAGAAGCAGTAGGACGAAAAGTCATAAATGCATTATGGAGTCTCAAGCTAAGCATTTTACAAACTGCTGAGCCACCATGTAAAAGCCAGCTGGATGATGTACGAGTAAACGAAGAGGAAGTATGTTCTCTTGGTTCTCTGCGAGCGGGCGATGGGGTTGTGGGCGCCTGAGGCAGTGTCCGGCAAAATGACATACTTGAGTGAACGGAGNCTGCGAGGGTTAGTACATGGCAGAGGTGAGCATGACTCCTGACTACTCACAAGGAAGAAGGCGTTGGCCAAATAGGTATAAGCAAAGACAGACCAGCCAACATAACCACCCGTACCCTTTCCGCCTGTCATGATGGTGGCCAGGGCAATGGTGAAGATGATACCGACAAACTTGTAGCCAGAATAGGCAACCAGATCTAGCCACTGAGACTCGTTCGAGATGTTCAAGAGGTAGGTGCCGAGCTTGAGAAGTAGAAGCTCGATGATGACAACAGCAAAGGCGTTGGTGGCAGTCATGCCGAGCAACTCGGGACGGAAAGCGCCTTGCAGGCCGGCAAGGAGGGTGGAAAGAAGAATGTAGGTAACAAAGGCCATGACGGGGATATACATGTCGGGGCTGTTGATGTCCTCGCGAGGAGGCAGGAACATGGGACCTGACTGGCCACTGTTGGCCATGGGCTGCTGCTGGCGAGACCAGGGACGATGGCGCCAGGGGAAAAGGACTATAAAGAGCTTGTTGACGACGTATTTGTTCGAGACGTTGAAGTAGTGCTTCATGGCCGAGACGTTGACATAGCGATTGAANCTGGATGGGCATGGATCAGTAAATGGTCTTATTGACATGGTATGTATAATGGTAGGTTGACGAACATTTTGTTCCATGTACTCCTGACCGGCAGCGACGGCGGTCTTGCCCATCTGGAAGCCCATTTGGGCAGTAGGATCATTGATGAAGCCACCAAACGGAGGCTGGCCGTAGTTGTTGGGGGCATAGCCATACTGCTGTTGCTGGGCATGCTGTTGTTGCTGTTGTTGTGTCATGGGCGGAGGGGGAGAGCGCAACTGTGGGACAGTCGAGACATGCTGAGGGACAGGATGGTGGAGGGGCGGCGATTGAGCCGGGCCCATGTTGGAGTAGGGACCGCGCTGCATGGTCAGGCGAGGTGCGAGAGACGTCTGTCAGGGAGAGACGAGGTTACTTGTCCCTTTGGATCGAGTCGAGTCGCGACGCAACGCATACGGAGCTTTCCCCAACTTGTGTCAATCTTGGCACTCTCACCGCCGGGCAGTCGCATTGAACAGGTCTAGACAATGCGACAGTTCTGTACGGAGTAGTTACACTTTGTGAATCATCCACACACCCAACATGCTGGACGCATTCGAGATCATCACGACGTCTGGTGTCGTTGTCTGGAGCCGCACGTATGCCCCCGTCGCCCAAAAGGTCGTCAACAGCTTGATCAACGACGTCTTCATCGAGGAGCGCGCCCAAAGCCTGCAGAGCCAACCGCGGAATGCCACCTTCAAGACGGACAAGTACACGCTCAAATACACCCACGCCAAGGACCAAGGTCTGATCTTTGTCGCCGTCTACCAGTCCATCCTCCACTTGTCATGGGTCGACAATCTGCTCGATGTCGCAAGAGGCCTCTTCGTCAAGCAGTACGGAAACGACCTCAAGATTAAGAACACAACCAAGCTTGACTGTTCTCACTTCACTCCAACTTTCGATGCCCTCGTCCAGAAGCTCGACAAGACACAATCTTCAGCTCCACGACCTGACGATCAAGATCNNACGAGACCGACTCACCCGCCGACCCGACCCCACCATCGAGCTCTGCCGGTGACGATCAGGACCATCCGCCGCCCCCAGCGCCTGCTCTCAAAAAAGCCTGCTCCGAGACAGATCACCGAGACCATCTCGGCTTCTACAGACGCCACTCCCATCCCAACACCAGACACATCGCGACCTGCCTCGCCCGCTGTAAGCCAATTGCTCGAAGGAAAGAGTCCCCGAGGCTCGCGCCGTTCGCGGAAGGCTGCTCTTGCTGCCTCTTCAGCCCCTGCCTCTTCTGGTGATGAAAAGTCTCCATCTCGCAAAGCCGCTCCAGCCAAGAGACCTACCGCTAAGTCTAAGCGCACATGGGATGCTCACGGCTTTGGTGCTGAAGAAGACGAGGACACAGTTCTGGATTACTCGACACAAAACCTGGATGACGCTCCTGCCGCTCAGTCAACACTACAACCCGTTAGTGCTGACGACATGGGTAGTAGGACGGCCAAGGGACAGTTTGTGCTCAAAGATCTGGATGATGAGGTTGATGCCATTCTCGCAGAATCAAAAGCTAAGAAGGACGAAGTTGATACAGATGCATCAAAGGGACTGGTTGGAACTGGTCTTGGGGCTATCAGTGGTTACTTCCGCAACATGGTTGGGGGCAAGACTTTGACAGCCGCCGACCTGGTCAAGCCGATGAAAGCCATGGAGGACCATCTTCTGAACAAGAACGTAGCCCGCGAAGCCGCTGTCCGCTTATGCGAATCAGTCGAACGTGATCTTGTTGGTCTCAAGACCAGCAACTTCACCACCATCGACCAGACCATCCGCGATTCCATGTCCAAAGCTCTCACTCGTATACTGACCCCTACATCCTCCCTCGACCTACTGCGCTCAATTACATCCACTACTTCTGGTTCCAATGCAAGGCCATATGTCATCAGTATTGTTGGTGTCAACGGTGTTGGCAAGTCGACATCCCTCTCCAAACTTGCTTTCTTCTTCCTCCAGAACAACTTCCGCGTCCTGGTCTGCGCCGCCGACACCTTCCGTTCTGGTGCTGTTGAGCAACTACGCGTCCATGTACGCAACCTCTCTGAATTGACTGCCCGTGAGAATCTCGGTCACGTCGACCTCTACGAGAAAGGTTATGGAAAGGACGCTGCTCAGCTTGCTAAAGAGGCCGTCACATATGCCGCAGAGCACGCCTACGATGTCGTGCTAGTCGATACAGCCGGCCGCAGACACAACGATACCCGTCTCATGTCATCCCTCACAAAATTCGGTCAACTCGCGAACCCGGACAAGATTTTCATGGTCGGCGAGGCTCTTGTAGGCACAGACTCAGTGGCTCAAGCTCGCAACTTCTCTGCGCAATTCGTAGACCGCCAAGGCAAGGGCCGTGGACTCGACGGCTTTGTCATTTCAAAGTGCGATACAGTCGGTGACATGGTTGGTACACTCGTCAGCATGGTCCACGCTACAGGTATCCCGGTTGTCTTCTTGGGCGTGGGTCAACATTATGGTGATCTGCGTGGTCTAAATGTTGGTTGGGCTGTGGACAAGTTGATGAAGTAGTGATTGCCCGGCATTTCTTTCTGCCTGTCCCTCTTCATCAGACATCTGATTAATACGATTACGGCCTTTATGTGTATATAATTTTCGAAGACCATTTTTCTTTCATTTCTTTGGACGCAATATTTCTCGGCCTTTTTCGCTCCTAGCGACACATCCCTTAGGCTTTCTCGTACACCATGCCCAAGTCAGCGACAGGAACTTGAATACCACCCGCGCCCCCGAGGTTCTGGGCCATGCACCCCTCTAACATTCGGCAGTTGTCATTGTGAAGCTGAGAAGGGAGGGGCATGTAGATCCCCGCAGACTGCCCCGCAGCATCGTCAATAGTGGGTCTTGATGTCGTCCTTCCTTCGTGTATATATAAGCACGCTGAAGACAAGGCATTGCAGATCTCAGTTCCTTCCTTCTTCTTTGCATATTCTATTCCTATACTCAACTGCAAGAGAAACCTTCTTCCCAACATGTCGAACGAGCAAATGAAAGCTGTGCACTACGAAGGACCCTTCAAGGTCTCCGTCAAGGAGGTTCCATTGCCAAAGCTCGAACACCCAGACGATGCTATTATCAAGGTGACTACTGCTGGTAAGTCATTGCCCTTTGTTGAGGGACGACTTAATCCTCTTCTTCAGCTCTTTTCGTACATCAATTCCCTTCGCACGAAACTCAATTGTCTATTGAGCTACCACCTCATGTACATGGCCATCACTTGCTGACTCTCTTCCANNGCAATTTGCGGTAGTGATTTGCACATGTATCAAGGACGCACAGCTGCCGAATCAGGTCTTGTCTTTGGCCACGAGGTCAGTTGTTATACTCAATGGTGATATACTACAGTAGACTGACAATCTTGAACAGNNAACATGGGAATCGTTACAGAAGTCGGTTCTGGAGTGACACTGCTCAAGAAAGGCGACCGTATCGTGCTTCCTTTCAACGTAGCAGATGGCAGGTGCCGTAACTGCGAGAATGGAAAGACTGGTGAGTCGATTTGCCTCTGGAGATAGCATGTATTGACCAAATTTGCAGCATTCTGTACTGGCGTCAACCCTGGTTTCGCAGGAGGTGCTTACGGCTACGTTGCAATGGGCCCGTACCAAGGAGGACAGGCACAGTATCTTCGTGTGCCTTATGCCGATTTCAATGCTCTTGTTCTACCACCTGGCACAGAACATGAGGCCGACTTCGCTCTTCTTGCTGACATTTTCCCGACTGGCTGGCACGGTCTTCAACTATCTGGCTTCCAACCTGGTGATAGTGTGGCTGTCTTTGGCGCGGGTCCTGTAGGTTTGATGGCTGCTTACTCCGCTGTCTTGCGCGGAGCTAGCAAGGTGTTCGTTGTCGACCAAGTCAAGGAGAGATTGGATGCTGCAAGAAAGATTGGATGCGAAGGTGTCGACTTCACCAAGAGTAACCCTGTGGAGCAGATCATCGAGCTCAATGGTGGAGAGATGGTTGATCGTGCAGTTGATGCTGTCGGTTATCAAGCCGTCGACAAGAGTGGTAATAAGGAGCAGCCCAACATTGTTCTTGACCAACTCATCCAAGTCACTAGACCCACCGGCGGCTTGGGTATCCCTGGTCTCTACGTTCCTTCCGTAAGCTCTTATTTCTATACAATTTTCATCCTGCGCTAACTCATAGTCAGGNACCCTGGTGCTCCCGACTCGCAATCTGCCAAGGGACAGATCCTCATCTCCTTCGGTAAGCTCTTCGAGAAAGGTCTATTCCTCGGAACCGGACAGTGCAACGTCAAGGCCTACAACCGTCAACTTCGCGACCTCATCGTTTCTGGCCGCGCAAAGCCTTCTTTCGTCGTTTCTCATGAAGTCGACATCGACGAGGCTGTCGATGCTTACGACAAGTTCGACAAGAGAATTGATGGCTACACCAAGGTGTTGCTCCATCCCAACGGTCCCTTGGACAAGTTCTCGATCTAGAGAGGCTGTTGACGACATATCTCTTGGAAGCTCAAATTTTGGACAATTCGTGGCAGGATTGTGGCTTGTATTCATTATTTGGATTAACAGAATGTTCAAGATAATTTGGCCGCTTGTAATTGATTCGTGCTCTGGCTCTTGTGCATGTCCTGGTGGTTGATCTGAGAAATTGTTTCAGACAAAGAGTAACATCCTCCCCGTGTGCTAAAGACAGTCACGGTTTACAACTAATCTCTTCTCCATCCCGAGCTACAAGGGTTGTTATAAGCTATCGAAATGCACAGTTTTGAGTTCAACATAAGTCTGGCCATTGAGATGACCTTCCTCAAGGTCCTCTCAGTGGAAACCATAGTTTTCGCGAAGATATTGTGTATTTCGACAGCTATACAGTGACTGTCTTTAGCACACGAGGAGGATGCATTAAACTTTCGGAGTCTCAACGGGAAAGTCAAGATGCTCATAACAACATCGACACTGTACATACAAAGAGAAGAAATCGAAAGTCTATAACTTCAGATTGCATAATTCTCAGCGTGCAAATACACCTCATCCCTATCAGGCATATTCCACACTGTCCTCTGCAACTCGGCGACTGTATTGCTGACATCAACCCTCATGCTAGGAGGTCCACAGACAAACACACATGTCCGACGTCCAGTCCACTCTTTGCTCATCTCCCTGAGCATAAACGGAATGTCTGGTCTTCCATATTCGGTGCTCCATCCCGTCTTCCGCGATTTGACAGCGGCAGGCAAAAACGCAAATCGCATGAGGTTCTTCTGGAACTCTGTGGGCGTGGAAGGGAAGCCAAAGTCAAAGTCACCTTGAGGTGGCGTTCCTTGCTTGAGATAGGCCGGTGCGGCCGGGTCAGGTAGTGGTATGGACATTTGCTGCGATCTTCGCTTTTCTGCCAATGTAAGTCGAGGAGAAGCCAAAGGCTCAGATGATGGAGGAGGAGAAACACGTCCATTACGTGATGCACTCCTCAAAGGTAGTAAATGTGCTTGTGGCAGCGGTCTGATTCGGTCTTCGTTTTCGCGTCTGAGTGCTTTTNNTTCTCTTTCTGGGTCTCCTGCTGCTTCTTCCATGATCAACGCAGAGTTTCTGTTCGTATTAGCTGAGATGGTGGAGAGTCGATTGTTCGCAATATTCTGGAATGCTTCGTTGACTTTGTTGTAGAACATCATGCTGATCGGTCTCGTAGGTGTTTGTGCAGATACCAGTTCTCCAGTCCTGGTTTGCCTTTTAGCAGCAGTGATATAGAACTGGCATTGCACAGTATCCGGCGGAGCAAACTCTCTGCAGATCCGCAATTCTTCCTTGAACCATTCGAGGGTTTCGGGACGCTTAAGGGCCCAGATCACTTGAACAGTCTTGGTTACTGCCTTACCATCTCTCAGCCGCTTGATCAGATCGAGGAGTTGAGACACCAAGGCGGTGATGCCACTGCCTCCTGCGAAGAGCACGACGTGGTCGAAAGAGTCCATACTTCTTCTCATGCCACCATAGGGTCCATCGATGAAAGCGCGATAGGTGTGCCAAGGTCCATTCTCCAACGCACTATCCAACACTTTCTTAGTGAAGCCGCCGAAAGGTCGAAAGACCAGAACCATATCCCTGTACTCTTCGCCATACTGAGAAGGAAAGTCGTCGCTCCATAGGGAAGCAATAGTAAAGGGATGATTCTCGAACACCGAGATGCCAGGCATTCTGAGATAAACATATTGTCCAGGTTTCCATTTTACTTGCGTTGGGATCGTTACTTTGATGGCGTTCTCGGGCATCAGTGTGACAGCTGCCTCTTCGCCAACCAACCACGATAGCCGGAAGTAGTTTGTCCAGTTGAGGAAGAATAGGCGAACTATGTATGAAACGAACCAGATGGCTGTAGTCGCCCACAGATAGTGCCACGACGTGAGAAAATTCTTGCAGTGCCAAAAGAGCATGGCGAGGAAGACGATGGATACAGGCACATGTAATGCTACAAACAGCTCGTACATCTTCCGGCGGAGAGGAGGCAAAGAATGCAAGCAGAGGNNGAAGATGAGAGGGACCAGTGCTGCAACTCCAGATCCGTAGACATAGATTCCAGAACTGCCGAAGGCCGACTGAAAAACACCCAAACCACCGTCAGACCAGATTGGTGTGACGTAGAAGGGAATGGTATGGACCAGGCTTAGGAGGAGGCATAGATATGCAAGCCACCGATGTAGAACGTTCAGTCGCTCGTGTCCAATTCCAGTAAGGAAAGAGATAATGTTTGCTTTCATGCTAAGACCAACGATCCATGGAATCATTGCAACCGCAATCATGCCTGCTCGAATGGCCAATGGAGGAGAACCAAACTGAATACTCTGCCAGTACAGAGGTTGAGGGATGAAGCAGTAGAGTACAGCGAAGACCAGTGCAAGGCCTACAATCACAACCGCACCAAGTGATGGAAATATGATTGGCCTCCACCCTTTCNNCCTGACCCTGAGGACTGGTATTGGCCGATAGAATGCGCATCGAAACACTGCAATGGCATTGTTCACCAGCCACATTGAGGAAACTGATGATTGCATCTTGGGTTGCTCAGGTAATGGTCCCTCGCGTGGGAAGAATTTATGTGTTGATCTGTCTGTGCTGAGAACTGACAGTTCATAGTCTGTTGCAGGCGACTCAATCATCGCAGATGCCGCAGCGTCTTCTTTGTATAGGGCTGTCCGTATCTTGTCCGTCCAGATGTGATAGAGATGCAGGAGGCATGCAAAGACCAACAAGATGATGCAGAAGTAGACCCAGCCTAAGGCGTACTTTCCAGACTTCGACCATGGGTCCCGAGTATTCGCTTCGATCAAGCCAGCCGGACTGGTGCTGTTTAACGGTATGTTTATACGTTTTTCAAGCCCTTGAGAAATGGTTTCATGGGCAGTTCGATATGTCTCTTGCAATCGTGAGAGCGCATTGCTGCCAAACTCCCGAGCGATGTTCGACATGATGTCCGAGTACTTTGGCCTAGCGCAACACGCCTATCTGCCACCCGAGTCGTCGTCCAAGGTTATCGTTGATTGTAGGGTCCACGCTCAAGGTTTTGTTGGATTGTCACATTCATGAAGCTGGACAAATAAAGTTGAGACAGTGTTGTGAGGGTCGCTTTCCAGCTGTGAGCATGCACAGCAATTGCGCAACAGTGAGATTGCGTATGTTCGCTAGCATACGTGAGCCTTGTGCCAGCCTGCTAACCTGTATACAAATGATGTAAGATTGCAAAAGTATGATTGCTACTGTTGACGACGCGAGTAAGAAAGAACAAGATACAGAGTGACGCGAAGGAAGAAAGAGGGTAACCTTAAGCATAATATTCAACTGTACTGCAGGGGTCCACTAGATATCTGCCTCTTGAGCGCCATATCAGGGACCTGAGCCGTGCTTGCCAGTGCAAGTGGGGTCTATCACATCCGAGGGGAAGATCTTTAGCACAAAGAACCTTGCCCAGACGGTCTTGGATAGTGTGGTTACATGCAACTGTGTGCCACACCAATGAAGCGATATTGGCTGGACTCGGGCATGATCGTTGCCGAACCACTGCGAGCGAATGACCGGGAGATATCTTGCTGGGTCCTGCATAAGCACGCAGCCGGTCCAGCAGTGCGACTACTCGACGCGACATTTGATGGCGCTGGAGGACAGCTAATGTCAATCGTAATTTTTCATACTCGAGAGAACGAGATGAATCGAAATCATCTTTCTTTGACTTTGCACTGTCAGCAGGCTCGAGGTCAGCACCAAGGGTATGGTAAATCTGTTAGCAGTGTGCTTGCGTCGCGCGAAGGGACTCGTGGACGCCCCAAACTCTGGACTGCACATGGAGACGCCGCCAATGGGATGTCAAGAAGACATGCTGTGCGATGTGAATCGCTGACTGCGCTGCATGTTCGACCTGTGAAGTTATGGCATTACGCGCCCACACCACTCCGAATTGGGAGTGCTGTCTCGGCTCGGCTACAGTTGCGGCAGTCCCTGGGTACTCGTCGTTAGGAAGACCCTGCCTCCTCCCATGTGCCAACGTCTAGCATGTAGCTATAAAAATGCACGATACTTTAGAAAACTTGATAATGTCCACTGAGATGCGACAACTTACCAGCTCTCTGCGGACATGCTTCCGTCTTCGTAAACAGCTGTGTCATCTTACAGTGTACATTATACTCCTTGCTATGGTTGGAGTGCAATGGATGTTGAACACCCAACGAGAACATGTCAAATCAAAAACTTCAGGCTATTGTTCTTCGAAAGCCGTAATCACTGTCCAATTCACTATCAGATCAGGCAGGACCAGTTCCGACTAACCAGACGTGGTTAGAGGATAGTAGTTCCTTCTCTTCTGAACGAGAAGACACAATTGCCCTTCTCGTGACGACAGTTTCACGAAAGTATGGAGTCGTCTGTCAACTTGAGAGTATAGTTGGCGCCTGATAAGAACAGGACAAAGGTGAACGGGCACAACAAGGTTGAAAATGAAATCTGCTGCGATTCTTTAAGCTATCTATCATTACAATGAAAATGTCTCAACCTGTACGCCATTGTCCAAACCAGCCGGTATAACCCCCACCCAGAATGCTCAATTGCTTCTTCCCTCGTAATCCATAAACAAGTTTCCCATACAACAATCTTATCTAACCACTGCACATGATGCAAGCCTCGGGGTTCTCGATACTGCAAGCCAGGACAGCGTCGGCGTAGATATCACCTTCACGGTCCTTGCTGTCATCGGCAGCGTCCTCATCTTGCTTGACAGTTCTCTTGATCTCCTCGTCGGGGGTACCGACAGTGCTGTCGGCGGCCACCAACTTGGGGCTGCTTCCCTCAGGGAGGTCTGCGGTGAATGGTGGTGCTCTCATGGGAAGCTCCTTCTTGGGCGTCGGCTTAGCCTCGGCCTCTGGAGGAGGAGTAGTCGAGGGTGTAGGGACGCCGTTGGCGACTGCCGAGTTCTGAGGTTGCTTTGACTCATACATGGGCTGAGGAGTGGGGGACTGGGTGGCGGGCGAACCGGCGCCAGCGATACCACGCTTCTTAGCAGGGTTGCGGGCAACGTTGGTGTCAGCGACCTTGAGCTTCTCCTGATCGACAGTGAACTGGATAGGAGCGGCGGCAGCCATGGTACGAAGGTAGTACATGCCGGTCTTCAAGCCGAGCTTCCAGCCAGTAAAGTGCATGCTGGTGATCTTGCCCATGGTAGGAGCCTGCATGTGAATGTTGAGTGATTGAGACTGGTCGATGAAGGCACCACGGTCGGCAGCCATCTGAACAATGTGACGCTGGCTGAGTTCCCAAACGGTCTTGTACAGAGCCTTGAGGTCGTCAGGGATGTTGGGGATGCGCTGGATGGAACCACCGTCGGCAATGATGCGGTTCTTCATGTTGTCAGACCAAAGACCACGGTCGACAAGATCCTTGAGCAACCAAGGGTTGACGACCTGGAACTCTCCAGCAAGGACACGACGAGAGTAGATGTTCGAGGTGTAAGGCTCGAAGCATTCATTGAAGCCCATGATCTGCGAAGTACTGGCAGTAGGCATGGGTGCGACAAGCAGAGAGTTGCGGACACCGTCCTTAGCAATCTTCTCCTTCAGAGCCTCCCAGTCCCAGAGGTCAGAGGGNGTGATACCCCACATATCGTACTGGAGCTCACCCTTGGAGACGGGAGAGCCAGCATAGGTCTCATAGGGACCAAGCTTCTCAGCCAGATCGCAAGAAGCAGTCAAAGCGGCGTGGTAGATGGTCTCGAAGATTTGAATGTTGAGTTGTCTAGCCTCGGGCGAGTCGAAAGGCATGCGAAGTGCGAGGAAGGCGTCAGCGAGACCACTAACACCAAGACCGATAGGACGGTGGCGCATGTTGCTCTTGCGAGCCTCAGGGACGGGATAGTGGTTGATTTCAATGATCTTGTTCAAGTTCTTGGTGACGACCTGGACAACCTCGTGAAGCTTCTTGAAGTCGAACTTCTCCTCGTTCATGTCGACGAAGGTGGGAAGAGCAAGCGAAGCCAAGTTGCAGACGGCGACCTCATCAGGAGCAGTGTACTCGATAATCTCAGTGCACAGGTTGGAGCTGCGAATGACACCAAGGTTCTTCTGGTTACTCTTACGGTTGCAGGCATCCTTGTACAGCATGAAGGGGTTACCGGTCTCGGTCTGAGCCTCGAGGATGGCGTACCACAGCTTCTGGGCGCGGATGGTGTCGCGACCACGACCCTCGCGCTCGTACTTCTCGTACAAAGCCTCGAACTCGTCGCCGTACACGTCGGCCAAACCAGGACATTCACTGGGGCACATCAGAGTCCAGGTGGAGTTCTGCTCGACACGCTTCATGAAGAGATCAGGGATCCAGAGAGCGTAGAAGAGATCACGGGCACGGACTTCCTCCTTGCCGTGGTTCTTGCGGAGGTCGAGGAAAGCGAAGACGTCGGCGTGCCAGGGCTCGAGGTAGATGGCGAATGCACCAGGACGCTTGTTGCCGCCCTGGTCGACGTATCTGGCAGTGTTGTTGAAGACACGGAGCATGGGCACGAGACCGTTGGATGTGCCGTTGGTACCAGCAATGTAAGAGCCAGTGGCACGAATGCAGTGAGCGTTGAGACCAATGCCACCAGCGTTCTTGGAGATCATGGCGCAGGTCTTGAGGGTGTCGTAAATGCCGTCAATTGAGTCATCCTTCATGTCGATCAAGAAGCATGAAGCGAGTTGAGGCTGAGGAGTTCCGGCACTGAAGAGGGTGGGTGAGGCGTGAGTGAAGTACTTGAGCGACATGAGGTTGTAGGTCTCAATGGCAGCCTCGATATCCTCGCCATGGATACCAACAGCGACACGCATGATCATCTGCTGGGGTCTCTCGGCAACCTTGCCTTCAAGTCTGAGAAGGTATGAACGTTCCAAAGTCTTGAAACCAAAGTACTGGTAGTTGAAATCTCTGTCGTAGACAATGGCCGAGTTGAGCTCCTCAGCATGGTCCATGACTGTCTTGTATGTCTCCTCGGAGATCATGGGGGCGCGTCTCTTGGTCTTGGGGTTGACGTAGTGGTACAGATCTGAGATGACGGCAGAAAATTGCTTCTTGGTCTGCTTGTGGAGGTTTGACACGGCAATACGTGCAGCAAGGACGGCGTAGTCGGGGTGGGTGGTTGTCATGTATGCAGCAGTCTCAGCAGCCAAGTCATCGAGTTGGATGGTGTTGACGCCCTGGTAGACACCAGCAATGACCTTCATGGTGATAGCAGCAGCGTCAACATGGTCGGGGTCGAGGCCGTAACACAATCTCGAGACACGAGCTGTGATCTTGTCGAATTGAACACGCTCCTTGCGTCCGTCTGCGAGACTGTTAGCATCCTTCTGTGGACAATGGCTAGAAGTGAAAACTTACCGCGCTTGTACACGAACATTGTGACGCGATGATGTGAGTGGGAGATGAGGAAGAGAGGTAGGAGATATCAGATCTCGAGGGGTAGGCAATGAGGGGTAGATGGAGTGGCCTGGGGATATGGTACTAAAGATGTAGAAGCAGCAGGGGTATCAAAGAAGAAGCAGATTAAGTCGTCAAGACTGTGTATGAAAGTGGGAGAGAGGAAGATCGAGGGGAGGAGTGTAGTATTCTTAAACAAGTCGCGTTTCGCGTTTTGGGAAGTGACGCGCACCGCGACTTCCTAATTGTTTTTCAAATAATGTCCAAGCTCACACTTACATAAGCAACTCTCAATAGTTTCTTTTCTTCGTCTCCTCGTCGACGCTCCCGACCTTTCCAAACAAAAGAGTCTTCTGCCTTTTGCAATGACTCCATCATGTTCTTGCACGATCGGTCGTGTATGAAGACCTAGACGCCAATATGCGCAGCTTCATGCAGGATCTATCCTTGCAAAAGACATTTCATGGAGGTTGCAAACTCTTCACGTAGACCTAGCATTTTACACGGCGGATTCGAAGACTCGGCGACCACTACTTTCCCAAGGTCACGAGTTCAAAATCGACGCCAATATTGAGCCCAACGATCTGCCAAGATCATCTCACTCGTGTTGCAGTTTCTGAGCTTTGCTTTGAAGATCTTGCGTCAAAATGTTGAGAGACACGCCTATGTACAAATCCTCTCTGGGTATCATCATTGCAACCACTGTGTGCTCTGTTTCTGTTTACAATTCCTTCTTCTCTGCTCCACCACTCTTGAATGCTTGTGGCTCCTGCTCTTGCTTTCCTGTCTGCATGTCGGGTCGCTTAGTAACCAGCACATACAGAGCGACGATGGCTTCGCTGGACATGGAGATGACGCTCGCACATGCAATGCCCCAGAGCTGGATGCTGATGCTGCCCTTGGGTGCTCTAGGGAATGCGAGGAGCCATTCGACGTAGCCAGGGACCCAGCCTTGGGGTAACCAGAACAGTGCTTGACGTGAGAACCAGAACTGCAGGAGGTAGCGCATGCCGTTCGTACCCAACCAGCGAAGGGCGTTGGCCGTCTTGTCGAACTTGGCCTTGGTGTCTTGAACCGAACTTGCNTGTCATCTGAGTCAGACGGCGTCCTCGACTGCAAAAACGTAGTATAGACTTGACATACAGCTCTTTTCATAGTCGGCGACAGCTTTGTCGTGCGTTCTGCGCAGCTTGGCCCATCTGGCAAACTCGTCTTGTGCGCTGACAGCATTCATCTCGCGCTTCAAACGCACCACCTCCTTCTTGAGTCGTGCCGAGTTTTGTGCATCTTTCGCCGTCGGGGTAGGGAGCTTGTTGTAGAGAACCCAGAGCNNTATAACCGTTCAGCACTTGATCACTCGGAAAAAGGTCGATCATGTCCATACCAGCTCGTTGATAGTCGCAGCTCCGAGTGTGTTGATAAGATGGATCACCACGTTCAGCAGGAAGACGGCGAGCAAGAGAGACACCATGTTGGGCTGCCGACAGTGCTGTGACAGTGGTCTCTAGGTGATTGTTCGTTCGCGGCGCGAGTGGCATGCACGCATGACGTGGAGCTTTGAGACTCGGGACAAACTTCGTGCCAAGCCTCCTCACTGGCATCCATATCTGATTTCATTTGATCGGATTCTACCTTGTTACCTATTCACATGAACAACAAATGCACGAGTATAATGTGTGTGAATAAGAGACTCCTGCAAGTTCTACGCTGTCTTGAGGGCTAGGAATGATGCGTCTTGTTCTTTCCGCCTCTCATGTATCGCGTCAATCCACGTTCATGCCAGAGGTCGACTAAAATCGAAACTCAAGGCCGCTGTCCTCTTGAGAGAATACTCTCAATCACTCGGCAACATCGACAGTGCTGTCAGTTCCATCAAGCTGGAATCGCACGTGTCCCCTGCTTCTTGTTTGGTCAGGGGTGACTTGCACGACCTCCAAACCCTGCACACTCTGGGTCTCAATCAGACACTGAGCATCTGTCTCTGTGCTTCCGGGACGTCCATTGCGGGCCATACGTCGGTGACGAGTGCGTCTGCTGTATATCTTCAGCAGCATTGCTAAACCTGAAAGGGCAGTGAACCCAGTGCCACCAACCAAGAGTGCCATCATGTGCTTCATCGGTGCCTTTAATTTCCTGTCACAATATTTCCGACAGTCAAGCTCGTCATGACATACTCGGGGTTGTGGAGATGCAGAGGTAGATGATGACTTGGGCTTNTTGCTCTTGAACTTCGAAGTATCATAACTCGTTCCTGTGGTGGTCGTGCTCTTCTCAATCGTCCTGGTCGGAGCGAGAAACCCCCAGTGCGGTGTAGTGATAGTGCTGCTTTCTGTTACAGAACCGAACAGTGATATGCCATTAGGATCTGTGACTGTGATCACTCTGACGGTTGGAGACTCCCAGGGTTTGATGAAACCCCACATGCACATATCATTCTTGCACAGTGACTTTTCCTCCTTGTCTCTTCCACAACGCGAGTCGGTCGGCAAAGGCCCCCATGAATTCGTTGATGGTGAGACAGTCGTCGTTGAGATGTAGTAGTCATCGCCTCTTCCAGCGGTTCGAGCTGCTAAGTCCTGTCGCGCTTTCAGTCCAGGTGTGGGACAGTATGGAAACCCTCCCAGGACTCTCGGTTCTCGTTGGATAACCTCAGCCGACTGAGGGCAATCTGGGTTCTGTGAATCGCAAACAGTAGGAGGACCTTGAGTAGCAGCTGCGAGCAGGCAGCTCTCTACGACTTGAGCTGGAGGATAGAAGGCAGATGTGGTCTCGAAGGATCTATAGACGCCGTCGATAGTAGTTGAGGTTGTTGTGACATGGTCGTTATAGACAGGAAAACACACGCACTCGTCTCGTCGTTTGAGGTGGAAATAGTAAAGGTCACAAGTCACAGCTTCGCTCAAGCCGCTTGGGTGTCTTGAAGAGTTGAGATGAAGAGCCGACGAGCGGGCAATGCAGTCTTTCCGTGTGCCAATATTAGGGTCGAGTTGCAAGAGCCACTCTTTGATATTGCGGCGAAACTCAACGCGTCCAGGATACTGAACATAGGGCGGCCAATTGACAGCTCCCTCGTGTCAGCAATAAGACCAAACACTNGGCTGTATCGAACTGACCGGCACATTGAGACGTGGACGAGGGGTCGTGATCCTTGCACCATGTGGCTATATGATCCTCTGACCAGGCGGTATAGTTATAATCTGCAGAGCTGAAGGATTGGCAGGCTGTCTGCGAATTGACAATCGAACAGAATAAGCCAAGTAAGGCCAGAAGGCACAACATAATGATAAAAGCGGTGCCGGGTAGATGCCCACGACTGAAGTTGTATCTGTTGCCGAAGATGAACGACACATTGAGCCAGTTCAGGTTCTCTCCATATCGAGACTCCCATTAGTTGGCAAGAGCGATCGTCCTACTTACCTTTTCTGCATTGTGGGCTGTTTGTGAGTTCTGTCTACAACATGCCTAGCCACTGAGAGTCTACCATACTATGGCTCTGTGAGCACTTGATAGGCCAAAAATATTGTTCACTGAGAGTCATTCTTCTGATGTCTTCGATTACTGCGTACAGAGAGCGACATGTCAAAAAGTGCAGTGGCTCATTCTGCGGAGAGTTGGCGGGGTGGCGCATGGGCCATTCGTTCACCTGCCAACAGCCGAGAAGCAAACAGACCCACGACTGACTGACCGACCTTGGATCTCTTCGGGCAGCAAGCAGAGAGTGCTGATATTCGTACATTCGACAGGACTGACGAGACCTGAAGTCACAAACAATCATGCTCTCTCAATCCCGAATCTGGATGCTCTTCAGCCTTCTCTTGCTGTTAACCTCGTTCGCAAAAGCGTCACTCTTTTCACCGTTTCTGTCTGTGCTCGAATGGTCGACAAGCTCCAACGAAACATTCCACGAGCTGCCCAAACGCGCGCTCAATCCAACGTCGTGTCCCACTGGCTACAAGAACTGTGCAAACCTCGGCGCCCCGGGTCTTTGTTGTGCGAGTTCGGCCATATGTGCTCCCTGATCAGGCGGGCCACGTTGCTTGCTGTCCAAGCGGTGCCGTTTGCACCGGTGCCATCTCCTCCATCATCACCGCAGGCGTAATTGCTTCAGGTGGCTCTGTCGCCTCGACCACAACTGCCGCTTCCCAGCCTCTAACTGCCTCTGCTTCCTCATCCCAAACAACATCAAACTCGGGAGGGGGTCTCATACTCGCAAGTGGCCAGAGCACCACCGGCACATCTCCTGCTACCACCACTATCGCTTCGGGTTCCGCTGCTGCTACCACTGGCGATGGTTTCATCATCGTTGGAACCAGCACTGCTGCTACTCTGGGAAGTAACGCCGTGAGAAGTGTCCGTACTGTATGTCCTCACTTTACTCTGCTTGTTCCTTCGAAAGACATACTGACACGTTATAGCCATTCGTAGCCCAGGCTATCGTCAGGCTCTTGGAGCTTCTGCACCTTTGAGGAATATGGATGAGTCTCTGTATGAGCTTGATGACATGACGAACAACTCCGAACCCTGATGGAACACGATTGCAGCATAGCATGATTACATTGCACAATTATATTGCATGAGAGCTAATGGCACTGATATGCCAGAACAACCCCGACTTTTGCGAAGCACGGAGCGCTTCAAACAGAGATCAATAAGTAGATAACAATAATATATACAAGAAGATTCATCAACTTTCGTCAACCCAAACCGGATTCCTCCAAGGTTCGCCTTGGGTGGTCATAATATATGTACAAATTGTGAGACCAATATATTTACAATGTAGTGTGTTGGTCTTGAAAAAAATCAGTAGGTGGCATAAGCCTTGATGGCGGGTTCCGCAGACACCTTGGGCTCGTAGAGAACGAGCGCGAGTGCAGCAACCAGGATAGCGTTTTCAGTAAGCAGCAAATCGCTCACGTTCAGGCCCTCAGCGAGGTACATGTTGCACAAGGTGTTGAGATCAAGACGGGATGTCTGGCCAGCACCGCCATTGATCAAAGCATCCTTGACGAGGCCGAACGCAATGGGATTGTAGAGTACACCTTCATGCGTGTAGAAAGAACCCGCAGGAAGGACAGGATTGCAGATGCCCTGAAGATAATTATTGGTGACACCCACTTTGCGAGCATCGTTGAGATATGCCGAGGCACCTGTGCCTTGCTGAGGCTCGACGATCTCATCGAATAGACCGCTGTACACGGTAGTCGTAGGAACGTACGCAGAGTCGCCACCATTGAGCCTCAGCTGGTCGATGAAGTTGCTCGTTCCCTTGTATTGCTGTTGTAAGACAGCCGGATCACATGGGAGACCTTCGGGGCAGATGAGGTTGGCGTTGACGGTACCAGCATAATCAGGGCTGATAGCAATGTGATTCCTGACCGACTTCTGGGTCGAAGTGAAGTACTTGAATGCCCACTGAATGTTGATGTTGCCCTGGGACCAGCCAATGATCGAGACCTTCTTGCCGGTTATACTAGCGATGTAGTTGATTGCGTACGCAGCGTATTCAGCATTTGTCTGCGCATCATTCAAGAGATAACCAGGGATATTGAGCCAGACAGGGTCAGCGTAGGTTGATCCAGTCAACAAAGAGATGTCTAATGTTGTGTCAGTAGAGTTTTCTTAAGCCGTTTGCAGAAGATTTTCTTACAANTTGCCAATGTAAGTAAAGTAGCCAGTCGCTCCAGTACCAGGCATCAAAATCACTGGCTGAACTTTCCCGTTTGTGAACGAAGGTGGGATGTAGATAGCAGAACGGAGCGAGGATTCGGTAACACTGTACTTGGGGTCCTTGCCCTTGCGAGGGTAGATGGTGTCCTTGGGGGCCTGGATGTTGACGTTGCTCATGCTGTTTTCGCCAGTAGCCAAGCCATCGACGAAGCCAAGCAGATCGTTGACGTTGTTCGCAGTCAGACCTTCTGCAGCAACAGCAGCAACGAATTCAAAGAGGTTGGCTGAAGGCTTAGCAGCGTGGATGCTGGATAGCTGGGAGATGGCAGATGCAGCATTGGTCTGCGTTGTTGTCGCCGTAACCTGCGCCAGGGCCGATGAGATAGTGCTCCATGCTTGAGTTCCAACAACTTCGCCGACTCCAACTTCGGAGAGAACGTTGTTGATATCTCCCACAACATCTCCTAGGAGGCCATTTGAATCGCCAAGGAGATCTCCAATCAGGCTTCGGTCCTCCAGAGATGCAATTGCGGTAACTGATGGTGAAGGCACGGGCTCCGCAGGGGCTGGTCTAGCAAAGGCAGAACCGGCTAGCGAAAGAAAGGCCAGCACAATCGAAGTTCCCTGCATTGTGAAAAAATGGTCGAATCGTTCTCGACAATACGAAAGAGAAACAAGAAGATAACTAAACTCAAGCAAATCTCTGAGTGGAGGACTGGCATTCCTTATATATCAGACGTACGAATCTAACAAGGAGTTTGCCATAATGCTGATCATCAGCTGTCTTCTTGCCGTACACCTACGCAATCTGTCGATTTTCGTATCTTGACTCTTCGAAATCGTACTGGGTTGAGATCGGCATGCTTGAGAAAACCTCCGAGAGAGGTAAGGATATGTAGGATATTCATCTATCTGCAGGCCATCCATTCGGTTCCCCGTACAAACTACGTCACCTAGAGTGACATGCGAAGCAGTCACCAACTCTTGCTGTACCAATGTGTCCCGTCCCGAGAAGAGTCGACCAGGGCTGTCGTCGAGTTCCGTCTGATCAGGAACCATGGCACGAATTTTCGTAGGATGTGATGTTGATCATCGCGGATCATTTCATGCCTTGCCCCTTTTGAGGAAGCATGACTGGTCGCATGTAAAGTCATCCAGGGACGATCTGACAAATTCCGGCTAATCGGCCGACGAGCCCGGTTGAAGCTCGGAAATTCTGGCCTCATGGTAACAGGTTTCAGAACATACGGTTGGCATCCTCGGATTACTAGCGCTTAAGGGAGAGCATTTCACGAGCTGTGTATTCGCGAGAAGTGTGTTCTTTGGCGTGTCGACAGCATGCAGTATGCGCAAGATAGTGAACGCAAAGCCAACAGTGGTTGAGGTGACGGATGAGGCGCGGCTGCGGCTCTTCTCGGCAAGTTTGCCGTCTCTCGAGCGCATCTCCGCTCGACGACACAAACAGGTGACAATGTGCTGCGATCCTGAAGTCTATCAGAACGAACTCCTATAGCAGTCGCCATCTCATTTGCAAACCATTCGTGTTTTGTAACCGTGCCATCTTCTCCCTATAGGATTGCTGTTCCCGAATCTCGTATCGAAGACCTTCGAAAGAGGCTTGATCTGGCCACGTTCCCTGACGAGATCGAAGACGCAGAATGGGCTTATGGAAGCCCTTTAGCAGACATCAAGAGACTCACGTCCTTTTGGAGAAACGATTTTGACTGGAGGAAGGCTGAGGCGAAACTGAATGAGCTACCCAACTTCACAACGAACGTCACCGTAGATGGTTTTGGAGACATTGAGCTCCACTTCCTGCACCAGTCAAGTCCTGCACCAGATGCTGTTCCTCTGCTCTTTGTTCATGGCTGGCCTGGCAGCTATATGGAAGTGACCAAGATGCTGACGGCATTGTCCTCAAGCACAAATGGTGTCAGTTTCCATGTCGTCGCACCGTCTCTACCAAATTTCGGATGGAGCGCAGGTCAGTAACCAGAGCAGTCTTGAGATTGTTGAGATCGTCCATCTTAGTCTTGTGCTAGGTNNATCAAGAAGAAAGGGTTCGCACTCGGTCAATATGCGGAGGCATGCCATCGCCTTATGCAATCTCTTGGATATGATAAATACGGTAATTTAAAAGTGATTCTGTGGTGTCAAGAATATGCTGATTTTGTTCACCAACAGTTACTCAAGGTGGCGGTAAGATACGCTTTGCACAGTATCGAGTTATGAATTGTGACTGACANNGGGTCAGATTGGGGGATGTATATCACACGCAGCATCGGCCTTTTGTTCCCAGAGTCTTGCTTGGCTTCCCATATCAACATGGTTCGCGCGAGTCCGCCGAAGTTCTCCACACATCCTCTACTTGCTGTTCAACATGCTCTGACTTCATATACCGAGGACGAACAGAAAGGACTCTCGAGAAGTGATTGGTTTGCCAACGAGGGAAGTGGATACAGAATGATACAAAGTAAGTTGGAGATGCATGGATATAGCATATGAACTTGTAATCACGCTGATTGGATATTTCTGTCAGGTACAAAGCCTCAGACTGTGGGCTATGCACTCGCCGACAGCCCAGTAGCCTTGCTCGCCTGGATCTATGAGAAGCTTCACGACTGGACAGATAGTTACCCGTGGACTGATGACGAGATACTGACTTGGATATCAATCTACTGGTTCTCGAGAGCAGGTCCAGCAGCCACCGTTAGGATATACTATGAAGCAACTCATACCTCAGCAGAGGCAACTAGAGAACGCGTGCAGCGTTTTATTGATCAAGTCAAGTTGGGATTGTGTTATGCACCANAAGGTGAGTGGCTGCTTCGGTGCATCGGACTCATCCCCTCTGCAGGCCTCTGCAACGTGGCCAGCTAACCGATTCAGCCTAACTACACCATCCACCTGAATCTCTACACAAGAGGCTAACTATCATGTGTTTAGGACCTCACTATTGTTCCCAGGACTTGGGGAAGAACACTTGGCCCAGTTGTTTTTGAGAGCGAGAAGAAACATGGAGGCCACTTTCTCGCATACGAACAGCCAGAAGAGGTTGTTGCTGACCTTCGAGCTATGTTTGGGTCTAGAGGACCATGTCACAACATACTCGAGTCCTAGCTGTTGTATTGGAAAGACGCTTAATAGGCCGTTCTTGATAATCTCTAAGTCATACAGTAGTATGATATCCTGGAACCAAGACGCAAAACTGTCTTGTGTCTCAGTCGCATCGAGTCAGTGTTACCACGTGGGTGATAGGCCTTGGTTGTACCCTTGCCCGTTGTACTACGGACTATGCAGGTATGTTATCTGCCTTGCCATGTGCTCACTGTACGCAAGCTGCGTTTGTACACGGTTACCTTGCAGATCTCTTGGTTACGGCCGAATCTTCTAGATCTGGAGGACTTTCCGGCAAACCAAGCATCCGAGAGCAGAATGCAGCATACCTTTTCCACGATTGCCTTTGTCATTATCAAGATTCAGTCTATCGAAGCATTGTCTCGTATGGTAGATTTTGTTGTACTTTGGTCGAGTCAAACGCGACTCAAACAATACAAAGCAGAGTATGCTCAAATCCTTTGACATTCACACTGGCACAAGGATTCTGCGACAGCCACAGCTTGAGTATCCATAAAAGTAATGCCTCAGGTCCTCACTATTAAGAATTCGTCCCTCATGCGAAAACAGAAAATAAACCCATGGGCGTTGAGGAATCGTTCCTTCCCACTCATGGACGTTTTGCCAATTGTACCCCACACAATATTGAACACACGCGTTCCACAGACATTATTTCAATCGGACCTATCCGCCTTCCGCTGTAGTCAGCCTCTAGATGAGCCGAGCGTGAGAAGACGATTTGGTGTATCGGACACTGGAGCGGCTGAGCTTTGAGACTTATAGAGTTATATCGTACGCACGTATCGCTTTGGCACTCCAGCCACGAGTAAGTGGGTTGTCAACGTCTTGTGCTGATCTCCACGCCTTTTCGAAGTGAACTCTTGGAGAACAGGCGATGAATCGCGTTGTAGATGCGTGTCAGTTGCAGCTTGGGATGTTGAACGCGAGCTTCCGAAAAATCCGATGTGTCTTGATAGACCGTCGCGGCTTCGTCGTGCCGGTATCTCGAGTCGAGTTGCGGATCATCGTCTGTCCTCGTGAAGATCAAGGTGAAGATCAAAAGACTATTGCTCGCTTGGCACGTTAACATACACCCTTAAGCTTGGAAACTCCGCACACTTATCTTGGCTGTCTTTGGCACCATTCTCGCTTTTGTCAAGCGTCTTGAGCGCGCCATGAAACCTGCAGTAGTTCCTTCATGACTCTTGCAAGTTCCAACGTCCCGCTGCTTTTGTGAGGTAGGAGACATGCTATGATTGGCAAGCGGAGACGCAATCGCGGAGGGTTGGAACAAGGCTATCTGTGCGTGGTGTCTGCTCGAACTCTCTCGCGATGGTGTTTGGCATATTTAGACTGTCCTCAAACCCAGATCCGCAATGATCTCCTATATCCCTCTCAACCCGCTCCCCCGCTACGTACGTGACGACTCTGTCAAGCTGTCATGAGTTTCGAACGACCTTCTTATGCGCCGGACCTTGCTTGGAGAATACTTGCCCTCTCCCTCATCTCAGTATCGTGCTGCGAATCCGACCGCCAATGTATATATGCTAATCAATAACAGTATCTTACTTATCGAGTTGCAACCACGGCATACGATGTCTGGTTTGGGCCTCTTTCCAAGTTTCCAGGTCCGAAGTGGTGGGCTGCAAGCAACTTGCCACTCATATACATGATCTGGACTGGACAAGACACTCAGACGAAATCCCGCCTTCATGAGTTGTATGGTCCAACCGTACGCGTTTCCCCTACAGAGATCAGCTACATCGATGCAGAAGCCGATGGCCAAGGCTTGTCAGCGAAACATGCCTTTAAGCAGGTCTACGGTCACCAGTTATCCGGCAAGAGAAGTTTTGCGAAAGATCGTCGTCTCTATGCCGTGCCCGTCAATGGAACTACCTCTATACTCAGTTCAGATGATGCTAGCCATGCCCGACAGCGACGGGTCCTATCGCATGCATTCTCCGACAAGGCATTGAAGGAAGAGGAACCACTTTTCAAACGCTGGGCAAGCCTGCTTGTAGGAAAACTCGAAGCATTGTCCTTTACCGAAGCTCCAATCGACCTGGTGGCCTATTTCAACTATACCACATTCGATATAATGGCCGACCTGACATTTTCGGAGAGCTTGGGTATGCTTGAAGGGTCCGAATACTCTCCATGGGTTGCTACAATCTTCGCCTCAATCAAATCCATGACCAGGCTTCGTGCGATCAGGTTGTTGCCGGGCATGACCACTCTTCTCGACGTCTTGTTGGGAAATACGATCCGCAAGAAACAGGTCAACCATTTCAAGTACTCTGCCGATCGCGTTGATCGTCGACTTGCAAGCACGCCCTCCAGCCCAGACTTGTGGAGCTTTGTTCTGAAAAAGGCTGGACAGGAAGGCGGAATGTCGTTGAGTGAGATGCACAGCAATTCAGCCATGTTCATGATCGCAGGTACCGAAACAACTGCGACGTTGCTGAGGTATGTTGTAGCACGCATATTCTTTTCTATCGCTGACACGAGGTTGTNNAGTGGATTGACATATCATCTCCTGCAGAATCCAGCAAGGACAGAGCGACTCACACGGGAGCTGCGTTCTGCCTTCGTCCGTGATACAGACATCACGATCGAGGCGTTACAACAACTCCCATACCTTTCGGCTTGTATTGAAGAAGGCATGAGATTGTATCCACCAATTCCGACTGGATTGCCCCGGCAAGTTCCAAAAGGTGGCGCGTGGATATGTGGAGAATATGTTCCGGGAGATGTAACTGTTTCGGTGAGCCAATGGGCGACATACCACTCAGAATCCAACTTTTACAATGCAGGAAGCTTCATTCCAGAAAGATGGTTAGGCGAAGACGCGCGCTTCGAGCACGACAACCATGCTGCCTTTCAGCCATTCTCGGTAGGGCCTCGCAATTGCATAGGGCGCAACCTTGCATATCACGAGTGCCGGTTGTTGTTGACAGAGATGTTCTGGAACTTCGACCTGCAACTGATGGATGAAAGTAGGAATTGGCTTGACCAGAAGGTCTTCTCATTCTGGGACAAGCCACCACTATGGGTCAAGCTGAGACGAGTGGTCCGGTGATGACGGGTCAGAGTGATGGATACTTGACCACTGACCAGCTGCATGGGCGAATGCATCTCGTGGGCAAGATAGGCGTAATGTACTCGAGTATGTATGATTTAACGATACCTAATTTCGGCAACGAGCAAGGAGCATGATCGGCATCTCATGTGCGCATGTTTGTTGACCGGCACGGCGGCCCTTTGTATTCGCCTTTTACAACGAATTTTGCCCCTGGCAAACAGATTAGGCGAGGCAGTTCTTACGAGTGCTGCTCTACGTTTTCATCATCTCGCTGTTGTTTTTTCGCAAGGATTGCCCGAAGAAGCGCAAAGAGACGCGTTTAAGAGGGACCGAGGTAAGCTTTGGTCACAAGCAAGCACGCGCATCGGCTGACTACACGCCGTGTCGGCGGCCAAGCTTGAAGCTCCGATGCCTAGTTTATGTTGACATGAGGAATCAGTATTGATATAAGAGAGGTCAGGCAGGAACTTTAGCCTCTACATCAATTCCTATCAACATGTCTACTCCTATTCCTGGTCCAGCTGGCTGGCCCCTCCTAGGAAATGTCAATGATATCGACCCTGATGTTCCTATCAAATCATTGATGGACATTGCCGACAAATATGGTCATTATTTCACATGCTGAACAATATCAATAAAAGCTGACAACAAGTAGNGACCTATCTACAGTCTCTCAATACTTGGGAAACGCCGAGTTGTAGTCTCCTCTGTCGAGTTGATGAACGAAATCTGTGACGAGCGTCGATTTGGCAAGGAAAGTTTGTGACGAATCTGTAACGAGAAGAACGGAATTTGTAACAAGCGATTTAGGNTTGTCACCGCCGCTTTGGGAGAAGTCAGAAATCTCACTGGAGACGGCCTCTTTACCGCAGTATGTTCATATCGCTATCTCGAAGCTTTGATTGCATGCATCTGATGAGATCGTAGCNACAATGGCGAACAAAACTGGGAGGTCGCCCACCGTGTTTTGGTACCCGCCTTCGGACCGCTCAATATTCGCAGTATGTTCGAGGACATGCATGACATTGCATCGCAGCTCGTCATGAAGTGGGCACGCCATGGAAACGACTACAAGATCCACGTTACGGATGACTTTACACGATTGACCTTGGATACCCTTGCTCTCTGCTCCATGGACTATCGATTCAATTCATTCTACGCAGAACAGATGCACCCTTTCGTTGATTCAATGGTCAACGTCCTCTCCGAATCTGGATCAAGGATTCGAAGACCTGGCTTCCTTGCCGCTCTGTACCGTAAAGAAGAATACCAATACTGGAAAGACATCAAGTACTTGCGAGAGCTGAGTTCGGAACTGGTTCAGAATCGCAAGAAACATCCCGGAGCTAGGAAAGATCTCCTTCACGCCATGCTTCACGGCAAGGATCCACGTGATGGAAGCTCATTGTCCGATGACAGTATCATCGACAACATGATCACCTTCCTCATTGCCGGTCACGAAACCACCTCGGGCCTTCTCTCCTTCCTCTTTTACTACCTCTTGAAGAATCCTTCAGCATACAAAAAAGCACAAGAAGAGGTTGATAGAGTCATCGGAGACGCGACTATCAAGGTGGAACACTTGAGCAAGCTCCCCTACATCAACGCAGTTCTGCGTGAGACTTTGCGACTACAGCCCACTGCTCCAGCTTTCTCAATCCAACCCAACAACGAGATCGACACCATTGGTGGTGAATATACTGTGTTCAGAGGCGAACCCATCATCGCGCTCCTACCAAAGATTCACCGTGATCCAGCTGTAAGATTCACCGTGATCCCGCCTTTAGGGTACAGATAGCATGGGTGAACTGACATCAGATGGCTCCAATACCCATCAGGTGGCTTTTCGACTGCTGTCTATAATATTGATACGCAAGAAACATGCTGACAGTATCTTTACTCTCAGGTCTACGGAGAGGACGCCAATGATTTCAAACCTGAGAGAATGCTTGACGAGAACTTCAATAAACTTCCTCCCAACGCCTGGAAACCATTTGGTAACGGCTCTCGTGCTTGCATTGGTCGCCCATTCGCATGGCAAGAGGCTCAACTCGTGGTTGCGATGCTACTCCAGTACTTCGATTTCACATTAGACGACGCCAAGTACGATTTACAGATCAAGTCAACTCTGACCATCAAGCCAAACCACCTCTATATGCACGCTCAACTCCGCCACGGCAGGACTCCTACCCAACTTGAGCAGATCCTGTCCTCAAATGGTGCCCCTGTACCAGCGAAGCAACCCCACAGATCTGACGATGAAAAGGCAACATCTGCCGCAAGTGACGGTAATGCAAGACCTCTGACCATTCTCTACGGATCAAACACTGGTACTTGCCAGGCTTTTGCTCAAGGCCTCGCAGCTGATGCACCGTCTCATGGATTTAAAGTGACANAGGTGGATACCCTTGACTCAGCCAAGGACAACTTACCTACAGATCAAGCAGTTGCAATCATTACCTGTTCGTACGAAGGCGAGCCGGCAGATAACGCAGCACACTTCTTCCATTGGCTCAAATCACTAGAAGGAAACACTACCAAGATCCAGTACGCAGTATTTGGAGCGGGTCACAGTGACTGGAAGAACACTTTCCACAAGATCCCAACGGCCATCGACGACATCCTTCTGGCACGTGGTGGAGAACGTATCTGCAGCAGAGGCTCAGCCAACGCTGCCAATGGCGACATGTTCAGCGAGTTCGAGAAGTGGGAAGATGAGGTCTTCTGGCCTGCCATGTCGAAAAAGTATGGAGGTGATGGCGGTGCAACCGATTCGGCAGCAACACAGAGTCTGACAGTCGAAGTTTCGAGCGTCCGCTCTTCACACTTGCGTGCCGATGTGTACGAGGCTCGTGTTGTCGATGCAAAGCTCCTCTCCCAGCCTGGATCATCGGAGAAGAGACACATCGAGATTGAGCTACCAGCTTCTGCGACTTACAGCAGTGGCGACTATCTGCATGTCCTTCCTATCAACCCACACGAAAGTGTGCAGCGTGTCATGCGTCGCTTCAACCTGGCATGGGACAGTGTGCTGACCATCAAGGCCGCAGTAGGCACTATTCTGCCTACGAACATCCCAATCTCTGCCAATGACCTTTTCGGGGCCTATGTTGAACTCGGGCAACCTGCGACCAAGCGCAATGTGACGCTCCTTTTGGATGCTTGTACAGATGACCAAACCAAGAAAGAACTGACCCGACTCGCTGGCGATGCCTTCAGCACCGAGATCAGTGAANAGAGAGTCTCGCTCTTGGATCTCCTTAACAGATTCCCATCTGTGCAACTTCCTCTTGGTGCTTTCATCAGCAGCTTGCCTCCTATGCGTACCAGGTCTTATTCCATTTCTTCGTCAAGCTTGGTCAGCCCTCATCGCGTCACTCTGACCTACGCCGTTTTGCATCAATCACACATGAGCGGTATGGGCGAATATGTTGGTGTAGCTAGCAACTACCTTGCAAAATTGGCTACCGGCGATAAGTTGCACGTCGCTGTGCGTCCCTCCAACCAAGCCTTCCACCTGCCTACCGACTACGAAAACACACCTGTTATCATGATCTGTGCCGGAACTGGCTTGGCACCTTTCCGTGGCTTTGTACAAGAAAGAGCAGCTCAGGTTGAGGCTGGCCGCAAGCTTGCACCCGCTCTGCTAGTTATTGGTTGCAGAAGCCCTGACCAGGACGAACTTTACAGAGAAGATTTCGACAAATGGGAAAGTACAGGTGCTGTCAAGATTCTGCGTGCTTACAGCAGGAAGTCGGAAGCGAGTGGAGGCTCAAAGTACGCTCAGGATGCCTTGTGGGAGCACCGCAAGGAAGCTCGCGAGCTGTGGGACGCTGGCAGCAGAGTCTACGTCTGTGGCAGTCGTGCTCTCGAGCGAAGTGTTGAGCAGGTCTGCAAGCAGATCTATACCGAGAGGGCAAAAGAGCTAGGCAAGGACAAGACCGACCAAGAGGCTGAGGAGTGGTTTGACGGCATCAGGAACTCGAGATTTTCCACTGACGTCTTCAGCTAGTCGACGTCTTCACTTAATCGACACAATAGCATTTCCTAAGGCGCACATCACATAGAGGATCGAAGGGTTTGGGGATATCACCTAATTAAACTTGCATATCACTATTGTTTTACATTCATAGCTTCGAAGTCTTCGTACCGTGCAGGATTTTAGCAAACACTGGTAGGCCTTCTCTGCCCAGAGCTGTGCCTACGGCTACGACTTTGGCTCCCACAGCTTGCATACGTGATAGTCCGGCAGCATCACTGACTCCACCAACACCGATGATATCAATATCGCGTAGCTCGACATGCTCATCAAGCAACTGGCGTAGCGTGGAGACGTTTCCGAGAGCTAGTGGATGCAAGGGCTCACCTGCAAGTCCTCCGATTCCTGTGCCTGCCGCTGATGGAAGTAAAGGTCGATTCTGCTCAGGTCCCAGTACAAGACAGGAGCCCAGCGTGTTTGTAGCAGTTATAAAATCGATTGGTGATGGCCCATTCTCACGTAGAGTGTCTATCAATGTCTTGAATTGACCGGCATATGTGTACGGCGGTGTCTTGAGCCCCAATGACACTGTCCGCGGTATGTCCCTCAACGCATCAAGGTATTCTTTCAGAGCAGAACCAGAATATGCTGGTGGCGGTTTGTTCGCAATATTCGGGCAGCTGAGATTTACTTCGACAGCGAGGGGTATCGGGATCCGGGCAGCGAGTGCGGCGACTCGGCTATAACACTCTGCAACCTCTTTGGGCGAGCCTGTGACGGAGACGATAAATGGCTTGCGTCTTTTGTGCGGAGAAGCATCAACGATGTGCTCGATCCAGGTGAGATAGGTATCTATGGGTGTGGGCGAGTAGCCAAGTGTGTTGAGACTTGCTGGGTACTCTTTCCCGCTGATGGTGTAGTCTGGCGCCGTGGTAGCCGTCTGCGATTGCGTGGAGAAGAAAGCATGCTGGTGAATGGACGGGTCGTGTGGGAAGCCGAGCAGCAAACTGGTTCTTGTCGTTACGGCACCCGTGTGTGGGCATGCGTACAGTGCTTCGAGATCTTCTCGCGTGCTGCACCATGGATTGGCGCTGTTAAGCAGAGGCGGGTCGATTGTTGGAAGTGGCATGACGGCTGCTACTAGGTCAATTGTGATCTCTTGTATCTGGTTCGAGGTTTCCAATGTTCTCATGAGATGCGCCGAGATCAATCACGTTCGTGTCGATGCTCGTGTAGAGATACACCCGATAAGCACAAGATAAGCCAACATCGCATACAACAATACACAAACCAGTGCTTCATTGGCCTGGATGGATCATAGAATATCCGAAACCATCCTAAGCAGAAATTAGAATCATATAATAGATAGCTCGCGTGGTGAACGAAATTATCATTTCTCGACAGGGTCGTATATGCAGCGAAAATCGAAGAACCAAAAGCTTGGCATACCAAGGCATGTCTGCACCTTCCTCTTTCTTCAAGAGACCATGAGCTCAACATATGAATATTGAATGTCGCCTGGCAGCGAGAACTATCATCGCCTCGGATCTATCACGCCATATCGAGCCCGATCTCCTTCAAGTCTCTTAAGATTGAGCCAAGCGATGCTGTTCAATCTTAATCGCTCGAAAACAGAAGCAACCCGGTCGCGCCTTCCTCTTCGTTTCGGTTCGCTCCTTCCTCACCCATATTGTACTTATTCCACTCAGTCACCCCTTCCCCCATCGATTGTCCCGGATTTGGATCTTTCCAAATCGGGCAGAATTCGAGGCGCTTTGGCTGAGTGGTTATAGCGATAGACTAGAAATCTATTTCCTTCGGGAGCGCAGGTTCGAGTCCTGCAGGCGTCGTTCTTTTGCCTTCTCGAGCTCATCCGAACATTTTTCCTTTTGGTCGCTGTATGCATACAAAAAGAACTGGCGAAATCGGACAAAAATTGGTGAAGTTGTGGTGGTATGAAGTGTGGAATTGTTAGATTTGTGCGGCTGCAACGCCGAACGACAACACAACCAACCGCGAGATCTGATTGAACTTCTGCAACTTCTTTTTGATCAACAAGGTAACAAACAAAAGAGACCGTTTAGCTTAAGCGCTTATTCACTGATCAGATGCGGGTGCGTTTGTATGTCTATCATGCCCGAACACGGCAGGAGTAAGTTGTCGATCACACCGCGTATAGTTATCGCATTGTCCATCCAACCGTCATGTGCGGCTCCGTACATACAACGAGATTGTTCAAGAGTCGGCAGAGACCAAACACTCCAAGGAGATGCAAAATGCAATTTGCTGATCACCTTTGATGCTGACATCACGGAATCCGCTCTCCACGTGCTCGTGGATGTTACGAATACCTGCTCATCTACTCATCATACTGAATATGCTTCGCCTGCTTAGCCCCTCGAGCAGCACAAAGGTGCGCGTACCTGGTGATGGCTGCAACACTTTACATGCCTTCTACAAGATCAAAACGGCAAGCACACATGTCGACTGCAAAGACGAATCCATGGTTAGATACGGTGCTATCAAAAACCGAGCCATCCACACCATCAGAGCCGAAGAATTCACCTGAGAGAAATGGCCTATCAGACCAGCTCCGACCAAAATCTTCCACGCCAAAAATCTACACAGAAAAAAAGCCAGCACAAGACTCCCTCGATGAAGCCTTTCAAGCAGCAATCAAGGCCATAGTACCAGAACGACTCGAGGCCACCAGGAGAGCGAAAGCAAGAATGGAGGTCATCCAAGGAACGACTCAAGATAACTTGAAAGTGGCTGAGTTCACTCAAGTGACATCAACGAACCCAGCACCTACCACCCCAAAACTCCCGAAGCAGAAGGAGAAGCCACTCTTACAGGCGGCAATCGAACACCTCACATTCGATCGTCTACACACTGTACTCTACAAAGCTCTCAACGAATCGCCAAAAGCCCGTTCAGTGTTCGAGAGGGAGCTCTTAGCTCCTCTATCTCCTGATCTCGAAGACAATGAAGAGACAATAGCAGCGAAGAAGAAGTCGGGAAGGAAGAGACCACGGTTCGAGGTGTGTAGATGGTGCAAAGATGAATTTGATGTCACGGATAACCCTGGAGATGCCTGCAACCATCACACAGGCGAGTTGGAACCCGATGAGCGTGCATGGCGTGACTACAATGTAGCAGAGGATGGTCCAATCGATACAGATGAGAATCGAGAAATCCACGCCGAAGGGTTTACATGGGACTGCTGTCAGGCAGATGGCGATGATGATGGCTGTGAGACCACTGCTCACGAAATCGACGAGAATTACAACCCGAAGAAACCCAAGCGGTACTGGGAGTTTTGATATTGAAAGATGATTTGCCAATACATGATATACACCACGCTTTTTGTACGCAAAAGAAAGCACAGAAACAAAGCATCGATCGCGAGAACAAGACGCCGCCGCTAATACACTGCAATGATAAAGACACTCACAACAACCCGATACCACGCTTCAGATAGAGCGTCGCAAAGGTCTACGAACACGGTCTTTCCCTAATTCCGGGTAATGTTCGCCGTTCTTTCCTTTTTTTCTCTTCCTTCCGTTCAACCGTCCTTGTTATCTCGTAGTTTGTCATGCCATGCCAAGTCGATTTTCCTCTCCTTGTTCCTTCCACTGTCCCCCCTTGGAGCCAAACCTTCCATTAACCAATCCGCCGACCATCGTGTCATCACCCTGGCCCCCAGTACCATTCATTGGATATTCGCGACCAGAACTTATCATTCCTTGAGCTGACTTCTCAAGCCTAAAACCTCACGCTTCAGTCTAGCGTTCTCTCTTCTCAGTCTTCCAGCCTCGTCTTGCGACTCTCGGACCTTATTCTTCAACTCGTCAAGCCCTTGTCCACTCCTGACAGCCTTCAATACCCTTGCCAACTCATCGTTGAAACGTGCATACAATGCTTCGTTCTCAGCATTGGCTTCACGATACAACTCATCCAACTTCTTGGCTTTGGCTTCCGAGACAGCAAGAGAGGATAGCGCATCGGCTTGTATCTTGGCTATACGAGCTGCTACAGCATCGACGGAAGAAGGGACCGAGGCTTCGAGAGCTGAGAGTCGGGCATGGAAATCATGTTTGGTTGATGAGGCTTGAGTAGGTGAGTCGTTGCCACGCAGGACGCTGTTGTGGCGATTCAAGCTTATCTCTTCGCCTATACGACTCAACTCGTCTTGTAGAGTCGAATGTGCAGCGTCCAAGGCACGATGTTCGTCTTGGAGACGCTCACGGAGCTTCTGTGGTGATTGCATGCGCAATTTTCTGGTCGGCGTACCACTAGGTGGCGGCGATTTTATCGTCACTTTCGCTGGTGTACCTAACTGACCTGTTTTTATGCGCATAGCGTTGCCAGCTGTCGGACGCTCCGACAAACCTGCTCTTGTTGTTGGCGTGGACGGTGTCTTTGGTCTGTCAACTTTGGACGACAGCAGAGGGATGTTTGAACTGCGTCGGAGTGTTGGGTAATTATTTGTACTGGCATCATCCACCTGCTTTGATCCACGGCGTGCGAGAATGTTGTGTCCATCCTCAACCTGCTTAGAGCCGCGGCGTGCCAGCGGATAAAGTCCTTCATCGATATGCTTAGAGCCTCGTCTACCAACCGAGTAAGGACTGTGAGTTGCATCTCCTACTTGCTTGCTACCACGTCGCAANAGTGGACCCGGACTAGCGTCGATTTCTTCCGGCTGCTTGCTAAGGCTTCTTGGCCTGGTTGAAGAAGGTGATGGGCTGGGCTGATTGAGGGGCGAGTTCTCTTTGCGGAAAGCAGATGGCAATCTTGACCGAGGTCGGTCACTGATAGGCGAGCCTAGAGTTGAAGCAAGAGTGGGAATACCAGTAGCTCTGGTGAGCGTTGGAGAGGGAGATTTTGTCCTTTCCACCGGTTCCTTCGGTGAACCCTCGAAGGAGCGCATAGCAGATGGCGAGATAAAAGGCGACTCGTTTAGAGTAAGCTCCAGAGATTTGAGGTCAGACAGCGAGCTACGCCGTTTCTTTCTGTGAGGTGAAGGGTTTGGCGGGCTGAGCGTCTCTCCTATGCTGCCTAACGAAGGGCCATTGTTGTGCCACATAGAGTCATGTGACATGGGTCGTTCAGGAGGTTGAGGCGATGGGCCCCTGCTTGGTCCTTCTTGAGAGAACGGTCTAACCGGTAATCCGCCGTGCCCATCCGTAGTCTTCGCGCGTTGCATTGTGCCTCTAGACAAGCTCGATGGCTGATCAGGAAGCCTTGTGCTCTTGCTCAGAGTACGCCACACGGAAACCTTGTAGTCTTGCTCCGGTTTACTAGTACTAGAGCCAAAGCCAAACTTCTTGCGAAATGATGAAGTATTCGAGGTTAGGGACGCGGTGTTGGTGGAGCGTGAACGACCATGCCCTCCCAAAGTAGGCCTTACCTCTCTAGGTTGCACCACTTCGCCAAACAATGACTCAATATCCTCCACGAATCTATCGAGCAGTGACACAAAATCGTATGGATTGCCGTCAGGGACCAATATCTCAACAAACGCTGCAGTCAATATGCCACGGTCGCCATCGTTACCAGTGCCATCCAACAGTTCTGCTAGTAGTTTGACAATTCCTCTCAATGCTCGTTGGTTTGGAGGGGCCATATGTTGGAAGCTGTCTTTGAAGTATCGCTCAAAATCGACAGGGAATAAACTCTCGGCTTTGGTTTGAATGGTCTGGAACTGAGTTGCTGTCATCACTGCACCAATGCCTTCTTTCCAAGCAACATTGAGGAACTTCTCGAAAGCAGCAAAGAGGACATCAATGGATGACTGAGCTGCTATCACCATCATGTTCGGATCCTCAAGCAATGAGTTGTATAGTTCGTTGACAGAGAGCTCGTTTGCACGCGATCTGCCTTGCACAACCTTACCAACAATGTTGCCTTTACGAGCAAGCAGCGCCAAGAGATAGGTATTCAGCGCATCCTCGAGTCTTTTNGAAGGACTTGTTACGCTATTGTTTCTCTCAGGAGTCACAGAGATCTGTAGAGGTTGGTCGCGCGAAGACGGCCGACTTCCATCTCTACTGCTTGGTAGAAGTAGAGGGGCGTCGGAGAAGGCATTAGGTTGAGGAAGCTTTCGCGAAGTTGGAGTTTGACGTCCATGTGCCGATTGAGAAAGGAAGTTGGAAATCATCTTGACAGGAGATTTGGGCCGATGATGTTCGTGGCTAGATGACGGCTCCGGTACGACCGATACCTCGGCCTCCTTCTTNTCGAATTCCAAATGCAAGTCATCCAAGACTTGTTGGTTGCGAAGGACAAATGAAGAAGTGATGGCAGAGTTCTTGCTCGAGAATCGAGACGTCAGTAGCCCACTCAGTCGACGTATGAGTATAGAGAGGAATTCTCCTTCGTCGACCTTATCGCGTGTTGCCATGGAGAAAGCGCTTTCGATGGATATACGCCACTGCCCCTTCTCCGACTTCTCCAAGGAGACGTTCGCCTCAAGTTGATTTTCTCCGACAGGTGTGAGATGTTCATGCTTGCTGGGGTCAATAATCACACGGATCCGTGCTGATTCGGCTGGGTTCTCCTGGTGATGCCGTTGACAACCTTCAAAGATGGCATTGAACAGATTCAGCTCTCCGCCAGAGATTTGAGCACTGCGGACTTCCCACTTCCCACTCTCGCGTTCTTCTTCAGTGAACCGGCCTTCAACCTGGGCTTTGGTCCACTCTTCTTGAAACTTGGATGCTTTTCCAGAGTACGACCCTTCAAGCAGATATACACGCTGCTCACATGCAATTCCAGGATCAGGGCCAGGCGACAAGGGCATGATGGTGATCGCACGATTGTCCAGATACTCTGTCACAGTGGTGTCTTGCAAGCTGAAAGAATCAACGAAATACAGCGATGGTGGAGTGACCGGACGAGTCGAGTCACGGCGATCTTCGAGCAATGGTTTACCCAGTTCTGACAATAGCGCACGCGCAGACATGGCCATGTGGCTTCGCTTTTCCACAAATATGGTACAGTCGGTGAACAACATGAGAACTCCCGAGCTTCCACGACTGGGGCCGTCACCAAACGGAGGAAACATTTCCACCACATCCACTATGGTGATCAATCGGCCCACAGACTCAATCTCTTCTGGCCATGACTTGACGACACGTTGCAAACGCTCCCATATGTTCGTTTCTTGAGCACCTGGTGCGTCCTGCGAGCAGATCTCCGAGACTATATCGCGAGCCTTGAGCAACAGCTTGAGCGCAGGATGAGCCACCGGAAGCTGCTTTGCGATGCTATCGATATACAAAGTGTAGCGTGGCAGTCGTTGCACTGGCTCAATCAGCAGAGAGTTTAGACGCTTCTCTCCGAACTCTTGGATCTTGTCAAGAATGCTTGCATCTCCGATACGTGCCAATCTCCTCATCAGTCGTGGAAACCTTGAGTGGGCTTGCATGTAAGAGGGATAACACTCGGCAAACTTCGGAAACCATTCAACTAAACACTTTGCGAAGTCTGTTAGACCAATCGTGTCTGATATGGGCTCATCGTTGGAGGTTTCCTCGGCAGTGTCTGTCAGATCCAAGATGGTCGAATCTTCAGTTTCGTCCAGAACGCGGCGAATGGCCTCAAGGAAGGCCGAGTTCAGCTCGAGCATCTTGTCAAGAAAGGGAGGAAACAGATCGTTAATCGTGCGCTCCATAGGGTTTGAGACGGGTATAGCGTCATTATGAACGATTTGTCGCAAATCGGAAGCGATGTCAGTCACCAGTATGGAAAGCTTGTTGATGTAGTTGGACTCGGTGTCGACTAGCTCACTCATCTCCTTCCTGGCCACATCGCGCTGGTCTCTGAGGAAAGCTTGACTACGGCCGATGGCGGTGGGCTTTGAAGGAGCTCTCCGTAGCTTGGAGGTTGGCAGAAATGCAGGTTCACCTAGCAGCTTGATGAAAGGAGCGTAATCTCCGTATCTACGAGCACATAGCTCGTCTTCGTCAATGTTCTCTTGTTCGGGCTCTTCATCTTCAATCTTGACAGGCTCGATGGATCCAGGAGGCAAAACAACGTCGAGATCCAGCCAGGATACGGTTTGTTCACCGAGAGAACGTTGGATGTCGTTGATGATCTCGTCAAGGTTATCGACCTTGTTCATACGGGTAGCCAGTATGGCGACGTGAGCGTCGCTGAACAGGGCAAAGGCAGAGGCGGCCTTCTTGGAGGGACATGCTTGGGCGACCCATGCGTCTCTTGAAGGCCTAGGGACTTCGGCGAAGTACTTGGACAGACCAAAGGCCAAACCACGACAGACCTCATCGCCCTGTTCTTCTCGCGGTAGCGAATTGACAGCAGCGTAGTAGGGAGCATTTGGCGAGATGCTGACACGAGGATAGGACTCGAAGCCGGCCGGGGTAAAGACGTGAACCTGGATGCGTGAGGTAGCGGCAGAGATGGAGGGCGCGGGACCGTAGAAGACGAGGATGGGCGAATTGGAGAGAAGTGGGTCGGTGGTGTGGAAGAGGGTTAGCTCGCCGGTGAGGGCGGCTATGGCCGGAGTAACAACGACCATTGGGAGGATGTCAGACAGTTGAGAGGAAGTTGCGGTATAAGCTCATGGCCGGTTGTCGGAGAGTAAACAAAGCGGACGAGGACCAGCCTTCGCCTCGGCCGTGTGGGAGAGCGAGCGAGGACAACGAACGTGCGGACAACAGACCAGAAACCGAAAACAACAAGAAGGCGACGCGAGGGGGCGTGGTATACGGAGACTAGGACAGCAATTGGGTCACACACCGTTTGTTGTTGCAACCGTCGGCTCTGATATTGATCTCTCGGCCCGCTCTGCCGACGAACTAGTTTGAGAGCTTCCCTGGTTCACCTCTGCCGCCCGCGCTTTTGTTTGTGGGGAAAGGCAGTCGCGATCCGCGTGGAAGCTGTTGCTGGTCGGAGAGAGAAAGAGCAAAGTCGGCGCAACCAACCATGTCGTCGCAGTCGACCTCGGCCACTCTCTTCTCAATTGCCGCAGACCTCCAACCGTGTCGCCTGCTAGAACTCCCTCCAGACCTTCTCGAATACATCACCACCTCTGATACTCCCACCCTGAGCTTCAAAGCCAAAGACGCGACAGATCCTGAAGCCTTCTTGACCACAAGAGAGAAGACCTACCTCTTACGCCAGGTCCACACCTCCAACACCGTCTACATCACATCTCCTACCTACAATGCCCAAGGTACTACCGCCATCTCACAATGCCGCTCAGCCCTCGAGTGTCTGCCCGCGCCCGTCCGTCATGCCGAATCCACTCTTCGCTCCCTCTTGATACCGTTCGGCGAGCCACAAGACATAGATGTCCGCTCCTCCGATCCGCACTCTAAAGATTACGTTTTTGCGCATACTCCAATGAGCCACGACGAGTGCCAGACCGTCTGGAAAGATCTGGTCGCCTTTGAGCATTCTGGCCAAAGCTTCCGTCCTACTGCCGTTGCCCTTGCAAGAGTCTGGAAATGGTTGTTGGAGATAGCATACGCGAATGCCGTTAACCTGGCAGAGCCTATAAAAAAAGAGGTTGTTGACAAGATGCTTGATGGGGAAGACGAGTGGCCAAGGAATTTGGTCGATGCCATCTTCTCGAAACTGTCGGAGAACGATCAAAGCTTGCTGCAACTTCAGCAGCATGCCACCGTGAAATGGGTGGGCTCCAACACACTGGAATCGTATCGTCAGAACAACACGCAGTCGATCGTGAACACGTCGGTATTTATGGATGCCTGGAAAGACGCCCTTCCCGGGACATGGCGAACCGAGGCAAATCTGGAGATGCTCAAGGCAAGTCTATAAGACTGTAACGAGAGGACATGACTAACTTCCGAATAGGGCTTATACAAGCTATCAGGAGGCGGAAAGCGCATTGAACTCGTCCACAACAAAAGTGCGCACATCGAAGAAGCCACTGCTGGAGCGTCCAAACCATCGGCAACCACAACTGCTGGGAAGAGAAAATGGCACGAGAAGTTCGCTGCAGCGAGAAAGCAGGGCAAGTCATCCTGAACAAAAAGAGAAGTCTACGTGATATTCTTCGCAGAAAATTATGTTCTCTATATGGGTATCCTCGCCATTTCGGCTGGCGTCCAATACCGCCTCATGTTCTCCGCTCGAAGCTCATGCACCTCGTCGTCAAGATGTTGCCATAGGACCTTGCCAAATGTGTCCAGGATTGCCTTCATCTCCTCCATGCGCAGCTCTTTCTCTCCACTTCGACATTGACCGAGATACTCCTCAAATTTGTCGAGTCCTTCATGGATCTGTTTGTGCTGCGTGAGTAATTCGAGCTCTTTTTTAAAGGCTGGCATCTTGCGGGCAAGGACTGGAAAGATGTGGCGCTCCTCGATGGTATGGTGGATGGTCAAATGGTGGCAGAAGTCGTCGCCTACGCCGATGAACTGACGGATCGACATGCCAGCCGGTCGCTTCTTGCTTTCGCACGCTCCGTACAACAGATTCCACGTCCTACGGAAATTCTCGTGNCTTCGCGATGTCAGCTCAGGTCGAGTAGATGTGGAGTGTTTTGTTAGGCAGATACGTACGAACATGTCCATGTGCTCTGCCATCCTGTTGTATATTCTGAACTCCTGTGGCGACAACTTGGGCAATTCTTGTTCCTCTTGCTTGGGTGCAGCAGCACCCGTAGGCTCAGAGGCCTTGGGAATCTGCTCCTCCATCTTCTCGAATGGCTTCTCCATGTTGCTAAACAATCTGATGCTTGTTGTGAATGTGCGAGAGTTGCGATTGACAGTACGAGGTATGCTGTAGAACGAAAACAGCGACTTGGTAAAAGCCTTGCGCATAAGGGTCTAGGAGGAGAAAATATATCGAGAATAGTCTTGATACAAAATATATCGCGACTCGGGTTGGGTTTGGTCGAACTGCCGGACGGAGCGCGCCTTCTCATACCTTCTCGGACCCCGATATTACCAATTCTGGGGATTCAATAGGCACTAATGTTTGTTAATTAGTCAGATTTGATGCGGAGCGGAAGCGGCAAAGTTAGTTAAAGCATCGCGGCTTGTACACGCATAACGCGACGGAATTTTTACAATACTGCTTCCCCTTGATGTATCTCGCACGACAAAAGAAAGTGACTTGTGCTCTTGTTGGTTTGTAGTTGTAGCTGCTAGTCTCTTGGAAAGTACTCTGAGAATCAAACAGTTGCATGGTTGCTACAAGATTGGCTTTTTGCTAGCCACTCAAGCTTGTACTTACTCCAACGTCCGATCCTCCAAGCGTTGACGTGTTTTAAGAAGTGAACACAACCTGACTGGCCCTCTGACTCTAGGAGCCAGCTTGTATATTATTTCGCAGCCAAAGAGAAAGGTTCGAATAATTGACCAGTTCTCACACGGTTGCCGCGGCATCCATACTTGTTTTGATGGTCGTCACTGCGCAAGCTTTCAACTGCACCTATTCAATCAGAAACAATCCGTTACTGATGGCATGAGCTCATAGCAACCTTTCTCACCCTTTGACTCATTTTTCCTCATCTAAAACTAGTCGGCGATATCAGTCCTGTCTGGAAGAAGAGTCTCTGCATCTCCATGGCATCATAAACAAGCACGGCTTCACTTTGAGCTTCGATTCAACCATCAACTTTTTCACCAAAAAGCTGGGTTCACTAATTTCGGTTGACACATATCACTTTCAAAGCCATGGCGAACCAGTCGCTTCTACCACAGAGTCCTTTGAGCTCCAGCACTTGACCGCCAGCACCTAAGAGGTTGTCGGCGTCTGGTCTCCTTTCGCTGTTCAAACCAAGACAAAGACCCCTCTCAGCGCCATTGAGTCCTTATCAACCTATGGATCAGGGATCTCCATTGAAGAACACAATGGCTGGAGATACTGCCACGGAATCTTCGAGCGCGACTGACGCTCCCACGGAAGCTCACCTTGACTTTAAGAATGTCCATGTTGTCAATGACGACGATGAAGACATGCTCTCTAACATCGATGTTGCGAGTCCCGTCAAGCTGAGTTCAGCCAAAGTCAACCCCATCACTCCGAGCAGAACATTGCCTCCTCGAGCTGCCCGGTCTAAAGTCGGATTCAACTATTCACCACGCTCAAAGACTCCCAAGACCCAATCTCCAAAGACAAAAACACCAAAGTCCAAATCTAAGAGGCAACAAATCGCTGAGGACCGCGTTTTGGATTCTGACATGATCGTTGAGGAGGCTACACCAAAGGCTAGAGCTACGGCACCACGCATCGTCAAGGCTGATACTGTGCGTAACCGAATCCGCGAGGAGATCGCTACCACGACGAAGGCAAAACGTGATGCTTTCCTCATTCACCACAAAGACTATTTCTTACCGCTGCTTCCTCCTAACAACTACATCTCCAAACTTCTTCAAGCCGACAACGAGCATCAAGCTTACGTTCCATACACCCCACTGAGTAAGCAACCTACCGATGTCATCGCTACAATGAAGCCGTATCAACTTACTGGCCTTTCTTTTCTGGCGAACATGTACGAGAACGCAATGCCTGCAATTCTGGGTGATGAGATGGGTCTTGGAAAGACGCTGCAAACACTGTCTTTGATACAACACATTGAGGAGACACACCCCAGCCCAGTCGGAGTTGCTCGCNCCTTTTTGGTTGTTTGTCCACTCAGTGTCTTGGGCTCATGGTGCGATGAGGCTCGAAAGTGGACTCCAAAGCTCAAGGTGCTCCGCTTCCACGGTTCAACTTCTGAGCGCAATGAAGTGAAGTTGATGGCTTCTGGAGTAACAGACAGATATGGAAACGCCACCGGACGCAACAAAACCAAGCGAGGTGATGTTTCCGTGCCCGAGAACAAGGATTCTGGGTCTGTCTTCGATGTCATGGTCACCAACTACGAGACTTTCCAATCAGAGAGCTCGTGGCTGAAGCAAGCTTTCGTATGGCGCTATTGTATCTTGGACGAAGGGCACAAGATCAAAAACGACAAGACAAACATCTCCCTCGCTTTGCAAGGCCTACAAGCCGAACATCGTTTGCTGTTGACCGGAACACCGTTGCAAAATGACCTACGTGAGATGTGGGCCTTGCTTCACTGGCTGTATCCGAACGTGTTCGTCGACAAAACCGCAGATCTATTCAAAGAAGCATTCGATATCGGCCGCGGTCAAGTTGACTCGACCTTCATGGATCATGCACGTCATCTGCTTGAACTTATCATGATTCGAAGAATGAAAAGCAGTCCTGGTGTCGACCTGGGACTTCCTCCCAAGAGTGAGATCTTACTCTATATTCCTCTGACGCCGCTTCAACGATTCTGGTACACCAGACTGCTCACAAAAGCTGGCGACACTCTTCTAGATGACATCTTCGGCAATGTGAAGGAGAAAGAACACGAAGCACTGATCAAAGAGGTCGAAGAGGATGTACAACTCGATCAGGTCGAAGGTGTGATCGACAACGACTTCAATAGCCAAAGCCGCGCTCTTATCGAGCAAGCTATCTCGAACGAGGCGACTGGTGAAAAGGACACATCCGCATACAAGAAGCTGATGAACATAGTCATGCAGTTGCGCAAGACTTGTGTGACTCCTTACATGATCAGGGGTGCCGCGCCAGACCCATACTACTACGGGGATCACATCATGCATGCCTCTGGAAAATTCATCGTCTTGAACAAGATCATCGATGAGCTCGTCGTGAAACAAGGGAAGAAGATACTCATATTCTCGGGTTTCACTACAGCTCTCGACTACTGTGAGGACCTCCTCGCCACAAAAGGCAGTAATCAACACAATGCACCGTTTCGCCATGTGCGCTTTGACGGCAGCACCCAACGAGCAGTTCGCAACCTGCAAATCAGACTTTTCAACGACATGTCTTCAGAATACAGGATCATGCTCATCTCTACCCGTGCAGGCGGACTGGGTCTCAATCTGACTGCCGCAAGCGATGTAATCTTCCTCGACGAAGACTGGAACCCACAAGTCACACTGCAAGCAGAAGCTCGTTCTCACCGTATCGGACAGACCCAACCTGTTACGATCTATAAGTTGTTGAGCTCTGGCACTGTGGAAGAGCAGATGATGGGCCGCATCCGAAAGAAACTGTATCTCTCTGCAAAAATTACTGAGTCCATGCAAGACGTCCATTCTACCAATCAACCACAGAAGAGAAAGAGAACTGCCAAGCAGGAGGACAACTCGGCAGACGATGGTCCAGAGCTTGGTTTCTCCCAGCTAAAGAGCTTGATTCGTCGTGGCGCTACCACACTGAGTCACCCCGAAGTTGATGTCAATGAAATGGTTACCTGGAATCTCGAAACAATCATCGAAAAGTGCAAGGACAAACCCGTCGACCCTCACGTGAACGGCGAATCAGAGGATGCTACCGAGAAAGAATGGTTGGCCAAGATGGAGCGTGTTGAGAGCGCTGTATTCAACGGTGTCAAGTACCAGAAGAGCGTCGACAAGACGGCCGCGGCTGCTCCCGAACTTTCGCGCGCAGACCGCCGTGTAGACAAGAACACAACAGTCATGGTGGATGGCTTCGCTATCAACAAGGAGAGCATGAACTGTAATGGATGGGAGGCAGTTCCAACACTCGCTGGCAAAGACCCTCGACTTGCTGATCCCAAGCGTGAGAAGGCAGCCCCGATCAATCACCAGGAGATTTGTCAATCTTGCTTTGATGGCGGAGAGATGTATCTCTGCTCAGGCTGTCCTCGCGCTTACCATCTGGCTTGCTTGAGCGACAAATACAAAGTCAAAGCCACATCAAAGATGAACTTCCACTGTCCACAGCATGACTGCCACGATTGTGAAAAGAGTACTGGCAATGCTGGTGGCTTGATTTACCGCTGTCGCTGGTGCCACAAGGGCTTTTGCGAGGATTGCCTTGACCCCGACTCCAAGCTTCTGGGCGAGACCATTCCGGAGTATGAGGTGTTGGACTATGCACCCAAGCGCAATGCCTGGTACATCCGTTGTACCGAGTGCCAGGCATCGCAAGAAGACCCCGAGTTTGGAAAGCTCATTGCCAGCATGTCTGAGCAGCACGACAAGNAGTATGCTGAGCTCCTTCAAGCTCAGAACGACAACATGGCCCAAAATGCCCAGCAAGGTGCTTCTGAAGTTTCCATGCCACCCAGCCGTGACGAGTCCATGACCGATGGAATCATCACGCTCGAATCGTCCGGCCAAGCCACGCCTCTCGAACCCGTTAGGCAGGCTAAGCGTCCTAGACAAGTCATCATCAACCTTGAAGACGACGAGAGCGACGGTGTAGTCGATCTGACCAGCGAAGGAGAAGCAGCTTTCAAGTTTCTTCCTGCTATCACTATTGATGACGATCTCGAAATCTCAAGTGGAGCACCCATGTACCAAACCCACCAATCGAAGGCGAAGAAGCGCAGAACTCATTAGATATGGGATGGACTACCTGCAGAGTGTGATAAACATAGAGGTGGAAAGCGACACATGAAGATCATGGCCTATCATGCATGATAGGAGGCGTAGTAAGGTTTCATTTCTGTGATTTTTACTTCGTGTACTCGTATGCGCGTTGACATTGTCCAACATTCGATCATGCACAGATAGACGGAAATCGAAAAGTACCAATGTGTTTCTTACCAACAGCAATCCTCGAGTCGCGTGCATTCAGATTGGAAGAGTGCAAAAAAGACAGCTGATCCGTGACAAAGGTATGATCCGGCGATTCAATGATCAAGGAAGCAGCGATGGAGCAGCAAAAGGAGTGAGTCCAGAGTCAGATCAGGAGGGAAGGAATAATGACACGAGCAAGGAAACTGCGATCATGGTTGGTTGTAGACAAGATTTTTTATGATGCAAGCGAGTGTGTTTTCTGTCCACAGCCAATCCTCCTTTCTCCTTTTCTTTCGAATGTTATCCCTTTTGTCCAAAAAGACGTCTACTAACTTCACCTTATTACTTCTTCTCTGACTTCTATGTACGCTTCCCTCGTTTCTGATCTCAAATCTTCATCTCTGCGGGGGTCGAGCGACCACGACTGGGTGTCATGCTGTAAGGTGCNCTACACCAAGCGGTTAGCCTTGTCGCAATGGCTGCAGGAAGAAGTTTACTCACAAGCACTTTCTTCGCATTGCAGATTCTCCAAGCCAGGTTTTGTACACTGCCGTCAGCCAAGACGACTTCGGGTGCAAACTCGATACCGAACCTGTCATTTCACGTCAGCAACTACTCTCCAACCAAGGTCAGATTACGAAGTACTCACATCTGATGAATAGCAAAGACGACGCGTCTGGCATATCTGCCTTCTCTNTCCAATCCATCGCCAAACATATCGTCAACGGTGCGCGGCGCGACTTCTGGATCGCGGTCGAAGCAGTTTTGTACAACAGGAAGTAGAGCTTGCTCGACGGCCGAACGTGCCAGGTTGATGTTATCAAACTGAACATCGTCTTCGTCGAATCTGCCAATGCGGATCTCGAAAGGCAGAGAAGTGGCCATCACGTTATGCTTGCCATCATGGTGGTAGCGGAATTCGAAAACACCGTGTGTCCACCACAGCTTATCGCCTGAGAACTCCATCTCACCAGTCGCATACTGCTTGCCGTCTTTGGTAACCTGGTGAGATGAAACAAGGATGCCAGTCTCGGCAGTCACAGAGTCGTAGACGCCTTTAGTGGTAGCAACCCAACGACCTTGAGATCCAACACGGGTGACATCGCGCGACGAGTTGTCTGCAACCATGTAAAGTCCGATCCAATCGTTCTTGCGATGGTTTACGGGAGCTTGCCAACGGACCTTGATGGGAGCACCGTACTCGAAAGTGAGAGTCTTGTACTGATCGACACGCTGCTGAGGAACCTGGCCAATCTCTCCTTCACGCCCACTATAGCGTTCGAATTCAGATGTGCCGGAGGATGGAGTGCCTTCAATCTCGAGAGAATAGTCTTTGGGATCGAAACCAGCAAGATCGGGTGCGAGGCGTGTTATACTGATGCGGGCTGGGTAGTTCTTGAAAAGGGTGCGTGTGTCTCTGACAAAGGTATCCATACCAGACGCAAGTTTGGGTCTTGCAGAGTCGATGAAGTCCTCGAGGAAGTCCATCGAATCTTCCAACACCCGATCAACACTACCTTGCCAGTGCTTTAGTGGCGACGGTAGAGAACGCTTGAGACTTTTAGATAGCCCAGAGTCCTGGCGCAGCGATCGACCATAGAGCTTCTCCATATGCGGACGTTCGACAAACTGGATGAAGACCAGAGTGAGAAGATGGCTCAGCAAAGCGAGGAAGAAGATTGTCTTGCTCCATGTGATTAACGCAACACCCCAAAGACCAGCCAGTCCAAGCACTCGCTCAGGGTTGTTGAGAAATCTGTAGATGCCGCCATAGGTAAGTTTGGATGCATGATCGAAGAAGAAGTCGCCAAAGAACCATCCAAACTCGCCAAGCGATTCGTAGATACTGAAGCTGGTCCAGATCTGGAGAGAAATCATTGCCATACCGAGTACGTGGCGAAGCAGAGCTAGACCATATGTCCAGTCAGGGNNAGGCAAGTTGTACATTTTCAGGGCTGCGCAGAGGAAGCTTGCGGTGCACATGCTCATACTCAAATGATAGAGTCCCTTCCACTGTCTCCAAGCTTCTTCAGTGCTCTCGCCATACTTGACAAAGTGGCGAGCCCACTTCTTCTTGTTCGACTGGCGGTCAAGGATATAGCCTATACCGAGTGAATACCACAGCCGCCAAGCCACTGCATTGACAACGAAGGCAGTCTGCCACAGAGGAGTCGACGGGGTCAGGAAGGCGACACTAAACAAGTAAGATTGCATAAGCAAGACGGATACGTCTGTAATACGATGGAGATCCATGTTGTGTAAGCCAAGAATGTTGTGAACTGAAGAAGGCTTCTCGGTTGTCGCTATGGGTGGGTAGCCGTTGACATGGCCAGATTCAGAGGTGGCGCTTTTGGGAGGTTCTCTGTCGCTCTCGGATTCTCTTCTTTTCTTTGGCGTAGGCGGGTTGTACGTTTTCTCGATGTGCGGGTTCTCAACAATGGTCAAAAATGCAAACTGAGCAGCATGTGCAATGATGGAGATGAAGAGCACCTTGTAGCTGGCGGCCATCAAGGAAATGCCGTAGAAGCCGACATAGCCAACAGAGTACATGGGATGAGGAGCCATCTCGAAGACGCCATCGAAGGTGAGTTCTTGATCGATGAGGTAGAAGAAGTCACCCCAATACCAGGCATAGTCTTTGACGACTCTATGGGCATCGAGCTTGACCCAGAGGTTGAAAGCGACGAGGGCCAAGCCACACAGCCAGCGTGCAAGAGTCATTGCAACATTCTCACCATCAGGACGGCCGCCGCAAGCGATGGCAAAGCAACAGTAAGCGACAAAGTCGGACATTAGGATCAGGTCAACGACTCTTCTGAAAACCAACCATGTGTTGTATTCAAGTGGAGCCTCTTCGAATTTGTAGTCGCGAGCGATTTTTGTTTCCATTTCACGTTTGAGTTGATTGTAGAGCCACGGACGCGGGTTCTTGCCTGACTTTGGATCTGTGAAGACATTGTACTTGCGAGCCCATGAGGTGAGGCGCTTGTGGTTGGACTGTATGTTGAGTAGCCATCCAATGCCGGCATTGTAGGCGGCACGCCAGAAAAGGAAGATGATTGCGAGTATAGGGATACGAACTGGTTCTGGGAGGAAGTAAAGTAAGGCAACATGGCATGCGAGTACAGCCAAGATGATAATGTCGGACACATTCTTTGGTTGAGTTGGGGAGAGAAGTTGTGAGACCATATCATGTGTCTGCGGCACCACAAATACTGTCGTGCCATAGTATCAGCCACTCCATGCTTGTCATTCTCACAACTCACAACAACATCACGTACCTTTACCCTCTGGTGTTCTGCCATAAGTGCGCTTCTTGGTGTCGTCTTTGTCGGCTTCTTCTTCATTGAGCGATCTGACAGTTTTNTGAGCATCCTCGGTTGATGTCGCGTCAGTTGGCTTCTCGGGTCGGGGCATCCTCTCGCGAAGATCCCCCTTGCTGGCCGTCATGCCGCTTGGACTCATACTCGAACTCTGTTTTCCTGTTGCGTACAAACAAGAAGAAGAAGAAGGTCGAAGAGGGATGGCCGGCTAAAACAATTGAAGAGAACGACGTGGTCAAAGTGGCATCTCGGGAAATTGGTGGGGCATGAGAAGCTGCGACCCGCTGCGGAGCCACAGGTCCGACGAGATGGAAAGACCCTGTTTGTTCAGGTCTCATTTATTGATCACCTTGAGCGACAGCTGCGAGTACAAAGACTATTAAATGCGGACTCGGCAGTTGCGCCTCAGCGCAGACGCATTCTCCGACCATGCTAGAAGACAAGTGCTGTTTGTATTATAACAGGTGCTCTAGGCTGCCGTCCAACGTCATTGCGAACGGGTATCTCATTCAGGAACCAGTGGGGTCAGTGGTTGCTGCAAGGAACACGCAAGATTGTTCGAAACCTCGACTGCAGAAGTATGTAGTCAGGTTGATCAAAGAGAATTCCACTCGATAGCCCTGCTTCTATGTGTTCGATTCAGGGAAGCATAAGGATTGTTGTGTAGATTTTGTACGGGCCGAGTTGCTGCAGTTTGAGCCCTATCGCATACTAGCTAACACCTTGGCGGCACCATACTATGGAGCAAGCAAACTTGTGCCAGCCAGAAGATACCTATTGACCTCAGCGACGGCACCTATGTGGCTGTTGTCGCTTGATTGGCTTGCTTTCCAGCGGGACATGCTCTAGAATATCGATAGAAGGGACAGGGTGGTATGGCATACCACGACCCCAGTCCTCGGCCATGCAAACTCCGATGAGTAGCGGCAGAACCAAGGCGGTGAACCTCAAAAATATCCCGTATGCTTTCTTCGACCAGCGATCGGCTTTACACAACTAGATTTTTGATACACAACTACCGTCAAGATGGCCGCAGCGAGTGACAAGGCCCGCTTCTACATGGAACAGTCGGTTCCCGAACTCCAGGAATACGAACGCAAAAAGATCTTTACGCGCGAAGAAATCACATCGATAGCCCGCAAGCGCTCTGAATTCGAACACCTTCTCAACACACCTGGCGCTGCCACAGCTGCCGACTACGCTCGCTATGCCCTATACGAAATGAATCTGGACTCGTTGAGGAAAAAGCGCTCGAAGCGCATGGGTGTCAAGGCCACAGCCTTTGCTGGTCAAAAGAAGATTTTCTTTGTCTTGGAAAGAGGCGTGCGGAGGTTCCAGGGAGACATGGGCTTGTGGATGCAGTACCTCGAGTTCTGCCGTAAAGAGGCAGCAAACAAGAAGTTGGCAAAGGCCTTGACACAGTGCTTGAGAATGCACCCCATTAAATGGGACATCTGGACCTGGGCCGCCAAATACTATTTCGAGCAGCAGGCCGATATGCAAACCGCACGCAGCTATATGCAAAGAGGTCTCAGATTCTGCAAGAGGGAGAGAAAGCTATGGTTGGAGTACGCCAAACTGGAGATGCTCTACGTCGCAAAGATTGCCGCGCGACGAAAGATTCTAGGCCTGGATATTGAGAGAAAAGAAAAACAGATCGATTCAACATTAGACGCGGATGCCGACATGATGGCACTGCCCGATGTAACCGCCGATGAGATCAAGCCTGAAGGAGCACCCGAACCGAAACAAGCAGTCGACGAGGAATCACTCAAGAAACTGGCCGCCTCACCTGCTCTGAATGGTGATATTCCTCGTATCATCTTTGAGACCGCTATGCGCGACTTCAATGACCCCTTCCTCGCCGAACAATTCTTCGACGTCTTCGCTAGCTTCACAGACGTTCCCTGCACAAGCAAATTGCTACAACATATCATCGAGTACCTCTCCAATCAAGAGACTGCCGCCAGCAAGATCAGCATGCACATTTGCCTCGCCAAGCTCGAACTTCTGGACACAAACACCCAGGAAGCAATCGAGTCCGCCGAGTTCCCTCTCAAGCTTGCCAAGGCCCTCTCTGTACTCAAGAAGGGTATGGGCGAGTCACCCAAGCACAATGCCGATATGGCTGAGAAGGTTGTCGCGCTGTTGCTGTCCTACACCAAGTTTGAGCTTGACGAAGATATCGAGATGGTTCTTAGAAGCGCTCTTGCACAGTACATTCGTATACTGAACCAAGGCAGCTTTGATCGCGTCAAGACTGTCGTCAAAAGACAACTCAAGGATGGTAACGAGGCAGAGGCCAATCTTCTGATCGAGATAGCTGGCAGGACCAACCCGATCCAGAAGGCCCAGCTCGAGGCTCTGATCAGCTCATGAGTTCGATTCGAGACGATGATGCTATACCATAATGGTCAAGCAGGAATCAGCGCTATATCTTCCATCATAGGAGGGCAAACAAGCCACGAATGTCAGGCAGAAAACAATGGCCTAATGATGCTGACTCTGGACAACTTGATCGTCTGCATTATTGCCATTTCACCATTGGAGGCTATCATTTTCAGAGTGCCAAGCAGCTTCACAATCTTAAGCTGCACTCTCATCAATTCTGCCAGGAGCACGTCGATCGAAGCTGATGGTGCTGGTACGGGAACAACGCTTCGAGCTCGAGGCAAGGATACAGAGACGGAGAAGGATACCATGGAGGAGAAGCACAATGGCTCAGCGGGGTCGTGCAATCTGCAAGAACTGCTATTGCCTTACCGTACATCATGCAGACGAGATTACAGAGTCATGTCACCGAGTATGAAGTGCTACAATGATGAAAAAGTCGTGCGCATTGGATTTGTCCCACTATATCTCACTATCGCATGTGATGTTATGCTGCTCTGCCAGAGCGCCGTTCTCCTTTCGTGTGTTTGAAGCCTCTCCTCATATCTTCCGCAACATTCTGCGCTTACGAGATTTCATTACGGCCCATAGCTTGTCAATCTCCTGGCCTCTATTTGAGAACTGTGTTTGTGGTGGACGTAAAGCTAGCCTCCGTATCTCGTTCGTACTGCTTGTGATGGAGTTTGGTGATCGTCTAGTCGTCGAGAACAAACAACGACGTTGGCCTGGTTCTCTGCTTCTTGTTTGGGGGCTCCTGAGTCGGTGGTGGAGCTGGTACGTATGTGTTCTTGGCCAGTGACGAGCAAGGTTGTGCTTGGTGGTCATGCATGTGGACACGTTGGCAAAAATACGCTCTATCCAAGTGAACGCTGCCGGGCATTCTGGTTTGAGGAATCTGACGCTCGTGGATTGCCTTGTAGGCCTTGACGATCTGTGCCAGGTACTCCGGATGCCAGCCATCGATGTTCTTCTCAAGTCGCCGACCGTAGCGCATTTCCTCTTCCGCTAGCAGACAGCGCAGTTCTCTGATTTCTTTTGATCTTGGCAAGTTGTAGATGCAATTGATGGCATTCAGAGTCGCAAGCCCGTTCTTGTCCATGTAGCTCAGAAGCATAGATATGCCGTCGTTCTGAAGCTCGACCATACCTCTNTTGTCAGCAAACACAATCAGCTCAGCGATATGTTGATCAAAGCTCTGTGGATCGTCGAGAGCGCCTTCGATATCTTGTGATTTGAGCTGTCCTTGGTAGAGCCATGCAATATAGGTTCGGAAGATTGCAGGGTCTTCATCCTCCAGATTGACGGTTTGAGTTTGACCCTCAATGAACTGGCTATTCAAAGCAGTTTTGAAGTAGGTAGAAGAGTTGCAAAGCAGAGCTTTTGGCACAGTAAACACGCCAGCATGTGGGCCTCGACCAACTTTGATCGTGGCAGGGCGGTCAGAGATTGAGTCTCTGATTATATGTCAGTACATTGACTCGTTGGTCTGGACACGGTCATAGCATACCTGAACGACATCTTGTTTTTGACTTGTCTGGCTTCGAAGTGCTAAATTATGTTTTGGTTGTTGGTTCGTGATTAGGAGGAAGTGTGGCCTTGATCCCAACTATATACGGAAACAGTGCCGGCCAAGTGTGGTGAAAGGAATAGCTGTGTCTGGCAGGAACAAGGTGAGAAGAGAGTATCGTTGGCTCACACTTAGTGATGGACTAACGGTACCGCCTTCAGTGTTCAGTATGACAGATCAGTTGCGTCAAGCAACCTCTGTGATAGTGGACGGTCTGAGTGACCCTGGAAACCGGAAGATGGGTGTCGGAAGATAGACAAGTCCTCGGAACAGACGTCAAAGTCAAGGCTCCCAGCAATCTTCGGAGTGTATGTTGAATGATACGTGAACTTGGGCCTGTTCACAGAACTGATCGCAAGGAAGTATCGATGAAGCAAGAGCGTGTTTGAGAAGGAGTCAGACCGTGCAAAAGCCTGTCACCAGCCTGTCACCAGCCTGTCGATTCAGAAAACAATCTGACAGCTACGAGCAAGAGCCCTCATGGAAGCTACGACATAGTCAAAAGGTGCAGTCGCGTAGAGCAAGATAAGCAAAAGGAAAGAGAAAATCATAAATTCATAAGGTCCATGAAAGCCACTGATCCGTCTTTGCCTTCCAAGGCAATAACTCGAAACTCCTGAAACTCCACGCCTTTGAGAATGCAAATTTTATTGACCGATGAAGATTCTGCCCTGTTGAGTGTCAGAGGCGTACGTTAGATGAGAGTCTAGNATGATACTCACGGCCATAACGACGCAGCAGACGCTGATGTATGGACTCAGACGCTCGCCGATACGTGCTGCTCTCCAGAATACAGATGTGAAACTTGATCGAGCATCAGCAAAAATTCAGTGAATCAAAGTGAGAGATTTCGAGTTACCCNNGTCCTTGTGCTTATCCATGATAGCAGGAAAGACACCATGTGTGTAAGAGCATGTGCAGATGAAGAGGAGGATGACCAGTAGCAGGGACTGGAAGTTGAAGAGGGCAGACTGGTCATATATCAGTATATCTTGTTCTTCATGACTTCCAAAGAGCTTCTCGCTTGGAACATACCATTTTGAATTATTGGTGACTCTGTCTGTCGCGTGTTATTTATCAAACTACTCCAGGAGGTTGCAAGCTGTATGGATGCAAGTGCCCTCGGCAACATCCGACCCTGCTGCTTTCCACCTTGAAGACAGACGTCAGTCGTGAATTGTGCTTCTGGCATATCATAGCTTGTTCCGCTCACATTCTGGTGAAGTGTGAATACAACCTTTCGCAACCGAGTCTTATCTGTGGTGGTACTGAAACTCGACACGCCAATACATTACCAATCACACGAGAGCCATACCGACTTCTACATCACTTCTCCACCGCGCATATCTCATTCAACTTCTGAGAGCAGCACGAACACAGCGCCGAACCTACCTTTACACCACAACCGGCAAAACACAAACCACTCTTACAATGGCTGAACCACGCATGCGCCTGCGACAAAGGGCCAACAGTTCTCCAACCCCGAACGTGTGTCTCTTCCATATGCACCTTCATCAATTCACTGCTAACAGCTTCACCACANNGTCGCTGGCCTCCTCGAAGCATTCGGCGACACCCAACCACTCCCAGCCACCCTCACAACTCTCGACGAAATAATTACAGACTTCATCATCGAAACCTGCCACAGCGCCGCCATCTGCGCATCCTACTCTCGCCGCCAAAAGATCAAAGTCGACGACTTCAAATGGGTTCTGCGCAGGGATGCAAAGAAACTGGGCAGAGTGACGGAAATCTTCTTCGCTGAGAAAATTCTCAAGGACAACAGAAAGGCTTTCGATATTGGTACCGGAGAAGGCTTGGTGCAAGGCAAGAAGGGTGCGGTCAAGGAACTAGGCGTCGAAGAGGAACTCGAGGAAGGTGGCAGGAAGAGAAAGAAGAGAAAGACAGAAGCTTAGAAGGCCAAGCAGTGAGGCGACCTCTGTGAGGCTGGTCGGGGATACGGCGCAAGGATGAGATGCTTATTGGTTTTGGATTGCTGGGTTTAGCGAGGAGTTCAACGGAGGATACAAGATTCATCTCGATACTTTCAAGACGAGGGCAGCAGAGGATGCTGCGACAACACAACATCACGATTATCACGAAATACACAGTATTTTTGCACGAAGCATCTACTTCGAACAATCTCGAAAACCAAAAGGTAACTTTTGATTCGTACATAACTGAGGTCTATAATTCGTCTACGAGCATCAATACCCTTTTTGCCTGTGGTATATTCAAACGCCTTCGAAGTTAATCATCATAAATGCCAATCTGTCAAACGCTGTCGTTTTTTCATGCTTAAGCGTGTGCGTACTTTTGGGCGTGTGCGGCAATAGCACGACCACTGGGGTCTGTCTGCTTGGACCATGTCGGTGTCCATCTCATGACAGTCGAGGCGCAGTAAGGAGGGAAGTGCTCGTCGAACATGCATCTGTACCAGTATGCCTCCTTGGTGTCGGGAATGTCGTCTCCCCACTCAGCCTTGGGGTTCTTCATGTCCTCGTCGCTCACGTGGAGCTCTGCGTTGTCCTTCAGTGCGTCGATCCAGCCGTAACCAACACCGTCACTGAACTGCTCTTTCTGTCTCCAGAGGATGTTGTCAGGCAGGTAGGGCTTCTCGCCGGGCTCGTCGGATGTGTCGAATGCCTTGCGGATGATGTACTTCTCGATGTGGTCCTTGTCGATCATCTTGGATTCCGGGTCGATGTTCATCGAGTACTCGAGGAACTCCTTGTCCAGGAAAGGCACTCTGGCCTCGAGACCCCAAGCCGAAGTCGACTTGTTGGCTCTCAGGCAGTCGGCCAAGTGCAGGTTGCGCACTCTGCGGACAGTCTCCTCGTGGAAGGCCTTCTTGTCAGGAGCGTTGTGGAAGTAGAGGTAACCGCCGAAGATCTCGTCACTGCCCTCTCCACTCAGAACCATCTTGATACCCATAGCCTTGATCTTTCTGCTGAGAAGGAACATAGGAGTCGAAGCACGGATAGTGGTAACGTCGTAAGTCTCGAGGTGGAAGATGACATCCGACAGGGCGTCAAGACCCTCCTGGATGGTGAAAGTAAGGTTGTGGTGCTTGGTGCCCAAGAACTTGGCAACCTCAAGAGCAGCCTTGCTGTCGGGAGCGCCGGGCAGACCGATAGAGAAGGAGTTGAGCTGAGACAGAACTGGGACAGTGTTGAGCTTGTAGTCCTCGTCAATTCCAGCCAGCTCCTCCTCGCCGTCTGCAAAGCCGTTCTGCGACTGTTGTGCGTTGTGTGCAGCCTGCAGTCTCAGAGTCTCTCTCTGTGCGATGGAAGCGACCAAACTGGAGTCCAGGCCACCAGATAGAAGAACACCGTAGGGAACCTCGGCCATCAGACGTTTTCTGACAGCTCTCTCGAACTTTGTTCTGAGGGTCTTGAGGTCGACGGGAGTAGTGGGAATGTTGGAGGGTTCAACCAGCCACTTGGGGGTGAAGTACTGGGTGATCTTGTCGGTCTTCGAGTCGTAGACGTGACCAGGAGGGAAAGCGATAATGTTGTCGCAGACAGGGTGCAGACACTTCAACTCAGAAGCGAAGTAAACAGCACCAGGGGTCTCGCTGGAACGGCCCATGTAGAAGGTGGTGACACCGATGGGGTCTCTGGCAGCAATGACTCTGTCCTGCTTCTTGTCGTGGAGGACCCATGAGAACATGCCATCGAGGAATTTGGGTGTGTCGATGCCGTGCTCCATGTANCTGCGGATCTGGTCAATTGACGTCCTACAATTTTTGTAAAGGCTTCGTACCAGAGGAATGATGACTTCACAGTCAGAGTGAGTCTTGAAGTCGTAAGGCTTGCTGAGATGCTTGCGCAAGACCTTGTGGTTGTAGATTTCACCGTTGACGGCGAGGGCAATGCTGCCATCCTCGTTGAGCAGGGGCTGAGCACCCGAGTCNTAGAGACACGTCTTAGCAGATGGTCGAGAGAAAGCATGGCGTGTTTCCTGGCTCCTTTACATACCAACACCGACAATACTCAAACGCTCATGAACCAAGATGGTGTTGTTGGAGGTGTGGTTACCACTCCAGTCGGGACCACGGTGGCGGATCTGCTTGCCCATGCGCAGGGCAGTGGGCTTGAACTTTTGCACATCGGGATGGCTGTTGAATTGTCAATCTCTGGAGAAACTGAGGGGCACGCGATCCGAGCTCTCTCGAGCAATTGAGACATACCTGTGGCAGGCAAAGATACCACACATCTTGAACAATGAATTGGGATGTGAAGGGGGGAAGAATGAAAGGGACAAAGTGTCAGAACCCAAGAGATGCACCGAAGTAATAGGTAAGCAACAATGCAGTCTGTCACCCTTTGACTCACCAGTTCTGGGCGTCTTCGATAAAATCGAGTGCCACCTGCGAGTCCCGCGCGACGCCAACACGGCAACCGTTTCGCCGACATCGCCCGCCGCCGCTTTGCCCCAGCTTTCCCCTGCCAAATCAATCTTGTTATGTAACAAGACTGTGCTACGGGTAATTGTCTTCACTAATATACACAGATAGGCCGCGTATAACCCTATGGTGCTCGAGCTCAGCTATCGCGAAAGACACCTTTGCAACAATAACGCCGATCATCCTCACAGCGTTGACTCAATTGGCTTCGTCATGTCACATGCGTCTTTCACATGTCATACCTAATCATTCAAATCTCAAAGACCAGGGTCGCCCTACATACCCATTCTCCGAACATCAATCTAGCTCTTATGAACTGACTATCTCTTGTGCTTCCGAATACCGTTCGTGCTAGCAAACATGTCTCAACCTCGAATTGCTCCTTAGGTGGTTGGCTGGGCAAACAGATCAGAGCACTTGCCCGTGATTCAGCACGACCCTTCTGAGGATGTATATCAAGAACAAATACCAACGACATTCTTTACCTAGCGGAAGCAACAATTCTTCAATATTGTGGATTCTTGATTATGTATCGTCTCTTTGCAAGCTATGCCGCTATTTGCCATTTCATGTCGACAGCCAGTCCCATTTGTCCCAAATGCTCCTTCTTGAACGCCTCGCCAAATCGTGCTGCATGAATTGTTGTGGAACCAGCTCATCTGACAACTAGGGCAGCGCTTGGAACAAGCCCAGCCTCCTTCAGTGTCTGACCAAAGTCTGAACTGTCATAGACCTTCTTTGGGAAGTTTTGCACAAACTCGGAAACTTGAACACCAGGTTCCTGGCTGAGTGCTTGAGCAACTTCGAAGAGTGTCGTCTCAACAGAGAAGGTCTTCTGAACTGTGCCAGCAGATGTCTGGAGTCGTAGTCTTGCTTCCGTGTAGTTTCCGGCAGTCTTGGGCAAGGTAGGCTTTGCGGCTGGTGTAGGATCGGCGGCAACAGCAGACTCGCCAGCGCGAGCGGCCTTCTCTCTTTCAGCCTTGAGGCGGCGCTCTTCCTTGTCTGCAGCAATCTTTGCCTGAATGCGCTTCTTAGCTTCGATGTCGGCTTGCTTCTCACGTCTCTTGGCCTCGGCTTCCTTGATCTGTTCCTTCTTGGCCAGATCCTCCTTGATGTCCTGTTGTTCCTTTGTGGCCTTGCGACGGATTTGATCATTGCGCTTCTTGTCTTCCTTGTCTTGCTCGGATTGGACGGCACGTTTGGCGGCGAGCTTCTCACGCAGTTCTGTGAGTCTTGCAGCTTTCTCTTCCTCGGTCAAAGGGGCGATCTCTTCGGTAGACTCTTCGAAGTTCTGGTGCTCNACTGAACGACAGAACGTTAGCGTGGATGTTGGTGGCAAGGAAGATGAGGCGGCATACGTCTTGTTGGCATGGAACTCGGCTTGAGCAGTCGAGCGGAACTTCTTGCCACAGTCTTTGCAGAGCAGACTTCTGGCTTGCTCGCCAGGCTGTAACGACAAGGGCGACTCTTCTTCGCCCTCGTCCTCTTTGAGGTCCTCGATGGATTTATCGGCATTGTTGCTGAGCCAGTCGACAGCAGCTCCCACTAGAAGATTGTAAGTAAGGTTGACAAAGACCAGGGCTGAGTGGTCAGGTGGTACGCACAGNTTGCCTGCCTTCTTCATGGCAAGGGTTGCCTTTTCGCGGTCGAAGCCCATGTCGACGAGGTTGTCGATATCTGAAGAAGACATGATGGCTGATGTGTGTGAGAGTAATTGTTGATGAGATGGAACGGTCGTCAGAGGATGTAAGGTCGAGTAGAAGGCAGCACTACTCGTTCATAGAATAGGTAGATGCACAAGTGTGGGGGAGTGAAAGTTGTCTCAGTGAAGCTTGAAGCACAAGCTCATGCAGCAGGTGCGTCAGTGTGCACGGTCTCCGTCCAGACTCCCTCCAGGAAATGCGCAGCGACGGCAGGCCGGGACGCGCTTGCACGTCGCTTCCGTCATTAATCCCAGTCCCTTCCTGGCAGTTCCTACGTGTCGCCGTATACCACCTGCGATTTCATCCCGTCTTCCTACAACTGAAGCTTTGCATTCTGCTCCCCCCTACTCGACTACCTCTCGTCATCCTCACCCATACTACGCGCCGCTCTCCTTCACCATGTCTGTCGAGCTGGACCCCGTCGAGCTCGGTTTCAAGCGTGCGTAGCCAAGTCTTGTTCATTACCAGTACTCCAGCTGACTCGTCGCTCGACAGGCCNCCTTTACCCACGAGGTTGCTCAAGTCTTGCGTCTGTACAACAAGAACTCCGACCCTGTCGCTTTCAAGGTACCGCCCTGCTAATCTGCTGCTCCTACATTTGTGCTAATCTCAGCCCCCTTCAGGNTCAAGACCACTGCTCCCAAACAGTCCGCCTCGCCGCCTCTGCTATACTTTCCTCGAAGCTAACTCTTCTTCAGATACTGTGTGAGACCAAACTCCGGCCGCATCGAACCTGGCCAGGATGTCGAAGTTCAAGGTATGCTGCGCACGTGGCCCTCTGCTGAAGATATAGCTGATTGACCATCACTAGTCTTGTTGCAGGCCATGAGAGAAGACCCTCCCCTTGACGCAAAATGTAGAGACAAGTTCCTCGTCCAATCTGTCGCCATCTCGGCCGACAAGGAATACCCTAACGTCTCCCAAATCGTATGCTCTATCGTTATCTCCCAAATGGCAACATGCAGCTGACATCCAGCTAGTNGGTCCCACATCGAGCAAACAGCAAAGTCATCGATCCAAGAGAAGAAGATTCGTGTTGTCTTCCTGCCTCCAGAGGGCGTCGCCCATTCCGATGCTGGCGGCCACATGGACGACTCGATCGCTACCTTTAACTCTGCTAACTTCAACTCTGTCTCACCCCAACCTCAGACTCCTCAACGAGGAGCCGATGTAGGAGCTGTGGGCGCCATCTCTCGTCCGGAAGAACGTCCCGTCGATAACAAGCACCTCGGAGATGCTGTCGAGTCAGCCAGAAACCCAGCCACCGATAGATACACCACCTATTCCGACTCCACGACCACTCAGAGTTTCATGAACTCTATTCCCACCTCTGCCGACGATGTGAAAGCCAAGCTCGCAGAGGCTCAAGCCACCATTGCACGAATGAGCCAGGAAAGAGACGAACAAGGATTGCGCCAGAGAAAGACCGATGCAGTCAACCAGGATTCCAAGGAGAGAATCTCTGCTGGCACGACTGGCTTGGGCGTGCAGAAGGCTCCTGCTGGCGGTGTTCCTGTTCAGATTGTTGCCGGACTCTGCCTTCTGTGTTTCTTGATCGCCTACTTCTTCTTCTAGGCGTGATAAAGAGATCGGCCGTATCAGAACACGTACAGCATGCACCCGTAGGCGACGCGACCTCGGGTCGCATTACTACCAGATGGCCACACCGACTCCAGAACTGCATGCGCTTGGTTGCGGAGGTGGTCTCCATACTGTCCCAAAAGGACCTCATTAATGCTTGTAACTGAGTGATGATTCTACTTCTATAGGAGAAAAGCGCAAAATGGAGAGTTTGATTTTCTTCTTTCGTACCGTTCTCTCCATGCCATCAATGTATCTTATCTAGTGCTGGCTTCCTTAGAAAGGCCAGTATCTTAATCCATGTCCAGTAACTCGACGAAAATAGTAGTCAGTCGACCTTAAAGACGATCTGAACACTCCAAAAATGGACCATGTCTGACAAGTAAGCTGCTGGAAAAACAATTGCAGACGTGGTATCTGACCATGGAACGAAAATAACGCCTCAAGCTACCCAAATGACCTATGCCGAAACCTTTGCCTTCTTTGCTCCCTTNTTGCCGTCTGTCTTGCTCTTGACACGTTTGGCGCCTGCCTTCTCCGCAGGTGCTGCCTTCTTGGTCTCCTTGACTACCGGTTGCTCTTCCTGCTTGTCCAGAACTGCGGCCACATCGGCGCCAGTAAGCAAAGCTGCACCCTCGGCCTCGCGAGTCTCCNNCCTGGTGGGCACCTCCTTGACACCACGCACAGAGGGCATCTCGAAGTCATAGCCCAACTCCTTGAGCTGTGCGGCCTTCTTGTTTCTGGCCTCGGCCTCTCTCTCGATTCTCTTCTCCCAACCCTCTCTTGTGGTACCTCTCTTCAACATACCACCTTCGATCTTGTTGCGCGGCATGACCTTGAATCTTCCACCCTCACCCTTCCACAACTTTTCGTGAACCTGCTCGGCGGGAATGCGTCTGACCTGCAGAAGATGACCGAAAAGCAAGTACTTGTCCATGGTCTTGGCTACAATCTCTGCGACTGCGGCGGATCCGAACTCGATGAAAGCGTAGTGCTTTGAGCGTCCAGTAAGCTTGTTGCGTGCCATTCTCAAGTGGGTGATATCGCCGAATTGGCTGAAGTACTCGCGCATTTGCGCCTCGAAGAAACCATGCGGCAAACGTCTGTGATTTATTGTCAGTTATGATAAAGGAGAATTTGGCGCAATGATCGCGTACCCAATGTAAACGACTCCGGGAGTGTTCTCCTCGTCTTGCTGAGCATCCTTCAGTTGCTTGCGAACCTCCTTCATGTTGGGCACAGCGGGGAGCTTGTCCAGAGCAATGCCATCGTCTTGTGGGTCGTTCTCATCGTCGCTGCTCTCAAAGCCAGCGAGCAGGGCAGCAGTTTGATCGTCCTCTTCGGCCTCGGCCTCGCTGTCTGTCTCGTTGGCAAGGACGATTTCCTCCTCTTCAACAGCAGCCTTTGGGCTGGCTTTAGCCTTAGTCTTCGAGACCTTTGATGAGGCGCTCTCGGGCTTGACAGTCGTCGTCTTCTTTGCGGGCTTCTCTTCTGGCTCTAGGAAATCCTCGGCGCGCTTCCTCGTTGATCTGGTGGCTCTAGCGGGTGCATCCTCCTTGACTTCTTTCTTGGCCTTGGTAGTGGTAGTGGTTGTAGTTTCGGTCTTCTTGAGGGCCGACTTTGGTGCGGGCTTCTCGACAGTGGTGGTTTTGACCTTCTTGGTGGTTACGCTGGGCTCAGATGCGCCTATTGCTCGATGTTAGTCTAGAAACAGCGCAATAGGATCACATATTGGTACGAACCCTTGCGCTTGTTACTCTTGTTATCAACCTTGGACATTTTGGCGTAAATTGATCAAGAAATAATTGTGGTAGAAAAGCAGAGGACTTCCTAGAAAAATGGCGGCCAAAAAGTTTCTGAGATCGAGGAATCCGGGGAGGCAGACGCTCTCCGACCCGCCGCTTCTCCAACCACCTCCGACCATAGTCCGCATCTTCCTTCTAACAACGTCAACTTTAGCAGTCATGACAAATAAGCAGCTTCCTGAAAACGAGATTTGGGACGATTCCGCCCTGGTCCAGTCATGGAATGAAGCACTTGAAGAGTACAAGGTAAATAACACTTTCTGCGTCTAACAATCACGTGCTTACGTTGTATTTAGANAGTACCACAGCATGTCTTCTCGAGGCGAACGAGTCGAGGATGTTTTGGATGCTGTTGAGAAGGAAGAGGAAGCACAGTGTGTCATCATAAATATATACTTCCTCTGACCTCAATACTAAAGCAGACAAACANGATCCACCATTAACACCAAGACCGAGAATGTTGACACAATGACTGGCCTTCCACCCTGGGAAACTGTCCAAGAACCAACCGTGGAAGAAGTTAGAGAAACTATCCCAGAACTTAAGAAAGAGACAAACGTCGAGCCTGTCCAGGTGCACCCAATCCAAAACTCCAACCAGGTTCCACCAGCAATTTCACAAGTCCTTCTTGACTCTGGTTTGTCTATATATATTCTTATTCGGTTCAGACATCGCTAACGATCACAGNTGCAAGACGAGGGTCTGAAAGCACTCGTGACTTCCTGGTACTTCGCAGGCTACTACACTGGTCTCTACGAAGGACAGCGAAAAGCTGCTCAGGAGCGTCCAACTCACTGAAGAGACCTCTGATCATGCTCCTAATTTTCATTCGGAGATCTGGAGCATGCAGAGCTGAACATACTGCTCCTTCTGGTATCAAAACCTCATAGGATGCCCAGATAAACTTCAAAGGCCTGCACGATTCTCTCACCACCAGTGCAGCTCGCCAACGTACCAATGAGCAATCATGGCCATTCCTAGAGTTGGCTATAACAAGCAAGAGTGCCATTCCAGCACTCACGTACGTACCTACCGTGCAGCTGATTACTGTCCATTCTCGAGCCGAGTATTCTGTTACAAGGGAGCAAAGACATCATTGGGATCGGTAGAGAAGCACTAAAGGACTGCTTGATAGGAGCTGAAACAAGCCAATGATGATGGGGCAATGGGCAGAGTAAACAGCCGGATCAGTTGAACCAAGAAAAGAAAAACGTGTTTCGATATCCTCTAGTACTGAGACGATTAGACCTCGTCGAAAGAACAAATCCATCGCTAAACGCTCTGCAAACGGATTTTGTCATGATGGCCCGTAAAATAGTTGACTTCTGCTCGCCGGCAGCCTCATTTGCGCCTTGATCAAGTGTATCATGTGCTGTAGAAGTGTTGGTTTACTTCTTGCCCTCAGCGGCCTTCTTGGCATCGGCTGTAATAACATGTCAGATCAAAAATTGAAAGACAACAAGGTGCAGTTAAGAGGACGAACCTGCAGCCTGCTTTGCGCGCATGATCTCGGCTGCGCTCTCCTTGGCCTTAGCCTGCTCAGAGCCAGACATCTAGAGAAGGGTTAGTCGATGGCGTGTCGCTGTATTCGCGAATGGACATACGGTGTTCTTGTTTTTCTAGGCAGAGTCAGTAAAGTGATCACCCCTCAAAATTGTTGATCACTGTTTGGAAAAACTTACGACGTTGCCTGCGGCCTTCAAGTTCTTTTCACGAGCTCTCTCCTTTTGGTTACCGCGTGCCATTTTGACTGGATGTGTGGGGCGTGTTCTGAAAAGTTGCAAGGAAAGAGAGTGAGAGAGGGATGCTCAAGAAAAGCGTTGGATAGGTCCGGCAGAAAGAAAGTTGCTCTCTGGCAAATTAGACCCTTTTACCACTTTAGCACGCTTCCAGACACTGCCAAGACATTTCGATTGCTATCGCGGTTCGCGGCTCGCTGCTCCTCCATTCCCGAACCCCATGGAACACACAAAAAGCTTCTAGAACACAATCAGCTCAACCATGCCACTCGATACCACTCATGTTCAGATACTCACAAGATCCCCAGCTTTCCTGAGGATCCGCAGGTCTTACCGGCAAAGCATGCACTCGAGGATTTCAAGAGGGCATTCTTTCAACGGCGTCCTTACACTGTCATTGTGAGGGTTGACATGATGCTTACGAAAATGCGATACTTTTGTGCACAACAAGCTTGATCATTACGAGTAGCTACTCGGGATAACCGATCCTTCAGACTTCTCGGCCAACTCAATGAGAATCGACAATGTGTGTCGCGATAGCTAGGTAGGTGTGACGGTCGTTGACGTACAATATCAGGTAGGTCACCTCGGACAATCCTGTGCAGACCCTCTATGTGGGCACTGGGCGCCACTACTGAAAAGACTCACAACCGAAAAACTGATCGGTAGTCTGCTGTTGTCCTCACGATTCTCGAGAAGCATGATAACATAAACCAAGATTTGGGGCGCGATTCTTGAAACTACATCTCCAAGCGCCAACACAGCGCTTATACCAACAGCAAGCTCCACCAATGGTTCATTCCAGGAGTTTGTCGACCAAAATATTGCTGTCGCAAGAGACGTTCATAGCTGCTGTTGAGGTAGCACGGAACGTCTGAGAAGCTGTTTCAGCTGCATTGAGGCAGTCATGAGCTTTGACGGCGTCAAGTGAACAAAAAGAATACGCTGTGGCGCTTAAGTCTTCTATTGTACCTCTTCCATTCTCTTATTGCCTTGTCTTGTCACTCATTTACGTTTCCTATTGTCCTTGTTGTGTTCATTGTCCCTACTGCGTTGCATTGTTTCTCCCTGATTTAATTATTCGAACTTCCTCGATCCTGTCTCTCTTTGATCGTTTTCTTCCTTGCTTTTCTTCTAACAACTCTCAGTTTCTTGCAACAACTTGTAAAGACTCATCAAGCATCTGCTGGCCAGATCGTACTATTCCGTCTCACGAATGTTTCTCAGACTTTGGCCTTCGAACTTGCAAGTCTTCATCCTTGATCTATCGAGACTCTTTGGTTAACGTGTAGAACAGATCTATTTATCTACCTTTCCTCAAATCTCACGCAACACAACACAACGAAAGATGGCATCCTCACCCAAATCACTGGCTGGTTCGGGCTATGTCATTCTCAACGTGCTGAAGGGCATGAACATTACCGGACTACTTGCTATCATCGCTGCAAGCGTTCTCATGCTCATCAAGACAACAACGGACTCAGGCGTAAGTNGGTGTTTATTGTATATCAGGAAATCTGCTAATCATAACCATCAGTTCTTCTTCTTCGATGCTGTCATCCATGCTGTGGTTGCATCTGTCGCCATATTCCTGATCATCTCAGAGGTTGGTGTCTTCAGTGCTTACTTCGCTCGCAACTGGCCCTTGCTCAGCCTGGAACACGGTTTCGTTGGCCTTGCTTCAGTTATGATCATACTGGGTATGCACGTTTTGGCATGTCTCAACAACTCAAGCAACAGCAAGAAGCATCTTGGCTTAGCATTCTGGCGTGTCGTGATCATGGCAGGTATTCTGAATCTCATTCTTGGAATCCTCAATCTGATCGCAGTAAGTCTATACGAATAACTCAGATTCTAATTGAATAGGTAACTGACTGCAGACAGAGTTACGTGTTCCGCGATAACAGTCAGGGGGAGTTCGGCACGCCAGGTTCGCGCACGAGGAGCCGAAGCTGCAAATATGGCCTATATCCAACGAAGCAACACTTCAGCAAGCGTGGCCAAATCGGTATCATCTCGCACTACAACCGACAGCTCGCTAAAGCAGTTCCGTGCCAACTCGAAAGAAGAGTATACTTTGCCTTCGTACCACAGTCCTTCGCCTGAACCTCAACAACATACACAGGCGCCAATCTCTCCTTCTTTGTACTCTCGCGCTACCTGGTGCAGCAAGAAGAAGTTTTTCAGCCGCAAGGAGAGCATGGGACCCCCACTCCCAGTCAACATCTCAGCACCGTACGACTTCGGGGCGCAGTTCCCATCGAACGTCGCAAGGCCTGACTCGACTTTACACCCTAGCCGCGACGCTGAGAGTGAAACCTACAGATGGAAGGCGGAGCGCTGATCATATTCCATGGCATGAACCTGGGGGCTAGAGAAAGGCCGACCGTCAATGTTTCGTATCGTCTCGTCTCACATCACTCAGTACTTTCATAATGTTATTTTTCTTTCCCAAACTGTTTCAGTCAGACGTGATTTAGCAACATCTCAGCAATCATGTGATATACGTGTTTCGTGTCTACCGTAGGAGGTTGTATCTGATCGAGCGATGATTGGATGTTGGTCTTGTTAGAGCTGTAAGCTCATGAAACCGGGCAGATGGAACATGTACTATGCAATCTGACAGGCTTCAAACAAAAGCCTAGTTAGCATTTGCACAAGGGCGAAACAGCCAGCTTGGAGCGTGTCCGTGGAGAATTGAGTTGGCGAATGGCAAGGAGACATGTCGCGCACGCGGACCGCGCAAATCGGAACGAACAGGAGGGAAGCTGGGAAAGGCGCAAGCTCGGGCCAAGGTGGAATCTCCTCCCTCGTCTGGCTTCTCCCATAATATAGCTTCTTCGAACTCAGAGACCTCTATATCTACGTCCCCATCCGACTCCATCTCAAAACCACACAATGGCCGCTCCCGACTTCTCTGACATCAGCAAGCCCCTCGACGGCCGCATCGGCGCTCCCAGAATCGTCGCCATGCCCCTCCCCGCCTACGGTGACCTGAGCAAGGCCGCCAACGACGTGAGTTGTGCCATTGACTCTGCAGCAAGAGCCCCAGAGACTGACAGACATGCGTCCAGCNTCATCAACAAGGACTTCTACCACACCCAGGCTGGCATGTTGCACCTCACAGGTCGACCGCAAGAAAAATCTCACTAACAGCGCGACTCAGCCAACCTTGAGGTCAAGCTCAAGGCTCCCAATGGCGCCAACGTCACCGTCAAGGGCAAGCAGGCCTTCGACGGTGCCACCACTGCCTCTGTACGTTGTCCTTGCCCGAGAAGATCTAGCAAATCAGCTAACAACCGTCCCAGCNTCGAGGGCAAATACACTCTCAAGCCCCAGGGTATGCACTTCTTGCAAATGAGCCGCCTTTNNTTCTTCCCGCTGCCCGTCTCTGCGCGCCAGTCGCTGTACCTCATGATTGTCAGCGTTCCTGTTGCTCAGAAGACTGGCACCCCCGACGAATCGCTCTCGCTCTCACCACAACATCATGTCTATCTTACTTACCGCTACAAACCAGGTATCACCGTTACCCAGGGCTGGACCACCGCCGCCCTCCTCGACACCAAGGTTGAGTTCGCCAGCCTCATGTCCCAGCCCGTCAAGGCCGAGTTCCAGAACCTCTTCAACCCCAACGCCCCTAGCAAGGCCGCCCAGAAGCTCAACTTGACCTTCAAGCAGCCCAACCTCCACGCCCGCGCTTTCCTCGACCACAGCGCTGCTGGCAACATCAACGCCCTCATTGACGCTACCGTCGGCCACGAGGGCTTCGTTGCCGGTGCTGAGGCTGGCTACGACGTCTCCAAGGCCGCCATCACCCGCTACAGCGCCGGTCTCGGCTACCAGGCCCCTACCTTCACCGCCTCCCTCATTGCCATGCAGAACCTGAGCGTTCTTGCTGCTTCCTACTACCAGAAGGTCAACTCCAACGTTGAGGCTGGTGCTAAGGCCACCTACGACCTCCAGGGTGGTAAGAGCGTCGGTCTTGAGGTTGCCTCCAAGTACAAGCTCGACCCCCTTTCCTTCGCCAAGGTAAGCACTTTTTTAAAGTTTCAATTCCTATAACATGTACTGATCACGATATGCTCTACAGNNGCCAAGATCAACGACCGCGGTATTGCTGCCCTTGCCTACAACACCAAGCTCAACGCTGGCACCACCTTCGGTGTTGGTCTTTCGCTCGACACCAACAAGCTCAACGAGGCTGGCCACAAGATCGGCACCAGCTTCGTCTTCGAGGGTTAAAATGTTTGGTCATGTAGACATGCGTCATGTATTTTTGCGAGGAGAAATGATAGAGAGCGGGCATCAAGCAACAACCGCTATGCACCTTTTCTTTGCCAGGTTCTACTCTGATTGTAATAAAGCCCCCAGTATAAGAATGTACACAAGCCCTGCTTTCCTGGTTCAACATGGATCTATGTATATGAGAAATGGTGCATCTATCACGCGGCAACCTTCTTCTTCTCGTCATTCTTTCTAAACAAGAAGCCACTGACACCAAAAATGACTGTCAGAACACCACTCAAGAGGATAAAGTTGACCAGCATGCTCGTCCCAAGGATATCGTCTGTGGTAACACTATCGGATCGCCGTCTGGCCTTGTGCCTGTTCTTCATGACATTGTCATGAGTGCGGAAGTGACCGTCGCGATCAAAGTGCGGTACATCGTTGTTGAAGCCAGCCTGGTAGCCAGAAGGACCGGTACCAGGTGCGTCCTGGGCACTCGAGCCAGCAGCTTCGTGCTGATGGGAGCCCTGCGAGGCGTACTCTGATCGCTTCTGGCTGAAGTTGCCCCAGCCGCCGCTGCGGTAGAAGGAAGGAGGTGGACCTTTGAACTGTGTGCGTCGTCGGCTGAGACCGGTGGCTGGGCGCCCTCCTGCTGGACCGGTGCTGCTGTATGAGCCTTGCGGATGGGAGGAGGGCTGTGAGGCGCGAAGGAAGTCGCGATCGTAGCGGGCTCGTTTCTCAGCACTGCCTAAGACATGGTAGGCTTCTGAGATTTTGACAAAGCGGTCGGCGGCTTTTGGATCGTCGGGGTTGTGGTCTGGGTGGTGTTTCTTGCTCAACTGGAAAAACTGTNNCTGCAAGACACTGTTAGTATCGGAGATTGGTCAGAAGAGGTATACTGACTTCTTGATGTCTCCAGCAGAGGCAGTCGTGTCTATACCCAGGGTCGCATAATGATCGGGAAGCCCTGCATCGCGGCGAATTGACGAGGCGTGGAAGGAGCGATAGGCAAGAGGCTGTTGCTTAAGCAGGGATTGCGGCAAAGAGGGTCCTTTACANGGACGGAACTGAATTGGGCGGAGGATCATGCCTCATTCCGGTTGTCTTTCAGGCAGATGTTTCGTCTCTCAGAAAGAGAACGAATATGGATGATGGAATAACCTTGATGACGTCTGTCTTTCCTTGTCTAATCTGATCTCACAATCTCCGCAAGCTTGGCCTTAGCGTCGCACTCGAGAGCTTCTTGGTGTGACTTTTACTCTTTTGACCTTTGTATTCGTTGTATAACATGTCTGCCGTTGACAATACAGCCAACGGCGTCGAGGCCCTCAAATGTATACTCGATCTTTGTACCAGCACATGAGTCCATATACTAATTATCTCCANNGTGGAGGAGTCCAAAGGCAACCTGCCAGAAGGAGCTGCTGCCGAAGCAGAGAAGCGCGCCGAGGGCAATGCCGACGACTCTGAAGACGAAGGAGACGACGCCGAAGCTGCCAACGACGGAACCGAGGAAGGTGCTGCAAAGAAAAAGAAGAAGAGAAAGCCCAGAAAGAAGAAGAAGGCCGGCTCCGGAACCGCAAAGGGCCAGACCAACCCTCCACGAGTCCCCATTGCCCAACTCTTCCCCAATGGCGCATTCCCCGAAGGAGAGATTTGCGAATACATCGACGACAACTCTTACCGTACCACTGATGAGGAGAAGAGACACCTTGATCGCATGAGCAACGACTACCTCACCGAGTACCGCCATGCTGCCGAAGTTCACAGACAAGTCCGCCAATGGGCCCAGAAGAACATCAAGCCTGGACAGACCTTGACCGAGATTGCTGAGGGTATCGAGAATGGTGTGCGCCACTTGACCGGCCATCAAGGTCTTGAAGAGGGCGACAACATCAGAGGAGGCATGGGTTTCCCCACTGGTCTGAGTATCAACCACTGCGCTGCCCACTACACCCCCAACGCTGGAAACAAGACAATTCTCCAACAGGGAGACGTCATGAAGGTCGATTTCGGTGCCCACATCAACGGTCGCATTGTCGACAGTGCCTTTACCATGTCCTTCGACCCCACCTACGACAACCTGCTCGCCGCAGTCAAAGATGCAACAAACACTGGTATCAGAGAAGCCGGTATCGATGTACGCATGTCCGACATTGGTGCCGCCATCCAGGAGGCCATGGAGTCATACGAGTGCGAGATTGGAGGCGAGACTTTCCCCATCAAGTGTATCCGCAACTTGAACGGTCACGACATAAGACAATGGTCCATCCACGGCACAAAGAGCGTACCAATCGTCAAGGGAGGTGACCAGACAAAGATGGAGGAAGGTGAGACATTTGCCATTGAGACTTTTGGTTCGACCGGCAAGGGCTACGTCAGAGAAGATATGGAGTGCAGTCACTACGCAAAGGTTGCAGACGCGCCCAGAGTCCCTCTCAGAACAACGAGTGCAAAGACGCTGCTGAAGAGCATCGAGAAAAACTTTGGCACTCTGCCTTTCTGCAGAAGATATCTTGATCGCCTTGGCCATGACAAGTATCTGCTTGGCGTGAGTATCCTCTGATGTATACATGTCCGAGAGCACAACTGACCCATTGTTTCACAGCTCAACAACCTCGTCCAGGCCGGTATCGTGCAGGACTACCCTCCTTTGGTCGATATCAAGGGCTCTTACACTGCACAATATGAGCACGTAAGTGGATTACCTCTCGTTCCTGTACCGAAACCACCCCTGCTAACCACCATACGTTCACAGACAATCTTGTTGAGACCAAACTGCAAGGAGGTCGTGAGCAGAGGTGACGACTACTAAACGCATAATGATATCCCAAGCCCTAAATCAAGTACATCACACAATCAAAAAGCTATCAAATGGAAAACCCTCACATTTCAACTTCCACGTTTCATGTCTGACTTGTTTCCTACAACGGCCCAGAAGACAGGCATGAGTGGCAAGAACGCGCAAGTTGTGGTCAGGTATATGTCCACAGAGAGTTTGGTGGTATATTGTTCCCAGGGAATGGCAGTCTGCTTTTGAGAAAGAAGCACCCACGCTCGTCGAAACTTGCTCCGGGTCGAGAACTACAGATGTGGAAAACGAAATGCCTTCCTCTGTCTTTACGCCGAGCACACTACGATGGTCAGCCCATGTAAAGAACGTTTGGCTCCTTGACGTGAATGTGCAAAGCTTTGATCAAATCTCAAAGGTCAAAACGACGGCCTTCGTGACTACAGCCCATCACCAAGTGCTTGGGTCAGGAATACCTTACTTGCTTCTAAACGCAAAGTAGACATGCAGTATACATCTGAGCATCTTGGCTGATTCCAGACTGACTCAAATGTCTCTAAGGTATGTGCGTGCCCTACTTTTTGTGTGCATGTCGTGAATGTCGTTCTGTTCGTAATCTGATTCGGGAACGATGTCGATATGGACAAGTCGGTTTGAGTGTTGATGATATAGACCTCTAATCGGAACGACTGCTGCGGTAATGGTATATAACATCGTCGCCGATGTTAGAGCGGTGTTCATTATGGTTTCACAGGTTCATCACAAAGCACATTCGCATCTCTTGCCGCGTTGGCTACTCATGAACACAAGATACCTTCGTCTGTCTTCACGCCGGGCACATAGAATTGCCTGCCCTAGGATACACACTCGCTTCCAACCCAGAGTAGAAGCTCTCACGGAGGACAAACCTCAGCTGGCACAAGAGAAAAAGAAGAAACAAACAATGGTAACATTCGTGGCAAGCTAATCATCTCCTACGCTCTCATCGGAATAGCTAGCTACTGTATCCATCGGCGCAACAACGCTGTTACCACCACTCCCTCTGCTGCTGCAGCAACCTCTCTTGTTCCTGAATCTCCTGCATCTCCTGAATCTTGCGTCTCGATTGCTGTTCCTACCGCTTTCTCTGCGTCTTCAGCAGCTTCTCTTGTTCGTACATCTCCTGAGTCTTGCGTCTCGATTGCTCAACCAATTCGTTGTTCTTAGATGAGAGGTTCTCTTGTTGCTGGTCAGGAAGACTGGTGCGATAGCCGATCGTGTTCTCGTGAAGCTCAACGATCGAGCCTTCTCTGATGTTCAGACTCGACAGGCGATTGTCGAGGATGTTGGTGTTGTCACGCAAGGAATACATCTTGTTCGAAGGAGGGGATCCGACTGGTGTCTCATTGGCAAGGGTCTCGCTAGAATCACCATCTGGAGCTTGAGTGGCAGTCTTAGCCTTCTTCTTCTTCTTGGTCTTCTTTGACTTCTTCTTCTTGGGTGCTGTAGCAGGAACTTCATTCTGTAGGGAGGCTGTGGAGCTATCGTCTCCCTTCTTCGCCTTGTTCGAACTCATACTACTCAGAGCCCCACTGAGAAGTGCGGTTACCGACGACAGCGTCGAACGCGTTTGTGGCGTAGCCGACTCGGTGTGGTTCTTTGTCGGATCGTTGTCTTGCGTTTGGAGGTTGCTGAGCTCTGCATGCTCGGCGCTTTCGGTAGCTGACGTCGATCTGTCCACATCTTCGTTCTCACCCTGCTCTCTGCGGATGTCTGACGAAGGGCTTGCAATGCTTGCACTGACAGGATTCTGGACGTCGGTATCCTTTTCGTGAGCTTCTGTGTCCACTGGGGTATCGGCCTTAGATTGCTTCGGGTTCACCAGGTCTGACTTAGGCTTGCTCTTCGACTTTCCGGATCTCTGCTTCGAGTCCTTCTTCGTCTTTGCCTGACGTGCAAAAGGACTAAAGGACTCAGTCTGTTTCGGACCTGGCTTTGAGGCTGTGACTTGAGATGCATGGATACCTGTAGACAATTGCTGGCCAATGGCAGCAACGCTTGTGGTGTCTCCGCTCTCAGTGGTAGTAGTAGGAGAATGTGGAAACGACTCTGCCTTTTGACCGCCCACTTCCTGATCGGTAAGCGCCATTGAGAGAGAGGTCTCGACAGGGGTATCGCCGAGGGCATCAACAGGCGCATCGACAGGGTTATTGTCAGGGACATCGTCAGGGGCATCATCAGGGACATCCTCAGGNGCAGTGTTCTCATCGCTCTCAGTGGTGCCACAAGGCGAAGCAGGAACAGACTGTGCCTTNTTACACAGCACTTTCTCGGTTGGTGTTACAGCGGGAGTCTCGGCGGCGGTCTGGAAACTGTCATCTTCAGTCGTCTTTGGCGAGCTATCCTGCTTGCCGTATTCCTTGTCGATAGGACTATCCTCAGATAAGGACGGTAACGCGGTATTGTTCCCAGTGGGTGCAGCATCTTCTCGATCGTCTGCAGCTACATCAGAAAACGAGCGGTTTTCTCTAGCTCTGTAATTACGCTCAGTTGGATAACCGCGCTGGTCAGAATGAACCCTTCTATCTCTCTGCCATGTATCGCCAGAGCGAAACGACGGTCGACGAGGCCTTGTAGTGTTAAATGAGCGATGACCACCCCCTCTTCGATTGTCAGGCGCATATGAGCGCTGTTGAGCAAACCGCTCTTCGCTGAAGCGTTCGAATGAGTGCGGATCAACCAATCTCTGACGAGGGCGCTGACTAAAGGAGGCATTGCTTTGATGCAGAATATTGTCAGGATAGTACGCATGTCCAAGGAGATCAGGAGGCATGCGTGGTTCAGCAGTATGTGCATACATAGGAGGCGAATAGTAGCCAGAAAGAGGACCATCCATTGGGGGACCAGCTAGCATGTAAGGCTGATTGACAAATCCATGGTTGGCATCAAAGTCAGGGAAGCCGTTGCCAGATGGACGACGGTTACGTCCATAGTGTTCTTGCTTATGGGACTGGCGCGGACGACCACTGTGAGGCTGGCTATGAAGAAGCGAAGTGCCGTGTCTAACATGGACATCGTCATGAACCGAGACAGCTCTGTGCCTGTGCTGCTGTTGGTAGTGGTGTCGATGGGTAGTGGTTGCCACGTTTCTCTCAGTAGGCTCGGCGACGTCAGTAGATCGCTGATCCTGTGGGCCATAGAGGCGTCTAAAGCCATCACTGATGAGCAGAACGACGCGTTCCAAGAATGAAGCAGGAAAGTTGGTTGCTTGGCGCAAGTCAAGAATCTGTCTTATCTGAATAGGATCCATCCCAGAGCTGGCGCAGAAGTTGTACTCTCTCCACCACTTCTCGGCATGAGTGAGGACGCTGTCTTCGTTGAACTTGGCGATGGCGTAGAGAACTTGTTTCAGAAATCGACCACCCTGAAGGAGGAACTCACGTTCGGAGAAGTATTGGAGCAGGAAGGCATCCTCTTCTTCCTTAGTGGCGCCTTTTCCGTTGGTGCCGCGTGGGAACTGGTCGAGATAGATGTTGCAGCACATGGAGCGGCGGTCTTCCCAGAGTTGCTCGATGAACGGTCTCATGTCGGCATATGCGTTCTGGCGCAGGATGATAGACCCATCATGAGGTGTTACATGTACGGCACGCTGCTCAGACGTCTCCGGTTGATCCATTGTGGGAGTGGAGTGCTGGAGTGCTGAAGTGCTGGAGTGTCAACCAGTGGGAGTGCGCAAGGACAATGAATGCGTCGCAGAAGCGAAAAGAATCAAAATTTAAGTGGTGAAATGATGGTTTAGAGGCGTGTTGTGAAAATTGAGAGTGAGGAGACTGAGCAAAGGTGCGAGAGATCGTTTGTTTCAGTGAAGAAGGTGCAATCGAAGGCGCGTGTGTTGCCTGGAAGTGACGACAAACAGGCACCTTCTGTCTTGGAAGCCGAGAGACACAGACTGACACTTATCGCGCATCAAAAATTGTTGAAGCATAAATGAATGAGCGGTCTTACTTACGGTGGGTTTCAATGCTGTTTTTACAGATGGCTTTGCATTTGCAATTACCTCAGAATGCCCCGTTTGTTCACCCACCTCACAGCCCTGCAGCTACCCTGTACTTCATGTTCCAATGCTTCCCCCGAGTATTGCCTGCAAGCATGGCCTTCAACATCCAAATAACTATTTAGCCATTCCGATTCCACACGAGATTATTGGTATCTGCGAGAAGTGCCGAGTATGAGTCGATTTCAGGACGAGCTTTCCACCTACACCCAGCTGCTCGACTCGGATGAGGTTGAGAACTGTTTGTGTGCCAGGATGGATATTGTGAACCGCCGGTGTAAAGGCCTTAGGCTTTGGGAGGGGTCTGCAGCAGCTTCAGGATTTCAGACTCGTTGTCTCCACTCACTGCGTATGTGTCAATCGCGAATTCGAATCATCCATGTGTTTGGGAGGTGAGGTTACCAGCACGTCCGTTACCCCAGTCCACCACGAGCGGTCTCTGGAAGAGAGTTCCATCCTCCTTGAGCTTTCTCAAAGCTTCGGTGGGACTTGAGGCACCCTCAACAACGCTTCCAATCTTGTCTTGACCAAGGTACTCGAAGATGTTTGTGAGCTGGTCGTTGGTCGGGATACCTTCTTGGACGTCTGTAAAACGACATGTGTGAGCAGGTATTTTAAGTTGCGGCTAGAGGTGATGGCAGACCAAGNNTTCGAAGTCGGTTCTTTCAATCTTGGACTGCTGGGGATGCGAAGAAGCTTGGTCGATAGTGGCAGTTGATTGGGCAGCACCAGCAGTCTGCTTGAGGAGAGTGTGAACACGAATCGAGGCAGGCGACTTGGGCGAGTGGAACAAGGTGATTACGTCCTTGACGCCGGCCNNTGTTTGGCGTCAGTCAGCGAACAGGATGTCGTTCAGACGCATATCAGTAAGGCTTACTTCCTTAAAGAGACCTTTGAGTGCGCTGAACATTTTGACGGTATGATGTATGGATAGTTGTGGTTGGCGAGACGCACGATGTTCAGGGCATCGACGAGGTTGCACATAACCTGGGGAAGCACTCAGCCAGCTCCCGGTGACGTATCTCTCGGGGCCTACCAACCTCTATTTCACACGCATATCACGCCCTAATCAAGTGTGTTCAGTAGCATTTGCCAGTCACTCACTTTCTGGTTACTACGTGCACGCTGATACGATATGAGATTGAAGCATCTATCAAAGGTAGTAGAACATAAGTCTGGGTGGTTGATTATGCAAACTACACACTTCCTACTTGAGACGACCCAGTCTGATGCTAGCACGAAGAGTACAATGAACACGAGAGAGCACTTGAGCAAAGAGTGTTCAGAAGACGTAACCGTTGTTGTGAAAAAGCTACCAAAGACGCCAGATATAAACCAGTCTTTGCGGCGACATTTGTTCCGATTTACGAACAGCAGCTGATCAGCCATGCATGTCCGCCAGAATTTTGAATCATCATCATGGATGCCAGGGCTAGGAAACGGTCTGGCCGCCCAGTAATGAATCGAGGGTGCCGCCAGACTGTATGCTATCCATGTGCCCGTCTTTGCCCCATCTCTCAAACTCCAGATCCGGAATTCGTTTACGAGGTAGGGTTGGGGTTCATCTACCGCCTTGTCAGCTCCTGTTGCAGCCAGAGTGCGCAGGATAGAGATGGTGCGCACCTTTCTCTTGCCACCGGTCATGGTGACGTTCACGAAACGGCGGGTGTACGTGATTCTCTTCTTTGCGCGGCCCTTGGGGGTCTTCTTCTTCTCCTGGGGCTCAACNCTGATAGCGCACTTGTATTAGCACGCTGTTCCGAGGGTCCGGGCTGATGGATGCGGTGGGTGGCGGTTGTCGAAATGTGTATTGGAGCGACGATGGAGAATTCGTACCTTGGGAGTCTGCGACTTGACCTTACCGGCACGAGCGAGGGAACCGTGGACCTTACCCATGTTGTCGATTTATGGGGATTATTGGATGACTTGAGTTGATGTAGGTTGCCTGTGGGTGGCGAACAGAGGTTAGTCGCTGTCGCTCGTTCAAAGTTGGGTCAAAATCGATGGCGAAAAAGACGGCGATGGTTTCGAGCGTCGTGCAGATGGGCTGAGATAAAAATGGGCGTACTCACGTTGGCGCAAGTTGTCGTCGGTCGTCCTTCGAGAAGAGTGCAGGCAAAATGAGTTGAGTCTGTGTTAGACCGCCGGCAGCGCTGTTCGCTTAATCGACCAATCACCGCTCGGCAGTCTTGGCAAAAGTCATCCCATCATCTGCGTCTTGATCAAGATATGATCTCTAGTTGCCTCTGAATTATTTTCTATAACAACTCTCACTTCACTTTGTTGTTCACAAAATGCACTTCAAGAGTTCGCTTTTCGTTGGCCTTGGATTGGTTGGCTCATCGATGAGCTCACTGCTCCCTGGCAGTCAGTACATCTTCTCAAACCCCTCACCAGAGGCAACCTCGGGCTTCCGCATCCCTACCGTGCACGAGTCTGCTATTCAAGCACGCCGTATACTTCGTCTCGAGAATATTGGCACCTTGTCGACCGTTTTTCCATCTGATTCTTCGACAAGTCAAGATGCAGTCAGTTCTTTGGAGCAGCGACCCAGTGGTCTTGGGGGTGTTCCTATCGGCCTAATGGACTACTATGCCGACTGTGAGCCTGATAGTGGCAATCCTACCATCCTTGCTTTGGACATTGCTACCTCTTTCAAGAACGTCGCAGCCGGCAGTAACATCACCTTAAGTTTGCGTTGGCATCCACAAGATGGAAACTGGCATAGCGCTGCTAGCTTGCCTAGATTTTCTCTTGTCGGTCATCTTGAAGATATCGATGATGCCGATGCTTCAAAGGTTGCTCTTTCCGCTTGCTTTGTCAAGAATCACCCAGACGCCGTGGCGTGGCTACCAGGAAATCGAATTCATACAAGCCGCTGGGTCAGGCTTGTTGTAGAGGATATCTACTGGATTGGGGGTTTCGGTGACCGTGCCTACATCGGCTGGATTCCTTTGGGCGCATACCATAATGTCACAAAGCAAGAGATTGATGATTGTAGATTGCCTGGCGAGAAGGCTACCCGGGGTTGGTCAGACTGGCTTTGAAATAGTATGCCTTTCGAGTATCATCATAATCATCACTTTTCATATTGCAAGTTTTCGAAACATGTTTTGCGCGGCCTTGCAATTGCACACAGTCTTCGGTCGTGTTACTGAACGAAGTCTTGATTGGATACGCATAACCATACCAAGTTTTTGCCGCAGATTTTGAGTGCTACCCGAAAGCATTCTGCAAGCCATACACTCACTATTAGAGCGACGCGAAGGTACCCTTATGCAGTACACGACCATCGACCCGAGGGAGAGAAGGGCAATTTTATACAGAAGAACACTTCTTGCCATAAGGACTGATCTAGCACAGACACACCATGGTTTCACGATGAGCCTCGCTTCATTCAAGATCACAAAGGTTATCACAAGGAGCATGAAATATTGTTGACGATGTAAATGCCATGTCAATTTGTTGCAGATATCTATCTAAGCAACACCCAATCAAATAGGACGCCGTTTCGTGAATTCGATCGTTGAGATCGTAATGGTCCATAACTTTTGACCCGATTCCATAGCCTTTTGTTGAACTCCGTCTTCCGTCATGCAATCATTATAGTTGAATAAATGGGGTATCTCTGTTGAATGAACGCTATGATGCAGCTGTTGAGTGCTGTCATCCCAATGGTACTGTCATCTCAAATGGATGCATAGTTGTGTGTTGTTGTGTTTAAGAGTGCTTCTGGCGGAAAGCAATGGCGGCGTTGACCATGTTGACCAAAGCCTCCTTGGTCTCCTTCCACTGGCGGGTCTTAAGACCGCAGTCAGGGTTGATCCAGAGCTGCTCGGGCTTGAGGTACTGAAGCATCTCCTCAATACGGTCCTTGATCTCCTGCTCGCTAGGAACTCTGGGAGAGTGGATGTCGTAGACACCAGGGCCAATGTGTCTGGGGTAGTCCTCGTCAATGAAGACCTTGAGGAGCTTGGCGTCACTCTTGCTGTTCTCGATGGAGAGAACATCGGCGTCGAGGGCAGCAATAGCGTGGAAGAAGTCTTGGAACTCAGAGTAGCAGAAGTGACTGTGGATCTGAGTAGAGTCCTTGACACCAGCAGTAGAGAGCTTGAAGCTGTCGACGGCCCAGTCAAGGTAAGCCTCACGCTCCTTACCGGAACGGAGAGGGAGACCCTCACGAAGGGCAGGCTCGTCAACCTGGATGACGTAAATGCCAGCGGACTCGAGGTCAACGACCTCGTCGCGAAGAGCAAGAGCAAGCTGCTGAGCCTGAACAGACTGGTGAACATCGTCACGAGGGAAAGACCAGCGGAGACAGGTGATGGGACCAGTAAGCATACCCTTCATGGGCTTCTTGCTAATGCTGGCGGCGTACTTGCTCTCCTTGACGGTCATGGGAGCAGGACGAGAGATGTCACCGACGATGATCGGGGGACGGACGCAGCGAGAGCCGTAGGACTGAACCCAAGCGTGGGTGGTGAAGACGTAACCATCGAGACGCTCACCGAAGTACTGGACCATGTCGTTCCGCTCAGGCTCACCGTGAACGTAAACGTCGAGGTTCAACTCGTCCTGGATCTTGACAACATCCTGGATCTCCTTCTCGATGAACTTCTCGTACTCCTCAGCAGTGATCTCGTTCTTGACGAGCTTGTTACGCTGCAGACGGATCTCCTTGGTCTGAGGGAACGAACCGATGGTGGTGGTGGGGAAGATGGGGAGACTGAGGTGCTCCTTCTGTTGAGCGTAACGAGTGTCGAAGGGAGACTGGCGGTTGTGCATCTCGGCAGTGACCTTGGACTGTCTGTCCTTGACCTGTGCGTTGTTGGTACGGGCAGAAGAGGCACGAGCCTGCATGGACTTGGCGTTGGCCTCAAGCTGCTCGCGAACGGCAGCAGGGCCCTCGGTAACAGCCTTAGCGATGATGGCAACCTCGACAGCCTTCTCGGAAGCGAACGAGAACCAGTCCTTGACCTCTTCGGGAAGGGTCTTCTCGCTGGCGAGAGTGTGNGGAGTGTGGAGGAGAGAGCTGGAAGAGGCAACGATGACTCTGTCCTTTCCGAGCTTCTGAACGGCGGTCTCGACGACCTCGATGGCCTTCTTGAAGTTGGTCTTCCAGATGTTACGGCCATCAACGACACCAGCAGACAGGATCTGCTTGGGACCGAGGTGGTCAATGACTTGCTGGAGCTGCTCGGGGTGACGAACAAGGTCGACGTGGAGAGCGTAGAGGTTCTTGAAAGCGGCGTCGACGACATCGAAGTTGTGGACAATGTCACCGAAGTAGGTAGCGAGGACGATCTGAGGGCCTTGGGCAGCAGAGAGCTTCTCGTAGGCAGGCTTGAAGGCCTCCTTGACCTTGGCGGGCAGGTCGAAGACAAGGACGGGCTCGTCAATCTGGACGGTCTCGGCACCAGCCTTCTTCAGCTCCTGCAGAAGCTGCTCGTAGACGGGCAGAAGCTTCTCGAGGAGGGTGATGGGCTCAACAGACTGGCCACGGTCGGCCTTACCAAGGGCAAGGAAGGAGACGGGACCAAGGAGGACAGGGCGGGTGGTGATGCCAGCCTCCTTAGCCTCGAGGAAGTCGCGGACAGGCTTAGGGTTGGAGGCGAGCTTGAAGGTCTGGTTGTCTTGGAGAGTGGGCTTGACGTAGTGGTAGTTTGAGTCGAACCACTTGACCATCTCGAGCGAGGGCACGTCAATGCCGTCACGCTGGTGACCACGGCCCATGGCGAAGTACTCATCGAGAGGGTCGAGGCCGTGCTTTGAGTATCTCTCAGGGATGGCCNNTGGCATTGGGTCAGTATGCTGGGGTAAAGCGTGGAGCAGAGCCAGGGATGGCGGGGAATAGGAGCTTACGTTGAACATCTGGATGTGGTCAAGGACGTGGTCGTAGAAGGCAAAGTCGTTGCTGGGAATGATGTCGACACCGGCGTCCTTCTGGATCTTCCAGTGCTCGCCACGAAGTCTCTTGGCCTCGGCGAGCAAGTCATCTCTTGACAGCTTGCCAGCCCAGTATGCCTCGTTGGCCTTCTTCAGGTCTCTCAGACGTCCCATACGGGGGAAACCCAAGATTGAAGATTGAACCATGGCTGCTGATGTGTGGAAAGGAAATGAACAGGAAAAGAGGAAAGGGGAGATGCGGATGGAGGCACAATGGACAGCAGCGCAGGCACGTTTAAGTACTCATCAGATTTTCGCTATGGCGCTTAGACCACGTCGACTGCGGAGCAGTTCGCTCACTCTCACTGGAAACGTTGAAGGGACCCCGCGGTGCACCATCACGCCATTGTTGGCTTTGACATTGTCTCTCGACCTGGCATCAAAAGCTTGCGTGGCTGCTCTGTCCATTTCTCGAGGCCGTCTCTTTGTGTCTCAGTCTACTTTTGTGTCTAAATTGGCCGCTTCGTTTCCAGAATGAGAGCTTGATATTGTTGTTGACTGGACGCTGGCTGGATTCCAATGACTCCATCGCAAGCCCACCCTGTGATGTAGATCTCGACCAAGAATGCGCTAACCTGCCACCAACCTCGCTTTCACCTCTACGATTACTCGTACATTCTCATGATATCTCGTAACACGCCCTCTTCTGTGCTTCGTGCAACGTATTCTTTTGACATGCCTCCTCTGCGAGCGGCCAAACACGCAACACCATTACTCACAGCTTGCTTGGGCATCTCGCAATCTGGGCCTCTCTCCACAAAATGCTGTGCATCCGGTGAATCATAGCTGTCTACCCTCATTGGTCCGAGCGTGTCGTTTGGCCGATGGCGGAGCTGGGGATTTCCTCAACCCGCCACAAAGCGTCAGTTGCCCTGAACCTTTTGATTGGCCGGACACGGACAGGGTCGTCTCGAATCTTCGACCACTTTCCTCCCTTTTGGAGGTCGTATATACCATATCAATGTGCGACGACGAGGACTAACTCACAAACCTACAGGCGCATATTGACAGACGCAATCCTTGCAACGCGGTAGGTATATCTTGTGGTTGTAAAAAGGATACATTTGGCCCGAGGGATCTTCTCGCTTTTCTGGCAGGAAGCTTGCAATGCACTTTCCATGAATTAGGCATTCGAGGTAGGTGCATCCAAGGTAGGTAAACAGTGTCCATGATGCCTGCCTCAAGCCTCGATTGGGCTTGATCGAGAGTCTGTCAACCATCAACCTCTTGTCACATTGCTTCTTAAGTCCACATTTTTTATCTTCAATCAACTCGTAACAAGATTATATCTGCAATGGCCGCAGCAAAGCTTTGCTGCACCGCGCCTCTGCGATCGCATTCGCCCGACGATACACCCCCGAGGCCTGTCAGACCCTTCAAGTCTTTGGCCAACATCAAGACACACTTTGCTCATAACAAGCATACCCCCGACACCACAGATGATCACACACAAGGAAGTTATCCACTTTACCCAGCAGACGATCTTGAGCTTCGCCGTATCTTTGTTGCTGCTTCCTTGCCGGAGGATCATCCTCATGCCCTCAAGATCCGTCATCGCAAGCCTGAAGTGAACGAGAGTATCATACATTCACCGAGCTTTACGAACAAGCTACGCAGGCAGCTGAGTCGCAAGAGCCTGGCGACAGACAAATTCCACAAGGATACGTCAAGCAAGTTAACTCTTGGGTCTCTGATATTGCCGGGAAAAAGGCTAGCGCATGGCCTTCCGGAACTTGCTGGTGGTTACGACGACGATGCTCAGTCATTGTGCTTGACCGAGTCTCGACTTGCTTCTCTCGCGAACGATAGCCGTGGAATGATGGATGCAAGATCTGTCCAACACGCTCGATCTTCTGAACCACTCAATCGCAGTGACATTGCCCCAGATGAGCCACGCCGGTCAGTCAGTGTACCTTTGGCATCATATCCAGCAGACTCCTCATCACAACCGAGACGTTCGCTCTCCTCCGACATGCAGCAGGAGTTCAAAGGTGCTCTCAGTGTTCATCTGCCTGGTCCTACGTTCATGGATGCAGACGACATATGGCAATCATCGCCCGCAGATGTACAAACGAGTCCTGCGCAGTTGTTGAAAACACTCAACTCTGCCGGTCCGCAACTGGCAACTTCTCAACTATCATCTTCGGAAACGATTCAACCGCAGCTGATCAGGGCAAAATCAAGAAGCACAGACAAACAAAAGGTATTGCCTAGGGACTCGACCAATTCGCTGCACTTGTACGATATGCAAATTTCGCAGCATCTGCGTACACGATCACAAGTTTCAGAACCTTCAAGTGCGAGCGAGCCAGATAGACAAAATCGCCATACACACGCAAGTCTCAACAGCATCGTGCTCTCCTCTATGGGCCCTGAACGCTGCAAGAGCATATCTAGCTCTGGTTTTGCCGGCTCGGCTGGACCTTCTACCTGGGAAAAGGTTCTTGAGGACGAATCTTCATCCATATACAGTCGCAGGCCAAGCACCGCCTTGGATGTCCCGCTCGTGCCTCTAACAGGGCACATATCTGATCTCTCTCACAAGTCTATCCAAGAGAGATCGATAGCCTCTGATATGTCCAAACATTCCAACCAGAGTAAAGAGAACACTTTTCGTCAAGCAGAAAGGGTTATCTCTGTGTCTACTGGCATTAGCTTTGTTGCAAGTGGTTCGGTATCTCATCCTGATCTCAGAGAGTCTGCATCCGTGAGCAGCTCAGCTTGTGTCAATACTTGGCCTGATCACAAGGCGACGTGCTCCCNNCTTCCAANNAAAAGCGACAGTTCAGGAAGCCTCGGAAAGCTAAGCAAATTCAAGGAAGATCTCAATGATGCTTCCACTGTTCCAAACTCTAGGAAGAAGCGCCGCTCGATCTTGCGTATGTTATTCCCTGGACTCACACGATCGAAACTTCGAAGCACCAGCACGCCATTGCTCGGTGGCCGTACCCAATCTTCTCTCAATCAGACTTACGACGGGACTGGAGACGCTCAAGACTTTCTGTCTGTGCCACAGTCCTCCTCTAAGCCACAGGGTGCTCAGCGAGCGGCCAGCTTTGCTGACAACGCGGAGCTGAGGCCTGCCAGCGCACGCTCAATTAGTTCCTTGGCCGCCACACCATCTCTGCGGTCACGCCAATCCTTGGTGAACTATGAAAGAAGTCTTTCTATTGTGGGTGATAACCGTCGCCGCAAGTCGACTTTAGGAGGACCAAAGATTGGAGGAAATGCGGCTGAAGATCAAGGTGATTATCCAGAACGAACCCTACGTCGCGCCAGCCCTCTTCTCAGTCCTAGCAGAAAGGGGACAGAAGAAGCCTTGATGGAAAAGGCGCTGCTACAACATCAGGCAGAGAAAGCAGCTCTTCTCCGTCCAAGCAACCTGAAGATCGAGACCGCGCCGACCCCACGACATGCACCTGTTTTCATGAGCCCTTTCGGTTTCCAATCTACCAGTGAAGCAAGATTGACAGCAGCGACGCTCGAGGAACTCGACCCGTTAGAAGCCGAAGAGCCACAAGCTGTTCGCAAAAGTCAAAGTATGCAAGATCTTACATCCTCCGAAGATGTTGTTGCCCAATCTCTCCAGTCTCGTGGCAAGAAACGCAGCACCATCTGGACCATGGACACTGCTATCACAAAGGGCACCAAATCACATCTTCGTGCAGTTGCTCCACCACATGCCTGGAGTCAGTATCCATCTCATACACGAGAACGACGCTGTAGTTCAGCTGGGCGCCATGATGATATAATCTGTCGAGATTTTGCTCATGGCCAAACGCCATGCAACATAGACCAAGCAGTCTCCGTTGAGACAACGAAATCGCATCAGGTCTGGCCACGTCTGGTCAATTCCAAAAGAAGAAACTGGATCGCGAAATCGCGGTCGATGACATTCGGGACAGTCTTCCGCTACTATTCTAATCTTCTTACTTCCTCAGCAGCCCGTAACCGCCGGTCGTCCACGGCAACAGGTGGTAGGCTTGAACACCCAGAGCTCGAAGTCTTGCCTCCAGTGCTACCGGTACATCCGATGTCCTCTGCGCACTCAGGACTTGAGGACCAATTCTCTCGTTCCACGGATCATCAAGAAGCAGAAGGCCATGACATCAAAGACGGGCTTGGTTTTTACCACCACCGTTCTCAAAAGTCAACATCGATTGTAAACAGGTCTCCATCCGAACACGCCCCAACCGTCCCTTGTCTGTATGACGGATCACAGTCTTTGCACAGTCAGGCAGCAACTGACTTGCGATCGGGAGACCACTCCGAGGATATGTCTATTCTGCCTGATGCACTAGACGGAAATGTCGAGGACAAGCCTGCAGAACCGGACAGAGCACTGAGCGCACGAAGATTGTCTCGAATGTACCAAGCTTACGTGCAGCTTCCGACTTCCCTGAACAATACTGAAATGGAGCAAAATGGTGCTATAGATGAATCCAGCCATACCTCAGACGAACCTACCATTGCCGAGTCGCCTGACGTTGGTTCAAAGATGTCCACCACCGCGTTCCTGACTGTCCCGTCTCCCAAAGAACGTTCGTCCTCGGGTCCAATAACTCGTCACTTCCNNCCCTCGGTCACTGTGGTTGACGACCGCAAAGGACATTGGCGTAGTGTCAGTCTGTTGTCGGTGGACTCTGGAAGAAGTATCCGTAAGAGCACCAGAGATCTTTTGGACGTTGTAAGAGCAACGCAAACACAGGAGCTTGCGAAGTTGTTGAACACGTCTGAGACTTCGATCACGGATGCAAACACCTTGGATGGGTACTGAGTTTTCGCTTTTGTCAGAATTATACTTATTCCAGTTGTGTTGTCATCGGGAAGAAAGGGGTACTGGCAATACATAGCCAGAGTAGATTTTACTAGAGTATCCGCTCGCCTTTGCAGTTGAATAGCGTTATTCACGAGTATCAAGCGTATTTGTCATGACACGTCTTCTGCAGAGGATTCGCTTAAGGTATCAAACTAGTTAGGATCATTCAAGGTGAAGGTTGATGCTCAAGCTTCCATTGCCGTGCAAGGTTGGTCAATAGGCGAGGAAATGATGCACAATGTGTTGCCATGATATTTCTAGGTCTCAATACTCGTCAAGTTGATCTATGTGCTGAACTTGAAACCTCCGTTACAACTGATGACAGAGCCAGTGGTGTATGCAGCATCAGGAGTACAGAGCATAGCGATGACACCAGCAGTTTCGGATTCGTATGCCNNTAATTCACAAACGGTAAGTCTTCTGGATTCGTCTTTGAAGCATGGTGCAGCTCGACTTACAGGACGGCCTCCAGCAACCTCGGCGCCCTTGACCAAGTCCTCGCTGTCAACGCCAGGGCGGACGGCTGCCAGAGGTGTGTTCTTGAGCCAAGGCGAAATACCTTCTTGGAACTCTTTTGTGACTCCGCTCCACATATCNTACGAGGAATTGCACAGTCAGCATCGGGATGTAAGTGATAAAGAGCAGTGACACTTACCAGTCATGACAGGACCGGGGTTGATAGCGTTGACGGTGGTTCTCTCAGCCAACTCACGAGCCCAGGTGCGTGTCATAGCTTCCACGGCAGCCTTTGAACCTCCGTAGACACTCTGTTGGCTAAAGCCACAGCTGGCACTGACACTGCTAACATTGACGATGCGACCACTGCGGTCGGTAGGCAAGTACGGCAGAGCAGCCTTCATGAGGAAAAGAGGGCCTCTGACATTGACGCGGTACACAAAGTCAAAGTCTTCGGCATCGCAATCCTCGATAGGACGGTTGGACGCAACACCAGCATTGTTGATGATGATGTCGATTTGCAGCTTGCGTGTCTTGGGGTGGGCAAAGTGGTTCAATGCTGTAGCAATGAGGTGTGCAGGGCCATTCTCAGTGCCCATATCGGCTTGCACGGGCAAGGCCTTGATTCCATGCTCTTTCTGAAGACGCTCGGCCAATTGTGTGGTGATGGATTCGGACGAGTCGGAGGTGTAGTTCATGATCAGGNNGGAGCAGCCCTTGGATGCGAGGTTCTCGCATGTTGCGGCGCCGATACCTGAGTGTGTTCAATATACGTTCGACCTGAAATTCATGGCCAAATCATGCTTACCTCTAGAGGCACCAGTGACAATGGCAATCTTGCCATCTAGTACTCTGTATCCATTTCCACTGCCAAGATTGGTGGATGCGGTGCGGGTGACTCCTGGGCGAGACATGGTTGGTTGCAATGATCGGTTTTAGGCTTGGTCGTGTGATTGGGTGCAGGGTACGCTACCGGGTACTTGGTATACTATATTGTATACGTTATTGTGTCAAGATCGTGTTGGTGGGGTTAAATAGGTGACGACGAATGTGGGGAACTTCCTGTCTGTCCATTTAACCGGACCGGATAAATTACCATCTGCCTACCACGAGATGAATATTGCTGAACCATAACTTCAATAACCACTTCAATGAAAGCTACTGAACAGCAAACAGATAGAGCCTATAGCTCAACGCCGCACACTACGTCGAGAGCTGGAAAACATATCTGCTCTAGAGCTGAAACCTCTTGACGATGTTGAGCCGCCCTTAACGCCCCGTATATTGGCAAGTGCTCCATCGTAACTCGGCCCTTTCCTTGAGCGAGGAACATTAATGCTCGATGCCAAAGACGGAACTCTGGAAGGTAACGATTGAGGTCGGTTAGAATATTGAGACGACTGTATCGCCTCGTGCCTCGAACTAATCGTTGGCATTGAACTCTGTTGCATGTCTGGTCTCACGAACAAACCATTGGAATCTCTCGGGACTCGAGTCGCCGATTCCTGTACACGACCATCGAATGGCACGTCCAAGTCATAAATATGATCTCGATCAAGCTGCGGGTATTCGACGAAAGAAAGACCGTTCATCGTTTGAGATCGTGATTGAGAGCTGCTTTGGACAGGTTTCCGAGGGGGAGCCATCCTGAAACTTGACATCGTCTCTTGAGGTGCTCTTTGGATCATCGGAGACGAGATAGTATGGTGTTTCGGATTGCGGTTCTGGTCTGCTCGGAANAAGGGACTGATCACCGACATACTATCTGAATGTTGTATAGCATTGAATTGTTGTGGTGATGGAGTATAAGGTCTGTTTGGTTGACGATCGGCTGGTGGTCGAAAAACGTTGTCTCGGACTTGCGATACACGATACGGTGACTGATTTGCCCTTGGTAAAATGTTTTGAGCAGGCAATCGCTCGAATGATTGGTATTGACGATGGTTCGAACGCACTCCTTGGGCAGGCAACGGATGCTGACGAGCCGCTGGGTAAATATGGTATGGCTCTTGCGGCTGATAGAGCGTAGTGCGTGGTACAGATTCAACGTCTCCTGCAACACCATACTGCCGACGGGACGGCATACTCGTTAGGAGTCGCTCAGAAGTGACGAATTCTGATCTTGAGACATCATCGATGCTATCGACCGGTTGAATCTTCCTCTTTTGCTGCTTGGGAGGTCTGAAAGGCGCTGCTGGTTTTGCAAAGTCCGATCCATCTGACTGCAAGGCGCCACTCATGTAGGGACCCTCAGTCCTAGTGTCATTCTTGTGGTTGGTCTCTGTACCTTCCCATGGCTGCCAGATCTCACGCTGAGTGCCTATCATCTGAGGACTAGCGCGCACATCATCGCTTCGATCGACAAAGGTGAATTGCCGGTTGTTGCTCTGGTATGGCATCGGTGGTGGTTGAAAATGTGTACTTCTCGAGGCGGCCTTCTGCGTGATCAGAGATGCAGGTGGAAGCCTTATTCCATGCCGCTTCTGGGCTGGTAAATTTCTCGGTGGGCTCTGCATATTCTGCGGTATGTAGCGATAATCGGCGATTTTCTGCCTCTTGTTTTCGGTTCTCTGAACATCATCTTCGACATCTCGCACAATATTAGAAGACGTTTTACACCAAATACTTTCGTCTTGCTTACATGTCCTTGAGGAGTCAGCTCGTAGGGTGGTGCTCGAGACACTGGGGATGTGATCCTCAATGATCCTTTGGTCGGCTCGATCAACGCGCTCGCTACGTCCAGTATGTGAGGTTGTCGCTCGGCCATTGGACATGTCATCCTCGAACAGGCGTGAAGGAGGAAAGGTGTAATCGATTTGAGGAGGAGGGTAACCCAGTGCGCTCAAGTCTGCATTACGACGGTCCAGCTCTCTATTTGGTATGGTCAGAGAACACCGAATTGATAAAGAAGTATCAGACTTACTTTTGACCAAGGCAAACTGCTCAAGATAATGCTTGATCTCAGGCTCTTTGGCTTTGTATCTTCTCTCTGTCTCCTCTGCTAACCTGATTCGCTCCGTCAATGTTTGAATTTCTGTCTCAGCCTCTGTCTTTTCCAGCTTCAATCGATCTGTCTGGTCTTTGAGGTGAGAGTGTGCTGTCTGCAGGTTACGAAACTTGGTGGCGATTGCAATTCCGTATGTTACGAGGCCGAGAAACTGAAACTAAACGACTGTTAGCTGTACTTCGCACATTACTGAATATTTGGCACCATACTCGTAGCGCATCCATGCCGCCCTCTTTGCTATCAAGGGCTACAGGCGGACATTGGAAGAAATGGTGAGGGATCTCCGAGTCGTATTGACCCTTGGAGAAGCCATTAACGGCATANNCATCTGCTTGAGCGCACGATTGTTCTGCCTGTTGACACACACGGGACAGACGGCGCGGGGTGGCTGGCCAGCAGGATGGAATGGAGGAGCNTGTTGTCCACATAAGGATCGTACCGAAAGCAGAGAGCACTCACACTTACCTCCACCCTCGAGGTGTTTTGCACATATGAGATGTGCGCATTCAGTCATCCAGAGCTTGGCAACTGGTTTTCGGGCGCCTTCGAGTTCCTTCTCATCCGGCAGGGGGCTGTGTATGTCGCTAATGGAGTCATGGCAGATGTTACAGCTGAAGATAAGATCAAGTGGCTGAAAATGCTTAGCAGAGTCAGGTTCGACGGCCATAATATTTGGTTGTGGTTACGATTGAATGGGTTAGTTTTCATCGTTGTAAAAGAGGTAGAGTTCATGCAGGCCGCTGTGCTTGAGTTGGGCGTGCCTGCCTGTTTTGAACCAAATCGGGGCAAAGTCTAGGAAGGTGCCTGCCTATGCACACGCTTACAACACCACGTGCCATGCTTTATCACAATCAAAACTAGATCGCCTTTAGAGTCAACCGGAGATTTAGAAGAGGCAGTATTTCAATACATGTCGAATTTGGAATGTCTAAAGAAAGGAAAATGTACATGTTCGATGCATCTACTCGAACGTTCTGCAAGGGTAGCTGGAGCAAGTTAGTAAACTTGGCGTGCTTGACGAAAGGCATTTGGGACGCGTACTTTGTGCTGTAAGACTGCTCCTTAAGCATCTCGTAGCGCTTTGGGGTGGATGAAGGGTATCTTGAGGTAGGGAATGGAGGCAGTCCGTTGGGGCCCAGCACACTGAGACCAGCCTTGTTGTCCTTTTGGAAGAAGGCCGAGAGACCCTTCTCACCCTCCTCCTTCAACGAGACCAACTGCTTGGCGCCAGCATCACCGATTTGCAGCACGTTCTCCTTGGGGTTTTGTGCACTTCCGACAGTCAAGAGGCCGACAACGTCGGGCTGTTTGACAACGCTGAGCTTGGGGTATTGTCTGCGGACGTCGCGCTTCCAGTAAGGGTTCTCGGCAAGGTCGGCAGCGGGGACGGTAGTAGGGTCGTCGTAGAGCTTGGGATCCACGGTACCAGGCGAGGGCAGACGGTACTGAGGGTTGAGAGGGATACCCGAGGAGCGCTTGGGGTCGACAGCGAAGAAGTCACCGATGCGCTTCCAGATGCCGGTCGGTTGCACAGTGTATTTCTTGTAGGCGGCGTGCTTGCCGGCAGCCGAAGAGGCCAACTTCTTGAGCTCGGCGACCATGTTGGATGTGAATTGGGTATGCGACGGTCCAAAGGCGACGATGAATTGACGACGACGAGCTTGGCCGATGTTCAAATGCCTTGTTCGGGATTGGATGGGACGTTGTCCGTGCGCTCACTTCACTCGCGTCCCTCCAACACCAGACTACCACGCAACCTCTACCCAAGGTAGAAGAAGAATTCCTTCTCTGTGTTTTTGTTGGAAAATCACAAGGAGCGAACAAATAGTTGCATCATGAGCACCACAACAAGTTCACTGCGCAGCATCCTGCCACAACTCGAGGCAGCTCTAAAGTCTTTCCAATCATCTGATTCCAAGTTTCGCATTGTCCGAAGTATCAATCCTTCTGCTACAAGCCCGCCGTCTCCAAAGACTCTTTTTATCCTCGATTCCTCGTTCAACCCACCATCTAAAGCCCACTTGGCTCTTGCCAAATCTGCCTTACACTCTTCTTCAACCAAGCATCATCAGTCTCCATACAGGCTGCTCCTTCTTTTCAGCACCCACAATGCCGACAAGGCTCCCTCTGCGGCCTCATTCTCTCAGCGTCTGGCTCTCATGACCATCTTTGCTGAGGATCTGCTGAAAGATCTTCAGAGTGCGGCCGACCACAGAGACTATGCACTGCCGACGGTTGACATTGGCTTGACCACTGCTCCTTATTACACCAACAAGAGCTTAGCCATCTCAAAAGAGGGCTCTGAGCACTATCCGGACTCTCCCAAGCATGTCCATCTTCTGGGCTTTGACACTATTACTCGCTTCTTCGCAGCCAAGTACTATCCTAACTTTAGCCCGCCACTCTCGGCGCTCAATCCTTACTTCGATGCAGGACATCGGCTGCGTGTGACTCTGCGACCTTCTGATGAGTATGGTACAGTCGAGTCGCAGCAGGAATTCGTAAACTCGTTGGCCAGGGGTGACATGGAATCTGATGGAGGCAAACGGGAATGGGCTTCACAAATTGAAGTAGTACATGCCGAAGAAGGTGTGGGTGTAAGTAGCACGAGGGTCAGAAAGGCAGCTAAGCAACAAGACTGGGACGAAGTCCAACAGCTGTGCACGCNNAGGGGAGTCGGAAAGGCTGTGATGGAGGATACGATTTATGAAAGCGATGACCGAGGAGCCAAGATGGTCTAATATTACTCACAAACATCATGACAATAGACCCTCCCCGTATGCTATGGACTATCGCAGTATAGCTATACAAATGCACAATACTTTCGCAAGAGATGTGGCCATCCAAGAGTACCCTTTGAAGGCTATTCTCACGGCCTCGTGTTCAGATTGCAACTGTGCATTTCAATAACTCATAGAGAAACATTGTCGGGATGGGGATGGAGCGAATCGCAAGATTGTGACAGTCTTTGACACACGGAGAAAACTATGATATGCACGTGAACCTGAATTGGTGAATTTGAGTGTGTCCTTTTGAATTTCTCTTGATATATGCCACAGGCCATCTCGAAATGTTTGCACCATTTTCTGGCGCGCAGGACGAGTCGAGTGGACCCCCGCGTGATGCTTCGCGCATTATGTACCGTAACAGCCAACGCGGGCGGGAGTCTGGTCTTTTGAGTCGTATGTTCGTGTCCTAGATACCATGTACAGAGGGAGGGAAGAGTAGGTCCGGGCGCATCGATTTCGAGGGGCGATGGCCGAATGAATCCGTTGCTCAGTTGGCGACCCACATGACACAGACGACAACATCCATGCCCTTGGCTTCGCCACCTTCGTACTTGTAGTTCCAGATGCCGTCCTTCTCGGTGTTCCAGTATGCGCCAGTAGCAGAGTGCATACCACGGCGACCAACGGTGGCAGTAGAGGGNGTTGCGTCGGAGCCAGCGGGACGTGGGTCGGTCAAGTGCTGGATAATGGTCGAGTTGACAGCGAACTTGTACTGGGTTTCACCCTTAGATTCGGAGATGAGAGCGGTCAGGATGGATTTNCTATGGAGCGCGTCAGATGGTGAACGACATAAAGGACATAGTGCGAGGCGAACGATAATCTCTGAGTTCCACTGCTCTGTTTGGGCGTGGTTGTATGTAGTGGCACTGTTGAACGCATTATCGCAAGCNCTATCCAGTGTCAGTACTGGTATGTGATGTTTCGTGATCGCGGCGCATACGTCGGCAGCGATCTGGCTGAGGCGGGTCTCGGTAACAGGCTAGATAACAAAAGTCAGATGGCAACAGCACATGCGGGATGGCCACGGCGTACGCAGGTAGACATTTTGACGGTGTGGGCGAGAGTAGTGGTATGCGACGGTGAATCGATGCGTCAATGGGTTGGTTTGTTTACTGCCAGTGTGATGATGACCCTAAGTTTATCGCAGCGGAACACTGCTCCCGCATGCGTCCGAGCTTCACAGTATAGCTATCGAAATGCACAATATCTTTCGTCCTGGAGGTGTGGCCATGGAAACAACCTGATACAACTTGATCTCAGTGGTAGTACTTCTTTTATACAAAACATTGTGCATCCTTATAGCTGGAATAATTGTATGCCACCGTTGGAGATAAAGCTTATAGAAGTGTGAGGCAGTAAAGAAGCGTGGGGCTCTATGCTTTGGCTCATGCAAGGCTGATTGTGACCACTTGAAAGGTTGAATGGGACAAGAGTAACAAGCATCTGTCCTCTGCTACGATCATTTCCTCTGCTACTCGTGTTCACGATAGGTATGAACCGATTGATATCCGAAGCATTTATAAACTCTCCCTGTTTCTCACTCGTGCAATCTGCGAGAACGTCTGGGGTTGGACAAGCGTTCGAGCAACGACACACGAGACCTCACAACAAATGGATGTATACAGTGGCTGCCCACTCCAATGAACAAGGCTGCTGAGCTAGACGGCCGCCAAATAAATGAGCATTGGGAAAAGATTGGTTGGCCTTTTTAATATGGCGACGAAGAAAATCAGGCATGTCGCTGCATAGCAAGGATCCTGACCAATCACACGACGCTGGACGGACACGAGTGTCCGTCCAGCGTCATGCTCGAGCATTTCGCTGCATCAATTGATTGCATGTTTTTTCTTCGCCAGTCCTTCTGAAAGCTCAGCTATCCATTGACGACAGTCGTTCGCACTATTTGCAGTTCTTACGACCAATTCGACTTCTCAGCCACCTCACATCGCCATCATGTCTTCGCAACCACTTCTCCAGACCGCACNNCCGGTATACACCCCTCATCGAAGCTTGTCGCGACCCAACAAGCTCGAATACTGACTCGATCTGTCTACAGGCAAGCGCATCGCCCTTCCCACTCGCGTTGAGCCCAAGGTCTTCTTCGCCAACGAACGTACCTTTCTCAGTTGGCTAAACTTCACTGTCATCCTGGGCGGTCTCGCCGTCGGTCTTCTCAACTTTGGCGACAAGGTCGGCCAGATCTCTGCTGGTCTCTTCACTCTGGTTGCCATGGCCACTATGATCTATGCCTTGGTCACTTTCCACTGGAGAGCAAAGAGCATTCGTCTGAGAGGTCAGAGTGGTTTCGACGACCGCTTCGGTCCCACTGTTCTGGCCATTGCCCTGTTGGCCGCTGTCATTGTCAACTTTGTCCTCCGTGTCACCGGAGCTGGTGGCAGCCACAAGTGAGAGCTTTCGTAGCCTGCGGATGCGACCAAATCACCAATACCGTCAAACTCAAAACCAACAACCACAATATAGACTGGCCAACGAGCTGCATTACAGCTGTTGTCCCACCACCGCGCGGTCACTTTGTATCGTTATGATATGTATACTGAGATTCCCCGAACAATTTTCGGCGTTCAGGAGCGGGGTTTTTGCATGTATCAATTTGAAAGGCACTTCGGAGTATAAATGTACATAATCACAAGATCGAGGCGTTGGATACCGTCCTCAAAACAGAGTTGTACTCTCTATGGTTTCGTCATTCACTCATCTCTATTGTCTAGCAAAATCTGATATGTTGTGGAAGAAGTTCAAAGCCAATCAGCTTTGGATCTCCTCTTCCTTCCAGCCACCAACTTTTCTTCCGCCTTCCTTGCGCTTGACTCTACACCACATGCCGACTTCCTTGTCCATGATGAATTGCCAGATGACACCAACCCAGCTACGATGGTAGGGCAGGTCCTGGTAGAATTCCTTAGCAATCTCGTTGACCTTCCAGAGTCTGGTCCAAGGAATAGCGGGGAAGTCGTGGTGCTCGTTGTGCAGCCCAACGTTGTAGGTCAAAAGGTTGAGAGGTCCATAGTAGGAGAAAGTCTCAGGGACCGGAATGCGTTGTTTGGGATCGCGCGCCTGCTTGTTCTCGAGGGAGGCGCGGTCGAAGACGTAGTGCTCTGCAATAAAGTGACCAGCCACAGGGTGCAAAGATCCGGCTAGGAAACTGCTCAAGATGAAGTATCCAACTGCTTTGCCTCCCCATGCCTGAATAAGGACATAATCGAAGAGAAGCTGGACAGCAATGTTGAGAGCATGAATCTTGGTCAGAGGGATCTGGTAGACCATCATAGGTCGTAGAGCGTAGAACAGAATCTGGAAGGTGCAGAAGAAGGCCTTGCCGGCAATGGAGTCGAGGAAGAAGGCCTCAAGAGCGGTAGGCAAGTCGGTGTCGAGGCCATCGACGCCGAGTGATTTGTGATGGGTCAAGTGGTAGGGNCTAGGAGGAGTCAGTGCTGCCTTTGAAAGAAGTATTGGAAGCCGACATACTCTGAAAGAGGCCGAGTATGGAATACCGATGGGCAGGTTGGCGACGATAGCGAAGAGTCGGTTCGCTAGACCAGATTTGAATGCAAGGTTGTGCGAGATTTCATGGATGGCCAGGAAAAGGTTCTGGTTGGCAGTGGCACCAATGATGTAGGCGGTGAGCCAGAATCGCCAGGACCAGAAAGGAGTGTTGCTGAGGAGGTAGGCACATGTGCATTGGAGGCCTACCACTGCGAGGACAAGGGGAATCGTCAAAGGTTCGGGTCCGCACAGTTTGAGCACNCTGTAGGTGAGGTGTCAGCTTGGTCCAAGGAACTGCCAACCAGGAGCAGCAACTACCTCAGGATGAGCCTTGATAATGGCCATGCGGCGCGAACGGTGAGGTTCCTCCGTGTAAGACCAGAAGAATTGGTCATCCTGGTCCTGTTGCTTTTGCGGTGCCGGGTCGCTAGAGCTCTTCATGTTGACTCGGAGTGTGGGTGACTGCTCGCCCGCGAGCGTCGTGGTGGTAGCGATCGTGCTGGCGGCCATTGCTACTCGAGTAGATTGACAAGAAAGAATGGACTGGACAATGGCACGACAGACCAAACACGAAGCATCTTTCGACTTTTAACAGACAGTGCTCCGCCTCGCTCACCTTGTGGAGAAGGGTCTCGTACCTGTACGCGTAAAGTTCCACCTTTTCCAAGGGGAACCTCCTGAGATCACCCGGTCGCTGGTCGAGGCCCGCCCATTCGCCGCCAACTCTAATCCTTGCTGCCTGTGCGACCCTGCTGGAGATATACCCGACTTGCGGTGTCATCGTCACCTATCATTTCAGATACTAGGAGCTACCAAACCATAAGGATTCCTCCGTAGAGTCCCTCTCAAAAGCCCTTGTTAGTCTGTTGCTAACATAAATGTAGTTATAAGCAATAAATAGGAAGTTGCCTGAAAACTGTTGTACACCCTTGTCAGAGTGTTGATCGAGGCCATGATCTCGACGAGTACTTGCGAAGAGACAATATCTCATGGTGCGGTGATACACCGATACATCCATCAACATACAAGGTGAATATAGTGCAATGCTCCAAGACACCGCCTTGTCGAACGAGAGCAGATCCGTATCATATGAGGTAGGTAGGCATCGCGACGTTGAGAACCCTCCGCTTCCAGGCGTTGAGAACACACCATGACTTGGCAGACGTGCTAATCATCTAGGGGACATGACCAAAGACGTGCACCTCCATGACCAAAATCCTCACAGCGTGAACTCTGTGATGAATCAGCTGTATGAGCACTTGGTGTCATCGGAACGGCGCATATAATCGAGCATACAACGATGTACCCTCACAGAAACACCGTCTGATCACAGCAAAGCAGGCATGCTTAACGACCACAGGACGCATGATATATTAGCCTAGCCTATCTCTTCGGACACGCCACCATGGCGAGCACTGTACCGAAAACCATCAACCCCGACGAAGAAATTAATGCATCGGAGCTCGAAACCAGCTCAACTGCAAAAGGCCTGCATAGTCACGAGCCAGCGCATGACAGTGAACCATGCCAGATGCATACATCAGAAGCACACGATGGCTTGAACACTGCGGGCATTACTGCTATGGATCACGCCGACAAAGACCAAAATGGCCATGCGAAGGACGAATTCGCGTCCACACTAGATCTTGATGGTGCTGCATCACATGAAAGGCTCACAGAAGACACCGAACGAGTAGCGTCCGACGTCGAATCGGCACATAAGAGTGTCAACGAGCAAGCAAAGAACGGCTCTCAGATTCCTCATCAGCAACAACCGACTCTCCACAGAATGCACAAGTTCACACTGTATGAGACCAATGCTCGATATTGGATAACTGGTTCAGATATCACGGACAAGTATTACAAAGTGTTGAAGATTGACCGCACCGCACCTCCAGGTCAACTATCCGTTTTCGAGGACGAAATTGTGTACAGCAAANAGGAAGTCACACAACTTCTTACGACGATCGATGATGGCAACAAGGCTACTGGAGGACTGCGCGTCAAGTGTAGCTTCTGGGGCATTCTGGGCTTTATCAGATTCACAGACTCGTACTACGTCTTGCTCATCACCAAGCGCCAGCAAGTCGCGATGATTGGCGGCCACTACATATACCAGGTCGATGGCACTGAGCTGTTCCCTCTAACTGTCGGTGCCGGCTCTCGCTTTGCTCGAGAACGAAACGCCGAAGAAGGCCGCTTTNTGGGAATATTGAACAACCTCGACCTTACACGCTCGTTCTACTTCAGCTATTCGTATGACATCACCCGTACACTGCAGTACAATATCATCCGACAGCGCAACGCACTCAACCAGGGAATCCAACAGCCCGGTCATGCTTACGACGACATGTTTGTGTGGAACCATCACCTCCTGAGTCCGGCAGTGAAACATCTGAAGAATGCTTTCGACTGGTGTCTACCCATCATACATGGTTTCATTGACCAGTCGTCTCTCGACGTTNTTGGCCGCACCATTTACATAACTATAATCGGGCGACGATCACGCTTTTTCGCTGGTGCACGCTTCCTCAAGCGCGGAGCTAACGACCTTGGATATGTGGCCAATGATGTGGAGACCGAACAGATTGTCTCAGAGATGCTTACGACCTCCTTCCATGCTCCTGGGCCTAAAATGTTCTCGAATCCAAACTATACCTCGTATGTTCACCACAGAGGCAGTATTCCCCTTTATTGGACTCAGGACAACAGCGGTGTCTCTCCCAAGCCAGACATAGATGTCAACATGACAGATCCGTTTTATCAGCCGGCGGCCATGCACTTTGACAACCTCTTCAAACGTTATGGGTGTCCTGTCTATGTTTTGAACCTGATAAAGTCTCGCGAGAGAACAGCGCGAGAGTCGAAGCTTCTCACAGAGTTCCAGAATGCTCTAGCTTACCTCAACCAGTTCTTGCCCGACGACAAGAAGATACAGTACAAGGCTTTCGATATGAGCCGGGCTGCGAAGACAAGAGGTGGGGACGTCATCGGTACGCTTGAAGTGATTGCAGAGGAAATCATGCAACAGACTGGGTTCTTCCACAATGGAGATTCGGAAGATGGATTACCTCAAGTGCAGAATGGCGTGGCTCGAACGAATTGTATTGACTGTCTGGACCGTACCAATGCAGCACAATTCGTCATTGGCAAGCGCGCTCTTGGGCATCAATTACGAGCACTAGGCGTGATACCGACTGCGGATATGGAGTACGACTCCGACGCCGTCAATGTCTTCACACACATGTTTCACGACCACGGAGATACCATAGCCATACAATATGGTGGATCTCACCTGGTCAACACCATGGCCACGTATAGAAAGATCAACCACTGGCACAGTCAATCAAGAGATATGGTGGAAAGCTTCAAGCGATACTACCACAACTCGTTCCTCGACTCTCAACGGCAAGAGGCATACAACTTGTTCCTCGGTAATTACATATGGGCACAAGGTCAACCCATGCTCTGGGATCTCTCCACGGATTATTATCTGCATCATACAGATCCCAAGAAATGGCTGGATCGTCCTCGTAAGAGCTACATAAATTGGTTCACGCCAGAGCATCTTGAGCGACGAACACTGCCGCCAACGACCCAGCGCAGCCAGATTACAAAACAAAGCCAGCATCCCGCAGAATATGATGACTACTGGCTGGAGTACTACAGACCTCTTGCTGTGTCATCGTTTGTCAAGGTATATTCTTACAAGATGAACACGAACCATCGATTCCTGCCCGAGAGGCCGAGCAAAGACACAAAGTACGACTTCAGCCCATTCACTCCTCGCATCGACCTAAGCAGGAACTCGCCCGACTCGCCAGAGAAGAAGCCTCCGCGTAAAGGTGTGACGATCGTAGACCCGCAGAGCGAAAACGAGGTTGGGCATCAACAGCCCGGCAAGAGTGCTGCGGTGACAACAATACCGGAAGGCATCCTGCGCGACACAACAGCAGAACGTACGACAGTAGATCCAGAAAACCAGAAGTCGGTCAAGATTGCGGATAAGGCTGCGATCACACAAATGACTTTGAACCGTATCTATGAACACTCGCTCAACCCTTCTGTCACAGCCGAAGAGACGAATGAGTATGAACGTTACATCACACACCCGACTAAAATTCCGCTGGTCGTGTCGACCGAGCTGCCGCCAGAGACGACTCTCAACCTAGATTTTGTGGACTATGTCAATAGTGGAAAGGCAGGCGTTGACTCTGGTGATGAGGGCAGTAATGGCGTACTGGAGCCCAGTGACGAAGACTTGGCCGAGTTTGCCGATTTTCTGACCGTCAGAGAAGATCCGTTGACTGTTTGGGAAGAAGATGGAGGCAAGAAGAGATACAAAGCATACCGCCAGTGGCTCAAAGGCAAAAGTCTGTTCAAGCAAAGCAAGGTGGATCCGGAGTACCGACAGTGAGATTCAAGTAGACGTGTAGTTCAGGGCATGCGCTTGTTATTCAGTGTACATGGTGCACTTGATACTGTGTAGACTAATGATACACCAATCACCTATCTCAGGTTGAAACAAAGAAAGAATAACCCTAACCACGAATTCTTGCAGTCGTATATGTCAATCCTAACTTTTCATCCTCGGCCTGGTATCGCTAAGAACAGGAGCTAGAATTGCCGCATTATGTTGATCTTAGGGCCTCAAAGCGGCAAAGATGGCAAATCATCCTATCCAAAGTTCTTGTTCTGGTAAGACTGACGTGCAAAGGGTAATACGTACTCCTTGTCAAATGGAGTCTCGGGAGTATCATTCCTCATCGGCGAGTCGACAACAGACTCGACAGACTTCTGTCTGGGACTGGCCTCGACTTCAGAGGCAATCGAGTTTGTCAGAGCCGTATTGAACATGTCCAGACGGAAGGGAGAGTCGAGACCAGAAGGAGTTGTGACATGAGTATTGCCATATGTGCTCTCTGGCTTGACCTGTGCGAATGGATTGAAGGCGTCAGGACGAGGGATTGGGTTGTAGCCGTGGTAGGGAGAAGGGTGACCATGGTTGTTGATGTGTTCTGGCTTGCTGATGTCGCTGCGCTCTTGAACATAGGGGCTCGAAGTGTTTGCGTGGCCGTAGGTACGGAAGTTGAAGGGAGCGGCGTTGGTAGGATGAGCTGGTGTGTGCTGGTCGTCTCCATAGCCATAGTCTCTGCGTTCCATCTTGGCTGGACCGAGGTATGCACCTCCATTTGAGTTAGGATATGGTGCAAGTGCATGCTGCTCAACTGAGGAAGGAACGTAGGCCAAGCTGGTGGCTCCAGACTTGACAACACCTCCCAGGTCGACGGGAGTGGATTCTTCCTGCAGATTGGGATGAGACTCGTTGGTCTGGTTCTTGAAGTAGGGAGTGTCACCAACTTCACGAGCTCCGGCGTTGACCACCCCNTCCTCCTGCTCATCATCGCATTCCTCCTTNTTGCCCCAGAAGTCATATTCCTCGTTCTTGATCATTGCAGTGTCTTCATCCTTGATCAAGGTGCCGTCTTCATTCTTGATCATCAATCCTTCCTCACGCTTGATGCGCATCATGCGGGCGCGGAGACGCTGCATCAATGGCACATCATCAAGAGATTCATCATCATCATCTTCGCCCTCATGAGCGTACAGCTTGTCCTTGGCTTTGAACGGGTTGAGTCGACGCTTTCGGTCCTTCTCCTTGAAGCCTTCTTTGCTAGACTCTGCTTCGAGTGCTTGACGAAGACGCATCAAGCGCATGCGAGCAGCGGGAGCTTTGATCTGAAAGTAGGAAGCGACCTCATGGAAATCGACNCTGAAACAGAGTCAGCAAGACGGTTATTGTTGGCATGACGTGGATGCGTGAAAACTTACCGTACTGAAGTTTGAGTGCTTGAAGCAGATGTACAGAAATCGCAGATTGAGCTCAGTGTCAATCTTTGCAGGCATCCTGTTGGTTGATGGTTACGGGTTATGATTATGCGTGAGAAGTTATCGATGTCAGATACAGTGTTCCAATCAGAGCCTGGTGCGGCCACCTTAAGTAGGCAATAACATGCTGTATCAAGCTACAGATAGATTCTACCAGAATCTGCGCCCCTTGTCAGACAAACAATGGGGTGGCAGACGAATGAGCTCGTATGACTTTCAAAATCATAGTCAGCCGCTTGCCATCAAGCCGATCCATGGTTCATTTCAACAAGGTATCTTTGAAAATGTCGAGAGCAAAATGGTAGTACTATCCAGATCTTCATTTAGCACTAACAAAAACAGGTGCAAACTGCAAACCGGAACGATATAGCACTGTTTGACGTGAAAGATCAGGCACCCGCACAAAGGGGTGAAATTCGTGTTTTGACACAATGCTAGTCGATTACGGGATTTCAAGACTGGTTGTGAAGGTTTCTGCAGCACGTAAGTTGATTCAAAAGCAGTGTTCATTACTGCAAAGTATGGAGAACAGATGGAAGCAGGCCAGCCTGCTTGTATCTTGGAGCCCTTCAGGTCAGTGGACCACTACGTTTGCTGTGTAAGGCCTTGTGCAATAAGGCCAGAGAAATCTACACCAGCCTCACCTAGGACAGCAGCCTGTTCTCGAACGACATCAATGCACTCATTCCATAAAGAGCTTCCTCTTTCCACACTACTGAGTTGGCGATTCAAACTCTCGTTGAACTCATCAATTCTTTCTTTAGCCCACTTGACAACTGCTGATGATGATGTTGGAGGAAATGATGATGAGAAAGTGCGCAAAGTATGCAATATGATCGCAAACGTGACATAAGAGAGGGCAGTCAGGTGCGGAGGCAGAGATCCGGTGAAAGGAATTTGTCTAGTGGTTGTTAGCGATTGGAGGGAAGTAAGCACAAGCATCACGAACCTCGCTCTCTTCCGTAGAACCTCCTTACGAGATTCTAGATAGGCAGATCGAGCCGTTTCCTCAAATCCGAGCCTCATAAGCCAACCAACATTTTCCTTAGTAGCCGCTGCACCAGAGTTGGTATCTTTGAGTCGCCTGGCCAGCATGGTGGCCAACTTAGCGCCACGTTGGTCTACCTTTGAGAGAATGATATCCTGAGCAACATTGTTTCCCTTGATGTTCTTTGCCAATTTGCGCAACTTCTCACTCAGAGTAACAGCATCATCAAAATGTTGCAGTGCTATGCTAAGATCTAGTGCGTCCACCTGGTTCTCAACCCAACGTAGAGTTTGCTGTTTGCCGTCGACATCAATCAGCGTTGAGGAAGAGTTCAGCGTGGTGCTATCTGTGTTTTGAGTCGAAGCCTTCTTGTAAAATCGAGATTGGCCTGTCAGAAAAGCGAGTTCATCCATGGCACGATCTCGATGGTCTTGATCTGCAGCCAAGGTTTTGCGAAGATCTTCGACTGATTTGCGGAAATGGACTAGCAAGGTGTTCACCTCCTGGCCGGCGTCAGAAGCACTTGATGAAGCTAAAGTCCAAGACTCGTTTCCGATGCGCACATTGAGAGCAGTGGTTATGTTATGTCGGTCATCAGTAGCACGTGTCGATATGTCAGTCATATGGATATCCTGAAGAGGCCAGCATCTCTCAGCGACGAGTTGGGTCTGTGTTTGAGCTTGCTGATAGACCGAAGCACGTTTACTTTGGGGGCTAGAGTTCATTCCAGGAGGATCAAAGCGCTTCTTTTCACTAGCCAAGAGTAAGTGGTCGTTGAGAAGGATGACATGAACACGGCGCCGAGGCTTCCAAGTGGCAGCATTTAGTTCAAGCCAGCGACCAGATTCGTAAACGATATGACGTCCGGGCACGGCAGGAAGAAACTTTTGAGAACCCTCGACGCGTTTCCACATGGCCTGCAAGTGGGTGGACCACAAAGCCTCGAGGTTAGCAACACTGCTACGATTTTGGCGCTTGCGACTTTGCTGTGCAGTCTGGTCGTCCTGGTTAGAGCCAGCAGAAGTAGCATGAGACAAGACGGCAGTAAGTTCGGACATGAGAGCTCTGAGAGTGTGCATCTCAGACTTGAGTTTGTCAGCTTCGTTGGAGATGTGAATGAACTGGGTGCGGTTTTGGTAGACATTGTGTTGCAAGTCGGTCGAGGTGCGGTTCTTGAGTTTGCGCAGATCCTGTTGGTAGGCGTGGATATCGGACTCGGAGGCATCTTGCAGCAGGATGCTCACATATTGGTCGGGCTGGAGGTCGGGATCGCGCAGAGCATTGACGTCGACTCTGATACGTTCGCCGCGACGGTCTGGCGAGCGATTGGGACGCGATTGGGCGAGGTGGGCAGGGATGTTGGGAACAGAGGGAGCTCGTTCGGCATCTTGAGGATAGTTGGCGAAGCGTGTCGAATAGCGGCGCTTGACTAAGTCGGCGGTACGGTCGGGACCACCTAGCGAGGGTCTCGGACGGGGTACGGCAAGACTGGTCTGGCTTGTCTGACTGTTGTTGCGAGGGGCGGTATCTGAGGACTGCGAGTGCTGCAATGGCGGAGGGTGTAGGGAGGGCGTCGAGTCGTCGTGCTGTGCAGGGACTATCTGGCGAGGGGCGCTGATCTGGGGACGTTTGGTCGTCTTCTTCTTGCGCAACGAGACAATTCCCTTTGCCTTTTCCGACATGTCGACAATGCAATGAGGACAGTGACAGTGACAGGGTGAGCAGCTGTGCTTGGGAGACGCGCCTGAATCAAGTGGTGGCTTGAGCTGACGCGGGCCGACGCGGATTTGGACTTGGATGTGGAGAACAAGGCACTGGGCAGGTGCAAGATTCCATGAAGCTGCTCGAGAAAAGTCCATCACCACTCGCCCTCCCACACGTGCATACCCACCCACAACCCATCACCACCTGTCGCCGTCTGCCACAACTTGCGCCCGTCTGACACCTCGCCAAACCCTCACACACACACGCACACTCCATCATGCCCTCAACAACACCCTCCTCAGGCATCCAGACGTCGACCATCGTCCTCGCAACTCTCGGCACCGTCACCACCGCTGCCCTCGCATACGCCGTCTACTTCGACTACAAGAGGCGATCCGACCCTGCCTTCCGCCGCTCGCTCAAGCGCCAGCAGAAGCAGGTCTCCAAGGCCGCCAAGGACGAGGCTGTTGCCGCCGAGAAGGGCCAGAAGGAAAAGATCCGCTCCGTTGTCGACAGCGCCAACGACGAAGGCTTCCCCACCGACCCCGAGAAGACCGAGGAGTACTTCATGACAGAGGTCGCCCGTGGTGAGCAGATGTGCCAAGATGGCTCCGACCCCGTCGATGCCGCCCTCTGCTTCTACAAGGCCCTCAAGGTCTACCCCCAACCCAGAGAGCTCATCAACATCTACGACAAGACCGTCCCCAAGGTACAACCTCCGCTAAAATGCTCTCCAACCCACTACTCGTGTACTGACATATCACAGCCCATCCTCGACATTCTCGCCGAGATGATTGCCGTCGACAGCAGCATAAAGGTCTCTGCTGCTCCCGAGTCCGAGCCCGTCGAGTAAATCTGTTTCTCGTCCACCTGAACCTCCCATCTACATCCTCTCCACGACACCTCAATGTTTCTCATCCTCCTCTTCATGCCTGTACCACCACCTCGTTCTGTACATATACCTCACGTTTTGGGTCTCAAAATCTTGCAAATCAGTCCTTTCTCCCATTCATTGGTCTAAAGCTCTCTCTGAATGCTACCTCCCATAAGAATGTTTGTTTCCGCTAACGCCACGCTCTTGTGAAATCTCCAACCACTTTTCTATGCAACCAAGTCACCGACGCCTTCGGGCCAATTGCCCCAAACCAATGCTCGATCACCCCATCTGCTGGGATGCGGTGCCAGGAACCGTACCTTTTCCTAGTTTCATCCACCTCGGCTACGTAGACAAATCCCATGACACAACTGTCGCGCACGTTATCCAGTGACGAGTTTCCCGAGCAGAACTTGACTGACAAGATTGCATTGACCATTCCTTGACTCGGTGTCACCTTCTCCAGTGATGTTGCAGGGCCTTGACCAGGCGCTGATTCGTCATCATAGTCCATACCAGGCATAAAGGAAGATTGCGCGTGTGATACCGAAGGATCCACTGCCTTGTAGACGGTCAAATCGCCAAAGTCCCACCATTGGCCGTGTGGGTTCAGTGATGTTCTGCTGTCCCCGAAAAAGTAGTTCTTAATTTGTTGCTGACGAGCTTGACGCATGAGTGCTTCATCTCCGGCCACGGCGCCGCCTGACTTTGATATGCGAAAGACGTGAACCACATCATCGGAGCTCTTGGGGCTGCCGAACTTGCGTAACAAATCGTTGTACAATCTCTCCGAGCCTAGTGTGAGAACGACGTTGATGCTGAATTCTGATATGATGTGCATGAGGAGATCGTAACCGCCTTTGGGTTGGTTGACACTTCCAGGTGTGTCGATTATGATGCCGCTCTGCTTTGCTTCGTCGTCTTCCTCGAGTCTGCTGGTGACAGCTAGAGCAGCGCGTGTAACCAGAGGTTTGAACATGCGCGTGTTGTCTTCGGGGGACGCAAAGGGAAGTGGTAGACCAGTGGTGTCTTGACAGGCACTCCAGTAGGACCAGAAACCGGACTGCTTCCCCAGCCATCTTCAACATCCAGCATGCTGCCCATTGTGACTGCACTCGGACTACCGGGGATGCTAAGTAGGCCTTCGCGTGGGTCCATGTTGACGACTGTCGGTGTCCTTCCCATCTTCAGGCTCCATGCCGTCAAGCACTTGAGCAAACTTGTCTTGCCGCTATCGTCAGGGCCTACGATCAGAACGCGAGGGCCGCCATTGCTGTCCCTGCCCGTTCCAGCATCGTCGCGCGCTGTTTCCAGCATGCCGTGGACGTTCAGCCATTCCACCATGGCCTCTGTTTCCGATCCGACATATTCACTGTCGACCTCGCCCTGCAGCTCTAAGGTGCAGCCATGCCATGTGAAAACAGCGCCTTTTGTTCCGCTGAAGGTGTAGGTTGTACTAGGCGCTAGCTCGCTGCCAAATATCTCTGCTGTTCCTCGTACTAGGCGCATGCGGTATGATTTGGCGAAAGCGACCTCGAAACGTAGTTCTGAGCGCGCGGGCAGCTCTTCGGTTCGTGGAGGCGCATGCGACCCAGCGTCTGGTTGTGGTGTCGCTGTCGATGGCGCCGAGAGGGACAAGCCAGGTAGAAGCGACATCGAAAGCGGCGCGAGAGTTGATATAATATTGTTGCTTGAGTTAAATTGATGTTCACGTATGCGTACCTAGCTTCGGATGGTGGGGGTTTCGGTAGAGGCTGGAATTTGCTACACATTTCAAGTACAACGACAACATTGCTCAATAGAACATTTTGCTCTCTTGTCAAACACTATGAAAGTGAATAAAACATCTGTTTATTGTCCGTGTTCGACAGTTCGACGAGAAGTTTCAATTAGGCAATAGTCATCGCTCATGCTAAAATCCAGCTCACTCGCGATCGACTTGCTTCATCAAGTTCTTCAAGACCTTGCGGACGCTACGTATACCAACCAGCATGTTTTCGTCTGGCCCTTGTCCGGGTGTCCATTCTGCATGAGCAAAGTCGATCATCTTGATGTCAAACAGCTTTGGATCAGCTCGCTCGTCCTCTTCGTCATCATCATCGTCTTCATCGACATCTTCGCCTTCTTCTTTCTTTCCTTCTTGGCTCTTGTCCAAAAGACCATCCGAGTCTCGATCCTGTGCCGTCTGTGCAATCGCAGAATTGAGAGCCTCCTTTCGTGCATGTGGATTTCCTTCATAAACGAACAACAAGCTCGCCGAATACATACGGCTCTCTTGGTTGGCGATGATATCTTCTATCGATCCAACGGCCTCTTCGATATTACTGATGACGTCTCTGATAAGTTCTGAGGATTCTGTCTTCTGGTCGAGGCAGAGGAAGGTTGAGAAAGCATCCTTTACATTATCTGATGTCAAATTTCGACCGTAGAACTTGTCGAATACTTTGTACTCTCCTGAGCCCTCGGGATGCCATACCTTCATGCCTGCTATCCTAAAGCCGAGCGAACCACTAGTTGTCTGGGATGCGACATCGTCCAGCTTGGTTCGTTTGGCAGGTGGTGCATCATCTGCCCACAGTCGTTTACCCAGCTTCACATCGACGAAATTGGGCTTTTGAAAACCGGCCAACACGTTCTCTAGGACGATAGCAAGTCCCGTGTCCAGTTTCTTTCCTCGTAGGGCGTTGCTCGTCTCGGTTACATCATTTGTGTCCTTCACTTCTGGTTCGTTCTCTAAAGCGGCAGGTAGAACAATTGCTTCGTTACCAGCAGAATGGGAAGCGGCGGTGGTGAGATGGTCTTGGAGTTCTTTAGACTGGCCGCGCTGGAGACTGCCCATGAAGGTCGGCATCAACTGGGCAAATTCTGGATGCTCAGCATTGGAAACCTCATAAAACTCGACCTCGGCAGCGACGCATGGTTTGATGATCAGACTGCCCGATTCGTCTGACATGACGCCGTCGCTATTGTCTGGTCAGTTTTGTAGCCTTCACAGATTTCTGTAGGATGCAAAAGCTTACTGGCCAGCGGCGACATTGTCAAAGGCGACGAGGGAGTCCCATTTCAGGCCATGATCTGCCATTGTTTATCTGTTGTTGTGAGTTGGGGAAACTACGAGCTCTGAATGCACTCGGGTGGCGCTCTGCGGAGAAGTGCCAAACACCAGCCACACGAGTGTGGCGCACTCCAGTTTTATACCGTGCTGTAATTATGTAGATCCTGTCGCGTATCCCTCTCCACCAGCCTGTCGAACAATGTTTGTCTTAGCAATAGCGATGCGTACCTCATGCCATGGTGCTACATACTAATCCGTGAACGATTTGTCTGCTCCGGATCTATAACCGGCATACAAGCGTTCACCTCCCTTCGACTTTTCGCCATCTTTTGACTGCCTCTCAGCTAACATCCTTTACTGGTTCCCATTTCAATGGTACTGAGACAGAGGAGTGTTGGAAAATTGAGTGCTACCAACAGTGCGTCTTCACTGCAGTAGGTACCTGCCAAAATCTTTGTGACACGTTCAATCATAGACTGCTGCGTCTTCCCGCCGTGCATCAACCGACCATCACTTCACTTCAGATTGCAAGCTAAGTTTGTCATTGATGGTTTATTTTCCATCAAACAGCGAGACTCTCACAGCTCTAGCCTTTATTCTTTACTTCACAACTTGCTCGCACATCCTTCTCTTCTCAACATCCTTGATCTACTGGTCATCTGCTGCACTGCGCACCAAAAACTAACTTGGCCATGGAACCTGCTGACGACACTCCTCAAGAGAGCATTGAGGTCAGCTCTGATACTCAAGCTCTAAGCGAACCCCAACCACCACAATATGCAGAGCATCCACAAGGAGAAGAAATTGTGAGACAGGCAAGTTCCATCTGCTCTTCGTTCACGCTCATCAACTTTCAGCTCATACTTAGCAGGNTTGAGTACTACTTCTCCGATGAGAATCTTCCCAAAGACAAATACCTTCTCGACAAGACCGGAGGCAAGGAGAACAAGCCTGTCGATCTCAAGAAAATCTGCGGATTCCCCAAGATGCGCAAGTACAAGCCTTACAGATCTGTTGTGGAGTCCTTGAAGAAGAGCACAATGCTTGAGGTCATCGACAACAAGTACATCAAGCGCAGAGTTCCTCTCGCCATCGAGCCCACCGTAACCCCCGAGGAGATCAAGGCGGCAATGGAAGAAGAACAGAAGAAGAAGGGCGGCAACAAGCCTCCTGCTGATCAACCATGGATGACAAAGGGAATGGTCAGTCTCTTGAAATCATATACTGCAGAGACGATGCCTGACCTTGCGTACAGANTGAAGCCCACAGGCTTCGAAGAGTTCTACGCGGATGCACCTGTTACTCCTGCTGCATTCGAAGAAGAGCAGTCGCTCTACGACAAGTATGTCTATTCGTCAGGCTCTATACGTTGACAGACTACTGACCGTTCTCGCAGGGACATTTCTTTCGAAACGTGAGTGATAAAGCCACTAGGAAAGTGCAAATACACTAATCTTGTCTTAGACNGTATTGAGACGGCCATCCAGCGTTACCGTGCTCGACGCAAGTTCCATCAACAAACTGCTCAGGTGTTCAACAAGTTCATGAGCTATGGTGGTATCGAGTCCGGCCCCAAGATGTTTGGTGGAAGCGACAACAAAGATTTGGCTGAGATGGATGCTGCAGAGATCGCTGCAGTGACCGCTGTGCATTTCGTCTCAGAGGACATTCTTTACACCGACAGATGGGAGGTAGACTTCGCTGGCGTGGCAAAGGGCTTTCTGTAAGTCATGGCTGCCTAGTCATCATCAACAACAGCTGACCGTGTTCTAGGTNCCTGTCACATCCTAACTGAACTCGAGAGCGCTTCAGGCCAAGCCGACATTGCAAGAGCCACTAATGTTATGCGCAACTTCTACAACTACTTGCTGCACCACAACGTCTGCCCGGAGTTTGAGAGCCAGATCCAGGCCGCACGCAAGATTTGCGATCTTGCAGATGTGGAGCTTTTCAACGTAGTGGTTGCCAACGAGAAGCTCCCAGGCCCTTACAACACAGCCGTCTCGGCTACGCACGGTGGAACTGTCGCAGGCGTGTACAGCGGCGAGCAGGACTGGGACGACGCCGGTACCATCAACCGTACTCTACAAGACTGCCGAGACATTGTCAAGTTCGCTGTCTCTGCGTACGGCTCTCAACAGCAATATGAGAAGGTGGCCGATGTGGGCAAGTTTCAAACCGTCTATCAGGAACAGATAAGCCTGGAAGTGACAAAGGTTGAAATGGCCGACGAAGCTACGCGTGCACTCTATGATGCAGCTCGGGAGAAGAAGCCATTCCTTGTTGCCCTTGGCAAGCTTCATTGTCGTCGTTGGACCTATCCCCTCACACCCAACTTCGATCATTCGGACGAGGCGCTCAGACGACAGCAGACCGAGCACACAATGGTTCTGTGGGTGGAGGAGGACCTCTTGCAGTACTGCGCTGTGGGCATGAAGATTGAAGGAGAGGTGCGCGAGCTTGACATTGGAATCAAGTGGCTGGACAGTGTCCGTGCCATCAGTCCTTCGTTCTTCGAATGGCTTCCAAACGAATTCTACAAGGAGGAAAAGGTTCTGAAGGCCGAGAGCGAAGCACAGCAGGATGACAACCAGATCAACCAGGCTTACAAGGAGGAGAACGAGGATGCTGCTGAGGATGTCGTCTCTCAGATCGAGAGCGCTTGAGGAGTCTACCTCGAATTGACACAGATATAACTGGCAAGATGTGACTGATGCAGATGCGGAGGCCAACAGACTTCCCGGCCAGTCCACAACAGAATAGTATTCCATAGACTTCAGTATACCATGCTCTAAAGCGAGCTTGCCAGCACAGATGAGTGGAAGTTGTGAGAGGTGGAATATGCGGCAGAGATGACGTGAGCGGAAAAGTGCCGCTGACAGCTCCCTCCCGATTGCGGGGCATGGGTTGTATTAGCCGCATTACAAATAAGGTGACGCGGATGCCTCTATAACCATTCGCAAATGTCCGTCTTTCTGAAGCAAAGTGTTTCTTCTGTTTCAGCTTTAGCTTCACGTAGACTGACAGGCTTATCTGGTCAACTCGTTCGCAGCATGGCTTCCCAATCGCTCCCAAAGACAATGAAGGGTGTCATCATCGAGAAAACAGGTGGGACTGAGGTTCTGCAATACAAGACAGACCTTGCAGTGCCCGAGCCAAAGGACGGCCAGGTTTTGGTCAAGAACGACTATGTCGGCATCAACTACATCGATACGTATGCACGCTCTTCAATGCTATCATAGTGGCCACGAGCTCACAGCGAGCCATAGTNNTACTTCCGCACCGGTCTGTATCCTGCACCCAGTTACCCGTATATGCTTGGAAGAGAGGCAGAGGGCACTATCGTTGCGACTGGTCCCGACACACCGCATGGCCTCAACACTGGTGACCGCATCGTGTACCTGTCCGAAGCAACCTACGCCGAGTATACCGCAGCTCCTGCAGCCAAGGCCATCAAGATCCCCTCAGAAATTGAGCCCACCATAGCTTCTGCCGCCCTCCTCCAAGGTCTTACTGCTTTGACTCTGATCCGAGAGGCTTATCATGTGCAAAAGGGGGATTGGATTCTGGTTCATGCTGCCGCTGGAGGAGTCGGCTTGTGGTTGTGTCAACTGCTTGCTGCTATTGGCGCGAAGACCATAGCCACAGCGAGCACATCCGAGAAGCTGGAATTGGCCAAGAAAGCTGGTGCTGAAGTTCTTATAAACTACAGTCACGAAGACGTCAAGGCAAAGGTCGACGAGGTCACCAACAAGCAGGGTGTTGCAGCAGTCTTCGATGGTGTCGGCAAGGCAACCTTTGATCTTAGTCTGGACTGTCTAGCTCGCAAGGGCACCATGGCCAGCTTTGGTAATGCCAGTGGTGCTGTACCGCCATTCGCAATCTCGTAAGTCGTCTTTCTGAAGCAACGATGCTGAAGTGGAATTGCACTCACACAACCGCGTCTCACAGACGACTTGGAGCCANAGAATGCCAAGGTCCTCCGCCCGACGCTATTTAATTACATTGCGACGAGAGAGGAATTTGAGCAGTATACCAATGAGCTCTTCGACTTCATTGTCAAGGACAAGATGGATGTCCGAGTGCACAAAGTTTACGACCTCAAGGATGTTGCTACTGCGCACGAGGTAAGTGGTTACTGTCGCAACAGAGCTCTGCACAACGTTATCAAGGGGGCAGTGCTGACGAAAAGCAGGNACATTGAAAGCCGCAAGACTACCGGCAAGCTTCTGTTGAAGCCCTGAGTTTAGATTATAGCTTCTCGAATAGGACTTGTGAAATGTCAGTGTCATTCATCGGCTCATCGTCAGTGGCTTTGTTTATTTGAGAATGGTCGTGCATGTCTGCCGTATGTAAAGAGGTCTTGGCTCCAAGAAAGGACTACGAATACATGATTGTCCAAGACTGCGTGCACGAGGCGCAGCAGATGTGTTTCGGAACCTGTGGGGTCGGATGTGAATTCTGATCTGCACGAGATCAAGTCTGATCATCTTTCCTGAATCCTCATGCTCACCCCTGCCTGACAAGACAACTGCTTGAAGTCCTTGGCGGCTGTTCAGCCATATCTTTCCAGCTTTGAGCCCGTTACAGACCAACCACCAAAAGTCCTCCAGCAGACGCGTTTGCCCAGAGCACAATGCGCAAGTCTCAATAAAAACATATCACCTTCTGAATCATGACTCCGATTCTTAGCAGTACTCTCTTGGGGCGGCATTCTGCGCCCAACGGTATGCCAAGTATACGACTTCCTGCCCAGCAGCCAAGGAAACGCAAACAACAACATCCAAGGCGCCGAGTAGGGGTCCGCGGGAGGTTGAGGATGTAAGTTGGAAGCAGTCGCATAAATCCAGCGGCACCCCTCGCAAGTGTCGTGGGTGGATATTGCATTCTTTCGTGGTGTCATTCGTTCAGCCATATTTATCTTCCTTCGTCGTTTTACGGGTCCTTTCTTCATCATCAAGTTCTATCAACCATGCGTTACTCGATTCCAGGCCTTGCTTTGCTGGCTGGCTTGACAGCCGCCGTCGATCCTGTCGAAGTACGCGGTCAAGACTTTGTCAATTCAGTCAGCGGTGACAGATTTGTTGTTATCGGTGTCGATTATCAACCGGGTGGCCAAGGAGCCATCTCAGCAAACAACGATCGGGACGTTCTCAGTGATGCCGAAGCTTGCACTCGCGATGCAGCTTTGATGCAGAGTCTTGGGGTTAACACAATCCGAAGCTACAATGTGGATCCGGTATGACAATCATCATAGGTTAGATATGACCTTGGCTAATATGTTCTCAGANCACTCAATCACGATGAGTGCATGTCGATCTTCAACGGTGTAGGAATCTATGTCATTCTCGATGTCAACACTCCCGTGTATGGACAGCACATTGATCGCAGTAACCCTGCCGGCACGTACACCCGCGATTACATGGAACACGTTTTCACAGTCATCGAAGCATTCAAGGGCTATCCTAATCTGTTGGGTTTCTTTGGAGGCAACGAAATCATCAACGATCTGGAGACGGCCGATGAGAACCCTCCGTATATGAGAGCAGTCCAGCGAGATATGAAGGACTACATTGCTGCTCGTGCAGACAGACCTATCCCTGTTGGCTACTCGGCTGCCGACGTCAGAGACTTCACAGAGGATACCTACAACTACTTGGCCTGTGACAATGGAGATTCGAGTGCTTCTGACTTCTTCGGTCTGAACTCTTACTCATGGTGAGTCTTCGTGGAGCAAAGATCCGCCCGGTTGCATGCTGACACGAAATTACAGGNNTGTGGTTCAGAGTCCAGCTTTGAGACAGCCGAGTACAATGTCCTCGTTGAGATGTTCTCCAACGCCTCTATCCCTGTCTTCTTCTCAGAGTACGGTTGCAATGATCCTAGTCCTCGTGTATTTGAGGAGGTTGAGGCTTTGTACAGCCCTCAGATGACTGTCATGTCTGGAGGCTTGGTTTACGAGTAAGATTCACAATATCAAACATGATTCAAAACTTGAGCTAATCTGTGTAGATGGTCACAAGAAGAGAACAACTACGGTCTCGTCGACATCTCTACTGATGGATCTCTCCGACTTCGATCAGACTACAACAGTCTTCAAGAACAGTACAGCCGCATCAACGTCACGCTTCTTGAAGCTAGCAATGACACTGCGACTGGCATCACTGCTCCTCGTTGTTCCTCCGACTTGATCCGAGCAGACGACTTCAGCGATGAGTTCGACATTCCTTCTCGTCCAAGCGGTGTAGATGCTCTGATCTCGTCTGGGGTTTCGGATGCACCTACTGGTGCTCTCGTGTCCGTTACCGCAACCGCAGTCGCCCTTCCGGTATTCGATGTTAACAGCGCATCCATGAGCAACCTCGCCATCACGGTGACCAGCGAAGTAAATCACCCCGTTGGTACTGCAAGCAGAACATCAAGCAGATCTGGCTCTAACACAGCCTCTGGAGCTTCCGCTACCCCAACTGAAAGTGGTGCCGCCCACCGTCTGTCTGGCGCTGCTGGTCTTGCCCTTGGTGCTGTCATCTTTGCTTTGTAAACATCATCCGCTTGCCATATTTTCAGATATCTTGTATTGGTGATGATGATGATCACCAGGTTTTGTCATTTTCATTTGTTGGTTACTTGTCCATGTAATTCCACCGCAATCTGGCGAAGAGCAAAGAAATAGAGCATCTTACCACATCTTTAATCACTGTCTCGATCCTTTGAATGCGATAGGTACGACAGACTTAGACACACATTGAGCTGTAGTGTTGGGCGGAGGTTGAGCGCAACGTAGTTTTTGGAGCTTGATTATTGTAACTATATCGAATTCAAACAACTATTATCTACTTTTTGTCCAAGAAGCTTGGCTGTGTTGGTGTTATACAGTAATGCGATCAGAGCCAAAGGGAAAAACAAATACAGAACAACAAGTAGACATCATCAAAGGAATGTGCAGGCGTCTTGCCAATATCAGTGATCAACCAAGGTCTGGAGTTTACAGCAGGATCATAGCAGCAGCCATGACCATGGGTGCTACTGCAGTCAGCATGGAAGTCTTGGTGTTCTGAGCGGATCCCGAAGACATGTTGGTGTCAGAAGCAGATGGCGTGCTTGGCTCTGTAGTGCTTGTCAGTAAAATACCACTAGTGCAGATACACGCCGACTTACTCGTGGCAGTACCACCAGATCCACTACCGGTGCGTTGAGGAGGCGAGCTGGACTGTGGAGAATGAATCGAAAGCGTGGAGTTGGAGTTGGAGTCTGAGGGAGAGCTGGCCTGAGGGGATGCGAGGGACTCTGGAGGCGAGCTGGGCTGCATAGATGGACCACTCTGGGCAGGAGCGCTACCTTGAGGCATACCGCCCGCCGAAGGAGAACTGGATTCAGCGGGCGTGGCTGGCTGCGAAGGCATGCTGGCTTCTGGAGGCATGCTGTTCTGAGCGGGCGTGCTGTTCTCTGGAGGCATACTGTTTTGAGCGGGCATACCCGTGGGTGAAGATGGTTGCTCGGAAGGCATGACGGCTGAAGAAGACATTTCTGCTGGAGCAGAACTCGCACCCATATCAGCGGGCGACGATGGAGCCTCAGCAGGTGCGGATGGAGCATTAGCAGGTGCCGATGGTGGCATTTCATCCGAAGCTGGAAGCGCAGGAGAGGTAAGAGCCTGGGGCGAAGACATTGGGGAGGCTGAGTCCATCGTAACTGCTGGAGACGGCGCCGCAGTGATATCGCACGATGGACACACGGTGTGAGTCTCGACGATCGGGATTGTGACGGTCACCTGTGTTTCCCTTTTGAGCAGAAGGTGAAGCCTGGTCGGATGGCGCAGGGGCCGAAGCTTGGTTTAGTGAAGCAGAGGGTGAAGCTTGGTCTGATGGAGCAGAGGGCGAAGTAGAAGGCGCAACGGCGTTTGCTGTACCGACAGATGGGACGTTCATGTTGTGAGAAGCTGTGCCTGTCGACTCAACACCAGTGGCACTTGACTGAGCAGAATCTTGAGGCACGGGAACGATAACTGAGCTCTCTTTGACCACGTTTGCTGTAGACGCAACTGCTTGGGTTTTTGTGTCACCGGCGTTCGAGACTGTAATGGTGACCCCAACAGTGGAGGTACTGAGTTGTGCAGAAGGAATACTGTTTGCTGCAGATGGAACGCTAGCCGGTACAGAAGGAACGTTGCTGGGCGATGCTGCACCGCTGGCTGAAGTCTGCATTGGCCCGGCAGGTGATGTGTTCTGAATGGGACTGGTCTGTGGTAGGGCCGGAACAGACTGGGAGATACTAGACAATGGTCCCGAGCTAGTAGAAGTGACATAGATCAAGGTGCTTGTACTGCCACCGATGCAGGAGCTGCAGCCGGTTGTCGCTGTGAGCACTCGCGTAGCTACCACAGTGGTGAACGCATAAGTGTAGGAGGTTTGGCCGCTTTGCTGACATGTGTCAGAAGAATGAGTAGAAGTTGGACAGCCAACTGTAACCATTGAGCTGATGACCGAGGTCACAGTGGTCCAAGGGGTGGTTGATGGAGTTGGGTAAATAGTTGAGATTGGCTTGATTGGTGAATAGGTGGAGCATGGGCTCGAGCTTGCTTTCGACGACGTCGCTGGGCATGGACTTGACGAAGAGGAGGAAGTCAAGCATGGAGTGCTGGTCGAAGCGGAGCTAGAGCAACTAGCACTCGACGAAGAAGTCGAGCATGGAACGGTGGACGAGGAGGAACTCGAGCATTGAGTGCTTGAAGACGAAGAAGACTGCGAGCAACTGGTGGAGGAAGACGTCGAGCATGGAGTGGTTGATGAAGTTGAGTTCAAAGAAAGAACGGTGCAAGAGGTGGATAATTGAGGCGCGGAGGAAGTTGAGCAATTGCAGCTCGACGAAGTACGCGTGTTGATATAATCCGTTTTGGTTGTGCAATTGGATGATTTAGTGTTGATGTAGTAAGTTTGTGTGGTACAAGATGCGTTGGCTGGAATCGATGTCATCTGGCTATAGTTGTACGCAGCCTTGCCATGGCATGTCACATTGGTGACAGCGGATGAGGGTGGTGAAGAGGTCGCTGCCGATGTCTGGCGAGGCCTCATTGCCCGGCCTTCGACATGGCTGGTCAAGGCTAGTAAAGCAACGATAAACGAAGGGCTAGTCCACATGGTGACTGATAACACTCAAGGGGCTTCTGAAACGATTGATGAAGGTAAGAAGAGAACAGGAATACTGACTGGAGATGCCATTAAGTACTTTCCAGGACTTTGCTGGAGCCCACTGCAAAGAGTGATTTTACGTTACCCAACTTCTTTGTTCGTTGGAGTTAGCTGGAAGTAGAAGGCAGAGGATTGAACCAATAACGATACACAAAGCTCGATGGGACCCATTGCTTGTAGACACTAGGGTTTGATGCCTCCACACCGATCAATATACTTTCAGAAGACACTTTACTTCTGATTGACATACGTCTTGCTTGAACCTGTAGCTCGCAGTGTGTTGTACATGCAATTGAACAGTAGCTTCTCACCTCTTGCTTCCACAACTGAGAGAGCCAACTTTGGTATTATCTCTAGCTTCTGAGAGCAGGCTGCCTTGGACTCCAGAAGGTATCATGTGTGTGAGTATGAACGTTAGAGTTTCATGGAGTGGGGAGTAGAGTGAATTCTTGAGCTCACTTTGCAGCTAGCGACTATTCTTGTGTAGAGCCAAGCAGGATATCCAGAAAGACAATCGATCATGGCTCGAGCTGGATGGATCGTACGTGTGCAAGTTGTAAGGTTCAGAAAGGTTTACCAGAGGGTCGCAGGTAAAACACTGCTGCAACAGCCGCTCAACAGAATCGTGGATCTGACGATGGACAAGCTGCTGATAATGCCTGTACTTGTAACTAATCGTCTGTCTACTCATGAGATAGAAAGTATTAGTAAGAAGGGCATGTTATTCCAAACAGTGAATGGCAGTCGAGCATGGCTTTCGAAGCACCAAAACTGAGCACAGAGCAAGAAACGCAGATTGACCGGTTTGCCTCTGTACTGGTTGCAACTATCACAAATTCGGCAAGTACTTGCATGCCTCGGAGCGTCTTTCCTCTCGAAGTTGATGTCGGCCAAGGTGATGCAACTTGGATGGTACGATGTCGAAGTGAGTGAAAGGCACGTGCGCTCCAGGTCAGTTTGCAAAGTTTGTTCTCATGGGCGCAATCTGTGGGGCCATAACGCGACTTGACGACGGACGAGTCGAGCAACACAAGAGAGATTATCGCAAAATCAACGTGCTAGAGATCTACGCGACAAACTCGACCATCAAATACTATGGGAGGACACAGCAATAATAACGGAGACGAGCAGAAGGTCGAGAAAGGATATGCCACCCTCGCGACTCTCAGGTGTGTCGCGAACCGCCAAGCCTTAATATAGTCCTTACTGATTTGGACANGGGTCGGAGTCAGAGCATGGGTCGACAAGGTAAGGTTACCACATCATCGGATATCAGATGTCTTCTACCAACCTTATCACCAAGAAGAGACTGAGACTGTTAAACGGAGTAATGATTTGTGTGCAGNNGACGATGAGAAACGCAAGGCCGAGATTCTCTCTATTCAAACGCGCAGGGGCAAACCCACCTTTTAGTAAGTCTGTACAGTTCACTCGATTATCGAAAAGTGCTAATTGAGAAGTGTTCATTACCAGGATTTCAACAAGCGATTGGATGGTATGTCTTATAGGTAACAACCATGAACCACGCTGACCATGTGATCAGAATGGGTAGCAGCTGAACGTATTGATCTATCAAGAGAGGTAGAATGGCCACTTCCAGAGAAAGCAGATACAAAGCAGAAGAAGACTACAAGCAAGACAACAGCAAAAGCCGAACCCTCGAAGGCAAATAAAGCACCCAAACGATCACGGGCATCGAGCGTCAGGGAGCTTTCCGCGACACCAACCGAAGCATCTCAATCGTCGAAAGCAGGCACTCGTCGGCCATCACTGGCAGGAGGTGATCACAGATCGCCTTCTGTAGCCGTCCTCGCACCGGAGATTGGTGATGGAACGCCACAGCCGGATGGTGAGGTTGACGACGATACCGTAGATCTTATCGACGTGCAAAATGCTGCCGCAGCCGCAAAAGCTATTCCGGAACATCTCTACTCGCGCGAAGAGGAGATCGAAAAGCTACGAACCAGTGGTTCGATGACACAGAACCAGACAGAGATCAGTAGAGTCAGAAACCTGGAGAAGATACAGATGGGCGCTCATGAGATTGAACCTTGGTACTTTTCGCCCTACCCCGTCGAGTATTCCGATTGCGAGCTGGTGTACATCTGCGAGATGTGTCTTCTCTATTTTGGCAATGAGAGGCAGTTCAAGCGACACAGAAGCAAGTGTACTCTCTTACACCCGCCTGGCAACGAAATATACCGCGACGATATGGTGAGCTTCTTTGAGATTGACGGCAGGAGACAAAGAACTTGGTGCAGAAATCTGTGTCTTCTGAGCAAGCTCTTCTTGGACCATAAGACGCTCTACTACGACGTGGACCCCTTTCTGTTTTATTGCATGACAACTCGCGATCAACACGGTCATCATTTGGTTGGATATTTCTCCAAGGAGAAAGAAAGTGCCGAGGGTTACAATGTGGCATGTATCCTGACCCTACCACAATATCAGCGCAAGGGTTATGGTCGACTACTCATTGCCTTCAGCTATGAACTCAGCAAACGCGAGGGCAAGTTAGGAAGTCCCGAGAAACCACTCAGTGATCTTGGACTTCTGGGCTATCGTGCGTTCTGGCAAGAGATCATTGTTGAGTTCTTGGTCGAGAGCAAAGGCGAATTGAGTGTCGAGGATATTGGAGCGCAGACTGCCATGACAACCAACGACGTGCTGCACACGTTACAAAACTTGAACATGTTGCGTTATTCTGTAAGTTGGAGTTCTTCATGGCTTTTGAGAATATCTTGCTAATTCAACAGANAAAACCATCATGTGATCGTCCTCACAGAAGCCATTCTCAAACAGAGAGAGCGACAGAAAGAGAAAGAAAAGATCAAAGGCAAACATCAGATCGACGCAGAAAAGCTACAGTGGAAGCCACCAGTGTTCACAGCGGCGAGCAGGACATGGAATTGGTAACACACGGCATTGCGTGTCGTTGGAAGCAGGAAAATGAATTACGAAAAAGGATGGATGCGGGATTATGTTTTGATCGTTTTCTTTTCATGGCATGCTTAGATACCCCCAATGCATTCAAAAGACGACAGTCAACACACGGACTGTTTTCTTTACCAGGAGCTGCCAGAAAGCATAAGTGTACAATCTATCAGCCGAAGAGGCACCCGTCGTCATCTAAAGGAAGTAGTCGGGCGTGCGACGAGACACCATTGGCTCGCCGGCGCGTGGGCAGGGGTCGAATTGAAGGCTGAGAGACTAGTTAGCAAGGTACACTCTAAACCTATCAACAAGCGATACTCACAAGGTGTATTTCAGATGTTCGTCAATCTCCATGATCGCGGCTTGGTTGCCGCAGCGGTAACAGTAATTGGGAGCCGAGAATATCGTGACGACGTTTCTGTCCTGACTCCAGTTGTAGCCCTCCATGACCAACTGATGGGCTCGGGCGACCAGCGTCAAACCATTGTTGTGGTTGAAGGCCTCACTGATGTCCTGGCCGAAAGTGTAACCAGCACCTCTGGGACTGATTCCCCAACCGCATCTGTCATCAGGATCACTCCAAAGCAGATCGCACATGGGTCCCTCGTGGGGCACCTCTTGGATTCTGTCGAGCGCACGGATGTTGTCCAATGTGTCGATACTCGGTGACAGACCACCGTGGAGACAGAAGATTTGGTTGTCAATCAAGGCGGTAAGGGGTAGATAGTCGAAGAGATCGGTGAAGTACTTCCAGACATTTGCATTGCCGTACTTGCGCAGGCACTCATCGTAGAAGCCGTAGACTTGGGTGATCTGACGGGACTCGTGGTTACCGCGGAGGATGGTGATGCGTTGTGGGTAGCGAATTTTTAGGGCGACGAGCAATGTCACGGTCTCTACGGAGAAGTAACCGCGGTCGACGTAGTCACCTATATGGAGCACGTGTCAGCAAAAAAAGCAAAAGTGACCATGAACAAAAGCAAAGAATCAAGTCGTACCCATGAAGAGGTAGTTGGTGTCAGGGTTGGGACCTCCGATCTTGAATAGCTCCATCAGATCGTGGAACTGGCCGTGGATATCTCCGCAGACGGTGACGGGACATTTCNNTGTGTAGCAGCAGTGTCAGCTCGAGAGAATGGCTGAGCGGTAGCAGAGAGAAGATGGACATACGACAGGCTGGACGTTGGACTCGTCCTGAAGAACCTCTCTTGCCTTCTCACACAGTCTCTGGACGTCGGCCTCGGACAGCTGCTTGCAGGCCATCAAGCTCTCGATCCAGCCGTCGAGGGTAGGGATTGAGGGCGGGTCGGAGGGCGCAGTCATAGGGTGCTCTGGCTTTGCGCCAACATCTTCCATGTTGGTGTCCATTGTGCAGGAGAATTAAAGACGGGGTGGTTGCGACAAAGTCGTGGGACGTGTCGTCAATGCAAGGCCGAGAGCGAGTGTGGGCCTGGTGAGCGCAGATGCAAGTATGGGCGTCGACGTGTGCGGGACGTGTGATCAGGGATGGCCGAGAGCTGGCAAGAGCTGGAGCGAAGAGGCAGGGGAGGCAGTTGTTAGTCAATCGATGTGCAAACACACACAACAAGACAGGAGATGCGATAGATGGTATGTCGATGATGAGTCTCTTGCACCCCACGCAGCTCTTTAGGAGGCCGGCCCTGTGTTGTCGAATTGCTCGCACGGGCCCGCTTCATCAGCCACTGAAATAATCCCTTGGCGTTTCCACCTCGACGTCAAACACCGCTAGAGGCTAGAGAGTCGCTTGTTCTTTCTACACTTTATTCTACTGTCATACCAACGTGTTACATCGCTTCCATTCGGTTTGCTGGCTAACTAAGAGTGTCTCCTCCGAAGCATCTTGGGCTTGTCTCCAATGTAGAAGAAAGACAATGCTGCAGCAAGCCCACAGATGACCGCAATCACGATATTCATGTTGCCATAGCCAATGGCTTGCTTCAACTCCCCAGCTACCTCTGGGCCTATGGCTAAGCCTGCACAAAAAGCGACCGAAGACATGGCATACAGACTCGCAAANGGTCCGTTCTCTCCAAAGAAATCAGGGTTAACATCATAATACTTCTGTACGATGTTGCCCGCCTCGACGATTGATGGCGCTCCAATGGCTGCAAGACCAACTCCGCACAATGCCAGAAGTCCTGCGTACAGTATGATCTGGTTCTTGCCTCCAGCATGTGGGAGACGGAGCAAGACGAGACAAGGGACCAGGAAAGTATAGCCTCCGACCGCAGCCACTTTGGTACCATATTTGTCGACAACCCATCCAAATATAGGTCCAAGCAAAAAGTCAAAGACGCCCAGCGGAAGGAACAGTGTGCCTGCTTTCAACGAGTCGAAGTCGAAGTATTCTTGACCGATGGTAGGGATGGTGGCATCGAAGGCGCCGAGTAATAGTGCTTGAACAAAAGCTACCATCAAAGCTGCGACCAGGCGGGGATTCTTGAGACATGGTAGAATCGGAACCTTGCGAACAAAGGCCGGCTGACTCTTCGAGATTGTGTAATAGTCGTCCTCTGCTTTCGTTCCCAGCAAAGGTTCTTGTTCGTCGTTGGCCGCTTCTTCGTCATGGGAATCAGATGCAGTACCTCCATTGCTGTCTTCCTGAGCAGCAAAGTTGTATCGGCGAGCGACTTTCTTNTCGATGACCAACAAACGCATAATAAAGTCGATAGCCAAGACGGCAAAGCCAATTCCAAACACGCCTGCGTATCCAGCTTTCTTGTACAAAACTCCTCCTAAGAGAGGAGCGACCAGGTTTCCCACCGATATGAAACTAAAAATTGAACCAATGGTCTTGCCGAGATTCTCCGGGCCAACCGTCTCTACGCAAAGCGCAAGACCAATTGTCCAGACAAAGGCGGCTGAACAGCCTTGAAGAAGCCTTGCAACAACCAGGGTTGGAACGTTATTCCCCAGGAATAGCAATACTGTTGCGAGCAACAGGGCGGTCAGTCCGAAAAGGAAAGGTCCTTGTCTCGTAGAGGTCTTGTCTGCTAGGATTCCAGCGATTGGCGAGAAGACGACGGAAGCACCAGCATAGGCGGCGAGTAGGCCATCCACATGGGATTGAATTTGGTTCTCTGGCATGCCAACTCGATCCTGCAGCATATAGGGAAGTATAGGCACGACAAGCCCATAAAGAAATAGATCAGTGAATAGACCGACAGCGACTGTCGAGACGATGAACAGCGTGTTGCTTCTCCATTTTATACCAGCCGGAGTGACACTGTAATCATGACTGATCTGAAGAGTGGTTTTGATCTTCTGCCAGGCGGATGGAGCCATCACGGCGGGGATATCAGTGTGCTTCAAGACTGGGTTAGTAGAAAATGATCTCGTTGCAGAAGGACAAAGATGTTCATGAAGAGTGCCTGGTTCTCTATGGCTGCAATGTCATCATATGGTCTCGATCCGGTTAGGGCCGGGTGATGTCTTGGCTATGGGCTTGCTGCGAGGGCTCGTTCGAGACCTTCGCGACATGCAATTCACTTGACCACACAAGTATCTTTCTTGTTATCACCCACACATTCACAAGATGGCGACTGTAGATGAAGGAACCGCGCCAAACGCAACGTTCGTACATTGCACTCCGTACGAACAAGCGTAAGAGCGTCTACTAACGAGTGAGCAGTGTCTATGTATGTGCTGAAGTCGCAGCTCAAAGCTACCAAGGCTGCGAACCAAGAATACTGACTGCAGCGACCTCCAGGCCAGAAACCTGTCTGAGCGCATCAAGATCCCACAACTCATAGAAGCTCTGCGCGAGATTTTCGAGGAATATGGAACTATCATCGACATTGTCGCCAAGTCAAGCTTGAAGCGCAAGGGACAGGCCTTCATTGTCTTCGACAGTGTCCAGTCAGCCGAGAATGCTATCGATGAAGTCAACGGATTCGAGTTGTTCGGCCAGTCCATGTCTCTCGATTTCGCCCGCACACGGAGTGACGCGACAGTGCAAAGAGAAGGAACTTCGGAAGAGTNNTGGAGCAGCACAAGCGTCACCGCAAGGCCGAGAAAGGTGAGTTGATGATTGGTAGAAGACTTTGACTTTTGATACTGACAATCACAAACAGAGCGCAAGCAAGCCCTCGAAGCAGCCGAAGCAGCCAAAAACCTCAAACGACCAGCACCAGGTGCTCCCGAACCAGAAGCGGCTGCTCAGCGTGCCCCCAAGACAGCCCGTGGAGCGGGTCTCAAGGGAACTTCAGGTGCCGGTGCTGGTGTCGTACCCGACGAATACCTACCGCCCAACAAGATCTTGTTCATCAGACAGGTACCTGAAGATTACGGAGTCGACGCCCTCACAGCCATCTTCTCGCGCTTTGCGGGATTCAAAGAGGTCCGTACTGTGCCTGGTCGCAAGGGCATTGCTTTCGTCGAGTATGAAGCCGAGGATGGAGCTATCAGTGCCAAAGAGGCTACGGCAGGCATGTCGCTGGGTGACAATACCATCAGAGTCACGTTCCAGCGTCAATAGAGGCATGCTCGCGTTGGGCATGTACAGTGGCTTGTTAATTACAGCAACGGCAAAGGATATCTCAAAGTAGCAAAAACGAAATCAGAAAATGACATCCTCATCATCCTCTCCTCCTCCCAGGATGTCTTGGGGTCCATCGCCGGCCTGCGAATCGACACCCTTTGCTTCGGCAGCCTTTTGNGCCTTTTGACGTTCGGCCTCTTCTGCTTGTGCATCTCTTTCTTTCTTGCCTGACACCTTCTTCAACCGGAAGAACTCTTCTCTGTCCAGCTCATCTAGCTCCGAGTTGATATATTTGATTGTGTTTTCTGTGCGGGGGATAATGACATGCTCGCTGCAGGACGGGTTAGCTTATGTGTTTTGGCTGTAGAATCGGACACGGGGCCATAGATACATTGCGTTGACTCTGCGGTTTACGACCTTGATAACATCGTCAAGGATGACAAAGGCAGTCTGCAGACTGGCAAGCTCGACAAGAGTCTCGACAGCTCTAACGTATGTCTCCCTACAGCGTTGGACTTGTTGACCTCCTTTGCCCAGACCAGTCAGGCCGAAGTCGTTGTTGCCCTCGGTTTGGAAACTCTCGAATTGGGGGAGGAAGACACCGCTGACGTTCTCCTGGCGGGTACGGACACGGAATTTTGCGGAGCGGACAGACTCTTGGATCTGGTAGCCAATTCCAGCGCCTCCAATGGCGTAGCTGACCTCGGCGAGGGAGAAGGCAGCAATCTGCATGACTCTGCCCATCTTGCGCTTTGCATCGTCGATACGGCGGGTGATTTCTCGGAAGCGTTTGGTGAGAGCTTCACTCTTGCGCTTGAGCAAGTCGTGGCCAGTCTGGGCACCCTTCAGTTTTCCCTTCATCAGGCCCAGCGACTGCCGGGTAGGGAAGACGGCCTCTCTCTGCACAGATGGTGTAAGCGTATGACTTGAGCTGCAATAGCCATGGGACGTACTCCTGCAGCAGACATGTTGCCGACTGCTTGACTGGTGTGTATGTAAAAGAAGCGAGAGTAGACTATCAGAGTACGGGCTGGTGTGGTATGGCCGCTGGCTGCATGACGTTGGTCGTTGCTCGGGGAAAGTGCCAAGGCGCGCGCGAGTTTGGGCAGCTGCTCGCGACCGAAAGTCCAAAAGTTGAAACAGACGGGACGATTCGAGTAGAGCAGCTCGCAGCAATCAGCTGTCTGTCTCGTCAATCTCAACTGCGCTGCTGTCGCCCTCTTCTCTTCGCCGCCCCCGTCGCCGTTACCGCCGTCGTCAGCAGGCTCGCTACGACGTGTGTGTATCTTCCTCGACATGTCGACAGCTTCGCATCTGTATCTTGTCACCGACAACGATGTCATCTACGAGCAGGATATTCTGCGCAACCCGGCCAACATCCGTGCCTGGCTCGACTATGCTTCTTTCAAACGCCAGACCGGCTCGCTACTCGATCAGGCCTTTGTCTTGGAACGCGCCTGCAACGCTCTTCCACGCAGCTACAAGCTATGGAAGTTGTATCTGGAACTGCGCGTGAGCCATCTGCGCAACCGCAATCCCGCCCGCCATGCCTCGGAATTCCAAAAGGTCAATGCCTTGTTCGAGAGAGCCCTGGTCCTCCTCAATAAAATGCCGCGCATCTGGGAGATGTACCTAGCCTTCCTCTGCAAGCAACCCAGCATCACCCAGACCCGTCGCACCTTTGATCGCGCCTTACGAGCACTACCCATTACCCAGCATAACCGCATATGGGCTCTCTACCGCCCTTTCGCTACATCTGCCTCGGGAGAAACTGCCATCAAGGTCTGGCGCCGCTACATGCAAATCCACCCTGAACACGCCGAAGACTTCATCGACATCCTCATTGATCAGAAACAATACACCGACGCCGTCGTTAAATACATGGACATCCTCAACAACCCGCGCTTCCGCAGCAAAGAAGCCAAAGGCCCTTTCCAATTCTGGACCGAGATGTTAGAGCTCATCATCGATCACGCTCGCCAGGTACAGACAGGAGAAGATACCGGTATCGATGTGGACCGCATAGTTCGTAGTGGCATACAACGCTTCCCGGATCAGAGGGGTATCCTGTGGGTAGGCCTTGCCCGATACTGGATCAACAAGGGTGATTATGAGCGCGCAAGAGACGTTTTCGAAGAAGGCATCACCACCGTCATGACTGTGCGTGACTTCTCCATCGTCTTTGACACGTACGCAGAAGCAGAGGAAGCTTTGATTGGTATCAAAATGGATGAGGCTCAGACTCGTTCCGAAAAGAGCACGCCTGATGAGAATGCCGATCTTGAACTCGACATCCGTATGATGCGCTTTGAGCAACTCATGGATCGCCGCCCCTTCCNNCTCCTGAACGACGTTTTACTGCGACAAAATCCCAACAGTGTCAACGAGTGGGAGAAACGAGTCGCGCTCTGGGGTGATAACAAGCCCGAAGTTGTCAACACTTATACTAACGCCATTGCTGCAATCAATCCCAAGAAAGCCATCGGTAGATACCACACTCTGTGGACCAACTATGCAAAATTCTACGAGGAACGTGGCGATCTGCGCAATGCCAGGGTCATCATGGAAAAGGCCGTCAAGGTACCTTTCAAGTCTGTCAACGAACTCGCTGAGATGTGGGTCGAATGGGCAGAGATGGAATTGCGCAACGAGAACTTCGACCGTGCCGTCGATATCATGGCAAAGGCCACCCAAGCACCTAAGAGAAGCACAGTGGACTACTTCGATGAAACTCTTAGCCCTCAACAACGAGTACATAAAAGCTGGAAGCTATGGTCTTTCTACGTCGATCTTGTCGAATCTGTCAGCACCTTGGACGAGACTCGCAAGGTGTACGAGCGCATCTTCGAATTACGCATTGCCACCCCTCAGACTGTTGTCAACTACGCCAATCTACTCGAAGAGAACAAATACTTTGAGGAGTCATTCAAAGTGTACGAACGTGGATTGGATCTCTTCTCATACCCGGTGGCTTTCGAACTCTGGAACCTCTACCTTCAAAAGGCAGTCGACCGTAAAATCAGTATCGAAAGGTTACGAGATCTTTTCGAGCAAGCCGTTGAAGGGTGTCCTCCAAAATTCGCCAAGGTGCTATATCTTATGTATGGGCAGCTCGAGGAAGAACGTGGGCTGGCTCGTCACGCTATGCGTATCTACGAGCGAGCGACACGTGCTGTTTCGGATGAGGATCGCTTGGACATGTTCAACTTTTACATCACCAAATCGGCCTCGAACTTTGGCNTCACTTCAACTCGCTCGATTTACGAGCGAGCTATTGCTGCTTTGCCAGACAGCGAAGCGAAAGACATGTGTCTCAAATTCGCCGAGATGGAAAGACGGCTGGGAGAGATTGATCGTGCCAGAGCAATCTATGGACATGCCAGTCAATTCTGTGATCCAAGAAGGGAGCCAAGCTTCTGGCAGAAGTGGGAGAGTTTCGAGGTGCAGCATGGAAACGAAGACACCTTCAAGGACATGCTTCGCATCAAGCGCAGCGTCCAAGCGCAGTACAAGTACGTATCGCATGTGCTAATAGTTTCGTCAATTACTAACCATCTTNATAGTACCGACGTCAGCTTCATCGCCTCTCAAGCCATTGCACGCAGCCAGCAGCAACCTCCAACTGAAGATGTAGCTCTTGACGACACTACACAAAAGACAGATGCTATGGCAGCCTTGGAGCGCCAGGCCCGCGCGCCGACCGGTTTCGTTGCTGCAAGCAGTGGCCCAGAAGGCGGCAACAGAGCCGCAGCTGTCGTGCAACCAGCAGCCAATCCGGATGCCATCGACGTCGATGATGACATATAAAAATCGACCCAAAGAGGTCTGTAACACAGTAACTTCTATTCAGATCCTTGCTTATTGCTATATCTTTTTCGTTTGTTCAAATATACCAACACAGGCGCCGCTTTTCCCCTTTGTATATTGAGAGCTCGGTTTTCCAGTTCAGAAAGCAGACTATTTCGAACCAAGACCATTCAAATTCAGTGATGATATGTGGGGCGAACATGCTCACTTGTCTCTTGATCTCAGACTTGTGTATGTCTATTCTCAGGGCGATGAACAGCGTCCAGTGAATGTGTTCTGCTCGTACGTTATATGTTCTTCTCCACAGAGTATGACAAAGAGAAAAGCGGAGTGACCTCAGCGGGATTTGCCCCTCACCAAACACGGACTTGAACTGTGACCACTTCTCTCCCAAGCACCACGACAAGATCAAAAGGCCTCCCAAACTGCGACCGACTGAACCACCTACTGCTGGCTCGGTCATTCCCTCTCCCACATCCACTCTCACAACAGTTTTATGCACGCACAGCCCCCCACGCCTGTCCAACAGCCATACATCGAGTCTACGAGCCCCGCCGAACCCACCTTCGACAGCCAGCATGGAGAGCAACGAGGCGCGAGTCCAATCGATGGCGGCGGAGGCGTCAGTCTTGTCAGCAACGCGCCCGACACTGATACGCCTGAGCGACTGAGTCCTGCGCATAACGCCTTCTCAGCTTCGCGCAATCGCATCGCTGAATACGAAAACGCCTCGTCAGCTGCCTCGCCGTCTAGAAAGAAGCTGGAGGGTCCGGCCTTTGCTGTCATAAAGAAACCTAGAAAGCCTGGCGACAAGCACTCGCCCATCGCCGACTTGCCTAACGAAATCTTGACTCATGCCCTTGCACACCTCTCTCCCCAGGACCTGTCTGCTGTTTCGCTCGTTTCCCGCCGCTTCCACGATCTGGTCACTACTCCGCACGCCTGGAGGACTGCCTTCTCGCGCTATTTCCCTGGACCAGACTCCCTCGATCCCAACCTGTATCATGATGAGGATGATCAGGACGACCGTCTTCGCGTCGAACGGCGCGCATTCACTCGTGTCACTGCTCTTGCTTCCTGGCGAAGCGAGTATATTCTTCGCACCCGCCTGCTACGTTCTCTTGCTCGTGGCAAGCCAGTCCAGCCGCCTGCTTCGCCGGCTCAGGCTCGTTTGGGCCAGCCTCCAGTCGCATCGCCAATCGTTGTTTACCCTTCACAGATGTTCACAACTGTTAACCACTTACACGCTACATTTGGTGGTACGGCTCTGAACAAGAGGCCTCCCCGCTTCGTCCACGGTGCTGACGACGTGGGTACTGCCGGAAGCAGTGATCCAACTCTCGAAAAGGCCGACTCATGGGGCTTGGGCGATCCGAATACCTTCCTTCAGTTTTCTGACCGCTTTCCTGGCGATGCCATGTACGGACTTGGCCCTGGAAACATTGTGGGCGTGCCCAATTCCATGGATGTCAGCCAGCCATATGGCATGATTCATGGTGAAGGCTCCCCTGGTGGGTTCGTTTATTATAGGTATATCGAGGAGATGCGTGGCCACTTCTTGAAACCTTCGAGCGGCATATCTATTCCAGCATTGGGCATCCCACAGCTGTTGCCTATCCAGGAATCCATTTGCAGTGTCTGGATTGCCAAGTCTTCCACCATCCCTTCTTTGACCGACGGTCTTGTAGGACTCATTTCTGGTTCTTCCCTGGGTGTCCTCACAACATACAGTCTTGGACCTCTCGGAACTCGAGACCAACGCTTTGGTCGAGGTGAGGTTACAGCACGCTGGGTGGTCAGTCCTGGAGTACCCATAATCGCCATTGCGGTCGACGAACAATACTCAGTCAAGCGTCAAGGAGAGAACAGGGTATGGGCGGTTGTGCTCAATGCTCTGGGCGAGCTTTTCTACTTGACCAAGCTCCCGAAACGCAGCAACGACGACAAGCCTGCAGGATCAGACGACGAGGCAAAGGAGCGTCTCGCCTGGTCGACTGGAAGATCTGTATATTGGAATCTAGTCGAGCCTAGTAGACGCGCAGCCCGCCCAAACCCTTACAGCAATTCTCATGTAGACGGCAGCTATTCTCCTCGTACCTCATGGAATGGCATGTACTTGAGCGAGGAGCAAATCAAAGCCGAAACATACGAGATCGAAGACTACATCAACCGTAAGCCCAAGGATTTCCAAAGGACTTGTCTAGGCTGGAACATGCGAAGGTTACTTGAGGTTGATTTTGCTGGAGATGATGGCAACCAGGCTGGAGAAGCCTTTTTCGTGTTCGAAACTGGCCTTGATGAAGACTCTACCGCTTCGGCCAAACGATACGTTCGATTCAACGTCGTCGACGCGAACAGCTCGGATGTCAGAACGGACGAGTTACAATCTACATCTCCTTCGACGCCTCCTGAACCAACCTCTCTCTTTGGCGGCCCGACATCTTCTCGATCAGCATCCAAAGGCGACCTGGATTATGGTCTGTCCCTGTCGACCGTGCAAGATCTCGAAGAAAGCAAANAGAACAAACGTTCGACAGAGGAGTGGAGGGTTTCTGGTCTGTCTTTCGGTGGTCTCAAAGGAGTACAGATCTCAGCGCACGCTTTGGATGGCTCAACCTTTGCGACTCTCACGTCTTCAGAAGACCCTCTCCTGAATTTCTCAGGTCAATCAACAGTCTCTTCTCCCAGCATGACACCTCTGTACAAATCCGCCACCCCGTCGACACCTGCAGATGTCCCTGGTCAGCGAGCTCGATTCATCGCTGTAGGTACCATGATGGGCAGCGTTCTGGTCTGGGATGCAAGGGCATCACTTCCCACGTCGGCCGATGCTGTTAACATGCTAGACCCAATACGCATCATTCATACAGAATCACCAGAGATTTCCTGCATCGCATTATCGTCTTTGTATCTGGTGCACGGCGGAAACGATGGTCTTGTGCAGGCATGGGATGCACTAGCCTCCAGTCTTGGTCCCGTTCGCAGGCTGAACTCGCGCTTCGCATCACGGGCAAGGCGTAGGCTGGTGCAAGCTCAAGCATCTGTCCAGGGCGTCGGTATCAACTTGTTCGCAGCGGGTGCCATCTGCCTCGACCCCGATCCTACAGTTCTGCGCGGTATGGTCTCGATCGGTACACACTTACTCTATTGGAGCTTCAGCTCTTCTGCAGCAGATCAGTACAAGTCACACAAACGTCGCTTGAGAAGAGCAGATCGGGGTACCAATGTAGCGAACGATCGCTTCGCCAACGTCGGCAGAGGCAACATGAAAGGCTTCATCGCCAACGAACAGTTCGAACTCGAGAGGGAGAGTGCACAGGAAGCCAGACAGGCGGAGCACTTAGCAGGACGATTTGGCACGGAACTACTAGGAAGCGATGCTTCCGAGGAAGAGCTGCTGGCCTACGCCCAAATGCTCAGTGAGGAAGCTCTCGCAAAGGATCAGGAAAAGCAGATGACCGAGCCTCTGACCAACGGCAAGGCAGCCATTGCCACGCCAACGGAGGACGCTGAGATGGACCCAGAAATCGCAGAGGCGATTCGCCTCAGTCTTGCAGAAGAGGAAGCCAAACGCTTGCAACAACAAGAGGAGGCCGAGTTCGAGGCGCTGCAGCAACAAGAAGCAGCAGAAGGCAGCAACAGCAGAGAGCTGACAGACCTCGAGTTTGCTCTACAGCTCAGTCTCGCCGAAGAGCAGAGCAGGCTCGAAGCAGAAGCAGAAGCACGCGAGGAGTTCCCTGCTCTGTCTATACGCACAGACAAGGGCAAAGGCAAGCAACGTAGATTAAGTAGAAATTAGATATCGAGCTCTCGCCAAGATAGTTCTCGAGATGTTTTTGCATTTCATCAATCCTGCTGTGTTCAATCTGCTTCTGCAATCTACGAGAGGTCACGCGCCTAGCTAACCGCATTCGGTTGGTACGGCTGGCAAGTCACCTGCCTCGACATTGAGCGGGAGCACCTTCCTTAGTCCAGAGACTGACGTTGGATGCTTTCTTTCCTACAGGTTGGTTTGCTTGCAATCCTTAGGGTCATAGAATGCTTGTGATGGTCAGGTGGTTAATGTGGTCAGTCGTAATAGATGGTGGGCTCGAGCAAACGTCCAGTCAAACCATAGTGCAATCAATAACAAGCGTATCAAGAGAACAGTCAATATGTATATGTACACGGAAAGAAGAGAAGATCTATGGAACATAGAGCCTGGAGTACGCCACCACTTTGGTCCTGCAACACATGCACTTGGTGAAGTTCCGCGTAGCAACGCCCACTCTGCACTCGTCGCACACACAGAGACATCCACAGGGCCATGCAACAATGACCCGAGGACTGCTCTGACAGACGACACACTGTGGTCCACTGGATCCCATGCCTTCGGCGCCAGAGTCCCATGAACCAGCACCTCCTTCCGCTTCGGGACGTTTAGCCAGACGACGTTCGAGGAGAAACCTCNNCAAATTCTCTACTTCGGCCGATGGACTTGAGACTCCTTCTACGCCTTCGCTGAACGCTGATTCCAGGTATGGGACGTCCAGCACTCGCGCCTTTTCACGATTCGTTCGTTGACGGTACTGTGAGCGGGTCATGGGCTTCTCACTTTGCAGATGGCGTGCAAGCATTTGTGCTTCTTCCTTGTCCGCTGCTGTTCTTGGGTCCAATAGTCGAGCTAGGTCTGCCACTTCGAACCCTGTTGCAGGGGTCGGCTCTCGACTACGGATGTAATCTTCTTGCGTCGGTGTCCTTCTGCCACTGTCGTCCTCTGAATTGGCTTCGCTAAGGGCGCTTGACGACATGGAGATCATGCTGGTTGTATCGTCATCTTGCTCTCGAGCTTCGTAAGTACCACTGGTGTCCAGATCTCCCCACCATCCACCACGTTTCCACCAGTTGTACAAATCGGCATCAACAGCGTCCTCTTCGGTAGCATTACCTGGAGGAGCCTGCAGTCGCCTGCACATCTCGACTTCGACGTCAATATCACCATTCTCTGGCAAAGATAAGACGCCCTTCTCAGAGACTAGCCAGAAGTCAGGCGTTGACGCTCGTTGTCCGTTTCGGGGTTTTGATGATGAGGAAGAAGCAGCTGGGTGTCCGTAGTCGGCGGCCCTGGTCAGCCAGTTGGGCGTTCTCTCGACACCCAGCCGCGAAAGACACTTCAAGGCAAGACGACTGTTGATGCGAATGAGCAACCAGAGCAGACCTTTCAGGAACTCAAAGCTGAGTTGCCATCTGCCACGACGTTCTGCAATTCCCAGTCCGTTATCGTTGTTCAAGGTTCTATTGCTAGCGGATTCCGTGGAAGATTTCGATCTTCGCTCAACAGCAAAGCCTGATGTTGAGGACATGGTCTTGTGGTCAGTGAAGCTGAGGCCCCTTGCAATACGTTCATCAAGCAAGTCAGATGGAACCAAACTTGCTCGGCGACGGTCCTCTAACATGGAAGTGAACTCTTGCATTCGTTCCTCTTCGAGCCAGGTCATCGCATGAATTTGAATCTTGCTTCCTTCGTTCAGAAAGACGGACTCGCTTGCGGCAGTGAGAACATTGAAGCCGATCTTTAGCAGAACGGTATAGAAGTCTTCACTCCAACTGAGCCTCATAGACGAGACAGATGAGAATTGAACGTTGGCTTGCATATTGTTGAAAGCAATCGAAAAGCGCTCTTTGATGGATGGATTCGGTGGTGCACTCGGCGGAAGCGATATCGCGTTGAGCAACAGAGCCACACCATAAATCGATGAGCATACTAGTATGCCTAGAATGATAAGCATGTGAGGAATAAAGCCGATGATGCAGACAGTCGGAAAGCGAAGAATGCTGACATCATGCGAACCGAGAGGGCTAGAGAGGGCGTTGACAAAGCTCCAGCAGAAAGCAGCCATGTAGCATATAGCCCAAACAGCCGTGTTGACCAGGCGCAGCTGGTGTCTCCTACCAGTGATGGCGAGCACGGCACTACTGATGTGGCTCATGCAAGAGATTAGAGCGATGAGCAACACTTCAGAAGGAACATTGAGGCGTTGAAGAACCATGGACTTGGTCAACAGTATACTGGACAGGTCTGAAGGGTCGGCTGGGTCAGCGGTGGGGCGAGTGTGAGGGGTCGAGTCAGCTGGGCCAAAAATACTCAAGCCAATAGCATTGGTAAGCATGGCTTCTGATTCAGCAAAAGCCAAAGAGTGTTCAAAGGTCGTCATGCCAGTCTCGGGCAAGGGTTGCCTCCCTTGAAGAGCACAGCTCAGTATTTCAATGAATTGACTAAAGCAGAGGGCCAGAAANAGGGGCCAGAGAAGCGAGAATGAGCCCATGACATCGAGGAACTTGTCACCCTGGAGGGCCATGTTCATGGCGCGGCAGCATTCGGCATCCGACTTCCAGAACAGCAGCTTGGAGCTCAAGTGGTATACAAAGCCACCTTCGCCGCCAAAGTTGATGGCCAGGTGCTTGTTCGGGTCGCCATATCGTAACAGAGGGTAGTCGGGGGATGTCTGACACTTGAGGGCTTGCAGGATGGACAAGATGTGGTAGGAGAGGAGCAAGATGGGAGCCGAGTATAGGAGTAAACGGGTGTGCCAGCGGGGGTTCAGGTTCTGACGAGACGAAGCGTAGAAGTGGGTGCGATTGAGAAAGATGGACNNTGGAGGGCATAGTCAGCGGTCCGCAGGAGGGTCAGGACAGATGGACGATGGGCGCACAATGGCAAAGGTCGCCAGAGCCCAGCGTGAGCCGATGTATGCGAACATGCCGCCAAAGCCTTTGATGGCATCGGCCGAGAAGGGAAGACTGAGGAACGACAAGTAGCCAGAGGAGGAAGTGGTAGCAGCAGAAGCAGCGGTTGAAGAAGCGGTTTGGTGGACGGCAGTAGCAGTGGCGTTAAGCAGATGGTCGGTCGCAGAGTCGGTCATGTTGTCGGTGGGTATCCAGCGCGTGGCCAGGTCGACCATGTTGCGCGCCAGGCGGGGCACGAGGAGCAGCAGATCCGTCGACGACGGCACCAGCGACGAGTTGGTTGACATTCCGAGTCCAACACTCGCAGACGCCCTGACGGGTCAACGTGACGCCAATCAGAGATGTGTCGTGTGATTACTCGATAACATGGGCATGTCTGCCCGTCGAAACACTTGCTAACTCTTGGTCTCTGTCACGCTGACGGCTCTCTCTGCTTACCGAACAGCACGTGCACATCCGCCCTAGCCTTCGGGTGCTGCCGATCCGAGATAGACGAGTCGCGGGGTCATCTACTCGGGACATATTGGCCTTTAATGTCTTCGATCCAGATCTTGTCAGGTATATGCATATATTGCAAGAGATACAAGGTGCTCGCCAGTCTGCTGCTATACACTTTACTAGTGGTAGAACTACAAGAGACATGCTGCTGAACAGATAGACTGTCGCAAAACAGGCTACCACGCTCGGCCTAGTCCGACGGGTACTCCCGCTGCAGATCATCGTCATCGACTTGGCTGCCTGCAGCCTAGGTAGCTTGTGCTTCAGCATCCCATCTGTCATTCACTATTTTGCATCACACATCCAACGAAAAACACCCAACTCGTCACCCTTGGCTATCTATCCTGAACAAAAACACACAATCACCTGCAAGTTTCTGCATCACATCGCTCGACATGACTGTGGTAGGCAACGTCCTCTCGGCAGACTCGCTGGCCAGCGTCATGGCCTCCACGCTGCCCGAAGAAAGCACTCCCCACATCCAGACTCCCTTCGATGCCATCGCTTTAGCAAGCCATGCTTCGATGCTCGCCGTCGGTTTCCGTCTGGTAGGCCTCGGTGATGACGACCGCATTACCGTCAACAACCCTCCCCGACTGCCCGCCAGCTGGAATTCAAATGCCCCCAACTACGCCTTCCGATACGCTCACACTCAGTCATCCATGGAATACTTGCTCAAAATCAACCGTATGGGCAACAAGGCCGTTGTTTTGGCCATGGCTCTCGGCGACGACAAGACGGCTACCCTGGATGTCAAGGCTGCCGACTACACTTCTGAAGGCTCCATACCATTCACCTTGTCACAGCCTCACGCCAGAAATCTCTTCAACCTCTTCATATCCAACGGTCGTCTCTCTGATTACGGCTCTCTGATGCGCATCAACGTCATCCAGAAGCTCATGCCGTCANCTTCAAAAGACGGCTACCAAGAGTCTACCACACAATCTACCGCACAGCCTGCCAGAACCTCCGACACTACTCGTCACGATCCTCTACGTGACGATCGTCAGCCTCCCGCTCGCCCCCATCCCTTCCACGATCCTCTCGCCCAGACTCCATATCCGTTCCCCCATGGAGAACTGGCTCCCNCAGGCTTTGAAGATCCTTACGACTTGAACAGACCGCTTCGTCCTGTCGGCGGTCCTCATCCTGGCTTTGGTAACATCGGCGAAAGAGATCTCTATCCTCAAGGCCTCGGTCCGAGGGACCCCTTTGGTGGCGCTGGCCCTGGATTTGGTGGTGGCGGTATGCATCCAACCTTGCCCGATTTCCATGATCCAAGAGGTCAAGGCTACAACCCACAAGCACCCNCAGGCAGTCGATTTGATCCAGTCGGTCCTCGCGGTCCTTCGGGCTTTGGTGGTCCACCAAACCCCTTCAACAACTTCGGTAGCGGAGACTTCATGTGACGTTAGAAACCTTTTCTCTTCTTTTGTACACTTCACTTCTTTGTATCTTTAAATACCCCAACCTTTCGCTCAGGTCTAAAACACTGCGCTTGTATAATAACATTGCCAAACTTCTCCTTCCCTTGGGCCCAAAATTCTCTCTGAACAAGTGCCTCGATTCAATTGTGAACCTAAGTTCAATGTTTCTCGAGTCAAGCATGGTTAGTAACGTATTAAATCAACCCCGAGTCGAGGCCTGATAGGAGTCCAACCGGGCTAGATTCAGCAGGCTCGACTCACGTGCTCAATACCTGGATGCTATTGGATCCCGGAATCATGCAACTTCTGCATTGGGAAAGTTGTTGGGTGACCATCTCATGCTTGAGCTGCGATCCACAATCATGCGTTACTGGTCTTGGACCTGCATAGCGCTATGATTTATTGGACGTTTTGATCGCCCAAGGGCCACTGCCAGCAGTGGAACGACCTCGATAGGGTGTTCATCCGGCTTTGAAGGGAGGAGCTGAGCCATGGCTGCAAGTGGTTAAGAGGAACAAGACGATGGATGCCAATGTGGATCTCATGTGTGCACCTTGATTACTCTATCTTAGCACAATCTATGTACGACATCAGGCTGCATTATTTTGCAAAATCCAGGTTGTTCAATGTGGACCAGCACGATAGATCATAGATCCACTTGCCACAATAAGAAGGTCGAAACGGAACTGATCCATCCGCTCGACGCCTGAGTATTATCACGAACTCATGACACGACTGTAGAATGGTGGTTCAAATAAAGTAATAGACTTTACGCCGGTGAGCAATCTTCCCCGCCTAAGCACAAAGTCAATGCCTCGGATGCCATCTTTGAAGCCGACATTCAACGTGTGGACCCTGACATGTTCCTCTCGGCTCCAGGGGTTTGCGATCATCTCTTGCATATCGTAAAACTTCCATACTCAGTCTACCAAGACCCTCTGCTCAGCCGAGTTCTCTGCTTCTCGACCATATGCTAACTCCTCACGACTTACACATGATGAGGAGCCGTTGGAGATATTTGATAATTGGTCGGCTCTTTGTGTAACCGTGTTGTACGTGTCTTCGATCCTCATCTCAACAACCCGCCTGGAGCATGCATCTCCACGCAATGCCCCCGCCTGTGGTGTTGGGTACATATTTATGATTGGCTCAGCAGCGTCAACTCATTTAACAGGCATCCACATTATAATCATCAACGCAATATATTACGAGTCAGGATCGACACCTGTTGGGATTCTCGTCACCTGTGCATACGACCGCGCTTAGGCGCCTAAAGCACGTAAGCTAAGCGTCAGCTGAAAGCACGGCTGGCTCCATGGAGAGGTACTGGTCATGCATGCTTTCTCGACCTCACAGATAAATCGGCATCAGCATATGTCGGCAGACTAGTCCACGAACGCTGAGGCCAACGAATCTTTGTGTCGCTTGCGATCCACCCCTGTTCGTTTTGAGCAGCTGCCTTCGATATGCCTNGCATTATCAATTCTGGTCAGCACACTATGCAGAGGGCAAATGACAGAATCGGCGTACCTAACGAGCGTATCCTTCCTTGCAAACAGAGATCCACACAAGACGCATTTGTGTTCTCGCAAGTGCAAGTGTACACTACGCTCATGGCGGCCAAGGTCGGTCTTTCTATCAAAACTCTTGTTGCACCCGGCATGAGGGCACTGGATCTTCTCCCTTGTGGCTTCATGCTTGAGCATGTGACTACGAAGATTGTAGATGCGCTGAAATCCTTTGTCGCATTCGTTGCAATAGAACCTGGCGTTCTCTGCTGTCGTCTTGATTCTGCGTGGCCTGTCTAGTAATGCTTGCACTTCAGCCTCGGAATGCTGGATAGAAAGTCGTCTCCGGCGCGAGTTATGCGTCAAAACATCCTCAGTAACTTCAGCTTGAGCGTCATACCAACGGCGCGAGGAATATTGTCCGGAAGCATCGGTGGTGTTGTGAAGCTGGTGAGACGCAAGCCAATGAGTCGGACTCTCCACACCATCTACACGCACAGCACTGTCTGTCAAGGGCATCGAGTGTAGTGTCGGAAGCGATGGAGTGTTCGAAATCAGACTCGAGTTCGTCAGAGTTGGTGACCATTTACAGTCTGGAACCGAGTTGTGTTCGTGCTTCACACTGGCCGATTCGAAGCTTGTTAATCCGGAACTCGACAGAACGGGACCAGAGAACTCGGGATAGCTGACTGCTCCAAACATAGGCTGTGGTAATTCTGCCCAAAACTGTTTTTCGGTCTCAACAGGGCTTCTCCAAGAGACAGAATCGAAATCTCGATGATTTTCTAGTTGGTATCCTGAATGGTAATAGACCTCGGGAGACCAGTGGTTTTGATGTTGCATGATGAAAGGAATGTTTGAAACGGTCTATCTGTTCAGACAAGACAGCGATTAGTTATAGTTGCTGGGATTGAGACTAAATGCATAGCTCCCTGATAGGTTTTGACATACTAAATTTGACAGCAGAGGCGGTGCAAAGGCGATTCAAGGAACAAGAGCGGTTACAAGTGTGAGGAACAACTCAGGCGCATCCTACAACTAAATGCAAAAGGCCTTCGGTCCAAATCCCGCACAGAGACCAGCAGTTGGAAACAACAGACCCAATGGTATGGTACCTGCCAAGCTGCAGCCATCGAGCACATGCACCTAATACTTCAGTTCACGAACGCCTGGAACTCCATAACTTCACATTGATAGTGTTGATAGCTCAGGTCGTTATTAGTTCGTTGATGCTTTTTGTATTTCGTCAAGACTTGCGGTTCTCGATCCTCGGCTGCGGATGGCTGGCTGCCGAATAGCGTCTCCATCGACCCGGCTGTTTGGATCAAAGCAATCAACCACACATTCTTGGCCCGTGTCTGTCTCGGCCTCATATCTAGATAAATCGTTGCACAATGCTTTCAGCCCCGCGACTCCAGCAAAACTTCCTAGCCTCGACAATGGGTCAATCGAGCTAGCTCAGTTGGCGCTCAATTCCCCACTCTCCTGCAAGAGCGCTTCTTTTAGCAGTGTTGCAACTGTGGTACCGCGCGGTAACGTGTACGAGGCTAAGCTGCTGCATTCGCTTGGAGCTGACGCTCTTGCTCTTCGATAACATCTCTGAGCTGTGCTATCTGCAAAGTGAGCTGATCGAGCACGGTCTTCATGTCGTTGATGGGAGCTGCAGGGGTTGAAGGCTGTGAGCCTGGTGAGCTCTGCGATTGGTCCACGGCCGTGTCCGGTCTCGAATTTGGCGCCAATAGCGGGAATCGTGATGGAAGTCTCTTGTTCAGGACAGATCGTCTCCAGCCGGGTGGCTTTTCGATACCTCGAGGTGATCCTAGACCGAATCCAGTAGTGTTCTTTCTACGAACAGACTGCATCTTCTCGTACAGATTTATGAGGAGTACATGAGGCAAATGCGTCATCTTGAGAACCACGATGCGACTGTAGCGCAATTGTTCGGCAGACAAGAATACTCTCAAAGGTCTAAGAGCAAGTGAGAACAGGTTCAAGGGAGGAACAAAATAGGTGAGTCTGTTCGATGTCGAAGCTTCGAGCACAAAGACCGAGTAAACATATAGATACTCTTCCCTGGCATGTGAGAGAACATTGGAAAGACTATTAGACAGGATCGAGATGAGCGAAGTGATCAGAAGGATTTGTGTCAATNNCTAGAATCAGTCGAAAGTCAGCGAAGGAGTCTTTGGTCACCAATACCATGTTGGCGCAGGAACAGGAGTTACTGACGTTATGAAAATCAACATGAGCGGAAGACCGAGGTAAGGTGAGATCTTATCGCTTATATCGAAGCCCAGATATGAGCTTCCGAAGAAAACTTTNGTCAGAATAAGGGCCATCTGTCGAGAGGTGAACTGGCCTCTGCCTAGAAGGCAGAAGGTGGACAAGAACCCACAGTACAATATTGCGACGAGCGAAAGGAACTTGAGGAAGTCCTGAAGCACTATCAGTCACGAACAGATCGTCAGCGAAACATTTTGACAAACCTTCGTCATTGCAGTGAGACATGGAAGCAGGGTGCCGAAGTAAGGATTTAAAGAGAGCAGTGGAGAACAGATTCTAGGAATCAGAAACAACGCCTCGAGGGCTAGGATATCGAAAGATGTATCGATGATCTTGTCGCTTCCTTGATGCAGGCCAATCATACCTAGACTCGTCAGCATGTGCTTGATCAGACTTGCAGCAATGTCTTGTGCGAGCCAGCCGACCATCACGCGTAGCAGCAAGATAACAGAATGAGCACATAACTTACGAGTGATGAAGAATGCGACTCCAATACCAATAACGAACAAATCCCAGAGAGACCAAAAGTCTGCAAGATAGAAAGTTGTAGTTCCGGCGTCCCAGTATTCACCAATTTCATTATGAGCAAACGAGGTGATCCAGATGTAGAGAAAGATCTCAGCTGTGGTGACAGAATGGAATGAACGCTGCATCAGAACGACGAAATAGAATGCCAGGAATGCCACAAAGAAGAGGACTTCAAAAGCTTTGAGATAGATGGGTACACGCAGGCGACAGTAAGGATCCATGGACTTGCGCTGGTAGATCTGGGCCTTTTTCTGCGCATCCGCACTGAGTTTGCTCCAGAACATGATATCTCCAGTCCAGATAGCGTTGATGATTCTTTGGACCTGTTTCTGACAGAGGAACTTCTTGGCTCCCGACACAGCCGCAATCTCCAAGGCATTGAGGCCGTCAAATTGTTCGGCCAACTCGGAATCAGTAGCAGCAGTTGATTCTTCGACCGCTCCGTCATAGGCTTCCGGGATGGTGAGCCTGCTTCTGTGGCTTCCACGAGAACGTAGACTTGATCGTGACAGCAGAGGAGACTGTTCGGTGACTGGCGATAGGAGCTCTGGCTGGTTCTCATCCACGACTTGGTTGTCAGTCTCGGAGTTATCAGGGATCTCTAACTCGTAAAGAAGCGAATCGATGATCTCCCTGTCGGCCAACCCAATGATGAATCTTGTAGCAACAGCTTCACAAGCAAATCCTCTGGCGGCATGGATGCCCTGCTCCTCATCGGCCTCAAGGGTGACAAAATGGCCTTTCAGAACANNCTGTTGGAGTACAATGTCAGCTCGGTATAGGTGTCATAAGGGTCTGTCTTACAGCAATGCTGCAACCAATGCTGGGTGGTGTACATCATGGAGCAGATGTCGACACAACGGAGTAAGCAGATGATCTTGGGTGGTTCGAAATTCCTCAAACGTGATGGGTTTTTCCACAAGATCTGTGAAGTATCTGCCAAGTGCATGAGTAAATGATGCGGTTTGAATGAGAATACTTTAGACCTATGTACCTTGCAAGCTTTTGTATCAGCGCATTGAAAGGATCGTTTTTACCAATTCGTGGCAACCGCGCAGGCAGACGTGTCGTCAAAGCAGACGAGTCCATCTCCAACAACTTCTCAATCAATGGGTACTCCTTGACTGTTGTTGTTCGGACAAAAAGTTGAAGTCTGGACAAACCTGAGACGCGCACAAGTTTCTGTCGCACCCTGACGCCACTAGGCCGTAGTCTAGAGCGATCTTATTTGGTGCACCACATCCAACAAAATATCGTACTCGAGTGAACCAAATTCACCATTGATGGTCGCAGTATGAGAAACTACCTCATGAAAAATATTCGCTTGGGATGTGTCTCCAAACATTGATTGGCGTAATTCTATGGCGCGCAATCGGGGTATCTCCTGCTATTCTATAGCTCCTTGACGTTCACCTCCACCCTTTGGCCTTTTACATTAATTATTTAACGAGACCCCTTCTGCTGCTTCGCTTCAATGTTGTAACTAGACGGGCACGTCTTCCATCATTTCCACTGAACCCTCCCTTCCGATAGTGAAGATAACATCGCCCAAAGTCTTGGTGACGAAGCCAGCTTCGCAGTAAGCGAAGTAATACTCCCACTTCCTGCGGAAGAGGTCAACATCTTTCTCGGTCATACCTTCATGGTCTCTCAACAGTGAAGGCTTGATTTTTTGGTCGAAGTTTTGCATGAACTCTTCACGCCACAGTCGCAGTGTCTTTGCGTAGTGGGGGCCAATGTTCTCCACGGATTCTGGGATTAGCCTGCAAGAGGAGCCAGCTCTGACGGAGTCTAGTAGTTGAGTGACAGTAGGAAGGTGGCCGCCAGGGAAGATGTATCGCCGGATGAAATCATCTGAGTTGCTGTATGCATCGTAACGCNNTTGAAATGGTTAGCAGTCGGTCGATTGTATGCGAGATGGGCTTGTGCTTACGCTTTCGGGCATCGTAATGCACTGGAACACTGCAACACCTCCCTCAGGCTTCAGAAGCTTATCGACGCATTGGAAATATGTGTCGAGGTATTCNTTGCCTACTGCTTCCAGCATCTCAATGCTGACAACCTTATCGTATAGCTTTCCATCTCTTGGTATCGGCAAAGCGCGGTAGTCGCATAGAAGAACCTCAATACGGTCTGTGAATCCAGCTGCCGCGATTCTTTCCTCGGCCAGAGCCTTTTGCTCGATTGACAAGGTCAGACTTGTGACACGGCACCCAGTCTCTCGTACGGCCAAGATAGCAAAACTGCCCCAACCAGTGCCAATCTCCAAGACGTGGTCATCCTGCTTAATTTTTGCGTTTGTGATGAAGCGTCTTAGTTTGCGCATTTGAGCTTGCTCAAGCGTCTCTTCTGAGGATTGAGGATCCGACTTCGGTAGCCAAATCGGGCAGGAGTAGGTCATGTCCGGGGACAAGAATGCGGCGAACATGTCGTTGGAGATGTCGTAGTGCGCAGCGATATTGAGGCGAGCGGTTGTGAGTGTGTTTGTCTTGCGAAGCAGGTAAGAGAGCTTGCCGGAAAGATTCGATGTAAGCGTAGATCCATTCGAAAGATGGGCACGATTGAGAATGAATAACTGATCGTGTTAGCATGTGCTTCATTGGTTGGAAGTGTTGATCCAAACCCGAAAGAACTCTGTCAAGTCGGAGCAAGAGACCTCTCCAAGCATGTAGCTCTCTGCGAAACCNCTAGCCTTCAGTGAGTCCAAGATTCGATTGATTGGCAGTCTCGAAATCATTACCATGTCCGCGAAGAGCAGCATGCGCACCCAGAAAATATCTTTGTGCACAGTCAATTCCACGTTTGGTAGAGAGTATACACTCTTCTCCGATGATCCATTAACGGCTTGTTTACGTCCGTAGGTGGACGCTTTCCCATCCACGTCCGCTACTCTTAAATGCCCAATCTGAATACGGGACAAAAGCGAAAGAACAGTACTGCGCGAAACGGACAGTAGAGGACCCCAGCCATAAGATGCCACATAACCGCTCAATGCCTGCAAAGGGCCGGAAGTCTGTGTTGAATTGACCATGTTTTGCAAGTCGGGCACTAGCAAGTAACAATGTAGAATGATCTTGAATTGAGCGTTCAAAAGGGAAGAACAGCGCAGCTACCTACCCTCAATATTTGAGTCGGACGCCGGAGCGATTCAAACACCGCTTGCTACCGGTCGCAATGTGGAATCGGCTTGGGTATGTTATGACTTTACCTTTTAGAGCATGTCAATGACGTGACTGAACGCCTTTAGCGTACGAGATGGAACGTCTCTGGATTGTAGCCAGAACAGCTCCGGTATCAGGGATGGCTGGTGAGTTTGGCATATTCAAGATGGTCGTGACTATGAGCGACAACAGCTTGCCTCTCTTTAACTTCCTTCCTTAACAGGAACCATTTGCAAATCGCTCATGTAGATGTCGCATCGTGATACGCGAAACTGGAAGCTTCAAAGCCCCACCAAAGTGGGAAAGCTTGAAGCGTGTTGCTGAGATTGCTTCGATCGAGCTCGGAGCACAGCTCCTGATCCGCGGCGGTTCGATAACGGGACCAGAACGCCATTCGATTGAGCCAGATTGTGTTGGGCAAGAGAGAGAGACCAGGGGTTGTCACGCGCAATATAAGAAGTGTGGAAAGGAAAGAAGCGTCTGTCGATGTAGAAGTTGCGTTAATGAGTAATGAGCTAATTCCGTCAACTTTGTGTCCTCATGATGACCGCGCGATCGAGAAACTTTTGTCAAGTACTTCGACTAGCTCAATAGTAGCTTACATATTTTGACCGCCACGATTTACTAACAACAACTCGGTTGTATAGTGTAGCGGTTAGCACGCAAGATTTTGATTTCTCAAAAATTCTTGAGTCCGTAAGTTACAGCCAATCACCAGTTTCATCTGAGCATTTCCTAACATCATCCAGTGGGTTCGAGCCCCAGTACGACCTATACAAGTCCATCTCTTTTTGCAATTTTTGTCTGGCGTTGACCAAATCAATGAGGACGACGGCTCTACGCAGCTTTGGAATAAGCAATTAACTATACGCCCGTTGTAGATGAGCTTTGTTTGGTGACGTGCGCTTTTGCCGCTCGTCATCGACCTTCATCACATTCACACCACAACCCATCGTTCGATACCTTTTGACATACTACTCCACAATGCCGCGTCGAGCACCTGTACCAACAGTCAAGCTGGAAGCCCCAACTGTCTCACGGCCCCAAACAACCCATGCCCAAAGAATGGAGTACCGCATAGGAAGAGGAGAGATGGGCGTCTTGACATTCGAGCCTTACAAATCCTACCTGCTTCCACTATGGCGCTTCAGAACACCAGAGATCGCACGGCAATCCTCGGCCCTGTTACGAAACGAGTTTGAGCAATTCGGAGAAGAGGGAGACTTTGTTGGCATGGACATGACGCGCAAGTTCATTCAAATGGGCTTCACACGCGCGAAACGATACGCCAATCACAAAGGTGGGAGAAAATACGACAAAGATCACGAGGTTCTTCCCAACAGCGAAACTCACCCGGACAAAGCGGAAAAGGAAGAGTCCAGTCGGATTTTCAAGGATATATTGGAAGAGATCAAGCAAGATGAAACGTACTTGAGACTCAAAGAGCAGTTTCAGACAGAGCTCAAGGAGTTTAAGAAGCAGAGTTCATGAGCCGCCACGAATAACTCCCGAGAGGGTATCTTCTTGCTGTTGGAGTGGCTCTACGTACTATTTAGAATGGTACATAGCAAGAAAGATGTGTTTCGTCGTCCATGATCATACTTTATCAGTCCATGTGTTCGGATAAGTATAAAAACGAAATTCGGTCAGGGTGATACCCGCACCCAGCCTCTGCTCTACCACGACGATGTTTCTTTCGCCAGAAGTGCATTGATACACGATTTTCTGAGTGATATAACGTACCCGTACCTTTTTGGGGTCAAATGGCATTTCGTGAGTCTTGGAAGGAAGATATGGTGCTACAATACCGAAAGTCATCATAATCCCAGACGCTTTGTGGACGACGGCCCCGACTCACTACACACCGGTAGACTTCCGTCGTCAACAATGAAGTGGAGAATTGTGATACACTCGTTTAGTGAATTGTGACCGTGTCTCTGAGCAGCCTAGCAAGTTCACATTCGCGCGAACAGACTTCAGCTACGGCTACACTGGTTTGAATCAGACTATGGATGGTGTCCGGATGCTTTCAGCGAACACGACTTCTTGACGCTGTAACAATGACCCAACACCTTGTAACTACTTAAGAGGGTTGGTGCAGTAATGCCATAGACAATGCAAGCTATAAATGCGATGCGAACCTCTATTATCATTTCGTAAATAGCATTGACTGGTGCGTTTTAATCTACGCAACTTCTGGGGCCTTCTCTTCGGCAACAGGCGCACTTGCCTCAACCTTGTCAGATATTACTTCCACATCCTTCTCTTTCTCTGGCTTTGCCTCCGGCTCCGGGAACAGTTCTGGCATCAAGTTCGGGAGGAACTTATGTAGCCTGCTCGACGTGTCGTTCCACAGTCGTTCTTGCTGCTCTGATTGATCACCACCCTCGCTTGGGCGCTTCAGGTAGCCACCACTGGACATGACGAGTAGTATGTTTTTGAGAGACTCTGACACAGCTTCCGCNCTATAATCGTAGTTGTCAGTCACAGATGCATGTACAACATATTTGGAAGAACTCACCAGCGTGTCGCCTTGACCGCTGTTCATCAGGCGGTCCATCAAGTCCAGAATCTCCATCCACAAGTCGTGCATTCCATCCCACTCACTGAGCACCACAAGATAATGCAGNAAGATCTTGCACAAAAGTTGTGCAGTCTGTACACGCAGGTCACCCATACCAGAAGGATCTATCTGGTACACTTCCGGCTTGAGTAGTTCCTGAACCAGGGGGAATACGACCTGACTGAAGATGTTTGTCCACTCCTTGTGTTCTGGAGATGCAAGATCGTTGGACAACAAACACCGTTGCAAAGATGCGAATGATTGCTGACGAATCTCCCGAGAAGGGCTGACACATTGCACAATGAAGCATCTGAAAATGGGAAGCCAGTATGCTTGCCAAGCCTCGTCAGGTTCCAGATGAGATTTTTCGATAAAGGCAGGGACGCGACCAGTCATTTGTGATACAATCGCCATCGCTCTGACGCCGCGGAGGGTAGCCTCATCAGGTGCCGGCCGCTTCTCAGGTGCTGCTGATTTGGTTCGCCTTGCAGCTGGCTCTCTTCGTTGTTCACGAACGGCACTAACCGTGGCAAAGGTATTCAACAGACCAATAGCTGACTCGTAGTTGTCCGCAGTGATCGCTTGAGGCGAACCTGTCGCAATGTCCTCGGTAATATGGAAGGCCAGCGGAGCAGCTTCTGGATTTGGCTGAAGCGCGTGAAGTACCGACCAGAAGTCTGGAGATGTTGCCATCTCTTTTCGCAGACTCGCAGGCCCTTTGATACATCCGGATATTCCCTTCAATATAGTTGGACCGCATCGCTGAAGAAGGTCTTGGTTGAAGGACGAGATTGTATGCAACACAACTGGCGCGCGAACATAATCGTGATCNCTGCTTCTGGTCAGAAAACATGCATGATAGTGATTGAGAATACTAACATCACTAGCTTTGAGCAGATCCAAGAGATAGTAAGACGCCCGACCAACCGTTACCGGATGCAGGCCATCCGCATCATGAATAACAGATTTCAATGTCTGAGCGACGTCTTTGCCGATTGATGACATGGAATCTTGATCACGCGTTGACAGCACAGTGGCAAGCTCAAGAACGCAAACAAGGGCCGGGTCGTAATCTGGGGCAGTAGGCTGCGGCTTCTGGCCATCAGGTCGTATAGGGGTTGGTGAAGCTACTGGTGGCTTCACGACAATGACTTTAGGCGAGTTCTCAACATCGTCTGGTGGCAAGTATGACAGGAGCGATTGTGTGAAAGCCTCGAGAGATTCACGAGGCATATTNGCTGGAGAGGCAGATGTCAACTCATGATCATATATTATGGTCAAACGGCGTTCTGCTTACCCAATGTTGGCAACAACTTCATCTAATCGACAAGCACTAATACAATCAACAGTGCAAAGTGTTGCCTCGATCTCCTGATCGTTCGGCTCTGGCGGCTCGTCATTCATCACGCTTGACACGTAGGATGTGAAAGCAGAGAACAAGCCGATGTCAGTCGACTTGTCGTTCCGTTCTATGACCTGAGCAGGGCTCTGAAGTGGAATAGCCGGAAGATCAAGCTTGGAGGTCAATGCGGACAGAGTGTTGGGGATGAGAGAGTTGATAAATAGGTTGAGGATGATGCGANNATGATCTGTTATCTGGCATTAGTACGACATCGAGGATTAAGTCCTTGATACGGAACTTACGTGGCTCCAGCCATCTCGGATCGTGGCTTCGTGGCCATTAATGATGCGGAACAGCACGAGTGTAGCAAGCTGAGCTTTGTTCTCTCGGCCGAAGTCAACAGCAAACTTGCTTACCATGATACTCTTGCCATTTGCTTGTACTTCAGTGTTGAGAGCAGTGCTGGGTGGTGTCTCTGTGGCCAACGTGCTGATTTGCGCAAGGGAAGCTATGATATGATCGAGACAATCATGAAGCCCGTGTTTGGCCGCGATCTGGGCGCACTGATCAAAGCCAGAAATGACTCTCTGGAACACGGTATCATCAGTGGCAGACATGAAGACATAGTTGAGAGTCGCAACAACGGGCTTCCACGTGGCTGCAAACATATCTGCATCGTAGATGTTGGTATCGCATAGGACCAGATCCTGCGCGGTCTGAGTCTTGATCAGAAGTTCCTTCCAGGCATGTTCAAAAGCGTGCTTGTTGTCGTGTTCCTCTGGTAAGATAATTTCCCGAGTTCTGATCGAATCATAGATTCCTTGAAGATACTCTGGTTCAAAGTCTTTTCCTCCGTTAACACCACGCAGATTGCGAGCAAAGTCAGTCACCCCCATTCGCGCTTGTTTCATATTCGGGTTATGCTGATCGGTATTGAGCATGATGATTGCATATGTCAGAACGTAGACAGCGTCCTTATCCGCGATACCCTCAGGCTCAGTCTTGTCGCAATACTTCTCTGCGAAGACTGTGACAATTCTCTCAATTAGCTGTGACTCACCAGGGAGACGGAAAGAATTCAGTATTTGACGCAAGGCCTCGTCAACACGCTGTCCAGTGAAGTCGAAAAGATCGAGGAAGGCATCAAGAATAGCCTCGTTCGACCTTTTCGATATGAACTCTCCCAGAACTTTCTTGTCGATTCGTGACGTTCCCTTAAGGAAGCGTGTGATGGACATAAAATCGTCTGTGTTCTCAATAATCCCTTCAGAGGCCAGATAAGCAAGACCTGCCTTGGGATTTTCGTTAAACTTAGTGGCACCGCGGATGATGATCTGTTTACGGATCCTCTGTTCACGAAGTGCTTCCAAACGAGGCAGACCCTCAGTCACAGGCTCATCATCGAGTCTGTCGGCGATGAATTGCACATATCCCAGCAGTGAATCCAAGCAGAGTGGTGGCACATTGGTGGTGCTCCAGGTAGCGGAATCCGGGAATGCGTTTCGTGAGAGGAGGCCAACCATATCCAAGCATAGATCGCTTCGGTCAATTTCGCAATCGTAGTTCACGAATAGCTCAGCCATAAAACTGGGAATTCTAACTAGAGCCCCAACGCTTTCCACCATAGCTTCTCTTGCGTCAGGCTTCCGAGAACCACCCTCTAGGCCGAGCTTCTGTCTATCTTTCACCGGTACCGGAGTGGATCGACCACTTTGCGTAGCAGATGCGGCTGGTTTGACAAGTCTTGGAGCTTGTGGTACACCCTCATAGAGAGTAGGGTTGATATTTGGTTCATCAGGAATCGGCACGCGAGGATGCAAGCATGCAACAATGTATGAGAGATAGAGCTCTTGCTGAAGTCGTAGTACACTGCGACAAGTTGCGAGCAGAGTCCCGGCAACACGTAATGATTCGTGGAGGAGAGCGATGTTCTCAGAGCGCACAAGCTGGAAAAGATTGCGACACAGAGTATCCTTGGCCAGTGAGGCTAGGGATGGGTGGTAGGCTATTGAAGGACCTGCAACTTCTAGAGCCACATTCACAATACGCAAAGCCATGACTCGCATGGTATCAGTGTACTGTCGGTCGTGAGGATCAAGAAGTTCGGCCAGAGTGCGGAAAAGTTCTCTGATCGAGGGCAAGCCATATGGGTTGATCTCGGGAATGTCATGGGTTTCGGTTGCCTTGGTTAGATCGACCTGACTGGCACTGAACTCTGCGGAGGGTCTTTCACCACCGGCCCCACGGGGCACATCTAGGCTCCCTGAAGTAGGCGTGTCCTGGGCAGGAGTCGAACCAATCTGAGTAGTGCTGGACTCGATCTTGAAGTCGTCTTGATCGTTCTGGTTGTCATCTCCAGGCAAGGATTCAAGGTGGGTCAGTCTCTGGAAGATGGTCTGGCACATGGTAACCATGGTGATCTCAGCCGAACGACGTAGTACTTCACTCATACGCAGTGCACAGCATATTGAAATACCACACTCCATCATGCCACAGACGCTTTGGTCGCCAAGGACTTCGCCTGAGGGGCCAGTAATGATGATCTCCATCAGCTTGAGGATACGAAGAAAGACGACGTCGTCTGATGCAGTGTTGTCTCCCTCGAAGCGGCAGTTTGTCACGCTCGAAGACAAGAGCATCATGGCGTAGGGGAAGTTGGGCATTCCTGGACTGATGACATTGTAGGAGAGCATCTTGGTGATTGCGATCAAGGCCAGCGAGGTGATGGGCGCGGTGGTCGACGAGGAACGGATGACCTGCAAGAAAGGTTGGAGAATGGAGGGTGTGTCGACAGTACGGATGTCNTGTAAGATAGAGACGTCAATTGCTGCGTGGAGGGCGTGAGCGAGGCGGTATGACATACCTCTGCAGCCCTTGAGTTGACTGCGTAGACGTGCAAAGGCAGATAGTAGCGGGTTGTCCTGTATGCTCTTGCCCTTCTTGCCGCGAAGGCCCCATCGTGTAGCCAGTTGTCCACCATCGCTGTCGTCGCCGACACTGAGAGAGCCGAGGGAGGAGGGTGGGCGTCTAGCAGCACCGCCGCCGAGGATTGCTGATACCGATGACTGGGCCCAGCGCGCATGCTTGCGCATGGCCGATGTGACGGTGATACATTCTGTAATGATCAGGGCCACGGGGTCGATGGCTACGCTGACCGGACGCGTCGCTGACGGGTAGTCTCCCGCTGTCGTCAAAGTCGACCTACTGCTGTAGTCCTCGTCTGCACCCGTGCCATTGCTCATTGTGCTCGTCGATTTGCTGCCGTGAACATTAACCTCCCTACAACCAAGTTACCTAAATGTCGACGTACTCCATCCATGCGGTCAAGCTTCATGGCGCCGACTCGCCCCGGATTCTCGCGTCAACTCACCCCCGAGCCTCAATTGTTCGCCGCAATAATAGGTACTCTAAGAGAGCACCTCACTCAATCACCTCATCTAGAAAAGTACAAACAGACGGCCAAAACATAAATCGTCATGGTTTCCTCTAGTACGCTTTTGCAAAATACATATACCGACATGTTTAGACCTCCTTGTTCGTTTATGATACTCATGCACAACTCCTGAATCACCCCTGAGACTTTGCCATCCTTCTACGCCGCGGCGCCTTTGTCTTTCACCACTGCTTCAGCTGCCTTTTCAGCCTTGTCAGCTAGCCTGTTCAGATGAGTTAGCCAGCACGTTCTTGCGAGACAATACATGCGGACCTACCCTTTGGCAGTGTCTTTGACACCTTCGGCTGCGCCCTTCGCTGCAGCTTTGGCCTCTCCAGCCACTTCCTTGGCCGCTTCTTTGACATTGCCAGCAGCGTCCTTAACATCACCGGCGACATTCTTCGCGGCATCTGCTGCTTTTTGCGCGTCGACGATTTCGGACTTGTCCTTCTCCCATTCGCTGGCTGTGTCATCAAATTGGGATTGGATCTTGTCCATACGCTCCTTGTTCTTGAGCTCTTCTTCTTCGCGCGCTTTCCTCTCCTTCTCCATCTCTTCCATGTGCCTGATGTCGTCCAAGCTGGGCTCGTAAAGATGCCAGATGGTGTAATGGGGAAGACCCACGACCGAGTACTGCATGCGTTTGGCCATCNNTAAATACTACGTTAGTTTTCACTGCAATGTTCTTGGCTTGTCGCTCCATACCTTGCCAAATCCTTCAGTCTCGGCGTGCTTCTCGAAACTGAAGGCTGGGAAATGGACACCTGAACGGAAGACCTTGGCCTTGGCCAGGATACTGACACCACCAACACCGTCGATTTCCATCTCCATATCCGGGTCGCCGTAGGGGTCACGCAAATAGGCCAGGTGAGGTCGCCAGGTGGCATATTCCGCATAACCCTCTACAATGACGGCGTCCTCGTCTAGCGTGTCGGCCAAGGCTAGGGCGGTCTCGGACTCCTGCCACGAGTTGAGATCGTAAGGTTGCTCACCGCCGAGCCAATCAGGCAGAGGTCGCCAAACATCTTTCCACCGTGTCAGTACGGTAAGCTGTGTTTTCGAAGCAGGGTTTCTTACTGGGNNCACAATGACGTCCTTATTATGTCTCATCAAGTCCTCCAAAATTGTGAATGGCGCCGTCTCAACATCGACATCTCTCCAGTAGACCCAGCTGTGTGTGGGACGCAAAGCAGCACTCAGAAGCCAGTTGCGTGCTTGGGCCATGCTCTTTCTTCTGCTAGCCTGGGCAGCAAACCCGTGTCTACTCTCGACGTCCTGGTTAACCTTTTGTCCAAAGTCCTTCTCGATGACCGAAACCTCGCCAAAGGGCATGCCATCCTTCTCGCTGGCTTGAAGTTGAGCCAAAAGATCAGAGAGTAGGGTGAGAGTGTTGTCTTTCGAGTCACCAACCAGAAAGGCCAGGTCGATGAGGTGGTGAGGATAAGTCAAGTTGCGCAAATGAGAGAAGAACATTGGCAAATGGGGAGAAGCGTCTCTGAGAGGGGCACAAAGGAGAATCCTCTCTTCCCGCTCCCAGCCCCTGGCGGTGCCTTGGACATTGGCGAGATCGTAGTAGCGGACAGTCTCGAGTTGAAGCTGCTGGCTTCCGGANAAGAGGCCGAGAGATAGCGTAGGTAGTACGGCCTGGCGCGTTGAGGGGAAGAAGAGAAAGATGGCGGCCAAAAGGAGGGAGCCGATCAGGGCCAGTCTAAGCATGAGCTGGCGACGTCGTCGCATAGCGGGCTGTGAGCGGGGAGCGAATNNCTACAAGTCCGGACGTGTGAGCGCAACAAACAGACACAGGTCTTAGAGGGGGCATGCGTACTTGTGAGGTTCGATGGAAAAGTGCGAGCGCCCGCCCAGCGGATATGCGCCTGAATTGGAGTAGCCATGTCTGTTCATTGTTGCTCGCTGAGTTGAGGAAGCATGCACGGGAAGCATGCAAGACGAGCGATGGCCTACGGACGAGGGCCGACGTCTGGAGGGCCGCAAAATGTATCGAGACTCTCCAAGAACGAGAGGTTGAGTAACTTGGCTAGATGATGGATGTATCTTGCTACCAACGTCTCACGGAGAAGAAACGGAAGCGTTTAGCTTTGGCCGACTGGGCCCCTTTCTCGCGTTCAGGGTTACGTGTTGATCTCCACGCGAGCCATCTGTAACAACATGGTGGTACATGGCGATTGGAGAGGCTGGTTCCCAAAGAGAGCTAGACTATCAAGGAAAACCCATGCTGCATTTCACATGGAGACATATTGGAGGTATGGAAGGGAGCACGAGTTTGGGTCGGCTCGAGTGCCTAGCTAGCCGGCATGCGAGTCCGTTCCTCGAGATGGTCTACCAAAGCTACAGAGGCAGACCAAGACCCGATGCATTCACCGAGGACTATGGTTCGGATAGATAGCTAGCTGAGAGCTCGCAGCTCAAGGCCAATATTCGCAAGGCTAGCAACAAGCCGGTTGGGTCATGCAATACTCAACATCGGACCTTAAGCATCGGGTCGGAGCATGTCGCGACTAGAGCCAAGATTCGGGCCGTGGTTGCAATACAGAACACTCAGGGTTTGGCTATGAAGCTTCGAGTAAGCTCTAATCAAACATGCCGAATCGATGCTCTAGCATGACAGACGAGTTTCAGCGCTCAATCTGATTTGGAGATGACGACAAATGCTCTTGCAGTTCTTTGGTCGTCTTGTTAAGTTGGACCTATGCTTGCAATGCGACAAGCAAATGGTGGGCGCAGAAAAGTGGCAGTGAGCAGGAGCTTGGCGGGCCGTCGGCTAAGAAAGCGAGCAGCGGTTGCTATCTTTCAAGATTTCCGAGACGGACTTTGTTGAGCAGACCTGCCTTTGAAAGCACTCTCGCACTCCACCTCTATACCCCTCGCCCTCACTCCTTCTTCCTTTCGCAAAGAAGAGCATTCGCCATGGCCGCCTCCAGAATGTTCCGTCCCACCTCGCGCCTGGTGTCAGCATCAATTGCCCGTCCCGCTCTCCGTTTCCGCCCCGTCGCTGTCTCGAGACACTATGCTACCCAGGGCGGCGTCAAGGAGATGACCGTCAGAGAGGCCCTGAACGAGGCCATGGCCGAGGAGATGGAGAGAAACGACAAGGTCTTTGTTCTGGGTGAGGAGGTTGCCCAGTACAACGGAGCGTGAGTGCTTGTGCCGAATAACACTTAGAGCACCCCAGTTGACCCGCTGCTCGCAGATNACAAGGTCACCAAGGGCCTGCTCGACCGCTTCGGCGAGAAGAGAGTTATCGACTCTCCCATCACCGAGTCTGGTTTCACCGGTCTTACCGTCGGTGCCGCCCTCGCTGGTCTCCACCCTATTGTAAGCACCTCGTCCAGCTTGAAACCACCCCAGCCCTCTCCGCCTGCCTACTGACACGCCGACAAGTGCGAGTTCATGACCTTCAACTTCGCCATGCAAGCCATCGACCAGATCATCAACTCGGCCGCAAAGACCCACTACATGTCTGGTGGTATCCAGCCCTGCAACATCACCTTCCGTGGACCCAACGGTTTCGCTGCTGGTGTCGCCGCTCAGCACTCGCAGGATTACTCGGCCTGGTACGGCTCCATCCCCGGTCTTAAGGTTGTTTCTCCTTACAGCGCCGAGGACGCCAAGGGTCTTATGAAGGCCGCCATCAGAGACCCCAACCCCGTTGTTGTTCTCGAGAACGAGTGAGTCCGCGCTTCGCTTCGATGAGAGTTACACATTCTGATTCTTCTTCTTCCAGGCNTTCTCTACGGTCTCTCCTTCCCCATGAGCGAGGAGGCCCAGAAGGATGACTTTGTCATTCCTGTAAGTCCCCATGTCTCTACCGCACGACCTTGCACTTTACTCATTCGTTTCTACAGTNTCGGCAAGGCCAAGATCGAGCGTCCCGGAAAGGATCTTACCATCGTCACTCTCTCCCGCTGCGTCGGTCAGTCGCTGGTCGCCGCCGAGCAGCTCAAGCAAAAGTACGGCATTGAGGCCGAGGTCATCAACCTCCGCTCCATCAAGCCTCTTGATGTCGAGGCTATCGTCAAGTCGGTCAAGAAGACTGGTCACATGATGGCCGTCGAGTCTGGTTTCCCCAGCTTCGGTGTTAGCTCTGAGCTTTTGGCTCTTACCGCCGAGTACGCCTGGGACTACCTGCAGGCTCCCCCTGTCAGAGTCACTGGTGCCGAGGTTCCCACCNCCTACGCCCAGAAGCTCGAGGAGATGTCGTTCCCTACCGAGCAGCTGATCGCCGACTACGCCGCCAAGCTTATGCGCGTATAGAGAAGAAAAGCCACACTGGAGTTTAAAGGGTTTTGACTAGGAGACTGGCTGGTGTATTTTTGATATCAACACATTTGTTCCTTTTTTCTTTCATCAAGCAGCATTTCGAACGGGGCCTTTAGATGCCATATTCTCTTGAGGTTAATACTGTATTCCTGGTGCGAGCATTGGCGTCTTGTTTCTGCGAGTCAACCCAGTCCGTTCCAGCTCTCCAATATGTCAAACATAATCATGATGCAGTTCGTTCGAGAATAACCGAAACTGCTGTACTTGTAATACAACTCCGCTCCAAGGTCTAGATCATCTAAGACTTGAATGTACCGCAACCACATCCATCATCATCTTCCACTTCTGGCAGCTCGCCATGACGGCTCCCGGCCTCGTCACAGAAGTTTGCCATAAGGACGTCCTTTGACGACAGACCCATAGGTTTGTGCGTAGTCCAGCGGACATGGGTCTTGTTGAAGACATTCGTCCATTCCGGGTGATGTTTTTGCACCTTGCACTCAGCTGCTACTGTGTTCATAAAGTCCTAATACCAAGAATCAGTGATCAATCCAATGCCGAACGGACAGGGTAGTTGTGAGTAAAAGCAATTGTCTAAATGCTTGAGCCGCCGTGTACCGTGTTTTTCATGAAGCAAAGTGTGTCTTTCACGTACCCAGGTAGCTTTAAAGGTCTTGAAACGAAAGGTTCGCTCGAGTCCTCTGTTGTCGTCCGTGACCTTCCATCTGCCTCCGCCTTCTTTGGTGAGAGCAATGGCATTGCGACCCAGTTGTTCTTCGTCTTCTCCAGCAGAGTATTGGAAGCGAACAGAAGGCTGCTGTGATGGAGACGACATGGCTCTGACGAATGATCGTGACACGGGTCTTGGAGTAACTCTCCGTAGCGAAAACATAATTATGGTTGAAAGACGGACTGGTGGACGTCAACGAGGACGAAGGTGATGAAATCTTGGCAGGGGACAAGTCTGAACTTTTGTTGACGATATGCAGCAGAGGCAAATCGAAACATGAACAAGATATAAATACGAGCACGTGGACAAAGAAACGACAAAATGCATAAAAAGTGGTATCATGAGGGGCAACTAAAGACTTTTTGGTTCGCTTCCTGCTGACAGAAGTTCTATCAAAAGGTAATGCCCATTTTTCGCCCAGGATCCTTGACACAAAGCAGCCGTCATAGCAGATCCATCAACGCCGACCTTCACATCATGGTGAAATCGCTTATTTCTTAGCGTTGGCAGCCTCCTCAGCCTTGGCCTTGGCACGCTTCTCGCGGATACCGGCAAGGCGGGCCTCGCTGCGGACGTCACGGAGCTTGCGGTAGGCGTTCTCCTCACCGGGGTAGTCGGAGAGCTTGCCCTCGACAACCTGGGCCTTGTTCTCGATGGGGAAGGTAACGTTGGCCTGCTTGACGAAGTTCTCCTTGGCAGCCTTGACCTCCTCAGCAGAGGCGTCACCCTTCTTGGGGGCCTTGCTGTTGCGGGGGAAGAGGATAACGCGGCTGCGGTAAGCCTTCAGGCGCTCGACGTTGGCGGCAAGAGACTCCTCGGAGAGGTTCTGGCGGCGGGGGTCGACGGAGATACCGATGGTGGGTGCAAGCTTGCGGGGGATGCCAGCAGCCTTGAGNGCTTGTCAGTCACTGAAGGTCGTGAGAGCACACGGCGGCGGGATACGTACCTTGAGCTCAGCCAAGCTGAAACCACGGCCGGCGCGGACGCGGCGGTTGTACTTGAGGGTAGGGCAGCGGACAATGGGGCGGAGCTTGTCGACGGGGCGGGGAGCGACGGTGGCAGCCTTAGCAGCGCGAGCGTTGCGGCGAGCCTTCTTCTTGCCGGCCTAGGATTGATGTTTTGTCAGGAACTCTGTCGCTGACAACAGGCGCCTCTGCTCTCATGAAGAGAGGGGAATTACCTGGTCGAAGTGCACGCGGACGCGGCGCTGCCAATCNCTGCGGAAGTGGTTGTGGGGGATCTGCTGGTTGTGCTTGATGGCCTGATGAAGGTGTTAGTGTATTTGTCTCCCAATCTCTTTCTTTGCCGGAGTGATGGATAGGATCCAGGCATGTCGCTAGTGTCTTGGTCGAGGCTAGAGCGAGAACGTGGTACTTCGAGTATGTTCGTCGTGGCATATTGGTGTCGCTGCTTGTCGAGCGACTGCCTTCGTTCTTATTGCACTCGAAATTGTCACGCGGGCCGTCGAGATGGCGAAGAAGGGCGTAGCGCATCGTAGGTCGACCAAAGACAGCGTAACAAGAATGATCCAATTCCATCACAAACAGCGGCGGCGTCGCAACTAACCATTGTGTCGGTGGGCGATAGTTGATCCTGTTGTCGAAGGTCGTCGTCGTCGTCAAAGGAGAAAAGATCGAATTCTCGCCGTGCAAAACTTCGATTTGTCGCTTAGTCCGTGGTGTGCCAAGATCGTGCACTGACCACTTTCAACGTCTCGACTCTCCGCTCTTGACACTCGACGCCGACTTGGGCTTGACACTCATCAGAGTGAGCATAATTAGTGCTTGCGAGATGGAGTCGTATTGTATGAGACGATGCTAGAAGAATTCTATGTGATGGCCTAGGGCAAGCAATCACACATTGGACGCTCCTCTCTTGCCAGTCACCCGTCAAACTTCTTGATCCGTGGTCATTCTACAAGGACACCGCTTTGTATAGGAGGTAATGATAAACAGTGAATACGAAAGGACCGTCCGATAGTCATGAATATATTTTCGCCTCGCGTCATGCACTTTGTTTGTCTGCCCAACAGACATGACTTTCTGCCAGCAGACAATGTCACCTTGCTCAGAAATGATCCCCCAACTCTTGTACTTGTTTAAAAGGTTTCGTCGTCTTGCGGAATCTTATCCTTGAGCCACAGCATCGTAGCTTCAGTGCCCTTCTCGAGAATTCGATGCGATGGCACGCGGAATGCATTGCCACCGATGCTCAGCCCCTTTAAACCTTGATCCCACAACAATCCTATCTCAGGAGGTAGGTAACCAATGTTGTTATCTGCAAGATCGACCGACTGCAGTCCTTCCAGAGCCCCATGCGAGACAGCGTCTATCCTGTTGTTTGCAGCGTGTAGAACCTTCAGCTCTGGGAATGAGCTTCTGATCATGGGCACCGAACCAATAAGTCTATTATTGGACACATCCAGATACGAAAGGCGTGGCGCATGGAGCAGACTCAGCAGTGGCTCCCAGTTTGAGATCTTGTTGCTACCCAAGAATAGCTCTTGGAGAGCTGTCAAAGTTATCACTTCATTCAGGTATCTGTCTCCCAAAGAACAGCTTGACAAGTCCAAGACTTTGAGGTTCTGGGCCAAAGATATCTCGAAAGGAACGGTGACAAAATTGTTCCGTGCCAATCTGAGTTCACGGACATCTTCAGTACTGAAGATGGATCGGAGCACATCAGCATCGTCGTCCACAAGGCTTTTGTCTCGAAGGTCCAGAGTGCCAGAGACAACTCCCCATTGCGAACCAGAGTCATGTGGTGACTGGATGTCAATCCCCTCGTCTTCGAATTCATCGCCCTTGTCGCCCTGATCGGATGTCCTTAGGCGTTGAGCCATACTACGCTTGAGTTCCTCAGTCGACATGTTCAGAAGTTTGCGTTCGCGAAGAGGATTGGCGGCCACCTTCAGAACATCTAGCGAATCCATAAGACCGATATTGTCATGCAGTTTAGTGAGCTCATTCCCTGTCAGATCGGCCTGTTTAAGATACTTCAGGCTTGTGAATCCCTGGGGAAGGACAGATATCTTATTGTCGGCAGCAGCCAAAGAGACTAGTTCCTTCCAACCAGACATATCTGGCAGTGCGACTATCCTGTTGCTCGCTATATTGATGGATTTGATCGCCGGTAACGATAGATTCTCAGAGAAGGCAAGCGAAGCTAGGGAATTGTTGGCGACATCTAAATGCTCGAGCTTGGACAAGCCAGATACGCTAAAGGGGAACAGTGCACCGACCATGGCGTTGTTAGAGGCATTGAGGTCAGCAATGGGCAAGGTCTCAAGAACATCCATTGGAAGACCAGTGAGTTGGTTTCCAGCAACGTTCAAGACTTGCAGATTGACGAGGTCGCGCAGACCATCTGGAAGACTCAGAAGTTTGTTGTGCTGCAGTTCCAAAGTCCTCAAGTTATGCAAGCGACCTATTGACTGCGGAAGATAGCCGGACAAGTTGTTGTTGCTCAGCTTGAGCTCTCGCAATGTTTCGAGCTGGCCGATCGTATCGAAGATTGCGTTACCCAGCTTGTTATGTGACNNTACAAGGATGTGAGTAAATGCATCTGCGATATTGTATCTTATGACGCTCACCAAGTTTAGCACCGTCAGTCTCTCCAGCCAGCGCAAACCAGCAGGAACTGTCTGGAGATTGTTTCCGTGTAGATCAATCATTTCCACACTGCGGAACTGCAATCCCTTGACTTCTTGTTCATCATCCATAGCTACTTCAGTAGCAACGTCCGGAAACACGGCGTCAGAGATCGTGTCAAGATCGTTGTCCGCTGCTACGAAGCGAACTAGATCCGTCATCTGACTCCAGTTCATATTGTTATCTTCTTGTTGGTCGTACATGCTCAGAACTTCATCTGGGATACTCTTGAGGCCCATTCCCGCAATATTCAGACGACCGTCACCGCGGGCTGCTTCGATCCTCTTGCGCAAAAGACCATCAGAATTTTTGGGTTTTGTATTGAACGGATCAGCAAAAGGATCAAATGAGAAGTCATCGCCTTGAATACTCGATTGCTGCCCTTTGAAGGTGCCTGGAGTTCTCTTGGCAGCTTTAGCCTTTGCAATATGGTCCCTCAGTGCTGCGGAAGAACTAGTTGATTTCTCGGGAGATGTTTGCGGTTCCTTCTGAGGCGCGCTTTTTACTGCTGTTGCCGGTGTTGGCCTAGTCTTGATAGCTGAAGATGAGATGCTGGTGGTTGGCTTAGGCCTGGGAGTAGCAGCCACATCAGCTCCAGGCTGGCGGAGACTACTCGTCCGCTGTAGCGGCTTTGTTGTGNNAATACTTTTGGCGTACTGGTCGTTGTAGGTTTTCCTGCTACAGAAGCAGGGCGGCTCAGTCTTGATGGTGCTAAGNCCAATAGAGGAAGGAGCTCTTGGAATGGAATGCTTCGTGGGCATCTTGCTGGTCGAAGGAGCCATAGTGGAAGACCGTTTGGATGGCGAAGGCATCTTTCCCAGGACTTTAGGACGCGAAGCCTCCCTCGTCTCATCAATACTCATAGCAGAAGCCGGACGTGATGGAGGACCCATAGGGCTCTGTGGGGCAAAANNGCTGGACCTTCGCCTGCCTGTCCCCGGGGTCTCAGGGAGTCGGGAGAGACTTTCCACGGTTCGATCTGACAATGAAAGTCTGGACACCCGTTTTGTGCCGGGAGTTGTTGGCTCATCGGGGTAATCATTATCGTCATAATCACCCTGCCTTGAAGTGGCACGTGAAGCACTGCGGAAACCATCAAGCGAGCCTAGTTGGTCATTCAGGTCCTCTTGCTGAGCAGTGTTAATAAAGCCAGAAACAGGTCTTCGAGATTGCGCAATATATGATACTGGTCGCGAAGCAGGTTTTCTAGTAGCAGTGGTAGGCTTTTCCGAAACTGAATATGTAGGACGATGCGACGAGGTCCTTGGTGGGATGATGCCAGTCGATGGACCAGATATACTCGATCTAAAGCCGGAGCCAGATGAAGGCGGTCTAGGAAGAGCCTTTTGGCAGGAGATGGTTTCACCAAGGCAGAAGGTTTGGAAGGAGATGGCAATGCGGACTTGTGGNTCATTGTTAGGGGCAGGCAGTCTTGAAGCCGAAGGTCTTGCGATGGAAGAGAACTTTGGGATGCCCGAGGACTTCAACGGAGTAGCAGAAGTGGAGGGATCCATTGTGGTCAGCTATGCCCAAGGCGTGTATGGGCAGCCGGGCAAAAGGGAACGACCAATGATGAAATTTCGGACGAGGAGAAAGTTATGTCTACTGTACTTGGGTTCATTCCATGTCGGCACTTTGTTTGGCATCAAACCCCCTGGATTATGGCAGGTGGAGTGCCCGCCTAAACGTTGCGGATGTCCCGCCAACTGGACCCTGGTCCGAAAGGGGGAGCATCATTGGTTTTTGACACGACCGTGCGTCGATCGTCACGGTGCGCGTCCCTCGAGTACACAAAGACTGCGGGCCACTTTCACATCTCTTGTTCTTTTGCATTGCACAGCATATCAGTTGCTATACACAAACACCGTCACCGGCCTCGTCTGCGTCACTGACTACATACCTTCGACGTCTCTATCGCAAGCGACTTGGATCATGAATGCGACAGAACCTCCCACGCCTAACTCAGCACATGGCGACACTACTCCTCCGCCTCTGAACCCTCAGACAACAGCTGATGTCGCAACTTCATCGTCATCATCTCCCTCGCCTGCTTCCGAAACCTTCGTCTTGTCTGAAGACCATGTTCAACAGGCGCAGCCCGATGAGCTCCGCGCCATCATAGCTCGCCTCATGCCTCTTCTGCAGGAAGCTCGCTCTGATGCCGCACATCACAAGCTGCAGTATCATATGCTTGCTATTGAGACCACTGAAGCCATGGAGCGCATCCAAGTCGAAATGGACATGGCCCAACGTGAGACAGATCTCCTCAAGGCTAATGATCCAGTCGAGCCACGCAACCCTCGTGCTGACCATCACGCCGACCCAAGCATTCGTCGTGTACACGCTGATATATGGGACTCGATGGTCAAGGAAACCCAAAGTCTCAAGTCCCAAAACGCTCAGCTTGAGCAACTCGTCTCACAACACAAACGGATGGTTGTCCAACAGGAGAGCGAAATCGCGAGTTTGAATGATCGCATCACACTCTATCGCGAACGCCTTCGTGAGAACCGCGCTCACCTCAACCGTTACCGTCGCACTGCCGGATTTCTCGACTCACCACGCAAAAGCCAGTCTGCTCAATCTTCTCCATGGACTACCCGCGAGCAGGACCAGCCACCTNTTGCAGCCCTTNTGCATGCCTCTGATCTTATTAGTGGAAGGAGTCCGACAACCCCACGGACTCCTACGCGCAGACGACGGGCTGCTTCTATAACTCCAATGCCTTACGAGACCCCTCAAACTCTTCAATCCACACGCTATCTGCAGGTACCGCAGACTGCGCCACCATTGCGCAGTCTCCAATTCCAGCACTCAGGTTCCGAACGACTTGCTTCAACCAGACATCAGACGACAGTGCTCAGAGAAGTGCTGGTGGCCGACGAAAGTGAGGCCGAGACGGATGTCCCCGATCAGGAGCCAGCCAAGGAGGCTGGAAGTGTTTTGAGTGCACCCCAAACTCCTACACACAGTCGCAAAAGCTCTACCATGAAGGCACCTTCGGACGCTGCTCAACAACAGAGATTGTTCGGCCAGGTCAGGAAAGCGAGCATCCAGCGCGACAACACGGACGCACCGACCAAGGCAGTCGTTCCAGGACAGGCACGTCTGTCCCATATCTTGAACGAAGAAAGGAACGACTTTTACCAGAAGTGACCGCGGCTAGAGAGCTATGGTATGTGTATAGCACTAGACCTAGATAGATAGCCCATGAGCAGAACCGAGCAAGGTCTTATGCACAAGCAAGAATGAATGATATTACACGAATTCCAATCTCCCGAGTCTGCCCACTGTTTCTCCAGCGTTTCTGACAATGCAAATGTGTGATTCCTTGTTGGTGGCATTGACAGCCTCGGCAAGAGCCTGTACAAAGACACTGCCAATAGCGACACCCCTACCTTCAGTCAGACTGAACTCACCTTTTGTGACAAAGCCGATGAGGTCCTCTTTGCCAGGAAGCGGAGGGCTGCAGTCGTGTTCGTCATCGGACTGGGGAGGTTGCAACAAGTCTGCGGCCAATTGTCGTTGCACGTCGGTTGTGGAAGTAGACTTCATCACAGACAATGGCAAGCTTCGCTGGCGCTTCTTCTTCTGGGTGCAAGAGCTTGTTCGAGCCGGGTCAAGGGCGAGCCACTGGTCGCGTAGTGACGGCTTTTCTGTTCCAGGTACGGCTGGCAAGCGGTAGATTCGTGCGCAAGGTTCAGGTGTCCCACGTCCGAGCAGAGTGATGCGGACGGTAGAGACAGCATGAGACTGATGCTCTATAGACGTGGCCTGACCAGCAACCACGCTCCGAGCAAGACTCGAACCAATGTGATGAATCTTTGACGAAGCATCATCTTTTTCATCCGCGGTGCTTCCAAAGCAGTAGGCCCAATCACATGCCCATCCATTGCCTTCTTCACCTTTTCTGCCAGGGGCCAATGCGACGCTGTCCCACTCAACCCTTTTGCCTTTGGGTTTTGCTTCCCACTGAGCCTTTCTTCTGGCACTCTCTGAGGCCTCCCAAAGATCACCCGCTTTGGTACCTGGGAAATCACCAGGGAACCAAGGCATGCCAGTCTCAAAGGCAACCTGGCGTTGCTCTTCCAGACCTCCCATTCTCACCTGTCCGCCAGTCGATATGGGATAGTACATGAGACTTTGCCAAACGGCAGGGACTGTTTTCCATGGCAGAAGAACGACCCACGAACAAGAGGTGCGCTCTTTGCTTCCCTGGNNCTTCGATTTTGGTTGTGCTGAGGACGGGAATGCCATTATGGGAATGCGAGGATCTTGAGGGAGAGCCTCAGGGTAGGCACCTGGCGTGGCGGCAGATTTGCGGCGGTTGATATTTTTCTGGCTCTGCAATGCGCGGCAACATGCTTGTCTTCTTGCGCGGTCGAAAATGCCTGGTGCTGTTTGTGCAGTATCGAATGACCATTCTGTTAGCAATTCAAGCAATTGCTGTTGCGATTGCTGTGTCTGCACAGCTGAAGATACAGTTCGGGGCGGATGGTGTAGTCGAGGATCAGATACATCGAAAGCGAGCAGAGCGTTTGCAGGCAAAGCCGATGGTGTTTGTACGCCTGCTAATAATGACCAATTCTTCTCAGTGGATGCCTTGTCCCCTTCGCTAGCAACAGGACGAAGAGCACTCGTCAAAGCTTCGGTCGAAGCAGGGCCCACAATCTCGATACTTCCAACCTCGAATCGCAAATCTTCAACAGTCAATTGAGGTTTCTGGATCTTGACCAGTCGGGTGAGCTCGTCCCAGAGCTGCGAGAAGGCTGATGGATGAATACGGATAAGAATCTGACGAGACTGCTTCGCAGAAGATTTCGGATCTGCTCGCCAAATTACTGTGGCAGGAGCGATCGGGTGAGATGGATACATGTCACGCTCATACAGCCAACCTTGCCACGTACGAGAGCCGTGTCTCCACCTCTGGCCTCGTGCAGACCAGGCGGCATCTGACGAGCCAACACCCAAAGCACGAAGAAGAGATTCTATACTCTGTTGATTACCGTGTATGGAGATTGTAGACATGTAGCTTGTGTCCCAAGCAATAGCACCTCGGTCTTTACTCGCACGATGAGTGGGACGATAGCTNTTGACAGTTGATGTCAAGGGCAATGCAAAGCGCCAGAGAGGTTGAGATGGCGGAGTCATGTGGGCTCGTTTGGCATGAAACATGTGTGTAGGCAACCAGGTCTTGTGTATCTGACGTTTGCGATACTTTGCCTTGGGCACAGGGGGGNNAGAGGCGAGCTTGTTCTTCTTGGGCTGGAGCGACCTGGCGACAATTCCCTGGTCAGACGACAGCTTGTTCTTGCGGCTGAGGGTGCGTAGACGGTTGACGGTGTCGATGCGAAGACGCATATGTCCACTCGGTTTACGTCGGCGCGATGTTACGGTTGGTGTATTGTCTTCGGCCATCNNTGTTTCGTGTTAGCCTTGCCACGTCAGGATTCTGAGTCGACCGACCTCTCGCACGGCCTGACGGCGCAGTCTCTTGGGCACTCTCTTCGCATTGTGACTGGCTGTCCTGCGTCTCAAGTCCTTAGGCACTTGCTGGAAAGCTCGTTGTGTAAGACCCTTCCTGGCCCGAGACATGCCTTCCTCGAGTGCGCGGATCTCATACTCGCGAGCCTTGACAAAAGCTCCTACGTCGAGCTCTCCGTTCTTGAAGGCCTTGGAGCTCGTCTGCACCGCCAGTGTGCGAGCATCGCGCTGCGTCTTCTGTCGCTTGTTGCGCCAGCCTCCGCCATCTGTCGCATTCCCCTTGCGCTTCTGTCCGGTTTGATGTCCGCCTGGATCCACTTTGGGCGCCATTTTACGTCGTCGTTGTGCGGGCAGACTTGTTGTTCGTTGCACTGGCCGTCGAGCTTGCGACTTTTCTCGCGTCGCGTCTCGAGTCAGATTGCGAAACTCTGCACGTCGCCTTCAAACTTCGTCCACTTTGACCCTTCAGCCTCTAGTTGTTTGATACACAATGGTTCATGCCGGTAGGCTCAACTACCTAGCTATCTAACATCCAGTGCTTCACCCTTTGCGTACTTGCCCCTTCCATGTACAGTCTTGCTGCCTCGAACCATTGACGTCTTGCGTCGCCATGTTCACCTTCTTGTCCAAATGTATCAAAACTCCACACCCATGTAAGCGCCAAAGTCCCTCCCACAAGACAGAATAGGGAAAAAAAAACAATCGACCGTGGTATCGAACAGGGAATCGAAGAAGAGAATGCCAAAAGGTTTATGAGAAAGGAAGAACAAAAGAAACCCTCATACAACATTGCGGCCTCAAGCCATCATGTTGGATGATCCTGCGTGACAACCTCTCTCGTGTCGTTTCATGTTGCTCCGGACACTGAATGCCTTTCCACAACCTGGCTGGGTGCACTTGAAAGGCTTCTCTCCAGTATGGCTGTAATTGTGGATCTTTAGACTGCTCGGCCGCGAGAATGCTTTGTTGCAAGTCTGACACACATAGCGATCTTGTGACTGGGGGTATGTTGCCTGGCTAGAAGGAGCAATATAATGGTGATGTTCCCACATGTTTGGTGCGGGAATACTGGATGCTGCAATCACAGCGCCCGGCATGACCGGAGGAAAGTTTGACGGCAGCGGTCGCTGTTGGTAGACACCGTTCATACCGTATACACCGTCGGCCGAGTAGTAAGAGCTGGTCGACATCGCGCTAGGTGATGAGTTGTAGGCAGCAATAGCGTAAGGTGATGTTGTGTACATGCCACCGTTTGGCATCGGCACAGAATGACGCTTTACAGGCATCGATCTCTGCTGATGGGGCTCCATGTTATTCAGAGATGATCCAAGGAAGTAGGATTGCCCGGCCACTGAAGTAGGACTGTGAGCAGTTTCGACCACCGAATCTGAGCGCATCGGTGGTGGCGATGGAGGTAATGGTCCTCTAGTCGAAGTCATCGGTTCTGCCAGCGTTACGTAGCCTTGGCCGAACGCAGGTTCCGTAGGAGCTGACGAGTAATAGGCCTGCGCTTGCGCTGACTGTGAAGGGCTGCCNTACACAGATGTTAGTGGCTAGCATTCATAACACTTAGATGATTCCAGCCTACCAGTCTCTTGGCTGGATTGTGAAGCTTTGTCTCCATCTGCTATGCCCAGGAGGTTTGAGATCGATGGAAGAGAAGGCTTGTTCATATCGTCCTGCGATGTTGGGACCGTACTCATAGTAGAGCTCAGCTGTGGTGCCTCACGCGGACCTGCACGTCTGACGTCTTGGTATTGGTTTGCCATGACAGAGTGCACTGACACCGGATGAGAGGTCTGACTCCGAGACTCCTGATATTGGCTGTAGTGCGGGTTGAAGTCCGGTTGGAAAGTGTGTTGGCGGTAAGGCATATAGGCTGCGACTTCCATAGTTCTTGTATAGACAGAGTATGTTCCTCTGGTGTGTATAGACAAGAGTGATATGCGCCAGTCAAGATCTTGGAGTTGGTTGTTAGGGCGAGTCTTTAATGCTCGGCAATGACGGCAGGCTAGGTAGGGCAATCAAGCTTTCGTGATATGAAGAAAAGTCCCGACCAGAAGAGAGAGAAAGTGGTTTATACACACAACAAAGATAGTAGATGGATACAGAGGATGTATGGGAGAGGAAGAAGGATGGTGAGTTGGTTAGAGATGTCAAGACACGGATGTGATCCAAGACAATGCACTGACAGGGTACGAAATGATGCTGCCCGCTGCGTATGGGACTAAGGAGCAGCAAGGTTAGCGCACAGAAGGTGAGAGCATGGTCTTTCTGGGGAGTAAGGGCAAGGCAAGATCCGGGCGGAAGCACAGAGGCAACGCAAATCTCGTGCGTGCTGGTCAGTGGTTTTAGGCGGGCAGACGTGCAGGTCGATCCCTGCGATTAGTCTTAATCTATTCTGCCTCGACAGTTGAGAGAGCGCGCAGGGACTCTACCGAACCTGCAGGGTGAAGAGTAGGAAAAAAGGTCTAAAGGGCAATCTGCCCGGGCGATGCGACGGTGATCAGCAAGCCTCCAAAAAGCGGCGTGCATGAGATAGATTTTGGAGAGGATGATGATGAAAGCACACGCACGAGGGGTTGCAAGCCTGATGCGTGCATGCTCCAGTTGTCACTTGTTGGCTGCTGCGACTCCGAAGCTTACGTAGCAGGGGCCTTTTTCCAGAGGTTTCACCTCGCGGAAGAGGGCCTGTGGCGTTTTAGACGTATCAGTGATGGTCGATAGCCGAACCCATCAAGAGAGGATCACTCCGGCATGGCTGGAGTTTAATGATATGCACGGTCAGCTCTTCGTGGTGTTGGAAGCATTGCTTGGTAGGTTTCAGAGACAAAGTGTCGACAAAGGCACACACGGACAGCGCCTCCAGCAACGACCATCTTGCGCCGGGCGTCAAACCGGCGGAACGAATGACCTTGCAGCGACTTTGTCTTCTGCCGCCTCGCTTACAAGCAACAACAGAGACTCGAGAGCTGCGAGCAACGACGTCCAAGTTCTCGGGCTTCAATGTCCAATCAGAGGCCTGACAATTTTGCCCTTGTGAGCTACGAACCGCAGATTATTGCGCGCCTCACCAGGGCAGTGCTCCTCGACATTTCGATTGTGAACGATTGTGTGACTTGTGCTGGCGCTCCATATCTCTCGCATACAGATCTGCATCGGTAGATTGATCGTATCAAGTGCCTACTGGTGAAGTGCGAATGATGGACACCTTTCTGCCCACACGGCAAGAACCATCCCCGTGTTCAAAAGTATGTAACTTCCATCATACTCCGAGCACAACACAGGGTAAGGACACGCTATGAAAAGGCAGAGTTTCATTCGAAGACAAATACTGTCTATGGAAAGTCCATATGTTGTTGCTTCTCAGCGGGGACTGTCTGGTTTCCTGGTAGTATCATGCATTTCTACAGCTACACGCGTTACATACTTTTGAACACGGCAAGAACGTAAGTGGTTCTCGGAGTGTTTGGTTCATGGGCGATCGGCAGCGATCCATGTCTTCTGGCGTTTTTCAGGATCGACCGACCCCCTCTCCGCTTCCAGGTGTCAGTTTCACAATTAAGTTGAAATGATGGCTGTGGAGTTTGCGCGCGCACACGCACAACGATTGCCCTGTCTCCAACGTGTTCGCCCATTCATTGCCGAGATGAGGATGTCCAGCGAGAAAAGCTACTCATCTCTCGAGTCCCACGAACGAGCTTTTGTGTCACCTACCCACGTTTCTCTGCTAGACACAACTGCCGCAATGCGCCAGCCATGCGATTCGTTGCAGGTACCAGGATTTTCCTCTAACAGTCGTCATCAACGTCTTGATCGACAGTCGCGTGGTGGGAAAGGCGATCAAGGCGATTTTTAGCAGAAGGAACGTAACAAGTTTGGTAGACGGCTTTCTATGACGACGATCAAATATCGGTTATGTTCCCTCCTATCGACTCACTCAATGCTCCTCGGTATTCATGATATGGACTACACCCAAGTTCACACTTCGAGAGAACGTAGCAGGCTAACAATGCCGACATGCTTGACCAATTTCCTCTGGGTATTGCGCCAAACTCTAGCTTTTGAGGCTCGTTTCAAACAGTTCTCACACCATAGGCTCGCGAAGCACCGTTTTCTGTCAATGTCTCGGCTACGACTCGTTCATCAGTTCATTGCGACTTGCGGTATGTCAGCCTAGGGCGGAGGATGATTGAGATTACGATTGTTTCGGATTGGCCCATCTACAACCCAGATGATATTTTGCTTATTTTCCTTCTGTGCTTCAAGGGGAGGTTGGGCGCATCCACAATCCCTCACCGCCGCCTCAGCCATGATATGAAAACACACGTAACAGATCCGCATCGCACCTCCTTCCAATCACCTGTTTTATGAAAGAGTGAAGTCGAAGTCTCTCAATCCTACATCGTTCAATGGCTGTTGAAGGCCGCTTGCGACTGCCTCTGATGACAGCCGGGCGAAAATAGACCTGAGTGTGGACTCTCCATCTTCTCGTACTCGGAGCATGCACAATCGCTTAAGCAACGGATAAGTCCGGGCACCGTCAGAAGGATAATAGAGTGCGCCATTTATGAGTCATTGTTGCTGAACAACGAGTCGCAACTCTCCAATGCCACGGGCCGTAAGACTACTGGCAGGTACGGGTCCCGTATACCTACGACATCCCCTTCAAACAGCCCTAGAGAAGACCACTCGAGTCTTTCATACCTGTTGGGACATGTTTTGCTCTCTCTGTTACTGAAGGGAACCCCCTGCAGCAGGCTCTCTGGTCGTAAATCCGGCAGCAAAACAGCATACCGATGGCAAAGCCACTTGCCAATCACAGCCGCTCAGATAGATTAATTGTCGAAAAACGCGTGTCACGGTGGTCTTCATGAGAAAGGTCTTGCCCACTCGACGTCACACTCAGCAAAACGACNACAGCCTCCCTATCTCTAGGCTCCCAGAGCTTTGCGAAATCATCAAACTTAGAGACATCTTTGTCAGAACCCTGGATACAGGCAGAACATCAAGTATTCGTCGCGACGTCATACAAGTACACTAACAGCGATGTTCGACTTCGTCTCGCCAGGTCATCAATCAACCCCATCATTGATGAGCAAGGCCGTTACTCCAATGAGAGAAGAGTCAAGCCCGACTCGGATNNACTGTGACTCTGTAGGTAGGGTTCGCTGCCAGCCGAACGGTCCATGATCATTACTTCGATGCACCGGAAGGAATTGCCTTGTACCTCGGTNGATAATCTGTGGCCCCGCTGATTGCTCGGGTCCGGGCCAACAGGTCAGATGTCATGCATGATGGATGTGAACGGCTATCCGAGAACGGCGCGTAGTCCTGCACCTTTAGCCAAAGACTCTTCCAATAGAAATTCCTTCTGCAGAGACGAACATGCAGACCGTAACACTCTGATAGCAACTGACATCACAAGACAAACTCAATAAACGTACACCGCTTTTGGCAGTGCAATCAAGACACACAATTGGACTCCGTGGGTCCACTGGTCCACAATCACGTACACAACGAAGTGTGTCTCGGATCCAAGCCTGCGTAGCATGTTGCTAAATGAGCGCGAATGCCTGGTGAGTAGTTTCGACACGGAGTTGCATGAAAGCTCGCTCCTTTTCTGGACTATTTACACACTTCTTGTCCCAAGGTTATGGCACAGTTACACTACGACTCCTGAAGCACTGATAGTATCAGTCCGGTCCTGCATCAAACGGACGACTGATTGACTGTGTGGTCTTGCTTGTCGGTAATGCATGTGTCTCGATCGACACTTGTTCGCTCCTAGGGTTCTGTGTCGATCACCCGGGTCATTTTTAGACTTCGTACACACAAAGCTCACAAGCGCCGGACGGCAGTTGAAATCTCGCACGTCAAGGGCAAAAACTTGTGATTATAATCGTGTTTGGCTTGATTGATCGCACTCTACAGCATGTACTTGAAATCTCCTGTTGCAACCTCATGGCTCCCAACCAGCGGTTTGTCTGCACCATCATCTTTTGATGACGCTTGAGCTTCGGACAAGGACGAATTAGCTCTAATCAGCAATAGCCTCAAGACTGTAGCCAACAGCGCAACCAACGCCATAAAGCCAGCACACAAGGCATGACCTCTTGTATAGTTATTGGAAGCATCGGAGTCTGGATAAAGGCGTGTTCCAAGAATAGGCCCTAGTTGGCCGATAATATTCAAGAGGGCGACGTTACTGCCACGCCCTTCCTCGCTTTGCTGGTTATTAACAGTCCAAACGATGACAGTCGTGACAGCCGAGAAGAATCCAGACGTGATTGGAAACAGGCACAGGTATTGTACCGTCGATGATAAATGTAGTGTTGGAGAAAGTGCAAGCAACAGATACCCAACCAACGCCGAGCAGGCGTGAATAATTATCGGGATCGAGCGAGATTGTAGCCGGTCAGAGACGATCGAGGTGATAAGCACCACGCCGAAAGCGAAAAGGTGTGGTGGAGCGGCCAGGCCTTGAGCCTTCATGGCTGAATAGCCCATGCTATCGTCCTATTAGCTAGCACAGTATAGCGTCGTGTTATATGCTTACTTCTGTATGATGATTGGCGAGAATACAGGCATTGACGAGAAGGCCACATTCAAGGAGAAGAAGCAGCCCGCGGTCAAGTAGCTCTTTGGATCGCTCAAGGTGTTGTGCACAGCAGACCAGTCAAATCTCTTCGGTCGCTTATTGCCAAAAGTATCGCTTTGAGATGTGTCCGTTTGTTTCCGCAACCGCAAACTTGCTATATTTCGCTCTCTGGCCGAGAGCCATGGTGCGGTCGACGGTGAGTCTGGGATCACATACCACGCCCACACAGCGACGAGTATGCTGGGAAACCCTTCTATGATGAACAAGAGCCTCCAACTTTCGATGGCGGTGTTGTTTCCGAACTTGACAATGGCGAACGCCAGAGTGCTTGCAAAGCTGCTGGCCAGGGGTGCAGCCGAGATGAACAGTCCAGTCCTAAAGGCAAGTTCGTTTCTCTTGTAGAAGAAAGAGAGATAAAAGGTACTCCTGGACCGAACGCTGCCTCACTAATTCCAAGTAGGATTCTTAGTATCAACATCGAACCAAACCCTGTACTGGCACTTTGTAGGGACGCAAGACAACCCCAAGCCAGGACACATATTGAGATATATGCATGTGGTGGAAATATCTTGTACCTACAACGTTGAAGTTAGTCTCTTGGAGCTTCTGATACCTGTTGGTCCTCAGGAAGCCTCGATGTCATCATCCAATGGATACAAACACTGTCATGGTCACCTTCATCTTGACTGACAGGGCGACCCTGGTGTATGTTGAGACACGTCACCTACTCGACGACTGTTCCATGGCAAACATATGAAAACAACACTTACAAAAGAGTCATCCATTCGAAGCAGATGTAAGAGATGTAGAAGCCTGTTAGCAACCACTCGAACTGCGCTGAACTGAGTCTCAAACTTGTCGACAGGCCTGCCACTCTCGCATTGCCGATATCTGGCAAGGTCAGTGCTTGACTTCAACAACCAGACGATGCAATGACATACTCGAACGGTCCAGAAATGAGAGCATATATAAAAGTGCCAGGAACAATACCAAACGGGTATCCAATTTCCTGAGTAAGAATTTCTCTTCGTCTGGTGTATAGAGCTCGAAGCTGTGTACACTGGAATTATCGTCTTCTTCATCCTCTTGATCATAAGGTTGCAAAGAAGATTGATGGTTTAGATCGCTCAACGGTATCTCTTCTGGATGTTCTGCATGATTTTCTTGTTGATGGTGGTGGTGATAGCCCGCGATGGTTGATCCCTGTGTTACCATTGTGCCAGATAGCGGTCGTTGTGTCAGTAGTCGCCAGTCACAGTGGATGAGATGGTAAGTAGCTCGTTCTAAACATAAGCTCCGATGTTATTGGGTCTTCATGTTCGTTGGCGAGACCTTGGGTTCTTTGGGTTGAGCCCTTGACTAGCTTGCTTGATCAGTGACTCGGGGACACGGGAATGTCGGCTCCCCTCATGGGGGCTTCAAAACATCAAAATCGCTCACAATCACCAAAACTCTTCAAAACCGTGTTATTACTATCAAAGAACATTTCATTCGTTGCATGAATCATAATGCTTATCTAATCAACAATATATGGCTTTCCTCCTGGACCAAAAAGGATGTGTGGTTTTCTTTCTGCCACGTCTAGTATAGTTTGGGCGAAGACGGAGTTCGCCCAGGCAAACCAGCTNACCTAAAGAAATGGTTAGTGAACTTCGCACAACAGTTGTGAGTCGAGTTGCTTACGAGTATAGTCTCTTCCACGCTCAACGTGTATGCTTTCGTGTACCAAGCCTAGATGACTGACGCGCTTGACTGCAGAGAGGGCATCTTCGATTTCTTCGTCGTCATCCGAGGTCATAGCCTGAACCAGCAGACTCATCGGCCAAGCATTCTGCAGTCCTATATGAGGACCGCCAATTCCCTTGAGTGCTCTACCAGAAAGATAGTAAGGATTGCCGTTCTTTTCTAATATCATTCGACGAGTATTTTGATACGTCTTGTCGTCTTTGGACACAAAGCCGAGCAATGGAAGGGCAAGCAAGGATGGCAGATTGGCGTCATCCATTATGATGGAAGAGCCATAGCCATCGACTTCAAAAGCGAAGACCGAACCGTACTTTTTGTGCGATACAACGCCATGCTCCCATACACCTTCCTCAATGAGCGCGCCGCGTGTTCTCAAATCTGCGGCAAGCTTGACCTTACCAGCTTTCGCCAGCATGATGGAAGCTCGCTTCAGCTCAACGGCCATCATGGCATTGGCGGGGATGAAAAAGCCGAGAATAGTAGCATCATCGCTCGGGCGGAATGCACTCCGAATGAGGCCGGTTCCGTTGTTCAAGGGATTACCAATGCCAGACAAGCTAAGGGTTTCTGTACCTGCGTCTGTACGACGTCTGAAGGTGTATTCGTTATGCTGGAAGGCGCCAGTCTGAGCGTCGAAGGTAGGTCTAGCCTGCGCATCGAGCAATGCAAGCAGTGTATCCAAAGCGGCATACCATCTTGGAGTCAAGAAAGCAGTGGACCCAGTGTGGTTGTAGAACTGGTTGGACAAGGACAGGAAATGGGCTACCGAGTCCAGTTCGTACTTGCATTCGAAAACCTTTGATGGCTCATAAGCTGGATGTACGACATCTTCCTGGCCATTGTTGGAGGGGNNGGCTAGGTGGCTGGGCGGCGGTGGTTGGAAAGCATTGCAATAGGGAGACTCGATGACATATTCGGCCTGGGTGTTGATGGCGCCCAGTATCAGCATCTCGATGGCTTTGTCCTTNTTGGCCAGCTTTTGGTATTGGGCCAGTTGGTTGGTTGAGTCTCGAAGCCATTCTGCATTGATGTCTCCAGTCACAATGAAACTCTGAGGCCCTTCCCATGCGCCGTTACTGCTCTTCAAGGTCGTCTTCTCGGTGCCGTCCACGTGCCACCGCACTGTGGTATCCAATGTGTTTGGGAAAGCGTTCTCAAAGATTCTGGCCAGATCCTTGTCCACCATCTTTTCATTCATGTCATCAATGATTTGTTCGACCAAGTCCGACTCGAAGGTTCGACAGAGCGCAGCCGGACGCTGGAAGGGTAGTGACATGAGGCCCTCAGAGAAAGGCGGACTGCCAGATGGTGAGTAGTTGTGCGAAACAAGTCATGAGTCAACGTACTGTGGAAATCTTGCATAGTGCTCGTATGCAGGACATGCTGCGAGTATCTTTGCTCGTTCTTGAGCACTTCTGAGGGGTTTTTGAGGGCCGATTGCATGCGCGTTGTCTCCCGTGGCGAGGCAGACGCTTGTGAAGGCCAGAAGAGCAAGAGAGGACAACATAGTGTTGACGAGTCTTCCCCGAAGGGCGAGGCAATCGGTCGTGTAGAGAGAAACGGGTCGGTTTTTGTAAGCACCGGGTCCAAAACCAGATCAGTCGCGCATCCTGTGACTTCGCCAGACACTCAGTGAGGAAGGATTGAGACCGTACACACGTCCTGTGTTGGTTGTCGAGTATTGACGAACCACTACGTGTACGTGACTTCCCTGTCTTTGGTCCGAGAAGCATCACAACGCCAGAAAGCCGCGGCTCGGCAGCCAGCGTCATCTGCGCTCGACCATGATTTATCAACACCCCTTTGTCTTAACATTTATCCTCTTGAAATTATCATCGTGTATGGGACGTTATTCGTTACTATAATACATGTGATCTATATGTCTCAACTATGGCGACATTCTTTATTAATACACAACTAGTCTTCGCGCTTCTGTACTCTTTGCGCTTCGTCATGAGTTGCTGCTTGGACATCTGAATCTGCGGCCACGTCCGACTTCGTAGTCTGAATCTGGCTGGCAGCAGTGTCTTCGTTCGCAGTCCACTCAGCGGCGTCCATGATTTCGAGATCAGTCTCTCCTGCAAATTGATCACCTCCTGCAGTGATGCTGGTTTGTTGGTCGAGTTCTGTAATCGCTTCGTCTTCCTCATTAGCCAGCATAGATTCCCGTCGGGCTTCTGCCATCAAGGATTTCTCTCGTGCCGCCTTGATCTTTCTTCTCTGGCTCTCCGTAAAGGAGAACTGGTGAAGGACGTGTTCAATCTTTTCTTCCACAAGGCCTTTGACATGGAATGCCAATGGGCGCGTCGAGAAANNAATTCCAGCGAATCTATAACTGAGCCACAGATAGGCAACAACCGCCTTGTGCAGTTGCTCAAGTTGGCGAAGGTAATCTCTGCTCGGCGACATCTGCAGTTCTAGAACTTCAAGAGGCATTTCATCTATTTCGTAAAGAGCACCACCACCTTGCTGTTCTATACAACGTGCCAGAGCTGGTAGAAGTTTACTGATCATATCTTTGTCAGACTTGGATGCCGGACAGGCGCACAGGATGTTTCGATCTGTGACTGTTAGGCCTTGAACAGGTTCGATCAGATCAGCAATCCAGAGCTGATCTCTCAGACCACAGAGGTGGAATCTCGAATGCATTTGAGAGAGTTCATGTAGTCGCATGAGGATGTACGAAAACGGTGTACCAGGAGGGAAATATGAGGCGAACCGTTCAACAATGGGCGCTGGAGGGAAAATGCCTGCAGAGCGAATAGGCTCGGGCTCTTCCTTCATTGCTTCCGCAATAACGGAGAAATCGAAGTCCTCGAGTGTTGTTACAAGGCCTAATGTCGAATCTTCAGCCTTGGCAGGTTCTTCCCTTGCTGCCAGGGGCCTGCAACGTTGGATCGGCGTCAGATACTGGTGGCACGTCTTGTGAAGATGTCTCAACAATTGTCGGACTGTCNNAGCAGGAGCTTCGGTTATGGTCTCCTTTCCTGATTGTAACTCCCCCTTCACCTCTGCAAGAGCTTGGGCAGCCGCTGCCTCGGAAGCCTTGTTTGCCTGGTAGGCACTCTTGTAGCGACCAGCGCGTCCAGCAATCTGTTTGATGTCCGGGACAGCCAACTTTCTTTGACGGAATCCATCAAATTTGGACGACGACTCAAAGATAACGCGCTTGATGCTCAGGTTGAGGCCCATGCCGATAGCGTCACTTGCGACAAGAAAATCGTAATCGTTATCGGGATCGTTGAAGAGACGTGCTTGTTGAGCTCTGGTCTCGGGTGGCAAGCTGCCATATACGGTAGCCACCTTTCTTCCTGTAGACTGTTCAATCTGCTTGCGTAGGGCGTGTATGCCCATGACACTGAAACTGACGATACAGTCGCCCTTTCGCAACTTCTTGAGATTTCCCTGCAAGCTTTTGTCTGCCATTTGCAAGGGACTCAGGCGCTCGTACTCGTGAACGACAAGCTTCTCACCCAGAGAAGCGCACAACTCACGTATCAGGGGAACTGTTCGGGTCTCACCGCACAAGTGAACTTCGCGAGCCTTGACACCTAGTACGGCTTGGGTCCAGGCCCAACCTCGTTCAGCATTACCTATCATCTGAATCTCGTCTATGACGGCAACGTCAACATCCCTGTTGAGTGGCATCATCTCGACAGTACAGCTAGTCAAATCGGCAGTCAAGGAGTCGTCGCCAGGAGCACGCTTTTCTTCACCAGTGACCAGCATGCATTGTTTGCCTTTTGCGTTGAGTCTTGTGTAGACTTCATGAGCAAGAAGACGCAGAGGACCAGCATAAACACCAGTTTCAGCCTGTTCTAGGCGCTGTAGAGCATGGTAAGTCTTGCCCGAGTTAGTGGGGCCGACGTGTAGATGAATGGTTCGGTGAATGGTACGGGTGGCGGGATACCATTCTGTGGGATAGCGGAGATCGGCTAGAGCCTTTTGGTTGCGAATGTCTGAGGGAGTGAAGCGGGCGGAAATGACATGGTTGTAGAAGGCGTATTTGATGCGATCTTGCAGAGCGTTGGCACCTCTTTCAAACCAGGAATCACGGAGAGCTTGATGTTGGGATCTCCTAGCAAGAATGACGGGGTGAGTGGAGCCTTGCTCGCCAGGGTTGACTATGGTATTTATGAATTCGGCCCAGGTGTCTCTGAATTTGCCTTCTGCGTCAAGTTTCTGGCCTATGGGGGTCGTGTGCAGTTCGAGCTTGACGGTGTCGAGGTGTTCTTTCAGGACATCCAGAAACTTCTTCTTCTTGTCCAAGAACTGGGACCTCTTGTGGTCGCCACCATGTTTGCGTATCAGAGGACGTTTTCCACGAGGAGCAGTGTTTGACTTGTTCGAAGAAAAATCCCTGGGAGTGTGGCGGGTAGTGGAGAAGGCGCAGCGGTAGACAGGAATAGGATGGTGAAGGCGCAACGAAGTCGAGGCACAGAAACGCGATGTGCCTGCTTGGCGAGTCAATGCAAGCATCACCTCCTGCTGGCACTCGGATGCGACAAGGCGACAAGAGAGAGGGTGGGGTTATGGCAGGCGCAGGAGATAGACGGGCAAAAAAAGATGATTGAATTTAGAGCCAGAGCCAGCAGCCATGACGCTGGTCGAGAGCCGCTTGGCAACGATGCTCTCCGCAATCTGAGTCGACAAGACGGCCAGGTCCACCCACCTGCATCCCCTCACACTCGACCACTTCCCTGAGACGACTACTCTTTCCAGCATGGGCGTCTCTATCATAGACGCCCAGCGCGACAGTGAGTCCCAGTCCGAGTCCGAGTCCGTCGTGTCACTCTTCTGCTTCTGACCCTCGCTTCTAGTCATTCTAAATGTGATCCGTTCCACCACCCAAGGCCAAGTACGCCCTCATAAGCTTCAGCAACCCGCTCCACCCTCCCGCTGAACCTCTTTACAGTGGAAAGTCTTGGTTCTCGACGACACCAGCAAGAAGCTGCTCGACAATGTCCTACATCCTGACGACATCTTGAACGAGAGCATCACCAGTATGCCTTCTCCTGAAGCCATTCCAACCCAGCCCTTGAAACATAGCCTGACACACGTCTTCTGCANNGACATTGAGAAGATCGAGGATCGTCGCCCAAAGAATCCAGATGTCGATGCTATCTACCTGATCACTCCCCAGACCCACATCGTCGACTGTGTTATGGCCGACCTCGACCGCCGACGCTACAGGAAGACCAACTTGATCTGGACCTCGTTACTACCTCCGCACATGAAAGAACGTCTCGACAAGTCCTCTGTTGCCCGCGAACAGATCACTGTCTTCCGAGTCCTCAACATTGATTTTTTCCCTCGCGAGTCCCACCTTGTCACCTTTCGAGACCCCTGGAGTTTCCCCATCCTCTTTCATCCCGCCTGCAACAATCTTATCCGCCAGCATATGGAAGATCTCGCTCAGAAAATCGTTGGCGTCTGTGTCGCATTGGGCGAGTTCCCTGATATTCGATATTACCGCCCGCGCACCCCCACTCNNCACGAGGCCAGTGTGCTCTGCTCCCACCTTGCTCGTTTCGTCCAGGAGGAGCTCAACTTGTATGCCAACTTCCACAAGGACTTCCCTCCTCCAAGCAACCGTCCTCGCGCAACTCTGTACATCACCGATCGATCCATGGACGTAGTTGCTCCCTTGCTCCACGAGTTTACCTACCAGGCCATGGCGCACGACCTACTACCCATCCGCGAAGGAGACAAGATCACCTACAAGACCATTGTCAACCAAGGGACTCCCAAGCAGGAGGAGAAGGACTACGAAATCTCAGACAAGGACCGCATTTGGGTTGAAACCCGTCATCTCCACATGAAGGACACTATCGAGAAACTCATGGGAGATTTTCAGAAGTTTATCGATGAGAACCCGCACTTTACANAAGAGAGCGATCCCAGCGGCATGAACGGTCTTAATACTATCAAAGACATGCTGGCTGGTCTTCCACAGTTTGAAGAGATGAAAGGGGCTTATTCGCTGCATCTTGGCATGGCCCAGGAATGTATGGATCTGTTCCAGCGTCACAAGCTTCCTGACATGGCCTCAGTCGAGCAGGTGTGTAGATATCGTCCTGATAATCATTTTTGGCTGACCCAGTCCCTAGNNATTCTGGCCACCAGCCTTGATGAGGATTATCGGAAACCCAAACACGTGACAGATCAAGTTGTACGGACTCTGGATGACGATGCAATTGTGATGCCTGACAGGCTTCGCTTGATTGCGCTTTATCTCATCTACAAGGATGGTCTACTTCCCGCAGATCTCATCAAGCTTCTGCTTCATGCTCAACTTCCTCCTCAACATTCCGAGATGTTGCACAACCTTGGTCTTCTTGGAATCCGCACGACACGAAATCTCAAAGACTCGCGCCCACCACCAGTTCCTCTGTTTCCTCAGAAACCGCCACCGACTCTGGTCCAAGAAGAGTATGCTCTAAGTCGATTTGAAACATCTCTTCAGCGGCTTCTGGACAACCATGCAACCAACACCGTCGACGCTACTGTTTTCCCATATGTTAAGCCACCGATTGATCTAGGTGACAATGATATTGGTCCTGCCCCTACGTCTCTGCGTTCAGCCAAGCCGACTTGGGCAAAGGCGAAATCATCCACATCAGAACCTCGGCAACGAGTCATTGTGTTCATGGCAGGAGGTGCAACGTACTCGGAGAGTCGGGTGTGCTACGACATGACGTGGCAGAGCAACAAAGAAGTGTTCTTGTTGACCAGCCATATGCTCACACCAGCCTTCTTCCTACGCCAGGTGGGAGATCTTAGTACAGACAAGCGTAAGCTCGGCATACCGGCCGAGCAACCGCCCAAGCAGGCTCCTGCTCATCTGTTCGAGCGAGACGATCCACCACCAGCACCACGACCAGTGCAAGCCCCGTTGAAGCCAGTCGCTCCAGCCCAGCCGCCTACCCAAGCTATGAGCAATACGAACCTAAGCTCGAAGCAACCAGATGGTGCGGGGCCGGCAGCACCGGCGCAAAGTGCTTCAAAGCTCCAAAAGGAGCCGGAANAGAAGAAGCGGCACTTCTTTTCGAGCAAGAGAGGATGAAAAGAACAGACTTTGACATAGTTAGCGTAGCATCAGGAGGCGTTTGTCGGGACAAAATGTTGATATCCCTAGAGACTTTTCAGATTCTTGTAGATTTTGAAAGATCAAGCAGGCAAGAGCGCTGGCGCTGAGAACAAATCTTGCATGGAGGTAGCGCATTGTCTGGTTTAATGTACGTGTTTTATCTCGATTGATGGTCCACATACTATACAGCAGACGGCTCTTGTAGCAGATTCTGGATGCATTCCTTCAACGAGGGCTGTCTGTAATACACACATTGCGACAGGTTTCATGATGTGTCTTGGTATGAAGCACGAACAAGTGGAAGAGGCGCACAGACGGGTCGGCGCGTCCAGCTGTCCCGTCACTGGACACAACCCTGATGGCGACAATCATGTGATGAATGCAGACAGCTCCAGAGTGAAGCACACCTCTCATTCTCTTCTTCCTCTATTTCTTACCATTCTCAACTAGTTACCCTCTGACAAAGGGGTAGACCTGATCATGGCATCGAACCAGCCAACTCAGCAAGAAAAGGCAGACCCTCATAGTCATGCGGCGGCCGCGCCTGTCGCGACCAAGTCCTTCGTCCCACTAGGTAAGAGAAGCTCGACCGACCTGCTGTAGAACGACAAGGTAGAGGCGCAGTGTGGCTGACGCTTAACAGAGAACAATCCTGAAGTCATGAGCTCGCTCTTACACAACCTTGGCCTCTCGTCACAGCTCGCTTTCCACGACGTCTTCAGCATTGACGAACCCGAACTACTTGCCTTCGTGCCTCGTCCGGCATGTGCTCTCCTCCTAGTCTTCCCCATCAGCGACACATATGAGACCTTCCGTCTCAGCGAGGATCATGACAAGCAAGAGTACGAGGGCTGTGGACCCGACGAAGAGGTCGTTTGGTACAAACAGACCATCAGCAACGCCTGCGGTCTCATCGGTGTACTCCACGCCGCGAGCAATGGGCCAGCTCGTGACTTCATCACTCCCGACTCGCACCTGGCAAAGCTTCTCCAGGACGCCATCAACCTCAAGCCCGCTCAGCGCGCCGATTTGCTGTATGAGTCGCAGGCTCTCGAGAACGCTCACCAAGCCGCCGCTACAGGCGGTGATACTGCTGCTCCTGCGCCAGATGACGACATAGATCTACACTACGTTTGCTTCGTCAAGTCAGCAAACAACCACCTGTGGGAGATGGATGGTCGTCGCAAGGGTCCTTTGGACAGAGGTGTCTTGTCCGCTGACGACGATGTCTTGAGTGACAAGGCTCTCGACATGGGCGTCCGTAGTTTCCTCCAACGAGAGTCTGAAGCTGGAGGTGGTGACTTGCGATTCAGTCTTGTTGCCCTCTCACAGTCGCTAGACTGAAGCATTGTTCGGGAATGTCGAAATCCGGACACAAAGAGCAGGAAAGTCTCATATTCTTGACTCCACTCATGAAAACGGCGACACGTGTTTGTGGATCTAGGCTTTCTTCTTCCACAACCCGTCTGGAATCTGAGGTATGTAAGCTAGTAATGCGGTCGGCACGAACCGTTAATAGGAGGAAGCCCTAGCTCAACAGAGACATGAACACATTCCTCTGCATACTGCCGCGAAGTCCGCGATCACGACTAGGCATGCAGCAAAATACGGACAGACGGAATAGCACAGCAGATGCCGAAACGCCGTCTGGAACTTTCGGAAGTATGGTATGAAGTCTCTAGCTCCTTAGGGTTGCTTTCAGCAAATCTTCTTTCTCTTTCGCACCTTCCGTCCTCTCCTGCCTTTGTGTTGGTTGTGCTGTTCTGCAAACGGTTGTCTCGTGCGGACACATTCATGTTAATGGATACAAGACTCAAGCGGGCCGTCACCCTAGGCAAGATCAACACATTGCTTAGTTCGTCTCTTGTTTCTTCTTCCGCCCTCGTGCCACCAACACCGACCTCTCGTGTGTTGACTCGAGTCAGGTACATACTGGTCATTAAGCGTATCTAGAACAGGGACCCGATCGTTTATATGTACTTTTTCGGCCATTTTATTATTGAACGTTGGTGCCGTTGCGACTGTAGCGGGCAAATTCGACGGCAGCAACTCACGGTCTGGTCGAAACAGTCTTGATCGGCAAAACCATCTAGGAAACAGAGAATGGACTTGGCAACGGCCATTGGAGATGACTTCAGTCAACTCAGACAATCACTCTCTTCGAGCGGTCGCACCCTCTCTTTCCTTGCTCCATATCTTGTACAGCATTTTTCCCATGCCCCGCGTGGTGGACCGCTGTTCACCAGAACGCAGCGAAGTGCAGACAACATGGGTCTCGGCGGTCACCTCCTGGACCCCTCTTCAATTATATCTCCAGAATGGAGTCGAGCAATTCGAATTGTTGCTACCGTCTCATCTAGTTTCAGTGTGATTGGTACACTGATCACCATATATTGGTTCTTCATGATGAGGAGAAACTTCAGAAGAAAGTGTGTGATAGTCTACTTTCAACATGGAGAAGACCAATCGCTGATCTTCGTCTNNAGTCTGATCCTGTATCTCGTTCTGGCCGACTTCTTCAAATCACTATGGTACATAAGCTTTTCGGGAGTATCTCTTCGTCGGGGTGCCATCGACACACACTCGCCGTTTTGTCAAGGGTTTGGCTTCTTATTACAAGCGTCAACCATGGCTTGTGGTAAGTCTCGAGCTGTACTTATCTTCGCGAGATGCAGTTCTGACCTGGCCTAACAGNATTATGCAATCTTCATCATGTCGTTACACATGTACCTGCAAATATTCTGCACTGGTAGTAAGATTTTCGGCCACGATGGTCTTTACCGCTTCAGACATACCGTCATGGCAGGATGGTTTTGGTTTCCTTTTCTGTGTGCTGTGCTCGCCTTCATTAGAGGACGCGAAGGCTATATAGCACAGGGTCCCTTTNGCACCTTGCCGATTCGCCCTTACTGGTACCGACTTGCACTGCAATGGATCCCCCGATATCTCATCTGGATCTACATCATGTTTGTGGCCATTCGCATCTACCTACATGTCGGACAAGGATTCAAGATTTTTGCCCGCGAAGACGACAAGGAATCGAGCACCGAGACACACGGCTACGGACCAGCAGAGAGTCTCGGAACCATGCCTGGAGAAGGACTGCCAGACCTGCGAGTGGCTAAANAGAGAGGCGCAAGCGCAGGCGAACTGCAGGATCTGTCCGGATTCACCGATAGTAATGCTTCTAATCGCCAAGCTCCTGCAAGCAGCTCCAGCCAGGGCAGTCAGTCCACCTGGCCGACATCTCTCAACTCTTCTTCCGAAGGGTTTAAACTGCCGTCTGGTGGCCACTCGAGACGAAGCAGCCATGTTATTGTTCTTGCGGACGGAACCATCCAGCACGAACTTTTGCAGGTGCCCACAGAATCGAAGCAGCAAAGACAGTCTGTCTCTACCATTGCAACTTGGAGAACTTCAGCCGATATGACTGCTGCTGCTGGGAACCCCTCGGTCAACCTCGCACCAATCGAAGAAGGACACCAATCGACAAACCGAGACAACATAGACATAGAGTCAGCCGACACACCTCTCAAGAAGAGACGAAGGGCGATTCAACGACAACTCCGCCTTCTTTTCATCTACCCGGTAACTTATCTCATGGTCTGGGTTATTCCCTTTGTATATCATTCCTTCAACTACAGCGACAAATATGCCGCGCATCCTGTTCCTATCCTGGCGCTGCTTGGAATTTTCTGTGTAACATTCGCTGGTACAGTGGATTGCATCGTGTTCGGTTGGAGAGAAAAGCCATGGCAACATGTACCAGGAGCCGATGGCACCTTCCTCGGCAGCTTCAAATTCTGGACCTTCAACAACGGTAGAAGAAGACGGTGGGCAACACCCGCACCGAAAGCATTGCCATCATTGGGCAGAGACGAAGAGGAAGCCGTTGGAGAGACAGCACAAACACCGCAAAAGGCAAAACGCCTCAGTGGAGCACCCAGAAATTCTTCAATCAACGGACACAAGCATATGGTTCCCATGCACAAAAAGACATTCTCTGGAACTTCGGATCGAGCGACCAGAGCAGCGGAGCAAGCGGCCGAGAGATTGGCTCTGGAAAGAGCAGACCGCCAGAGTCGCATGTCCACGCGCAACTCATCCGTCAATCCGGCAAACGAATGGTTCGAGCGAAGGCTGAGCGAATGCGTCAGTCCGACTCGCGAGAACTCTCACTTCGAATTGACACCCAGTCCTACCGAGGAGTTGTAACCACAAGCAACGACAAGTGGTCGAGAAGCCGGCTTTCTCTGACCACAGACCATTATCTTCTTTTGCCTTCCTGCACAGCGATGGCGCATTTTCTTTTCTTCTTTACTTTCCTTAGCATAAAAAGAATTTTGTAGCTTTATTTTTTTATTAGATGGGGGCTGGAAGACGACGTGGTCAAAACGAGTCTTCGATAGAAACATTGAAAGAAGCCTAAAACAAGCATAATTTAATCTAAAGATCGAAACGTTGGATGTATCAAACTCTATTGTAGACGCTTTTCCTTCAGAGGCAGGAACACATCTGTCCATAGCTCGCTGGCTTCACCCAGGGTGAAAGACAGATCAACACCGTCCATGCCGGCTTCCTCGTCGCCAGCCATGGTAGCGAGTTGGGCGATGATGTTGTCGAGCGACAGAGCTTTACCCACAGCCTGTGTAGCACCAGCTTCGAGCGATACATGGACAATGTGGATGTGGAAGTGGTAGTAGGTTGGTTGGTCTGGTGATATTGTCAGAACAAACACAAGACAAGCAGAAACAGACAGAAGCGACATACAATGGACATAGCATTTGAGCATGTCCGAGTCTATGCTGTACAGACGCGAAACGGTGTTTGCAATGTCTGCAACGATAGACTTGAGCCAAGGGACGTGCTTCTTCTTGAGGTCGCGAAGACTCCAAATGTCTCTGCGCTCGACGAGTGCGAGCAAGTGTAGGCTTCCCAGCGTCTTGCGGTCCCAGTTCAAGTCAGGAAGCAACAAGTATCTCTCATCTTCAGGGGTGGTATCGTGCGGCGAACGGAACAGGACATCTTCTTGCTCGGTGCGTCCGTCGAGAATGTTGAATACCCAGTTTAGTCGTCCTTGATCGCGCTTGGCCTGCATGTACGGACGAACATGGTCGCGATAGATGGCAGGGGTCTCGGTCACATAGCGGACGGCTTGTGCAGCGTATTTCTTGAGATGCTGGTCGGTGCATGGGTAGATGAGGTTGATCTTCAGGTCGGGCGGGTGTCCTTGGCCAGCACCGCTGTGGGCCATGTACCAGCGGTAGATGTCATTGTCGCCGAGGTTCTGGATGTGCGAGAGCGAGCTGCTGAAGGTTGACAGATGTGCTTCGTCTGCGTCAAAGGCGGCGCGTTCGGCAAGGAGCAGTGCAGGTTGGTTTGCGATTGTGCCCTGCAAGACGATGCGGCGTCCGGCTTGGTCNTAGCATGCGTCGGGCTCGCGTTACAATTCATCTTTCTGTCGTGGTCGAGTGTCGATACCTTGGTTTAGAAGTTTTTCGAACTTGAATTGAGGGATCAGTGCCTCTGCATTATTGTTGGACGTGGCCATGTTGCTGCGTGCCGCTAGACAAAGTTGCTTCGTCGTGCAGCCAGAGCTTGCTTGACTGACTGATCATCTCCACTGAATTTGGCTTTCCACTGCACCGCAACAATGCGAATAAACTCTCATCACGACCCTCCAGTCTTGTTTAAATAACAATTATATCACTGGATTTGGCTTTCCAATCCTTCCCGTGTGCAGAAGTATGTAACGCATGTGGCTATAAAAATGCACAATACCATCAGAAGATAGGATAGTGTCCACTGAGAAGCAATCTCTTACCAGCTCTCTCTGGACATTCTCTGTTTCTAAGTAGAATTGTGCATTTTTATAGCATGTACTTTACTCTCTGCTATGGTCGGAGTACAGTGGAAGTGATATCCTTTAGCACACGTGGAGATGCACCACAACAACTCGAATCAACTATCGTCACGACCCTGGCAAGTTTTGGTTGTAGGTCAATTGAATTATTTGTGTATCGAGCAATGTCTTCGTCATCATAGCTCTTGAGTCTCCCAGCCTTGATGAGCCCCCAATTCAGGTATCTTTGAAGCAATCCTTCCGCGCCATAAACTCCCAGCCATGCATGATCCCAGTCCGTGCCAAATCCCATCCTGTCGTGATCGATCGTTCGTTCATATTGTCTTTCTACGTCTCGATGAATCTCGAGCTCATCAACTCGTCGACATGGGCACGCTGCATTCTGCTCTTGTCCTTGTCACTGGTCTTGAGCAAGACAGCCAGTACTTCAATAGGAGGATTAAGACCCAGGGTGTTGGCTCTTCTCCAACGCTTGACTCTGGCGATGCCAATGCAGGGNCTGAAACATCATCAGTAAGATATTCACGTAGGGGAATGGTGCTCGAAACTTACGCCGTACTGTCCACTCATGTCGAATTCCCTTAGGATCTTTTCTGACACACCGAGTCCTTGCTGATGAACACGAGGTGATTTTCTTTCGGCTTCTTTTTGCTGCCAGTACTTTTTGATTTGAGCATTGGTGATCTTGATAGCGCGCTTCTCGTAGTCATCGGGCTCGTCACCGGACTGAGGCTCGGATTTAGGTGCCTTGATGTCGACAAGTTCGGCGTCGGCTTGTTCTTCAATGGCTGCATCGGCAGTGGTGGGTTGACTGATAGCATGAGTCGATACTGATTCGAGCTTGGTGATCTTGGAGTCGCGCTGAGCAGTGTTTTTGGTGACGCGGTTGAGACCCTGCTTGCTAAACGAGATGGTTGCTTGTTGATTGCGCTGCGCTGCCGAAGGTGTAGAGATGCGTCTCTTAGGTGCCATGGTGATTGTGATGATTTGATGTGATTACAGATGCAGTATTGCTGTTTTGAAGAGTATAGCGCAAAGATGTACAAGTGATTGTGAATAAATCAAATGTTGGTTGATGGTCGACACATTCAATCTATTGACCGAACAACGGCGCGTCATACGCCAGCCGACGTCACCTCGCGAGCATTACGCGACGCGAAGGCTCTCAGACTTCCGGAAGCGGATCCTTTATGCATTTCGACAGCTACACTGTGACTGTCTTTAGCACATGGGGAGGTAGTAAGATGGAAACTACAGTTTTAAGTACTACGTAAATCCATAACAGTACTTACAACAATCTCGCTGTCGTATTATCATCTTGCACATTAGTTAGGCAAAGAGACCTTTTTCAACACCTCGTAGAAGACTTGTCTAGCACAATCATAGGAGATTACACGGCAGACAAGATCTGGAGAGACTTGTTAACCACTTAAGTCGACTTCTAAAAACGAGCTCCTCCGTATTAGTTCTACATACTTTTGCGATTACTTCTGGGTATAATGTGTGTGCGAGAGCCAGATTTCCTGCTGGCCTTCACCAGGTTGAAGTAACCCCTTAGCAACATCTGTAACATCAAATCTATCGTGCAAAAAGAATCGTCTGCAAGCATTATCGTCGTCCTCGGATTCGTCCCGCCTACTTGCGGGCAGCAATCGCCTTGTCCACAAATTCTTTCGGCGCCTGCTGTCTGTAGCCTTGAGGGTTGTTCTCGGTCCATCTCCACAGGTCGCTGCACGCATCTTCGAGCGAAAGCTTGGTTTCCCATTGGAGTTCCTCGTTGGCCCTGGCTGGCATGGCTGTCAGGTTCAGAACATCGCCAGCTCTACGATCAACCACCTGGTATGGGAGGTCGCGGCCGACAGCGTGTGAGAAAGCCTTGACCATCTCGAAGACGGTAGAGCCTCTGCCAGTACCNAGGTTCCATGCGCGCACACCGGGCTGGTGCTCGCGGAGGTAGTTGAGTGCTTTGAGATGGCCTTGAGCAAGATCCAGGACGTGGATGTAGTCGCGAATCGCGGTGCCGTCTCTCGAGTCGTAGTCTNNATGCATTTGTCAGTCCTGCGTGGTAATGTGCGCATGGGCTTGATTTTGCTTACCATCACCAAACACAAGCAACTTCTCGCGCTTTCCAACAGCGACTTGGGCCAACAGGGGCAAGAGGTTGAAGGGAATGCCTTGAGGGTCCTCTCCCATGATTCCACTGGGGTGTGCGCCTGCAGGGTTGAAGTAGCGCAACAAAGCGCCGTTCCATTTGGCACCTGACTCGCCCTTCTTCTGTGCGTTGTTGCGCTGAGCCTCGACGTGGGTGCCGATCAGCTTCTCAATGGCATACTTGGTGTCTCCGTAAGGGTTTGTAGGACCCAGAGGGCAGTGTTCGGGGATGGGAATCATGCCCTCGAAGCGTGTGGCATCGCCATAGACTGTAGCGGATGACGAAAAGACGATGTTGGTGACATTGTGACGGGTCATGGCCTGGAGCAGGGCGATTGAGCCGCCAACGTTGACGCGCCAGTACTCGAGGGGGATCTCGCCAGACTCGCCGACAGCCTTGAGAGCAGCAAAGTGGATTACATTGTCGATGTCGGGGTGGTCGGCGAAGACCTTCTCCAGGGCCTTCTCATCGGTGATGTCGGCGTTGTAGAAGATGGGTCGCTTGCCGCAGATGGTCTCGATACGGTTCAGAACTTCCTCAGACGAGTTGTACAGGTTGTCGACAATGACGACCTCGTAATCGGCTTCGAGCAGGGCGAGAGCAGTGAAGCCACCGATGTATCCGGTACCNACTGTCGCATCAATCAGCGCATGGCGGGGCAGTCCGGCGCAAAGCGTCACTTACCCGGTGACGAGAACTGATCCGACTGGCATTGTTTGTGGGCGGGAATGCGAGGAGTGAGACAAGAGCGACGGCTATGTGTTCGAAACAGAAAAGTCTCGGTCAAGTGTTGCGAGAAGGGGGAGGCTTTAGTCTTTAACTACCATTTCACCCGACGCGACGACAGCATCGGGGATCACACCTTGTGACGGTCGTATCCTGGCGCAGTGTGGAGCACCCTTGCCCCCTTGGAAATGGGGAAACTGATGACATGGCGTTTCCAAATTTCTTGCCAATCTCAACATCTCTCTCTTGCTGCTGCCTTTATTATCCGCCGGCCCACTCGGAATATCTCATACTCTGCTCGTGTTCTGCTGTAGATTTTCCTTTTACCCGCTACTGTTTGCTATTCTGACATGCTGGTTACTCGACCACAGCCTTGATACTCGAGTTGTGACCCTCTTAGAATTCTGTCCGTCGTCGCGTGCTGCAAGGTGTTCGAGATTAGTGTGTTTGAGCATCCAGCGTGCCGCCGCGGATCATGCAGTTGCTTGCGAATCCTTCATGGGCAATGTGCATCCATCGCTTGTGCCTGCTCATCCCAACTGTGACACACTACGCTGAGAAGCCGTTGTCGCTGCTACGTTTTCGGTGCACTTTCAACGAGCTGCCCTGCGCTTGCTGCCTCCTTTTCTGGGTTGCCCCTTGTCACCCTTTCACAGATATCGTCCTCCACAAGCCTAGACTTGTGCTTGCCCTCAAGCATCTTTCCAATGAGTAATGCAAGCCAGAGTTATGCCGACGCTTGGACCAGCTTGTCCGAACGCGTTGTTTTGCAGACTTGCATCACGCAGGAATGCTGTCCGCAAACAGCCATCCTCTCTCTGTAGCATGCATAGCAACATCTGAATTGCCTTGATGTCTTGGTTAGCTGTGACTGTTGTACTCTCGGGCATCACCTAGCAGTGGTCATCTGCTGTCGAACGGCATCAATATTACAACCTTATTCGCGTCAATGCCATAATCCTCACGCGTGCAAACCACCTTCACAACCAATTTCCTGTCACTTGACACATTCAGTAAGTGAACATCGTTCGAAAAAACCGTAGCCTTTACATATACGTCAAGCTCAATTGCTGCAACTTTCTCGATAAAATCAACTGTTACCGATATTTCATGCATACCCATCTCAGACAAACCAACCACTGACCATATCCCGATCAGGATTGTTTGTTCTTAGTTTCTGTTTCTTGTTTGAACACCGCCGTACGCAGAATGTCAGAGACTCCAGCACGTCGGACGCGTGGTTCGACCCGAATGAGCGCAACACCCGCTGCGCCCTCAATTGCAGGAAGCCGCAGACCTCGTGCGAAAACACCCAAAGCACTTCCTGCTGTACCTACTGGAAAGTCACACGCCTATGGTGCTGTTGGTAAGGTCGAGCTTTCGACACAACTCGAGGATCCCTCTGGCAGCGCTGGTGGGTTTGCTGCCCGCTTTCTTGCAGATAGAGGTGCTGCTGTCACTCGCGACATTGGTGATGCTGCTGCTGCTGCTGCACCCGATACCTTGCCTGCCCCTCTTACAAACACGACCAAGACAACCACCACTACCAGGCCAGTCAGCACTATTCCGGCCACTTCCAAATCGTCTATTGCTACCACTAGCGTCCGACCAACACAGAAGATTACAACGCCTTATTACCTGCGACCTCAGGCTCATGATAGTACTGATAATGACGACTCTGAAGATGATTATCAGCCCGCCGGCTTCGTACCCACTGGTGGCTCTTTGTTCCGTCGAGCGCCGTCTACAGGCGCTGGTAGCTTCACCGACCTGGATACCCAATTCTCCTACGAAGCATCGATGCCGCCCTCCACCAGATCTCGGAGGGTTGCAGAAATGCGGCCTCCGCCTACGACACAGGAGAGAGAAGCTGCTCGACCCTGGAGAGTTTCCGTCTTCTTCGAGACGTTGCACCGTCGTTGGCAGGACTTCGAGATACCTTGGGACAAATTTTCGCAGCAAATCAGGAGGATTTGCCTTGCTCTTCTGACAGCGTTCCTGCTTCTCTTTCTCTTTGGGCCAAGCAGATGGCTCAGTCTTCTGGAAAGAGGCACGAATGCATGTTATAAGGCTGGCGAGTACGTCATCAGCCCGCTCTCATATGTTCAACGAAGCGTCTTTGGTTCTGGTGAAGACAAGTTGTCTAGGCGCCTGCAGACTTTAGAGCTCGACATGCAAGGTGTCAGAAATCAAGTACGAGGCCTGAACGCCGAGGGAATTGAGCGGCTGCAATCAATCCTACCAGAGCAGATCATGGTACGCAGAAATCCTGAGACTGGCGAGCTGGAATACCCTCCTGGTTTCTGGCAAGCTATAGACGCAAAACTGGATCAGCGCGACAATGCAAATATTTGGGACCAATTTATGCAAGCCAACCAAAGGAAACTTGAACGGCATGCCCAAGATATCGTCCAGAGAACACTAAAACACCAAAAAATCATCAGCAAGCAAGACTTAGCTGCTGCTGTCAGCGAGAACCATGCAGAATTTCAAGAAAACTTTTCAGCACAGCTCCGTGCATTGGAGAAATCGGTTCGTAAATCAACAGAGCTTGTCGCAAGGAAAACGGTGTCCGATATTATCAAGCAGCTGCCTGATAGCAAAGGATCCACACAGCTGCACAGCCTGGCTCTTGCGAACATAGCTCGGAACACGGAACTCAGGCTTCGAAGCGTGAATTTCTTCTCTCATGCACTGGGCGCTACTGTACATCCCAGATATACTTCACCAACCCACCCTAGGCAACTTGGGGGTGTGTGGCAGTGGGTCAACAGAAATCTCTATGATTATCAGGGGCGAGGCCATCCTTCACCGTTCCGAGTTCTGACACCTTGGGAGGAGCCTTCAGATTGTTGGTGTGCTGCTGCATCAGACGATAAGGGCAAGGCTCAGATAGGTGTGATCATCCCTCGCGCTATGATTCCAACTAGTATTACCATCGAGCATATGCCCTCTACAGGCACTCTCGACATTGGAGCAGCGCCTAGAGAATTCGAGATCTGGGTTAGAAGTCAAGCTGGTGTCGAAGCACCTCAACCTTACAATTCTCATCTGGGTTGTGGAGAAGCGCCCGAGTCTGGCCTCGTCTGTATCGGGAAGGCATCGTACGACATTCACGCAGTCAACCACGTTCAGAATTTTGATCTCGAGGATGTCGACGGAGCAATTGGCTTCGTTGACTTTGCCATCATCAGAGTCATAAACAACTGGGGACAGGACTGGACATGCATCTACCGTATCCGACTGCATGGTGAGCCGGAACCAGCCGATTTCAAGAGCAGTGATTCGGGCGAGCTTTAAGTTCAACTTGTAACCTTTTGGACTTGTGTTTCGGTAATACGTTCATGACTTAGAATGAAGAATAGCGGTGAGCTTTAATCTCTCGCTTTTCGTATGCTGTTGTTGTTTTAGATACCCCGGCCTACCTGGCCTCTGCAAAATACCATCAATTTTCCTTTTATTCAAGTCCGAACTTGTGCCTAAGGCTGCTCAGTGGTTCTCCTATACACTTGTGCTCCGATTCAGCCACACACTTGACTAGGACTTCATTGACAGAGATTCCAAACTCCTTGGTTGTGAAAACGGCGCCTTTGTTCTTGCCTTGTCGACGGATCCGGCGGAGTGTCCGAAAGCGGCAAGTAACATAGAACTCTTTGTTGTTGGGTGGTATACTCATTAAGATGTGCACCATGATCGTTCGAGCGCTTAGACATCAACGGTCTACTTACAACAATGTCTAAGCGAAAGCTCGGAAGCCAGAGCCCGCCCAACATGGCTGCGCAGAAGAAGAAGACTCGGGTGGTGCCAGACCCGAAGCTGTGTCGCTGGACCGCTGAGGGCTTCGACCACATGGTTTACACACCTCCGACATCCTCGCTGCCATCTCCATTCGGTGTCGACATCCAGTTGGATCAGGACACGAAGGACACCATTGCGCAATTCGGCCCGGCTGTTCAGGTTTCATTTGAAGCAACTCTCAGAACTGCCGACAAGGTTAAGGGTCGCCAAACACTTCTGGACTTGTGCAACGATGAACGGATAGGTTGGATCGACCCTTTGCAACCCGTCATATTGACAGCAGGTGCAGGGATAAATTTGTAAGTTCATGTACTCATGTATCATACTGGGGTTTTAATTGACATGTCTAGATCCCAGAGGGACGGCGGAACAAGGGTTATCAGATTTCGAAAGGTCTTCACTGCATATGCTATCAGATGGTTCGCTTTCGTGCAAAGAGGCGCCCATCTGACTGTCAACGGACAGAGTTACCCAAATACGCACGACATTGTCATCGGACCTTTGGCTCCATTTTCAGTTTTAGAGTATAACGATCGAGCAGTTTTTCTGTACCTGAACCGCGAGAGTGTCGAATACAAGCCAGGCGGACCTGGATTGCAGCCCGCTATCAGCCGCGTTCTCGCAAGTCTCAAGAATGACCATGACTCCGGAAGTAAGGATGGGACAACAGTGGCGAAGGCTGCCTTGACTACAGGAGCGCCCATCGCCACCCAGACAAGTGTAAAGATCGAGCCCGAAATCCAACCCGATGGTAGCGACCCGTGTGAATACTATAGATCGCGAATGGAGGAGTGGAGGCTTCTTCAAACACGATCCGGCACTGTGCTGATCGATCCTGCCACACCAGCTGGTTTCTACTACACTGGAGAGTGGCTTGTGGACTCAGTCGTGTTCCGAGCAATTGCTTCGGTCACTACAGCAATCGGATTGGAGAATAATATGGATTTCGCCATGATCGATGAGTGGGGTTACGGACTAGCAAGAAGGTATCCTCCCACCAAAGGCATGGAGAGCCTACCACTCACAGCCACTGGTCGCAATAAAGATCTCTTCTTACCTTATAACACGAGTGAGGAAGGAAATCATTGGCTACTTGTACATGTCAAACATGTAAACGACAGACCTGAGATTCATATCTATGATTCGCTGAATATGATGATAGGCTCCGATGAACCCATCAAGAGGATTGTCGTTAACACGACATTGTATGATGTCGACAAGGATGTTGACGACGATGTACGCAAGATAGACCTCATACACCATAACGTGGCAAGACAACCGGGTAGTTGGCAATGCGGGTACCTGACCATCCTCAATGCCTGGTGTGTTGCACTCGGTATGGAGCCAGGAGCCAAGCGCCACGATGCAACTTCGATGCACAGAATTCAGGACCTTATTGGTATGATCAACTTGTCCATGGCTGGATTCATGGACTCGGCCACCATCCAAGCCTTTATGCGCTGTGTCGGCTTCGTCGATGCTGATCACAACACCGTCGCCTCTGATCGCCACTTCACCCGCAGCGTACCTTTCTTGACCAAGGAGTCGCTAAACAGATACATCCTCATGCGCAGAGAGCTTGAGAAGCATCCCGAATCAGCCATTAGACGTCTTGATCTGGCTACCATTCGCTTCCTTTTGGATCCTGAGTTGGGCGATTTCGAGGATCTTGATAACATGAATCCTGAAACCCTCCTTGAACACTTCGACAGATGGTTGAAAGATCGAAATTTGGTCGAGGGGGACCCTACATCACCACTTAGCCCAATCAGTCCAGACACCATACGCTTGACGTTTGGTATTGCAAGATCGACAAACACTGGAGATGCACCGCTACCTGCCGTTCCCGATGACACGAGACTACTTCGCAAGATCTGGAACATCTACCATAAGATGCTTAAACGACAAGGTCATCTGAGATTGGCACGTCAAGAAAGAGCCAAAGACATAGCAGATGGTCACTACTCCACTCAAGAGATGGGCGACCATCCTGAATACCCTTACGGTGATCCCAGGGTTGTTGCTCTTGATAGGCTTGGAATGTTGCCGACCAAACACGCTCTCACAGCGGTTGAGCAACAAGCCATCAGAGGGAATTCACGACCTGTGATTAAGCTCAAACTGAAGCACAGTTGACTAGATGCCGAAACGGAGGGAGTTGAGTCTGATTTGTCTGATGTCGAAATGAAGGATGTTCAATCTGATTTACTTGACGCCGAGACGGAGCAAATTCAGTCTGATTTTCCTGATGCCGAACCAGAGGGAGTTCAGTCTAATTTTCCTGTTGCCGAAACGGAGAAAGTTCAGTCTGATTTCTCTGATGCCGAACTGGAGAAAATTCAGGCTGATCTTCTTGATGCCGAAACCGAGAGCATGCAACCTGATTTCTCTGATGTCGAGACGAAGAGCACTCAGTCTGGTTGTTCTGATACCGAAACAGAGGAAGTTCAGTCTGATCCTTTTGATGCCGACACGGAGAGAATGCAGTCTAATCTTACTGATGCCGACACGGAGAGAATGCAGTCTGATTTTCTGGGCCTATGTTTCATTGCTTGGTTTTGTTTTTGTGTTTCGCTTGGGTTTTTGTTGAGCTTTAATGTTACCTATCTTTTCGTCCTGATCATGCTTGCATCGAATTTTGAATGGCTATGTCATCCCATCATTGTCTGTTGTGAGTACTGATCGTTTAAATGTTCAGATTTATTGAAGAGAGAGATAGAAAAGGAAGAGTAAAACTCAGGGATTTGTGATTCTAACAAGGAGCATAGTTGTTGGAGCGACCCTGTCACATATAGAAGGGTGACATCCTTACCACCGTTTTCCCAAATGTGGTACGCATCGATTATATAGCTCACTGCGAATTGAAAGATCGGTAATTCAATCCTGCTTCGTTGTTTCTGCTATGTTCATGAAAATGGTGTCGTAAGCGGTCAAGCCCTGAGTTCTCGCTTGAAAGCACAGAATTCAATCAGAAGCAGTGTATTCACGAACAAAGATGCGTCATGAACATGAAGAGTTATTAAGCAGTGGCATAGATACATGTATGTAGAAGACGAAACAGAGGTTCAACAGCAGGTGTGCATGGCCTGAAGACCTTTATTTGCAGATCGCATACATAGTGGTCCAACATAGTTCTTTCCTGCTACATTAGGCCGCGTAACCCTCGAATACCATTACTCTTGATTGGCTTTTCGGACTTGTCGGCCTTGTCCTTCTTCTTGTTGTTTTGTGCACCACCTGTTTCAAATATGAGTAACCCAATGTATCACGAGACAGAAAAGAGCCGAGACTTACCACGTCCATACATGCGAACCTCTGGTTTGGGCTTACCACCCTCCTGTACAGGTTCTCCCGATGCATCCGAGTTGAAACTGAAAACACTCCTGTTACCTTCTTGTCCCAAAGATGAAGGAGGTGGTGAGCTCTGATCAGATCCGACTGTTGATCGAGCCGCGCCGTGTGCAGCCGAATGGTGGAGAGCATGCTCGATATGATGATTGCCTTGCGCTCGAGACATGGGGTGGGAGTTCTGAATTCTTTGTTGATACGCTTCGGGGCGCAAGGGACGCGCTGGGGGATAGCTTTGATTCAGTGAAGAAACTGGTGAGGCAGTCCGTCCGAAGTCCATGTGCGGAGCAAACAACTCGAACTGGTCCATGCCACGGTCAGTGTAGTATGCTGGTCGTGAGCTAGCGGAACTGTAGCTCCTGACACTGCCTTCTTGAGTCATATAGCCGGCCTCATCAGAATGAATAGGTAGAGGATGAGCTCCATTCGCGCTACCTCTTGACTCGCGCAAATTTGTGTATTCTTCCAGCAACTGACTGTAAGCCGCTTTAGATTGAGCAAGCCGCAGTCGACTTTCCGAGAGTTGGTCATGCAAATGCACAGGGACGGCGTGAATAGGTTGTTCTGCAGATGACGAATTCTCCATAGCTTCTTTGAGTCGTAGGTCGAACTCCTTTACCTTGGCCTCATGTGCGGTTTTGAGCCTCTCAAGCTCTTGCTCGCGACGCTGCAATATGAATTTTGTGCTGTCGAGCTCTTGTTTAGCTAACTCGTGCTCTGCACGGAGCGATTCGAGTGCAAGATTTTGATCACGATAATTTTGAAGCTCCTTNTGCAATTCTGAATGTTGCTGGTCCGCTGTTTCTTGATCTTTCAAGCGCGTCTGAAGAGTTTCCAGTTCTTCCTGCTTATTCGATTCGCGTGATTCGCTCTCGACCAGAAGCAGACGAAGTTGATCGCAATCTTTAGAGGCCTGAGTGAGGCGGAGTTGCAGGGTCTCCTGGTCCGCAAGCTCTGACTTGAGGGTACGAATCTTGGCCATGAGCTGCTCTTCACTTTGCTTTGTATGGGTCCTGCGAGCCTGCGTTTCCTTTTGCATCTTTTCGTTGAATTTGTTTGAGTCGCTTAGCTTTTTCTGCAAAGCCCGATTTGCGTTAATCAGAGTGGCCGTCTCGGCCTCGACGGTCACTGCTTTTATGTGGTTGCGTTTAAGCTGACCAATGGCAGCCACGTGCTGTTGCTTAAGATAACGCTCGAAGGTAAGCTCGTTACGTAGCAACATCAGCTCACGCTGAAGATACGAGAGATCCTTGGAAGATGTTGAATCAATCACAGGTTCCACTGGACTTTCTGGAGGACGGCGAGGTAGGGTTGGGCTGTCTTGGTGCGAAGGCTCCGAGCTGGGGGCTAAGAAGTTGGGCACTGCTGGTAGCTTTGTAGTTGGAGGAGGAGCGGGACTCTTAAACATTGGGTGCTCGCCGGCGTAAAGACCATGGCACTCGGCGATGACTTCTGAAGGTTCCGCCTTTAGCCAACGATTCTCGCTCAGCTCCTCTTCTACGGTTGTAAGGAAAAAACTTGGATGGAGGAAGTGAACACGCTGGAATTGCTCAGTGCGGCTTCTGATTATGGTTTGATCCAGATCGAACTCGTCAGCACCAGGGAAATCGATGTTCTTGAGATATTTTCGAGGCTTTCTGACATAACTCATAAAATTGAGGGGATACAAGCCGTATAGGTAGGTGAAATAATGCAAGAGCTCAGGAGCCGAAGACTCAGGCATATCGGGCAAAGCGCGCAGAGTTTGCCAGGTAGGATCAAAGTCGTCCTCATGGTCAGTGTCAGCGTCAGAATCAGAAGCACGGCGAACGCGATCATCGGTAACAAGATCACGCTGAGCTTTGGTACTCGAAGCACTGAACTTTTCCCAACAGAGGCAGCGACTGTAGACCAAGAACAACCTCGGAAGCTGAGAAGCCACAGTAGCGGGAATATGTGGGAGCAACATAATGAGACATTTGAGAGCAGCAGAGACGACAACGGTAGCTGTGTCGTTCATGAGAGATTTGAGAAGATGCTCGACCACAGTCGTGTCGAGGACCAAGTGCAAATGGGCATGTTGTTGTTCAAGAAAGGCTGCAAGCAGATCAAGAGCTTGTAGACGAGTGTCAGGCTTCAGGAGGAAGTTGTCAACCGAGACAAAGAAGTCACGAGGATTTTTACGAGCGAAAGCTATCAGCATAGATTGAAGCTGGCGAGCGGCGTGGTCCTTGTTCTGAACGGAAGAATTGTCGGGGTGAGGGGTGGTACGGGCGATCAGGGCATCAAGGAGGATGTGACTGAGATGGACAGCAGTACGGGCCTTGTCGCGAGCATCTTGGCTGTCAGTGTCGTAGGAAAGCGCATCGAGTACAAAGTCCTGAGCATCCGACATGGCGCAGCGGCTGGTAGCGGGTAGATCGACAAAGGGTATGGCAGCATTCTGGAACCAGGCAGCAAGATGGTCCTCGGCGACTATGGCGGGGCGCAGGGTCTTGAGGACCGAGACGAAGGCTGGCAGCTTGTTCGCATGGGCCTCGACATGCTGGCGGAAGACGGCTCGCAGTTCGTCATGTAGGCCATCTCCTTCCTTNTTCGCTTTGGCAAGGTACTGGGTGAGAATGCGTATCAAGTCATCAGGGAGGGATTGGGGCGCATCGGCATGGCCAAAGGTTGCGTTCAGAGCTGCGACGACGTCGGTCAAGGATCTGTTTCGCAAGCGTCAGCTCCAGCCTTTGGAAGTAATATTGGGTCAATTGCAGGCAGAATTACACTGAAGCCATGATTGCGCGGCCTTGGCCTTCGATTCATAAAGGTCGGCGGGTTTGACGAGTGCTGATCAGGATAGACGTGCCAGCTCACGGCATATTTGGTCGCGACAGGTCATTCAGTCCAAGGTCGGGTGTGAAAGAATCCTTCTTTGTGCCCGACTGCATTGAGCATTGCCGACCGGCCTCCTTCTTCCTATTGCGTCTGTCAAAAGCCCGACAAAGACGCCTTTGATATCGATATCCGCCTCTCCCGATGTCTGCATTCATTCACCAAAGATAAGGACCTGTCAGCTGTGACATGGTCCAATGCCATAACGACTATCGTCAATGCCTCGTGGTCGTGCCTGACTCCTCGGCCCGTCTTAGTCTTCCGCTTCTAGCCGTGCGCCGTCTGCCGCCCACCCTCATGCTTTCCTTATCACCTCCTCACAACAATCTCGTCAACACCAATCGCTTATCACGAAATTCTTTGTCAGTGTTAGAATACTGATTCATTCTCATAAACACTCATGTATTATACAAATTTTGTTGATCCAAATGCTCATCCGCCCGCTCCAGAACGCCAATCTACATGCTGATGAAAGAACTTGACAAGAATTCACGGGTATATCTTTACTCCTCGTCCGATTCAACCTCGGCCGTCTGTACATCTGTCAGTTTCATATCCTTGAAGAGAGATGGTTATCGTTACTCACGTCGTGATGGAAGAACTTGCCCTCGGTTGTGGGCTTGATCATGCCAATGCGGATGCAGAAGTCTCCGAATTGCTCGCCATCGTTTCTTTCGGTTGCATAGCGCTTGAGCAGCGGCTTCATGATGCTAAGGATTTCCTCCTCCATGATGGAGCTGCGGAACAACTTGTTGAGACGCTGGCCGTGGTATCCACCACCAAGGTACATGTTGTACGCTCCATAAGCCTTGCCAACGAATGCTACCTCGGCAAGCCAAGGACGGGCACAACCGTTGGGACATCCAGTCATACGCATCACGATGCTGTCTTGACGAAGACCATTCTCTTCGAGCACACCCTCAAGCTTGGTGACAAGCTCTGGCAGGTAACGCTCAGACTCTGCCATGGCGAGACCACAAGTAGGGAAGGCCACACAAGCACTACTGCTAAGACGAAGTCCAGAGAAGTTGGTGTTGTCAAGCTTATACTTGGCCAGCATCTCCTTCATCTTGGGCAGCTCCTCGTCGGTGACGTTGGACAGGATGAGATGCTGGTTACCGGTGAGGCGGAACTCTCCCTTGTGAGCCTTGGCGATCTCCAGCAGACCAGTCTTCATAGGGAAGTCGGCTGTATCCTCGATACGACCGTTCTCAATGAACATTGTGAAGTGGTTCTTGCCACTCTCATCCTTCTGCCAGCCAAAGGTATCGATGTTGCTCTTGAAGTGGAATGGACGAGCCTCCTCGAACTTCTCACCCCAGTACTTCTCGACCTCTGCCTTGAAGACATCCACGCCCATGTCATCCATGGTGTACTTCAGACGAGCGTGCTTGCGGTTCTTGCGATCACCGTTGTCACGCTGAACAAGCATGACCTTCTCGCAAGCGATGTGGACCTTGTCCTTGGAAACATAGCCAAGAAGACTGCCAGTGCGGGGGTAAGTCTTCTTGTTGTTGTGAGTAGTACCCATACCACCACCAGCAAGCAGGTTGAAACCAGCGAGATGTCCATCTTCGCCCTTGATAGCGATGAGACCAACATCGTGAGCGTAGACGTCAGTATCGTTGTGCGGGGGAATAGCGATAGTGATCTTGAACTTGCGAGGCAAGTAGGTAGGACCATACAGAGGCTCGTGATCTTGAACGGCATCTCCAGCAACCTGGGTCTTGTTGTCGTTCTCGTCCTTGAGCCAGATCTCGTGGTAAGCAGTGGTCGAAGGCAACAAGTGGTCGCTGATCAGCTTGGAGCTTGCATGGACCTCGGCGTGGTACGCAGAGTGTTCTGGCAGACTGCTGCACATGACGTTACGGTTAACGTCACCACAAGCAGCGATAGTGGTCATAAGAGACTTGTTGATAGCCTGCATGGCGGGCTTCAGCTTGCTCTTGATGACACCATGGAACTGGAAGGTTTGACGAGTAGTCAACTTCATAGTCTCATTGCCCAAATTCGAAGCAATGGCGTCCATCTGAACCCACTGGTCTGCAGTAGCAACACCACCGGGCAAACGGCAACGAATCATGAAAGAGTATGCAGGCTCAAGACCCTGGGCCTTACGCTCGTCTCTGATATCGCGGTCATCTTGCATGTAAGTACCGTGGAACTTTGTAAGCTGTTGGTCGGCAGCGGAGATGGCTCCAGTGGATGGATCCAAGAGACCCTCAGCGATAGTTCCGCGAAGGTAGTTAGAGGCGATCTTGATGTCCTCGTTGGTGATCGGTGGAGGCTCATCAGGAAGACCCTCGACGTTACCAACACCCAGAGCATCCCAAAGCTTGGGCTCCCACTCGTTGTAGGCAGTCTGGTAACCATCAGGATCCTGGTCATCACCAAGACCACAGTCGACAAGAGACTTGCCGCCGAGGGTAAGCACTCTGGCGTACAGATCCTTTGCGGGCTTGTTGTAGTAAATCTTGTCCTCCTTTCTAGGCCAGTAGTGGCTGTCACCAAGACCGAAGACGGAGAAGTTGACGCTGGCGAGATCCAAGTCGGTAGAGTTCTTAACGCCCTCCCAGAAGTTTCTGCCATTCTGGGGGAACTCACCCTGACCAGCAACACTGCTAATCATGACCACGTTCTCCTCAGTTGACAGATCTTCCAGAGGGTAGTCATCCATAGCCATAACCATGGTCTTCAAGCCTCTAGCCTTACCACGGTTGCCCAAGCGCTTGGCCAAGTTCTCCGAGTTGCCGTTGTCGGAAGCGAACAAGATAGTTAGCGGAGCACCCTGCAGGCCCTCGAGAAGACTGCTGTAGGCATCCTTGGCCTTGCGCTTCTGGATCTGGCGAACCTCAGACCCGTAGGATTGCGAGAGGTTTGCGCTGAACTGAGGGTGTCTCTTCATCAACTGAGTAAGGTAGTTGTCCCTCTTAAGGAACTCCTTGAGCTCTTGTCTGATGCGCTCGGAATCCAGCTGGAAGTTCTCCTCGCCGTTCTCCTCGGCGCGGGGGTTCCATCGATACAGAGGCCAGTAACCAATGTCAACAGCCTTCTTAGTCTCCTGGAGAACAGACAATGGCGAGTCGGTCTCCTTGCTGTAAGGGAGGTAAGCAACAACGACAGAAGGGCCGTTGAATTGCTCGGCTTCGAGCATGGATTGCAGCACCTGAGTGTAGGAGCTGTAGACAGCGACAGAGGCGACGTAGGCGTTACCGAAGTTCATAGCGTAAAGACCAATATCCTTCTTTCTTCTCGAAGCGTCAGCAGCGGCTCTCTCTGAGTAAGGCTGCGAGTCGATGATGAGCATGTTGACATTCTTGTCAGATGCGAGAACGTGGTGAACACCCGAGTTGCCCAGGTCGTAAGCCCATGCATCCGAACCAATCAGCCATTGCGATTCCTTGAAGAACAGTCCTTGGTTAGAGAGAAGCTCGGTAGCCAGAGTAGACTTGTCGCTGTTCAGGCTAGAGATGACCTCGGGGGCAAGACTGTTTGCCTTGGAAGCCTGCTGAGCCTCGAGAAGCCATTGAGAGAGTTGTTGCTTGGGGGTGTCGGTTGCAAACTCACCAGACTTGGCAGCAGTTTGCACTTCAGAAATGAAGCGTTCTCTGTGTTCGGAGCGTGCGACAAGGGAACCAAAACCGTACTCAGGAGTTGCGCTGATTTCGGTCGAAACACCTGCATCGTCAGCTCCAAGTCTGTTGGCAACGTGAAGACGGTTGCCGAACAACTGATCAAGGATCTTCATGTAGGCATTCTCAACCTTAGGTTGCTCCAACTCGAACTGCTGCTCGGCATTCTTGGGGCCCTCGTGGTTTCCAATCTCAAGGTTCTGGATAGGCGAAGGGGAGGACAAGTTCTGGAAAATGCCCTTCAGTGCTTGGCGGATTGTGGAAGGCTCAATGTAACCAAGCTGGTGGCCAACAACCAGAGGACCCCCATTCCCAGCGGCCTTGATAGACACAAGAAGGTCCAGAAGGAGAGGACCCCAACGTGTGGTCTTGCGACGGATCTGTTCTAGGACGGCGATCTTCTTCAAGCTCTTAGGTAGAGTCTGAATAAGTTTTGCGCCTAACCAGGGTCTGTAAAGGCGGGCAGTGATGATACCAGCACCATAAAACTCGTCAGAAGAACTGGCCTTGTCGACCTCTTGAGCGAAAAGAGCAGTGTCAGATCCGAACAAGAAGACGGCTGACTCCGCATCCTCAGGGCCAGAGTACTCGAAAGCCTTGTATCTTCTGCCGGTGGACTCGAACAATTCGGACCAGATCTGGGTGGTGAAGACGTCGATATCCTCAGAGGTAACAGGTCGGCTAGAGACAGACTCGACGGAAGTCGCATTGGAAGAGACAACAGATGCGCTGTCGCTGCTGCCATTGTGGCCGTCGGAGCTTGAAGCACTGGACGACTCACGATCGCTTATTGGGGCAGAGGCAGGCTTGTCCACCGATGCTCCAATGCGCTCAGGAGTAGCTGAGCCATTAGCACCAGTGGCAGCACCAGCAGTGGTACGGGTGGCGACCTTTCCATCGTCTGCGTAAAGACCGGACTCGGTGGAGCTCGCTGAGGTGTATTGCTCGACCTTCAAGATCTTTCTGACTAGCTCTCTGTCTTCCTGGTCGATAGGGTTATCGTTGGCAATGTTGGCAGAGTCGAAAAAGTGGATAACACCCTTTCCAGACTTGATGGCCAAAGCATGTGCAGTCACAGCAAGATCTTGTGCCTCTTGCAATGATTCAGACTGAAGGAAAGTGAAACCAGACTGTCTGATAGAGGTAATGTCCGAGTAATCAGGGTAGCCCGCTGGTTGAAGTGCAACGTGCAAAACCACGGGATATTGTGCGAGCTTGTAAAGGTGGGGAACGGAGCGGACCAGAATCGAAGACGAGGTTGTCACCGAGACAAGCTTGCCCGAGCGAAGCGGTTGGAATGCTGAGAGCAGAGGGTCTGCATTGTGCTTGACAGGAACAATCTGAAAGGGAAGTGGTTAGTTCTATGGAGGAGTGTATATCGAGGGGCAAAAGCCTACCTCGGGAGACGTTGAGACCAGTCCTGAAGCCTTGTTCTGTTGATAGGTGGTGAAGAAGTTGGAGAACTCAGAGTCGGACGCGAGGGAGGGCTGGACAGAGACAACGACGTCGCTGGCCAGGTATGCAATGCGTGCGACTGAATATGGTCAGCAAAATGTCTATGTTTGGTCAGCATTTGGGACTCTGCTTACCAGCCTCTCCAGCAGTCAAGATGGAAGCCATGGCCGCAATGAGAACCTGAATAACGAACTCGACAAGAGTTCTAGACGAGAATGAGAGTTCTGAAGGAAAAGAAAGGAGAACAATGAGAAGGAATAGGTAGTGGGGGCGATGTAGGTTGGAAAAATAACCCGGGGACGGAGGCGGCGCTCAATCAAGACGTGACCAGAATTGCCGTTCAATTGCTCATCTCAGACCGACTTCCCAGCAGTCGCCTCTGGTGCATGCCGAATTCCAGTGACTTTTTCCTCGACTGTAGAATGGCGACATCCGCTGTCGGGGCTGGCTGTGACCTCTGGTCCGCTATTATTGGCTCCTGCTCACCCCACATCGTTGCCAAGTCATCTCGATAGATCTCCGCCCGTCACCGTCGCGGGGGCCGCCGTATCTGTTTGCCGGGAGGATGTGCTTGCGAGCTAATCCCGAGCCTGGTTTACAAAGCCCGACCACCTAGAACCTCCCCGTGTTCAAAAGTATGTAACGCGTATAGCTGTAGAAATGCATGATATACTAGGAAACCAAATGGTTCCCACTGAGAAGCCACAAAACATGGACTCTCTATGGACAGCATTTGTCTCCGAACGAGATTGTGCCTTTTCATAGCGTGTACCTTACTCTGTGTTGTGCTCGGAGTCTCGATTGAAGTTACATACTTTTAAACACGGGGAGGCACCGAGGGATGAATTAGTCAACGACGACACGGCTTGTACCATGCTGCTTGTCTTGAGCTTTGGCTAGCTTTGCCTCATCTCAAAATCATCTTCGTCACCATTCTGCTCGACATCTTTGCGTGATATCGAGTTTCTGCTTGCCACCGCCACCATACCAATTGCAGCGAATTTTGGAGCCATCAGGCAAAAGACATGCTCTTACTCGCGCCACTTCCTCGTATTTGGAAGAATGTAGGTGATTTGTTTTGTATTGTGTCTCCTAGTAGTATCATCGGTCTCTGCCTAATCTCTCCTCCTCGTCTTGCACCAGCTCATAAGCAGGTCTGTATGAATTGCTCTGGTTTTCCGCTTTCAGTACAGGGTTGGGATGTGTATCTGTGGTTCCTCCCAGAGACGTATAGCCTTTGTCGTAAAGCGAGCAATAGGGTATGTTCAAATGTCGTATAAACNNTACGCTTCAAATCAGCCTAGCCCTCATTGACGCGAAAAACAACAAACTTACAGTCCACACTTCAGCATAATGCCAGTCAATCACCGGATGTATTCTCATGAAGGCTGGCCACCCTCGATCTGTGGGATCAAAATACTTCAAAGTGGCTCCATGGGGATCCGTTCGCCGCGTGCCTACAAATATGGCTTTGACGTGGCTGTTGTCGTGGAGATAGTCCTCGAAGGCCTGTCGCATAGATTTGGCATAACGTGCCAAGTTCAGGTGATAGGTGTCGATTGATAATTGTACAAAGTCCTCGACCTCGGGGAAGGGATGGGGTGACACAATGTAGACGGAATCCAATCTGTCCGGCAGCGGCGTTGATGTCTTGATTGAGTGTGCATGTAGAGCGGCGAGATAGAGAATGAGGAGGACCAGGCAGTCTTTGCCGCCATTGTACGAGAGGGACAGTTCAGCGAGACTNTGAATGCTTATCAGCCGGGTCCGAGGCAACAGCTCAACGTGAGCAACTAACCTGTATCGCTCAAGTGACTCTTCGAGAACTTTGAGACTCAGGCGAGTCTGCTCTTGTACGCCTCGCAGGCGGTCGGTAGATGCTTGTGCATCCAGGAATGCCGTGACTCGGGCGTGGACCTTTGCGCAGAGGGCGGGTAGGTGATCCTCCTGACCGGGAGCTATGGTTTCGGTGCGGCCCTGGTCATCGCTGCGAATTCCAAGGAGCGTCTCTGGCATTACGGTGCTTCGGCATACGAGACACAATCTCGAACATGCATGGAAGTTGCTGGTTGAAGACACGTCGAATGCCGTCACGGCCGCTGCGGCGCCGCAATGCGCTTGCGCTCCATACAGTGGGGCAATCCATGCCGCGACCCCGCGTCGGACAAACACTTTACGAGACCCGACTCATGCTTCTCGGGCTTCTCACAGCACCTTTGGTCTCTACTCTGCTCGACAACATATCTAAGAATTGTTGCTGGAAGCTTATGGATTTTACCAACTCAGACGGATATATATGGTATTGGCCTATTTAGTCATCTAACACTCAGACGCCATTAGGCATTCCCTTGAGAGTTTCTCTCCTGAGCCTCTTCGACAGCCTTCTCCCAGCTAGTCGTGTATATGAACCAACCCTCAACGGCAGCAACGATTCCGAGTGCGATTGCAGGTCCCTGGAAGAAGAAAGTCAGAGAACATTCAATCAAAGATTCAGGGAAAGGGTGACTTACAGCCCATAGTCCATAGAGATCCCAGTGCAGACCGAATCCAGTTCCAAAAGAGATGGGCATAGCAATNCTAGAATTCGTGAGAAGACAGTCAGAATCAAATGAACATGGTTGACTTACGACATAATAAGCGAACAGATTCACATAACCTCCTATTTCTTGTCGACCAAGACCACGCAAGATGCCATTGCAGAGGGCAGCAATCGAGTCAAAGAGTTGGAAGGCAGCATTCAGAGGAAGCGTTCTTGCCGTAAGAGCAATGACATCGGCGTCGTTGGTAAAAAGCCTCGGGATATACTCTCTGGTGGAGCTCAACAGAACCATGTTGAAAATACCAACAATCAAAGCAGCATACAACGAGACCTTGGCATTGACCTTAGCAGCGTCCGAGAGTGTTGCGCCGATTAGATTGGCGATACGGGTACTCGCGGCAATACTGATCGGGAAGGGAATCTGGTAAGTGATGCTCGAAATCGTGCTGAGGACGCTTTGTGTCGCAAGGTGAGTCGGCGAGATCCAGCTGGCTGAGAGCGTCAAGATCTCAAAAGCCAAATACTCAGCAAGAACCATCACAAGACCAGGGAGAGCAAGCTTGATCATTGGCATCCAGTTCTTGAAGGCGAGACGAGTAAATCCTCCCCAACACTCTGAGCCGCCAACGAAACGAACGTAGAGGAACAGGCACAGCGGCATGAGGTTCTCAATGGTCACCACGGCTATGGGAGCTCCTATAAATCCCCACTGCAGTTTCTGCTATGTGTTAGAAATGCAACAATGATCGAGATCGAGAGCCTTGATACATACCCAAACAAAAAGCCAGTGTAGGAACACATTAAGCGGCGCGCACACCAGGAGCACAATAAGCGTTGCAGAGAATCTTCCTTGTGCCTGCACAAATCTCTTTCCCGCTTCGAACGCAGCATAACCTGGAGCACCGCATATGAGGACCTGAAGGTATCGTCCTGCTAAATCTGCCGTCGCTGGGTCTGGCACGATTGCGCCGATGATTCTTGGGCCAGATGTCCAGATGAGGGCAATTGGGATAGTGCAGACCCACAGGAAATAAACCATACGCTGCAGCTGCAATCCAACAAGAGTCCGGTTACCGCTTCCATAAGCCTGTGCGCAAAGAGTATCCAGACTGGTAGCCAACCCTTGGTACACAGCATAGCCAGTTATATTGGCACTCATAGAAGCGAGAGATACGGCACCCAATTCAAGCTTACCAATATGACCCACTGTAAAGACCGAAGTAACAGTCAAGGAATACTGCAGAAGGAATGTTAAGATCAGGGAACGGGAGTACCGTGCCAGTACGACTGCCTCTCTTTGCCATGTCGTCTTGATCTTGCCTGACGCAACGGCCTCTTCCCATCTCTTATCGATGTCCTCAGGAGTATCAACACCTCCGTAAGGTTCTGCAGGATTGCCCAGTAGGGAGGTGTTTTCATCTGGTCCTCCATCCTCGATAGCTGTTTCTTCATCGGCACTACCTTTTCTAGGCACAAATCCACTGACAAAGTTCTTNTTCACAAGCCCAGTAGGTTTGTTTGACAGAGCACTCGTGGTCCGAGGGTGTTTGGGAGGAATCAACTGGTTGTCTCGTAGAAGGCTTCGTTCTTCGGCAAGCGCGGCATCTCGATCTTGTTCGTTTGCTCGTCTTGGGTCCGGCGCTGAAGCGGAAGGGAAAAGTGGCCGTGGTCCCGAAGCGACGTAGGAAGTCCTTCGATATGAGCCTGACATGGAATAGTGTTGCTCATGGCCACCCGCATGTTCGTCATTTCCGCCCGTAGGAATGGCGACTCCATGGCCAGCGGCCTCCCCCTCTTCTTCAGCGTCTGCCAGATCCTTCAAGATTGACCGCTGCGCCAATGGGGAGGAGGAAAGAAAGCCATTGGACGATCGTACAGACGTGCTAAGTGCCGCAGGTCTGCTCATGGCGTTATGGCACCGGTTTGTGCTCTGAGTCGACTGGGTTGGTCGGAGATGGTAATGATGCTAGAGATAAATATATTACGCTCGAACGAGAAAAGGGACAGTGTCTGGATAGACTATCAGAGCATGTCAAGCATTGTGAAAAAGGCCTTCGCTTCGATAGATGAGCATCGAAGACATCCTTCGCCGCCTTGCCCGCAACTTGGTCGAGGAACTCTAAATTACGTGACGGGAAAGCTGTTAGCGCGATAAGCAGTGTGGAGGTCGAGGCTCGTGCCATTGAGTTTCCTGTAAGGGTAGGCAGTTCCGACGTCAGCTCTAACGCACCCACTCATACCATGCTTCATGCAAACTCCTATGATTCGATGGAGCAGGCGCAATCCAGTAGGAAGTGTCCCGCGAGCAGGATGTAGAGAAGGCCGAGGCCAGACGGCCAGTCAGCACTGCTCAGCATGGTGTGTTACACAAACCTCCAATGTCTTCAGACTAGCCTAGAAGATAGGGCACACACCTTGTCTTTTACAACAGTTCCCATCGTGTCGGGCAGTCTCTACAACACTTCAGACTGCAGTATACTAGCGGCCTCAGAGAACAAGATCGATGCTCAAGCCTCCTTGCGTATCTGGCAATGAGTGCTTGATAGCGGATCGCAGACGGAGGCCGACATCTTGTATAGACACAAAGGGTACCTAGCTTTTCATCGCAAGTACCATAAAGAGACCGCTGAGCACTGGTTCCCCCATCTACTAAGGCTGAAGAGTTCGAAAGACAGGGCGAGATCAAAGCCACAAGGTCCCAGGAGAAAAAGTGCTTGTGGGTTCGAGATGAGCAACTTGAAGAGTGAAGGAAAGACGAGAATCAGGAAGGAGACACAACTGGATCCATCAAAGTCTCGATTCAAGACTCACTCACACTCTCGAGCTCTACCAGCTTTGATCAAGGCAGGACTACCAAGTAGGAAAACCTATCGGGATGTGAGAGCACGTCTTCCCAAGACAGGTGCCGTAAGTGAGACATTGGATGTTTGAGGCGCAAAGACTTTGGAGAGAAGAATGCTTGTATGTGGTCAAAGGAGAAAAACAACCAAGTGAGAGAATCACATGCACTTTCCCGTGCGGACGAAGCCTCACTGCGTCTCGTTTGTTTGCGCACTCACTCACTCCGTTTGTCGTTCACGCGCCGCTTCAAAAAGACCTTTTTTATCTTCGGACTCTTTTCCTTCCCTTCCATCTCAACTTCCAACCTGCGCAGACATCAGACTGCACTTCCATCATCACTCTTTCTTTTACTTCTTATCAGCACCGCTTTCCGCTTCCACACCATGGCGGACATTTTCTCTTCGCACCCCTATCCTGGTCGCAAGACCATCAACCCCAGCAAGCATCACTGCGATGTCTGCGACAGAACCTTGGCATACAAGGACAGAGCTGCCCACGATCGCAGCAAGAAGCACCGCGCTGAGCTGGAGAAGCTGAAGGCTAAGGAAGCTGCCGCCAATGCTCCCGAAGGAAATGAAAACATCGACCCCAATGCCTGTCACAACTGTGGCCAGCGTCAGTGATCTCGATGACTTTCCGCCCCTCTGCATCACTTACTAACACTTTCTCAGCTGGTCATATGTCCAAGGAATGTCCCGAGCCCAGAAAGATGACTGGAGCCTGCTTCAACTGCGGCGAGGTTGGGTATGTATGCCAAACGCTCAGATGAGTCTACAGTCAATTGACATTTCGTGTAGCCACAACAAGTCCGACTGCACCAAGGAGCCCGTCATCACCTGCAACAGCTGCAAGGGCGAAGGACACATCTCCCGCGAGTGCCCCGAACCTCGTTCGGCTGCCAACATCACTTGCAACAACTGCTCTGAGCTCGGTCACTTCTCTCGTGACTGCCCTAAGCCCAGAGACTACACCAAGGTCACTTGCAACCAGTGCGGTCAAAGCAAGTGTTGCCATGTATACTGACACGAACAAGTATACTAACATTAAACAGAGGGTCACACCGTCCGCCGCTGCACTACCGATCCCTCCGAATACGCTATTCAGAGCGATACTGGCTTTGGCGATGATGCTGCCGCAGCTCCATCCGGCAATGATGACTGGATGAACGACACCACCGATGGCGTTGTTGCTGAAACCACCGCCACCGCTGTTGAAGGTGACTGGATGAACGGCAACACTGAAGCTACTGCTGGTGAGGAGTGGGGCGCTGCTCCTGCTACTGGTGGTTGGTAAGGGCGTCCAATGCATCCATGATGAGGTCAGGGTGTTCTCCTGATATGTTCGACAACTGTCCCGGATGTCGGCCGCCACGTTGACGGCAAGGGTATTGAACGTCGAAGACTCTTCTGGAGTAATGGTTAGTTGCTTCAAGCATATGAATGTCTTTCGCACGGAATTCAAGAAGACCAACGAGAAGTTGGTTGCTTTTCACCGAAGAGAAACCACTGTGTAGTCGTAACGTGAATGATTCTCCGAGTTTGATGCTGCTTTCCTGTGCTAAAGTATGCAAGGCGTATGGCCGTAAAGATGCACAGTGATCTTGGAAACAACCAGGAGGGTATTCGCTGAGAGTAGACGTGTTTTCGAGCTTTCTTCGGTTGAGACTTTGGGCCGATACATTTCGTTCTATCCTTGTGAGAGCCACAGAGCTTCACGGGAAGATGGGTTCTTGATTCGAATTTCAATCACTATTGGGTATCTATAAACTCCGGACCTCAACCTCTGTTCAAGGTATTACCAGCACCCTTGGGATTATTCTCAACGTACTCGTCCCAAGCTCTGGCCTTCATGGTCTCTTCATCTGCCTTGTCCAAGTCGTCCTCGTCTACCTCTGGCTGGATATTAGACTGGGCGCCGCCACCTTCAATCATACCACCACGACGTTTCTCCTCCTCGAGGTACTCGTCAATAGTCATGGTAGGTAAACTATGGTCAGGGCGAAAGACGCCAGCCTGCATTGTTTGGCGAGTGTTGAGAAGAGTGAATGGGCGAAGCGGTTTGCCATCTTTGCTGAGCATAGGACCTGAGAGACCAGCAGACATGGGACCGTCGAGCCTCTCCGAGTAGCCATCGTTGGATTTGTGACGCTCTCTGACATCGGAAGGCGCAGACTGCTGGCCTGGTGGCTGGGGTGGTGGAGCCCTTGAGAGAATGTGAAGCTCCTGGGCTATTGATTCAAGAGACTGGAAAGTCTGATGGACACAGAACTCAATCTGGNNAGTCAACTGCAAGCGGCGGTACATGTCGTCGTCATTCTGCAGAGCAGCGGGGTTTTGTTGCAGATGTTGTAATTTTTGCTTGAGGTCCTTCTCTTGCTTGAAACGTAGAATCTTTCTCTCACGGCGAGCGGCAGGATCCGAGGTCGAGGCAGTGGAAAATGTGGATGGGTTCTCACGGTATTCCTCGAGTAGTTTCAGGTCGGAAGAGGACAAAATGTCGTACAAGTCGAGCTGGCGTAGAAACTTGTCGTACGAGTCTTGAGCGCGACGCAGAAGGGCTTTGCGGTCCTGAGACGACAAGCGCTGGACCAAGTCGGCAAGGCGGTACTGTGCGAGAAGGTGGTGTAGGTCATTTGTGGCAATGTCTTCGAGAGATTCATTGGGACTGAAGAGGGCGATTTGATCTTGGATGCGCAGACACTGCTCGTAGCTGGCGATGGCGGCGCTGACCAGCGCTTGGTAGGCGGGCGAATTGGAGTCGTACGAGCTCTCGATCTGTCTACGCTTGTCCTCGGCTGTCTGCCATACTGTACGAAGCGACTGCGGTTCTTCTGACATGTTGTTGTGCTGATGGCGCGAACATTAGCTGTCGGAACTTTTGATCGATTGACATCATTCGACGTTGAAACAACATCCACATCGACCACCAGCCACCGCTTCTTTTTCTTTTTTCTCACACTTTGTCTACTCCAAACAAAATGCTTTAATCATATCTATTAAACTGCTTATCTATATGACCGTGACGACTGTGGTGAATGGTTTGCAGCACATCGAGCGGCCGATATTCTAGACAAGCATTCTTGCGACAGCGTAGGTATACAGCTCGGCTTCCTGCATCTGACAGGTCCATGATCTGTCACTCCTTCCAGCAAACAGTATCGCCCCTTCCATTCACGACCTGCCCACCCCTTCCTCTCTCACATTTGACCTTTGCTTTCTCCATTCCTTCTCACTCTGTCCAATACCTCACACACTTTCCTTCTTTATCGAACACCCTTTTCGAATGACTATACACAAATGACTTCCAACATGGCCATCACGACGCCCACCGTCGAATCCCACGATGATAGTGGCAGCGGCAGCGACAGCGATGCCGATGTTGACCCCTCGCCTGCCATCCTGTCATCAACAGAGAAACGTCGAGCCCGCAAGCTCCGCTTCCAATCATGGTTGCAAAGCACAGCCACCAAAGAAATCCGTACTACTGCTCAAGATATCAAACGCTCTAACGTCGACGAAGAACTATCGATTCACCAACTACTTGCCAGTCAAGAGACAACTCAGATCATCACCACCCCTAGGGAGTATCAGCTTGACCTTTTCCAGCGTGCCACTCAGCAAAACACAATCGCTGTTCTCGACACCGGTTCCGGCAAAACTTTGATTGCTGTCCTTCTCTTGCGCCACACCATCGAGAATGAACTCCAAGCTCGTCTGGAAGGCAAACCTCATCGTATTTCCTTCTTCTTGGTGCCTTCAGTCCCGTTAGTCTTCCAACAGTTCACTGTGCTCGAGCGCAACCTCGACTACGATGTGGATCGTTTGTGTGGTGCCATGATGACAGACAAATGGAGCAAGCAGGTCTGGGATGAGCGTTTTGCCAAAGCCCATGTCATCGTCTGTACCCCTGATGTTCTCAAAACTTGTTTGAGCTGCTCCTTCATCTCTATGCGCCAGATCAACCTTCTGGTATTTGATGAAGCCCATCATGCTAAGAAGGGTCATGCATACGCTCAAATCATCAAAGACTATTATCTCACTGAAGTCGACGAGCGCTCCCGACCCAGGATCTTCGGTATGACGGCCTCGCCCGTCGACGCGAGAGTGGATATTCGGCAAGCTGCCAGGTGTGTCCCTTTACTTGTCTGTTCGTTCGATTGGACTTCTCTTCTAACAATCGATGATAGGGATCTCGAAATCATTCTGCACAGTAAAATCGCTACAGCACGCGACCTTACCCTACTTCAGAACACATTTGCCAAACCGCAGGAGTGGTTCTTGGAATACACGACATCTCACGCTATTTCTCCACCAAGCAAGCTCTTCCAGGACTTGAAGATCCAGTTTGGCAGTATCAAGTGTCTCGGCAGCCTGTTCGATCATGCCATCAAGATACGCTCCCATCTTGGTGACTGGTGTGCTGATCTTTACTGGGGTTTCGCAATGGCTGAGCAACGATCGAAANAGATGGAGTCTCGTGTTGAACAAGCTGCTCGATCAAGAAATTCTATGGAAGAAATCGATCTCGAACTCGAACAAATCCACAAAGCCATGGAACTTATCACGAACTATGACTTCGGAAGACCTAAAACTGACCTCTCAGACCTCAGCGAAAAGGTACAAAACCTGCATACCTACCTGAATGCTCATTATGGGCGCTCTTCGGACGATCGCTGCATCGTGTTCGTTGAGCAACGCAGCACTGCATATCTACTCCAANAAGTCTTCGAAACGATTGGTGGACCTTACTTGCGCGCAGGCCTACTTATAGGAGCAAGCAACGGTCGTCTGGACGACGTACAATCAACATTTCGCAGTCAAGTGGTTACCCTCATAAAATTCCGAAAAGGAGAGTTGAATTGTCTTTTCGCAACCTCTGTCGCCGAAGAAGGTCTAGATATTCCTGACTGCAATCTGGTCGTACGTTTTGACATTTGCAAGACAATGATCCAGTATGTACAGTCTCGTGGACGTGCCCGACACAAGAACTCCAACTTCTTACATATGAAGGAGAAAAACAACTGGGATCATGGTAGTGTCTTGGAAGAAATCCGTGCAGCAGAGATGGTCATGCGGGCTNTTTGCAAAGACCTACCTGCAGACCGTCAGCTGGACGGCGACAACGATTTGGTCTTCACTCAAGACATGATCAGTCTTTACCCTACTCATACGATACCTGGTACGGGTGCAAAGATCACTTTTGGCTCTGCTCTTCAGATACTGTCACATTTCGTGGACAGTCTTCCAAAGGAAGGCGAAGAAGCTTTGCAGCCTATTTACATCATCACCAGACAGCGTGAGCGTTTCATTTGCGAAGTGGTCATCCCAGAGCCTTCGCCTGTTCGCTCAGCAGTCAGCGACCCTATGACAAAAAAATCACTTGCCAAACGATCAGCTGCTTTCAAGGCTTGCAAAGAGCTTGTGTTCTCGAAGCACCTCAACTCTCACCTCGTCCCAGTTTACACCAAGAAGCTGCCATCGATGCGTAATGCCGCGTTAGCGTTGAGCTCAAAGCAAACCGGTATGTACAACATGCGCGTTAAGCCTCGAGTTTGGGAAGATGGGCGAGGTTCGATTCCTTCCGTGGTGTACCTCACCCACATAGACGTCTCAGAGGGGCTGAACCGTCCTCATCAACCCTTGCTTCTTGTCACCAGAAGACCGATGCCGAATTTTCCAGAGTTTCCTCTATTCTTGAACGACGGTCGCAGGACTGATGTGAGGCTCACTGCACTCAAGACGCCCTGCGCAGTCACCGAGGCTGAACTGGCTAAGTTCAACTCCTTCACTCTGAGCGTTTTCAAAGACCTCTACAACAAGACGTACGAGGTTGATGTCTCGAACATGTCTTACTGGCTCGTGCCGTTTGAACGATCGACTCAGCTCGCAGAGATTCATGATGCCCCCTTCCAACTCATAGATTGGGCTACATTGAACTACGTTTGCAAGGACAGTAAAGGGATTCGGTGGTCACACAATATGTCTGGCTCATTGCTGGTGGACAGGTTCTTCATAGATCCTTGGGATGGCGGCCGTCGCTTCTTTTCAACGAGGGTAGCTACAGAATACAAGCCTTCCGACCCTGTCCCAGAAGGCTGCGTGGCTTCGAGACGCCAAGCCGACATCATCAACTACACAGTTAGTCTGTGGCGAAAGACGCGTGAAACGAAGAAGACGTCGTGGAATTCTGAGCAACCTGTTCTAGAAGCTGAGAAGGTATTACACAGACGTAACATGCTCGCAGAGCCTACTGCCAAGGAAGAACAAGATGCATCAAAGGTTCGCAGCTTTATCTGTCCGGAGCCGCTCACTATATCTGCTGTAAGTTTAATCTGTTTGTGACTGAAAGTCAGGCTAATAAGCGATAGCNTTCCGGCTCACGTCGTGACAACTTGTTATGTGTTCCCAGCAATCATCCATCGTATCGACGACTATCTTATCGCCAAGGAGACGTGCGAGGAGCTTGGCTTGACTGTAGATCTGCCATTGGCCTTGGAAGCAATTACTAAGGACTCTGACAATACAGAAGATCATCAGAGTCACGAACGAATCAATTTCCAACGTGGTATGGGCAAGAACTACGAGCGCCTTGAGTTTTTGGGCGATTGCTTCTTAAAGATGGCGACGTCAATCTCAACATTCACGCAGAATCCCAACGACAACGAGTTCGATTTTCATGTGAAGCGCATGCTCCTTCTCTGCAACCAGAATCTCTTCAATGCTTCGCAAAAGCTTAAGCTCTATGAGAACATCCGCAGTGCCTCCTTTTCTCGGTAAGCTTAACCATTGAGGAGTCTTTGCACACAACATGAGAGCTGACAGACAACAGTCNGTACATGGTATCCAGAAGGAATCAAGCTTTTGGAAGGCAAAGGTGCCAACAAGAATGGTGAAGAGCCAATCAAGCATGCACTGGGCGACAAGACAATCGCAGACGTGTCTGAAGCACTGATGGGTGCAGCCTTTCTCACGCATGACAAGCCTGGTAAGTGGCAGCCAGAACACTGGCGTGATGCTGTCAGAGCTGTTACCCAGCTTGTTGACAATCCTGGTCATGCAATGGATGACTGGCTGGACTATTCTCGTTCGTACGAGAAGCCAGCATACCAAACAGCTGAGGTTAGAGCTTCAACGCTTGAGTTAGCCAAGAGGGTGGAACAGGAGCACGCATACCACTTTGGCTATCCACGCTTACTCCAGGCTGCCTTCCACCATCCCTCTTATCCGAACCTCTGGTCCGATGGGATTCCATCATATCAGCGGCTCGAGTTTTTGGGCGATTCACTTCTTGATATGACCAGTATCACTCATCTCTTCTACAAGTATCCTGACAAGGATCCTCAGTGGTTGACTGAACACAAGATGGCGATGGTGTCCAATCAGTTCCTTGGAGCTCTCTGTGTTCGACTTGGGTTCTATAAGCATCTTCAATACAATCACGAATCTTTGCGTCAACAGATCGAGAACTATGTTGTGGACATTAAAGATGCAGAAGCTGCTTCACATGGATCTATGGATTACTGGACGACAGTGAAGGGAAGCCCCCAAGGTAAGAATGAATGCTCATTGGCCGAACAGTGTTATACTGACGTCTTCCAGTGTCTGCCCGACATAGTCGAAGCATATGTTGGTGCGATGTTCATTGATGCGGATTTCGACTATAGCGTAGTGCAACGTTTCTTCGATGTGCACATGAAGCCGTTCTTCGATGACATGACTATCTACGACGATTATGCGAACAATCATCCTGTGGTAAGTGGTGTCAAGAAACCCCAATATCTGCTCAGCTATTGACCCATGATGTCAGNNACGCGCCTCCACAACAGGATGCAGAAAGGTTTCGGCTGCCATGAATACAATTTGTTCAGCAGCGAGGAGACTGTTGATGGTATGCAACCCCTCTTCTGGTCTGGCGTGATGATCCATGACTCGGAACCTATCGGTTTCTGGAAAGCCAAATCAAGCAGATATGCAAACCTCAATTCGGCTATCAAGGCATTTGAGGAGCTAAAGGGAATAGCTCCTTACGAGTTCCGAGCAAAGTTCGGTTGTGATTGTCGTGAGGCACTTGCTGGCGGTGATCATGATGGCACAGCCTGAACGATCAGATGGAACGCAGGTTTCAACATAGTCTGAGCACATGGCCTAACAGTAAGCATGCTGCGAAAGGTTATGTGGAAAGACAGGTTTCAGAATCGACAACTGGAGGTTCTTTTGCTATTCGCTTTTGCCTAATTTAGTTACAATCAAGACGGACGTCCTCCAAAATATTGCTATGGTATTGTTGGTTCCACTCTTGCGCTTCGAGCGCAGATTCTGCGTCCAGCATGGTGATGATTGTACCTTTTCTCCTTCACAGTATCACTGGGTTGCAGACTACCATGCCGATGATATGGTGTCGGTCGAGGAAGGTCTGTCTTTAGATTGGCGATGTTGTCATGTTGGGATTAGAAACATGACCTCCCACCTGGTTTGTTAGTGATGCGGGATATGAGCCGCCGGTGCTTCAGACACAAGGTCGTTGCCGCGCTTGCCAGGTACACTAAAACATGAATCGACCTGTAGTCTTCTCCCATCTACTCTGCATCGCGATGAAATTCACCCATACCATCAACCAAAGCCTTCTCCAACCCAGAAGCCGCTCTTCCGATCTCACCACCCTCCTTCTTGGCCGCCTGGATACCGCGGGCGACAGCTCGTACAGCGGCATCATCGAAGGCTCTCTTTCGAGCCTCAGCGTCATCGTACATGGCATTTTCGGCATCCTTGGGTGCGCCAAAGAGGTTGAGACCGCGGAAGGGGTTTGAACGGGCGTACAGAACTTGGTGCTCGGTGCTACACAGAGGGNNGAAACAGGAGGCGTTCGCTAGTGCTTGTTCAGAACCAGCTGCGTCAGTGAAACCGGCGCGCAAGAACATGGTCAAAATGTTCAATTGCTTGATGAGCAGTTTCGAGGCGGCGGAACCAGGCTTGCCAAAAGAGACGGCACGTTCGGAGGACCAGTTGCCAGGCTGTGTTATCGAGTGCCAGCCCAAGAGGGTCAGGNNGAAGCAATGTAGTGTTTTAAGCCATCCGCCGGCGCAGCTGACGAGTTCTTGACCGGCGGTCTGCAATAGCCATTCGAGCACGTCGAGGGACGAGTTGCGGATTTCAGCGGCCAGGTGGGTCATGCCAGCGCGCACATAAAGCAGCATGTGATCGACATGTGTGGCGACATGAGCAGGCGGTAGAGCACGCAGCAGTTTTGTGAGAGCGGCGCGGACAGAATTTGAAGCGTCCAGAATCAGAGGCTGAATTTTTGGCAGAATGGTCGCGACGGGCAAGGGAAGGTTGTTGGGGCGTTCGGTAATGGTGTTGGTCAGGTAATTGATGGCATCGCGGCGCTGAGAATCGGTCTTTGAGCTGGCGAGCGACAGCTGGTGGGCGAATTGGTGGTCGAGGGAAGGCGCGGCTGTCGAGAGCGACTGCTGGTTGAGGACAATCGACTTTGCCTTGAAACTCGTGTCGGTGAAGTTTGCCGCCTTTGCCTTTGTCTTGCCGACTTTGAGCTTGGTCTTTTGGAAGTCTTGCTTCTTTTCTCTCTTCTTTTGNGCGCTCGATCCCATCCTTGCTGCCCTTTCAACCACTGTCAAGCAGATCCATGCCACCAAGGTGAAGCCCGCCGACCAAGAAAATTCACCCAGTTCCAACTTTGTCCTCGTTTATGCGGGGTCGCTAGATCATCTTATCAATCTAATCAATCTGCTTCATCTAATCAGCCATATCGTCTACACCTCTCGACACAAGTTTGGCACATGCAATCGATTCTAGTCAGCAATATGATCATTGATACAGCTACTGTCTATATATGCGTGATAGTTTTCTGCTACGAAATATACCAATATCATGAATGCATGTTCCGATGGCTCATCTCAGCCTCAAAGTCTCGTGGAAATCACTGTCTCAGAGACCCATGACTTGGTGGGTGATGTGGCCCCACGTGCAGTTGCCTGCTCATAACAAGCTTCTCCTGTGCGATTTGCACGATGTGACAACAGCTGCTCAGAAGGCCGATAGGAATCTGCTGTCTTGTCGCGCTGCTAGCGGACTGTGCTTGCCCTTAGCTCTTCCTGCTCTGCATCATTCGTTCCATGCCCGGACACTTCTTCGTCTTCTTCATCTATGAAGTCATTTGCGTAGCTGTCTTCACTTTCTTCGTCGTAAGATGATCGCCGCATGATCGGTGCCGACACAGATGAGAGCTGAGCATACAGAAGCACCTCCTTCTTTGACGGTCTGGTAGGTGACATTAACGGGCTTCGAAAGCCTTCAGGTTTCGGTTGAGTCTTCCCTGAGGTCCCCTTAGATTCGTGGTCGGTCGTTTCGGCTGTGGCGAAGGGGTTTGCCTGCTCTTGGACAAGAGAATCTTGATAAGGCACTTTCAACCAGTCCGGGTCATCAAAATCGACGGATGGATGGGGACCCCTGAGGAGATCCAATGCTGCAGCGGCGGGTTTCAACTTGCGCTTCATATTTCTTGGCTTTGATACTGCCAGAAGGACAAGATGCATTTCATCGAAACCGTCGGCCCCCCTCTCAATCTCCTGAAGTGTTCTTGACGAGAGAGCGGATGTTGGTCGTTTCGTAGCTAATTGCAATTTCTTGGGTCGTGTATTCAAGGATTTTCTCAACTTGCTGAGAGGCTAAGGCTTGAGGTTTCTTGATGTCTGCTTTCGGCTACCACGACCGGCGGGCATCAGATCATCATCCGAGATGTAATCGTGCTCGGAAGAGCTGACGGGACTCGCGATCCGCTCTGGCGACGCGGGCAATACGATCTCACGATTCAGAGAAGGTTCTGCTGGTAGTTCGGAATGTCTTCGGATACTTGATTGTGTAAGTTCTGTCTCGACTTGTTGTCTCTCGATGTCTTGGTGATCGTCATCGCTCTGCGCGGACGATGACAGAGAAATTGAGCCTGGACTGGCAGGGGGTTTTTCGGTGTGAACAGGAGATGTCAAGGTAACGCGTCTTCTGCGAGATTGCCGATTGTCCGAAGTTGGTGAAGAGAAAGTTGAGCGGTGGATCCGTTTCGCCTTCTTCGAGTATGTTGTTAGGTTTTTCTTCTTCGGCGGTGACAAGGACATATTGCCATGTGCAATGATTCAGTGCGACGTGCGAATCGAGTTACATTGTGAGATGTAGTGGAGATTTCATGAGGGTGGCTGTTAGGTCGGGCGCTGCTGCCTGTCAAGTCTGTCCTTCGTTCCTTCCCAAATCAGAATTGGTCAACTTCGAGTTCAGGACGTGTGTAAAAAGGAAACTTCTGCATGTATGTGATAATGATAGGGTATCTCTTTCAAACGCTATGACTTTTCCAATGCTATCCCAATGCCGTGGGCCGTCGCACATGTATTAAAAAGGGTTGAGTGAATCTACGCAGCTCATAGGTGCAACAAAAAAGATCAAAGCATGCGTCTGATTGCGGTTTCGCCCTTGTACTTGTCAAGGCCTTGGTCGAGGTTTCCCCACCACTCGAAGAGCATGCTCTGGCAAATCAGCTTGAACCATGGTGTGAACAGTAGCGAGTCGTCCTTGAACATTGTTTTGAGGTCGTCTTCGGAAACGTATTTGGTGGCCTGTACTTCGTTGGGGTTCTCCTCAAGATCAACGTCGGCCTTGATGAAGAGAATGTAGTCAACTNNAGGAAACGATCAGTCAGAAGAGTTTTGAACAAGAGCAGCAACAGAAAACATACTCTCGTGTTCGCCCCACTTGCCGTCACTGGGAGCGACGTAATGGATGCGGGTGAGGAAGTGGAACTTGTCCAGGGGGACTTGGTGTGCCTTGATTCCGAGCTCTTGATCGAGTTTGCGCTGAGCGGCGCGCTTGACACCCATGATTGCGGTTTCGAGGGTGGAGCCGGTCTCGCCAGGGACACCAAGGGGGTGTGAGCAGCAGGTGTTGGTCCACATGTCGGGGAAGGTGATCTTCTCGGAGGCTCTCTGTTGCAGGAGCAGGCGGTTCTTGTTGTCGAAGAGGAAGACGGAGAAAGCACGGTGCAGCAAGCCCTTCTCGATGTTCTCCATCAAGTGGCCTAGTGGCAGAGGTTAACTGCAAGGCACTTTTTCGAGGGCATTTGGGGACCAGGACATACAAACTTTCTTGCTGGCGCTACCAATGGGGAGATCGTTCTCGTCGAGGACAATGCAGACCTCGTCCATGAGGCGAATCTGCTCCTCATCGTAGCCCTCGAGGTCGTTGTCCTGAGTGGCAGAAGTGGCGCTGGCCAGGGAGGTGTTGATCTGGGGAAACAGGCGGAGGATATTTTCGGCCGTGATTTGCGGCGGTTGAGCGACGGTGGTAGTGGTGGTAGTGCTCATGTTGGCGACCAGTGAATTGAGAAAGACAGACTATCAGGACGTGGACAGAGACAAGGAGAGAACAAAGCGAGCGTTGGGTGAACAATTGGGTGACCCTGAAAGACAAATGCCAATGCCAATCTCCAATCTCGCTCCAGCCGCTCCCTGTCAGTCTAGCCCGATTGGGCACTAATTGGGAGTCGCGACTCGTCTCGCCGTCTCCGCGTTGCTCTGGCTTGGTCGAAAACAACAGGTCCATTTCTTGTTTGGCATCCAAAACACTCAATCGTCACATACCAACATCATGTCGTCTCTTCTCGACGCCGTTATCCGCTCGGATAACGATCAGCTTGAATCACGCACGCCCACAGCTCAATCCGCTGGAAGAGCCGGATCCCGTCCACGAGGCCCGCCGTCCGTGAGCACCCCGGGCCTGGGTAGCGACGCTTTTGCATATGGAGACGATGAAGTTGTCGGTGTACGAGGCAGCCGCAGAGGCCCATCCACAGCTGGTCCGCGACCCGAAGTCGAGCAGGTCATGGACACGACGGCCGAGAGACTGGCTCAGGAGTTCGAGCACTTCCTCAACACCTTTACTGAAGAGCCCATCTCGTCTGCTCTGGCCCCTGCCTCCAGTGCTGCCACCACCGACAGATACTACATTGAACAGATCAAAGGTCTGGCCCGCTATTCACTCTCCACTCTGTACGTCGACTACAGACATCTCGATGCAGCCAAGCCAGTCCTTGCCCAAGCCATCCAGCAAGATTTCTACCGCTATTACCCCTACATGATTCGTGCCCTGCACAACGCAATTTCTACCCACGCCCCTCGCTATTTCCGCCAACACCGTCAGCCGGGCTCTTCGGCTCCAAACACTTCAGACGCCTCAATCGACGGAAACGATGATTCCACCCTTCACAAAACCGCCAACCAACAGACCGACAAGGTCTTTACCCTCGCTTTCTACAACCTTCCCTTGGTCTCACGTGTCCGTCAGCTGCGAACCACCCAGATTGGCTCCCTCTTATCCATCTCGGGCACTGTGACCCGCACATCTGAAGTTCGTCCCGAACTTTCCCTAGCAACCTTTGTTTGCGAAATCTGCAACACACTCGTCCCAAACGTTGAGCAAATTTTCCGCTACTCGGAGCCCACACAATGCCCCAACTTGACTTGCGGTAACCGTCAAGCATGGCGTCTAGATATTCGCCAGAGCACCTTCGTCGATTGGCAANAAGTCCGCATTCAAGAGAACAGCTCTGAAATCCCCACTGGTAGCATGCCCAGAACAATGGATGTCATCCTACGCGGCGAAATGGTCGACCGTGCAAAGGCTGGTGAANAATGTATCTTCACCGGCACTCTTATCGTTGTGCCTGATGTCAGTCAGTTCAGAGTTCCCGGCCAGCGTCCGCAAGCCACTCGTGACACCAGCTCTGCTCCTAGAGGCGCTGAGGCTGGTGGTACCGGTGTGGGTGGTCTCAAGGCTCTGGGTGTACGCGAATTGACTTATCGAATGGCTTTCCTGGCCAATATGGTTACTCCTGACGCCTCTACCGCTGGCCAAGCCTCAACTCAACAGCTCAGAGGTCAAGCCACGAATATTATGAGCTCGCTCAATCAGGCAAAGAATGCAGACATGGACAAGATTGGTGAAGATGCTCAGTCCGAGTACTTGGCCTCGCTCAGTCCGAACGAGATTAACGAGCTGAAGAACATGGTTCACAGTCCAAACATTTTCATGCGTCTGGTGGACTCCATTGCTCCTATGATCTATGGCCATACTGTCGTCAAANAGGGTTTGCTCTTGCAACTCATGGGTGGTGTGAGCAAGTCTACCTCCGAGGGAATGGCTCTTCGTGGAGATATCAACATTTGTATTGTTGGCGATCCCAGTACCAGCAAGTCGCAGTTCCTCAAGTACATTTGCTCCTTCATCCCTCGTGCCGTCTACACCTCTGGCAAAGCTTCTTCAGCCGCTGGTCTCACGGCCGCCGTTGTCAAGGATGAGGAAACCGGAGAATTCACCATTGAAGCCGGTGCTCTGATGCTTGCTGACAACGGCATTTGTGCTATTGATGAGTTCGACAAGATGGACATCGCTGATCAAGTCGCTATCCACGAAGCCATGGAGCAGCAGACCATTTCCATTGCCAAGGCAGGCATCCAGGCTACCTTGAATGCACGTACTTCCATTCTCGCAGCCGCCAACCCTGTGGGTGGTCGTTACAATCGCAAGACTACGCTTAGAGCCAACATCAACATGAGTGCTCCAATCATGTCTCGTTTTGATCTCTTCTTTGTTGTTCTCGATGAATGTAACGAAGCTGTTGACAAGAAATTGGCTCAACACATTGTCGATGTTCACCGCCTGCGCGACAATGCCGTCGAGCCTGAGTTCAGCACCGAGACCCTTCAACGCTACATCCGTTTTGCCCGCCTCTTCCAGCCAGTCTTTACTGAAGAAGCTAAGGCCACTTTGGTTGAGAGATACAAGGAGCTGCGTGCCGACGATTCACAGGGTGGTGTTGGTAAGAACTCCTACAGAATCACTGTAAGACAGCTTGAAAGTATGATTCGCTTGAGTGAAGCCATTGCAAAGGCAAGCTGTGTCGATGAGGTTACCCCTGAGTTTGTCAACGAGGCTTTCCAGCTCCTCAGACAGAGTATCATCAGTGTTGAAAAGGATGACATCGATATCGATGACGAAAATATCGATCAACTCCAGGAGGATATCATTGCAGCTGCCGAGCAGGATGATGAGCAAGATGCCATCATGGGTGATGACGCACCTCCTGCCAGACAGAAAACGACTATCACAGCCGAGGAATATCGCGAGATGGTCAACAGCCTGGTCAGCAGAGTCTACACAGACCACGAGCAAGATGAAGATGGTGTTGAAGAAGAAGAACTTGTGCTCTGGTACACCGAGACGAGAGAACAAGATATAGAGACTGCTGAGGACATTGAAGCCATGGCGGCCAAGACGAGAAAGGTATTGAAGAGAATGGTGAAGGTAAGTTGACACTAACTATTTTCCAATTTCAACCAAGCGTTACTGACTTTGCGACAGGACAACATACTCCTACGTATCCGTGGCGAAGTTCGCGAAGACGAATCTGGCACAAGCCCAACGCAGAACGAGAGGCTTTTCTATATTGTGCATCCAAACTGCGATATTGAAGAGATGGGTATTCACGACGCGTAATTTGATCAGCCGGATTTATCATGAGCTATGTACTTCGATGGCGTTCAAGGATTTGTGGCGCGTACCAGTGGGATTGGTGTCGCTACAGGATGGCAGGCGTTGTATGTTTGGTCGATAAGGATATACCAGGCAAATGTTCAGCCACTTGTTTTTCATGCTTCTAACGCAAATTAGATATGATGTTTCATTTCGTTGTAGCATGCATATATTTCGTACACAGTGGTCATTGTCCATGTTCTAATAAATCTATCATTGACTACCTTTCACTTTCGGAGGTCCTAAGTCCTCGACAACTGGCTTTAATGTGCCTCCTCCATGCTTAAGAGAGGGTTCGTTGACTGGCGCCTTCTCCTTGACCTCTGCTTTCTCTTGATTGGCTTGCTCGACGATAGGCGGCTCAAATTCCATATGCGCCAATTTCTGTTTCGCTGCGGAGTCTAGTGCTCCTTCTTTCGCTGGAGCTGAATCTTCAGGAGAAGTTGCATGCTCCTTTGTTTCCGCTATGGCGTATGATGCCGGCTCAGAAATCTCGTCTCCTAGGATTGCCTTGGCAGTCTTGTCGTCCGCGTCTCCTTCTTCTTCCAGGTCGGGTTGACCGATGAAACAGAACAAGTCGCCTGTCTTGCCAAGGTCGTATTTGCGATCGTTCGAAGCTTCCGCAGCATTACAACCACCGACTTGTGTTCTCAGCAGTGATCGGTATTCTGTTGCTAGACGACTTAAATCTTCTCGTTCCACTTTCTGTCCAGTGAAATCTAGTACAGGCAAGAGAGCCATTTCTGTGAGCTCAGTCTCATAGGGCAATAGTGCATGCAGAGGCTGAGAGTGTTGTAACGTGTCATGTTCTTTCTGCGCAAGATATGCCTCCTGTCGACGAATTTGATCTGCGGCTGGTTCTGCACTGAGAAAAGGTTCTTCATCGTCAGATTTCTTCATCTGCTCTGCCTCCTTTGGCTCATCTTCAAGTTTCACAGGTTTGTTCATGTATTCCTCTGGTTTCTGGAAGAGATCCCGATGCACAGTGGCCCACGCTCCAGCACCAAGTTGAGCCGGGTAGTGGTTTCTCCATCCTCTTGCTCTCATCAGCTCTAGCATGTATTCAAGCCATCCGGGCTGAGTTTCCGAGACAAGCTTGGCACGCTTTGTAGGCGCTTGATGTACTGAAGAGGTATCGTGCGCCGCACGAAGACGGTTCTTGAGATAGTCATGAACTTCGGCCCAGATGTCGCCAAAGATGAGAGCAGCATCAGCGTTAGGGGCTTGCCACAAGAATGGCACGGCCAAGTCATCCATACTCTTGAGTTGTTTCTCGGTGTCAGACATTGTCAGTGTGTTGAAAGGACCAGTGCCATTGAGATAAGCATCAGGTGTCGCGAGAACCACTCCAAAGAGGTTATCTCCATCGTCTGAGCCATATGCCGAGTATCTGTGTTGCAAGACATGGTACATGAGATACTGGTAGTATAGAGGCGACAGCTCTGTCTGCGTAGAGAGCAACAAGACATGAGAGTGGTCAGGATCGACAGGGTAGAAGGATTCGAGGAAACGGAGGGCGTTGGTCTCGGTCGTTGTCTTTGCAGTAGAGATGCGATGGTGGACTTTGACTTTGCGTTGACGTGGACCGGTATGATCTTGGTGAGGGGGCCACTCGAAGTCCCGTAAGTAGTCGCGTGCAAACGGCTCGACATCGGGAGGAAGATCAATGGTGATATCAGGGTAAGAAAGTCCGCTGTAGTCGGCGGTCTTAATTGAATGCAACAGACGAAGGAGCGAACCTGATGATTGAGGCTGAGCGTGGATGAGAATGTTCACACTAGGCTTGTGCCACGAGATCAAGCCGCCGGTATCGAGACGGGTCATCCACAAGAAATCCTCGTACTTTCCCTTCGGGATTTCAATGAGCGGGATGGCTAGAGTGCCAAGTTTAGAGCGCAGGCCTCTGATGAAGAAGGCGTCTTCGACAGAAGAGTCATCAGTGATGACAGCTTGTGGATGCATGTACATGTGGATATGACCAAGGGCGCCGACTACAGAAGCCTCTGCTCGAGCATCTGTGCTGTACTCGGAGTAATCGCATCGGGCATCGTGGATGAATATGTCACAAGAGTCGCGATCAACACCATTTATCTCGAGCACGTCTTCCAAGGGGATGGCATCTCGTCCCAACAAGGTGAAATGTACAAAATTCTTGTCTACACGGGCCATCTCGCAGGCCATGGGCAGTAGGTTTGCAACGCTTCTGAGATTGGAAGCGGCAAACAAGACATTTCTATTGTCTTTTCTGTGGCCCATGGTGCGAGCGATGGCCTGAATGGTCTTTGCCAACTTGTAGAACTTGACAGGGCCGGCATAGTAGTGATTCTCTTGGGTTCCAAAGGATTGCGGCTTGGGAGGAGGGCCGGTCGGCTCTTTGGAGGGAGTGTTCGGGTGGGCAGCTTGTGCTTGTTGAGCAGGGCGAGCAGGCGGCCTATAGCCAAACTCGACGCCGTTCACTCGATGACCCGGCCGTAGCGCATGACCCATGCGCTCATCGACGCTTCCCAGGTCGGTAGGAATGTTGTGTACGAAGAGCCATATCAGGAAAGCACCGAGCAGGCCCATGGCCAGGCGGCGGCGGCGCAGGCGCAGGGCAGTAGACCAGGACCATGGCTGCGAGCCTGGCCGTCGACCGAGGTCATCGTCGCGTTTGCCTAGATAGTCGTGCCCACCAAAAGCCATTCTAGCGTCTCATCTTGATTGTTTCTGCTGTCCTTGCTCTTGCACGCACTTCCATCATTTCCAGACATGCCCGCGGCACCCTCACGATAACGCTGCACTTCCGGCGTGGTCCGTGCTTGTCAATGGTGACATTTCACACCTCACTCTTCTCTGCCTCACAAGCTTTGCAAGCTCTACTCACATGTCGAAGACTGATATCAATTCTATGAAGACCCTCAATACGTTCTAGAGAGCAGTGGTCTGCATGGAAAGGGGGCGTCAGCTTGTATTACCTTCGTGCCTAAGCTTTTGCGTAGAAAGGGATTGGGTATTTCTCTAGCCTATAATATCACTACATGTCATCGTTGAAGACAGTTCCATCTGGAAATCGATAGGTAGCGTCTCGAGAACACTTTTTGGTTGTCCATGGTAGAATATAAAGTACTCTCTAATTGTAATATTGGTCGTTGCTACCTCCCATCCTTTTCATCAGCACTCGCCCAAAACCTTCTCTTTTGCTCTTATTTGCTCTTTCAGCTTGCCTTCATTTCGAGGCCTGAACTTGACCTCGTAGCGATGTGGCAGCGCCACCAGACTCGTTGGGTCCGAACTGCCCTTTACTGGATGTGTTTCCACTTCTGTCCCCTTTTCGATCTCGAAGCAGCTCAGCATCCTCATGAACACGAGATACAGCTCTCTGTTTGCCAGCAAGCTTCCTGCACACATCCGATACCCAACTCCGTACGTGAACAGAGGTGCGTCTGGCTGCTCTAGCCATCTTTCTGGTCTGAATACCTCAGCGTCCTTCCACACGGCTGGATCCATGTTGCACGCCCACGCATTCAGATATATTGTTGTCCCCGCAGGGATCAGCTTGCCTTCGTATGTGATGTCCTTTACCGTGGCTCGAGGAAGTGCCAACCGTAAAACTGTATAATACCTNGTATGCTGTAAGTCATAGGTCCCAAGTATCAATTCTGCTTTCTCATACCTCAGACACTCCTTGACAAGGGCCATCACATATTCGCACTTCATTTCGTCCTCTGGTGCGCAAAGTATCTCGTCTTCGCTAAACATCTTACGAATCTCTCGTATGGCCTTCTCTTGGATGTCCGGTCTTTGTCCAAGAAGTGCGATACTCCATGCGACCAGTGTCGTCACAGTATCGAGTCCTCCACTCAGCATAGTCAAGCTGATGCTTGTGAGCTCTTCTTTGTTGAGTTTTGCTTCCTTGTCCTGGATGACATTGGCCTGAATGCAGGGCTTATGCGTTCCCTTTCCNATGCGATCGTCCAGGTCTTTATTCAGCTTGGTCAAGTACACGTCTCGGCGCTGTCTCATCTCCCTAGCTCTCGTGGAGCCAACGCTAAATGGATTTAGACGTAAAAATGGCACATAGTCTTGCATGTTGCCACTTGTGCTCCTGAACTGAGGAGGTTTAGCCAATAAAGTGTCAATCGTGTGATAACGAAAACTTACCTTTGAAATTTCTTCCTCGACCTCTGTGATTTCGTGAAACAGAGGATCATTCCGGCTGCCCAAACGAGTTCCCCAGTTCAGTGTCAGAGCCAAGCTAAGACTCAGGCGCTGAATCATAGGCATTGGGTCTACAGATTGTGTACCAGCAGCTCCATATTCCAGACCTTCTTTGACGAATGCCAGAGTCTCTACGTCCAGATGACCAAGATAGCTGTTGACCGAAGGCTTGTTCAGTGCAGATGCAGCACCTTTACGACGACGTTTGAGGCTGTCACTGAATGGTGATGTGCCGATGGTGGTTCCTGCCGTGTTGGATAATACNCTAGGCTTCAAGTCAGTCAAGTCTAAAGGCCGTACCAACTTAACACATACTTTGTGAAAAGTGTAGAGGACCGGTCTCGAGCTGAGAGCCTGTGAGAAATGTCCAAACAAAACTCGACAGGCTTCGGCTGAGTTGCAAACGATGACTGGAATGTTTCCCAGTTGGATTTGATACACATCGCCATAGGTCTTTGACCATTCTCGATACTTNTCCAGAAAGTCAGCAATGACACACGCAATGTATAATGCCGGGGGAATAGTAACCTTCTCGGCAGCGTTGTACTTAATATCAGGGATGTTTCCAAAGACTGGCTTTCCTGGTGGTCCATTGAATCCTGGTATTCTTGCCTTCTTTCGTATGAACTCATTGGTCACAAGATACGACAATGGCAGTAAGAGAAGTAGAATGATAATGAATCTAATAGGATGTTCATTTACTTGGGTCTGAGCAAACGAGATCAAGAGAGAAAGCATGATGAGGATCTATACACGTAAAAGTAGCTAAGAGGTCAAGGGATATTGCTGGCAGCCATGAGTTCTTAATATAACACAAGGAGAGCAGATGATACCCCGCAAGGTTCCTAGAGCTCCGTGGGGACCCCACTTGACTGGACTGCCGTTAGGGTAATGCGGAAAGAAGAGGCAGCTGTAGGAAAGCGGCCATATTCCGTTGTGCGGAACAATCACCGCACATCAACCTGTACATTGTAGTTTGTAGGCCTGCGAAGGCTTGTTCCAGTCAATGTTTTTCAGGGCTTGATCGCCTGTTGCAAGGAACAAGCAGTCAGCCACTGCATTTCGGACCTGTCATCGTTAGCATTCGGCATTCAGATCTGGCACTCATTTGCTCACTGTTGGATATGGGTTCGTTCTCAGCATGCTGACAAGCTTCTTCAGAGTGTCGGCACGGGCAGGCGACTTTTCAGCCAGTGCCTGGTAGACCTCGACGGCGGCCAGTATTCTCGGGATGTTGTTGGATTTGAAATGCGCTTTTTGAACCAAGGATAGTAGGACTCGCCAACTNAATCACAGGTCAGAAGGTACGATCGCAGGTTTGTGTGACTGTACTTACTTGAAGGGGCTGTCGAGAGACACAATAGAGGGGAGCGAATCCAGTAGGTACGCGGTGAGCTCTAAGAGAGGTTGAGTCTCAGCCTCTTTCGCTATGAACTCTCTCAAGCAATTTGTCAGAGCAGACAAACAATCAAATCTCATGCTGTCATTTCCTCTTGATAACATGTCGACCAAAGCCATGCGAGAGGCTCGTAGTAACCCTTCTGCACCCACTCCAGCGCACGATATACTTCCTTTCAGGATCGCGTCACGCTTCCAGCTAGGCGGATCATCGTTCAAGGGCGCGAATAGATTCAAAAAGTACTGGTAACTCGTCACATCCACATCGGAAACGCTATGCCAACGTTAGCTGGTGACGGCATGGAACAAAGGGGAGCGAGCAACTGACCTTTCCGATCCGAGGTCCTGTTTCAGGCATCTTGCAGCTTGGAATCGTACCCTGTCCATCTTCTCAAGAGCTAAGCGAATAACGTTTCCTTCTAGAAGACGTTGGGATTCTGAATCGATTCGTGTCTCGGTTGGCTTCCACATGCTTCGAACGCACTGTATCGCCTGTGTTCGCACCAGTGATCCAACGTCTCCCCTTTCAGTAACAGTGTAGTCATTGAGACCAGCGTCGAGAGCAGAGAGGACTCCAGGCAAGACATCAGCACCAATAGTATCTGCTTGGATCATGAGATTCACGGCTTGTAGCCCAACGATGCGCCATTCAGTCAGAGGTGCTGTTTGAATCATATCTGAGAGAAGATCGCAAGCTACGATTCGATTGCAATGATAGATATCTTGCAACCATGGAAATGCCGAGCCGAGAACAATGACACGCCCTGAACCTTGCAAGACCATACCTGACGCATCGTGCGCGATTTTGGCAAGACATTCTGCAAGATTGAGGATCGGAGTCTTCAAGATGCCTGATTGACTCAGTCGTGAGAGTGCTCTTACCAGACGCGGTAGGACTTGCAAGACGGAAGTATCTGAAGAAGCGATTAAAGCGGACACGATCGAACTCAACTTGGGTGTCTGTGATGATAGATCTACACAGTCCGTCTTGAGTAGTAGAGACAGCTCTGATAAAGATGCTAAGAGCCTGGCAACAGCGGATGGCAACTCTGCACGTGTAGCCCGTGAAGTTTGGTTCTTATAGAGCTTTTCGTCCTCATCAAACAGCTTCCATAAAGACAGCAAATGTGTCATATCTTCCATGCCCGTATCTAGGTTGCCGCCTTGGGAACACCCAAGCATTTTAGTGTCAACGATGCTTGACAAAGCAAGTAAGGAACCATGGCATTGTTCGATGTCAGAATCTGGAAATGTAGAAAGACATTGCTGTAAGTGCTCAAGCGTGATACGGACATGTTGAGGTAGTTGAGGAGCGCATAGCAGACCAACAGACTCTGCGGCGGCCTCGCGAGAGAGGATATCAGTAGACCCAAGACCTCTCCACTTCCCGAGCGCGGCAAGCAGTGCCTCTCGATAGATGGTATCGAGATTCGCAGCATCTCGAGCCACGTCCACCATGGCGCGCTGCCGGAGTCCAACTGCGTGGTAGTCGACTACTTGAACGAGGGAGATACCATTGCTGACTTGATCAGGATGCCTACCAATTAGCTCCTGTAAAGCAGCTGATGATCCTCTTCTAATATTGCCGGAAGGATCCAAGCAAGCAGAAAGTAGAAGCTGGATAGCAACGACTTGAATGATAGATCTAGCGTTTTGACAGAATTCAAATCCGATCTGGGATGTATCGGTTGACAACAGTTCCTTGGTGGTATACCTTCGAGATAATGACCAGATTCCGAAACATGCGGCATCACGGACGTTGCTTCCAGTGCTTACACCAACAGCAGATATCTGTTCAAAACTGAGTGCTAATAATAGAGCATTCAGGATCTCGGGGAGTTGCTGCGGCGATGCCGACCTTCTGAATAATGCATGTGCCAGTGTCAAAGTCAGACCATGCCACCTCAACGCATTTGCAGCTCCGAAATCAGGTTTTGAGGAAGACTTGGGCATGTCTTCCTTAAAGCTCTCGAGCACTGCTTGGATGACTTCATAACCCATCTCTGGGTCGAGTCGTAAAATGATCATACTCAGTGCTTTACTGGCTGCAAATCTGACCGGCGTATCGCGATCCTCAAGTGACTGTAAACAGTACTCGATTGTCTCTTCCAAAACACCAGATGTCTCAAANAAGTCGATGAGGCTGTCGAACGAGGATTGCAAGCTCAACAAAGCCACGTTACGCAGTAACTTGACGACGAGCTTCTTTGTAACAGCAGAGGAGCTTAGAAATGCAAGCATCGCGTCGTCCATGAGTCTCTGACCAACAGAGTAGATGGATGGCATGAGACTCGCAACTTCCGGTGTGTCGACCGACACCGTCATTCCTACCAAGAATCGAAGTGGGCCCAAGAAAGTATGAAGGTTGGAATTTGGCGAAGCAGACGGATTCAGGATCTTAGTCAATGCCCAAGACACGAGTGCAGCAGGTAGTCCGAGGCGTTGCATATCAGGTCTAGTGACTAGACGTACAAGCATTTTGGCTGCAGCATCTTGTTCCCGCGTAGCGCTTGCGAGGTAATGGACACCCAAAGCTATAACGCGTCGTGCGATCGAGGGGACCTGTGGCCGTAGAGACATGTGCTCATGAACTTTGGGAGGCTGAGCAACAGCTGATATCGAGCTGAGGTCGAATGGCACAAGCATCAAGTGAGTCAGCCATAGAAGCAAGATATACGACTTCTCCCAGGCAGTATCTGAGTTTGCGCTCAGAGTTTCGAAGTTCTCAAGATTGGTCAAAACGAGCTCAAGATATCTGGGTTCATTGTTGAGGAAGCCGATGATGATCTTCTCTCCTCGGACCTTACAGAAAGTGTATAACAGCTTACTGGCAGCGACATCGAGAGAGACTGTGAGGGTGGAAGGAGTCTTGGCTTGCGAGACTTCGAGGAAGGATAGATATGCTTTGACAATGGGAGGCAACAATGTCTTGAGATGAGCATCGAGCAACTGTGGTTCTCCTTGGAACGGTTCAATCTGTCGAGCATGTCAGTAATATACTAGAACTCTCGCGTAGGATACAAAACGTACCAACTGGATGACATGGTCAAGATCGCGTGAACGAACAAGATGGTGGACGCGAACTTTGTCTCCTCGTTTCCACAGCAGTTTCGAAAGTGCAACTTGCAGATCTGACAAAAGTCCTGCTGATGCGCGCATCAACTGCAACTCATCATCGACTTCGGCAGCCATCTTACCATTTTCTTCCTTATTAGAGAGTTTGTGAAGGGGATGTAGGTAGACGTCAATCGTTTGACATGTTTGTCAATAATTGGTCACTGCCCTGGACCAATGCCAAGGCTCTCCCTGAAGATCAATTCAAATCCATGCCCTGTAGTCAGTGCCTCCTACAATTATTTATAGCACTCAATCAGTCAACAACACTAGTGCACATTGAGCTGCTAGACAACCAACATGTATGCAAGTCGTAGAACGAGCGAAAGAGCTGAAACATATGATACAAGTATCGCTCATCGGATTCGGTCCCCACCGATGTCTGTTACGAGAATCGCGATGCTAACAATACATGCTCTACCCCTATGTTTATACTGCTGCTCGCAGCGCAGCACGAGTGGCTCGGATGGGATCTACCCCAAGATTCCAGGTTGTTTACCAATTTGATAATATGGATCGAAACTACTCGTAGGCAAGGGTAACAAGTACATTATTGGTGATGCACAGTTTTTCAACGAAAGGCCTGCTTAAGCTGGCTATATAGACATGATACTACTCCCCATCCTATCAACGCGTATTGTGCTCTCAAATGCGTCCTCCAAGTGTGCCAACGATACGATACGGCAAGGTATATCAGGGTCTATGACCAGCAATCTTAACCTCCAAATCTCACGTGATCACTGTATCTCTGTAGCCGAAAGAAGCTAGAAGCGAGCAGACTTCTCGTCTGTCCAAGAAGCAGAAGCTAAATGTATCGATTTCAACGAGAATCATTCATTTTATCTGAACAGCATATCCTAAAGATCTGAGCTCTTTGGATTGCTCAACCAGACAGTAGGAACGCGTGGTACTTGTGGACTCAAGCGTACCAAACCCTTAACATCCTTGCGGTCAGTGGTCCCTCCAGTGAGTCTTCTCATTCCAGATCGGAATCCTGCCCGTAGCCCTACCGCAGACGGAGCCCGTGAATTGCTACTGTGCACTGACAAAGCGTCGTCGGAAGTTGTCATGCGCGATATGGAGAGGTCATCGTCAGAGAACGGCTCATCGCCAGTGTCCTCTTCGGATTGCAAATCTGTTATCACTCGAGGCATATGGTGCATGGCAGCCATTGGTGAGGTCACTGATCTTGCATGAAGAGCGGGCCTCGTCGCAGCTGCAGCAGGGTTGGAAGCAAATGCGCCAGGATTCATAACAACTGGTTCACGGGCCAGACCAAACCTTGTATCGGAAAATCCGTTCTGGAAGGACGTGATCGAGGCGTTACGTTTGAGCGATTTGTGCAAGATGGGAAGGGTTTGCTGCTCGTAGACGTTCTCACGGTTCTCGATTGACCCTCGAGATGGTTCTCTAGGGGTAGTAGATTTCCGATCGTCGAAGAAGTCATCGAGGCTGTCTAGTTTCAACACCAGCTCGCTCATGCTGCCATCCGCGCGTATCGAATCCGACATTGCCGTCGCCGAGCGTTGATCGAAATAGGATCCATATTGGTCTTCAGTAGCAAACGCGACGTCGGGTGTGCTGGTGATCTCTGTGCCGTCCGCAAGGGCGGTATCTAGACAAGTGTAGTACACAGCCATGACGTTCTTCCTCGCCCTTTCGGCCTGGATGGCTGGCATCGGTATTGACCAGCCAGACTCCTCGGGAATGCCGTAGAGACTCTTGGTGCTGTCATACTCCTTGCGTGTTGCGCGCGTCGAGTGTGATCCTGCCATGCTCATGCGCAGATGCTTGTTGTCAAGAGGCGTACCGGTGACAGACATGATATTGTCCAGCACATCAAGAGCTTGTTGGCAGTAGCTGGTCTGCAACAAACGCAGCAGAGGAGAGATCAGATCAGGGCCCTGAGAGACGATCTCGGGCCTCCTCATATCAATCTGTGGAATGAGGACACACAGCAGCTGCATCACCGTGACTCGGAACCACGGGGTGTGGTTGTTGAGCAGGCCAATCAGGAAGATCAAGCTCTGATACTCCATGGTGGGGAACCAGGCGGCTCTTGCTGCAGCAACAACTTGGGTCAAGAAGTCGTTCGCATTGCGATATCTTTGGTTCGCAAAGCCATCCAATGCGTGAGCCAGATCGGGTAGTTGCTGGGCTTCGGCTACACCAGCAAGAGAGTCTGCGGACTCAAAGCATGTTTGTTGGTTGCTGTCATCCTCGAAGCAGTGGAGATAACGGGGCAGGTTTGCTAGCAGCGTGAAGAGCAGACGGTTGTCACCACCAATAAGACTGCTGGAGGGTAGCTTGATCATCCTTTCGAGCATCTCCAAAGACCGATCGAGACAGGCATTCGACCTCAACCCCTTGTAAACCAACGGCTGAAGACCTTCGAACTCACCATCCCATTTGGCAGGTTTGTTTTCGTTGAAAAGTTTGATGACAGCAGGATCACTGAGATCGAGCTTGTCCAGCAGTCGATCCAACATCGAAAGACTCGCTTGAAACTCTTGCTCGAAGATGGTATCCAGACATGCACTCGTGGTCCAAAACAATTGAGGGTATTGGATCAAGTCTTCGGGTTCAAGAGCGCTGATGATGGTCCTTAGGGTGATCAGGATCTCTTGTGAGAAAGTCAGACAGTCGTTCTCGTCGTCCGCGATTGTGTTTGTCAGACGAGCGAGCATGTCTGCCATCATCTGCCTGTCGAGCGAGTCAATGATGCAGCGGAAGATCTGGAATGAGCGACATGCTACGTGACGCACTGCGCAAGTCGTTGCCCAGACCAGACTCATCCTTGCCCAGTCCCTGCGTATGTTGTCACTAGTTCTTATATCGTCATACGAGAAGCTCAATACCCTGACTACTTCCTCAATGACAAAAACCATAGGTTCGGGAACGCCATTGGAATTGCTGTCAAGACCCTTGTTGTCAGTTTCCTCATAAGACCACACAACTTTGGGGTCGTGTTGTCTGATTGATTCAATCAAGTCCTCTATGCCTTGCTTGCTTGGTCCTGTGTGCTCTGGGCCAATCTTTGAGATGACCAGCTCGTGGATCATATGTACCAACATCTCCCTAGCCTGGTCTTGTACCAACGGAGTGTAGTGATCCCATTGAACAACAACCACTTGTAGCAGAAGAGGTATCTTGTTCTTCGGGAGCTGTACGGGAGAAACTACAAGGTCAACAAGGAGCATCAATGCCAGTTGGCCAAGGGACAACCCGGATTGTCGGTTGCCGATAGGCAAAACTTGCGCGAGATCTGCAATATATGGTAGATTTGTAGGGTCTTGAGGTATTGATGGTGGTGGACGCTTCTCGGCGATCATGGCTTTAGGAGTGATTTGTAGTAAGAGGAACTCAATGACCTTCAAACCAGCTGCTGTCGTAGAGAGGAAGACTACGATTTGTTTGGCGTAGTCGACAAAGTTCTGTTCTCTACGGTCTAGGCATATCGCGATGATGAAGTCGAGGACCACCTGCACATTTCCTCCGTATGGACCGGTAGCAAGAGCCTGCCAAAGTGCTTGTATCTCGTTATGTAAGACACTGCTACTTCGCGCCGTGATCTCAAAGAGATTGACCATCAACATGTATGAACTGGCGGTAGGTCCCCCACTCGGGAGTAATTGCAGTTCGACAGTCTGTATCCAAGGCAGCATGGCTGCGACCATATTGCGTTGATGGTCAGGTACGAGTCCTCCAAAATATCTGGTAAACTCCGAGAAGACGTGGAATGCCATGTCTGCATGTTGCTTTGCTAGCCTTCGAGAGATCTCAAACTGGGCGAGTTTGTAGACTGCAGTCGTCTTGTCAGAGATACTGATATCCAGATCCTGTAATTTAGAATTCTTGCCCAGACGCTCCTCGAGAGTTCTCAATAGACGGGCAGACTTCATGCGAATCTCGCTGTTTTCGTTTCCGAGGGTGTACAAGGCAGCGCTCAGGATCTTCCAAAANGGTATTTTGTCATCAACAGCGTCTGTCAAGACTTGGGTGGCAACCGTGAAGTAGCTGAACAGCGCTTTTGGGTTTTTGGCATGATAGCACTCTTCGATCGAGTGAGACAGCAGAAAACTGTGCTCACTGTTGTGAAGTAACAAATTCTTCAGTGCCCGACGGCCGGTCGCATGCGTCCTATCACTGGCTGAATCGAAAATGGCATCTATCCATTTGAGCATGCGACGAACATCAAACTGCATAGTGATCTGGCCATCGGTAGAGACCATGACCGGTCCTGCACAGAGTGATGCCATAGCGCTAAGGGCTGCTGTTCGCAGGTCTTTCTTCTCGATCTCCAGCTTTGCCGTAACGTTTCCGCGATTGCGAGAATCCTGTTCTTGGTCCAAGATTGATTTCCTCATATGGTTCTCTTTNTGCCTTATTTGTGTCTGGTTTGGAGAAAATCCGCACCAGTCCTCCATCATGGAGAAAGCAGCTTTTCGTGCGTGAAACGGCATCCAACGTATGGGATCCTTGGTCTTGTGAATACCTTCATACAACACCTCGACGAGCCCACAGTAGTAGGTGCGCAACTTCTGGAAGTCCCACTGGTTTTGTACATCTTCGTCGTTGAGAAAGATTCGAAGATCCTTGGTGAAACTAACGAGATTTTGCAGTATCCATTCGTCATTGTACACCTCATTCTCGAACAGACAATGAGATGTAAGCTGGTAGAGATGAGTGAGCTCGGTACGCAAAGAATCACTCCGCCTACTTCTCCGAGGGCTGTTCACAGATCTTTGGTGTATCATAAGCCATTGTTTAGCATCTTCGCTACAAATGGATACCGATGGCTGAAGGGCTTCTAGCAAGGGTCGGAAAAGATTGGTGTTGATCGCGCCCAGCCCATGGACAGCTGCCTCCCGGACTCCTGGATGTATTGCAGACAGAAACGGAACGACTCTCGCGAACAATTCATGAGCAGATCCGATCTTCTCTTGGCTGATTGAAGAAGCCTTGGAGCCTTTGCGCGAATGTTGGAAACTTTCTCTCGGAACAGGAGGTTGTTGCGAGCCACCAGTGTCGGTGAGAGTTGTGCATGCAAAGATCAGGTGTAGCTTCCACTGTTCAATCGTAACCTCGGGGGGACTGAAAGCGGTTCTTCCCACCATTCGTTGTGAAAAAGCGGTTTCTAAGGCGGCGTATGTGTTGGCTCTGGGACCTTCGGCCAGAGTGCTGATGATTCTATGAGCATGTGAGAGGCGTGCACAGACTATGTCCCTTGTCAAGAGTACAGCTTGAGGACAAATCTGCGAGCTTAAACGTATCAGGTTGGGGAAAGCTTTCGACCAGAGAGCCAGGTCGTGAACAGTTTCACTGCTGCAAAGTTCGACGAGAGTGTTGTTCATGTTGCTTTTCCTGAGACCCTTCTGCAAACGGCTGCGCTCAGCTAAAGAGAGCTTTTCATCATTCACGTCGATGACTTGCTGTGAACTGCCTTCAAGAACACTGATGATACGTGTAGAAGGCTGTCCCAGAGCAGTATCAAACTTGGTGACAAGGCTAAGGACTCTGACAGCATATGCTCGAACGTGGCGCGACGGCGAGCACAANAAGAACAAACCATGCGATTCGATTTCGTCCACGTGAGCAAATACCCTTGAACGATTCAGATCAGAATGCATGCCGCGAGCATACTCGTCATCATGAAGATCTGGTGTTGCCATCTGGGGCTGTGATTTGAGCTCCTCAATCCATATCTCTAATAGTTCGACGTAGAGGCGCAAAGTGCTTTCTATATGACCGTGTCCTAAAAGACTACCAGCAGAGACAGTGGCGTAGCGGTCGTCGAAGTTGAATATAAAGCGAGCAAATCCGATCGTTACCAGTTGAGCATGAGATTGACGCGCAATAGATTTAAGAGATTGCGCGGATGACGAGGCGATATGGTTTTGTACATGAGCAGTTCCTGTACATAGCAGATTGATAAGGTTCTTCAAAGGAATTTGAGGAGATAGGCACCGAGGAAGTGCTTGGACTGCGACATGGAGGAGATCGTAGAAGTTCTGCCGAACCTCAGGGGAGTTGAACAATTCGTCTCTCCGACTGAAACTGAAGGCATCTGCCATTGGTGTCTTAGGTATAGTTTGGGCAGAGAACTTCTCGTCAAGAACTTTCTGTCCGCCAAAGGTCTCATCGCAGATGATGGTAATCTCACCCAGGATCTTACAAAATTTGACGTATGACTCCTTTGCGACATCTCCAAAGCCAGCTGTCATGACGGGCTTGGACAGTCGTTCAACTTTGGCTCCATTTACAGGAGCTTGAGTCTGAGACAGAGAACGCCTGTGAGAATTGGGCGACCTCGAGAATGGATCGGTGAGGGCATCGCACTCGAAACTGACAGGGAATGGTGGCTGATCACCTTTCTCCAGATCGGACATGATTGCAAGAAAGGCACGGATTGCAATGACCATCTTCTCGGGGTCGAGGTTCTCGATCCGGCGGTCTCTTCCGGTAATTATGACATCGGCGTTCATCAGAGGAAATATAATGGATCGAAAGCAGAGATCCTGGTGCTTGAATCCGATAATACGAATCAGCTGTATCAAAGGGTCGGCAATGGAGGGTTCGGTAGAAAGCAGTGACTTCTTGCCCGTCATAAAGACCATCCGGATTATGTCGTCGAGTTTCTTGTATGTTGTGAGCTGGGCTTCGGGAGCTCTGTAGAGGTAAACCCAAACCAAGCGGCACAGTGCTTTAAGAGCATGACCCCGAGTGGTGCGTTCCTTCAGCTTTGGTTGTAGTTGATGAAGGGCAGTCGAGAGCCATTGTTGTTGGAATACATCATTGGGCGATACGCAGATAGTCACAGCAAATATAGGAAATGCTTGAGCCCAGTGCTTGGGCTTTGCGAGGAGCTGATTTAGTTTGACTTTGAGAATATCCAAGACCTGCCTCCACTTGGGTGAATTGAGTTCAGTGGTGGCCTTACTTGCGACTGGCAGCAGCAGATCTTCGAACAGCTGGCAATATGCATACTTGACCGGTTTACCGTGCACACCTGCAAAGAAGCCTGCCAGAAGATTAAGCAGGTCGCAGGACTTATCCCACGCGGGTTCGGGCTGCACCTGTATCTTGAGCCAACGCATGCTATGCACAAGCAGTGCCGTACGATTCTCGAGCTCTCTATCAGCATTACCTTTGACGGATAAGCGTCTCTGCGCAGCTTCCAGATCCGAGACGTATCGATCGGCAACCTTGTCAAAGCGCAAATTACCCATGACACCCAACAACTGACCGAACATGTTCCATTGTGATTGTTTGAGAGCCGAATACGCAAGAGCCTCAGAGTCAAAGTTACGTAACTGGCCATAGATGACATCCTCAAGCCTCTCAGCAATGTCATTGGTCAAGGCAGCCAGCGTACACTGGGAGATGACTTGCATGAGTACACGACAAAGGATATACACAGAAATGGCTGAGCGCCGTTCGCCTTGGCGGAGGTTCTGCTCGAGAGTAACAATGGTAGCGGGGTCGGTATGAGAAGGCAGCGAGGCAGAACTGCTGTTTGTGCTGACTTGAGATAAATCAGCACGACGAGCAGTGGCAGAACCATTGGCCGCTTGTGCACGGGCAGCCTGCAACTGAGTATGGATCGGGGTCATTTCATCACTCTTGGACTTGCGCCAGATCATGAGGGCGTCTATCAGAGGCTTTGGGCGCGGGCGCACGATGTGGCCGAGAGCCTTTATCAGCTGGTCAAAGGCATGGTCTGCGCCAGGGCCGCAAATTGCTTCAACTCTAATCAGAGCATCATCCCGCTCAGAGACACAACGATGGATCTTGTCGTTGGCTTCACTGATGAACTCGTTCAACAAGTGATGCAGGGCATATTCTCCCACGGTGGTGGGTTCTTGCTGATGGTGTTGGCGCGACCGCGAGCGGTGATGGCGGTGATTGTGGTGGTGGTGATGGTGTAGATGGGGCTCGTGTTCACGCTTGATACGGCCGCTGTGCATGCGTTCGAGACGGCGTAGAGGGACCTGGTCGGCAGGAGCATTCAATGTCGAGGATGAAGGGCTTTGGCGCAAAGTCGGGCCATCCTTTGGTGCTTGGGCCAGGATGATGCCTGGACTGATGGGGCTGGCAGCTGTAGAGGAGACATGGCTCGGGTTGCGCGAGTGCTGGTAGCCGTGGACAATGGACGTCTGGCGGTGGTGACCGTAGGAGACAGAAGATTTCCGCTCGACAGACTCGGATTGGGCAGCGGGCGTGTGTGCGCGCGAAGACGGAGCGCGCGAGGCGGCACTGGGGGCCCTGCCCCGGGTGGTCGAAGGAGGAACAGAGACCGAGGCGGGGGCAGAGGATGAGGCCGGAGTGTTGATGGCATCCAAGCTCTCGCCCGGGTCGTGCAGCGAGGGCGAGGCATTTTGNGGAGTGTTCATTGCGCGTCTAGCTGCAGCGCCATGGGCGAGCGTGGTGCCGCTCCTGCGCAGGCGGGTGGTCCGAGAAAACGAGACGGGGCACGGCGAGAGGGGCAGGCGATGGCTTGTTTTCCTCTTAGACGAAGAGACTGAGGGTTGCGGTCGTCGAGCAGTCCTTGGGTGTTTGTGAGCACGCTCCTACTGTAGGACCTGACCCTGGAATCGATCGTGGATGCACAGAGTGTGGGGTTTGCAGACAGCCAGCAGCCTCTAGCCTCTAGCCTCTTTCCCACCAGCCTGGCTCGATGGCCATTTACTTGATACAGACTACTAATGCTTCTACGCTGCACGAACATGCCTCTTGTACTGTGCCGCAATAATAACAATACTCGTTGTCGCCGGCCTGAGGCCGTCTCGCCCCTTGCCTTATACACCCACTCACGTCTCTTGTCCTCTTCTCTTCCTGTCCAAGTGCCCATGTTGCGCGCGAGGAAATTCAGCCCGGGTCCGGCAGATCGTGGAGCCGAAGCAGAAGCAGGCGGAATTCGGCCGTTCGAAAACATTCGTCCAGTCCGGTTGCCGGCGGTCAACTGCATGATGCGGACATGAAAGACTGCTGAGCATAATAATCATGCCACTAATAATAATCCCCGAGCCCCTTGGCCTATCCACTCTTGTACATCGCCCAACTCGTTAGACTGAGTGATCTCTGAAGTCTGACAGCTTTCCTTTGCCTTTTTCTCCCATCATAAACCCCGTCTTGGTGTCCTCGTCTACTCTGCTGTCTTTGCCGCACTTTTGGTCCGTTGCGCGGTCCTTTCGATAAGCCCGCCCCGCACCCGCCCTCAGTGGACACCTAACTTGACTGTTCGTCCTGCAAGCCTTCGCCTCTTCTCTCGTCCACGTCCATCCTCGCCCCGGCCACCTGTCGACAAGATGGCGCAACTAGACACGCTCGACATTGTCGTCCTGGCTGCCCTCCTCCTGGGCACTGTCGCCTACTTCACAAAGGGAACTTATTGGGCCGTCGCCAAAGACCCCTATGCGGGTTCCCTCGCAAACGGTGCTGCAGCCAAGGCTGGCAAGACTCGGGACATTCTTGAGAAGATGGATGAGTCTGGCAAGAACTGTGTCATCTTCTATGGTTCGCAGACCGGCACTGCCGAGGACTATGCCTCGCGTCTGGCANAAGAGGGCTCTTCTCGCTTCGGCTTGAAGACCATGACGGCTGATCTCGAGGAATACGACTTTGAGAACCTCGACTCGTTCCCCGAAGACAAGGTTGCCATGTTTGTCCTGGCCACTTACGGCGAGGGCGAGCCTACCGACAACGCCGTCGAGTTCTACGAGTTCATCAGCAGTGAGGACGTTTCCTTCACCCAGGGAGGCGGAATCTCCGAGAAGCCTCTGGCCAACCTCAAGTACGTCGCTTTTGGTCTCGGCAACAACACTTACGAGCACTACAACTCCATGGTTCGCAACGTTACCAAGTTTCTCGACAGGCTTGGTGCCAACAGAATCGGCGCTGCTGGCGAAGGTGATGATGGTGCCGGCACTATGGAAGAAGATTTCCTGGCCTGGAAGGAGCCCATGTGGAAGAACCTGGCTGAAGCCATGCATCTGCAAGAGCGTGAAGCAGTATACGAACCCGTCCTCGAAGTCACTGAAAAGCCAGACATGGACGCCGAGTCGGACGAGGTCTACCTGGGCGAGCCCAACAAGAACCATCTGGAGGGTAAGCAGAAGGGTCCTTTCAATGCCCACAACCCCTACATTGCGCCAATCGCCGAGTCCAAGGAGCTTTTCACTATCAAGGACAGGAATTGTCTGCACATGGAAATCGATATCAGCGGCTCAAATCTTTCCTACACCACCGGCGACCACATTGCCGTTTGGCCTACCAACGCCGGCAAGGAGGTTGATCGTTTCTTGAACATTCTCGGCCTTGGTGAGAAACGCCACATGGTCATTTCCGTCAAAGGTTTAGATGCCACAGCCAAGATTCCTTTCCCCTCGCCCACCACTTACGACGCTGTCGTCCGCTACCATATGGAAATTTGCGCACCCGTCTCCAGACAGTTCGTTTCGGCTCTTGCGCCCTTCTCGCCTAATGACAACATCAAGGCCGAAATGACCAAGATGGGCAGCGACAAGGATTATTTCCATGGTCAGGTGGCTGCTCGTAACTACAACCTCGCCCAGCTTCTTGAGTTCCTGTCTCAAGGTCAGACTTGGGATAAGGTACCTTTCACCATCTTTATTGAAGGCCTCCACAAGATCCAGCCCCGCTACTACTCCATTTCCTCGTCCTCCTTGGTCCAAAAGAACAAGATCTCCATTACTGCTGTTGTCGAATCTGTCGAAGTTCCAGGAGCATCTCACGTACTCAAGGGTGTCACTACCAATTACTTGTTGGCTCTCAAGCAGAAGCAGCATGGTGACCCTAGCCCTGACCCCCATGGATTGAATTACGCAATTACTGGTCCCAGGAACAAATACGATGGTATTCACGTGCCTGTCCACGTCCGCCACTCTAACTTCAAACTACCTTCAGATCCGTCCAAGCCCATCATCATGATTGGTCCAGGTACTGGTGTCGCGCCGTTCCGCGGTTTTGTTCAAGAGCGTGCCAAGCAGGCACGCGACGGTGAGACTGTCGGTAAAACCATGCTGTTCTTTGGCTGTCGAAAGAAGTCAGAGGACTACATTTATGCGGATGAGTGGGAGGTATGTGAAAGAGCAACCCCGTAAGGAAATTGCAGAAAGAACTGACGGTTACACAGANCGTACAAGAACGATATGGGTGACAGCTTCGAGATGTTGACCGCCTTCTCCCGTGAAGGCGCTCAAAAAGTCTATGTGCAGCACCTTCTCAAGCAGCGCGCCGCCGAAATCGACAGACTCCTGCAGCAGAAGGCTTACTTCTATGTCTGCGGTGATGCAGCGAACATGGCACGTGAGGTAAACACTGTTCTGGCACAAATCATTGCCGAGCAAAGAGGGATTTCAGAATCCAAGGCAGAGGACATTGTCAAGGCCATGCGTAACAGCAACGCCTACCAAGAAGATGTTTGGTCGTGAGAAAAAAAACGCGGATTTTTCCAATCCTGCCCCACTGAATTGTTTTTACGCGTCATGTTTGCATGATCAAGCGATGGTCGGTTTGGATAAGTTGATAGAATATACCTGTGTCATAATCTTCATCTCAACAGAATAAATGTGATGTATCGAAAGAGGCCGTGACAGGTGCGCGGCTTATGCAGATGCAATTCCCCGAAATGCAGAACCCTCCCGCTAACCCGGTTGCCCTGTCGCTGAGGTCATGATGGCCGTTACAAAGAGGAGATGTGGTTGATCCGCTGTATCTGTTACTCGGTTCCAGGTTCAACAAGACTCCGGCGGACAACAGCCGATGCGCAAGGACCTCCTGACGTCGGCTGCTCCTGTAGACTCCTTGAGGACTTAAAGTGCATCGCCAATTCAACCATGCTGTTCGTCAGAATATTCCGTGCCTCTTGCAAGACTTGTTATGCAACAGCGGGCTTCCGGCAGTGGATCCCGCTACGAATTCGAGACAAACGGGCTCCTCTTGGTGCGACCTGAAGCCGTGACACCACAGCTCCAAATCATCTGTCCAATTGCTTTAGCCTGCGGTTTTGTACAGATATCTGCATGGTCAGTCTCTTGCCATAAGCCGTCTGTCGTATCAGCTGCACACAAAATGATGCCGAACGACAAACAGATGCAAGATGCTAAGTCCAGCGTGGTTTATCCTCCCTTGCCTTTGCCTCATTGTCAACTGTTGTTCGGTAGGCCTGTATGGATGTGATTTAGGACTGCTGCATGACAGCTGGGTATTTGCCCATCCACAACACGGTTGCTTCGCAAACTGTCTTCTCAAACTTAGCGAAGACGAATTTCCACGCTACACAAGCAGCTAGGGATCAGGCTGTGAGAGAAACGGTGGCCCTCGATTCTCAAGGAGAACAGGTCCGTGAAGCTGCCCCTGTCCGCAGACCTGCGCACACTGCAATCGAGGTAGAGCTTAAGAGATGCCGTGCAGTGTGGATGGTGCAGGTTGTGTAGCCGGAGGATTTCGAGGTGGTTCGCAGCAGCATCCACACATTCGGTTCGGCTTGCATATCCAAAACATTGCTCGTCCCTGATGCTCGTCTTGGTTATTCAGGCATCAATAAAAGAGAGCAAACCTTCCCGCCGTACCTGCATTCGAGTTTCTTTGGACGACATCGACTTGAACCCATGCGCGCACCTCTACATTGCTATCTTGGATTCTGGCATACATTTTTCGCCCTTTCTCTTTTCTTCTTATCTTGTGTCGGTCGTCGTTCTGATATTTCTCACTCACGCATTGAATAGTGGTGTGGTTGTTGTACATGCCAACCCATGGGTGCTGCTCTTCCATACCTGCCTCTCTCGATTTAGTACGTAGCGAGACCGGTGCTCCTTCTTTCATCTGCGCCACCCCACCAAAGCACATGCAAATCTTCGCGGCTCCTGCCTCAACCACGTCCATACACGCCCGGTCTGAAGGAAAGAGCAAGTCAGAGATTGCCACATCCAATCCCGTGCGCACTGTACCTTTTCATCTCTTCCTCTCCGTCCTCAACATCCTCGTCTTTTCATCACACTCCCCAGTCTTCTTGACAGTCATCATCTCCCATCTTCTTCATCTCTTGCATTCTGTCCGCTGTGGCGCTACATTGATAGCATAGCTTCTGTGCTCATCAACCTTTTGTCCGATAGATACAACGCATTACACCTTGTTATCAACCCCTTCGGCTTGAAGCACTCGTCCATCAGTCTGTGTCCAGTCTACTCAGGTAATTCGTCAAGTCCTCCTCGCTCGTTGCAGATTCTGACTCGGACTTCAGTAAGCATGTCAAGCATGGCCGATACTCAAAGTCAGTGTGGCAACAACTACAACCGCGGCGGTCAGGCCATGGGTCAGCGTGGTCCAGGCTATGGCCAGCCCTTGACTCGCAACAGCAACACCAACTACCATAGCGGTTACGGTACCCAGCAGAGCCACACTGCTGCCAACATGGCGGCTTTGACTCATGGTCTTCAAGGCATGAATCTCCACGATGCCACTTACTCGAACCAGTCCAAGGCCGCCGTCATGGCTGCTTCTGGCCACCAGTTCAACGGTCTCCCTATTCCCGCTGCACTTTGGGGTGCAACCAATCATCTCATGTTCCCTGGAGGTCACTCTTACCCTGCTGCAGTCCACCAGCACAACCCTGGCCTCTACACTCCCATGGCTGCCCAGTACATTCCTCATAGCTACCATCAGCAACAGCACGACAACAGCCCTATGTCGCAGGCCTGGACGCCCAGTCACACGACTGGTGAGGTCCCAACTCTGATCACTCCACGCCGGGATTCCATCTCATCGAACGAGAACGACGCTCCTGGTACCCCATCGTACGCTGGCTACCCCACCTATCATCAGGTTCCTGGAGTTGCAATCGTCAACCGTTCTCCAGGCGGCATGTACACGCAAAGCTCCCCTTCTCCTACCCAAGTCCTCGCCCCATATGGCATGCCTTTGTCAAAGATGGCTGAGCACCGCAGCATCTCGCCAAGCCTTCACATGCTTGTGAACAAGGAGCCTCCCATCCCTCAGGCCATCCCAGCCCCCAGTTCTCCGTTGAAGCCCCTTGACAGAGCTCTGGAGAACATTCGTGGCGAGACAAACGTCTACATTCGTGGCCTCCACCCTGAGACCACCGACGAGATGCTTGAAGGCTGGGGCAAGCGCTTCGGTGATATTCGCAGCTCCAAGTCGATCATCGATCACTCCACTGGCCTTTGCAAGNGGGTAAGTCTGACAAGTCGCCTACCTTGGCTGAGCCGTGCTAACATTGGTGTTCATAGCTTTGGCTTTGTCAAGTACCACAACTACGAAGATGCCGAGAACTGTATCCGTGGCTTCCATTACCTGGGCTATGAAGTTAGCTTTGCCAGAGTATGTCTCTCCTTGCGCAACCTGCCGTGAGCTGGGAGCCATCCGCTGACCATTGGTCCAGGAATCCTTTACTCTAAGCTCAAGACGTTCGCTGATGAGGGTAACACCAACCTCTACGTTTCCAATCTGCCCAAGTCTCTGAACGAGCACGAGCTTGCATCTGTGTTCACACCTCACAAGGTCTGCTCGGCCAGAATTCTTCGCGATAAGAACGGTACTTGTCGTGGAGTTGGCTTTGCTCGGTAAGTGTCCCTGCCCTACCCAACATGAGCTCAATCTGACAATCTTCCCAGTTTCGAGTCCAGAACGGTCTGCGAGGAAGTCATCAAGAAGTTCAACAACTACAAAGTCAACGTCGCAGGTGAAGAGTACACGATTCAGATCCGCTTTGCCGACACTCAGGAGCAGAAGCAGCTCAAGCAGCAGACAGCCGCCGCTCGTCAGTTCCGCTCTGCCGAGTATGAGTATGCTACCCAGGCTCACAAGGCTGGTTACTCCTCCAGTCGTGGCTCATATGCCTCCAACAATGAGTTCGAGACGTACATGACGACCAGGTAAGCTTTTTCTCAACAAGACTCATCGAAACTATCAGCTAACACGTTTGCTATANGTGTTCCTATCCAGAACCAGCGCTGGTCTCAGTCCGCTCTCCGCAACATGTCAGGCCGCACTCCTCTTGCCGCCCTGCCCTATGGCAACAACATCCAGTATCCTGTCGTCCAGACCAACGGAGCCGCCAACTCGGAGAACCAGCCTCCTGCTCGCACCGACCTTGCTGATACAAAGTCGGCTAACAACTCTTCGCCAGCCATCGCTCGTGGCGACCAGAGTGCTGTTGAGTCGACCACTTCGGATGACCAGATCTCTTGATTGGTTGCTTTCCATACGATCATTGACGACTGATGATTCGACGAGCGCTTCCTTGCCGTGAAGGATTGCGCGTTTCACAGCACAACTTGTCACTTTCTTATCTTGCAGCATGTTCCGACACAACACACATACACAGCATCTCTTCACCACGCTCATGACGTCTTGCTACTCTGCCATCCATGGCTCACCAGCCATCCTCAGCATTTCATTTGCCTTGTATTTGCATCGCCACCAAGGCAGTATCACATACCGCACGCACACAGCTTTTGATCCCGTCTTTGCCGGTGCTGCATTCTCCTTTCGATCACTGCCATTGCTGTCTTGTCTCCTTTTGTCTTCGCTTTCTTTTCTTCTGTTTTTCTTTCAGCTGTCATAAGTAATGAACGAGATGCTTTGTCGAACGAGATATGAATCATTGCACAACATCTGCTAGGGGCACGAGATTGGTCGACGAGCTTGCTTGTAACGAGTATGGGATATTATGGCTGGAGTCCAAAAGTAGTTAATCACAATGCGATCAAGTTTCAGCATACATTTCTCTCATTATCGCATCGTGATACCAGTTGTGTTAAAGGCACTTTGCAAGGGCTTGTGTTCATATCCATCCCACATGTCACCATAGTGTCAAGGATTGATTTCACAAACAAAAAATCGAATACTTTGTGGCCATGGCAAGTTGATATACAATGCTGCTGGCTTGAGCATAATGCTACATACTGGCTCGCTCTGCTCATTTCTTGGAAAAGAAGGACATGATGTTTCCTTGTCCCTTGGGAGCAGCCTTCTTGGTCTTTGCGGCGGTGGGCGCGACCGACACCTTTGGTTTCTTGGGCGCAGGCTCCTCTTCTGAGAAGGACTCCCAGGCGGCTTCTTCTCGTGTTACTACAGGATTGGTCAGCGCAAGATCAAGTTCGGTTCAGAGGCTCATGCATACCAAGNNATAACCCTCTTCGTCCTGGACCGTCTTCTTCTTCATCACCCTTCTCCTGCCCCGCCGGCGACCATCAGACACGGTGACAGTCTCTTCAGGCTCTTCTTTCGTCTGTGCTTCTAGCTTTGAATCAGGCTCATCCTCTGCACCTTCCGAGGTTTCTGCTGCAGGGGCCTTGGTTGGTGCGTCGGTCATTGGCTCGTCTAGATCATGTCAGTTCAGTGTTTTCGCATACAAGTGCAGGACGAAATGTCTCTTACCCTCCATGTCCATCATGCGGCGTAGTTCATCCTCTCTCTCTTTCTTCGATTTACCTCCGGTCTCGGTGATTGCACCTTCATCAAGCATAGCAGCATCTCCATCATCAGCTTCTTCGTCAGATAAATCGTGCATGGCTTCTACAACAGCTGTTAGCTCTTGTAATGGTTTCCGCTGGTCACAGCACTGACCATCCTCCTTTGCGGCCGAGTCTACACTAGGCGAAGGTTCGGCGGAGCTTTCAGTCGCCTGGCTGAGTGTCTTCGGCTTGGCTTTGGCAAATGCTTTGAATAAACTCGATCCTTCGCGTTTGAGAGGCGCAGTCTTGGTGGCAGCGGGTTTGGTAGAAGCTTGAGTCGATGCCTGTGACGAATCAGGGGTGGATTTGGCCGAGGTCGTTGTGGTCTTGGAGGTATCCTTGGCGGCAGGTCTACTGGATGAGAACATGGACTTGGCTGGCTTCGTGTCGACATTTGAAGCTGTGGCTTTTTGTGCTGGCAGTTGCTTTTGGTGGTGCTGAGTGCGCATAGAGCGACGCNNTGGACAGTGGCATATCAGTACTCCAATCCAGTCGAATTGATTGAGGGACATGTTTACCTTTACTTGGCCGTTCTGGATGACACCATATTGCTTGTATGTTTCGAGCAGATCTTCATTGGTAGCTGCAGCCATGATAGATCGATTGCACTCGGTCAAGACATGCAAGTCCNNTGTCTAAACTTAGCGGATCGTTTACAAAGAAAGAGTCATTTCGATTGATGGTACATTGATCTTGGTGGGCTGGATGCTGTAGACGTGTATTGACAAGACGTCGTCGAAAGTAGACTTGGCGGCTGTATGGACGTCAGCAAAGATGTGTCTACTGTCACCACTGCACTAAGCGGACTGACTGTCAAGATTGTCCTCGTCCACTAGAAGCAGCGACGTGGCTTGGTAGCTGCCGGGCCTCTGGTGATCAGGGCCGGTTTGCGCGGTCTTGTCTGAAGCATCTTGGCTCTCAAGGGCATCATTTTCGACTTGTTGTGACGACGGAAGAGATTGGGTTCCAGTGACTAGGTATGTAGCGTGTAAGGAATTGGGCTGTTTCTTGTTCTGGGTGCGATGAAAGTCGTAGAGCATCTGTTTGGCGAGGTTGTTGTGCACTCGGAGTGCTCGACTCAAGGTGCGGTAGCTGACNCTGTTCCTCGGGGGTTAGGAAGCGTCGTAGACAAGCGGGGTGGCTCGACTCACAGTCTGTCCGTCGTTCAGCACGTTGGCCGAAAGGTATTCGATGTGATCATTGGCCATTGTGTCGCCTGCACTTCTGTTGCAGCATCTCAGAGAACAAGCTCAATCAGGGAGACGCGTTTCATGCACGCGTCTGTCTAAAGTGGCTTGGCACTCTTCCCTCTCTCCCTCCCTCCTTCCTCAACCTCAGTCTTTGATGCTGCTCAATGTCGAATTGCCTATCATGGGTCTGAACTCGTCTTCGACACGTCCTGAACCTACTTGTCTCTCAGCGTGACCTAGCATCCTTTGTGTCTCGGGATCCGATCGTTGTCTTTGCACGTCCCACAGATAACAAGCCAACTGCGACTGCGACACGCCGTGCCACTGCCACAAACCCATGTCTTTGTTTTTGAGCCGTGATTAATGTGTCTCCAGACTGTATGCTATCATATGTCTTTCCACTGTCTATATTGAGACGAGCTTCTGCTTCTTGCTAGACACATGAACTAAGACATGACAAAAGGTATGAGATTTCGATATTTCATACGCTTTTCGTTTCTGTCATATGTTCTCTCATGGCCTGTCACTTGAGAAGCTCCACATCTCCAAGCATATCATTACAACGGAACAATCATGACAACCACCCTCTCTGAATTTCTTACTGTCCTCGATCGGATGGCCGTGGTACCTGCCGAGTTGCAAGCCAGTCTAGAGTCGTCTACTCTGACTGAGAGCCAGATGGCAGTACTTCGTCACCTCGCAAACCATCTCATTGGACCAGAAAGCCAGCCCCATCCTGCGTCTTCTGCCCGATCGATATCGCCCTCAGCTGACCCTTGGAAAGCTTTTCATCGCTGCAGTCACCTCTTGCTCGATCCCGTGTATCAGAAAATTCTGGCCTCAGGTCCGCAACAATTCGTCGATTGTTATCGTGATGTTACGGTCTACGACGGCGTCATGTCAGCATCCAGAAATGCAGAGCAACAGGCTGTGGAACGATTGCGCGGACTCTTGATTTCGCTGGCGTTATACGACATTGGTAGATTTCGCTTCCAAAGCTTCACTGGGAAAAGACTGTCAGATCGTATGAAGGACGAGCTCCAGTCGCTTCTTCCTGAGGGAGATGTGGTCGAACAGTACAAAGCGGGCAAAAACCTGGCCCATATTTGCGACGAGTTCGGCATGGGCTGCGTATTGTACCTCGCGAACTTGCTGTCCAATGATTTGTAGGTTCTGGGTTTTACACTGTGTGATTGAGTTGGCTGACAAACGACACAGCCTGTGCAAAAGTTCACTGCCAGTGGACGATACCATGATGGCGCCTTCGAACACCTCAGTTCGCTGCACTTGAAACAGTTAGCCAAAGATAGTGGAGCCAACAACTTTATCGAGAAGTCTAAGGCTCTCTCGGTGATATACCTGAAAATGAGGACGAGCCAGTCTTGAGTGTTTGTAAGCGCACGACAAGATCTGCTTTGTGTTTGTGGCTGGCCTCGGGTCCTGGATATACAGACCAAACAGTCCATTTCATTCAGTTGCATTGGTGTTTAGGCGTTTTGATCTATTGATAGGGGTGGGAAAGCAAACAAAATGGCTCGAACTTGTATTATTGTCATTAGGGGTATAAAACTTTCAACTCGCTGAACTAATGGGTATCAATGCGTCCCCTGGTCGTAACTGGTGTGATTCGTATCACTCTCGTGGTGTATCCATGACTGGTCGTGAATGCCGAAAAGAAATGGTGGAACCAGAAGGGTGCGGGAGCGAGCGATGTGCCGCTGAGCTGTGTGGAAGGTAGTTGGAGAGTGTTATGGTGTTCCGAGATTGATCGACCGTGTAGTTGGAATCATGTTTGTTGTTGGTACCATGTCGATGTCAGGGAAGATCTTGGTCGACTCTTGAACTGCTTCCGTGCTCGCTCCCGCTCACTAGACCGCACTGGTCGTCTTGCGGCGGCCGCCTCCACCTCTACCACAGGTGAGGCAAGAGATGATGATGTCGAAGACTGCGACGATTCCATTGATGATGGCCTTGAGGATGGCACCGATTCCGTTGACGACAGCCATAAGAGCAGCGCCAATGGCGCGGAACACCGAGGTGATCTAGGATTTAATTAGTTGCTGCCATGATTACAGTTGGAGCGCAAAGACTTACGCAAGACACGACGGCACCCATTGTTGTTGTATGTGAGTGTATGTGCTTTGTGTGTGAGTTGTTCGAGACAGGCGCGCTGAGGAGGATGAGTTGGGTGTGATGTGTTTGTTGTTTTGCGAAGAAGCGAGGAATGCAAGAAAGGGTTGATGATAGATGCTGTGAAACGTGAAACAGCAGGAGCACTTATACCTTCAAACTGCACGCTCGGTGTGACCATGATATCACACACCTCTTTCAATGCTAATATCGAAAATCAGGAAATAATCTTAGCTGCCCAGCGACCAAGGCATCCGATGCTATGGATAGCAGGGGACATCCTCAGGCCTGCTCCCGATCTGGAAATAATCTACACGATGCCAGTCTGACCCTTACCTCATGAGTCCCAGCGCGCCATGCAGGTTCTGCGATCGTAGACTCATGCGGCTCAAAACGCGCAACAACAAGCGGCCGTCGACATCAGTCTGTTTGGCAGAGGATACAAAAGCAGGGACAGAGGCTGAAAACTTGGAAGATCTACAGCACCTTTGACAGGTGCTAGCGGAAATTAGACGCACCGCCACCTGAACTATGTCATGATCAGCCACTGTACGACACCAGCCACTTTCGTTTTTCGTCGCTTGTGGCTGCTCCTCTTTGTTGTATAGGTCATCGGAAGAGTCATCTGCACATTCTTGCATGCACTATACTACTGGCACTGCTTGCTATCATGATGATGGACGCGTGGCCAAGTCTCGTATATCCCTGCAGAACGTCGTCCGAATGGAAAGAGCAGTGACGCTGCCAAGTTTATCTCGAATGACCAACATCTACCCTCTGCGATCTGACAGAAACACGATGTGGTGTGATCATGATGTACTCGGGTAGGACAAGAAGAACTCGAACTGTTCCTGCCTGAGTGCAGAATTGTTGTCTACTTTGTATTGAGTTCGACTTTGGTGCGCTCATCACGCTCGTCGTTCTCACCTACGCCTGGGATCGTAGTCGACGGTTCATCCAAGTCAATTAGAACAAGAGGAAAACAGAATCAGCGCTTGACTCTTGCCACAACACAGCAACCATCTTCCATACAACTAGATAAGTCAGAGATAAATATGTGGAACTCGTCATGACAATAGTTGCCTTATAGAAGCCTTGGACATCTCGAGATGTAGACAGCATTGTCCTTGATCAGTTGTCAGATATATGACCCTGTCACTTCCAAGTTGCTTGGCAACATGGCCCGCTATGTGGATGAAGGACAGATGTAGGACCGGACAAGAAATAGGGATGAGCTCAGGGCAGTCTGCTCCAAAGGTACAGACATACGAAGAGCGAGCATCTGTAGCGCTGTTCAAAAGGACATGGAAATGATGGTTCAAAAAGCTGTCGTGGTGATGGACTGACGTATCGAGAAGTTCAGCGTTAGCCGAAGCCCACACGCTGGAATAGAGAGGCGCACGGGCCAAGGACGAAGCAGAGCAGCGATTGAGACAAGACGACGACAGCAACGAGGCCCAATTGCTGAATACCATCAATCCCACCCTCTGTCCACCTCACGTGAGTCTCGCTCGTCGCCGCTCTTTCCTCTCGTTCCTGACAAGTCGCCCGCTCGACAGATTCTCTAGCAGCCATGGATCAAGCAAAGCTCCAACGTCTTCAAAATGCCGTGCGCATCGGTATGAACTCTTGCCAATATCTGAATTGAGTGCCCTGCTAACCTTTGCCGCAGGGTAAGCTTCGAACCTCTACAAACCCGCCGCATGCGCGCGCCGAGACTAATTCGATCCGCAAAACAGTGGCAAGGNGTACTCCCAGAAGAAAGGTCAAGAAGGTCAACAGATCCGGCGGTGGTGACGACAAGAAGCTCCAGGCCGCTCTCAAGAAGATGAACGTTCAGCCCATCCCTGCCATTGAGGAGGTCAACATGTTCAAGTCGGACGGCAACGTCATCCACTTCGCTGCCCCCAAGGGTGAGTTGCTATACCCAACCGCCTCGTCTTAGCCCCTCCCGAATACTGACACGTGCCCACCATAGNTCCACGCTGCCATCCCCTCCAACACTTTCGCCATCTACGGCAACGGTGAGGACAAGGAGCTGACCGAGCTCGTCCCCGGCATCCTTAACCAGCTTGGCCCCGACTCGCTCGCTTCCCTCCGCAAGCTCGCCGAGAGCTACCAGAGCATGCAGAAGGGTGTTGAGGGTGAGGACAAGAAGGAGGACGATGATGACATCCCCGACCTCGTCGAGGGCGAGAACTTCGAGGGCAAGGCCGACGTCGAGTAAATGTCGCCAAACACAACAACCCTCATGCAATAAAAGCAAAAATCAACTTGTCAATCGCACTTCACTCTTGTCGCCCTATCTATGCCATCTCACGCAGCAAACCCAATACCGGCGTTCTGCTTCAGCCATGACTCGGAGCCGGCCTCGTTGAGTCTTACGCAACTTCGTCGTCTCATGAATGCACGATTCTGACCCTTTCAAAAGCTCGGTGGCAGTTGACCAAGGACAAAATCGTTGGGTCTATCTACTCCGTATATGCTTTGATGAAACGCAAAATCCTTGTCTATATGGCTACTCTTCGCGCGTAGTAATGTCTTTTGTGTCTTGGTATATGCTCCGGCCATGCTACTGGGTCAAGGTAAATATTCTGTAAAACAATTGGATGCTCCTATGAGACGTACTTAGTCATTATACGAACATCGAGCTTTGCTTCATGTACCAGAACGGAATGTACTAGAACGAATAGTAAGTAAATGTATGTATCGTGAACAGATGCCTCGATGGTTTGATCACTGATCACCTCCGTCTCACGAGTTCTTACCGAGACGCGCGTTGGAGGTGCATGCCTCTATTCGACGCACCGACTACCTTCAGTCGCTCTTTCCAGATTACATACTGCCTGCCGATTTTCATCGAGTCCCACAACGCCAGTCTCGCCAGCACAAAATTATGCATCCTGCCACTCCGATTCACCACAACTCCACCAATTCTTGCCCAATTTCTCTCATTCGTTTTGCTACGCATACAACGATCAAAAAGGAGTGTTCGTACACGCTCGAAAAGCAAAAGAACGACGCCTGCAGGACTCGAACCTGCGCTCCCGAAGGAAATAGATTTCTAGTCTATCGCTATAACCACTCAGCCAAAGCGCCAGCATGTAGATCCGAATTTTTCCCGATTTGGAAGGTTCAGTGTCTCGGATGGAGGAAGGTGCGATGCTGTAAATAATGTACTTTGCAAAAACGGAAGAAGCGACAAACAGGAAGGTGCGACCGCATCTCTTCCTATGAACCCCGAAAGAGCGTTGTGGAAAGGAAGGCGCGACCGCATCGCTCATTTTGAACGTAGAAGGGGCTATGGGATGAGAAAAGCATTGACTGAGATCGATAGATCTTGAGGGAATGCTCTACCTCGAGTCCAACTCTAGCCGTCAATTCGTAAGTGATAATACTACGAACGTAGCATGTGCAGCACCACAGAAGAACCATCATACCACTGAACTATTCTCACCATCCCGATTCTTCCGAACTCGAAATCTCGGCCGGCTACTTTGACGAGTGGTTATAACGATGGATCGAGTTGTTCTTCGCTCACGGAAATATTGATCCCAGCAGTAACGGGTAATGACTCGTTCGACAACAGGGCATAGGTGCACGCTCGGCTCTATTGCTCGAACCATCATCCGGGCTTCTGACCATGAACGTTGCAATTGATAAATTGATCCGAAACGGCCGTCTTTACGAAACCATAAGGTAAAATCTGGCGATGGTTTCTGGTGGCTTGAGATACTTTCAATGGTATCTACATTGTCTTGAGAGACTTGATGATGGCGGTCCTTCGATGCGAAGAGGTATGAAACAGTCGTAGCCACATGAGTAGCATTGTGGTCGATTAGAGACTGAAAAGAAGAGACAAAGTTTTTGTGAACAAAGATTTTGTAGATTGCAATGACTGTAAAAATCAAGAAAGTAATCAAAAATCAGAAAAACTAACCACCAAACCACCAAAAACTCATCCCCCCTTCTCAAGAGAGATCAAACAGCAGCGTAAATCAGAAAGAGATCAGTTCCTTGTCATCATTGACAGCTCCCCATCAGTCCAGTCCTGCGCAAATACCCAATATGTATAGTATACAAGTATGTACTCAGGATGGTCATCAGCCCAGTAAAGGCCAGATCTTTTTTGTTCGTTTTTATAGTGTTTTCTTCTAGATTAGTATAACATCGAATCATTCAGCCCCTTCATAGTAAAGGTGAAAATGCTTAGATGACAAGGGCAGCACCGGCAAGGACAAGGGCGAGACCGGCCTTGACGGAGTCGGCAGCGCCAGTGTAGACGGCCATCTGGGAAGAGGTGGCGGAGGCAACAGCCATAGTGGTTGCCACAGCTGAGCACTTTCCGCTGTTGCAAACAGTGACAGTGGAGGTGACAGCACCCATGTTGTTGCCAGCGTTGGCACCGCTTCCGTTGTTCATGGCAGCAGTGGGCTTAGCGCAGCTGGTGCAGACGGTGGTGGTCAGGACAGTGGCCNNTGTTTTTCGTTAGCATGATTTCACAAGATTAAGTTGGCAAGAACTTACAGTAGGGACAGGGCTGTTGACAACGACAGTCTGGACGGGGACCATAGAGCCGGCAGAAGGAGCGTACTGGGTAACAGTGACGGGAACAGCAGCACAGCCACAAGCGACAGCAGATGCAGGGATAACAGTGGCAGTGGGGCAGATGTACTCAGTCGAAGAGACGGGAATGATCTGAGTAACTTTTGTGGAATAGAGTTAGTTCAGCTCTTAATCTTGGGGCATATGAAACGTACCAACACCGCCGTTCTGGCCATTTCTGAGAGGGCAGTTGGTGACAGTAGGAGCACAGCTGGAGATGGTAACAACGTTGGTCGAGAAGATGGTTGAAGTTGCAACACCACCGGCCTGGACGGGGTTTCCGTTGGGGTTGGTCAAGACGGCGAAGTCAGTGTTGTCAGCAGCGACAGCCTGGCCGACCTCAGAGTAGAGGGTGCAGGTTCTGGCGGCAGTGTTGAAGGCAGTACCAACACAGGAGGTGGTCTCCTCACAGAGGTTGATACAGTCACCGAGGGAGGTGTAGACAGCACGCTTGGCGACAGCGACGGTGCCGTTGCCAACGGAGAGGATGGTACCGAAGTGAGTGGTACCGCACTCGATCAAGAAGTCGCCAACAAGGGCACCGTTAAGGCCAGGGCAGAAGGCGGACTCAGCAAGAGCGGGGAGAGTGGCCATGCCGCCAGCAGAGGAGGTCTTGGAAGCGCTGGCAGAAGAAGAGGAGTTCTTGCTGGCAGAGGCAGAGGCCGAGGGAGCGGCAGACATGCTGACGTTCTGGTACTGGGGGATGGCAGAGGCCATACCGGCAGTGAAGGCCATGGCGGCGACGATGTTGCTGATGGAAGGCATTTTTGTTGGTTTGAAGGGGGTAATAATTAGGATATTATTGGTAGCGAGTGTTGTGTTGATGAATGAATGGACGGCTGAAGCCTGAGTATTATAATATTAGGTGACTGGATAGGCTGGTGAGGAGCTGTTGTCTTTCTGATTTGCTGTGATGATGAAAAGAATTGGATGGCTGGGAAGTGTCAGTGCCTTATATACAGGTTTCTTACCCTTTGGGAAGGCAAGTGCCCTCCACGTACTCGACTGCTTGTGCTTGCAACGGTGCAGTTGCCTCTACCAGAGCAATCTCCTCCCTACCGGGCAGCAGCACCGTTACTTGGCTCATCTTGCAACGATAACATGGAAACAAGCATATCCATAGCAGGCTAGACGGTTGAACTCTCACCTGTGGAGGATCGATGTTGTCAAAGGGCGAAGGATGAACCCCCGTGATGCCAGACACCGAAAGACGTTGAAAGCGCAGCCAATCCGGATAGAGTTCTCCTGACGCTAAACGAAGCGAAGCGTTGCTGTGCCTGAATGACTGTTGGATTGGCATTGTTTTGTCGCAGCATGGAAATTTCTGGACGGTGCATGTCATGTAAACAGAATCGAGTGCAGTTGACGGAAGTCGCGGTTTGTCGAGACGTGCCTGACGGAAATCTGCTTGCGATTGAGGCCACTCCTGCTGTTCTCTGGAGAAAGACGCCATGGCTTCGGCGCACTCCTAACCCTCCTAACTCGTCCAGAGCCTTTCCATGGCTGCAACGGTCTAATATCAAACAAACATGCAACCGTTGTGTCCCATCAGGGAGCGAACGCCTTGGACATCGAAGGCGAATACGGGACGACAGAGCGCACCGACAACCTTGATCGCGCTTGGGCTATCAGGGCAGATGCACTATTGCAATATGAGCAGTATGTTGGGTATGCGCCATGACATCTTTGTTTACCAGTTGACTCGCGATCATCTCCTTGAAAGTTCCATCGATATCTGGTCATTGACTCGAGGTGCATGCGGGGGACAGGGGAAGATGCTGTCTAGTCCCCAGGCTACGAAGAATAGGATTCGCATTTGCCCACGGCTTGGCTAGGGCCATCAAACAGTCTTCAGATTCTCGACCACAGCAACAACATCGTAAACCCCTCTTCATTTCCGAATTCACTTGTGACCATGAAAACACACTATTAGAAGGAAGAACGTTGGACTTGGATACGAGAATCCTACCTATCCTTTGTTCGAGTCCTTGAAATTGAAGGAGAGACGATGACGATGGCCTTCTAATCTCCATCCGTGTGATACCTCACTGGCTTGTCTTGTTGTTCGCAAACCCTATGGCTGTATATGGAAAGAAGATCCACTGCTAGACCAAACGTGAACCACCAGTCTTATTTGTTTGAGGATGTGTCAAACATGGAAGCAAACCCTGCTAATCTACCGAATAGCCACCCTCCCTCGGCCTTGACGTCTTGGACACACGACCAGTCTCGTGTTGGCTTGACATAATGGCTTATGAACTCATAATATTGATCCCTGCGCTTTTTATAGAACATCTCGTCCCGTAAAGTCACCATCAACGCTGATTATACCCGCAGCCTGACAGATGAAAAAGGTTCGGCTTGAGATGAATCGACAAGGATGTCTGCAGAAGACAGAAACATGACGAAATAATGAATAAAAACAGCAAGAGCCTATGTATCGCAAGGCGTGGTATCATGAAAAGCAAATGCACAAAAGACGGTTATCCTTCGCACCTAGCGCACAAGCACTAGCCGAATCACATATCTATGCAGGCGATGTAGTTTGCCGTTGCAGCTGCCAACTCCTTCTGCACATACCACACAACCTCTGTACAACCTGTGTAGTGCCTTGCGAGTCTTCGTCACGGATAAAATTCATTGCAACAGCAAGCTTTGCAATAGGATCATCGGGCTCTGCACTTTTNGAAACCAGAATCTTGCTCTCGATATAGTCAACCATACGACCGCCGAAATGACGAGCAATTGCCATCGAGTAAAGAACGTCACGATTCTCGAGCATGGAAAGTATATTGCGCATAGCTGCGAGAGCTGTAGCAATCTGTTGCGCCGCATCGGGCGAGATGATGTCGTCGTGGATGCTTACGAAGCGACCTAGCTGGTGCCAGAAGGCGTCTTGCAAATATTGAGTGTATTGTTCGACGAGTTTCGGATCCGGAGGATTGGCCGGAGGTTGTATAGGGACCATGGCAGGATCCAAAAATGTGCCGCAAAGTAGGTTCTCGACTGTAGCCAGACGTTGTAGAAGAGTATTAAGGTATGGTGGAGCTGCGTTTGAGGGTATGGCGCGAGGCAGGCAGCCCAGTTGCCACACGAGGCGAGCTTCCAACGATGTAAGACCATGTGAGCCGCCGCCATTTTGGGCATGTGAGAAGCGTTCTATACAGTACAAGAAATAGCGTAACAGGTCGTGGTTTCCGACGACGAGATTAAAGCCATGATCCGTGTACCAGTTGGTCTCGAAGAAACGGTCTAGTCCAGAGGCATATTCTGCAAGATACATGAGACGAATCTGTTCCATCTCGTGCGACGCAAGAGGACTCGAATTGTGTGGGGGCAGTGCTGGTGGGATGTTGTCAAGGCTGCATAGCGAGTCCATAGTGACAAGACGCACTGCAACACATTAGCAAAGAACAAGCTCAGTATGGGCAAACAGTTCAAGNATACCATTTCGCTGTGGGTGTAGACTGGTTGTGTATTCTTCGTGCGGTGGTGGCGGTGGAGGGGGTGGTTGTTGTACAGGGGGAGGGGCGGCCGCCGAGTTTGGAGGGCCCAAGGCAGGGTCTATTTGGGCACCGAAGTCAACCGGTGGCTGCATGGCTGTAGCAGGCGAGTATCCAGCGCTCGCGGCGGGCATGTATCCTTGTGGAACATTCGAATAACGTTGCGGATCCGAAGGCATCTGCGGCTCGTGCTTGACTTGGTGTTGTTGCGGCTGCTGCTGAGGTAGTTGTGGAGGAAAGATGCCTGGAGCGGGTTGAATGGTTGGCGGCGAGGCTTGAGATTTGAAGATGGGGTCATAGCCCAGACACTCGCGCTTGCTCTTCTGGCAGTTGCGACAGGCAGGATGACCTTCATCACATTTGATCCTACGCTTCCGGCACGTCAGACATCCTGTTTTTGTACGACGCTTGATCTCCTTCTTGTGTCGTGTTCCTGGCAGCTGATTTGCATTTAGGTGCGGTGTTCCGAGTGGTACCTGGTAGCCCATGTGAGGCGCGTAGCCATTCACAGGCCCTCCATTGGACTGCATGTTCGAGGGAGCTTGTTGCATGCCTGCTTCTGAAGGGTATGTGTAGTTTGGCGGTGGGGGTGCATGGCCATGTGGTGGGTATTGAGGAGGTGTTCCATTTGTGATATGCGCCGGCGCCGGATGAGGAAGGTGTTGCGGTGGTGGAGGTTGGTGATGTTGAGGGTGGTGACCGTTCTGGGCATGCACTGGCGCTGTGGCAGGGACCGGTGCCGGAGTATGCACCGTGGGTTGATGCTGGTAGTTCATAGGCGGCAGGGTCGGCGTCGAATGCTGCGAGACGTGGCTTTGCGCCGGATCAGATACAGCCGACGCGTCTTGTGTTGGTACAGCCGGTTGCTGACTGATCTCTTGCTGGTTGGGATGTTGTTGTCCCGACGCGCTGACCGGGACTGTTGAGGGCTGTACGGGGTGCTGGTCGCTATGCGGCGTCGACGTCTGATCACGTTCCGGCAGCGCGTCGCTTCGGGCGTCCTTGAGAGCCGGCGGCGGCGGTGGTGGAAGCGATTGATGTGACTGCAGGCACAGCACGGGATCCGTGTTGTCGTCTCCCATAGCTCCTCGATTCCTCGAAGCTACCCACGCCTCCAATCAACTCAGCCGAGCCGGATCTATTCAACAATCAATCAACAAGACACACGTCAGTCACGCCGCAAGCCTCGGGCCAATGATGTGGCTTGGCAGGTTGCTCGCTTAACACTCGAGACAGCTGCTTCAGTTGGGGGAGGCAGCGACGATGGTCAAAAGAATGGGAGTAAGCGAGCGAGCCAGAAGGGAAGAAGCGAGAAGCAAGTCCCGGCTTTTCAACCTCATGAGCTGCGGCATGAAGCCTTGGCGTTTGACCATCAGCTCTTCCACACCCTTGTCAACAGGTTCATGGGTCTCTATTTTGACATCTCGTGTGTATATGCTTGTCCAGAATAATTCAGTTTAGCTTGGTGTTCTATCAAACGTTCGCTTGTTACTACCGACACTTTGTAGTGATTTCGTGATCTTAGTTATAAGCCTGCCTTACTATTCTATGTAGGTGACTTCATTAGTCGAACAAGCTAATATTTCATGCTACTACTAAGTACAAGAAGTCTACCATTATCTTTTTGTTTTGCATTATGCTGATTGTGTTCGGAAGTCTATGCCTGTCGCTACTGCTCACGCAAGGCCATCGAAAACGTGTTGCAGGTACGACCCTGATCCTGTTCATGCTGCCAAAATCTACGGTGAGCAGTGGGAGTCGATCGTCTGTTCGCATCATGATATGGACTTGATGTGTGAGCTACTTCATCGCACAACCATTCTTATGTTAGATGAGAAATCCTGTGAATTGTTGTATATGCGAATCTTGCATCGAAAAGCAAGCAATTGTGCCACCACCGGCAATCATTTTTGTCTGGTTCTTCTCTCTCTTCTCTACATGTGCTTTATTTCCAGAAATTCGCACCGTAATCTACTGCTTTCCAGTGTCGTTCTAATCATCATTGGCTCCTTCTTCAGCATGCGTGGATAATGCTCTGACGGTGGCGGGCGTCTCAGGTTCCTCCACCGTCGTAGGACTTGTGGCTTGGGATGGGCCTTCCTGAACAGTCAGAGGACTGATCGGATCAGCTTCACTGCTGCTGTTGATAGAATTCTTGCCCTTGCTTTTGTTCTTGCCTTTGCCCTTCTTGGGACTTCTGGCTCTCTCGCTCGCACCTCCTGTTCTGCTAACAGGAGTCTTAGGTCTAGACAGTGCATTGCCATCTGACGACGCCGGCACCACCAGTGACGACCGTGAGTTGATCATACCTGTCATGCCCGCGTCACTGGTTCCGCGCGAGGTATGTGCCAAGTCGCGCACCTCGCGAAGGATTTCTCTGAAACCTTCTTCGAGCGTGTTCATGCGCGTCAGCATGATTCTGCCCACCATGCCCTTCTCCTCCTCTTGACTGCGACGCCGCTGCTCCTGACGGCGTCGTTCTTTGTCCAGAGCCAACTCACGTTCGCGAAGCATCTGCTCGCTGAAGCTTGCTGGGATGCTAGGCTGATAGCCTGGCGACAAGGGCTCTGGAGTCAAGTCACGCCGGTGATGGTCACCAAAGTCAGATGCCAAGTCAAGGGCGAGAGCATTGAAAGATGGCTGTCTGTTTGCACGACGTGTCGAGTCGCCGAAACGATCGAAGCGTATGTTGGGTGCAGTATATTGTGAGAGCCGATTAGGCATATTAGGACGCACCCTGCTGGGGTTGCTCGTACGTGGTGTCTTACGACCACTAGACAGAGGCGCCGGTGGAGCCAGCGGTGTTGAGCCACCACTGTTGTGCTTGGATGTCGTAGGGCGAGATTGCTTGGGTACGTGTTCGGAGGCAGATGAAGTGTATCCTTGCTCCACAACCGGCGAGAAGACCATAGTACTGTGTGACACGTTGCGCCGGTGACTATCACGTTTGTGCTCTCCACTCATGAGTCGTGCTCTCGTGGAGTTTGGAACCGAACTTGCAGTCTGGAAATCCGCTCCCTCGAAGTAATCTTTTGCCGTAGGTTTGTCTGGAGATGGGTCTTTCCTCTCGATGAGATCTGGGGTTCCTGTCGGCGTTCTATCATAACCAGTAGCCGTAACGTTATCACCGTCATTGGTCAGAAGCTCGTCGTCACCATCAGCATCTGTCTCTTGAGGCATATCTTCGCGTTCCATTTCAAGGTCCGTCTCTTCCTCAATCCGCATTGGTGTAGGCCTTGGGAAGATTGTGGAAGCAAGATCTTCAGGATCAGATAAGACAGATCTAGAGGTTGTTGAGAAGTCGCGCTTGACCGTAGCAATTCTGTTAGCGGACGTTTGAGCGCGACGAATGCCTGGTCTGCGGTTCTCCAGCCTTTCCAAGACGGAGCGGGGCTGTTCCATCGGAGGGCTTGCACCTCCTTCATCACCCATGTCTTGCATCCAGTTGTCTACAACAGTCGCTTTCCGTTGGTCGGGGTTCGAATGCTGAGATATCGTTCTCGTTGTCATATCAAACGGTCGGCGGAAGACTTCCTCCAGAGCGCGGTCTTTGTGAAAAGAAACAATGGATGGTTCACGAAGACGAGTACCAGGGCTGAATGGACCAGTGTTCTTCATGCTGAAAGCAGGTAGACGACCCCTTCTAGGCGCCTTGCGCTCAACAAGATCCATGGGGGTGTACGCGTTGCGCACAAGGAACAAGCGCTCATAAGCGAATATGGCGAATAACATCGGGAGATGAGTGACCTTGATTATGGTCCTGTTGAACCTGACAAATTTTCTGAAGGGTATGAGGTAGCGTAATGGCGACGCTACCCAACCAAAGAGATTCGTGGGTGGGATGTATGAGAATAGAGCGTCTGACTTCACCATGGAGATAGTGTTAACAGCAAANAGGAATTGATGCTCCTCGTTAGCATTTTGGACGATAGCCATGAACGAGTTTGTCAGAACAGTAATGAGAATAGTCACGATGAGGAAGTGACAGAGGAACAGGAAGCCAACCAAGACGGCTTTTCCCAAGAGGTTGTATTTTGGCCAGAGGTCCCAAGCGGCGGGAGTAAAACCCATGGTCAACTGGAACCTGTTTTCGTCAGAAGATGCGGGAAAAATCGGACATTTATCAACTTACAATGCGTAGGCGACCTTTGAGGCTTCTGCCTTCTCATCGCTAAAAGATAGTGTGAAAGCAACAAAGAAACCACTACAGGCAATGACAATGAGCACCAGGATAGCAATCATGTCTTGAACCATAAGACGGAAAGCGATTAGCAGTTGAGAAAAATACTTATAATGATCCAAGACGTTGAATGCACGTGGGAATAGCAGTACAGCAGTAGAGGCCAAAACATCATAAGCCATGTGTGCAGTATAATGCTTGCGTGCAGCGGGGATCAAGATACCGTAGAGGCGGAGTACGTAGTAGGCGAAGAAGCAAAGCAAGATACCCAAGTCGAAAGCGTTCCACACACTCATAATGTAGAGACCAAAGCCTTGCTCAGAAAAGCCGACGAGTTCGTCGAGCATATATCCAGCACTCCAGAACCAGAAAATGATCTCAAGTGGAGTAATCTCAGTAGAACGATCGACCAAGACAGCCAAGAACAAACCCAACATGATTGTGAAGGACAAAGTAGAGAAGAGCTGCCTATAGCGAGGCACTCTGAGGCGAGACAGCTTGAACAGAGAAGCATCCTTGGGGTTGTAGAGGGTGACACTTCGTCTGAAGGTAGGCTGTGAATTGTTGGTCGGGGCTGGTTGTGGATTTGAGTTGTTCACAATTGTGCCATAACCACTCCGTCCTCTGGTCGGAGGTGGTGTGGGCGGCTTGCGGTGGAGGTTGTCGGCGGCCGAGTGAAAGACGATACTCCCTGCCCAAATGGCCTCGAGCTGTTGTACGACCAGCGGGTGGGCAAGGAAGCGCTTAGCCTGAGCACGAATGGCGATCTCGACGGTTGAGATACGCGCAGATCTGTTGTACTGCCTCAACTGAGCACCTCCTTCGGGAGCATCAAATCCTTCGAGTGGGTTGAAGTCGTAGCTCAAGGCATCAATCAATTCACGAAGATTGAACTCCTTCAGCAGGCGAATGGCCAGCAGCTCGGACACCATTGCCCTCGTCTTGCTCACACCAGCATTTCCTGCATCTTGTTGTGCCTCTTTCTGGAACTGCAAACAGTTTGCAATAAGGGCGCATATGGTCGCTCGATTGAAGTGATCTTTGCGGATTTGCGACTGGATAGGTTTGACCAAGAACTGAGAGACCTGGGGCGATCGCAGTTGGTCCCAGGTGAGAGTGGTCTCGCATTTCTGCACTATCAGAATGCGACAGGAGTGTGTGATGTTGTACAGGGGCAGTTTGTCTGTTTTGTTGAATCAGCGGCGCTGTCTCAGAGACAGAGGCCCATGGCACAAACCTAAGTGTGCGGCCGAGAAGATGGGCAACAGCGGTGTGTCCAGTTCGTCTTCGCCGCCATCGTCCTCGTCGCAATCGTCTGCATCTTCGTGGTCGTCAATTCGGTCGTAGTCGTTGCGCGCAGCCAGAGGCGAACTGTTAAAGGGGCTCGAGAAGGGCGACTTGTCGGCGCGCCTCTTTCGTGGCCTCAGCAGCGTCGACAGCATGTTGGCCGCCTGTGCTAGTTGAATAGCCCTTGGGAAACAACAAGGATGAAGAAGGCAGATCGGAAACTAGACATTAGAAATAACATGCGCTACTTAGTCACGAGAGAATCATGGCAGCACTGCGGGGTGTTATTACTCTAGTCTTGTGGCAGCGGTGAAGCAACGGCGGGAGGCCTGGTGCTGTATGTCTACCGTATTCAAGCCCTGTACCTCGTCTGGCACATACAACTGTCCATTCTCAAACACCTGTCTGGCTCTCGCACTGTTCGTCTGCTAGTGAATGTCGCAATGCTAGACACCCACGAGCCGCTGTTCATCATGACTTTCGCTCGACTTCCCCACCATCCAAAGCCCGCCTGCTCGACCTGCTCGCCTGCGTCCAATCAATCACCAAATCGAGGCCCGTGCCACTATCTTCATGCATCTAATCAAACGAATTGCGCAACGGCGTCATGCACCTAGACGCCTGCTCGACCCTCGTCGGGATCGTCATACTGCTTTGAGATGCTCCTATGTGATGTGGTTGAACATCTGACTGACAGAGACATTGGACGTCTCCTAGACCCCTGTCAAAGCGCTGTCTCCGAAGCTCTCTTTTTCTTTCTTGAAACAATTTTGACCCCAAATAAACAAACATGGTCAGACTTTCCCGTTTCGTCCTGCTCGCGCCTGAGACTTGCGATAATCCGGGGTTGCTGCTCGGCACATTTCTACCGAGGCTCTCGCAGGCGACTCGACGTGGTGATGTGAGACCTTGAATGATATCGCTTCTCACACAATCTACTATATTTATTACAAACCAACTCTCTCGATCCACTCACTGCAGGTCGATGTGTTCCGGCACAGGACTAACGAGTTTTCCTTTGGTGACGGCCTCCATCACGTTTCCAATAGTCCACTCCTCCATCCTAGTCTGTGTTTCCACGCACCATGTGCCCATGTGCGGCACCAGAACACAGTTGGGATTGCGAATGAGACCTTCGTGTACTTTAGGCTCTTCCTCAAACACATCCAGTCCGCAAGAAGCCACATGGCCAGAGTCCAGGGCTTTGACCAATGCGTCCTCATCCATCACGGGTCCGCGAGCCGTGTTCACAATAACCACTCCCTTCTTCATCTTTGCGAACTCGGCAGTAGAAATAATGTGACGTGTCTTGGGCTGCATTAAACATCAGAACCGTGATTCGCTTGTGATCAAATGTGTCAAACTTACGTTCAAAGGGAGATTCAAGCTCAAAACATCGGATCTCGCAAGCAGTTCGTCGAAGCTTACGTACTCGGCGCCAGCTGCGTCTTCACTGCTCATTTTTCTCCTGTTGTGATAGATGGCCTTCATGCCAAAGACATCCATTTTCACCTTGAGGTTGCGACCTATGCCTCCCATACCAAGAATGCCCAAGGTCTTGCCCTGAGGATCATGACCAAGCGCAGGAGGAGGAGAGCCCTTCCACTTGCCTTCACGCAAGGCCTGCATGGAGGGGTTGAGGTTGCGGAGAGCACCGAGAATCAGGAAAACGGCTGTATCGGCAGTACTATCGTCGGCAATAATCGGGATATTAGAGACCAGAAGTGGTGGGTCTCTAGCAGCACAGGCGTGAGCGTCTATCTGATCATAACCAGCGCCATTGTGTGCAAGGAATCGCCAGCTTTTCGGAGTAGCTTGCACCAGTTCCTCGTCAAAGATACCCGTGATGCTCACAGATGGAAATGTTCTGTATGCAGCAACTACATCGTCGAATCGTCCACTCTTGCACTCGGCAATGAACTCTTCCCTGTTCGTGGCCTTGGGAGTTATAACCTCTGCAATCTGGGTCAATTGCTCCCACTTTTCGTGAGCACTGCGCTGGTGTTAATTGTGCGAGAAGATGATACAGAAGTGCTTGGAGACGCACAGGACGATCTCGCCGAGCTGGAGGACCTTGAGCTTAGACATGATTGTGCTTTTGTAGGATGTGTTTAGGAGAAGGAAGTGAAGTAAGGATGCTGGGTCGACTATGACTGCTCGCGTACGGCCCGATAGGCCGGCCGGTTGATAATGGGGCTAAAGTGCGGAGAAATGGCGCAGCATAATAACCAGCCTAAGAGGCATTTTACATACATATCTAACACAACAATATTGACTAGCGGTATCAAGTACGGAGATATCTCGTCCAAGTCATGGCAGGCCTCGAGGTTGACTTCGCAAGCCATTAGAATATTCAAAACAAAAGATGCCACCGAGTTCGAGACTCGCTCTACTAGAGGACAGCACACACTTCGGTCCTCGGGTGATTGAGATGCGAACCCCAAGCTCTGCCCCCACACGTCTTCTCAATAAGATGCACCCAGAAAAGTCAAGAACAAGACAAGCCTCAGCGGATACTTCTTTGCTCGACAATAGATCAAGAGGTAAATGTTTCGATCGACCATTTCTTCTGTGTGATACCAGGCAATCATCTCTAGCATCCACATATCGTCACGCGAGTCCTTCCACTTGCATGTCTTTCTTAAAAAAGCACCCAGCGGTGTACGAGTGTGCATTGGTTTTGCGACCTAGGTAGAACGTGTTTTCAGTGCCTTCTGCGAGTTAAAAGACAACGAGTCGTCAGAGCATTATTCAGTAATCATCGGCAGATGCAAACGGACTTGTCATCATAAATTCGGGATCTTGGTGGTGAGTCAGGTCATGAATCCGACATTTGTGAGAAAGAACCGATGCTTACCTTGATCCATCATTGCGTCTGGCTGGTTCAGAAGATTCACAACTTCTTGTCCATCCCTATCTACCGTCTCAGCAATATGGTTGTTGCTGAGGTCATTATGAGTATTAGTCTGATGTAGTCACGTTAGCAGTTATCCTCAGACGAGCACATTAATTGTTATGATGCAGCTTAGCCATACTCACAGGAACCATTTTGTCTCCTTCGACTCTGACTTCACGATCAGCAAGCTGCCTCATGAGCCCAAGGAAGGCACTGTTTTTGAACTTTGAGGTCTGGTTATCGGACACACGCTCGAGCAGATTGGCTGCAGTCTGTGCTAACTCGTCATCATTTTGCCGATCCAATTCTTTCTGTTCTTGACGCCGCCGCTCTTCTTGTTCAATCATCAAATCTTCTGACAGCCCGTCCTCGAATGCCGATTCAAGTAGATCTTCCGCCGTATGCAGCTCCCCCNNTGAAGTTTGCGTAACAGAATTTTCAGCGTGCTCTTGCTCTGCTGCGCTTTATGAACGCCCCGANATCCTTCGATTCTGCTGCTCTAACAGATGTAGTTGACGATTATAGTCTTCTAATGCTTTTGATGAAGCCGTCCCCTCTAGAGCTTCAACAGTCTCTGGTGCACTTAGAATATGTTCCATCATGTTGAACAAGGCGGCCTCACGTTCCTGAGCAGATGCTGGCGGTTGCGTGGAGAAAGTTGAGAGGGCGGGTCGCTTAGAATAAACCTCGTATTCCATATCCAGTACTCGGCTTAGAGCTTGGGATTGAGGGTTTGATATGACTTGACGGTTGAAATTTTCTGTCAGAAGTCTCGCAGAGTGTTGGGTGATGTTCTGAGCAGAACTAGAGTCCTCCTCTCGGAAGAAGTTTTCGAGCCAGTAGGCATTGTCGGCAGAACGGGGAACATTTGTGGGCTGCAAATGATTTGACTCGGCCCTTTGCCAAAGCAAATCGGCGTACGAGGCAAGCAGTTGCTCAGTTGAAGCATCTATATCCAGACGAACATTCTCACTCTGTTGGGCAAGACCATCTAACATTTGGTTCAGAGCGGGCTCATAGCCATATCGTTGTGAAAACAAAGTGCGTTTGGGATCATTCAAGGCGGATAACAAGGGTCGGAAGAGCATGGCTTGGACAGGGTTCATGATCTGAGGGTGTTGAATGAGAAGGTCAACAACCTTAGCGGCTCGATGGAGTGATTCGTCGGTATTAGTGACCAAAGCATCAGCTAGAGCAAGACGAAACAAAGGGAGGTGCGGGTATATATCCGGAAGGAACGAGTCGAAGTCGAAGGAGTCAAGCTGTTCGTGTTCTTGCATGGAAGAGTCCTGTTCTAGGGTAGCATCCTGTAGAGCGGCATCAAAAGCAGCTTCAAAGGCGGCTTCATCAAATTGGTCCTGGGGTGGGTGTTGTTGCTGCTGTTGTTGTTGCTGGAAGGGTTGAGATCGAGAGGCGTACTGTGGAGCGGAATGCATGTGGTTGAAAGCGAGCGGAGATTGGAAGCGGGCTGATGGCAGTTGTATCTGAGAAGAAGGAGCGTGCAGAGCAGCAGACTGTTGTGCGTGTTGGCCAAAGTGATTGTGCCATGCTTGCGGGGCCGCTTGGAATTGCGATTGTTGTGGGGATGAGATGGACAAGCGATTGAAATCTTGAGTCCACGAAGCGGATGGAGCAGGAGAAGCTGACTGGAAGGGCGGCGGTTGGGAGTGGAGGCTGGATAGGGAAGAAGCAGCCCATGATGGACCGGCGAGGCTATGGGTGTGAGCAGTTTGGAAGGCTTCGAATTCTGGATTCAGCGATGCGACATTTGGGTCGTATGAACGGAAGCCCNNTAGACAGAATTAGCGATGAGAACAAGAAGTGTTTCAAGAAGCGCTTCAAGATACTTGAGAGGGCGATTGTCGTGAGACCAGGCGGTCTTGCTGCAGAGTCCGGTCAACCGATGAGTGCTTGGCCAGGTTCTGAACGGCATTCGAGGGCCCGCAAAGAGCGTCCGACATGTTTGCTGACTAGATGAACGAAGAGAGAGTAAGCGACGTCCGTGATGCCATGGTGATTGAGATTCCAGGACACAAGAAGCACTTGCACATGCACATGCAGATCGCCCTGGGCGCGTGCGGCAACCAACCGAGGTGCAATCGGCTTCGGCGATAAGACGATAGATGCGGAAGTAGCGTTCAGCGGAGCGCAGACTTGGCAAGGTGTCCGCTCCTTCCTCCGCGCCAGCACAGTGGAGAGTGAGCGCATAGCTGGCAATACCGCGACCCGACCATAATAATATATCCATTTTACACACAGCCAAACATGGTATGCGTCTTTTGACAATCTCGTACAGCTCCTATAGAGACATCGCTGACAACGTATGCGCCAGGCTCAAGTTATCTCGAATTCCGGTCACGATGATATGATTGTATGCTCCCCTTACACGCCCTGGCGCAAGCTTGCTTTTATTGACACTCGATCAGNNCACGATGCTGTTCTCGACTACTATGGACGTCGTTTGGCAACCTGCTCATCCGACAAAACAATCAAGATCTTCGAGGTCGAGGGAGACTCACACCGCTTGGTAGATACGCTCAAGNGGGTATGTGTCTGTTGACAGAGAGCGACTGTCGCAAATCTGACCTCTTTCTGCAGACACGACGGCGCTGTTTGGTGTGTGTCATGGGTGAGTCGCCTCTTTATACACGTCTCACTTGCTCTTGTTGACCTCTTGCTTGTTCAGGCACACCCCAAGTACGGCACCATCCTAGCTTCTTCATCCTATGATGGCAAGATCTTTGTCTGGCGCGAGCAAAACAACCAATGGCAGCGCATCTACGACTTCACTCTCCACACCGCCAGCGTCAATCTGATCGCCTGGTCACCACCAGAGCCCGGCTGCCACCTGGCTTGTGCCTCATCCGATGGCTCCGTCTCCGTCATCACCTTCAGCGACAATTCCTTCTCCCACTCCATCTTCCCAGCACACGCTATGGGCGTCAATGCCGTCTCATGGAGCCCCTCGCTTCTCCCCGCACAGCTCGCTGCTGCTCAAACCCCTCAATCTCAACCACAACCTCTGCGCCGCTTCGTCACTGGTGGTAGCGACAACTTAGTCAAGCTCTGGGACTTCAACCCTCAGACTCAGTCATACAACAACATGTGCACCCTTGCTGGTCATTCGGATTGGGTTCGCGATGTTGCATGGTCACCAACCCCGCTCTCAAAGTCATACATTGCCTCGGCCTCGCAGGACAGGACTGTGCGCATCTGGACGTGTCAGGCAAATGCCGACCCGGCCAACTCGTCAAGCTGGCAGAGCACAGAGCTCAAGTTCGACGCTGTTGTCTGGCGTGTTAGCTGGAGTCTGAGTGGCAACGTACTGGCTGTTAGCGGTGTTGATAACAGAGTCAGCTTGTGGAAAGAGAGTCTCAAGGGTGGATGGGATTGCGTCAAGACCATCGAAGAGTAGATTTCGCACTGTACCAAAAGGGCAATTCAGTCGGATCTTATCAATTTCAGCCGTTCGAGCCCAGCTCCAGGGTTCCTTGCAGGACCCCTGCTATTAGTTCATGCTGTCCCACGATAAGAATATATGCGATAGATCCGATCAATGGAAATCCACAGAAGGCGTGCAGTTATGCCGCGTGCCTGGATATTTCAAATCGACTCTCAGAGGTCCATGTTTTCAAATGGTCATTCCGCGCCGTTGACTCTCGCAGCACATTGTGATGCGTATAGGTAGAGAACTCTGATAGTACCTAAGTACTGACGTAATGTCTTTCATCTTAGAGTAGGTATGTAAAGTTGATTCATCTTCGAAAAGCCATGTGAGGATCCATTCACCAATTCATGTAACCGCGACTTCAAACGCAGAACGTAGAGCAGCAAAGCAAGCCCTGGGCGATGACCTTCGACTGTACTTGCAGCTCAGCTCCGTCGGCGCGGCCGGAAAAATTGGTAGACGTTGGTACCAAGTACAAGCACCAGTACAAAATCCTTCTGATCCCCCACCATCGGTTGGTCGCTGCCGACAGCGGGCCGATAGGAAGCCTCGACCATCCAGAGCCAGCCCCAGAGGGCCCCATAAACCTAGGTCTCGCCCGGCTTCCACCCAGTGCTGCCTTGAAAATGCCTCTCGAGTCAACTTGGGACACCCCAGGGCGAGCCAGCTTCTGAACTGCTCCACGTAAGCTGACGGCTTCCACCACTTCTTCTCGCTACTCGGAGACACACAACTGAGCATCGATATCAGGCCGCCGCGGATGCCACAGTCGAAACCGACATCGGCCACTGCCTCCGGATCTGGAGGCGTGGAGAAGAATCCTAGGAGAACAGCAAAGAGCCGCAACGGCTGTCAAGTCTGCAAAATCAAGAGAGTGAGTGATGCTGGAGGGCATGATGATGCTACGTCCCTTTCGATGTCCCTCCATTCTGGATATACTAACCTGTAGATGATAGNNCTGAAATGCGACGAAACCCGGCCGGTGAGTTCTTATCAGACGAGCTTGCCACATAATAAGCCATCAGTTCCCTTGTTTGTCTTGTTCAGGCACTGGTTGTACAAAGGAGTGTGGTGTGCAATGGTTGCACACGGTGCCGAGATGACTCCTGATCAATATGATAAGATGTGGCTGACACCTTGCTTTACAAGGNCCTGTGACAATTGCACCAAGCGCGGTTATGACTGTCCCGGATACAGAAAGGCTTTGAAATGGTCGACAAAGTATGAAGTCTTACAACCTGATGAACCCGACAGCCAAAAGACATTCCATCCTTCTGTGGAGTACCATTTCTCCTCTATCGACCCAGTAACTTTTGGCCAAGCGTCCACTCTCTCTACCGAAGAGACAGCAGAAAGTTCCGATGGCTATCGGGAAGTTTCTGAAGAGATAGTGCATCCCACAGTAGTGTCGTACGTTTCACAGCCTCAGGGTGTTGTAGGATTAGAACCACAGGGATCCCATTGCGCTTGGCCTCAGCAATGGTCAGGCTATCCTGATGCAGGACATCAGCAAACCGTGGTCTCATATACCCCCGATCGTTCAGTACATCAAACCAGCGAGAACAGAGAAGTCAATGATGAGATTTCAACGATACGGCAACAGTGTCACAACAGCCCAGAGGAAATGGCTCAGTGGAAATCACTGCTTCGAGCTTACTATCGCATGGCCACTCCTACCATATCGCGATCTCTTCAAAACGATAGCACAGGACTAGTTGAGCATTACTTCCGCGACATTTGCGTCCTGTATTCCTCATTCGACTCGAAGCTCAATCCGTTCCGCACTGTCATAGGCAAGTTATGGGATAGTTCCAACTCGATCTTCTACGCAATTCAGAGTATGGCAGCTGCACACTTAGCCAACCACAACCCGGGAATGGAAGTCCAGGGCCTGCAGATGCAACGAAAAGCATATGAATGCCTGCAACACGAGCTACAGCTAGCACATGTCAATCAGCAAGTAGACGACAGACTTCTGCTTACAGTACTACTATTGGGTATGAGCTCGCCATGGCATGAGGCTGGCGATTTAGGAATGGCTCATCTCAATGCCGCAAGAGGACTCATATACCCCAGACTGCTTCGGGATAAGGGTGACCAGACAGAGGAAATGGCAAGAAACGACCAATTCTTTGCCGAAGCCCTCATATATTGGGAAATGTGTGTTGCTTTTGTGCACAAAGAGCCAATTACCTTAGGCCGTGAGAAACCCAGCAACGAGACAAACTACAATGAGGCCCGAACAATAGGCACGAAAGTGATGCCACACCCCTGGACAGGTGTAGGACCCAGAGCACAAGTCCTCTTCGCTGAGGTCGGCCGACTGGTTCGCAATTACCGAGCTATATCGTCACCACTCTCGTATGGAGCAACAAGTGAGCACGTGGACCCTACCAATATCATCACTGCAGCCATGGAGTTTGAAGAAGAACTGCTTGGTATACGTTGGCCAGCCGTCGACGACCTTATAGACGTGCAAGATCAATTCACGGGCAAGCTCGATTTCATCATGATCGCAGAATCGACTCGTTGTTCGGCTCTACTAGAAATCTATCGAGTCTTTCCTAATATCTTGCGCAACCGACTGCTCAAGAACGCCGATGTTACTGGAACCTCGAGTCAATNNTTTTTCTTTCCTTTTTGCGGAACGCTGCTTCACCATGACCCTCACGATCCGACGACATGGTTGGTATCACTAGCACGACATATTTTGCTGGACTTGATTGGCAGCATATCGCCGACTTCCGGTACACGGCCACTTCAACTACTTATTCTATTGACAGCAACCGCTGAGCTTCGGTTGTCTGGACCCTCAACAGCATTCTCTCTCAACGTTTTACGTGCCAGAGATCTTGCCATGACTAGGCTGGAAGAGCTCTCCACGCGGCTGCCTTCGAAGCCTGTATTCATGATCATCAAGCTTATAAAGGAAGTCTGGCGTCGTTTCGATATTGGCGATGATAGTGTCTTCTGGCTCGATGTCATGCACGAGAATGGCTGGCAAACCGTCATAGGCTAGTCAGAGCAAGAAAACTGCGAGAAGGCTCGAGGTTGTACCGGACCGAGCAAGAGACAAAGGCGGCTGACCGCCAAGTTTCCAATGCTTGTGAACTGCATTGCCCCAAATCTCTGGGAAAGATCAAGTAATTCCACTGGACAGAGGACAATCTCCAAGGGGTCCAAGGAAACATGAGCCACTCACCACCTCTCCCGTATGCGAAAGTTTGTAACGCGTGTGGCTATCACAATGCACAATTCTATCTAGAAATAAGGATATGGCCAGAGAGAGCTGATGAGAGATCGCTTCTCCGTGGACACTATTCTATCCTCTAATAGTCTTGTGCATTTTTATAGCGTGTACTTTACTCTCTGCTATGGTCGGAGTACAGCGGAAGTTACGTCCTCTAGCACTCGGCGAGGCAGCAAAATCCAGTGTGGGGCTGGCTCATGTTTGCTTAGAGCCACTTGCTCTTCCAATTGAGGCGCTGATGAGATGCGCGAAATCGACCTCCATGCCATATAGAGCTGATGCATAGCTCTAAAGGACAATCCGCGTCGCGCAATGAATGATCTCCTGGAACCCATATCGAGTTCAATCTTGACCATTCATCTGGGATAATCGGACCGTTGTGGCGTCTGGCTATACTTCTACACCCTGGTCGCATGACAAACCAGCGCGAAGCATCAGATCAGCCCTGTGGTGCAAGACGATGAATAACTCCGGGTCTGACCACCTGGTCTGATGTCAATGTCGCGACGAGAGCGGTCTCCCTTACGAGGCGCGTGGCGAACTTGGTCAGAAGCATACTCTATACAGTTGTTGGAGCGTAACGCCTCTACAGTACAGGCAACAGTGTGATTATCGCGTCTTTATTCTTGATGATTGTTCTTAGCAGTTGCTGCGACCATCAAACCTAAGCATGATGTCCGGACACCGCTCACGCAACAATGCCCGAGCTGCAGGGTGCGGTCTTCGGTCGGACAGCTGCACAATAGCATCACCAGGGGCAGATCCAAGGTTCTAAATCTTATAAATGTCGTCGCTGTTGGGAGCGAGTTGATATAGGATGATCTACAAGATGAGATATATCCATGTCTATATTAGAAGGAGCTTAGAGGTTAGCGGATGGGTTATGGTTTGACGGAGTTTTGGGAGCCGATTCTCGGGAACACAGTATTGTAATTCATTCGGGATGGCAAATCCGAATTTAGTCGTAGCTTCTTGGGTTCTTGGAGTATGGTTCTAATTACGCTCGATAAATTGATTTGGTTCGATGTTGTCAAGCTTCGTTGCGTTGACCATGTCAATAACTTTGTCGACTATCTGGTCGCCTGTACAATCCAGCGGTACAGTCTGTCTAGCTCGCAGTCTTCTCAGGTCGTTTTCAACGTGATGGTAACCACTCCCGTAACCGATCATGACCACTTTTATCAAGCCTGTATGAAACTTCTCAATTCGCTGCCTCCAGCAAGAATACTTGATGTCCATGTCGCGGAGGAACTGTACATATATGGATCGTTCGAGACCAGCATTACTGCTTGCCGAAGACGGCGGTACCTGTCGATCAATCTCTCTTTGGACAGCTTCGGTTTTCTGAAGGTGCTCGGAATCGAGAAGTGATATGGCTGCTCTCATTCGTTGCAGCGAAGTTGCTTCACTCAGTAGGTCGATTGTGACTTCCATCGTATCGCGCTTCCAAGTTCCTCTCAAAGCTTTTTTTNNGATTGGCCTGGCAGCATTCCCGTCGGTGAAAGCCTGTAAACGATAGCAGTGACGATAGAAGAGTTGGTGATGCCCGAGCTCCCTTTGACGTTGTTCAGTGCGTAGGCGGACAGCGATATGCATGGCTTTCTCGTACATATTCAGAATTTCGAGAGGCTCGTTGGTCCAATTTGTCTGTCTTTGAGCTTCTGGAGCTCCATTCGTGTTCCAGCTTTCGCGATGTAGGTAATCGTCTGAGACAGCAGCACCCACACCGCGCACACTATCAACCAATCCCAGCGAATACAATTCTGGCAAAGCATGGAAGACAACACCGATGTCATCATTCTGGTTTGCGATATCCTTGTAAGTAGTAGATGATGATAACGGCAGAGAACACTCCCAAATGAATTCTGTACGCCGTAGATCAAGACGTAAGCCTAGGCGCTGGAGGTCGTGGCAGCTAGCTACAAAAGCATGGCGACGGGCCAGTGGTATTATGATGTTTTTAACAAGATCAAAGCAACTAATGCTGGCATTTTGTTGCCTGCAACTGATGATTTGCTTGATTTCCATGGGCATGAGGTAGTCCAGGATTTGTTCGCGCAGTTCAAGAGGTAAGCGCGACAAAGATGAGTTGTCCATGTTTGCTGTAAGGCAATATCACCTCGCTCAATGCTCTGATTGAAACCAGCTTCGTTGATATTGAGGATTGACGATCGTGCAGCATAAAGGTCTGATGATAGTCCCAGCGTTGAGAACAACGCAGAGCGATATACGTTGAGCCGAACCAACCTCATGATCATAGTATTCTACAACACCTCTGCAATTCCTTCCTGAATATACAGGGACCTAACATACAGACGACCTATACTCGTAATACGGTCAATTCCCGTTCATGAATCACTGTCTCGATCCCTCACAAGAGTGTCTTTGTACGCGTGCGTGGTAGATTGGCGGTGACGTCGGATCTGCTGGCTTCCAACTTGGCCATGAATACCTCTACGAGAGGTGGACAACTATCCAAGATTTATGCCAACTTTTGATGTCGACGAGAACAATCTCGAAAATACGTTGGCCTATCATATGAGCCTCTGCGAATTTCAAGCACATCCTTTCTAACCACAGATCTACACCATGACGTGCCATGCATGGCTTTGCTACACCAACTTGATCAAAATCCAGTTTGTAAATATGCCCAATACTGTCAGTGGCTGGCTCGTCATTCTCTCCAGAGGTCAACCATGTCTTTAGCACGCATATATGAAGCATGCTCGCGACGGCTCGCTAGAAGTCATTTTGAATCATCCATAATCAACCTGAGATAACTCGCTCATACTACCAATCCTACCCAAGCATATTCCATCATGGCTTTCACAAGATCAGCAAACACCACCACAGCCAGCAAGTCATCTCTTCTAGGACGCCTGAAGNGGCAATAATCACACCGTAACGACCACGACCAAGCAGTCGACCAACCCTATTACCGGAAGTCACACGACAACGACCACCAAAAGGAAGTCGGTAATACCGGTAACCACACCAGCCACCATACTGGTTCTGCAGCCACAACCGGCAGAGGAGTCGGATCAAGTACAAGACATACAACAGGCCACCGCTCCACAGGCACAACTGGAACCACCAGAGTACAGAAGCGCAAGCCGACTGTTGGCGACAAAGTCAGTGGTGCTATGATGAACCTCAAAGGCACCGTGACAGGCAAGCCTGGAGTCAAGGTAGGTCTCAACAGATGCAGGCAGATAACATATCAAGGCTGACAGTCTGCTGCAGNNGGAGCAGGAACCCGTAGAATGAACGGGACCGATGGCAAGGGTTCGCATTACACGCGTACTTATTAGAAGCCAACGAACAAGAGTTGTGGAGCAGTAGTTGATGATAAGATACCCATGAGATGATTTGAACGAAATATTTACAAATAGCTCAGTTGAGCAAATGCAAAGAGCATCAAACCTTCACTCAAACATGTTCGCGTATCTGAGACGATTGGATGTTTTGAAGGCAAGCTGGCGTCAGCTCTAGAGGCGCGAGGCGTGTCGTGTTGCTGCGGAGAGTTTGGTTCCTCCAGGTTCCTGCAGGCAGGGAAAAGTTCCGAGAGTGGATCCTGAAGACCCTCGTTCTTTTGCTTTGGCAAGGTACCTAGTCATCCAAGCGATCTTGATCGGACACTATCGATACAAAGGCCGGGATCGCAACTCGCTGCAAAAGCTCTTTCTATTGTGAAGCAACAACGCTCTTGATTGTGGCCGAGATAAACACAGCAAAGGCGTGCGTAACACCAGATCGACAGGCGAGGCCGATGGAGGATTCATCGTCAACTAGGGTTCAGAGGCGGCAACTAGCCCGATAAGGGGTGTGATGTTCTAACATTAGCCTTTCTCACACGAAGGCTTGCGTGCGTGGGCGGCTTGGCTCCCGGTGACAAAGTCTGTGACAGTCAGTGGCCTGCCGAACATCATTGTCGCTTCCCACACCCACTTGAGTCTNNTGCACGTACCTTCCCGCTCGCACCGTACATACGCTCTTGCTTTTCTCCTTCCCTTGTTGTATTCTCTCCGACTTTTTGCTTTCTTCCACTCGTTTTGATCGCTCGAACGTGTTTNCGCATCGCATCGCATCTTGTACAGAGCAACCCCTTATTGCTGGACGCGCCATCACTACTATATCTAGCCACTCAGNNCACACACACGACCGTTGCCAGCTCCCCAACGGCCCTTGCGATCCGCCATCTTAGACCCTCTGCCGCCTGACTTCTAGGCAATCACTTGGATAGAGATTTCTCATTTGCTCCATCGGCAGCTCCTATATTCCGCAGCTACCGACTTTTCTGCATGTCGCATTCAATGGCGCGCTCACCGAGCCTTATCGCTCTACTATTTGCTCTCATCATGGTCTTCTCGACAGTTAACGCCAACAGCTTGCAATGGATGAAGCGTCAGAACTCTCTTGTTGGTACGGGGGTAGCACCTCCTCCGCCCAGCCAACCTCGTCGTCCGTCGTTGACGTTTCCACGTCGTCGGCCGCTCCCACGACATCTTCGGCAGAGCCTAGCACGACTTCCTCGCCCGCCACGACCAGTGAAGCGTCGTCGACGACAGCCCCTCCCACATCTTCAGAGGCTCCTACTACTAGCCAGGCACCTTCCTCGACCCCTCAAACTACTCCTACTAGCGAACCCGCCACCTCTTCCGAAGCTCCATCTTCATCCGCCACCTCTGCAGTCGTCGAGACTACCAGCTCCGATGCTCCCTCTTCCTCTGTAGCTAGCAGTTCAGCTAGTCAGACTACTGCCGGTTCCTCCTCAGCTGCTTCGTCGGGCTCTTCCGCCGCCTCATCCCACGATTCTTCTTCTTCGGGCTCGAAGACATCGTCCAGCAAGTCGTCTAAGACAACCTCTTCTGACATTGTCGTCGTTATCGGTTCCGGAACCGCGGCCACCACTATCAACCGCTCGACCGTGAGCAAGGCTACTACCATTACCTCTGCCCTTGTCTCCTCGTCGACCAGACACTACACAACCACCATCGTCACGGTCACTGGCGGTAGTACTCTTACCACCGCTGTACCTACCGAAGAGGTCCTCGCATCCACCACTGGCTTCGCAACTGCAACTATCTCGCCTTCTTTGAATGACAACGGCAACAGCGGTAGCAGTGGTGGTGGTCTTTCTGCCTCGAGCAAACAGATCGTCGGAGGTGTTGTTGGAGGAATTGGTGGTGCCATTCTTCTCGGCGGTCTTGCTCTTGTTGCCTGGCGTATGTGGGGCCGCCGTCGTGCCAATGGTCCCCGAATGGATGACGACGATATCATGGGTCCTCAGCCACACGAAAGCCTCATGACCGAAAAGAACGAACCACCGCTAGCCCGCTACCATGGAGGTGGCGGCCAGATCAACACAGCGTCTAACTTCTAGTATGCGTGTTGCAAAAAGCATGCACGGATTTTTCCTGGGTTCCTCTTCTTTCTGTCCTTTTGACACGATTTCTTCTTTTGAACTTGTCTTTTATAATGAAAGCGAAGCGAGCAAGCGATTGGGGTTTTGTTTCCACCCTTTTTTTTTTATCCTTACATACCCTCCTTTGGTCATTCGGCTCTTGTTTCGATATCCATATGTGTCTGACACCACCTATATAGCTCTAGGTCACACAATCAGTGACCATAACAAACCAAAAGTTAATATTCATCAATCATTGTTCGCGTAGCTAGCAGAATCGCCTTATGCTTCTGCTGACCTTGTCTCTATTGCATCTCGTTCTCGTACGTACTTCCTCTAGACCGTCCCCTATTGGTCCCAACCCTATCTGGCACTTATTCTGTTCTATCTCTACCATTCGAAATCTTCCAAGATCGAACTGCTCTTTGCTCTCATGTGAATTTATTCTTCTGATCAATATTCATTTGTTGTTCTTCCTCATCAACCTTGACTTGTGGCTTGCTCTGCATACATACGAACATTTCACCTCAACCACTTCATCAACAGGGTCAAGCAACAACCGTTAAGCAGAAACAGGACAGCCGTGGACAATGAACCTCGGAAATTTTGAGTATTGTAAAGAAGAAGAAAGTGGGTATAATACTACTTCCAGTTCCTTTTCCAGCTTTCCTATCCTCCTCTTTCTGATCACCCCTCTCTACCCAATCCATCCTGGAAACAAACTCATGAAACTGTCAATGACCCTAGCAGAGCTCTTTGAAGAGTATAAGGAAAAGAAAAGAAGATTAAACAATGTGCTCATGACTCTTTGCAATGGTAGACGTGACGATGGTAGAGAAAAAGAAAAAGTTGGTGACCCAAGAAACGTCTGGGCATGAAGAAGAAGCAAGGACAAGAAGAGTCAATCGTCCAAAGAGAAAAAGCCGAGAAAGGCATAAGTGAAACTCGCAACAAAATGCGCAAAAAGGGTTTCGAAGAGGTCCAAAGAGCCGCCACAAGAAAGATTTGACCCAACGACAGCGAGGAAATGTTTTATTCTCTGGGCATGAGGATTGCATCGCGACACAGAACAGCGACCCGCTTGAACAACCTGCGCCATTCGAGCGGATCGCCCTTGGCTTTGACAAATCTGACCTCGACAAGCCCGTCTTCGGTGATAGACTCGAGTACCACGTTGCCGCTGAGTCCTTGCTTGCGACCATCGCTCATTCGAATGCGTATGTAGGCTTGTCTGGCTTTGTCGTCGGCAGCGGTAGAGGCGTGTATAGGTATATTCAGTGTGTGCAGCGCACTGCGTACGGTGCCCAACAACTGAGGCAGGGCCTGGTAGGAGTAAAAGCGCGCAAGAGATTGTGCGGGTACGATATCACGGAAGCGTCGGGCGTTCTGTGTCAAGGATGGAGGTACATTGTGGTTCTGACTGAACTGGGTCATGTGCGGTTCTTGCGAGAGTTGAGCGGCGATGAGGTCGTGAGTCATGACGACGCGAGAAGAGTCGTGTGCTGTTACGGGTTGAGAAGCCGTGAGGCCTGCCAAACGTGGTGGAGCTTCCCAGTCGAAGGGTTGGTCAAAGGCTGGAGTGACGGGCTGGGTGGATATAAGAGCAGGTGCAGGCTGCGACTCGACTTGTTTGGGTGGCTCCTGGCTCTGCGATGAATCGGGGACGGTGGTAAAGTCGATGTGCAGGCGCTCAATCATGTTGGTAGCCAGGCTGACCGAGTCTGAGACGGTGCCCTTGGAGTTCATGTATTTGTTTGGGCGCGTGTACCATGAATGAATACGGATATCGTCCAGCTTGAAGCGTTCGAGTACGTCGACCTTGAGCATGCCTCGAAGCAGACTCAGTGCCTCGGAGGGTATCTTTTCCCAGAGCTCGTCTTCAGGACGCCCTTGTGTCTCGCAAAANTGGTAGAACTCCTCGCTCTTGCGCGGCTCGGGTTGATCCCAAGGGGTGTTGCCCACCAGTAGTACAAAGAGCACAATGGCGCAGCTCCAAATGTCCGAGATATTGGGACAGTAGCCAAACTTGTCCTCGCCATGCTTCCTCTTTTGGTTTGCGTGACCGACCTGGATGATCTCGGGTGCAATGTAGGGTGGACTTCCGCAGACCAGACCGCACATTTTGGTGTCTCCAGTCTTGGGGTTGAGGAAGGCAGTCGCAAGGCCAAAATCGGCCAGCTTCAGGTCGCCGTTCGCCGTCAGCAGCATGTTCTCGGGTTTGATGTCTCTATGCGCGACGCCTTTGCCGTGACACCAGGCAATGGCGTTGACGAGCTGCTTGAAGTAAAAGTGAGCAATGTCCTCTCCTACACCCTCGTCGGCCTCGATCTTGTCGAACAAGTCGCCGCCCTCGGCCAATTCCATGGCGATCCAGATCCACGATTGGTCGTCGCCGTGCGACAAGAAGCGGATTATGTTGGCATGGCCCGACACCTGGCGATGCAGACTGATCTCGAGCTCAATCTGCTTGGGCCGTAAGCGACCTACTCTGAAGGCGTGCTCTTTGTTGATGAATTTGACGGCGATGACGGGCTTCGGTTTGTCTTTGGGAACCGCCTTGCGGATGCTGNNTTGACATGCCATTGTCAGTAACGTCTAGTGTTTATTCATGGCGAGTACGCACGATGCATATGCGCCGGACCCGATAGTTTTGGAGACGAGTCGGAAGGGTAGATTGCTCGGAAGTGGAGCTGCTTGCGACTATGAAACGCGTTAGAGGAAAAATGTCTTGTACAAACATTCGGTGAAGCATAACCTACACCTGGCGGAACGCCCATGACTTGTGCTAGATCTGACAATGTCTTCTAGAAGCAATTAATACACCTGTCACTGACGTGCTTGTTGCTTCTTCCAGGAAAAAATCCAAGTCTGCGTGTTTCGATACTACTGTTGTCAATGGATTGACAGGAAGACGCGTTGGCGTTTGTCGGAAACGCGACCGCCTCGGCGGGCCCAAACGAGCCCGTTCGACTCATGGATGCCATGCGACAAGATTAATTGAACCTTGTCCGTCCTCGTTACCGTGTAGCCTTAAAATGCAATCTACACCAATAGAAGCACTTTGGTCAAAGATAAGACTGTTTAGAGACGTATCATGTAATGCCATTAGCTATTGTTACTTGTACAGTACGTGTTGCGCAGCTTCGCGCTTGCATCCATGTCCTTCCTTGAGACATATCCTCCATGCAATCAGTCAGTCGTCAGAGTGCCGCCCTTAGCTTTGCCGCCTTTGCTTTTGCTGCTAAATGCAAGGATAGCAAATGGAACAAGAAATGAGAAACTAACAAAAGAATGAAAAGAGAGTCATCCGAACGAGAAAGAAAAAGCATAGATTACTCGTCGTTCCCCTTGTGCATCCATGATGTTTCCAAAAACAAAAGCAGAAAAGAACGCCGATCTGCTATGCACCCCGAGACGCCTGTAATGCCTTTACCCGATGGAAAGACCAGAAATAAACACACTGTGGAATTTGAAGGCCACGATTTTGAAGGAGCCTTACGATGCACTTCCGGTGCGGCATCTGCTGATGAAATCATCCAGGTACCGTCGTCGGAAAAATCGTGTCCAAAGCTGACACGCCGCATTGTGCGCAGCATGACTGTGAAAGATACATCGAGGCAGAGATTGCGTCGTGTGTATGTACGACGAGGTGATTACGTCGACTTGCCATGTTCATCTTCCGTGACGGTCGCCTTCTAGTGTGACCAAGATTGCTGTGAAATTTGGCGTTGAAGGTGGTGTAGTAGGGGTTATTAAATATGGCCAATGCCACCCATCGTCGTTTATGAGACTGATGCGGCCGAGAAAGCTGCGTTCATCTGATCATAGTTGGTACGATTCTCGAGCATTCGGATGTACTTGGGATCTCTGCTGAACTTGGGGACGGAATCCTGCTGGTTGTTAGCTGCGTATTGCTCAACAATCTCTGCATAACTTACACTAGCCATGAGCTTGAAGACACTAGTTTGAGCCTGATCGAACAGAGTGGCAACCTCATCCAAGCTAGCAATCATCTCCGTGTCCTCTCCTACAGCGCGGGTCATACGGCTTGCAAGAGCATTACGCAGGTTGTGGTCAATGTTGAGCTCACATGGCGAACCAGGAGCGAGGAAAGCGTTATACAANGCCTGAACAAAGGTTAGCTACGTGTCAGGACAAGACACTATTGAGATGAGCTTACTGTACGCCGAGGCCAGAGTTTCGCGAATAAGATCCAGACGAGGGGCAGGAACTGAACGCTTGGCAGAGTTGTAGTCCAGCAAGAAGCTTCTGACTTCGAGATAGAATGTGAGATTTTCCTCGCAATGGGTTTCTTGCAAGAACTCGCGGAAGACCAGGCGTTGTGCAGGGTCGTGGATGATTTGTGACATTCTGGTGGTATTGGAGTCGCGAGCAACACCAGGGGGGNNAAGCTTGACAACGACAGCTTCGCCGTTAATAGAGCCATTGGGACTTCTGACCCAGCCTGCAATCCTCATTCCCTTNTCCGTGACACCGTAATGTGCTGTTTTGAGGGGCTGGAAGCGGGAGGCAGCAGGCGTGTTGCGCTCTTCGGTCAGGTTGACAATTAGTTGATGTACCATGAACTGCTGGGCAATATCGCAACCCTCTTTCCTGTTTACGACCATGCAGCAGTCCATCAGCCAATCGAGGGCCGACTTGCCGGTGAACATGTAGGGAGTATCCTTCTCAAACTGCTTGCGGGATCTCATCATGTGTACTCCAACCAGACCAGTTGCATAATCATGGATCGACTCCGAGTCGGCTGTGGCAGTGCTCTTGAGGTTAGGGCCTTCCTCACCACAGAATCTTCTGAAAACAACCTCAATAGTGCCGCGATCAATGTTGATGTTATCGTTCTCAGGGACACGTTCGAGGATGACGAGCTGCATCATGTTGCGAGGCGAGTCCAAAAGCTCGTTGACATGGCGTTGGTGGATGCCGTTGCGCTGGCAGAAGCGAGTGAGAACACGCATACCCTTAGGGGTCAATTGCCAGACGGAACTCCTTGAACTGAAGTCTGTCTTGCCATCCAATGATTCGACAAACCTTGCTTCAGAGAATCTGTTGCAGACCGTGCGGGCCATCTCCTTGGCCATGGAAAATGTTGTCGTAGTTGTTGTGGTGACGATTCTGGAAGGGTCTTTGGGGTCGGGCATGCGGTTGGATTGGGAGAATTTGAGCGATCCAAGATTGGTCAGAGCTTCGTCGGTGGTGAAGGTGTGCTCGACCTTGGTGAAACGGACGCGGTGGGGAGTCAGTGGCAGACTAACCATCAATGTCGAGAAGAGATCCTTCAGATCNCTGCAGAATATCAAGGTGAGTGGAGGAGTATGGAGAAACAAATGCGGAAGCGGGCTTACTCTTGTGAAAGGACGGTCATCGTCGGTCTGACGCAACAGACGAGACGAAGTTTGATGCATTTTTGTTTGGCGCTAGTTTCTTCTACAGACCAGGGAGGAGCGGTGGCCGAGAGAAAAGTGTTCAACGAGATTCGCTTGTCGTCAAGGCCGGGGCGGCGGGGGTGATAGTCGAGCGAAGATAGCGAATTCTGCGACAGGCGGGATGATGGACGCGTGGGGGATTTAGGAGATTCGAGAGACTCGCGAGCGGGAGCGATACGGCCCAGCGAAGTCAAGCGAAGATGTTGTGAGGGTTGACGCTGAGATGCAGCAGCAGCAGCAACAGCGGGTGATGGACCGGGACGGTGCAAGCTGGTTGTGACGCCGGCAGATCGGCTCGCCGAGTCTGATGTGGTGGTAAGGCTGTCGTGCTCGGATCGCTGTTCACGTGGCGAGAGCGAATCTTGACGCTCACTGTTCTGCACGCACAGCTCGTCAGGCACAGGGGTCGGTTTGGACGGCGACGAGGGCTGCTGTGAAGGCGCGGTTGTGGTGGATGCAGGAGGATAAGTGCTGGACGGGCTTGGATGAGGCATTGCACGGCTCGGTGGCCTGGATATCGTAAGGCCTTTCAAGTTTCAAGTACTGTGGGTACGACCATGCTAGCCCGAGCTAAGAATTCCACCAGCGCCGCTTCATGTGTCAATTTTCGGACCCATGAGATCAGCTAGCCGGCGCCTTGCTCGCGTGGTAGCAGGGGTTTGATCAACCTTCCCCTTTCCGTGGATAGCGCCGTTGGACCAGCACCGAGGGGCGGCCACGCTACCTCCAAGCACCGCGTGCGCAATGCCTCATCAACTATTGTTCATTATCCACCCGTTGCCCACTAACACCGACTGTTGCCAAAACGGCTCCAGCTAATTCTTCTCTTCCTCGCACCGTGCCCTTGCCCTTGCCTGTCCGCTCGGCCCTACGCACGTATCTCGCTCGCCTTCCCTTCTTCACCGCATGCTGTGCCTCGTTGCAACCTTCTAGCACCCTTCCAACTTGTCTTCTTCTCCCATCTGTCGCCCGCTGCCGATCGTGCAAAATCGCTGTGACTTCCACGTGCGTCCACTCGCCGCGCGCACTCCCACCTTCCCGCTCCTGTGCGTCGTATGCCCAGGCACCTTCATGCATGTATCCATCCCTCACTAGATCGTATGGCGTCTTGAGTCATCCGCCACGCCTGCAGCCCGCTTGATTTGCTTGATTCGTGTGAGGAAAAGGTTCCCACACGCACGTGTCGCTTAGCGTGTTGCAGCTGTCGATCAAAGAAATCCTGCCTTTTCTTGCCCGTCTGGGCAGGGATCTCTGTAGAGTGCTTGCTTCCCTGGTTTCATGCACCATGTACTGTACCGTGAGACGACTTTCATGCCTTTTCTCAACACATTCCTGTAGGTCGTCGTGTACAGGAAGCCACCAGCTTCAACATTTCATTGTTGAGATGACGGCCAAGAACGGAGGCAACAACCTCGCGGCAAGGCTCCGCTCCATTATCCTTTTCCATCTCAATCCAGCATGCAGCGCCACTCTACGCTGACTCGACAGCCGCACTAACCTTTAACGTCTCCATACGGAAATTCTTGAAAATAAAATACGATTCCAACAGCCAAACAGGCCAATCGCCCTTGCAGATGCACAACCAACGGATCTCGATTGACCTAGAGCAAGAGAACGGTTCTCAGCGCATAGTAAAGTACCTATGTACATTGCCCTCTGTGGTTACCTGAGCTGGATGTACCATTCTTTGCCGAGATCATCAACTGTTGACAGAGAGTTTTCCCTTGCTTGCGGCTTGCCTCGGGCATCATGTTCCGTCGCCCGGGAGGTTTTCCGCATCTGCCATCCGACTGCTGGCGTGACCGCCCAACCAGGCGGCGCCATATGCGCTACTCAATATCGCGGGTATGAGAATAGCATGACGGATTCGTAAGGCATATCTAAGCTTAGTTCTGATTCACTTTTTGACCTAACGAACTACTGGTATGACTTTTTGTCACTGCTGACCAATGTAGATTGATGAACGCTGCATGTATTCATGCTTTGCGAGTGTAATGACAGAGTTTGAGTAGATCGTGTCCATGTGGCACTGCCGGTGGAAGAGACCAAAGCGTAAGCGCATTGCCGAAAGCGCATGGGAGCCGAGGCCGATGACCCTTTCGATGTTGACAACACAAGCAAAATTGTGACCAGTCACCAAGCGGTCAGGCTCGCAGCATGAACGTGGGGAGAGCTCAATTTGCATCAATCCATGATTGGGTTACAGCCACCCTGGCAGCTTTGCCTCAGGCTCGTAGAAGCGACCACTTCCTAAGGTCGTTTGGTCGACAGACATACTTCTTCCGAATGTTAGCTATTGTTTCAAATCGCGCAGCTGCATGATCACGAGGCATTGCTGCCACGCGATGAAGAACAGCTCCAGAGAATCGGTTGTTCCGTGAAGATCACACGGTTGACAGGCGGAGATCTGCATCTGCAATTTGACTCTTCCGTCACTCACGATCTGAATCTGGTTCCTACACTTTCAAGCATTGGAATATGTGGCCGATACTTCCATTCGAAAATGCTGACACGGTACATCAGGATTCGCATTCGTGTCATATAATAGGTAAGACTGCAGTGTCGCAACAAGATACCTTCTTTGTGCTAGTTCTCGGCCAATGCCTAAGTGCAGTTCTCCGAGGCAGCTCTTTTGGACAAAACACAAAGCCAAAATTGATGTTCATCAAGGCGCTCAAGATCTTGATGCTCAGCCAACCATTTTATTACCCTTTGTTCATGGTCACAGCGCTCGGATTCTCCGTCGGCTGAGTTTTCTGGCCGACCGTTCAAACTCAGTTTCACAGACCCTAACATTTCCAGAGGCAACTCGATTGCGAACTCGTGAGTGGGCGAAACTGAAGCATAAGGTCCGCGGTTCAAGGGCGCGGGATTCAATAATCAGAGCTATAATCGAGTCATCAACCTGACCCTTCGCTCACGATCTTAACATCTTGACAACAGTCCGCTCCGAACAAGCCCCGTATTTTGACCCCAGCTTGATTCAGCACGTGGACACCAACTGGGGATAGTATGTCTGTCACTGCTCACCGCTAGAAGACGATCATACCAAGCGCATTGCTGAGTCGTCTCACGGTTCTACGTCGATTCTAGACAAACGACAACATGACTCTCGCCAAAAGGGGAGACTGAGCAGTACTCCAAGTAAGACGAGACGGAAGCTGGGACGCTGGAACTCGAAGCGGTCAAACACGCATGTGGCTTGCATCAATCCACGTGGATGTCGCGTGGCAGACCTTGGCACAGTTCGTCCGACGATTGTCCGCAGGTGCGAGTCAATGACATTCAGCAAACAAGGGCAACAAGAGAGTCAATGCGTGTTTGACCGCCTCTACATGCGTCTGGAATTCTCCTCGGATATGCCTCGTGGCTGCGGCAGATACAACTGAGTTCGGCAGTCGGTTTCAAGAGAAAGTACGAATATTCTTGCCTTCCGTCATGCTAAGCAAATTTTTTCTATATCGCTGGCTCTTGAGTCGGACCCGAGCGGTCCGGCCCAACAGCAAGCAAAGAGACGCCAGAGCAGAAAGAGGAAATTGACTAGAATACGAAGCGAAGTCCCGAGAAGAAATCAGAGCAGTTACGCCAGAATATCAAGCCACGATGGCCCGACCACGACTTGACATCACTATCCAATATATCGAAGGAAGTTTTGCTTCCCAACTCATCTCGGTCCAGTATGGCTCCTGTTCTAGAAGGCCTGGATCTGGGTTGAAAAAGCTTCCATCCCTGTTCCACCGGGCTTCTGGCGTCCTTTTAGGGTTGCAACAGGCGAGAATGGAGGCGCCATCCGGGGTGGCTTCCCAAATTTCCACAGATGCCCCCAACACCTGCAGCCACCGTCATATTCCGCTCTTGCTTGTCAACACATCCTGATTCGACTTCGCACTCGTCGGTTCCTTGACGCCGCAGTTGGAACGTCCGCGGTCGTTGTATCATATCTCTGACAGGGATTGAGGGCTTGCTTCCGGCTTCCGTACCAACCGAGACTGAGCAGTGCATGTGCAGATGCGACTGTCCACAGCCTCGTCCGGAACCCTGGTGCTTTGAGGCTTGATTTCATCTATCGCGGACGACGTCTTTCCGGTATCATGATGCAGTCAACCAGCACTGGTTAACGCGCGCACCCATGGGTCTGTTTGTACAGGGATTGCAGCAAATCGCAAGCATTATCAAGTGCAGAACAAGCAGTCTTCGAGCCAAGCACTATCTGACGCAGACTTCCTTCGTACTTGTGAAGTTGTTCGCATCGGAAGTGAGGGACAGATGGAACTAAACTTGTGCTACACACGCTCAATGCCATATGCGAACAGCCATTGAATTTTTGCTTCTTTTATGAGAGCACACGCATGGTTTGTTGCATCTCGCGCGTCTATGGGTTGTGTTGTTCCGGTCTCGTGCTTAGGAAATGTCCTCGGTCTTTTCTATAACATCCGCAATACCCGCCCTATCCGCCCGCCCGACCTTGCGCAGCACTCTCTACGATTCAAGTCTCGGATCGAGCAAAGGCATGCCTGGTGCATATATGACTGTCGCATCTGATGATGCGTTATACGAACTGACGGGGCGCATACGCACTGCTGGATGCGAGCTGCAGTCCGAGCAAAGCAGAGGAACACGCGAGAGAGCTTNNAGCGACAGGCGCAACCCGAACCATGCATGACGCGACGAGAAGATACAAACACGAGATGATGTGCATAACGAATTACGATTCTGCAACCACACGCAANAAGATAACGATCCCGCAGATTTCGATCGTCTGCTGNTCTTAGCCAAGAAAAGACATGCATGCACCGCTAAACGAACCAGAGTGATCGACATCCACGTGCAGAAGAAGGAAGTGACCATTCCGTTTCCATGGTCCAGAAAAATGAATGATTCATGCAAGCACCAAGGCGTGGAAANNCAGGCAGTCGATCACTNNTTCTTGGATATCCCGAGAACTGATAAAGCACATCAACCACGAAACCGCCAACTTCGAGGTAAGCCCGCGATAACAGTCAACCACAGAGTGTCAAGAAAAGCAAATGCGCCAACAGTCATTGGATTCTTTTTCGGGCTGGCGATCAAGATCCACCATCTTCGTGGGCACGATATGGTGAGATCTTCGCATGCATACAGTACGCATCATGAATAATGAAACGTAAAACGTCGTTACATGAACGTGAGTACTTATCAGCAGTTGCTCAGCTGAACCACTTTATCCGGGTGGTGAGCTGAACTTCTGACTGTTCGTTCCAGTAGAGAAGGAGCTGAGTGGGCCACACCCACCAATAACGTTGCTGCATTTTCCAAATGTTTTGGATATAGTGGGTGGACAGTCCACCGCGAGAGGTGGGTTTGCGTGTGTTGATCAATCGCAGTCCATTATTTCCGAGATGGTTATCGAGTTCCAGTCGCTTCATGAATCATTTGCCATGTCTATCACTTTCTGTTCGACATGGGTTGGTGGGCGGTGAGCATCGGTCACGAGCACAGTTGCCCTCCTTACAAA